CCCTAAGCCCTAAAGCCCTAAAGCCCTAAAGCCCTAAGCCCCGAACCTGGGGAACATGGACAAACTGCCACGGGCCCTAATAACGACTTCAACCCTCACTGCTACGAGCCCTCACCCCTCGAACTACTAAAACCCTCACCCCTTATCTCAATCCCTTACCCCTCATCTAAAACCCTCACCCCTTATCCTTATGTACAACCCTCACCCCTCATCTACATCCCTCACCCCTCATCTAAATCCCTCACCCCTCATCTAAATCCCTCACCCCTGATCTAAATCCCTCACCCCTCATCTACAACCCTCACCCCTTATGTACAACCCTCACCAATCATCTACAACCCTCACCCCTCATCTACAACCCTCACCCCTTATCTACAACCCTCACCAATCATCTACAACCCTCACCAATCATCTACAACCCTCACCCCTTATCTACAACTTTCCTTTTCCTTTCTTTATACTACCTATTCTGGATGAATTACGATAATTTACTCTCTATTAACTATAACCATCCGATACCCCGACTTGTACTATAAACCCTTACCCCTTGACATCCGCCTATTCGATCTTCTTTATAAATTACTATTCCGTATCCCTCTCTTTACTACTATCTCGGACTCCTGAGTCAACTACTATACTTCACCTCTTATCTATCACCCTCACTCCTTATCTTTAATTATCCTTTACCTTTCTATATACTATCGATTCTTGATCTATTACGTTAACTTATCCTCTATAAACTATAACTATCTTTCACCCCCCGCTATACTATAACCCCTTGCCCCGAGCTATATGATAATTCCAAATCCCTGAATGTCCTGATATTCCATCTTCTTTAATGATTCCTATCCCGGATCCCGAAATCTATTACTATCCTTACCCCTCTATCGATTACGAATCGATATCTATCACTGATATTAATCTCTCCTCCTATTGTATGTCCCTCTTTATATCTATATCTATCTATCCGAAACCTAACTACCCTATCAATCCTTCGCGGATATATCATTCCCCGGAACGGATAATATCGATATATTATATATACTACATATCTTGAAATATATATTCGCCGCTGTCTTCTCGTTATATTCTATGTACTCCCTTCGAACTTATATATATATTTAATATACCATTTTTACGCTTGCCTGACTACCCTCGCCCGATAATATTAAACCCTGATATATATGCTGCCTGACCGCGCTTGGTAACCACTTGAACTTTCACTGCTACGGACCCTTACCTCGAAAACCGCTGTTAACCCTGACCCCTGGAACTACTATAACCCTCACCCCTTATCTAAAACCCTGATCCCTCTGTTTCTAACTATCTTGCACTTTTCTTTATATTATCGATTCTTTATAAATTACCATAATTTACCCTCTAAAAACTATGACTATCCTATACCCCGAGTTGTACTATAAACCCTTGCCCCTTATATCCTCGTATTCGATCTTCTTTACGAATTACTATCCCGGATCCCTCTCTTTACTACTATCTCTTACTCCTTAATCTATTACTATCCCTCACCCCTTATCTATAACGCTCACCCCTCATCTATAACCCTCACCCCTCATCTGTAACCCTCAACCCTTATCTGTAACCCTCACCCCTTTATCTATAACCCTGACCCCTCGAACTACTATAACCCTCACCCCTTATCTGTAACCCTCACCCCTCGCTATACTGTAAACCCTTACCCCTCGCTATACTATAATTCTATCTTCTTGACTTCTTACTATCCCGTCTCTCTTTCTTTACTACTATCTCTTACCCCTGAATCTATTACTATCTCTTACCCCTGAATCCATTACTATCCCTAACCCCTCTCCTGATTACAAAACTTTACCCCTCTCTTAATTAAACACCCTTACCCGTCTATCTATTACTAGTCCGTATCGATTACTGATATTCCTCTCCTCTCGTCTTTCAAATCCCCGTTTATATACTTATCGCTAAATGTATATCGATCCTTGACCGAACCACGATGTAAAACCCTTTCCGATATATGTCTACCCTGAAGTTATAATATATATATATATTATATACTCCATATATGAACGAATATATATTCGCCGATATTTTCTCCGAATATTTAATGTACTACCTTCGAAGCTATATATATATGTAATATACTGTTAATATCCTTGCCTGACTACGCGAGCTTATAATAATAAAACCGGATATATACACCGCCTGACCGGGCTTGGCAACGACGGGCCTAAATGCTGTGAAACGCTGACCTGGGCCGGTGATGCCTGTACTGCCTATATGGGGAATGCCTGCCCGAAATGCCTGAGCTGCGCCGGTAATGCCTGCCGAGCCGGTGTTGGTAATGCTCGGTATGGTAATACTCCGCCGCCGATAAATGCCCTCCCTATATGTGATGTCTGATCTATATATATCTTTAATGAATGCCCTTGTTAAATGCGATCATTCTTATATATTTATCAGTGTAATGCCTGCCTTGTATGGTTGATTAATGCCCTTCCTGAATGTGATCGCTATACTATATATATCGGTAACGAATCCATAGCTTATGTGCGTAATGAATGCCCTGCCTGAATGTGGTGGTTATACTATATATATCTGTGCTAAATGCCCCGCCTATGTGGGTAACGCCTGCCCTATACGGCGTGACTGGGCTGGTGATCAATGCCCTGCCTATATTACAAATAAATGGTGTGAATGGTGTGATTGATCGACCTGTGGTGGTAATGATGGGATGATTTGGGCGGGCAATGAATGCCCTCTATGGCTAATGCCTGCTCTCTCTGGCCAATAAATGCTCTCTCTGGCCAATGAATGCTCTCTCTGGCTAATGCCTGCCCTCCATGGCCAATGAATGCTCTACATGGCCAATGCATGCTCTCTCTGGCCAATGCATGCTCTCCATGGCCAATGAATGCTCTCTATGGCCAATGAATGCTCTCTATGGCCAATGAATGCCCTACCTGGCCAATGTATGCTCTCTCTGGCTAATGAATGCTCTCTCTGGTCAATGAATGCTCTCTCTGGCTAACGAATGATTTCTCTAGCCAATGAATGCCCTCCATGGCTATTAAATACTCTGCATGCCCTGTCTGGCTAATAAACGCTCTCCATGGCTAATGCATGCTCTCTCTGGCCAATGCATACTCTCTCTGGCCAATGCATGCTCTCCATGGCCAATGAATGCTCTACATGGCCAATCAATGCTCTACATGGCCAATGCATGCTCTCTCTAGCCAATGCATGCTCTCTCTAGCCAATGCATGCTCTCTCTAGCCAATGCATGCTCTCTATGGCCAATAAATACCCTCCATGGCCGATTAATGTCCTATATAGCCTGTGTTGGTAATTCATGCCCTGCCTAAGCTATTCCCCCTCTATACTATCCTTGTTCTCTATATTGCCGAATTCTTAGTAATGTATCTGATACCTCCCGTACATCTTTATTGAATTCACCTATATATATCTGAACTCGCCCTATACCCTCTCGCCATACTCGATCCACCTCCTTCGAAGCCATATATATTCGTGCACGAGCTGCACCGTATCTCCGTCAAACCGGGATCCCAAAAACCGTACAAGCTCACCCTCATTCTCCATCTGCACTCCCTGTGTTTGTAGCCGCTGAGCCCACGCCTCCTGAATTGTCTCACTGCCCTCGCTGTACACCATCATTGCCACCCCCGATAATAACAGCCCCCGGTACATACACTGCCCCTGCCCGCCACTAATATATCGATCGCAGATCGCCTGTGGCATCCCGCACCCAAAGCACCCGGCGAATACCGCATATTTAATCTGCCGCCGCACACGAATCCACCAACTCTTTGCCGATGTGTAGCCGGACTGTGCCTGTGCCCCGCACTCGTATAAGTCATGCTGCTCATGAAGCCCGCGTTGGGCACAAAACCAGCATCGTCCGACCCATAACTGCGCCTGTTGCTGTAAAAACTCGAGCCCGGCACTGATCTCTTGGCGGGCTTGCTGGTAACTAACCCGGGCTGCCTCTCTCTCTCGGTCCTGGCGTTGAAACCGTTGGGCGGCCTCTGTTGGTATGCACGGAGCTGAACTTGCGGGTAATAACGGGTCTTGCCGGGCTGAATGGCCTGGCTGGGCTGAATGGCTGAGCTGGGCTGAATGGGCTGCTGTGCCTGAATGGGCTGCTGTGCCTGAATGGGCTGCTGGGCGTGAATGGGCTGCTTTGCCTGAATGGCCTGAATGGGCTGCTGTGCCTGAATGGCCTGAATGGGCTGCTGTGCCTGAATGGCCTAGCTGGGCTGCTGGGTGTGAATGGCTGAGCTGGGCTGAATGGCTGAGCTGAGCGGGTAATGATGATCCTGAATGCCCTGATGACTGCACCGGCCATTCTGGCGCGGCTAAGTGGTGCCTGCCTGGTTCAACACTCCGCCGATACATTGGACTGGTAGATCGAACTTGAGATCGGAACGTAGTCGATTCGCTATCACTGCGCTGGCCACTGGCCTCCGAATCGCTCGATGATGGCCTCGGTCCTTGGGCATCGTGGCTGGCCTCAATTGAACCGTACTGGATATCTTCCATGGGCTCCGACCTATATGTTGGGGCTGGGCCATGGGCTGGGCTGTTTCTCTCACTGCCCCCATCACTGCCCCCACCACTGCCCCCCTCAACGGCCAGCTCACTCGCCACCTCACTCTCAAGCTTTTCTTCGTTAGCTAGCCACTCCGGATCACAGCCATCACAACGTTGTTCCATAGCTTCAGAATCCCCGCAATACTGCCTTTCATGCCCATCGAGATACTCATCGAGAATAACCCGTCGACACCCTCCGTTATATATATAACGATCTAGCCGGCTCTGCTCCGCCTGAGCCTTGATGGGGTCCTCATGGATTTGGTCCCATATTGGCCGCTGGAACCCCTCGGGCTGAATGATAATGGCCTCACTGCGGTCCCCATCCCGGCCCGCTCGCCCACTCTCTTGCGCGTAGTCTAGCAGACTGCGCGGCACCCCGATGTGAATGATACACCGGATGTTGGGGATATCAACCCCCATACCTAGCGCACTAGTTGCGGCCACCACGCCGGTGGGATCAGCCTGAAATCGGGCTAGCACCCCCGGACGATCGAGTACTCGGCTATGGTATGCTTCACTGCCTACGATCTGGGCAATGTGCTCGACGATCTTAGTAGTGGGCCCATAAATGACCACTCGGCCAGCCGCGCAGCGGGCACGCCGAACACGGTCCTGAATGAATCTCACGATCTCGGGACGTTCGATCCAATCGTAGCCGTTTCGGTACCGACTCGGCACGTTGGGTTGCCAGAGCCGGTACGCAACATTAGTCCGATAGGTCCGCGCTCGAAACATATGGGCCTTCTCGCGGGTAGTCCGTAAACGCCGGAATAGCTGGTCCTCGGCTGCCGGGGGTAACGTAGCCGTTAGATATATCATCTGGGCCTGGGCCACGATCAACCTGCCCAGTTGGGCCATGGCAGGCCGGAATTGGCTTTGGTCATTTAGCACAACGTGGCATTCATCAATCACAATTCGATCTAGCCGATGGCCGAGCCGCTGCCTGTTCAAGAACGTCATAAAGTCCTCCGTAATAGCCGATTCGGGCGTGACCAGTACAATGGATGCCTGATCGGCCGGCCGCCGGCTCTCCCATTCCACACATGCGATGCCGAGCTGCCGGCAACGGTGGACCAGATCCCCCCGTAGTGCAATTAACGGCACGACGACCACCGTTACCCCTCGGGGGCTGATCCACGCGGGTAGCATGAATAGCAGGCTCTTGCCGCCCCCGGTGGGCATCACAGCCACCACTGGGCTCTGGCCCTGTTGAATGGCAGCTAATGCCGGTGCCTGCACACCTCGAAGCCGTAGCCCGGTGTTACCCATCATCCGTTGCATCTCAGGCTCGATGGCGGCCTGGGCTAGCTGCCACCGGCGCTCCGTACGGCTCATCTCAGCTTCCTTTTGCCATGGCGAACGCTGCGCGAGCCCTAATGCGCTCTCGGCCCCTCCGTCATCAGCGGACACAAAGCCTAGAAAGCGGTGCCAATCGGTGCTGCTGAGCCGAAACATCTCTCGCCGGTGGGCCGTTGTACCGGGCTGCTCGGTGATCCCGCGGCCATAGATCATCCCGGCCACATGGGATGAATGGGCTGCTTGGAGATCGGCAATATGGCCCATCCATTGCTCGGCATTGATCCCATCTTCGTCATCTTCTTGGGATGCCTCGGCCCGGCTGTCCTGTTGGGCATTATTGGGGAATATGCTCGATGGCCGCATGAATCGTCGGCTGATCCCAATAGCGATGTCTCGGTATGCATGGAGATTGATGGCGTGCCCGTTCAAACCAATGGTGGTTTCTCGCTTTAGAACTTCTCTGAGTCTCTCTGAAGACCACTGTCGGCCGGTGCCAGGGTCAGGGGACCATAGATATGCCTGTCGACGGGGGCTGGTAGTGAACGTGTTAGTGTATATATATGTGTGTGTTGGGTGGGTGCGTGTGAGAGAGAGCGGGGGCAATATATATGTTTGATCTCTGTGTTGAACTGTGTGTTGATCTCTGTGTTGATCTGTGTGTTGGGTGTGTTGGGTGTGTGTGTGAGGGGGGTATATATATATCCAACGTACCCGGTCGTCTCAGCATCAGATGCCTCCCCGCGCACCTTCTGTGTGTACGCCTCCAATCTCTCCACAAACGGCAGCACTAGCCATAGATACCAAACCACTAGCTCACCGACTTCCCGGGGTAGATACCGATGAATAACCTTCACGTCGTTCGTACTATAAAACCCTTTATGGTACTGCGTAACAAACGCTACCAGACCATCTTCGACAAAGACATTCCGGTGGCCTCCGCTGTCAGTATTGTAGTGCCGAATGCTTAACAGCTCTGGTGCCCGTGCAGGCTGGCCTCCGCTGACGTGGACAGCAATGGCTAGCTTCTCGCGGAAATGGGCTACCCGTTGGAGATAACTGTGCACATTCGACATTCGGAGCCGGCCGGCACTAGACTCGATGAAACGATGCTGGAGTGGTCTCTCGTTTCGGACCCGATTCACCATCCATTCGCTACCGGCCACAGGCCATACCGTGCGAGTGTCTTTTAGAAAGCTCCACCCGTGCGCGGTCTCGGTGGGATCATCATAGATAGCCTGCCACGGGATCGTGGGAACTGAGCTAGCCTGACTAAACAGGAGCTCTTCGTGTAGTATCTGGAGTGTGGAGCTTACGAGGCCGTGGGTAAAGCCGCGGAAGTCACCCATAGTGAAACTGTACTGTTGATATAACAGCTGGTCCTGGTTCATCCAGCCAACATGGCCTGTGGCGGTGCTGTTATAATGGATCTTCAAGCCGTAGGTGCGGAGATCTAACAGCCACTGCATTGGACTGTTAGTGCCGCGGACCATAAACTGGCTGACCATCTCGGTCACCCACTCCCGGAATGATCGTTGGCTGTGGCCCTGTGTGTGGCCCTGTGTGTGGCCCTGGCTGAACTGAATAAAGTGCGATGACGGAGGTGTGCCCTGATCTAGGCCACTATCAAAGTTGTAAAACGAATCGTCCGTTGTTTGCGTTAAAAATGTGAAATCAGGTGAATCTAACGGACTTTCCGTATCCCATTCGCCAGCCATCTGATGCGTAGCTAGTTGGTGGATCATCTTCTCGGCCGTTGGGTCTAGCTTTAATGCTTTGTGGACCACCATAAACCGGGCAATCTTAATCACTTTTGACAAGATTGGGGGATAGCTCTGGGCAGTGCCCCAGCCTGCCTCTCCACGTCCAAGCACCGCGCTAGCGCAGATGAGCGCGCTCTCATAGTCCTCGACCTTAGTTCGGTGGTTCAATAGCTCAATGCAAAAATCCAGACAGGCGGAGTCGAGGGGTGTGAGCTGAAAGGGTGATTCGCTAGTGACTTGGTCCTGTTGTTCCTCGGAATCACTTCCTGATTGCACACTGCTTTGGTCCGAACTGCTCAGGTCTTCACTGCCCTGGTCTAGATCTTCACTGCCCTGGCCGGCGTTGGAATGGCCTGCCATGCCCTGGCCTGTGTTGGAAAGGCCTGCCCTGCCCTGGCCTGTGTTGGGATGGCCTGTGTTGGAAAGGCCTGTGTTGGAATGGCCTGCCCTGCCCTGGCCGGCGTTGGAATGGCCTGCTCTGCCCTGGCCTACGATGGGTGAGGCACTAAGCTCTGCCTGGGCTAGTCTCCATAATGTGGCCCATGTCGCTCGCTGGCGTTTGGAAAACCTGTAGTGGGGGCTAGCCCAATCATGTGGGGCCTGCGTGCGCGTGAAAAACATGAGAATCTGCTGCCACGGGATCGTGTGTCGCTTAACATTATCACCATCCATATATGCTTGTAGTGGTTGATGTGGCAGGCGATCCCGCTCAGTCCGAACAGCCTCGCACCGAATGGTGTGGCTCGTTTTGGTGCAGATCAACTGGCTGATGCGAGCTACAGTGGCCATTGAATTCCAAATTGTATAGGCGGCCTGCTCGGTCTGATCGGGCGCTTCGGGATCGGGGGCTCGGACACAGTCCACTAGGTCGTGCGGGTTGATCCCCTGGAGATAGACGGCCCACTGGGTCCTCCGAAGCCATGGATTCGTCTCGTCTCGCTGGCTGGCCACGATCACCTGGGGGAGCTCTTCTCTTTCGGCATATGCTCTTTCCATCTGATCAATCACCTGACTATTATGATCAGATATTGCTAGCGAATCGGCCTCGGGAATGGCCTCGGCTCCGAGGGTTTGAACGCGGATGTAATGGGACCCTAGCCCGTGATTAAACGCACGTTGGCATCGGACGATTCGAGTGAATTGTTGGATTTGTTGCTCCGCAGCTGATGAAGTATGCTGCCGCCGACGACCGCCCCGGTTTGTAGGAGCTACCCAGCTATGATGATCACGCCAGTGAACACGCATAGTGCTAATTGACCGGGCAACGAACTGGCACATCGGGCCTTGCTCGCATAAAATGCCATCTGAATAAACAGGCAAATTAGCAACGGGCTGATTCACCACTAAGGGTGGCTGCCATTCATCACATTCTGCCGTACGCTCCCATTGTTGAACTGCCTCGGCAATTTGGCGCGCTTTCGGCTTCGGCATCCGATGATTAGCAGATTGGAGGTGGCGAGAAACCTCTTTTGGTCGAACACCATATTCACATAGCTTACATACAATCACGGGCGTGGTTGATGGCTGGTGAAAAAGCTGATGTTCCATTGTGGTAGTGGGGGTAAGTAATGAAAGAAAACAGTGAAGGATAACGAAGATGAAAGAGAGAGGAAAAGCAGAGTAGAAAGGGCGGGCAGGTTAGTGTGAGAAGAATTTCAAAATAGGCCGGGGGATCGTTTCAGCCCCCGTTACCCCACCTGCACACACTATATATAGAATACGATGATCGACATAGTGCGTTTCGGCCCGGGCCTTAGATTGACAGGTCAACCACTGATTCCCCACATATGCAGGGCTGCCACTAGCCACATAGGCTGGCCCTCAGCTCACCTAGGCAGGGCAGTCATCCCGTTTCAGTCCTTTCCCAGCCCATATAGGCTCAGCAGCCCATTAGCCAGCCAGTAAGGGCCCTCAGCCCATTCAGGCATGGCAGTCATCCCATTTCAGTCCATTCCCAGCCCATACAGGCTCAGCAGCTCATTGGCCAGCCAGGAAGGGCCCTCAGCCCATTAAGGCATGGTAGTCATCCCATTTCAGTCCATTCCCAGCCCATACAGGCTCAGCAGCTCATTGGCCAGCCAGGCAGGGCATTCACTGCCCACACAGGCTCAGCAGCCCATTGGCCAGCCAAGGAGGGCATTCATTGCCCACATAGGCTCAACACGCTATTGGCCACACAGGAAGGGCACTCAGCTCAGCCCAGGTCATTCATTGGCCATCTAGGTCGCCCAGTCATCCCATCTCAAGGCAGTCGTTGCCCACATGGGCTCAACACGCCATTGGCCAGGCAGGCAGGGCATTCAGCCTTTCCTAGGGCATTAATTGCTCATATAGCACGGCATTCATCATATATATATATATAACAATTAGCCTAATCTGGTTTGAATGGCTGAATAACATGAATATGGTGAGCAACACGAATAGCTGAGCAACATGAATGGCATATATGTTAGGAATGGCTGAATAACATGAATGGCGGAGTAACACGAATGACTGAATAACATGAATGTGGTGAGCAACACGAATAGCTGAGCAACATGAATGTGGTAAGCAACATGAATGTGGTAAGCAACATGAATGGGTGAATAACATGAATATGGTAAGCAACATGAATAGCTGAATAACATGAATGTAGTGAGCAACACGAATAGCTGAGTAATATGAATGGCTGATCAACATGAATGGGTGAATAATATGAATATGGTAAGCAACACGAACAGCTGAGCAATATGAATGGCCTAATAACGTGAATATGGTGAATAACATAAATATGGTGAATAACATAAATATGGTGAATAACATAAATATGGTGAATAACATAAATATGGTGAATAACATAAATATAGTGAATAATATAAATATGGTGAGCAGCATAAATGCCATGCATAGTGCGAGTAACATGAATGTGGTGAAAAAAACCAATGGCTGGATCCCATGAATGGCATATATAGTGTGAATAACATGGATGGTTTGAAAGATATGAAATGGGAATGGGAGTATTGTATGGCTGTAGTGCCAAGCCTTTCTTGTCCCCCATCAAAACATCTCCCATTTTTGATCACCCTCCACCCCACATATATATGCTCCTATATTCTAAAAATTAACAGAGATAAATAAATCACTCTATATTATAACCTCTGCAAATTTCAGATCCATCAGAGGTCTGTAGCCCTCGGCAGTGGGGGTGCGAAGTTTACCTGAAGTCAGGATGCGACCCGCTTATCTTATCGTGGTGACCAAGTGGCTGCCTCAGGCCCCGGTCGCACCTCCAGATTCCCGCACCCCATCAAAATATCTCGAAAAACCCGACATTTTCAATCACCATTTTCTCGACAACCAGAGGGCTGTGCAAGCTCCGGAGCAAATGGGGGCAAATTCATATGTGCCATTATAACTTTCCAAATTTTCAGACTGATCGGAGGCCTCTAGACCAAAGGAGTCAGGGTGAGAAGTTAACCTGAAGTCAGGGTATGGACCCACTTTTCCTCCCATAGTAAAAGAAAAACCCTAACCTGGAGTCACCGTGACTCCAGGTACCCCCGTGGGATAGAGAGAGGGGGGGCATATATACATATGTGTGTGTTTGATCTCTGTGTTGAACTGTGTGTTGATCTCTGTGTTGAACTGTGTGTTGGGTGTATTGGGTGTGTGTGTGAGGAGGGTATATATATATCCAACGTACCCAGTCGTCTCAGCATCAGATGCCTCCCCGCGCACCTTCTGTGTGTACGCCTCCAATCTCTCCACAAACGGCAGCACTAGCCATAGATACCAAACCACTAGCTCACCTACTTCCCGGGGTAGATACCGATGAATAACCTTCACGTCGTTCGTACTATAAAACCCTTTGTGGTACTGCGTAACAAACGCTACCAGACCATCTTCGACAAACACATTCCGGTGGCCTCCGCTGTCAGTATTGTAGTGCCGAATGCTTAACAGCTCTGGCGCCCGTGCAGGCTGGCCTCCGCTGACGTGGACAGCAATGGCTAGCTTCTCGCGGAAATGGGCTACCCGTTGAAGATAAACGTCGATAGCGGACATTCGGAGCCGGCCGGCACTAGACTCGATAAAACGCTGCTGGAGTGGTCTCTCGTTTCGGACCCGATTCACCATCCATTCGCTACCGGCTACAGGCCATACCGTACGGGTGTCTTTTAAAAAGCTCCACCCGTGCGCGGTCTCGGTAGGATCATCAAACATAGCCTGCCACGGGATCGAGGGAACTGAGCTAGCCTGACTAAACAGGAGCTCTTCGTGTAGTATCTGGCGTGTGGAGCTTACGAGGCCGTGGGTAAAGCCGCGGAAGTCACCCATAGTGAAACTGTACTGTTGATATAACAGCTGGTCTTGGTTCATCCAGCCAACATGGCCTGTGGCGGTGCTGTTATAATGGATCTTTAAGCCGTACGTGCGTAGATCTAACAGCCACTGCATTGGACTGTTGGTGCCGCGGACCATAAACTGGCTGACCATCTCGGTCACCCACTCCCGGAATGATCGTTGGCGGTGGCCCTGTGTGTGGCCCTGGCTAAACTGAATAAAGTGCGATGACTGTGCTGCCCCCTGATCTCCATCGTTATCGTTGTAAAACGAATCGTCCGTTGTTTGCGTTAAAAACGTGAAATCAGGCGAATCTAACGGACTCTCTGTATCCCATTCGCCAGCCATCTGATGCGTAGCTAGTTGGTGGATCATCTTCTCGGCCGTTGGGTCTAGCTTTAATGCTTTGTGGACCACCATAAACCGAGCAATCTTGATCACTTTGGACAATATTGGGGGATAGCTCTGGGCAGTACCCCAGCCTGCCTCCCCACGTCCAAGCACCGCGCTAGCGCAGATAAGCGCGCTCTCATAGTCCTCGACCTTAGTTCGGTGGTTCAATAGCTCAATGCAAAAATCTAGACAGGCGGAGTCAAGGGGAGTGAGCTGAAAGGGGGATTCGCTAGTGATTTGGTGCTGTTGGTCCTCGGAATCACTTCCTGAATGCATACTGCTTTGGTCCGAACTGCTCAGGTCTTCACTGCTCTGGCCGGCGTTTGAATGCCCTGTGTTGGAATGCCCTGTGTTGGAATGCCCTGTGTTGGCCTGCCCGGCGTTGGAATGGCCTGCCATGTACTGGCCTGTGTTGGAAAGGCTTGTGTTGGAAAGGCCTGTGTTGGAAAGGCCTGTGTTGGAAAGGCCTGTGTTGGAATGGCCTGCCCTGCCCTGGCCTACGATGGGTGAGGCACTAAGCTCTGCCTGGGCTAGTCTCCATAATGTGGCCCAAGCCGCTCGCTGGCGTTTGGAAAACCTGTAGTGGGGGCTAGCCCAATCATGTGGGGCCTGCGTGCGCGTGAAAAACATGAGAATCTGCTGCCACGGGACCGTGTGTCGCTTAACAGCTTCACCATCCATATATGCTTGTAGTGGTTGATGGGGCAGGCGATCCCGCTCAGTCCGAACAGCCTCGCACCGAATAGTGTGGCTCGTTTTGGTGCAGATCAACTGGCTGATACGAGCCACAGTGGCCATTGAATCCCATATTGCGTAGGCAGCCTGCTCGGTGGGATCGAGTGATTCGGGATCGGGGGCTCGGACACTGTCCACTAGGTCGTGCGGGTTGATCCCTTGGAGATAGACGGCCCATTGGGTCCTCCGAAGCCATGGATTCGTCTCGTCTCGCTGGCTAGCCACGATCACCTGGGGAAGCTCTTGTCTTTCGGTATATGCTCTTTCCATCTGATCAATCACCTGACTATTATGATCAGATATTGCTAGCGAATCGGCCTCGGGAATGGCCTCGGCTCCGAGCGTCTGAACGCGAATGTAATGCGACCCCGGCCCCTGGGTGAACGCGCGCTGACACCGGACAATACGTGTGAATTGCTGGATATGCCGTTCAGCTGCCGATAACCCTTGTTGGCGCCGACTACCGCCCCGGTTTGGAGGTGCGATCCAGCCATGCTGATCTCGCCAATGCTGTTGTATAGTCTTTACTGTACGTGCGAGATATTGGCAAAACTGGCCCTTCTCGCATAAAATACCATCGCTATAAACTGGTAAATTCGGGATTGGGTTATTAACCACAGTCGGTGGCTGCCATTCGTCGCATTCCTCTGTACGGTCCCAACTCTGAACCGCCTCGGCAATTTGGCGCGCTTTTGGCTTCTTAATACGATGATTCGCTGATTGGAGGTGTCGGAAGACCTCTTTCGGCCGAATAACGTACTCGCATAACTTACACACGATCACTAGTGTAGTAGATGGCTGGTAAAAAAGTTGATGTTCCATTGTAGTAGTTAGGCTAAGTAATAAAGAAAAACAGTGGAGGATAACTGTAGTGAATGGTTAGAGGAAAAACTAAGTCGAAGAGTGCAGGCAAATTAGTGTAAGAAGAATTTTAATATCGACCGGGCATCGTTTCAGCCCCCGTTACCCCTCCTATTTATACTAAATATATATATAATACGAAGATCGACGTTGCATAATTTAGCCCGGGGCGTTAAATTGACACATCAAACCACCCATTTCCCCACATAGGCAGGGCATTCATTGGCCAGCCAGGTAGGACAGTCATCCTATTTTAGGGCGTTCACCGGCCACACAGGCTCAACGCACCATTAGCCAGTCAGGCAGGGCCTTCAGCCCATTTAGGCATGGCAGTCATCCCATTTCAGTCCATTCCCAGCCCACGTAGGCTCAACACGCCATTAGCCAGCCAGGAAGGGCCCTCAGCCTATTCAGAAATGGCAGTCATCCCATTTCAGTCCATTCCCAGCCCACGCAGGCTCAACACGCCATTAGCCAGCTAGGAAGGGCCCTCAGCCTATCCCAGGGCATTCATTGCTCATATAGCACGGCATTCATCATATATATATATAACAGTTAGCCTAATATGATTTGAATGGCTAAATAACATGAATATGGTAAGCAATATGATTGTGGTGAGCAATATGAATGGCATATATGTTAGAAATGGCTGAATAACATGAATATAGTGAGTAACACGAATAGCTAAGCAACATGAATGGCTGAATAACGTGAATGGCATATATTGTTGGAATAGCTGAATAACATGAATGTGCTAAGCAACACGAATAGCTGAGCAACATAAACGGGTGAATACCGTGAATGTGGTAAGCAACATGAATAGCTGAATAACATGAATGTGCTAAGCAACACGAATAGCTGAGCAACATGAATGGCTGAATAACGTGAATGGCATATATTGTTAGAATAGCTGAATAACATGAATATGCTAAGCAACACGAATAGCTGAGCAACATGAATAGGTGAACACCGTGAATGTGGTGAATAACATGAATAGGGAGTGGTGTTGACTGTAGTGCCAAGCCTTTCTTGCCCCCATCAAAACATCTCCCATTTTTGATCACCCTCTGCCCCACATATATATGCTCATATAGTCTAAAAATTGACCGAGATAAATAAAACACTCTATATTATAATCTCTGCAAATTTCAGATCCATCAAATGTCTGTAGCCCTCGGTAGTGGGGGTGCGAAGTTTACCTGAAGTCAGGATACGACCCGCTTATCTTATCGTGGTGACCAAGTGGCTGCCTCAGGCCCCGGTCGCACCTCTAGATTCCCGCACCCCATCAAAACATCTCGAAAAACCCGGCATTTTCAATCACCATTTTCTCGATAACTAGAGGGCTGTGTAAGCTCCGATGCGAATGGGGGCAAATTCATATATGCTATTTTAACTTCCTAAAATTTCAGAGCGATCAGAGGCCTCTAGACCTCGGCAGTCTGGCGACGAAATTTGTGCGCAGTCAGGCGTGCGACCCACTTTTCCTCCCATAGTAAAGGAAAAACCCTACCCTGCAGTCTGCCAGACTGCACCACCCCCCGTGGGATAGGGTCCAGTTCGCACCTGCGAACTGGCCATCTCGCAGTCATCTCGCAGTCTCACATAGACTGCGAGATATATATCGTCAGACCTGCTTAGTACTTGGGTCCTGACAAAGTGATACGAATAGGGGCGTAGAGAGATCCAGTCAGCATAGGAATCGAACCTGGAATCGAATCTATCAGATAGTTATGCCGTGTTCCGAAAGAGGTTTAGTTTTGACCACGAAAATCAAAAAGGGTTTAGTTTTGACCACGAAATTCAGAAGGGTTTAGTGTATGCTTAGATAAGCACTTTGGCATCAAAAATGACCGGATTCAACGGACCATAACTCCATGGTTATTCTATTTATGAAAATTCGGATAGAATATTTGGAATGCCAGGGCATTTTATCATGATGAAAGTGCCACTTATAGGTCTACATGGTTGTGGTTGTCGTAAGTCGTGGTCAAGATATCGTACATGGTAGGTCGGTAGGAGCGACTTTGTGGCAGTCCTTCCGGGCCATCCAAGACTCGTAATATCCGATGACTTTGTTCGACAGCACGTCGACAGCTGCAGCACCACCTAGAGGCTTCGGGTCCAGAACACAGTTGCTCTAGCATCCAGCTACTTCAGGTTAGCAGGTAAACTGTCATAGAAATATACGAAACAGAAATACATACTGCTACAAAAGTCCTTCGTGGTACCACACTACAAGTTGAGGTGAGTGTGCTGCTTATAGCAAATGTCGAGAAGGAGACTTACGAATCCATACTCACTGCAGCAAACATTGAGAGGACATGTCGTGTTAGCAACTGCCGCATCCTTACCGCACTAGGCGGTTGCATCGCAGTTAGACACACATCCAGCGCCGCAGTATGTGTCGCCATAACCACAATAGCCACTTGCTCCGCAGCACGCTCCGTTACTGCATGGATTAGCAGCGTCGCATGAATACGCATCTCGTCGCTGCAAGTCTCCGACGCTTCTCACTACAGATGAGCTCGCATGCTTTGCATATCTGTGCCTGGCATGCAAATAACTGCCGTGATAGGAGGCAGAGACGGCAGGCGCAAAGAGACAGATCAGTAGCAATATGGCGGCAAGGCCTAGCCTGAATTGTCTTCTAGGAGCCTTTACCAGCGCCATGATTCGTAGAATTAGTCTTCCGCAAAGCCCAACTTTGGGCCCAAATACCGGGCCCAAAGCCCAGCCCACGGTGGGCCGGGGGTCGAACATTTGGGCCCAAGCCCAACCCCCGGCCCACCGTGGGTTGGGCGTGGGCCCCCACGAAAGCCCACCAATACATAAAATATCGGTCTTGGCATTTATAAAGCTGCTGAATCATTAAGGTAAATAACTATTTTTTACATGTGTTCCGGTTTGTATACTGAATATTTGGATATTACAGCTGATTCTACCTTAAAATTTATAAAATGAAAGCAAATGTATAATAAGATTAAGCTATACTCTATATATTACTAGTAAAAATCACAGTTTTATAATGTTTTAGTGGTTTTATATCGTTTTTAGTTCTTGTTGATCTTAAAGTAATAGAAATATATATTTCTCCTAGTGGGGAATTTGTAAATTTCCCTATGTAAGTAAAAATTCAGGTTAAAATCTCTTATAGCCGTTTAATCTAGTTATATTTTATAACAAATTAAATGTTTATTTCTCTATACTTTGATTATCCTTTTAGATACCTACTAACTTATATATTATATGAATGGTAAAGGTTTGAAGTTCTCTATGTCCCGACCGGGTGAAAATTTTTGAGAGGAGATTTTGGTTAATAGGCTGGGAATGGGCTATTAATGGGCTTTTGGTGGGCTTTATGGGTTTTTGATGGGCTCTTAGTGGGCTTTATGGGCTATTTATAGGTTTTATAGGCTTTCGGTGGGCTTTCGGTGGGCTTTATGGGCTTTTGATGGGCTTATGCTACTTAATTTATGATCTATCTAATTACTAACTAGCGAGTACTTTTGTTTAGTTGATATATGGATTTTTTTGTTTGCCTTATATACTATTATAATTGTCACGAAGAATTCAGGATCAATGATCCTGAACCGATTCTGCCGTGTTCCACCGCCTTTCGTAGTTCGTGTTTTACATTGTTTGATTGGAGGCCTCAGGCCTCAGGCATCACTACCTTAATTGTTTCAGCGTGTTGTTTCTTTCTTCTTCTTTCTTTCTTTCCCCATGTTTAGTATTCTAGTTGAATGCACTCTTTTTCATCAAGACTTGGCTCGTAACATAATACTAAACATCACCAAAACACTTTACTGAGCAGCACGACTGTACAAACCATCATTGTGATTGGTTTCAGCCCTGCTCAGCCCCACTTCACGTTCCTTGGCATCGTAGAGCCAAGACCTCCGAACCGAAAGATCGATAGAACCGACCAATCAGCAGCAAGAATGGCTGATTCGAAGAAGAAGACTCCCCGTATGACTCGGAGCCAGCAAACGAGACTCGCTAACAGCGATGATCAAGAAGAAACGACCACACATGATCCGACTTCGATTAAACTCCCTCCCTCCGACCTTTCGTCACCAATACGAGGACGAAGCCAAAGCACCGGTGCTAGTCTAGTTCATTCGCATCTAAACTCACCAGCGGTACGCGACACTCTCGCTCGGCAGGATGCACGACAGCGCTTCGAAACAATGGTCAAGAAGTACAAAGAGCTTAAAGCCAAATTCAACGAGCTAGAAGCCAGAGAGAATGCTGTTAGCAAAGAACTTAAAGAAAGCGTCATACTCCGAGAGCGAGCTAATAAAGAACGTGAGGAAGCGATTGCTCACCTAATAATCGCAAAGGAAAAAGAAAGGACGGCAGTGGATACTAGAAATGAGATAGCATACCAGCTGCTACAATCAGGAAACCATTAGCGCAGCGCATCGATTGTGGAGGCTGTAGCTACAACCCCTCGTGTTCAGAAAACGACCAAGATGCCTAATACTCCTATGCTAAGTGATAGCAAGGAAGTTCGCTTCGAAACCTGGCAAACAGTGATCCGACAGAAGCTACTTACTAATACAGATCATTACCCCGATCCGATCCACCGAATGATATATATCCAAAGTCGTTACGAAGGAAAGGCACAGCTACACATCGCACCAAGAATGGATCCTAAATCGGCCACTCACTACACCGATGCAGAAGATATTCTCATGCACCTAAAAACAGTGTTTGCCAACCCAAATAGGAAGGCCGAGGCATACACTCAGTTCCACAAATTGAAAATGAAACCAAAGGAGAACTTTACCGATTTTCTAGCTAGCTTCATACAGCTTGCCGAAGAAGCATATATTCCAATCCAAAACCGCAAGCAAGATCTTTATTTTATGCTTCCATACTTGCTACAAACCCAGGTGATGCTCTAGAAGAACCAGAACATAGTATCTTTCGATAAATTTGTCCAGATCTATATCAGTCTATCCCACGACATTAACGTTCAGCAAGAATCACGATCTGGTAACCGAGCACGAATTTCTAGTTCCGGAAATAACCTCACTCCGTCGTCGACAGGTTCAATCTCCACGACTCGAATCAAGAAAGAAAACTCAGGATTCAGCCCGTTGCCATTTACTAAAAGACAAACACTGATAAGAGAAGGACGTTATTTCAACTGTAAGGAGCAAGGCCATATGACCCGTGATTATCCCAAAAAGACAGGTCTAGTAACCACTACAGCAATTACTCAAGTTCCTACTCGCAACCCCTCTCCTCGCATCGAACTAGAAGAATTTGAAAATCAGGATTCGGGAAAAGCACCTGCCTAGGCGAAGTCTCCCTCCTAGGCGGAAAGAAGGTGTCACTTTATTCGTTGAATTTACAGAAGTTACTTGGAAGTCCATATGATAGTTTAGTATTTAACACAGAGCTCATAATCAATAGACGTTCCTTTTCTATTTCAGCACTATGTGATACCGGAGCAGATGGTTCAATTTTTATCGACATAGCTTTAGTAGCTTTGCTATGCCAACAGCAAGGTCTACGAGTTCAGAGGTTAGAAAGGCAGTACCCAGTGAATGGATTTGATGGCAAGCTAGCTAGGCCTATCACTTATACAGTTATTCTTTCAATGTGCATTAAAGGGCATGTCCACCAGCAGGTACCTATGCTGGTAGCAGATCTTGGAAAACACGACTTAATACTTGGACGAATATGGCTAGCGCAACATGACGTTTTACTCGACTGTCGCCGTCGTCGAATGATTTGGCCACATAAACCAACCTTATTTGAAGAAGTATGCAACCAGGTTTCCCTTCCCACCCCGATCACGATACTCAAGAAGCCTATTCCAACAAGCACCGCCAGTACGCATCAAGCAGATACAGACCGACGAGACAAGCTACTTGAACAAAGCATTGACCTTTCACCACGGAAGCATCAAGATCACTAATGGCAGAGAGCAAACCTCGAGAAAATGCAGAGAAATCTAAGGAATAACGACCCATTACTGCTGAATATATCTGAGTTCAACTGTCCACTAAATATCAGTATCATCGGTCCTACAGCATATCAGAGACTACAGGCAAGATCACTTTCTAATAAACGCACTAAAGTATTTTCCACTTCGCTTACCGAAATCGATCACATCCTCGATATCAAATCATCATTAGCATCATCAGATCCAGAGATAGATAAGATCCGAGCGACACTACCGACAGAGTATCAGGACCTAGCAGAAGTTTTCTCAAAAAGAAAGTCAGATAAACTACCTCCGCACCGAAAGGGTGTTAATCATGATATCATACTTGAAGCGGAGGCACAGCCAGGGTACTGTCCATTATACAAGCTTTCACTTGACGAATTGCAAGAAGCAAAGAAATACATTATGACTTCTCGACAAATGAATCAACGACAAGTCCGATAGAGTGAGCTACTTTCCCAATTCAGGTTTGTGATCAGATACCGACCGGGTAAGAAAAACGTGGTCGTAGATGTCCTTTCCCGGAAGGATACACCTTGTCAAGATACTGGTCGACAGTTCGCATTACTCCCGGAAAGTCATTTCGAATCCCCATCGACATTAACACAGGTCGCCCTATTACAAGTTACGGATTCAATTGTGGATCGTGTCAAACATGCCAACAAGACTAGCTCGGAACTAGAAGAATATCGGGAAATGGCCCGAAAGGGTAGTACGGTATGGACTATCAGCAATAAACTTCTGCTTTATAATGGCAATTTGGAAGTGCCCGATCAGGACGACCTCCGAGCTCGCTTATTAGACGAGCTACATCGACAACCATTGGTTGCTCACCCCGGCATTAAGAAGCTAAAGAAGTTAGTCTTAGCAAGATACCACTGGTCTAGCTAGGCAACCGATGTGAAGAGGTATGTCGACAACTGTCTAGTATGCAAACGGACAAAATCCTAGAGAGATCGAACCCCTAGACTTCTTCACCCCTTGGAAATCCCAGAAAGACCATAGGAGCATCTTACAATGGATTTCCGATCATTCCCAAAGGACCGACATGGATTTGATGCAGTATTCGTTATTGTGGACCGCCTTTCAAAAAGACCGATATCTATCCTATGCCATAAAGACACTGATGCAAAGAAGATGGCACGTTTATTCATTGACAATGTGATCCGTATCTCCGGCATTCCGTCCTCAATTGTTTCAGACCGAGGTGGTCAGTTCGTTTCAGAATTTTGGACCGAGTTCTGTCGAATTCTTGGTATTCAGAGGAAGCTATCAACAGCTTACCACCCGTAAACTGATGGACAGAGTGAAATTGCCAATCAATATATGGCACAAAGACTACGTCCCTACATTAAACATAACCAGGATGATTAGTCAGAGTGTCTACCAATGGTGGACTTCGCCGCATCAATCTTACCGCAGGACACAACGAAGAAATCACCTTTTTTCATTAAACGTGGCTACGAACCTATCATGTCTTTCGATTAGAGAGATCAAGCGACACTAACAACCAACGAGCGCGAGGCATCGAATATGCTCACTCGATTACACGATATTTGGCAAGAAGCAAAACAACAAGCTATAAAGTCTTAACAAATGCAGATCTAGCAGGCAAATAAGCACCGCCGAGAAGTGGATTTCGATATGAATGACTATGTTTTCGTGACAACAAAGGATTGGTTATAAGACAGACCGAGCAGGAAGCTTTCTCACATGGCCAGTGGACCATACAAGATTATAGAAAAAGTGGGCCACTCATTTAAATTGGAATTGCCCCCATCTATCAAAGTACACCCCGTGTTTCATGCCAGCAAACTGCGAAGAGCAGCTATAACGGAGCCTTTACGTGGTCAACATACCGATCTACCACCACCACTGCGTGTCGGTGAAACTGACGAATGGGAAGTCAACAAGATCATGGACTCCAAACTGTATTACAGAAAGCTGCGATACCGGGTCGATTGGCTCGGTCATGATGTCGATCTACAATGGTATCCCGCCGGGAATTTTAAGCATGCACCTGTGAAACTGAGAGAATTCCATGATCGCTACCCTTCGAAACCTGGACCACTAAAGCGTCTGCATGAATGGGAAACTGCATCAGCAAATGAGCAAGTGGTTGATGATTATCCCGACGATAATATGCCTGTTTCTATGGACTAGTAAGCATTTAGGGACTGAATGTAATTTCGCAAGGGGGTTGTCACGAAGAATTCAAGATCAATGATCCTGAACCGATTCTGCCGTGTTCCACCGCCTTTCGTAGTTCGTGTTTTACATTGTTTGATTGGAGGCCTCAGGCCTCAGGCATCACTACCTTAATTGTTTCAGCGTGTTGTTTCTTTCTTCTTCTTTCTTTCTTTCCCCATGTTTAGTATTCTAGTTGAATGCACTCTTTTTCATCAAGACTTGGCTCGTAACAATAATAAATCTATCACTTTGTAATGTATATCCCTTTCCCTTCTCTTTATCCCTTTACTATTGATTTTTTTACTGATATTACAATGTCCCAAAGTCAACAGTCCGACTTTGCATCATCTTTATATGGTGGAGACTTTGATAATTCAGTTTATCTTACTACCTCTTAGTGTCCTGCTACCCTATCTGGTAGTTAGCCTACGCTTAAGATCCCCGAAAGCTCTTTTCTTCGACCAGTAGTTCCTCTAGTCCCTCCTTCAATCTTTGAACGCACTAGACCCGATCGGCGAAAGTTATACCTACTATATAACCCTATAAGTCATAACGACTAGGTAGAATGGTGGTTACAAACCGATTATGGATCTAAGAGCAAGATCGGATAGGACTCAAATCACCTCTCTTCTGTGTAGAAACACTATGTTTAGGTTGCCTATAGTATTGATGGTACTGCAAAAGTTATGTGTAAGCATTGCTTAACAATTCTTAAGCACCCTTATACTATTAAAAAAGATATTCATAGGAAGGAGGGGCGTTATGGTACAACTACTATAATAAGACACCTTAAGACCTCTACTTGTCAAAAGGCATCAGGTCTTAATAAACAGAAGGGAGAGATATCAAAATTTCTTTAACAAATGGTATGTAAAGTCCTATTTTATTATTATATTATTAATTTTTCTGTATTAAGGACACTTCACCTAACGAAATATTCATATAAGAAGATTGGGAGAATGATATTCTCTAGTTTATTACCCTTAACCGACTTCTATTCCATCTCGTCGAGCACTATACTTTTCGAAAATTGATATCCAGAGCCCGAGCTAGCCTAAGCGAGCCAAAGATACCCTCTACCGATACTTTTCGTCGACAATTAAGGAGCCAGGTCAGGGAACGACAACAATCTATCCTCAAAATGCTTCTAGAAAATTCAAAAATATCAATTGCACTAGATTGTTGGACATCTCCATTTAGACAAGCATTTATAGCTATTACTAGCTATTTCATTGATATAGATTAGGTGTACCGAGAGGTGCTTCTTGATTTCAAACCTCTTTATAGCGCTCATACTAGCGCTAATATGAGTACCATACTATTACAGACCCTTGTTGATCATGATATCCAAGATCGAATTTTTGGATTAACAGCAGACAATACATCAAACAACAGAACACTAGTTGATTCTCTACAGCAGGCTTTGCCTCCTGATGTTAATATCATCCGGACCCCTTGTCTTGCATATATGATCCAATTAAGCTTGAAACAGCTTCTTGATTGTCTTAAAGCTGCTCCACTTAATGACACCACTGAGACTAAGTGGACTGAGAGTCAATCTATATTGGCTAAGGCGAATACACAAACCAAGAATCGGGGAATCTCCTATACCTTAAACAAGGTCCGATATCTTACAGTCTTTATCCGGGCAAGTCCACAGCGCCGGGATGCATTTTTAAAGCTCCAAAAACATGAGCTAGGACTTATAGCAATTCAGGACGTGCGAACTCGGTGGAATTCAACATATCTGATGCTTCGCCGGGCAAAAAGACTTCGTGACTATTTTGGGCCCTTTTATACAGATTATAGTTGTGATGATATGGCATTAAACAATGAAGAATGGCGTCAAATCGACTATCTTCTTTGCATCACTAAGCCATTCTTTAATTATACACTTGCTCTTTCAAAGACTCGAGATATAACTGCACATCTTGTGTTCCGGATCTATAATGCACTTTTTGAGCATTTAGAGAAGTCTATATCCCAGCTAAAGCGGAAGCGTGTTATATGGAAACAGCAAATGCTCTCGTCCCTTAAAGCAGGCCGACAAAAGCTTGATGAATATTACTCGCAGACGGATGAAGTTCGGGGGCATATCTATACAATTGCTACTATGTTAGCTCCTGATAGCAGATTCCAATTCTTTCTATCAGACGATTGGGATAAAGAATGGCGTGATAAATATCGTATCTCATTCCGAGATGCATTAGTTCCTTACCAACAGCATCTTGCTAGTTCTTAACACCCTAAGGACTCCTCTATAGGAGTAAGGCAAAATTCATTACTTCAAAACTTACTTAGTGGCCAAAAGTCTAAAGCAAAGCCAGTTCGAGATGAAATCACTTAATATCTTGACAGTGGTATGTATGAACTTCATTTAGTATAATGTTATTGATACTAATTATTTTAGATGTTACCGATTCTGAGCCTCTTTCCTTCTAGAGAGAGCACCAAGCCCGTTTCCCAGCAATCACTTTACTTACACGCGATATTCTCTCAATTCCAGCTACAGGTGCTGGTGTGGAGAGACTATTTAACACTGCTCGTGATATCTGTTATTATCGCCGTGGTCGTATAAAGTCCGAAACAATCTAAGAGCTTATGATATATCTTTGTACATCCAAATTCGAGCTTGAGATTCAAGAGGCAAAAGAGCTTAAAAAGTTCTTCTCTTTAGATGAGATTGAAGCATTAAGGGAGGAGAAGGATGAGAGATCTGAGGATGTTGAATCGGATAGTATTAGCGATACTAAAGAGCAAGCTATAGCAGATTCTAAGGATCTTATTGATGTGATTACTGATGATGATGTTGATGACGATGTTGATAATGATGTTGATGATGATGTTGATGGTAATCATGTCTCTGCTAATACTCATACTGTTGAGCTACCACTACCAGAGTTTGGTCCGCGGATACGTACTTCTGGGAGGAAGAGAAAGATCACTTTAGATGATGAATTTGAGACCTACTAGCAGATAGTGATATATAATAAATCAGAATGTTTTATATTTGGTTAATTACTGTTTTAATTTACGTGAAAACTAAAATTTGTAAATGAATTACCCAAGATTCAAGGCAAAAGATACATAAATTATGAACTACAGGAAAATCAGTATGTTTGCACTGTTTGTTAATTGATAGGCCCCCATTGGGGGCCCACGATGGGCCGTGGGCCCAAAAAAAAAAGCCCAAAGCCAATCGTGGGCTCAAGAATCGGGCCCAAGCCCAACCCATTCGTGGGTTGGGTTGGGTTGGGCTTTGGGCTTTGTGGGCTTTGCGGAAGCCTACGTAGAATGGTGCAACACCGTGCCAAGGAAAGAGATAGACACAGGAATGGAATTCAGGAAAGAAATATTTCGAGGCAAAACGGCTTGTTCTTGAATTGTTATCCTAGACCCCTCGGGCTTACGACGCTTGCCTTTGCCATTTTTTTTAAAAAAAATGTGGACTGGGATACTACTCTACACCGGGCGACTAGTAGACCTGGCTAGGAACCGCGGGTGAACCTCACGAACCTCAAGGAGGTTCACCCACCCGGAGGTTAAGGTTCCATGACCTAGAACCTCCGGGCGGTTCTATCTTGGACCGAACCTTATGGAGGTTACCCGCGGGTGAACCTGAGGTTCAACAAGTATGACAAATAGGTAAAAAACGTGACTTAGGGTCAACTACATAAATTATGTAGAAATAGGCTGTATTCTCTCGTAATTATAAAACAGAAGTTCATTAATGTATGCCCTTACAGGAGGATTTAGTGCATATCATGGATTCAGCTTCGAATTAGGGTTTCAACTTTTAATTATCAATAATTTATATTATATCTATAGTGCAGTGTCTGGTTATAGTTCTAAAGAGTCAAGATTTAAGTAATCAAGCTATATACCCATCTAGTAGTCTCGACTTCTTCCGTATTCTACCGGATGCACGATGCTGCGTATTAGGGAAGTTAGGTAAGGGTGATACCCTGTTCTTATCTGGTTCCGCAAATTCATCGGCATCAGAGTCTTCCTTATCGTCAGAATTAACTGCAGGCCGCTTTCTAGCGGCGACTACTAAGAGTAGCGGTACGTCTGGAGTTGCTTGCGTAATTGATATAGTAGCCGGTATATCAAGACGTATCTTAATATCCTCCTTATTATCACTAATTACCTCGAAAGCATGTGTCTGGACATCAAGTGCTTCGGCCGAAGCGGCTATCTTATAGTCTAAAAGATACTCTTAGAGAATCAGCCGCTACTCCTCCTTGATATCGAATCTTGTTGTACACATGTATAACATAATATCGCGAACAGTCTCTAGGTTTAACGACCCCCGGCGGTAGTGGCATATATCCCGGGCAGAGTTAAAAAGACGCTTAACTCCGGCACTAGTCGCTGGAATTGACATAATATCACGGGCAATACTTGTAAGAATAGGGAATTCCCTCTGATGATCTTTCTAGAAAATCCGAATAGATCCTTTGATAGTATCTAATTAGGTAAGGTTAGTTATATGATTCACAAAGTAGGCTTACTTACTTACCACTCTAGAGATATTTGGTGAGCTCGTCGTACTACGGAGCAGTTAATCGTTATAAAGAATCGCCGTTAAGGGCCTTCTTAAGCTCCGATTCAGTTATGAATAACTGGCTATCAGATTATATCATCTCTAATAGTATACGTTGGCTATATCTCTTAAAAAAAGACTAAAGACTCTCGCGGTATTCCTTTCTATAGTCCTTTCCTGTCTTAGGATCTAGGTCCCAATCACTTGTTAAAAAGAACTCTATCTTGCTCGACGGCGCTAGGATCGTCCCAATTGTATAGAGATTACCTTCGATACTATCTGTCTCGGCGTAGTATTTCTTTAGTTTCTCTTTCGTAGTATCGAGGGAGGAAAGCATTAACTGTTTCTAGGGAACCTTCTTTCGACGAAGCTGACCTATCGATCTTTTAAGATGATCGAAGAGCTTATTATAAATCCTAAAGACAAGGTGGATACTCGAGTCTTTAGTACGACAAACTAGCGTAGTGAGCGTGAAAAAGGGCTGAAGAATACAAAGCAGATAGTCAATCTATCGCCACCCCTTTACACTTAATGTAAAATAGTGTTAATCATAGTCGGAACAGAACTTGTTAAATACGATATGAAGCCTCTTCGCCCGTCGGAGTATTAGAAATGTCGAATTCCACCGTGTACGAACATCCTAGATTAGAAGAAGCCGTAGCGTATTACTAGGCTAGGTATTTAGGAAGGCTTCCTTACGTTAAGGGCTTCCGTTGATATAAACCGCAAGACCTCGGACCTATTAGGAATCAGAATAGTTAGTGTTATTAAATCATAATTTATGATTCATAAATAGAAGCATACCTTGTTTAGAGTATCGGCGATCTCATATTTCTGCTAGCGCGCACGAAGTAAACGTACACGATCATCAGACCATTCTGTCTCGGCGTTATTATTCTTTGGCGAAGCCTTGATTTTACTAAGCAAATCAACTAGACTTAATTGAATAATATGCGTAAGGCAGGGCACTTGGACAATCGTAGATTCCGTCTCCATATATAGCTTCTTGATTGAATCATTCACTGCTGCGATAAGTGTCTTATTGTTAGACGTATTATTAGTTGTCACCGCGAGCACTCGGTCAGCGATTTGGTGCTTTTGTAGGATCTAGAGAACTACGTCCCTAAGGTTCACGCCAGTATAAGATCCAGAAATTAGCTCAAACCTAAGTAGGACCTCACGATACTCCTATTCCTGGTCTAGGAAGTATCCTATAATAGCCATAAATGCGTGCTTAAATGGGGATGTCTAGCAGTTAAGCGCAATCGACATTTTTGCACTAGATAGGAGCTGTTGTAGTGTCTCTTGTTGATACTCTATAACGAAACCCCGGAGGCGGTCGCGAATCACCTTTCTTAATAGAACGCTCGGTGATATAGGTGCTAGCCGTGCGTAGGAAATAAGGTCATGGAATTCTTAGTGCTCGACGAAGAGGAAGGGTAAATGTGATACAGTGATTAGGTTTAGAATCTTCTGTTCCCATGTTTGTTGGGTAAAGAGAGGCGCTGGTCTTCTCTCGGCCTAAAATATAGTGAATTCATAATTAGTATTAATATTGAATATAGGCTATTTCGAACATACCGCGTCGCTAAGTAGTTACTAGATATTACCCTTCTTCGTAATTCGCTGTCGACACCTTAGCCTATCAAGATGCTTCTGCATCGATGAGTTTCCAGTATGATTTGTAGCTGGATACGTAAGAACTGTACGGCACCGATTGTATATAACGCCAGGCTTTTTATCTTTAGTATATGCAACTTATTAAAACCCAGTCCAGCAGTCTGCGCGACGGCTAACCTCCCAGTTTAGCCGCTTTTTCTTACTAAAATCGGTTTAAAGCCACCAGTTAACGAATTCCGCGGATATGTCGGTAGTAAAGACGATATACTCGTTAATACTATCTGGCTTGATTCGCGTAAGGGTGTCTAGGGCCCGAGGTCCTACGCGAGATCGGACTTGGTTATCTAGAAGGTCTAGAAGGTCTAGAACTGAATCAAACTGGCTTTCGCGTTGGGATAGCGTATCGTCAGGGGTAAGGTATTATAGCGCGTCTAGAGGTAACCCTTCGAAGCTAGATGATACGTAGCCGTAGCCGTCGGTAATCTGAGACATAATAACTTTAGTAAACCAGTGTAACTTAGCGAAGATAATAAGGAACTTACTAGTTATTCTATAGAAGTTACGGGGTCTTCTTAGGGCATCTGTTTATCCCTATTCCATAATGCTCAAATTGATATATCAACTTTTATAAGCCCTATCTATATCTGATTCGCTAGTATAGTGGATCACTATAGAAACGAACCTTAATAAACCTCAACTAACCTCAACGAACCTCAATGGACCTCATCGAACCTCAACGAATCTCAACGAACCTCAACGAGAACCTTAATATAGGAAAAATAGAATGTCTAAGTCTAATAATTAGGACATTTGAACCGGATTCACGGTATATCTAGATCAATTAATCTGAATTCTAAAAGACAAAGTGATAGAAGAGGATATAACGGTTTGAATGATATTAAAATAAGGGGAATTGAACTACATCTTTATAGTTTTCTTGAAGAACAGTAGTTCTACTAATAAAGATACACATACTTTACAATGTCTGCGATATATATATCCACAACTTTACATGCCATTTTATCGATGACCTCTATTGACAACCCACCACGTCGATATCATCGAATATTACCTATAATTTGTAGGTGACCACGCCTCCTATTTACTTTTCAATGAATATATCTTTATAATTCATTATGTTGATAAAGTATTCAGTGGAAAGTCTATTGGTTAACGAAACAGCTGTAAAAAACAGAGATGAATCATCAATTTTATCCAGCCAAAAGAGGAAAGGCGTCAAGAAATTATGTATATGCAGGTTCATGCGGGTCGATGGAGGTTGAACCTCAAAGAACCTCTGGAGGTTAATGGGCGGTTGGAGGTTAGTAAGGTTGGAACCTCACCTCAAGAGGTGAGGTTCGAGGTTCCGGGGTAGGGACCCATGCGGAGGTTCAAAGCCAGGTCTAGCGACTAGTATCCATCTTGGGCTCCATCACTCTGAAAATTGAAGCCATATCCCGCTAACCGAGCTCAAGTGTGTAGAATATTTTCTCATCCTGACTCTACGAGGCACTAGTCTCCCTGAACGTGCATGAAGTATGTTTCACCAGTGCAAAATCAGACAAACTTTGGTGGGGGCCAATTTCAAGGGTAGGAAAAAAGCGTTCTTTTGGCCTAGGATATGGCGTGGGTTAAGTCAATAGTAGGGGGCGGTAAAAGCGGCTAGAGGCGGCACTAAACCCGAACGGGAGTGCGGGTGAGGGCGCCAAACCCAAAGTGGCAAGGGGATGGCGGAGACGGGCAGGCGGTCGAGGGCGGCTACATTCTTTATGAATCCGGGGTTTGTTGAGATCTGTATCGGGCATAAAGCGGTTATATATGGTGGCGGCCATATATATCGCCTTTTCCGAGATCTTGTGTTCAACGGGTCGGAGGAATTGATGGAAGATGCCTTGTTTTCGTGTCTTTTGAAGCTGAATTGTGTTCTTAATCGCTTGGTTATGCCGTTGAATAGTGATTGCGAATGAATTAGCTACTAAAAGCAGATCAGCATTTGATGCCTGGAGGGCTCGCTTTAATGCTGAATGGGCGCCTATTCAAATTAGTATTTAATAGTTTATTTTAAATGCTTACTTACCTTCCACTCGGGACGTTGATAGCTCATTTAAATGAAAATAAGCCTTTGTATGGAACCGTAGAAAGGCCTCGGGGACCTGATTTATCCATTCATCGTGAATATGCCGTAGGATATCTCCGTAATATGTCTCGTAAAGGTATCGGAAGCCCTGCCAGCGTTGTTCATGGTCCTCCTTTGTGTGTGCGAAGAAGACTTGGTCTAGCTGGATTTTCATAGTATCCCACTGTTGATTAACCTCATCTTTATGGTCCTGAGATGTGCGGGACTAGGCCGGTTGTTCAGCGACAATAACCTTGTTAATCTAGGGGCGTAAACGGCCCTGGATATTTTTGATTACATGCTAATAGCATATCAAGGTATTAGTTTCTAGGAAAACCTCAGAAACTGCATTCCGTAAGGGCTTCTCTTTATCGGTCATAATTGTCTTCGGGTAAGGGATTTGCTGTTAGTTTAACAGCCCTTTAAGCCATCGTAGCACCTGTTTGTAGGCTGGTTCTCGCTCATTAGCTATAAATGCAGGCCCGATATACAAACTCTTACCAACCGAAGACTCGCCGATAATATCAAGTAATGGGAAGTGATATCGGTTGGTTTTATAGGTGCAGTCTATCCACAAAAAAAGGGATTGCTCCGGAGTAATTCAATCGAACTGCGGTGGACTAAGAATACCGCGGTTAGTTAGTCGTTCGTATCCACATCGTAGTGAATAATCCACTCTTCGTTATCCTGTTTGAGTAGGTTTTGAATCTGTGAATAACCTCCTAAATCCGATTAACGATGTTCGAACATAAAGCGCCTAATCCTATTAGGATCAAGGGTGAATTCTTCGTCCGTTGCTTCACATTGATTCTTGATTCCTTATGATATTATAGATGGCGAGGAGCCTTAATGGATTCCAGCAATGATTCGGGATCTGAACCGCTCGATCTGCCTTATTTAGAGGATAGCGAAGGTATGTCCGGGTTATCGATCATGGTTATGGCCACTTTTAACGACCTAGATATCCCAAAGCCTAGGGGCTGGGCATACATGTTAATAGCCTCAATAGCCTGCTTAATGGAGCGATAGAAGGGCTCGCCAAATTCAGAGACAGGCGGTGGGAGAGGCAGGGTATTAAAGATGATAGACATGATGAATATAGAGGCTGGATATGGAGGCTGAATATTGGAAATTGGTAGTGAAATTGGTAATGAAACGTAGGTGTAAAAAACCATTTAAAAAACAGGGTACATCTGGAAATCATGTGATGGCCTAATATAGTTTAGCGCTGGGTACAAAAAAACAGAGCTAATGTAAAATTGGACTTTTCAAAGTATAGATTGGATCTTCTTTAATCTGTTTTCTTCATTTCTCTTCATTTCTCTTCTTTTCCACTCTTTGGCTTAGTATTAGTTCAGATCTATCGTATACGATCCAATTAACTCCCTAGCTTTACTCTTCGCCAAAACAACTCAGCTACATCATGACTGTACCTCTGCCCCCGGAAATCTTATACCTGATCGCAACATTTCTGAAAAACGATGCGACCTCTCTAGTCCCCTGCACTTGCGTCTGTCGCCTCTGGCAGACGAATTTTGAGTCCCTCATTTACTCCAGTCTAGTTGTCTATAGTGACGATGAGCACAAAGAAGAGGGGCAACCCGGAATTTCTCTCGCAGATTTCCAAAGGCTCACATCTGGCGATGGTGTTGGAAGGCAAGCCTGGATCCGAAATCTTGACTACAATATCCTTGTCCCTTACGAACTCTTGGATTGGACTACACGTAAAGAGTGGAGGGACCCCGAAGCTTATTGTATCGAAAACCCCGTGAGGAAGGCCAATGATCTAGCTTTTCAGACGGCTATGCTCAGCCTTTTCCACACACTTCACTCATGGGAGTCAAACCAGACGCCCTATCTGAAATTGAATCTAGCCCTTCGAGGGCGGCGACGTGGCTCTACACCGGAACCACGCACCGAGGACTGGGACATCGCCGGTGAATATTGTTGGGATTATAAAACAGGACGTACATTCTCGGTCCCCCCGTATCGGGCGCAGTTTCTCAACGATGATCTACCATTTGTTCCGTGTATTGAGAAGCTCTCGTTCAAAAACCATGATCCCGGCTGGGGCGATCATCATCAAATTTGGACGGGTGTAGTGCAAACTATTATTCAACACTGCCCGAAACTCGTTGAATTAGAGCTGAATCTTAACGAATGGGTTCGTCCGGACCACTTGGAGTATATACAATTACGTCGTGCAGGTAAGCTATAACCTTTCTACCGTGGACTTTCCTTAGCACTAAGCTAAGAGCTACACAGCATTATCTTCTCTAATCGGTTCTATTCCAAGGAGCCTTAGAGTGCTATAATATGAAGGAGCGAAAGACGGCCCATAGAAATATTCCATGCCTACGCTCAATATCATCCCTTCGGGGGTTGATAGCATGAGCATAAATTTGCGACATCTTAGCGTTCACCTCGAAGAATTGAAGTTGAACAACACTCGTGTTCCATATGACTTTATGTGTCCTTTGGATGAAACAGGCCAGCCTGAACTAGACTCCTTACACTTGAATTGGCCTCATCTGAGGACATTGGAGATTGAGTTTGTGCCATCCTGCTATCCTTCAGGTAAGATATCCATATCTCCTGGAAGAAGGGAGCAAGAAGAATCAACCTGCATTTGATCCAGAAAGCCTACATTTAATAACGAATGAACTGAATAGGGGAAACGACTTTCCACAACACGCCGGAGGCCCAGGCCGCAATCGACGAGATAGAGAACTGGGAAGACGAAATATGCGATGTTGAAGCGGGATGGGGCTTACCGGAATTGAGAACTGAGGAATATTTCCATCGGCTTCTCATATCGCTTGGCTATGCGGCCCGACGTATGCCCTGTTTGAAGAGCATGAAATTTGAAGTGGAAGGCCATTCTGCGACTGAGTTCAAGCTCTATCTTCAGAATAAGACTGAGATCACCTTGGGATGGGAATGTTATCCACTGGAACCATATCAGCCAGATGGCCGGGTTGCGAAGGCTTGGAACTTCGACTTGGATGATGTGAGAACTCACCCCCGGTGGGAGGGTGAAGCTTCTGTGATACTTCGAAGCTGGCCGCCTGACATGCGTATCTAGGTCGCTCAGTGCGCAGCTTAGGGCGGCGGGGAGACTCAACCCTGGGATCCGGCACCTGGGGAGCCGATGGCTTCCCGAGGTGGTATTGTTACCGTGAACATTACTACCTACTCTTGAACGAAATGAAAATGAGATTAAGTTGATTGGAAAGAGAACAAAATCAATGCACAGGTGCCACTACCTTACACCTGAGAGAACGCCGTCTGCATTGTTGAATGAAACATAAACACATAAGAACGCCAATGGTATGGTGGCACGCCGGCCAAATCTCTCTCATATTCACATTAGGGGCAGTTATCTGTCCTCACATTCTCATCTATAGTGCTCAATTCCCCTCCTCCCCAGCCCCCCAATCCCAAGTGGCCAGATAGGCCGCTATACTACCTTACACGCTCTGAGCGAGTCCCAGTCCGGTCTAAACGCGATCATGGAGCATACCACGGAGCTCCTGGATGGTCTGCTCAAATGCGGGCAGATTCAGCCGGCCCAGGAAAAACTCCCATTCAGGACGGCGGTGCAATGGGAGCCGTTTCTGGCCCCCCGCTCACCGTGTCAAATATTACTTTAATACGTTTATTAGAAAGTGATCTTGCCTATAGTCTCTAATATACTATAAGACCGATAATACTAATATTTAGTAGACAGTTAAACTTAGATATATTCAGTAGTAATAGGTCGTTATTCCTCAGATTTCTCTACATTTTCTCGAGGTTTGCTCTTTACTATTAGTGATTTTGATACTTCCGTGGTAAAAGGTCAATACTTTGTTTAAGTAGCTTGTCTCGTCGGTCTGCATCTACTTAATACGTAATAGCGGTGCTTATTAGAATAGGCTTCTTAAGTATCGTGATCGGAGTAGGAAGGGAAATCTAGTTGCATACTCCCTTAAATAAGGTTGGTTCATATAGCCAAATCATTCGACGACGGCGACAGTCGAGTAAAACGTTATATTACGCTAGCTATATTCGTCTAAGTATCAAGTCGTGTTTTCTAAGATCTACTACTAGTATAGGTACCTACTAGTAGACATGCCCTTTAATACACATTAAAAGAATAACTATATAAGTAATAGGTCTAGCTAGCTTGCTATCAAATCTATTCACTAGGCACTGCCTTTCTAACCTCTAAACTCGTAGACCTTACTATTAGTATAGCAAAGCTACTAAAGCTATATCGATAAAAATTAAACTATCTGCTCCGGTATCATATAGTACTAAAATAGAAAAGGAACGTCTATTAATCATAAGCTCTATATTAAACACTAAACTATTATATAGACTTCTAAGTAACTTCTGTAAATTTAACGAATAAAGTGACACCTTCTTTCCGCCTAGGAGGGAGACTTCGCCTGGGCAGGTGCTTTTCCCGAATCCTGATTTTTTAATTCTTCTAGTTCGATACGAGGAGAGGGTAGACCTCGACATTTCCCGTCCATGGGAAATCTTTTTTGTCCATTTCCCATGGACAGTTTCCCATGGGAAATTTCAGCTTCCTATTTCCCTCCCACTCTGGGAAATGGGAATTCCCATGGGTCCCATAAAATTCCCATCCCATGCCAAGCCCTGCACAAATCACCTAAAATGGATGGATAACTTGCTGAGTTATCTAAATTGTTTACTGTTATTTACGCATGTTTTGGTCACTACAGCATTATATGAAACTTTTCTTCACTAACCTCTATATATTTTTATAAATCGCCATGTATATAGAGTATTTTAATAATATTTTGTATAATTACTTTAAAATTTTGTCCTTTTAATCAAAGTGTGCACTATGGTTTGATTTTTAAAGTCAAAGTATTATGTCTTCTATAAAACTATAAAAGATATATATTTGAATACTAGGTCTATACTCCATAAAACGGATTGAGAACAATACTATTATAGATTAGAGAGTATATTGATCAAGTAAAGTAAAATCATGATTAAGATTATATTTCTTGTTATTCTATTTACTTTTAATAATCAGAAACTATATTGTATAAGTACAAGGGCTTAGAATACGTTAATATATGTGAAGGGCTACAGCTGAATTGATTCAATTAGGCGGTGCCTGCATGCTGTTTATCTAAATCTTAGAGAACCGTAAACAAGGGAGCGGTCAACTGCTGTATAGTGTTCCCTAGGGCGGTCAGGCTACCCGTTCGGCAGTATCGGGTGCGGTGTCTGCACGGGCAAAGCCCGAGCCTCAACGTGGCCCTGGCCCGTTACAGCGGATGTCGGGTCCGATGCAGGGAAAACCACTTAGACCGCGGCTTGGCTCCGTTCCCTCGAGCTCAAGTCACGTTTCATTTCCCCGTTGGTAGCATAGCCGCCGTGCCAAAGAGCCTGTTTGACAGTGATGGAGCTGGGGAGATTCTTGAGATCAGGCCTGAGGCATTTCATTCTTGCGGCACGCCACCGACGCGCGTGTCGTCCTACCCGGGCCTTGCGGGGTTTAACTAGCTTCGTGTCGCTAGAATATTATGGAGCTATTATTTGACGCTCTGCGAATAAAACCTCCCTCCTGGTCGTCGTCCTTCCTTGCGGGCAGACGACTCACAACTTATGGCAGAGTGTCGAATCTTCGCTCTGACCTTGAAACATCAAGAGCCAGCCGTGCCTTCAACGACACTAATAGCAACAGATTCGATCTGACTGCGCATTTCTCTGCTCTTATCTTGGCCGGTTTGGTCGAGGCAGGGCTCCCAAAGGTATGCATTCTTTTTTTTTCTAGGCCTGGCTTAGTGTAAGGGCTGACTAAGTGTAGGTTCTCTCCGATGTTATTGAGGACGAAGGGGATCTCTCTCTCTGGCGTAAAGCAACTCTGCTATTAACGGAGGTTCTCAAGCTCGCCCGTCATTCCTTACCCCAAGCCGTCAGCGCAAAACTTCAAGTCCTTCCACACCTAATCCCACCCGCCATCGACTTTGAAACTGAGAATCACGACCTTTCAACGGCAACTATCTTCCAAATCGATAGCATCAATCGGACATTGGCACCTTCTGGTGGATATCACAATGGGCAGGGCCGATACAACATGGAGACTGATTTATCGGGCTCTTTGCTTCCCATTGAGCAGGGGAAAGACAAGATGAGTCCTTCCATGGACGAGACCCAGTTCCGCAATGCCATCTTGGAGACTCATGTCCTGAACACCGTCAACTTCAATAAGTGAAAATGGGATATCATCCACCACCTAGTGAAGGGTCCTCTCACAAATCCAAAAAGAATGGACGAGGCAATCAAAGGCTCCAAGTTCATGAAACGTCTCATTGGGTTTTACCGGCCTTTCAAGTATCGCTTCGCTTTGGTTCCGAACACAAAGGCAAATCAACGATATGTTCGAACCGGCTGTGTTCTCATGCGCACTCTCGTTACGACCCCCGAGGGCACCAAGTATTTGGCCGAGAACAAATTCCTTCGCCAGGTTGCAGAATGTTTGGCCCAGCTGGACCGCATGAGTGGGCTAACGTCTGCGTCCCCGCTTTTCTCCAAAGACCAGATAGCCAATACTCTAAGTGGAGGCTACTTTGCGATGCTAGGATTATTAAGTGGCGATGTCAACGGGCTGCTTATGATGGAACGATGGCACATGCTCAACATGTTTTACCACATCATTGGGCTGCGAGATCGGAATGATCTCATTCAGACTTTGTTAGGAAACATGGATTACAGCCGCGAAAGTCATCTCTGGGTTATGCTTTCAAAGGCCCTGACAATTGGTTCCAAGGAAATCCGGATCTTTGCAACGAGACTCCTACGCAAAATTTCCCGTTGGGGATGTAACTCTTTCGCCTCATGTGGCAATCGGCAATGCGGAATGGGTGGTCAAACATCTTGTCACCCAATTTTACGATCCCGAGGTCACGGTCTGCCAGGTTGCCGTGAAAATCCTAGAAGAAGCATGCAATCAAAGAGATTATCTCGAGTTCGTGGTCAAATCTGGATGGCCTCGATTACATCACTCAAGAGATGGATGACTGGTTCCTTGGTCGCAACGATAGCTATGTTGGTCTTGTTGAGGCTGCTCTTTCCCGAGCTTATGTCGAACAACCACGACGTGGCAGCCTTGTCCCCGAGGATTTGGTGGACATCCAAGATATCGGGTTGGTACCACCGCATTTATACCGAGAACTTGCACGAACTGCCGAGGGGTGTAAGCTGCTGGAGCAGTCAGGTCACTTCAATGAGTTTGCTTAGACGATTCGTGATTTCAGGTTGGATGAAGAAGACAATGAAATGCTTCTCAAAGCTAAAGGATGTCTCTGGGCTGTCGGTAATGTCGGCTCAATGGAGCTTGGCGCACCATTCTTAGCCGCCGAGATCATCCAACGGATTGTGCAGATAGCAACCAGTGCAGGAGTTCTCACTATGCGAGGCACTGCTTTCTTCGTTTTGGGTTTGATCTCTCGCAGTCGACACGGACTTCAAGTCCTGCGGGGTTTGGGCTGGGGTTCTGGTGTTGATCAAAAGGGAGATTCACTGGGACTTTGCCTCCCTACAGATTTCCAAAACTTATTCTTGGTGAGTACCTTCCGTCCATTTGCTTTCGTCTCATTATGCTCATCCATCTAGATTTCCTTCCCTGGCTTTGATTACAGATCGAAGCGAACTCCCAAGGAGAAACTCAAGGAAGCCACCACCGACTCCGATTCCGCCAACTAACGGATCTTAAAGTTGATCGTTGATATGGGCAACACGGTGCTCTCCAAACGAGCCGCTTCTGATCTCCAAATGTAAGTCTCCCAGTTTTCATTCTGCGACTTCTCACAATTCTCAACCACAGCCTAAAGTCCAAACAACCCGAGCGCTTCCACCAAGCCCATCTCTTCCGCAAGACCCTCTGCATCCTGGAGAGTCATCACTATAGACTCCCAGCTCGACGTTTTGCCTTGGATTTATTTGACAAGAGTGTCATGCGACGAATCGTCCTCGATGAAGATTCCGACTCGGAGTCGGACTCGTTAACTACTTCCAAGTCAGAATAAACCCCCCTAATCATTTCTTTTCATTTGAACTTTCCTGTCCTGCCAATATACCCTGCAAGACGGATGATTGGATGTTTGGCCTTTTGTATTCTGAGCGACGATTTACGCATCTTCAATCTATGACCTCCAAAAACCCTGGATATCAAGCTTCTTGACCGGCGTAGATCAGTAAAATTTTGGCCTCAGTCCAGCAAACTAATGTTACCCCCTTACCATTGTCTCCCTTATATTTTCTTTGGCCTTAAACACTATTGTTTCCGAACTTCAACTCTCCTCCTCTACCGTTGATTGTTCTCTGCATATTGCAGCTCTTTAGCCATGATTAGAAATTGGTGAATTCATATGTAGATACATATGTATGCACCCATACGTACCGGTCTTACCTTAGCAGTGATTTCTTATTTGAGCTGTAACCGCTCTTATCAGGGTGTTTACGCCCAGATCAACCTTGGAAAGGTTAGTGACGTGCAGAATCACTGATGCTTAGTGAGTCACGTTCTTCTACCTAGGTATATAGATACTCTGGGCTTGACTTGTCGGACTATACGGCGTCTTTGGAAAGGCAGTTAGCTACGTCGTTGCCAGGATCATCGCAGTGTCTGGGGATCTACTGAAGTCGGATAAATACGCCTCGAGTCCTAGATGAGGATGAAGAGTAGGGGAGTGATGAAGCGGAATCAAATCCTTGTATTAACAATAATGTAACGTCACAGTCTGCTTCTATCAAAACGCCTAGCGCTCCAGCCATTTTTCAACAAGCTGACCATCGAGAGGTTGCAGATTGGCCAAACTACAACTCTTGAGCACCGACCGATCTGTAGCAAAGTGTACCTTCCGGTTCTCCAACTGACCTATATCCTCGTAGAATTCGGCCAGCTTAATTCCTGGGTATTTATCGATATTCTTGGAGACAGGGTCGATCTGCTTCAATGCATTAAGCCAGTCGTTGTATTCGACTACCTCCATGGCACATCCCTGCTTGTGATAAAAATCAGAGACGGTGTGCACCAGGTCATTCCACTGGGCAATTTGCGGATTGACAATATTAAAGCAGTCGAATAATTGATTCTTGGACAAGTCGTCCTCAAGTCGGGACAACGTGAGTTCTATCACAGATTGAGCTGCAACATCCACGGGGACCCAGTCGACTGCGTCGTGGCCTCCAAGAGTAGCTGGAATCTTTTGTAGAGACTTGGATGTCTCAATTAAGGTTGGGAGCCATTCTTGACTTTTTGTTAGTGATTCTCCGGATGTGTAAAATTGTGTAGAACGGGCTACTTACCAGCTTTATTCCAAGCTCCAGTCCCGTCCACTGAACCTCCTAATTGCCCCAGGCGGAGAACAGTTGCTCTCAATCCGGATTTCCTCGCTGCCCGGAATAAGATAGAACTGGCGACGTGCTTGGATTCCCCATATCCCTGTCTTAGTGGAAGACAGGGATCGTCCTCGAATATTTCAGGAATAAGGGCATCGTCTCGAATGATATGTTGGTTCCCGACACTGGCGATAGAAGAAGAAAACATGATATGAGGACGATGCGTCGCGGACAATGCAAAGTCAATGCAATGCCGTACCCCGATGATAGCGGTCGACTCGAAAGATTCCAGACTGTTGTTGAAGTTGACAGGCCAAGAATTGTGCAGGAAAACATTGACATTTTCTTGGAGTTCCTCGTATTTGCTAGACGATAGACCGAATTGCGCCTGAGTTAGATCTGTAGTGAGGAAATCAACCTTTTCGGCTAGGTCGTCCACATCAAGTCCTCGGTCATACAGGCTCTTCCTTTGTCTGTATTCGGCATCTGCCGAGCGGTTAAAACAATAAATTCGTTCAAATAATGGGCTTTGCAGCATACAGTGGAGAAGGTATGTACCGAGGGAGCCCGTGGAACCAGTCAGGATTGCTTTGTATTTCTCAGATGGAGGTGGCATGCCAGTTACCGGGGCGGCGGGGAGCAATTTTGTATACTTGTATATCATTGCTGACATCTTCTCTTCTCTCGACATCAAGGTTGGCGATACTTTAATAGCGTTATGGTCGTTATCGGTGATTCTCTGCTAGATGGCTCGAGATAGTTGATTTATGGTTGGGTTATTGTATATCAACCGTGGCGGACAGAATGCTTGACTTGACACTTTTACACGGAAGGCTCTTGAGAGGATTTTGCTCATCTGCAGCACGCGCAAGGAATCAAATCCACCAACGAAGATGTCATCATTGTCGGTATATTCCCGGCTAGACGATGCTAGGCATGTACGCAGTGTCGTTCTGAGTACAGACTTGATACTCGTGAGGTCGGTTAAACCGTCGATAAAATCGGATTCGGGAATCGAGAACTCGTCCTGCCGCTTGTACAGTTGTGCGATCTCCGACTCATACAGCTCGTAGGTTGCTTTGCGCATGATGGAGCCTTTGGCTGAACGCTTGAAAGGCTTTTCCGGCGTAGCGACCATGGTCATGGAGTGCCACACCTTTGCATGAGCTGGACACCCGGCATTGGCCTTCTCCACCCCAGCCAGACCTCGTCAAAGAAAGCTTCGTCGTCTGCTGCCTTCCGATCCGCGTGTGGCTCTATAATCAAACCAGCCTAGAACTGGCCAGAACCCACGACAAGCGCTCCCTGCACCCACGGGTGTCCCTCTATGGTCTTTTCAAACGCCACGAGGCTCGTTTTCTCTCCGTTGCTGAATACCAGAAGGTCATCAAGCCTTCCGACGTACCGTCAGAGGTTGGGTTTGGTACGGTGTTGCTCGAATAGGTCTTTGGTACGCCACTCGGAGAGCTCAGGGAAGTTGTGAAAGACAATTTGATGTCGTCGATCCATTTTCTGTTTGATCACCATCTCAAACGAGCCCTCCGTCGCCGGCTCCATGACAATGCCTGCTTCGGCACTCCATTCAAAGTACTCCCAGTCATCCGGTTCTTGGGTAAGGTAGTTGGGGGCGTTCAAAATCTCCGTGCTGCCAATGGAGACTTGCAAGTTGGTGACTCGTGCGATTTGATCACCACAGGAGCGCGCCAGTGGGGCACCACCGTAGAAAACGTAGTCCAGCGTAGACAGCGCCTCGAGGCCATTGGGTAAGTTGCATATTTCTTCTAGGACAGACGGTGCAAATGCAGCCACGCTTGGCCTCCCTTGCATGATCGCACTAATCAATAGATCTGCCGTGACTGGCTGCCCGGGTGGCAACAAAGCCAGTGGGCCTTGGTGATATATGGAGCGGGCTAGCGTCACGATTCCCATTATGTGAAAAAAGGGCATCATCGACACCATCAGCGTAGGAGCGAATAGTTCGTCATGCATATTTCTGCGCCCAATTGGAGCGGACATGGATGTGATGGTATCCACGGCCACCAGGGCTCCGGTCCGGATGAAGATGGGTTTGGGCAGGCCTGTTGATCCGCTAGAGTGTAGGATAATCGCAGCATCATCCTCTCGAGGACGGCGAAAGTTGTAGTACGGTTTCGAGGCGGGCTCAGGCTGCAAAATCTCATCCAGATATGGAATCTCAACGGGGTTGAGCTCTGAATGGTGCATGGCTAAGCCTTGCATCTGGGCGGCGAATTCGGGCGTGTGGAGGAATTTTTTGCATAGTGTCAATTTGAGCAAAGAGACTTGGGCATCTTGAGAGTTACGGGGCGATGCTAGGAGAATCTTGTACCCCGTCTTCATTGCAGAGAGGATCATGATGGGATATCTGATATCGCTAATTCCCATATACCCCATAGTCTCGTTTTCTGCTGGGGGTCCAAGTCGAGCTTCCATCCAATGCGAAATGTAGTCAACCGCCCTGGCTAGTTGGGCCCAGGTAATGTCACTCCAGGATATAACTCCATTGTCTAAGGCCCCAGCCTTCACCCAGAGACCGTCTGGCTGTTCAGCAGCCAGATGGTCGACTACTTCGGTAAGAGTCCTCATCATGTTGATTATTTTGGAGGTGACAATGGAGAGATTTCACACGTATAAATCTAGACGATATAGCCCCCAAAGGTCTACTACTACATGAGACCATCATCGGATATTTCATATTCTAAAAATAACTATCGGGTCGGCGGCCGTGAAGTCAGCACGAAAAGGCCCGAGTTGGTGCGGCCGTTACAGAAAGAACCTAAGACATAACCCCCGACAAATTCCCCGTCGGCTCGCACATTACTGGCTGCTCGGAGAGGTCCCCGAGTCTAACTAAAGTTTGCGTAGCTGCATTCGGCGATTATGGCCCTGATAGGACGATGTGTGTCTCGTGGACCTGGGAGGGAGAACAAAGAGAATTAGGAGTAGATAAATCGATCTCTAGGGTCCCCAGATCTAAAAGGATTTCCTTCCTGAAAGATTTATTTCCCAATTTTTCCTTTGTATTTCATATTCAATCAGAAAGCTCATTGATCTACAAACGCCCTTCAAGATGCCGATCACCAACGATATCACCATTGAAACCTCCAAGTTCCACCCGGAGAATGTCACGGATGCAACAAAGCAAGCCGCAGCTCTCCTGGAAAGCATCACCAGCAAAGGCCCCCGATGGTGGGAGGTAGGCATCACAAAATATCGTGAGATGCGGGAACTTGGTCAGACGCCGCTGCCCATGCCCGTCTACCTTCCGGGGGCTATTGATAGCACTGTTCCTTCACGCGAGGCCGGTCGTGAGATCCCCATCCGTGTTTACAAGCCCGATAATGGCCAGCCCAGCAAAGGCGTCTTCCTGCACTTCCATGGGGGCGGTTTCGTGTTAGCAACGCACAAGGAGTGAGATTAGCCCCTCCGCCGATCCCTCTCCCCCAGCGTAAATATTAATGTTCTTGAACAGTTCTGATAGCAGCCTCCGGGCATACGCCAACGAGTGCCAGCTAACAGCCATTTCGGTCGGATACCGTTTGGCCCCCGAGCATCCTTACCCGGCGCCCGTACAAGATGCTTTCGATGCCGCCCAGTACATGGTGGATTATGCGGTGGAGGTGTATGGCGGCCCCCTCCAATTTCTCGGCGGAGAATCAGCGGGGGGCTGTCTCGCCACTCTATCAGCCTTACAGCTAATGCGGTCACGGTCGTCTTTCAAATTGTCGGGTCTCGTTCTGCCTTACGGCTTATTTGATCTAGGCCTCGGGCTTCCCACGATCGCGACTTCGACTAAGCCCCTCATGATCAATTTGGCAATCATGGAGCGGTTCAACAGTGCGTATGTGCCGGACATGAGCACTGCCGAGCGCAAACACCCTTGTGTGTCCCCACTATATGAGGACCTCCCGGCACTGGTTGCCGCCTCCACCGTTGGATCGTTGCCCCCCGCTCTCTTCCTTTGTGGGACTGAGGATCCGTTGCTTGATGAGACCATCTTGATGAGTTCTAAGTGGAGCATTGCCGGTGGGGAGGCGATCGTCAAGTTCTACCCTGGTGCCACCCATGGTTTCACTGCGTTTGCTGGTCTGCCAGTCGCTGAAGAGGCACGTGCGGTGAGCCTGGAGTTTATGCAGGAGAAATTGAGCTCGGCGTGATCAACGAAAATTTCAAATGTTTACGAGAGAGGAAGTCTAGAACTAGGCAACCATCTATCGGTGAAATAATTAAAATCTTGGTCGTATTCATATCATTTATATCATTGGTAGTTATCTAAACGTAATATACTCCCTAAATGTAGGTGATATACCTCCTATTCCCTCCGTTGGGCTAGTCTCTGTGAGTATTGTTCATTCTGTGTAGAAAATATATCAGGCTCGAGATTTCCTGAGAATGAGAAATGCATTGGGAATAAGTATGTGATCAATGAGTTATGCACCATTCGCAGTCCAATGCTTTCGCGCATAAGATCGTCTGTGTTAGGCCGATGAAGGTAAACTAAGTGGACGCAGATAAGACAGTTCTGCCGATTCTCGTTCCAGAACATTGTTGCCGAGGTCGAATGCGGCTGGACACGTGTTTCGAATATCACACAAAGTACAGAGTATGTTGGTAGTACATGGATAAAGCTAAGGCAAGTTTCATCACACCTAGCGCTGGCGGAGCGGGAAAGGTATTCGCAATATGATTTGGGGGTTCGACAGTAATTTGCGGGTATTGTGGGACTCTTTGGGGGTCTTGAGGGGGCACGGATCCCCCCGGATCTGACTGATCAGATCCCGCCTGTTTTTGACCTTTTGGCCAAAGAGTTGCACACCTTAGCTAAGCAAACTGCGGTGTATTGTTACGTATTCTGACTTGACACTTGGCCGGGGGCTAGTTTTCGCTTATGTAATCACAGTTCGGTTAACGTGATCCACGGTCGCCCGAGCGACACGGCCGCGCGAGCGACCCCACCAAACCTCGAAAAATCAGTAATTTTTTACTACCACTAAAACCATGGCATAACTTGAATTTTGCTATTAATTACGTTCAGGGCATCTAGAATATGTATGACCTCTTATCCCGCACCCAGAACATGTCACATGCCGCCGAACCGAGGGCATAGAAGGTAAAGTAGGCTCAACAACCGCATTTGTAGGTACCTCTGGCAAAGATATATCTTTACTTATATCTTCATCCACATAAACCATGTCATCTTCACCACCCTCTAGACCCCCAAAGATACCTTTCTGGGTAGTGAACTTATATATAGTCTCTCGTTTTTTGATCTGTTTCTTATTGGTAGCCTCTAATTGGGCACAGCGATTCTAGAGAAAGATATGGTGGTGGACGACTTTGATGGTCATGTTGTAGGTCTTTTCAATCTCCCTTTTTGTAGGTGAAGAAAGGATTAAAGAAGAAGATTCTAGACCTTGTTTGATCCGAGATTGCGATTTTGCGAATTTTGAGAGAGTCCAGAGAGTATTTGGATCACTATCACTGCCGGAAGAGAGTGGTCGCTAAGAGATGATCTCGAGAGGAGGAAGAGAATCCAGGCGCACATTGAGCTTTTCCAAGACTTTATTAGCATCAAAGGGTGCTAATCCAGTAGCTAAAAAGCTATTTTGTATAGTAGAAGTCTTAAAAGCACCAATTCTCGCATCTGCGATCATTTCAAGGAAATCCTCCTTATCAATAGAGTTAACTCCGTTCCGCATCGAAGTTGAAACCGCTCCTCTATAAAGCCTCTTCAAAACCGAGAAACAGCCCACATCTAAAGGCTGTAAAAGGTGAGAAGCATAAGGAGGCATACAAATTGCGATAATTTGGTTTTCTTCACAAAGCTGGTCAAATTCAGGGGTTAAATGACTCCCATAACCATCGAGGACTAGTAGGCAATATTTTCCCACTCTTATCCCAATATTTGGGATTAAAAGATGTTTCAACCACCATAAACCAATTGTATTAGTAGTCCAGCCATTTTCGCTTATAGTAAGACGTGCTCCTTTTTGATTCGAAAGAAGATAGGGGCGTAGATGCTCTAGAAACTTTTTTCCCTTAAAAATGAAGAGCGGAGGTATAACACTTCCAGAAGCTCGAATACACTCAATCGCAGTTACCCACTCACGATTTCCGGCTTATAAAAGAGCTCTTTTTCCGTGATATTCCGCTGAAGTGATAATTTTTTATGTTGTGCCAATACCCATAGCAAAACCACTCTCATCAAAGTTAAAGATATCGTCTGAAACAATACCCCACTTTTCAATTGTCTTTTGAACCAAATCAAACCATGGTTTAATGATTCGAGGGTCTTCTGAAAGAGCTCTCTGATAGTCATATTTGCGAGAGAGTCGAGTAGAGAGATTTAGGTGTCGTTTGATAAATTGAGAAGGCCAATTAATACCAGTGGTAGATGGTGTGTTTTTCTTTGCACTAAGTAGAAGATTGGCCATATCTCGCAACATAGGCAAAGTAAGAGCTGCTCCTCTTAAATCCATATCAATTACCCAATTCTCTATCGATTGCTCCTCGACTTAGGTGAAGATATGACCAGATGCCCTCTTTTCAGCAGCAGATTCGCGCCCATTGATCCGGGCCTTCAAAGTTGAGACAGGTATCTCAAAAGATCGTGCAGCAGCTGCAGCAGAGAGATATCTACCATCTTTTATAGCTTTGATAGCTAATAAAAGGCGACCCTCTTGCTGTATCAATTTTGCTTTTTTATCAGAGCGTTGAGGTGGCATTTTTGTTGTGGTTAAAATAGATATATTATTATTGAAGTAGGTTTTTGATGGGGTCGCTCGCGCGGCCGTGTCGCTCGGGCGACCGTGGATCACGTTAGGTAACTAACTAGGTAGCCCTGGGGTAGCCTGGACCTCGGGAGGCGTATTAGCAAGCGATCTGTATAGCCCTGGAGTGGACCCGTGGACAAAGAAACCATGGAATTTCATATCAGATCGGCCTTATCTCTATCATTTCTATCATTTCTAGGGCTTTTCATCTAAGTTTTTTCATAGGTTAATACTAACATGGAGTGAACACCTTTCTGTATTAGCAGGTAAGCGTAATGTAGTATATGTGTAACGGGCCAGGGCCACGTTGAGGCTCGGGCTTTGCCCGTGCAGACACCGCACCCGATACTGCCGAACGGGTAGCCTGACCGCCCTAGGGAACACTATACAGCAGTTGACCGCTCCCTTGTTTACGGTTCTCTAAGATTTAGATAAACAGCATGCAGGCACCGCCTAATTGAATCAATTCAGCTGTAGCCCTTCACACTATCTTCTTATAGGGTATACATGAGATTATTGCGAGGGAAACAGGTCAGTGATTCTTATTAGCCAACTGGCTATGCTTAGTACTTGTGTATAGATAACACATGCAAGGTCATCTGAACCTACGGGTCAGTGCCTTCATTACAATATCACACTCCCTTTCGGGTATATGGCATTCCACACTGGCGGTCCCATCCAAAAAGCCGCCAGACACCTTTCCCAGCCATTCAATGCCCCCTTCGCACAAACTGCAGCGGCACGGGCCTCTGAAGAGACAGCGTCGGCGAAGAGGCACTATCATTGAGGATGGACTGTGTCCGACACCTGGCATCCTCCCACGATTCTGATTCTCCTACCGCAAGCTCTATTCGATAGTGTCGAAAAATCATGGTCAATATCGCCACAAATTCCACTTGCGAGAACCTTTTTCCTAGACATCCACGGGCACCGTCACTGAATGGAAGGTAGGACCCTTTTACAGGACTTCTCACAGGGGGAGCTCCAGAGGTGATGTCAAGCGTCTCTTGAGCATCTTTATCTTTGTCCATAGCTACCGGCCAGTCGCACTTGCATCTTATGTCCCAGTTGTGTGGCTGATAGGCTAATGGGTTTTCCCCCAGTACCTCGGATTATGATGCAAGGCATTTAATGATATGTTGACATTGACATCTTCTGGGATAACAAGCGGAGAACCATCCAAGGTTACAATCTGTGTTTTGTGACCAGTCGACTTGTTTATGGCAGTCAATGGGGGATAATGGCGTAAGGTTTCCATCTATATAAACAATAGGTTAGAAACCGCCCTCCTGTGTAGTAAGTCGATATAAGGGCGTGACACATGCCATCACACAATATGGAGCAATCAGCTTCGGTAATAGAATTTCCTCCCTCCATTCTAGTGGATTCGCCGTGTCTTCATCATAATCAATTGCCGCATCAATGTCTTGAATCAACCATTGTTGAATATCGGGGTGCAAAGCCATGAGTATAAGGGAATATTTCAACGAATCGGCAGTTGAATTGGTGCCTGCAAATGCCAAGATAAACATATTGCCCATGACCTCTTCATCTGATAGAAGGTCTTGTTTCTCTCGGTGTTTTTGGCTTTCAGAGGGACAGATACCTTGTCTCACCAGCCCAGTCAGCATATTGCTGGCTTCTCGATAATGGCCAGTAAGCGTCAAGCTCTGCTTCTGCTTCCGTGTTTCAGTCCAAATCAAATTCTCCAGGAAGGTCCGAACACCAGTAGCTGATCCGTGGACAGACCGCCAGCTACTTGGACCATATTTCAGGATGCCGTTAGGAAATATCAGTAGTTTAGTTAAGTTAGTGATCACTTGTTCCATAGCTTCTGCAAACCTAGAGATTCCCCCTACGTTCGGCGGATCCGACTCGTGTGCTTTCCGATTTAAATGTACAGTGACGCCGAAGCCCACCGAGAGAATCACACGGAGGACGAGGAATTCCAAATCAAGTGAAATGTTTGGGACTGTAGAGATAGTGGCGCCGTGATTCGTCCACATGGAGAGTAATTCATTCCCAAGGATGAGGCTCTTCCTCCAGACTTGCTTGTGGATAGTGCTGCCAAATTGCGAAGCCGTAGCCTTCCGGTGCCGCCGCCAGGTCGCTCCTCCAGACTGGTGTGGTAACGCCGCTTAGCTCAAATGAGTCTATGATAATCAGAAGATCCCATTTACCTACCGAAACAACGTTTTCACCAAAGATGTTCAACAAGGCTAGGGTGATGCAGTTTAGTATTTGTATAATAGTCCCCATATCCGGATATCAAGTATGGGACTTACAGTACGGCCAGTTGGGTTTCACAAAGTCATACTTGCTTCTAGTAATGATCTCTGCTGCGAGCTCTGCATCGGCAACTTCGATCGATAAGCAGCCCGGCGAGACCACCAGGAACACATCTCCATACTTCTTGTGAAGCTCATGTTTAGCGACAAATCGCCAATCAGGATACCATAGGTCAAACCACTCCGACTGTCGAAGCCGTAATGGTAGCTGTGAGATAAGCGGCCGGTAGAATCGCTTCGTCAGCTGCCACATTACACCATCTTGTAGAATGGGCATCCAAAAAATGGGCAGGTTCATAGCACGCGCGGCGCAAAGACATTTTAAAGATCGAACAAAAAATTGAAAAGGGTAGTGTAGGATGGCGATGAAAGCAAGAGTTATGATGTATTTCTCCATTTCCAGCCTGATGACAATGATCGGTGTTGTTTTCTTTTACAAGCACAGAAAGATGAGCTCCCCTACTTACGCTGGTCGTATTTGGTTGAAGGACTGGAGATGGAAAGCGTGATTCATTTGAGATAATTTTGCGAATGGTGGGGGATACTCCTTTTTGCTGCAGTCGGTGTGCTGTTGATATTGTCGGTGAAAAATCAGGATCGATGAATCGTTGACCTTTGTACGTGCATTAATGATATGTCATTTATGTTGGGCGGTATTCAATCATACTGCAGGTCAATCATATGTGTTAGACCTTAGCTCGAGGGCAATTGATGAAGAAACCCGGAAATAATTTAATATACTGTCTCTAACAGCAGCTCACTGCTTTTCTGGGAAATAGTATGACTTAATTTGGACTTCGGTCTGATATTGGGTGCAGTCTCTATATTATCTACCAGACATAGATGCGCCTGAGAAATGGGTTCTTATGCAGTGGAACAGTGTTAAAGTTAAACTTGCATTTCTCGCAATGGAGATATGTATGGTGTGCGTCTGGTAATGTGATTTATGTGGGTGCAACCATTTGTACACCGCTACTTCGTGGTTACATACACTGACGAAAGTATCATATGTACCAGTACCCACCTATGGACTGATATACAGCTACCCACGTAGTTAATGAAGCCTACTGCCATTCTCCGTTGAGCTCAATCCCAATCCACCACTATGGGCACTATATCCATAATGCCCTGGGCATTTGCTATTGTGCCGGGTATTTTGACTTACCTATTCGGCTTAATCATGTACCGGGTGCGGTTAAGCCCAATTGCGGCTTTCCCCGGGCCATTATTAGCCCGCACTACATATTGGTACGAGTTCTACTATAATTGGATCAAATGCGGCCAGTATTACCTCAAAATCGAGGAAATGCATCAGAGATATGGTGAGATCCTCTTATGATCATGGGCGTTTTTCTTTGGATTATATTTGAATGCTTATGGTTCATGTGCATGCCCGATCGTTCGAGTCACTCCCACAGAACTCCACATACGAGAACCCCGTTACTATAACCAGCTCTTTGTAACACATGCTGTGAGAAAGTCCAATGCCTACACTCGTTTTACGCAAGGAGCAGGCTTTGACGGTAGGTGGATTCATCCTCCTTCTAGATTCCCGTCCAAATCAACATACTATGATTACTAGGGGGAAGAAGTTTTGCTCTATATGGCTAAGTCGCATTTAGACATCACTGCTATTTCAATATCACACGATATCCACCGTATTGTGCGAGCGCCAATGAACCCTTTCTTTTCCAGATCAGGGCTTCGTCGCGTCGAATATAAGGTCGTGGAACGTGTTCGAAAACTATGCTTGAGGCTAGAATCGGAAGCAAACACAGGCAATCCGGTCAATTTCAACGATGCATTCGCCTCCTTGGCAACTGGTAAGCTCAATTCATCGCTGGACAGGCTTTGCTGATAATTGTGTCGGTAGACGTGGCTTCCGCAATCTTTCACGAAGAACCTAGCAACTTCCTAGAGGATGAGAAATTCAATGCAAGATGGTATAGATCTCAACACTTGGCTTGTACAAAGAGCGAGTATTAATTTCTGACACAACCTTTAGGTGGGAAATATTAAGAATGGGCCTTACGACGGTTCCGCTTCTTGTGGAGCTTCCATGGATAGCGCGGTATATTTAACACTTGAATGAATCTAACCAGGACTTAGAGACATAATTGACCATGAAACAGAGCCATCACTACACCAGTTATCAAACTACTTACGGAGAGGTTGACTAATTGGCGAATATGGGATGACGTGAGCCTATCGACCTACCGATATGACAACTGACTTGTACTGATCACCCGCAGAAATCCCGGCGACAGATCCAAATTACACGAACACGGCCCTCGGCTACAGCTAAAACTCGCTCTGATAGAACTGTAATGGATAGTCTTGTCCACGATACCCAGGTCACATCAATCCTTGGAGAAAAAGGCTTCGTGCGTTTATCCCAGGTAAGCATTTTCTCATGTTCTCTACAAACGAGTCACGGCCAACTCAAGAGGGCAGCTTATCCAGCAAGCTGGGACGCATAATGTATCCAAGACGTTGGCTATCATTGTCTACTTTTTGCTGCGGCATGAAGATCAGCAGGAGGCGTTACGCAGGGCTCTGGAGCCGCTTTTTGCAGGCGATGCAGCCCAGGCCGCCCCTTCCCTACAACAAATGGAAAGGGTGCCGTATTTGACAGCATGTATAAAAGAGGGGTTGAGGTATGCCTTTTCCTGGCTTGAATACGAAAATCTTCTATAAACTTATTCATGGTAGGCTAGCGGCCGGGAGCCTAAATCGATTTCCACGGGTATCGCCCGATGCAGAGCTAAGCTTCAAAGACTGGACAATTCCAAAAGGGGTATGCCATAAATACCAAAGCATCTTTTATTTGTCCTCTTTAATTGGAGCTGAACACACATTGCGTATTTAGACTGCCGTCTCCATGACCCCCTACTGGATACATATGGACCCTGAAGTCTTCCCAGATCCTGGAAGCTTCAATCCGTCGCGCTGGCTTGCAGATCCAGCGAAGCTGGCAACCATGCATCGCCACTTCGTCCCCTTTTCCAAAGGGTCACGAGCATGTTTGGGGAAAGAGTGAGGACCCAGAATATCTCCATACGGAAAACATGAGACAAGCTGACAAGAAATACCACTACTTCATATGTATAGTCTTGCCTATATGCAAATGTACCACGCTCTCGCACAGCTCTTCCGACCCGAGATGCCGCAGATGATAGCATATGATACGGAAGAAAGGGACATAATGCCAGTTCTAGGGCTTATGTTTTCTTTGCCAGAGCTGGATGCTCGAGGATTGAGGGTAATGCTGTACAACAAGACCTCGTTTAGGGCATTCGACGCCGAAGATGGCAGCTTCGGCCCAAATCGAAATATACATGGAGTAAGTGTAAGACCCCGTTACGAGGGTCTTGGGACTTAGGTGGATTCGGGCAATAGAATGGAGAAAGCAGTAGACAGGTTTAATGCTGAACTAATCGCTGGAGTCCAAGACTCCAGCCTCTGAACTGTTTATATACAAATGTGGGGTCATGTGAGGTCATGAGCCCTCGCATTGCGGGTCTCAGCCCTGGGTCCAGTTCGCACCTGCGAGATATAGATCGTCAGACCTGCTTAGTACTTGGGTCCTGACATAAATCAAAGGCATTTCTCGCATTGGATGCCTTTCTCACCCGCATTCTCAAAGCACAAGCCACCAGTGCATTGAGCGCTACAGGTATCCCAATTAGAATAACTTCCTTCCTTGCAGACCGGAGTGGTAGGCCGTGTAACACAGCCACTGCAGACAATCGTCAAGTTCGTCGGGCTTTGGGTACAAGAGCTGTTCTCTTCAGCACAGAATAATTTGCATTGACGCATGTCCTGATAGAGGCCCTCGATACAACTATCCCACGGGCCACTTGCCGAAAGCGCACCTACGCTTGACATCCTCACAGTATTGGTCATGTCGGGCTCGAAGGTTTTAGATGTATTGATCACAGATGGCTCCCACCCGTCCGGAGGAGCGTCCAGATGCATTTCCGTGATATCCGCCCCAGAAATTGTAACTTCATCCCCGGAAGCAGGCCTAGCCGGCCTGGGCTTTGGCTGAGGCGGACTGGAGAGTTTGAACGTCTGCTGGAGGTAAATTGACAAAGCCGCGAGAGCATAAGATTCTGCGTTTATAGCTGCATCTTCTGGTTCTAATCGGCCTAGTCTGACGAGAGTCCTGGGATCATACTCGATGTCAATGCATTTGGGCTGTGAGACTGTTTTCCTCCAGTGGTACGTCTCGTGAAACAGACTTCGTGGCCGAACGACCTTCCAGTAGTCTATCGTTTGCTGCATAACTTTGTCATTGCGAGCTGAAACCACCATTTCCGTCAGGCTTCTCATACGAGTGAAAAAAATCGGACAAAACACGACATAATGGGCAGACCAAAGCGATCCAAGATCGTCCCATGTATATGCAGACACGCCCTGTTTCGCACACTTCAAGTTGTCGTTTTGGGGCTTCTTCCCTCCAGGTACCTTGGATTCATCACAATAGAAGTAGGCATAGGTTGAACCAGGGGGCTGGAAGAAATTTGAGGAATGAACGAGATATTCCCTCTCAATGTTTCCTGAAGTTGATTGAGTCATATTAGCGCTGTTCAGTGATTGTGGTTGAGTTGGCTGTTACTTTGTAACTGTCCCTTTCCAGTAACCCAAGAACTAGTAGAATTTTCAGCGATTTGAACCTCTAACTTTGGAGGGATCCATACTAATCGTCCTTCGATTTAGGGCCAAAATATAAGCTCATGGCGTCTTGCCATTTGCTGCCTGGTGACCATTGATAATGTCCTTGAGCTAGCTCTGAGGCTTCTTGCCAGGCTTGAGTGACGATCTTTTGCTGAGCCTTCGTGCAGGCATAGAGGTACGGATTAACAGTTGATTCAATAGTCGCGGTGCTAAATGCACCGGATGCAGTAGAAGTTGGAGGATCTGAGGAAGTTGCATCGGATTCAAACTGTTCGAGGTCGACAGCCCATTCCACCACGCCTCCTAGGTTCATTCCTTTATACAGCGTAGTGCGTGACTCCCTGATTTTGGCATCCATGTATGACACCCATTAGTCGGAGTCGTAGACAAGAATGTTGCTGTTGCTATCTTTGTCTACCCAAGCCTTGGCGGTTTTGTCGTTCTTGATGATCTCATAAATTTCCGCATCTGCAAGCAAACCAGGGGTATTTGTGCAGCGCCCAGGAGTTGCACCTGATTCTTTGCCTGTATAAGTGCACATGGGACCAGTACATCCGGCGGAAGTCATCTGGAAAGATCGTCCATAATTGCTGAGTCCGACAACGACCTTGTTCGACTTAACCCCTGCCTTGGTGATCATGGCTAAGGAATTGAGCGTCTCCGTTAGGTTCACATGAGATCGGAGGCAGTTCCCCCCAGGACAGCCTGGATCTGACCAGGAACTGCCATGGTCCCACTGTCCGTGAAGATCATATGTCATGTATACCCAGTAGTCGAGAGCAGCGTCCATGTCAGCCACTGGATATCCTCTCAAATACCAATAGGATGCTGGGGCTGCCACCGATATGCTCTTATCTGGAAGTTTCTTCCGTAGTGTCGACAAAAACGAAGAATAATTCTGGCCATCATCGTCGTTTCCCTATACCAAGAATATCAGGCTCGCCCGGATAGTCCCAGTCAAAGTCGACACCATCCAGATCCCACTCCTTGACGAAGCTAGCTACGTTGGTTGCAAAGCTTTCGCGGTTATTCGATGTGACGGCCTGACGAAACACATTGTAGGTTGCATTCTCAGTACTAAACGCCCAGCCTAAGATAACCATTAGCAGATGCAATTTGGTCAACATATGCAACACGACGAACCTCCCAGAGAAACCTGTGAGATATGGATCAGTCAGTTAATATCAATACTATGGAAAAACACTCACAATACGCTTCACACCCTTCAGCTGTACGAACTGGTTAAATGCGACTCTGTATTTATCAATGTCCACCTCAAAGCTACTGGAGACGGCTCCGAAGGCAAAGTGCACATGGGTATATTTAGATGTGTCAATCTGATTGACACCCAAGTTCAAACAAGAACGATCCATGCCAAATGACTCCCAATAGGCGATTCGACGAAACGTGCTCGGTGCAGAACCGTTATTAGCGATATCAGTGCCGCAATTGGAGATACACCCATTGGTGCCTGCTGCAGCTGTTCCAGGGGCGCCAGTTCCTGTATCAGTGCAGTACTCCGAGGTGATACCGCACTGGCCCCATACATCACAGCAGGAGTTCAGAGGACAGGGATTCAGATCGGCCAGCTTGGTTCCATTCTTAGGCTGAACTGTTCCTGATACTTGGGGGCCACAAACGGCGTTTTTCACAGTTGCGGGCAACGGCGGTGTACCTCCACTCAGGCATATGTTTGCTCCTTTCTGGATTCTGCTGCACCCCGTCCAGCCCCATGTATCTTCGTTGTAGGACTCAATTTTCTTGGTAGTGATAGCATTGCTGGCTGCAATCACGGCACAAGTTTCTCCATCCTGAACCTTATAGGAAGCGCAAGAGCCATCTGAGCCCTTTTCAGGGACAGCCAGTCCTCCAGAGGTACAACACACTTTTTGTCCCACCTGGAGGGTTGAACAGAGTTTGTCACCTGGGTTGTACTTGGTGAAATCGTTGGCAGAAATTGCACACTTTGCTGCCAGAGCGCCGCAACCGTCCCCCAATCCCACATTGACGGTCCTGCAGCCACTTCGTGGTATCAGCTGCGAGATACCTGCCTCTAGAGGCAGGCTGTAAGCCAAGCCATGGAACACAAGAGTAGCTGAGACTATCGTTCCAAGGAGAATGGACTCAATCTTTCCGGGTCTCATTTCAACTGCGCACTTAGCGAATGATGCGCAACAGGACGGAATATATTCGAATTCTCAACGGAATCCGTTCGAGGCAGAACAAGTAGACAAACAGAAACCCAACAAGAAGTTATCTAAACAAAGGAGTTGTATCATTCGAGGACTCGATCTAGTTGGCACTTTATAGATTCAAATTTTGTCCCAATTTTTTCAAGCTCTGGCAAGTTAGCCCACCTTGTCTCTCAGTCTTGCCGAGGTCCCATTGGCAAAGGTCGTTAATGCCTCAAGACAAGCATGCTATTCAAGTGAGTGTGGATGCGACTGGAGCGAAGTTGCTATGACCGACCCAGAAAAAATTTCCTGAGTCGACGCTAAGCTCACGATAAAGACCTCATATGATCCGAATAGACACCAATGCAATGACATCCCTGTAGGGGGTGAAAACTCGTCTCGAAGTATACATCTGCCTTAGCTTGGCTAGAGAAATATCCCTCGTCAGGTATGGGCCGAGGGAGTATTGTTTCAAAGTAGCGCAGCTACGGGTGATAGTCAATTTGGTCTATAGTATCCCGTCGCATGAACTATAAACGACAGCACGAGATCTTGAGGTAGCTTTGTGGGACTTAAACACTATTTCCCACAATTAGATGATTTCTTGCCTTTCTGTCACTTCGCCAGTATCTCGAGGACTGCCATATCAATGCAGTAGAAAACAGCACATGGTAAATAGGACAGGACACGCCATACAAATCTCGCAAGTTAGGGGCGAAACCTTCCGCCTGAGGGTCGCATGAAAATATACAACAATGGCTCCACATAAGTCTAGTCTAATTCCCGTTTCCATTCCCTCCCGCCTTGGCAATGCTTTCTTGATGCAACATTAAAGTCTACCTAGGCGATTACAGGAAGCAAACGCCCCTAATTTAGTAGTCTAGCTTTCTTAGCCGCATTGCTTTACTTGTTTTATTCTTTCATTTGCATGTGGAATTCGCGCAATATTCGGCACAATGGATTGAAGGATCGTGTGTTTTCAGGTTGAATATAGTACCATTTCATATGCTCATAAATTTGATATTATTAGGGTTTAAAGATTGAAAATTCAATCTGGAAGGAAATCCGAGCCTACATGACCTACGGCTCGAGGTAACAAGATGCCGGCATTACCTTACGAATACTGCATGAGACCGGGTCTATTTTGATCCCACCCGATGTCTTTTACCAGACCCATGATGGCGAAACAAGGGGTAATGAAAGACAGAGTTTTCGATACCGTCCTTGGTCGATAGAAATTGGTATTTGACAGCAGACAGTGATCTGACGCTATTCGACGTTTAAGACGTACTGATACCCAACCTCCCTCTCACAAGAAATTCTGTATTAACCCCGTGACCATGATGCTTCTGTGGTGGCTGTGCTCCTTGACACACTCCGTGTCTCTTGTGAGTGCTGATTCCGATTGTATCGGTACATGGTGTGACACATGCCTACCCGTTACTGTTCACGATGCACCCGGGGTTGGTTTCGATCTGACACCTCTGTATGGGTAAGTACATCGGTCCTTTATTTCTTATAAAGGCAAATATCTAATAGTTTCTAGGACGGCCGTGGTGAATTATTACAATGGAACTGTTGTTGAGGTTGCTAAGATTCCGGGGAACCTGGAATACCTCGAGCTTATGGCACGCCTCGCTAAATCTAAGCCATTACTGCAATCAACTCGAAATCTTATACACGAACTTCCATCCTGCTTAGTGGAATATCTCTTCCCGAGCGTCTCGTCGCCCTGGAGAGACTGGTGGCGTTGGCTGAACATGAAACTTGGCCGACCGATAAAAGCAGATGGTGTCGAAATCATTAGTGATTTACTCCGAGAACTAAAAATCGCCACCGAAAAGGCAATTTCCCAGCCTCTGGATAGGGTTGCCGTTACAGAGTGGATAATATTCTCGAGAATGATCAAGACCAAAGCGTATTTTGGGATCGTGTCCGTTCACAACTCCAGATCCTTCCTCGGGAGTTCAAATATACTATCACGCATATCCTGCTAGCTGGCGAAAGCGTCACACACCCTCGCTTCCTAGCTTCCCTCAGAGAGTCTATGTCAGATCTCTCTCTTAGTCCTACTACGGCCAAAATTCAACTCGCGATAGATCCAACTTTTGCAGCAGCGCGGGGTGCAGCACTTTACGCACGAAGGCGCCAAGAGGTGCCGAGTGACTGCTATGAAAAATTAGAATGCGAAGAAATGAGGTCACGCGAGCGTTTACGCACTTTGACGCGAGAGGAACTTCGGTAAAAAGGATTCAATAGCTATACTGATGCTCATAGATACTGTCGGTGAACTCCCAGGGATTATCCCCTGTTTATTTGTAATGCTTTAGTCATGTTAGAAGCCCTATAAATTGCCAAAACCAGGGTAAATAAGAAAGAGATTTCACACTCTCTTATTGGCTAGGCCCAGATAGCATTTTAACAGATACCTTTGATAGTTCTATATCTGCAAATGTTAACTATTAGTTTCCCACATACATTTTGCACATCCTGTGTTCAGACCATACCTAAAGTCCAGGAGATCTCGGGTCTGGTGGATCCGGACTACCCGTAACTTTTAATGTCGGTATGCTCACTCGCCCTGGCCAATAAGAATGTATGAATGCTCTGTCTTTTATTACCCCTGGTTCTGGCAATTTATAACGTGGATCCCGGCGGGTTCGTCATCCCACTTCAAATCTTCCGCCCATACCTAGCCACCTATCTTTAAACGCCTACCATGCCCCCAAAACGGAGTCAAAAAGCTCAAAAATCAATCGAGCAGGAAGGCAGGATCTTATTAGCTATCAAAGCTATTCAGAATGGCAGAATCACCACGATCGCTGCTGCTGCTCGCTCTTTCGATGTCCCCCGCACAACTCTTGCAGATCGGATGAAAGGCATTTCTAATTTGTATGAAGCAAGGGGTACAGGCCATAAATTCACGCAACTAGAAGAGGAATCAATTCAGGATTGGTTAATCTCTATAGATCAGAGAGGCGCCGCGCTTACAATCGCGATGTTAAGAGATATGGCTAATTTACTGCTTAAACACCGCGGAGATAATGCCCCCCAGACCGTTGGCAAAAATTGGCCAACACAATATATCAAACGACATCCTGAGCTTACTACTCGATTCTCTCGCAAATATGACTACAAACGTGCCCTAATAGAAGACCCAAATACTATTATTGAGTGGTTCAATCTTGTCGAAAAAACGATTACTTAATATGGTATCACTTCGGATGATATCTATAACTTTGACGAGTCAGGGTTTACGATGGGAGTCAGTGCGACGACGAAGGTTATTACCCAGTCATTTTACACCGGTCGGAGGGGCGTTTTACAAGCTGGTAATCGTGAATAGGTGACTGTCGTTGAATCAATCTGTGCCTCCGGGCGAGCGCTCCCACCATACGTTATCTTTAAAGGCAAAAACTTCATGGAACGATGGTTTGACGACCTTCTAAAGCATTGGGCTCTTAATGTTAGTCCAAATGGTTAGACAAGTAACGAAATTGGCGTTGATTGGCTCCGAAAACACTTTATTCCGCATACAATAAGTCAGACAAAAGGGAAACATCGTCTTTTGGTCCTCGATAGCCACGATAGTCATCTTACAGCAACATTCGATAAGATTTGCCAGGAAAACAGCATCATACCAATCTATATGCTTCCGCATGCCTCTCATCTTTTACAGCCTCTTGATGTTGGTTGTTTTGCTGTGTTAAAGCGCTCTTATGGAACTCGGGTTACGGAATATACCCGGTTAGGTATCGATTCTATCGAAAAAGACGACTTCCTTAATATCTTTCCAGCGGCTCGTAACGACTTATTTAAGGAGTTAATCATTGAGAATGCCTTCGCAGCTACTGGTTTAGTGCCATTAGACCCTGATCGGGTGTTATCAAAGCTAAACATTCGTCTTCAATCTCCGCCTCTACCAGATCGACCAGTTTCACAAGGTTCAACATTAGGTAGTAATATCTCTACCGGCATCCCTCGGACGACTAAGCAGCTAGAAAAACGCAAATCTAGGCTCAATTCTGGTCTAAGCTCGGCTGCTGATAAGATCTCTTCGCCTACAAAACGTGATCTTCAACGGTTTTACAATATGTCGGTTAAGCTAGTTCACGAGCACATCTTAATGCGGGATGAGATTAAGCGTTTACGGGAGGGAAATAGAAAACAGATAAAAAAAAGGGAGAAATCAAAGAAGCAGATACCTAACATAGGTAGTTTAACAGAGCTTCCAGACCCTACTGCCAATATGGGTGGTGAGGAAGATGTTAGTGTGAGATATATATCTAACCCTACACCTGCTCCAGAACCCCAGGTTGAACCTATACTTCCTGTTTTGGCCCCTGTACGCCAGCAAACTACATGTTCATTATGCATGGGGAAAGGGCATAGGTATACTACATGCCCGAAAAGGTTTAATTAGTCAATTTAATGGTGTTTTGGTTGTTTAATTGGAGTTTAAAAAGTGTAGAAAATATGAAATTTTGGTGGGGTGCCGGAACGGCCAGGATGCCGGAACGACCAGGATCCACGTTACCCACTGTTTATTTGTAATTACTTACTTAGTCATGCCAGAAACCCTATAAATTACCAGAACCAGGGTAAATAAAACACAGAGTTTTCAAACATTTTGATTAGCTAGGCCTAGTTAACAGATTCAATTGAGGGATGATTCTCAGTTTAGGGGGTTTCTAGCTCAAAAAAAATAGTTTGCATTAACAAAGGGTAGAAGTATGTATGGTTTTGTATAGCTCTCCAGGTTTGGCCTCCGAGGTACCTATGTAAAGACCAAAAGAAAGCAGATGATCAACAATATTGAAAAGAACAGGAGTGGAATGCCTTCTCGAAGTGGGGTGAAGCGGGGCAATATATGCGAAGTCAGCTGCCATGCTACCTCAAATATTGTCTCACAAGCTAGGTACAAATTAAACCGGCTCGCTTTCGCTTCTTATTGGTCATCTCGGTAGGCGGGTTAAGTCTGTGCTTAGATCCAGAAGACCATGCCGAAAACTAGGCTCATTTCAGAATAATGTTTTCTCATTCATGGTGTGCTTGGGTCTTCACTCTATTTGAGCGATGTAGCTGTCAATTGTACGGTCAAGTTCTCCCCATGCCATCTGATCCTGCCTGTGATCGATGTCACTCCGTTAAGGCCCGCTGTCTGGCGGGACCTGTGGGGAGCTGCTATCGCTGCTATCGTTTGCATCACCCCTGCACACATTTCCGACCACGCGGTCGGCGAGGACCCAAACCAAGGGTAAATACCTCTACCTCTCAGACATCATCTACCAGTAATCGTAGTCTATTCCCATCGACACCTGATATGCCACACAATGCTCCATCTACTGCATCAACCCAAGAAGACATCGACTATAAATGCGACAATTCCACAAACGTGACTTTCATTGCCAACATATACCAAGAGAGTTCCCTTTCCCAAATATCGGAATATATGGCGCTTCATATATGCGCTTTCTTCACATTTGGTCCCCTTCTCAGCATAGAGATGCGTCAAATGATCCGATCTCGGCTCAGAGAGGCGCCGATTCTTCTCCTGCATCCATACACTGCTGTCGCTCGGGCTTTCCTCAGGAGTACAGCCAACCAAGCTCCTTGTAGCGACTCCGACTGGTCCAATTGTGCCTCTGCACTACATGCTCTCCGAAACTTGCAGATCATCAGACAAGATCATGTGGGCAGTTTTCTTTCTCTGGGATTGAGCTTGCTTACTTTCCACCGATTAATATCGGGGTTCTCAGCGAGTACAATTTGCCGATACACGCTATCACTTGTGCGGCCATTATACTACTCTGGGAAACTAGTCAATTCGGACACAAGGGAGCTTTTGTGTCTTATCTTTTTGGATACGACCCAATCGCTGTTTCGAGCCAAGGTCCCCGTGATCGAGTATCAAGTGCGAGATCCCTATATCGTTGACCAGCATGCCGGGCTCTGCGGGCCACTCCTTCCCCTTCTTTACCAAGTCTGTGTCCTAGGATCCGCCACGAGAACAAAAAAAGGGAACAGCCCACTCTCTTCCGAGCATTTTGACAAGTTGACAGCTGAACTCGAAGCATGGGTTCCCAATATCTCGCAATCTGTCCTCGACCGATTCTCCGACGTAGAGATGCTTGTGCTTATATCACAAGCCAACATCCACCGTACAGCCGCACTTCTGATCCTCCACAGACTACAATTTCCATTTGGGGAACGAGACGCCGAAGCGGCATCATTTGCTACATCGATTGTCGCAGATATGACTCATTGTCTAGATATGGCCGGGTATCATCCACCGAACATCACCCTAGCTTTATTGGTGGCAGGAGCAGAGATAAGAAATGTGGTTGGAAGGAAGTCAGTACTCTATTTGGTTTCAGGGATCCGTGGGGCGGCTTTCTATCCCTTTGTAGCCAACTTACGCATGTTTCTCGCCCGGGTCTGGGCCGACAGGGACCAAGGAACAGCTCGGTATCTGTTCCGTATTTTTGAGGACAGACCTGGTCTTAGTATTCCACTTTGAATGATATGGCATCAAATCCACTTTTTAGCAACGATTACTTCATTTTTTATCTTCATTGTAGTTGATCGACACGCGACCCCGGTATTTATGTGTGTATGCTCCAGTATTGATGGAGCCGCTTAGGCTCCACACTGCCATTTCGCCGGTCTAACACAGATAATGGTTGGCCAATGATTGTGTATAGTCACGTTTGGGTGTGTATTGGAGACCCTTCCCCACACTCCACGCTCGCAGATGAACAGCTCTGGGCATATCACTTCCTGTCCCTGATCACACCGTCACCGTTAGAATTGCCATAAATGACTCGTTTTCCCCAGCAGAGATGAAAATATATACCAATTTCAAGCTGATGTCCAATCTTTTCTTGACCATCTGTTCACCACCATGCAAGCCCGCGCCTCTTCCGATGAATTTCCCCCAGGTACCATCCTAATGATAGATCGTAAGCTGTCCCGTTCTCCCACTTGGATCTACATCCTCATGTCACTATAGGGCATACGTCAACCTCCGAGTTCATTCTCAGTCCCACTCCCTCTGGTAACCCCGACGACCCTCTAGTAAGAAAGTCACGCCCAATCATCAACTGCCGGACGCGAGCTGATACAGTCATAGAATTGGTCTTCAGTCAGAAAAGCGGTGAACTTTGGTCTCACTTGTACCTACGTTCTGTTCACTTTCGTCCTGATTGACGTCAACAGTCTGGCGTACCGCGGGTATATAGAAGAGTTGGGTTTGACTTACGCGACCTTCAATGATGCCAGCGGCTCCAATTTTGCGGGTCTCGCAGTTGGGTGCCTTTTGCTGGTTCCATGCGTGCACAAATACGGTCGTCGCCCTCTTTATCTTATCAGCGCCGCGGTCCAATTTGCGTGCGCTATCTGGTGGGCGAACCTTCACTATGGAGAAGAGTTGATCGCAGTCAGCTTGTTGGCCGGTTTGTCGGGCTCGATCAGCGAGGCTATTGTAATGATCACTGTTGTTGATCTATTCTTTGTTCATCAACATGCTCGCATGAATGGTATTTTCATCTTCATGCAGAGTCTCGGGGCCACTGGCGGACCTATCGCTGCAGGGTATATCATTACCTCCATGGGCTGGAGGTGGATGTGGTGGATGATTGCAATCTTTCTCGGTGTGAACCTACTTCTGGTGTTGTCCTTTTTTGAGGAATCAAAGTACATCCCAACATTGTTTGGTCAGTCTATCCTTTCGAAGGATCCTGAGATTGTCAAAACCAAAGGAGACGACGAGAAGGAAACGGAGCCACAGTCTGCCCCCACTCACTTATCAATCGACTCTCGAGCTAGCCGCAAGTCATACAGCCAGCGACTTGCTCTCGTGACAAAAACTGACCAGCCAATAATCCAGCATTTTTACCAACCTTTCATCGTTCTTTTCACGTTCCCTGCTGTGACATTTACTGCTCTGAGTTATGGTTCCATTCTTGCTTGGTTTTCAGCAAACGCATCCGCTGGCTCATACTTTCTGATTTATGAGCCTTACAACTTCAGCCCGTCTGCAATCGGGCTGTTCCACCTTGGAGGCTTTGTTGGTTGCATTATCGCTACCTCCACAGCGCCTTTCTTCAACGATTGGTTGATTGTATGGTTGGCCCGACGGAATGAGGGTATCTTTGAACCGGAAATGCGTCTCTGGATGATGATCCCTGCTGCCGTACTCAACGCCATTGGCTTGCTGGTTTTTGGAATCGGTCTGGGCCGGGTGTGTTCATCATATCCTTCCTCCTGTACTGTGCTTCATAGGTGATATTGACTGAACCTTTTCGATATAGGGCTTCCATTGGATTATTCTTGCAGTCGGGCAGGCGATCTTTGGCTTTGGTTTTATCGTTACTGCCGATGCCGCTTTGACATATCTGAACGACTGCTATCCTGACGTATGTGCTACATCCCAACCTCGCTGGCTCTATGCATAGCCAGACTACCCAATTTTGTCAAGCTAACTCAGGATAATCAGATCCTTGGGGATGCGCTCATTGCAGTGGTCTTCGTCCGAAATGGACTTGCAATGGCCATCAGGTTCTCCTTTACCAGTTGGCTTGCTGGAATGGGTATTCAACACACCTTTATTCTCATTGGGGGGATTGCCTTCGCTACCATGATAATGCCTATCATGTTGTTGATTTATGGAAAATCGGCAAGAGTTAGAACGGCTGCCAAATATAGGAAGTTTGCTTCGCGTCAACAAGTTAAACGGTCAAGTTAATGGGAAATATGCTGCCATGTAGGTAATATGTTAATTGACTGACACCCAATTTACAGAAAGTAATCAAGCACAATCTTTGTCTAAAATTGTAACTCTGGTCATATATTCAGACTGCAATCCTACGCGGTCAGTTTTTTACGTCCCTCACCCATCTACCAAAGTCACCTACAAAGCAGCGTGCAATACCTACCGCAACTCCTCTTTTGGTAAAACGGTAAACCATGCCGGATCTTGGTCCTCGTAGATTTAAGGCCGTTGTGGAAATGCACGTAACCTTTGGTGCAGCCTTATGTCAATTCCAGCGACTCACTTATTCTTGCCCATAGAGAACTTGCAATCGGAGGAGATGATGACTCACCAATTATCATGACCAGGAAAAAAAAGGATTTTGAACACATTTAACAAAAAAGACATAGAAAATACTCGCCATGACATGTGCTATCTAGGTATCTACTGTTAAACATCATGTTTTTAAAAATATCCGTATGATACAGTATGATGGATGACTGATTTTATTGCTTCCCAATAAGTGTGTTGTTATGATCATTTGTCAAAAATATCCGGAAGTATATACTGTGTGCTACGACAGAGTCGTTCTTGTATAATTCTCAAAACTATTGGCGACGCGCATTTGGCCTCCATCCTTTCTCATACTCCTACATATACCATTCAAGGCTGACGAAACTTTCCCGCAGATATGTCCGAGCAACCGCCAAATTAAGGGGAAGGCCTTAAAGTCGCTCTGCGAACCGCTTGGCAGAGCGACCTATAAGATATAGGGGGATAATAGTCGTTGATTTTTGAACTGGCTAGGATTGATAGTCATCAAAAATCACAAGCTATCGGGTATTTTTCAGATCAGACAACCAACGATACACACGTTTAACGATTATTTTGTTATTATCTGAGACTGCAGAATTTTAAACTTCGAGGATAAGGCTAGCAACTAGACGAAGAATTATTTTTAATGCGGCCTTGGACGTTATGTCTAGCTAAAGCACCGAGCTATAAGTTTTAGATCGCGACTTTGAATAGGCGATAGTAAGCTAAGTTTGACTTATGTTGACCTGAAGAGATGTGAGGCATCTGAATTGATGCATCATAATAATGGCTCGAATGTAAAACATCATATACTGATTCGCCATCAATCTCAACACACTGTAACCAGACTGTATTACCCTCGAAACAGTAGCCTATGCACCAATGTTATAATGTTCGTAACAAGTGACAGTCAGCAAGATTAATATTGAATTGATTGATTGATTAACCACACAAGAGCGGGGTCAATATTATATACTTGGCACCTTGTTCCGTGCATAAGGTTCAGCTACCGTGATGCTAAACATGTGGACTACGAATGCGGATGCGAATATCTCAAAATATCACGAATGTGTATTCGTGCCTACCCCTAATCGAATGCTAGATCACGATCGTGCTTTGAGGTAGAGAGACCAGCTTGCAAATTCAACGGGACAAATGATGACATAATAGACCGGACATTCCGGCCCGACCTCGAGAGGAATCACGGAGACTTCCGAATTCAACAGTCTTCTCCCTTTTTAATAAAACATGGGTCGCAAAATGATGTACTCTTTTCATATGCAGAGTTCTTCCCCACAAGAACAACCGAGAAAACTGAAACCGAAACGTTTTAAGATCAGCGTCGCATGTAACGTTTGTAAAGCCAAGAAAACAAAATGCGATGGTGCCAGACCAGGCAGGTGAATCAAACGACAGACCCGATAGAGTGCATCTGTATTGTGCTCATATTTGTTCCGTCAGTGTGCGGGCCTTGCTTAAAGAAGAAACAAAGTTCGGAAGCTTGTATATACCGCGAGGCTGATCGAGTCTCTCCCTCATCAGGTATGCAGTAAGTATTTAGAATATAATGACCCCCGAAGCATATACAGGCCAAGTATCTCATGATGCTTGCATTGTGTCTCAGCTGCCGTGGCCCATCACCTACATAACAGCTTACGCGTTGAGCACCTTACAGTTCAGATACTGCCCGAGAGAAGGTTACGGTCGAAAGCGCCTTCTGTGACACTGAACACCCAGGAGACAGGAGTGGTGCAAACAACCGTTCTCAAATGAAGAAAAAGATGAGGCTAGATTGTGCGGTGGAATTGTGCCTGATGGTAGTCTTTTTGGCGTCTCTAGTGGGGCGCATATTCTGCATGAGGTTGGAAATGCGACACGCCCGAAAAGAGGGTTTGGGAATAACGGGAAAAAAAGAGGTCGAATTTCACCTATGCCAGTGGAAAGGTTGCCGAAGCTGCAGAAAAAGGATACTGCCAGAGAACCTCCCGACATGCAGTTTGTTCTTCCTACAAGGAAGGTGGCTGACAACTTCATGAGTATATATTGGGATTATGTGGATAGCGCCTACCCTTGGCTCGATAAATCGTCTATCGAAAACGCATACGAGACGCTGTGGATCAAAGATGGAAAACTCCCTATGAATGAGAGGGCTTTACACTGCATTCTGAATATCATATTTGCCATGTCTTGTGTTGTTTCTCAGTCCCAAACACCTCTCTCTCGGTACCAATCCTCAGTTACTTTTTTTGAAAGAGCTCAAGGATTCATGTCCTACGACCTCATGGAAGTTTACAATTTCGAAATCATTCAAATCCTTTTGCTTACAGCAGTGTATCTTCAACATGACAAAATGCCACAGAAATCCTTTCGAAGCATTAGCATGGCGATTCATGTCGCCCAGGATCTCGGGTTGCATTTACCTACTACAATTGAATCTATCAATGACCTGCGTGAGCGGGACCTTGCATGTCGGGTTTGGAATGGATGTATTGTCATGGACAGGTAAAATATGGATAGCGGCAATTTTCAATGCGCAACCTAACTCTATGTAGGATTGCCTCTATGACTCTTGGCTGTGCACCCAAAGTTTCCCAAGCTGTTGCAAAATTAGGACAGGATACTTTGGTGCTACACTCAATGGAGTTCGGTGGCACTAGAAACACGGCCCTACCTTCGAAGGCGAAGTTTTACATATCCTTCTGTCAACTACATCACATTATAGGAGACGTGTTGGAGACCTTCTATGACTCCAGTGGTTCCAAAGCCGACCTAGATTCAAGCAGAAATTTCACTAGTGTGAAGTTTAGCTCACCATTATCCTTCGATAAATTCACGAGCCTGTTTAGAATCGAGTCAGACCTATGCAATTGGGCCGAAAGTCTTCACTCGTATTTCCGAATGCCATCAGATCTTGAAGACCCGACGCCAACAAAGCATATCACACGTCAAGCAAACATTTTGCGCGCCCGGTTTGTACCCTGGTACCCGAGAATGTGAAATGCGGACTAATTTTTGTTAAAAGATATCTCTCTGTCCGGCTCCTCCTTTTTAGGCCCTTCCTTCCACAGGTGCACTATCAAAAGGCAAACAATGCTTCTAGTGTCAATTTATACTCGGAAGATCAAATCATTGGAACTGTAGTCTTTCAGTGTCAAATTCAGTGCGTCAAAGCTGCTGAGGATATGATAGAATTCATCATCAGAAATTTACCAGAGCAGACGCAAGCACATATATTACCATCAAATTGGTACACTGTCTCATGTAAGTTACTCTGTAAAATGAGGGACCACGGTGTTGCTAACGATGATGAGATATATACACTGCGGTAACTATCCTGCTTGCTGCGCAAATGTCCCCACAGGTAGTGGAACAATTTTCTCTTGCTCGTTTGAAGGGCCTTTTGCAACAGGCTCGTGAGGTTCTTGAAGAGTATGAAAAGAACAGCACATTGGCTTCAAGGTGCAGCTCCGTTCTCAAGTTGATCCAAGAAAATATTGACATACGTGTTTCTGGGACGGATTACGCTGCCGGAGAAGTTTCGCAAGAGGCAACCAACCATGACAACATAATGATTCAAGATATTACCATGGAACGGCAAGAGCCTCAAAATTATCTAGATAACTTGGCCTGGCTCGACAATTATTCGTTTGATTGGAACGATTGGCCTTTGTTTTTTGCACAGCTGGACGAGGAAACCAGTACAGCTGAAAGATGGGGAATGCAAGCTCAGGTCCGATTAACTGAATACATCAGACCTTTCATTTTTATCCAGAAGATGTGCTGAAATATGTACATTTATGACCACTCGGTCAATACAACATCAAAATTCTAGTCTCAGAATCTTCAAGGGTTTTCCTTTTTCTTTCTCGAAATCAATCACCTTGTTCTTTATATCCTTCATCAGGGCTATCAAGAAGACTTTTCGAATCTTGGTGGTAGAACTGGAGATGTACAACTGTATGATTGCAACATCTAGACATGGAATCCGAACAAGGTATCAACCCTATTTTACATACACTAGTTGTATCGCTACCCCCCAGATCATAAGAGCACAAACATCATCCCAAGGTCTGGCAAATGAACTTCCACCACCAATTAACCTAATTGTCAGTCTGTAGTGTCATAAGTTGCCGCCACCATTAGAACCACATGGTGGCCCTTACGAGGAGCAATCTACAGCCATTGTATATTTCGTGGATGATAACAATGGGGAACCGAAGGTGTCAACCAGCGAGGTGTCATAGTCGAATTGCTCAACTGGACCACAGGCTTCAAGGTGTCCATATGGCCCCATGGCCCATCTTGGAAACTGGTCATGAGCGATTCAGGTCCGGATTCAAAGTATTGGGGGAAAATCCTCTTCCATCCATCCATGACGACGAGAAGGATTTCTATCACAAATTGGGAAGAATTGATAGGACCCCATTGAAACAACTGATTGCTCTTTTCAGCAATCTCCGGAGAGTAAAGACCGATCTCGGGTTCCAGCGCAATTGCGTCGGCTTTCACCAAAGAGCTTGTCACCCGATATGAGCCGCCTAGTCGAGCCCGATCCCGGAGGGCCATAATGGCCCCCAAAGCACCCACAAGGCCGGTTGTCATGTCAGATATTGGAAGCGGTGGAAGAACGCTAGTACCATCTTTGAAGCCCAAAGACCGGCCCATCACGTAAGACGATCCCGAGGCTGCATCACCAATCTGCTGCCAGCCGGGTCTTTCGTGGTATGGCCCGTCAGGGCCATAGCAGTTCTCCTCGACGTACACTATGCCCTTTCCACGGTTGCCGGCCATCTCGAGGAGATCGTTGACGCTAAAGCCCTTTCTTGCGATCGCATCAGGGCGGAAGCCCTGAACAAAAACATCGGCACCCTCAATGAGTTCCCGCAATCGTGACTTATCTTCGTCCTTGTCGAGATCAATATCGATAGTGCGTTTCCCAGTATTTAGGGTAAGCTGTAAAGCCTGCAAATTAATAGTCAGCAAAAAGAAGTTCAAGCAGGAGTAGGCCGGAAATTCGCTACTTACACCAAGGTCGGTCAATCGGCTGCAATTCACGCGAATGACATCGGCACCGAAAGCGGCGAGAGTGTTGCCTATTATAGGCCCGGCAATAATGCGAACCAGCTCAATCACTTTGATACCTGCCAGAGGCCGGCTATCGCCCGCGATATTAGGGAAGGGGGACGGAGGAGTCGGAATTGCATGCGACTGTCGAGAGTAGCCGACTAGTGGGTGATCCGCAAGCCTCTTGCCCATGAGCGTGTCTAACCAGCCTTGGGGAGTAAAGCAGATACTGCCGCAAAAGCCGTTCTTGACGTTGTGCATTTCCAACTCGTCTGCGTTCCATTGCTCCACGTGCCGGCTGATGTAGTCATAAGCTTCATCTAAGGTTCTGGCAGGGTAATCAGGGTTGATTCCCATCGACTGGAGCACCGGAATGGGATTAAGGGAACCGTGAAGTTGATACCAAACGCCGGGAGTCTTTGTTTTGTAGATAGCAGTAGATCGTTGTTTTATCGGTGTGGCCATACAGTCTCGGTCGAAATTCTGCTGAAAAAGGGCTGACAGCTGACGCGACCTGACCAGTTCAGATATGTCTTTCCCTTCCACGGAAGCTGCAAAAATCGTTCCCAACCAAATACCAGCATGATCGGTGTTGACAGTGACCTGCTGGGTACGCGTCAGTGTGCCGTCACGATCTTCGACAATTTCGTGAGCTACAACTCCACACATGGCATGTAGGGCAGCTGCAATAAGAGGGGCCTTGAATGGACCAGGAATGATTGGTAGCGAGCTACCCTCAAACTGCACTGTATCCCAAAGTTCTTTATTTTGAGTGAACCCAAGAGTGTTCTTTGCAATATACTCAAAAATCCGAGCAGTGTCTTGGGGAGCTGGAGTGAAACTCGAATCCATGAAAGTCCCAGGGCCGTAGATATCAGCGCTCGGTGTGGTTTTGTATTGATGAGGCATTGTAATTCAGCAGGATGTTGCCAAACAATCGCTTTTCAAGGGGTAAAAAAGAACGAAGAATTATAAAGGCAAAGACGAAGTAGCCTTAATTGTGCAGCTTCTATAGTCGGACAACTGGTATCACACACCTTTTACGGCCAGCTATTTATACCTTTTCGCATGCCACAGACACAGCAATCCGTGAAAGATATGATCTTTCCGTTCCGGAGCCCTGGAAGCTTCCGAGGTCGGAAGGCCAGAAATGGCACGGGATGTCTCGGCGTTGCCCAGAGAGTGTTTATCTTTCTTTTTTTCTTTTTTCGTTTCTTTCATCCATTGGCCCCGAGGCTGCTTGCCCCATAAAAGCTAAAATGCCTCTATATTGTTGCATCCAATCATGCAGAGATAATTGAGCTCCGTGAACCTTGAATCCCCCGAAACCCGGCAGCACCGTAGAATATTCTGGTCTCTTTCGGACTGGCTTCAACCTCGAAATCGCGGAAGCTAGCAGACGCTTCCGGTGAACAATTTTCTCTGTGAGTATGCAAACTCTGGTTACTCTGGACTTCTTTCGCCACCTCCGGGGCTCATTGACTATTTATTGGACTCACTGCACGCATAATAAATTAGTATAGAATCTCAATTTAGACGCAAAGATCGAAATAAACGCCCAACAAGTCAAAAATCATGACTCTTCCTACTATTAGAACTGTCGGAGTGATCGGCACCGGCGTGATCGGTTCCAGTTGGACCGCATTGTTCCTGGCCAGGGGCTTGAAGGTCATTGTGACTGACCCAGCACCAGGGGCAGATGGCAAACTCCGAGATTACTTGCTAAATCATTGGCCAACCATACCCAATGCCAAAGTGACACAAGACGAATACTTGAATAATTTCAGATTTGTTAAGGCAATCGACACTTATCTTGGGGATTTGGATTTGATACAAGAGGTGAGTTGGCCATCGCAGAAAGAGTTCTCTTTAAGGTTGTTGCTGATCTATCTTTCCATATAAGAATGGACCGGAGAGGTTGGACTTCAAGCGCCGTCTTTTCGCTCATTTGGACGCAAATACCCCTGAGCACGTCCTTATCGCATCGTCGTCCTCCGGTCTCCCTTCATCGGAATTTGTCACTGAATGCGAGAAAAACCCAGCCCGTATTTTAGTCGGTCATCCATTCAACCCTCCACACTTAGTGCCCCTGGTGGAGGTAGTTCCCCATCAAGGAACGGGTGATGCGTACGTGACGGCTGCGATCGAGTTCTACCGAAGCCTAGGCAAAGATCCGGTGCTCGTCAAGAAGGAGACTCCCGGGTTTATTGCGAACCGGCTTCAAGCCGCTGTTTGTGCGGAAGCCTATAGCCTTGTCTCAAGGGGTGTAGTCTCAGCCGAGGACCTTGGTTAGTGTTATCCGTATGATTCAATTTGTGTGACTTGCTCTGACTTTATTAGACAAAACCGTGACATCTGGCCTTGGTCTTCGTTGGGCTTTGACTGGACCTATCATGACCAACACTCTTGGTGGAGGTGGAAACTTCAATCATGTTATGGACCACCTGGGACCGGCGTTGAAAACGTGGCTGTATGACATGCGCCGGCATGAATTTGACGTGGATTCTCAAGATGTCGACGTTCTTAAACAGAAAGTGAATGAGTGGACATCGCGGGTCAACTTGAAAGAGATTGAAGAAAGTCGTGACAAACTTTTGGTTGGCTTGATCAAGAGCAAAACTGAGGGTTCCATCTAAGATCTATAGTTGAGGCAGCTTTTCTTCCTCAGGCAGATAAGGGCCTTACTCCTTGCCTGTTTGATCTTCCTTCTTTTCCTCTATTAGCAGCTAGCTCAATACAAATACTAGTTTCTTTCCTTCGATAATTATGAGAATTTTAGCAGTATAGCAATCCGTGGGGGCTAATTTAGACTGCAGGTAATGTTGCGATAAATCAAATACGGTGGCCTTCATTCCCAAGGTTGAATGCAATATCCTTCATGTCTGGTGTATCGATTAGCAAAATGTGCATGGAACAATATGAATATCACCGGGAATATTGTGTTGACACTTGCAAACCAAAACAGTTGTAGATGACAGTAATTTATTAATATGAATGAGCAAGTTTATGTAGCTTGGCACGGCATAACTAGGTCAGTTATGAAAAACGGGCCTTTGTGGTTGACCGCGGTCTAACTATGCGGGTTTGCGGTGCGGTGCGGTTGGCATTCTGCCTATATCTTTAGCCGTCGCGGCTGGGCTTTGCCTACCCGTGAGCCGGTTGTGGCGAGGTCTAGTCCCTATCGCTTAAGTGGCAAGTTAGACGATATCACGTTTTACAAAACTGGGGCTAGCAGCTCGAGCTTCGGAAGCCGATAGTTCACGGCTTAAAATGTTTTCGGGTTTCCAAATCAAGTGGGTCAACGGAGTAACCGTCGTCATATCCCGAGGCCGGAGCATCCCAATTAGGCTCCCGGCTGTATTTCGGAAGCGATGAGATTTGGAAATCTGACAATCCGGTCGGCTCTCCCGTGCCGGATAATTGTTAATCGACTTGAACAATGGAATATGTTTTAAAGGCTGTGATTTGCCGCCAGTCTACTTACCTATCAACCCCTGCCTGTACAAAAGCTTAATCACTGGATCTCTTTCGATCTCTTTTCATATTCTCTTACAATGGTCCAATCTCGCCTTGCTATGGCGCCTTCGGGTCGAATCTATTTCCTCGACATTGGCATTTCAAATCCAGAACTCAATGGCCGCATTCTGACTTGCCAATCGGATGGCTCTGGTTTTCGCGAGCTGGTTACCAACCTCAGAAGTTTGCCCGACGGAATTACCGTTGACACGGATCGCCAGCACATATATTGGACGAATATGGGAGTCCCCTCTGCCAACGATGGGTCCATACAACGCAGTGATTTGTCCGGTAACAATATCGTGACGATCATCTCACCAGGCCAGACACATACGCCGAAGCAGTTGACTATTGCGCCCAAGTCAAAAATGTTGTACTGGTCAGACCGAGAAGGTATGAGAGTTATGAGGGCGAACATGGATGGCAGTGACATCGAAGTGCTTTACCAGGCTGGTATTCTCGATACAGACAGCCAGGTTGTGCAGAACTGGTGTGTCGGGATTGCTGTAGACGAAGAGTCTAAGTCTGTCTTTTGGACGCAGAAAGGACCCTCGAAGGGGAACGAAGGACGAATTTTCCGAATGGGTCTCGAAAAAGATGGTGATATCCAGGTTATTCTGGACAATCTTCCGGAACCCATCGATTTAGAATTGGACCACGCTTCTGGAACACTGTACTGGACTGATCGTGGTGATCCACCACATGGCAACACTGTAAATTCAGTGGCCCTGTCAGATGTGTCAACAAACAACCTGAAACCAAAGATCCTGGTTCGCAAGCTTCATGAAGGGATTGGACTTGCTTTGGATCTGAAGAACAGCCGCATGTTTTTCGGCGATCTTGGAGGCTCTCTGTACAGTGCCAATTTGGACGGGTCCTGCAAGACCACGATTTTCCCTGACATCGGAGGTGCGATCACAGGGGTGGCCTATGTTGGTGAATAGTTGACGCATTGGCAATTTATTGACTGTGTTCTGATGTCTGTACTGTAAATTTTGTTTTCATGATTTTATTTTTGCTACAGGTTCGCTCGAAATCAGTTTTACCGCTTTATTCTCTTTGTTGTATCTTATATCTTGGCCAGACCCACTATCGTTTATATCTGGCCTAGATCATCTTGGACTGTTGAATAAAAAAAGGGTGATAAGTATCAACTAGCTATATTAGGCCTGGCGTTAATAAAGTAGGGTGTGAGGAACAATCAAAGAGGACAAAATAATGAAACTGATTTTGATCCGCCCTGTACTGTTCGAGCGCCGCCAGGCAGAACCACTAAACAGGCCCTGATGGTCTTATTTAATGCGATCGATCGAGCGTAGTATAAACATAAGGTGGTAACCCTCGTTGCTTTCGATCTAAAAGGGCCTTCAACGGATTCAATAAAGTGACCCTAGACGCTTGCCTTCAGGTAGGGAAAACCCTAACTACAGTGAGAAAATAGATCACGAGCTTTAGAAGCGGCCGCCACGCTAGCATTGGATTTCAATGACTTCCGTCTTTACTTAACAATAACTTAATAGCCATTACGAATAGACTAATACTTCGATGTAGATCTATTCGGCGTACTACCTAGCATTATTCCTCGATACCCTCGATACCCTCGATAGGACTCATCCCGCAGTAAGGCCTATTAGTTAGCACTAAGCTTAAGGAACAGATCATTAAGGTAGGAAGTCTATAGCACGATAAGAGAAGTATCTCCCGATTCTATCTTACATAACTGTGACCAGTTAGCTGTGCGTAACACTACAGGCCTTAACGAGACTCTAACTTCGTTTTCAGGAAGTCAAACACGCTATGTATACGAACACGGATATATACTGTTGTTACGGCCTGCATATCACTTTGCGAGAGGTCGGGGTAAATGAAATTATCCATCCAACCATCCAACCCTGTACTGTGCCATTATAAAACACACTGTTTTCATTGAACTATGCATTTTCCTTACTTTTTTGGGGCAATTGAGTAACTTTTTAAAACATAAGGTCAATATACCCGGCTAAATAACGTGAATTCCAGTACCTCATGGTTTTGAAATGACGACTTCAATATGTCGTTTACGTGTAGACATTAAGCGGATGGCGTAAAATTGGCATTACAGCGAGAAATCGGGTAACAGCGAACTCTTGTATTTTGTTTCAAAAACTATCAAGTCTTAGTTTGAGTATTCCAGTGACATCGTGGGGTTGGAGCAAATTGATCCTTCGCTGTCAACTGAGCAAAGAAGTGGAAAGAAGGGATACAATCACATTTTCAAGGTGAAATATAATGAATGATTGAAATCAGAACCGACTATCACGCATATTATACGTGGGCATTACTTTCTACCCTCTCGGCAGCCATAACCGCTATTGACTCGAGACATCTCGGCCAAAAGGTTGAACTCTGAGCCAATCACCTATGATAAAATATCGGTTGCGAACTATGGCCGAGTGAAGCAGGGTTAGCGAATATCAAACGTAATAGAATTGAGCACATACCATTGAGACACATCTTAATGTAAGCCAAACGCCAGAAGAGGAAAGTCCATTGTCCGCCACTTGCGATATTCATACCTAGCAATGGTATATCCGCAATGGCCCGTTCATTGCCAATATAAGCCAGGCTTCCTTGGTGGATATAATTAAATGCCTTGGCCGCCTTCGGTCCGAGAAGCGGCTGACTGATGTCACCAGCAATATTGTCTAACGAGTGTTTGTCTGCTATTGCCATGGCGTTAAGAAGTTTGCCCAAAAAGACCCCCTGCTGGCTAGCAACCTGGGCTGTTGGCGCAAAAGTGGTTTGAGTACAGTCACCCAGCGCCCAGACGTCACTAGCACCTTTGACACGAAGGTAGTCATCAATAACGAGTCCTCGACGAGAAGTAGCTTGGGCTGGAAGTTGGCCCATGAAGTCCCTCACAATCGGGCGGACTGCATTGCCGCCCGCCCAGATCAAAATTCCGTAAGGAATAATCTCCTTTCGTACAGTGCCATCAAGCTCCCGGCACTCCACTTCGATTTCTGTATCGGAAACCCTTTTAACCATCGTGCTTTTCCGGATCACAATGCTTTCTTCCTGAAAGGTTGACTCAGTGAACTTGATCAATTTCTTGGAAAAAATTGGAAGGACCTAAGAATGGCGATTAGTATTAGACTAGAAAGAGGACATGGTTGCGGTATGCATACCGTTGGAAGGGCTTCAATTAAGGTCACTGTGGGTTTATTCGCCAGTTCCGGGACCCATTTCTTCAGATCGTCTTTGAAGAAGTCTTGCAATTCAGCAGCTGTCTCAATTCCCGTGGGGCCACCTCCTACAACAACCATATGCAGAAGGCGGTTGATTTCTTCTTGCCCTTGGCCCTTGAGGGCAGCTTGTTCGATGCGGCTCATCACTTTCCTGCGGATCTTTTGTGCATCTTCTGCTTCCTTAAGGAAGCAAGCATGGTCTTTCACACCCTCGATTCCTAGGCGCACATCAGCATGTATCCCTCCAGCTTTAGCTTTCAGTGCAATCTAATTGACGTACCAAAGATAGCATTCTCCGCACCAACCCCAACAACAAGCAAGTCGAACGGGATATCACCAGCGGATGCGTCATTGGAGTTACTCTTGAAATGCACCACCCTTTTTTCATAGTTGATATTCGTCGCTTCCGCATCATAGAATTTGACCACTGTGGTTTTGCGGCGTAAGATGTTCCGAATGGGCTCCATCAGAGACCGAGTGTCTAGTAAACCGGTCACGCAAGATGGCAGCAACGGGGTGAAGAGGAAATAGTTGCGTGGCGATATCATCACGATATTGTAGTTTGAAGAATCGATCTCTTTCAGCAGTGATGTCGTTCCCCATCCCGTTCCTAGGATCACAAGAGTCTTCTTGCTGGGATCTGGCTGGAGTTGTTCCCGGAGGTTGTTGAGGTGGTAAATACTGTATACCACAAGTGAAAAGCTTCCAACAAGCGAGACCAATGCGATTCTCTTTGTATTTCGAAAGTTTTGGTTCCGTACTCGCGCGGTGGTTCCAACTACTGGAGTTGGGTCTCCGTGATATTTCAGGCTCAATGTACGCCGGGTGACTTGAGAAAATAGTGGTTGTTTGTTCAATCGGCAAGAACGAAGGCTTTTCGAGTTCAAAACTCGGTGAATAGGAAATCTCGGAAACATAGTCATTTTATTCTCCTCCAGGTCTTACTTTCAATGAAATGTGATAAAAAAACCTCGGGTGTTTCTAGGCTTGCAATAAAACCTTGAATGTTGGCCAGAGATGAACGAATACTCGGTGGAAGAGTCAAATTGATCAGTTTCCTGAATTTTAAATAATACTTGGCCCATGGAACCGCACTACAATCTTGGTACATATATAGACGGCTGATTCTTAGAAAATGAGGTGCTGCCTCAGGCCCTCTTGCCAGAATCGGAACCCCAATCTAGTCATCCGGGATATGGTGTCTCCACCTTCCGATATTCTGATTTGCTTCGGATTCGCTCGGTGCTGCCGGCATGGGTTAGGCAGTGCAGAACTGAGCAGTCCGTGAGGCAATTGTCTTTTTTGGGCTTTTCCAGGGAGAAGCTCCAGAGAGGAGGTTTGGGCGAGACTGAGGTATGCGTCAACCGGAATTTCCATGTTCGGAGTTCCGTATTGTATTTCCGAATTTTAATTAGTATGTATGTATGTAACGCTTTTGTGATGCACTTAAAGGTCAATTCGGTTGTGTTGTATTTCTGTCAACAATTGTAAACAACCAACATGATGTGTGCACAAGCGCGAGGTGTCCTCGGAGGGCTCCTCAAACCAGGTGCTCTTGCCTATACAACATTGTCCACTGCTCCTTATCGGCTCTGGCCTACAGCTTCGCTGCGACAAGATAAGAATGTCAAAACAAGCCACCATGGGCCCTATTTGGCCCAAAAAGCGAGATTCTCTACCTCCAAGCAGCAGTCATCAAAAAGCCTGTTACCTCCACCCGATAGCAGGAAAATCAAGGAAACCAAGATCATCTGGCATCATCCAATGTACACTCCCTTCTACCCTGCGGAACCTCTAACAGTGGCGCACCCTTCATGGCAAACATAAACATACTGAGTATAGCTATAGTTATTCGGAGAAGGACATGCGGGACATCTGCGTTGCTCACCGCGACGCCCGTTGCATGTCTGACAAAGTCGCCCTCAGCCTTGTGCAGTTACTCCGATGGGGTACTGACTTTGCTACTGGATATCGGAACCCCAAGAAAGACGAGGAAGTTGCTAAAAGGTTTGTTATGGATGAAAGGAAATGGTTGATTCGATTCATCTTTTTGGAGTCGGTAGCAGGGGTTCCGGGGATGGTTGGTGGGATGTTGCGACACCTGAAGAGCATTCGGCAGATGAAAAGAGATCATGGATGGTAAGTTCATATGATGATTTATATATTTCGATCCTCGAACTTATTTTGACACCGACACACAGGATCGAATCGCTGATTGAAGAAGCCTATAATGAACGTATGCATTTGCTGACCTTCATGAAGCTTGCGGAGCCAGGCCCTTTCATGCGTCTAATGGTTCTTGGGGCCCAGGGTGTCTTCTTCAATTTGTTTTTCTTGTCCTACCTCATCTCGCCCCGAACCTGCCATCGGTTTGTGGGATACCTGGAGGAAGAAGCCGTGATCACGTATACACATGCTATCCATGATGTGGAAGCTGGAAAACTACCCCTTTGGAACAACCTAGCGGCCCCGGACATCGCGGTCAAATACTGGGAAATGCCGGAAGGGAAGCGTCGGATGGTGGACCTCTTACTTTATGTTAGGGCGGATGAAGCAAAACATCGCGAGGTCAACCATACGTTGGGGAACTTGGATCAAAAGAAAGACCCAAATCCTTACACTGCCGAGTACCATGACCCAAGCCAACCACGTCCAATTGATGGGCCTGATCCAAATCGAGCATACGGCTGGGAGCGCAAGGATGTGATTTAATCTGTCAAAGTGCTATTCATGAATCGGATCATCATTCCACATTACAGCACAACGCTCATTGACGGGAGACTGCTTAAGTCACCGTGACTCCCTTATTGACTTATGAAGTATACATTGGAGTATATTGTGATTCCCACATATAGCCCCGGGATACATCTAGGAGTAGGAGCAGCTCAAGTTTATATAAGGACACTTATTCATCTATCTGGTTTATTTGTTCGTGTTCAATCATAAATTGTTACATGTGTACCCCATTTCACCACTCTCTTCCAATTCATCATTTTTGTGGCTCAATCTTATTTAGCTGCGTATGTTCTCAAAATGTGAGGGGAATTGATTCCTAGAGAACCAGTAAGCCTATTCAAATTATTGGGTCGTTAGGCTTATAGAGTCTCTAGTTCGAGTGCTTATAATAAAGCTTTACTTCAAGAAAATCGGTGAAAAAGTCTGAAGCGAGACAAAATTTTCGACATTCAATCTTTCCTAAATAAATAACAACGTCTCATTATGATATCCGAATGCATACCATGAGCACTCAAGGTGAACAGTGTCGATGACGGCCTTGACCTAACGGACCAGATTCCCGTCATTTTTATACAATGCAAGACCCTAGGTTCTCCTCCAACCCGCTATTCACTGTTATTCACTCGTCAATGTAAGATGGTATAGCCTTATAATGACCAGAAACATTCGTGTCGTCATCAGAATCTCTACTTTAAAAGTGGCCTGAATGAGGGCAGAATAAAGGTGAAAATCAAGTCTCGACATTAAGGCGGAGAAACCATATCTGCTATGCACCGACCTCGGGAGTCAACTGCAAATTATGAACAGACACTGAGTTCCGTGGACGCAATTTTATGATTCTTCTACTTCCAGCCATGGTTCTATTTCAAGCCATAATGTGAGATCTTGGCTACACCAAATGCGCGATTGCTTCGCAATAATATGATAGTTTGAAGACAGTCTTTCCGGTATATCACTGATCTAATCCTGGGCAGTTCTCGCTCGTTTCCGCTGTAATAGTCGAGTAAGGAGATGGGTCAGTCCAAATGATGTTATAACTACATCGAGGTTAGGATATGCTCATGACCGGGTGATAACAGCAGAAAGAGAGACGTTATTGCACATTGCACTAACCTATCATCTGGATATGAAGGTGCGGTTTGATCACCCAGCTCCTTTGCAATATCTGTCAATGCATCGTGCTCCCAGCAGATCAAAATGTTACCTGCCCCGCCGTAATTTTGGACCACTTTCTTGACGCAACTTGGATCGTCTCGATCACAAGATGTATCAATAGTGAATCCAAGATCCTCGGCTAGTGGCTCAACGGTATCGTACGGACGCGCCTGCTTGCCATCTGTTCAACAACATTTAGTGCTTGATTCATGAAAAGCAAAACACGCAAAAGGCGGGGGGATGGAGATCATACTACTCTTAGGCGTCTGTGCCATGATGTACCCAATGTTATAGATAGAACCCTTCTCGAACACCGATCGCAGACACTGTGCACGTTGGACACCCTGGGCGCTTAGTCCGTTGCCGCCATCGCTCGGTTTCTCTCCATGCCGGATCAAGTAGACAGTGGGCGATCCGGCTGTTACCAACGCGGCGGTGGCCAGTAAGCCCCAAGTTGCAGCTATCTTCATTGCCTCAACTATCGGCAATTTAGGCCAATGTAGTTATTGTTGCTTTTGTAATAACTCTGAAAGCTGCGACTGTCGTAACATGGTCTCCTATTTATCCATTTGAATTGGATTTTCAGCGCCCAATACGAGATACGACGCTAGTTGTAGCTCATCAAATTCAAGAATGACGCTGACCAAACGTTTTCGCGAAGACCGAGAGATGCTTTGTCCACGCAGCATGATTCGGCGGTCGATCGCCGGCCTAAATCAGACCTAAACTTCATGGGGGAATTGCAGTGTCAATGCCCCACAGGCGGCAGAAATATCAAAAGTTACACCTCGGAACTCCGACTGGCTGATTGGGTATTTCTCGGTTTGCTTTGTCATGCATCCAAAGCACACGAAGGCCGAGCACGCATACGTAGCACTAAATCATCAGCAAGTTCAGCTTCATAGAAAGTACCTGACTGGGACTGACGCATACTGGGGCACTATTTGGATTAACAAGGGAGGACAAACATGATTGTTTAGACAGCACCCAACAGAAGACCCTGCCGTAACGCACCTTATAAAAAAGGCGCACTTAGAGCAACTTCGCATGGGAGTAATTTTTTAAATTTGGATGTCGAACATACGCAATAATTTGTTGGCGGGCAAAATGTCCCGTTCGAGGGACATCTGCACATACCATCAACACCATATTGGATAGAGGGACACCAAGGATGATCATTAGCGTATTTGAATGTTTGAAATCTAAAACACCGAACTCTCACTGTTGACAGTCTAGAAGCAAAAACAAAGGCCAGTTGCTTACGTACGCCACATGGCCCACAATTCGTCTGGCTTATGTTCAGGTTGGTACATAAGCCCGAGCAACAAGTTGGTTGGTCGTAGCGCACTGTTGGAAAATGTAGAAACCTTGAAGACAACGTGGATAATGGTAAAAAAATGAGCAGAGGAAAAAAAGGTCAAGAAGGCTCACATTGATACTACAAGACCCACAATGAGTAGCATTGGTCCTTGGATTAGTACATGAGCCCGAGCAACAAGTAGATTGCGAACCAGTGCACTGGTATCACACATCCATATGATAGTGATTCAATAAGAATATTGAGTATTATCAATCGAAGACTAAAAGCACACCGTGGTGTTATGAGTTCCGCAATAGGTCCGGCTTGTGTTTAGATTGGCACACGAGCCTTGGCAATAGCTTAGTTGGGTTAATGGGCACTATGGATGTCCATCATATGTTATTGACTACTCCCCGGGTAGAATATAATCTGATGGCTTTATGCTGACTCACAATGATATTACACCATTCATAGTGTAATTAATTCGAATTTAAATTTGCACAAGAGCCCGAGTAGCAGGCTAGCTGGGTACTCAAGTACTGCAACAAGGTTTTCTAGAGAATTTGCATAAACGTACTGGAAAAGTTTCACACGATTCGCATTGCATGGAACTGTTTTGTAGATTGACACAAGTTCCTAAACAGCAGCACTGGGTTCTGTTCTCGCACTAACTGAGATGGGACGTTTGTGAGCAAAAAGCAAATAAGAGAGTTTGATGATAGTGATCAGACTCCCTACATTCTTGTTGCAGGACCCACAGTGTGTCGAATTACTAGCAAGATTTACACAAGACCTAGAGTAACATTGAGGGTGGGTTACGCGGCATAGGTTGTTGATGCAAGAGGTGCTGCAAGAGCCACAGTATTCAAGTTCAGTGCTCAGATCGAGGCATGCTCCTGAACAACAAGCAGAATCATTGGCTATACGCTTATCACGAGAGCAGTGTCAGGGTATTGTAACAGTAAAAGAGTGGGAGTATCCATGAAAAGACCAACTAACAGTTAGGGCATTTCGCTCGGTGTAAAATAACATAATATGACGCCATAGGGAAACAAAAGTTCTAGAAGAAGAGAAAAAAGGTTAGACTACTATAAATAACGAGGTTTTGAAGACAGTATCGGCTACCGTAATTCATCATCTCAGATCCTTCTTGATAGTTCTAAGAGATTACTGACGTTCTCTGTGAAGCGAGATGGCCTTCATTGTTGCCATTTTACTTTCAATATAAGACTGCATGTACGGGAGAGATCGGCTCGTTGAATGTATATTAAGAAGAAGTAAAGCGCAAATTAAAATGAAAATCTCTTCAGTCAATGACTTGGAGGTTTAGTCCAAGAGATAATCTGCGTGTATTTTGGATTTGCCGACTTGAAAAATACGCGATGGAGGACTCCACCTGCAAAGACTTTCGGATTTGGTGCGTTGCATTCTATTGAATGTGTGACTCACGGAATTTATCTAAGCCCTAAGCACTTAAGCCCTCAAATTCACAGCACACAACGATTATATTGACACAGAGAACAAACAAAGTCATGGTGTCCAAGGCTCAAACAGCGGACTTCAGCGCATAGCTTGATTGGGTCCGCACACGATCACTAACTCCAACCGGCACATTATTCTCCAAAAAAAAAATAACTTGCATAAACCTGTTCAGACGGTAATATTTGGGTCAAAGATATGGGAGAGTTGATGCTCACGATATATTCGGACTATTGGAAGGAAACCATGTTGGCAATGCAGAAAGCATTGTTGAGATTTCATTTCAGATGAACCCGAATGTTTGCGAGGTTTGACATAGCAGAAATGCCATAACGGGCGGCTTCGTTGGTTGTGATCCACTTTGCCTCCTCTCCATCACTGAAATAATCTGGCGGGGAGATCTGTGTAATTTTCCAGTCATGCGAGGCGTCATAACCATCTGTATTGAAAAATTGGTCCCATGCTGCTTCCGCAAGAGCTCCGTCCTTTGCCCAATTTGCAGCAAACGCTGTTAGTGTGGAGTGGCTTTGCTTCCATGTGGCTTGCAGAGGGAACTTGAACCCGTACTCTTTGAATTGGACATCATGACTACCGTTATATGCCCGGCAGTATCGCGTCCAAGTAGTCATAAAACTTTCCACCTCGGCGGAATGCTGATCACGCATGTAGTCAAGTACCTCGGCAAATATTTCAGGAAATCCGAATAACATGGACAAATGAGAGATGGCATATTCGGGGGTTGGTGGCGGGCATGCACGAATCTCGCCAGAGCTGGGATTTAACAGTATTGCGTTGGCAGCAATTCCATGTTGGAGGTTGGAGATACCCTGAAGCAACCGCACGAGAAGTTGCTGGGAGTGCAACCATCCTGGCACTCTTCTTTCCCAGTTTGTGAGCCAGGCACCAGCCAAGGCACCACAGTCCAACCCAATATTTGTCATAGCGAATCCATCCGGGATTGTAGCATGCGCCTGAACCTTACGGTGTGAGTCCAGGGATAAAAGGCAGTATTGCATATCCCGAAGTTCATCAATGAGGTCGCTGGTGCGCTCATCTCCTGTCAAATAAAGGTAAAATCGACGATAGAGCACGTTGGAAACTCGAAGCTGCTTTGAGCTATCACTGAAGTGTTGAACGCCGTGTCTCGTCCCAAACCCTTTGAATCTGCCGGAATGGTATACATCAACCTCACCAGTGTGTCTGGTCATGGCCTCCGCGACTTTGAACACATCAGCCCTTCCTGTATGAAGGAAATACATCCAAAGCCATAGATCTGTGGACAGCTCCGAGTTATCCCATGCAAAGCCGCCGACGTCGTATCTCCATGCATGGCGGTATGGATCGTAGGTATGCTGAAAGTCACCATGGTCCCAAAAGCCATACCATCGATTTTGCTCAATTTGTTTGTGATAGTAATTGAACAATTCATCAAGGCGTTGCTCAATATTAATCTCTTTTGACGTTGCACTAACCCCCAGAATACGATATTCAGGTGTGCAATATCCATTGAAGACTCCACTTTCGTGTATGTGCATTGATGTTGGCATTAGCCGTGGTGGATTGCGGACAAAGGAGGAAAACAAACCAAAACTCGTATTAGAAGGTGTAGATTCGTAGCCTCTAAGAAAGAGGACATTGGTTCGCCCTATGCCATTGGCTGTGGCAAATTCTGGCTCATAGTCTTCATATGTCACTTTCAAGGCTTCGAGTTGATCAGAGTAGGAGTCTAAGCCAAGTCCGTTGTGGTATGGGGCTGTGTCCAAGGGCTCGGACAACGGGGAGTAAATCCACATGGTTATGACACCATCTTGCTCATCGAGCTGACTCAGATCTATCTGTGTCGGGTATCGCTCCCAAAAGTCACACATCCCGACTCCCAAACCGCCGAATTCAGCTGATCCCACATACCCTGTTCCATCTGCACGACCACCACCGATAGTCTTTACCCAGGAGCAATTTGGTTTTGTTCTTTTTCTTATCGTGAAACCGTCGGAGGAAAGTTGAGCGAGAGAATATTCTGTCCAGGCTGGAATATGGGACAAAGCCCGCTTCAAATCACTGCCCTCCCATTCCTTCTCACACAGCACAACTGATTTGCCGCAGGCTTGGTCTCGTCGTGTTTGGGTTGTTGGGCCATGCCGCAGACCCGAAAGCCCCTGGACCTCCTCTTTCAAACTTCCACCCCCGGCCCCTCCGAGTCGGACATGACGGTTGTACAACTCAGACCGCGACAGAGGGATCGAAAAACGTATGCCAAGAGAAGTAAGCGGTTCATCTGCGTTCAGATCGTGGATAAAGGAATGAACTATTTTGACAGAGGGTGAGTCCGAATATATGTAGAATCGTAGATCAAAAGGGAGGTGGGTATCAGAGACCGAGGTATCGCACTCCATTACTCCCGAAAGCTTGACGACCACCCTGTTCAAGGTCTGATTTTCAACTTCCAAGCTCGTGACACGTGTTGTGTATTGAACATGGTTAATTGACGCGATCATCGTTGCTCCTGAGCAAATGGTAACCCCGCGCAATATGATATTGCTCGAAACCGAAGAGCTCCCTGGCTTGTGAAACGAGATCTGCAGCCCGTAACGTGATTTCACAGAAATCTCAAGTCCTTTCTGCTCAACCCATACCCCCCTCGAAAGTTTTTTTTTCCATTCGCAGGCTTTCAATGTGTATCCTTCTTGGTAAGTAACATGGCTACTGATCGAATGAACGGTCCATTTCAGAGACCCATCTTCCCAGTATGCAATTTCACGCGAATCAATCGGATATGTGTTGTTCCCAGCTTCGATGACAAATTTCTGACCCGGCATGTGAGCACCTCTCGCCCATGGCATTCCAAACGAGACACCATTGCTTAGTGCTTCTGGGTGTTCTCCGATAAGCCACCGAACGTTTGTGGAAGACATTTTGATCCCTCCACCAAGGCTTAGTCTGAAATTGGGGAATAGTCTGGAATGCGAACAAACGAGCGCCTTTTATCTCCAAGAGATAGTCTCTACCGTTCCCGGAAGCGAAATGGGAATGGCCATTCTGAGTAAGACGCCCTAGTGGCTGATAATGCCCGAAGTTTTCCCCAACGTGATACAAGACCATTATTGCGTGACCAGAAATTCAGCTCGGAGTTCATCCTAACTCGAAATTTGCATCGTGCTGTTCAGATATTGAGCCTCGTCCCTTGAGGGCTACTGGACCTTGAGCGCTTTTACGTGAAAATTTCTAGGTACTTGTTGAATGATCTGCAATAATTTTACTGATCTGAACCCGTGTTATTAGTCACAGAGCTGGATCCCGACCGCAACAAAGCAATCACTCTGCTTTGTCACAAAATCAAAATACACATTAGAAGACCGAACCAATATATGGACGTGAAATCTCAACATGGAGCGGCCCAGGGCTCAATGATAGTCGATTTTTGTGATTCCTCTCGGCTTGCATGCTTGGCGCTATCCTTCATTTCTAGTCAACTTTCTCAAACAGTTTTACAACAGTCATATCTGTTTATACAGGGATGCTTGGGTAATGGGGTGGAAGGCTCTTATTGAAATTACGAGAGGAATGATTCACTCGTTCAAATCCGCAACAAACTCTCCAATTTGTTTATCTACAAACGGCAACAATGATAGGTCAAATGAATCGCACACGTCCTTGTGACAAAGGCTCACATATGGGTAATTAGTCGGCGGCCAAGTGCCGACATCTATTCAACTTGGGAAACACTGGTCTCCTTCTCAGTGGATGTTGGAACAAAGTTCCCTTCCTCTGTATGAATATCTCCAAGCTTATCTGACTGGATTGCTCCTTGTTCAAGCTTGCGTACATGTTGATATTGCACAGTAGTCTTCCAGGGTTTGAGGCCAGGTGTGGTGAACATACTCTCAACTTCCTCGAGCGTCTTACCAGCTGTTTCGGGGAAGGCAAAGAAGACATGAACAGTCATTGCGAAGCAAAATACCCCAAATACTAAATAAGTCTTCCACTTAATGTTCTCAAAGGCTGGAGGTACAAAGTAAGACAAGGCAAAGTTGAAAATCCAGTTAGATGAAGTCGAAAGAGCGACGGCCTTGCCACGCAAGCGAAGAGGGTAAAGCTCCGGAGGATATATCCAACTGACAGGGCCCCACGTAGGCGCATAACTAGCAACGAAAAGGTAGGTGCAAGCGATTACTCCCTTGGCAGCCATGGGAGCATCAGAAAGATCCCATGATTGCTCAGGTGTGTTGTTGAGGCCACCCGGCGGGGCTGGCTTGCCGTATGATGCCATGATACCACCATTGGCAAACATGAAGATCATCATGAGAGTGGATCCAACCAGAAGTGGGGTGCGACGACCCCAACGATCGATGAAAAGCAAGGCCAGAATAGTCATCACCACATTGATGACATATTGGATTGAGGACGCGACAAGATTGGCGTTTCCGGTAAGACCAGCCATTCCAAATACGTAGGTGATGTAAAGCATCATTACATTCATTCCTGTGAGCTGAGACCAAATCTGGGTGAACATTCCGAGATGAGTTCGGTAAAGCATCGGGCCCTTGAACAAATCCAAGTACGATGCATCCTTATTCTGACGTTCAAACTCAACCATGTCGCGGATTTCCTGCAATTCAGTTTGCACAAAAGGTGCGCTGTGGTCACCCTTGGCGTGAACAGAGGCAAGGACGTTGTGTGCTTCCTCCCAGCGGTCCTTCTTGGCCAGCCAACGCGGACTTTCTGGTAGAAGGAAAGTCAAGGCAAACAACAAGGCAGCAGGCACCATTTGGAGGCCCCATGGAGTACGCCATGCCTTCTCTCCAGCTAAGAAGCTGCAACCATATGAAACATAAAACATGATCAAAATACCCCAGGTGATCGCCCATTGTTGTGCTCCAACCACCTGACCACGCTTACTGGGCTGGGCCAACTCAGCAACATAAACTGGAACCTGGGCACTGAGAATTCCAACAGAGATACCATTGATGAAACGGCCAACTACAAGCTGGGCGATTCCAAAGGAGGAGCAAACGATGGCACTACCAATACACCAAATCACCGAGCCTGACTGGATCGCACCACGGCGACCCATCCAGTCAGTTACAAAGCCGGAGATTAAAGCACCAACCCAGGAGCCACCGGGCATTGCTGCAGAAATGCCGCCTTGGTTGGCGGAAGTAGGGCCACCACATTGGCCTTTGTCGTTAACGCCAGTTTGGTTGAAAAAACACTTGTACTGTTGGGTGCCAAGACTAGCCGATCGATCGTTAGTGACTTGTGTTCAAAAGTAGATCTTAGATCTTAGATCAATACATACATGGCAGACATGGAGGCAATATCAAAACCGAAAAGTGCACCGCCAATGACGGCCACCGTGGTGATGACATAGATGTTGGTGATCTTGTACCCCATGATAGATTTTAAGTACCAGATCTGAAGGAAAGGGAAACGAGAGACTCGCAAAACAGGGGGGAAACACAACTTTATATTTATGTGAAACAATAAAGTGAAAAATACATCAAACAGATGCGGGGGGTAACCATGTGTTCCCCGGACAGTATCCTGACTCCTCTCCAGGTTTTTCTCCACAAATCAAAAAACACTAAATTGGCACCGCACAAACACTAAAGAAATCCTGGAGATACAAATCCAATCAAAATCAAGCCAGCCAAAAAAAGATAGAATCAGTATTCCTGGATAACTCTACATAATTTTGATCAGATCACCAATCATCACTCGTTTCTCAAATTAATTTTTGGTCAGATGCCGTCCAACTCTCGAGTCCATGCAACTTCAAGTGTCGTGTTGCAAGCCACATGGTTCCATCGCGTCCGCGCGGGCTCGGACAATTTCCTATTTTACGCAAGGCCTTTAGTAGATCTTTCCATGGTTGGCTAATTTTCAGGGATTCCTTCTAAATCCTAAACAAAGAACTATCACAAACTGACTTTCCACAGAGAGGACCAAGCATCATAGCCGACAGCCGTACTCCGTGGGCGTAACCATGGCTGGCGGTGGCTGACTTGAGGGGGGCATTTCTCCTTGGCAAGGCGCCCTTCCCGTTATGATTTGACGTTTTCTCTACGAGATTTTCAACACGACAGTCCTCATACCCGTCCCATACGCCATCGTACGACCCGAATCGCAGGGTTCCCACCGCTACAAGCAAGTTCGATCCCGACTGGCGTATAATAAGACTTTCAATTTGCTTGAATCTCACATCTTCTACTGACTTATTTGCAAGGGTCTAGGGATCTTGGCACATCTGCAAAGTACCGTATGGCGGCATGGGAGTAACGTGCCCCCTTTTAGAGGTACAAAGGCTCAACCCCCTGATAAATGTGCTCCTGAGGGGTTCATTTCAGAAGGAACTTTGGAAAGAAAATATGGCTGGTCAATACTGTTTCATCATTGGTTTTTCTGACAGTAAATAATACCAAAACCTACCTGTGTTCCTAGGTAGGTTCCTTGCATTGGGTACCAACCAATCATACTTACTTTGAGGCAATATTGTCTTGTTGCATGTATTGTTGTGACACTATGCCACGCGCGTCTAAGCTTCCAAGTCTGACAAGGGCACTAGGGCAATGCCGACCGAGTCCAAGACGTTTGATCATGTGTTGCTAAATATACAACTGAGAAACCTACCTGCCTTCTTAGCCCATTGTCTTGAGCCCCTCGGAACTTTTTCGTGTCTGTAATCGACTTCGAAGCATAATTCCGTTAATGAGATACTGCGCTAGCCGGATATGTTTGGAGGCTAGCGCATAATGCAGTCATAATCTCTCAATCCGGTTATAGAAACGTCCTGGCCGAAAAGAAAAGGCTTATTGTCTGATCTTAAGCCCGAAGCCCGCATGGGCGGGGTTAAGGTGAAGGTGCTATTACCGGGTAAAAAAATCGTTTCTGTGGTACCTCGGGCATAATAAAGAGCGCCTCGTATATTTTATGTTTTCCATCGCTGTCCTTAAGATTTCAAAGCTTGCCTGGGTAGACTTAGGCTCTTAGCTATTGTTCATAACTGTGATAGCGTTAGCTGTCTTCTGCACGACTTGCGAATGGACCATGCAACCTGTAAATTTCTTTTCTTCATTTCGCTCCTGGGCTTCGATATATTTGAGCCGATACTGCTCGTGGATGACTTGGTGGTTGCACCTCTAATTAATCTCAGCGAACGGCTTCCAGCTCTCATTCCCCCATGCTGCAGTCTAAGATTTCTCGTTCAAAGGCACGACGTTAATACCGGACGGATACTTCTCTTTAGTAGATTTTCCCTTAGCTTTTCTCCACGCTCAGTTCTGCGGGAGGTAATAGCAATTATTGAGAAAGGCTTTTTTTTTCGTTTTTGGTAAGGAATAGAAAAGACAAAATCATTAATCAACAATCAACAACATACCGGAAGGCAAATCATGCCACTAGCAGGTATGCGTTCTTGTGAAATGGTCCTATTCTCTAGGGCAATGGGATATCTTTCCATGGTTCGCTCGCTTTTGTTTTACTAGGTTGAAGTAGTACAAGGGCTGCATTGGCCTCGCTGCACACTACAAGCTTATCTACGGAAAATGTTCTCACAAGGTTCAAAGCTCAATACCTACCTAGGTACAAATGTTATGCTTCGGGGTAGCTATGTCCGGTCTGTGCACTATAGCTTTGATGGCAGTCAGACCCTTCCCACATTGGGTCTCATCACAACCATACACTAACTACTCTGTATGCTTTTTCGAATTTCTTAAGTCCCTTCATATTCTGGATATAATAAAGTACTAACTTGATGCTTGTGATGGATCTTGCATTCATTATTGTGATTACCTTCCAATGGAAATATATATATATATACATATTTGTGTAAATATTCACCCTTCACCAATATTTGGAGGTTCAGTTAGAGGTTCAAACACGTTTCTGCCTGTAGAGCTCATTTTTGGTACCAAAAATTTGATGATTCTGAGTTCATTTGATTAAAAACCCAAGACTTAGGTTTATTTACGGAGTGATGGATGCCCAAATGAATACGAGAATCTCTGACGATGTGGCGCCCGGGATCGAGTTGTGGCGGCCAAAGGGGCTTCTACTGAAGTTCTACTGGAATTCGTAATCTTACCTTCCAATCTCTCCTCCACTTAACTCTTTCTCTCTTCTCTCTTTTGCATATAATGGGCAGACCTGACTTGCCTTCAAATCCAAGCGACCTCCATGCACCCCACCCTACACAGAGCATGACCCCCACATTACGGGGCAAGTTCGCGGATATGAAACATCTACTGAATCTAGCACGGGCGCAGCCACCATCAAATTCCCACCCGCTCTTAATAGATATTTCCAATGGAAACTAACCACCACATTTCATGTCGGACCGACCGCGGAGAAAAATCTCTACGCGGTAGCCACGCACGCAACTGTTTTCAATAACAAACCATCGGTGGTTCTCCATGATGGTCCAACCAATCAGGACACGGTTCTGGCAATGGCGCGTGGTGACAAATGGGGGTGGAACAGACCCATTGCGATAACTCTGCCTCTTCGGCAGGCTACGCTCATGATGAGGATGTGGTGGAATCATTAATGCCCGAATCGCGCAAAAAAACGTCACCTACCTATACATTTGAAGTACATGTCGGTCCAAAGGGAACAATGCGAGAGCGATTTGAATGGCGGAAGAGCCGTGGCAACGAAATCAAAGAACTTGCGGGTCATTCATACGGATGGAAGTTGGTACGCTTGGCCGGACCAGTGAACAGTTTAGATGGGAGGAGCAGAAAGGAACGAGAGTATGGTTATACAAGCGATGGATTAGAGGTTGTGGCTCTCATCGCACATAACGCTTCATGGAGCATGAACAAAGGGTTTCGATTCGCCTCTATGGGCAGCGGGCTGACGGGTACCATGGGAGAAAATTGGGTGATTATTGTGGTTACTTCAGCTCTTCAGCTGTGGTATATAGACGTCCAAGGTAACGCGGCTACGACCTCCGCTGCAACTACTGCCGCGACTTGTTGAATTGAGGAGTCAAAACGCTGTGTATTTGGGCGTGATTGGAATCTACGCTTTGATCGTCTGCAATCTAATGTTGTTTCAATGCTCGATGTAATTCTTTTTCATTGGCTTTGGGATTTGATTATTCGGGGTTCGGCTCGGATATTTTGCGCTTTGAAGCTCAATAGGATCTAAAGCGATGTCCAACAGTGGATTCGATAGGTTTGACGGATAGATATTCGCCAAGTTGTGCACATCAATAGGAGACCGTCCTATTGATGCTTTATGCTCTGACTAATAAAGAAAGAGATCGAGAAGGCCCACAATATAGATGCCTTGATCGGTGGGCAATTTAGCTCCACGCGAAGCTTGTGATCTAGTCAAAAGCACCAAGTACCAGAAAACAGTTGGCAAAATGGTACACATATAATGCGGGATTATTGTCCAGAGCCTCAAAGAGATGCAATCAAGGTCAATTTTGTAGCCTTGACTCATTCTACATGCATGTAGTCCAAATCCCACAATGCGATACAATGCGGTCTTAGTGGAGCATCCGCTGGCACTTTTTCCTGCTTGGAAATTAATAGCATGCAAGTGCCGCTATCTGCGGGAATGAGCAACGAAATTCCCGAAGGTGACGATCCTTTCATGATGGTGACCCGAAATCCATAATAATTGCATGTGAGTTTGATCGCTATGATCTACAGCGGTAACCCAAAGATTTAAAAATAAAACAGTCTAGTGTCAATATACTGCAGTGCACTGATTCCATGGGTTGAAGTACGCTGTACTACATACAATGCCTAAGCTCGTCAGATCCCACCCTCGCGCATGCACCGACCCTAAAGTTCACAAAAAGAGGATAAATGTGGTTGTGTTTTTCTTCTTTTTGGAATTTGGCTTCCTAGTAACTGTTTCAACTTGGATTTCCCGATAATGCAATGTCCTTGTCGCCAATGCCAGTCTTGTCTCATCATTATATTAAACGATATGATATACCCAGTACAACCGGTGACTGTAATGATCGACGAGACTTGGAAACCATATTCAGTCTGACCCACATGTGCAAGTGGGCTCTTTGATGTCAGTAGTCAAAAATGCCCACCCTCGAGGGTAAAGCGGGACGCTCATTAATGTGCAATGTAAGCGATATGTATAATAATTCGATCCGGCCCGGGGCGGGATCCAATGAACATGACATTTGGATCGGCATTCGAGCCGAGAATGAAGCCGATGCTACTAGTATAGTAAACGGTCAACGACAATGAAAGATTTAGAATTTTTTCGGGGGGGCATTCACGGCCTCTCGGATTTGAGTAATGAAGATCCACTGGGCTCATAGTGTCCCAACATTGGCCGCCGATGTGGATTCGATCAAATTTGATCTTCAAAAAACCACAAAAAATCCCGGGTGGCCAACGAAGATTTTCATTCAAATGCTGTGAGCGAGCTACTTTATTTTTTTTGCTTTCAAAATAATCCCCGCAATTTGGATATTTAGTCCTCAATACTGTTTAGTTTGTCGCCGATTGACTGTTCAAGCTGAATATCTCGCTATGGAGTTGGCACTGCCCAATGACGTACTTCTCTTGATAGGAGAACAGCTAGAGCGAAAGACGGACCGGTGGAATCTCGTCTTTGCGTCTTCCAACTTCCATAACTTGTTTCTTCCGCTGGTCTACCGAGAAGTTCATATCCACAATTGGAGAGACGCTAATTCCTTTCTGCACGCCATTTTACAACGACCAGGTCTTGCAAGGGCTGTCCGAAAGCTAGATCTCACCAAATGGCAAGTGCAAAGTATGTCTGATAATGAATACCACGAAACTGAGAATTCTGCCCTGTTAATCAAATGGGTGACTGCCGCATCGCATTCTCGGATTGAGAGCCAGCGATGGATTGAGTGCCTTGCCAAGGGCCTGAGTGACGCCTGGATTGCTCTTATTCTGCCGCTGTTAACCCAGCTGAGAAAGCTTCACTTGACCTACTCGACAATTTCACCTTACTTGGAGCGGATCATGCAAAGAGCAGTGGACTGTGAAGCCCCATTTGCTGCCCAACCAGCATTCCGCTATCTCAACAAGGTCTCGTTGCACCACCAAGATTTCGACAATAGGGATGATTGGGACAGCCCGAGAGTGCAATCTCGCGCCCCTTCCAAACTTTTACTACCCTTTTTCCAGTTGCCATCCGTCCGTGCAATCACAGCCAACTCCGTAATGGATCCTAGCTCTATCCCCACGGGCGCTGAGCGATTGGCAGAAGACGATAGGTTGAGGGTTGGCTTCTCTTCCATCACTGAGATTGACCTCCGTGCCAGCAGCGGAAATCATGGAATGGAAATGCTTATCGCCTCATGTGCAAACTTGAAGTCCTTCAAATATCAGCACTCGGATTCTCACATCTTTTCTCATGGCTACCAGCCATCTGCCTTCCATCGGTCTCTGCGTCACAGCAAGAAGAGCCTTCAAACTTTATGGCTCGACAATTATGGCAGCCATTACCCTTTCACCGCTGCTGGATTGAATCAGTCTCAAGATGAGTGGTTTGGCTCTCTCGTCGAATTCATCGCCCTGCGAGAAGTGCGTGTGCGACTTACCAATCTTCTGGACATTCGATACCAAAACGAGCCAAGCACGCCTCTCATAGAGTGCCTTCCATCCTCGCTGGAAACGTTATACATTGAAGGTTGTGAGGAGCGATACCTTGGCATGCTTGTATCGCAATTGCAGACAGTGATCAAGAATCGTCTTGGTCGCTTCCCCAGGCTGAAATGTGTTGACATCGAGGGCAAATTCCAAAACGTTCCTTTGGACGATGACGGTCATCTCATCACCTCGGGCCCAGTCCTTGACACTGCGATCAAGGACAAAGTGTTCCAGGCTGCAGAACCTTTGCACATTGACTGTGTACATGCTGGGATAGACTTGCATTTGCATGACCGAGCCCTTGAGCAAGCTTGTTCATCTCGGGGCTTTTAGAACCTATGCCCTTTGCCATATTTAACCCGCTCTCTTTTTTGATGATACCACTAGAAATCTTTGCGTCACAAACATGTTTATACAATTCCATTTGTACCTTCAGGATTGTTGAGATATTAGACGACTTGTTATTAGACGACTGCCATAAACTGATTTGAACATTGAATGAGGTCATGAATCATTTATTAGTCCTTCGATAAACTTTAGCATTGGGATAATGTACGAAGACCTTGAAGCTCCCTTTTGACACTGCGGTTATCCCTAGAATGGGGTATGATTGGCGAGTTTCGTACGAACACATTAGAAAAGTTGATTCAAAGACGTGATCTATTTTCATTCTAGACTGTGACGCTCGGAGGGTATGTGGGGAGGGCATATCTAAAGAGACGCAAGGACCGCATCGGCACCGGATAACTGTTCACGAGTTCATTAGCCACGCAAAATATGAGGAGTGTACGATGAACCTACCCTGACCGCACCTCTTTCGGTTTCAATCTTGGCATATCGGACCGTACCATGATCGATGACGATGGCATATCGGCCTGTACGACCGGATGCCTCATCAGCCCAGCCAATGCTCTTTGAAAACTTGGCGTCGGGGTCAGAGAGAAACAGCTGTTCATCAAAATCAATAAATGGATCCTTGAAACGTCAGAGTGGGGCCTCACTATGTCATCCCGTTGAACACGGTTTGCCTTGCCCCAGGCACTCATCACGAAGGGGTCATTGAAAGCAACAACTGCGACAATGTCCACGCCCTTCTCGCGCAGTTTTGGCAGGTTCTGGATATATCCAGGCACGTGGTTAACGGAGCAGGTAGGAGTAAAAGCACCTACATCACAGACACGTTAGCTTTCCCGACTCCACAAGAATGACATGAACTCACCAGGAACCGAAAACAACACAACTTTCTTGTTCGCCCACTCCTTAGATGCGTTGTAGTTGATTGGGATGCCACAGGAAGTGATGCTATCGCTTTCCTCGCTCCAGGGAATGTACCTGTAATAATACTATTGTCATTTGTCATTCTTAAAGGGAACTTTGGATTACTCACGTAAAGACAATGTCGCTAGGAAAGGCGTCACCTGATTTGAGGGTAGTCATGATGAGAATATTAATTGGAACTAGTCTGAAATCGAAACAAATGAATAAGTGTGATAGGGATGGAAGAGAGGGGTAGTGGGAGAGTTGAAGAAGAGAAGCTCTGGCGAGCGGTCAACAACGTCCGGGCTGAATAATGAATAAGGTGATCGGAGACCGCCGACCCCTCGGAAAGTTCCCCTTTCTATTGGTTTTAACTGGTATAGTCCGCTTTATATCCCTTTTTTATGTTTATATTTGCATTTTGTATACATATGGGCTTTACGCTTGGGGAATGCGATCATTTGATTCGAGGTTCGTAGAATTCAAAATCTCGATACATCCCCATGCCTCAATTTTGGTCCACAGAGGCCACAGGGAAAACACAAGGAACCACGCAAGTCAGAATTGATGGATTCGCCTTTTGAGCTTATCTACACATTAAAATTTTGGCTTCATACAGACAATCTATCCAAAATGCCATAATAATGTCCGAAATCATCAACTGATCGCTTGGCTTAGTTACCCCTTATTTCATGCCAAAATCTTTAGAAAACGCCGCCAAACCCATTTCCGAACATGTCCCGAAGAAAGCCATCAAAGTCTTCCTCATTCAGACCCTCTTGAATATACGTAGACCCTGACGTCAAAAAAGGGTCATGTTCTGATATCAGTGCCTCAGGTGTCGTCGCATCAAGAGGTTGATGCGGGGTTACTGAATTGGGTTCAGGATCATGAGCCTGATGCTGAGACAGACTTGATTTCAGCTGGGGAGGTTGTGGCAAGGCTCTCAGTAGGCGCGCCATTCTAACTCTCAGGATCACCATGAGATGCTGGCTTAGCAGCCCCGCCATCGGCGTCGTGGCGCCTACAACTCCTAAGCATGTGGCAACTTGACTCACCAGAGCAAGAAGCTCTACATCGTTCCCATGTGGCCCATACAATGCAGGGAATATTTTCAGGGCCAGTACACAGCCATATGCAATCATCGCCCAGGTCGGGGCTAACAAGCAGTATAATGGTTCACCAATGCTGTTCAGATCCAGCACAGCGAGCTCACAAGACTCCACTGCAGCTCTCAAGCAATCTGATCGAATGGCATCCAGATGTTTCCCCCCATTGATGGCATTTTCAAGCGCAAATGACAATGTCCAAAGCCTTCCATGGAAATAGACCCAGCGAAGAAAGACGTTGGACAGTTGCTCAGACGATGTAGTCTTTTCTGGACTGGCATCTAGCCCTGAAAGCCAACATTCACGCCAAGACTTCAGAGATCTATCGATAAATTCTTGAACCCAATGTGGATTTGAATGTACAACATGGGACTGATTTTTGAGTTCGCTTTGCAATAAAGCTAAGCCCCGCCTCAGAGCGATGAATGCACATGTATATTTATCTGTAGCGTCAGCTAGTGGGTGTAACCACCAGATATCGATACTTCGTGTCAATTCTGTCTCTGGAAAAGCGTGGGTTCTACCACAAGTCGCACTATTCGCTCGCTCCCATAATAGAATCCTTAGCCACGTTCTCTCCCGATTACGTGATAATCGAGGAACTTGATCTGGGCATTCTGTCGTATGCGCTGGTAATGAAAGTATGGGGCCATCGGAGCCAACTGTTGGGGATGCCGTATCCCATGGCTTGAGCCGCGAAGCACCCGTTGGACTCGGAGAATCAGTATAACCGGGGCCAGGTTCCTGGTCTAAACCAAGCTCAGTTGCAACACCAAACGCATACATTGTGTAAAGCCAAGAACGCTCCTGCGCAAGAGTTGCTGCAGGTGTCGCGGATAACAAGGAAATATAATAACCTTGCACTATTTCCACAGACTTATATCCGGCAGTATGAACATGCCGTGACAACTTTTCACCATGCAAACGTAATCTTTTAGCAATAGCTGCCGACCCAAAATCGAATTGCGCAGTCAATGCCAGAATCCATGTGAACAAAAGGGCTGATCGCGAACGGACGAAAGTTGGACTATGAAGTATCGGGTCCAAGATCCCGTTCACCGGGTGCAAACGTGCAAAATATCTAGAGAGAATCAGTCTCATGAGAATTAACAAGTAGACGCAAAATGTTATTCCCTACACTGGAAATAGACGATATGCCTCTTCCATAGTCACTAGACCTAGGTCGACTGGATCCACGTCTGAACCGACATCTCGTAAAGGTGGGGACTTTTGAAAATAGTTCGAGTAGCACGACGGCTCGACGAAAGGCGAAAGTAGCGTATTTATCCCTGCCTTGAGTGCATCTTTATCTAAATTGTGTAGGCCAATTGACACATGATTTGGTTGATGAAGTAGCTGATCGCTAAGGCTGATCCCATTGGTTAGGCTGGTCAATGGTTCGGCAGTGGAGGGGTCCTTGGTTGAAGTTTCTGGGAGATTGGTGGAATGAGGATGCAGTTCGAGAAATTGTGCTGCATCTGATGCATCTGCTAGCAACGCTAAAGGATTGCTAGTCGGCTCCCGGTTGAACTGAGGTACTTTATCACGACGAAATACAGATGTAAGAGCATTTCTTCCCACATCCTTACCATCAGGGTGAGTAGAGGTCATACATGGAACGAAGGGTGTCCGGGTTTCCGCACCATAGGTTTGGTGCGGTAGTTGATTTGGTTGTCTGAAGAGTGGGATGTCCAGGGTGGGATCTCCAGTAGCAACCATGTTGACGCCTATCTCTTCACAATCTTTCGACACATGGGGGGTTTTTGATTTTTTCAGTTCAGATTGCAAATTTCGAAAAGCCTTTTCAACCCCATGATAGCGGCCTAGAGCCCCTCGCTTCCTGCCAAGTGGCCGGGATTCTGGAATTTTACAAACTCTTTTGTTCCGTGTGCATCGTTCACATGGCACTGACTGATTATTATGTGTTTGCGGTCGAATACATCGCATCTAATTACCATTCTTAGCAGCCAACTCCATGCGTGTTAGAACATTTTCGTTACCTTCAATCTGCGACAAACCTCGCACGCTGGGATAGCAGTTAGATTACGTCCTGTTGTGTTCTGATCCCCGGAAGACGAAGACATGACTTTTCCAACTTGAATGCCCTGGTGTCGAATGAATGAAAGCGGAGCGAAGTCCAAATAAATGCTAAGCATCCAGTCACGTGGGCGTGATGCCTCAGGTGTACAAACAAACCAACTTCCTTTCGTGCAGGAACTATTCCTAGATGATTATTCCTGTTCTATGAAAATCAGTCAGAATTCTTCTTTGTTTGTTCCTTTCCCCCCTTCTTTCTTGGTTGTTTGTGTGTGTTCGATACGTCCGGTCCATTAAAAAACCGACCGGCGGATATTTAATCACCCGGAGCCTCTGCACACCTGTATATACTCTGCCTCTTCCTTTCTTTCGGATTTAAAAATCGTTTGATATACATCACCAATCTCGTTCATTGAGAAAGCTGCAAACATGCCTATCTCCCGACTTTCATTGGGTGATCATGAGTTCGGTATTGCCACATTGTCTCTCGGGAATTGGAGGGAGCATCGCTTGCAACCTCGCCTAGAAGCAGCAGCAAGGGCGGGATATCTGTGGATTGATCTCTTTGATGAGTGCTGGGCCGCATACTTGGAGGAAAATGGGTTATCAAGAGAAGACCATCATATATGGGAGCCAACCCAGGAGAATCTGAAGGTTGCGCAGAAGTTGGCGGGTGTTGTCAAGTCCCTGGGAATGCGCATTGCCTGTACGCAGCCTCTTCGAAAGATTGAGGGTATCAAAGACCCTGAGGAACGTCAGGCTACCCTTGATCTGGTAGCCAAGCGGTTTCCATTTATGCGAGCCTTTGACACCGATCTTGTCTTTATGTGTGCAAATATTCGCAAGGACAGTGGTGTTACATCAGACCTGGCAGTCGTCGCTCAAGATCTAGCCCAACTTGGTGATATGGCTGCGGCTTATGCGAAAGCTGATGGTGGCCCTATGTTGAGGATCGGGTATGAGGGCCTTTCTTGGGCAACCCGAAACACATGGTCTTCGTCATGGGAAGTGGTTCGATTCGCCAATCGCCAAAATGTCGGCTTGATACTAGATGCCTTCAACATTCTTGCCGTCGAGTTTGCGGATCCATACAATGTTGCTGGTCACGGGCGTATATACCCAACACTGGAGGAATCCCTCGATGTACTCACAGAATCGCTTGTCTCATTGGTCCTCACGGTGCCTGGGGATCGGATCTTCTTCTTTCAGTGTGGGGATGCGGAACTGGTGAACCCAACAAGCTTTCTTCCTCCCTCTGATCCGGACACTCCATTGCTGCTTCCATGGTCGCGAGGCCATCGTCTATATCCGCTTGAGCAATCTCGAGGCGCTTATATGCCAGTGGAACTCGTTGGAGCCGCCGTTCTCGGCACTGGATACCAGGGTCCAATTTCACTTGAAGTTTTCAATACATCTTTAGACCAGCCCGGCCAAATGGTTCCTACAGATCATGCTATGAGAGGACTGGATGCCCTTCAAGGCTTGATGGAGACTTCAAAATCCATTTTTGGATTTTGGGCAAACAGTGTTGAACGCAAGAAGGCGATCAATCAGGTAGTTCAAAGACTCCGGTCAAGCAATCACAAGCTGTGACTATGACTCTATTAGAATTATTTTGTTGAAGATATGAAAGCGAGTCTACCGAGATTAAAAGCACAATTCCCATATATATGGGCAAGACTAGCTAGCACGCCAGTGGAACAACTAGTGTTAGGCGAAGTTCACCGTGAAATTTGAATGGATGATCTAAGAACTACCCAACTTACCTATGTTACAAATCAAGTCAAAAGTGATGGACCTTGATCGCCATTTCCTTTAATATTCGGACATTGGGTATGTGCCGTAATGCCTAGGTACTAACCGTGGCTAGGTCCCGAGGTCATATGGCAGCTTTAAGTGCTGTTTGAACCGGTCATTTAATCTGAAAGCCGGGCCCGGGGGGTAGATCAACCCGGATCACCCGTAAATTAGTAGTTACTACAACAGTATATAACATAACCATTGAATGGCAACAATCACAACATTCCTTTAAGTTTTACTTTTCACTCTTTGATGCAGGATCTTCTCTGCCTCTTTCAACATCTCTCACCCCTATTGAATTACACCAACAATCCATGGAGATAATCAACGTCGATGTTCTTGTCTGTGGAGGAGGGATGTCTGGAATGGCATGTGCTTCCTTTGCGGCGGAAGCAGGTGCCAGAACTTTGGTCATTGAGAAACAAGGTGAAATCGGCGGTTCTTCAAATTATTCTGCAGGAATGTTGTAAGTGGAAGCTTGTTCGCCGATTCACGGGCTCTTCGTTCCTAATTTGACTCCTAGTTGGGCCCCGCAAACCTATGAAAAACTGAGAAATTGGGTTCCACAGGGCGATCCAATTCTGCAGAAGGCATTCCTGGACGATTATCTTCCTGTTGTACAATTCATGCGTGCCAGTGGGGTCCCAATAGCAAAGAGATTTGATGGTATCATGACAATCGGTAGGATTTCCAGTGATGATAATGCTGAAGTAACATTCCATTGACAAATTATAGGCATCGGGTTCCCGATTGAGATTTCTTCCCTCCATAAACTCCACCGAAAACGCATTGAGTCAAGCCGAACATCCTCCGAGATCCTTATCAATACATCCGTAGTGAAGCTCATTCAGGAAGAGGCAGGTGTAGCGGGATCACCTATCACTGGTGCCATCATATGCAAAAAGTCTCCAGGTTTTCCAGCTGTGTATTGTGAAATCAAAGCCAAAATCGTGGTTTTGGCCACCGGTGGGTTTCAAGGCTCTCCAGATTTGGTATCAAGATACCTAGGACAAGGCGGCAACAAAATTTTTGTCAGGTCTAATCGTGGGTCTGTTGGCGATGGACTCAAGCTGGCACTTGAGGTAGGTGGGGGAACTAGCAGGGGAATGAACAGCTACTATGGCCATCTGCTGGCAGCCCCACTTCAATCTGAAGATGTCAACCCTCGCGATTATCTCCCACTTGCCCAGTACCGTGAGTTTGAATTCTGATTTGAACTTCAGTGCCATCTAACGAAGCTACAGAAAGTAAACATTGTCTTCTAGTGAATGAAGCAGGCCGGCGGTTTGCAGACGAGAGTATGGGCGATGAAATCATCAACCAGTACCTCGCCAGGCAGGAAAATCGTCGGGGCTTTCTGATTTTCAGGTATATATTCCCCGTCAGAGCAATTTTGGAATTATTCTAACGCGTAACAACTGAGTTCAGCGAGAAAGTTCGTCTTCAACACTGTGTCACTGCGCTTTTTCCCAATGCAGGAGATGTTGATCGCTTGCAGAAAGCCAAAGAGCACGGTTGTAATGTCGGTACTGCATCAACATTGAAGGGATTGTTAGATATCCTTCATGAGTGGGGCGTGGATCGTGTGCAGGCGGGCCGAACTATCGAGGAGTATGACCGAGTGGTACGTTTGGGTGACCGTGATCTTGCCTGTGATGCTTCTATCGGTGCTGGTGGCTCCGTCCCAGCGCCTCTGGTAGAGAACGAAGGTCCTTTTCATGCCATGGAAGTCCAACCATCGTAAGTTTCCACAATTCTATACTCTTTGGGCTCCAATTGACTAAAAATAGGATCACCTTCACCTATGGAGGGATTTCAATCGACTCGAAGGGACACGCCTTAACGGCGGATTGTGCCAGAATCCCTGGACTTCTTGTTGCAGGTGTTGATGCTGGAGGTTTCAGTAACGTTGGTTACGCTGGGGGCCTTGCTCTAGCTTTTGTGACAGGTCTTTGGGCCGCCCGAGAAATCGCACTGCAGTTGGGTTTGCCTCAACCTGTCCTACCCCCTGCCAATGTTCGAGATGGGGAGGATCTACCTATTGAGGCCCTTTTGTAAAATTCAATTTTGGTTTGGGGTAAACCCTTCGCATTGTGGGATATTGGATGTGTCAAAGTTCTCTGACATAATAATCTAGATGCATTCTTCAAATGAAAGCTTTCGCAAAACCATACCGCAATTCCCCCGAGGTCCTCATTTGGTTCTCTAATCTCCTTGAGCGTCCTCCTTCATATTGTCATTCCTCAATCCCTCAATAAACCCTCTTTCTAACTTTTTTCTTCTTCCATCTTTGATCTTCGATCCTTTAAACACCTACCTCATGAGACTTGCATTGTTGGTTAACGATTTCTTCTATCTTTGCATGCATGACTAATTATTACATGACCCTTCCAAGCTTTTCACTTCTCTTAGACGCCCCCAAAGCATTTCGCGCTTTGAACTTTTCATTTTGCCACCAGAACACCACGGTAACGCATCTTACCTTCCTCCAATGTTTTCAAACTTTCTCTCACTCCGTCTAGTGTCATAGGGAATGTCATTTTGACTGGCTTGATTTGATGGAAGGAAGCAAACTCAAGCATGTCACGGTGAACCTGACGCGAAGCAACGATGCCACCTTGAATCCGCAAACCATTGGCCAACAACGGCATATATGGGATTTTCAGATCGTTAGAATCCACCGAGAGAGGGGATATCACTCCGGATGGACTCATGTTTGGCAGATACAATCCCCAATCAGGCTGGCTACTCGTGGTAACTATCAGGTTGTCGATAGGCGCTTTGATCTTCAACTCTTTTGCGCCCTTGGTAGCATAAAATTCAGTGGCGCCGAGGCTCTTCGCTTCGTCTTCTTTGCTAATGGTTGTAATCGTGTTAGATCTCTCATCTCTGCAATCGACATATTTCACCCCTTACCTCGTAGACCCCGAAAATACGATCACTTGACATCCCATGCGCGCTGCAAATTGGATTGCGAGATGTCCCAGACCACCTATTCCCACGATACCAACTCGAGAGGTCGGGCGGACTTCAGCGACGTGAAGCGCGTTGAATACAGCTGTGCTATGGATCAGTCTCATCATATAGCATGGCAGGTTGGAAACATACTGGATCCACCACACATCAAGGGGCCGGCGTCCTCGTTGCTGATGCTTTCGGGAATCTTGAATAGGAAGGCTTCCCGCCAGACAGCGTGGCTACCAAACGAACCCTGATCCAAATTGGCACTTCCATACATTTGTCGCTCTCGACACATGGTCTCCCAACCAGTCAAGCATGGCTTGCAGTGGCCACAACCTATACAAAGTTGGCATTGGTTACCGGAACCAGTGAGCTGTTGTTGATGTGGTTGTGCTTACAGTCGTGTTCATAACCCCATCCCACGCGATCGCCTTTTCTCAGAATGTGAGCGTCTGGTCCAGTCTCCTCAACTACGCCGGTTCCTTCATGACCCAGGGCCATATCAACCGCTTGGTAATGAAGATCTGTGCCGCAAACGCCGGAGTGGGTAATTCGAACGAGTACATCGTCCTTCTTGAGGTCCTGTCGCTCAGTTTCCGCTTGCTGAATGGTTCCATCCTTTGAACCTTTGTATACAGTGAACTTGATGGCCATTATGGGTGAAGTTGAGTGCAGAGATTATGGGTTTGTGGACTTTGAAATTGAAAATTGGTGAATGGATCCCTCAAGTTCCGGCCATCCCAGGCTACTTTATAGGCGCTCCCTCTGGTACGTCACTTCCTTCTTCCCGCGGTGGGAAACCCTAGATCAAATCATCAACGCACTGATTCAAAGAAAAAAGTTTGAATTGATAACAAAACAGGCTGTGATGCAATGAGTGGACCCTGATCACGATCATTGTGGATAACAAGTTTTACGGGATATCACCCTCCTACTCACTAGGTTTTATATTGATGCAAACAGGTCTTGGGTTCATGAAATTCTCAAGAAAACTGCATACATACGATGCTACTTTCCATTATGATGAAGAAGTTCAAATACAACATTGGAATATCTCCGATAATTAACTTGCGACTCGGGAGCAACTCACAAAGTGAGTGATGACATCATAGATATTCAGCTCAAGGCACCTGGGCCAAATACAGTGTTAAAGCTATGAGAAGAGAATGCGTTGCAACTGACACACTTGCTATTGTACCATCAGCAATGGAATCAATTCAATATGCAGCCTTCGGAATTTCTCTAAGATGGTTATAACAATTTCATTAGCTTCGGTGGCTGCACCCTCTGAATAGGAACCATTTTATTGAAAAGAAAAGTCGACTCTATGCAATTCTCTTCCATGATGTACCCAAATTTATCTAACAAAATTCAAAAGTTTGTGTTTTCAAGACATACAATAACGATGGTCAATACATGCAGAAGATAGATACAATTGAACCTCTTGTTCTTCTCATCGATTCTGCCAAGGCGGTAGAGAAGGCGATATCGGACATCCTAATTTGGAAAACACGAAGTTAAAACAAAACAAATTTTCAGTTTGTCTCTCTTGTTGTCCATATCGCGTTTTATTTTCTCTTGAATTTGTAGTTTCTGAAATCCTCAGTGGTTTGGATTCACTAAGGAATATGATTCAATTACATGGTCTCACTAGCGCAAGTGAAACCCCTCATGCATCTGAAAAAGATGCCGCGTTGGCGGTGGTGAGCGAGGTAGCCCAGGAAATCGATCCAGTGGTCGAGAAAAGAGTCCGTCGCAAGATTGACTCCTATTTGATGCCGGCTATGCTCATAGGTGCGTTATCGTTTTATGAACATTTCTATTGAACCCTATGACTAACTTCGAGCACAGGATACGGAATGGTCTACTACGACAAGGCAATTTTGGGCTCCGCATCTCTCTTTGGTATGACGGCCGACTTGAAATTATCAGTGACAGACTACTCGGTTTCCCCCCGAAAGTTGACACTTCCCGTCTCAGTTGGGCAACGTCAATTTTTTATTTCGGAATGCTTGCGGGGCTCTATCCAATGACATTTGTCCTTCAAAAATTCAACATTCGAACTGTTCTTGGTCCAGTCGTTCTTCTCTGGGCTGTTGTCTGTGCCGCTACTGCTGGTGTCACAACCTGGCAAGGTCTCTATGTGCAGCGATTTTTCCTAGGCTCGTCTTCCCTGATCCTTCGGTCGATCCCCATCTAACCAAGCATAGGTTTCATTGAAAGTGTGATCCCCACAGGGTTCATGACCATAGTCAGTGGGTATTACACACAAGAGGAACAAGCTCTAAGGCAGGCATGGTGGTTTTCAGGAACTGGTTGGTTCACCATAATTGGTGGCGCTCTGAATTACGGGTTTGGTCAAATTACATCCGGGGGTTTGAAAAGATGGCAATACATCTACATCCTTGCTGGTGCAATCACCTTTTTGTTTGGCTTGTGGTGCTGCACGATGCCCAATTCTCCAGCTTCGGCTTGGTTCTTGACCCCGGAAGAACGAAAGGTTGCCGTGGAGAGACTAAGAAAGGGACAAACCGGTGTCCGGTGCCAGAAGATAAAGGTCGACCAGATCAAAGAATGCTTGACAGATGTGAAGATCTATCTAGTGGCTATCATGATGGCGGCGTCGTGAGCTTTTCCCTCTGGGTAGTTATGCTACCAAACTCACCTCCTTCTTATACTGATGATGGGTCTTTTAGATATACTATCAACGGTGCCATCTCTGGGTTCGGACCTTTGATTGTGTCAACTTTCGGCTATGAAACTCTTGATTCTATCCTATTCCAGTTTCCAGTCGGAGGGGTTTGTGTCATTTTCATTCCGCTTTGCGGTTATATCTCTACTATCGTTCCCAACACTCGCATACCTATGCTCATCGCCTGCTGCTTGCCTGTCATTGCTGGTTGTGTGATGATCTGGAAATCACAATGGGGATATCATCCCGTCACGCCAGTTGTTGGCTATGCACTGACTGGCTTCTTTGGGCCAGTAGTCAGTTTGGTCATTACAATCGGTGCCAGCAACGTTGCTGGTGCTACAAAAAAGACCGTCATGGCAGCGACCGTCTTTGTGGCTTACACTGTCGGCAACATCATTGGGCCACAGTTGATAAAAAGCAACACCAAGTCACAGCATTATCCAGAGTTGTGGACGGGCATGATCATCTGGTAAGCCCCAATCTGGGTTCCCCCGCGAATTTATCTAACGAGGTATAGTTATTGTATCACGATAGCCGCCGCGATTGTGTTATATTTTGTACTTCGACGAGAAAATCGAATCCGCGAAACGTTAGACTTGGATGAAGTGCAGCGAGACAAGATTGCTTTCGATGATCTGACCGACAAGCGAAACCCATTCTTCCGCTATGCTTTATAGTGGATTGGACAGGAAACTCATCTCAACCACGTCCAATACCAAGCCTTATAAACGTCAGTTGTTTCATGGGATTTAGACGTCGTTCTTCCTTCTCGCCGAAATGTTGAAGCAGTCGTTTCAGCACATTAAAATACCCCCGCTTGATATAGTAATTTCGAACAACATACTCTCGGACTGAAGACATTATTCAGTCCATTGTTGTCTATTTCTAATTTTAATTGAACTTGCTCTCTAATCATATAGTGTAAGATTCTTCACCAAAAACACTGCCTTTATCTTTGTTTGCGCCGAAGCTGTATTCCTTTCGACTCGGAATCTTAAAGATTCCGTTTATTGGAACCCCGCAACCTCTCAAATTATATAGTGATCTTTGTTTTCACCCAAAGAAAAGATTTTTTGTTTTCGTTTCTGTCTGAATGCATAATGGAAGACTATAAGCAGCCCCCGGTTTCTGCACTATCTGGTGATATTCTCATGTCGCGGAACCCACGATACGAGGTAACTTGGGAACATGTCGATCCAGAGAACCCCCGAACATGGCCAGTTTGGTATCGTAGTTTTATTGTGGCATGCATGTCATTTTCAACCACCATTGTGTGAGTCTTATGGTTGTCGGAATATAGGTTACATTGTAACCTTTTCGCTTCGTTACGAATATCTCGACTAAGTTAAGGGTCCTGCAGAGTTATATACACGACCATGTACACGTCGGGTGTTGAAGGAATCCAACAAGAATTCAACATATCATCCAAGCTAATTGTACTCCTTGGCCTCACTACGAATCTTTTTGGGTTGGCGCTTGGGTCTGTTGTTCTTTCATCATTGTCAGAAATATATGGTCGGCGTCCCGTTTATATCTTCTCCGTTTTCTTCTTTGGTCTTTTGATACTACCCGTTGCCTTGGCAAAAAACATAGAAGCCATTCTTATAAGTCGCTTTTTTGCGGGATTCTTTGGTGGTACCATGATTGCTAGCGCCCCAGGCAGTGTCACTGATGTGACGGATGAACAGTATCGTGCATTGGCACTGAGCTGCTGGAGCCTAGGTACCATGAATGGGCCTGTTCTCGGTCAGTGTCTCTTGTGGTGCAAATTTCAATTGAGCTAAGTTCCTAACTTTGTTTGATTCACTAACGTAGGCCCTATTATTGGTGGCTTTGTTTACCAATATCTTGGTTGGCGCTGGATAAATTGGCTTGTTTTGATATGCAGCGGTATCTCACTGTGTCTGATGTTTCTTGTGAGAGAGACTTATGCCCCTGCTCTTCTTCGGCGGAGAGTGAAAGAAAAGAAGAAGATCACTGGAGACCCTAGATGGTGGTCCCGCTTCGACCACGAGGAAACAGGTTTTCAAGTTTTGAAGACCAATTTGATTCGACCTCTACGCATGGCAGTTCTTGAGCCAATTTGGTAAGCAGGACTGCGCTACAATCCCATATTTCACGTTGAATTCGCTAATCGAGACATGTCGAAAGTGTTTTCTGGAATATTTATGTTGGAATTGTGTATTCTGTGTTGTTTTTATGCTTTGTTGCATATCCAATCGTCTTTCAAAACACGCGAGGGTGGACCCCAGGATTAGCTGGGTTGAGTTACTGCGGCATCGGCACAGGCACAGCTATCGCTGTGCTTCTAGAGCCGTTGATCAGAAAAATCATCGCGTGGCACCCCTGTGATCCAATTACTGGTCGGCCAAACCCAGAGGCCGCAGTGATTGCTGTTTGCATCGGCAGCATCTTGATACCGATCGGTGAGTTTTGGTTTTCGTGGACGACACAGCCATCGGTACATTGGATCTGGCCTATCTTAGCAGGTATTCCCTTTGGATTGGGAAACGGGTTTGTGTTTATATATGCCACAAATTACTTGGCCGGAAGTTACACTGTCTATGCCGCTTCTGCCTTAGCCGGAAATTCTATCGTGCGATATGGGCTTGCTGGTGTTTTGCCTCTCGCAGGAGACAAGATGTACAGTACTCTTGGTGCACATTGGGCTGGTACAATGCTGGCACTCATCGAACTCGTTCTTGTTCCGATTCCGTTCATCTTTTACAAATACGGCCATCACATTCGGTTGAGAAGTCCCATAACTGTCAAGAGAGATATTAACAGCGTGTGAGATACATATATTATCCTATTATCGCACTGGGTTTTAAGATCTCGAAGAGAGGTAGCGATACAATATGTGTATAATTAGTTTGATCTCATTCATGCCCTCTCGAGACCACGCGACAGTTACCATAATTTTCGAGCTCGCTGCAAGTTCACTCGCTATACACTAGAACCATTGTCAAACGGCGATATAGAAAACAACAGCCCGCAGGCTCGACTACAAATCCCACGGTGATGGGATTTCCGTATCCTGATCGCTTGCGAATAACGTCTGTAGCCACTCAATTCCGCCATCTATCATTTCTCCAGGTAGCCAGGCATTTGGATCTGATACCGCCACATTCCTGCCTGGGGGGAGCGAGAAAGACGAAGGAACATCCCATAGGTTAGGAGCTGCATCACCGGGGGAACAAGGTTGTATTCCCAGCATGTGTGCTTCACATTGTATATTGCCCTCAGCGCCACGGTCCGATTCATCATGACGAAGATTCCTTGAGATGTGCTGGCTGGATATGGGGGTTCTCGTGTGTCTCTCTTCAAAATCAGCTTCATTCGCTGCCAGATGCCGCTGGTCCAGTTGCAAGTGACTCATGATCGATGGATCTCGGTGAATAGCTTGTCGAAGTTGTATCGGGCGACTGAAATTAGATAACGTTGAATCTGTTTCATTGCAGCTTGCGCACGATGGGGCAAAATCTGGTCTCTGTTCCAGTAAGTGATGACAAGTCTTGGGTGCCTCATGATATATGTCCTCATGCGACTTCTGGGTTGCTCGCGACGAAAGTTTCTGTTGAGTGCTATTCCCCAAGTTTTCGGGAAGACGTGAGCTTGAATTCATGATTGCCTCCGCCATTTGGTTCAGCTTCCATACAGCCCGGGCCATTCTGCCTGAGACCCAGGTTTTACGGCAATGTTTCTTGAGAGATCGTGCCGCTTCCAGTGTCAACTTCCCGTAAGTATGTTTGAAAGACCCTTGTTTGATGATCAACCCGAGAGCGATGATAGTAGCACTGGTGAGGTAGTGCAGAAACGGAAAGGTGTACTTTGGGTGATCCTCCGGCACATTGCTAAAGTCTTCAAATATGCTTTGGGCCAGACGCATACATTTTACCTCATTTTCAATGATCTCTGGAGCTGGTAAATCTAAACCACCTTTTCGCTGTAGCATTGGTTTCCTGATTAGGAGGTAAAGCGACGACCACCGCTATTTCAGAGTTAGTTTGGATCATAGAAATTAGGCTTTGTCATGGGAATAGCAAAATCAAAGGCCGTACAATTCGCATCATCAATTGTTGCTTGATCTGCCACCAAGCTAATCCATTTGCTTTGTAGCTTCCTGGCTGTTGTGGGTCATAGCAAAACTCCGGTTGGAGGTCACTTTGGGATTGAGTTATGAGCAGTTCCAAGTACTCTTTGAGCAGCGGACTTGGGGCAGAGTCCGATGTTGAAGCACCGTAAAGAGCTTCCCAGACTTTACCTATGACCTTTGAGTAGCTGACCATAGCAATAAGATATGGTACTGTAGTGTGAAGCTTTCCACAGGCAAAACCATCGAGATGCAGCAGATGAGAGCCTCCTCGATGTTTGCTAAGCAACTCATCGCTCATATGTTGAGGAAGACCAATATCGACATTCAAGTCCTGGATTAGGAATGGACGACCAGTCTCAATCGCCAATCTCCTGTCCATGAGGTATATGCAGCACCAGAGACGACGAGACATTTCACCATCAAAGAGGTTCATTGCCTCCACCACTTGACGACGCTGCAGTCCGATGTGGTGCGAATGAGATATGGAAAGTGCCAAGAGCCTCTCTGCTGGCCCATGTGCATCTAGTCGAAAAAGATATACAACCTATACGTCAAAATGCCATGTCAATCAATTAAAAGTGCAACAAGTAGATCTATTGAAGGTCTTACCATCAAGACAATATTTTGCAACAAGAGGATCTGATCGGTACACTGACTGAACACATCTAAAAGATCCCCAAAAATGTCTCTCGCTGCTCGGTACAAGCTCCAGCCGGCAGAGTACTGTCTGTCCTGGTTATCCACACGTGAAGACTCAACACATGTACCATTAGCAAGGCACAACAAAACCCACGCGAAGGTAAATCTCCACTCGCTGCGTCGAAAATGATGGCTTGCGTTAGGGACGGATAAGCTTGCCCACATGCTTTCATATGCTTCCCACACAGATGGCAAGTGTAAAAATGGAACAAGAATATGGACCTCGTCACAGAATGTGTGCATAGCTCGGTCCCATTGTGATCGATTCGGTATGATTCCATTGGAGTCTAGAACTTGATGTATGTAGCTCAACGTTTTCTGTCGATGATTTTCATTCACCGATGCGCGTGGTGATGGGGTTAAGCGGGACGAAAAAGGGTTGTTCGGTGGTTCAGATCGCAGTCTAGAATATCTCACGCCCATCTGCTCTAGTCTGTCCTCAACAACGGTTATGTTATGGGCCAGAGATGTCTCGCCAGAGAACGGTGTTATACTCTCATCTGGGAAGTTCTTAAGTCCACTTGAATCTTCAGGAAGACTTTCAAGGGCATGCAATCCAGGAGACTGTAAAACGCTGCGGTCACGCTTGTCTCGCGTGTTCACGCCACTTGAGCTTTGTTCCCTGGGTTGTCGTCAGTAAAGTATGATAATTTAGGGGTAAAACTGGTCAAATCAGACCTCTCGTTCGCACAATTTTGGCCAGTCTTCCGCCATCTTCCTCTCATATCGGCTCCCTTTTGTTGACAATCACGTTTCTTCGAAATACAGGCTTTGCATGGAACATTGCCATCGCACTATCAAAATAAAACGCTCAACGTTGCCCATCACCAAGGCTTTATTATATGAACATCAAATTTTTCAACATACTTTGATTTTTCGACGCTTGCACTGGCCACTAATTTGATGCAAAGCAGATTTCCTCAGTATTGATTGCTGGGAGTTTGAATCACAGCCTTGGCACAACTCACCATGCTTTTGAAGCGTAATTACCTCGTTTTGTGCGCTTTTCACGCACGCTACATAGGCTAGAAGAGCCCACATTTCTCATACTGATGGAACTAGTTGCTGACATTGAAATCGCACGTTGTAGGGGACATACGGAATCTGGGTGGAGAAATCAGGGGGTCGGAATCTACGGAATCTTCGGAAGTCTAGTTCTTGGCATTCAATAAGATGTGGAGATTCAAACCGAGCTCTGATTCAAAACGTAAGGATGTCATGAAATAAATTGCAGTTTCCTGTGTTTGATAACATGGGCCGCAGGCCTAGAACATCCGGTTCAATGACCAAATTAACGACTAAACTCGAAGGCCCAGGCAGTGCTGCTATCCGTCTGATATATGGGAAATGTCAAGGTGTTGTTTGAATACTTGTGGGAAACCACACCGCGGTCACTTGGAGCATATACTGCCTCATAGATCGATGTTCCTGCAAATCCCCAAGTCTGAATGTCTACTGAGCCTTCGGATGGTAATCCCACAGCGCTCAGTTGATTGACAGTTATCTGCCAATTTCCCGATGTAATGCGAGTGCCCGAGAGGATTCTGACCTTGTCAAAGTCGACGGTCGCATACACATCGTAGATCCGATCGCCGGTACCAGTGGTCTCAACGCGATGACCGGTCATGTTCAGGTTGTAGTATTTGTACACCTGGTATTCTGGTGCAGGAGCATAGTCCGTAGCATTATAGTTGGAAGGATCAGTCTTCTTAGTCAGAAGATTGGCCATAAGATCGTGCAAGGTCCAGCCACTGAGCCAGTTACCGCGCAGCCCAAACGCGTTGTATCGCTCAAGTCGCGAGATCCACCAAGCTGCACCGGCAGGGACCTGCTCACCATAATTCGCGTATTCGTTGATGTTGATTTGTCGGTCCGGTAGATTGTAGGTTCTTAGTAGTGCCGCCAGTGTGTCATTGGTGTTTTGAATGTCATTATTCCAATCAGATGTCTCTCCTTCTAGGTGATAAGAATACTGCTCCGGGACAGTATTGTTTCCTGAGATCGCATTCAACCAATTAGTCCACCAAGTATTGTCAGGCACCGGACGGTTAGCCAATGAAGGACCCGAAATTTCGACCTTGTTATACTTCGCATTCGCACTTTACGCCAAATGAATCCTGGTCAGAAGATTGAATCTAGATAGGAAATGAGTACTCACCGGAGGAATTTGTGCGTGCGGATATACAGGTCGATCCATTGTTGCTGGCTGCGCGCCCAGAAGATATCCAAATCAGGTTCGTTCCATATATCGAAGACCATATTTTCCAGCGCATCATTTGTCTCCAAGTCCTTCAACAGGGTTTGTAAAAACTTGTCGTAGTCTTCCCAATTTCCGTTGTCTCCGGGCCAGATCGTGCTGGAATTTACGTGATCCGTTCCCCAGATGTCATGCGCTTGGGTCTTGATCAGCTACTGCCAAACGCAGTCCAAAGCACTTTCATGGACTGTATCCTTTTCAACTTACGGAGGATGATGAATTTGGCACCATATTCCTGGGCCGTACGGTAATTTGATAAGGTAGACTCAAGACGCCTAAAGATCATAATAAGCAAATGACAAGAGATGATTGGTATTGTGACTGATCTGTGCGAACCCGTGGTATTCATGAAGGCCCCAGATCCAGCCTCTTGATGGAGCTTCAAGCTGTGCGCCTCCCGCGCGTGCGTAGTTGAATCCGATGTCGCGATAAAAGTTTGCCGGGATCTGGTTAGCGGTATCAGGTATGCCATAGATGAACCCTGATGCCACATGGCGGGGTTGTCCTTTAGAAACTCCCAGATTCACGCTGGCAGTGATGCTATCGGCAGACACGAGGGTTGCTGTGGCAACTAAAGCTGTGAATAGGTTCCTGGGCGACATCACTGTACTCTCTTTGAGGAAATTTGATTGTGGACTCGGTCTGGAGCAGCGATAGAGCACCCTTTTATCTTCAAGGGCTAGCACCATCGGACATCACAACCTCCGCAAATGTGATTTTATCATCCGATTCTCTCCAGGCGGGCTGAATGCGGAGCTCCGTCGTCACATTTGAGATCAGCGGGGACATTTCTTTCAAAGAAGTACTGCCATGGCGGGTGATCTCCCGGAATACTAATGTGTAGCACTAATAGTGAGAAACAAGATTCGTCAGGGGCCCCGCGTCAGTAACTTCCCCGGATCAAGTCTCAAAATTAAATTGCGTGGCTTTTTTTCTCCGGTGGGGAATTTTGGGAGTTTTGCTAAAACTCCGGCGGATTTCAAAGGCCGATGTGTGACAGCCGTGGTGCTAACCCTGTACGGAATAACCCGGCGTATGGCTTGGGATATCATAGCTTCCCTGATTGAAGATAAACCTGGTGCATATAAATCATGAAGAAATAGGCAAGATAACAGTCAAGCCAAATAAGGGTATAGAGATAGTATACATGATAGAAAAGAAATCAAGGAACAGGTAGGCGGTCCAGCGCTCACTTATGGGCAAGTTCAGCCAAAAGCAGATGAATCCATGAAAGTTATCCATTGAATACCAAGCCATCTTATGGTCGAGGAGATTTCTCGGCACTATGAACAATTGTTTCATGAACAACCTTAATACCTCCGCTTTGGCTGCCCTGACTGTGAGTTTCCCAGTCACAATCACCAGCGGTGCAAGTGGGCGGTTGCTGCCGTGAAGTAGGTAAAATCATTTGTTCGTCACTGATTGTATTCCACTGTGTATCTGGAATGCTAAGTGGGTGGCGGAATCGTTTGCGTCCACCACCAGTATCACCCTCCGAGAGGGGATAGGCAGGGTAGCTCTGTGATACGCTTCTTGATGTAATGTATAGTCCAGCACGTCGGGCAACACGCCGGAACAATGGATAGATCATAGGGACGTTTCCGATGACCACAGCAACAAACGTTTCGCGGCACGCCCAGCTGCCAGCCTGTTGCGCACCATTGGCGCCGGCCTGTCGTTGAATTAGACTATGCTTCAATAATGTTCCACACTTGTCGACTCACAGTCAAGATCAGAACACATCGTAGAATCCCAGCCATCATCACAAACAGCCCACCACTGAAAAGAACAAGAAGCTCAAGCTTCTCCCGCCATTGTAATCGGGCTTTGAAAAGCATCTTCAAGCACATATAGTTAGTTTATCATTGAGCGACAAGTTTGATTCTTACAAGGAGAATCCCTTACTGGAGCCGGAATGCTAATAAGATAGATATCGGTCGCGACATTAAGAACAACCGTCACATATATGTCAATCTTTGATACTGCGGGTTGACAGTAATCTGAGAGAATAATTATCAGAGATCAAGCATGGCCACGAGGATGGAAGGGCTACGAACTTCCGGGATCGGGATCTATTTGCCAGTTCTTGCTCAGTGGATGACATCCAAAAAGAATTGAACAGATTGTCGCAATATACGTCGATGCGATCAAACCATATGCGATGTGAATTCGAATCCGCATATTGATCAACCCTGCGCTAAAAAGCAGATTGGATGTCAGTGACGCCAAACAGAAGACCAGGTGCAACGAGACACTCACGTCAATCGAGAATAGAAGATGGCCATACACGTTTTGAGCAGCCATAGTAAAAGAGTATATAAAGACCAGCCGGCCACCTGTACCTTGGAGCCCCCCACGCGGAGGCGATATTCTTCTGAATCAGAGGATAAAGTTGATCTTTGTTCATCTGTCATCGCATTATTGGCAAGGCCCATGAACCACGCGCCCACGATGTATGCAGCGCCAGTTTCCAATCCGTACACCACCTATACCTATCATGATCAGCAGATGAAAGAGGAGAAAGAAAATCATAAAATCAAAGATGAGCCTTACACATGCCACCAACATCAGATAATCATCAACTTGGAAATTTTTAGGACCAACCATGATCCATCTTGCACTGGTTCTGAGGCCGATAATCACAATTGCTACCCCCAATAAGGTGAACGCTTCCGTATTAAAGTCGCCCATATTTGACGAGATGCAGTCGGGGGTTTTTTTTACTCTATACCATTGAATATGAAGGGCAAAAGAAAATAGCTTTTCAAAGCCGGGCGTACATTGAGATAAGAAGAAAATAATTGGATCCAGGGAGGAGAAACCAACGGCAAATGGCAGTATCCCAGTGATCTCCGTCGGCCCTATTGGTTGTTAATGGGACCAGACGATTTATAAACACCAACTGGAGTGAAAGACAGAGGAAAGAAAAAGCAACAACAAACTCAGATTTCAACTTCCGTGGGCAAACCCATGGTGGCTCCATCAGACTAAGTAACGACAGTTTGTTTTTAGAATAAGTAAGCTCCATATATTAGGGGGCTTCCTGCGTGAAGCTAATTTATGACAGGCCCGGGGTTTTCATGCAAGTATGGCAGCTCCAGCAGGGCATCCACTATGTCTTATCGGCTGGCCATGGACTATTCCTTGACTACTATGGGTCCTTCAAGTTCCGGGAAGGGCTTTTAGATCGAGACCACCCTTGTCCCCCTCCCAAATGACAGGTTCCTGGCAATGACTGACAATGGAAGGTCCACAACCGTCCCTGAGATGTATAAGAGTTACCACATCTGTGGACGATCAATCTTGGCCAGAGCAATTTCTGACAACTGAGGACAAAAAGAACCTGAGTGGAGAGGGTCACTTTGTCAAAACTGAAATGCGATCTGTAACACAGACGCACATTCCAACTCCAATTCCATTGGATCAATGTCCAGATGAAGCAATGAACCGCAACTATAGCAAGGGTCTCTTTGTGTTTCCAATATCTGATGACGCACAAACGGACCGGTCCAGAGACAGTCGTGTAGCCTTAGAATTTCAACTCACTGATCCTCGAACAGCCATGGCAAGCACAAAACCGATTTGTCCACCGGTCATTTTCTTTCGACTAGTTAGGTTGTTGATCCGCCCGGAGATTACTCCGATGATGATGATGATGATGAAATTTCTAAAGACTACCCCATAGTTAGCTCCCAGCTCTCACCCCCGATATGATGGATCAAACCCCGTTATTATTATTATTTTCTTTTTTTTTCCTTTTCAATGTGGATCGGCCTAAATACTTGAGGGGGATATCAAAAGTACAATGTACTGGATAAGTCGGCAATAGTTATCTAACTCACCATCAGACAATTCTAAGTTTTTCCGTCTAGCAATTAATCTTAATAACGTTTCGTGGATAGCCTGAACTTGAAAACCACCACGTTTCATATTGGAATTTGTCGATGACAGCGGTAAATTCCCGTCGTCAACCCGTCAACCCGTCCCTCGGATCCACTGGGGGGCGGGTCATTAATATGGAAATACGAACATGCCACCCGGTTTCTGTTCTTTTGATTTCTTCAACAACGCGATCGCAAATGGCGTGGATGATTTGCATGCTATTGAAGAAATATATACACATATGTGTATAGGATCAGATTGGCTGAAGCTATGGAGGCGCTTGATAGTTAGAATTGAAATTTCAACCGAGGTCGGATAATTGCATAATTTTTAGTCCCGACTTTTGCTTTTTTTTACTAGTTTCTTGTTTCTGATTTGAAAGTTCAAACGCCCCTCCGAACTGGTTTGACTGTTGGTTTCCACAGTAAAAAACCTTCTTAGGTACTAATGCCTGTGGAGCACCTTGAAGCATTGTCCATTCCCGTGTATCTCTGAGAAATGCCATGCCAAAAATGTTCAAAAAATGTTGATTATCCTAGATCCAGCCACGCTTTGACAGCGGGGCTTGGATGGTCAAGCGACAGAGCAAAGCTAACATTTTTCTCATACCACTTTTAAATTATATAAAATGCTGCTGGTGACACTTGAGAGTCGCCGCGTTGGACCAGATGCATGCCAAGTATCCAAATGAAGCAAGGGTAGTTCGTAGATTAGAAGCGAAGGATCCTTCCTTCCCCTTTCAAGGGATTTCTTATGCCCTTAAGGTAAACAGATCATGAGCCCTAGCGTGAATCTAGGCTGGCGTTGTCCCTGATTAATTTCATTTTAGTCCCACCAACAAAATACTCGTGGGAATCCTACTGCAACAAAGCTAGTGTGGTGGGAAAAAAAGAGGAGAAAAGGCTGGAAAAAGAAATTAAGAAAGCGTTCACGTTTCTTTTCTTCGCTCTTTTTCTTCGCTTTCGGGGCAGCTGGTGATCACCTTGTGTTTGCGCTTGTACATAACCTCGTGCATTAATCCTGGTCGCAACCAAGTCACTTCCCACTTCCGAAAGAAAAAGACAGAAGCAAGGGACTTTTTCAAAAGATGGAAACCGTTGATCTTGTAGTCATCGGCGCAGGTAAGTCGATTCTTTATCATTGCAAAAATTTTCACTGAAAGAAGTTACGAAAGGCTGGAGTGGGCTCTCTGCCATTAAGACCTACTGTGAGGTCAATCCCGACCACAATGCCATCTTGTTGGAAGCTGCTAGCTCAGTTGGTGGAGTCTGGGCTAAGCATCGTTTGTACAAGGGCCTCAAGTCCAACAATATGCTAGGCACATATGAGTTCAGCGACTTCCCAATGAAAGAGGCAACATTTGGTGTCAAACCTGGACAACATATTCCGGGCCATGTCATTCAACAATACTTGGAAGCATATTCGCACCATTTTGGGTTTGCCGACTGTATTCGATTGGATCACCGTGTAGAAAGCGCACGGCATAACTCGGACGGAACATGGCAGTTGAGCGTATCGCATGGGACCGACACCATCACTATTGATGCCAAAAAGTTGATTGTGGCCACGGGAATCACATCACAGGCATATCTGCCTAGCTTTGAGGGCCAAGAAACTTTCAATGCACCTCTTTTCCACTGTCGTGATCTGCTACAGCATCAAGATGCCATTTTACAGTTTGGAGAACGCGCAACTGTTTTCGGCGGGACCAAGTCAGGTTGGGATGCGGCTTATGCTTGCGCAACGGCGGGTATGAAAGTTGACTGGATCATTCGGCAGTCAGGTCACGGCCCTGTTTGGATGAGCCCACCCTACGTGACGCCTTTAAAGAAGTGGTTAGAGAAGCTGGTCACCACACGATTTTTGACCTGGTTCAGTCCATGTATCTGGGGAGATGCCGATGGCTTTTCAGGCATTCGCAGCTTCTTGCATGGTACCTGGTTGGGCCGCAAGATTGTGGACGCATTTTGGAACATTCTGGCCGACGATGTCATCCAGCTGAACGGCTACGACAAGCACCCGGAGATGAAGAAGCTGAAGCCATGGGTCAGTCCATTCTGGATTGCTTCCTCGCTCAGCATTCTCAATTATCCTACCAACTTTTTTGATTTAATTAAGGATGGTACCATCAAGGTACATGTTGCTGATTTGGAGCGACTCTCGGATCACACTGTCCATCTTTCCTCGGGCACTACGTTACCAACCACCGCACTCATCTGCTCAACGGGCTGGCGCTCCACTCCAAATCTCAAGTTCTTGCCTGAAGGAATTGACCGCGAGTTAGGATTCCCCTGGAGTGCAGATCCACTGAATGAAAACCTGGTCAAAGCAGCAGACGAAGAAATTCTTCGCCGTTTCCCTCGACTGCGTGATCAACCATGCCCAAATCCTCACTTCCGTCCATTGAACGACCAATCCGAAGCAGCCGTGCCACATCCCTTCCGTCTGGCCAAATTCATGGTACCGCTACCGTTCATAAGAGAGCGTTCGCTGGCATTCATGGGTATAACAATGACCATAAACACCACATTGATTGCCCAAACTCAAGCTTTGTGGATTTCAGCATATTTCCGCGGTGATTTAACTCCGACCGCAACTGATCGATGTCCCCTTGCTGTGCGCGCCGCATCTGATACGAAGATGGAAGACACGTCAGATATTGACCTCGCCTGGGAGACAGCCCTGCATTCTGAATTCGGAAAATATCGCTATCCGGCAGGATTTGGACGACGCAATCCAGACTTTGTGTTCGACGCAATCCCATATGTTGATCTGATGCTGCGAGACTTGGGTCTATCCACAGAGCGTAAACAAGGATTGCTGGCACGATGCTTCCAACCGTATGGTGCTGAGGACTATCGAGGATTGGTAAATGAGTGGAAGCTGAAGCATTCTATTCAATAATGAGCCGGGTGTCAATGCTCTCTCCTGTCACTTTTGTCAAGTCTTTCCACACATTTCTATTTCAGTTTTGCGCGCTATCTGTATACCCAGTTACCTTCTAATTTTTCCCTTTTTCTGTGAGTTGAATTTCGTCGATTCGAATGATCTCATGAATGGTGTGTTGATGTTATTGCTTTACATGGACAGGTATCTTTCTTTGGTTTATCTCTTTCATGGTATCTCCTATTCAACCAATACAAACTGTTCGAAGACTCCAACACCATGCAGGGAAGATAGCTTATCTCTGTTGCTTGTGTCATTTCTTAGGCTAGCGGCGCAGGCCTCTTGTGGTTGCTCACTCTCAGACTTGACCAACTCACCAACCAACTCTCCTGTCCAGCGCATGTAATATTCACCATCCCCCGCAACCACTGTTCTCATCGACACATTCACTCTCAAGTGGCCATTCGGCTCGCCCAAATCAAATTGCAACTGGAACCCTTCCGGAATATCACCCAGGCGTGGTGGGTATCGCCCTCCAGTGGTTCCCGGGCTACCGATCGGCCGCACGGTAAGAAAATCGGATTTGCAGGCCGATACGAGTACCTCTCCATCTTTTTCAACATGACCGCTCACATATGTGGTGTTGGTTGGATCATTAAGGGCGAGATAGCTGAACCATACAACTGAGTATGCGCCAATTCGCCCATGGCCCCAGTACCAGCTCTGCACAGAATCCATAAAAGGTCTATCAGACCAATTCTGTGGCATCGTCAGTCACATTTTTTGTGTTTGATAAGGAAAGCTACTTTGTCGTGGTACCCTGAGCCTTTGAATTTCAGTGTTGATCCATGGATCTCCATATCAACATCGCCCACGGCATCAGGCACGAGGTTGACCCATCCAATGTGAGGCGCAATTTCAAGAGTTGTCCGCTCTGTTTGAGTTCCACAGGGCAGATGAGGCGGGGCTCTCTGTGGGACAAGTCAGCGAATCGCTCATCTCTTGATTTATTAAAGCACTCACAGAAGTCAAGGTAAATCGCCCTTGAACTTGCATCTTCTCCGATGCAACAACGATCTCGTACTTGGTGGTCAGATTATTGGAGATCGCAGCCCAGCTGAATCCCGTTGCGGCCCCCTGCGCTGTTGGTGTGACCACCGTCTGTGGATGTAACAGTTGCCACAGTTGCCGGGGCATAATCTGCGAAAACGGTGCCATTGGTGAACGATGCCCAAATCCAAGCAGTGAGGACGGATGATTGATTTGCATGCAGGAATGGAAAAGCTGCCGCCGAGGACGAAAAGAAAGTGACTACCAGTGAATCTTCTGGATTGGCGTCTGATACAGCATCGAAATACCACCAGTCGAAGACCGAAGCATTGATTGAATCGAGCTGGGGTGCATCCAAGCTGAACAATGTTTCAATATCCAGAGTCAACGCGGATAATTGAATATCAAATTGAGCCTTGTTAGCTCCTTTATGGACCGTACTGGGAATTCGGTAGACTCCGTCACTGGATTCCCTGGCAACACGAGTATACAACGGAGAGACCGTGCGGGCCCTTTGCCAACCAGGGAATGCCAAGGTCTGCTTTGCTAGCAGAGTAGACATTATTACAAGCGATAGAAGTATGCGCACGATGAGCATCATGATTGAAGAATTTCTTGAGAGGGAAAAAGAAGAAATATGAGATTGGATCGAGATACGATCGCAGAGTTGGGACAAGTTGAATAAAAGTACGAAGTATATGTTATAGTTTGGATGTGCTCAAAGAAAAAGGGTCGATCCTATACTTGTATGGAGGGGCGATTCCTTGGCTTCCTCAATGATTTCCTGTTCATTTTTAAAGTCCAGTCTTCGTGATCCTATAGAACTAATAAGCCCTTGTTTTTTCGTTTACCAAACAAAACAGGGCCAGGCCAATAAGACAATCCTCAATGGAATCGAATCTGAATAGATCTGAACACATTTGAACACATCTGAATAAAATCAGAGCAGATCTGAATAGACTCACTTCCGCCCGTTGTTTAATCAGCATCAGACACTTTTTAGGTGGCTGAGTGGCTGAAATGAAACTTCTCAACCCACCCTAGGCCTGAAGAGTTCCCTTTCCCCATTCTAAGAGTCAAGGGTATGTAGCTAACCAATAGTGGTTGACTAGGAGAGTGAAACACCCGAGGATAAAATCAATTCCTAACACTTTGGATTCCAGAACCACCTTGTCTTCCTACTTTGATCAAAATTTTCTAATTTCATCAATGATGTGATTGTTATATACTGACGTTGTCCATCCCATTAACAGTTCGCTTAATCGCTTTAAATCACACAGAAGCAGGATAGGTACAAACATCACACATGAGTCCGATAAGCACATATAATAAACAGAAAACCCGGATATGAAAATAAAGTAAAGATCAGACCTTCCCATGATGCCCAAATCACACACCTTTTCGCCGAAGTTGAAAAAATAAAAGTCAAATAAAATCCAATGGAAACCCCGACTCCCGATGCCTCTGTAGGTATATATCCCCCTTCACCATAATAAATACAGAAATGAAGGTCCGGGAGGTTATGTTGCAGCAACGCAGGGATCAAGTCACAGCGGAGCAGATCCCTGCTTAACGTCCATTAAGAAGAGGGCTGCCATCCTCACTCCGTCCTTCGCCTTTGATATCGGCTCCAGCTTGATTGCTGTTCGCGTCTGAATCACCGTCTTTTCCGCACCCTTTGACAAGAATATGCCGCTATTGATGAGGTCAGTACTCAAATTCTTCTCATGCAGGCGTGAAGGGAGATATACCTTGAGGGCGTCTTTTCGTGAAAAACTCTTGTCACAGTGGGAGCAGGGGAAAGGTTTCACGGCCAGATGAATACGTTTGTGTCGCTTGAGATCGTGATTTCGGTTGAAACTTTGGGGACACTGATCGCACTTGAACGGACGGTCGGCCGCTGGAGCGGACATCCCATGCGGTGGTGGATGACCGCCATATAGATGCTGCGAGCTGGCGACATGGCCACTATTGAATCCAGGTAGAAGCCCAGGTTGCATACCGCCCATCATTGACATCGGGCCCCCGGGACTGTGCACGTTGGTCATGACGGGACCATTCATGGCGGGGAGAGAATAAGAAGGCCAGGGTTGGCGGGGATAGCCCAGGGGTGGTTGCCCAGCCGATGGACTGTGAACGGACATTCGATTCGGAGGGTGAATGCCGAGCCCCGCGGGGCCATACATTGAGAATCCCGCTTGATGGGGACTCGTCATGGGGGGAGAAGCGGCATACATATGCTGGGTTTTGTGGGCATATGGATCGTTCGATTGAAGTGGAGCTGGAGATGTGGCGGGTCCACCGTGGTACATGGTCATAGCAGGTTGTGAGGCGGAAGGGGGCATTGTCGATGGAGCGGGTAGAGCTTGGTATGATTGATAAGATACTGAAGGTGTCTCATATGGATGTGGTAGTCCGTCGGTCGTCGGTGGTGATGTGATCGACGAGCGCACATGCATACCAGATGACGTTCGAGTTGGATAAGTATTCACACCTGATCCCCAAGGTTGTCCGTATGGGCTAGCCGGCCAATATGCTGGTGGCAGATCGGATGCGCCTGTTGACGGCGCCAAAGGCTGGGGTGTGGCGTGTTCCCCCTGCTGAATCGTGGCGGGTGGCGTTAACAAATTCCCCACGCTCACATTTGCTGGAAGGGAGATTGGAGGATGACTGGGCTGTCCGTATTTGGGTGCGGAAGCTCCCAAATTAAATGGTGGTGGTGGAAGCTCGAAGCTGGGCAATGTCGGTGCCGCTGGACGACGAACATTCAAAGGAGCTGACAATGAATCCAGCGCCGTCCCCATTCCCGCTGGCACTGCAAGAGTCGCCAGATTTGCGGGTTGATTCTGCACTACGTAGAATTCGGATTCGTTCAAGGCAGTCGGGATATTGCCGGTAAGTTGGCCGTGACCGAAAGATCCCAGTGCCCAATCTCGATCACCAGGTAACCCCCCGGAAGGGCTGGTAGAATCCAGGGCGATCGAAGTTTGCGATCGGTAAAAAGAGAAAAGAGATTCTCTCAAAAGATTCTTTTGGTATATAAAAAAGAATATATGAGGGTGGGGGGAAAGGGGGGAAAGAACTAGAAATAAGTTCTTAGACTTAAGCTTGTCAAGGTCGACGTAGGCGCGAATAGTACATCTTCGGGGGGGGTAGAGATAGGTAAAGGGAAGGGAAGAGAGAAGTTAGAAAGAAAGAAAGATGTGGGGGCAAAACACCGTGGCGTTGGAGGCGATAGCAAGCGCGGGGGAGGTATGATAGAAGTATATAAAAGAGACCGAAGTTCCTTCTGACTATTTTTATTCTTTTTTTTAAATAAAAAAGAGCGAAGAGAGTAAAAGAGTAAAAGAGTAAAAGTAAATAAGATTGAATTTTCTCGGGGAATGGACCGGTCGACGGGAGTCTGGCCACCGTGGGGAAATAGAAATAGAAATCGATATAATCTAAGAGAAAAAAAAAATTTCAAAAAATTAGGGAAGAGAAAGAATTACCTAGGTACGGAGTATGTATATCTAATATATCTCAACACTATATAACATGTTAATATGTTAATATGTTAATACGTTAATATATTAAAATAGGGTGTCAGCAGAGAACATGGTTGACAGCTAAAATTAAAAAGTTGAAGTCTCCGCAGATTGGTTATTCCGAATAGTCTCTATTATTTTCTGAGGTCATGTATATATTCCTCCATCTATCTTCCCTAAAGTACAAATTAATCTTTATATACAAGTTATACAAGATATGGGTATATACTATATTCTATTCTATTATACCTAGGTACTGTGTCCTATATACGGAGTAATCTACCTATACATGTACAATGTAGATTCGGCAAAACCCTTGCGTGAGATAGAAAAAAAATAGAAGAAAAAAAAGGGCCCGCTAGTGGTGTACTCCGGAGAGAATCTGTGCTAGTACAACAAGTGAAAAGAATGGACCCGGCTATTATTGAAGGAAACAGAAATAAAATAAAGTGATCCATAAATGATTCTCTTTATTCTCATTATTCTAATTGTTTTTACTATCGCGGTGAGAATTTCGTACCCAATAAGGGGTCAAGTATCAAGAACGCACGGACAAGGTCGGAATGGCTAGAATACGAGACCATAGAGACGAAGAGCAGACTGGGTAGAGGCAAGCGAGCTACAGAGCCTTTCATTCGTTCAACTGTTCTATAATCGCGCAATTCGAGGTTAGCTTCCCTTCGTCTCTTAAGGTCATCTGCACTTTTTCTTTTTTTCTTTTTTGGTTTTCCCTTATTATTTGTTTTATTACTATTTAATTTCTTTTTTTCCTTTTTGCCCTTCCCACTTTCCTTTTTGGCCCTCAATAGCCGAACCCAACATATGAAGGGTTAACATCTCTATTGGCCCCCCGGCTTCATTGGCCATGGTTCCTTTTGTACTATATTCTTTTGGCTCTCGGGGAAATCCCAAAAGAAGAAAACCACTCAGGGTCGTTGATATTATACAAAATTACATATGGTACGGAGTATGCTATTATACTCTCTTTCAAAGCCAATCGCCTCTATCCACTCCCTCGGGTTTTCCATAATATCACAGGCCTGGAGCACTCCACGCGAGAACTCGCTTCGGTTCTCCTCCCGGCATGTCAGATGGCTTATCCTCCAATCAAAGTGATGGCGTATTTTGCCTCCTGCACGGACATGATGCTTGTGTGGAAAAGGGGAGGATGGCATACCCTGCCGATCGATGTCTTGCTAACCGGGAGGAAGAAAGAAGAACATAAACTGGAGCTTCTCAAAATAAAATCGAAACTTGACAGAGCTGATCTGCCGCGAACTAAGAATAACATGGTTTCTAAATATCTCCCGAGTACTCCGTAGAGAGGGGAAAAGTCACCTGTATAGAATTCTCGGGCAGCTAAACCTCCTTGGCAAATAGGTAGACATGTCCACTCGCATGGAATTTAATATTACGATCCGGCCCGCATTGCTCCCCCGTATTTAGTAACAGTCCCGCGTTACTAGTAAATATGGACTTAAGTACTCTTGAGAAAGAAGAAAAGAAAGGAAACCAAAAAGAAAGGGGTCTCAGACATGCACAAAGGCAGCCAAGTCACATTCTTAGCAAGTGCATACCTCTGCCCTAGTTCTAGTGTGTCTAATTATGCTTATTGAATTGAAACGATTTATTTTCAATAATAGTACTTCGTACATTCTATATTTTTCATTTGCACTGAGCTAACATCCCGCTAGAAACTCGATCTCAAACCCCCCCCCCCAAAAGAATTAAAGCCGATATTTGACGCGTCTGTACCCGCACGCCTCCCACCCGAAAAGGCTCATATCAGCGACGATCAGTTGAACAACAATCGCCCCTCCAACGCTGCTACCCGATCGACAGGTCTTCCTTTGCAGATGCGATCCCTGACACTATGGGGTGGTTCGCAGCCGATTAGTCACTCTCATGCAAGGCAGCCTACAGTTCAGATGTGACAACCCGCAAGGATCCACCTGGCTGATCGTGAGCGCCTTGGTGTCGCCTGCGTCGGGTCCTGCCGGTGTGGCTTCGGAGGGGCTGTTTGGCGTTCAGATCGTCCCCCGGGAATGGCGCATCGTGGAAGGTTGACGGCCTTCTCAGTCGGCAGATCTGCGACCATGATTTTCATTTTTATGCAGGGCTGGGTGGATGTCAAGATCCCACATTTTGGCTAGTTTCCTCTTTCCCGGCATTAAATTTTGTAAACCCTTTGCACGGAGTACTCGGAACAAACCCCGAATCTAGTGTCCTGCTAGTCTATGGGGCCTCTGTCTTAACAATAGCACGGGATCGTTTCTCGCTCTGTTATGATCGCTTGGGTGTCTCAGCGTCTCAATCACAGGACAAAAATATTTCTTTGTCTCGGCTCTTTTGGTTTCGAACCGTTCGCCCCCGATTGACAGTCCCACGAGCATTGCTCGGTCGCTGTAAGATTCTCCCTTGCAGGAAGATCCTGAGATGACACATCCAAACATATCCACTGAATCTGTTCGCTATCATACATATGTACTCCGTACTTATCGTACCTATTGCTTATGCTGATTTACCAGAAAGGCCAGGTTTCCTTGTATTGGATTTTAATAAACATCATATCAATTCGAGTTTCTTCCTCCCTTTTTAACGAGTCTATCTCATAGAGGCAGGTGTCTAGTGTGACAGTCTCTGTTGTGAGAGTCTCTGTTGTGAAACCCTTCTATGCATAAATAAGGTGATCCTCTCACAACTGGTGATGTTTGTGATAATTTTGGTTTACTGTAGGGAGAAATGTTAATCACGCATCCTATGGATGATTTGAACACTCTTACTTTTTTGGCCGAAAACATTGAAATGTAGATCATCGATTGAATGAATTAGGTCCAGATGGTTGGTGTTACGGTGGTTTTAACTAGGTAGGCATTGTCAACCTTGGAAGTTTTTGATATATATATTTTATAGATCCCCCGACCGCAATGACCTTGAACCCTCGGGATATGGATTCCAATGACATACGCGAAACCAATTGGCCCTCGAAACTTATTTGGTTTATGACAAAATACAAAAAAGAGAATCAAAAAGTCAAACAAAACAGTTGTATATACATATATGTGTTTAAAGTTGTGTTATGTTGCATCTACTTGATTATGCTCCGATGACGTCAAGTTTTAGAGACTGGCGGGGTATTTTGTCACCACACTCTTTGTCTGCATGTCCTCCCTCTAAACAATATAAACCATTTCTAATTTATTCAAGACCCTTTCAAGTTTGTTTACTGCAACCAAATTATACCACTCAAACACATCATCTGCAACCATGTCTGGAATAAGCAAAGCTTGTTGCTCGTATGTTAAATTTAAACGGGGACTCTCTAATGCCTTAATTGAGGTTTACTGACTGTAGTCACACACAGAATCCCCCTGTGATCCCCAAGGACTACAAGTCCAAGGGAGAATACAAAACTATCAATGGTTTAAAAACTTGTAGGCTGCTATGTTCACAACAATCTTCTCAGTACGCTGATGGAACTTCTAGATGTCACCGGCCCCGAATCGGCTTCCAAGGCTATCCTAGTCGTTTATGGTCAGTCAATCCCTTACTTAGAATGCAACTCGACCATCAACTGATACAATTTCTGCGTTGTATTGTAGACATCTTCGGTTTCTTCGATCAGACCATCCAGGGAGCCGATATCCTTGCCACCTCAACCAAAGAGAAGTACCGCGTCTTCATGCCAGACTTTTTCGAGAATGAACCGGCCGACATATCTTGGTACCCGCCCACCACCGATGAGCACAAGGAAAAGTTGGGCAACTTCTTCTCGACAAAGGCAGCCCCACCCAAAACACTTTCTAAGGTTCCAGACATCGTGGCTGCAGCCAACAAGTTAGCCCTAGGCGAAAACTTCCAATCATGGTCGATCCTGGGCTTCTGCTGGGGCGGCAAGATTGCCTCGCTGGTATCTGGCGCCGAGAACCAGCTCTTCAAAGCGGCTGCACAATGCCACCCCGCCATGGTTGACGCGAATGATGCCAAGGCCGTTAACATTCCCATGGCGATGCTTGCTTCTGGAGATGAGCCGGCGCAGGACGTCAAGGACTACGAGGCGAACCTAAAGGTCCCCAAGCACGTGGAGACATTTTCCTCCCAGATTCACGGTTGGATGGCTGCACGATCGGATTTGGAGAACCCCGAAGTGCGCAAGGAGTACGAGCGTGGATACAAGACCGTTCTCGAATTTTTCCACCAGCACTCGTAAGCTATAAAGGGAATTGCTCACAATTGCTCACAATAAAACTGGTTAGCTTAGTGACTAGCTGAATGGATGACTAGATACATAAATTCTCCCCCCCTTGAATTATGCATGTCAGCTCACTGCGTTCGCAATGGTACTTCGGAAGAGTGCATAGTCCTCAATATACTTACATCTAAATAATAAGTAACTAAATGGCCATTTCCCTCCATAATCCATTTTAGTATTCATCTCTCTCGAATTTTTATTAAGCATTTTATATAGTTTGAGGGGGTTATAAAGGGCTTACTTTCGATTTATTAGATGCCTCCTGTGATAGGAACAAATATTTAACCTCCCTCAAGACTTTTATAGGAAACAAGATCCAAGTTCTCCTCTCTGACACAGCATATCAATTGTTTTCAAGCTTAAAGCCACACATTCATACACGATAATTTGACAGATATTTGATCTCACCACGCCAGCAGGTCAGCTGCATTTGTCGAGCTGCTGACAACATTGGCTACCCATCTCTAGAGTGGTGTTAGCGGGATATCGATTTGCTAGATGTTGCTGGATTGTGTGAGATCTCACTTGCGCCTCGGCTATATTTCTAGTATCGATATCTTCAAGTAAATCCGTGAACAGAGAAAGATCCTTATTGCAGGAGCTAACTGAATAGGCGATATTCTTGTTCGAGTCTGTTTCTGGGCGCTTGTGTCGGAATTGATATTGAAACATACGATACTTGAATTTCACTTCCTGGAGCTTCTCAATAGCTTGGAGCAAGATCGCTTAGACTGGGACTCTCTTAGAGCGTCAGCATGAATGTCAAATTGAGCTAATACGGAATGAAGCCAAGGAATAACGTCATTAATAGTATGGAAGTCGAGAGCAACGCCGAGCTTTTCTGCGTGCTCTTTGATTCGTATGAGATAGTCTCGCAAAGTGACCGCATATTCAGTGACGCTGAATGGATGAAATGGAGTCTCAACAAGTCGTGCAGCAAGCAAACCCTAGATTTGTGCCATTGCCGTATCATGCTGCCACGTTGGATCTCCGTAAAGATCCCATCCACGCCACAGTGTCGAAGATGCTATGCCAGTGGTAAGAGCATTTGTTGGCTCCGGGAAAAGCCAAAGTTCACAGAGGTGATGCATTTGCTAACAATCGCTAACAAATTTGATGGCATCTCCGCCACCTTCGGGGCCTAACACTTTTTCGTTTTCGATGGTCTTGTTAGGAGATTGGATTTGGCCAGTGATATTCCGCATCAGGGGTGCAAGTAGGGGACTCGATTTGTCATAGTACTGATCTCCATACACTGCACTGACCACTTCCGGATATGCAACAGTCCGATTTAACAGCCAAGGAAGATTGTTCTGAACCCAAGGACCGGAACCTACCAGGTCAGCCTCATGGCCATCCCAGCTGATATAAAGTACGTAAAGGCTTCCAGCCTCTTCGAAATGCGAGGCCAAAGCTCCTAATCGCCTCATTCAAAATGGCAAAGCCACTGTTCGAGTCCCCAGTACCTGCAGCCCAAGCGTCACGGTGATGACCATGAATTTAGATCCTGGTCCTCGATTTCACCTTTCATTGTTCCGATAACATTATAAACTGTGACATGTGTTTCCTCCATTTTGTTCTGCATGCTTACAAAAGAGCTCGAAGGACCGACGTTATACTCAACACTGTGGTATTCTAATCGACTACCTTCCCACCGCGAACCAAACGTACAGGCCCAAGGAGCGTGACCATTGAGTGCGCGTAAAACTGGGATAGCATCGGAATAGGATATAGGCATAGCTCGAAAGGCTGGTGGTCTTCTGGCAACTTTTAGCATATCATTTATCTACCTTGAGCGCTGAAAAAAAAGGAAGAAGATACATAAACGAATTGCCAGCTTGTCGCAAACACTCAATGGCGCGCGGGAGGACCATTGGGATATGGAAGATCCACTTGGTCCTCAGTTATATCACCATCTTGCAGAGGATCTGAATAGAGAATGTGTCCTGCAAGCCCCGCCTTTTGATCATTATCAAACAACTGGGTGCATTACTGACACCAGACTTGATGATGGAATGTTACCTGTCACATTAATTTTTTCCTGCGCAAGGTCCTCGAAAAGTCCTCAGCGGTCCCAAAGTTGGCATAGACAATCAATGCATTGACATTGTAAATTGACGTGTAGACAAGAAAGGCGGGTAGGACAAGAGCTTTACCGGTGAGAGGGTTCACTTTCGTGCTATTTTCGATCAAGCTAGGTTCGAAATTTAAGCGAGGCTCACCTCCGTCGCCGTCAGTTACCTGAAAAAGGGTCAAGCTTTGGTGCCGTGAATAAGTGAACAGACCGAAAACGGGGTAATTTTCAATCTTGGCCTCGACCCTAATTTTCGGCATTTCTGGAAATTCCAAATCCCTTGTGATAGGCCCTGATCCGGACCGTGAGGCTCTAAAGTGTAATACATACTTGAGTCTAGGATCGAAGCGGATCGGTTAGCAGCAGTCATTCTAGGTCAATGCAAAGGTCGTTCACCTGGTAAGCCCAAGGGAAGTTGAAACCGGAGAGAGGAAATCTAAATGATGAAAATAATATGAACCTGAGATACATCATGACAAGAATAGTCTTGTGTGGTCTAATCTGAAACTCGGTAGGCTATCATCGTCAAATGTCTACATATGTACATTGTCAATTCGTTGGCATACACTGTCCTAACCATCCAGATTTGCATGATTCTTACTTCTTTTCGAATTTATTGTCTGCAATGATCAACAAACATTGATTGATCTGATTTTGCAGCATCAACTAATGTAGGAGAGTGGATCCATAGCTTACACTATAACGACGATCGCTCACAGTGCATGTGCAGAAAAGCAATCATTTTGTGTGACTAGAGCTCCTTGCACATCTACATATTTAAATACATAACTGAGTCGTAGTTTACTATACTATATAACTATTTTATCTACTATGTATAAAATATGTACGCATATATAGTATGTATATAGTGAGTGTATGAGCCGTTTCCTGGCTCTGATTGGCCTAGAGCAGTATGAGTCCTCAATATTTGTCTCACCCAAACGGTCGAGTTTAACGTGAATTTCTTTATATATTAATTAAAAGGCTAGAATAAGTCTTAGTAGGAGCGTATAGTTAAGTGAAGATCTAAATTCCTACCGCTTTTATTTGCTTTTCTTTCTGCTGACCATAGAGCAGAATTTCCCAAAGTTTTATTTCTCTTACATTGTTTCATTTGCTATAAATATCAGTGTTAGTATACTGTTATCATTATTTCATTATTTTATTTGATATATCTCTTTCTCTTGCGTTTAGGATTGGACTACAGTGTACTATGTACGAATATGGCTTCATTTGGTGTTGCCGCGGTTCCCTCGACGTCATCACTTCTGACACCTCACCATATTCTTTCATCATTTTTGTTTGCTCCCTGTACATGCAACTCATATGGTTGTGTGCATTTTAAACGGACGAATATGGCAATTTGCTCCTTCATCTCCTGCCGGTCGGAACTCAAGTGTTTCAACTTTCATCCACTTGCCGCATTGCCGTTTCCAGGGATCCCGCCACGAGCCGATGAGCCGAGATCAGCGCTCCGCATATAGTGCTTATTTTCGACTCCTGCCACTTCAGTTTCTACCTAGCATCTGCAATGAGCTGCTCCGCAGTTCATCATCATGTCTTTCTTGTTCGGTCGCCACCGTTCTCATTCAGATGCATCCATTCTTCATAATGAGCCCGATACACTAAAACCATCCCTTTCGCATCGCCGCATTCCCTCAGGTCGTCATCAAGATGATAACTCTGATCGTGGGGGGTTCCGAGGTCTTTTCAGGAGACACAGCGCCAGCTTGTCACCGTTACAGGTACCGGTAAGAGCGGCCATCATTTGAAACATACCGTTGGACATCTATTTAATGGCAACCTAGGAACATCCGATCGAGGCAAAGACGGTACCGAAGCCTCGGCGGGCCAGCTGTCAGCGACGTGATAGCAAAGAGTCCGCTCGCGGCTCTTCTCGGGGCGATTCACCCACGGCAGGAGATTCCTCCGAGCCAAAGCAACCTGGGAATATACAAGATTTGCTCGAATACAGACTAGATATGATCAACAGTCCAAAAGATAGCTCACCCAGCTTTCCATCCTGTCGATCGGATGATTCAATGCTAACGAAAAAAGATGTCAAGGCATTGTTCTCCGGGGCGCCTCACTTCCTACTTGAAAAAGGAAAACATAGACGATGGTATCCCCAGGTGATCTTCCCTTGGGACGAGCAAAGTCCAGTGGTCCAACACATGTGGGATCGCAAACCATTACCACACGCGTCCTTTACTTTGAGCACACTCCACGCTCATTTACCAGTCCCAGATGATTGGGCCGTCAAAGGTGGCGTTCCCATTCAGGTGCTTGACTGGCGCCGATCAGGTGCCACGAACAGAGCCACATTCGATGTCGGAATCTTCGAAGTGCCCAATATGCTGTCCAACAATGGGAAAGAGCCTGGAACTGTCGCATTCCGTCATTTTCTCGAGCTCCCTGTAGCAGACGCTATTCGATACACCGGTCCCGAAGTACCTAAGAAGCCCGAATACATGCATCAGATTTCAACCATGGGTGCAACGGAGGCATTTGAGTTGATGGAGGGTTATAACAAACCATACTCACAGTGCCAAAGTGGCGCCGTGTTCGACCGACACCGACTCATCTGCGATGGCCCTGAAGCCTGGAAGCGCATTGGCGTACGAGATATCAACCTTCGATCCCTCGTGCAGAGACTAGAACATTTGCGCCAATACCGAGAAGACATGCTCCGAGAAGGATCCACAAAGACGATCCTGGATATCGAGAGCCCTCGCCAGTTACACGACTCATTGCACACACGATTCCTTCTCCCGCGACCACCACCGGCCGATATCCTGGCGGGTCACCCAGAAAGCGTCAAATCGCAGATCAAAACACTGGCAATTGTATTGGCAACTCCAGGCGCATGGATTAATTTCAGTTTACCCGAATGGCGTTTCCGGGCTGGACAGGTTTTATGGGAGGCATCACAGCATGGCGATGGGGATTGTCTCGCGCCTGGCTCAGGAGCTGGCCCAACACCTAAGGATGTTTTGATCAAATCTGGTATGGAGCGAAAGTGGCTTTTGATCCAACTACTCCTATCCGCGGAGTTGCTCCTTCGGCTGGATGCGTTTGTACGAGTGGGCATGCTGCACGATCCACATGGTGGGCACATCACAGTACAGGAGCTTCGTCAATTCGATAAACTCCGAGAAGGCAAGGTAAACTGGGACCTTGTTGTTGTGCGTCGGTTCTTGAACAGTTTGAATATTTCTTGCATCTCGCCCCGGCCAAGTTTTTCTCACGAAGACACCAGATCAAATTCCTCAATCAATAAGTCGCCAGAAAAAGCTCATCGCTTTTCATTACTTGAAGCCATCACCCGGCGTAGCTCATCCCCCATTATGGACTTACAGTCACCCTGGGATTGCCAGCTAAGCTCATCGCATGTCCGGCAGCAATTGGAGGGGCTTTATGTCTTTGCGGAAAACATCGGATGGCCCAGACTCGCTGGCCTCAAAGCTGCCATGAAGCTCAAGCTTGGAGACCCGGAGAATCCGGTCTTGCCGGCTTTGATCGTCGATGGCAGGCGGGAAGACAAAGATGTATCCGAGCAGACATTGCTAGGCAAGGCGGATATGTACACAAGGAACCCCTGCCGTCGTCGCGTGAAACTCCATAGCTCTGGCGATCCGCAGTCCAAAGCTTTAGGCTGGATCTCGCGTACCTGGCTCTCCGGGTTCGTGATACCAGGGGAAGCAATTAGCCATCTCCTCATGGCGACACTCCTGGAGAATGACACAGAGTTTCTATCGCAACTTGGAACAACCGCCAGTCTCTATGGAGGATTCGTTTACGGCGAACGGAGTTGGTGGAGCAAAGCATGCATTGTTGGGCGTGTTTTGTCTAGTTCTGAAGAAGCTAAGACATGCATGGGATGGATCAGCAGCGACATGCTCCCTCGCAATGTGACTACTTTGGATAAACATGACTGTGGGTGGATTGAGCTTGCCGTCGAAGAGGTTCAGCAGAGTTCGACCAGACCTCGCATCAAGCAGGGAGCGAAGCTCGCCTTGGAATCCTCACCACTTGGCACGGGGGATATCACAGCAGAGGCATTTACACTTCCACGGGAAGATTCAGTGTCAACTTCTAACTATAACGTGAAGGCCAGAGCACTGACTATTTCGGTCAATGTTGATGAGCCTTCAACGGGCATTACAATCGCCAACGAAGCATCTATCTCGTTCTCCACCGAAGATGCAGAACCGAAAAGTTCTACGACGGTATCCTTTCCTCTCAGGTATAACGTGCGCTTCATTTCCGCGCATGAGTGCCGCCCACCACTTGGAGTCGTCGTCCATAGCCAAAGGGACCGCGAAGATGAATCACAAACATCTACGACTCCCTTGTTAAATTATACACGGTTGACAGGTCACCCCTTGCACCGGTCTTATTCATACAAGCGTGTCCCATTGGATTCTCTTCCCGCTACCGAGGCACCGCAGCCGATATCACAAGAGTCCGATGCACCTCTAGCCCCGGAGATTTTGGTAATTGACGCACGAGGCGACCGAGATAGGGAGACATTCGTTCGGGCGTGGTGTGCTTTTGTCGGGTGTCATGCGATCATCGGTCGGAGTGGACGGACGTGTCTAGCATGTTGTATCAGGCAAGCAAGAGCCGTCGATGTACGAGTCGTGGTGCGCGTAGGCTGCTAAAACCGACACATAGGATGCATGTTTAGTAGTGGTTAGCAACTTAATGTTAATGTTTCGACAAGTCAAAAGGGATCACGGCGGCTAAATCTGGAGACCGAGTCGGGGATGCACAAAGAAACAATGCCCGAACAATTAATTGTAAATCCTATTAATCGCGCACAATCCCACGCAACGAGTCCACGGATGTTGCCCCTTTTTGGCCGGAAAAGCGTTCGGGTTCAACGGTTTTTCACCGGAAAAGCCATGGAGAGCCGGGGAGGAATTCCCCTCAGCCAATGTTTGGAGAATCCAGAGAATAATACCACCTTCCTTTTCTCCAACCGAAGTAATAAAAAATAAAATAAAATATTAGAAAACGCCGCAAATCATGATAGGGGCAATGAGGGAAATGGGGGTGTTTTTTTTTTCCTTGGGAGGACGCGTAAGGCAGGTTGCAGGTTAAAAAGGGAGACCCCCCTCTAGGGGTAGCCGACCACCAAATGGAGTCAAGGGCCCGAATATGGTGAAACGACCGGACCAGACTTGAGGGGCCAGTGAGGTCCCTGCATTTTTGGTCCACAGGGAGATCTCCGATCTGAAAGAATTAGTTAGGGGGACTTTATATTGTAGGAATTGTGTCGATGGAAGTATACTTCCGGAACAGAGCCAAAAAAACCCTAAATGGATTTGAGACTATAGTACGGAGTACCCCGTAGTGTATATCCAACTGCATCCTGAGATCATATACGTATGTAGCTGCAGGACTGTAGGTTACAAAAACCATACATCATATTACTAGAACGGTATACAGGTGGTCTTCGCATACAATATTGTACATTTTTCATGGTCACAAACTAAGCCTTGTTATTGAACCCTCGCCAATGCAAGGCTGACGGAGCAGATATTCCAAAATAGCATTAAAGCCGAAATTATGCCACGCGACAGACTATTCCAGTACGAGACATCGGGCGCGCAAGTCCAAGAACGGTTATCACAAGGTATATCTGCGCGCCACTGCGGAGCTCGGCAGTTGAGATTTGGCAGTTGAAATCTGGCAGGGAAGAAATCACTACTTACTAATCCCAGAAGGGAATAGTTCAAGGTGTTCATTTGAAACACTTGGCCTTTGTACATAATTCTATCTACAATTCAGGGTACCATGGAATATAAGATAGATTCAATCGATTTTAGCCCACTTTCTAGAAGGTAATTCTGCCCTGATCCACATGAGCAAGAAAAGAGAGACGAGAAAAGAAAAATATTCTTGGATGAGATCCAGAAACCAAGATCTCAGCCCTGGACCCTTGTTTCACTTTTAGACAATTGGCTGATCGACAACGACGCGACGCCCGTTGGGGCTTTACCTAATTGCACAACCGAGCCCGATCACGAGCTTTCATTCTAGTTTAGTAATATAGTATCCATGCTATTCACAACTCGTTTATTGCGGATTCACTTACTTCGCGCTACTGCAAGATCTATCGCAGTTGACATTCGCCGCGTCACGATACATGTGCTGAATCTTTAGCTGCAGCTCTACCCCAAAGAGTTTCTGTTTATGAGGCCCAATAGGATTGGTCCCTGTACATTGCTAAAGACCCGTGCTCGTCGATCTTCGACCAGAGCGTGCTGAGTTGCGGGGCCGGAGCGTGAGCAGTCTTTTCTCACAAAAGGGCGGTCGAGCCACCCCCTTGGATCCAAGTCAAAGGGTAGACATACTCACACTCTAATTTGCCTAGTACAATATTGTACAATATTCGTACTTTGTAGAGCATGAGGGAGCACGGTGATCAGTGGCGTTTATTGGCCTTGAGGGGTTTTGTTGACGTGATACACCATACAATAAATGAAGATCATTGTCCACTTATGTCCACTCTAGTATTCTCTCCAAGCCAGGTCTTGATAAGTTCTCCTCTTTGATTTCGACCAGTGGGAGTCGATAATGATACTAGTATAGCCACCCCCTTTTTTTTACTTCTTCTTTGATTCTCTCTAGAACAAGCACGTCGTCTCCATTATTGCTGATCTCCCCCTTTAGTGGGATCTCTTAGAACCTTCCCAGAAGTCTACAAATCCCCATATCTCTAAAAGACACAAGGAAAACCCCCCGATGAGCCCCATACGAGTGCCAAGACTTAACCTGTAACGCGCTACTACACTTGAGACGATCCTTAATTAAACCTTGACCAGCCCCACTATACGTTACAGAGATCGCTTGCATTCTCACTCAGCTACGGAGTACTACGCCATACAATATTGTATATTGTAGGTACTTTCTGTCTCTGAATGCTTTCGGGCGGATGTCCTTCTTGGGTGTAGCTCAGGGCTGTGTAGTTGATTGATATCATCTTATTGGGATCCTTTATCGGCTCTTCACTGTGTCATTGGTTTCTTTGGCAAGTTTTTTCCGAATGCAATGTAAGCAGGATTTTTAGAATCAAATCTTAAAGGCCACGTACTGTTCCTGGAAATTATTCCTGTGGTAAAAAGTGAAACAGAACAATATTGTAATTACTGTGATTAAGATTGTCCTGATTGACCAACTAAAGATTTCTCACCCAAGGTACGTTGTGGTTGGATCCATGACCAAGTGTGTTCACAGTTTCTAATTGGTCAATCCTTTTCATGTTCTGATGGTTTTCTGCTCTTTTGGCTTAATGTGGCGATACTATTGGGCCCAACTATGAATTAATTATGAATTATACATTATTGATCACAATTTAGAATATAAATCAAACCTAGGGAGGAATATAACTTAAAGAAGAAGAGCTAGAATTATAGAGAAATTAGAATATAGAACAATGGAAATGAGAAGAGAAAGAAGACAGAAAGAGAGGGAACAAAATAACCAAGAAAAAAAATCAATACATAATTAACTGGTTCTCGGGTATATAGTACGTTGTATAACCTGATACACATAGCCGTGGACCCTGAATCTGTTTTTAGCACCAATCAACCGGTGGTTCGTTTCAGTTCGTACAATGGTAGATTACCAATATATGAGATTGCGAAATTTGGAGTGTTTCCAGAAGGCCATGTGGACATTAGATCGAACTGTATAGCTTCCCTTCGAGAAGCCCTTAAGATTTCTAGGGATCAGCCTCTGGAATAACCAGAGAGAGAAGGTTCTTTTTGACCAATGGACCCCCAAATCAGCTAGCTTATTGGTTCAAGGTGCCGACCTAAGCTCGCCTCACCAATCACTAAGCCGGGAGTTGAAGGAAATGTTCCCCATTTCAATAATGATTGACAGGTAACCCTCTTGGCCCTAATCCAAAAAAGGTACACTACGAGCGGCCACCGTCGAAAACATCCACATCTCCCCACTGTTGTCAGGGCTCCCAGACCATGGTTCCTTGTCTCTACCTCATTTGATGAACCGGGTCTATCGTACGCAATCAGGGGCGTTGGTCAGACACCTAATCAAAATACCAGCCTGACGGTGACATGAGTTAAAAAAAGAAACAAATTAAAGGATTAAACCAAATCCGATCAGAAAAAAAAGGCATGGAATATGTACAATGCAGCTCAAGGAGTACTAATTGTATAATATTGTACACCTAGGCATACTACTCTGAAGGAGAATAAGAGGCACATCCCCTCCTCAATAGTAGAGTTTAGTCTAAAGTTGAGGTTAATGTACATTAAGGGAAGTTGTCCGCGGGCCCCTGAAGTGATCATCCATTGACAATGACCTGCAGTTGAGTTGGGCTAAGTCGATACATCCGTGTTAGTCTTAGTTGGTATGATGCAGAGCCACCTAGGTCCACGTACGGTGGGATATACATTTAAAACACTAAAAAAAAACATTAAAAAATTTCATAGAAAAAAAAAACCAAAAAGGCCATTTGGGCCTTTCACCCCGCGATTAGCTTCTGTCTGTTCAGACTATAGTACATCCTCGATCTGCTCTTCCCTTTCTTCCCACACCGTTCACTTCATATTCGCTCCTTTGAATTGTCTTTTCTTTTTCTTTTTTATTATTTTTTGATTCACTTACTAATCTCTTTCTGGTTATTGTCGTTTGCCCTTGTCCCCTAGTGTGTTTCTTCTCCGATCTCAAACTGGGCCACGATAACCTTCTAGGCCCTAAGCCTGTCTAAACACCCCAGGCATTCCATGAACACTCTAATTACTATAATTATTGATTAATTTGCAACCACTTGGAGGCTTTGGGGAAAGACCCGAACTTGGGATCCAATTTATTCTCGACCAATTCATTGCAACATTTCTTTACCTTGAGACACCGGGCCCTATCACCGTACCCGACCTTCTCGCTCTCTGAAACGCGCGCAATATCAGACCTGGTCCAGTGTGGCGCATGTGGATCTGGAATTGAGAATTGGAGCAACGTCAACCTCTGGACACACTTCTCGGCTATCTCCCTCTCTGTGTCTATATGGCATTGCGGTGATAGGTTGTCGCATTCGATTTCAATCACGCCTCGAGGCAACTTGAAACGGCATTTTTTCCCGCAAAGCTTTTCTTTCAATATACCTAGAATTTTGATGCGCCTTCGACCGATCCGATAACAGTATAGTCCTCGTGGGAGCGATGCCCGGGGCTGTCCACGAGATGTCATCAACACCAACTTCACAAAGCGCTATGGATGCAAACGACAAGAAGCGCAATAAGCTGGGATATCATCGAACCTCTGTCGCATGTGGTCAGTACCAAACTCACCTATATTCTTTCCCTTCCATCTTCCACCTTCCACCTTTCTAGAATTGGGCATTGGAGATGTTGTCGATCAGGAAGAAACACGAAACCCTCTTTCGTGGTGGAGCAGTATTTGCATGTGATTGTGATAGTTGGACTTATACATGACGCAGTACATTGTCGACGACGGAAAATTCGCTGTCTTGTTGCGCCAGACGACACTGAAGGACGATGTGAGAATTGTATTCGATTGCGAAAGGATTGTCAATTTTTCCCCGTCGATCAACAGCCACCCATTGAAAAGAAATCAAGACCAAGCTCAAGACTGGAGACGCCTTCTACTGAGCGCTCAAACACTACGCCAATTGCTTCATCGCCGACTAACCTGGTCCCTGACACCACCGAAACCTTCTATCCATACCCAACAATGCCAATGAACACCACATCCACACAGGACATTCCAACGTACAACGTTGGCATTGTTCAAAGTAACATGCACCTAACACCTGGTATGCTTATTTCCTTTGCCGTGTGGTATATTCGAAGGCATTTGATTGACTGATCGATTGAAAATAGACCGACCTATGGGACCAGGAGATTTTGCTGGGCATCAAACAATGGATCCAGGAGTGGCATGGGACGAATTTACGACAATATCAGACCCGCAATTATTGAATACAATGACAACCGGAAAGGGCCAGATGATGAATATGTCATCCAATATGTGGAATGCAGCAAACATGCCCTCGGGGCTACCACCACCTTCACCAATCTCTGCAACATCTCCAATGGGAGGCCAAGCGCAGCCGATGAGCCATGCACCGACTTATGCCCTGCAGCCGGACGGAACTGTTTGGCAGGTGCCACCACCACCACCACCACCAAGGACAATGAGCTACCCCGGACAGGAAATGAGCTCAGCCTACCCCAGTCAATTTCACCCACAAATGCCTACGGAGCTCAAAAGAAGAATGACAACACCTGCACAGTCGCTGTCTGCTTCGAGTGCCATGGGCGCCTCAACTTCTCCAGGTCCTCCAGAGATGACGCCCGGAGCTGTTTCATACCCACCAGGCATGAGTTACCCACAATGGCAGGATATGAACGCCATGTCTGGTATGGGCGTGGTACCATACCCTATGTACGCCAGTGACGCTGTTCCCCAACATTCTTACCCTCATAACCCTCCTCCGATGGGACACCCCGGGGCCTCGGGACGGTCACCCAATTGATGAAAGATCTTCTTCGTTCGTCTCGATCGCCATCTTCCTCTGCCACACATCAAATTTTCATATTTTCTTGGACTCCGATTTTATCACGTTGCACATCACATTCCTAGACGGCTTGTTTCAATTCTAATACCCCGCGGGATATATGCACATTTTCCGCAATTGGCACTTTTTTTCTTCTACGCTTTCACCTCATCCTCATACACCGTGGCGGGTCTGCTTTGCAGCTAAGTCATTAGCGGGCGCAAGGGCTTTTGGGTGGCATTTTCCATGAATTTTTGACCTTCTGTTTTCTTTTATGGCATGGCCCATCTCTTCTTTTCCCCCTCCACCTTTTTGGGGGTTTTCAACACGTCGAAGACCCGAGGTATCTTTTTTATATTCTCTTCCTATTGGGGTTTTTTCTTATGCATTTTATATCCCGTTGTGATAGGGGTTTTCTGGCGGGTGGTTGTCTGGTTTGGGGTGTAATACACTCCATACATGTTGGAGGTTTTGTTTTCGGTCATCCATATAGATTTTCATTTTCATTTTCTTCATTCTTCATCAGCCTCCATATTCCTACCGATTGCCACCAGCTCTCTTGTGATTCAATGATCTTCTTTCTAATCGTGTCAATTATGTACCATTGCATGATGAAGCTCTCCACAATGGAAGGAAACGAATCAGGTCATGATCAACATGATGCATGGCAGTCAAATCATTACCGTTCTTGTTTAATTAAAATCAAGGCAATTGTCTGATCAAGATAAAATCTGGCCTTGTTTTTCCATAAGCAAGTTGGTCCCAACAGACGACCATTGCCTATTTCGGGTCTATAGTTAAGGCACGTGCGAAATTTCGTCGAACTTCTGCAGTACGTATGTCTGTATAAACTGCAAATAACCATTGCATAACTATTTGTTTTGTGAAATTCATTCCCAGTTCGAGTGGGTGGCTTTTCTGGCGAGTCCCTTAAACATGGTACAAACGAGATTCTCGCTTACAGCATGTACTACATGTGTGATATTACACCCTTGCTTCATCAATCGATATAACCGAGTTACACAGCGTATAGCAAGTGAAATTGATTGTACCATAGCTATTTATTGCTTGGGTCGAATATTAGAAGCCAAAAGTAGGGCTCGACACGAAGAAGTCTTATGCCTCACATGCAAAGGCGGCCAACGACAGGTCAAGAACCAAAGTGATTCAGCGGCCTGCTTTAACTCAGCTTATCCCGTTCGTGGGACAGAAATCTCCAAAGTGGGCTGCAGTGAAACTATATCACCCAGAGAGGCCAATAAAGTCCATCAAATATTCGATATACACGAAGTCCATTGCGCCTTGATGCCAGTTGTAGTACCTACGCCGGAAGATGAATGTCAACAATCATGCATTTTAAGAGCCTTTCCTTGATAACATTATCGTCATAGATAGACAGATAGAAAACATATGGATTTGTTGATGACACATAAGTCTTTTCCTCAATTGGGCATCAGTGATCATCAGAATCCGACTTGATAAGGCACACAAGGATGTGTTATGGAATGATTGACAAGATAAAGACGGGAGATTCGAATTTCTCCGAGGAGATTGTGATTCCTTTGCGTACTTGTGTGATTCACTGATGGCGTCAATCACTTGAAATAGTAACAACTATGTGAGATTGCGCCAATCCCACCCTATCTCAGATGTATTCTGATAGACGATCCATCACATCTTATTCATCTCCTCCTGTCGATGTTGACACCAGGAGATAAGGTCCAGTTTTTCATAGAGTCCAGTTAACGCCACGGGATCCGCCTTGGGCGGATCATCCGGAGAACCGATGGGAATAGAAAACTCTGGGGTTGAAATCCGGAGATAGCAGCGTCGCAATAGCGGTGTAGATGTGAGATCCAATGATAGCAGTCGTATCATGCCCCTGAGATCCTCTCTCTTATCTTTTGGTTCTAATGCCGTTGGGCCAAGATATCTAGAGTTCACCCTGTTGGTTGCGATTATCAGTCCGACGCATTGTTTGGCTTAGGGAGCGTCACGTCTTATCGAGACAGTTTTGGGTGATAACAACACGGCAGGGAGTCAATATTTTGTGCTGAGTATATATAGGGCTCATTGTCCCTAGTAGCTTTCATCCAAGGTGGGTTTTTGCCCTTCAGCTTCACTTCGGAATTCGGGTTCCCTAAATGGGAATCCCTGTTTTTGACTTTTTTGTGTGCAATATCGACCTTGTTGTCTCCACGCTCTTTATATGAGCAGCACTTGCTCTTCATATGGAATCTGTCAACTACCTCGACGCCAAAAAAAGAGGGGGGATTTGAATTTCTCGAGTAACCGCAAGAACCGCACAGAAAAATATCATTGATACACCAACCCCTCCCTCTCGACGGTACATCTGAGGGAAGGACCAAGGATCAAAAGTACCAGTCAGATTGGCGTTGCGGGCTGGATGTGCAGGACGCCACGGCCCACACCCCTTCAATGATTGCCTACTCCGTGTACGTTTTCGGAATGATTCGGGTGCCTGAGACAGACACCAGTTTTCAAAAGCATTTGACAATGTGATTTGAAATAAAAGACCGAATCATGGTATGATATAAGATAAGGTCTAAAGTCCCACCGATCTGCAGCCTATCAACACCAATGACAACATTACCACGGCTAATTATGTACTTGACGTCTTATCAGCTTTTAGTTATCTCGGATTCCCCGACTTGTGGAGAACTGGGGGCCGATTACATCTGAAGTTGATTACGGAGTACGGAGTACTTTCAGCTTCATTGGATCCCTCGCGTGCCTGTTTCCTTCCGTGTTCGGGTCCGGTTCCCCGTCTCCACATGTCGTGGATATACATTATACATTACTATATTGTGTACTCCGTATGTTGAATATGAATATGGGATTGGCTGTTCATATACATGGAAACGATTAACTTGAATGTGGCAAATCCGAGGAAGGCAAAAAACCCCAAAAAAGAAAAGAAAGAAAGGAAAATGAACAGGGATATTAACCGGTACAGCCCAGTTGCCCCGCGATGAATGATTTAACCAGAATGTCAATAACCCCAATGGTGGATGTTGATTTGCTATACCGAGTACCAGTTGCCTACATATTACCTGGTACATGAACTAACCCATTCGTTCATTAACCTCGTTTGGGGGAGAACATCGGGGAAATGCTGTGACAGACGGTCTCGTATTTTTCATCCGTACATCGGAGATACTCTTTTCGGGTAATATAGGGATCTCTTTCTGAGCCTCTCGGTGAGTGCGTTTTATTGTTATGATCGACTTGCTTCGAAATTAATTGAAGCATTATTCATATTGATTTTCTTACTTACTTCAAATGATATATGATATGTTTAAGTATACTTACATTTATATAAATAATTGAATGTTTACCTCGAAGGACAGAAACAGAAAAGAGAGAAGAAAAAAAATGATCAGTAGAACGTTTGCTTATCTTTCGGACTCCATCCGTTGCTCGGTTGACTATCATTTTCGCCCCGCTACGCTAGGTCCATATGTATGTACGGAGTATAATATATAGTATATCCTACGCCATACTTCAACGGCTGATTGTACTTTTTCCAATTTCCAACTCTGCATCAACTCTTCAAATAGTTCAATTACAAAAAGCTACCCAAAATATCGTCGAATATACTACCAGGGTATAGTTACAGCTAGAACCTCGATACGAGACTAGACACCTCTCACAGGAAAAGAGCATGCTGCTCGGGAAGTATACTCCACCAGTAACGAACAGTCCCCACTTAACCTACACCTAGACATATGTAGACATGGCTCCGGAGACGCTAAGGAACATGATATCTTTTAGAGTACCATACTTCTTGAATCATGACCAAGCTTAAGTCCGATTGTCTCCAGCGGGCCATGGGAAATATGAAAGTACCTGCGTTTAGACCGGTCCCGACTTCCAGGAGAGGGTCGGGGAGGGACATTAGTCTGAAGTCTAGTACGGATCTTGCGACCACTCGGGCCGATGATTATGGTCAAAATGCCGGTCCCGTGAAAACAAAAACATATAATACTAGACTATTATCATACTATAATACTTAAAATAACTGGTGATATAGTTCTCTGTTCGTTTTTGGTGTTATTTTAATCCAAAGGGGCCGTGCGAGTATGCAAAGAAAAGGTACATGACCTTCCAGACCGAGGCAAAATGACCAGCTGATTCGTGGGAAAAAAGGTTCAGCGAGTATTCAAAAGGAAAAAGAGACAATCGGATTGGAAGTAGAGACGGGAGTGGCGCATGGGAATAGTATAGCTAGTTGACTACATAGTTATGTATCCATATGTAGCTAGTGCTATAGTGTATAATGTATAGTATAGAGTACAGAGTACCGAGCACTATATGCCTACATATGTAGGCGTGCTTATATGCTTATTGGTCATAGTACGCAAAGTACACTAAAAGGTAAGTTCAAACGCCGCAAATCGGTCATTTCGCCATGACGCATGTATTACTGTTACGCAAATTACCATATAAATTACCACAACTCCCAATACGGAGTACATATACCGAGTAGACAGATTCATATTATATTCCTACCAATTCCCATCTTTTATTTTGTGTGTTTCTCTTATAATATCTTGATCATTTCTTTTTTTTTACCTTGGATCTTATTCTATATATTTCATAGAATATATCTAGGTAACACAATCTTGAAGGGAAAAGAACGAGAAAAACAAAATTATAGATCTGAAATCCCCAAGTGATTTTAGGTTATTTGCGTGGTCGGTAGTAATCTGTTTCCGTCCAAACTTCTCTCCCACATTTTCCTTTCTCTTCTTCCTCTTCATCAAAACTTGCCAAAGAAAAACACAAAATCCATTTGGTTATTTCCAGAGGAACTTGTCATTCCATTTCGGAGGAGTTAAATCTTCCATCGCAGGATTCATCTTCTCGGGGCATGAGCGTCTGGAGGGTCTAGCCCCCCCTCCAACGACTCAAATCTTAAAGCGAGGTGTTGGTTCCAGATCGTGCGTTCACCCCCGACTGTCCGATATTAATTCTTCAATATTATCATATGTTATTATCATATGGTATTATCATATACCCTTCCCGTGCTAATAGGCGTTTTTGCGCAGACCCCGGTTCGTTGGCTGAATCTCACCAATCGTTTCTCGCTTGGCTGCATTCGATCATCAACTTCCGGCAAGGGTCTCGTTTACAGCGGGTACTGGGGAATTTCAATTTAACCCACCACTTTCATCCCCCTCCCCGCGGTCGCTTTTATTTGATCTTTCCCCTCTCCGAAGCCTCCCTCATCGGAGATTATGGAGGGGATACACCATGGGCATGGGGAAGGCCGGTCGTCCATGGCCTTCCCCGGCTTTGACCCGGACTCCCATATGATGTCCGATGACTTCTCTTTCGATTCACCTTTCAGTCCCTCCGATTCCTCCAACGCCAATGATGGAGTCCTCAACAATTCTATCTTCCCTGAATGGACCAACGGTGCGCCGCGTGGCGATAACCCCGATGAGTTGCAGAGGAAAGATCCGTTGGCCGCTCAGATCTGGAAACTATATACGAGGACGAAATCTCAACTACCCAATCAAGAACGTATGGAGAACTTGACATGGCGAATGATGGCAATGAATTTGAAGCGTAAGGAACGGGAGCAGCAGGCTCGGTAAGCAAACTTCTGCGGATCTCGAGGTCGTTTGACTAACTGATGGCTTGGTTTAAACAGTGCCTCGGAAACTCTGAGCCCGACACCGAGCGGCATCGCGCAGATGCGTCTGTCTGACCAAGTCTCGCCCGTTGAATCCCACCAGCACGATATGAGCATGGATGCGACCCCGGATCCAATGAATTTGGATGACTTCATCATACCCTTCGACTCTCCAGCTGAACACCATCCACACCCCCCACCGATCGCCACTTCACAGCAACACCCACCGGGTCAATTCCCATTAAGTCGCGCAAGGACCAAATGATGGAGCCCTCGGTAGCTGCTTCTTTCCCACACCCGCCCCAGGATCAACGAACAAACTCCGAATTTGGGTACGTCCCCCGTCGGGTCCGTAAAACGAGCGTCGACGAGCGACAGTTCTTCGCTGGTCTTGCCGTGCCAACCCGGAAGCGACCAGCCGAGGCCTCGCCCCAGGTCCCCCCAGTTTCCAACGCTATGATGGCTCAGCGCTCGGAACTGCCAGCGACAATGCCCGATTACTCGCTCGATCATTCGCCATCTGCCTTTGCTCTCCCCGGCAATGGCACCGTAGGCCCGCGCCGGCCTCAACACTCTCACACACATTCTGGCATTCCCTACGGGTTAGATACCTTTGGCCTCGGAGAGGATCATGGAATCCATTCAGCTGGACCTTATCAGCAGAATTTCCATTTCTCGCCTTCAGACTCCCCAATGACTGCAGGGAATCCTTTCTCGAACTTGTATGCCCAGACGCCGCTCGCCTCGTCCCTCAACTCCACCGAATTCTTTTCTCCCCCGCCTTCTGGCTATCAGTCCACTGTGTCAACCCCGCAACCGATTTACGAGGGAGAACAGTCGATGTTCTTCACTGATGCGCCCTCTGCTGAATCCCACTCCCAGCGCCGTATCCCGAACTACATCCAGCAGCGCCAGTCTAATCTGTCTGCTTCGCTGCAACCTCGCTATATGTATAACGTTTCCAACGGCGAATCGCAGTCCGGGAACGCGGTCACAGGTCCCCCGACCACTCATGTGTCTGGATTCTCAGTACCACAGCCCCAGCATGTCAACCCGTCGCAGGTGCTTGGTTCCGGCGAGTTTTCCACAACAGCGCCCGCTGGCAGTATGTTCACCTTTGGCGGGGATTCTGACAACGAGGATGATGAGATCAACTTTGGTGAACGTGGAGGTATTACCATGCCAAATGATTTCGCCTCTATGGATGAATCGAATGATATGGGCGCTCCTCTTCATTGGGATGGAGGCTTCCCCGGATCAGTTCAGTCGCTTCCAGGCTTCAGTGCCCAGCACCGCAAGCATGTCACAATCGGATCTACAGATATGATCGATGGGCCGCATGAATGGAACCAGGCAGGCAGTCTAGGTCGTGCGCATGGATCCGCCGCTTCAGTAAGTGAAGTTCGCAATCGTGACCAAGACCCTCGTCGCTACGGGAAAGTCCCTCGCACGGCTTCGACTCCCAATGCCGCTGCGCTGCTCCGCCAGAGCTTGAACGGCTCAGCCAGCGGACCCCCGACAAACCACCCCTCCCCTAGCACCCCTCCTGAGTCTGGTCTTAGCAGTGCTGTGCCATCTCGACCAGGTAGTCCTGGCGGGTCGAAGAATGGCGACCCAAATGCTGGACCGACCACTTGCACCAACTGTTTCACTCAAACGACTCCTCTATGGAGACGCAACCCCGAAGGCCAGCCTTTATGCAACGCCTGCGGCTTGTTCCTGAAGCTCCATGGCGTTGTTCGACCCCTCTCGCTGAAGACTGATGTGATCAAGAAACGAAATCGTAGCAGCGCCAATACTCTGGCCGTTGGAACCTCTCGGTCATCCAAAAAGACATCTCGCAAAAACTCCATCCATCATGCTCCATCCAACTCGATTTCATCGCGCATCAACACCTCTGAGTCGCCACCTTCGATTACTGGATCCAACACGATGGGGAAACCTGGTGTTGTGCCCATTGCCGCTGCCCCGCCCAAATCTGGCCCGCCTGCTGGTGTTGCCCAGGCCCGTGCTGGTGTGCAAGTAGCACCCAGACGGCAGCGCCGACTCGAAAAGGCCCCAACTGGTTCAGACCCCGACGCAGAAGACAGCCCAAAGTCAAGTGCTCCCACGAGCCGGTCCAAGGTTGTACCTTTGGCTCCGGCGATGGCACCACCCGCTGCGGCAAACCCGGCCAACCACAGTATCGCTGGTGGGCAGGGTGCAAGCCAAGAGTGGGAGTGGCTGACGATGAGTCTGTGATTTGCCTCACGGCATGATCTTTTCTTTCGCTGACTTTTGTCTTTTTTTGTCCATGTGTGACTGGGCTGGTCACCGCTCTAATATCACGTATTCCACGACTAATGTTCCCGGCGGTCGTGTCTTCTTGATTAACCTCATGCTTCTCCTTTTACGTTACTTGTGCTTTTTTGTTGATTTGATTGATACAACCGCGTCTGCCCGGGACCCGAGCTGCTTTTCCTTTTTCGTTTCATCTTATGCTTTCTATCTTTTTCCTTTTGCTTTTGTTTTGCAGCTCGGAACCGGGCAGAAGTGCGCATCTCTCTCGTCCTTTTTTGACTCTATTTTTTATTTTATTTTTGGAATTTTTTGCGCTGCTGAGCAGGCTTTGATTAATGGGCTTTAACCTCGCGTGACTACTATTAGACATGAACTTCAATATGATCATGATTTTCCCAAGCTTTTTTGCTATATATCCAATTGGTTGTATCTCTGGGCTCTCGAGCTCGGATGAGCCCTCATTTCGTTGGCCTTCAATTGCTGAATGAACAATGACATCACATTCGTTCTTCCCCGGACGTTAGGCCGAGATCGATATACGTCGTGCCCGATGAATAAAATGTCTCAGGTGCAGCAGCCTCGCTGTTAGTATGAGGCTCTGAGATGGTATTCTGGACCCGATCATAGTGCATTCAAACAGCCAGTGTATTTAAACAGTCGCCCACTATCGATATGGCCGGCATGGCAGTATCCTGGCCAAGACTTTTACAATGATGCTCATGAATTACAACAGGGTGACATTGCGTCGACTGATGGTCAGTAGTCACTATCACCACAATATCCATAGGTAACGCAGAGCCCGGCTCACACTTAGCAGAAGCTTCCGAGCATATCACCACCAAAACGAATACTACCGACTGGTCCTGTGAGTAAGTCTGCCAGCGGAGTACACGAAAAGATCGCCAATTAACTCCAACCGGGTGAGTATCATCTACAGTCAATGACACAATAACCATTTGAGCAACGGATACTACTCAAACATCAGCTAATTAGAGAATGAAAAGTCTCTTCTTCAGTCTGCAAAGGAGACGGTAGCCAAGGCCCTCGGAGGAGGATCTCGTGGTGAGTTGATGGTCATAGCAGATATTCCACACTCTTCGCTAACGAGATGGTATAGGTGCAAGTTGAATTAGTTTGTTGGCTTCTTGACAGGTCCCTGCTAAAACGCTGAACAATGGAGGCACACAAGATAGACCCCAAGACTAGAATATATATGTTTCCTGGGCTATTCGGGAGGGTTTGATCAACAGCCAATGTATTTTCACAAACCAGCCGCATATCACCTTCGGAATTCTACCGAGTAGTATCATATATGCTACATGAGTACCTAGGTAACTGCAATAAATTTGTGCCAGAGTCATTCGTTTTGATTCTTCGATATATACTTCCCTTTCGGGATACTTCACGCCTCAGGCACAAACTGATAAAATCACGTGTGATAATCAGCGAAAAAAAGAATCGCCGACGGCATATCTTCAACATTCAATTAACACCACAATCATGGGTTCCAGCTCTAAAAGAAAGAAGGAGAAGAAGAAGGACTTCCAGGTTAGAACCATAAGATCTGATTTCTCTCAACCGGCCCACTAATTCATGCAGAAACCCAAACTCAAGGTTGGCAAGACTAAAGCGAAGCCTGACAACTACACGGACACAACCTTCAAGTCAAAGTGTATGTTTGCAACTTATCCGACTGGGTTGATCTATAACTAACAGCAATTAGCAATTGTTCTTACCCAACAATCCCTCCACCTTGCCGCCCCGACCTCTAATGCCACATTCACGCATAACCTATCTCTTCTCTCCGCTAAATCGGACAGCCAAAGACGCGACTCGCTTGCTTATCTGACCACATCAATATCCTCTCGGCCAGTAAATTCACCTTTGCCGCAACCAGTCAGTGTCATCTTACCATCCCTGCTTCCGCTCATCCTCGATGGATCTGCCAATGTACGGACCCAGCTCCTCAAGCTCTTGAAGACCCTCCCACAGGGTGATGTGGAGGACCATGTGGGACAACTCCTGCCATATGTCCGCGCTGGAATGACCCACCTTGCAGCGGACATCCGCGTCTCCGCCGTGGAAATTCTGTCATGGATGGTCGAAGCAGCGGGAGAGTCAACGGTTTCCTGCGCAGGAGGATGGATCAAAACCCTCAACTGCTTTTTATCCGTCCTGGGCTGGCACACGGAAGAGTCTTCACGGTGGTCTTCCAACCGAGCTTCATTCGGAAAGTCTGGTAGCCAGGGCAAACCCATGGTCAAAACACTCGGAGTCCTTTCCGAGTTTTTGGAAGCAGGTATTGGAAAGCCTTCTACTGGCAATGCCGATAGTGAGATGTCTGATGATGACGAAAGTCCTTCGTGGCCCTTCCCGCTTTGTCAGACAGCTCACCATATGATCTCTGACTCTTCTACTCCGTTCGCGTATCTGAACTTGTTTGGACAGCCGCGTGACGAGGAGGGAGAGATGTACGAGACCCGCGAAGATCGGTTCCGTGTATTCTCGTCGCGTTTCCATCCAGCCATGGAGCGCGGGCTCAAGAGTGCCAGAGAAGAAGGTGGCGAATTGGGTCGCGCGTCTTCGGGCGTAAGCAAAGTCTTGAAACACGCAGTTGCGTACGGACCAGGGCCATGAATAATCCAGTGCAGGCTCACGAGCAAACAAATACATTTGCGATAATGGTATCACGATCTGATCTTCAACCTTCGCACATCTCGCCCAAAAAGGCACGAGCAGATTGCGTATTTAATCCAAGCTGGCCCTGACTTCAAACATAGTGTTTGCATTCATCCAACGGCCTCTACTCTGCTGCAGTTGGGACCGATCCTACAACTCACCGACATGAAATGGTGACAGGATGACTGTGGGCTTGCGCCCTCTTGAGGTAGAGTGAGGCGTGTATACCAATACTTTTGGTCAGAGCCTTGAGACGAACCCTCAAAAATAGAGTCATAGATACCCAATTTTACAGTCATTGAACACATGAAAACGTAAAAGAACCACGATTTATAATCCGAGACAATTATATAGACATTCCATCACAACCCCAAGGAAGAACATAATAGCCAACAACGCTAGGCAACCTTTTCTACATCCAGGGATTTTTCATGTGCATCTGACCTCACTTCCTTCCTGTCTGAATCATCTGCTTCCAGGCCTTCCACTACCGTGTCTCTCTCCTCGTAGACTTCGTCAGGCAGAACCGCACGGTCAACCCGAGACTCCAAAGCAGGAAAGATCCATGACAACAGCAAATACACAATAGTTGTCGCGACGAAGCCGAGTAGCCAGCCAAACTGATATGGATGCTCACCGACCCCGACATCTATCCTCGCATTGACCGAGTTAATCAAGCCAGGCAGACTCGGTATAACGCCAACAAGAAATGCCACAATAGCGCGCCAGTTCACACCAGACACGCTCTTGCCCGGGAGACCTGGCACTTCAAAGGCATAGCGATAGATCGGGTTTTTGGGCTGATACAAGGCAAGGGTGTCATAGCGACGACGGTTGACGACCCAATAGTCAAAGAGCATGATGGAAGCAATAGGACCCAGAAAGATGGCGTAAGCAGACATAAAAGTAAGGAAATTACCTGCTGACTCGAGGATCTTCCAAGGCACAAGACACCACGATAACAGGGCGCACAAGATTTGGCCACGGCGGATGTTGATATACTGCGGTGCCAGTGCAGTGAAATCATTAGCGGCGGAGAGTGAATTGGCCGAGATGTTCACGCCTAGGGAAGCCAGTGCAAAGGAAAAAGCGCCGAAAAACCGACAAGCACGATTAGGCCAGTAGCTAATCAAGACCGTTGGGTCCCATGGGATGGAAGATAGGTTGTAGTGGGTTTGGCCTGCAGATGAGGCGGCAATACCGATGAAGGAGATGAAAGTGAACACAATGGGTAGCATTGGAACATAGAGTAGTTGCCAGCGGGGACTGACGCGCGAGTAGCGAGAGAAATCAGACTGGTTCACTGACAATGTTGCGTAATTGCCGAGGACCGATGTCATGTTGGCCAAAAACAGCCAGCTATACTTCGAGCCGGATACCGTTGAGGTCTGTTTCGAAAACACACCACCGCCACCTTTTTCGGCGACAAAGGCCCATATCAAAATGGCAATCCAGGCAATAGGAACCAGCACAGATTTCACTGTGAACAACCAACGTAATCGGTTGGGATGCATGCACAGGAACGGGATCTGGGCCACCCAAAAGATAAAGAACCCGATCATACCGTTGGTTGTAATACCCTGTGACTCGGGAATCCCGTTTGGCAGATTCAAGTAACTGGGCCAGATAGCACCAATCATGACGCGGACAGCATTGCCACCATTCACATTTTGAATCGCGAACCAAAAGATAGCAAGGATGACCCGTGATATGATAGCAACATACGAGCCCCAGAATCCCCAGCTAGCACGGGCAATGACGGGGAATGGAACATGGTATATGGCGCCGACAGCACCATTGGCAGCGATAACAAAGGACATGATGAAGAAGGACAAGGCGACGATCCCCAGCGCTTCACGGTACGTGAGTCCAACGGCAATAATACTACTGGCAAATTGCCAGGTGGCCGCATTGAAGGCATCTGAGATCCAATATGCTTCGAATTGTTTTATTAGACTCTATGTAGACCACACCGTTCAAGATAAGCTTACCTATAAGACTGGATGCAGCCCATTTACGACGATCTTTGGCGATCGGGTCAAGATCAATATTTGTCCACCGTGCATTACCTGATGCAAATGCAGACTCTCCCTGCAAAACTCGTAGGCGAGGCCTAGGAATGCGTATCTTCATGATTGAAGGGGTTGGAGCAGTAAGTAATGACGTTTAGATCCTCGAGATGCCCACGGGTAAAGTTAGAACCTCGTACGTTGCAGAATGTCACGCAAGGTGGCAATCCCAGTATGCAAATTTATTGGTGAAGCAAGACATACAAGGGGATTAAAAGAAAAAGAAAAGTAAAAGAATGCAGTGTCTCTCTCTTTTCGCGTTCTACCCCGACTTTGTCTTTGCTGCAGGATGATAAGATGATAAGATGATAAGCTCAAATGATAAGCGCAACGAATGAGATGTTGGCCTCGGGATATCCAAAACAGTCGAGGGTCAAAGAGTTCATATGTTCATATGATTGACCTAGCCATTCATATAAATAGATAACTAAACGAGTGGTATAATGATTACAAATTTAATTGCCCATGTCATGACTTGTATATCGCTAATACACCCCCCTCTACGGTTTCTCCCCAGGAAGACGGACATCCTGCCATCCTCGTCCATCGCCTACGCCTGCAACACTGCCGTGTGGTCGGATCCCCTGCCATTCAGTGAGATTGATCCACCCAATTTGCTGCACATCGCCAAATCCACCAATCCAGTATGCATGGGTCACCACTAGCCGCGCCCAGAAACTGGCATGGGGCGAGTAAGAAGCACCAGGCAACCAGACCTTTGCATCTGGATGGGGCTCAAGAAAACATTGCTCGAGTGCGGCAGCTGCGTCATCGGGGAGCGGAGAGGGCAAGTTGTCCAAGTATCCGAAGAGGGTTACGCGAGGCAGGGCAGCCAAGCTTGGAGGCAAACCAGGGTAAACTGAACCAGCTTCATTGATATGATCCCACCAGTCGATCTGGAGGCTCAGATTTGACCCTGCAGCGATATTCTTGAACGTAGTTCCAATGCGAAGTCCAAGGATCGTCGGATCACCGTTGTCGTCATGGGACAGGTCGGAAGGAAGGGAGCCATCACAGTCGGCGATGTACTCGCGGAGACCGATAGAAATTCCAGCAACATCAGAAGGAGCATGTGCAGAGGGAGGAACCGAGTCTGGAAAGGTGGTCGAGATGACGCCAGAGGGAGACAAAGCGAGAAGGCGGCGAGCCATCAGAGTAGAAGTGAACCACGAGGGGCGGCTGAAGCCTTCATTTTCAATGGAAGCAGATTCCAGACTTGGATTCAAGGTCTGGGCTTGTCCAACAAAAGCCTGGAGATTCTCAGAAGGAGGAATAACGAAACTGTGGGCCGTGAGGGGTGAAAGAAGGGCGAGAACGCCGGTGAGAAGAGAGGTCGGATGAGAAACCATCATGATTGTTGTTCAGCTATAGAAGCGACCATCAAATAGAGTGGTTTCATAAACAACAGAGAACAGGGAGAAGAGAAAAGGCAGAAAAATGCAGGTCGAAACCGGAGATGCGGAGAGACGCGGGCATCGATCATCTGATAGACAATCTTATCTGATCTAGTCAGTCACCTGATCCTCAAGTATATAGCCTTGAGAAGCGAGTCATAAGTTATGTACTGATTTTTTGTTAAATTAGAATTGTTCAAAGTATCCAGTCTAACTCGTGCTAAGTAGTCAATTAGGGAAATATCAGGGTCCATCAATAGTACGGTTTTTACATTCCTTTACACCAAAACGGCACAGCACTGTTATCACCCGACCTCGGGATGCTCGCGTATGTTACCAAATATGTTGGCAAAGCGCTTATACACTAAATCATATGTTATATGGTTTTGTGGTGCAATGTTCTCGCGGCATCCATGGCATGTGTACCGGTCATGCCATACTTCAAAGACAATTGATGAGCTACAAGCTTATGGAAGATGCAGTTCACACCTTTTCGTGTCATTCCATTATTTCAGTATTCTATATTCATATCCAGGACTTTTTGGTCAATTCGAGGTTTTCCTTTTCGCGTTTCAAATATTCTAGTGTTGGTCTTACATCTAACCGAGCCAACATAGTGGCTGAAAGCTTCGGTCCTAACATCATCTATAAAATGAATATCAAAAAATTTGAGTTTGTTGGGCTGGTGATGACAACTTAAAAAGACATATCATACGATTTCTCAACCCTCTTCTGAACCTTGGAGTACTTCTCCAAGTGTACATGTCTTCGTGGGTACTGGTGGGCTGCCTACATTTGAGGCTTGACATTGCACCGCCACAAGTCGCCACCAGTGGCACGGCTGACGCCTAAATGAGTCACCAGCAAAGCCATGGAAACAAAGCGGCTATCCATGATTACGAGGACCGATATCGCTGTTAAGTATTGGCTGTATTTCCTATCTGGGTTGGGATACTAGATAGAAAAGTTGATACAGGTATCGAAAAACAAAAGACCAACCCCATGCCAACCTCACTCCATACTAATAATAAAAGGGTAAAAAAAGTGAGAGAAAAGTTGCACGATGGTAGAAGACATGCCAGTCATCACCTCATCGTACACCCGAGGGAATCAAACGCCCAAATTCCAGCGACCCAGTGCCCAAGAAAATAGAATTATGTACAAGAACACTTCCGGGTAGGGTCGCTGGAAGTAAATAACAAATAAACGACGGACTTTTTCTTTTTGTCACACAAAAGGAAATATAGAGATCCGCTAATAAATCGCAATTCAATTCAAGTATTCCGCAACCCGGAGGCTCGGATTTAGAGCGACCTTGCGTGCTTCACTGCCACAGCAGGCACGCTTCATGCCTGCTGGTCCGGAGACTGGACTAGTTCGTATGGGTGCAATAGAGTTCACATGTGACATAAACGAGTGTGGTAATTGTCCATCAGGCAACACGGAAGAGTCTCCAGAGGCTCCGAGGTTGATCAGGTGACGCACATGGTTTTGAAGCAATAAGTCGTCGGAACCAGTCCGTCCACGTTTCCGGCACTGGCGCCGTTCGGGGGTCGCACCGGAAAGTTCGCAGAGACTTTGAGCAGCTTCGCTCAGGCTGGAGTCCAGGGTGAAATTGGACAGGTCTGGGACGGAAGATGTCATGGAACTTGGATACTCGGGAGAGCCGTAGACACCGACCAGAGAACTCTCGTCGATTGGAGAGGCAATAGCCAAAGTCTTCCGTGACTCCTTGAGTGAGTTGCTTGTGCATCGCAAAGTCGCCTTGACGGCCAAGCGAGCAGGAGCTGAGCCAGAGATGCCCGAGGCGTTGGAGGAGACTGATGACGACCGCGAAGAGCGAGAAGACAAGGTAGACACATCCGAGACCATCGAATCTGGCGACGAGGCTGAAGAGCTCGAGCGAGCCAAAGATGACCGACGAACCGCAGCCGGGAAACCATCGAACGACTGGGTCCTGGGGCAGAAAGACATAGGCGGGCGCTGATCGAGGGTCGATCGCGCCATGCAAGCATTCTGCGCCTGGGACATGGCCGTACAGATGGAAGGGCGGCGGTTGTAGGCAGCCATACTCACAGCAGGAGTAGAGGCCACCTGTGACTGGGGGGTCATCTGAGGCGTAGGAAGCATCGTAGGCCGCGGGATACCGGGCATAGCCAAATTGGAGAAGTCCATGCGCGGAGTCGGCTCCAAGGTCCGTGGAAGACTCCGAGGACAGGCTGGGGTTTGGTCCCGGGAGCGGATCGACTCGTTTCTCGGCATACTCCGAGGCGATGGGGACTCCGACAAATCGAGCTCAGTACCACCCATAGCCGAGGCCGGGGTCAGAGGCTCGGACTCTACAAATTCCAGTTCAGGAGAGAGTCTGGGGAGAACAGTCTGCCAGCACTGACCTTCAGCGACCGGGGGGCCACCGGCACCAGGGGTCAACTTCAAGACGAGATCTGTCCAGCGCTGGAAAGTCGCCTCGTCAATATGCAGGCGCCATCCGACGGCCTTGAGGAACATGAGCTCATTCTGGTTGATCTCAAGAGTGTTGAGGCCAGAGATCTTGCTCCAGGCGCGAGCGGAGTAGTTGCGGTCCTGCAAATATTTCGAAGCGAGGATCAGTGCCGCCAGAAACATCCGACGCCCACACTGCATCGCCCGCAATAGCGAATGATCCCGAGGCTGCTCCTTTGTGAAGTCATGTGTAGGGACGTGAGGCTTTATTTTAATCAAATAATACAAGGCCACCTGCAAGGTACTGTAACTAGTACGCGAGCGGCGAAGTGTTTCCTGGATAAAGGTGCGGAGGGGAAGAACCCCTTTCGATCCGGTCGCGGCATCACTGCGCGATGCCGCGGCGGAGAGGGGCCAAATGGTCTCAACGATCTGTGATGCGGTGTCTTTTGGGAAGGGATGTATGTTTAGCCGAGTGTACAAGACGTATCTCCGAAAGTGGTCCTGTTCAAGACTTACCGACGAGGTTATCGACGAAGTTCACCTTCCGTTCCGACTGCCGTAGCAGACATGGCGGAGGGCGTGCGCTTGGGGCGCTAGAAGCATAACTGTTAGTGCGCCGAGGGTGCGTTCGCAACTCGGATGGCACTACACCGTCCACCTTGGGAGCCGATCCCTGGGCCATAGCCTGAGGATAAGCTCCATTGGTATTCCTTCCCTGACCATTGCCTTCATTCTCCCAAATCACATCAACTGGGTTGGTCGACGTCGAAGATATCGCACTGGATGAGACGCAATCGAGAGAGAAGACAGAGGAAGAAGAGGAGGAAGCGGAGGAGGAGATCGATGAAGCATAAGGGTGAGCGTTATGAGACGCTGTCAATTGTGAACTTGGGTTTGAGAGGTTCAACCCCAAGACGTCCATCCTTGACATATCCGAAGGTGCTGTAGAGTTCATATGGACAGGAGTTGTTCAGATGAAAAGAAAGCGGGATCGGAATAGAGGCGAGAGATGGTCCGATTATGGGAAGCGTTATAAAGTTGTCAAGATACCGTTAGGAGGGAACCGGGAACGAGGGCCGAGGAGACAGAAGCCGTCTTTTGCGAACGTAGGCGACGGCAGACCTTTAAAAGAGAATCGCCAGGTTGATAACCGAGACGTATAAAAGAGGTATAAAAAAAAGAAGTGAGGACAATAAGCGGGAACCACCGGGTAATGATGGCAAAGGGCAAAGGCAAAGGATTATAAAGACAAGAAGAAACGTATTTCACGATCCGATCAAACCAAGTGCTTTTTTGATATAAGAAATAAAACCAAGCAAGGGCACGTGGCAAAGTATGACTCTTTCTGCGTTGAAGTTGATTTAGATGCCAAAGACGGTGACGATGCAGAGGTCGGTAACAGCAACACTGGCGATCGGGTCGGAAGAAACAATAGGGTACATTTTGAACAGGTCTTGTGATGGGGAAAAGATTATATCAAGACATCCAACTAGAGACCATGAACAGGCAGAACCAAGTTGGTGGCTACTTGAACAAGGCAGTCGTTGGAGACTAGACTAGGCAGATGGGGGGGGGAGAGAGTCGGGAAGGCTGGGGGCGAAAGAAGCCTGTGTCAGCGAAAGAGTCAGAGAGAAGATAGAATATGGGGGGAAGATGATGCTTTATCCGTTTCTTACCTATGACTCTTCTTTTTTTTCAAAATCTGTTTGACAATTTGACTAAGAGGAGGCAAAAAAAAAGAGGACAAGTTTAATGAAGAATCAAAAGTCACACTGTGGCGAAGTGGCGGATTTCACCGGGGGGCTCAGAAGAACCAGAAATAGAATAGAAGAATATAATGAAATACTCCAAGATTCTACTTCTCTATGTTTTATAATATCAGGAGATAGGAGGCTATGACTCTCTGTTTCTTCTGATATGAAGAGGAAAAGGGAAAAGGGAGAGGGGGAAACCCGGATGCGGCGCGCGAAGAAGTCTTTCCGAGATAGGAGTGGTACGACAGTGACTCACTACAGGTGATTTTGCTTGTTATATATGTTATATACTCTGATTTTTTATCATATTCTCATTTTTATATCTCTATTCTATTCTATTATCTTATTGTTTTTGTTTCTATCTATCTTACTGGTTACTAGATATAAAAATAATACCCAACAATGTTCAGGCGTAAAGGCATTAATTGACCCGATCATGCAGTGACACCCTATCAATTGTGTAGCCTATTAAATACAATATATGTATTTCAAGGCTCTATCTATCTATCTAACTATATATAAAGAGCTATTTTTCATTACATATTATAAATATATCCCTTATACTCTCTCTAATTTCAATGTAATATACCCATGTACGAATATAAAGAATCAAATCTTGAGTCATACAGCCACTTTGCCACGCTGTTCCCGGCCCTGACCAATCCCTAACCTGGTAGACTATGTTAGCTTTTTCTCCACTTCTATGCGTTTTATGCCTATTATGCCTATTATTCTAGCATTTTCTCTTATTCCGCTATTATCTCGATGCTAATTGGTTCATTATTTGGTTCATTATGGGATCGTCCGTCTGGTTGGGGTTGCCTGCAGCCTACCTGGGGAACCTCGGGTCTCATATGACCTCAGTCTTAGGCTGAGACTCAGGCTTCGAGTGGATCATTTTCGAGAATCTTCATCTTCGTGTCAAGATACACGGATACTGGTGAAAAAAGGACAACGTGATGACAATATAAGGAGGGGAGCGAAACACCTAAGTAAATCCCGAAGGGAGAGTTCTTAGGACAAAAGTCTCTTCACCGGAAAACCGGAAGCATAATTGTATGTATGTAGTTACTTCTACTATTTCTAGCTATTGGCTACAACAAAGAAAAAATATGAACTAATTCTACTGCGATGCAAGCACCTCTCGTAGCAGTTCTACCAGTCTACATACCTCGGTCTCTGTTCTAATCATTAGTTATCGCTAACGAACCCCATCGAAACATCCACTCACCGGTGTTATAATGCAGGAAACTGACCCGCACCACTCCATCCTCCACATCGGTCAACCCACACACGTCGGCCAGCAGCCGGTGGCTGTACATATGACCACTGCGGAACCCAAACGCCGATCGACGCTCAACCTCCTCCACAATGCGTTGGCTGCCAAATCCCTGCACGACAAAACTAATAACCGGCACGCGTAGCTCCTTGCTTGCCGAGGGCTCACCGATAACGGTCACCCGGTTATCCGAAGTCAAGAACTGCAGCAGGATCTTCTGCAAGCGCTCCTCGTGCTGGGCCATTTGGGCCCAGGTTGAGTTAGGATCGGAGCCGAAGTACTCCACAACCTGGGGAATGCTCTGAGTGAGTTCATAATTGGCCGAAGCCAGATTGAGCTTCAGGTCGAGAGTATGAGTGGGCTTAAAGAAATGACCCAGTGACTGGATCTGCTCATGGACGCGTGACGAGGCATATAATTGCGCCAGATGTGGTCCGTACACCTTGTACCACGAAAATGCCTACGTGGAAAGATCGGTGTCAGTACTTCGAATGAGTTGGTCAAACATCAGGTGAGATTAACTTACATAGAAGTCCACGTCCAACGCTTTCACGTCAACCTGACGGTGCGGCGCAAGGGCCACTCCATCCACACACAGAAGGGCCTAAACAGATCGACATTAATGGGTTCCGTAGGGCACAAAAACGGCATTGCAATAACTCACGCGAGGGTAGGCATGAAGAGCATCTGCAATATCGCGAATGGGGCTAATAGTTCCGGTGATATTGGAAGCATGAGGGCATGCCACAAGTCTAGTCTTGTTGGAGAGTAGGGACCTCAACTCGATTGGATCGCAGATCGGATTCTTTGGGTCGGCAGCAGCCCACCACTTGACAGTTAAGCCCAATCGTTCAGCTACTTGGACCCATGGGGCGGTGTTTGCCTCATGGTTCAGCTTGGACAGGACTAATTCATCGCCAGGCTGGAACTTTAGGGCTGTGGAGAGATTATGCAGCAGTTGGGTGGTTGAGACACCGATACTGATCTAGTTACGAGTTAATTGTTTGATTCTGACATCCGATATCGATGTAGAAAGACATCTTGGATAATGAATGTACCTCCTCGGACGTAGCATTGATGAACCCAGCGGCCACATTGTATGCGTTTGAGTATGCATTGGTCGAAGTTTGAGATGTTTTGTAAGTAGCCCCAAGCTGGACGTTTGTGTTTAGCAAGTAGGAGCGGATGCTGGCGCCGATTTAGTAGATAGTAATATATATAACATGGCGGTACGGGTATTAACTGAACTTACGAATCAGCTACAGTATCGAGGACTTGGCTGCCTCCTGTATCTCACTTGTCAGCTACTGCGAAGCTATTAGACGAGCAAGTGGAGGTCTCGTATCCCACCTACCAGCGTTATCCATATACACCTGCTCCTGTTGGAGAGCAGGGAAGCGAGAGCGAGCTGTGGTTACATCGAGAACGTTGGCCATGGTGGTTATTAAACTTGCTTGATGAAATGAGATAGACGTTTGGATGCTTAAATGTTGCAGGATATTTACAAAGGGGTTTCAGGTTGATATCGGTCTTTACTCAGCCGAGAGGGGTAGACGGTGGACCTGTTAGTACCGGATTTGCTCCGTTCTCTGGCTAATTCGATACCATTTCATGTCAAGCCTGGTTACATTGAGTGATTAGCCGACTCTAGAGCTTGCGATCAGCGAAAATCCACACAAATCGGTGGGGTGGTATCTCTGTTGGGATATGATTGATGCTGCCCGCAGCACCTTTCTCATAGAGTAGTAGGGAGCAGAACTCTGATACAACGTCATAATTAGACATCCCTTCGTTTGTAAATGCCACCTAGCAGCTTTACAAAGTAGATCAAAGGGGTTGTTTTAAATGCGACGAGTCTGCTTCCATTGGGTATATGCATGAAATCCAAAGCCAACAATCCTCCGTACAAACATAAGACAGAAAGAAAGAAGAAAAAAAAAACACCGAGAAATGTCACTAGCCAGGAATCGTATTCACAAGGTCGAGTATCGAGTTATCGAGTATTATTCCATCATCGGCGCGAGCCCGTCGCCCCAGGCCCTCCAGGAGAAGCATCATGCACAACACACAGCAAGTACTTCCGGTCCGGTACGACGACAATCTCATGTTTCTTTGTGCGCATTCTCAACAACTTCACCTCACCATCCTCTTCGCGATCAAAGCCGTCGTCCCGGTCCTCACGCGCCGTACCAGCCTCATTCCCATAATCGTAGTTCACATCCAAATGGCTGTCACCGGGTCGCTGCGTGGCAGGTCCAGGTCGCGATAGCGAAACTCCGAGTGCGGAGGCACTAGAAACGAATGCAAAGATGTGGGCAGCTAGAGTCTCAGCTTGGGAGGGTTGGTATGGTTGTGTGAGGGCGGGGGAGGCAGGGGATGAATCGGAGGGCTGTGTAGCGGAAAGAGGAGTCGAGTCCGTGGAGGGGATGTGTGAGGTGCGAGAGGTGGTATTTTCTTCAGCTGATTGTGCTAATTGTCCTGTGCTTTGGATGATCGATCCATCCTTGCGGGATAGAATCAATGTGGATTGCACACCTGGGCGGGAGGTGAGGTGGGAGAGCAGCGCGGTGACATGCTGGGGAACCTGTTGTGTGCGCTTGGGAGTGTAAGTTTATTTGGTTTCAATGTAGAAATGTACAAGAGTAGACTTTGACTTACTGTTGAGTTCGCCATGCTTGCGGGGAATGTGAAGAGCGGTATGTGATGGGTGTTGGATGTTATAATCAGGGGCTCAGAGGTTCTCGAAGCATATACTCTGCAATTGAATGTTTTCTCGCTAGGAACTCAATTATCGCAACACTTAAGTTCAGGAACAACTACAGTGTTTCTCTCTTCTCTTCAAAATATTGAAATGACTAAGCATCGAAATGGGAAAAAGTAAACAATTCAAGTTGATCGCCAACAAATGGCCATGTTTTGAGAATATGTAACCAAATACTTCCTGGCCCCAAGCTAGATGTCTTCCCAAGATGAATTTCTATGATCTTCCATGCAACGAATTTTATTGTTCAAAAGAATGGGTTGATGCCGGACTGTCAGCCAGAACTACATGAGTTTGAAATTGACTCCATTATATACAATGGCTAACGAGAGCATCAACAGATGTGTCATATTCACTTTAAATGTCATGCGCATTAACAAAAACCAATTTAAACGAAAAGGTAAAAACGAAACAGAATGGTATCATGGAGAATACAAAGATGGACAGTATATAGAAAGGTAAGCAAAAAAGATCGTCTCAAAACAAAATGAAATGTTAACGCCGTTGCGTCAGAAGCAAAAAAGGAAAGAAAGAAAGATCCAAAAATAAGGAAATGAAATGAAATGAAAAGATCGTGATTTATCGTTGGCGGGCAATTCGAGCTCCACTGAGACTGGACTTGTCCGACATCCACCCAGATTCGATATCCTCGATCATATTGTCCAGTTGCTTCACATTGGCACGACCGTCTTTGCTCGAGCCTGACTCAAACCCACTGGTCTCACTGCTGCGAGAAGAACTGACCCAACTATCAGGGCGGGAAAAATGACTGCTTGGATAGTTGTTGGCATAGGGTGCATGTGGGAAGGCTGGTGGCATGTTGGGGTCCAGATTGAGGCCCTCCAAAGCGTTCTTGCCGCTCGCATTGAGCGCCGCCATGAGGGCAGCCTGCAGCATCTGGTTTTGGCGTTCTAGGTTTGCAACCCGGTCTTCGAGGTAGTGATCTCGTTGAGCGGGGCGTGGGTGTTGGGTGCTTTGGGATTCTCTCAGTCGAGGAGCCGAAAGGGAGTATTGCGACTGAGGAGTTGAAGTCTTCTCAAGATCGTGGTTGCTGCGACTTTGAGGGGCCGTAGAGCGGGTAGGTTGGGGGCAACGAAGTCGCAAGCGGCCGGAGCTCTGGTTTACATCCGCTGTGCCATACTCCCGTCGTACTGTTTGGATTCGCTTGTGCTTGGTGGATTCGCAGCGGAAGGCCTTGGAGTCTTCTCTAGGGCCGAAAACCTCGTCGTCCGATGACGGAAGGGGAGACTCAGGTCGAGACTCAGTACGACTTTCCCCATACGAATCAGGGAAGCTCTCATTCCGAAGGCTGCTTCGGGAGCTGTCGCTCTGGGAAATCGTGGAATTCCGGTACGACCCAGGCGCAGCAGGAACATCCTTGCTTTTCATTGATGATAGCTTAGCTGCATGAGGAGCAGCGGCATTGCGTTGGCCAATTTTACGTCCAGGAGGCGGGGGAGGAGCGTGTTGGGGAGGGGGCGCCGATGGGAGAGACGCAGTAGGTGGGGGCGTGGGTAGCCCAAAAGGAAGGTTCTTTCGACCGATCCGTGGGTTGATATGGAGCGCTGTCAAGGCATGTTTGCCATTGGTCTTTGTTGAGGTGCCATGTCCTAAGACAGGAGAGTCAGCCAAAGGCTCACCCTCTGATAGCTTGTTTGAGCTTGATGTCCCAGGATCCTCTTGCATCCGAGGGATGCGGACACTAGATGCACGCCCTCGACGAGTGAATAGCCCTGAAGTCGACTTAGAATAGTCGGAGATTGATGGAGCGAATAAGCTTTCCTCATCATCAGCTATTGAGCCGCCAGCGTCCACACTGCCAATAGCAGTTGCTGGACGTGAGTCGGGCCTATTGGGGCTGTCGATGGTTGACTCTGTTTCTTGGTTTTCGACGGCTGTGGCCGAAGACTGCAAAGTCGATGATAATATAGGCCCTGACAAAACCGATCGGATAGACTGAGTACTCGTGTCTGGAAGAGCACTCGGACAGCGTTCAAGCTCAGGCAAAGATGGCAGGGGTCTCGTAGGTGCTGGCAGAGGAAATGCCTTGAGTGTGCCCATAGACAGCGAGGCCCGTCGGGTCTTGATTTGATCTGGGGACGCGGACTCCTTGGGCGCTTTCTCGACAGAGGCTTCAGCAGCAGAATTTGCGGGAGGCACGAGAGACCCTGGGCATTTTGGCCCCGCTTCGGTAGCTGGGACATCCGTGAAGACATCCAGTGATTTTCGTGAAGCCTTCGAAGACTCAGCAGGATTGTCGGACGACCCAGGCTGTGGGGTTCGTGTCGATGATGCCGCGGCATTGCTGATTATCTGATACCGGGGAACTGCTGAAGTTCTCCGAGCCGCGATGCTTGATTTGCGTGGAGGCGCAACATCAGGGAACAGTTTCAAGGTGGGTTGGGATGGCGTCACGTTGCGGACCGAAGGTTGGTCTGACTGGTCTCGCCTCGAGCTATCGCAGGAAGCCCGGGGCTGGGACTCGGTAGTCTTGACACTCGCAGGTGCACTGCTAGTGGGAGTTGAAACAGATTCAATATCTTGTGAGGTAACAAGGTTGTTAGAGTCTGTGGAGTTGGATGGCTGTTGGCTTTGTTCATCGATAGAAGTGTTCCTAAAAGAAAGGCTGGTAGAGGCGGACGACGAAGCTGATGCGATGACCTTGGATGGTGTGGGGTCTGCCCTCGGACTCGACATTGGCACCATTGAAGATGATCGAGAGGGAGCGTTTTCAGTGGGTTGGTATGGTGGTGGCACTGAATCGTCGAACTCGGCAGAGAGCGAGACCGCGACATCAACCATTGAACCAAAGTCGTCCAAGTCCAAAGAGGCCAGGCGCCGTCTCGGCTCGGTTGGCCGTTTCCTGCCATCAGCTTTGGCTTCCAACCATGGCTGTCCGATGATTTCCACATCTTTTTTTGATTTAGAAAGAGACCTGGAAACTGACATCCTGTCACTTTCTATTGATTGCTTTGCCTCCCTCTGTCCTTTCAACTCCTTCGGTAGAGGAGCTGGTATCAGATATCCTTCTCTTGTCAATGCATCAATCTGGCGCTGCTGATCGTCTTTCTTTGATTTCAATGACGGTTCCTTTTTGGGACGCTGGGCGAATTGTAGAAGGCGCCGATGAAATGGCTTCAGTTCCTGTTTCAGCTCCGACTTCGATTCCTTGGGCGATATAGCAACCGGAAGCGCAGTTGCTGTATCCGAGGGACTCGAGGGTTGAGGTGGAGTGTAAGTTTCAGATGGCGATGGAGGTGCTATAGGTTGAGGGGTCATATTCTGGGTCTGAAAGAAGCGAACTAAATCCACCAGGCTTTCATTCCTGCCGGCTCGTTCAGCTGTACCCGCTGAGCGAGCTTGAGGTCGTGGTCCACTCCCGCCACGGGATCTAGGAGGCGGAAGATCGGAAGTTGTCCCCGTCATCTTGGGGGACGTCATATTGACTCTTCGTTTCGAGGGAGGGTCAGGTCGATAAGTGCGAACGATTGGGCTTGGTGCGACGGCACTGTCATGCGATGATTCCCAATGATGCATAGGGAGATGGGGCATCAATTAAGATATTCACAATGCGAATACTCGCAAACGTCGACATCAACTTCGTGTTCTCTAGCAGTGAACAAATTGGGTATGTGTGTTTCTAGGCAAGTCAGAGGACCGAATGGCGGCGCCCGAGAAAACATTCTCACCTTGAACAAACAGAAAGAAAGAAAAAAATAGTACTCATGAGCAACAAGGCGAGTTATATAGAAGCCGGATATGATATATCGATACAAACTGACACCAGTATGTACAGAGGGTGCCACTATGTACAGAGCTGAGGCGTCGAAAAAGAGCAAATGGAAGCGAAGTCGAAGAGGCGAGGCAACCGAAAGGGGAGAATTTTAATAACTATATACACATGTAGGATTCGACTTTCTGAGCTATCGCATCCTTACTTGTGGAATCATACAGGAGGTACAGGAGTCCTTATCCCCCCTCTCCTGTGGAAAGGCACAGATATAGTTGAGTCTAAAATAAGTACGAAATATAGGATTGTCCAAAGGGATTCAATCCAAGTAAGGTGTGGAGAAAGGACTGTCAAACACGCTGTCGATGTGTAGTTCGTTTGAAATATGATACATCTTCTATTACTTTTGCCTACTTACTTGCGGAGCAGTATATAGTCCAATCCCATTGTGTAGCATGTTTGTCGCATCGTTGTCGGACAATGCAGTTCTACCATAGGCCAATCTAGAATTGAACTGATAACCCGATTCAACTCTCTTGTTTTTTCTTTTTCCTTTCCTTTTGCCCTTTGATGAACAGATGCAAGGGGGAAACGTTAACATCGAGGAGGAAACGTCAAACCCTGCACTCCACAGATATGAGGTATCAGGGGGGTGAAAAAAGGACGAAATCAAAAGGCTAATAACAACAATAATAATCTGACAACCCCTACTCAGAGTACTAAAGTCAAACATCTCATCGTCATGATCTTCCTAAAAATAAAGCAAATCGGAACTTACAAGGATCTTGGAGGCGGATCAAGACGATCATCGAGTTGACAGCTCACACGCACAGAACTCGAACTATTAACCCAAAATCCGAGGCTAGCGATCACAACCGACACAGTTAATATAGATTAATGTACTCCGTATTAATGCAATCAATGCCCTGAATCAATTCAAAAACTCTAATGACAGCCAGAAACTACCGAGAAACCTAGAAATCCAGGGTATAATTACCAGACTATCACTATTTATCATATTAGCTCGTTATACATCGCTAAACTGTGTAGGTGAGACCTTCGTGATTCAGATGTGATTCAAATAATACAATATATACTTAAATAGAAATACATATGTAGTTAGGTCATGTATAGTTGTGGATCGTAGTGAATCGTATAGGGAGGTATATACTTAAATTTGTACCATAGGATCAATATTGCAGCCGAAGCTTCTATCATTGCCTTGCCTTGATTCACGCACATGTACATATATATATATCGGTATACATTGAAATTTCTGCAAGCTACCCGCTATACTGTTCACCATATTCTCCGAATAAACGCTCTTCTTCACATCTTATCTGACTTCTTCCAAGGTTTGCTGTTCCCCAAAATTAGAGATCGGGAGAGACACATCCATTCTGACGTTTCCTGGTCATATCGTATCCACTTTCGAGTGAGAAGCGAATACGAAATCCTTGGGCATCAAACAGGTTTGAGGCTTTTTTAGTCTTTGTCTCGGTGTTCATCCGATAAATATGTATAACATTCCCAAGTGTCCGCTACTAATCCATTTAGTGGGATCTAGAAGCCATAGAAACTTCTCCAATATGCTACAATATATGTATAGTATACTCCCTACATGGCCCAGAACGATGGGCCGTTGATAAAAAACCTAGCTAAAACTTAGCTTAGCGCTCTCTATCATCACTTGTCCAAATCCCAGGCAACTCCCAGGGAAAAAAAACAAGGTCCGATATGCTACCTATGTAGGTAACTATCGGTTTATCCAAATCAAATGCGTATGTAGTAGATATTTAAAACAAAACCAAAATGTACCTCGCTGGCGCCTTGTAATGCTGGAATGAAATTTTGATCGGCTTGGAATCATGACGAGTCAGGGTTATGCCTCGAAAACAAATTTCTTTCTTTCATGGGTGGCCATCAGATCTCTGGGGGTCAATCAATATGGAAAGGTTTGACCAGGCCAAAAGGAGGGGAACCCGAATGTGGGGAGGGGGGGGGGGGGGTCGCAGATCAGGATTGGCAAACGCTCACTTGCGCTTCGCCTTGGGTCGGATAAATGGGTCCGTTTCCTTCTTTTTGCGCATAATCGGTGGTCGAGGTTTGTGGGGACCTTGGTTTGAAGCCTAGATCGATGTGATATGAATATGGGTGATTGATCAGAAAGTTAGGAGAATTAATGCTTACATCTGCTCTTGGTCCCATCGGCGGACCCGTCGGCGGGTTATTCTCGGTCGGATAGGCCGGACCATCGCGAGAAGGTTTAATGAGATCCTGCTGAGTCGTCAGTTTTGATGATCACAGGAGGCCTTTTTTGACTGAGTGCATTGCAAAAACTTACTGCTGGTGGGCCGTCCGCCGGTGAGCCTTGAGAAGCATTGGAAACTGCATTGCCGTGCTGGGGTTTATTAGTGTTCTGTAGCTTGGTTAGTGTATATGTAGAATGTGAGCAAACCGGCGCAAGACTTACTCCCTCCCGGAGCACCCCTTGGGCCCTTCGGCGCATGGATTGGGGGACCATGGGCTTTGGGACCAGCTGCAACACGAGAAGGACCAGATAGACCTGGATGTCCAGAGAGACCCGGATGACCACCAACGCGACTTCGTGGGCCTTTTGGCGCATTTACCGGGGCATTCGATTGTCCGGTTCGAGGACGCTGTGCTTGCGACCCCTCAGAGGCAGAATCACCTCTTTTTCTTTTCGCAGCAGGACCAACAGGCTTCGCGGAGGAATATGAGCTCGTGGCTTGAACTACCGGGACCTTCGGGTTGTGTAGTGCCATCTGACGTTCTCGTTGGCGATCAGCAAAGGCATCTTGACGCTGCTTGAGATTATATTCATCTCTCTCAACGCGAGACTTTTGAAATTTGGAAAGGGATTTCGGTGCTGTGCAGCTGGGAGCTGTATGTCCACACTGGCCGCATTCAAGGCAGCGTTCCGCACGACAGGCATTCTTGCTATGGCCAGGCTTGCCACAGCGGAAACAGTTCCCACGAGCATCTAGCTTAGCATCGTCATTGTCGCAATTATGAGTGAAGTGATCGGCACTCCCACAAATGCCGCACATCTTGGTCTGATCTAGGCCCTTGGCTCCCCCAGATGGTCCTCCAGGTCGCGGCATCGGTGGTGTTCCTCGCCCAGAGGCAGAGACAGAGGCAGACCGTGAGTCAAGACCAATAGAGGCAGTCGACGAAGGTCGAGAAATAGACGGCGCAGAAGGTTCCTGGTCGGGGCTTTCCTTGCCGGGAGTTTCAGAGCTTTCTTCGGCATCAAGGTCGATCATCTCAACCTCTTTGTAGCCAGTGAACTGCGGCTTCTCCAAGATTTTCAGAATATTGCCCTCTGTGTAGACGTTTCTTTCGCGCGCATTGGTGATCAGCTTGTTCCAGAACTCACCCTGAACCAGAGACCGCGAGTTACCTAAAACCCAGAGTGATGACTTGGCACGGGTGAGACCGACGTTCATACGTCGAATGTCAGCCAAGAAACCGATGCCTTTGTTGGATGCTCGCACACAAGAGAAGATAATGACCTCGCTTTCCCGACCCTGGTAAGCATCCGTTGTGTTGAATTCAACTTTGTTGAGAATGTCTTCGCCGTATCGATGAGAAAAGTGATTCTTGAGCTCCCTTAATTGCCCCTTGTAAGGCGTGATGATGCCAATCTTGCCCGCAAAATTGTAATCTTTGACATCAGTGATCAAGCGATCATAAAGTTGCAAGGCCACTTGCAGCTCAGCGTAGTTGATCAACGAGTGACCCTTGGTGGGGGCCGAATGCATACCCTGAACATCGAAGAATCGATATGGGCTGAGAAGGTCGCTTTGGTGCCAAGGACGCTGGCGAAGTTTAGCCATGTCGGGGCCATCTTGCAATTTGCCATCGTAGAACGTCACACTGGGGAAGCTACTGATGGCTGGATGCATACGGTATTGTGTATCAAGCAGGTGCACATCCTGGGGATGATTCTGTTGCATGCGGACGAACAAACTCTGTTCGTATTGGAACTTCGAGGCCACCTTCGACAGGACAGTTGGAGGCAATTGTTTAGGATCACCGACAAGAACACACTTGGAACAGCCATACTTGAGCGGGATTAGAGCGCTGAGTTCAATACACTGCGCTGCCTCATCAATGATGACAGTCTCGAATTCAACATTCATCGACTGGAAGATTTCATGTCCGGAACCACTCAAAGTAGTACAGATGACGTGGGAATCGTTGATGATGTCTTCTTGAATTCGCCGCTTGCGCATATCAGCATTGCGGGCGAACGTGTGGTTTTGATCACGAGCCTTATCGATAGACGTGCTCAGCTGAGACCGCTTTTTCTTCATCAGCTCAAATTCACGCTCGAGCTCTTCCGGGGGAGGGAGCCCTTTAGCTCTGGCCTCGTCGAGACGCCCGCGGAGCTCCTTAAAGAATGTATCGGTTTGCTTGTGCTCCTCGTAAAGCTTTTTCATATCAACATTGTCTCCCTTGCTGGTGTCCTGATTCAGACGAGCAGTGACCATCACGTCGAGGGTGACGTCCAACACCTTGGTGTTAATTGCATCGCTTCTTCCCAAACGGAGGACGGAGACTTTTTCCTGCTGGCCACTGCTTGTTTTCACGCCGTCCTTCAAACGCATGACGAGTTCGTCGACAGCGGCATTACTGGGCGCACACAGCAAAAGCTTCTTGGACATGGTGTTTCTCGCTGCAGGCCCGCTGCCAATACTCACAGCCTGTTTGCCAAGAACATTGCCTAAGAGGCTTCCTACAAGTGCGATGATGGTCTTGGTCTTTCCCGAACCGGGAGGACCCTGGATGAGAGTGAATGCATCATTGTCAACAGCAGACTTGATAGCCTTTGCCTGTGCGCGGTTTATGGTGTAATTGTCCATGATGGGCTGCAATCTTGCATCTGAATAGGTGAGAAGAGGCGAAGGCTTGGCCATGACAATCTCCTCGCACAGATCATAGTACTGCAACGCCATCAATGCACCGTATTCACGCTCCACAGGGGTCAAAGAAGTGATCTTGGCACCCCACGCCTCGGTGCCAGGTCCGAAAGAAGAGAGGAACTTGCTATGCCCTGGATTCACCCGATAAGTGACCTCCAGCTTCGCATTCTTCCGGTTGACGCCACAAACACGTGCAAGGACATGAGGTGCGCTTGGATCATTTGTTAGATTGGACGTGTTGGAGAACAAGACTAGATCACCTTCACCCATGCTGAAGTCCTTTGGGGGAATACCGAGGGGCTGAGTACTGAACTCGATCCACGAATCAACAGCCAACCGCGTCATCACTTTGACTTCGAAGGGCCGGAAAGAAGCTTCTTCCTTTGCTGCCTGGAACCCCTGCCATGCCTCAAGAATTAACAGAGGCTCAAATGTACTCTGATAATCACCAGGTGTACGGAACGTGTTCGAGACCAGGGAATAATCGGTACGGCCTGAACTAGGTGGAGTGTCGCCGGTTGCGAAAAATTCCCATGAGAGGATCGAATGGTGAAGAGAACTCAGATCTGGAGCCAGGCGAGCTCGCATGTCCCTGATAGATCGAGCCCGCTTAGTCTTTTTGATCGGCTGCTGTTGAAGGGATTGCTTCTTGCTTAGCTCGTAAGCTGCAACGGCATCGGGTTTCTTTGGTTTGGCGCCAAACAATTCCTGGTCCAACTCATCCTCACTTTCAGAATCTGATTCAGAACCAGAAGACACCATCATACTATCGGCAGGGGTAGTGTGATCTTTGCCCTTGATACCAATACCCTTCAGACCCGAGCCCTGCTCCGCAGTTAGTTCCCCAACGCCACGAGCAGGCATGCTCCTCTTGAGCCTGGCGAGCTCCATCTGATCACGCTTCTTTTTCGCCTCCTTTTCACGTTCACGCTTTTCTCGGAAGGACATAACTTGAGTGGCGTCATCTTTGGGACGGGGAGGGACGATGCGATTGGGAATGGCAGGACGCGACTTGAGACCGGACAACAATTGCATCTTCGCGGTCTTCTCGGCCTTTCTCTTGGCCTCGGTGGCGAGGCGTGCTTTGTTGAATTCAACAGATGATGAAAGCTCAAGAAGTGTTTGATCGGTCAAGTCATCATCGTACTCATCGTCACTCGTGATGCGGGGGGAGGGGCTCGAGATATCAGAGGGTTTGGCGAAAGATGTGATGGAAGACTGCTTTTTGAGAGCTGCAGTAGAAGCAGTAACCACGGGCTTTTTGTAGTACGCCTCCAATGAACGAACTAACTCTGCCTTCTCGCGTTGGGTCAGAATTGTTTTGATCGTAGCATTGACAGCAACCCCCTCTATGAAGCTTAATGCGTCTGGCTTCACAGTGGTCACATCCATCCCACCCAGCCTGCGCAGAAGTTTTGACACCAGACCTACAAGTGTCGTTGCCAGGAACTCATCCTTTAACCTGAGCCATTTTACCATAGCACTCATTGTGGCAGTTGGCGATTTGAGGAAATTCTCGGATGCAGATGTCTGCCCCGGATCCGCGTTTGCTACAGCTCCCAAGAAGACGCCATATTGATCGAAGAGAAAGTCGGCGAATTGAATCGTATCCCGACAAAACTCGAGCATGACAGACTTATCATTACCACGTAGATGCCATGCCTCGGTCTCATCAAATATAGTGGTGAGTGCCGACCACAGATACTCCCAGAGTTTCTGCAGCGACACGACCTCTCGACGATCCGCAAGATTACGAGTCCGAAGAATGCCCGTCTGGTTGTCACACAAGATCTCTACGATGTCTGTACCGGTGTACAGCATTCTTGGGGCCGGAGCGAACGTCTTCATAGTCGAGATCCGGCGGAACGACCAGCTCAAACCGTACACCGTGGTGGTGAAGGATGATTGCAGCAGATGGGAGATGGCATCTCGTCGAGCAGACTGACCAGTAGCATTCTTGATTAAATCAACCGCAGCGGTGTAAGTATCCAAATCAGCGGCAAACAGTGCAGAAATCACTGCACTGCTAGTGTCTTGGCTTTGGAACAGCTTGTCCAGATGGTCGGATGGGAAATCCACGAGACGCTCGATGATTCGACAAGACAGATTGGTGAGATGTTCGTAGATCATATTAAAATGTGTCTTCTCCGGGTTGTTTTCACCCTTCGTGGTAAACTTCTCCAATCCAACGAGAGGCAGTATTCCCAGCAGCGCCGAGCCCGACAGCGGCAAGTTGTCTTGGTTGAGATTCTTGATAACGGCGTCCCAGATAAGGGCAGAGTAGGTAGATACTCCATGTGAAAGGGTGTTGTGCTTGAGAATGACCTCGTAATCCGTTTTCAGCGACTGACACTCCAGTGCCAAAGTGTTGCGTACGACATCCATGCACAAAGTGAGAATCTCCTGTTGACGGCTTTGCTCAACAGCAAATGTAGGAGGGTTGATGATCGTGCCGATAGTATCACTAACCACTCCCATCGTTTCCGCTAGTACGACACGAGTGACCGATCCTCGGGAAGACTCATTTTCCGTGAAACGGCGCAAGGTTTGGAGGAGGCTGGTCAATCCGATATGGAAACAGTGATATCGAGTGAGATTGGGATACTGAGGATCCTGAAGCCGACCAAGTAATTGCAGTGTCAAAAATCGACATGCAGACGGCTGGTGAGCACCTTTCAGAGAGCTGAGGAAAGGGTGTATCCATGACAGCATGTCTTTCAATGAAGACTTTTCGAAAGGCTCACCCTCAGTAATTTCCATGAGATATGAATTGAACTGTGTGTTATAGAAGGTATGTTCCATGATTGCTTGGGGAGAAATGGTTTGCATAGCATCCCAAAAGTCAGCTGGTGCTTTCTCGAGGAAAAGTTGTATGGTATTTAAAAGGAACCGTAAGCCAGGTGATGGAATGGCGAGATGATCGACGGAGAGACGGCAAGCGTCTATTTCAAGACCTCGAAGTTGATGTGTGATTTGTTCTTTGTCCAGTTTTCGGACGACAAGTTGCATGCCTCTCCACAGTCGCTGAATGACGGGTATCTGAGGTGGTTGCTGTGAGGCAGTTTGCAAAGCTAGGCGAAGGCCGTCTCGAACAGCCCATTCAAATTCAGTGGTGGTGGGAGACCGAGTGTATCGTGTCCACGAGTGAATAGCCCAGAAGCTTCGGAGCTGATTGGAATCAAACAGGAATCGAGTGACCGCGGGAATGTAGTCGGAGACTTTGAGACTACGCTTCGTTTGGATGAGTTTGAACGGTTCATCAAAATGTTCCTGCAAAAGGCTCTCATTGCGCAGCATTGCCTCACAGCTGAGAGTCTCGAAGATGGATAACAACGCAGCTCTGTCCAAAACATCCAACCCAATTTTTTGCGGCGGCGTCTGTCTCAGCTGCTCTGTGGCTGTCTTTAGGTTGCGTGTGATTCTTTTGATGTCCCACTCGTCGATTCTCTGAGCAAACGCCTCGATGTCGTCCTCCTGGTAGTTCTCCTCTTTCAGCAGGTCCATGAGCCAGATCTTGCCAGTGTAGTAATGCTTGATACACAGATCGCATTTCTCCAGCGAACCGTCGAGTTGGCCCAGCACCCAGTTTTGAAGATCTTCAACTCCATCTTTGCTGAATGCCAGGATACGCATTGACGAGAGAAATTTCTCTCTGCGGGACTGACCTTCAGCCACACTATCCTTGATTGTTTTCCCGGATTCGTCCAGTTGGTCTAAATCTTCATATCTGCCGTAGTCATCGTCGTTTTGTCGAGGGCAGAGAAGGTGAGTTCCTTCAGGGAGTGCCTTGAGCTCTCTGTACAACACGTACGCCGGTCAGTTTCAACTCGTCATCAAATTCTGTTGTAGACTCACCCAATCGCATTGATGAACTCCATGATGAGAGTTGTCTCGAATAATGGAAACAGTGGGATCTAAATGACAGACTGCACGGTCTTTCCTTCATCCCAAAGCCAGAACAGCTAGAACATCGTTCTGCCCCGTCGAAAGGTGAAATCGATCTCAGGTCAATTCCGGGAGTCCCGATTCGCAAGGATGATACGTTGAATGATCAGCAAGGTGAGCGAACGAAGTAGGGGACAATGCAAACGGAGAACGATAATGTGGATAGGGCGAGGAGTGACGGCACAATTGAGTGCCAATATTTGTGACGGGGGTGTCGTTCGACAACGTTTGGACTGATGCTACCGGCGAGTGTCAGGAGCTAATACCTGAGCTTCGAGAATTAGGAGTGTATTTGCGTAGAGCTTAAGCTCATGGAGAAAGATGGCTAACAACAAAAAAATCCCCAAGAGCAAACGCGGGATGCCGAACTGCCGGGCGGTAAGAGTTCAACGCGTACGGAGTAGACGCGCCCTATTTTACCCAAATGGGAAATCACTTAAGAGTCAATATGTTACTTATGATGATTGATGAGATTTTTGGTCCGCTTAGGTGGAAGATACCTTCAAATTACAGGTGTTATAGGTATACCAGATCTGGAAGCTACACTACGAACTACAGAATTTACAGAAAGATGGGAATATTGAATAACCGCATTAAGTACTTTCCTCGCTGAGGGCATTGAATAGAATACATGAATGTCATCCTCCTATGCTATCTTGTTCCTTTTAACAGAACAAGCAGCACAAAAAGGAAAATAAGCCAAGAGATCATGCAACGAGAATATAACATCACAGATGGAAACGAGACAACGGGAAACCTTCAAATGCGGGTGTCATGCACTTTTGCAGAGACAGAAACGCTTTTGTACAAGGAAAGGATAGACCTGATGGGCCCCGGTATGGAACAAAACAAAACAGCAAGGAGAAAATGTCGGAGGCAGTGGGTAAAAAGTGAATGGTGAGTGGGATGGGGGTTTTTAAAAAAAAGAAGATGCGCTAAACCTCCGACCGAGTAATGGAGTAAACCAAACGCCTGCTTTCTATCAGGGAATATAAAAAAGCTCTCAAAAAAGAAAACACCACAGCATATTGCTCATCAGTATAAAGATGGCAAGGGGAAATCACAAACAACAGATCAGAAGAACCGATGGGAGTAACGTCATCAGTGACGGGTCGTCAAGGTCAATGCAACGCAAGATGCGCTCCTCTATATCATGTTATGTACAGGAGGATCGTCGGGAGTTCGGAACGGATCTTCTTTTTGACGGTGCGGAGTCTGCGACGACTCGACTCGAGAGAGCATAGCAGCGGAGGTAAAGTCGTTGCTCTGCTCGAAGCTGGGTCGACTCCGCTCGAACCGATCGAACGAATGCCGTGTCCGGTCATGGGAGCGTCGAACGTAGTCCACGGATTGTGGTCGCGGATATTGGTCAATGCTAGCACTGTAGTTGGTTCCATTGCTACCGTTCTGGCTGCGGGGGTTGTGGGTATTCGCAGTTGGGGCCATGGACGGTGCGTAGAAGGGCCGCTCCTCATCAGGAACGGGGATATCCTGCTTCATGGCGGGCTGAACTGGCTTCGCGATTTCGGAAGAGGTGGCCGATCCATCGCTAGGAGGTGCTGCTTTCACGCCGCCATCTTTGCCCTCCTTGGGGGGCAGAGGGGGATCTTCGATTGCATCCAGGTACTTGAACTTGCCTTGAGTTACTTGTTCACGGATGATATCGACATCAAGCGGGAAGAACACCTTTTGGATAGCGTTGTAGGTGAACCGAGGCAGCAAGCAGACCATGACGGTTAACAAAAGCACGACCCAGTAACTCAAAGATCCATACACTTCTGCAGCGCCATGGAAAAATTGTCCAGATGAAGTAAAAGACGTATAAATACCGGTCCATAAGAAGATCAGCAGACTACTGATGGCATTAATCAGACCAGTAAACCAGTCCCATCGGTAGGTGTTCATCATGATGTAAAGATTGCTGGCAATCACGGCACACGACGCAACAAGAATACCAATACGGGCTCGGTCATTGATGTTCCTGCCAGTTTCATTGACGAAGTTTGCTGGCGCGTATAGGAGATAAGGCATGAAGAAACAAATGATCGACTGATACATGCCATCGGACATGTACAACCTGCACAAGTTAGCATCTCGTAACGACTAGCAATAAAGGGCAAATTTGCTTACCAGAACTTGAGTTGCGACCACTCCTTGCGCTCGATACCTCTCATGTACAATTGGGGGACGGCCAGAGACACCTTGTCATCAACGTCCTGGTCGAAGATACCCATAAAGATCACAGGCAAGGAAGTGAAGGCAAGGTTGACCAGGACAATGTAGGTGTAATCAAAGAGATAGGAGCAATCAAAGTCGTTGTAGATACAGTACCAGAAGAGAGCAAACGTCCACACAAGATTCTAGAACGAGTTAGTAAGAATGGTTGTGATATCCAACACAAACACCACGTACCTTGTAGAAGAAGTTGGCTGTGCACTCTCCGAGACGACGGTAGGACCATCTTCCATGCACCAAAAGAAGGCGCTGGAGGTACCGGAATTGACCAATGGCATAATCCGAAGACATGACAGCTTGTCTACCTTCCTCGCCAGCAATACCAACACCCACATCTGCCTCTTGAATCATGGCCACATCGTTGGCACCGTCGCCAATGGAAAGAGCCATGATATTTAAGCCATTCTTGACCATGTTGACGACAGCGGCTTTCTGTGCAGGGCTGACACGGCAGCAAAGAACGGCTTTGCACTGCTTGCAAAGCAGTAGGAACTTTTGCTTCAAATCATCGTGAAGCATCAACTTGAGGGTTTCACCGTCCACAACCACAGCATGCGTGGCCTCAGGTGGCGAATGATCATTGCGAGCTGCAATAAGTTCCTCGTCGGAACCAGTCAAACCGAAAGTGTGCAGATGCTTGTCAAGTTCATCAGAGGCCTGCTGATGTTCAGTTTCGGGGATGTTGAGCACAATCAACTCCATGTTGTTGTTGAGAAGGTTGCAAGAGAAGCCGATATTTATGGCAGTCTCAACCTTGTCACCAGTGAGAACCCAAAGCTTGATACCAGCATCCGCAAGGAGTTGGATTGTATCCGGCACGCCATCTTGAAGTCGATCCTCAATAGCAGTTCCGCCAATGAGCATAAGTTCCTGCTCAATCTCGCTGGAAACCTTTTCAAGCTTTTCCTCGCGATCTGTGATAGCGGCGGCCGCGACATCGTGATCCTTGACCCAAGATTGGTATTCCTGCTCGCTAAGCAGTCGATAGGCAACACACAAAGTCCGGAGTCCTTCTCTGGCAAATTCTTCCAGGTGCTCAGCGGTCTTTCGGCGAAGCTCCTGCTGTTTGCCTCGGGCCAGACGGGAATAAATGATACTATCGGCACCCTTGCAGAAGAGACGGATGGTGCCGTCAGGCATTCTAATAATTGCACTCATTCGCTTTCTGGAGGAGTTAAACTCGAGAGTATTCAAAACGGTATACGTTCGTTCTTCGCCCATCACGTTCAGAAGCAGGTCATCACCAGCTCGGCCGAGAACAGTAAATCCACAGTCTCGAGCAGTGCTAACCAGCGCAGCCTCATCGGGGGATTGCGCCTTGAACTCGATTTGAGGGGGGGTCACCCGGGGTATGCTCGGTAATAACGGTATGACACAGCGCAAGAGCCAGCATGAAGTCCTCGTTCAAGTGCTTCTGCTTGTCTCCAGATTGCCCCCCGATGTCAGCCACGAAGTTGGGTGCAACAAAAGTTAGCTGATCGTCGTGCAAATAAGGATTATCGTGGATACCGCGCAACAGGCCCAGCATGAGCTGCGCGTCGGCGGCGATTTGTTTTCGAGCCTCGGCGGCTTCTGCATCGGCATCGGCTCCTTCACGACGCCTCATACCAATCTGGGCTTCCGTGTAGGCCTCTCCGTATGCTACGCCATTGACTGTACATTTCTTAAATTCCATGACGTTTTGGGTCAAGGTGCCAGTCTTGTCAGAGAAAATGTACTCCACCTGGCCAACATCATCCGAAATGTTCCAGGATTTGGGAACACAGTAGATCCCGAGCTTTTCGTAGTACATGTACAGGTCACTGTGAATGAACACCGCTTGGATAGTCCGAACAATCTCAAGGGAGATGTAAAGCGAAATGGGGACCAAGTTCTGGAACAAGATGACGGCAGTCCAAAAAGTGACAATACCAGTAACAGGCGGCGTGCCTCCGTATGACTTGAGGTCGAAGTAATCGAGAGATTTGTCTGGTGTGGCCCAAGCAATTCCGTTCACGATACCCGCAACAAGGCACATGAGGAACAGAATGAAGAAATTATAAATAACATTCCAATTGAGATCCTTGGCCATACGAGGACGTTTGGCTGGAGTGGCGCCGGAATTGAGCATAATTTTGCTTTCTCCACCCGTGAATAGAACGACACCAAGGACCCACTCAGTACTCTTCAGATTGCAACCACGGAGCAAGATATTGTTGATGGAGATTGGCTCCACCATCTCCTTCCGTGGGGCCTCCGGAAAGCGCGGGTCACGCTGGTCCCAGCGAACAGCACCATTGTAGGCATACAAATTAGCATGAGGTGCCTCGCTTTCGATGACAAACTCGGCCTTTTCGCAATCCCTGGCATGTCGTACTTGGCGGCCGCAATGAAGAGCCTGGCGAACCTTGAGGTTGGTCTCTCCATCCAGACCCTTCGTTTCGACATAACAGGCGCCGTCCGGGTCCGAAGTGGAAAGAATGACAATGTCGGCCGGGATCGGGTCTTCGTTGTACAACCGGACAAAATCACCAACTTGCAAGCTTTTCCAGGTCTCTCGTTTGAATCGAGCCTTTCCAGGTGTCTGTTTCGCGCTGTCCAAGATGGTTCCATGTTTCTTATCTGGCGCAGGTTCCATGATGCTCTCGCGAGTGGCGCTGTTTGGTGACAAAAACTTGTTCTCTTGGGTGCTCATCATCGGCCAATCTTCGCGAGCTTCGGGTTGGGGCGATGGAACATCGGTCATCGGGATCGCGACATCTTCGGGGGCCATGGAGTTACGCTGCGTATAGATCGAGGCTCGGGGGTCCGCGGTACTCAAAAATGAGTCGCGCCTCTGCCCTTCCTCGTCCACTCCACTCCCCTTGTTCTTCTTGAACTGAGCGGCCATCCACTTGTACGAGGAGATGGTGCCTCGTGTACAAGCTTTTTTGATCCGGCGCCATAAATCAATGTTATCCTCGGTCGAGTTGACGTTATTCCATTCGATAAGTCGGTAAACGGGGGAATTGTTGACTTGGTTGTCGGACACCGTCCGTCCCCAATCTTCAATCGCATCTTTTATGGCGGTCACGACAATAATGACGATCAACGGAACTGCATTAAGACCGGGGTTGTTGGCACCGAAGATCGGGAAGAACTAAAGTATCATCAGCGGGTTGCTAATTTGACTTATATCAAGATGAGTCCTCTATCAATGCGTACATTAAGAATAATGACGAACAAGAAATAGATGTTCGCGATGTTGTGAAATTGCAGCCAGATGTTGTAAGGAACGAACGTGAGGGCTGTGTACTTGGCGGTTCGGATTTTGTTTCTGGGATAAGTAATCTTCAAATGACCTTCCTCGTCTCTCTCGGATTCGGGGATCGGGATACTGAAGTACACCCTCCGGTTTGGTCCTCCTTCCGGGTTCTCATCTCCATTAGTCGATCCATTGTTAGTCGAGACACTGGTATTGTTCGATTTTCGTTTTTCGTCTCTCGTATCCGATCGTTTGTGAAAGCGGTCGATGATCGAGACACGCTTTTTGATGCCTCCAGCTCCAGGAGCTCGCGTGGTGGCCCATCTTTGTCGTTTCGTAGGTTTGGAGACGTTGCTAGGGACCTCCCGGACATCGCCACTTTGGTCGTTGTCCTCCCCATTGTCCTCAGGAAATTGCACGGAAGCCATCTAGGCTGCTAGCGCACCCCAGTAGGGCATAAAATTCGACGAAAACCTTGGTTATTGGTAGCGGACGAGCATCCGGTGTGCAGGAACAGGATTCGATGGCGACGGGCGCAAAGGGCGGGTGTTTGGATGTATTCACAGTGTGCGACAGCGAGAAAAGCGCAGGTTCATAAGCTGCAACCGTAATTTCCGATCAATGCAACCGATTTTGAAGCGCGAGAGAATTAACGTTGTATGGGCTCCAATTAATCCAGGGTAGATGGGAAGACAGGGTTTCGGCGGCCGACGGATGTGAATTTGCAAAGCAAAGGGCGAGTTAAAGGGCGCACCCACGCGGGGCCATGAAAATTAGATTAACAGAGATAGGGGAATGAGAGCGTAAGAAGTTCCTCTCGAGGGGTGAAGATGTTTAGAAAGAGAGATGTGAGAGTAGGCCAGCTTACTGAAGTTCCGTAATGCAGTAACAGCGTTACCGCGCTTACCTTACATATTGCTTTGTCATGGTCGCCCGGCCCCCGAGGACCCGACTTGGCGGGAGATTTTTTTACACGCGTCAACATTAGATAGGTATTTTACATGGGAGATTGTATTGCTATGCTATACACATCGCATATATTTAGATACATATTTATATATATATTACATATATATGTATCTTGATTATATTTCAAACTTCCTATCTAGATACCTACACATGTACATATGTAGGTAATATGCTGAACTCAACAAAAATGTAACTAAATAGTCGTTAGGGCTGATTACATCTCGGAGTCAAGGCAAAATACACGTAAAGTCCGGTAATATAACATCCAGCCCCGTTCCGGCTTTTCCAGCCCTCTAACTAAATTTCTGACAGTGGCAACTAGATATCCGAGACTTCGGCATTTAGAGTCCAGGGACATTCGGAACCTTTTTCATTCTTCTAGAATTTGAATGCTAAGGACATCAATACTCTGTATATCCGGCCCCATTCCAAACTTACTAGGTTGATAAATTACTAAATTACTAGTGTTGGCACTGCCACCGTAAGCTGCGTCGGATACAAAGAGCACTGCGGATAACAACTGTACCGTTGTTTTCTCCAGTTCTTCACTAAGAAAGACCTGTATCCGTAAGATCCGTTATGCAGATTCTGGAGAAGCGGCTAATTGGCCCACAGCTGTCGTTGCTGTTTTGTACATTGAGCATAATTAGGCCCCGCCTCGTTTATGTATTGTAATTAGTATTCCACTGATCTTTTACCATGTTATATACGTTGTAGAAAACCGAGATGCGAGAGGGAAATCTACCTAAGGTATTAACATTAGTTGTACCAATATTCTATACGAAGGTACTACATAAATATATGTATTATAAATGTCATCAATCACGCAACTAAAAAATAAAAAGAACAGTGTTCCAAGGTACAATCAATATATTGTCTGCCGAGATTGCCAGAACGCCCCTATATAACAATGATATCAGTCAGCACTCGGAGCATCGATCCTGAAACCACCGACACGGCACGAGCGTCCCGGTCCACTTAAGTCGAATTTTTCCCTTTTTGGTTTGTGGTGATCTACTGTACAGATTTACCACCTAGGTACTAATATAGAATTATTAAAAAAAACGATTGATACAACGTACATTGTAGTCAAATTGATATATGGATCGAATACAGATCTATATGCATATATCTGCCCCCTTTTTTGACTTGGCACGGGAATCAAAGAACAACTCTTGGCCTTTCAGGAGGCACTCCTGAGCGGACCCAGGATGATCATTGTACTCGTACTATAAGGATTGACGGGTTGTTCATGTTTTGCCCCCTTTTCGCCCTTGGACAGCAATGTCTCACTCACTGTCACATCCAAAGCTTAGATCTATAGATCTCGATGCAAGGTGACAGTTCTATTATATATGATATACCCAGCCATATAATATATGATTGAAACATCTATGTAGTGATACGACAGAGGTGTCGTCAATCACCGAGTGGACGAACTATAGTGGGACTCAATATGAATAGCGTATAAGGTCAAACTTAATTGATGCTCTCTAACTACCCCTGATACAATACACAAAGATACTAACTATTTCGTATATCGTGCTTATATAGGATAGAAAAAAATATAGTTTTATATACATACTCCGTAAAATGGGTACGGAGTATGTACATTCCGCTTAGGTAGGAAATTGGTCTGTTTCATTTAGTGTCGATCAAACGTAGTATTTTTGTACTTAGTTTATGCACTTACGTTGTATATATACGAATTTGGCTCAGATCATCGGACCGACAGCAATGCGTCAGATCTCATTAAAAAAACACACTCCGTTATCTTCGAAATAATCTCACTTGAATCAATTATAGAATTGAAAGAAATAATCTCTTATGGAAGGTTCAGCATGAGAACAAATTGAAGTTGAACAAAGATCTTTGAGATTTTGCCGGTCATGTGACATCGCGCCCGATTCAATCGCGTGGAACGCGATATGGGCAAATGGTATTCTGTTTATTTTTCAACCGCCCATCATGGAGAATCTAACAAAATGGTTCAAAAAGCCTCCCTTTCCAACATTTTCAAAGGGTGACTCAAATGCACCCGAAAAGAAAGAGAGCGAGCCGGCAACTTCGCCCCTCACTTCACCTCCCTCATCCTTTGTGGTTGATAACCTATCGCCGAAAAATGAACAAGATGCGGAAGATCAGTTGAAGATGGCAATTCATTTGTCAAGTCAAGGCGACATCTTGAAACCTCCTGCATGGGATCATAGCTTCCAAAGTGTCGAGTCAGGAAGCTTCAGCGCTTCTCAGCGCATCGTAAAGAATGGCAAAGAGATGGTCATCAGCTCGGATGGAGAGGACACAGAGTCTACTTCCGACTGCGAATTAGAAGATCCACAAAAGTTTTTTGCTTCATCGTCGAAAAAAAGGACGAGCCCGTGCCCACGAAAATCAAGCAGGTCACATCGCCAAAGAAATGGAAATATGACCTCAATTATCTGGTTACCGATGCAGTGGATGACCAAGAGGTTGAACGTAATGTCGCTCAGATGAAGGCCAAGCGTGCGCCCGGAGCACCGCAAGGTCCCACTGGAGCCAGACTGAATGAAAGCGCGCTGGTTTCAGCACTTGGGTCAGACGAAGATGGCTCCAAGGCCAGACGCACATTAGGTGCGATACGGAGAACTGAGGCGCTTGATCACGACCGTACCTGGTTATTTTTTGATGCCACACAAACATTACCACCAGCTCCTGAATTTCCGCTGCATTTGATTCCACGGGGGGCTATGAGGGTGGCGTTGAAAGGTTAGTTCTACATCATAGACTTGTTTCCCCGGTACTAATTATTATGCAGATCCTGCAGGCCGTGATCGTCTGTTTGTGTCAGGCGAATTTGTTTATATGGCTTTGGCCAAAAGACTCTTGCCGGATGAGGTCATACTGTGGATGTTTCACTCCGGTTCGTCTTATACTACGATATTCCGTTCTTCAAGGCAAGCATGGCTTACCTCTCCCGAATAGTCCCCTTCGAGCGTCGAGATGAGTTGAGCAACGCTTATGGTCGGATTCTCGAGGTTTGTGGAGGCCTCGCACCTGCATTATATGGGTATCAGCTAACTAGAAATATTAGAAATTGGGCCACGGACGCTTAGAGCCGCTCATTCGCCCAGCTGATGTCAATGAGGTTTTTGGAAGGTTGGGGGCTAACAAAGATGCCCTGGATCCGTCAAAAGAAGTGACTCCCATGGACCATTATGGTAACGTTTGTTGATTTGTCTCGTGTCCCACTTATTCTAATTCGTTCTTGCAGACGCCCCTACAACTGTCGGGTCAAAAGACCATGTAGCACTCATTTCAGTGCTGAAAATGTTTCGAAAAATCACTCGATTGTTGGTTTTACTCCCCAATCGGTGAACAAAAACTGACCAACTTTCAGGCTTGCGGATGACACCAAGGAGCAAATTATTCTGTTACTTTTACGCCTGACACTGGATGTCTCCCTCACGACGGATTCGGTAATCTCTTCGGAACTTCAGTGGGCTATTTGTGATGTGTTGGATCCGGCGAACTCGCGCAGTCATGCTAACAATTTGGTAAGCATTTGTTTCTGGTACCTGTAAGGCGTTCAAAGCTGACATCACTAGTCACATCGAGTATGCACCACGTTTTATAATACAGTCCAAGATGTCTGTCTGCAGAGCCGAATGTGCCATCACATGTTACCCACATCCCTTGGGATTGCGCTGCTGCGAGGCCGCCTGGCGATTTCTTTTTTGCTCGAAAGTCCCGAGCCTCTGGTTGAGCCGCCTGGAACGTTACTTGATCTTCAACGCATTACCGACTTACTGACCCATAATGAGCGTTTCCAAGTGAAACGATTTCAAGGGAAATTTGACTACGATTGGCGAGAGTTGATTGCTCTCACTGCTCTTCTGAACATTGCAATCGATTCTTCCGTGTTGGATCTCAACTATCGAGAATCTCGTTCCGAACAAGATTTCAACGCCGACCTCGACAAATTAGCAAATCAGATAAAGATATTATACTGCTCGATTCAGGTTTCGGGGGCCTCCCACATGACCCTGACGCTGGCAAAAGGGGACCTGGAGGCTTTACACTACCGGATACTCTACTCGGTTCGGTCAAAGCCACCGCCGAAAAAGACGTTGTTTACCTCCTATGCAAAGGAGGATGGTGACATCCGAAGCATTTTCAGCAAGTACAATACGAAAACGTCTGATGGCGATGGCTCGAATGCTGGCAGAACGGGTATTCCGATCCGCTAGATGTCCTTCCGCATCGTCTCATGTTACGACCCTTATGACCACCATGCCCTTCAGCGCGATACTCTTTCTAAATAGCAAGCATACTGTTACAAGCTACCAGTTGGATGCAAGGATACGAAATGAAACGACCGCTAAAAGACTTGATCATATTCCAGATCAGATCAGAACTGTGCAAATAAACCTCCTCTGTCTATGGGAATGGCCAAGAGGAGCAAGTATCATCCGAACTATAACACACGCAATACAACAGTCGTGAATGCAGACCCCAAGATAGAGCAAAATAACAAACTTAATCGTAGAACTTCCGGTTAGGGTTCTTGCCGAAGAGCGTCTCTCGAACGGCAGGAAGAGAATCGATCTCCAAAAGTCGCAGACGCTCCTCGAAAGTGTTGTTAATCTCGATCTTGCCCTCTCCGCCGACAATGACCACCCCACCAGCACTATAATCTGTTAGACTCGGCATATTCTAATATGGAAAATATGAAAAGACTCACGATCCTTCTGGCAATGGCTCCGATTCGTCCACGGTCACGGTCACCTTAGAGCCAACATTCTCCTCGTACTCCTTAGCCGCCTCCTCAATAGCCTTCTTAACAGTATCCACATCCTTCTTGCGGGAACGAATCACAGCAATATCCTCATTCAGATAATACAGGCCCTCGAGGACCAGCCCCTTGAGTGTAGCCTGGTACTTCTTCTTGTCGCTGGCAGCCACCTTGGACATCTTCTCACGGGCAGTCTGGAAGAGTTCATCAAGGAGTTCCTGACGACCTCCGAGAACACGAAGTCTGGTCTTGTTGGCGAGTGTGGACCGAGTGATCTGCTGAGACATGGCGGCCTGCTTGAACTTCTTCTCGTAGAGGGTATCGATAGCTGCGGTCTCCTGGCGCACCAGCTTAGATTTCTCAATCGCAAATTCCTCATCGGCCTTCAACTGGATCTCGCGGGCCTTCTCGAGGGCTTCTTGTCGGATGAACGCGGTCATCTTGCGGAGCTCGCCCGCGACCTAAAGTTGGATCGCCATTAGTCCAAACCGAGCTTTCAGGTCAAATTACCCAGGGAACATACCTGATCATCCGAAAGAGCATGACTTTGTGACATTTTGGCGGATTTAAACTGCTGTACAGTGATGGGAAATGACGTGGGGGGAGGGAATGTAAAGGTGTTGTGTCCAACTAAGCTCTCGGGGGTTGCGTCGCCTTGGCGTTCCGCATCCAGACTCTCTCTCTCGACCTTGTGATCTTGTCATTCTTCTATTTATTTTGACCACTTTCGCCTTTGATGAAGGTGACCTCTCTTGACGCATTCTTTTCTTCTTCTCTCTGGTATTTAGTGGGGGGTATCTTTGACGGCCAGTTTTGAGGTTGATGCGGCGTTTAGTGTCTCTCTCTATCGTTCTCTGATGCCTTGACCACAATCACGAAACAAACGACTTTCCCATATATTTGATCCAAGTCATGGCATTTCTACTCCGGTAGTATCCTTGACTTGGTGCGCTTCTACGATCTCTTTAAGTCAATGCACGATACACAAACATGGGAAATCTAGGTGACTTGTCGCCGGAGGGGAGCGTTGCGGTAAGAACACGACTTGGGTTATCTTGGAAAACAGGATCAACAACTAATACAGACAGGTCGGTGTGGTTGTTGGCTTGGTCTCAACCAGTCTACAAGCTATAGGTCTCACTCTCCAACGCAAATCGCATCTACTCGAGGACGAGAAGCACCCATACGATGTGCGCAGACCCCCTTACAAGCGCCGACGATGGCAGCTAGGAATGGGAATGTTTGTGATTTCCAATATCGTGGGTAGTACGATTCAAATTACTACACTTCCACTACCGGTCCTTTCAACGCTCCAAGCGGTCAGTACTTCCTTCCCCGTCCATGCACGGTGGAGACCACTTGCTGATAGAACTCCCCATTAGTCCGGACTAGTGTTCAACACGATATTCGCAACTCTGATCCTCGGTGAGCCCTTCACTCGATATTCGCTAGCGGGGACAGTCCTCGTTTGCGTCGGTGCATTGCTCATTGCGACATTCGGTGCCATCGGGGAACCGGCACATACCCTAGACCAGCTTCTCGACCTGCTGCAACGACGGCCTTTCCTACTATGGATGGGGGCTACCACTCTTCTGGTTGTCGCAGTAATAGTGAGCACAAAATTACTGAAGCACTTCCTGCCCTTTTCGCGCGCGAAACCTTCGGCGTCCGGCCATTTCACGCCCAATCTCATGCGCAATCAGAGCCGAATGAGGCTCATCCGGGGAATGAGCTATGGATTTGTTAGTGGTATATTGTCGGCACACTCTCTGTTGTTGGCGAAATCGGCAGTGGAGCTGCTCGTTCGAACAATTGTGGATGGGGTGAACCAATTTAATCGTTGGCAGTCCTGGGTAATCCTGCTGGGAATGATCTTCTTAGCACTGACCCAATTGTTTTATCTCCACCGCGGACTTAAGCTGTGCAGTACCAGTGTTCTTTACCCTTTCGTGTTCTGTATCTACAACATCATCGCCATCATGGATGGCTTGATTTACTTCCGGCAAGTATCGCAACTAGCGGGCTTTCACGCCGGTCTCATTGCTTTGGGGACTATAGTTCTACTCGCCGGTGTTTTGTGTCTGTCTTGGAGACTTGAGGATATCGATAATCATGCCGCTGTCACTACCGTGGGCCCCACGCAGACCGGTCTCGGACCGGGGATGGGAATTATGGAGGAGCACACCCCAACATCGCCAGGGTGGTTAGATGGCCAGGATGAAGAATCCCATATCGGGGAACGAGAACCGCTTCTCAACCCCAGAACCAACACACGGCATCTTTCGTATCAGCGAGGACGAGCCCCGAGTCTACCACTGAACCTACATCTCGACCGCCATGACTCCATCGATCTAAACCCCGCATCTATCTGGGCCGAGCTCGACGATTCAGATTATGACTCCGATGGCGGACAAAGACGATCTTTGGAAGACTGTCCACGCAGTATGAGTGGCAGTGCAACTCTGAATGGCCCGCCACGAGGGCTGGCGCGGCACTCAACGATAGGTACTGGCACCCACGATCGATGGGGACCTCGCCAGAACCAAAGACGTCACACTTCGGCACCATGGGGTGGAATATCACGCGCCCATCGTAAACGACAGAGTACCGGCGGTCCGGTTGGTTCCTCCGGCCAATTTAGCGGATATGGAACCATCCTAGAGAATGGGGATGGTGACCACTGGCATGAAAATATCGTCAACCGTGATTCTTCTGCCGCCAGGTCTGGCCTTCTTGCTGGCTCAAGCAGGGCTCTGGCAGGTGCATGGACATCCGGAAGACGGTTCCTGTCACGATGGAGCAGCCCGTGGGCGGGCAGTGATGCCGAGGCCGACCCAGCAGATGATTCGGCTTCGACCTTACTCCCGCAGGGACAATCTAGTAACGCACAAAGAAACACGGTTTCCGAGTCTGGTACTCCCTAGTCATTGTCATTTCCTGACATTTCCTTTTACATTTCTCCCTCGACACCTTTAAACGACTTCCAACATATGGCCTGTCACTTCTCTATCCCCGAAGACTTTAACTTTCAGATCTTTGTTTTTGCTATTTTGCTCCCTTTGTAAAGTATGACCTCGTGGGCATATTCAATGTCACCCTCCTACCCCTACTAGCTCTCCACCGTGCAGCCCCCAACCCACTTCTCTTCTATGTTCAGCCAACTGAAGATACCATGATACCACAATTGTCGAATATATAGCTCCGTACAGATGAATATAGGATTCCAATACAATATACCTGCGCTCTTGAACATAAAGGGAATAGCCCGAGCTCCCCAAGTACCTGCATATCCTAAGTCCCTATTTGTGCTGGGCAAAGGTACCCGGAACCCGAGATTATCCAGTCACGATCTTCGCCCAGGTGCCTGAAGTCTTGGTGTAGCCTTGACCTTCTGTATGCAGGTCAGCAAACTTTCTTACTTGTCTTACGGGGAATTGACCGAGTTTGAAACTGTTCCTGGAACGAGGTTTGTTTTTTCAATTTTCTTTTTTTTTTGCCGTTACAAGGTGTGGTATATATATGTATTATACGTGTCTCACGGATTATCAGGGACAGACTCTAGGGCTGTATTAAACCAATTTCAACCAAGCGTCAAATGAGCTCTTTATATTGATTATTGCAACGTATATGATAACATCTTAAACTCAAGGACGCGTACCTAGGTAGTTCAAGACCTCCTGGCCCATTCGCTACCACAGGTATATGCAATGCATACTACATCCATGGATGTACTCAGACCAAAATCGACTACAAGAAACACCAGTAGAATAGGGTCCGATTTATCCATACCATACATAATATCCAGTCAAGGCCACAGCCGTGCATTCTCAACCAAATGGAGATATTGACAATTGGTTCAGCGCAGCAAGACCAATAGGGCATGGAATCAACAATCAAACAGGTAAGACACATATTTGGGATTAGACAATGAGGAAAGTAACATGATGGGCCTAGGAAAAAAAATAAGATAGAAATCAGAAGAAAAACAAAAAAGACTAGGAACAGCCACTTCGCCAGCAAATTCAATGCACCACGAACACCACCATCCTCCGCCAGTGTCTAGGTAGAGGGGGGAAATAACAGCCAGATTAGCGATGAAGCCCAGAGTTGCCTGCTTGCGCTCTTTCTCTTTTCTTGGAGTTGGTCAATTTTTTTGGTCAATTTGATCAATCTTTTGGCTGTTCATTAGAAAGCCAAGATTCTCAGCAAATTGATGTTGTGATTGTTTTTTTTTTCCTTTTTTTTCCGGGATGGAAAGGCAATATCGAGGAAAACCGAAACCAGTATCATCAAAGAAGAACCGGAAAGGGGATTCCAGAGTGTTTTGACAATATACAAATGGTCTCACGAGAGTGCCCTAGAGAATGGCGCATGTAGATACAGCGCGACCATTGTGTGGGAAGAGTGGGATGGATCGGGCAGAGAGGGAGACGGGTATCAAATGAACGCGAGAGAGCGAGGCGCAGGGAGGAAAAGAACACAGAGAATAAGACGCAGCGTCTGGGACCTTGGGCCAAAACCCTCAGATCAGATCATAAGTTTAAGCGGTGGGTTGTTGGTGAGGGGGCATGCGACCGCTGACGGGCATGGGGTACTGGCCACCAGCCTGCTGTTGCTGCTGCTGCAGGTTCTGGTAGTAGGCCATCTGCTGTTGTTGCTCGTTGGTCATGTAGCCAGGGTGCATACCGGGGCGCATATTCCCCTGGGGCGCGTTGACGTTGTTGTGTGCCACATCCTCGGGAGCCTCGGGGGCGACATCGGGGGCGTCGACGCCGTTCTCGCTGGCAGCGGGGTCAGGGGCATTCAGACAGGCCTAACAGGGAGTTAGTTCGCGAACAAGAGAAGAAACAACTAAAAGAACAAAGGACGAAAGATCATTGGGACAATAGCTAAGCTTACCTGAATGAGGTTCTTGCCCTCGGCCTTGGTGACGAGTGGCTGGAGCTTAGGAGTGGTAAAGGTGTAGACGAGGCCAGTTTCGGAGACGACCAGAAGGAGGACTTGAGTACCGGTCAAGACGGAAAGTTCATAGGCCTATTCCAGGTTCAATTATTAGTACAAGATACTCACAAAGATTGTAATCAGTTGGAGTTGATATGAGGCCTCGGGAAGTGAGAGAGACGCGTACCTTCTTCATAATACCAGCCTTGCGCTTAGAGAAAGTAATATGCCGACGCGACTTATCCTGAATAAACTTGATTTCGATCTTGCGACGCTCACGACCAGGCTTATCATCATCATCTTCGTCGTCGTCGGCGCTCATGCGGTTGCGCTTGGTACCCTGACTATTGTTGCCGGGGAGGTCATCATGACCAGGAGAAAGCTTCTCATCGATTTGAGCAGACATAATTTTAATGACTAAAAAAAAGAGTTGTATAGAGGAATCGAAGCCAATGTATGGGTTTGGAAGTTGAAGGTTGCCGAAAGGGGAAGTACAGAGGGGAGGATCTAAACTCGGTTAGGACGTGTAAAAAAAGGATGGGTTTTGGTTTTGGGGGGGGGGGGGGGGGAAGGTGCGAAGTGAAGAGGCAGGCGGTAGGTCACGGGATCGGTTTATGGTTCTTGGCTATGAGCTGTGATTGGTTCATTCCTTCGTCAGGCTCCACTCCACCCCCCTTCTGGTCTGGACTTTACGCTCTTTGTCTTAATTATGTACTTTTTTAATCTTCTTTTTAACCTTTTATTATTTATGATATGAACTTCAATATTGAACTCGATGAACTCGCCTTTTTTCGTATTGTTTTGTTGTAATATAAGCTGTAAATATTAATTTTAAGAAAATATATATAATAAGAAAAGATATCACAAATTACCTGTCTATACATATGTACAAGAGTACATACGGAGTAACTCCTCCGTAGTTTCATTCCACATGCCTCGAGGTGGCGGATTCCATTGAAGGATCTGATTGGTTACCCGAACAGCCATTCACCATGGTACCAATCAAACAAGGTTAATAATCTACACCCCAGGCCCGAGGACATTCCTCTTAAGATCATTCGAACATCATATAGTACGTAGGTACACACCTTATACACTGATTGATAAATAAATATATCTACACATGTAGTAAACTATCATACAAGTCAGTATAAGTTATAGGATACAAAATTGTGTCACACAAGGCGCGGGTCCTACCTTGTCGCACGGAATGGACCTCTCTGGACCATCTCATTCCATACTCGCAAGACCCGTTTTCAGAATTTTAGGCATTCCCATGTCACCACTTTTGATCATTATGTTTTTTTCCCTTTCTTAATTTGCTCAGGTTAGCTTCAATTTAAAACTGGAGGATTAGTGATCCATTCCTAAATTTGATTGTAGGGTTATAGGGAACTCACATTCATCGAGATGTACAAGCATAGCAAGCGATACGGGTTTGTAACGACCTCGAGATTATCCCGATTCTTTCCCCTTGCTCTCTCGTAAACCTCGCAGAACCCCATGGGGATTTTTAATTTCTTACAATTCCATGGTTAATCTAGGAAGAATGACTACCAAGATTATAAATGGTAGTAGATCTGCCCCAGCAGCTAGTTTTATCCTAGCTTTACTTCTGCTACGGAGTACTAATCCATCATCACTTTTTAGTTTGGCCAATTCCTCTTTAGTCTTTCGATTCACTTTGTTTTATCACACTTGGCTTTAAAATTAAAGTATACACTCAGCTCCACTTTGAATCCAGCATACTCTTCTCACCGAACAGCTAGATGCCCACACTCGTCGGAGACCCCGAAGGCCAAGACTGACCGCTGTTCATGTTTAAAAACACCGAACCCACCAGACAACAAGAATAGCAACTGAAGCCGAGAAACCCGCGGCCCGATCCGAGAGGCCCTAGACCCGATGCAGCAAACAGAGTCCAGCTCCGCCGCTTCAGAGGATGTCCTGCATACCAAGGATCTAATCCAACATGGAATAGAAACACTGAAATGAGAGAGACTGATCATATTCTTCACATAATGAACAAAAGTTCAACGCTAATCACCAACGAAGACCCTAAAACGGGTCTGCGGTCAAGTCTATTTTTACAGAAAGATGCATGGAGGACAGGGAGTGGCTTCTTCCCGAAGCGCACTTAAAAAAAAGAGACCAGGCATGAAGAAGATGGAAAATAAGGAAAGACAGATAAAAGCAAGGCTACACTGATCAAGTGGAGCAGACTTCAAGCCAAGGTCCCGATGAAGCCCGGGGAGAAGGGAGATAAGAGAATGAAAGAAAGAAAAAAAAAAGCCACGGAACAATTCAAACATGGGATACACTGTCAGGATACAGGGAGCATGAAAAGCCACCAGGTTCCTGCACCGTACTGGACTCCGCCGATGCAACGCCGGACAAATGAATCAGAGCCTGGAGGACGCGGAGGGCAAGTCACGACCGCGAGTCTCATCCGGAAAAAGAAAAGGGCAGTTGGGTTGGAGGATTTGCAAATCGTGTTTGACTGGCTGGTGTCGTGAAGTCGGGACAAAAAGAGGAAAATGTATGGAAGATTTTAGAAAAATAAAACAGGCGAATCATGTGCAACGAAGTGAAGAGAGGTACGACGAACAGTCCCAAGGACCAGCCTTAAGTGGTGGAGCAATTTATCTATTGCTGGTAAGTGCCGCGAAGGTAATGATCGCTCACACCACCGCCACCGCCGCCCTTGGGACCGAGCCAGACAATCTCAATCACGCTGTGGCCCTCATCTTCCTCACGCACATAGAACTGGTGAACATTGTCACCAACCACGAATGCATCACGCAACAACCACCGGTCCTTGGCGATGCCATCTTCCTCTGCGGGACGCAGGGGACCCAGACGATCTTCGTAACCACGAGGGTCTTCAGGCCATGTCTTCTCAGTGGCATCGAAGTTGATGGCATCATCCGCGACGGACTCATCATATGTGTACTTCACTAGAGAGTAACCGTTGGTCATGACCCAGAAATGACGCAGAGTCTCTCCGGTAACGCTGTTAACGGTTTCCTCTTGGTCGAACACCCAGCGGCGTAGAACAGACTTGCGGCCCGCAGCAGCGGAAACGGTGGTCATTTTGACCACATCCTTGCTGTACCAGCTGTTCCAGTGGTGCATGGATTCAATCTTACGACCGGATTCGTAAACACCGTCCACGGGATCGGCCATATCCATCTGGTAAAGCGAGGGCCACAAAGTCAGGGGGGTATCACCGAAGCGCTGGATACACTGGCCAAGCTTCTGGTCACCGGGCTGCTCGCCCCAAGACTGGCATTCGTCGTAGTGGTTCATCAGAACATCGAGGAGAGGCTTCGAGACAAATACACCGGCACCACCGAAGGCAATGTGGCCGAAAGTGTCCACCTGCCAGCTGGCTTCAGACAGAGATCCAATGTAATGCCTCCTCTTCTCATCGAAGAGCTTGAGTTCTTCGGCAATGGTGGGGAGGGAGAGGAAAAAGGTATCGTCGTCACTAAATCCAACCCAGGTGGTGTGTGGGCGGTGCTTGCGAATGTGCTCACTGAAAGCCTCGACCATGCCGAAGTAACGCGCAGTAAAGTCGAGGGGTGAGGCCTTGAGGGTCAAGTCCAAACCGCGGTTACGGAAGTAGGTCTCCTGCTTCTCCAGATCATCATCAGACTCGGGGACTAGAACAATCAGGCCGGCCTTGGTGTTTCCGTAGGAGTATAGCAAAGAGGGGAGGAGACGGTCCAGACGATCGACGGTAGTAGCCAGACCAAACAGAAGCTTGGAGGTTTCTTCGACGTCATCATCAGCAGCCACATCAACTTCGATAATTTCCGGGCAGACCAAGTTCTCCTCCTTGTTCTCGGGGGACACGACCATGCCACGCTCCATAACAACCATGGGTGGGAGAACGGGCTTCTCAATTTCCTCCAGGGTATGGAACTCGGTACGAGGGTTCACATGACGAGGACGGAAGTAGGCGCGGGTGTAGTTCTTGCGAGGAAGCCATTCAGGGAAAGGCAGGGGAGCGGCGAGTTTGGGGTCAGCTTCGCAGGCAGTGTGAGCTGCGGTTTGCGAACTAGACTGCGGGGTTGTTTGTGCTTGAGGCGCCTTGTTGTTTCCAAGCCCGGATCGATCAACGGGGTGCTTGAATCGCAGGAATGCTGACCGGTCGTAGCGTTCCATACAAAAGAAGAAGATTCCAATCGTCACCAGCGCGAGCAACGGGAATATCGTCTTTAACCGAAATAGAGCCATCTTTGTTTTACCAGTAGTCGGCGATGACTTTTCAAACATGTAAATAAAAGGGACAAGTCGAGATTGGGGCGAGCCGAGAAGAAATTAGAAAGGTACAGGCTCGTGCCAAGAGTCGTATCCCGGAGATATCGTGCAACAAAGCTAATAAGAGATTGAGACAATTCCAAGGAAGAGTCAAATAAACGAGTGTCCAAAGCTTTTAATGAGTGGCAGGCAAGTCAAGTGCCAGATTCAGTGAGAGGCTGGCAGCGTCGGGAGCTGCGACACGGGTCCAAGGAGAGAGTTGAGAAAGGGAGGGAAGCAGGTTGAGGGTGAAAGTAGTAAGACCAACGCGGCTGGACAATGTGCCCAATCCGAGTGAATAGTCGATTAGAGGTGAGGAATTCGTGCAGGTGTTTGAAGAAAGAAGAAAAAGGGAGGGCGGCCGAAGTAATTAACGGAAAGCCAGTGACGGATTGGCCGTGTACCTGTTGTATTTGTATTACGGTAATTTAATTGTTCAGCTTCTTTTTTTTAACTGTATTCTGGTTCTTTTTCTTTACTTCGGGGTTTTGAGCTTTTTTTGTCTTTTTTATCAGTTGACCGTTTTTAACTTGTGATTCTCTATTCAGTGATATCAAAATAGATTTGCATCTTATTCTTGGTATGTTAGTACTATTACCGGATTGTTTAACCTGGTTGCAGTGATGCCAAGTCGGTATGCAGGAACGAAACCTTTCAATAGGAGATAGTAGATTTATTTTCTAAATTATATGTGCTTTTCGATTGTGTGCTTCCTTTCACTTTCTGTATAAGGTACCTTTTTGAATTCAAGTGTCGATCATGACGGAAAATGGAATGTTGTTGGCTCGGAAGTGATCATCATGTACGCCTGTATAGGGATCGGCACTTAGGGTATAATGTATTCCTTTTGCCACGAACGTATAGTGTTATACAATATTTGCATCTTCTTTATGTACAATCGCGTGGCTCAAGTCGGAAATAGAAATTTCATCCTTGGCACTTATAGATAAGGGTGGTTCATTATTATCTTTCAAAGGCTCAAAAAACCGTTTGCGGTGATTGATATCCGGATGCGGACCTATGAAGACGATCATGGATTCTATCGGAGCCTCTTCCGAAGTAAACAAAAGATTACACTGTAGTTAGATGATAGGCTAAAGACAAGTCTCAGGGTTTACCACGAACTTTCTCAGATTGGTCAATATACAATGTTGTAGCTCACTACTTGTATCTTGATAATACAATGTGTAAGATACAACGCTAAGTGTCCTCGGGATATTGCACCCTATATCTTAACTTGATCAACTTAAGACAATCTAAGCGACCGGAAGAACAAAGACAATATAAAGAGTACAAAATATCCGAAGGGCCCGAATTGTCTCTCATGATGATGAATATACAATGTTGTAACTATTGTAGCTGCATACAACGTATAGATCACGTCACATAAGGTGTGCGCTTGGGCCAAAATAAAGTGTGAGCTAATGAAACTACTATGTTCGTAATAAACTAGTTACCTAGTTATAGTGAGGAACCAATTAATTAGACTGTAGTATCATATTTCGTTATACAACGCAATTAGACCCTGAACGGTGAAATTATGTACACTATCCAATGTATTGAGTAAAGGACAAGTATATCAGAAATCCCAAATCATCAGGAAATGATCAGAGGGGACGATCCTGGCGCCCAGCCGCGTCAACCAGTCACAGTTCGTCAGAGGGGCAAATGAGGCCAACGCCCCCCCACACAGACACGCGTCCTTGAAATGCTGGGGACTGGTTCGTATTGGATTTTGCTACATTAGTTATTAGATACTTAGTTATACTATTTTGTACTCCGTACAAGGTTCTGTATTATAAATATCGAATACTACACTTTATGCAGATATTTCTGTTCTTTTTATAGGGATGTAGACTTGCGATTTAAATATGCCATTGAAGTACTCCGTACTCCGTACTCTGATGGGAAAAAGCAATTCAAATCAGGACCCTGAAAGCTTATCGCGTAACGTATTTCCAGTGGCGATAGGCGTCCCCGTCCATCTTCACCACAGAGTGGGCCGCGATCGACATTTGAACCTGAAGGCTGAGGGTTGTGGTCTGCTTTTTTTTTCTTTTTCTGCCTCGAAGGCGACTATCGTAATGCGCGTCATCATCGTTTCTATATATATTAATTTGACTGATATTTTCTGGGGGCCGGCCTACCATATTATAGGTACGTATACACTGTTTCAGTTAAGTCAGTTACAAACATATCACACATGCAATAAAGGTACGCTGTGGATATTCATCCACTTCTGTCCAGACCCGTAATATAGTAGCCAAGGCGGTTTGCAACGTTATAGGCAGTACTCCGTAAGCGACCTCGGGAAGAACAGTTTTAATCTTAATAATTTTGGAACCTGAACACAACGCGGGAGGTTGGTCTTGATCAAGGCTACAATATTGTATAACTACATCTTAGATAAAATCGATAGCACAATGTATGTGTCATAGTTAAACAAAAAGCAGAGTCAGCACTTACGAGTCCCCAGTGACATAATGTCATCCCTGCGCTTGCACATTGAAACAGCCGCTAAGTACTGGAGTAGCATGCAAATCAAAATACTGCCGGCATTTTCAGTGGCATTTTAAGCTTGAATAGTCGCCTTGGCGTTGCTGTCATTGCGGCAACAGTTGAAAAGGGGGGAGCCCATGCGCAATGGGTCTGTTTCTGGGTCTTTTTCTGGGTCCTTATGTATCATACATAATTCACCATGTATTGCTTTTACGGACCCTGAAATTTCCAGCAAACGACGAAACGAATTCGGTGTGGGACCAGAATCCCCTGATCGTCGGTCCCTGGTGATTCTCTCACAGCGCAACAAATCGATGAAATCGACCGGGAGAGATCTATGCTATAATTATGTGACATTCCTACAACGTATATACCTATTGTATGTGTATTGAAATATATTAGGGTTACAAAGTATCAGATCGGAATCTGCATGTATCTTGGAAAGGGGGTACTTGTCTAAATGAAATCTGGCGCCATCCGATATGGTCAGCACGTCTTACAAAAGTACAAATCAGCCCACGATCCTTCTAGTCAGCCACTAACTATCTTGGGTAGTTAATACAGGCTAAGCTTTGATTGCTTTACAATGATCATGTTTGGTTGAACGTGCCTTGACCTCTCCAACCTCAAATGTAAGAGTTGAAGTTCACCCATCACGAGATTCTCCAGGGTAAATGAGATTATACAAAAAGTTAATACACATAACATATATTTGGAATTCTCGTTGTAAAAATTTAAATAGTTGGCTCTAGCCTCATCGTTGCGAAACTGGATTCAAGCACTGTATTTGTTCGTCCTACTCTCCATTGCTTCGAAATGTACCAAATGGCCAAAATACAGAATTGTAGGCCCTAGTTTGACGTGAGCCTACTAAAGTACCATGTCTTAGATTAACCCTCCGAACTCGTTGATCTCATGGCTGCGAGAAATTTGTTTCATTCTCTAGGTCGAATCTATATCTAACATCCCTGCAAGACCGGCATGCAAAAGAACAAACATAGCCTATCATGTTTTGGAAATCAATCTCCGAGAAGTAAGACTTGGTGACATTATTGGAAATTCTGAAATAGCCCTGCAAATCAACATTAAGCTTAGAGACCAACTTATCTTTCTCAAAATAGGATGCATATGCATATACCAGTGTCATACAAAAGATCTAATCTCGAAACCATTTCCACCTAGACCGGATACAGACTAATCGAGTCCTTGTTCCTCAAATATGTATTTCCATCTAGCTCATGGCACTCGCAGTAGGCAATAATTTATCTGGGTACTATCATCACATTGCTGCCTCGGCAGCAACGCTGAACGCGTGGACGCTTCCTCGGGGCTGGAAATTGTGAGATGAATGCCCCCTACTTGTGCTTGATACCACCTCTTCATCGGATATATTGCCCCATCCACCACCTCCAGGACTAAGTCAAAGCTTTGTTAGAAAGATACCCCAAATGAGAAATCGTGTGTTAGCACTTACGTATGGATCAGAATCCTCTCCCCTGGTTGAACCTCGAGCTCCATCTTACCACCGATATTGATCAATCTATCCGTTCCGTCCAACTCTTTCTTCAAATATAAATTCAATCCTGCCTGACCCGAACTTCCTCCTGCCAGTCCATAGGGACGATAAACCCGGCGCTCACTGAGCATAGACACCGAGAGTGGCATGCGGAACTCGAGCTCACGGATCACACCGTCTCCACCAAGGAAGCGGCCCTCACCACCAGATCCGCTACGGATCGCAAACTGGCGCAGTATGACAGGATAGCGCAGCTCATAGACCTCTGCATCCGTGATGCGCGTGTTTGTCATATGGACATGGACGCCGGACGTGCCATTCCAAGATGGACCGGCACCAGAACCACCACATATCGTCTCGCCAACACCAAACCCAGGAACCTCGACACCAGTCTTGGGGTCAACACCACCCATGCCAAATGAGATAATATTGCAGCATCCCTGAGAGGCAGCGCAAGCATTAAAAGCACCCAGCACAACGTCCGTGATGCGCTGCGATGTGATTGGGTTACCTGCACAGACGGCGGCATGGCCAGACGGATTGAGAAGTGTACCAGAGGGAATTATAACGTTGACAGGAGCGAGACATCCTTGATTGAGAGGAATATCGACATCAATTAATGCTCGCAGGCTGTAGATGATGGCCGAGTGAGCAATGGCTTTTGGTGCGTTGAGGCAGTTGAAAGTCTCACGGCCTGTACCGGTGAAATCAAAGTCGGCAGATCCAGTGTCGGCATCGATGCGAATTTCCAACCTGATTTCTGTGCCATCATCCATGAAATCAGAAAATCGTAGAGGCTTGCCTGGATTCTTGCGCCCAATGGACTTCAGCAGTTCGCGGACGGCGACCTCTGCGTTGCGCTTGATTGCATCCATGTAGAAATGCACCACTTCCAAGGTATTCTCGGCCACCAAGGCCTCTAGTAGCTGGGAACCCTTATGGTTTGCCGCTATCGCGGCCTTCAGATCCGAGACGTTGTCATTATATGTGCGTGTGCCACTGCAGCCTGGATATGAAGCTGGTTCATCGTATAGGAACTTGCGAACAACTTCCTCTTCGAAGCGCCCCTGCGAAACAACCTTGAAGCCCATAGTCATAGCGCCTTCCTCATAGAGCATCTTACTATCTGACGGCATGGAGCCCGGGGCGATGCCACCAATCTCAGCTACATAGCAATAATTAGCATCAAATTGTGGAGAGCAGACACCAGATCAAGGCCCCTACCATGATGACCTCGCGAGGCAACATAAAATACAATATTTTGACCATCGCGATCCCAGACTGGAGTGATAATGGTGATGTCGGGCAGATGTGTACCGCCAGCAAGAGGGTGATTGGTGAGAATGTGATCACCAGGCTTCAAATTGCCTCTGTGTTGCTCATGCTGATATCGGACGGCATACTCCATGCCTGCCATGTTTGTTAGTATGACACTTCTTAAATATGTCGCAAAGTTGAGCATGAACTTACTTCCTAGATGCACTGGCACGTTCGGTGCGTTTGCAACAAGCTTTCCATCAGGAGAAAATACCGCACAAGAAAAGTCCAGACGCTCTTTGATGTTTGTGGACACAGAAGTCTTTTGGAACATCCGACTCATCTGATCGGCAACAGACATGAAGCGATGACCGAAGATAGACAATTTGATAGGATCCACGACCGTTGCATCGACAGTCTGCTTCTTGGAGGGTTGAACATCAAGGATAACGTGTCGCGACAGGATTGTCGCAGTCGCATTTGGCTCAACAACGATGGTTTGGGTTTTGTCGATGATCATCGCGGGTCCCTGCAAAACGTATCCTGGTTGCAAATTATCCAAGAAAAAGACCGGCGTAGTAACATGACCAGTTCCGGTAAAGTACACAGAAGACGAATCATCCTGCTTTTCCGAGACTACGGACTTGGTAGTCACTGATCTGAGCTCTTGTTGAGGGGGCTCAGGAGCAATGGAAGTTGCCTTTCCAACACCACGGACGCGGATATCCTCGATAAGAATGTTGCGACCAGGGAAGGTAAAAGAGAACTCGCGATCGTGCTCTTTGACAAACTCGGCAATGAAGTCTCCGTGTTCAGGCTCTAGCACCATCAACAAGTTGTCGGTTCCTTGATACCGCAGATTGAGATATACTTCATGCTGAATTTGAGTCTCGTCAATACCGTCAGTGACCAGTGCAGTTGCCACTTTCGACTTCAATGCCGCGATGCGCTCGGAGACACTTCTCATCGCTCTTTGATCTAGTACGCCCGATGCGGGTTCCTGGGCCTCATGGACAACGTCTGCCAGAGCCATTCCATATGCGGATAAAATAGAAGAGTAATGATGAATAATGACGGTCCCAATAGATAATGAAGAGGCAATAGCACAGGCATGTTGTCCTCCAGCACCACCAAAGCAGGCTAGATTATGTGCTGAAGTATCATACCCACGAGCTTCTGTGAGGGCCCGAATAGGTTTTGCCATGGATTCGTTGGCCACCTGGATGAACCCCAAAGCAATCTCTTCCGCAGATTTGTTCTGACCAGTCTCGGTGTTGATTTGATCTGCGAGCTCCGTGAATTTCCTCCGCGTGACCTCGACATCTAATGCCTCATTCTCGTGTGGTCCAAAGATCTTGGGGAAGTATGCCGGTAGAAGGCGACCAAGGAAAAGGTTGGCATCAGTCACCGTCAATGGACCCCCTTTGCGGTAGCAAGCAGGTCCCGGATGGGCACTTGCGGACTCGGGGCCGACGGCAAACAGCCCATGTCGCCAGAAGAGAATACTTCCACCACCGGCAGCCACAGTGTTGATGTCTAGTTGCGGTGCCATTACTGTAACACCAGAGATAGTGTTCTCGAAAGTGTGTTCCAATTTACCGTCATATCGAGAGACATCAGTACTGGTTCCGCCCATGTCAAATCTGAAGCGCTTGTTAGTGCCAACAATATCAATGATATGGATAACCATGCGGACTCACCCAATGACGGGGGTTCTTTCGGTCTCATCAAAAGAGGTTCCTGCATAGCCCACAACACCGCCAGCAGGACCTGACAAGATAGCACGAAGACCAGTGAATCTGCAGCGACTAGTCAGCGATGCTTTCATAAAATTCGAGAGCGAACTTGACACACTTTTCGAAATTAGCAAGACCTCCATCACTCTGCATGAACTCACAACGTGTATCTGCAGAGCTCAGACCATCTTTGAATCCGGAGCGAAAACCTTGGATGTACCGCTGAATGACCGGCGTCAAGTATGCATCCGCAGTAGCAGAAGCTCCACGAGAAGTCATTTTGATCATAGGCAACAGTTGACTGGAAAGAGAAATTTGGGTAAATCCAATGTCCTTTGCAATCTTTTCAATCGCAAGTTCATGTTCTTGGAATGTATATGAGTGGACTAGGCAGACTGCAATCGAGCGATAGCCTTTTCCGTATAATTGCTCAAGATTTTGACGAGTATTTGCTTCGTCAAGTGGTTGGAGAATGCGCACCACTTCCCCACTTATACCCTTTCTCAAAGCAGTATCGGATTCCAAAGAAGATTGCAGAGCTTCTTTATCAGGGGTGGGATTTTGTTGATAATCTTCAATTGTGACGCGTTCTTCAACCTCCACAACATCTTCATACAAGACATCGGGACGTTGAATATTTAGTGCGAACAGCTTTGGCCGAGACTGAGTTCCAATGCGCAAAGCATCCTTGAAACCCTTTGTGATCAAGAGCGCATGGCGTTCTCCTTTACGCTCAAGCAAGGCATTGGTAGCAACTGTTGTGCCCATGCGAATACTAACCTGAGAAAAGTCGGTAGTAGTGAGCTTTTGATCGCGAGGGAATGTCTTGCCAGTTGCTTGCTCCAGAATGCGTCGGATACCCTCAATTGGAGCATCGGCATAGTTGGCTGGGTCCTGCGACAGCAATTTGACAACAATTTCCTCATCACGACCATCAATAATGCCAAGACAATCAGTGAATGTACCACCACGATCTGTAAGAGAAGTTAGCTATATCATAGCGAAGCTTCGAAAGCCCTGACCGATGGCGATTTTGATGCTTGGGCTATCTAGATTGTGAGGCGACATTGTGATACGTGTGCTGGAAACATGCAGGATATAAACAGCCTTTTATGCCCAGCGTCACAAGCCATAATAAGTAGCAGGTCGGAACGAGATAGAACAATCAAATCAAAAGCCACCGAATCAGACAATGAAAGCCGAAAGAAAAGAGGGGAAAGTTGATGCGGAGAAATGGCTTATCGGTTTCGTTCTGACCTTCCTCCGGCACTTGAACCCTAAGTAGTGACAAGGTCTTCTATGATAAAGAACTTCATTGAGTTCAAATATTGTCTTATAAAGTCACAGTTGTTTTTCTTCTCTTTTACTCTCTACTCGAGAGGTTTATGAGATCATTTTCATAAATTTCAATGGCAGATGATAAAGAGGCCGCAGAAAACCAACTCGCTCTTGACCAAGAGAAGTCCCAAGAAGGGGATATCATTGAAACCCAGCGAGAAAGAGGTAAAGATGTTGCAGCACAGTTTCTTGCATGTCTCGATCCGGCCATTGCTGTGGAACCAGTGACTGAATCCGAGGCACGTCGTGTGCTATGGAAAATCGATCTTATTCTCATTCCTTTGATCATGGTTACGGTGGTCTTGGCTGCTATCGACAAAGTCATCATATCGAACGCGGCTATCTATGGCATGAAAATAGACACCCATTTGACTGGCAACGAGTATTCGTGGGTGGGCTCGATCTTCTACTTCGGATACCTAGCCTTTGAGTACCCAGCAGCACTACTCATTCAACGGCTCCCTGTCGCCAAGCTCTATGCTGGAATGGTGCTCGGATGGGCAATCCTACTTTTATGCACTGCGGCAACCCAGAACTTTGCAGGGCTGGCGACAGTTCGCTTCTTGATGGGCATGACAGAAGCCGCTGTGTTCCCCATTTCCAGCATCCTGACTGTGATGTGGTGGAAGACGAGCGAACAGCCTATCAGGGTTGCATTTTGGTTTAATCAGCTCTCATCTGTGTTCTCGGGTGTTGTCAGCTACGGCATTGGTCAAACCAACACGGCGTTGGCACCCTGGAGATTGCTATTCATCGTGCTGGGTGGATTTTCTCTCATCTGGGCTGCCGTGCTATACGTCTTCTTGCCTAATTCACCAGTGCAGTGTTGGTATTTGTCAGATCGTGAGAAATTTGTCTGTCTCGAGCGCGTTAAAGATAACAATACTGGAATGGAGGATAAAACGATCAAATGGTATCAAGTGCGAGAATGTCTGCTCGACCCTAAGACTTGGCTTTTGGCGCTATTCTCGCTGACCCAGAATATCCCCAATGGCGGTCTAGTCACCTTTTCCGCCATCATTGTGACAGGCATGGGTTATTCACGACTGCTGACCACCATTTTGGGAATCCCGACCGGTGTGTTAGCAACAGTGTGGCAGCTTTTGCTGGGTTTCATTGCCGCCAAGGTGCCCAACTCCCGCTGCAATATCATCGCCATTGCCAACCTCGTCCCGATGGCTTGTGCTATCTTGATGTGGAAGCTGCCAAGTGGTAGTCAGCAAGGCCTGTTGGCAGCATACTACGTCTTCTACACTTACTGGGCACCGTATGTGCTGTCAACCTCCCTTCCAATGGCCAACACCAGTGGCCACAGCAAAAAGTTGACCATGAACGCCATATTCTTCTTGGCGTACTGTATCGGCAATATAATTGGCCCGCAAGTTTTCCGCTCTGACGATGCTCCATCATATTCTCGAGGATACGAGGGTTTGTTGGCTTGTTTGGTTGTGGCCATAGCCGCCATCATCGCTTATGGGCTTCTTTGCCGATGGGAAAACAGTCGTCGTGATAAGGAAGAGCAGCCCAGCGAGGAATCATCATCAGCTGCAGCATTTTCGGATCTTACAGACAAAGAGAAGCGATCTTTCCGCTATACTTATTAGTAGTGTCGTTAGGAGGCTTTTGTTGGCAAGTTGCGCATTCATCACAAGTATGTAGCTCCAAATTTATTAGAGAATGAAACTTGATTCATATTTTCAGAGCCTAGCTGCTACCATCCAAACCCATAACACTCTGAAAAGAAACAATCACAAGAAAGCGAAAGAGAGCGAACAAAGTAAGCAATCCTCGTGGCTATTTTCAAGCGGAGAAACGAAGGTCGGAACGAGGTATTTGGAGTGCCTCGGAGTGCCTCCGAGTCCAAGCCCCCAGCGCCCCATCCGCTTAATCTTTAAACATTCAAGCTGCCTATCTTAGGCTCAAGGAAGGTCAAACCGAAAATAAAGATAAAGCTGATCTCTCCCCTCACGCAGTCAAATGAACGTCTTCGCAATGCATCTACTTGTGCGCGAGGAAGCTAGTAGCGAGATCGGATCCCATGCGACAAAGTACAATAAAGCGAAATGGCAAAATAAATATGGCGCCCCCTCTCACCATTTGAGAAGAGACCAAATCAAATCGTGACAGCAACCGAGCTTGCATGATGAACAAAAACACGAATATTTTGATCGTTGGCGCCGGTTGCTTCGGCACATCCACCGCATACCACCTCTCCCAGCGCGGGTACACTTCCATTCACGTCTTTGATCGATACGAACCGCCATCTTGCGAGGCAGCCTCCACCGACATCAGCAAGATTATACGCAGTGATTATAATGAGCCGCTGTACGCGCATATGGGGATCGAGTCCATAGCTGCGTGGCAGTCTTGGTCAATGTTTCGAGGGCTGTACCATGTGCCCGGGTGGATTCTCAGTGCGGCGAATCTGTCGATCCCATTCGTGGAGGGTTCGATCGAGACGTGCAAGAGACTCGGGGTGCAGGGTCTTGAGAGACTGACACCGGAACAAATCCGTGGGCGCTTCTCTGTTGTTACGGGAAAGCTGGACGGGTGGAATATCAATGTGTGGAACCCAACAGCTGGGTGGGCTGCCGCCGGAAAGGCTGTGGAGAGGATGGCTGGGGCTGCTCAGCAGAGTGGCGTGGAGTACGTCACGGGGGAGACAAGGGGATATGTGCGCGAATTGATATTGAATGAGATCACACAAGAGTGCAAAGGAGTTGTCACTGCGGATGGCACGAAATATGAAGCGGACCTGGTGATTTTAGCTGCAGGAGCATGGTCACCTTCGTTGCTAGACACGAAGGGCCAATTGATTGCCAAGGGTCACAGTGTCGCTCATATCCAACTCACTCCCGCGGAAACCCAACACTATGCCGCGATGCCCATAATGGATAACCTCGAGTTAGGGTACTTCTTTCCGCCACAAGAAGATGGAATATTCAAAATGGCACACAGCCAATTCATCACCAACGTGCAAACCACGAAGAGTGGAATTACGACCTCGGTCCCGCACACGTTTATCCAGACACCCGAAGACGGACTTCCTCTTGAGATTGAAGCAAAGATGCGTCAGAACCTACGGCGTGTGCTGCCTGAGCTCGCAGACCGACCCTTCTGCTATACGCGTCTTTGCTGGGACACCGACACAGCTGATCGGCATTTCCTTGTTGGCCCTCACCCCGCCTACAAGCGACTGTTTTTGGCGACAGGAGGCTCGGCCCATGGCTTCAAATTCCTTCCGGTGGTTGGAAAATACGTGACCGACATGCTTGAAGGTACTTTGGACCCGGAAATTGTACGTCAATGGCAATGGAGGGCTGGCCAGGATATTAAGGGTAAGAACCTCGCACACCTTGATCCAGAAATGGAGTTGGCAGATCTTACGGGGTGGAAGGGTAGACATATCCGTGAAAGAGATCATGCTTGCAAGCTGTGATATATCCAAACCAAGAGACAAGCAATCAAACATATATTTTGGAGGTAAATATACAATCAGACTGACTCAATTTAAAATTATAAACGAGAAAGATAGACAAGGTCTCATCCCCATAAGAGCCTAAGTCAAGCTGAGCTTCCACCCACCCAGCACAACCATTGCGTGCTCCCAAGACAATCGAGTCCCTTGTGAGCGGTCACTCTGCTTCTGTTGATTACTGCTCTTTCGGCGTTTCCTTTCATCTTGAGAGGAGAGATCCTGCTGTCGCCAAACCATTTCGACAACTTCAACAGCAGGGGCGATGTTCTAAGCAAATGAATGGTGTTAGTCCCCAGAGACCAAGGAGAGACAGGTATCAGCAAATACAACAGACATACCCCAAAGCGACGAATACTTTCCACTTCCTGAAACAGTTGCAGCACAACAACTCTTTCCTCTTCCCCGCGAGCACAGCACCCCGCTAAGAACAGTGGCCACAGTGGCAGAACTGCTGTACGCATCATGTTCGCTTTCTTTTCCAGGATCAGCCCCAAAATCTTTCCAATGTAGACGTCTTTTTCCTCGGGATTCAATGAGGGAATGACGGAATTATTAGACTTGGAAGAACCGGATTTGGTTGAGCATATTTCATACAACAGAAGCACGGCCCCGAGTCTGTTTGCTTCCGCAATCGCACCACACTCCGTGTTGGAATGAAGAAGCTCTGTAGGTTGCCTTTGTTGGAGGTTATCTAGCTTTGCTTTTAATTGGTAAACATCCTTCCGACTCATTTTATCGTTATCTTCGCGAGCCCACGCCAAACCGGCCACTTGATCAATTAACAATAGAAGTGCGGGGCTGAGTCCCATGTATGGATCAATAATGTCGGATGTTTCAAGTATGCTGCCCGGCAATACACGCGACGTATTTGGTGTGGAAGTGGTAACTCGAAAGGCTGTACGGGCGAGGACTAAGTGGAAGGCGAAGTAACGGTTAAAGAAATTTGTCAGTTCCTGGCTATGACAAGAGCGCCCGGGATGTTCCTTTCGCTTGCGGATCAAGTTCTGGAATCCGTCGAGATGAGTGACCCATGAAGGACGACTGCCATCTGATATCTGTTACAGGTCAGTATAAGCATCGTCAAAGCAAAAGAGAAAAGAGAAGCAGTCCTCACATCGAACCAGCATAGCATCAGAACCAACCCCAGCATTTCATCCATTTCTCTTTCCAGCCAGGTATCTTGATTCAAAAGGACGCGCAGATAGTTGAGAGCTTGGTGGTGATGCTCTAAAGCAGGCAGGCGATAGCGTTGATCCGACAGATTGAGGGTATTAGCTGCGATGGCTAAGGCAGCATGATACAGGCCCTCGGAATGCAAAGCCATGGGAAGTATAAGATATCGATAAGGGTTGCAATGGGCGTTATCGACGAGGGTAGCACTACTGCAGATGATGTGTTCAAAATATGTCAAGAGAGTGGAATCGGAATCTGATCGTCGGACCAAGGGAAATGCCTTCAGCCTGGGAAGCAAGGAACTATCCCGAGAAAATGCCTCGGGATAATTCCTATTAGAATGGACACCATTGAAATGGATCTCGAGATCGATCATAGTAGTGTTCAGAAACATCCAGCGTCGATCTGTATCGTCTGCACGTTCCCGCTGCCGTAATAATGTAGTTCTAAGGCTTGCCTTCCGCTGAGGGTAATCCTCGTTCTTGTTCTGTTCGTCATCTCTTCGCTTGGACCAGACTCCTGATCGCCCATGGCAAACCCCTCGAGCCAATGACTCTTCAAGCCAGACCAGACGGATTCCGTACCCGCATGGGGCGTTTATGCGAGTACAACGGCGGCAAATTGGGTGAACTTCTAAATCAGTCAATAAATTTGAATTAGAGCTATGTTCCTGCAGCAAAGCGACAAAAAATTAGAATGTTACCGTCACATTTGATGCGTCGGGCACGACATGTCCAACAACCTGTACGAGCTCTTGAAATAGTAGTCATTGATCAATCAAGCGTTCTACCCCGCAGTGGAAGACAAGCCGTTGATTATATGCGAGTCAAGCTGATAAACGGCTATCGAGGCCAGTTTTCTATTCGTTCGTCGGTTTCTATCCACTTTTTTTAACTTCGGACATTCTACGCTGTACACGGTGGTGTAGGTTGTGGTATTTTGGCAGGGTGATGGCCAAGAAAGGACTAGTAAAAGCAGAAATCAACAATCAAAACAATATTTGCAGAATATTACGACGTCATTCCTTTTGTCATTGGCTGTAGAGTTGATACAGAATATTTCTTTGTGAAACTCGACAGAGCAGAGCTACTTGATCCTGGAAACCTCAAGTTCATCCTGCACCAATTGGTCAGATCTGAACAAAAATTTCGAATTGTATGAGCCACTTACCTCATAATCGCCGGGAATTATCAGCCCCTTGACGCTCCAACTTTCCATACCGATATGCTGCCGAACGTATTCACGGTACTGAGGAGCTCCAGGCCGAAGGACATTGTCAGCCACAACCATTGATCCTGGTCTCAAGAGAGAGAGGTTCTCGCAAACTTTGAGATCATCTATATAAAGATCCTCAACATGATCCAAGAACAAAAAGTCAATTGTTGTCAACTTCTTCTCTGCATGAAGTCTTTTTATCGAATCTGCAGCTGATCCCACCACCACCGTCACGATATCGCTCAAACCCGCTAGGTCGATGAAGTTCATGGCAATAGAAGCCATCAGAGGATCAAACTCCAAACTCCAGAATCTCAAGTCTTGTTTAGTCCCTCCATGGGCTCGACGCATAGCCTCCGCAAATAATATCGATGAATAGCCGACATATCCGCCCAGCTCAACCAAAACGGTCGGTTTCTCATCTTCTATTAATTTTTGAACCTTATCGCCTTTATCGGGGCCGATGTTGATTAAAAAGTCTTGCTGGGCGGCGAATTCGTCTATCACACGAAGAATGTTTGAAGGCGAGCCGCGGAGTTCATTTAAGTCCGGATGACTGTAAATGTGCTTGAGCAGAGCGATTTCGCGTCCATCGTGGGATTCGACATAATTCTCATCTTTGAATTTGTTTAGGGAGGGATATTTGGATGTGGTGCTGGCTGGCAAGGACATGATGATTGGTTTTTGACAAGATGACAATAGTCTTTTCTGGTTCTTGCCTTGGATATCGTTTTAAAAGAAAATCGAGTGAGAAAAGGAACGAGAAATAGGATTGAGGGGTAGAAAGGTATTTATAATCTGCCATTGAGGACACAGTTAGGGCACGATGAGCACATGGTCAGACCTAGCCCAATTTGGATCTAGGGTCACATCGAATAGATCGGGTCTCTTGAGGGTCACTCAGATGACCATAGAACTACCATTGTTTGTACTTTTGTTATAATGAGAATCCACGAGTGGGTGGTGGCATAATATCTAATCAAGGAAATTTAACACGCACCCATGCAAGATGAAAGGTTTCAATGTAAGCCCTCTCCGGCCACTTTCGAATCTAGAAGTGCAAGTGGATTTAATATTGACGAAAGGGGTTTATTGACATTAGGCTAGCGTCATCTATCTATACATAGTTGTCTACTCATTGCTTATTGTGAGAATGTTTCATCTTAGACCGAACGCCAAGAGAGCTTGACATGTTAAATTTCCGACTAAACCCCTAATCAGCCAAGAAACGACCCTTTTAATATGAAAAACAACGGAATAAAACATAATTATTGATTCTGTGCATGAATATTGGCTTGCCATTATGCAGTTCAAAGACATTGCGCAATAGCGGGGAGAATGAACATTTCACCCCGACACCTGTTTCTTATCATTGGAATATAAAGCACAGCATATTCTAATGCACATGGTATCGTGCACATAAGCAAGAGGCATTAGCAAACCACCTGCAGACATTCTCAGACCGGGGTCCTCGGTAAGTCCGAATCAGGTGAAAACACAGCGCTAGCAGCCTCTCTGCTCCACTTAGATAAACCTCCGACACCTGGACTTCTGGCCTTTCTCCACATTTTCCTTTCAACTTCATTATGGGGTTCAGTACTGTGACCGAATTTGACCAGGTAAATCGAAATCCCACGATGGGTTGAATCTCCCGCTTATATCTCGAAAGGCTTACCAAAGTGTCCAAAATTCATTTGCGGCCGGAACTACTAAAAGCAAGGAATGGAGGCGCCGTCAATTAAAACGCGCCTGGTGGATGGTCGAGGACAACAAAAAGCGCATATGCGACGCCCTCTACGCTGATCTTCACAAGCATTACCAAGAAGCCTACGCTGGCGATTGCAGTAATGTTCAAGGGGATATCTTACGCACACTTGAGAAATTGGATGAGTGGACTAAAGACGAGAGACCCTCAAGGTTCGATCCGCTGAATTTCGTGGGTAGAGCTACTGTTCGCAAGGAACCCCTCGGTGTTACTCTCATCATCGGCGCCTGGAATTACCCTTTTTCTCTCAGCATACTGCCAATGATAGCTGCGATCGCTGCTGGATGTGCCGTGATTCTCAAACCCTCGGATATGGCTAGTGCTTGTCAAGATTTACTAATGGAGATATTTCCCAAATATTTGGACAACGACGCTATTCGATGTATTTCTGCAGGGCCTCAAGAAATGGGATACATTCTTGAACACCGCTTCGATCACATCTTCTACACCGGATCCCCAAACGTTGCAAAAATTATTCATGCAGCAGCGGCAAAGCATCTCACGCCGGTCACTCTTGAACTAGGCGGCCAGTGTCCAGCCATCGTCGCAGAGTCGGCAAATCTCGATCTCACTGCGAAACATATCGCTGCTACCAAATTCATGAATGCCGGACAGGTTGGTTCTCAATCTTTGTTCTCCTACATCGAAAACCAGCTAATTTCGAATCAATGTAGATCTGCTTGAATGTGAATCATGTACTCGTGCACCCTGCCCTACGAGAGCGCCTTGTGATTGAGTTGAGTCGACACTTTGATACATTCCTCGGAGGCAGAGATATCCAACCTGACTATTCCACACACATCATCAATGAGCGGAACTTCGACCGTCTTGACAGTCTACTCCAGCGCACATCCGGGAAAATTGTGTATGGAGGCCAGCGCGATCGTCAGAGCCGGTACTTTGCAACAACGATCGTGACTGGAGTCAAGCCCGGTGACTCCCTTCTCTCGGAAGAGCTATTCGGACCCATTCTCCCCATCGTGGATGCAGATTTCGACACAGCCATCTCCTTCACTCGCAGCGGCGAGCACCCGCTCGCAATCTACGCATTTACCAGCGAAGAAACAGACAAGGCTCGCATTTTGAACGAAACACAGTCCGGAGGCGTGACCTTTAACGACTGCGGTCTCCATATTGCCGCCTGCGACGTGCCTTTCGGGGGAGTTGGAAATTCCGGGCAAGGTCGTTATCACGGCCCGCATGGCATTTTGACATTCTCTCATCTCCGTACCCACATCAACGCCTTGCCTGCTTGGATGGAACCCCTTATAAGTGGACGATACCCCCCATACTCAGTCGCAAAGGCCCATAAGATGAATCCGCCTGTTTCCCCACCGTTTGACCGAGATGGCAATGATAAAACTTCCGCTCGTTCCAAGTGGACATTTGGATTTGGTGTCCTTGCTCTATCCGCTTTGTTGGTGAATCGACAGGATCAGATTATTGCTCTAGGTTCGAAGTTGCTTCAGTAGTTTGCCGTTGAAGGTTTTTTCATGTTGTTGATTTTATATTTTCTCTTACTCTCTCATCTCTTGCATATGGAGGGGATTATAGATCAGATCAGCAGATTGAATTGTCGCATGCCGGTAACTAGCCTTTATGCCCCTATGATCTGGTCTAAGATAACAGGATCAATGTGATTCAATTGCTTGGTACCCTGTTGATTCTTATTTCGTGTATCGCATGTTTAATCAAAATGGTTATAGGGGGCAATAGTCTATGTGTCAATATCTAATTTTTTACATCCTCGCAGTCTGTAGAGCCAATAATCTCCTTCCAATCATCCAGCATCTCCTGCTCACGGGCGATACTTCCTCCTATAGCGGCCAAAGAATCCCGACCCAGAGCAAGTCGGCCCGGGAGACTCCGTCCCTCGCAGCGTCCTGTCTTGGTCAGAGCCTCAAAAATGACTTGCGCGCCCTTGACGGGGTCACCAGGCTGGTTGAGACTGTAGGCAGTGAGGGCATCACGAGTGGCTTGGGTGCCGGCTTTCAGCTCGGCGATGTGATTCTTCGCGGAGACCTTGTGGCCCTCGGTGAGGACGTTGGTACGGAAAAATCCTGGCTCAATGCAAGTCACATCGATGTTAAATGGTGCCATTTCATGCCTCAAAGACTCTGTGTAGAGAGCGACCGCAGCCTTGGTGGCGCAATACATTCCAGTAACAGGAAATCCGTTCCAGCCGCCGATGGAACCAAAACTGGCAACGACGCCAGATTTGCGAGAGCGCATTGAGGGGAGGGCTGCTCGAAGAACGCGCATGTGTGAGAAGACATTGACATCAAACTGGTCGATAATTTCTTCGTGGCTGGAATGATTTAGAGACTTGAACTGGACCGATTCTTTGGAAGTGGATGGACTTTACCTGCATTCCTCGATGCTTCCTTCCAGGATATACCCAACGCTGTTCACCAAGATGTCAATTGGGCCGACGGTTGACAGAACATCGTCGATGGCTGCTTTGACCTCGGCATCGCTTCCCTGTACATTCAGCTTCTTCGCGATGATCCCCAGAGACGCCAAATCCGCCAGTTTGGAGGGATCACGCGAAGTAGCGACCACAGTGTCTTTTTTGTTTGCAGCCGCAATAGCCAATTCACGGCCGAAGCCGGAAGAGCAGCCTGTGATGAACCAGATACGAGGCATATTGATGTGGAAGGTGGTGTGGTGAGAGAAGTGACTGAAGCTATAGGAATAAAGAGGGACCGAGTGTGTAACACGTAGATCAGTACACGGGGCCCAAGCAGGGATTTAAAGGACCATCGCACCCTTGAAACTACGGTAAGTCCGAATAATCTCACTCGTGTTTTCTTTGAGTCACTCGTGTTTGTTCTTGGCGTTGGGGCATCCAGGGCCCCATTCACCATTCCACACGCTTCACCGATTGCAATGTCAACGTCCACGTCGATCGCACCATAGAGAAAGATCCTAGATCCACTTCTCAAAGCGTCAAGCTTCTCTATGCTCTGGCCAGCAAGCAAACCGACAGTTGCAATCTCTCGGTGAAGCTATGCGTGCCACCCATCAGCAGATCGAATCCGCTCCAGCTGCCGGTGCATGGAGCAACTTTCAACAAAAACATGTGGGATTCACAATATTTGCCTGAGAAACATTATTAATCAGGCAGCGGATGCATCGCGAGTATCCCACATTAGCGGTCGATCTAATTGTATGCATACGCATGCAGCTCACACAAAGAAATTGAGGGCTAATCCATTTTCGCTCTAGGCAACGGAAATAGCACCTTTCCCTGATAGTCCTCTCGAGACCCAGACTCTAAATTATGTCGAGACCGTTCACCAGCTAGTTCAGTACCTGCGAGAGACGAAAACTGACGGCCGGCCATGGCGTCGCATCGCGAGTTCCTGCAGCAGTATCGTGGTATTCCCAGGCTCTATCGGCTCCACTGCCACATGCCCATAACACCACGCCAAGTGAATGAGGGCGTGCTAAAGGGTGGTATGCGCTGGGATTGGAGACGGTTGAGAATCGGACGTCTGGACGTGAGTTCCTTTATCTTCCTTTGATTGGAGCCTTGCTCCTAGATACTAACTTTTCTATAGTCGTTTATTTCGGACTCACCTTCGATATCAAGGAGGATATTGATCGTGTTCTCCCTGCTCATGACAAGTTTGTTCAGTCAATGCAAAAGCTTGCCGCTGATCAGAACTTATATGATCCTACTACCGGCGGGACAGAAATTGCCTCCGAAGTAGAGGCCCATAAACAGCGCTTCGGTCTCGAGTTCTACAGAAGTACCGATAATTATGTGCTCTAATACTGTCCTACTCTTGATCCTTCTAAGCTATCACGTAAAACACTGATGTTTCGGGCAACGAGTTTGTCTTTTGCTATTTCGCATATACAATTCCCGAGACCTTTAATGAGGTGCCTTTGTATTTCTCCAGGTGGTATTTCATTTGTTCAACTTGTATACCTCTCATTCCAAAATAAGTATGCTCCGTTGTCATCAATTCATATGAGAAAAAGCACGTCTTATTCGTCCTTCTTCCCTTCTTCCTTCTTCCCTTCTTCTTTCTTCCCTTCTTCGGACTGACTTTCTCCATCATCTGTGTCTGCCGGGGTGTGCGATAGCCAAAAGCGCGTAATAATACCACCCAAGAAGCGTTGATCCACCCATTTAACCAGGCCATAGAAGACCCATCCCCAGCCCCATAGAGACACACCCATCATGCTTGTGACCAATAACACGGGACCAAGAATCAACAGCGACAAAATAGCCCAGAGGAGTATCGAGACGGCAGCGAAGACGAATACGCCAGCTAAAAACACCAACAGAGGCACTCCGCAGCATATCATTTGACAAATGAGGAAGGTCGTAGCGGCGGGCCGTTTCAATGCAGCTTCATACATTGCAGCTTGACGGGGCGGAGGAAGTAACCAGGCAACTAGTTTTTGGACAAGGGACTCGAAGTAGTCGAAGGCTTGCGGGAAGAGCGTAGCGAACCAGGCTTTCATGTTGGACCATATGGATGAGAACGAGATGTTGTTGTCAACGCCTTGTCCTTTTGGTGGAGCATCGTCCGAAGGAAACTGGCCAGGGATAACGGGATCACTCAAATCTTTTGTCGTCTGGTTCAGTTTTTTCTTAGGTAGTTTTTTGACAACGCCGCTTTTTGTTGATCCGACTTGGTTGACAGGGAGTTGTCCGGCGGAACCGGTTACATTGTCGAGAGACATTGTAGCGAGAACTTTGCCGCTACGAGAGCAAATATTATAGACAAGAATAGAAATAGAAACAGAATCGATGTGAACAAAAATCACTTGAACAGATCAAGTTGAACAGATCAAGTTGATCTATATCAGATGCCATGACGTATGGGGCGTTTCACCAATCTGGTTCAGGTTATTCGCCGATATTAATTCTGCGTCACTTTTCTGCCAAACGGTCCGACAGTATCTTGTTCATCCTGACGCTGGTAAAACACTACATCAAAAGTTTTCACGGATTTGCACCCAAGACTATTTGGAAGCACAAATATCCAGGGTTTCGATTGCAAAGCCGTTTCAAGTGCATCTAGAAAGAGTTGATAATGTTCAAAAATCAAGTGGAATAACCATTTTATTATTTCATTTACGTATGAAGAACTGGGTATTCCTGAATAACGCTATGCTACGAATCATTGATCAGAAGTGCCTTCACGATCGTCAAACATCATGAAATCATCATCATTTACCTCCTCTCCTACAATCTTCTTCCAAGCCTCCTTGACGATGTCGAGGGTGTCATCTTCGAAGGCAAAGTCAAGGCTTGGGGGTGGGAAGAAGTAGAGGTCAGGACAAGAGTCCTCCTGTTTAAGGTACCACCGGGTCTCCCCATTACTGAGGAGACCGCGTTGGGTGTATCGACAAGACCAAAGCATGCGGGCAGAATGACCTTCAGCGGCAAGAAGTTTGTCTAATGCAGCTTCAAGGATTGATTGACCTTCGGGTCCGGCGAGGGCCACACTGCAATAGATTACACCTGTAACATCGAGTTAGCCGCTTGAACGACAGTATGTTGATGAACCAAAATAATGAGAGAGTGCTCGTGATCAGGTAGGAAAAATTTTCAACACAGCAAATTCAGGCAATGTAGATAAGTTTAAAAAAAAATCATCATGCGAGCAGGACGAGGGATGTGAACATGGAATACACAAGAAGGACTTACTCTGCTGAAGAGGACACTCGCCAGTGTCACTTGAATGGACCTGCAGGTATACAGGAGGTGCTTCAGGACTACCCAAGGTATGTCCCGGGAACATGAGAACTGCAGTTGCAGGCAAAGGAGCTCCTTCGACTGTACGAGGGAAAAGGGAAGGGAAAGTTCCCGACACAACACTGACCGAACGAGCCACTTCAATCAAGGGTCTTGAATCTTCCAAGGAATCCGGCGTTGAGTGAAACAAGAATTTAGACTGAATGTCGCCTTCATTGGCCAATGTAACCAAGAAGGGATGCTCAGAATATTCGGAGCTTGTGCGCCATTTGACATCATTCATCTGCGTATCCAGGGCATATACACCCCCTCCCACAGCGGAGGCACGGCAGGCAGCTTGCAGTATTTCGGGTGCGCCACCATACTTTGCAATCACAGCTCCAAACCCAGGGCCAAGATGCCCAATGGATGACAAATGCCGTTGAATTTTGGAAACTGCATAGCTGGCAGATGTATCCTGTTGAGAAAGCTGAGACAAAGATAGCGACAGCAGGGGATCGTGAAGCTCCTCTGGAACACTGAATTTGGAAACCAAGTAGTTTTTGAATGGCATGGACATGTCTTCAATTTCATCTGAGCCTTCTTCCTCACTGGATTTGGTGATGTGACGCAGTAGCCGCATGAGGGTTCTTTTTGACTTCATGCTTATATGAGAAGCAGCGAAGATGTCCTCCCGATTACCAGGGACCCGGTAGAGGACATTTTCCGCGCCGAGGTTGCAGCTCTCAGATTCAGGCTTCTCAGGTGCGTAAATCCACCAGCTGCCCACAGCCATAAATTCGAGCTGGCGAAAAACCTTGGATGATACGAGGGCTGACATTAGTGCGGAGCGAGCATGAAGGAAATACGGGGAGAGGGACAATGTGTAAGCTCGACTAGACGCAAGCTTTGGCGACTCTGGTTGCTCAGCAGAAACTGAAGAGTCCCCAGATTGTTGAAAAGTGGATATAGAGGCATCTTTAAATAATGAGTGGCTGCCTGATTGCACAAGTTTTGTTAGCCACGAGCAAGCGATAGGAGCGCAGATAAATCTCACCTTGATTAACTTCCTTGACCCATTCCTGGGCCTCATCAAGACTGAAGGCTGCATCTGGACCACCATAGTACTGGTTTGAGTCCAAGTGAAGAACCTTCTTTCCAGAGCGTGAGAGGGCCCTTTGGGAGAGTGTGAGTGCTTGACTCACATCCACCCTCAGAGAGATAACTCACAGTGCCAGGAGAGACTGACCAAAGCCAGTCCCATTGATCACCACATCCCACTTTGTATCTGACAGACTTTCCATCATGTGAAAAGCCAGGAAACTAGTTGAAGGTAAGTTCGAGTATTACAGTCAGATCCAATAACCAAAGCTCTCATAAATGTGAGTAGTTGGGTTCTTGATGGGACAGAAGCATATCTAGTCCCTCCAAGGGCTTCAATACTGAATCTACCCTGGACTTGAGGTTGGGGAGAAAGAGAAAGGAGAAGGAAAAAAAAATTCGGAGAAAAACGCGGATGTGGGCGCGCGAAGGCGGTCAGGTCCCCACTTTTGGCTAAGCTTCAATTGTTGATTTCGCGAGTTCACGAAAACATCAATTGATTCAAATGATATGATTATTTCATGCTCAATCAATGATTTATGATACAAGCAGATGGAATACAGTCTTCTTTCAACTTTTGTCTTGGAGTAAATGGGGTTCATCCTGGCCCTTCCTCCGACAATCCCGAGCTATACCGTCCTGTGTATATATTCAACTGCGATCTTTCTCAGTCATGGTTTCAATAGCCAAGTGAGAGTGGTCTTCTTCTTCTGTTTGGGCCCCTCCAGCTTCATCCAGCTTCACATTTTTCAGAAACAGCATCACTATAAGCATGAGTGAGAGCGAGATTAGCCCGGCAATCGCAAGTAACTTTTGAGACTCTCGGTAGCTTTGATTGATGGCTTCACGAGCCTCAGTGCCTATGGCGTATTTCCGAGCGACCACAATAGATCCAAATATCGACTTGGCCTGATCCTTCAGGTCACTAGGAAGGTATTGCTGCAATTTGTTTGGCAGAGTGTTGCGCCATATCGCCCCAGCAACACTACGCAACACCAGTCAGAACATACTACGTATCAACGAAGACGGTTAAACTGCTTACCTCGTTCCAATCGCACCTCCAACACTCATTGAGGCGAAGAATACTGCTGTGACAACAGAAACATCTTGTCGCGAGACCATTGCTTGCACTGATACCTGTGCGGCCGTTTGATAGAACCCACGGCCAACGCCAATCAGTGATTTGGCTACCACGAAGGATGCTTCATTTCCGCTCCGACCATCCCCCATGTCCACAAGGTAAACAAGCACGCCCATCCCTAGAACGCAGAGAGGAACGCCCGTCAGAACCCAGATCTGAGAGCGCTTGGTATACTTCATGAAGAAAGCGGCGAAGATGCCAGCAACCTGAAATGCCACTCGGAGAGAATTACTAAAATCATCATCAGTCCCGAAACGGGCAAAAAACGGCCAACAGGGCGGACAGGAAGGTCGTACTCAATTCTGGTTGCTGAACCTGCCGGAAAGTTACCCGCTACCTGCAAATAACTCGTGAAAAAGACACTGAATACCGAATAGTGAAAGAAATCTAAGGCACCAAGTAGACAGGCAGCTGCAACCGTGCGGTTGTTGATCATGCGATAAGGAACAAATGGCTTCTTCGCAAACCACGCATCCCAAACCAAGAAGGCAACCAAGAAAACCACACCTAGAACCAGCATGGCGACAAAAGACCCTTTGGTCCACGCGCCGCTATTATTGGAACCAGTCAAAGACAGGGGAATCAAAAGAAGAGATAAGCCGGCCACTAGGAGCACAGCTCCTGGTAAATCGAGTTGAAACCAGAGGAGCTTATGCACCTTTTCCCACCAGGTATCATCATTTTTCCAACCCAATGCCTCGGAAACAGACACCGGAGATGGGGCCCTGCGCTGATAAAAGAGCATGGTCCCAATCAATGGCAATGAGGCAACAGGCAACACAATTGCCCACATGCCCCATCCCCAGCGCCATGTAGAATGGTCAAGGATGCGTTGGGCAACAATGGTCCCAAGGTAAAGGGTAGGAATTGTAGTGAGAGAGTCAGGCAGTGTTGACCATATACCACGGTTGACTAAGGATGTCATATCCGCTACGAAAACTTGCTGTGTAAGGGCAAATCCAGTTGACCCAATGGCCTCGAATATCCCGGCAGCCTGTTAAAGGAAAAGATTAACATTTAAACACATTTCATGATTTGAGAAGCGAAAAGGCACAGACCATATACTGGGCAATATTTGTGCAAGCTGCATATATCACGTAGCCCAAAACCGACAGAGTGATGGATAATATGAACATTTCCGCTCTGCCAAAGACCTAGTATATATAATTAGTTGAAAGCCTTGAAAGCTTTGAATATACTGACATCTCCCAGCTTTGCAATGATTGGATAGGCAGAAATGCGCGCAATGTTCATAACCACCCGGGCTGCACTCATTGCAGAGTGTTGCTTGAAGGCACTTGTTGTGTATGCAGCATAAACTTGAGTTGAATAATCAGCAAAGTTGATTGCCAAGGTGCACAGAAACAACCTATCATGCAAAGTCAGTCGAAAATCCATATAATCAGCCACAGTGACGCACCCTGTGAAGACAACAATTAAACCTTGCTTGGTCCAACTCTTCCGAAGTACATCAGCCCTTTGGACTCCAGCTTGGACGCTGGAAAGTGTTGATTGCTTCTCCAAATTGTCATCATTGCAGTCAGCCTCGGCATGGCGGCCGTGGTTGACTGATGGGTTTATGTGAATTGCGACATCTACTTCCTGTTTATCCATAGCCGCTGTCATTATTAGAAAAATACCGTTCCCAAAAATGCGATATATTCAATAATGAACAATGAGCCCGTTGACCAAGTTATATAGCATGCCTACCGTTGTTTTTAAATCCTCGGGGGTGGAACGGCATAGGCGAAATCGGATTTTGCCGCACTACACGCAAGTCTTCTGTGAAGAAATTGTCAGTTATCATTGATATGAAGCGGTCCTCGCAAAATGGCACCTAATGCAGTTACTCGGCCCCACTACAGATTCCTATAACGTCCATGCATGGAAATATCGAACGGTGAATACTATACAAGATTAGGAAATATGGGGCAAGACTAAACTCAATCTTATCAATCAGAAGATGGAATCAGCGGCTTGTTTCCATTATGGGAAACTGATACGAGGGAGACGTGTCTCCCTCGTATCTGAACTGCCCTAGTGCCGAATCATAAACCTCCTGCCAAGATAGCCAAGGGCATGCCAAGACGTTTCGACGAGGTATTTGAGATAGATGGCCTCATTTCGGAATAAGATATAACCAGATTTAACAGACTTGGGTTTTGACCGTGTGGCATCTGACAGCACATTATTGCTCCCCCCACTCGCACAGGCCTATGAGCAGCAGTGTTAGAGGATTTCAAAAAGTCGGTCCTTCCAATTACGGTGCGTAATGAAGCTGCTTAAAGCACAGTACTTGACGTCGCACCTTTCTTTTATTTCTACCGGATGTATCTTTCTATATCATCTCTGTCAAACCCACAAGCCAGCTCGGCATCTGGCTCATAATGACCCAGTGTCCATGATCCTGCGTCCTCAAACAGTCCAAAATTTGGGCAGATATTCCTTTTCAATTTGAAATGTGCTCTGACAACTTGGAAAACAGGGAGAGCCAGTGGACTATTGAGCTGATAAACGGCTATGTCAACAACATGGCGACATGGCTCGCCGTGAACAAGCAGGATGAGAAGTATCTGATTCAAGTTTCTTGGCCACTGGAATGGTCATCTACCGGAGAACAACCAGTCGGAGACGACAAGGCCAATGCAATGTAAGCGAGAAAGACACTGAGAATAGCCTGCAGGTCTAACATCTCCAAAGATACGTCGTGGATGGCAATGCAATGATTCTTTCAGCCACAGACATTGTGCGGAGACGACGAGTGCGTTACTCCAATGAGATATCAACAATAATAATCGGGATATCCTACCCGTTGACCAAATCTGTGTTTAGCCCTCGTCGGAGCCATGATTTCACCCCTCCCTGTGAGAGATACGACTCGCTTGACAGTCCAAACGGCCAGGCTCAAACTCAACAGTTTGGAGGTGCAGATGATTTCCTCGATTTTGTAACAAACACGGTACACCCCTTTGTGTTCTCCACCATATTTCCACAAATATCAGTCCATGAGACTGCTTTGTTTGGACATTCTTTTGGGGCACTCTTCGCCCTCCATGCACTTTATACAGCGCCTGCGAGCTTCAACGCGTATCTTGCGGCGAGTCCGTCGATTTGGTGGAATAACGGATTTATCCTGCAAGAGGAAAATGAATTCTACCGCAATACAACATCCAGTCATAAACCAAAAGTGTGGCTAGCCTATGGGTCTCTTGAGCAATCCCCCAAACGTCAAAAGAACCAGACAGAGGCAGAATATGAAAAACGATTGGCCGTGGCAAAGGAGAGACTAATGGGTGACAATTGTGACCATATGTTTAGTCGACTCGTACAAAGTGAACAGCTACAATCGGTCATCAGGAGGAGGTACGAAGATGAGGACCACGGGAGTGTGATTGCAGGGGCATTGAGTGGAGCCATTTTCTATTTCCTTGATCAAAGTGATGATAAGTGAGCAATTGGTTTACCTAGTTAGCTGTAGATATCTCATAAGAACTTGACCAATGGATCTGCAACTTCGCTAGCTAGGAACAAGCAACATTGGAAGTATTTCAAGTGATGTAGAAAATCCGTCACTGCCTCAGGCCTGACTCCTGCCTCAGGCTAGATTGATTACTAAGCAGTTCCAAAAGTGGTTAGACTAGCCACTTTATGAACTGAAATTTCGACGAACCACTTTTTCTTTTCTCATACCACTCCCAGTGTTTTGCACAGAACGGGTTACTATACAATGGTAACCTGGTCTTTATAGACGCGGGCCTTCACTGGACTTCGTTATGGGAGTGGTAGATAAGATTTCTTGTCACTCTGTATCTGCTGCTCTTGATGGAGACATTTGATGGAAGCGGTTCGTTTTGTAGTGATACATTCATTATCTCATTATTAGCTTGCCTTGTTACTTTGGCATACTGTAGTCTCTATAAATCTGGGATTTATATCAGTCGGGATAGAGCAATTGGCCGATTTGCTACCTCGACTCAACCTTGGTTGTCGGGCGCGCCAAATGTTGTGTCTGCGATCCGTCGCATGTAATGTCTTGGGAGAGACTGGGTGTGTGTTCACACTGTAACTTTGTGGAATCAACGGAATCAACAAGAACAGGCGAGCCTCACTCCTGTGTCCCCTCCTCAACCACTCGAGCCCGAATAATCTTCAACTCGTCAACTGGTTTATCCTCCGAATTGGTTTTGACTAGTCCCATGCGCTGGATGATTCTCATGCCGCTCTTGACTCGGCCGAAGATGGTGTGTTTTCCATCCAACCAGGGTGTTGGAGCAAGGGTCACAAAAAATTGACTGCCGTTGGTGTTGGGTCCACTGTTCGCCATGCTGAGAATTCCAGCACCTGTGTGTTTCAGTTCTCCGCGAATCTCATCCTCGAATTTCTCGCCGTAGATGGAGCTTCCTCCTCGACCGGTGCCGGTGGGATCACCAGTTTGAACCATGAAGTTAGGGATGATACGGTGGAAAATCACATCGTTGTAGTATCCTCGTTCGGCGAGTGTCGAAAAATTCTTGCATGTCTGTAGGGCAATGCGTCAAAAAGTATTCTCTTGAAGCTATGCGGGGGTGTTCATACCTTAGGCGCGTGGGTATTGTAGAGCTCCACGGAGAAGGAGCCCTGTAGGTTGTTAGTAGCTGGTAATAATAAAATTTGAAGTACACCGTACCATAGAGGTATCAAAAGCCACCTCGGTCACCATGATGAAGAAGTTGTAGATTGTTAAGAAAAGAAGTCGTGAGTTTGAAATTAGAAAGGCGGGATCGGCCAAGGTGGAGCTTGGCGCCGCATCTTTTAAAGAATCTCCCCAAGACAACTCCCCCAAACAGTCCGGCTCAATGACCATGATGGTCTAATTTGTTCTTTCTTTTCTATCGAATTGACCCAATTGTCATTTATACCGCATTAACAGTACTTACGATCCAATTACTGAGTCTATTATGGCCGATGTCAGCCCTGTCGCGGAGCTGTTGGGGCAAGCTTTCTACCACTTCGACCGCATGAGGCCACTTTTGCCAACATATGGACACCTACTCGTTTCCGCTCTTTTTCCAATTTGGATAGGTGCCCATGCATCTTTGACGCGGCCCTCATCTGCCGCAAAGCCTCCCAAGAAAGACGACCAGCAGGTTAAGGATGAATGCGACACAGATGAAGAAGAAGAGGGATATGGACCCTTACAGAAGATGGAAGGACTTGAACCTTCAGATGCTCTGATGTTCCCGTTGACTGCAGGTCTCACACTCGGTGGACTATATTTGGTCATCAAATGGTTGGAAGACCCAGCTATCTTGAACAAGATCCTCAGCTTCTACTTCTCCCAAATGGGCCTCTTTTTTGCGTTTGCTTTCATCAAGGACGTGCTTTTGATGATTCGGTCTTTCATCTTTCCTAGGTATTACCGTGAAGGTGGGAACTTGTGGAAAGTCATACGCTTTGAGCGTCGTTTTATTGCCTCTGATAAGAGCAATCCGACCAAGCCATCCTCCGTTCGGAATTCACCATTACCTGGGGCTTGGGGCCGAATTCCACTTCCGGTAATGATATCAGGGCTGCTTTGGACATTCAGAAATGCTCTATACCAGCGGCTCAAGGTACGAGCTCACGTGCGTGGTTTGTTTGACATCAAATGCCTCGTTGGTCTCGTCGATATTCTCAGTGGGATCTTCGCCCTCTCTACTGTAGCCTACTTCGCATTTGTGGCCAAGCCATGGTGGTTAACCAATTTTCTTGGTTTCTGTTTCTGCTATGGCACCCTGCAATTCATGTCTCCCTCCACCTTCTGGACGGGAACCCTCATTCTGGGATCCTTGTTCTTTTATGACATCTATTTCGTCTTCTTTACGCCACTGATGGTTACCGTTGCAACTAAACTAGATGTGCCGATCAAGCTTCTTTTCCCCCGTCCGCCAAGTCCCCGTGATGCACCAGGTGCCACGTCACTGGCGATGCTCGGACTGGGTGACATCGTTATTCCAGGAATGATGATTGGATTGGCACTTCGTTTCGATCTTTTCCTCTATTATCACCGCAAAGGTGCCAACAGGGCATGGACTGGAGAGTCGGATCAAAAAAATCTGAAACCCGAGTATCAATCGGCAACTGGCGCTTGGGGAGAAAGGTTCTGGGCCCCATCCACCGCGCCGCCGTATGAGGAAGTCAAGCCTCCTTACCACGATGCTCGGAAATTCCCAAAGATATACTTCAAGGCTAGTCTGGTCGGTTATGTCGTGGGAATGGTCACCACCCTTCTCGCAATGCAATATTCGAACCATGCCCAACCTGCTCTTCTATATTTGGTCCCTGGTGTTTTAACATCGATTTGGGGCACCGCACTAGCTCGAGGTGAGGTCGCCACAATGTGGGAATTTTCTGATGCCGAGGAGGTAGAAGAGGAAGAGAAGGAGACCGAGAAGGATGAATATAAAAAGGACAAGCCTGTTCAAGGCCAAAAGAGCCTTTTTATGCGCATATTCTCTGGCGAGTATGCGCGTACGTCAAACAAAGAAGGTGAAACCGACGCCCAGAAGCTCGACGAGGGCAAGGCCGAGGATTCGGGGTCTGTTTCAAATTCACGCGAGCAGGGCGAACGTGACACCGAGACAAACAAAGGCAAAAAAGGCGATGACAGCTTCGACTTGATCTCCTTTTCCGTTTCATTTCCTAGCCGACCCAAGAGTGGAATCAATGTCCGCTCCAATGACACCTCCACAAAGGAAGACCAGCAAGAGGTATCAGGTTCCAGCGACATTGGCGGGGATAACGAGCCACCCCTGAAGAGAAGGCGACGGAGTGTGATGAACAAACAGTAAACAGAATATCATGTCAGGATCGGCCATGTCAGTTGAGTCAAATTGATGGTTTTATGTATTGTGAAATGACACCTAGCGTTACAATATCTGTTACGATGAATTGAATTTTAAATCAGAAACTAAATTGACAAGAAACATGTGTGGTGGTATCATTCATTTGTATTGCATATCAATTAGATCAACATTGATCCAGTATCCGCTTCATCTCATCCCATCTCTGAGCGGAAACATCCACAAGCTGACGCAGATCATCACTGTCCACTGCCCAACCACCGTGCTTCTCCATCTTCACAATCACCGTCTTCCCATTATCTTTATCAACAACAACACAAGCTCGCTCTTGGCTCAATCCCTCCTCGTACCCATCCGGGTCTGCTAAGATCCACCTTTGCTGAGAGCCACTCTTCTTCTGCTTCTGCGCCTTCAGCTCCTCAGCATCAGGAACGACAACCGATCTCCAACCAGCAGCGGCATCAGCCTCAAAGGAACAGAAAGAGCTAGCAATAGGCAAGCCACGCAGAGACAACTTCCGCGCATCAGCAACATTGTCCGAACACAAGACTGTCTCGTTATCAGCATCCCACCAAGCCTTCGGGAGCTTCGTATCGCGCAAAGCAGCCAAGACAGAAGCCCAAGCCGCATCGAATGGATTTCCAGCCAATGAAATAATCATGACATCAATGTAAAGCACCCAAAATGCCTTAATCTCGCGTTCTGGTCCCCCGCTCTGTTCTGTGTCCACATCCATGTGTTCGTCCTCGTTGCGGAACTCTTGCGATTCCAAATTGGGCGGCTGATACCAGATGCGCAAGTCGTCCGCTTGTACGAGACGGGTGCTGTGCAAGAGAGAGAGAATTTGGTGAGAGAGCGACTGCGCCAAAACACTAGGCGGTGCACCGGGTGTAAAGCCTGGCGCGCATCCAGTGCTCAAAGAGAGATTGGGAACAAGTAGGTTCAAATCCTGAACGTGGAAGCAATCTTTCTCATCTTCGGTCCTAGAGTCTCCTTGGTCGGTTGAGTTGTCGGCATTCTCTTCTGAAGAGGCCTTTGACACGCTCCAAGAAGCGATATCTTCTGTATGTAAAAGCTCGGCGCGGACACCGCAGACAGCGGCCGTATCACCGATCCGTACAACCGCACTTCCATTTGTGTGAGTTAAAGAGCCGGAATTGGCAGACGTAACGCGGAATTGGGATGCCGCACGGCCATTGGCGCGGATCGAGGGCTGATTGCTCGCCGCTGGTGGGGAGAGATGGGCGAGAAGGTAGGCGTGGGGTTGGAGGCGGGCGAATTGGGATGGAGGGAGGGATAGTGATGGAGGTGCCGTAATTGGGGCAGCTGTTGAGGAAGCCATGGCTAAATAGAGTCAGGCTTCTTATTGCCAAAAGCCTGATGTGGAAATTATTGAAGATGCAGAAAAAGCCGACGATATAAAATGGCAGAATAAGTTCCTATCAAAGGCGGTAGCAGCTTCGCTCTTTTTCAGTGCCTTAACGCCTCACGAACCACACAACATACGTCAAGATTTCTCTTCTTTTTCCTTCTGGCATATCATTACCTCCAATGCTCATTTAAACTCATGTGGTGAGCTACTGGCTATAATCGGCCACTTTTGTCCTTTTTTTCAAAGATCTAAAAGGATCTTAGATTACTATACACAGTGCGGAGTAAGGACAGGTACAGATCGGTAGAGAGCCTAAATCAATTAGGTAACCTTTATTTACATAAGATATAATTGTTCCCTAATCTCCTTCGACTATAATACCTGTGGGATACTCGATCCACATAACACGAGATCGGTTTCAAGACAGCACGGATGGTTATCATTTACCCCCGTGTACTATAAAGACAAGGGCAACACAGCCCAAGAGGACTATAAGAGCAATGGAACCCACCTGGCAATCTTTCTGGTAGTCGAAAATTCTGAATGCGGTATTGGGCCTTCCCTCTTTGATAAAGATAACTAGTATTTATCCCAGCTGGCCTCCCACGAATCCTTGGAGGCCTCGATTGAGACATCTTCAATCGCAATGCAGGTTAGTTGAACTTTTATTAATTGGTTGATTGATACCGCCCAATATATTCACACCTGGGCTGCTCTGGTCAGATTACCAAGTAATTTCGTTTGTGTCAGTTGGTTTCGTTTATATTGACGGCGGGTTCTGAAGCACTGATACCAAACAGACTACCGCGTTCCGCATAACAATCGGTTAAGGACTTGTCCAAGCAGACGGTGTCTATGAGGATCGTGCTTGCCCCACTAGCACTGGGATATAAATCTACTGCCTGTTTGTTTGATCCCAGCTCAAGTGATACGGCATGCTACAGGCCATCTAGGTCATATGTTTGATGAAAACACTCAAGATGATGACATAGACAATGGTAATTTCAGGCGCTAAGCATAGTACCCGTAGAAGGTACCTAGCAAATCAGTAACTGTTCTTCTGTGCGCCAATCAAATATGTTAGAACATTCTGCAACAAGATAGCCAACAGCCCTAGCCTAAGGTGATGAGTCGCGTGCAATAGTGAAACGCCTGGGGGTTTCGTACGGAATGGGGGCGATATCTTTGCATACGATCCGTTGATTTTACTGACCAGTTAAGCACTTTCTCACACCAGACCCCTGTAAAAGGTGATCAAGGATGTTTTACTTCATGAGAGATAATTATGAAATGTTGGCACGATATCACACCCAGGCTAGAAATTGTGACTATCAAGACAAGACAAACAATATAAATAAGATAGAGATATAGTACACCCACATAAGGAATCAACACTCAACACACCGCAGGCCATCATAACAATCACAAGCTTTCCTTGTGAATTGCTTGTCTATGCGCTTTCATGTTCTCGCGTCGACTTGTAGCATGATTACACCAAGGGCACTTGAACGATCGTGGATTGACATGCTGCATCTCGATATGCCGCATTAGAACTCCTTTGCGCGAGAACATACGGTCATAGCGGCAGCCTTTCCATTCACATTTAAAGTTGCCATAATCGGCATCGCTATATAAGACATGGTTAGAGCGCGATTATTAGCTGAGACAAAGCAACATGAAGAATACATACTTCTTGCTCTTGCTCGACATATGACGAGAACCGCGGGGAGTTTTGCATGCAGTAATACAAGGGTCATCAAGGCAACCTGGTTGAGCTGATGAGCTCTTCTGGGGAGGAACCGCTGCGAGATTAGCCCATGGGCTAGTATACCCAAGCTCGTGGGAGCTTGGAGGGGAAATGACAGCGTCATTGCGTTGGGTAAAAAAGAGCTCGAGACCATTCTCCTTTGCACACCCATTGGTACTCATTTGGTCCGAGTAAACCAAGCCAGAAGAGAATGCACTTCCAAGAGAGTCCGGTGTTGAGGGAAGTTGCGAAGTATGGCTGTATGAAGTAGCTGTGGATGATCTTCTCGTGGTCGGTGGTTCGGGTGAGGGGGAGGTATATAGGCCTTGGGGTTGTTTGAAGAGACCTGTTTCCCAATTCTCCAGATCAATGGTAGAACAGAAATGCCCGGTTTCTAAACTTTGAAAGTTGTCATCCTGGATGTGTGTTGGCCACGCCATTATGTAGATACACCGTGATTGGAGAGCGTTAAAAGATGAGCAAATGTACAGCGAGCAGTTGTGAATATACAAGCAGGAGGAATGCAAGCCTTAATTCACTCAAGGATAGTTCAAGTATTTATAAACCAGTACGACTGAAGGCAGTTGAGGGGCTATTTCCAGCAACGAAATGAAAGCAACTAGACCTGAAAACTCGCATAAACAGACCAACGCCAGGGCCATACTTTGATGAGCCACTCTCCACAATCTGAGAGTCCGATCACCAGTGGATCTTCTTGGGTGATATCTGGCGCGAGGGTTCATATCGACAAGCTGAGTATTAGGTACGGGTGTAGTACTAAATCAACGTTTTGGGCTAGCCAACCAAAACGGCAGAAAATAGCAGATATGCTCAGATATGCTGTCTTATCGTCCAGTATTCAAGCCAATACCGACAAAAACTATCTAAAAGCGAGGTAGAGGGAAGGCCATGGGGTATTTCCCAATGCCATGGACCTGGGCGCGGGAATGCGATCATCATCCCCGAGAGGAACACCCGTTTCATCAGGCCACATGGGGCATATACGACACGTCATGTGGTTTGTCTAGTCAAACATTTGTTTGAGTGGCTAGAAACATCACTAAAAATACGAGAGATCGGCGTTGTCATCGCGAATCTCCCTTTCTCCTATCCTTTGCGGGATGGACATAGACCCGCATTCTCAACGGACAACTCGAGTATAACCAATGAATGTTGCACTCATATCGCGATTGAGGCGTGAAGTGGGTCTTGGAATTGCCGGGGCCGTCAAAGCTGCAAATCACTATATGGAGTTAAATTGTACTGTATGCCTATTGCGGGCATAGTACGTTAGGTGGTTCGAAGATCACTTCAGCCTTCCCTATTGTTTCCTTGTTAGGTATAGTGCGTATGTCAATTCTTAGCGAAGCGAAATTCGGCATTTCTCGATTGTCTAATTAAGCCCTGGAGGGTCCTCAGGAACTGGTAGGGTTTGAACATTTATTCGCATATACTTGTATCCTGTCCCTGCACCCTCTCCCTATGAAAAACACGTTTCCTTATGACCTTAATCTGACAAAAGCTATAACAGATATGGCCTGCAAATGGAAAATTCCCACAGGCTGCACCTAATGTCTCATAAATCAGAACCTAGCAAAATCGAAGCATAATTAGATACATGGTACTAATGTAAACATTTACGATCGGTTGCATACATATGTAGCCAGAAAACCCTATTTGGAATATTTCCCAAATTGGAATACTTCCTGATACGGAATCTATGCAAAATTAATACAAAAGTAATAACAATAAAACTAGCGTGTGTGGCACTTTACCTTTTCGATCCGAAAGTATTTAAAGGAATGGTTGATAGCTGCTTTGTCGGTCAGCCACTGCCGAAGAATTTACTTCTCTTAATTCTCCGATCTTCATTACAAGAAACAGCTTTGAAGTTATACCAGACATGCTACTCCGTAGACATGCCAGATATACTAGAAAGCACAACACTAGTGTCACCAAAGGCGGTGACTATGTATTTACTAGTTCGAGGTTCAACGCAAACGAGAGGACCGAGCGGGGTTTCAAGGGGAAATTTTTTCTCTTCAATCTCCCAGAACTGTTTGCGATTACCTGCACGAAATTCCCACCCGGGAAGTTCTAGCTACCCATGTCTAGTCAATCTTCTTCACGGGTTCCACAAGCCAAGTTCGCTCGAGAAAATTTAGTCATCCGACCGCAAAAAGAGTTCCTATGGGTGGATTACAAGGAAAATCAATCCAAGGCTCGCGACTTAGTCCGATCGAAGCAGGCCTTTGTAAGGACTCGTCATCATCGACTGCGAAGAGAGAAACAGGTGCAATCCACCGCCCGTGTTGTTGATGTCTCACGCCATCCAAAGAGTGAGAGCGATGAGGATGACCTTCCGACTGAGCGGGCCCCGATACTAGCCTCCTCCCCACAGGCAGGAATTCTCGACGGGAGCCCGTCTCTAGCCATTAGCACAAATCACAACCCCAATATTTACTTCCACCATTGTGAGTACATATCGCATCAGACCTTGGACTTCCCTATTGTGGCCCAAAGCCTGCGTCACTTTCTATTGGTGGGCCCGTAGTTAATAAGTCAATTAGACCGCATCCATAGCTCAAGAGCATGTTTCCCTCTTTGCCACAAAGATGTGACGGTTTGGTTTTGGAAAAAAGCAGTCGAAGATCCTACTTTGATGCAAATAAAGTTGGCAATCAGTGCAGCTCATAGAGCTGCCATTTTAATGGCCTCCGGTGCTTCTATGGCAGCCGTGCAGAAGCCTGCCCAAGATGCGCTTCGATTTCGCGGCGAAACAATAAAATCTCTCCGTTATACACTGCAAAATGCATCCACGATGTGCTGTGAGCAAACCGTGTTTATCATTGCTCATATTATTGTTTCAGAGGTAGGTGCCATCCTTTTTCAAAGCAATTGGGCAATCTTTCCAGTTTTGAAGGGACTTGACGAGAGAAGATGAAATTTGGCTCACCAAAAGTGAACATTAGGCTTTGGACGCCAATGTAGAAGCCGCCGAGATGCATATGGACGCCATGAAAAAAATAATTGCCGCTACAGGTGGGATGGAAAGTTTTTCACATGGAACACTTGCTATGCTCTATTGGTATGATCTACGATTCACGGTAATTGAGACTTTTACTGATTCATCACTACAGCTGTGAATTTTTACGAGGCATAATGGGCAACTCACTACCTAAACTCGACATGTGCGCAAAATTCCAGTCAAGAGTCCTTAAAGAATCCGCTTTTTTCAAAGCGAACAACCATTTTATGCAAACCTCCACTCTCGGCACTCGGTTTTTCAGTGCTTCGTGGTCCACGGAGATTCACCCCGTATTCAAGTCAATCATTACCTCCTACCAACAGCTCATCTCTTATTATGAAAGTTTCAACGACGTTGACGTGGAGCCAATGTCGGTTGAAAATGATTGCTTGCTATTTTTGAGTTACCGATTATTGTCACTGCCTCATCATTGCCCACTTACTCCCTTTGAGGAAACCTTGCGCCTTTCAATCATGACCTATTCGTGTGTTCGAATTTGGAACCTATACGGAATTCCCTGCTTGGGACGTCTCGTTGAGATGCTTCGGAAAAGTCTGTTTAACAGTTTCTATGTTTTCCAAAGTACCGCACCTGACCTACTGTTCTGGGTTCTTTTTATGGGCAGTCTTGCGTCTAGGGGAACCAAATCCAGTCCATGGTTCCTAGTACATCTCACCGATGTTGCAGAACAATTGGGATTGAAGGATTGGGCCAGTGCGGCTTCATTATTAGAAAGCTTCTTATTTGTGTCTCGGCATAGTGATGAGCCGGCGAAAGATTTATGGTACTCAAACTTTTGAGTCGAACGAGGTGAATTGTGAATATTGTGAAATATACCAGACAGCTCTAATTATAACAAATACCAACCGGCAATATCAACCGGACCTTGCATCCATAGTTCAACTATTTTTGGACATTCGACCTGAATAGCAATTGTGACAATCATATTCTGACCGATTACCTTCTGTTCTGCATCTTCTCCACCACGCTAATGCGGGCCGGTCACCCCCAGTCACTTTGTTGCTGATACCGCTATTTTTGATTGGACCTCAAAGCGCTAACCCATCACACATCACTAGCATTATCTCTCTGCACCAACATCCGACCGCTACATTATGAGAAGACGCTTAGAAATTCAGAACTCGGTCTATAACGAAAGCCTTTTATTGGTCGAATACTAGACTAGCCCTGATGTTCTATTGTTGGACTTATCCTGTATCCTGTCACGCCGAGCCAAACCTGTGTGACTCTCCCCGCTTCGATTTTGCATACATCTAGACTGAACTTCCCCCGAATATAGCCTTTTCGCTTTGTTTAACCCTCGTGACCTCAAACATTTTAACAGAACTCCAAAATTATGAGCTTGGTTCGACCATACTAATAGAGGAGAACTCTTGTTATGCGCATATACACGCAGTAAGCTTTTGTATATGAACCCTTATTTTATTGAGTTGAAATTAACCAACTTCAATTGCAGAAGATAAAACTCGTCGAGTACTCCTTGTTGCTGGCCAACAAAATGTTGAACTCCATCGTTTCTCTCGCCAAGCGCATTAAGGTCCCGGTCACAGCATCGACAACTGCGGCCGAGGCAGCTGAAATGCAACGGGACCCGTGGTCCAAATCAGCAAAATATGGAGTAGGATTTGTTTACTTTGCAGTCGTCCTGCTCATAATCACGACCTTCATTCGATGCTGGCATAAATGGGGCGACAAAATGCGGATTGCTCTGTATAAAGAAAGCCGACCCGAAATATTTCGCGACGACTCAGTGCCAGACGAGTACGAGCTCCCGAGTGCAGGCACCGATGCGTCAAATGCCCATTTCTTTCCAACGCCAACCGCTATATCGCAGCCGAAAAGACAAGAGTCCGTTGTCGCAAAGTTAGTTCCCTTGAACAAGGCAATTGCAGTGATGCGATGGATCTTCTATCGACCAATTCCCACCTTGAAGATCGGCAAGTTGGAGGTCGTCTTCCCGTCTCTGGCAGTCACAATGATTGTATTGGTTGCCATGATTTTCGTCACATTGTACTGTTTTGTACCTCAACCCTTATATTACTGGTCCATAGCTCTCGGGTCTCCGCCACTAGCTATTCGAGCGGGCATGCTTGCAGTAGCTATGATTCCTTGGATTGTCGCTCTCAGCACCAAGGCAAACTTCATCACTTTGATGACTGGCTTGAGTCCCGAGCGGTTGAACGGACTACATCGATGGTCAGCGTACATTTGTCTCTTCCTCAGTTTGGTGCATATGGTTCCTTTCTACATCACTCCAATCTGGGAGGATGGAGCCCTAATCAACTATCGTCTAGGTATTCCACCGCACGCCTATGTGTATGGAACCGGAATTGCGGCGGCTGTGCCTTTGTTCGTGCTGTGCATTCACTCCCTTCCCATTTTTCGTAACTGGATGTACGAGCTGTTCGTCTTCGTCCACATCCCAGTGTCGTGGATATTTGTGGCAATGCTATTTTGGCATACGAGAAACTATCTGCAGTCATGGGCCTATCTTTTCACAACTATAGCCATCTGGATGATTTCTTATACCGTTCGGCTATTCTACCTGAACTGGACAAATCCGCTGCGCACATCATCTTTCTTGATCGGAGAAGAATCCGCCATCACTCTTCTTCCCCAAAATGCAATCAAAATCACGATTCCTACAAAAATGCGCTGGCGACCCAGCCAGTACGTCTACCTCAGACTACCCAGGATTTCCGTGGTCCAGAGCCATCCTTTTACAATCGCTTCACTTTGCAGCGAAGACTTTCCATCTGCCTACGGCGAGAAATACCGTGATATGACACTAGTGTTCCGTCCATTCCAAGGATTCACACGTGAGGTTTTTCAGAAGGCATTGGAACATGGGCCCTACAGAACGTACAGTGCTTTTGTAGAAGGGCCATATGGCGGTATGCAGCGCGAGATGGCCGCGTTCGATGATGTGATATTTTTCGCCGGGGGAAGTGGCATCACAGCCATTGCGAGCCAATTGCTTGACCTCATCAAGAAGATTCGAGATGGCAAGGCCATCACGAAGTCAGTCCGAGTCATCTGGGCCTTGAGAAGCGCGGAAACAATGGAGTGGTTCCGAGAGGAACTGCGAATCTGCCGTGACTCCGCGCCTGCAAACATCGTGAACTGCCATTTCTTCCTTACTGGAATGCAGTCACAGGACCAAGCCGGACGAGACATGATCCAGGAAAAGATCTACGGCATGCTCCAGGGCATCGATAAGCGTAACTCTGCTTATATCCGCACGGAAGCTGCCGGGAACCCCGATATCGAAAAAGAGCTGCGCCGCGAGAACGAAGACGGCATCGCTGCTCTTCCCAATGCATACGCAGCTACTCATCCCCCCAACACGCGCCAATACTACCAACCAACAATGGACCCTTACGCTTCCCCCAATACACCTGCCCGTGGCAATCCAAACTTCGACTTTGGCTTTGGGACAGCCCAATCTGTGCCCCAAAGACCAGCATTAGCACCAGCAGCTGTGCCTCGCTTCGCTTATTATCAGCCACGCTTGCGAGACAACTGGCGCACAGACTACTTTCGTCCGGACATCCCACAAATGCTCAATGATTTCTCGAAGAGCTTCGGCCGCCGCGCGTGTGTTTTCGTCTGTGGGCCACCTAGCATGCGTGTTGAGGTTGCCAACACGGTAGCCAAACTGCAGCTGCAAGTAATGATGGATTCTTCGAAAGATGAGATCTTTTTGCATGCTGAGAACTATAATATCTAATTTAGCGTTGCTGTCTTTCGTTGATTCGATAATACCCCTAGTGTTCCTACTACATGGATGTGATAACAAGATGTTCACGGCAAATTTCTATATGCAAGTGTATATATCGCGATATCTCATTTCTTATATATAGATTCTTATATCTTCATACAAATAGGAGGTCTGCATATAGATCAACGCTCAGAAAACTCAAAGGGTATCCACAGTATATCAGAAGCCAGACATGCAGAGCAACCTCACTTGTTTACGAGCTTGTGATCATCTTCGGCCTTGCGCTTGCGCGAAGTCGTGTCCTGATTTTCAAAGACCTGTGACTCGCCCAAATGCCGCACGCCATGATCACCTTCATCTCCATCTTCCGCTTCCACCTTCTCCCAGTCTTCGTCCTCTGTTTCACTGCGAGAAGATGTCTCCCGAACACTGTGTTCTTCCAGAATAACTGTTTTCGTTTCGTCCCAGTGTAGATCCATCCGCACGATTTTAGCACCCGTGGGTTTCAAGCGACGATAGTATTCGTCTACATGGCCATCGATTCTAAAACCACGTGCAGTATACCACTCCAGCCCTTCTTCATTTGCCTCGTGAACATGTGCTGTCACAGAGCGAATATTGTAATGTTTAACAAGCCCGGACACTCGGTAGGATTCTTTCTTGCGGTCTGGCGGTGACGCAAAGAGAAGTGAATTTAGCAACGACGCTGCTACACCGTTGCCCCGGTAGGGTGAAAGTAGATGCAGAGTCTGGATGTATAAATTTGTCTGATCTCTGTTGCTCTGAGTTTGCGGTTCTTGGCTTGAGTCTTCTGGCAGTGGAATTCTCTCCAAACGACACCGAATGCCACCGATCACTTTGTTTGCGCCAGTAGAAGGGCCAGACTGCGGAAAAGCAGCAACAGGGTGGTCATGATAAATAGCAACTCGCGACAGAGAAGCAATAACCGGATCTGTTATGGTAGCTGTGTAGAAAGAGGTTGGATATCGGATTGGAAGGAGTAAGCCCGTGATCCGCGTTAAAGAGGGGATATGTGCGGTGTGGACTTTTTCGACCGTGATATGAGGATGTGAAGTCGCAATGCCAGCCGGGATATCATGTAGATATGGATCGAAGACCTCCTCTTTCGAGCGTGTTGGCCCGGACGTGTTTGCGACAGCCGATTTAGGCGGTTGGACAGGAGGGAGATGAATGGGTGGGCGCGCGGGGCTACGGCTGACTGGGGACGAGGAAGGTGAAGAAGGTGAAGTCGCCAGTTTCTGACTCTTCGCAAAGAGTTGGTATGCCATGTTTGAAGTGAAGACAAAGAAGAGTCGTGTCTTAAGACTTGAGACTTGAGCAAAGCGCCAATGCGGAGATACGATAAGCGATAAGCCCAATGAACAACTTGCTCCAGCCTCATCCGTCTCTTCATCTCCTCCGAGGTATTGGATTCGCATGTTAGACACCTCAAAAGGTCAGTACATTATTTCCTTTTTGCTTGACTTACTTGTGTTTGTGTCAATGGACTTTCTTCATTGACTTCATTGACTCCCCCTATTGTTCCGCTGCCTATTCATCCCCCCCCCCCCCAATTATTGAAGCGCGCTGACAATAGAATTTCCTAATAGGCTATACTATTCGGTCCTATTGCCTTTAACTCTTTGGATTCTCGTTTATAGGCGTTGGAAATCTCTTTCTTCTTCTTCCAACCATCCCAAGCCTTGCACCGATTGCATTCAGCCTGCATAGATTTCCGTTACATGGAGGCATAAACCTCGGACCAAGTGGTTCGGATCACTCACAGCCTGTGTCGCAAGCGGGCACAGTCGTCGGTCATTCAGGATCGGAACTTTGAGGTTTGGCGCATCCTTCTCCGACCGCAATCCGAAAATGGCCGACTCCAATAGCGGTGGTCGCAGGCCGATCTACCCTGCCGGAACGATCGCTAAAGTGGTATGTTCTCAACTTTATGGCCTGTGAATAAGGGTCTGATGGTTTTCCGTTCAGTCTAGCGATATATTGGATGAAACCTTTCGCAACATCATTCACGATCTCGTCGCCAAAGTTCATCGCGAAGAAAAGGTGGCGCGTATGCGTTCCGCAGTGGTTGTTGCCCGACAGAAAGCAGAGGACGAAGCAATCCTCCCGGAAGAAACACCCAGCAAGACAGCAGTTGATACAAAGAGAGAAATTGTCCTGGATCACAAGAAGCTCGCCGGGATGCACATGGAAACAGATGCAGCCGTCTACGACCGCGGAAAGGTCTATCTGAAAGGGAACCCCCTCCACACGGTCAAAGAAATAATTTGTCCCGATTGCCGTCTTCCACGCCTGCTTTACCCGACTGCTGGTGTTGCATGCCGAGCTCCTCCTGATGCCGATGCCGAATACTGCTCGAACCGGCCACTTATTACCCAGCCGGGGCACGATGCCCACGGCAAACTGTATGCGATCATGCCAAACCCTAAGAAGAAGAAGGGCGATCGCGACAGCACAATTCCCGAAATTCCCACCACCAAATGTCCCATCTGCCCTCGCTATTTCATCATGACCCGTCTCGCCCAGCATCTCGACCGTTGTCTAAACCTCTCTGGCCGTGGCGCCGGTATGCGCAACAAAACTCCCACCGACAGCGGAGCCAGCAACGGTAACAGCCCAACATCCTCAGCCAAGCGTTCTTACGCAGACGACGATGAGGGCAGCCCAAGCCCCACCAAGAAGAAGAAGCTTAATGGGCCCAAGAAGGGTTCCTCGAATAAGCCCGGCCCCAGCAAGCTCAAGCAATCCTTCACGGTGGAGGATAACGACGACGATGCGAAGAGCGAGAATGCGGACTAACCTTCCCTTTGTTTCTCGTACCCTTTTTTCTACCATGGTGTCCGCGGCGTTTTGAGCTTTGTTATTGGTCATATCCCACGGCGTCTCTGGGTCTGGTTCGGTTTGATCATGGTCTGATCACTCCTGCGAATAAATTTGCATAGATGAATGATGATGAGGGAGGAGGAATTCAAGGATTGTACATTACTTCATTCATCCCATGGAATACAAATGAGTATGGCACTGTAGGGAATGGAACATGCTGCCAATTTTAATATTGACCTTTCTGTTCTTTGAATGCGTGTTTCCACCCAAAGACCTAAGTAACGTAATCTCTCTATACTCACGCTAACAACATTGCACCTCCCTATATCTAAGTAGGCATCATTTGCCCCGAGAAAAATTTGAGCATCACCAGAGTAACTGGGAGATATGATATGACAGCTACATTTGCGAAAGTAGTTCTAATTCCGGTCTTCAGAATCAAATATTTGAAGTATTATCGACGGTCTCCAAATTCATCACAACGCAATGCGTAGTGTTGTGATGTTGCAACCCATCCCACTTAAAGTGTCATCAAATTTTGTCAATGAGAGCCGGCATGGTTTACCACTGCGTTGAGTTGTCTTCCAAATCAATACACTTTCCCTGTTTTTCGTTTTTCACTTCGTCTAGTAGTGCCCCTGCTCGCCTGGTGCAACCTACACTATCAACATCACCATCTCAGTCCTCAAGTTTGACACGAAGCACTATCTCTATCAACATCTTCTCAGATGTTCAGGATGTATCTTCGCTCTCCATGGGCCTGGTTTGGCATTGTCATATTTGGTTTCGCCATGGCACAAACAACAGCAATCGGTTTTGTGACATCCATGGAAAACTATTGGGACTCAATCGCTGGCAGCATCATGACTACGAGCAGAGGATTTACCACAGTCTCAACCACATGTCGCTCAAGATCGCCATCTCTTTGTGTCCATACACCCCTACCATATCCCGAAACGTTGACATATGGCTCAACACGCAGGAATGGGCTCTTCATTCTGCCCATATCGACAGCCCACAAGAAACCTTTGATGTGGTTACTGCCGCCATTCGCTCTGCGGTCCCTACTCCCTCAGTAGGTGTGTTCTGTGGAAAAAGAAGAATCCTGGTTTGGTCAAGTGGAACACAAACATGGACTTCCACCATCGTGTCAACCGCTTCCTTTGCAAATTCCGAGATCCTCCAAACGAAGGTCCTGATCACTGCAGGAGTCGAAAAACTTCAAAATTTAGCGCAAGCTACCGATGAATAGAGCTTCCCCAAACAATCGCAGTGGCTACAACCGTCATGGGTTCGAGACCAGATGGCAATCAAGCTTGGTCGGGACAGAGAACAACAGCGCCACGGATCCAACGCCACATGATCTGATAAAACATCGAAGACCTTGCCAATAGGCGAAGTGATAGGAAGTGTGGTTGGAGGTGTCGGTGCGGCCTGTAACATTCTAACACTTGTTCTCTTGTATCGCAAACGATCTCGCCAGAGAGTGGCGGAAGAACACTCCAATTCGGGGTATCTGGATCGCTCTGAGTTCCGAGCGGTACTTTAAACGCATGAAAATTCAACTATGAAGTCAAACAACGGCAATCAGGTTGTAGAACTTCCGGCTCATAGTGTTCATGAGCTTTGGTGGCGATTCATTCAGGAGCTCACGGCAATTCGGGTTCTCCTGGGAAAAAGTGGAAGGTTGTTTTGTGTTTTAGTATATATCCCCCATGTGAAATTACTATCAACTGTAATCTAACGACACTGTATGTAGCAGCATGCTATGAACATACCTTGAAAGCATTTTGATTAAATAAACCATCTTTCACACCTAGGTATGTATTCATGCAACAGGCGATACCTTTACCTCGCCGCCAGTAATACTTAGAATTTTTGGCATAATTACATTGTATTCAAATCTATGATTAACCATAAATTAAGATCTTGAAACAAGATCAATTATGCAACCGTAATCCAAATTGTCAAGTAGTTCCAGGTTCATAGATCCCGACGTCGTTGGGGGCTGCAAGCCTTAGATAGGCTTATTAAGTGAGGGGATTTGCCCAGGTGCCCGAGTGTGCCCGCACCAAGGAGCCTCGTCTTGACCTCTTCTGCCACATATCTTCCAACATGGCCGATCTTAGCGCATGGGCAGCTCCTAAGCTTTCCCAGATTCTTCCACTGGATCCAGAATCTCTCTCTCAAGTTATCGATTATGCTGCTAGCCTCTCAAAGGAGGCATGTGCGGAGCACCTAAAAAACCTCCTCGGTGACTCTCCAGCCGCCCTTGAATTCATATCCTCGTTTAATGCACGCCGAGAACCTCAACGACCAGTTCAGACCCCACCCGCACAATCTCGAGATGCCACGAGGTCATCAGGGCCCAAGAAGGGCAAAAAGAAGGCTCCATTGCACAGCGCTGGTCCGCCACGCCGACCCGACAACTACGGAGATGTAGGCGGTGGTTACAAAAAGGCCGATGAGGAAGACTACATGTCTTCTCGAAAACCAAATACTTCTATTCTTGCGCCGTCGCAAAATGGCTCCTCATCCTCGTCCCGCGTCCCCTCTCCCATGCCTGCATTATCCCCGAAGCCACCGCCATCCGCGAGCGGCCCCACCATTTCCGATATGTTACCAAATGTGCGATCAAAGACGAGCAAGTCAACACGACAAGCTGGGGCAGGATCTTCTTCCAAAAGCAATGCAGCTCTTACGACGAATGATATATCCGACCTCACCGCCGCTATTGCCGCGTTGGAGGTATCAACAAACCCCACTCTGGGCGAGAGGCGTAAATGCACCTGCTATGGATCCCTCCACCCAGTGTTCGACCCGGCACCCAATTGTCTCAAATGTGGCAAGATTATCTGCTCACTGGAGGGACTACAGCCGTGCTCATTTTGCAACACACCTCTCCTCTCCGCCGAAGAAGTGCAGGGCATGATTCGGGAGCTACGGGCGGAGCGTGGACAAGAGAAGATGCGCGTGCACAATGATGGTGTGCATCACGAAGGAGGACCTAAGCCTACATCTGGGTCAGAATCACCAAGCAAATTGGACGCCGCCAAGGCACATCGTGATAAATTGCTCCAGTTCCAAGCGCAGAATGCCCGTCGGACTAAGGTTGTTGATGAGACGGCTGATTTCGAAACGCCAAATGTTGCCTCCACCTTGTGGATGACCCCTACGCAACGAGCACTAGCGCTCAAGAAACAGCAGCGCATCCAACGTGAAATGGATGAGAAGGCCCGCCCTGAGTGGGAGAGGAAAAAGACCGTGATGAGTCTCGATATCAAGGGCGGTAAAGTGCACCGAGTATATCACTCTGCACCAGCGGAGTCAACCCCAGAAGCCAGTGAGCCGGAACCTGCCGATGCGGCGGGTGCAGCTGACCACTCAAGAAAAGAGCATGCCTTCAGTCACAACCCACTGCTCGCAGCTGGTGGTCTGATGCGACCTGTTTGGCGTGCTCCAGAGGGTACAAAGACCGAAGCATCCGAAGCTACGGAAAAGAAGCAAACTTGGCGACGGGTGCAGGACGACAACGATGACAACGAGCAATGGATATTGGATGGCGGAATAAATGGACACACGACCTAGAATTTTACCTGGCAACGATAAACAACAAATTCAATCCACAGGCTATGAGACAACTGTCTTGTCATCTGGCAAATTTGGCTAGGACTTGATTATCTCACGCTCCAATCCACACGGTCTGATTGGGACTTGTGCCGCCAAGACCGCCTATCAAGGAGAAACATGTACAATCTCTGACCCTGGCCTGTCCAATCCCACGTTACTCAATAAAGATGGCGACATCCTCGGAGCGGATGTCTGATAATTCGGAAGTCGGCTAATAACGGTGAAATCATCTCAATTTCCAGGAAAAACCGAGACAGTGGAGTCGCTAGAGGGGCACCTCTCTATACTACTGCACGGTAAAACTTGCTGATGACAGCCGGAAAAGAAAAGATACCCTTGTGTTACATTCACACGTAACACAATCAACTTCTGCTGTTTCTGCTGTTTCTGCTGTTTCTGTGACACAAAACTTCAACAATGTACCTTCTCAGAAATCATTCGGAGCCCCCGCAAAAACACCAAGCATGGGGTAGACTTCCCCGCGGATCCAAGCAACCGCCTATAACCGAATAATAAACCATAGAAATCAAACAGTCATACAGTAATTGGGGGCAGCATTCCCCGTAGTAAGCCCGAACTATTTGTAGTCCGGTTCCGTCGTCATTGACTTTTCGGTTGGGGGCGGGTAGTTACGGCGGAGAGCCTCCGAAGCATAAAGGAAATACATATGTATGAATTGTAATATGAAACATAGAGAAAGTAACAGAAGAATTCTTCTTTCATCTCACAAAATGTTGATCGAATCTGTGTTGGGGTGTTTATCTTTACAAAGGGCATTAGGAGGCCTGGTAGGGCTACTAGCAGTAGCGGTACGCATCTTTTCCTTTGATATACTCAATATCAACATTTCAGGATGTGATATGATAGCAATTCAGCATAATCTAACGCCGTTTAGACCTTCGCCTACGCCTTCTACAACCGCTTCATTCACCCTCTTCGCCGTATCAACGGCCCCATCCTAGCATCCATCACACCTTGGGTACAGCTCTACCACGGCCTCAAAGGGGACCGTCATCTGTGGCTACATGAGCTGCACAACAAATACGGTACCCATGTTCGCGTCGCGCCGAATTTCGTCTCTATCAACTCCGATCGCGGACTTCACGATATTTACGGACACGGCAAGCGGTTCCAGAAAGCGGCTTTCTACAATGCTTTCCCAGCGATCAAGGGCGTGTACAATACGCACAACGCTATCGACAAATCCATGCATGGTCGCAAAAGAAGAGTGCTGAGCCAGGCTTTCTCCGAAAACGCACTCAAGGGAATGGAGGACGTTATGCTCCTCCATGTGCGCCAGCTGTGTGCAGTCCTGGCCGGATATGATGGGAATTTCGAATCTCACGACCAGAAGGGAAACGTCAAGAACATGGGCGATTGGTTCAGCTATCTCTCGTACGATGTAATGGGCGAGCTCTGCTTCGGCAAGAGTTTCGACATGCTTATCTCTGACAGCCGGAGATACAAAGTCGGATTGGTGGATCGCGCGGCAAACCGACACTATGTAGTAAGTATCCTTGCCTGACTGTTAAAGTAATAATGCCTGACTCTGATCCAGTGCGGACTCTGGATGCCCCTGGACACATGGGGCCTGGACCAGATCTTCATCCGTAAGCTGACTCGCGATCGCTGGAATTTCATCATGAACTCGAGGGTTGAGGCCAACGAGCGCGCCAAGGAACGTACCCAGATTGGCCGGGATGCCAAGAAGGACTTCTTCTATTACCTCCTGAACGCCAAGGATCCGGAGACCGGCAATGGGCTCAGTACGCCTGAGCTGTGGGGCGAGTCGAACGTTCTGATGATTGCAGGAAGCGACACCACCTCAACCACACTGGCAGCAACACTGTTCTACCTGGTTCGACGACCAGACGCATTGGCCAAACTCACGGCCGAGGTGCGCGGCGCTTTCAACGAAGTTGAAGAGATCGTCACCAGCAGCTCACTTGGCGAGCTCGTGTACTTAAAAGCATGCATTGACGAGGCCCTGCGTCTTGCCCCAGCTGTACCCGGTGCAATTCCGCGCGAAGTAATGGAAGGCGGCGCAGTAGTCGACGGCGTCTTCCTACCCGCAGGAACAGACTGCGGAACCCCAACGTACTCAATCCACCGACAAGAGCGGTACTACCAGGAGGCAGGGACTTTCATACCGGAGCGCTGGATCGAAGATGCCACTTGCACGGCAGCGGGAAGGACTTGGCAGACAACCAAAGAGAGCATTGAGACGGCACGCCACGCATTCTGCCCGTTCAGCATTGGACCACGTGGGTGCATTGGTAAGAGCATGGCATTTATGGAGATGCGACTGACACTGGCGCGGCTGGTATTCCTGTTTGATATGTCGTTGGCCGATCGTCAGGGTGAAGACGCGGGTGGGCATTTAGCGTTGACGGATCACTTCACCAGCGCGAAGAATGGGCCCAATGTTGTTTTCCGACGGAAATAATGGAAAGAAGTTGTACCAGCAGACAAATCAATTGATCATTTGTATTGTGAAATTCTGAACATAACTATACACATCAACATCAAAAAATAGTTGAAACCAGTTGACTCCTTAATCTCTCAGCCTTATCAGGACACGGTTGCGCGTCTTGGCAGGCAACATCAATTCCTTTCAACATTCTACATTATTAGACTACAATTGTTAGATCTACATGGATCTATCATCATGCCCTCAGCTTTAACAGTGACCTTTGTACAGGCAACAATTCTCAATGCCATTTCCAACATCCTAGCCCAATTAATCGACCAGCGCAACAACAAAGTACGTCAAAAGGAGCTCTTTCACCAAATCCAACTAACGATATCCAGGCTCCATTTACGCTCAATGTACTTGCATTTATGCAATTCATCACATATGGCATAATCATCGTGCCACCCAATTTTTACTGGCAACGCGCCCTTGAAGCGCGTTATCCAGGGGTTTCCCACGCGTGCCGAGCTATCCGACGCATTCAGCATCCGCTCGCTGAAATCTCTCTTCTCACCGCGTGCATGGCTGTCTCTTTTCTCAAGGGCTAGCCAGGATGAATCCCTTCCTAGTCACAAGGACAAGGAAAAAGAAAAGCATGTTCGGTGGGCACCGCGAGTGCAGACGTCAGGGCTGCGTAGCTTTATGATGAAGTTCTTTTTTGATCAGACGGTGGCATCGATCACTAACCTTGTGTTATTTGTGGTTTTGATTAATTTGCTGAAGGGGGAGAATCTGGGTAGGATATGGGAGTTGGTTATGCTGGTAAGTCTCTCACTCCTTGGCCCGCTACTGTATTTCCTACGGGCAGATACTGACTATGGTAGGACTTCAAACCAATCATGAGTGCCCGTCTCAAGTACCGGCCTCTTGTCTCTATTTTAATGTACACAGTAATTCCCGTGGACCGACGGGTGGTGTTTGGGAGCGCTTGTGGGGTTATCTGGGGTGTGTATTTGAGTTTATATGCGGTTGTCTAGTATTTCTTTCATTGTACGTTCAGTGTATTTCAATTTCGGGCTCGGGAGTTTAGATCATAGACCATCAAGGACAAGCAAACCATATGCTGGTGTCATAATGTTTGAAAATAATCAAAAAGTCTCGGCTACCGTTTGTATATCCCTACAACTACGGAATCTCAACAGCACTTCCATTTTTCCTCATTCGTTAAACACCACTCCTCCATTGGGGTCCAGGCTTTTAATGCTGATCCAATCATCTGCATACTTCAGGCTTACCTGGTTTCGGCAAACACAGTTCATTCATATTCCATTTCAAGGTTTTTGAGCTACTGATTAGACAGCGCTCAGGTAAAGCCAACTGTCGTATATTACAATTATACGATTCAATTGTCCAGAAAGGATAATATAATTGTACGTTGCCTAGGTATAAGTTGAAAAATCTAGAAGTAGCGAATCAAAGTGGATTCAAAAGTGAACCTGCTATTTGCCAACGTATGTTTCACTCCGGAACAGCAAAATTGTTTCCAACTGGCCTCAGACCTCAGCCTGAAGTAGATCCTGGAAACTGTTAACGCGGTGCAAAATCAAAATGAGAATGATAAGTTAGCCATCGAGGACATGCTTCATTGGGACGAGTACTACGAACACTACCGCAACGCTGTGAACATGGTTGGCAACACAACAAATGCTGAAATCTCTCTGTAGCAATGGATGGTCAAGTCTTTCGATGTTGGGACTGGAAGACTTGAGTCAGAGACAGGGTACGCCTCTATGATCAAGGCCTTGACACATACAAATCAAGTGTTCCCGCTCAACAGATCGAGTCCAGTCGCCCTGATAGTACTCTCGAAGATTGGTTTGCAGCCGCCAAAAGCAAACGCGCACAACGGCATTTATAACATGCAGCCGAAGAAAAGACAGAAAATTTCAAGGATGAAGAGTTTATGCTCGTTGTTCTCTCTGGGGGGCAGCAGGTGCACAGCACAGCCTTCATGAAAGTCAGGTGGTATTTTTGAGTCACCCTGCCAGATTATGACTACAAGTCATGTCCACAGGTTTATCTCATTGCCTCCTAAGAAGGCTCCGTAGTCATCGAAAAGTTCATAATAATTGCCAACTCAAGCCTATCACCCTCTCTGTAGAGTTATAGACGTGGACAACCTGGCTCCCGGTGTACTCCCCGAGAATTATAGTAGACTCCATCACTACCAACTTATATTTATACACTGATGCGTGGGGACAGCCAGCTTCTAAGAGGACACTCACGTCTAATTGCTCCGAGATGTAGGAAAAACCCAACGCTTCCAGTCAACATGGAAAGTATGGGTTGGTTCTCTTCATTGTATTCGAAGTATAGGGAGTATTGGACCCGCGTATGTATTATCGTAAAAACTAGATAGGCGCAGTGAGATATACAGTCTAGTATAACTTCCATCCAGGACAATTATCCGTAGATCATCCCACATAAGAAGAAAAAAAACCCACATAGAGAAGAATATGCATGAAAGAGGTCCAGCCCTGCTCAACATTGACCCTTAAGCAGGGGTCATCTCAATCTTCTTGCCCTTGACAGAGATCCACTCGACAAAGATCGGACCGATAAGGGACAACGCACCAACAGCAACGGAAACATAGAAGGTCTGGGTAACAGCAGCATTATAAGCAGTCAAGACATTGTGCAGGTCTTCTCCAGTTACAACGGAGCGCAGCATAGTAGCACCAGCAGATATGATCTTTGCAGGATTCTGATCAGGGGCATATTCAGCGAGGTTCCTGAGAAGCTGGTTCTGGAACACATTCTGTCCAACGGAGATGAAGATAGCACCGCCCAAGGTCTGAGCAAACAGCACGATGGCAGTGCCGCTCGGAACGTCTTCGACCTTGAGAGCAGTCTGGGTGACGATCATTGGCTGCTGCATACCAAGACCTAGACCAATACCGAAGAGCGCCTGGTAGCCAATCCATTTCGAGTGGTTTGAGTCTGTCTCGAGAGTTGTTAAGAGGCCGGCCCCGATGGTCATGATGATTGATGAGGCGAGCATGAAGGGCGTGTAATAGCCACAGATGGTAACAAGTACACCAGCGAGGATGGAGCAGAGCACGACAGTAATGATCATGGGAAGATTCATGAGACCTGATTTTGTTGCCGAAGCGCCCTTGATAGATTGGAACCAGATGGGAAGCTGATGAAATTAGGAGATTGATCAACCAAGTAACAAGGGGGAATGAGCTTACATAGTAAGTTAGGACGAAGAAAGCAGCACCAAGACAAAGTGAGTACCAAGCGGAGCCCCAAACACTGCGGTTCTTGATGAGCCGGGGTGGGATGGTAGCCTTGTCCTGAGCGTACCATTGACTGGCGCAGAACACAAGAATAAGCACACCAAAGACCACAAACAGCCCAATAATACGTCCACTGCCCCAAGCATATTTGGTGCCACCCCACTGGAGAGCGAGCAGCAAACTGATGACAGCAGGCAGGAAGAAAAGGGATCCAACCAAGTCCAACTCCTTAATCTGTTCCTTGGCGGTGTTGGTGTTCAATATGGCCTTCGGGCTCTGGAAGAAGAACAGGATGAAGAGGAAAGTGACACCTCCAATCGGTAGGTTGATATAAAAGCACCAGCGCCAGGTGAGGTGGTCGGTGAATGCACCGCCCATACTAGTGTGTGTTAGCATATTTTCCCAGGAGAAGGCATCAGAGCAACATACAGTGGACCAGCTACATTGGCAATGCCGAACATGGATCCCACCAGACTAGTATACATCGGTCGCTTGACTAGGGGCACACTCTTGCTGATGATGAGAATGGAACCGGTGAAAAGGCCAGCGGCTCCGAGTCCGGCAACGGCCCGACCACAGATGAGTCCAACGGAGCTAGGCGTGGTGGCGCAAACAAGTGAACCAATCTCGAAGACGAACAGTGCCATCAGATAGATCCACTTGATCGAGTAGAAAGTGTACAGTTTGCCGAACATCAGGGTCACCGCGCATGTGGTTAGTAGATACGAGCTACCGTACCAACCGACATCTTCGAGGGAGTTAAATTGATCGGTGATTCTAGGGATTGCAGTTGCGATGATCGTGTTGTCCTGGTGGTTCAAGGTTAGGGTCGATCAATTTGGTCAATATTGACACGGAAACATACCAATGCTAAGCAGAACACGCAAAGACAAAGTGCAATGGTAATCAAAAACAGTTTCCAACCTTCTGGATAGTCGTCTTCATTTTCCACAGATTCATTATCACCATCCTCCTTTTTCTCTTCTTGTGTAGTCTCTTGACACGAAACTTCCTTGCCAACAGACTCTTTGTTGGGGTCGGTCAGTGCCAGGTTAGGCGAAGAAGGAGAAGAAGAAGAAGAAGAAGAAGAAGGATTACTGATCGCAATCTCTTTCTCCCGTTCATCATCGGCAGTTGAGTCTCTCGAAGGCTCATCGAATAGAGTGCTATGTTTTTCGCTGGAGGGATTCGAGTTCTCAACTAGGTTTGGGGAATGAACATTGGTGTCGGAAGCTGATGTGTTAATCTCAGGCAGAATAGTTTGGACATTTTCTACCGGGGCGCCGCCAGGCACATCAGCCTCTTTGGCAGCTTTGGCTTTGAAAAAGCGCATAACGAAGGACACCGAAAGTCAACAATGTTTTAATAAGCAGAAACGACCCCGAATGGAGATTAACGAAAGTTGGGATACACAAACACAGGCACAGGGGAGCAGAGATTTAAAAAGAAAAATAATAGCAAATCAGCCAACGTTGGCGTTGGCAACACAACCGATTCGTACAGGTCTCATCCAAAACATTGCCTGTGGGGATTGGAGAAAGGAGTAAAGGGCCCATCTAGGTAGCACACAACCCCATGGTCGATCGTATTTCATTCCATATGGTACGTGGAATGCTCCGCCGAGCTGCATAGCCTGCATGATAGTTAGGCAGCGAGGCCCTCAAATGAAAAAAACAAGGAATGAAAAACTCGCTTTTGAGTGTACAACGTAGTAACAATTGACGATGCGGTCATGCAGCTACAGTTAGGCGCATCAGTGCCGACCATCAGGATACGCCATGAAGGAGCAATACTATGTTGTCATTCGACAGATCTGAGTCAGAACATGCACTTCAATGTGGGCGAAAAAAGTCGAAGTCAGCGTGCCCAGGCGGGGCCGCAGTCAGGAGAACTGCAAGGATAATGCGAGCTATTATTTGATTGTCGTACAAATCCTAATTGTGATTGCTCACCAATCAGCGGTCGGAAGGGCTTCAAATAGTACTTTGCCCCTTGCTCGGCACAGAGAAAAGACATTACTATTGCATCAGAGAATACACCGCTGTTAAAGCAACAAAACAAACAACATGCAATCGATGCGGACGAAAAATGGACGAGATTCGGACGAAATGAGAGCAAAGTATGATTTTGTTCACCCGATTGAACTTGTTCAATGGGCTTTGAAGAAACAATTTATGATCGACGGAAACAAGGGTGTCAGCTGCTGACATAGAACTAACCTAATTTGGACTAGCGTAAAGTGGAAACACGGAAGGAACCTCGGAGTTTGGGGTTAGGCTTGATCCTTTTTTATACCTCACTTCTTATGCTTCATACTTCATACTTCGAAACATATGTGCCTCATTATACAAAATATCACTGCTCAGTCATTAGTCGGAGAGTAAATGATGAGGAGATCATTAGCAAGTGAAAGGTAGAGAGCAAGTTTCTCTTTCTCCTTGCGATTGTAGAATATCATATCACACAGATATTCAAGGTCATACTTTCCCTTGAATCACAAGCACAATTCAATCATTGAACAATCGGACTTAACTTTAGTCTGCTGAATACTCTCCGGATCAAGAACGATTTGGTAGCATTGTACGGCACTATATCGGCACTGACATCATGGATCATCATGTGGAGGCTCTACCGGTTCCACCGTTAACTCCGGATCTCATTTGTAATGGACGATGTAATGGACGAAGACGATGAGGTATAAAAAGGGTCTACTAGCCGGCAAGAAGAAGGAGACCATTCACTAGCCAACATTCTCCTTCACTCTCATCAATCTTCAACTCACTTACCAATCCACCACACAATGGAAGAAATCTTCAAGCCCGCCCCCGAGCCCGCCACCCCTCTGGGTCGGTACCGGGTGCTCTCATCCACAGCCGGTATTCGCGTCTCTCCCCTCCAGCTAGGCGCCATGTCCATCGGCGACAGCTGGAGCCAATTCATGGGCAGCATGAACAAAGAGCAATCCTTTGCGCTGCTCGACGCCTTCGCGGCAGCAGGCGGCAACTTCATCGACACAGCAAACAACTACCAAAATGAGCAGTCCGAAGCCTGGATCGGTGAATGGATGGCCGCGCGCCAGAACCGCGACCAAATGGTCATCGCAACCAAGTTCACAACCGACTACCGCAGCCATGCACTCGGCAAGGGCAAAGTACCTAACGCCTGCGGCAATCACAAGCGCAGCATGATCCTCAGCGTGCGCGACTCCCTCCGCAAACTGCAAACCGACTTCATCGACGTCCTCTACCTGCACTGGTGGGACCACACCACCTCCATCGAAGAGGTCATGGACTCCCTCCACATCCTCGTCGAGCAGGGCAAGGTCATGTACCTCGGTATCTCGGATTCGCCGGCGTGGGTGGTCTCGGCCGCGAACACGTATGCGCGTGCACACGGCAAGACACCTTTCTCCGTCTACCAGGGACGGTGGAACGTGATGCGCCGAGACTTCGAGCGGGACATTCTGCCAATGGCGCGGCACTTCGGGATGGCGCTTGCGCCGTGGGATGTGCTTGGTAGCGGACACTTCCAGTCGGCGAAGCAGATCGAGGCGCGTAAGAAGTCTGGCGAGGGACTGCGCAATATTTTCGGATCTGAGCAGACAGAGGAAGAGAAGCGTATTTCCGAGGCTTTGGCGACTGTTGCTGCCGAACATGGAATCGAGTCTGTGACCGCTATTGCGTTGGCCTATGTTCTTTGCAAGGCACCGAATGTATTCCCGCTTGTTGGTGGACGCAAGATTGAGCATCTACATGATAATATCCAGGCTTTGACTATCCGGCTTACGGATAAGCAGATTGAGTTTTTGGAGGCGGCGACTGACTTTGATGTTGGGTTCCCTAATAACTTCATTGGAATTGACCCTAAAGTCACTGGTGGTCAGCAAAACATGCTGATGAGCACGGCTGGTCACATTGATTATGTTCAGGCTCCTCGCGCTGTTGGATATGAGCCCACCAAATGAGGGGAATGGGGATATTTGTATATATCTTGCATGATAGAATTATAGTAATGCACTCGCTTCACTACTAAAGAGCATCCAGGAGGCACCCGTAGGCAGCATAATGGTTTAGAATTTGTAAAAATTGACATATTGTCATGACCAAACAAAAGAGACAAACAAAAGTATACATGTGAAATGGTCCACGTGAGTAAAGAATTACCACCCAATTTCAGAACATTAATAAGTAGCAAACCATCCATGGATCTCCAAACGCTGTCGACACCCTTTAAATAAGGAATGCAGTGTTCCTACCTATGAAAAGAGGCTTAATCTAGCAACAAAATTGATATCAGAGCAAACAAAAAGGAAAGTTCCGTTTTCGTGCTGGATCAAATCTAGTTGCTTATCCAAGCTATGCTTCCTCCAATTCTCCCCCACAAGGAGGATCGGGGTTCATCCTGTAATGCAATTGCACTACTGGCGGAATGTTGAAAAACACTGCCCTTTTACTTTTGATATGGAAGCATGCACTTCCCGATTAGAAGATGTAGGGTGTGTGTCACGTGATTGGCGTCCAAGCGGAATGACATAATCTAACCAATCAGCAATCAGAAATCAGCCAATAGGACCACAGAAGCATAAACACCTCCGCATATATTAAGCTTCATTTGTCTACTTATTTTCTTATCTTCTAAAGGATTTTTATACTCAAATGAAAATATGAAGTTATGGATACAAAAGTAAAACTTAGATTGGTTCAGAAGCCAGCTTGATGCAAAGTGCTGTAATCGCATGCCGTTCCACGCCGGGAAGGACTAGGGAAAAATAAACATCTGTACAACGCCAAACAAGAAAGACAAGAGAAGCCGAACCCTAATGTAGTGTAACGTCGTTTCAAGAGATGTGCAGCATACAGGGAATGGGCGTGAATTCGCGGACGCTCGCAGGTACAGCTACTTGCGTGTTGGCAAAATGACCATCATGGTTTCAGCTGATCATGTTGCCATGGGCATTGCGAAATATGGGAGTTGAAGTGGGGTATTTGTGTCGTAAAGGAGCCAATGGGCCAAATCGGAGATTTGAGTAACTTCGGGGGAAGTCAAGCAGGGGGAAGAAACGGATGAAGTCGTCATGCTGAGATATCCATGGATAGTAGGAATATGGCTTTTAGACCTCGTGTGGAACCTCAAGGCCTGCGTCCTTGCTAGCAACAAGGGCAATCAAAGCGGCACCGACACCACTGCCATCCTTGGAGATACCAATGCGAATCTTCTTATCACCCGCAATGCCAACTTCGGGAACTTCACGCAAAGCCTCGCGCAGGTGTTCCTCAAAATTAGGATAGAACTCCACGAGACTGCCGTCTACGCCGACATCGATAATATCGTCCGTGGCGAGCTTGTTGGCGGAGACGATGATAGCCGCGAGAGGAACGGCACTCAGACGAGCGGCACGCTTGCCAATGGCATGGACCAAGATCTTCACAGCCTGGCATTCTTCAAGACTGGGGTTCTCGATCTCAAGGTGGTCCTTCAGTGCGGTCTTGATGTCCACCAAGTCCTTGCTGTCATCAGCCTCAACAGAGCTCAGCAAGCTGGTGTCAAGACCCCATTGGCGGAAGAGCATAGAGTTCTCGGAAAGAACGACCTTGGAGTTCTTGTTGGCCTTGAAAAGACCGAGATCGGAGTTGTGAAGAGACAGAAGCGCACGACGCAGAATCTCACCCAGGAACATGCCCGAGACGCGCTTCTCGAACATCTGGACACCGGGGTTGTTGCTGTCGGCGTCGAGCTCATCGTCAAAGACTGTGGTGGGGAGCACGCTCATGTGGTTATCAAAGCTACCCCACTCGGCGTTGATAATCATCTCGCCAGTAGAGTTATCAAAGTGGGCATCCTTCATGTGCTGGAGCTTGGTGATGTTCTTGGTCTTCTCAACGTAGGCGCCGTTGGTACCAGTTCCGAAAATGGCACCGAGGAAAGTACCGGTCTCGCCAGGGGAGGTGTAGGAGCGAGCCATCAGGGTACCGACAGTATCATTGACCAGCGCAGCCACGCGCACTGGCAGGTTCAATTCGTCAATAGCATTCTGGAGCAGGGCACACACATCGTGGCCGACGGCATCGGGAATGTTGAAGCCCTTGGTCCACCGAATGAGTGTTCCACGGTTGATTCCGATCTGGCGCACGGGGAAACTGAAGGTGAAGCCGAGATCGAAGAGGTCCTCCTCGTTGGTGTTTTCACGTCGGCGGAGCTGGTGAGCCTCAAAGTGCTCGTTGTGGTGAATGCGTAGGAAGGCCTCAATTTGGCGAGCCAAGAAGAGGAAGAGATCCTTAGATGTACCAGAGGCCATCAATTCCCGGGGAATGAGGATCTTAGACTGGGTGAGGGAGAAGGTAGTATCGCCGTGCAGGAGGACCGAGCACACACGGAAGTTGGTGCCACCGAGATCAACAGCCAAGTAAAGGCCCTATAATAGAGCGAGATTAACCGACAATCCCTGATGCCAACAGGCAGCCTTTTCTCACCTTTTCTGTTCCATTTGGCACAGCAGTCACGAAAGTTGGGATCTGGCTCAGAGTGGTTCCCTCCTTGGCCAAACCCTCATTGGACTGGTTGATATACTCCTTGACCCCGCGCTGCACCTTCTCAGCGGGGTAATCGAAATCGCGCGCAATGCGCGTTGCCTGGTCCAGAAGAGAAGACATGATGGCACAAGACGGATAAGTGTGTTTAGATAGCCGGCTGGGTATAGAGAGATTTAAGTATGTACAGCGCGGCTGAAATTAGAAAGGAAGAATTAATGAGAAAATAAATAGAGAGAAAGAAAGAGAAAGAGAGATTGGAATACAAGAATACCAAAGAAGAATAAGAAGGAGAAAAGCGGGAGTGAAGAAGTGGGATGACGGAGGGGTCCATGAGGTCAGTCCGATACCTTGGCAGTACTTCGCCCGTCGTAATGGCCACTATCCACGACGTACCGTCGGGGTAGAAATGCCGGATTCACCGGAGAAATTTACGGTTTCGATATTTCCATATTTACGTAGAAGGTAGACATATGATATTATTCCTCTATATTATCTCAAACTATTGAATCAACAAACAAAACTTGTACAATATTGTTCTGTGTTCGCTTTTGTAGATGCGCCGCCGGAAGCAGCCGTTCCCCTGCATTCGTATATTATCCGTATACTTCCTTGGAAACTTTTTTTTCCTTTTTCCATGACGCCATGAACCGTTTGGAGATAATTAGTTTTTGGCATCTGTGGGGAGACATTTGACTGGTCAATCTACCAAAGCTGCATGGTTTTCCCCCCGACTTCACCGGTGAGCGACCCTGGTTAGAACCCGGGGATGGGAATATGCACTGTGGCGCACATTAATCGGAGTTTTAGTTGTCAGCATGAATTTTTTCTTTCTCGGAAATGGGTAAGACTTCGGCGTAATTTCCAGCCTACGACTTGCAATTCTGTGCAGAAAGTCATTATATTTCAAGTAGGTGTCAGATTGTACATTGTATGTACGATGCATCCATACAACGTTCGAGATAGATGATCGGAATAGATCGGCCCCAACACGGCATAGCGACTCGGCTCCAGGGTCGATCTGAGTGGTCAATGGCCCGAATGCACGGAATCCCGAATGTGCGTAAGTTGTCTGGGACCCCATGGAGACGATGAGACATGTGGCTTTTCTCTTATTAATAGTATTCTTTTTGCCAAAGTAGCGTATACATGGGATTGAGGCAGAGTATTCTATTTTGACCAGATCTCACATTGTGAATCTTTATTAGATAACTATAGAGGTGCTTTTTATTTATCACTAAGACTGTAGAATTTATGCATTTGAATACCTCAACAAATATTATCGCCAAGTTTTATTGTGAACATCTTCCTTTTTATTTCTTCTATCTCCGTCGCTCTATTCACGCTCAGATAAAAACACACAGTCTGTACAGCAGCGTCGGGCTGCAAAAACAGACGTTCTCGCTTTCTTGCTAGACTAAGTAATAGAGTCAGTGCACCAGCCACAAAACGAGTATGTACGTCTCGCCCATAGCGTCCATAATGGCCGATTTAACCTTGACTTTCTCTGCGTCGGGCAAAGATAAGACGAGGGTCGATGTACTAGAAATCACGGCCTCGACTGCCCGTATGGATATGTTGGGTAGAAGTTTGATGATACTCCTTTGCGACTCGTTTAAAAACACGCTGTTGGCGATAGTAGTGCCAACGACCTGAGCATAAGTGATCAATCCCAGGCACTAGCCACCATATGAAGGGCGACAGAAGCTTGAGCAACCGAGAATAAGGCTTGGAGATACATTCCTGTGCCAAGGCCGGTAAGGACGCTTTGTAGTAGAAAAGGGCGCCGCCGGTGAGAATTAGAGCACCTCCAATCGTGTACCACGGCATATATAGACCTTATGCAGACATCACGCCGCCATTGACACAGATCATGACGACGTAAGGAATGATAAAAGGTAGTAGGAACACCGGCGTCAAGCGGACCATCGCCTCAGGTAAATTGAAAGAAGAGCGGGACGAAGTAGACGGGGATGAAACAAGCTGTACCGGCTGCCGATGGGCAGGCAAAGAGGAAAAGCATAGTCCTAGACCTAAAGAACTCTACTGGCACAATCTGCCGGGTAGCAGGAGTACCGATAGCGAAGGCCTGCTAGAGCCGAAGCAAAACGAACAGCACACCGGAGCAGACGGGCAATCCGATGATGTTCCCGCTTCCCCAGGCCCAGGTCAAGCCACCGAACGAGATAGCCATGACACTGGATAGGAAAGCACCAAGGTTGAGAATACTTCCCTGCCAATCGATCTCACGGACTCGGCCCCCGAGAGGAGCTCTTTTTCGGGGGTCGATATTCAGGATGAGACAGAAGTAGACCGGTGCACAGGCCGCTCCCACTAACAATTTGATGTAGAAAGTCCAGCTCCAGCTGACAGAGCTCTGGCTAAAGCCTCCTCCCACAATTGGACCGAGGACCATGCCAAGACCCCAAGTCATGCCGGTGCTGGCTACATACATTGGCCGCTCTTGGAGTGTGGTGGTGGCTGCCAGAAGCGTGATCACGCCACAGTATAGTCCAGAATCACCGATACCACAAAGAACACGGCCTACGATGAGGGCATTCATATTAGGAGCCGATCCGCAAACCGCAGATCAGATCTCGAAGATCGCGACGCTGATGATGTAGGTCCATTTCGTGTTGATGTAGAAGAATATTTTCCCCCAAAGAAGCACAGTGGCGGAGGCTCTCATAACTAACCCAACACCGACCCATGATAGCTTATTGACAGCTTGAAAGCCTCGGACGATCTCAACCTGGCAGCTTGCAGTGATGGTGTTGCCCATTGCGAAGAGGAAGGTCGAGCTCTGGATCGCCAGTACGACAGTAATCCACTTCCATCCTTGGATATCACGCGCAGCAATCTCGAGATCGTTGGCTGGCGGAACTCTGCCCGTGACATCGATGATGTTGTGGATTTTCTCCATGTCACTCGAGGATATGTCGCTGCGGTTCATCTTGTGCAATTATTGCGCCGTAACCAAGAGCTGGTTGAGAGAGAGATTTTAGAATGAAAGCTTGAGGACCTCTTTTTTTTTGGAGAATTTAAAACAATATAAGCGAAAGATAACACAAGGAATTCGCTGCAGAGATAATACATTACCAATTGTCGGCGTTTTGTGTCAGCCAACACGGTGTGCCAATTCATCCGTTCCTGCGCTTGTCGGGTCTACTCTTTTTCTTTCGCATGAACACACACGGTGCATGTTACACAAGTTCAACCGGTCAAGAAACCCGACCCAGACCCGATCAGAGGTATATACGTTTTATGTATGTAGGAGACCGGACGATCTTGGGGGAAGATCTTGCGGGGAGATATTTAAGCCGCCTTCGGTACCCGAAGCCATGTGGGGGCCATGCATGAACCCCGTACTACTCGTTCCTTAGTGCCCGAGTCGGGAGAACTAAAGATTTTGAAGATTCCCCGTATAGGCTTATTTAACACGTTGATTTGCTCACTTTCAGCACTCGATCCTTCATTATCTCACGATTTCTCATCAAACGACCAAACATGGCACGCAGACCTGCACGATGCTATCGGTATTGCAAGAACAAGGTTAGTGCTCACTCTGGCTGACGCCTTGGCATAATAAAAATTCGCATCTAAGATAGCATTATTTAGCCTTACCCCGAGTCACGCTTCAACCGTGGTGTCCCAGATAGTAAAATCCGTATCTTTGATCTGGGACGGAAGAAGGCGTCTGTAGACGACTTTCCGTGCGCCGTGCACTTGGTGTCCAATGAGTATGAACAACTGAGCTCAGAAGCACTAGAAGCTGCACGTATCTGTGCCAACAAGTTAGTCAACTAAATCTCTTCGATTTACCTAGGTATCTGCCTAGGTAGGTATGTTCATACTATGGCTAATCTCCCCGTTCTTCTCAAAAGATATCTCGTCAAAGTTGCCGGCAAAGAGACATTCCACATGCGCGTCCGAGCTCACCCTTACCATGTAATCCGAATCAACAAGATGTTAAGCGTTGCTGGTGCGGATCGTTTACAAACGGGAATGCGAGGCGCATTCGGAAAGCCAGCTGGCAAGGTGGTTCGAGTAACCGTGGGCCAGATTCTGCTTTCCGTGCGAACAGTCGATCGCCATCGAGTGACTGCAGTGGAGGCGCTGCGTCGCTCTATGTATAAGTTCCCTGGTCGGCAAAAAGTGGTTGTTAGCAAGATGTGGGGCTTCACTTCTTTACCACGAGCTGAGTATTTGCGGTTGAAGGAAGAAGGCTTGTTGCGGAATGATGGTTCATATGTCCAGTTCTGTCGGCGGAAGGGAGAGGTGAAAGAGAACATGAAGAATTTCCCACAGGCATACAGTCCCCCTGTGGAGATGCGTATATGAGGCTGTACTCTATTCATCTTGTATCAACATGACTTTGTTCGTGGGTGAAGGTATGTGGCATACAAATCAAGGGCCTTCTAATGTAAATTTCTACACTCATCCGGAAAATCACTTTAGTTCAATACCAGTAAGGTCGTGTATAATATATAATACTTACAAAAGCCAAGGTGCACCTACGAACCAGTACCTAGATACATATTGCCTTGTGCAGGTCTTCGTTTGCCTATTGGGATACATGCTATAGGCCACGCGCTATACAAGAACAAACCTAGTAGATATGTATCTACATCTATGGATACAACTCCAATTCACTGATTTATATCAAAGCAGTACTTGCTATTCGGTATGAAAGAATTCCTACTAGGTGACGGAAGTAAAGAATGTTTTAACGCATAAATATATATTTCACTTTTTTCTACATGTATGCAGCAACAGGCATTGTTACTACAAATCGTTGATAATTGTAAATGATCATTAGCGTTTTATTTAACGTGAGATGTGGAGTGATTCTTTTTAGTGCCTGATTATACCGTAAGATAAAAAAGCAGCAAGAGGCTATGCGATCTAAAATGGAAAGGAAATAGTCTTAGGGCTACTGGAGCCAACTGGACAACTGCCCAGACCAATGGTGACTAATCACACGTGACCTGCAACATCCTCCCGATGTCCGAACTGATCGGGTTGTGAGCGGGCATCTCGAATCACCTCTGTCAATTCAATCTTAACAGGACTTGTCCTTTTTTGCCGAAAATGGGTGCTGGAAACTCTAAGCCCGAGACCTCGACCGGCTCACAACATGTGTTCTCCAGGTATTGCTCCCCGAGTCGAATTTCAGCTTCCGCGGCATTTGGTGTTTGATGGCGGAGGGAAAGGGACCAACCTCCCAATTGGTATCAATTGGAAAGGGCAGACCATTCCCTTGCTTCAAAAGAGCATTCGAGCTCCAAATACCACTTGCGATGCCGCGGAGCTCAGTCAAAGCACTCTACAGCCGACGCTAACATCCACAAACAGCAACTCTCCAGTGCAATTCTCCTCGAACTTAGTCGATGCTCTCCAATCTAACTCAGAGGTATGCACACCACTGCACTAATAACCAGGTAAATGGAACCAAAAACTCACAACCCACCCAACCCAACAGACCGATTCCACCCGCTCGAAAGCCCTGGAACTGGAAATCCAAAACCGCGTCGCACAGGAGCTGCAGCGGCTTCGCGAGCGCGAGCAACAAACCCTCGCGCAGATCGAGAAGCGCATCGCCGAGTCCAAAGACACGACCTCCCTGCCCATCACAGCAGCGACGGCGCCACTGGCCCCCTCGACCTCCGGCTACCCCGAGGGCTCTTTGAACCTGGACGCCCCACGTATCCCCTTCGCAGGACGGCACCACGACCCGGCGCCCACATACGCGGCGGCGGTGGAGACCGCTGCTCCGGCTGCGCCGGCTAAGCGTGATATCTCGCGGGACTCTGTGGCCGCGGAGATCGAGCAGCTGCGGAGTAAGCTCGATGGGCGGAGGAAGCTGACGGAACTGGACGATGGCATTGCCAAGGCTCGGTCGGATGTCACTAGCTGCTTGCAGTTGAATGACCGTCGGCCGTTGAACTGCTGGGAGGAGGTTGATGCTTTCAAGCGCGAGGTTGCGCGTTTGGAGGCTGCGTTCGTGGATCGCATTGTGGGTTAGATTGGTGGGTTAGGATTTACGGCGGCTTGATATGAATTGAAGTCTCTATGTTTGAGGAGCCCTCTTGGTTGGGCTTAGAGCTGCTGTACTGTATGTATAGAACGTGCATTTTCTTTGTTCCTTTGTTTCATCTGAATAGGATAGATCTAATCCATGGATGAGACTCGATTTCAGTCATTTCAGTCATTTAACCTGCCTTCCAGGGCTTAGGAAAATTTTCTTACTGTAGTGTTGTGAGGGGGACCTTGTCAGTTAACGTCTGGCATCTTGATCACAATTGGGCTCTGGGGTAACTCCAGTGTTAACGATCGGTCCAACTGTATGGTCTTCCCATGTAAACATTAGAGGTTTGTAGACATGGTTTTTGTTGGGATGTATAAGTTGAAACATTATATATGGACAATCCCTGACCAGTCGGGTCATAGCCAGCCAGGCACAAACCTTCCATGGGACAGGGAAGTGAAAGACGATTGCAAGAAGCCAGAATGCCCGAAGTCTGATTCTAACCCAAGAAACCAACAAAATAAGAAGGCTCGTGCTAAAACTGCTAAAAAGAAATGGTGAGTGACTAGCCCCTCAGCTTCACTACCCACTGACGAATATTGTTCATAGAACACGGTTATCGCAGGAGCAGTCATGACAGATCCGGGAGTATAAGGGCCTCGTTTATTTGGCATGCTCAACGCATAGCTAGATAGCAAGAATGAACTGATCTTCAGGTGGAAATGGTCAGTGAACGGCGTTGTTGTTCAAGTTTTCAACAAACTAGCAGTATTCGGGTATATAGAAAATATAATGTATTTCTCATCATAAATTTGGTTATCATACAAACTCCCACATCCCCAACCGCCCGCTCTTCTCTCCAGCGGCCCGAATAATACACGTTCGTCTCTCGTTAAGCTTGACATTGGGTTCCAATACCTTTGTAATCTGAATTGATCCAATGCCTGTGCCTTTTCCTTCAGAAAGATTATAGTTGCCCGTAGTAACAAAACCAATCAGATCCTCTTCGGCGGGCACTTCCAAGTGCTCCAAGTCAGACTCCTCGGTGGGAGATGATATGAGAGACTCGGCAAGCAAACGTCGAGCTTCTTCGGAGGCAGGTACCGGGTTACCCTTCTTGGAGACCTTTGACTCAGCATGTTTACTGGTGTTTCCTGAGGCAATATCAAGCCATTTTTGGCGCAGGGCTGGGTCAGTGGGAAGCCGGTAGATTCGCGCACGGGGTGTGGGTGTTCCACGCGAAGCGAGGGAAATATAAACAGTCCCAAAGGTAGAAGCATCAACAGACGCTTTGTCGAATTTATTTAGGGTTTGCGAGCTATCAAGTCGAGGATATCGGACGTTGTGAATGTTGAGAGGTGGAATGGTGGGACTAGAGGTATCGATTGACACAGGCTCCTTGGCATCGGCTGGCTTTTTGCCAGACTCGACCTTGTGGCTGCCATCAGCTGTTTGGGCTGCAGTTTCTCCCTGGCCCGGGCCTTGAAGCAGTCGTTCCCAATCACAGGCCCAACCGTGGCCAATCTCGCCCTTTGGACGGCCCTCTCCCAGTACCATGTTATCAAATTCTGGACGCCGTCCCTTAGGACGACGCTCCCATTCACGTTGAGACTTCTTGGTCTCGCGTTGGCCCCATTCCCAGCCAGCTCGGGTCCCTGGGAAGTCTCCGGGAAACCAAGCTTCACCGGCTTCGAAAGCAAGCTGTTGCTGCTGCTTTAGTCCACCGAGGAGGGGATTTCCCCCACTGGATAGCGGGTAGAACATAAGCGAATACCAGACTGGGACAACACATTTCCATGGCAATAGAACCGTCCAAGAGCCCGGAGCATTGCTGCGCTTGGCCCGGGCTTCTGGCTTGTTTGCCAGGATCATGACAGGGATTTGAGGATCAGATGGCTGGGCAAGTGGATATTTACCAGGCCCAGCAAGAGTGCGGCGCCGGTTGATGGCTTTCTGACTAGGGAGCTGACGAGCTGCAGTCAATCGGGTAGATCGATCGAAAAGCGTGGATGGACCTTGTGTTTTATCCGGACTCCATGCAGAAAGTAGGATAGCAAGATCATTCATATGCGATTCATTGTCGGGAACGTGAAGTGTCCGTGATGGAAAATGTAGGCGAGGATCAGAGACTGCAAACGAGAGCAGGGCATTATTTGGTAATGACGAAGGATTTGAAACTCCTAGAAGGGCTTGCCATGTCGCCTCTGGACTTTGGGCCGACGGAGCATTGCCGTCAGGCCCCAGGATTGGTTTCAATGTTGCCAGTAAAGCCTCGGCAGAGCCTGGTCCCGTAACTTCAATGCTACCAATTTCGAATCGCAGATCCTCAACCATTACAGGAGGATTTTGCTTCTTGGAGACGTCGAGAACATCTGTCCACAGCTGAAGGAACGCTGAAGGATGGACTCTAATCCAGAGCTTTCGGTAATCCTTTGATGTCTTGGTTTGAGGGTGATCTGCATCAATCATCTCGACATCCTCATGCTTGGCACACCAGACCAGTGTCACCGGCGCAGTCAGGCGCGAGCGATGATCTTTTTCGAATGTCCATGCCTGCAGAGAGCGAGTGCCAGCCCTCCATTTCTTCCCTTTCGCACCCCAAGCATTCTCCCCCTCAACACCAACTGCCATGAGAACAGCCTGGATAGCAACTTCCGTGCCCTCCAGCTGAATAGTGGACATATAACTCATATCCCACGCCACAGCCCCCCTAGCGCCTCGGGCACGGTGGGTGGGCCGATAGCTCTTTTCGGTGGGAGACAACGGTATAGCAAAACGCCAGAGAGGGTCTTTAGTCGTGGCCATATGGGCTCGCTTTGCGTGATATAAATGTGTAGGCAACCACGTCTTGCACTTTTGGCGCTTTCTGTATTTGGGCTCCGCAGGCGTGGGCCTCGACAGCTTGTTCTTCTTGATCTTTGGAACTCTGGGTGCAATATTGAATGCATGGCTTCCCTGTTCTGCCAAAGTTGTCTTTTCTTCCTGATCGAGCTTGGTCTTTGCAGCCGCCCGTCGGGCCTTTGTCTTAGAATTGAGAGCTTGCAATCGCCGGGCGGTATCAAGACGAATGCGCATTCTCTGGGATGGTTTGCGTCTGCGCGCGGTAACAGTCGGCGTGTTATCCTCGACCATCTGTATAGTACAAGGTAGAAATAATTAGCCAAAGATTCTCTCTAGAGGATATACCGGTTGCCGAATACTTCTCGCTTTGCTCGGGCTCTCAACCTCCGCGGAACACGCTTCACATTATGACTCGCCGTGCGCCGCCTCAGCGAACGAGGCACCTTCTGAAATGCCCGCGTTGTGAGTGCGCCTTTCGACCGCTGCATACCCTCTTCGAGAGCCTGTATCTCGAACGCCCGGGCTGCGGAGTAGGCGGCGACATCGAGCTCTCCCGTGGCGGAGAGTGCGGCGTCTGCCGACTGCACAGCAAGGGTACGCGCATCAAACGTTTTCGCGCGCTTGCGAGATCCTCCGGAAGTGCCATGGGGGCCTGAAGGCTTCCGCTTGGGAGGTTTGGAAGCCATGGCTGCTGATTTGAAGTTATATCGAAGTTCGTTGCGGCGTAAAAAAGTTGCCGGGCTTGGCGCGTCATGATCGGCGGCCCCACGACATGATTTTTGTTTGGCATTCAATTTACATTTACTTCTTTACTACACAACAATTTCATGTTCAATTGTCAAATTTTTTTCCAAACATGATTCTCATTATACACACATATTTCAAAAACTAGATAGTCCAAAAATCCCAATTGCCAGGTGGCTTCACATCACAACGGCAACATGGTCATTCATATACTTCTTGATGCTGCCCATAAAGCAGGCGGCTACGATAGAGACACCACCAAATGCAATGCTGACATAGTATACCCATTTGTATCCTTCAGCATATGCGAGTTGCCCCGCTCCGACGACCATCTGATAGGCAGTCTCATTTCCAGCGATCCCGGGAATTAGACGTAGCTCGTCCAACAGTGAGGCACCAGTCAGTTCAATTGCTTCGCCGATGAGCTTGACATCGGTGACATTGAGCTCTTTCATCATCACACCACCGATATAGTATGTTGCGGCGGGAACAAACTTGGAAATGAAGACATTGTAGTAGATGGTGTAGCCGACGCTTCCGCCTACTACGCGAATAGATAGAGTGAGCGCAGAGATGGTAGCAATAAGATCCTAAGTAATCAGATTGTCAGTCAAATTGCATATTCTTTGCGTCCAGCTAACTTACATCTGGGCAAATGATTGTGGTGATAATTGAGGCCGGCACAACGATGCCTCCAATTCCTAAGCCGGCAAGGACGAGAATGCCCCAAAGTTGATACATATTGTCAGTGCGGCCGATAGACATAGCACCGCATCCTATTTTGGAAAGCATGAATTAGCCTCATGGTACCCTTAAAACTCACCAAGAAGACTTACCCGCTGTCATCAGGACACTACTGATGATCAAGAGTTCCTTATTGTGGCCCCGGAGAACAGTGAGCAGCGCAAGGACGATACATGCACCTGCCATGATCCCGAATCCAATGGGGAGACCTCGAACACCCACTGCTACCGGATCATGACCGTAGACGTTGAATGCTTGTGTGGGCCAGAACATCAGGACGGAGAAGAAGTTGGCACCGGAGATAAAGGTAATCACAAGTGTAAGGCCCAGTGTCCGAGGTTCTTGCTTCAGGCGAGACGGAAAGATGGGATACTTGGCTCCATATATCTCCCAGAAACCAAAGGCCACCAGAAGAAGGAACCCAATGATCAGGGGTGCCAGGACATGAGCAGAGCCCCAGGGATACTGGACACAATGTTAGAAGGGTTGAAGTACCACTAGAGGATATAGCCAAACATACCATATATCCACCCCACTGCAAGCCAGCCAAGAAAATAATCAGACCGGTGATGCTGAGAAAGCCACCCACAAAGTCAATTCGTCCGATGATCTCCTTCTTGCTCAAACCAGCAGAATTGACTCGTGGCGGAGGGAAGTAGAACAAGATAGTGATCAGCAGGCCGAAGGCACTCCATGCACCACAGAACGCTCCAACGTAGCGCCAATTGCTGTAGTATGCGATAAGCTGAGCCCACAATACAGATGGGCAGAATGGCACGATGGTGAAAATCAAGGCTGAAACATAAACTCCTCTCTTTCTGGTGGGAGCCATTTCAGAGGTTGCAGCCAGAGCTGTCAGCTCGTTAATTCCGGCACCAGCACCAGCAATCGCCATACCAGCTGTTTGGGCGATGTTAGCGAATGTATCTGTTTCATGCTCATGTCATTTAGCAAGACGAACCGATGAAGTTGTTCATTGTGTGCACTGTGCTGCAGATAATCATTCCGATGACAATAAGAGAGGCGCCGATGATAGCAACTAGGCGGCGTCCAATTAGATCGGATATAGATCCAACGAATGGACATACACCTGCGAGACCGAGCAGGTTTGCAAGAACCTGGGGTTCATTAGTTGATGAAAGGATTACTATACTTCACGCGGTATCCACTCACAAACCAGACCCATCGATCTGCTCCACCAATGTCTCTATAAATATAGGGTGGAATACCGCCTGAACCAAAGTAATCAGATTTAAACCAATATTAATTTGGGGGGTTGGTTTACCAAACAGATAAACTGGGATTTGACTTCCAGTCCACAAGAAAGCCATGGCCACAAAGCCCATGAAGCGACGGAAGGTCATCTTTGAGCGAGTCAGTGTCATCGCATCAATAGGTCTCATATCATTGCTCTACCGGAATATCCATTTCGGACTCATGCATAGCCTCTTCTGATCCAGATCCGGATCCAATCTTTTCCTGGTGACTATGCTGCTCAGAGTCACTATGCTCATGGTGTTGAATCGCCGCCTTCTCGTCACCCGCCTGTCTGGATTGATCAACTATGTCCGCCATCATGCCCTGAAGTCAATGACCAGGAATTGCTGAAGACAGGAAATGGAAAAGTGAATCAGAGGGAAATCCGGGGAATTGACGTTGGCCCCACCGAACTTAAATAAATAAATTTAGATGCGAGGGGAATTGGAATGGAATGTCGACTGATCATACAGCGGATAGTATTGGGGAAATCAAATCCAAATCCCAGAGACCGAGAATAGACAGATAATTTATCTTAACTTGACACCAAATCTCCCTCTCCCTAGACCATTATTGTCGGAAACGTCCGCTTGGTGATGTAACGAATCAAAAAGAGGAGATCAAAGAGCTTGTATGTGGTACAAGCTAATGCGCCATGATTTAGGGTCTGGTAAGCGATAGCCGGGACAAAAATGCTTGGAATCTAGAAAATACCGAGGCAGCTTGGCAAATCCCCCAGTATTTCTGGGCATTTGGACATTTCTGGGGGCCAAATTCGCCCCATTGCGGGTTGGAAAATGCGGGGGAAGAAAAACGTGGAGCAGAAATGATTCATGCACTCGGGCCTCGATCCTTTCACCTTCGGAGGTCATGCCTCAATGGGAATCAGCCCCGAAACTATGATCGTCTGTGTTTCTATGGTTCTTGAAGATTGCGTGTATGTGTGTGTCCAATTATGTACAGTATATAGAATAATGTAATGATAAATGATAGTAACTGTTGGAAAGTGTCAAGGAAATGTGTAGGTGTACAGGAATACTTTATCTAGAAGTCTCCTTTGTGTTTTTGCGATGATTCGCAATTTGTTCTGGTGTCCAAGCGGGTCGGGAGACGGGTGTTGAGTCTATGGTGGGAACAAGGCTGAATCCCAAGTCACCCGATGTTCCAGCTCTGGAGATTCATAGATGCCAATGTAAAAAAGAGTGCCCCAAGTTTCAAAAATGTTCCCCAACTTTAGCAAGCTTGAGTTTCTTAGGGACAACGAAAAGACCCGATGCCTCAACACAAAGTTGACCACTCATATCACGCATCTCGCAAGTAGCATATGCCTTGCGGTCCGTGCTTTGTTCCTGGTCTAGAGACGTATGCAGGGCGTAGAAGCCATTGGACAATGTCTTATTCCGATAGCTAACGTTGAGATTGGCAGTGACCCCTGTTCGCTCTGGGAAATGCCGAATAGCTATTCGGCCTAAATTCTCATCGATGACCGTGGCCACTGCACCGCCGTGGACCATATGTGGCCAGCCCTCAAGGCCGTGTCCAAAATAGACCACGCTAACATTGGCTTTCTCCTTTTCGTTCCAGAAAACTTTCTGTAAAGTAAAACGCAGTTAGATGACGGGATCCCGAGGTTCGGCATTGGAAGAGGTTCGGCACTTGAGCATGTACTTCTTACATGCGTCAGACGCCAACAGAACGGAAAACTAACCTGAAAGGCAAGACGTCCGCTGCCAGCCAACGGACCAGAAGTCAGCCGATGAGATTTGTGCTCATCTGAAAAGTGCTCGTAGACGTCCTTTTCCACGTAGTCGGGGTTATTGCGCAACGCTTGCACAATAGGGAGTCCGTCGGACATCAGTTGGATATCTGCAAGCATCGCTTTGTCATCTGGCGAGCCGGGTAAAAACGGTGGTTCGAACATCAGGCGGTCCATATAATTCCCTGCGCCTAGGCCAAGTGCGCCAAATATGCCCGCATAGATCAGACGCCGCGTCCATCGCGATGGTTGCCTCGAGGCATTTGGCAGTGCCGGTGCTGCAGTGCTGACATTTCGAGCCGGTTGGCGCCAAGCTCGCGTTTGTGTTGGGATGTGGCGCAGGGCCGACTGGAGGATTCTGCGAGAATGAATCATAGTCACATCGCCATTTTTTGATTGAGAAGCTCAAATTGATCGCATTGAATCTGGACCGAGGCCCAAGTCACGTGCGATTAGTCATCTGTTTCTGGCCCCAGGGCTCCAGGACATTGGCTACTCGACTGTATAGATTGAGACGAAGACAAATTAAACTATAAGGTGCAAATTATTGTAAGGCTTTGAGAAAAAAGTATTGGTAATAGTAAAGGCACGAAGACCGCCATCATTCATGTTCATCGTTTCTATTCATCTAGAGGCAACATTTGAAGGCTTATGCTTATATGAAATAATCATACAAGACCCAACTACTCAGATGTAGGCAGATCAATCGCGCGATAGAGACAAATCAGTGCAGAGTGGGATTCACCTTGAGATATTGTTAGCAGTCGATCCAAGCTGATATTGTGGGTTTCACTTACCACCACCGGAAAGGGTCTCGATCTTCTGTGCTTCCACCTCAGTCACCGTGTCATCGTTGAACCACCACCACTTGCCACCCTCCTCTCGGCGCTTGCTACCGGGCTGAGCCTCATCCCGCTCCTGTTTCTTGACATACGCGGTGTAGTGGCCGCTGTCAGCGCTAGCACCCTGGTGGGTGATCACAGCACGAAGCTCATAAAGACCGGACTGGTTGGTTCCATTGTCTCCAGTGCCCCTTTGAATGAGAAGCTCTTGGAGTTCTTTCTTAGCAACGCGGATGGATTCCGCTCTCTCAGCCTCGTACTCGGCATCGGTCTTGAAAGTTTCCTCCATCTGGGTGTCGCCGTCCTTGTCGTTGGCCTTGGCTTTGTTCTCCTCGGTGGCCTGCTTCTTCTGCATGGGCTCCACGTTGTCGCCCAAATTCGTCTCTTTCATTTGACGCTCCGCACGCTCCTCCGCAACCCGTTGGCGCTTCTGGGCTCGCTCGACGTCCAACTCCTCTTTGCGAATCTCGCGAACCTTGTCGCGAATAGGAACAAGCTGCTTGCGGAGATCCTCGGTACAGAACTCCACCACATCCAGTTCAGCAGGGAATGTCACTTTGCGCATGATCTTAGCCTTCTTTTGAGTCTCGCGCTTCCAGTAGAATCGAACGAAATGAACGGTGAGGTACTTGGGCAGTCGTGCGATGCGAGACCGCTTTTTGTAAACAGAATTCCGCTCCAACAAAGGAGAGTTTTTCTCAATTTCTTCCTCCAAGCCAGCTAAAATTCCATCTTGCAAATGGTTGGTTTCCTTCCCAATATGACAGTCCAGCTTATAGAAAACATCTGAGCTTTGACTGGGTTCCTCGCCGAGCTCCTTCGCAGCTGGGTCCTCACACTCAGTAACGGATTCGAATTGACCGGCGAGATATTTGTCCACAAACGAAGTCTTTGTGGCAGAATCCCCCTCTCCTTCAGTGATGGTCAACTTGGCCCGCAGCTGGTTCATAATTTGAGAGAAAGCCTCCTCAGCATCTTGTTGGGCATAGCCTTGTCCGTTTCGATCACGCTGAGCGAATTGAGGAAAGACAGATCGAAGAGCGTTGAGGAACATCAGCGGAGGAATTCCCACCTGGGTTTCAGACATTTGCTTGAACAGGTCTCGTAGCGAGGCGGCCAAATCGCGAGAGCCGCCGAGACCACCCAGGCCAAAGCTGCTCAGGTCTGACAGTCCAGATTGACCAGCTCCTCCGCTTGGGCGGTAGTTGAGGAGCTCCTGCTGAAGCTCCGGAACACTGCGCAATGTTTGTAAGGTGGAGTTAAGATAGCATGTGTTGCCCAGGTTCTGCAAGCCAGCGGGAGTAGCACCTTCCTGCCTAGCCACCTCCGCCTCGGTCATGTCTTCCAGGAATCTGACGGTTTCCTTGGGTCGACCAAGGTCAGCAGAACCTTGGCCTCCCGATGGTGTGCCCATCATCATAAACACCTGCCCGGGCTTGGCATTGAGGGACGAAAGAGGTGTGTCATCTTTGAGCTGGCCACCTTTGACGAGAACCTTTTGGCGGTCGGGTTCGACACCAGTCAAGGAGAAGAGTTGATATTTGAGGGTCTCGCCGTTCGATGTAGGGTCAAGCTCGACTTCGTGGCGCTTGCCAGCATGCTTAACAATGACTGTGCTTTTGTTAGTATTCATTGAAATACACTGCCGACCAATCGACACATACTAGGTACAGCTGCCATGCTGGATAGGTTTTGACAAGGAATGATGTGAGTGGGATAAAGAGCTTTGAAGAGCTTGTGGTTGCTGAGGCGAATGATAAACACCAACGAGGAAGCGTGGGGAGAAGCATTCACCGCCCGGCTACCACCCACCCGCACGTCACCTCCCTTCAGCCTAGGCCACACTGTTGTCCAGGAATCATTGCGACCATCCACTGCCTGTAGCTCAAGGCTCATTTCAAGTTTCGGAATTCACTTACTGGCCCTATCATCTTCCTCGCCAACCGCGTCCTCGAGACACAATACCCCGCGATCATGGTCCGTCCCGCCCCATTAAACAACAAGTCTACAACTAACACGTTCAATTCAGTCGCAATCGCTTCGGCCGTACCTCCAGTGGCAAGTTCTCTGTTATTTATTCTAATCTACAGTAGACATGCTAACAGTCCGCCAGCGTCCGGTCCTCTTTGACCGCCGCTCTTACGATCTCCAACTTCGCTTCCCAGGCATCGGAACGACAGTAAGCAACCGCTGATACCGATTCAAAATACAAAGACGCTTATCAAATGCTTCTATGTAGCAATACCCCGCAAGTGGAAGCCCGAGACAGCCCTGAGTTGCTCTTGAACCCGTCAGTCTAACGTCTACCCCCCAGACTCGCATAGGGCTAATATCGATAATCCGTCCAGGTTGCACATAAGCAGAAATGAAAATGAGAAGGTGTAAGTATACCGTCGTATGTCTTTGGTCGCATGTTACTAACAATGCATAGTTTCATTGAGCCTTCGCGAAATTCCGTTCGAGTTTCCATCCGCATCAAGCAGGCAGATGAGATCGAGCACATCCTTGTTCACAAATTCACTCGATTCCTCACTCAGCGAGCGGAGTCATTCTTCATTCTGCGCAGGAAGCCGGTGGAGGGCTTCGATATCTCCTTCCTCATCACGAACTTCCACACCGAAAAGATGCTTACTCACAAGCTGATTGACTTCGTAATTGAATTTATGGAAGAGGTGGACAAGGAGATCTCGGAGATGAAGCTCTTCGTATGTGACAGGTTATACTATCTTCGTCCCAAGTCACTAACTCTTTGGTAGTTGAATGCCCGTGCTCGATTCGTCGCCGAGTCTTTCTTGACACCGGTATGTTTCTATTGTGGTGTATCTCATTGACCCACTTGCTAATGCTAGTCCAGTTCGATTAAATTGCCCAGCGTTTTCTTGTTGACTCCGAATAATGAATGACCTGTGTTTCCCACCTTCTACTCTTGTACAGATAGCACAGGCTTGCATTGATTAAGAGAGAACTCTATACCGATGTTCGTTTCCAACCTTGGAATGACTTCTGCCCAATTCTATACATGAATTGTACAGAGTAGATTTGTGCTATGGCTAGTGTAGCGTGGTGCATTCAAAACCCCAGTCATATTCCAGCCTAATAAACGAAAGCACCATACTTCACCCCCATCCTTTGAATTGTCAGAATGCGAAGTAGAAAGATCGGTCATTTCTCCGACAGCCGGGTCTTCACGTCTAAGAGATCACCATTTCATTTCCACGCACTACAGACATCAGATAAGTAGAATGGGCTTCTATATAGGCCTACATATCTGCAATGGAGTCATCAAAATCAACTCAAATTCATTTACAATATAAGGGATTATAACAAACAGAACACACACAAGTTAGTATAGAGAATGGAGTAAAAGATATGTGCAGTAAGATAGGTAGACGAGTGCGTGGCCATAACAACGATCAGTGCGTGGTCATTTTTACTCCCAGGGGAAAAAACAATTTATACGTGACCCTCGCCGCAAAGAGGTGCGTGTCGTTGAAACGGTACACACTCATCAAAACTTCGCTCCACCAAGTCCATACTTCACAACCTTACGGCGAAAACGATTTTTTGAATAATTTTATGTTGTAATGCACTTTCCCAGATACATTTTGATAAATATACTATCTTCATAGAATCTGTTTTTATAAAGACAAGAAACATCTAGGGCTAGATGCTCACTATGTAAGGTCTCGCAACTATAACTAGCGCTTTTGAAAATTGCAACCAAATCAAATCATTAGCTATAATACTCGTTGAATATTTGTCATTCTCGCCACGCAATTTTAGTTGAAGGCATTCGAATATAGAGCCCTTGTTGCAATTCGCTTTGATTTAAAAATATCTAAATTACCGTTCTATTATAAGTTGTGGAGTGAGGTCAACATTGACGCTCCCATATATTAGGGATGTAGAATCTTGAAAAGTAGCCCTAATAAGTCAGTCAAACTTCAAAACTTGGGGTACCTTCTAAGGGCGACGCACTTTTAGACAAGTTTTGGTCTTCTCACAATCCATCTCTCCTACATATTCTTCGGGCGACGCACCTCCGCAATTCCCACCACCGCTGCTCAATATCATAACCGCTTGATCCAAAATGGTCTCTGGTGTCTTGCATGACAACTTAGCCCATTACTTTGCCTGCCGTGAAGTATTTCATAGCATGGGTTTAGTTTTCGGTCCTGCTGCAGGCACATTCGATCGTGGATACAGTGAGTGTTATCTTGATTTTTGGGGATATGAGCCTGGAGATGGTCTTAACCTGAGGGATGGGATTAACCTGAAAGATGATCCTAACCTGGGGTGTTTTGTCCCATTGCTTGCTCCATACCGATCTCGTTCTTTGAGTTCTCTCTCTTCTTTTGATTACTCCTTTCCAAATTCCATACCTGCTTTATCTTCTCCAACAAACCCTGCAACCTCACCTACTTCAGACTCTTCGAGCTCGTCGTCTGATTCCTCATCTGCAACACTTCGTCCAAGTCCTCACTCTCCTACCTCGTTCTCACATTCTGACTCTTCGAGCTCATCATCGGGCTCAACATCTGCAACCATTCCTCCAACTCCTCTTGGATACTTGCAGGCTAGGTATCAAGAGCTTGACTCCTGTGCTCAGGAGGTCTACGAAAAGATCGTTGAAGTATTTCTGAAGTCTGTTGCCATCCACGGTGACATGGCCTGGCCTCTGAATGGGACCTCCTCCCTGGCGGAAGATACCATCGCTGCCCGGTTGAAAGACACCAAAATCGATGATCTGCTTCAGACTAGTGCACTGCCTATTGCCAGTGTCGTTGGCCTCCATGTTCCTGCCCGCAGTGGTGTTATGATGATCTCAAACGTGAGTACCATGTCACTTCCGTTCAACTCTTGCTTCAATTGTTGCTTTGTTTGACAAACTTTGACTAACAGGATTGTTACTCAGATCCCGTACACTGTCACTCGCCCGGAGATTGCCGCATTTCTCGGACGATCCGCTCGCACCCTGCCTCCTAGCCAGGGATCTCCTATTCATATCATCATGGAGCGATCCACTGGCAAGACCATGGATTGCTTTGTCGAACTTGAAACTGAAAAGGATGCCAAGGATACCGTGGATCGTATCAACAATCGAAGTTATGACTTGGGCAGTTCTCCACGCATCGGCAACCGTCACGTCGATGTGGAGTTGAGTAGCCCGGCGAAAATGATGAAAGCAATCTTTCCTCTGGCCAAGTGCATCGCGTGGGTTGAGGGAAAGCCCGTTCGACTCGAAAACAAAGATTCATGGTCGACTGGTTTCGACGGTTTCCTTACTGATGAGGAGCTGTTTTGTCTACTCCGTCATGCTGAGCAGCCTCATCGTGTAAGTTTCACTTCTCTCACAGCCATCTTGACATGCATGATAACTAATACTTCACAGAGTGCATTTGCCAGCAAGGTTCCCCAGCGCTGCTATGAATCTTTTATCACCACTATCTTGAAGGTAAGTGGTTCATATTCTATCCATTCATGTTTGTATATTTGTATCTTGCTTACACGTTTTCTCTTGCTTCATAGTTCCCGTGGCACGCACCAAATTTGTACACTGTTTATCACCGCAACAAGCTTTTCCTCACTATGAAGGCCATGATTCAGACTCTTGTCGGTCGCATCAAGAACAAGAACACTGTCGGCCTGGACCTGCGACTTTTGCAGGAGTTGGTCCAAACTGGAATCGGCTGCCCTGGATTCAATCCTCGCATGAAATGGAGCTTTGCTCATTTGTCTAAGGAACAGCCTATTATCGATAGCTTGGATCAGGGTTATTGCCTCTACTTCCCATTTGACACCCTGAACTATGTTCCTGGCCACACCTCACTCGATGTTCAGGTATGAAAGTGTTGAGAGTCTGGGCTCTTGAATGGATACTAACACGTCTTCTGATTTCTCCAGTACTATGCTTTTATCATGTCTCATGGCTGTGCTTCTATCCCCAACGCGGACGGACTGATGAATCAGCACGGACACCCTGATATCTTGCGGGTTTATGGAATGAACTTCTTTGAGTGGAATGAAGAGGTCGCCAAGCGCATGATATTCACGGATGCCAACATCTATGAGGCCCGCCTCTTCCGTGAATTTTTGATCACTGGATTTCAGCGTATGCGTGGAAGGCAGACAAGCACCTCCACCATTGGAACTGCTCCATCTACACCCCCAAGCCCGGATGACGATGATGCCTCCAGTGAGCGTACTGTGGTAAACGTGTTCCACCCGGCTAGGGGTAACAGGGTCCTTCCAGTGACTCCCACTCGAGAGGATACCCGTGCAACTTCCTACCCTGACTTTGCTCGCAACTGGACCTTCCCCATGGGACCCTCTGTCAGGTTTGAGCATACTGACAGTACTGACACAGTTGTGCCGGAAACTCCTACTCGCCTCCCAGCAACCGAGCGTATCCAGCCCTACCGTCCTCCTCACGCCCGCAATGCCGCAAGCGGAGGTAATGCTCGCAATCAGCGGGGATACCAACGTCGTCGAGATGAGCTTTCCTCTGGCTCGGCTATGAACATGCCGCCGCCAACTTACTACGCTCCGCATGCCACCGCGCAGAGCGTTCGCTCGTCTTCGGATCCCGATCCTTTCGGTGGGGCTCGCCCCATGGCTCTCATCAGCCACCGATCCAACTCTGATGCACACCGTGCTAATTCCCATGTCCGCAGCTCAATCTTCAGTCGGATCCAGGGTTCCCGCGGATCTGGTGCTGGCAGGAAGTAAGCGAATGATGGACGCCACACAAAAAGATCTGTCACACATGAAGCTCCTCATTCGAGGAACACTCTGGGGCGGATCAACAACACGGTAACGGTTTCGGTCTCTCCTTTGATTTTTTTCTCCTTGATATTATGGAATCCCGGGTTTTCCTGCTAGATGTATGGAGACATCTATCGGCTGACATTTGAAAAAATCTTTGTCTCCACCGCGATCATGTAGCTCGAGCTGCCGACATGATGGACGTTTGCTTTTTTTTATTCTTATCATCATCATTCTTAGTTACGACTCCGTACCCTCGGTGGGGATCTACACTTCGGAGTGAATCATTCTTATAGTTTTTTTGCTGCATTTTGTATTGAAATTTCTTTTGCTTTCGTGTCACTTGGCTATCAAGTTTGCATCACTATTGCCTTGGCCAACAGATACCGAGGCCAGTAGGAACCGGGAACGGTGCCAGGATTGAGGGTTGCACTAGCTAGCTTTGAGTATTTGCGTTTGCACTGCGTCCGCGTTCTTTTCCCTTTGTTTTTCATTTTCATTCCGTAAATCCCTTTCAAGTTGGCGATGTTTGTTTATTCTGTAGAATCTGCTTTTTGGAAATCTTTCTCTCACTTTTGCGGGAAGGACACATAGGTTGCTCGTTGCCTTTTGGATCCGAACCGTGTTGCCTTTCTTCTTACAAAATCCCTCTGTCCCCTTCGGCATTCTTCTTCCCTGTTCAACTTGGCCTTTCACTGCTGATGATTGATTATGATCTAGATCTCGATTTATGATTTGATTTAAGCAGCGCCATCACAGACGACCGGCATCGATGACTTGCGTACCACGCAAGGCCTACATTGGAAAAAGGATTTCGTTCATGCGAAGTTTTATACTGATGCGTCAGATCAAATCATCTGCTTTGCGGGAATAAAGATGAGCAACCTCTTTGAAACAAGCAGGTTGCATATGGGTGAGACTTTATCACTCTGGTTTCTGATTTCCTGGATGGGCCTTGGCTGGTTACATTTAGTGTCGAGGATGCATCTTTGGTGCTCAACCGAGCCCATTCGAGCATTTCCAAACTAGGGCGACTGCGTTCCATTGATATGCATTGAGGAAGACTATACCCGTCACACTATGGGCGACTAGGCTACATACACATAGAGTGATTGGAGCGATTGCGAGCCCGAGGCAATGCTGACAGTTTTTGGTACAGAGTAGGCAGCACACACCAGTCAAAAGAACCGCTTGAATGCATTAAGAGGCTGATACTCCCGCAAACCAATCTGCTGTTCAGGGCATGGTCTCTGACGCACTCGAACAACTTGCTATGACTCAGAACCGCTCGAAGCAGGTGCATTTAACTTTGCGGGGTGTCATACCGGGCTTGAACTTGAACGGAGGTTCATGAGAGGTGTAAGCATGAGCAATGTACCCATGGAAGACTATGACCAGGACTCTCTTCCAGTGCATACCGAAACCTATTACTCGTGGTGCGAATACCGACTTCCATATTTTCCTCCACGGGCGTGTAGATGGCATAACGGCCTGATTGATTCGTACGATCTAACTAACCCTCCTCCTCCCGTCGTGACCAACCAGACTTCCGCGATCTGTCTCGGGCGCACTTATGTTGATGGATAATGAATGTATACTATAGGATAGCAAGATACAAGCGAGCAGCCTCATATAACTATCGGGTTCTATGTATAACAAACAATTTCTACATGTAGATTACCTACATATATACATATATATGTAAGGAATTGGCTGTTTGCCCTGACCAAATAATAAGTTGCGGCGCCTTAGACACTTGCAAATGTTCTGGAAAAAGCAAGCGAAAAAAACAAGGTAAGGGTAAGTAAAAGCGGGCCATTTATTACCGGTTTTTAAAAGGCATGCGGGCCCCTTGAGTATTTCGTTCTTTTTCTACCTTTGAAGCCACCTAGATCTCGTCTTATTGGACTTATTAAGCTGATTTTACTTGGCTTTGTTTTTGATATTCAATCTGCGTCAAATTCCGAATCCTAGGCAAATCTTACATAGAAAAAAATCAAAGGTATCTAGAATCGCTTCAATTCAAACATCAATGGCTCGACGATCGTCTGGGCCTGCCGCGTCTCCCCAAGCGCTTGTGGCGTCAAAGCGACGCGCTTCAGCCAGACTGTCAGCCTCCGAACCGGAGGTCAAACGGGTCAAGTCCAACGCCGATCTGAGCCAAGTGAAGTCCACCACCAGCAAGAGCAAGTACTTCGAATCGGAAGATTCCGAGCCTGAGTCGGAGTCTGATGAGTCTGTGGGAGCATCATCCGAGTCCGCCTACGAAGAAGCGAAAGACGAGTCGTCCTCAGCCGAGGAAGCGGAGCTGGAAGAACCCTCCGACAGCGAAGAGGACACCAAAAAGAAAACCAGCGCACGAGGCAAGCAGCGACAGAGTACCGGGGGTGGAACCGATGCCCTGAGGGGCAAAGAGCTCTGGCGCGAAGGCGCCAAGTTGGACTTGAAACCTGGGCAGGAAGTCATCATCGCGAAGCCTAAGGCGCGGGAGGCGGGGAAGACCCCGTACCAGGATGAGACGCTGCACCCCAACACCAGGCTATTTTTGATCGATCTGGCTGATAACAATGACCGCCAATGGCTGAAAGGTGAGTGTAGCTCAACGCGATTAGCGAGTGGCTGGCTGACCTTCGCAGCGCACGATCCGGATTACCGCGCGGCAAAGAAGGACTTTGAGACGTTCGTCGACACCCTCACGCCGAAGATTGCAAGTGTCGATGCTACTGTCCCCGAACTTCCTGTCAAGGACCTGGTAGGCTGACCATGCTTATTTTGATCTTTGTTTGTGACACACGCTCATTGGCGCCTCAGGTGTTTCGCATACATAGGGACGTTCGATTCAGCAAGAACCCGCTTCCATATAAGGTATGCTAGTATTCCCCCGGGTCACTGTCCTGCGTTCGCTCGTGTGACGGATGCCGTGGCACTGTGGTTCTCATTAGCAGTGTCATTGCTAACACGAGCGTGTAGACACATTTCTCTGCGGCTTGGTAAGTATCACTGGTCAGTTGTGCGGCGATCATTCGCTGAACTTTGCCCAGGTCCCGGACTGGTAAGAAGGGACCGTACGCGGCGTACTATGTCCACTTCCAACCTGGCTCTTGTTTTGTTGGTATGTTGTACTCATGCTGTTTCCTTCTCGTCATCACCATTGTTCTCATCAATACCCTCGCCGTCTTGCTTTTCTCCTGTGTTGATCAGGTCACCCACCCCGGCTAACACCACGGTGTGTACAGGCTGCGGGCTCTGGAACCCAGAGGCGGAGCCCCTTGCATTACTCCGAGAGGAGATCGATGAGAACTCAGCCGGCTTGAAGGAAGTCCTTCGGGCACCGAAGATGCGCCGCGAGTTTCTGAAAGGAGCTTCCGACGATGATGATGCAGTTGTGGATGCCTTCACGCATCACAACAGGGAGTCTGCTTTAAAGACCAAGCCCAAGGTGAGAGGCTTTTTGTGTTTTCTACCTCCTTCCATTCTAGTTGAGTCCGAAGTCCATCGACAGACTCAACCATCCCCCCTTTTTTGTGATTGTAGTTCAATTGTATCGCCATTATTTATGGACTGGGACGCGGAGGGTCAGGAGTGCCAGGTTCGTCTTCGGAGTCGCGTCCATCGTCCGACCGGGGCTCAGAGAAAGGGGATTTACTTCGTCTCACCGACGAGTAGAATCGTCAGGTCTTAATGATGGCATTGACCAAAAACCAAGACCAAATCTGACCACGAGACTGGAATGGAACGTTGAGCGCGCACCCATAGCTAAAGCCAAGAGGCGGGAAGATAATCTGGCACATGGCTGAGAGAACTCAATACTCCACCAAACATTGCCAAATCTCCCCAAATTTCATCCTTCCTTTCAAATGCCTTGTTGAATCGTCAAAGAAAGAGGTTGGAACACGGGAGTCACGGGAGAGGCCCGTGACTCGGAACCAGAAAAAAAACCTTCTTTACCTTTACTCGATTCGACAATCAGAGAAAAGGAGAAAAAGGGTGTCGAAAGTGGTTTCTTGGTTTTTTGGTTTATTCTCACGCCGTCGAGTTTGGTTCCATGGTTCACATCTACGCCAGGCTCCACGCTGATCCATGGGAAAAACAGCACCAACGCTGACAAACATTATTATTCTAGGGTTACGAGGCCGACAATCAGAACATCAAATTGCTTCGTCTACGCAGCTTCACTATAGGAAAGCCTGTTTCTGATGAAGAGCTTACTGGTGATGATGCCCAGGAGAACATCACAGCCTTAATTGAGATCATGGAGCCGTTTGTGAGTATTGATTTCCCGGATTCCCCCCTCTTGACTAGCCCTGTTTTCCCTTCGAAGCTAGCCTCTTTGGCGGTGTTAGCCGTCCTTTTTACCCACCGAATCAGCGCTTGGAGACGCCTAGCCGGTACTCTCTTTTTATTTGTGGCTTTGACAGGAGCATGGGCAAGGGACAAACATGAAGATCTTCTTGATTTGCTTGCCTTACTTGCCTCACTTGCATTGCTGACTGCTGACCGCTTCTCGTCTCTTGGATAGGTGACGTACCTCAACAGCGTAGTGATGCCCGATCAGTGACATGATTGGGAAAGCCACCCGCGTCTATTGGAACTTGACGGGAGGGGGGAGATCAATCTGTTCGTTTTGACCTTTTGGCGATGTGCGTGGTAATGAGAGTTGTTTGTATTTTTCTTACCAGTCGAATTTCCTATTTTATTTTTATTTTTATTTCGATTTTGATTTCACTCTTCACGGGCTCGGGTCTTTTGTCTCTCTCCGTTGGGGCATTGGGATCATTTCCACTTGAAACCGAGATCCCCCACCGCAACGCCTCCTGCACACGGCTTCTTTGGTCAATCTCCGCCGCGTTTCCTTCTGCTACTGCAGACCTAAAACTGCATTGGCGTGGGGCCAAACAACGAGACTTTTGACACTTACTTTGCACTTACTCTGCATTCACATCACCTCTAGCTGCTGCAATGCTGCACACTGCCTCGTTCTGAGTTGAGCAAGGGTCCAAATTGAGACATCACTGCCTCTTTTCCCCCTCAACATGGCACACATAACCAGTTTTAGACACCTCCACACGATCCTGTTATCCGTGCCAATACCGACAGCCCAATCGCCGTAAGCCCCTCTTCCACGCAATATATCATTTACCCTTTTTACCACCCTCAACCCAACATTCCCCCAAAAAATCCCCAGACGAGTTTTGTAATATGCAAGCAGATAGCAGAATTTTTTAAATCAAAACATCAAGCCATCACTGACGCGCATGATATCGCCACCGCAAGCGCCCGCGTTCGGCCCGTTGTCGGGCATGCCCGCTAGGCTGATCTTGAGACTGTAGCCAATGTGGATGGGCCCGGGCATATTACTCCGCTGTGTGTCCCAGAGTTTGGTCTTCTGAAAATAAGCACCTTCCTGGTCTGGAATGGACTCTATTTATTTGCCTGGTTGTGTAATGGGTATTGTTTTTGGTTCCTCGGGTTTTGTGTACATTGCGGAGTTTCGGGCTTGGCCCAGATGCAGTCTACCTTAATATACTTTGTAGTGGTCATGTTGGGCTGGTAGTGGGTGTTTTGTTTTGATCCATTTCGCACTTTAGGGCCAATTTGTAATTGGATCATTTCATCGTACAATGGTCGTGATAAACAGCGGTCTGTATGTGTTCGATGGTGGTGGGTATGTCAGTATGGTTCCAAGGTCCTTCACCTGTATCAGGATCACTAGCCCTAGTATAGCATCGGTAACTGGGCCCCGAAGGGCTATGTTTTATAGGATTTACGAACAACTGTTTATCAATGTAAACGTTTTCAATTATCTGATCTGATGTGGATTATAGCAAGTACTGGGAAATGAACTTTCTAATCGGTGGGGCCCGAAATGTTTTATTTTTCCTGAAGGCTCCACGATATAATCAATCTAACTTGCAAGTTCGGGAAATAACATCTAGAATTGCATGTTTAAGTAATAAGTTGGTGAGAATCATCGTTTCGTCATGGGAGATACATCAGGGAGGTGGCCATATATCAGTTGCTCATAGACAGATAGAACATATGTTTATGAATGGTAGAGGCAAGGCACAAGAATCCACTATCACTTTTCAAAAGCATACGGCTTGGGTGCATGTCTTAATAACTTTTTTGGAATAGTTCATCGGCGATTTCAAACAATATGAACCGACCCTCGATGAGCCGCATTGAATCAGAGGATAGTCGACAAATAAATTTTTATTGGCTTACAGCCAATCATCTCACTCCCGAGGATCAATGTAAGCATCAGAGTATGCGAGGAGCAATTCTTCCAAATTCATCAAGGTTTGATTAATTGGAAGGCCGTAGTCATTTAGGTTCGTGATACCGATACCCTAGCACGCATAGATGCAGATCCCAACCGATTATTAATCTCACTAAATGGCACCTAGGTTGTTCGACATGTGGAAAGTCAAAATCAAGCCAAAATGAGTAGAAGGTAAGGGAAAAAGCAAAACACAGATCCGTTAAGCCTCAGATCAATCCAAAGTGTCAAAGTCACTAGCTTCACGCACGATCCCGACCAACCACTTGGCGAGCAGCATCCAAAAAAAAGCAAGTTGAGATCGACTCGCTTTCGCTCCCGAATGGCGCTCGAATAAAGTTGGAAGGTCCAGCATGCATGGTAGTCACAGACTAGGGTCACACAGTGTGACGAGGCATAGAGATGGAGACCACCAATCAGATATGATCACTAGGCGAAGCATATAGTAAATGCATACACTTTCAGAGGGAGTCAAACAACAATATGCAAGAAAGTTCATCAAGGCTCGGTTAATTATAACTAATTGATCTTAATTTTTTCGCATATACTTTTTTTTTCATCAGGTAGTCATCAGGCATCTCTCATCACACGACCTGCATCAAGTTCGTGTACACCGACTAAAAAAATACTGCCTCGTTTCGGCTTGATGCAGAAAAACCCTTGCCACGTCAGATTTCTAGCACAGACCCTAGCCCTTTTTTTTCCCTTCTTCTTCTTCTCGATGTTTTTTAATTATTTAATTATCTACTTCCATATTGGCTCATATGGTGTTCCCGTGACCGTGAAGGCATGCGGGCTGCGCCTATTAGTGCCCGACCCGTCCCCATCCCTGCTGATAGACGCGCTCCCGTGTGGGTAAAGGAGGGGTTTGTGTGGCTAATAAAATTGAAACCAAGAATGAAACCAGCAAATGAAAAAATTTACATCCATTACAAAATTTTTATAATAATAGTACTAAAATAAAAATAAAATAAATATGGAAAACTGATGGAACGTCGCAGCCTGCAAAAAGGCCCGGTCGGGGACTAGGTCCCCGAGCGTTAGGTCTTCATATGTATTCTTCATATTCTGACAATACAAGGTAAATTAAAAAACGCTCAGTCCTTCGAGCCCTAGTTTTGAGAACGTTAGCGCGACCCCAGGACAAACGGCATCGAGTGGCTAGGAGCTTTGGAACGGGTGGGTCATGGTAGAGATTCCGGAGAGTTAGACGCTAAGAGTGGAAGGACAGAGCTGAACAGGCCACGCCAGAAAGTGGGGAACGGAAAGATGCGGACGGCAATGCACTCGATTGGGTTCGAAAAACGTGGCCTGAAGTGTACTCCATTGTTACTCCGTATTACCTGCAAAGGATTATACGAAAACGGAAATGACACCTTCCATTAATCTTTATGGTAAATTGTATATTCTATATAATATCTCCACTTGGAATCTCCAACCTCTATTAACAGTAAATATGAAGTGTAAAATAGTATAAAAGACTGAAATTTTCAAAATATAATACTTAGGTATCTCTGCCAGATGGCACACATGCATAGATCGCGGCGGGAAGGCCGGAGCGGCCCGTGAGACGAGTACCCCGAAACCTGATTGATTAATCCTATGCAATAGTGTACTGTAATAATACTTGATATGATATCCAATAGTATTTTATATTTTGATATATTTTAGTGCGCTTTTTTTTACAAATCTATATTAACTATTCGGCTACAATTGTACGAATCTCATCCGGGATTGGCGGTGACGGGCGTACATACGCTAAATGCCCCCCCCGTACAACGTGGTTGTGGCTCTAGGACAAGGAACCCGCCCCCTGTCAGCGCAACGCTAATGCAGGTTACCTTGGCTGATGATGGGCTTTCCGGATCCAGTGCTACAGCCCTGGGAACTTAGGGTACTCCACCCCTTCTCTCATTCTGCTTGTCTTTTTTTTCTTTTGTATTGCTCTACTCTTCAACTTTGGTTCTATTTCGGTCATATGGGAAAGGAAAGGATCCGCCGTTACCAGAATTTGGACAGACTTCGCACCAGACTTCCACAATTTAACTAGAGCAAATTTATGGATTCTCGTTTCGTATTGAAGAGTGGCGAGTGGTCCAGCTGAACCCCACTCCTTCAGCTGAAGTCTGATCGCCACACTTTCACCGCTTGAATTTTTTCTTGATAGTACATTGTACATGCAGTAGTTCCATGTACTTTGATAGACTAGGTAGTCCATGAAAAAGAGCGGGAATGAGTACATTTCTAGCAGTACTTTGTAATAGTGATTGCATCTAACAATGTGAGAAACTTGAATTGAAAACCAAATAATAAAATTATTCCCTTGATAACAACGATAATAACGATAACAATAATCAAAAACTAAGGATGATGATAATAATAATAATAATAATAATAATAATAATAAAATGCATGTAAAACAAAGCCCGATATGCATGGGAATGTGTCGCCCCGACCCGAGCCCATCGCCATGGAAAATAATCCTGGTTCCGCGGGGCCGGTTGCGGTTGTGCGACTACGGTCCGAGGCGGTCGTTCGTCCATGGACGGTTACGCAACAAGGGTCACTCGGAGGAATTGACGTGCATGGCAGGGTTGATCCATGCAATCTAAGAGGTCACCTGCCACATTGTTGATGATGTCAAAAAAAAGATATTGAATCAAGGTGAGTCTGCTAAAATTCTCTATACTACTACTGTTATTCCCATATCCCACCCCCACTATACCTTTGATAGAAGTAAATATAATAGTGGAAAAATGGCTAAATTTATTTTCGGGCGCTACTAAATTAGTTTTAAAAATTAGAAAAGAAAGAGAAAAAAGGGAAGGAAGAGACAGTAGCGGTATTCGGGTTCACAACAGCCGAAATCTGGTACTCTAAATTAGCATCCATGGTTCAAGTGAATGTTTCCCTGGTTTTAGTGAAGTATTATGACGAGAACGTAAAGTTAGTAATTATGACCAAAAGGTAATATAACTGAAAATCAAAATCAAATTCGAAATTCCACGATATGTCCACAGGTTAAGGTATGTGTATACGTCTTGTAATGGTAATCCCCCCTCCATGTCTATGGGTCACTGGCGCCGCTTTAGCCCGCGCTGCCCGGGCTCCACCCCGTTCTCTAAAAATTCACCTTCTTTTCCAATCACAAAATTACCCTTTTTTTTTATTTCTTTTATAATTTTTCAACTCGATCTGACAGAGCTTCTTTTCTTCTCTTTTCTTCTTATCGTGGGGTTTTTTTTTCTTTCTCTTTTCTCTCTTTTTACATTGCTCACGTCATAATCACCGAGGCTCTCTCTGATATTTCTTTTTTTCTTTCTATTTTACAACCTTTTTTTTTCTTTTCTTTTCTTTTCTTGTCGTCCCTTTTTACCTTGTTGCTTCTTCCTTAGTTCCCTTTAGTTTCTTTCGTATTTCCTTTTTGTGCTTCCCCTGCGTGAACTGCGCGCTATGCTCACTTTGTTGTTGGATTCCCCCTTTCAATAAATCGACGTCACATCCCTGTATTTTTTTTTTATTTCTTTGACTCATCTCGTCTTACGCAACAATGTCGGGTCCAAACGATCACGACAGTCGAGGTGATCCAAGTCGCCAGGATCATACTCGTCCTTGGAACGCCCCGGAGGATCAGGCTGCTTATCCTGTACGTGAGATGTCAGCTGGGGTTTCGCTCTTGTCCGGTTATTGATAGCTTTTATAGTATCCTCCAACTTCCTATCCTCCTCCACCTGATCAGGATCGCGCCTACCAATATCCTCCTCATTCACAGTACGCGTCTCCGCATTATCCCCCTCCTCCACAGTATCCGCAAACGCAATACCCCCCGGCTCAGCCGTATCCGCCTTCTGGATACCAGCACCAGAGCATGAACGCCATTCACGGAGCGCAAGATCCTTACCGGCTTCCTCCTCCACCGGGGCCATATCGCGCAGATGCGTATGGACACCCTCCAGCAGCACAAGGGGGACCTTACCAAGCAGCAGCTCCAAGACAGCGAACGGCCATTGCGTGCCGATACTGTCGACGCCGGAAGGTACGGGAAAGGACTCCCCTCCTATGGGAGTAACCGCGCTAATTTTAACTTACTAGATCCGGTGTTCGGGATTTGATACCTCCGCAGATGGACGGTGCAGCAACTGTGTCCGATTTAGCCAAGACTGCATGTTTACTCCGGTATCTTCACAAACCCAAGCATTCGTACCGGCCCACACCGCCTACCCTCATTTACGACCTGGACAAAATGGACCAGGACCTGGTCGCGGTGGACCACCAGTCCTGTACGGTGCTCATGGACAACCACTACCTCCTCAGCAGCAGCCGCAAGGCCCCGAAACCACCCTGCCGCCGCCCCAAGGGATGTACTATCAGAACGGACGCCCTCCCATGGATGGTGCCCCGCCGCCCCTTGCATCAGGCATGCCCGATCCGGTAAGGCGACCATTCCCGCTCGGATGCAATAGAGAGAGAGGTCTGATCTAATGTTATGATGTCCAGAGACACCGACGAGGCTCCAATTCGGGATTTGAGTACCCTGATCCGACCAATCTGGCTCCTGTCACGCCCGCCGGGTCCGCTCCCGGATACCAGACTCACACCACTCCGAGCCCTTACGCATATCCCCCTCCGCCTGCGCTCGATCGACGCACCTCGCCGCCCTCGGCTTATAACTATGATACCCGCCATTCCTCCTCGCCTCACGGATCACCCTATCCCCCCATGCAGCCCCACCAGGCTCCCATGACACCTCACCAGGGAAGCGTGCCTCCAGTTCAGGGAGCACCCCCTCCACAGGGTGGATCGATTGCGCAGAGTAGTACTCCGCAGCCAGGGGGTGTCACACCGCCTCCCACGTCCACACCCGGTGGCTCGCAAAGAGGTGGATTGAATGTGCGCGACATGCTCAACCCAGGGGATTCCCAAGGCCGATCCAGCACCGATAGCGACATGCTCAACGCGCTCAACCGCCGTGGCCCGCAATAATGATTCGCTACTATATCAACCTAGTTTTCTAGGACAGCACGAAGAATGCGGTGGATGAAGGAGTATCAAAGCGCGGAATGGGCCGTGTGCTGGCCACACGGTCCGAGAGCCATGTGTCGAGGGTTGGAATTTTAAGGACAATCTGAGGTTTCGTCGGACCGTTGTGGGACCCGACTTCGAAAGAATCTTGGATCGGTGGGGACCTAAGCCTGCCCAAGGGAAGGGACTGCAAGGGGAAATAATCAAATCACATTCCAGACGAGCACCCCAGCCTGGATCAAGACAACTTACCCGATCCGTTATGAGACAACAAAACGCGAACCCACGAGCTTCACGAGCACGAACTTGATACCGAGATTTCCAGCCTTAATGGGCTCTGGTTTATCGGCATACGAATTTCTATACTTTTTCTTCTTTTTCTTCTTCTTCTTATTATGCGTCTTCATCGATTTCGATGAAAATCAACCGCAGACTCAAATCTTGAGTCTGTGTGCAGAGGTTGGCTTGGTGTGATTTCCAGTTTTGCAGTCATCTCGCCTTTCGAATCTCTCATTCTAGAGGTCTGAGAAGTCGGCTTTTCTGGGTTTATGCCAACCCATCCCCTGCAGCTGTCATCTCCGTGGCGTACAATCCAACCACGGTGTGATCTTTTCCGCATTGTTATTTGAATCTCTCGGGTGGCTATCTGAATCTTTTTCGCTTTCTTTTGCAAATCGTCTCGTTTTCACTCATCGCGTTTCTGCACTGCTGTCGGCTTTTTGTCTCTGCGTTCTATCATCATTTCATTATTTACATCACCGGGAAGGCATTCGTCTATTTACTATATCTCTTTCGAGGATACGCGAACTAAAAGACGGGGTCGGCTCTGTCATCTTTCCCCTCGATTACCGTTACCGTTGGAACTGTTCTGGTTTTGCTTTTTGTTGCTATTTTGCCGTTTCGACTGTCTTTTAATTATTCGAATGTCTGCTTATACTTATATCCGGGAGGTTGTCTGATCACTCTTTCTGCTATTGAATTATTGCCGCATTCGTGCACCTTATGTCTTCCTTGTTCCTTATCCTATCTCCTATCCTATCCTATATATTAAGGACTCGGATCTCTGAGCACTTTCTGATGAAATTCTACTGCTACTGCGAGTTCCAGTCATTCTTCAACCTTGGAAAATCTACTCAATTCTTATGCGAGATCTCTACTTCGGGATGATTTTCCTAGGTCAATATGTTGTTTTCCCTTGCTTCCTTAATCTCGGAGTGGAGTCCTCGAGCGCTGCATTGGACGACGGACCAGAGGCTCTCTGCGAGGGGGCAGTCTTGGCATATTTGAGCTGAAGGATTGCATTTGCATACATGACGCACCTGCATACATAGTCGGTATTCTGTAATTTTTGTAATTTACTCTGAGCATCTTGCGTCTACTGCAACAGACGCAGCCGCGTGAACTGGGGAAATACCTTAAACGGCTTACACGTGACTAGCCCTAACATGACGAGGAAAAGGCGGTATTCTACTTTGCTTAGGCGTCAACGCGAGTCACGGTATGTTTTTAAGGTGACTGAGTACAAGGCTGATATGGAATGAATGATGGAATGAATTCTTTTTTCATTATGATTAAGCAGTATGTCATTCCTAGCTAACTTGAGGACAAAAGGCGTTAATCCAAAAAAAACGAATTGGATGAATGGGGTTCTGCAGTTCAGGGGTGAGTGGGAAACTCAGGACCAACACAGGCAAGAGAACTAGATAATTAACAAATGGAAATGTGGATCACACGCAATGAAATCTGGAAACTGAAACTGAGATTGGGACGCAAGTAGCAAGAAAGTGGTCTTGTTTTTGCGATGAAGAACGAGTGTGGGAAGAAATGATCTGACATGAGATGCAAATAATGTGCTTTTGCAAGGCTGGAACGCAGTATGCTGAAAGTAATAGTTGAGTGCAATGTGGAGTGAAAGACAATAGTTGGTTGAGATGGTGCAATGCTGGGGGTTCTGAGGTAGATCAATGGCGCTCATTTGTGGTTGGGAACAGAGTCGAGAACCCTTGACATCTTCTTGGCTCGTGTAGGGTCCTCGACCACCATACCACGTCGCTTGAGGGTGCTGTGTACAGTTTCAACGACCTTGTTGAAGGACGACGCTGCACCGCGCTCTTGCTTGAAGCGAACCAAGCTGAGGTTTGCTTGGCGACCATGCTCGAGAACAGTGTAGAACTCAGCAGTGAACTCAACTTCTCGGAGATGAAGGACTGTGGATAGGTTAGTAAAATTCAGTTGGAAAAGTGTGGGTCAACTTACAATTTGCTTCGCAGACGCGACCATGAACGATGCTGTTGGTTTTGTCGAGGTACACGTCCTCCATGCCAAAGTCACGCCACTCACGAAGGAGCTTGTAGAGCTCCTTGCGCCCCTTGGCTTTAGAGGTATTCAAGGCGATGACTTGGGTAGCGGGCCTGATTTGGAAAACGCGAGCAAACCAGTTTTGGTTGGCCAAGGAGCGACGCTTGTTGCGGAATTGGATGCGAGGGTCATCACCTTCGCAGGAGCTATCGGTGTCTGCAATTCCCGTGCACATGATTGAGTTGCGATTCTCCATTGTTGGTGTGGTCTGCAACTCATTTTCTTGTTCTATAAATCGGTCAGACGGATGTTGAGAAGTGAGAGTGAGAAAATTACCATCAACATGCTCCTGCTCGCGCTTGTTGGACTTCTTGGTCATAAGTTTCTTGAAGAATGCACCACCGAACCGATCCATAGATGTCTTCCGAACCGGTACGCGCTCTGTAGTCAACGCAGGAGGGGGCGGAGGTGCTTCCAGAGTGATGGGCTTGTGGACTATCGTGCCTCCACTAGGAATGATAGGGTGGGGATCCTTGGGAGGGAGAGCAGGGGATGTGTCTGATCCAGAAGAGCGATGCTTGAACCAAGACCACTTCTTACCCTGTGAACCCACACTGGAGTACTTCTTAGGAGACAAGGGAACTTCGGCGATCGGTGCCAGGCCACCAGGAGGAGCCTGTCGCGACCCAGTAGAAAAGCTTCGATCAGTAGCCACGCTATCACTGGTGGTAAAATCACTACCCGAGGGTTCAGACTTGCCATAGTGCTTCTTTCGAATAGTGAGAGGCTTCACTTCCTCCATAGAGCGGAACGAACTGTGAGGAACCATGCGGATCGTGACTCTTGGATCGGCGCCTTGAGATACAGCGAGAGAGGCTCGCGGCTGTGGCTGAGGGATGCTAGTTTCACTCGGCGAGTGTGCAGGGCTAGCAAATTCTTCATTTATAACAGGCAGCAAGCCCTCAGCTGGGGAGGTGACAAAGGGATCTTGATAAGTTGCCATATTTGAATCCAACCTTGGCCCATTGACAGTTTTGTCCTCTTCGATCAACCGATCTAGATGATTGATGACACCAGAGAGGTAGCGAGGAATGTTATCTTTTCTGCCCCGACTATGCTCAGCAAGCTTTCGTCGTGTTTCGGTGAGGTGCGTGATATTGTAAGATCGGGGTGACTCCGTTGTGGTTTTGGATACAGGGAGGTGTGTAGCAGGTTGAAGCTGCTCGGGGCTGGGCATCGAGACTGGCGTTCCTGGGGTTTCATATCCAGAACCAGCGCTCGCAGTCCGGATAGTTGAGACTGAGCTACCGTTGAATGCCTCCTCGCAGATCTGGCTCAGTTCATGAGAGACCTTTCGAGTGTCCTCTTTCCAGGTGTAGTCTGAGTCGCGAACCTTCCGCGCATGGCGTAGGCTCTTGACCTTGGGTGCGTTTGCGCGGACAACGGTTGGCTGTGCTGGCAGAGGTGGACTACTCGGAATGTCTGGAATGTTGATAGTATTGGCAAGAAGTTGCAAGCTGCAGGTGCTGGGTGATCGTCTGATCTCAGCCTGCTGCGTGGGTCCTTGTTGCGTCGGTGCAGCAGTCTTTCTCCTTTTGGGCTTAGCAGTAGTAGAGCCATGAGAGCGGTTGCGGACATGGTGGAACGAAACATTGCGACGGTAGCTCGTGGAATGTGTAGACAATCCCGGAGCACGGGAACTTGAATGCGGAATCTTGGAAGAGTGGAAGGACTTCATAGAGCTGGGCTTGTGCTTCCGTTTCTGAAGTATGGTAAACGGTGAGCCCTCGTCTTCGTTCACGTCTTCTGGCTCTTCTTCCTCTGCGATTGAAGGTGGGGGTTCCACCTTTGGTGAAGATAGTACGTCGACCGAGTTCTCTGGGGGTTCCCTGTGAATAGTGATCTGAGCATACTCCGCTTCCGTGACTGTGGTGCCATTTTTCGGTGATCTGTATGGATCGTAGCTTTCGACAGTTCCAGAGGACATTGGTTCCTTGAAAGAGCTGAGACGACGGGGGAATTCTTTCACGGATGGGTACTGCGCACGGCGCTTGGAGTTGCCTTGTCCTGTTTGGCTGCGGCCTCGTCTAACTCTGCCTCCTGGGCGCGAGATATGATGATAGTCACTGGCAGAGTATTCCAAAGGCTGTCCTTGATAGTTCTCCAGCTGCTCATCTCGGAACCTTGCCAAAGCATTGTAGAACATCCTCTCGTGGGTGGGTCTGTAGTTATGTTAGCATTATGGTAAGAGGTCGGATCAAAGGCACGTTGGGCTTACTCAATGCATAACAGTCGTTGAATCAGTTCGTTCGGCTTAACATCATGCCACAAAGTTTGAAGATTGCGCAAAATATCAGGATCGATATCCTGTTGACATGACAAAGACGGCCCGCAGTCATTCACGGATAAGGCAGGTGGGGGACCAACATAGTGGTCAATCATCGCATTATGAAGCTTCTCGTATTTGGTGAACAGCGGATGCAACCAAATATTTTTCATCGAGATGCGGTCTTCTGGCCTCTTCTGTAGGATCCGTTGAATAAGATCGGCGGACTCGGCACTAAGCTCCTGGGGAATCATGTAATCACCCTTCTTCACGAGTCGCAGGGTCTTTCCAAGATCTCCTCCATCAAATGGTAAATATCCGGTCAGCAAGGCATACAAAATGATACCACAACTCCACATATCCGCTCTATCACCACGATACTTCCGGCCGTAAATGATCTCCGGCGCAGCATAGTGCGGACTGCCGCAGGATGTATTCAGCCAATGACCTGCCGGTTGAAGCGCAGCCATACCAAAATCAGCAAGCTTGATGTTGTGGTTCGAGTCGAGCAGAATGTTCTCTGGCTTCAGATCACGGTGGCAGATATTGAAACGATGGCAATATCCAAGAGCTGCAATAATTTGGCGGAACAGACGCACTGCCTCTTCTTCTGGCAAGGCTCCGCGTTTGGAGACATAATCGAACAACTCTCCTCCCTCCACGTATTCAAGGACGAGATATCTAGCCAACTCGTCAGTAAGGTTCGTATTGACGGTGTTAGGCAACGAACAATTCTCCGCGGTTTTCCCACACATCATAGAGACTGATCACATTTGGATGTTCAATCAACTTCATGATGACTACCTCACGCTCGATGCCACATGGCATTTGTCTGGTCGTTGTGTTGGCAGAAAAGTTTCCCACATTGCGGTCCATTGCTGCAATACTCTCACTCTGAACCATGGCAGCCGACTTCTTAGAGACGATCTTGATAGCCGCAGTGTTACCTGTCACAGCATGCTTGGCCAGTCTAACTCGTCCAGTGGCTCCCTTTCCGAGCGTTCGTCCTAATTGCCATGGCCCCACGTGTGTCTTTCTCTTTCCTTTGTGTGATAGGATGGAAGCCGCCGACATGATCGAGTTGCGAGCTGAATCGGGTTGCATATCAGTAGCCACGGAGAGTCTGTCATTCTCTTTATTCCTTCGTGGAGTGGGAGTCATCAACAAAGACATCCGATCGGGTGTCTTCATCTCAGACTCTTCAATTATCAGACGAGGCGTCTCAGCGTTCGGCGATCTCGAGTGATTCACGCGGCTAGATGCATCCATCAATGGCTGCCGCTTCCGATGAGAGCCATTGACATCCAACATGACTTGATCCATTTTGTGATGGCGTAGCGCGTGCTTTTCTTTTTCTTTTCTCCAGGCGTGTCTTTGTTTTTTTGGTAAAATTGGTCGGGGTAAGTAGACAATCTAGAACACATCAGCTTTCTGTTGAAGGTCAACACATCTGTCTTTCCATACGCACAAAGAATATCGGTAACGAGAAAAGGCAAAACCGACACTCTCTTGGAGTGTTTGAATGAAAGAAAGCGTGTAAAGATCGGCTCCAGAAGTCTCTGGGAAATATGAATGAGTGACAAAAGACTGATCAACACCACATCGTCGACGGAGATGCAGCTAACAAAAGAAGCTCAACGACCCCAACTAAACTAACTGAACTGAACTGAGCTGAGTATCTGGACGCAGAGAAAAGAAGATTGAACTGTCAGTTGAGGAAAAGAAGTTGGGTTGCATGCTTCGGCTGGACTGGAATGGCAAGAGGTTTCTTCCAACACAGTTGAGGAATGTGGTCTCGCACTCTGTCTACTGTCGTTCCACTATGGCCACTCTACGTTATACCTTCAACTGTTGTGTGCTGTTTACTTTCTATATTTCCATACTTGGTTTGATATTCTCTGTCTATTCATGATACCAATGACACAAACTCATTCTATGTCGTCACTCACAACTTATCCGTATTCATCAGTGACACCTAGGGGATAGGTTTTGATTTAACTTGTGTTTTTAATTCAATCACAACCTAATACTAAAATTGATTCTAACACTTTGAACCTCATACAATTTGTATGACCCTAGATGTCTGGTCCATATCAAAAATTAGGATCGTCGTTCAAAGATGGAAACATTCCTAAAGGAAGGGGGGCAATAACAACTCCTCCAGCTATGGCCTTATCATCTTCAAGGGGTCTGTTTGTGTTCAACATTCCATTCCCCTGGGCTTTTTGAATTCTCGAGATCCGGTTTATTATGTTAATTTAAGGGTGGGAATAAGGTCGCAGCATAGGATCGGGAGAATTCAGCCTGCAAATTATACATCCACTCTCAGCTTAATTTATATATGCTACAACAGACACAGTTCAGTCACATTTATACTCAATTTTTGGTTCGATCGCCTACCATTGTAGGATCACCAGTGCGTCTTGCTAATTTGTATTTCATTCACACGTCCAGCCTTGCACCCCGTGACATTGTTTCTAATATCCCGCTTGTTACATCCTAGAACTTGTACTAGAACTACACAGCGGACAGATCCTCTCTGAAACCAAATACCTTCTCTCTAATCTTGTAGTTGTGTTCTCGATTCCATTTTTTACAAGAAACTCAATAATACATGCTGTTCCCGTAGAGAAGGAGTCTCAACCACCCCAGACATACGTTGAGGTATATCTCCGAGCGACCCTTGCACTGTCCCCAAGCACGCGATCGATCAGATATGGAATCACTACGTCATATTGTTTGGGCTAATAAAAGACACAACGATCAACCCGTTCAGAATTAAATGAAAATCCCGGCAGGAATCAGTATTATTCTCGTCCGTGGCCAGGGTGCCGCACGGACAGACAATACTGGATCGCAAGAATGCAAGGGATGAGGCCCTTGCTTTGACCACATGGTCCATCGCGGTCAAAGCAAAAGCATTTGCTTTACACTGTATATTCCACATTTCCTGTGTTGCTTTGACCTCTTGATGTGCTGTCTGTACCGTAAGTGGCGGCGTAACGTCTGCCACGGCGAAAATTCCGGGCGTAGAAGGTCAAGATTCGGTGCACCGAAGACGAGACCATAAATCTTCTGCTTTTGAGATGAAAAGTTTATACTTCTCGCAAGACTCACAAGTCATGCGCTTGTAATCTCCCAGGGTCGCCTTAGGAGTAGATGTGTATCGAGGCGTCTGTAACCCAATACAATTCTAAACCTTCCTCTGGTGCTGAACTATGGTCAATATATATAAATAGGAGATTTAAAATAATACTTCTATTCGTAGCTACTCCTTTAAGGCTAAAGTCGATATTATTCGTGGGGCAAATGTATCTGAATTCCCCTACCGAGGCGGGAAATATATATCAGCAAAAGACCAGCCGAACACGCTCAAACACCCGGTCATAGACCAGATACTAACATATAATGGAATACTACCTACGTACCTACCTAGGTCTTCTCGCGTACCTATTTATAGATTTTCGAACTTTTTCTTGAGATTGTTTTATGGAGAAAAGCTATAGCTAAATACTTGTATAAAGAAATATATATAATCATTCCGAGGTTAAAGTGGCTCTTTTATACACTACTGAGCATTGCCCAATGGCTAGAGATACAAAAATGATAAAGTCATGTCGGAGAGTGTCATCGTAATTTCTCAACAGATTCTAAGTTGTATATTAATGTTCATGGTGGACTTATTATTTCATGTGGCCATTGCCGCTTTCCCATCCCTTTCGGCCCAGCGTTCCAACAAACCATCCCGTACCTTATTGGCGACCACAAATCCTCTACAGTAGATCTGATCAAGCAGATGAAGCACTTCACATCTTTGGTCGGCCCCCCAGGCTCGAGAGCCTGCAACAGTCACTGGGAAAAACAGCATCACTCCCGGAATATTGGAGTTAAGCAAGACCTTATCCGAGAGATCTAATATTGAAGCTAGGTGCTCGGCAATTTCGGCGTGGGATAACACCGGGGCCGGGAGATTGTCCCAGTAGGGGAAGTAATCATAGTTTCCAGAGAGAAATATTAGCAGAGCGTGATAATAAAGCAAGGCCAGGTTTGAATATCCGTTAGGATCATCTTGGACCAGCTGTAGCAGGGTTTTTGTATGCCAGGCATAGATAGCTTCCTGGGCATTGAGTCCGTCAACCGCAAGTAGAGCAACCGACGGATCTGTGAAACGATCGGCTTCGGGTATAGTATCCACAATAGCACTGGCTCTGTGGCTCGGGTTATTAAGTCAGAACAAAACGCTCATGTTTCGGGTGGGACTTACCGTTGACTAAAGGCGGATGTCTCAATCATGAGAGTTACAATCTCTTCCATGGGCTCCCATCGAGTGTCATTATTCGACAGGGACTGTTGGAGTTGGAGCCAGCATTCCTGGGACAGTATTGTTTCTTCATCATAGAGTAATGTTCGGCTAGCCTCAAGCACACGAAACAGGTCGTAGAACATCCTTCGGGGTGGTGACATGCGATCGCTTGGTCCTGCAAGCTGAAGCATTTTGGATGTTCCGTAGAGCATGTGCTTGACCCAACCTTCGCCGGAATTGTCCGAAAGCAACTAGGTTGATTTAGGTCAATCAGATCTGGTAGAAATTACCGCGGTGAGTAGCTAGGTATCATACCTCAAATAGCCCTAAGAAAAACGTGGCCCAGAGAAGATCTTCTCTTTGCATCACGTTGCTGTTTTCCAGACATGACCGCAAGATGCCCATTGACTTATGGTAAGAGGTCATGGCATCCACAATAGGGGCTTGTTCTCCCTGCAATGCGCGCCCAGCGCTATATCGCTTCGCATTTAAAGCACCGACCGCTATCGCTGCATGATACAGGACTGGCGATGTTGAAATCAGAGGGAACAGGTCCGGAACTAGTGATGAGAAGTTCATTGTGAACATGTTCTGCTGAATGAAGAAGACAAAACAGTCAAAAAAGCGGGTACTCTTGTCCTTCCCGATGAAATTAAGTTGACTTATTTCAGGACAGTGTTTGTTGGACATAGCCATGCTCTTTTGATCAGAACGTCGCTGGCGGCCGCCAAGATCATCTTTCCGGCTTTGGTTGACAAACACAGTAGCCATACCATGTCCTGATTGCTGCTGGGCAACGCACGTCGTGGTTTGTCGGATGCACTGAGCACAAGGAAATCCCCCTTCACACTACTCAGAATTAGTCTCAATTTTCATTCCACAAACCTGAAGATTCGCATCCCAGACCTTAACGCGTCGTTTAGCGCAGCCGAGGCAGCGCGTTATCCGCCTTCGCTTGTCCAAGGGGCCGACCATTCTTCCCTTCGTGGACGTGGACATGATTCTGTGGACATGTCACTAAGATATTCTCAGGATTTGAACTACGATGAAAATGGATGTAATTGAGCGAGATGTCCTGGGCTTGGCCCGGCAGGCTACAACTATGTGCGACGCTAAGCCCAATTGGGAACTAATATCGCGCGACAAAATCCACATGTGGCCATCTTACCATGACCAATGCGTGCGACTGCGCAATGATCATATGGTAAGACGGCTGGAAGGCTACATAACCGCACCGTGTCACGGTGCGGTATTTCTTTTCTAATCCACATTACTTGGCGATTTGATCAACTACGCCCGATAGATTCCATTTCAGGAAGGTATTTCAATTCGACAGAGGCAAAAATCCTCGTATCTCTATGCTGTTATTGCTTTTCCAAGAGAAGATGCGAGACTCCGCCTCTTTCTCGAATCTATAAAGACCAGAGACGGACTTCTGGCAATCATATCTATTACACAAGATTCCAAAATTCCAATTCTTACCCTTATTGCATCCTCTGGTAGTTCGCGATGCTTCGAAGTCTTCGCCTGCTGCCCCTCGTGGCTTTGTCTATCTCTGCAGTGGTGCTTCCCAGCCCACCTGGACCCTACGATGTGTTTTATAACACGGCAAGCATGATCGACAACACCAGAGTCGATCCCTTTGATCCCAAGCACGGCCCGCGTGCAGTGATGACTTCGATTTTTGCCCCGACCCACTGCAATGTCGATCTCGAGAACATGGATTACCTGCCCGCCGCAACGGCCGAATACTACTCCGATGAATTCGGCACATATGGACTTCCCAACGGAACGCTTCAATCCCTCTCTTTCCAGGTCTGTCCAGAGTCGCCAACAAAGCATCACGTCCAGTTTCCAGTGGTGATCTTCTCTCCTGCCCTTGGTACAACGCGACTGTTCTACAGTGCCATTGCACAATCTGTGGCTAGCGCCGGGTACATCGTGGTTTCTATTGATCATCCCTATGACGTAGAGTTCCTGGAGTTCCCGGATGGCCACATCGTGACTGCTGCAAATATCACCGACGACCAAGTTCCACTGGATGTGCAAACCCGAGCACAAGATGTGAAGTTCGTGCTGGACCAGCTGAGCACCAAGGCTGGTGTAGCATCTCTACTCCCTGGAGCACGGGCTGCAAGCTTGAAAACCCAGCAAGTTGCGATGTACGGCCACTCTGTGGGAGGCGCGACCACAGCCGCAGCCATGCTTCTGGACTGTCGGATTATTGCGGGAGCGAACCTGGATGGATCGATGTTTGGGTCAGTGGTTCAGCAAGGGCTTCGACGTCCATTCCTCTTGTTCGGTCATGAGAACAAAACCCAGACAACAGATCCATCATGGGCAGAGTTTTGGCCTAATCTGCGGGGGTGGAAATTAGAGCTGGAATTGGCCCAGTCCCAACATTACACATTCTCCGACTTGCCATTTTTGTTGAAGCTCCTGGGTGTGCCTGTTCAAGACATACCGGCCATAAAGACGAGGGTTGGGGCTTTGGATGGGTCTAAGGCATTGGAAATTGTCCAACGAACGATAGTTGCCTTCTTGGGTTTCGGACTTCGTCAAACATCGGTGAAGCCACTTCAAAGAGCTATTTCGAATTATTCAGAGATATCTGTTTTTGCACGATAAACAGGTCAACAAGCCCGAGAGTTCATCATATGAATGTGAGGGTATTCCAGATCACTCGGATGTGTTGGTGGAAGAGAGGATAAAGAAGGTTAGGGGAGATTTTTACTTACTTATTTTATACTTGTGTTTGACTTACCTTTCACTATTTGATATGTTAGAGGTTCCCGTGTCGGATGGATCTAATGCACAGTCCCCACTTTGCAGTTGAGAAAGCTAGTTTGGTACCTAGGTATACATCAGACAATGAGATCGACAAATTTAATCTCCTTATGCTTGCGCTAAACATAGGTCTGTTTGAGTAGGACAAAGCAAGGTTGTAAGATGAAAGAGAAACATCTCACATATCATTCAACTCATTAAGATTCATAGAAAGGTTGATAAACAGAAGAACTACAAATACCTAGATATTCCTAGACAAATCCGCATGCTAGATTCACATATCGCCAGAAATACTTAAAGTAGATTATCAAGCGATCAATCCTACTCAAGGGCCCATATTCCGTGACTGGGACAACCGAATTATACACGATGTGCAAGCTACGATACAAATGGTACAGAGGTCACTGCGGCGTCAGCGGCTGCGGGCACACAGAAGCAGTTTGGATCGAGCGCTGCAGGGCTGCCAACGCTCGTGAGAGGCGTGAGCCCTGCCCTCGTCCACGCCCAGTCCTCCGTCTCACGGATTCGTATGTGATGGGGTTTTGTCGCCCTTGCCTTGGTTGGGCTGAGTTAATTGCGGGCGCGCCTGAATTGCTCAATCCTGAACGAGTCGACAGACCTCGTCGAAAACAGTGAGGTATTGAGTTTGTCAGCTTCTTTTGGGGGTGATTATCTGTAGTGATAGAGCGAATAAAGTCACAATTGCTTTGCTAGAATTGAAGCTGCTATGTAGATATAAAGTACTATGAGTATATAGAGAATGCCCTTCATAGACAGTGTAATAATGATAATAATAACTGTGTATGAGAATAGTAAATCTGATGGCGTTATGAATATTCTTGACTTTTGTTCTTCTTCTAGCCATTCAGAGCCCATTTCATAGCCTAGCAAGCTTTGGAGGTAAAATCTCCGACAAATATTGTGCATCCATTGTAGTTGGCTGATCACTAGTTGCCCCAAGGAGATCCAGCACAAGGGATCCCACCAACGAAAACATTTTAGAGCCTTGCCTCTGTTCCCCGGACAGCAATATAACAGAAGACTCCTGCGGCACATAGTCGACGAAAGGATTGGCGAGGTTGATATTGGCATACCAAGAAAGGGGTGTAGCCAAGGAGTCGGGTGCGCGCAAGTGGTCACTTACAGCCGCCTCGTTGTCCCCAGCCCCAGTTTCGATAATGACTAGTGACGAGGGGTAGAAGTGGCCATCCCTTGTGCGAATACCGGCATTTTTCCTCCCTGTCAATGTGCTCACATAGACTATTTCGTCGACGTGTTGTCCCAGCAAGAATTGCACGCCTGCATCTTGTGCTGCACGATGGACCTATGTCGCATCCCATAAACATCAGCAATTATTCTAGCTAGAAATTCAGGAAATAATGTAGATAATGATGGAGTCTAAGGGTACACTACAGTAGTCAAGTCTCCGGAAGGAATGCGAGGATGTTTTTCAAATACCGAGACATCGGTGTAGCCTCGTTGAGATAGATGGAGTGCAGCTGAAAGGCCAAAAGCACCAGCACCAACGATAATAATTGGATCGGACGAGGAAACGGCCATTATCAAAAAGAAAACAAATTGTGTTGCTTAGTTGTGGGCTATTGAACTGATATAGTCTTCTCCCCGCATTTCTGCGTCGGCTTTCCAAAAGCCGTCATAATTTGCGGAATTGGAGATGAGACTCAGATATCCCAGACGAATCTTAGAGGATTGAGTCAATTTTATCTTGAATCATCTTGAATATCTTTACACACTCAATCAAATGTCAGCTCCGTGAGGAGACCGTGAGGGGAAATCATCATTAGCGCCAATCATCGGCAGACAACCCGATCATGTGCTTTGTTTCTCCAAATAGCTACATACAGATGTAGTTGATTATATTGTATACCGAGTACCCTATCTTTATTGAAACCCTAAGATCTTTACCTAATTTTCTTTCTTTGCTTCGATATGCCTCGTATCTAGGGATCTCAGTGAGAAGGCAGACCGCTAATTTACTAACTTATACCTCATCCTTATGGACCTGGCCCACTTCGCTTCTTCGGTGCCAATGTACTGATCGGACTGAAAGTCATCATTGGGTGCATGAGGGGCAAAACAATGCCACAAACAAGAAAGAATAGCTTACTCAAATTGGCTAGGATGGTAAGAAACCAAGAGCTAGTATATTCAAAACAGCCGTTCTAGTAAAAGAAGCGGAGTGTTTAGCCTCATTAGGGCACCGGCTCACATACCTTAAATACTGACTTTATCTCGTCATAAAAACCCAAAATGCCATAGATTGTTGCGTCTACAGACTCGAGCTACACATCAACCCTGCTATGAATTAATTGAGCCCAGAAACCTCGAAAATAGTCTTAATATACTTCGCCTTTCGCCAGGATGATCTAGGCTAATTAGTAATTTCTATGAGAACCTGATGTCCAACACAACAGTATACGATTTACTGAGACTCATACTCAGATTGTGACATTCTCTCGGTTTTAGCGGGGTATGAACCGATGCTCCACAGTCGGAAGCGCTTCCGAGATATTCAAACCGATGTGAACTCAACGCATCTCTTTCTACCTGTTTATCTTCTATCGATTGATTGAATTGAATCCGCAAAATTAGAACAATGGCCGATATTCAAAATGGTACCCTTTGCATCCTCGGATGTGGTGGGTGAACATGTCTCTAGAATAAAAGACATCAACTAACCATGCCCATAGGAAACCTAGGAATGGCCATTCTGAGCGGACTAATTAACGCACCATCTGAAAAGTTCAGCGAGCTTCCATTCACTCAATACATAGCCTGTGTGCGCAGTGAAAGCTCCGAAGCCAGACTATCCACAAAATTCGCCGAGTCTATGGACAAAATAAGCATTCGCCGCGGAGATAATGTCCAAGCCGTCCAAAGCGCAAACGTGATCATCCTAGGCGCCGATCCCGCAGACATCGAGAAAGTCCTAACGCAGCCCGGGCTCCGGGAGGCTCTATCCGACAAGCTGGTGATCAGCATTGCAGCAGGGTGGACAAGACAGAAACTCGAGGCCACAATCTACGGGACCCCCACGACCGCCGAGACCACATCCGGCAGGGCATGGGTAGTGCGCACACTACCCAACATTGCAGCGCAGGTCTCTCAGTCGCTCACGGCGATTGAAACCTCTGAGCTTGCATTGCCGGAGCGCTACCTGCAAATTACGACGTCGATCTTCGAGCAAATCGGCAAGGCCGTCCATATCGACCCGAAATTAATGAATGCCACGACTGCAGTGGGAGGCTCGACGCCTGCGTTTTTCGCTGTAATCTGTGATGCGCTCATTGATGCCGCCGTGGCGGTGGGCGTTCCGCGGAATCTGGCTCATACTATGATCTTCCAGTCGATGCAGGGGACTGCCACTATGCTGCAGGGTGGTATGCATCCCGCTATACTGAGGGATCAAGGGACATCTCCGGAAGGCTGTACGATTGGCGGGTTGATGGTGATGGAAGAGGCTGGGGTGCGTGGTCATGTTGGACGGGCGCTGCGGGAAGCTGTTACTTTGGCTCGTTTGATGGAGACGACGCCCCACGTTAACGATACGAGACATTAGGGGAGTTGCCCTAGCTTTTTATCCACTCCATCTAATTTCAACCAAGACAGTCATGGAACGTGAAACATATTTCATTAAGGATTGATATGCTAAGAGTAGAGGTGTCCAATTCACTATTTCCAACCCATAAACCCGCAAGGCTAAGCTCCACAAATACCCTTGAAGATATCGAGAGTATGTTTCCAAACCGATTGTCTCGTGCCATCTGCGCGATAGCCTTCCAACACCTGCTGGTTCTTGACAGTGGCGGAATCGGCACCAACCAAGTAAAAACCAGAACCCTGGACACCATCCGAGCCAAGTGCAGCATCATTGCCCCCCTTCACTCCCCGGGGGGGAAGATCGGGCTGGTCGCGGCAAAGAGATGTCTCTCGCCGCTCTCTTCCAAAGTAACAGACATGGGGGTGAGCAAAAGGAACAACGCGCTTAGAGCAGTCTTCATCAAAAACCCATTATCACGTACCAGACTTGTCTTCACAAGACCTGGGTATGCGTGAACAAAAGAGGTTGAGGGATGCGATGAGGCAAGTTCTTCCATTGACAGCGAAGTCATGGTAATTGCATGGTTAGCGGCATTGCGCAGAGAGTAGTTATCCTTTAGGGAGAGATCATTTAAGATCAAGGGTGCATTTCCGCGCCCGTCAAGAACAGAAAGAACACTCGAGAGGCGGCGCTGAGCAGAGTTTGTGCCTGTGGCATTGGCGGCACTTGTCAATTGAGGGAGAAGGTTGTATAAGAACCGCATGCGAGAGTAGTAATGAAGACTGAGCTTCTTGTCTAGTCCTTCATCGGTCTCTGTGATTTACTTGTTAGCGAGTTTGGACGAGGAAGGGGAAAAGACAAGAAACATACCATCTCGCCCCTTGGTAGTCAAGATGCCAGGACTCAAAATCAAAAGATTGATCTTTTCTTCTTTGGCTTGGATGTCCTTGCACGCCAGGTCTACTTCATGCAGGCGCGAAACGTCGCTCTTGATGAAACTAATTTGTCCATCTGGATTCAGAGCACGGAGATCCTCGATAATCTTGGAAGCTCGCGTCTCACTTCGTCCGACGAGATACACGCGCGGAGAAACGGCATATTTCACAAAAGCACGGGCGGTACTTTCACCGATGCCACTGGTGCCACCGACTAGAGAGATGTTAATGATGTATCCATGCTCTAGGGATGACGAGTCCTACCGAAGACTGCCACCAGATTAGGGCCATATTCCTTGATGGCAGAGTTACTAGATTTTACTGTTTCAAAGGACACCATATTTGCTGTATTTGCTTTGTATTGATTCAGCAGAGAGCAATGGAAGTGCAACTGCAACTTATAAGAGATTCGGCGGAGTGACGAGTTCACCCGGTGCCGATTCCTTATCGCCGCAATCCCCGAGTCAGAGCCAAGCTCCTTACTTACTCATTTGGGTCAGTCTCCAGGCTAACAAGAGCAGCTGATCTTGATTATTTGTTTTCAAATAACTGCCCATCTACAAATTGCGCCCAAAAATTAATCCTCGGCAGAAAATTAGCAAAGCCATCTTGGCGGGTGGCGTAATGTTTGCAGGGATCGGCCTTGACAGTCCATAAGCCTACCTCACACCACAATTCTCGAGACCAAGAGAGCTACTTAACTCACTCACCAGCAAGATGTGGCCCTTCTTATCTTATCCCGAGAGCACAATAAGCGACATTTCGGGAAAGACGTACGACTATATCGTTGTGGGCGGTGCGTGTCATCCGTGGACACCAAGACAACCGATTAACTGACAAGCCCTCACAGGCGGTACGGCCGGGTGTTTAATCGCCAACCGTCTATCTGCCTCGAATGCTTCCGTGCTAGTCTTAGACAAAGGTTGCGTCAACGCGGGTCTTCTCTCGCGGATCCCGCTACTTGGCCTGCTGCAGAGCGGAATTAGCCGCCTACATGCCGAGCCCAACACGAACTTGCGCGGACGGCATGTGCAACTCCTTAGTGGCGATATGCTAGGTGGAACAAGTCGTATTCATTCCATGGTCTGGAGCCCCGGCGGACGGGCCGAGTTCGACGGCTGGGCGCGCGACCTGGGACTGGACGAATGGAGCTGGGACAAGGTGCGGCCGGCCCTTGCGCGGGTTGAAGAGGGTATCCAGCGCAGACAAGCGGGGGATACGGGGATCATGTCTTTTGTAGATAAGGTAATGGAGAGAGTGGGATTGGGCGCGGGCGGTGGGAGAGGGACGCAGCGGTATGCTCGCAGTGAGCTTTCGATTGATGGAAATGGGGAACGGAGCTCCGCGCTGACAGCGTGGCTGGATTCTTCGGTCGTGAAAGAGAGAAGGGAGCAATTGACGGTGTGCACGGGGGTCTTAGCAAGCAAGGTTGAGTTCGCGGATGGCGGAACGAGGGTCACGGGCGTGTGGATCAGGCCAGTTGACGGGGGCGCAGACGTTTTAGTCAAGGCCCAACAAGAAGTTATCGTCTGTAGTGGTGTGTTTGGCACGCCGCAGCTATTGATGATGAGGTTGGTTCGGTTTTACCCGATAGTATAACATGTGATGCTAACGTCGAGCAGTGGCATCGGTCCCAAGGATCACCTTTCCCTACACGACATCCCTGTAGTACAAGATCTTCCCGCCGTGGGCTCCAATTTGAGTACCCACCTCCTCGTGCCGGTGATGTCAGAGCTTCCAAAGAAGCACACCCTGCACATTATCCAAACGGCAGCTATTCTCTGGCACTTCATTCTGTGGCTCTTCTGTGGGACTGGCGTTCTCGCTTCGAACGGCCAGTTCGGCGCCGCATTTCTGCACTCGACTTCGCTTGATGATGCACCAATGACAGTCCGCCCTTCCAAAGATGAGGAAGCGCCAGATCTTGAAGTGTTGATATGCCCACTCAGCACGCTGATCGAGCACGGCGTCCCGGGCGTGCCGTGCATGACGTGGTATGCGGCGCTTGTACAGCCCTATACCACGGGCAGCGTTGAGCTCAGATCCGCCTCTGATCCGAATAAGCCTCTGAGAATTCAGCTCCCCCTTTTGACTGACAACCGTGACATCAAGCGTCTGCGCAAGATCGTGCGGTTTGCTATGCGGTTAGCTTGTGAGTTTGGCAGCCCGGCGACGGGCTATCCACATGCGGCGCCGTTGGCGATGGCACCTGGTATAGATTTGGAGTATCTTGACTCGATGCTGGATAAAAGCAAGAGCAAGAAAGATAAGAAAAAGCTCGTGAAGGCAGAACCACTGCAGATGGATGCGTGGAAGACCGTCACAGATCTCCAGGTCGATGAGTATATAAAGAGACTGGTGACAGCGAGCTATGATCCTATGGGTACGTGTCGGATGAGCCTGGCGCGGGAAGAGGGCGTGGTGGATCAGAGCCTGAAAGTGCATGGGGTACAGAACTTGCGAGTTGCAGATGCGAGTGTGTTTCCTCGGCCTGGGGGTGCATCGATCTCAGCGTCTGTCTATGTGATTGCCGAGAGGTGCGCTGAGTTTGTTATAGATCAGCGACTAAAGTCGCTTGATACGTAAAACTTATCTAGGGCCTCTGTCTACAGACCATCATTGATTTTCCGTCTTTGGGTATTGCACCCTAATATACCTACACATATATGTTGGTGGTTCTTGTTACGTATATATAGTCAGCAACTTTCACCTCTTGGTTACTTTACCTCCTTCTCACGTCTTTCTCGCCTCCTCCTTACTTCTTACTTACTTCAATATGACATGCATCTTCAGATACCGCCAGATTTACTCTCTTTTGGGCCAGTGCTCATTCGCTCAACATCGTATCGTCAGTAATATAATCTAAAGGGCGTGTAGGCTTTACTCTCGAGCGCGCCGCAGAATCTTTCATCCCGTCATACAATCCTTTATCTTCATTCTCCCGCCTCCTTCCTTGAGAATATACCTAGGTATAACCTTCCAAAGTACATTAATGCATGGAATAAGTGCCTGGTGGTACTCTGTGAAATATCTAGTCGCACACTTCACAAAATCCGCTTCATCAATTATCGCGCCTTTCTTGCTATCGGCCAAGTCCTCTGTGTCCACGAATTTCCACCTGTCATACTTCGTAACAACTATTTCCTATCCCGGCTTCTTGTAGTGGATGCAAATCCAAAAGATCATCCAGAAAAATGATTTAAGATCATGCATGAAAGAATGCTTCTCGCCCAGAAGCAAGCCAGTCGCTATAAAGTCCCTCGTGCTGACATCATCTACTACCGTGTCTCTGTCCTAATGCTCGTTGAGTTTGTAGCTAAGTGAAGATCAATAGGGAATGCCGACCACAAACGGATCTCCTGTTCTCGTTGATCATGAGATTATTGACTGACCTATCTCGGAGGAGAATCCCTGCCTCATATAAATACTAATTCCCTATAATTCAATCCTCAAACGCCGAGTAATTTCCAATCTGTCGACATGTCATAATGTTGGTTGGTGAAAGAAATGGTTTGGTATCTTGTCCAAGCGGTAAAGGTAAACAACTCAGCATAAGACCAATATCGATACTCTGTAGACTCTATGATGACCTGAATACGCGAATCGTACTATGTCTCTATCTGAGATTTATCTCTCGCTCAGTATATGCTTATATCACAGGAATTTTTTTATGCTGTGATTGTATATCACCTACCCCTCACTAAGCTACACCTGGGCATGTGTATGTACATATGTATCCGTTAATATGCCCAGTCCCTCTTCTACCGGGCAAGTTACTACGTGAGGAAATAGCCATGAATATTATAGATAGAGGCTAAAGAATGTGTTGTCTCTAAATCTCTAGCAAAGTAGTTCGACGTCATAGATACCTCTTGAGGTCTAGATGTATAAGCTGAGGAATATTTCCAAGAAAGGACTAGCGTGGATTGAAGAGCCCCATTTGCCACTTCTGACCGTCCGCCACGTAAAACATCCCACTTTCTTTCAGCCTGAAACATCAGGCCAATACATAACATCATCCTTCCGATAAATTGGCCAATAACTGTTCGACGGAAACTGGAATATCAAATCCGAACTGTCAATTTCATCCAATAACCGACTTCTCCGAGATCCGATTAACTAATAAACCTAGATAAGAAGGTTAATCAGCGGTTCTCGGCGGTCTTTCTTGATAATCCATGCGGTTCGGTATCTTTCTGCACTGGATCACCTCATGGGTCCCCTTGTACCTGTCTGTTCCCACATGGGATCCCGATGGGCCGATATGTGTAAGCCGTATTCTTATTCCTAAATATTAAATACTCTTCTCTTTCTCTTCTTTCAATCGTCCCCACTTCTACCTTCTTCAACTCTCTCTATCTCTCTCAATCTCTTTCTCTCTCTACAACCATCAAAATGACTAAGGGTTTCAACGCTGGTGACGCCTTCCCCAAGGACGTCGTGTTCTCGTAAGTAAAATTTTCAAGCCTCCAATCCAAACCACAAGCTAACCAAAAAAAACAGTTACATCCCCTGGTCCGAGGAGGCAGGCGAGATCACCTCTTGCGGTATTCCCATCAACTACAACGCCTCCAAGGAGTGGGCCGACAAGAAGGTCATCCTCTTCGCTTTGCCCGGTACGTGACCGCTCTTTCAATCCCTCCCCAAAAAATTCTCTCATCCCGCCCCGCATATGCAGTATGCCGTCTGCAAGGTTCTCACGCTGACCGCCACTCCCAACAGGTGCCTTCACTCCCGTGTGCTCCGCCAACCACGTCCCCGAGTACATCCAGAAGCTCCCCCAGCTCCGCGAGAAGGGTGTCGACCAGGTCGCCGTCCTCGCCTACAATGACGCCTACGTCATGTCCGCCTGGGGCAAGGCCAACGGTGTGACTGGTGATGACATTGTATGTGATCCATCTTCATTTTTCTATCCCACACCCGCACTGTCGCAGCCAACAACTAACACTTTTCTTTCTAGCTGTTCCTCTCCGACCCCGAGGCCAAGTTCTCCAAGTCCATTGGCTGGGCTGACGAGGAGGGCCGCACCTACCGTTACGTGATCATCATCGACCACGGCAAGGTCACCTACGCTGCCAAGGAGTCCGCCAAGAACACCCTCGAGGTGTCCAGCGCCGACGCCGTCTACAAGCAGCTGTAAATGATAGCATAGATTTGGGTTGGGCGCACTGATTCATCGGCGATGCTGCTGCGGTGGTGCTTTCGCTGCTTTTGACGCAGATTTTTAGAATATCCTTTAGATCGCCTTGATGCGTGCTCTATCGCCTGAAGAGTGAAATACTTTAATGAAGCCACGAGTTCATTCTTTCTATCTTTCTATCTTTTTATCTTTTTATCTTTTTACAGAAGCATCCGATCTATCGATGTAGTCTTCTTGTGCGACGGTTGAAGTATACCTCGGGGCTGTGATTGGTGCGATGCCTGGATGCTGGACTAGTGAGAGGCCAGTGCCACGTCGTCTGTGCTCAACGCCTCGATATACTAAAAGATCGCCACAGCGCCAAAAATGCAGTCTGTTGTTTATAGCCGTAGCAGCAAGAATTGTAGTCAAGAAAGAGATAATATATTCGTACAAAGTGGTATCTAAAAAAAGCCTCCCAGAAAGAAAAAAGAAAATGGAAATAAACATGTGTCATTACGCTCAACGCCAACAGAAAATCAAGATTTCTTCACATTGAGAGCCACAACACCAGGTTTATTCTTCTTGCGCTCATCTTTAGTCCGCAGCCCACGACTCAGCCCACCCCCAAGACCCCTAGCCAAGGAAGCAAACGGCGACGAGTCCTGCCACACGTCCAAGTCGTCTTCGACCTGGGCAAGGCCCTTAGGTTGTAACGACTGCTTACGGCCGGGGCCGAGACCAAAAGGCTCAGACTGTCGACGAGAACTTTTCGCCTGCGCAATTGCGGGATGGGGAGCTGGTGGCGATGACCTAGGACTTGGAGGTGCAGTTTCCCATGAAGGCATTGGGACATCGACGGCGATGTGATCGGAGCATTGACAGCCGCATCCGGTCGGGCAAGTTGGGAGGGCCTTTGTCTGGTCTGGGTGGTCTGGTGGGATGTTGAAGGAGTCTGGTGGTCGCAGGAACCAGAGCTGGTGGCAGTCGAAACAGCTGACGTGTCCGCAGCTCAGGCAAGGGATCAGCATGCCGTCGACTACCTCGCCGCAGATGACGCAGGGGAGTTTGGTTGGGAGGGCTTGTCGGGGTTTGCAGTTGGGGCAGCGCCGGCCGGACGACTTGCGCCGATGTCGCTTGGAGGAGGTGTCTGGTGCCACGGGGTGTTTGTTGAAGATGGATAGCTGCAGGGCATGGCCGCAGCTGGCGCAATGGCGCTGGAAGTCCAGGGCCTGGGGGTGGAGTCTGGCTGTGGACCTTTGAGAGAAGTGTCATTGGTGCTGGTGCTGGTGCTGTTCCAGTAATGGCTTGAGTTCATGTCGTCCACTCGGTTAGCCACGGCTCCAATCTTCATGACTTCGCTTTGCTGGACGGGAAGATCCCAAATTGCCAGTAAGTCAGCATATGCAGCGCGATATGACCGATACAGCCATTCTTTATTGCGATCAAGAAGGGGATCTTGCGCTGGCTCGTCGCTCTTGAATGCACTCTGATTCTTGAATGTGACCTTGAATCTTGCAGGTGGTGGTGCAGGTTCGGGTGCATGGTCACTTTCAGTGTCGGATTGGACTTGCGACTAGAAGGCAATGGTGGTTAGACAGAATGAAACTTTAATGTAAAGATGATAAAGGTAGACTGCTTACTGCTTGCCCGGTAGCCACGCTCGGGCTATCCTGGGGCGTTTGCTTCTTCTTGTCCATCCTAGTCATCGGCGGTGATGCCGAAGACGGCCCGAAGGTAAACGAACGAGACAATGACGATGCCAACACCGACCCAAATCCGGATCCACTCCGTGGCTGTGACTGCTGGTCGGGCGACGCAGTCATGGAGACATTGTGGCTCAGAGACTTTCGGTCAGCAGCGATGCCCCGTGGACGGGACATGAATGGAGGCGTAGTGCCTGTGGAATGTGGAGGAGTAGAATCGAGGCGCCAGATTTCACTGGACGACCGTGCTGATGTTTGGGCAGTGGACATGGTCTGAACCTCTTTCGGGACAGACGGAGCAGATGTCACTGCCAGCGGCTTGCTTTGAATCGCCGGTGTGCCTGAAGAAAAATCCAATGAGAATTCTTGTTTCCCGGGCTTTTTCTTAACTGGTTGGTTCTCCAAGGCCCCTTCTTGATTGGCTTCGAGAAGCACACAAGAAAGCATCGCTACCATTTGTACGTCTCCGATGCGCTCAAAATGCTCAAAAAGAGCAGGTATAAGCCAATGGCTACCAAGAGGGTGGTCCCCCCAGCGAATTATACTACCACCCATGTCTCTATACATCCCATCTCTTCCAAGGCCACCAATCCTGCCACCTTTTCTCTGCATGCGTCTTTGCAGCAAGTCTGACTCGGGCAAGGTCCCGGGGTTCTTTCTAACATGTAAAACCAACTTAATCAGACCCCAGATTTGGGCCAATTCATAACAGCCAGCATCAAGGGCAACAGCGGCGTTATGGGCACATACATCTGTACCTTTACCACAGATGCGGTAGTTAGAAGCCAACTCCCGCTTGACTGGCAGCATATCACTCAAATTGTGGATAGATACGATATTTTGCGGGGCTTCGGATTTGACAGTTCCAACACCTCCAGTTGATCGCTGGGAATTATCCGTTGATCTTGGGCGGTGGAGTCCATAGCTGCCGGCACTGCGCCACGTTTGAGGTGCAGGGAAACGCGTCGGTAGCCCAGAAAGAATGTCCGACGAGCCTGACGAGCTTGAGGTGTCCGAGTAAGATTCATCTGAATCAGACGAGGCCCCATCTTCTGTGCTGGTTATTGTGCCCTTGCCGCGTGGGCCAGGAGAGTTGGTTTGTAGGCGGCCAAAGCCTTCAAAAACCTTGTCGCCTCGGGACCATCTGGTCATCTCTCTGAAGCCCATGTTCTCAAACAATTCCGCTGATTTGTCTTTCTTCGGTTTTGGTGGAAAGAAGCATATGAGACGGCCATCATTTGCCCATAAAGCTCCGCATGCCTTGGCCACGGGGACCATAACATTGGCATTGACCGGGCGGAGGAGCTCAGAACTCATCCCTAGCTCTTGGCTCTGGGTCATGCCGACTTCGTCTTCGTCGCTAGATTCCCCTTCCAGCTCACCATTGACAGGGGACTTGAGATTGTCGCCAGTCTCCCCAAGAATCCATGCAATGCTTTCCTCCAAGCTGCTCTCTCCCAAGAGGTAGCGAACAGCGCCCTCCAGGCAACCCCGACTTCGGGACATGTATGTTTCAGCGATTGTCCGCAACTCGGCGGTGGTCTTGGCAGCCCACTCATCGGTGACGGCTGCTGTCTTTTGGAATGCGAATGTAGGAATCGCAGATTTAGGGTAGCTGACCGGGAATTTAATGTCCACTTTAAGGAACAATGAGGCGCCGTTGGCACCCCAGGGTCCATTGAGAGAAATGGTAATTTTTCTTTGGCGAACATCAACCGAATCAAAGGCAACCTTGGTGAACTTCTCGCCGACATGGCTAATTTCATCTCCCAGGGTCTCAATATCCCAACCCGAGATCTTCACGCCTCGCATCCAAGCAATTGGATTGGTATCAGCTCTCAGATTGGCCCTCGGTTGCATCCCAACTCGATCGACGTGGCCTCCTTTAATCCAGCCACGAGCATGAGGAACAGTGATAGCGTTCATTCCGGTACCCGTTGCAGTGTTCTGGTTCTGGGCCCCAACTGAGGAAGCCGTGTCAATGTCATCAATTTCCAGATCTGAATTGACATCACGGAAACTCCGATACACAGCACCAAGCCGTGTCACACCTCGTGTGGAGATAAAGGACTTGCCCTTCTCGTACCCAACACGCTGGAGAATCTCGGGGTTGACTCTGTGAAGTCGAAGTTCCCTGTCTGTTCCCCAAGTCACGAGCTGGTACTCGCGGTGGTCAATTCCGTCTGCAACTCCTCCGCGCGGTCTCCAGAGGAACTCTTTGACTTGTCCCTTGTGTCCTGGGAAACTATGCACCAAAGGCAGATCGTCATCCGGGCTCGAGCCCTCCTCAGCTCGCCGGCTGTAAAGGTGGAGATCATTGTTGCCTCTCTGCGGCATTGCCAGTACGCCCCATCCGAAGGGCGTATTCCGTGCCCGCCATACGGGGAATGGGGTTCGAATCTGTTTCTCTGGAACATCGGATTCGGTAGTGTAGTCCCAGAACTTGACGGTTCTATCTAGAGAGCAAGTGACCAATGCACCGCGTCGGACACGATTCCAGTCAACGCCGTAAATCTTCGTGCTGTGGGCTTCGATAGACTTGATCGGGTATGCACCCATACGGTCATCCCAAATCCGGAGAAACCGGTCATGAGAACTCGCGATAACGTGGGGATCTTGTCGGTTCCATTTGACCTGGGTCGCACCAGTGAACCAATCCGAGAATGATACAGCCGGCCGCGCCGGAGCGCGCAAATCCCAGCAGTGCACAAAGCTGTCCACAGAGCACGTGGCGAGAAGATCCGGATGAAATGCTGAGAAATTGATATCGGTAATTGCGCGTGAATGGGCGTGGAGCACAATTTCAATGGAGTTTTGCCATGTCTTCATAGCCAAGTTCCATACCAACGCTTTCTGGTTAGATGTACTGACAACCCATTGGTCACGCGCGGCAAATGGCGACCACTGTACATCGGCAACCTCCCATGGTGTGTGGTGAGGAAGATACCGTGGCGGGGAATAAGGTGAATCCAGATCAATGACATGTAGACCCTCTTTGGATGCAAGAACGACATCTCGTCCGCAGGGGGATATTGACATAGAGCCCACTGGTTGTTCTACATGGAAAGAACTGTCCTCTTCAAATGTCGGGCTATCCATAGCCGACGCGAGGGGCCTCGCTCCCATAGAGCTCGACATGGTGACTGAGATGGCGGCTTAATCTCCGGCGTTGATCGGGCCGCAATCATGCAGGAAACGGGAAGCCAAGAAGCTATGCATAGAACGTATGAATATATGTAACTGGAAATATTGCTCCTGTTCCCATTTTTGACAATGGCATCCCCTTGCCCCTATCTCATGAGATATGACTGTCGCATCGACGCCCTGGAGAAGAGTTGTGATAACGCGATAACAAGTGCGTGGCTAGTGATGTGGCAGTGGCAGTATGACATCACATGATCTCATGTACGGGACACGAAATGGCCCCACCATGCAAGAGCCCCTCGGCGATTAGTTACGTCGAGGTTCTCGATCTGTATTTTGTTGATCTTTGGTTTTTTTTTTCTCTTTCTAACAAACCTCGCTCATCGGGTTTCATCACAATTACAACAGCGCAAGCTTTTGATCATTTTCAGATCCCATCTTGTCCCTCACAAGGACCAAACACAGTCAACACGGGTATTGATAAGCCGGTTCACCATGGCTTTGCCGAAAAGAATCATTAAGGAGACCGAGCGCCTGATGGCAGAGCCGTAAGAGGCACCTTTTACATTGGATCGAGCTGGCGCAGGTGCTAACGCCATATATTGTACTTCTAGTGTTCCAGGCATCAATGCTGTTCCTCATGAGGATAATTTGCGTTATTTTGACGTTTCAATTCACGGCCCTACGCAGTCTCCATATGAGGGTACAGTCGTGAAAACAGCAACTTTGCCTCGATTTAAAAACTAACAATCCGACTGCAGGTGGTATCTTCAGACTCGAGCTCTTCCTTCCAGACGATTATCCTATGACCCCTCCCAAAATCCGTTTCTTGACAAAGATCTACCACCCTAACATTGATCGTTTGGGTCGCATCTGTTTGGATGTCTTGAAGAGTATGGATGAACATCGGCCCCTCACATTGCATCTACCTGACCGTCTTGCCTAGATAACTGGTCTCCCGCTCTCCAGATCCGTACGATCCTACTGTCGATCCAGGCTCTGCTCGGAGCCCCCAACCCCGACGACCCGCTCGCCAACGATGTGGCTCAACGATGGAAGGAGGATGAGGCTGCGGCAATTCAAACGGCGAAAGAGTGGACTCGGACACATGCTATGGCCTAAGTGCTGTGATGTGCCCAGGTGTGATGCGACCATGAAGTACAAGACAGACTTTCTATTTGCGATAGCAGGCATTGAATGCCAAGAATTTGATTTGGGGACAAGCATGTTGATTTGAGAAAGAATACATTCTCCAGTCCTAGCATTTCTTTTAATTCCGAGTGACTGGTCTAAAGAGGTTGCATAGAATCAATTGCTAGGCGTTGGACCAACTGCTCTAGAGCTCATGTTCACCTAGGGATTCTTATATGCTCGCTACGGTACCAAAATCAAGACGCACGTCTATGCCTTCATAATTCGTTTGTCGACAAGTATAAAGGCGTGTCTTGAAGTATATCTTTCAAGCAAATAGCTGCCTCAGACTTCTGCATATATATATGAACTCGATGTTTGGAAGGACATTTAAGCGAGGAAGATGCGAATGCTAGTCTCTTCGGTGAGTGGTTTGGTTTTCCTTCTGGTCGATGGAATTTTCGGACAATTGCTGGTCAACGCATGCCAAGCATGAAGTCACAGGCCACTTCAATAATTCCAGCCTCTCACATGAAAATATAAAGTAATTCAAATCAACTTATTTTAACGAGCCTTGGAATCTGGAGAGTTGTTGGAAGTAAAAGTTATATCACGTGGTCGGTGTCTTATCGATAACAGACCCGGAAAGGGCAGACAGGGTCACGTGTCGCACTTTAGCGAGTGTCCGCACCACAATTGGGTCATCAGTATCACCGCGATCCACGATTTTTGACAACCACTTTAACGCCAACCGACACCCGTCAGCGCATCTCCATCCGTCAAGATGCGTACCTACGACGACTCCTTCAGCGGTCAGAAGATCTACCCCGGCAAGGTGCGTTACAATCCTGTCGTCGTTATTGGGAGGGATTTGTGCGCGAGGAAACTACGGCTTTGCGGATTCGACATCGGACCTTCGATCTCTTCACATCGTCAAACTTCGTCGCTCTACGTTTTGCCGCTCTCCGTTTCGATCGAATCGCTGCACACAATTCCTCCGTTATTATTGATATTTTTCAAAAGCTAATATTGAATCTTTAATATTATAGGGTAAGCTCTTCATCCGCGGTGACTCCAAGATCTTCCGTTTCCAGAACGGAAAGTCCGAGTCCCTCTTCCTGCAGCGCAAGAACCCCCGCCGCATCGCATGGACTGTTCTCTTCCGTCGCCAGCACCGCAAGGGTATCTCTGAGGTCGGTCGCCCCTCCCGTTGGATTGTTGTTGAATGAACGGTGTGGTGGAACAAATGGCCGACTCGAATGGTTACGCAAATCATGAGCCGGGGCAAGAGAAGGAATTGCGTTCTATACCACCATACATGGGTTCAAATGATGGAAAACGCGATTACAGATTACTAACCGGGTCATATTGTGGAAATATAGGAGGTCGCTAAGAAGCGCACTCGCCGTGTCGTCAAGAACCAGCGCGCTATCGTTGGTGCTTCCCTCGATGTGATCAAGGAGCGCCGTTCCCAGCGCCCCGAGGCCCGTGAGGCTGCCCGCAAGCAGGCCATCAAGGATGCCAAGGAGAAGAAGGCTGCTTCCGCCGCCACCAAGAAGGCTGAGAAGGCCAAGTCCGCTGCCGCTGGTGGTCGCATCCAGAGCAAGCAGGGTGCCAAGGGCTCTGCCCCCAAGGTCGCCGCCAAGTCCCGCTAAATTATTACAATAAATGGTTGGATTGGAGGTGTTCGGAAAGGAGTAGCGCTGTACTGACGGTTGCGATATGATGGAACTTACGGGCACCGGAGCTGGAGTACTGTCTGTGAGAACTGGCCTTGGGCCTTGACCTTGTTTCTATGCAATACAATTTCATGCAGAAAAATGGGAACAAAGGAATCAAAAATATGAATCCCCATGCGAGTATCAAAACTCTGCTCCTGTCCACCCTCCAGCGATGAAAAGCCGCTTTTTCCACTGCGATTCATATCTGCCGTTGTACATGAATGGTTGGATATGTTTTAGATTATGCCATGGAAGTAGACCAGATTCGGTTTTATATGCTGTAATTGAATATCATGTTTTCACTTGTTCTAAACGTTCGATATTCTTAGTCCAGACCTTGGATCTCGGGACATTGTGCTTATAGTAGAAGTTACAACAGAAGCTGAAGATTTGTATGAATGGTATTTCATGTACGTCTTTCTATGTCTGGATTGTCTAATTATCCCCGTGATGTATCAATTCCAAACTCGGGGCAGAGAAATAGGATAAACAAAAGCCATGATGCTACAGTCTAAAGAAGGGAAAAGCGGACTCCCGCAACAATAGAAACCCCGTCGTTCTGGCGACGCCTGATAGATCAAATGCCCCGCGTTCCTTCGCCCTATAATCACAATACGGAAATGGATTGCAAAGGTGAGGGGTGAGCGTGAGATCGCCGAACTCACTAGGCGCACCATATGCTGACCGAGGAGTCCATGCAAGTGTAGATACATCGTGGTGAATGCCAGCTCCGCTATCGCGAACATGCCACCTAGCATGCTTTTTGCGATTTTCTGTATAAAATTCGCCTTACAAGTCAAGCCCTTCCGAGCGAACGAACCAAATGCCTCAAACGCCAGACCAAAAACCAGGGTGAACCGGGTAGTAAAACATCTCAGTAATCAACAAGAGCTCAGTAGTAGTGTGCCATTTCCAGGCCAGCACGCTTGAAGCCACACTTAACATAGAAGCCCTCATTGACCTCCGAGCAGTCAAGGATGCTCTAGATAAAACAATCAGCAACGAACAAATACAGCAACCGAAGTAATTAAACATACCTTGTAGCAACCAACATGGGCAGCAACATAATCCAAGGCCTGAATAATCCTCAAACCCAGCTTCTTGCCCTGCTGGTTCTTCTCAACGGCAATGTCCTCAATATGCCCGACCATACCAAGCGAGTGAATGAACTTGCGCTCGACAATCAAGCTGCCTGTACCGACGACGCGGTCCTCGCCATCACAGACAACAAGCATGTAGTACTCGTCGTTGCGCGAGGTAATCCACGCATAGCGCTTGTTCCAATCGTCCTCCGAGATGTCACCGACGGTTGTCAGGACGCGCAGCACATCGAGGTAGCCGCGGTTGTAGTCTGAGCGGCGCAGGGGGCGGATGGTGTAGTTTTCTGGTAGTTCGGCGATGACTTCGGGGGAGATGAGGGTGGAGGGGAAGAGAGGGCCGTCGTTTTCGATGGTGGAAGAGTCGGTTGAGTTCATGGTGGGCTTCTCGGAGACTGTGGGTGTGATGGTAGAAGTGGTCATTTTGTAGGAAGATTTGGGTTGAATTGGTTATTTATGAGCTGGGTAGCGATCGTCGGTCTTCGAATTGAGGAATGAATATGTAGTAGTTATAGATATTGAGAGGAAGAGAGTGAGTTGAAATACAAGTTGTTTTGTTGAAGCCAGGTACAGATCTGAGACAATTGCCCCCAGGGGGCTCCCGAGATTTTCTATTAATACTTTGCATACCAGGGGGACCACTAGTGGATTCACTTTTCTTTTTTTTCTCATACAACACATAGACAAAATGTAAACTGCTTAGCTAGTTCTGCATGTATTTAATAAAATCTTTTAAATGATCTCGGTAACCCCGATTCTCTACTATATTGCATGCATAAAGTTCATCGTCGATTTCCTTTTGTTCCGTCGCTAATTATAGGACTACGTTGTGTAGATCAGATCTACAGCCAACTACAACATCACACATTGACCAGAAATTCTTTCAGTGTACAATTCCTATTGGAAATCTATAATGTCACAAAATGAACAATATTGTCCATTTACTTCAACTCCTTAGGAGCAAGCATGAGCTCGGGGCGGACGTATTCGTCGAACTGCTCTGAGCTGAGGGCCTTGAGCTCCATAGCGCTCTCCTTCAGGGTAAGGTTCTTCTTGTGGGCGTTCTTGGCAACCTTGGAGGCCATGTCGTAGCCAATGACGGGGTTCAGGCAGGTCACGAGCATCAAACTAGAAAGCGGTTAGAATTTGACATCAAAAGTAGAAGGGGAAGAACGCAGTGCATACCTCTCGTTGAGAAGGGAGTTAATGCGCTCCTCGTTGGCCTCCAGACCCTCCACAAGGTGGGAACGGAAGCTGTTCATGCCGTCGGAGAGAATGCGCACGCTGTGGAGCAGGTTGGCGATCATGAGAGGCTTGAAGACGTTCAGCTCGAACTGGCCGTTCATACCACCAATGGTGGCAGCGACGTGGTTGCCCATAACCTGAGAGCAGACCATGGTGAGGGACTCGCACTGGGTGGGGTTGACCTTGCCGGGCATGATGGAAGAGCCGGGCTCGTTCTCGGGGAGGGACAGCTCGCCGAGACCGCAGCGGGGGCCGGAGCCGAGGTAGCGGATATCCTGGGCGATCTTGAATAGAGAGCCGGCCAGGGTGTTGAGGGAGCCGGAAGCCTCGACGATAGAGTCGTGGGCGGCGAGAACCTCGAACTTGTTAGGGGCGGTCTTGAACTCGGTGCCGGTCAGCTTAGTGATCTCGGCAGCGACGGCCTCGTCGAAGCCCTTGAAGGTGTTGAGACCAGTGCCGACGGCGGTACCACCCTGGGCCAGGAAGCGCAGGTGGGGGATGCTAGCCTGAACACGCTCGATGTTGCGGTCGAGCTGGGCGACGTAGCCAGAGAACTCCTGGCCGAGGGTGAGGGGAGTGGCATCCTGCAAGTGAGTACGGCCAATCTTGATGATGTGCTGGAACTTGTCAACCTTCACTTGGAGGGCATCACGAAGGCCCTGGAGGGCAGGCAGAAGGGTCTGCTCGAGCTCGACAACAGCGGCGATGTGCATGACGGTGGGGAAAGAGTCGTTGGAGGAGGCGGACATGTTGACGTGGTCGTTGGGGTGGACGGGCTTCTTGGAGCCCATGGTACCACCAAGGATCTCAATGGCACGGTTGGAGATGACCTCGTTGGAGTTCATGTTAGACTGGGTGCCGGAACCAGTCTGCCAAACAACCAGAGGGAAGTGGTCCAGCAGCTTACCCTCGGCGACCTCGGCGGCAGCCTGCTTGATAGCCTCACCAATCTTGGGGTCTTGTTACAAAGTTAGTAGCCTGGCCGTGTTCTCTTTTCAGGTGGGAGCTGCACATACCAAGGCCGTACTTCATGTTCACTTCGGCAGCAGCACCCTTCAGGATACCGAAGGCCTTGATCACAGGAGCCGGCATGCGGTCCTGGGGCTGGTTGATGTCGAAGTTACCCAGGGAGCTGTATCCATCAGCGCATCAGCGATGCTCTAATTTTTCCATTGAAATGTATTTCGATTCGAGTGTCGCCTTACCGCTGAGTCTGCGCACCCCAGTACTTGTCACCGGGAACCTGTGGAAGAGATTGTTAGCTTTGACTATCAGGCCATTTCCATTGTACGTCATCGGAACTCACCTGGATTTCGCCAAAGGCATCACTCTCAGTACGAGCGTCAACGGACTAAATCACATCAGCTCATCTGCGTTTGTCCAACTGTGCTTCCCAAGCATACCATCCTGACGGTAGTTCCAAAAGCGCGCTTGTTAGAAAAGGTGAAGGATTGAAGGCGGGGGAACTGAGCGAATTGGCGGGTATTGGAGCTCAGAGATCGGGCAAAGGCCGGAGAACGAACAGCAGCCGACAGAAGGTTGCGAGCTGCGGGGGTGGCTCTGGTCGCATGTGTTAGGGTGGCCATAGAGCGCACCGCGGCCCGGGAGGATGTGGGATTCATTGTGTAACAATTGGTTTGTATAAGACCAAAATATTAAAGTCCACAAGCTTCTTAAGCTGAAGTGGAATTGCGGATCAAGTCTCCTTAAAAAAAGAAAAAGAGCAAAAACGCGCCCTGCAGGTAAACTCGACTCCGAGGAACAAGCCGAAATTTCCCGTGTATCGGTAGAACAGAAAACACACGGATTGTTTGGCAGTGATGATGGTAAACTTTGGTAATCTTTCAATATTCATACGGTATTTGTTTTTGAAGTTACGGTTGAACACTCATCCCTTGAGTTCCCGGTTCATGGTTGCAATCACCTTCTTGTTATACTGTCGACCTGCTTCTAGAATGCCATCCAATGCAGGGAATAAATGGGGAGCACCTGCAACTCGATGCATCTCAACCGATACTCCTGCAGCTTGAAGCTTTGCCGCATATGCCTCTCCTTCGTCGCGCAGAGGATCTAATTCCGCAGTAAACACCAACGCAGGGGCCAAGTTGCGGAAGTTCGGTGCTAGAATGGGTGATATCTTCCAATCCTATGGGTTCAATGAACAAATTACCACTGCCATCTTTGTCTTTACCTACATATGTAGGTGAGCGGCAAGCATTGCATTGAACTTACCTCATCGGACTGCGCCGGTCGAGGAACTCCTAGGAAGGACCGGTGGAAGTATGCCATACGCGCTGCCGGTAGGGCTGGTGCAAACTCCATCTCTCGATAGGACTCGTATGGACAGTTCTCGCGGTCGAAATCACCTTCAGGGGTGAAGACGCTATGCAAGTCTGTCACCGGCACTGTCAAGAGCTGCAATCGTAGTGGGATATTCGCATCGCGACACAGATGGCTGATAACGGCCGAGATGTGGCCTCCTGCTGACGCGCCACCTACTGCGAACCTATCTAGGTCGAGATTCAGCTCACTTGCTTTGTGGGAACGCACCTAAGATGTCATCAGCTAGTCTCACTAATGACCTTGGCCTAGGCCTAGGGTTCTTACCCAATTAAAGGCAGTCCAACAATCATTGACCGGGATAGGAAACTTATGCTCTGGTGCCAATCGGTAGTCCACATCAAATGCGACCAGGTCTCCATCTAGCTGGTGGACCAGTCGCTGGCAGAAACTGCGATCATATGCTAGTCCGCCAAACACCCATCCACCTCCGTGGAAATTGAGATAGGCAGCTCTCTTCTTCGGCTGGCCCTGGTGATCAAGCTTAGGAGCTGGCTCGAAGATTCGAATGGTAATTTCCCCGTCGTCAACTGGACATTTCTGCTCAGTGATACGGAAGATTTCAGGGCCGGGAGACCGGCCATAGGAAATTGTATATTTGGAAGGATTCTTGCGGAACTCTTCTATCGGCACCTCGTGTGTATGAAGTCGCCCGGCATTGAAGGCATTGTAGTATGCAACGTAGACGGGGTCATACCGAGGGACAAGCTCGGGTGGAATGCTGTTGTGAAGCGGGATGGTTGGGACGCGAAACTCCGATAGAGCTGGGTTAGACCCAGATTGAGAAGCCATGGTTAAACTAAAGTATCTGTATCTCGAATGTATTCCAAGGTTTTTAGAAGAGATTAAGGCAGGGGGGTTGGGCTAAGTGTACCTACATGCAAGTAGTACAGATGCTGTCGCGCGGGGTATCATATGTTAGGTAAAGTTGAGCATAACTACATATGTGCGTATGTACCTACATATTTACAAATAATTATTGTGTCTATATTATTCTACCTAGTTATGTTTGAGGGTCGCATATGTGTTGGCTGTAACCTATGACTACTTAAGCCCTGGAGTATAGTCACTATAAGAACCAAATAATTACTGGTTTTGAGATGAATAATAGCGAGGAATGATATCACGATTTTGACCGAACAAATATCTCTCAGGAGCATTTTGTATTATCTTGTTTATTAATGCCCTTTTATCTGACTGTCCAGGTAGTTACATAGTCATGTAGTTTGTTTGTATATAGATTATCGGTATAAAGCTGCCTCGAAAACTTGATTTATTACATACATTCATTATACAGATAGTCTTTCAGAGTTTTGGTCTTAGATATGATAGAATACTACGTACGACTTATAACTTAAATATCAATCAAGAAAAGACCGGGGAATTATTAGCCAATCTTGTAACAGTTACGGAGTAAATTTTAAGAAGTCCAAACATATATATTACATATTACCAGCGCAGGAGCCTCTTCCAACCATTGGGAGAACTTCAACAACACCTCATCCATCAACCAAACCCCCGAACTTTTACGCAAGAGAATCTTGTCTATATACTTTAAAAAAGAAGAATAGTACGTTTACAGAAGTCAGCAGACTCTTTGTATGACGTTTCAGGCTGATCTATTTAGGTTTGGGACATCACAATGGAGGATCAGTAGCGCATTTCCAACGGCTACCAGATTTCAACCAAATCTTCCAGGCTATCCACGGCTATCTCTTTTATTGAAAGTAAAAAAGCAAGATGGCATCAATAATTGCATCCCTTGCACCTCCGAATCCGCTACTAAGCGGGACTTCCCGCGGGGCAAAAAACAAAAAAACAAAAATCGATAGCCCTGGAGCGATATCGGGTTGACTCAGCGATTCTGATCTTTACTTATAGTTACTCGGCATTCATCTCACAGCCTCCACAGACTTTCGCTACAGGCAATTGACACTAGACCTTTCAATCGCAGCACATATAATTTCACAATGGCCAAAATTGATACCCGCCTCAATGTGGCTCCGGTCCCTCCTGATGAGATCTTCGCCCTGAACGGTGCCTACGCAGTCGATACCCACCCGCAGAAGGTCAGCCTAGGAGTTGGTGTCTACCGAACCGACGATGGAAAGCCATGGCCCCTTCCCGTGGTTCAGAAGGCCGAGAAGGAGCTTGTCGTAGACGACGACCTCTTCCGCCACGAATACACCGCGATCGAGGGTGACGTGCCCTTCCTAGGAATTGCCCGGGATCTGATGTTCGGATTCGAGGGCAAGCACAGCGAAGAAGAGGCCAAGTCCCGCATTGGTTCCGTCCAGACCGTTGCTGGTACCGGTGCCAACCACCTCGGCGCCCTATTCCTCGCCCGCCACATGAAGCCTCGCAGCGTCTGGCTCTCCAACCCGTCCTGGGCCAACCACCAGACTATCTGGGAGCTGGCCGGCGTGCCCCGCAAGACATACCCGTACTACCGTGCGGCAACCAGGTCCTTCGATTTCGAGGGTATGATGTCGACCCTAGAGTCCGAGGCGCAGGAAGGCGATGCTGTGCTGCTGCACGCCTGCGCGCACAACCCCACCGGCCTGGATCCCAACAAGGAGCAATGGGTGGCCATTGCCGATCTCTGCGAGCGCAAGAAGCTCTTCCCCTTCTTCGACTCGGCCTACCAGGGCTTTGCCTCCGGTTCCGTGGAGGAGGACGCCTGGGCCGTGCGCTACTTCTTCAACAACAAGCCCGACATGGAGATGTGCGTGGCACAGAGTTTCTCCAAGAACTTCGGGCTGTACGGGCAGCGTGTTGGCGCGTTCCACTACTGCACCAACCGCAGCTCGACCTCTATCCGCGACATCGTCGTGAACAACCTCTGCCACCTCATCCGCGGCGAGTTTTCCATGGGCCCGCGAGTCGGTTGCAGCATCGTCAAGAAGGTCCTGACCAGCGACGAGCTCACCGCCGATTGGCACCAGGACTTGCAGGTCATGAGCTCGCGCATCAAGGCCATGCGCAAGGCCCTCTACGATGAGCTCGTCCGTCTGCAGACTCCCGGCACTTGGGAGCACATCATCGAGCAGGTAAGCCAGCCCAATGCGACAGTGTAACCGTGGTCCCATACTAACTCTGTTCTTAGAACGGCATGTTCTCCTACACCGGTCTGTCTCCCAAGCAAGTCTACGCCCTCAAGGACAAGTACCACATCTACCTGCTCAAGTCCGGCCGAGCATCCATCAGCGGCTGTAAGGAGCCTCCCCTTCTGATTCTTATGAATACGAGCTGACATTACACACAGTGAGCGAAAAGAACGTCGCCTACGTCGCACAGGCGATTGACGATGTCATCCGCAACGAGAACTAAATTTGAAACATGTCTGAACCGGGTGTTTGAATTCCATGTCCATTGCGCTACCTCGGGAGGTACACTGTTCTCTCAAAAGCTGCGGAGTTTCTTCTCGGACCATTCATTTTGCATCTGGCGGGCCCATCTGTTTTTAACGATTTTTCATGATAGAATTCACCCTTTAGAGAATCACAACTAGTTTCGGTTTCCACTTCGAGCAGTCTAACAAGTAAAACATAACAAGTAATTCAATGAGCTGAGGCTGCATTAGGAAAGCTATTCTACTGTACATTAATTAACCAGATAAAAAGACAAAGAATTGGGAAATAAAACCAAACAAGAATCAAAGTCGGGGCACATTCGTAAGAAACCTAGGGCTTGTCTAGGGCTTGTCTGCCTAGGCGTAGAGACACGCCACTAACCACAATAAGGTAAAACTGTACTGGATATAATCGTAGACGCTGGTCGAAATAGGCATAGAGGCAGGGTAATGAAGTTGAGAGATTGACCGCAAAGCAAGGACAGAACGTCATGAAGAATCATCACAGCGGCACTTCATTGAAGTCCCCTTCACCCTCTTTTCCTTTGCTCTTTGCGATAGCGGAACTCGCAGCCTCGGCCTCGGCCTCATCCTCAGGCCTGTTCTGCGGAAGGGTCTGCTCTTTATCTGTTTTTTCTTCGCTGCTCTCCCCAAGATCGGACTCTTCATCCTTCCCTGGAGCGGGCGCTGGTTCCGCTTCGCCATTCACAGCAGGCTCATTTGAACCATTGGAATCACCCTTGGGCGGGGGTGGAGGGGGCGGAAGATCTTCCTCGTCTTCCGAACCAACCTCCTCCTCCTGCGCCAGGGGTTGGCCGCTGACCGGGCCCCCAGGGAAGGGCGTCAGAGGCGGTTCCTCAGGGGCCTGCTCTGACGCCAAGGGGCTGCGCTGGGGCTGGGAGCTGGGTCTTCCCTGGTGTGTGGTGGCAGCGGAGAGAGTCGAAGTAGTGCGCTGGTGGGACGAGCCGTGGATGACGCCCAGCTGGCGGGCCTTGGGGTCTGCGTTTAGATAGTAGCCACGCACACCGGCGATGGTACCCTCTGTCTCGCAAGCGTCCACCCACTCCGGCACGACGACTGGAATGTTCATGCTAACAGCCTTCTCCCACTGCGCGCCGCGTCCTTCCGTGCAGACGAAATGGGTGGTATCGATACGGACGGTGTCGATCATCTTACCGCCAATACGGTCCAGCGCGGCACCAAGGGCTTCCTTCTGCTGCGGATCCAGGATGCCTGTTGTGACAGTGATACCGGACAGATCGGTCATCTTATGAGTTAGACAGGTCAGCTTCTCCGACTGGTAGGTACCGGCAGTCGTGCGCAGGACAAGGTGGAAGGAGTATTCAGAGTGAATGGCGAGACCGCTGATCTTTGTGCTACGAGTCTCAAGGGGACGGGGTATGGAACCGGCCTTGGATCCATTGCGGTAGAGGGAGAGGGATTTCAGGGATGCGGTGGCCAGGTCGATGGGGTCCCACTCGAGAACGAGCGAGGTCTGGGTTGCATTTCGCAGGCGCAGGATTGGTGGAGACGGGGCTTTGACGCCGTAAGTATTCAAGATTCGTTTCTGGAGGGTTTGGAAGGCAGATGCGCTTGCTGCTTCGGCGGCATGATTGCGCGACACGGTGATATCAACGATGCTACCGGAGGCAATGTTGTTTGGAAGTAGGACTGAGGGGAATTCGATCTGATTGGGAATTAGTTAATGGTACTATTTTGTTTGTAGAATTGTAGTCCAGCGGGTGTTTGGCCATGCGACCAGGGGTTTTGGCTTACGAGTCGATTGTCTTGAGTGAGGAGCACCGCGACACCTGCGTCAACCTTGCCAACTGTCAAGGAGACCAACATCGTGAGATTAGAAGTAGAAGAAGAAGTTTCAGATAGGGTGGTGGTAGTTGTCAAGTCTCCGGGGGTGTTGATTCCGCCAGATCGGCATTTAGCGAGGCACCGGACGGGAGCTAAGATCAATATACTAATATCCGGATTCTATAGTTATTTACCACTTTGACTAACAATTGTCTTATTTCAATTTCAAATTTCTTGGGGTATATTGAAATTGAGAGTAAATATACATATCATGAGAGGAGATATTTTTGAATATTCCAAATGCAACCAATTCCATTGAATCCCTCCAAACGCCTTTGTCCGCAATGCCCATATAATGTACAAATGTCAGTATGATACAGGATGATATGGTAATAAACACAGAGATTCTCAAATTATCGTTTCGAAGGGATTTTCGGGGCCTCAACTTCCTCCTGTGCTGATTCATGAGCGACGAGTTCAGATATGAGTTGGTTTGCACCCTTCTGGATCTCCTCAAAGCTTTGTGTCATACAGGGGGATTGAACGTAAACCTCCATGGATCCCGCCAGATTATTCTTCCGCGAAGATGTGCCGGGCAGGGGTCTCCCATCGGTATCCAATCCTTGTTGCCTTAATGCCCCCTCGAATGCAATCCGCACTCTGCGCGCACACCAAGAACGAATCACTCGTTTGTTCCCATTGAGCTGGCTCACTGATACCCGCCACCACAATAGATCTTTTGACCGATGTGCGCACATGTGAAGGATTTTAGGTCGAATCGGATGAAGAGGAGTACCGATGTATCGTGCTGCGATGGGAGGAGTGATATGTTTAGCCCAATACCGGACTATAAAGCTGCTTGTAGTCCCAACAAACTTCATTGTGAAGAAGGGTTATTGGCGGTTGAGAGGCTGTGCTGGTTCGAATTGTAAGGTAAGGAGTGGGAGTTGTAGCACATTGGTATCATGTCGGGTTGACAACTTCAGTGAGAGTTGGGTATCGTTTCAAAAGCTTTTGAGGAGAAGTTTGCGAGGAGTGTTTCTCAAATCAAAGGAATAAGATAGATAGAGAATGGTCTCTCAAAATGAAATCACAAAAGTGAGGCGTGTGTGCTCGGTAGGCCAATTTGCGGAGACAGTATAATTGAAGCAAGTCTCGTTCTCACTTATCGGGATGACCAGAGCCTTGGGTATAAGCCAGGTGCAATCGCAATAAAACACACAGTCTCCTTCTGCAGTTCTGACAGCACCTTATATCACACAGAAGTGTCTGGAAACCTTGAAAGTTCCTTGCTAATCGTCTGTTCGCCATTTCATCTTTTTTTTGCCAGCCATACCAGGCGGTCAGTACTCATAACCTGAAGAGTAAGGCGGTATGGTGGCGCCAGTGCCTGATTACGTAACAAAAAGATTTGAATCACGGTGCACAGAACCCTCCCCCACCTCCTTCTTTCTTCCACTCTCACTTCTCTGATCAACTGTAGATCAGGCCTTTTCAGATCTTCGTTGATCTAAGAAAAAACAACTATCCCAGAGAGACTCGACCCAGGTGAAGGTCGCACACACCCGCCATGCCCAAGAACAAGGGAAAGGTAAGTCGCGCACAATATTCAGCCCCTCTTGAGAATTTCCTCCCGCCACCGTCCACCGCTCGAGAGTTGGCCACATCAATACCCAACTGGTGAATTTTCGGATGTGTGGCTGGGGCTCTTTCTCCAACCCTATGACGTGATGAGACATATTCTGACAATCGATTATAGGGCGGTAAGAACCGTCGTCGTGGAAAGAACGAGAACGACAACGAGAAGCGTGAGCTCGTCTTCAAGGAAGACGGACAGGAGTACGCACAGGTCGTGAAGATGCTGGGTAACGGTCGTCTCGAGGCGCTCTGCTTCGACGGCGAGAAGCGTTTGGCCCACATTCGTGGCAAGCTCCGCAAGAAGGTCTGGATCAACCAGGGTGACATCATTCTCCTCTCGCTCCGTGATTACCAGGATGAGAAAGGTGATGTGATCATGAAGTACACCGCCGACGAGGCCCGTTCCCTGAAGGCCTACGGTGAGCTGCCTGAGCACGCCAAGATCAACGAGACCGATACCTACGGTGGTGAAGGCTTGGACGATAACGTCGAGTTCGACGAGGATCGCGAGAGCGAGGACGAGAAGGAGATCGATGTCGACGACCTCTAAGGTCACCCCTTGCCACTCCCAGAGTTCGATGCTCTGCCCTGCACGAATACCCCGGAAACACCTCTCCTCAGTATTCTCCACGTTCGCCAAATCCCTACCCTCCTGTCTGCCGCTGTTGGCACAGTGCTGTGGCTCGCCTGCTCCGAAACACCTGCCTCTTGTCACGCGAGGCGGTTTCGAACCCCGATTTCTGTTGTACATTTGTTCGAACGGATCGAGAGCATCAATCATCCCAACCTGCGACGCTTTTCACCTCGGCTTTGCATGAGGATAGGGAACCCCTCTCCATTATGGCGCTACTGCGACAATTCTCCAGGGCTTGAAGCCATCGAACCGAGGACTCTCGGTGTTTGTTCATCGCCGATTTTGGATTTTCGATGGATCAATCCTCGATTCAATATTCGTACCTTGTACAAATGTCTTGAGATTACGACAGAGACGAAAAATGGTTGCTACGCACACATGACGAAACTGTGTGCTTGTTTTCCTGCATTGCATTGCATGCAGTGTGTTCACTCTGCCCAGCCTCGACTTGCTTTTCTTTCGTTCTTTTCTGATAGAATCATGAAACGGGCCACGAGAATTGAAAATATTATCATTAGAGACTTGCAAATAGCGGACGTGCCTCCGTAGAAACAGTAAGCCAAGTTGTGTTTTAAAGTATTGTAATCAACCCATTATATGGCCACATCCTGCATAGTCGATATACTTGACATGTCTATGAACACAATTCCTAGTACTATTCTATGTAAACATGAAAGCTATATATTACCGGTATGCATTCATATCAAGAATCCAAACTACCCTTCCCGTTAGTTGAACCCTCAACACACTGCCCACCTCCAAACATAACCCTAGCCGCAGCCTGCCAAACAGTCTCACGCTCCAAATAATTCTCCAAAGTATAGAACAGCCGGCACTCAGCCGCTTCATAAACGAACTGCAGCGGCGTCTGGTCATCCTCTGGGTCATATTCATTCCGCAGATTCAAACTCCCACTCCAGGCCAGTGACGCCGCAGTGCTTGGGCTGGACTCATTGAATGCCTTCCACTCGACAGGCGTCAGCAGCGGGGATCCCCTGCTGACCGAGTCTCTGATCAGCCCATTGGCCTGCTCAATGTATCCGTTGATATAGTTGATGCCGAGCGACTGGCCGCCCTTCACGCCACCAACGGCTTGCATGGGGGCATTCTGGGGGCGGCCACCGAATGTGATTGTGCGGACGCCCTGGCGCTTCATCAGCTTGACGAAGAAGGCACAGGTTGAGACGCAGTCGCCATCAGTGATCTTTTTGCCGTAGCATGTGAGTTAGCGCGGGGGGGGGGGTTTTAACTTCTTTCTGGTAGGTATGCAAATCGATTCACTTACAATAGCGATGTTCTGCGCCGAGAAAAGAGAGCTGCTAGGTTTCAGCGGAACAGACCCATAGCCGTTGATAGGAAAGACCGTTGACGAGGTAGAAGTATAGTTGAAGTTAGCGAGCAGGCTAGAAGCCGGGCTACTGAGGACCTGATGCGGGCCATAGAGATCCTCCCACGAAGCGAAATTAGTTTTTTGATCAGGGCGAACCATCTGGTCGTACGCAAAGACATTACTCGAGTCCGTGCTTGAGTCTCGCGCGTACGCCTTGGTCAGATACTTGGCTGCGTCGTGGGCGCGGTAGCGCGTCGCTGTGTACGGGGATGCGCTGGGGAAGAAGATTCGAGACAGGTCGATGCCAATCGACATGTATCCGCCAGGGTTGGCTGATACGTCGATTAAGACATTCTTCTTACCAGCCTCGGTGGCGTTTTGTAAGAAGTCGACTGCGATCTTGGCTACCTCTGATGCGCTGGATGAGAACGTGGGCAGGAATATGACTGCTGTGTCCTGGAGGTCTGAGAGTTTGGAGTAGAAGCCGGCGATTGAATTGGCCGAGGTGCGCCAGTCTGTGCTTGGGTATCCCGCTATTTCAGAGGATGCTTGTTCAGCGCCGGAAGAGGTGCTCAAAGGGGTCGATAAGCCTCGAGGAAGGCACTCTATGTTGTAGAGATGGGTTCCATTTTGGTACGAGAAGAATCTCTCACTTGGCGTGGCAGTTTTCTGTATCATCTTTGTGGTGCCATTGGCAAACTTCAGAGACAGCCCAGCGCCATCGGTCCAGTCTCCAATAGAGGCCCAAATCCCATTCACGTTGGTGGGAGTATTGGTGACAGTGCGAGCTGGTGCGGGAAATACTCGATTATACCTGTGGATGTTAGTGTGGCTTTGCACAGTTCTTGTGGAAAGATACATACTGTGCATCGCGATCCTGGAGATTTTGACCATCGGCATATGACTCCAGATATACAGCCACGTCAGTGCCATTGATAGTGACCAAGGGCGAGACAGCCTCTGGGTCAATCTTTTGTAGTTTTGCGTCATCTGTACAAGCTATTTAGTTTGATTTCAAAGAATGATATCAGAGGTAACACACCCAAAACGTATACATGCGGTAGTGCAAGTCCATCTGTTGAGATTGAGACTAAAGGCATGTCAATCTCATAGGTGAAAATTGATTGCGAGCAAAGCTGAAATGCCAGATGGCCATCATGTGCGGACCTGATAAGATGATTGATCTCTAAGTCCATCTCAAATTGACTGGAATAGCTGTTGCTCTTGGCCTTTCCCAAGATTGCATCTACTCCGCCGAGAATATCCGTAGAGGGCATAGTATATCCCGATGGGGGTGCTGAAAGTATTGATTAGCTTGGGCAGAAATCTCCTATTCTGATAGAACATACCCTTGAGAATATCAATCGTTGACTGAAACTCGAGAATCTTCCGGACCTGACTCAGGAAACTAACGGCACGATCTGATTCAAAAGGCATAGACAGCAGACACCGATGAGCCAAGTCATGAGGCACACTGGCACTCACTGTGAACTGTTAGCTATGGAAATTGCAGCTGAGTTCGAGTCTAGAACGCACTTTTATTTTGATTGGCATCCGCCACCAGCTTGCTCACTTGAGCGCATGGCTCAACACCTTCAGCAATGACGACAGCCGCCAATGCGACCGGCGTTAATATGGTCTTGAAATGCATGGTGAGTTGAAGATGTCAGAACTCATGACTTCAGAACTTTAAGGGAGATATCCACTCTCAGGGGCCCTTGCATTGTTCCATTTATAACTGATCTGCATCGCCAAGACGAGAAGGATCAACGTACGACTTTTATGGAGTAGACTGGCTTGAAATTGATGAATGGCAGGTTTGGAAACTATAGATGTCTCGGCTTTTTACCTGCATAGTCCTACGATATTGTATTTGTTTCTAAGTGACTCGGGCCCAACATACAACGGGTCATCATGCTACATGTACGTACCTGAGTAGAACGATGACTTTTGAAGTCATCTTTCATCATCATTCTTCATGAATATATATGGATTGATAGATTGTTTCTTTTAAAAGTCGGCAAGGCTTGAGGCTGTCCGACACAGTTGGAATTCACCCCTTCTTTCATCTTGACTGCACAAACTTTTTTACGTAAAGTCTTCTCCCCATATTTGCACCGAGAATGTTATTTTATTATACAAGGCTCCTAAGACAGCACAGCAAGTTCATTCGCTAACCAAAAACACTCTTCCGGAAGAAAGCAACGATCTTTCGTGCAGCTTCTTTGCCGACCAGCGGATCGAGCTGCTCGACATCCATATTGGCGATATCACTGAGATTATCTGTTTCAATAATCAGCCGCTCTAGAGCCTGTGGTGTAACGCCTGGTACAGCTCGCAGCATGTCTTGTGGGAGGAGATTAAAGGTACGGTGTTCAATACCAGTGGCCGCCATGACATCGCTTGAGCCAGAAGGGTTAGAAATATCGATGTCAAGACCCAGCTGAACTGCGCGGAGGGGGTCAGGTTCTGCGGCGTTCTTTTTGAGCTCCGCAAAGATCTCGGCTGTCTGGTAAGGGGAGGAAGACCAGACAATTTTCAGCCGTGGGAAGGCAAGAGTGAGGATCACAAGTAGATGCTGGGCGGATTTTGGATTAGAAGGATTGGCAAGAAAGCTGCTGCTGGTACTGGAGGTCGCTGTGCCGGCAGATGAAAAGCCTTGGTCGGTTGAAAAGGTCGGGCCTGTCGAGATTGAGGCGAATGCATCAAAAGTGAAAGATTTGTTTTGATCGAACTCAATCAACAGCAGTGGATACTTGTAGTAATTGAGCATTGTTTCGGCTTGGTTGTAGAGGCGGCCGTTCTTGAGAGACGTGATGAGATCCCGAATTGACTTTCTCTCCACGCAAATGTCTGGTGTGAGGATGTAGTCGCCTACGGTAAGTTGACAGGGAATTACAATCATGTTGTTTCCATGTAATAAAGATGGGAGAGCACTCCTGAACTCCCGCACGTCGACAACAACTCGAGGAGGGGATGCGGTGGCTGCCAGTCGCCCTCCTCCTGCAATGCGAGTATTGACCGTTCGAAGGAACTGTTCTTGCGGGTCATCGTTCTTTTTATCATGAGTCAAAGTAACTGCCATGTTCTATGAAGTGAGTTAGCTAGCAACCTTCAAAATTGAGGCGGGCTACTTACGCCTTTTTCTTTGATCAACTTCGTAAAAGAGTCTTTCTCTCGCCGCACAGCACTCAAATATCGCTGCTCCTCAACAGAGCCACCATAGTACATGAAATATACCTTGACATTTCGCCCTGAATGAGAGCTGCGGTAGACCTCCACTCTGCGGATGAAGGCAGCATCAGGCTCATACATGATGATATACCGAGGACGCGCTTCCTCGAGTATGTGCTCATCCATATCGCCGTCGTAAGGGTGTATCATGACCAGGTCATTCATATCATATAGTTCGTAGAAATCTTCCATATCCTCCAGATCATCAACAATCACTTCTTCTTTCTGTATTTCCTCCATTTCAGTGGGTTGAATTTCGCTCAGTAAGCTGACAACCTGACCAGGTAGCTCAACTTCGGTTTGAACGCTGGCATTGGGCACACGTCCTGCGGCCGATGTGACTGTGCCGCCGCCGCGTACTCGCCGACGCTTGTTCGGAGGAGGCCGCCCTTGAGGTGCATTTCGGGCTATTGATGAATCGGAAGGCTTTCCAAGCTTTTCATCTTCTTCTGACAGGTTTTTGTTGACGTTTGAAAGTGATCTTTTCCAATTGAGATAGTCCCGCAGCCGACGGCGCAGCATAAGCTCCGCAGAGGGTTTATCCTCATCGGGGCCACCTTCTTCGTTAGGGTCAGGATCATGGGCAATTTTGGCATGCATTGTCCCAATATACTCGCGAAGCTGGCGGCATATTCGTTGATCATTGCACATAATCAATATAGTGCTGTTGGATTGATCCACATTTGTAGGGTGAAGATACGCATCGTGTTCGATTTCGGCGAGAACCTCTGATAAAACGTTCCATTTGGGGAGTTCCTCCAAGGAAGGTTTTAACTCGGCAGAAAATGTAGTTGAGGAGGAGAAGCGGCTCAATTCGTTGTTTAATTTGCCTTCGTAGACGCGTGATTTGGCCGTTTGGAAAAGGACGTGGGCGGCATCCAGGAAAAGCCATGGCGAGTAATTATATTTGTTGGAGCCTGGAGGCGGAGAATGTGCAGACACGATAGTATCAAGATACTTCACAAAAGATACCGCGTCGTATGTAAGTAGAGCACTGTAAAATTATCAGTACACATAGACAAAAGGTTGCAAGGAAACTCACTGAAGAACCGCCCGCAGGTCTGTCAGATCACTGACAATTTGTCTCGTTCTGAAACTCACACGGTGCCAGATGGGATCTAGTTGACGTCGGATGATCATATCAAAATTTTTATGCAGGGCACTGTCTAACGTCCATTCTTCCATATCGAGTCCAGTGTTACTCTTCCGAAGCTCCGTGATGCTGATTTCCACACATTCAAGGACAGCATTCTGAATCTCTCTCATTTTATCACTCATCGGAACTTCTAGTTCGATAACTTCCGCTTTGCGATTTCCTTCCAGCGATTCAGCCACGGATACATGGAATCGAGGCCATAGTGATGCCTTCCGCAGGAAGAGATTCTTCAGCATGTTGGCCAACGGAGCGAAGCCGGTAGTAAATGGTTCGGGGGAGTCTGAGAATGCTTTCAGAAAACCACGTTTATTTGATTGTCGATAAACCCGGACAATAAAAGCCTCAAGGGACGTTGCCACCACCTTATCAGCATGTAAGATAATCATCCCGGTGATTTTCTCGGGGTCAAGAAGCTCTACAAAGATCAGCAACTGTCCGAGCAATTGTACTAGGTATACATACTGGACAACAAGTCCACAACCAATATTCTGGATGTTACACTTAAAATCCCACCTTCGGCATAGATTCTCTCTCTGCACATCGTTAACACCACCATGATCGACTGTATAGATCGGGTGTACCCACCTCATTGACACCGTAGCTTTCTCGGTATTGATCACTTTCAAACCCCTAGCTAGAGGGGACTTGCTGGTAGCATAGTGCTCCGCCAAAGCTATAATCCATCAACCTCGATCCATAGTTTCCTTCCGGGGTCGTAATCGAATCCACATACCCTCTCCGATCCACTCATTCTCACGTTCATCCGCTCCCACCACCAGGACCAAATTGTTTCCGGCTGCATCATAAAAATGTAGAAGATTTGTGATCAGATGCAGCAATCCAAGGCCGCGTGCCAATACGACCAACTCATCTTCGGCGCGTAGTTCGGTGAAGAGGTCCTGCTGGTATTGCTTCGCAGGAGTTAGTGAGGACTTGCATAGTCATCAAAGGAATTTTGAGGCGCTTACCAACGGCAGTGACAGCTTCACCGGCGCACTAGTCCTTTCTGGAGGCATTTGGAGCACTTCTAGACGCGTTGAGGAGTTCAGATCCCGTCCTCGAAAGTTGTCGCGCGATCACGTGTCTGGGCTATGATGTATGACGTAATAAATTTGCGCATCCGAACAAGGTGCAACCACTGAGTACAATATAGCTCAGTGAAGTTCCCCTGTTCATTTGCTCTTTCGTTCTATGTCAATACGTAAATCCACTCTGTCTGTTCTACTCTGTGGGGTTGGAGCCCAGTCTGTCGTGATACGTTGATTGGCACGAGTTGTTCCAAGGTTTGAAATAAGATATAGGAATTGGCATTAAATGAAGTACAATACAAATTGATTAGGCTCATGGTTCAAAGACTTCTCAGTTGGAAGGCTTGTTCAGTTCCTTCATGCGGGCTTCAATCTCCTCCCTCGATGCCGTGGGGGGCATTTCTATAGAGCGTCAATTGCGGCTGGCAATGGCATAGGTTTCTTCGGCCACTTACCATCTGGGATCTGAGGTCCCTTTGAGAGGAAATCTTGTGCAGCAGCTTTCTGTGTGTCCTTGCCATCTTTCTTGTCCGACTCTCCCTTTTGGGGTACAGATGGGAAGTCTGACGACTCGGGAATGACGGGCATTTTGGTTGAATAGAGAAAGGCTGGTTTGAGTGCTCGATAACTGATACTTTCTCGCTGTTGTAAGATGTCAAAAATAATAAAGAGTTGACTGTGAGAGGTCAAGGAATCAAGTCAAGAAATTCGACATGTCAGCTTTATAGATCCTAGACCGGGATGACGTCGGTGGTCAGGGTGACATGGACGAAGCTGTGGCAATATAATATAAACACCTCCGTAAAATAATCAGGTTAAACTAGAATTCAGTACGACTATATTACTACAATAGAAAAAATACATAAAGCACACTTTGGGTGACACTTGGCGGCGCTCAAACGTCTGCCTAGTTGCAATTTAGCCATTCTATGTAGATGCAAGAATTAGTAGGGACAGAAGGGAAAGACAGCGTACCAATTTACTGAGGATATCAAGAAACTAAAGGGCAATACATGTACAAATAATTCAAATAACTATGACTTTCGTTGGAAGAATTTTGCGCTGATAATATAAACCGAATTGTGTTTGCTAATCTTTTATATCTCCATGGTATAACTATATGTTCTAAATCAATATAGCCCTTCAAGTCATACAACTAATGCTTAGGCGTCTATAGGCAATCCATCTTTGCGTATTATCCTAAACACGCGTGAATGAATAGATTCACTTAATCAACACTAGTTGTAGATACGCTAAGCCTCATCTCGTACTCGGGTTTGCGGAGAGAGCGGGCAGGCCGATAATCACTTCTCGTTTGTGATGTTTATTTGGTTCTATTGAAAATTGCCCTCTCAGCTGTTATTATACAGTATCAGACAGTAGAAGAAAGATTCCTAATATGAGCTGAACAACGACTTACATAGTACATCAAAAGTACCACGTGCCATTATGGCGGTGCGGCGGCAGTCCTAGGTAACTCCGGTGTACTGGGTCCGCCCCGCTACCTTCTCACCTCCGAGACAGTTCATCATCTCCAACCCACAAGGCAACCGCCGGTCGGCTCTTCTCCAATTCTCAATTTCTGTCGTATTTACGATCTTGAAGCTTCCCCTCGATCACCCGCATTACTCTCTTTTTCGCCGTCATCATACCAGTGTGTTGAGGGCGCTATTCCATCGGTACCCGCCCGGCTGCAATGTGTGCTCTCCACACCTAACCCTTCGAACCATCACCCTTATTCTCTACATACATTGAGGGCCTTATTCAGGATTCAATATGCCCTCAATCCTCAGCGATGCCGACAAGGAAACTGTCAAGCGCCACGTCCCCAAGCCCGCTAACAAGATCCTTGCCGTGGGTGTCGCGCGACTTTACGTTGCCTATCCCGATGTGCAGAAATGGACGTATACCGGAGTCCAAGGAGCTGCAGTCCTTTGCAATGACCTCGTAGGCCGGACTTTCTGGCTCAAAATGGTTGATGTCTCGGTAGGTAACCTATGCCAGCCTAGCAGATAAGTGCAAAGCGCTAACAGTACTTTTGGAACAGCCTGCTGGCAGAGGCGTGATCTGGGACCAGGAAATCTATGACAACTTTGCTTACAATCAGGACCGAACTTTCTTCCATACTTTCGAGCTCGAAGACTGCCCTGCCGGCCTGTCCTTTGTTGATGAGAAGGAGGCCAAGACCTTCATCAAGAAGATGCAGGAGCGCGAGAAACATGCAAGCAAAGAGACCAGCAAGACTCCTTTCGCATCTACTCGAGGTCAGGGTCCTGCGCCTGTCAGCAATGGAAAAATAGGTCGATCTTTGTTCGGTAGCTTGTTGCACCGTTCGAGCCCAGCCCCAAGTTCGCCAGCGCCAGCGCCAGCGCCGTCGATACAGGTTGCGCCGCCACCCCCGATACTATCTCCAATTGCACCGCCATCTAAACCGGACCTGCCATTCGATACCAGTGATCCGTCTTGGAAGGGGCTGCTGGATGAGCTGAAGGGCATGGGAATCACCGAAGACCAAATCGCCGAGAACTCCGAATTTATCAAAGCTTATATTGACCAGAAACAGGCGGCAGCCGCCGAGGCTGCTCCTGTTGAAGATTTGAATAAGCCAAAGGCTGCTCCTCCTCCTCCGCCACCGCCTGCCCCCAAGGTGAACTCAATCAGCCCCCAGGACACAGGATCAAGCACGGCAAGCCGACGAGGCCCTCCACCGCCGCCCCCGTCACGGAAAACGCGCTCCGAAGCACCAGAAGAACCGGTATCAACTCCTCCCCGTGAACCATCTCCGCCTGCCCGAAGATTCAATGCGCCGCCTCCGCTTGCAGATGCCGGCAAATTCGCCGAACCTGCTGGCCCTGTGCCCCCGCGACGCCCGCGTGCAGTTTCCAATGTCAATGCCGGGCCTCCGCCGCCGCCTCGACCACCCAAGACACCTATGGAAGACAGTCAGCCCAATTCATCCCGCTTCGGGGTACCACCGCCTTTCTCTGGTGATCGCAAGGTGTCTGCGCCGCCGGCACCCCCAAGCCGCAGCCCTGTGCCTGGTGGGCCTCCGCCTCCGCCGCCTCGCACAGCAAGCCCGGCAGCACCACCTCAACTGCCCCCTAAGCTCCCCCCTATGAATTCTTCAAACGGACCTCCTCCTCCCCCTGCCAGGAACCCGCTCCCTCCACCACCTCCGCCTCCCCCAGTGCCCTCGGCTCGGCCCGTACCAGCTGCACCCTATACCCCTCCAGCTGCTCCTCCACCACCTCCGCGGGGGACGATCTCACCTCCCCCTGTTCCACCCACATCTTCGCCCAGTCTTCCCCCACTACCGCCGCCTCCACCGCCTGGTGCCTCAGCACAAAGTGGCCTTCCGCCACCGCCGCCTCCTCCGGGCCGTGGCCCATCAATGCCACCCCCTCCTCCGGCGCCCGGTGCGAGGGCACCAGGAGGACCACCCCCGCCTCCTCCTCCACCTGGTGCAGGGGCGAGTGGCGCCCCTCCCCCCTCCTCCCCCGCCTGGTGGTGCTGCGCCTCCCTTGCCCAAGCCCACTGGTGGACACGACAGCCTTCTGGCATCCATTCGAGCCTCCGGTGGTCATGGAGGCGGTGGACTTCGTAAGGTCAAGGACTCTGAAAAGAAAGACCGAAGCGCCGCGGCGGTGCCTGGCGCTGCCAGTGAGTCAGCTGCAAGCCCTAGCTCCGGAGGTGCTCCACAAGGTGGCTTGGCTGGTGCTTTACAAGATGCTCTCAACAAGCGCAAACAGAGAGTCAGCGGAAGTGGTATGTGATACCCATTATGCAAATGATGAACAACGTGCTAATTATCATGGTAGATGACGAGAAAGACAACGACGACGATTGGTGAGTATGTTCTTGGTGGGATTGTTCAAGTATTTCAAGATACCAATGGATTTTGCGCATTCTTGCGAGCATTGATCATTATGTTTCTTAGTCCAGCGTTTTGCCTAAAAGTTCAACTTCAAGCGCTTGTTGAGAGAGAAGGAGGCAAGACATGTGCACTCTGTATATAGCTTTCAATGGTAGACGCAGCGGCTGCGAGACAGCTTGACTCAGTTCTTATTATATGGTCCAATGTAAACTTTTGTGTATTTATAGTCCAAACCTAAGGATTAGGTTATGGTTTTATGCTTACGTAGTTTCAGAGTACCTGGTAAGCTATAAATAAAGGAAAAGTTCACTTGTAGCCAAATCAAAGAAACCGAAACCCCATTTTGGAGCCCGCAGCTGCAGCGGAGTAGCCTGAGCGTAAGAACTCAACTCTACCCAAAAGCCTCATCTCGAGTCAGTCCAAGGAGACTTGATGCGTCTGAAGTCCAGTCAATCACCGAGCTACCAGGTCTGTTTCAACTGGTTTCAATATGAATGAGAAACGTGTTACCCTCGGGTCTTTCCCCGTTGAGATTCTGGGCTCTATTTTCCGTCTCTTAGGTCCTATTGATCTTATATCCGCCAGCCAGACCACCTCCAAATTTCGGTCTATAATCCAGCCAAGTCAAACTCATCTGCTCGAGAGGCTTCTCGAACTCGAGTGCGGGGAAAAAGGCGGTGGGACGCCCATCTTCCGAGCAAAGGACAACCATCTCGACCCAGAATTGATAAGTAAACAATGGAGTAAAATGCGCTGGGCTTGCAGCATCTGCCTCAAGCTCCTCCCTCAGACAGCCTTTAACAACAACTGTTTGCTGCGCTTGCAGTATCGCAAACCATTGCCAGGTTCCTTGGCCGCCAATCCCTGCCAAGCTGGGAGCCAACCACAGATGGAAATCCTACTATTCCGCAACGGCGGCAAATGCAACAGTCTGATGTTGATTTGAAGGGAGCGGACCGAAAGATCAGATGTCGATATGACCTTGCAATAAAAAAAGACCGCTGGAATCCAGACATAGGTCCACGCGATATTGGCGCCAGACTAAAGATCTTCCAAGACAGTGGAATGATCACATTCCAAGGGCTGAATCTAGATCAATACTATGAAGTCACCAGGGAAGAAGAGCAAGTCCTTCTGGACCACGAAGCACGCCTCATCGAGCGCGAACGTTGTGGCTTCAAGCGCCATTTGCGAAAATGCAACGAGTGTCGCTTCCAGTGTCGGGAGATCTCAATTCGAATCGGCCCTAGATACGGGGGTAGTTTGAAGCGCGGCACGGCCAAAGTACCCATCGTACCCAGCCGTCGGTTGCCCTTCGCCAGTGCATTGGACCGATATTTCCCAAATATCGCCACCATATTTGAAATGAAGAGGCCAGCAAAGAATGCGCCTGTCAAACGTCTCTATCGTATGGAAACATCCGATTCTCCGTGGACTTTGTATATGATTCGGTGCCCAGGATGCTCACACTGGCAGGAACAGCGTGCATTCCGCTTCGGGGGTAAGCCTCAACACTGGACACCTATCGCCAATCCCCAGTTGCCATCTCGCAATTGGGATAAATCTGAAATCACACCATCACTCATTGATGGCCTGATATGCAATCATTGCTATGCTAAAGAACATGGACGCAAAGAGCTCGGCAAAGTTCTCGTGAAATGGCTAGACTGCTGCTTTGCCAAAATGAGCGAAATCGTTTAGGTGAAATACTTATATCTGGCTGGAGGAGTCTTTTCGGAAGGCAGTACTATCTGCAAGAACCAGGAAAGAGATTATCGGACAGTCGAAATATCGTGGATTTGGGAGCGAAGAAAATCATATTCCCGAATGGGATACCCCTCGACTACCAACTTACTCTCGATGATTTGTCGACATCAAAACAGCTCTTTCGTGAGTGGGGGTGGGCGTGGGAGAATTTGGAACTGGGTCTTAAAGACATAACAGCTTGGCATAACAAGTATCATGATTATCTATGGTATAGCAACTACGATTTGATCGATTCTCACTTGATCTGGATGATCCACTCTCAATTAGAGATATCGTGCAAGGGCGATGATCTGGTTGACTGGGTGCTGAGTCGGGATAGCAGTGCTCTTGTTTAGTTCTCACCTCCTGATTCGAATAAAAAACATCTTTAATCTTCAAATCTTTATATGCTATTCACAACATCGAAAGGAGGAAAGGAGTGTTTTTTCTACTTTTATAGTTCTGTCCGGGTCAACCTTGTTCCGGTGCGCGGGAAAAAAGCGCTCCTGATCTCATCGCGGTAACCTGTTCAGCTGGCCGACGATCCAGACATGCTGTCTCCGAAGCTGTCTGCTCCTTCTGCCTCCTTACTGCGTTTCTTAAGATCACAGACTGGTGTTTCACCCACCCCATCAGTATGCGCTTATCCGAAGCGTCTCGCCGGCCGCGGTAAAGCCTTCTCGACAGGGCCGTCGCCGAAACTATCGAGGTGGACGCGCCCCGGTGCCCCGCATAGCTCATACTCCGCAACACTTGATAATGGGCTTTGTGCCAACACAAGAGAACGGCCGAATGTTAGGGTAACCCTCTCGCCGCAAGTGCCGGGGCAACTGACATCCTCGCGCTATGTATCCACCAAAAGCCGTCCCTTTCTCCGGAGGCTTTTTGATTTGAAACGGAACAAAACTGCCGATTACCAGAATCACAGCCCTCCAGGTCCTGGTTTCATGGATGAGGGCACAGAGGGCATGTTCAACATTGGCCGCAGCCTATCAGCCAAGGCGTCAAACGAACTGCGAATTCGATGTACAGAGTTCGACATCAATGGCGATGTCACGCTTGTGAATGGAGAGTTTCGAAAACAAGAACTTATTGCGAAGGTTTGTATAAATTACTAGGTCTACAACTCAGCATGTGCTAATGGATCTCGTGATTTAGTATGGCCTTCTTCCCCGGGATCTTCGCAAGATCGACTCCTCCACTCTCCCTCATATTTTGATACGACCGAGTGCCATTCTGATCAACCTCCTACATTTGAGAGTTCTGATCAAAGCGGACCGAGTACTCGTGTTTGATGCCTACGGATCAACAGATTCATACATGCAGTCTTTGTTCATCTACGATCTAGAAGGGAAACTACGCCAGAGACAAAATCAGGGTACCACCCAGCCTAGCCAGTCACTTCCGTATGAGTTCCGTGCGCTGGAAGCCGTCCTCATTAGTGTCACGAGTGGTCTTGAAGAAGAGTTCAACGGAGTGAGAGACCCGGTCGTGCGAGTTCTCCGTGCTTTGGAAGAGGACATTGACCGTGATAAGCTCCGCCATCTTCTGATCTATTCCAAAAAACTGGGTACATTCGAGCAAAAGGCTCGCCTAGTACGAGATGCCATTGATGATCTGCTGGAAGCAGATGACGATCTGGCAGCCATGTATTTGTCCGAAAGATCGAAAGGCAGAGAACGGGAAGAAGACGATCACCAAGAAGTTGAAATGCTTCTGGAATCATACCACAAGGTTTGCGACGAAATTGTCCAGGCCAGTGGCAATTTGGTGACCAATATTCGCAATACTGAAGAAGTGTAAGTTCTGTCCACGCAATTACATGTGGAAGCTTCTCTAACATATCGCAGAGTCAAGGCCATTCTCGACGCCAACCGCAACTCGCTCATGCTCATGGACCTCAAGTTTAGTATTGGAACCCTTGGTCTCGGAGCAGGAACTTTGTTCTCCGCCCTCTACGGTATGAACTTGAAGAACTTTATCGAAGAATCAGACTTTGGCTTCGGCAGTGTCTCGCTCACCTGCTTTGCTCTTACCGGCATCGTCTGCGTATACGGTCTCTTCAAGCTGCGCAAGCTTCAGCGTGTCCGCATGTGGGGTGAATCAGGCGTCGGAGGCTCCTCGATCGTTCCTCTCTCCCCAAAGCGCAGCGCGTTGGGCGGTAACCGCAACAACTGGCGAGCTGACTCCATCGAGCCAGTTTGGGGCAGTTTACCAGGCGAAGGCCGATCCGAGCGAATGAGACGTCTCAGAGAAAACGCGACTCAGGCTGCGCAACAAGCTGCGTCGAGAAACCTCAAGTCGACACACGCCAATTCTACGGCTAGTATGCAGGCATCAGCTACAGCTTCTACGCAGGCGTCATCTGCGGCTTCTGGCGGATCTCGCGCGGGGAGCAGCAAGAATCTTGAGAAAGACACCGCTGCTCGTCGCGAACACCAGGTGAAGCCTGACTTGAACAACAAACCTGAAGCATGATTGAAAACAACGGAAAAAAACCTCAACAGTTTGATCATCTCGGGACCTTTACGTGATATCTCAGCACACTGGTCTTCGACTTTGAGCCTTCAACTAATAGCAACGAAGTTGAAGAGGTCTGTAACATTATTTGTACATTAGCACACTCCTTCCTCTATGCCCCCACTCCATGATTCATGTCACTTTAGGCGCATATAGACTCAGAATATCTGACCATATATTTATAACAATTCAACATTGGCAGTTCCGCCAATCAACATATCAAGCAATCTTCCCGTCACAGCTCATCATTCGACTTTTGCGCTCTCAGCCGCAACATCGCAACCCCATGCGGCCGCACATGCGCCTTGACCGTGCCACTGGCCTTGACACTCCCAACCTTAGTACCCATCAACGCCTTCGACGCCGGTAACGGCACCTGCGAATAGACCTTGCTCGCACCGCCCAATTTCGGCATATCAATCGGCCGAGTCGAACTCTCGCCCTGGATAATCCCCTGAGCCGTGGCGTTGCTCATTCTCCCACCCCACAGATCATATACATCCCACGCGCTGCGCACCTGCGATGCCGTTCCCTTCGGCCCATTGGCCCAGAAGATATCAGTAAGCGTGGCATTCATATCCCGGGCACTGGAGCCACCGTTCAAAAGTAAGACGATCTGATCACCACCACTTAGTGGTCCACTATACATCTGGATCTCGCCGTCGTCCACATAGTGCCGCCACATACGGATGGCCGATGAGCCCGTAGGGTCCTGTGAGACGGCGAGAACGGCGGTATTCTGCAGAATGGAGATGGTCGGTTCGTCGATCTTGTTCAAGACGTTTGTCATCAGAAGGGGTGATTTGAGCGCTGCCCATAGACTGAAATGAGAGGTTGCTTCGTCGTCAGTCAAACCGCCGTTCCCAACCTCTGTACTCTAAGTGTTAGAAACAGTCTGCAGGTTTATGGAGGATCAAACAACACAGGGAACAGAGTGTACTCACGAAGCATATCGAGATCATTCCATGCTCCGGCGTATGCTTTGGACGGGTAGTATACGGCTTTGTTGACGACGTTCATGATCGAACAATGATATCCTGGCAATTTACAGTCCAAACCATCGAGCTCTGCACAGGGACAGTTGACATCCTCCTTGTCCCAGACATTAGAGAGATCACCACTAGTACGCCACGAGTTGGCGATAGTAGGGGCGAAGTTCCATGGCCCATCGCTGCCCCAGTTGCATAGGGAATACAGGATCGGCCGGCCAGTGTCATTCAGTGCCTTGCCCATGGCGTTGTAGCGGTCATAGGAAAGCTTGGGAGTGCCCTCTTCACCTTGATTATAGCAATTATCGTATTTGAGGTAGTCAATCTGGACATGAATCAGAAGCCCGACCACTAGAATATCCAACAGCAGGTTAAATTCAGAACTTACTCCCCAGCTCGCCCAAACCGCGGCATCTTTCTCTTCGTGTCCCAGTGAGCCTGCATACCGCGCACAAGTCAATGTACCCGCACTCGAATAGATCCCGATCTTGAGCCCCAAGGCATGTATCTTGTCCGCTACATCCGATATACCATTTGGAAACTTCTGTGCATCTGGAATCAAGTATCCTGAGGAATTGCGGCCGGCAGACCAGCAGTCATCCAGGACGATATAGTTATACCCCAAGTCCTTGAAGCCCAGGGAGACAATCTTCTTAGCTGCGTCTAGGATGACAGTTTCATTCATACTGCAAGCGAACGAGTTCCAAGTATTCTGAGAGCATGAGCAATCTACTGGAACTAAGCTCTGGAAAGACAAGAAAAAGACTTACCCATCCTAGCTGCGGAGTGCGTGCCAATCCATTTTCTAGGGCATTGACAACGCCGATGCCGGCTAAAAACATAGATAGAAGATGCATGGTCTTTAATTGTTTAATTGAGGGTTGAAGGGCATATCCTCTCTAGGCATCTTGATGTAGATTCTTATACCCCAACAATGCGGGGTATGTGAATTGCCCCGTGGAATGGTTCGAATGCAGATCAATTTTTCCAGCAATGAAGTAGCCCAGTGCGCTTGGATGCTCTCACAGATGTTGCATTCAGTCCTTCGAGACTCCGGCTATGAAATCGGGAGTATCATGATGGTGCTTGAATCAGCTGCCACTGCGGGGTTCTACACATCGAGCTTTTCTCCAGCTATTATGTTCATTAAAACCGTCATCACTAGGAAGGGCAAATGAGAGACGGGCTGTTCTTTTATGGGGTATCTTCAATCAACTCGAGGCTTGATGCTTAATTCCATTTCCGAGGTGTAACCCTCTCGCCCGTTCAATCCACAGCCGAGCAGCTTCATGAATGCCACCATCCTTCAAACATTCACGTTCAACAACTTCCATGATCCTTCCTAAACGCGCAGCCGTAAAGCCTTCAATTTTTGCAGAGTCACCACCAGAATTTGGCACATCCCTTGTGGCCTGATCTCGCCCCCCAATCAAAGCCATATTGATCGCACCCGGAGTGCGCAGCCATGTCTTTTCCACGCCGTAACCAACCTCCCCCGCAATACTCATTGTCTTCGCAGCAAGTGATCCTATCATAGAGTTCAAGAACCCACTTTCAGTCTTCTCTTCCATTTTCGCTGCACGAAGAGCCCTCAGGTCACCCGAGCAAGGTTGAGGGTTTTGTTCCACAAAGCCAGTAGTTTTATTTGTAGCTGTTTTTTGATCACCGCCCTGCATGGCACTGCTCTCCAGCAGTGGGTATCGATATGAAGAACCAGCGAGCGAGCGAGAGCAACAGGGAATCACAAAGAATGGCAGCGGCGACGAAGGACTAGCCAAAGCCGCCATTATCGGTGTCCAGACGGTGAGCTCGTCCGCATGGTCAGATATAATAAAAGTATTTTCTGGAAAGCCGCCCGAGTGGACCTCGATGCCGATTTCTCGTGGGCCAAGTACATCCATGAAAGGCTGCGGTATGATGACCTTTTCTTCTAGACATGCTTGCACGTCTTCTGGGAATGTCTCCCAGGATTTGCGACGACAGGCATCAAAGCCTGAGCCTTTGTATCCTTCCATGTGAAGCACGTACACAAGAATCCCACTTCCACAGGCGATATCGACGAACCCCGGGAAAGGGGGTTTGGTGGTAGGCTGAGCTTGTTCTTTTGCTGGTATGGCACCGTACATAACTCTCCATAGTTCAATCAGACATGCAGCTAGAGACAGCTGCTCGAGAACTTGATTGGGAGACTCGAGTTGCTCAACCCAGGTCTGGCGCAGACTCAGCTCATACTGGAGTTTGAGCCTGACGTATGTGTTTTGAATAGAAAGTGCTGAAATCCAATTGCCTTCATTTGTATCACTTTTGTCAATCCAGTCCAGGCTCACGTTTCTGGAGGTCAGGCGGCGCTCCATGGTGATTTTCAATTCTTGGAGCCGGGAGATTCCAAACTGGTGCCAGGTTCCCCCCAATGGTGTTTTCAAGGGGTATTTCGAGCCAAAGAGCTATTTCAGTCAAGTATAAAGGACATTGGCTTTAAGAGGTTGTCAAGAAGTAGATCGTGGGATGTGCATTTGACTGGCAGAATATCGATACATTCAGTGCAGACGAAGCGGGCAGAAAGGCGGTAGATCTATAAATCTATAAGCATTAAGCATCTGGCAAAAAGACCAGAGAAGGTGATCTATAGGGCTATAAGACTCAATTTGCATTTTCAAGCCTGTCAGATTGATCTTGGATTGTTTGAAAAGACAAGAAATTGTTTTTGGTTGTTGCCTCACTTCGAACCAACATATACCCCCTGGGCAACCTTAGGAAGAACTAGACAGTATGTAAAAGGAACTAGAAAATTGCAATAACACACTGGGAATTCACTTCTCTGTAAGCTACATTAGAAAGAACTACATATTCATTCCATGGACCGAAGACCTTCTACGCGTCAACCCATCGTAAGACACCCACGCAGCAGTCATAACTACGCAACCCTAACATAGACCTATAAACCCCCACCAGAACGTAAGAACAACCTGATCTATGTCCAACCTCCCAAAATACCAAAGCCATCCAAATCTCAGTTCACTCAGATCACCCAATCCACAAAAATGAAACCAATGCAACCAATTCTACTCGCCCTATCCATCCTCTCGGCAGCCCTCTCAAGCCCCATAGCAGGAGCCATTGAGCCCCCACCACAAGAGTCCCACGAGATCCACGATCTTCAAGCGAACCAACCAATCTGGAACTTCGACCTATTCCACAACAAAAAATGCCACGGCACGAGGATCAGTTACGCAGGGCAGGGGTCTTCGGGGTGCCACAACAATCTCGAGCTCGAGGGTGCCGAAGCCTATATCAATGTCAATATCAATCCCAAATGCAGAGTTGTCTTATTCAAGGATAACAAGTGTTCGCATCGGGCGAAGGTCGACGAGATCAGTACCAGGACGGCGACTAAATGTAAGGGGATTGTGCACAAGAAGAGGGTTCGTAGCTTCGAGGTTTGGTGTTAATCATAATGGGTATTATTGAAAGAAGGTTTCGAAATTTAATGATTTCTGAATACAAGTCCTTCTCCTCATCCACTTCTTCTTCTTGTACCTGTTGTATACAACCTTGGAACCTCGGAGTGTAGATCGCAGATAAGCCGCTTATCAGCTCCACCAGTCCCACAGTGACGCAAAGCCCTCAACCTGATTCCCTTCAGGCCTTAAATCTTTTTCAGTACCCATTATCCAGCATTCTATTCATTCTCTCACAACTTCAATACCCAACCCACCCAAAATGGCACCCCGCTGCTTCATAATCCGTCACGGCGAAACAGAATGGTCTCTAAACGGCCGACACACCGGCGTAACCGACCTCCCGCTAACAGCGAACGGCGAAAAGCGCATAAAAGCAACCGGCAAAGCCCTCGTAGGCGACGACAGACTCGTCGTCCCGAAGAAGATAGCTCACGTGTAAGACACCATCCCACCAACCCACCAATCCACACCCACGAATATACGCAAGCTCACAAAAGCGCAGCTTCGTCTCACCCCGCTCCCGGGCCCAGCGCACCCTTGAGCTCCTGGAGATCGGCTGCCGCGAACGGCTCCCGTGGACGGAGCAGCGCAAGCCCGAGACGGAAGAGGCGATCCGCACCGAGGCCAAAGTTGAGGTTACGGAGGCGGTGCGGGAATGGGATTACGGGGACTACGAGGGGTTGACGAGTAAGCAGATCCGCGAGCAGCGGGCGGAGCGGGGCGAGGGGCCGTGGAATATTTGGACGGACGGTTGTCCTGGTGGAGAGTGAGTATTTGATTATTCTAATTCTTGATTTGTTCTATTGATTGTTTGGTATGTCTGTGTACGGTTGCTGACAGCAGCAGATCCCCGGACGACGTGGTGCGGCGTCTTGATGCGCTGATCGACGAAATCAAGAACAAGTACCAGCGGCCCTGCTTAGAGGGTGATGGGGAGCAGGGCGATGTCCTGGTCGTTGCGCACGGACATATCTTGCGAGCTTTTGCGATGCGCTGGACGGGGAAGCCGTTGACGGAGACGTCGCTGATTCTCGAGGCTGGTGGAATCGGGACACTGAGGTGAGACTTTTTCATACCGGATATTGCTGGGTGCAGGAGCTAACAAGACATGTGCAGTTATGAACACAATAACATTGATGAACCGGCGATCATCCTCGGTGGACAGTTTGTGGTCGAGTAATGGTGGAAGAAATCAGTCCCTAACGAGATACTCCGCCTAGAGACATAAGTCAGCATTAAGAAAACCAGTTACAACAGCCACATGTAAATGAACTTACCACCTTCAAAAGCGCCGGACAAAACGTATTCAATCTTCCTCACTCTCATCCTTGGCCTCTTCGTCCTGGTTTTCCTTCTTGTCGGCATTCCCCTTGACACCTTCCTCGCCCAGAATCTTCGCAGATCCCATAAATAGAGCCCCGACATAGCCACCCAAAAAGCGCATATCGCCCGCCTGCACGGCCGTCATGCGGAGCAGGTTCTCTGTGTCTGCGAGGTTCGCGTTCAGCTGGGCGAGCTGGGCGTGGAGGTGGGCATATTGGCGGGTTTTGGCGGCGGACATGGAGGGGGTTGAGGCTTGGTGGGAGGGGGTTGGGGTGTAGGAGGGTTGGTTGAAAGTGTGGGTTGATGTTGTGTTATAGACACTGCTTCCTGGGGCGATTGAGGGGCGGTATGTTGTGTTTGATTCCTGACGGCGGTGGATTGGGAGGGGTGGCATTTTGGGTAGATATTTTGGGAGGCTGTTGATAGGGGATAGCTCTTCAGGGTGTTGGTGTATGAGTGTTGTTGTTGGTGTTGAGGAGTTGTTGATAATTTGACCGCGGGACTGTTTACTTGAACGGGGTCACGTGTTGATACTTTTCTTATACTTGACAAAGGAATTTGGATATTTAAGTCTATCGTCTATTGCACTAACATATACTTGGAATAAAACCTGTAGCGACCTCAATGATATAATGGAAGGTCTATCAATTCATGCGCTCCTGGGAGGATAAGGGTCTGTTCAGAGGGCACATCCTGCGCCCTTAATTATTACCCCAGCGCGAACCCAGGTCAATGAACCGAATAAGTTGAAACCACCCGCTCTTTTGGAATGCGCCATCGACCAGACCAAGAAATCAAAAATGAGACTGCTTGCATCAAGCCAGTCAAACGAGACAAGGAAAAAAGCAATGCAGGCAAAGGAAAGAGTTGCCCGGTTGGAGCGAATGATAATAAAACAAAGTGGAGACAGGAGGCGTATACGAGTCCAGATGGGAAAGTAAAAAAGGAATGCGCCGGCTCAAGTAGTGTACAGTCATGCAGAGAGATGAGAAGGTGGGCAGGTGAGTTACCGACGACGCTATATCGACATGCTGTAAAAATGGATAAGGAGATAGGGGATAGAGTGAGAGGATGAGGATAGGTCACAGTCTAGGCTCAAGCAAGTGGCCTCATTAGAAATCGATAATGCCACGAAACAAAATGAGTATCGATGCAGAGGAAATCACAGAAAAAGACAAACGCGCACATCCGTATCCCAACCATCACTCCGAAGCGAAAAACAAAGAAATCAGAAAATCAGCAATGAAGACCCCTATGTCCCTCATGTATATGTAAAAAGCGAACAGCAGAGTATTAACCAGTGTCTCATGAGAACGGGACTGAGAAGAACGTCCCCGCCGAATGACACGCCATGATGCAAAAAAAAGGTCCAAACACGACCAATTTTCCGTGAACGATAAGCGTCCAAGGCTGAGAAAGAATGCAACGTCGAGATAGAGAGAGGAAAATTCAATCAATCATGGAAACGCCGATCCGTCAATGGAAGAAACCAAAAGAGCGGGGGCTGAATTCTTAGCGAACGGGCGCCGCAATACCCTGGTTGCCCAGGCTGACCTGGCTGCTGTGAGACGAGGGTTCGGAATCAAGATTCGCACTGGCTCCGCTATCACCACTCCCCGCGCTGGCACTCCCACTTCCGGTCAGATTCTGGTTCTTGGGAGGGCCTTTGGCCGGGAAATTGCTCACCCCATAGTGTTGCTCAACTTGCTGCGGCCCTACCGCGGGTCCATTTCCTTGAGGATACCGCGGTACTGGCGTACGCATGTTACCGGGCGGCGAAGGCTGCCCATTGTGAGGTCCACCAAGGGGTCCAAGGTTTTGGTCATTCGCAGCGGGAGGACGTCCCATCCGAGGGCCGCCTGGACCAGGAGGTCCATGGGGTCCTTGAGGTCCGCCGAAAGGAGTTGCGGGGGATTGGCTGTTTCGTCTGCTTGTGGGGAAAGGTCGTGGTGGGTAGTCACCCATGTGGCTTGCCGTTAAAGAGTTGGCTCGAGAATCCGCGTGCATCTGGTTTCGGTCAACGGCTCCGTATCTGTTGGAGGAGTAGCTCATCATTGGGTTGTCCATAAGTGAATCATGGAGACCGGGAATTTCTTGCATCACGCGATCGCTCGCGCGTTTCCTGCCGAAGTAACGACCAAACGCTGATGATGAGGGGCGGCTGCCACCGGGGCCTCCGGGGCCTGTTACAGAGAATTCGGGATTCTTGCGGAATTGGCTCTGGCTAGGGCCCTTGCGTCCTCGGCGGGAAGTCATGCTCATCATGTCGACACTGTCAGGGTCGATGTGTGGAATGGCCATGTTGTCCATCGGGTCGAAGTAATCCTCGTCTTCTTCGTCAAAGGAGGGACCGGGACCGTGGCTCGATCGAGGAGGGGGTCCCCGACGCATTGGCCCGGGAGGGCCGGGAGGGCCGCGGCGCATGCCCATCTCCTGTTCACGAAGCTGCAACTCACGCTGACGAAGAGCCAACTCTCGCTCCCGTAATACCAGTTCGGACGCAGGGCCCGGTGCTGAATCAGAGTACCCATTACCATTCTGGTGCGGCGCACCAGGCTCGCCCTCTCCATCGTATACCACCAAATGGCTGAATTCTTCGAGTCCTTCCAACGATGTATCGCGCGGAACTCCTCGGTTGGCTGGCATCGGCATTGGTCCACCAGGGCCTCTTGGCATCATACCAGGGGGTGGGCCTCGTCGTTGGGACGAAGGCATGCTCATGCCCGAGGGCGTTCGGCCTCCTCGCATAGATGGGGGACCGCCGTTCATCATGGGTCGTTGATGCGGAGGCGCAGAAGACAATCGGGGAGGCGGCTGGCCCATAACGGACGCAGGTGGAGAAGCCTGCCGAGGCTTGTTCTGGTTGACAATATTGGCGTGGTGCATCAAAGTGTACATGGTTTCAATTCGGGGAACGCGAACATTGGAATCCATGGCCAACTTGATCGGTGACCCAAGGAAGGTCTCAACCTCCATAGGGCGTCGGGCCTGGAAATCCTGGTACATTGTACTCGGTGCTTCCGATGCAGTCATTTTTTCGATCGTCTTTGTCCGGATATCGCTGGGGAATGAGCAACCGAGCGAAGTGGCGAGTTCTACCAGCTCATCAATAATGCCCGTTATTAGTTGACGGACGCCGGTCTTTTCGAGGAGTTGTGTGTGGTTGGAAGTTTCGAACACGACGCTGGTGGGGTGGAATGCAATCGGGCTGCAACTGATTAGCATGCGGGCTTGGGGAAATTTCCGTAGATTTCGAGAGAAAGAAGACTCACCCGATCATTCGCTCGAACTGCTCCTGTCTAATATTGTCCGATACCTTGCAGTCAACCTGACCGGAATTCAAAGTCATTGCCAAAGCTGCCGCCATGTCGTTTTGGATGGATGTGGGGATAGAGGATGATTTGTTGGTTGCGCCCACGTAAATCTCGCTCGAACTCAGATGTTCGAACTCGCTGGGGCCTGTTTGGGAGATTTCGACATTGGAGACGAGAGAGAGAATAACGTTGGTCGGGTATCTTTGCTCGAGATGAGCTTCAATGCCGAGTGTATTCGTGGTGTTGACGAGAATACAAGTGTGCTGGGGAGTGACGACGGATTCGATGACGGAGGCCAGGTCATAGACGTCGGGCAAGGCTTTTACGCAGAGAATAACATAGTCGTATGCGTTTTCGCGGGATGAGGCTTCTTCGGGAGCACGAACAACTAAAAACCGGATACATCAGCCGGATTGCTCAGAATGGTCTCAGGATGGGGGGAATTCTTACCATGTCGAGGTTTGAATCGCTCGTTACCGAATGCTTTAGATCTGAGGGAATATTAGCCTATGGTTCCTGTGATATCCGAGTTTCCACACGTACTTAAATGAGACACCGTATTGAGATACAGAGTCAAAACCGGATTTCCAGACCAGGGTAACATCGCAGGAGGTTGTCGCCTGAAGTCGCCATGAGAGAAAGGCTGAAATCGCATTGCCACCAACTGCACAGACTTTTTTTAGCCGATGAAACATTTTTGTTTGATTGTCGAGAGAAACTCACCGGATAGAATGCGCAAACGTGGAGGAGGCGCCATGATTTTCAGATCTGGAAGGAACTTTGGCGGGAAGGTCCCAAGTCGAAGAAGGTCCAGGAGGCGTATGCGCCCTATAACAGATGATGATCCCAGGTATCCCAGATAGAATAAAGGGTGAGTGAAGGAGGGAAGGATGGGGGAGAAAGAAAGAAGAAAGAAGAAAGGAAGGAGAGTGTAATCGGAGAAAGGATGGGATCGAACGGAAGTTTAGCAACGGGGGGGGGGGGAAAGGGCCTTGTCCACGTTCAAGTTACTTTTTTTTCCGTTCGCTATTAAATTTTTTTGACCTCACGGTTTAGGATAAGAAATAGAAATATGAAAGGATGAAAAGTGAAAGACTGGACGCGATCGTAAGAAAGATCTTTTTTTTCCTCCTTGATACTTCTAAACGGTCGTGGATCCCCCGCCAGCCTCAATCCGGAAACGGTGCCAGGGCGTGATAAGCTGCCAACGGAAAACTGAATGCGGTTATTTAGTTATCCTTTAAAATACTTGGGATATTTAGGAATTGCTTCTTTTGATTCACCTAACACGTTGTCTCCTCTCTACAGCTATCGACTCTATGCTTGTATTTTCCTATATTATTGTATTGTGAAGTTTTCGTACCTGAATCCTGAATTCTGAAGGCCTAGCCTCCACCCTCTAGAATTTCGTGGCCCTCCACGCAATCAACCTCATATGTGGAAACATTGTATACAATGTGCAATATGTACAATATATATATGTCTACACATATTATATATCTACATTATTTAGTACATATATTTTATATAATCCATACAATTCTTCAAAGTAAAATAGAAACAGAGGCATGTGCATAGTGGAGGTTTTACATTTGATGCTATAATTAACCACCTATTAATAATTGTTTACACAATTATACTATACAGGTAATATAAAATACTATAAAATACTATAAAATGCAACCTGGTAATTTTGAAAAAACCACAAAAGGACTTTTTGCGCTCCACCAAGAACCATAACGTTGTCTTATGATCGGCGAGCTTTGCCTTCTGGGCTTGACTTCTTTTTATGCTTTACTTCTATTCTACAACGTATATAAACAATTGTATTCTATAGATCGCTAGTCTCTAGCTCTAACCTGATGGTCTTCGGACACGTATGTAAGCCACGTCCCGTACTCCGTCACCCACATCCACTCCGAGAACCCACATCCGATCTCAAGGCCAATGATTCAGGAGAGAACCAAGATGTACCTGTCAACTTGCAAACATTCGGGCCCGAACCATCATGCAAACTCACTATCAGTGTGAGTAATTCACCCCTAGTACTAAAGCTATAAGAATAGCATTCACGAACTTGGCAACGATCAAAAGTACAACGTACCTAGGTATTAAAGAGGCTGTGTCTGCATATATCCAAGCCCGAGTCGTTTCGTGTCTGGCGCATACCTAGCTCCAAAGTATACCCTAGTTTTGGGTTCTGACACAAACACAACGTCAAATAACATGTACCAGTACCTGGACCGTTACCTGGCGTGGTTCATAGAGACTACCTAGGTACAACTTGGTTTTTGTATCCCTGATCGACATCAAAATTAACAACTGAACTGATGCACAAATGTACAATGACCAGGCATTGTGCCACCTGCATGACAATTTCCCCCCCCCTCCCCCACTGTGACATTCTCTATACACTGGAAGAAATGTGGTATTTCTGGAAGAGGTCATTGTGGAAGCTAGGAAAGAAGAAAGAAAAAAGGAAGGGAAGAAAAAGGAGTTCAAAGTGAGAGTTGTGTTAACAGTGAGAATGTAATGGCAAGGATAGTTAGTCAATTGAGACTTTTGTTCCCTTAGACTCGTTCACAGTACCTCCGATAAACAAAACAACCCCCATTCGAGCAGGGAGGTTTGAGAGGGTTTTTTCAAGGGATATTCAGGACCGGCCACTTGAATACCTTGGAAGGGGGAGGCGGTGTTGATAATCCCAGAATGCCAGAGTAGTGATCGACGCGCGTGCCGAAATGTTTGTTTGCAGCATGTCCGCATCAAGGGATTCTACCATATCGGGGGGATTGATCGGGGATTTTGTCAATCTGATAATAAACAAAAATAGGTTGGTATTTGAAAGTAGAGTACGGATGCAATTGATGCACTCGTGCACTTGATGTAATTGAGTCGATTCCGGACAGACGATATCAATCATATCCGACTATGCGCCACGTATATGCACGTTGTACTATATTGTAGGGAAGTTGATCAGGAAAGTCCAGACCTTGAATTGGCTACACATTAATCGACGTTAACTAGTGGAGACTTCGAATAACAAGGAGATTACAAACCACCTTATTGTAATTACTATGCGCACAGCTCCACCGGAGTACTCCGTACATAGTACATAAGTCAGTACTTAATAACAAAACAGGTACGACGTACATATGTATGCAGCAAAACAACCTTCAACTGGTACGTGTCCGATTTCACGAACCACGTTTGCGGACGCCGGAAACAGTAGATCGACAATATTAAGCCATGATGTTAACTACCCGTGGACATATCTATGGACATATCTAACTATCTAGTTTAGTTATATTATAATCTTCAGCCACGGTATAATCCAGGCGCCACAGATGTCATTCATTCATTTAAACCGGAAATGGGCTTGAGGAAATGTGCTTGAAAGGGCATAATAAACACGAGCATATGAATTAACAATGAATACGGAGAAATACTAGCAGAACCAGAACATATCGTATCAAGCCTCGTCCCACTGAAACCACTTAATCTCAAGTTCTCGAGCCCATCTCGAACGGTCGGAAGCACGCGGATAAGAAAAAGAGATCCCTGCAAAACGTACAACGTACAAATCAAATGGCCCCCGATCGCACAGCCATTGACCTATCATAATCTTCACCTATTGCGCTAACTCTCCGTGTTGGTACTATTACCTGCTTCAAGAGGCACGCAGTTACATTATCATCATTTCCGACATGATGTAAAATTACCCTGAATTTTTTTGGAAATTTGCCCATAGAAGCCCTCCGTCAGGCACTGAGTTTAGCGGTGAATTTTGTTGCTCATTATATATCGGCACAAGAGATCCCTACTTTATTTAGTGTAGTCAGTGAAAGTAAATAAATAGATCATGCAACAGATAAAAACCAGATAAGGTATAATCATTCCGGGTTATGTTGCAAAAAAGCAGTTTTTTCTTTCATGGGCGGCTGGCCTAATGGTAAGGCGCTTGATTTCGGCTCAAGAGATTGCAGGTTCGATCCCTGCGTCGCTCAATTCATTTTTTTGCTCTTCACGAACAAGATCTCTCTTCAAATCTCGTTTTTGTCCAACATATATATATATATATATATAATTGTGACTAAGCACTCACCTCCACCCCTCCAGGGTGTAGGTGAGCCAATGCCTAAACACAAACCAATGCCTAAACACAAACCAATGCCTAAACACAAACCAATGCCTAAACACAAACCAATGCCTAAACACAAAAAACCCATTATTTCAATTTCAACCCTATTTTTCAGCCACCATCCCATCTGGATCTATGAATTTAAATAGCTCACTATTAGCATCAAGATAATCTCTACCTCCTGATGCTTCTTCTTTTTCTTTGAGAGCCTGATTCGCGCGATGCCAGTAGTCTCGAATTCTTGCGTTTCCGGCTTCATGCCGAATATCCAATTTAGATTCTTTCGTACAGCGCTGATAAACCTTCGAATTGCCTGCAATTGACGATAAAGGACTCTTAGATGCACCCTTTACTATGCGCTTTGTCTTTTTGACAGGAATCTTGTGGCTTTGCATCCTTTTTATCGTCTGTTTTGCAAGGGCTAGATCTTGAATAGCCTGCTTGCCGCCACGAATTGCACGGTTTATATGTTTATGAAGCTTCGGGAGGTCCAATTCAGCTTTATCATTTTCGAATATCGTTTGAATCTTGTCCTCAACTTTGGAGAATCTTTGATCTGAATTAGGCGGCGAATTCGTTGCTGAACTAGGGAATTCACGGTCTGGTGATGGCGTATGACCATATATCTCGAGGACTGGTTCATCTTCCCAGCCTGGATCAATTTGATCACACACAATATGTAAATCATAAGGCCAAAGACCAGTGTCTTTAAATGATGATTTAATCGTTTGCGATTTGAATGTGTCTTTGCGGACTGTTTTGATGAGTTGAAGAAAATGCCGTTTATCGTCAACATCTCCACCCCATCGTACAATCTCATTGTTCTTTTTTCGGAATTTTTGTTTAAGAACTGAGAAGGGCTTGCCATCGAGAGGCTGAAATCGATGTGTCATCTTTGGTATAAACCACCAAGGTATAATATTAAAGCTTTGGCAGATATGCTCGAATTCCGGGGTTCCATGGGATCCATGGTTATCCATAACCAAAACCCTAGGTCTACCTTTAGCAACTCGCTTTTTAGTGGCATAATGGAAATCTAATAGCCATTGAATCGCAGTTGTATCGTCGGTCCAGCCTTTGGTAGTTGGTTTAATAACCCTATAGTTGGTAGGATCATTATCGCCGTCAAACCAGTCTTCCATTTGTTCAGGACCACGTATTAAAAACCATGGATGCATAACCCAGCCATCGGCCGAAATACACTCAATTCCAGTGATATTCTGGCCTATACCACCGGTCGCAATAGTCTCATATTTGCGGGTAGAAGCGACATTTTCCTTAGTTCCAATGCCTAGCTGAAAGCCAGTCTCATCCCAGTTATACAGTTCATTGGCCTGGATTTTATTCTTTTTAAGGAATTGGCCATAAACCTCATACCAGTGAACTAATTCACCGTGTAATTCAGCTTCAATCCTCGCTTTTCCCATCGGCTTTTGTGTACGAAGGGTAATATGGGGTGGTAGGCGTTGCATGAATTGATAGCCGTACATTTTGCTAACCTGCCGGTCGGAACCACAATGTCGTAAAATACGATTTGCAGCACCCTCAATATCAATAGCAGTTGGTGGTGTATATACTGAATTAAGGTGCTCAATCCAGCGAATCAGAGAGGCTTCTTGTGAGGAATTTAGGGCTTTGTTGGTGGCTGTACGGCCTTTTCTATTTTTCTTGCCTTCATTTCGGTTCCGAAGCTTCCACTTTGAGACGCCAAAATGAGAGGCTGCGGCCTGAATACTGGTAAATTGACCTGATTTATAGGCTTCGAGGGCATTTGAGAGAAGGATCTCTTCTTTTTCGGAGGAAATAGGCATCGTTGTGGTGGTGAAAAATAGGGTTGAAATTGAAATAATGGGTTTTTTGTGTTTAGGCATTGGTTTGTGTTTAGGCATTGGCTCACCTACACCCTGGAGGGGTGGAGGTGAGTGCTTAGTCACAATTACTAGCATCATCTAGAGAAACAATGTGTTTATAGGTAATATTCTATATTCTACTTAATGTACATTTAGATCCATTTTTAAAGACTATCTTATCTGTTCTGTCTATATATAAGGTTCAATGACCTATTTTATTTACATAGATAGTAAAAAAGTAAGATGCTATTTATTAGAAGAACGAAATTTAGAGATCTCATTCGTGTATGGAAATAAAAAAATATTGAGCGACGCAGGGATCGAACCTGCAATCTCTTGAGCCGAAATCAAGCGCCTTACCATTAGGCCAGCCGCCCATGAAGTAAAAATTCGGAATAAGGGAAATAAGATCCACGACTCATTTCATTCGAAGCATACGACGTAAATTACAGTTTCATAACCCTGCAGGCTTTTTTTATTTAGTAAAGGATAACTCAAAATCGAGGCAGGAGTGAGAAGCCACTGCAAAGTATATGAGCATGTTATCCAAGCTTTCATTCGACATGACTATCAATTTCGGCATGCCTGCTAAAATGCCTAAAATATCTATGTGTATTCCGAGTAGTGACAACGGGAAGCAAAGGAGCCTAGAAAGTCCAACGACAGGCTCTGCGTTTCACTTCGTACTCGCATTCGTACAGCGGACGCTAAAGAGAAACAAAGGTCGATTTGGCACTCAAAACTCGAGACAAGGAAGGAAGGTATGGGGCAAATTAGCCTCACTCTGCCTTGATTTTGTTTGCGCTACCCAATTCTATCGATCTAGTGCCTGACCTAAGTCACTTTATTTGGTATTTGGGCTTACTTTTTCCCTCAAACTATAATAGATTTTAATTACCGGTATTTAGAAAGACTAATTCACTTTATATCTTTGCGCTGATGTCGGGATTAATGTGGTTGGTAGACATACTATTAGACGCGAAGCAAACATTGTTACTTAACTACCAAGAGAATCATTGATATAAATTAAACGGTAATTCTTTCTAACGCATACTATATCTTTAAAGCCGATTTACCTCCAGTCAACATTCTTTTAGGCCCACCATGAATGAAGTGCAAGCAACGCGATCCGGGCGAGGATATGCTTCTACCCGGGAGACTTCCTAATGGTTCGCCACTGCATAGAAGAGGCCCAGCAGGCCTGGGAGGCGGCGAACCTTGATGTAGAGAGGCCGACCTAGGTACGTTCTCCCCCGATGAACAGCTACAATGGAAACTCGGGAGATAAAAGCACTGGAGGACGGGCCGAAGAAGATGGCGTCTCAGTCATTCTAAAGTTGGAACCCTTTGGCATCTGCTCTATGTTATATGGAAGAGGCCCAGGCGCTCTGGCGGGAAGACTTTGGTATCGCTAAATCTGCGTCCTCTCGATGTCCCCCGATGAACTGCTACGAATGTGCACTCTCGAGGAGCTAGATCGACAGAGGGAGCCGAGAGCCCTAAAGGATGAAGTGCAAGACCTAGAGGGGAGTGCGAGGTAGAATCAGTGGATGGGTATCCCCGAATATACTCTTAAGGATATGAGAAAGGCTTAGGGGCTCTATCAGTCGAACCTTGGTCTCCCTAGGCCTACGTTCCCCCCTAATGAATAACTAGATATAGACGTCCTTTATGTAGGACAACTAGAGGCAAGGGAGAGGCGGAATGTTTTATTGCAGCCTCGAGATGCTCTAGATTATAGTCACACAAAGAAAGCCTAGAAGCACTAGCGACCCGAGCTTAATATCGACATGCCTGATAGGTTCTCCGATGATGAAGAACCACAGGTGGATATTAAGGAAGTGAGATAAGCAGCACGGGGATTCGAGACTTGGTCCTTCGGCCTTCGGAAATCGCTTGGAGGGATGGGAGAAGTTTAATCCATGGATCGTGCTAGATGCAAGAGCTTGGAATCCTTAGGCTCCCGTTCTCCGTGGAAGAGCACCTGGGCAAGCCGAAATGATGTTGAACTATGACATAATGACTAAGTACATAATGGAGTATTCCAGTAGAGAATATAGGTAGGATAATGTAATCGTCATAGGCGAATGGCCTAATCTGAAACATACTACACTATATATATTAGTAGGGGAGACCGCATGATCACATTGTTGAGCAAATACAGGCTGCAGCTTTTTCTAATCAGGGGCAGACTTCCTCCCTAAAGTAGCTTTGCTACCTAGCTCCAGTACTGAATGGGGTACTTACTTTTTTTTGACGACATCTGTATCGTGACTGAAGAGGAGCTGGCGTGGGAGATTACGCGCTGACGCTTATCGTCCGTTGCAATCCCCTGATGAGATTTCTCGCCTTCTAGGAAAACTAGCCCTACGTCTTCTATAAATGTCACACCGAGGGAAAAGTGAGAACTCCAGAAAAGCGATATAAAATAGGGACGAACATGCTATGAGAAATTTATCTATCTATAAATATGGACTGATTGTGCTATACTTTGCATTGAATGAAGCAGACTAGACTACATAGTTATCCACTGCCTTCAGTATGTGCCTTGCTAAAAGATGCCTATAGCAATCATCATCAATTACTTCACTACTTCGTTCTGTTATAGCCTACGACACCCGTGGACTACATGGAGTATCTTATGGTAGATCGTCAAATTACAGCGTTCCTTCGCCTCCCAGCAACATCAAATTTTGATTCTCTTGCCGTGTGCTCGACAACTGTCATTTCCCTGCATGCAGGGGAAACCTACATCCATAACTCCCAGCAGCTGAGACCGACGCCAAGATTGCCCTGAAGATTCCGTAGAACCAAATTGATTCGATTGGTCAAATTTACTTTGATTCGGTGAGTATTCCAAACACTAGTTGGCAAATACATACATATGTATGTATCTTGCGGTATAGCTAAGGTATATCGGACGGGTCAAATGAGATCTCTTTGGACAAGGATAGAAATTGTGCGAACGTGATAAATTTTTAGGAAAACTGCAAGTCAGATTTGGACTGTGACCGCGGGCTACATGAAAGCAATGTATGTTTCAAACGAGTTGAGATAGCGAACTACTGGTAGACGTGGTCCGGCAGATATGGCGAATCCCAGGAGTACAGATGAGCGACCCGGAGATTAGATGAGTACCTTTTGTCCACCCTTGCTGGGTCGGGAACTTGGCAGGGTCGCTGGGTCATGTGGTTAAAACACGAGCGCAGGATGGTGCATATTTCTGTCAGATCGTCGCCACTTGTGTTCCGCCGACAGATGTTTGCTATGGTGCCGAAAATTGGGAACATCGAGATGGCAAGGTCTTGTTACGGATGGGCGAATGTGCGGGCTAATCCATTCTTAATTCCATTGCTGTTTTCAGATACATGGAGAGGAGAAAGTGCGCCTCACTTCAAAGCCACGAGAGGGCAGAGGCAGCGCCCAACGGCAAAACAAACATCAAAACCCGAGCTATTGCGCCAGTAACAACGGAAGAGAGATAAAAGAAAGAGATTTCAACAAAGTTTTCACTGGTACATGTCTAAGCCATGTAGGTGGTGGAGTCGACACCAGCCTCGGGGTACTCGCTGTAAGTATTATTAGCTTGGCGTTGAGGGAAAATAATTGTGATTTTAAGGGGGCACATACGGAAGGGCAACCTCGAAGCGCTTCTCGATTTCCTTGAGAACCTTCTCGTCATCCTCGTTGCTAACGAATGAAATAGAGAGACCCTTGGTACCGAAACGACCAGCACGACCGACACGGTGCAGGTAGGAATCAGCGTCGGCGGGAAGATCGTAGTTGATAGCGAGGTTAATGCGCTCAATATCGATACCACGGCCGAAGACGTCAGTGGCAACACAGATACGCTTATTGAACTCCTTGAACTCCTTGTAGCGTTTAATACTAGATGCAAGTTAGCAGGCTGGCGACGCCAATTCAGGACTCTATTGAACTTACCGCTCCTCCTGGCTGACACCGGAGTGGACAGCAATACTGGGGAAGTTGCACTCGCGCAGAAGCTTATCCAGCTCGTTGGCACGCTGGGTGCTCTTGACAAAGATAATGACCTGGTTGAACTCAAGGTTGTCCAGGAGCTCGTTCAGCTTGCGGTTCTTCTCCTGCTCGCTAAGCTTGATGTAGTACTGCTGCAAGCCGTGAAGAGTGAGCTTGGTGTCGTCATCAACGTAGACCTCCAGCGGGTTGCGCATGAACTTCTTGCAGATGGGGCGGATCTCCTGGGAGAGGGTGGCGCTGAACATCATAACCTGCTTGTCGGCGGGGGTGGCTCGGAAAATTTCCTGGACATCGCGACGCATGTCTAATGGAGGTGTCAGTGAGATGGGCTTTTGACCCTGGAATTTCGCATGCACGTACCAATCTGGTCAAGCATCTTGTCACACTCGTCGAGGACGAAGGCCTTCACGTTGCGGAGAGACAGCTTCTTGTCACGGACCAGAGCGTTCAGACGACCGGGTGTGGCGACCACAATGTTGGGGTAGGTGTCCTTGTTGGAAAGGGTCTCGACATCCTTCTGGATCGGGGTTCCACCGTAGAAGACCGCGGTCTTAACGTCGGGTAGGTACTTGGAGAAACGGGCGTACTCATTCTTGATCTGGTAGGCAAGTTCACGGGTGTGGCACATGACCAGGATTTGGCACTCGCCCTGAACGGGCTCCAATTGGTGAAGGGTGGTCAGAACGAAGACAGCGGTCTTACCGAGACCGGATTTGGCCTGGCAAAGAACATCGACGTTCAGAATGGCAGTTGGAATGCAGACTTGCTGGACTGTTGAGAGGCGAAGCCGATGTTAGATTGTGTTCGACGAAAGATAAAGCAAAAGAACGATTCGTCTCGCAACGTCCGTCCATCTCCCGACAGCACTAAACCGATGCCAGGGCAGTTATCTTGCCCCGCTTCCATCGCACCACCATGACGTATGTCATTCTCAAATAAGGGCCATTTTATTTGGTGGACGTCTTGTTCTGCAGACAACATGAGGCACGCCTTTCAAGAAGGCAAAGGTGATAGATATCAATCTTCCACCGCGCCAACTTTCACAAAAAGATGTGAGCTGGGATCTGAAGCTTGGGCTTTGCGCAAAAGCGTCAGAGCACCGAAGTGTATATTATGATAAAATATTGTCCATTTCAGGAGCAATACTCCCCATGTCGCCTGCAGATTCGAAACACGACTGATTGCCAAATACCGACAGAAGAATCTTCCCGGGAGGATGGACGGACGTTGGAGCTTGGAGTAATGGAGGAACGCTTGTGGGAATGATGAGTAGACTAACCCTCCGATGGATGTTCGAAGCCGCAGTCGGTGATGGCGCGCAGAAGTTCGCCCTTAAGCAGGAAGTCGCGGAAACCGGTGGAGTGGATACCGACGTAGCTGCCCTTCTTGTCGGGGCGACCACCGGTGACGGTCAAATCGCCTTCCTTGTCGGCATCACCGTTGGTGGCAGCAGGAGCAGCGGTGGTGGCGGGGGCTGTGGTGGTTTGCAGCTCCTCGTCAGAGTAGTCGATGAGATCTTCCTCGTGAGACATGGCGATGTAAATTGGTGAGTTTTTGAGATAAGTCGATGAAAAGCTGGAGAAATAGTTGAGGTAAGATGAGAATTGAAGAGGAAACAAAAAAATCAATGAAAGAGACGGGACCGTGGGAATGTGTCAGGTCGGGGTCGACAGACAAAGGTGCAGGGAGAAGTGGTCTGTAGGCGGCTAGGGATGTGATGGGAGCAGAGTTGAGCTCGACCACCCGTGGGCGGTCACGTGCGTTTGTCAGCCGCGCCCGCTTTGGGCTTAGCGATGTGTTAAATATGGAAGGCGGTGAGATCTCAATAGCAACGGACTTTGAATGACGGTGAGAGGTGACAATATTTTGAAGATAGAAGGCGGTAAAAGGAAAAGCAGATGGGCTGATTATTACGTTGTCTTATCGATAACAGGACTTCGGGGGCCCTGGAGCTTTTCGTGAAAAGGTGCACGGGCGCAATAACAATCCATATCAACCTCTAAAAATGGCAAAAGCAAAAGAAAAAGCAAAAGTAGCCAAGAAAGAAAACAAAAATACCTTGAGCCATATTCGAGCCCGTCTGAACTACCTGCACCAAGCTGCTGCCTATCTGCAGGGCAAATCCACAGAGCAAAAGAGTCATAATGTAACTCAAGCAGCTCATGAAGCACCCAACGACAAATTGGCATATGTCCAAGCGTGCTCAAATGACATTCGTCAAAAGCCAGAGCCCCAACAGCGGGCTCCTCCGATGGACCGAAATAACGCCAAAGAACCATTGGGCAATCTTTCAAGAGTGTGCGTATCGCATTTGCGCGATGTCGCAATGAAGACCCAGATTCGGTTGCCCGTCACTTTGAAGAGATCATTGTGCAAGCGCTGTGCTATAATTCTTACTCCTGGGGTGACCTGCTCACATGAGACCCGGAACGAGAGTCGCGGCGGCAAGAAACCATGGGCCGATGTATTGATTGTCCGTTGCCTCGCTTGCGGCACTGAGAAGCGATTTCCGCAGACGGATAAACGTGCAAAGAAGCTTGTACAGCGTCGTCAGGAAAAGGAGGCCGCTTTGTCGCAGAATGACCCAAGAGTGGACTCTTCATCGGCGGCGTTGAAAGGGGAAGGTGTCAATGACCAGCATGCGTCAACTGTAAACCCCTCACCAGGAGCTTGATTCGACCAATCAGATTATCCTCGAAGGTTGAGCACGTCTATTTATATCCTACATTCTGCTCTAAAACCCCAGGCAACGTCTCATATCCTGCGCAGCACACAATGAGTCTGGTGACTCCGAAATCGCCCCACCTGGTGCTCTGAGGTTCCATCCTGAAAATACTCTCAAGTAGCCTCCATGGCAACCTGCCAACGAGCTCTACTATGGGGCAGTTCTCCTATCAAACCCGCGAGCAACTGCCGAAGCAAAGCTTCGAGGCTCATGGGTAGCGCAACCCAACCTACAATCGGTCGGTAAATATGGGCTTGAAATCTCAAATATTGATATTGATGTCATTATGAGATATTCGAGATCAGGAAAAGCAAGATTGGATTGGAGAAACTATCCCGAATGATACTGCATAACACGGCAGGCCTTGCATGATCATTTTTGCAATGACCACCTGGGCATGGGCCAACATCAACGCTGAAAAGAAAAGCCCAGAGCAATGTACACGCAACATGCGGAGAGGGGAATCGAAACGAAGTAAAACAACAGAAATATCAAATCAAGCAAAACACATAGATCGCGTTTATTCGCTCAGAATCACATTAAAGTCCTTCATGAAAGTCATCAAATCTTATGGATTCCAGCACCGGGTGGGACACAAGTGTCCCAAGCTGCGCCGGTCCAACTCCGGCGCCGATCAATATACTGCAATACTATCAGGCACTATGCTCTTCCATATGAGTGCTACCTCAATAGCGCCGCGAGGCATGCAGTTCTTTCCACCAATTGTTTCATTGCCCAGATAACGCAAGTAAATGAAATGTACCGTATGTGAACGTGGCGACTTGCACACATTCAAAAGAGTCCGCGAGGACATGTTCGTTATATAGTTTTTTGTTTCTTTTTGTTCTGTTCTGTTCTGTCGGCTTTGATATGGGATCTGGGTTTTGTGAGGACGAGGGTATAGAGGTGTATTGGTTGGACCATCCAGTGGTCGAGTAAAGGTGAGAGGCGAAGAAAGTAAGGAGCTGGCATAATTGTATGATCTTTCGGGATGTGTAGAGTGTGGGTACTGGGGGGAGGGGGATTATATGGAGGGAGATGTGGTATGGTATCATCGTCGGCGGCGAGAACTCTGATCTATGCGATGATCTATATTCTCGATTCGGCCACGAAATCCCTTGACGATATCGCGAATATGAGAGATCTTTGCCAACTCATTATCCAAATCGTCGATGGAGGCCAGAATCTCGCGGGTGCGGGCAATTTCGGCATCGGCATTGCGGATGACGTTTCCCGCACGGTCATAGGTATTTGCGATAGAGCGCTGCATTTGGTCCTCGAGCTGGTGCGAACGTTTCATGTTAATACTCGAAATCGAGGAGGGGAAGCACATTTAGATATATATATATATATATATATGCGGTCAAGAGAGCGCAGGCAAACATACATATTCGATGCGGTGGTGTATTTGCGCCTGGAGCCCATCGAGCTGGTGCGATAGTGCGCGTAGGCTCATAGGGTCCAGCAGCAGACGGCCCTGGCTGCTGGCGGCACTGGTAGCGCGAGAGCTGGAGTTGCTGGTTGTCCCTGCTCCTCTGCCCCGGGTGACCCCATTGCCGGCATGGCCGCCCTGCAGGGCAATCTGCTGCTGTTGTCGGAGGATCTGGATCTCGGAGGAGGTAAGGCCCAGCGAAGTGTCGGGAATCGAGGCTGCGGACATTTGGTCCCGGCAGAGACATGCTCCGACCGCGACAGTCTATGAAGCTCCGATCAAACTCGATGTGAGACCGAACGGACCACAGGTCATGATGGAGGATGGTAGATGCAGAGATGGAAACGGTGCGCCGAGGATATGCGACTAATGATTGAAGAGGGGGGAGCTTCGTTTTTCCCTCATTGAAGAGAAATTACGAAAAAAGGGAAAAGAGGCGGAGACAGTTGGTGAGCCGCTGAGAATCCGGCGGTAACTAAACAGCGCGCGGCTCCAGGGAAATGCAGTTAAACTCCTAGTGGGATTTCTTTAATTTATATCCTCTCTGTCAAGTTTCCTAGAGCACAGGCTCAGGCGGAAATATGATACCTCGGACCTCCATAAAGAGGGGGCTTTTAAGATAGGGTATTTGAAAGAGAAAAAAAAGCAATATTAATTACCTTGTTTATATATAATTTTTCAGGGGATTTCCTAGAGGATTTATAAGGGAGTTTTGTTAACTTATTTGATATGATTTATATTGTGCGGGTCAGGCTAAATATGCTGGGCTCTGCACCTCTCTCGATGGAGGAGTTTGAAGGAAAAGAGGCTCTGCATATTCAAAGCAGGATATGCATTGCGATCATTCAAATTGACATTAAGATATTTACTAATATAAATATATGTGCATAGATATATATGTAGTGTTATATATGTAAACATGTACATATGCCCAGGTGTATGTTGTAAGGAGTGAAGTCGATCTATAGATGTCGAACCATGGGTAGCTAGCTCTCTCTCCACTCCGCTCTAACTTTCCTAAATTTCAACTTCAACCTCATCTCTCTCCATACATATATCTACCTAACCTTTGCAATACCCAATTTTCTTCGCCTAAGTTGAGGCTGAATCACTTTCAAGACTTTCAATCACACCCAATCACCCTACCAAATTCGTGCAATCTCGACCTGACGGCCCGACCTTGACGCGATTGAGGAACGCATTGATCACCTGTCAATCTCGCGAACCAGTCGGAGCCATCCCCATTGCCTCTCCAAATCTGCACCTTGCTTTGATTTCAATCTTGTCCCTCACGTGCGACACCCACAGAGCCCAGACCTTTGTACAGATACCCAACCTGCAACCCGAACAGTTGATTCGACAAAAGTTCGAGGCGCTCCAGGCTTCCGCAGCTTAGCTTCCATACCACCAACTCCGGGCCGCACGCACACCAACCAACCATCACACCGCCACAATGGCCAAGGACAAAGAGCGCTCGGTCAACCCTGCCGCCGCACAGCGGAAGCTAGATAAACAGAAAGAGCTGAAGAAAGGCAAGGCCGAAGCGCTAGCCCGCAGAAACGAAAAACTCGCCCGTCGCAACCCCGACCGAATTCAGCGACAGATCAACGACCTCAAAGCAGTAGAAGAATCGGGACAAAAGCTTCGGCCCCGCGACAAGGAGATCCTTGAAGCGCTCGAGAAGGATCTTCGTGGCGTTCTGAAGGCGCGTGAAGCCCTTGGCGAGAAAGCACCCCGGTTCGACCAGGGCCGGGGCGGCCACCAAGGTCAGGGCGGCAGAAGGGCCGATAACGTATTGGGGAAGCGACAACGGGGCTCGGACGAAACGCGGATGCCTCGCGATAGTGACAGCAGTGACACAGACGACGAGGTGCGGCGCATACCCATGCCGCGGGATACGCCACCGCCCATCCCGCGCCAGAACCAGCGCCGACGGGGACAGGCGCCGAATAGCGCGCAGCGCAGTGGACCCCATCCATTGCCGGCGCGGCCGACACCTGTGGTGGAGGCTAGAACTGTCTATGAGGCTAAGCCGGAAATTCGAGATCTACGGCAGGAGGCTACGAGTAAGTTTATCCCGGCTGCCGTCAGGATGAAGCAGCAGTCCATTAGGGGGCAAGGGAAACTTTTGGAGCCAGAGGAGATGGATAGACTTGAAAAGGCTGGGTATAATGCTGGGCCGGAGGCACAGACTGGTGAGCACTCATTAGAGGAGGAGGAAGCGCGGTTCAACAAGGAGCTTCGGTCTGTTCAAATGGAAGAGGTCGAGGACGAACAGGCATGGGCTTAGTGCCTGGCTTTCTAAATAAATAAAACGTCCCATGAATGACGATGATGTCTGTCTGCTTTACGAGCCTTTAAGTACATATGTAGATATAACTAAAAGCCAAGCACAAAAAACATACGGAGGCTACAGTCAGTGGATTTCAATCTCACAAACCCGGAGCTTTGAAACCATGAGGGACAATTTGACGCTCTTCAAGAACTTAGAAAAACTAAAACTTGAACGAATCCTGTGAATAGGTATGTACAACCAACAACACTTGCAGCGCCATAACCCCTCAGCCATAGTCTGAAAACACCAAGAAAAGATGGCAACAAAGTCAAGCCGAGGAGACATTAACCAAACGAGGGCAGGCGAAGGGCCCAAAATCAGAGGCCCAGCAGAGATAATCCGACATAGCAGAGAAGCAACGCATTTGCGCAGGAAAGGGATACGATGGACAAGGAATTAACGGTCCTCAGAAACGAAGGAGAGCACGAAATCAAGAGTAAGTGCATGGCTAATGCAAATAAATGTACAAAGAATCCAATCGTCTCCTTCATGGAAGGAAAGGGCGTAACGGCATGAGAACAAAAGAGAAGTAGTAAAGTGTCAAGTCGGGTCGGCAAGTGGGTAGCCAACGAAGGCAAAGCCAATGAGCAAGTGTATCAAACTCCGAGTCTTGCGTGGTGACAAGGATGCACCCAAAACGCAACATTAGAAGCCAACTCCGCGACGTAGGGGGAAGGTATGCGCAAGAAGCGAAAAAAAGAGACCTAGAAAACGAGAGACGAGAGGGAATTTGGGGGTTTTCGCAAAAACCAAGACAACCAAATCGAAAAGAAAACAAAAACAGCAGTATCCTCCATCCAAACTCCATCTCTCCAGAGATCCAGAACACCAAGATCAAACATGAAAAGAACACCGAAAGCCGGGTAAATGCAAATATAATGGAAAGATTAACGCAGATTGCGAATAACCTTCTTGCCGCGAGCAAGGAAAGGACTGGGCATTTCGTCCAGTTCCGGATTCCAGATAGCAGGGGGATCACGCTCAGAGCACTTCATGCTCATGGTAGGGCCAGTAGCGCGGGAATCACTAGCACAGCGCTTGACTTCGTCCATTGGACGACCGCCAGCTCTCGCCTGAGCGAGTTCAACGAGAGTACGTCCACCCATGTTACGCTGCATGACAGCCTTGAACATCTCTTCGCCGCCGCCGCCAACCTTAGGAGGAGGCTGCTGTTGCTTGGAAGTACCCTTGCGGGTTGGTGAGCCACCGGCATCGGCAGCGAGGTTTGCAGATGAGGGGATTTTAGTAAGACGGCGGTGAGGAGACTTCGCTCTGCTGTCGGTCAGACTGCTCTCGTCCGCCTGGGAGGCAGATGGGTTGGTTGACTGGGGCAGGCGAGTTCCAGCCGAGCCTGAAGGAAACAGTGAAGGTTGGGTGCTGAGCTTCTGCATGAATGCGGCGGTATTTTGGCGCAGCAGGGGTCGGCGGGGCGCCTTTAATGGATCAGGTTTCACCTTGGGGCGAGTTGGTGAAGGCAAGTCCGGGGTATCGTCTTCATCGTCCGAGTAGGCAAGGGTAGGCTCCCACTTGGCTTTGTTTCGCTCAGCCTCTGCGAAGATGTTGCGGGCACCTCCTTGGCCGGAAGTACGGCGTGGGGACAATGAAAGTGAAGCAATAGAGATTGGGGAGGGCTCCGCCATTTGAACATCCACAGGTGAGTCCACGACGGTCTTTGAACGGCAGAATGGAGTCCGAGTCTCCTTCTTAGGTTGTTTCCGCTTATTGGAAGGAGGAGATCCAAGTGAAAGCTGGCTGACATCTGCAGTTGAAGACGGAGTGGTGTCGGTGTCATCGGTCATGTTGGCCGAGGATCGAGATGATCGCCATCCTTGGTTGCTCGAACGAGATGTTCCGGAATTTTGGGTGCTGGTACGGAATACATCGTCTCGCGAGTTATTTGCGCTTGAGGAGTGCTTGTATTTCTTGACCTCGATGGCAACTCGGTCTTGAACTTCAGACTCGAATCTCTTGCGGAGCCGGTCGAGCTCGCTCTGCACCTGGCGGTCGATCTCCAAGCGCGCTTTGACTTCCCACTCCCTACGGACGGTGTTTTCAATCTCCGCTTTCATCTGCGTTTTTTCGGACTCTCTCTGGGCTAGACATTGTTCCATTTCTCGAACTTTCTGAACCGCGACCTCCTCACGTCGGCGCAAAGTCTTACCGAGGTCGACGACTTCCTTCTCCTTGCGCATCAAGCGGATGATAGGGAGGTTAATCAAATTGGCGGTGTCAGGACGATGGTCAGGATTGACTCGTAAACAGCTTCCAATAACATTCTTGAGCTCAGGCGAGTAATAATCAGGCAAGGGGGCGAACTTGCCCTCGCGGATTTTCTGGACTAGTTGGATGTGGGTACGGGCGTTGAAAGGGGGCTCTTTTTGGCAGAGCTCATACATGATACACCCGACCGCCCAAATATCGGAGCGTAGGGTGTATTTCTCAGCGGCACAGATCTCTGGCGACATGTAGAACGGTGTTCCAACGTAAGTGGATGCGAAATCGTGTGATTGCATCTGTTTGGAGAGGCCGAAATCTCCAAGCTTGACGGTGTTGTCGCTGCCCAGAAAGATGTTTTCGGGCTTCAAGTCGCGGTGCAGAATTGTGACTTGTCCCTGCTTGCCCTTGAGACCGGAGGGCTTCGGAGCCGGGCCCAAAATGTTTGATCCGACCTCAGCGGGATCAGAGCCATAGTGACACCGGAACAAAGCAGTTATGAGCTGAGACAAAATGCGCCAAACAAACTCCTCTTCGGCATATTTGTTTGCCTTCTTTAAGTTCTTGATAACCATACCCAAATCTCCACCGCCACAGTACTCCATGTAGAGATACAGATCCTGGCTCGCCTTAAGGTGTTCCCGATGGTAATATGCGACAATGTTGGGATGGCGAAGGGAACTTAGGATGTTGAATTCGGCCGTGAGCTGCTCGCGCTCCTTTTGGGACATTTTAATGTAGTTGATCTCTTTGCGGCATAGGATCTTCAAAGATTGAGGGTTAGTTAAAGGGTACGTGACGCCAATGAATCACACTTACGAATCCATCAGTCTTGCGCTTGACTTTGCGAATGATTCCGAAGGAACCGCAACCTAAACAAATATGTGTAATTAGTTTCAAACGAAAAAAATGATAATTCAACACTAACGAGGGTGGACTTACCAATCTTGTCCAAGATCTCATACTTGTCGGCTTCAGCCAAAGCAATCGCCATGGCTATAGATTGTAAAGTGCAAGACGACAGAGAGCAACAGAATAGAAGAGTCAATGATGCATGAACGGAATGAAAGAACGAAAAAAAGACAAAATCCTGTGTTAGTAACGAAAAAGCTGAAGAATTGAGGAATTGAAGATTGAAAGGAATACTAAGGCAATATGAATTGAATTGAAGATGGGTGTTTGGGCCGTTGCTATGCAACCGCGATAATGGCGCTTTACTGGGCGGGGAAGGCGGTGGGGTCGATCAAACGGTAAGACGGCAGAATCCGAGTGACGTTTGCTTGATTGCTGTTATAAATTTTGATCTTGGTCGAAATTTATGATAATTACACCTTTGAACTGAGTTAGATGATAATTCTAAGTAATTTGTAGTTAATTTTATTGTAATGTACTATATCTACTCCATAGTCATGAGAGCGGTCGTCTATACTTCTCGACATCTGGACACGTGATCCTTATCGATAAGCAGATTTCCGTCCCCGCCGTTTGTTCTCATATCCCACTTCCAGCTGGAACCGACAACCTGCGTTATGGCGGATGAACCGACGATTTTGCGCAAGGATCAGCTGGAAATCAGCTTAATCAACGAGAAAAAGTTGATTAAGGAGGGTACTATCAAGGATGACAACCCATTGGATCTTAGTGAGCCTTTTCAGGAACTATGCAATGCATGTCGTCAGGGTGATCTGGTAGTCTGTCAGGAAAAAATCACTGAAGGCGTTAATGTCAATGCTCGTGATCCTTATGATTACACTCCATTGATTCTTGTAAGTACATTATAAGCTCTAAGGAGCGGTTAGGTGTCAAGCCCTTACACAACATATAATAACCACCTGAAAGGCGAGTCTGTGCGGTCACTATGAAACCGCGCAATTGCTTCTCGAGTCTGGTGCGCTCTGTGAACGAGACACTTTCCAAGGTGAAAGGTATCTTGCGTTCCCTCTTCTATAGAACGAGTAGGGTTAACAATGGGCTTTCCTTAGATGTCTCTATAATGCCCTGAATGATCGGATACGAAACCTCCTCCTCGAATATGACTATTCAAAGTCCACAGACCCCTTGCAACCATTGGCTGCACATATAACTTCCCTTCTAACCCGGGAATCACCAGTAACAGCCGATATCGTTGTGACTGCATCCGAGGAATCGCTCCACCTCCACAAATTCATCCTGGCGGCCCGCTCCCCATACTTCAAAGCCAAGCTAGCAGCGGCACCAGAATCTGCAACATGGAAGCTCCCCAGCACCACTCCACCAGAAGCATTTGGTGCGGCAGTCAAATATCTATACCTTGGAGAAGCTCCGCGGGACTTAAGGAGCGGACCAGGGACAGGGTTTACCGAATCTGAGACCTTCGCAGGAGTTGATAAAATCTCCAAGCACCTGGAAATTCCCAGTCTTTTAGACAGTATCCTTGACAGCGGAGATAGGAGACGGGCCCGACAAAGAAGAAATGACGAAATCTCCAAGGGTCGGGATCAGATGGAAACATGGTTCCAGGAGAACGTTATTGGAAATAAGATAGTGGTGGAAACCTTGAAGGTGAACGATATTAAATGGAGTCGAACGAATCCGATATTCGCCGACGTTGTTCTAAGGGCCGATGAACTCCCCGAGGAAGAGGAGAACATTGCCAGCAATGGTGCATCCGCCGAAGGGCCGAAATCAACCCTCTTCCCCTGCCACAGAGCAATGCTTTTGCGCTCTGAGTTCTTCCAGACTATGTTCTCCTCTACTTTCCGTGAAGCCTACGTCAAAGACCAGCTGACGACCATCGATGTCGACTGCTCGCCCGAGGTTTTGGAGATCATTCTTACATTCTTGTACACTGAAAGGGCCGATTTCCCACTGGAAATCGCCGTCGACGTTCTATTTGCGGCAGATATGCTCTTCATCGAGAAACTGAAGACAAAAGCAGCTGTGGTGATCAGTACTCTCGGCAGCGGTGGAATGTCCCAAGCAGAGGCAGCGAGAACTCGTGGTACAACAGATGAAGAGGACATTGATATTTACTCGATCGTCCGAGCTGCATGGTTAACACGCGTGCAGCGACTAGAAGAATTTGCCGCTCGATATCTAGCATATCGCCTGGAAGCTCACATCGACACACCGGAATTCGCAGAGTTGATTCAGGAATCGGCATCTCGCATCAAGGCGAGACAGGAGACCGATTCCATTGAAATGCTGGATGATATTCGCTTCTATCTTGGAGAGCGCTTTAGATTGAGGTTTGACGAAGCAGGCCTCGATGAGATGATGGAAGAAACTGTGCAACCGGAAGACGTCGATTCAGATCTTGATCCAGATGGACAACCGGGAGATGTTGCACAACTAACAGAGGACGTTGAGGCTCTCAAACTTTCCAAAGAGACTGCAGCTCCTCAATCCCAGCAGCCGCAAAGGAATGTTCCAGAAATTCGAGCTCTGGATGGCGCACTTGTCGTCGATGAATTCTCAGAAGATGCGATGAACTATGAGATTCTTCTTGAGAAGCTGGATGATTTGTTGGAGAGGCTCAACCTCGAGGCTTAAACATTCTGGATTTGTCAATCAGCATCTTTTTGCGACGAGAAGGCACTTTTATGGTTATATCTGCATGAAAATGGGATAAGAACATATCCACTGGACATACACATATTTTAAATATACATTTTTGATAGAAAGACAACAATATACAGATTGTTAGATGATGTACATGTTTGGGCCGATTGTCTAATCGGAATAACCTATCAAATACCAATAGACTTGTTCATGGGTCACCATAAGCTCAAAGTCCTGGGGCCTCGGAGTCGGCGGTTGTTAGGTGCGACTGATGGGTAACGTGTGTCGATTTCAAGTGCAGCTGGCTATGTGTAAAGTCCGTCGCTTGGAGAGCTTTGGAAGAAATAGGTTTCAGGTGGTAGTGAAAGCCAAAGGAGTATTTGAGATGTTATCCTTTGGGGGAGGACTAAACCGGCAACTTCCGTTGCGCTTGGGTTTTTCCTGCTGATTTGCGATAAACGGTAATCGTGATGGCGCTGCGCCATTTGACAGTGATGCCAGAAAATTCTGCTTCATCGACCGCCTGGATGTTCTTTGTCTTCGCCATTGAGGCCTTTCTGTTGCTTTTCTAACACCCTTGTATCCAGGTCTTTTATCTGGTTCTCGAGTATGCCTCTCCGCGCAACTAAGTTTGAGCGCATTCCTTGAAGAGCTTTGAGCTGTTCATCGAGGGTCGACTGCTGACGTTGCTGTTTCGTCTAAGTGAAAAAACCCCGGTTAGACATAAATCGAGATCAAATACCAATGCCATTGCATAGCTTCGGTCCGGATAGACTGGCTCATACCTCGGCAATTTCTTGATTGGTCTTCAACCCAGCACCATAGAGAGTGCCTGTAATAGTAATAGAGACCACAGCAGTGGTCAGTATCACTCTTTTTACATTCGGTGGCATAGTGTGAGTGTTATACAAGACAAAGCTATCTATCTGGTCGCAATCAATTTGCTATGTGTAATCTCTCACCGCCTACCCAAACCAGACTTAGTATTGATGGCGCGCACGCGTTTCGTTCGCGTTTGATCTGAACAAAGAACATTTTGACAAAGCGAATTTCTCTGACAGCCCATGAAGTTCCCTTAACAACTATTCGAGGGTCCATCATGGCATCACCCATTTTATCCCGTCGCCGACCGCGCAGCGAAGATGACGATGATACTGAGTCCACTCTTCTCTCTCAAGCATCAAGTCCCAAACGCCCCCGCCTAGACCCCGCCGATAGCGAAGCTGAGGTGACTGGAGAAGAAGATGACGAAGATGAAAGCGGGGACGATCAAATTGATGAGAGTGAAGACGAAGAAAAAAACTATGAAGCCCAAAGCGACGCCGAAAGCACCGGATCTGGTGCTTCAGATGTGATTGCCAACCCTCCGCAGGTTACACTCCACGCTGGCCTTGGCCCCGGTGGCTATAAGCCGGGCGCGATCGTACGCATCAAGGTGAAGAATTTCGTCACCTACACGTCAGCGGAGTTCTTCCCTGGCCCAAAGCTGAACATGGTCATTGGCCCTAATGGAACAGGAAAAAGCACACTGGTTTGTGCTATATGTCTGGGCCTTGGATGGGGACCACAGGTAAGAACAATAACTTTGATACTGTGCAGTTTTGCATTTGCACGGTCCACTGACGAATTTATTGTATAGCACTTGGGACGCGCCAAAGACCTGGGCGAGTTTGTTAAACATGGCAGCAAAGAGGCCATCATTGAGATCGAACTCTGTGGGCCACCGAAGTGTCGCCGCAATCCTGTCATTCAACGAACGATCAAACGAGATGGAAACAAGAGCTCTTTCTTACTCGATGGCCAGCCCGCTTCCATGAAAGAGGTTTTGAAACTAGCTCAATCTTTTGCCATCCAAGTCGACAATTTGTGCCAGTTTCTACCTCAAGACAAAGTGGCCGAGTTTGCTGCACTATCCCCAGTTGAGCTTCTCCATTCCACGCAGAGAGCAGCCGCTGGCCCGGAAATGCTGGACTGGCACAAAGCGTTGAAAGACTTAAGGAGCCAGCAGAAGAAACTTGAGGTTGACAACAGTGGCGACAAAGACACTTTAACAAATCTTGAAAATCGCCAAGAAATGCAAAGAGCGGATGTCGAAAAAATGCGCGAACGAGCTGAAATCAAGCGAAAAATCGAGCTTCTCGAGCTTTGTCGACCGATAGTGGAGTACAGGGAACACTACGAGGCCGTGAAGGCTATGAGGGAGACCAAAGTTGAACTCAACAAGGAATACGAACAGATTAAAGCAGATAACGCCCCTATCCTCCGTGCGGCAGAGGCCAAAGAAGATTATATCGCGCAGTTGAACGGTGTCAAGGATGACCGGAAGGATGCTCTTGATCACGCGTCTGCTGTCACAACCGAATGCGGGAAAAAGATCGATGATTTTGATGTCAAAATCAAAGATCTAGACGGCCGAATCGAGGCTGAGCGGAAGAGTAGTCAAAGTCAAAAGGCTGAAGCAACCAAGGCCCAGCAAACCATCAATAAACTTGAGCGCCAATTGCAGGAAGATGTGAGGTTTGATCCGGAATCCTTCAACGAGGCTCTGGTAAGAAACACTTGAATATTCCGTGTTAAAACAAACTTGCTCACAATCACATCAGAGAGAAAAACGGCTGCAGAAGCGCGAGCTTGAAACCAAAGCCGGAGAGATCAAAGAGAGACGTGATCCCATGGTTGCCGAGGGCCGAAGATTGATGACGAGCGTTCAAGAGGCCGAACTTCGGCTGAAAAACTTGGACTCAGCGGCCGGTCAGCAGGAAAACAAGCTCGAGAGGGCATCTCCAGATTCGTTCAAAGCATACAAGTGGATCCTTGAAAACCAAGACAAGTTTGAAAAAGAAGTGTATGGTCCCCCGATTGTGACGTGCTCAGTTACGGACTCCAAGTTTGCCGATGCCGTCGAATCTATATTCCAGAAGACCGACTTTGTCTCCTTTACCACCCAGACACCGGGGGATTTCCGGACCTTGCAGAGGCAGCTTAACGGAGAGATGAGGCTCCACGACATCACCATCAAGACCTGCTCGATACCCCTGGATAGATTCACGGCCCCCATGCCGAACGACCAGCTTCGGCGATTAGGGGGATTTGATGGTTGGGCCAAGGACTTCCTTGCCGGGCCTGACCCCGTTATCGCCATGTTATGCAGCGAGAAAAATCTTCATGCTCTTCCCATTGGGCTCCGTGATAATACCGATGAGGAGTTCAATCGTCTAGAAAATGGAACTTTGAGCTCTTGGGTTTCTGGAAAAAACTCTTTTCAAGTCGCTCGGCGTAGGGAGTATGGACCCGATGCGAAATCAACTCGGGTTCGACATGTCGAACAAGCGAAAGTGTGGACCTCACAACCCGTGGACCAGACTCTGAAACATCAGCTTGAAGAGCAAATTTCTGGCATGAAGGCACAATTTGAAGACCTGAAACAGCAAGTCAAATCCGAAGAGAGCCGTGGGTTGAGGATAAAGGAGGATATAGATCAGATACTTCGAGATACGGTAATCCTGCGGATTTCCCCGAATTTGCATCTTTTTGCTAACTTATTCTACAGAAAGAAATTGAGCAGGAGAAGGAGGTAAAACAGACCGCATATACTCAGTATCGCGCAATCCCAGAAAGAATCTGTATGGTGCCCTTCTTGATTTCATTCTACCGCCTAGCCATGTCTAACAATCTATAGCCCAACAAAAAGCCAAGCTTGATAACATTACATCCATGTTTGATGGTTTGCGAGAGAGAGTCCGTGAATACCGCAATGAGCAAGATGAGATTGCGATCCAAAAAGCCGAGGCCGTTATCCAATACGCCGTAAGTACCCTACAGGCACGATTGTCTTTTTTTTAATCTGACACCAAATAGGAGGCTATCAAACTGTACCGCCAAGCGCACGAGGAGCTTGTCGAAATTGAGATTCAATTTTTGGAGGCCACTTCAGACCTCCAAACTCTACGCGCTCGCAATGTCGATAGTACGAGATTAATGGAGGAGAAGAGGATAGAGCTGCAGGACATCAATCGCAAGCTCAAAGAAACAACCGCCAAAGCCAAGGTGGCGTCGCAAAAGGCTACACAAGCCAGGAGACTGGTGGGCGAGCATCCCGACGGGGAAGAGTTCGTCAATGCACTTGTAGAACATGATATCGACCGACTGGAAGCCGAGATTAGTTCCGAACAGGCCCGCCTCGAGCTCACTCATGGTGGCAGTAGCCACTTGATCAAGGAGTTCGAAGACCGCGAAAGAACGATTGAGAAGCTGCGCTCTAAGCTTACCGACTTCGAGGCTCAGGTCACGGAACTGAACACCGCAATCGAGGACATACGCAAGGATTGGGAGCCTCGTTTGGAGGCCCTGATCGAAAAGATCAGTGATGCTTTCTCGGATTCCTTCCGACGCATCGGGTGTGCTGGGCAAGTCACCTTGGGTAAAGCAGAAGACATTGGGCCCAATGAATTTGCAGATTGGTCGATCGTGATTCATGTTGCCTTCCGCCAGAACATACCACTGTCTGTGTTGAACGCGCATCGCCAGTCCGGCGGAGAGCGAGCCGTGAGCACCATCTTCTATCTGATGGCACTCCAATCGCTGTCCGCCTCACCCTTCCGCGTGGTTGACGAGATCAACCAGGGAATGGACCCACGTAACGAGCGCATGGTCCACGGACGTCTCGTGGACATTGCCTGTGCCTCGAGCGAGCCGGATGAAATCGGCGGCGGCGGGGGTGGTCAGTACTTCCTCATTACACCTAAGCTGCTGAACGGACTGGTTTACAAGCCGGGTATGCGTGTGCTGTGTATTTACAGTGGCGAGCACATGCCTGAAGATTATGGCAAGATTGACTTCAAAAAAGCGATTCGGAACATGGCCACGGTTGCAGCCGGCAGGAGGAACGGTCAAACCCAAGCCATTCAACGCAGTGGTCGAGTGGATGTTTACGCTTAACGAAGTCCTCGGTGTCTGGTGTCTGGTCTCTTTTCTCTTTGTTTACTCCCCATCATATACGCGATACCCAATTTTTCGGCCGCCGCTCGGCCGGTAACTGTTTGTATGACTTTTCTCCATAGCAATATTTCTGATTCCAAAAATTTTCTACGATTTAAGGCTCGCATATTGCTTCCGATTCCGATTTCTAGATCCCAGAAACAGTATAGAAGATCATACTCCGAGAATAGAAAACATATTGTAGATCATTCTCAAGAACAAGAAAAACTTGGTTCGCGAAGATCCCGTACCCCCAAGTAGTCACGACCTGCCCAACTGGGAGAAGACGTGGGTCCCCTCACCAACCACTGCGGCTCCCTGTTGGCCCCATATGCATGATCGGCCGCTCCGTGTCTGTGCTTCGGTACTTACAGGATTTTCATTTTAACTAGAGAAGGTCAAAGAGAGAAAGACAAAAAAAGAGTGGGCTGATCCCCCACCCACCAACTGCCCATTATTGACTAGGGAGGTACTGAGTTTATTGACTACCTAGGTAATATTCCATGGAAAGTTCTGTCAGATGGAAAAGGATTCACATCCATGCAATAGATCGGAATACTAAACAAAACGAGAAAAGAATCAACATCGGCTCACATCGCTTGCGGTAACTTGCGTTAGTTGATAATGAAAAGGGCCTCGTGCAATGAAAGAGAGAGAGCTCAGATCGACGGGCGTTTCCGTCGCAGATCATCGACATCGGAGGATTGAAGGCCAATGACTTTTCAATATTGTGCATTTCTCTCGCTAAGACCAACTCTAAATCGTCTGGCTTTTGGGTCTTTGTCTCTTTCGGGATTTGTCCGTCTCTCATGTGGCGCAATCTATCCGGTCTACTGCATACAATATGTAGTACTAAATAGGCACGTCCTTGGCTAGGGCTGATCAAATTATGCTTTGGCTTTGAGGCTATTGGCTCAATATTCTACGATACGTAGCCATGTGGTAAGGAATATGTTTGTATACATCATCTTTTTATTCTTTTCTTTCTTTTCTTTTTTTTGTTCGTTTTCCGTTTTCGGTTTGACTTTGAGCCCCCAAATAGTCCCCAACCCCCCAGCGCTAATGCTATGGTCACCGCCACACGGCCCTCATGATACCCTAAATTCGGGGAGACGACTAGGGAAGACACTAGGGTAAACGTCTCCCGACGCGTGGACCTTTTTATTTTACTATTTTCTTATTTTTCTTGAAGTGTTTTGTTTGCTTCTATAAAAGAAAATATCCGAATAAAAGGTCCGAAGGTGTGATATCCTCTGCATCTTACCTGTAGAACAGCGATACATCATGTTTCAATAAATGCACCCTAGGGCGCTTGGAGAGACAAATCCTGCACGGCCCCCCTAGTCAGATCCGAGAACGCACTGGTCACTAGTTGCTTGATCCTCATGATTAAACGGCCCCCAATAAACGTGGCGTAGGGGTCTCGGAGATATCCTCCAGGAACAAAGAAAACCAGAGTGAAACGAAATGACATACTATGTACAGTTTACGGGGTAACTACGGAGTACGTTGTAAGCGATGCGCCGTAAAAAGTTTACAGAGTTCAGATCCCAACGTCGCACGGTGGTCGCACAATCTCGGCCACAGGGGTAAAAATTCAGATCTGGCCGACCTGGTGACTTGGAAGTTTGTCAACGTATTACATTGTTGCTTTGCAGACTAATTATGCAGGACTTGTTATTGAGTCCTACCTAGGTACATGGTATAACTACTATCTATAGCAACCAGTTGGTTACAATATTGTACATATGTATCGTGTAATATAATGCAAGCCTCTCCACCCGAATTATATTACTCGATTAGGGCTCTGATGCGCCTATAGCGCGGCGCAATACACCCGATACCTACCCACGTCAATGGGACCCAACCTGGGCCCGGATCCAATAATATATGCTACATAAAATGCAGAGTTGGACACAAAAGTTCGGACGGCGCAAGGGCTAACAAGGATGTATTTTTGCCAACGCACACAGAAACCGGAATGCAACGGTAGGATGATCTACTGCTATACTACTCTACCAAACCAGAGCCGTACGGGATGATGCTTGCAAACGATGATCTCAATGAACGGCTATACCATTCCAAAACGAGTATCAAAGACGAACATCCAATCCCCGCACGATGGAAGAATCAATTGCCGACATGAAACACGAGTGTGGAATTCACCGGTCGATCGGCTGGGATCTACCGTTAGCGCACACATAAAACCACTCATATACGCCCAACGCCGACTACCGATACTACATACATGGTATTGGAGACGACGCTGTATGTAAACAGGGAATTTCCCTTGCCCATTTTTGTGGATGCTGACTTGATGATCACCGCGTGCACATCGAAATTCTATGTACGTGTATGCAAGCAATTCCGCACAGAGCTGGATGCGGGTATTATTGGCATTGAAGTCTCCAATTACACGATCGTACATGTGGCGATCAGTGCGGTGAGCATTGATCGCTTCTCGTATGCATTTGTATATGTGGGCGAGTTGTTGGAGGCCGGCGAATGTTGAAAGATGATCAGACCCTGCCCCTCTTCCCCCTCGGTGTGTGTGGTGGGGGGAGGGGGGGGGGGGGCTCTAAAGCAACCCCTATACGTGCATATAATGCACCATTCCAATGGCGGTTGATGTACGTAGAGTCTATGCACGAATAATGTGCACCTTTGTGGATCGAGAGATCACATAATCTTGAGTCAGCGAGCAGGGATTAGGACCCGGAAGAATTGTGTCTCAACGGTTGGGACAATATATTAACGATATCCGATCCGAAGCTGGATTTTATCGGATAGATAGATAAATGGGGATGTCATCAGTTAAGGGCAGAAGAGGCTGGTAGTGAGTTAGGAGCCTGATTAGGCAGGTCAGTAACCGCCGTCAGCCGTCACCGCTCCTGATTTTCTTAACATACTTTGGAAGACGCGCCAAATGATGCAACTACAAAACGTGAAATCATTGCGAATAAATTGTAATAATGTGTCCTTATTTGCACTATATGTAGCTTCTCAAGTTAATCTTAAATTATCCATTTTACTATAGAAAGACCGCGCTCTATACGAAAGGTCCTATACTAAAGGTTAGCCAATAAATTATGTGGTTTAACCATAACCTATAGTTAGTTTGTAGCCTATAGCCAACCCTATTCTATATAAAACCAGCACAGTTCCTAGCTTTGGATTTACTGTGTGTGCCTCGTTGGCAAAACAATAAGGAATATGTTTCATGGCAAACTATATAAATCAACCAAAGCCTATAGCCAAACATATTCTATAGAGAACCCACACTTCCTAAATTAGAGCTCCTATTACGATAAGTCACGAAAGAGACTTCTTTTTCATCCACAAGGCCCTAAAGTAAAGATTCATTCAGCCGCAGAATAATTACAAAAGCCCTGTGATTCCAAGCTATGTTGAAAAACTAACTCCTACAGTTGCGACATATATTCCCTACGAATCATCCTACTATAAAAAGCCCACTATTTCTTCATCATTGATTTGCCCTCTATCACTATTGAAAATATGTATCCTTAACTCTCACTCCGCCGTGGAACTAACACTTCCACAAACACTCGAAACTGACACAGAGAATGAAGTCACCGCAAGGCAATATTGGGACCAAAGTCCATGGCATGGAAACCGCTACAACGAGCATACTAGGAATTGCAAGATAACCGGAGGGAGATCTCCGAGGCACTCTTCTCACCTCTCAACCCTCTATGGACGTCGCATGGTGAGCACTCCCACCCAGACTCTAAAATAACCACTGAGAGCAAAGGGCGGAATTTGACATGGTAGGTGGTAAAGCAGACGTTCAAGCAATGGGAGAACAACCGGACAAGGCGGAGAAAGGTATGCGGCGCACTAATGAGGGTGGCTTATACATACATGGACCTTTCACATGGAAAATTCTCGATAGATGGCCTTCTTGTGATGTCGTGTCTCGGGCGGATGATAAGAAGTCAGCTGGGATTATCTGAGAAGAAGGCTGACGATTGGCATGGGCTCGTTGGAGGAAAAAAAGGGTTTGTGGTGGGACGAAAATGACAAATATGTGGCGGCATGCATGGAACTGAATGTATTTTGAAAGCTAAAGGGCGGAAAATTGTGGATGTGAATAATAGCATCATGGAATTGCCGTCGTGGGGCTTTATGGACAATTAAAATGAAATGGTAGTTCCTTACGGGGAAGAATTTGATGGGAAAGAGCTGAATGCGATGAGTGTGGAGAGCCAATCATCCGGATGGTGGGGTGCAACGAACAGATTGGATTACCATGATTGGTGACGTCGAGTTACAGTTGCTGCTGGGTTATTATACAACCATCTCTGTAACTATGGGCCGGCGAATGTTGAAAGATGATCAGTCCCTGCCCCTCTTCAGATACTAGAAACGCGCTATATGATGTAAGTATAAGACACTATAGAGCTCTTACTAAGTGTGCATCGTTGGCAAAACGATAAGTCATAAAAGGAATCTCTTTTCCATACACGAATAAGGCCTTGTCAACCAAGTTTCATTTAGCCGCAGAATGTTTATAAAACCATTGTGATTCCAAGCTATATCATAGCTCTCACTCCTAAAGTTACTACAGATCTCTTACGCATCTTCCCATTCTAACAAGAGCCCAATATCTCGAAAATCATTGCTCTGTCCTTTATCACCATCCTGAATATTTATTCTTAGCCCTAAATTACCCTTGGAAGTTGTACATTGCCGGCTTCCACAAAAACTCAAAATGAACACGGAGAGCAAAGCCGATAGAGAGAAAGCATGGCAAGCAAAGATTTGGCGTACACGCTGTTATTGCGAGCGAATCAGGAACTAGAACATGACCACGCAGAGCAGATAGAGGTATGCGTAGCACTCTTGACGGTGGCTGCAACATACATGAGACTCACAAACACAGAAACGCTAAACTAGGCGACGCACGACGAGATAAATGACGAGAGAAACAGTCTTGTAGCGTTATCGTGTCTCGGGTGAGTGATACTGAGTCAGCTGGGAGTGACTGAGAATTCTGACGTTTAGCGTGCTAATTTTTCCAAAGAAGGATGCTTTGAACAAGAATGGCAACCCTGTGGAGCCATGGATGCAAGTGAACGTATTCTTAGAAAGGAAGAGGCGCAAAATTGTCGACGCAGATCATGGCATCGAGGAAATGCCGCGGTCGATTGTGATTTTGGATAAGGTAGAGGACATCATAAAACCTTACGGGGAACAGTATAATGACATCGAGCTGGATTTGTCAATGCCGGTCGCAGAATGGAATGAACTAATCTAATTGTAATTGGTGATATTGAGTTACAGTTGCTGCTTAGTTATTATACAGTCATATTTGCCTATTACTTCTTCAACTATGCTTTGTTTGGTAATATATATAGCGTCATAACTCAGTTTTAACAGATTCAGATAGTTCTTCGATCACACTAAATTAAATCCTGAATCCTAATCTGTATGGAATTTGTTATTTGACACCTTACGCCTAAGGTGAGGGAGCGCCTAATTGACAAGCACATGGATAGGAGGGAGCGATCGTCGTTTTTTGTTTTGGCGGTTGCTACTTGAATAGCTTCAAAAGAAACAGTTCAGGGGTCACTGTAGAGTCTCTTCATGTCTTTCATACGATTTCAGTTAAGAAGGTGATATACTAGTAAGAAATAAATAATATTTTCAGTGGATTGCGAAGGGATGCACATTAATCAAAGCAATCAAACACCAAACTTTAATATATCCCTTCTTCCGGAGGGTAAAAACTTGGAAGTTCGATGCTATATATTGTCAGCATTAGTAAATTGACTATTAAGGGACTATCAAACCACCTCGAAGACTATGCCCGGGAGTATATCTGAATTTGGGTACATGAGCTTCATACCTCCGAGGCGCGGATAGTTTCATGGGTCTGCGGCAGGAATGTTTCTCGGATGTTTCACAGCTCAAGTGGAGTGAATGGAGCGCCGATCATATATACCAGATACGACAGTTACAGGAGGTCAAGGTCTAGAATGTCGATCTAGCGATTTGAAGAGATTGGAAAATAAGGGGGGTAATAGCAAACAAGAACAACAAGATCTATGACAAGATGACGATAGCTTCGAAAACACCTCCCTAAAATAGGCATCGAAGACAAGACATGGGGCAGACTCCATGTTCTCCAAGGCAAAAGAAATATAGAACCCAAGGGCCAGTTCGCCCGGAAGAAATTGTACATGTGGTTAGCGCAAATGCCATGCGCCAGCCCCACGGCCGATCACACACGGGGTTTATACTTAAAGAGGAAATAGCGTAGTCGGTAGGATCCCGGCAAGCATTCTCATTTGTGATCGGCTCGCCCTCGACGAACAGGTCGTTGTTTCACGGACTTAAGACATGCCGAGTCCCAACCGCCTCTCGCCTAGGCATGGCTTTGGTACCATCAACGGGTGCCAATTAAAACCAGCCTAGTACTATTACTCGGTAGCAACAAATAGCCCTGAATTATTAATGAGTCCTTCGGTCCGGGCTCCGTGGACGTGATTTACCCCCTTCCTGCTGTTAGATCTGCCGCTTTGTTGTCAGACTGTAGCGATCGCCGTCGATCACTCGTTTGGAAGGCTGGTTGTAGCAGGTGATTAAGGGTCTTATTTTTGCTTTTGATACTTTTATAGAATTACTTTTTCTTTGCTCCTGATTTTCAGTCTCGGGTTCGGGTACAGCGTATACGAAACATACGATCAGGGTCTATTGGAACCATCATCGATATACGGTGTACCAGTTGCCTTTTTCTCCCTACCATTTTAAGGGGGCGAATAAAATCAAAGACATGATGTAGCAACAAATTCATGTACAACGTGTATGTACGTTGTAGTAGATCCTGAAGGAACAGTTACATGCAGTATATCACTAAAATAAAAATAGACATTAAAATCAATAATCAACATTGCAGGCAATCATTCAATCTAATCTAGATACCGACCAATATGCCGATAAAATGCATTAATATTAAGTATGACATGGGTACGGAGTACATGGGGCCAAAATAATAAGAAGTCAACGCGTAGATAGTATCTATATTACGTGGAGGGCTGCATCGGAGGCATTCCCAAACTGGACATCGCTTAGCGATGGCGGGCGATCATGGGCTGAGTCAGTGGGTGGGAGCTATGGCCAGCGGTTATCCCCTGAAGTTGGATCTTCGTTGATCCACCGATCTATTTCAAAAAGGAAGGAGGTTAGATATCAGGTCCTAAATTAGAGATTTAAGATCTAAGTTAATGTTGAGAAGCAGAATATGGATGTTTCCAGGAATATCATTATTAGCCTTCGTATTTGAATGTGTTACTTCAATCTTAAATCAGAAACCTAAAATGAGGGAAAAATTAAAAAGAAAAAGCAAACATACTACTGCAGCGGGAAGATCATCATGCGGATATCCCATCGGTCGCAGACAGGTGCATCGGGCTTGATGCCAGATTAGGGCTTGATGCCACGTGAAATCAGGAGTCGAAAAAGACCATACAACATATCATACTGCAGGATGCATATTGCATATTGCATATGCATGCACTTTTCGGCGTCCAATAGAAGCACCTTCCCAAGTAGGACAAGCGTAAGATCGGATCTACCAATCCCGATCGGCGTAAACAAGGTTGGACTTAGAATTTCCGGCTCTACGGTGATTTACCCAAGAGATTTACGGGGGCTCTTTCCCGAAGTTTCGATGTGAATATGTAAATTACAGTGTTTTGACCCAAAACAGTATAACTTTGAGAAGCCGGTCTTTCGTCATGAGTGTAGACCAAAACCTTTTTAGATTTAGATTTTAATTTTTAATTTTTAATTTTAATTATAGTTTTCATGAAACAAATATGAATGTGATATACCACATACAAAAGTCGCATGGCTCATGCAGGTGCCATGTGTTCGCTAAAAGGCAACCAGTCAAGGCACATCGTATAGAGCGTATAGTCCACAATCCGTGCATGTCTCTATCACATCTTAGACTCTGCACTGCACTGAGGAGATCAAGGTTCCTCGTGTGGCTGGAAATCCGTATAAGCCCCACTGATTTGCGACCATTACTTTGACCGGGGCAAGGTTGTGGCCCATGGGAAAAAAGGGGTGAAGTCGCGTGGCATGGGCCCAGTGCCCCGGGAAATACTAGAAGCGATCAGCGATCACGGCTGAGTCCGTTGCTTACCCGGATCTATAGCCAAAATAGGATAGCTCGATCACTCTTGGATGGAAATACCTCGGTTCAGTTGGAATTGAACTATTGATTGTTGACTAGGAATGGAGAGTGCGTACGTGGCAGGTGTATGAAGAGGCTCCGTAGTTCATAGGAGACAGTAAAATTTGATATCTCATTCCCGGGGAGACATTAACATTCGAATTAACATTTCCAGCAAACGTAAAAAAATCCGCAAACGTAAAAAAAGGCTGCGGATCACGTATTTCCCGGTTTCATCGGAGAAAAGAAAAACACAAAATCTGAGTTCAAAGCGGGAAAGGCCTCTGAGATGGGAATCTCTACTCGAGGTAAGATTTTCTCCCCCAAACTCTCCAGCCAGGATTCGTGTCTCACAGCGATGACCATCCTATTTACCAGCTCAACCAAAGTTGAATCTAGAGTGGAATAACCATTTACCCTGAGCAGAACCAAGGGACGCCCAATCACTGCCCACGGAATACTAAGACCGTGAGCCAGGCTCCGTTGAGGATAGACGATCCGTACCAAGTGCCGACACCAATGAAGGGGCTGATCATCCATGATCCGCGCGGGCGATCCTCACGCTCGAGCCATTCTAGATTACTAGTATTATATGCCTCAATACGATATAGAGAGAGGATGTGGGAATACGTCACGAAAATGAGGCGCATCAATGTTTTTCATAGTATGTTAGATATCAGGCTAAGAGTTAATATATATTGTAGATAGTATATATGATATAGACCGTCCAAATTCGCTATAATTCCCGACTGTCACCGGCGATCCCAGCTAAAAGGGTTAAAGGCATAAGTGGATCTCGCTTCCACGAGGCATTGTGGATCTGCCTTCACCAATCAATATCAACGCCCGTGCAGAAGTCGTGCACGGTCCTGTCCGAAACGGTAATAAGTACTAATAGGAAACTCCAGTCCACTGTAGTAAACAGGAGTAATGTTCCAGAACGCCGATCAAAATCCATTTCAACGACCGTTTTGGCTGGTAGCGAGGAACTCCATAGGAATGATCTTCAGGAGCAGGGTCTTGGATCGACTCGGGCCTTGTCACCTTCTTGAATCAGTGATGAATCCCCCAATTGCCGAAATAATCGTTTTTACTTTCTCCAGTCCCCCATTGTTTTTACTCAAAGATCCACGATCGGTGACCTATTCTGCAGAGACAAACCGTAAACGTACCATATGCTCTCAAAAGTCAAATAGAACAAAAAGAAAATAATCAAATAAATCAAGTTTTGCTCCCTGCATACATTGTACCTCTCACCGTGTCTCCTGCGCTCCGTAAGGTTCGTGTAAGCGAGAGCCCGGGCCCATGGGTACCGTTGGCTGGGATTCACATCGTAGTCTCGCCCGCGCTTAGAGCCGCCCTTTGAACACCCGACATATTAACAATCTTAAATGGGTAATTAATTTAATGCATACATTGGACATTGTTCTAAATTGTGAAGGACGGGATATGTAAGCATCATCTACTCCGTATATGTAGAGCAAATATGATTTCCCGGAGGTGTAGCCCAAAACGGGTTAGTCTGATCCTTTGTGACCTTCCCTTTTGGATTTCTGCGCCGTTTTCCCCATAGCCACGCGACAGAATGATCTCCTGAACCGTGTCATCCCCGGGTTTTTCATTCATATCAAGGTGTCATTATTGATGTATCACAAAAAAGGTAGGTCATTTCTCGAGACTATAATATTCTTTTCTATCAGAAGATATCTGCTAAATCAATTCGCCGATCACACTAGAATCTGATCGTACAACCGTTTATGGGGCGGATGTGACAGGTAAGCAAGATTCAGAGGATCTGCACTAACCGTAGCCGAGGTGAAATCATCCAACGGGGTCTTTCCGGCCTCCCAAATTGGGTTTAGTGGCTGCACATCCCGCAAGGCTGATAGGTTCACCAGGGTTTCCTTGTGCGCGGCTTTTCGCGTGGGCAAATCGTCATTCCCCACGTTAATCTCCGAAAAGATATTTTCAGGTTAAATTTGCTTTTTAATTTTTCTTTATTTTCACATTTTAGCATTTATTCGGTTCAATGAAATTTTTTTTTTTCCCCCTTACAATTTGCCTTTCTATAATCCCAAACGGGAAACTTAAATCAAAAATTAATTAAATTAAGCTTTGGAACGGACTGTCTCATCCCCAAAGAATAAAAAAGAAAAGAAAAAAGAAATTCGAACAATTAAATGAATTAAATTAAATAAATAATTGGTAACGTAAATCGTAATTTTACCTTATAGTCGGCATCGTCCGCTGGCGATCATCAGAGAACTACTATAAACCTCGTGTCGTCCCTCATATGCTGATTATTTGAAACACATCTGGACTTCCCCAAACACCACACATCATGGATCTCGCCAACCTACTCTCCAGCACGGCTGTCAAGCCATCATATACTCCCGTCGACTCAAGCTACTATAAGCGTTCGGCGCCTCTCTCCCCACCAGCCGAAGAGCCTAAGGTCTCGCTGCCTTCAATTTCGTCCCTCCTCGAGGGTGCTGATGGCCAGCACTCAGCCAGTGAGTAACCTATCAATATCAAAATCAATCACCAACAACTAACAAACCATCTAGAGCGTCAGCGTCTCTCACCATCAATCGGTGAACGCCACGTCAGGGTCCAGTCCTACGAACTGCCCCCAACACCACCATTGCGTCCCGGCTCCGGCCACGGCCACAACCGCGCATCACCAGAGACATTCAAGGAGCACCCTCATCGCTCCTCCATCTCCAGCAATGGCTCCATCCACATCCAACACTCAGCACCATACGCCTCCCCCGCACCAAGTGTCTCATCCTACACATCTCCCATCGATGCCCCCCAACAAGCAATCTACTACACCCGCCCACCAACAACATCTACTTTCGCACCCTCAACACCAGCCCCAGCACCCCAAATGCCGTCTGTGCAAGTCCCACAGCAACCAACCCACTCGCACTCGCACTCGCACTCGCACTCGCTCTCCCACTCCTCAGCCCTGATCTCCCCAGTGACCCCAGCCTGGCAACACCACCACTACTTCCCCCCTCAACCACAACCCCCTACCAACAAAACCACGACCGCTACATCTGCCGCACCTGCCACAAAGCATTCTCGCGGCCCTCCTCGCTGCGCATCCACTCGCACAGCCACACAGGCGAGAAGCCCTTCCGCTGCACGCACACCGGCTGCGGCAAGGCCTTCTCTGTGCGCAGCAACATGAAGCGCCACGAGCGCGGCTGCCACTCTGGTCGACCGGCGGCTGCCACCGCATTGGTGGTTTGAGCGCTGGCGTTACCTGCCTGTTTAATGTATTTTTTTTGTGAAAAAGGTTTCTGCTGTTTCTTTTGTTTGGCGTTGTGTGTCCGTGATACCCTGGATGGTCTTTGTTTCCCACTTAGATGGGTCGGTTCATACAGTTACGATGAGAAATGTATATTCTATGACTACGGTTGTGTGCTCCTTTGTATTTGGTATAAGACATTGTAATTGTAGATTTTCGTTTTAGCATGTACTTTGCCACATGATTTTTTTTCCATTCAAGAATGGAAAATTGAGCAGACATGTGTTGCATAGGAACTACACTAAGACTTCCCAAATCATACGATGGGAGTCATTTGCTCAATGCTCAGTAGGAGAGTTCGTATTCAGCTTGGGATCTACAATGCAAATCAAGGTCTCCTGAGAAGATCTCCAGACCCCCAATTTCCCGCGGCGACCTCCGATGGCCAATTCGCCCGTAAATCACACCGAGATAAACGATCTACAATATTTTACGAATCGCTCCGGCCTAGGCATGTCTAGCATGCAGACCCATCAATTGTATCGAATCTCAGTCTTCTCTATCTAGTTATCTGCAAACATACCAAACCTTAAATGTCATAAAATCATCAATGTAAATAACGAACCACCACAAATATACCCAAGCACTGACCCTACTCATCCAAAACCCCCCTCACCAAAGCCGCAAGACTAGTCTCATACCTCGCGGGGTTATGATCACTCAACATACCTCCAGCAAACCTCAATTCCCCAAACCAAGCCGCAACATCCCTAACAAATATCAACTGCACCCTCGTAGCAGGCCTCCCCAGCCTCCCCCCATCAACAAGATCAGACATGGTAAAAGCATCGCGCTGCAAGACACGCATAGTCTCAACAACAAAGACCTCACCCGGCGGCATGAGCTTCGGCGCGCGCATCTCCTCACGCAGCAATTTAAGTGTTTTCCACGCCCACGCATCCTCGCCCACACCATCGCCCGCATTGACGACCAGCGGGGGCTGGTTGACGTAGAATTTGTGAATGATGCTCTGGCGGAGGGAGTCGCCGAGACGTTGGCGGATGTGTGATTTTGCGCCGGAGGAGTCTCTGAATGAGACTGAAGCGGTGTGCATGTCTTGGAGGATCCCGAGAGAGAGACACGGGACGATGTCTGAGCCGTTGACGATGGTTGTGATTAGACCTCTGGTGGCGAGGCGCAGGAAGGGGGACATTACGGCTGGGGGGCCGTAGGCGTAGACATGGATTGGGCGGTTGGCGGGGAGGGTGTAGCTTGATTGGGGGGTTGTTGTGCTTTTGGATGGGTCTTGTAGGAGGCTTGGACGGTAGGATGATGTTATGAAAGATGTCCCTGATTGGGATGGATTTGGCTCTGAGATCATTGTTGCCAGGAGGGCAGCAACGCCGCCGCCGAGGGAGTGTCCGCATAGCACGATGCCGTAGTCTTGGAATTCTTCGAGTGCAGCGCGGAGGGTGATCATGACTCTACCGCCACCGCCTTCTAGGAGGCGCTTTGCGGAGGCGTGCATACCTTTGTGGACTTTCCAGGATTTGCCTTGCCATTCGAGATCGTCGTAGTCGCAGGTCATGTCTGTGAGTATATCTTCGAAGCCCCATGTTCCTCGGAGGGTGAGGACGATGGCTTTGGAGTCGTGGTCTATGGAGAGATAATGGACGAGTGGGAAGCCTGTTTCTGTCTCCCCGGCTGAGTTCGAGCCACCTGCTGGGTCGACGAAGGATGACAGCAAAATTGTGGAGGATGGGAGGCCAGCGTTTTCTGAGAATGCGCTGTGCGCGTGGCCATCTGATGTGGTGCTCGGCAGGCTTTTGGGATCTCTTGGTACACCCATGACTTTGAGTGCATTGGAGCCATATGAGGCCGATGAAAAGCGACAGAATCGCCTGATGTTCTGAACGAAGTGCCTCTCGGGGAATATTCCCGGAACGATGCCATCGCGATTGAGAGCTTGGATGGTTTCCGTGTCTCCGTAGGTACTTTTGCGAGGCCGGTGCGCGAGTAGCAGTGATGTCTCGGAGCCTGCAGTTGCCAGGGAATATAGGCTGGGGGTGTATGAATGAGATCTTCGATGTAGAGCCGACGAATCGGGTCGGTTGTCGCTTGCTGATACCCTGCCATCCGCCTCCGATCTTGTTATAGACAAAGAGCTGCTACTGCGAACGTGAGTCCGAGACGCGGCAGGCGATCCAGAACGGAGGTCAGCACCGCGGCGTGATATGAAAGCATCTGTTTGAGTGAGGAGCGACTCTTGACTATTATGCCTCATTGCAAAATGCCCTCGTGGGCCCTTTGGGGAATGTATATCATGGGACGGAGTGTGCTTTTGCGATTGGGGCGAATGTTTCTGAGAAGAGTTCGGGTAGGGCGATCTCCGTAAACCTCGATTCGGGAGAGGGGTTGCTGGCCGAAAATTTGGAGGTTCGGTTTGTCTCTTCTTGAGCTCAGGTTTAGTGGAAACTTCTCGTGCAGTTGCTTCCTTCACAGCGGCAGTCCCCTTCATAGGCCTGGGCGGCAGACGGGGAGCAGAAATCCCGGATGGCCCGGGTTGTTTGATAGACTTCCTTTGTGATGATGGTGGTGGTCGCTTCGTTTCATTTGCTTCTGAGATGGATGGCTTGACCTTTTGCGAAACCCTGCTAACTGAGCCTTTACTGAAACCAGGCCTTGGAGCTTCCTTGGGTGAGTCGGTCGTCCCTTCGAGCTTGTCGGCATTATTTACACCAGAATGTGAACGCGACCGGCCATGATAGGACTCTGCTGGGCTGTCAGGCAAGTGACTGTTCAGCAGTACTCGATTGTGATGGCCGGGCTCAGGCACGGGAGCAATACCAGGAACGTCGTGCGGTCGTAACTGAGTGCTTTCGGATTTGTTGAAAGCTGTTCTGAACACCACTGTTTGTCGCGGAAATCGTCGCTGACCGTCAATCATGACTGTATCTCCATAATTATGACCATGGTGGAATCGTTCCTCAATCATCTTCGTCCCTGGCGGCGGTGCGATCTCTGCCATATCATCATCATAGATATCGACCGTGATCGTTCGCGCCGTGAGGACTTCTGATCTAATGGATGCATGGCAGCCCTGAGGCAACTGGCTCATAATATAATCGCGGACATCCTCATCAGATACCTGCTGCTGACCATCCAAGGGAAGTGAAAGACGATGGCCCAGTGTATCGGTGGAGTCTGAGCGCCTGACTGCATCGAATGTTTCTTCACCATTACCAGGCATCACAAAGGACGCACTGCAGGGTTCCACAACTGCCTCATTTCCGCGGTCAGCGAACTGCAGCTGATGGGACCCGATTACATCTGCCCTTGCACCGCTGTCTAAGATAACGACATCCCAAACGACCTCGTCTCCACCATTCTGGCGCAGATGGCGTTCAGTATTCTTCTTTCCCCACCGCTGCAGTAGTGCAAAGCCCAGAGACCCAACGAGTAGATCTCCGACACCGATATTCTTGATATTTGTACCCGGTTCAATGGATCTAAACTCGCGCCGAATGAGCGTGATGATGGCCGCGATGGCCCTGGATGACTCAGTGGACCCTAAAATTGCATCCAAAGTAGATAATAGTGCCTGCGAAAGATTGGAAATCGAAGACAATGTAGTAGACGAGAAGTGGAATGTTGCCGCAGCGAAAAAAGATGCCGAGGTCACAGTTGTGTGTAACGTTGCCAGCTATGCGGAGTTAGTCATCTGGGCAAGACAGTCAGGATAATGAACAGGATCAGTTACACTTCGCTCAAGGAGAGTCTCTGCCTCTGCTCTACCGTGTTCATCACCACTTCGAATCGCGACATCGCGTCCTGCCCTTGTCAAGATCCCCTCTACCAAGGCCCTGCTTAGTTCCAGGCTAGTGAGAGTAGTGGCACGCGCGCCATCTAGGGCAGCTCCGCCGAAGAATGTTCCCAATCGTAAAGATAGTGAAGTTGACTGGGTAATCAAGGATATCAGAGATGCGACTGGACGTGGGAGTAGTGTTGACCCTGTTGAGTTGATCTGCGCAAGTTCAGTGGATTGTTTTGGTTCCTTAGATTTCATGATGATATAATTTCATTGAGTTAAAAATGGTTAAAATGTTTAGAAAGAGCATGTGGAATTGATTTATTGATATACTGATGTTTCGTCATGTTTTGTCGAAAGTTGATGATGGCAAATGTCCAAGTTCCTGGAAATCACCCTTTTCACATGTGATCTGATCAACCACGTAATTACTTGTGCTGATTCAAATGCCACTACACACAACAGTAGTAGCACAAAGAACTGACCGTATTGAGACTATTTGGCTTCGTTCTCAATAGTTTCATACAAGTCTCCTCCTTTTTTTATTCCAATGGATAGTTCTCGTCCGCATACTTTCTTTCTGTTCCTGATGTTTCCTCCCCAAGCTTGGCTCCAGTGCTAACGGATAGTTTCAGACATTCGTTAGTCCCAGTTGCCACATTATGCGGCAATGATTGCAGGCATCTAGCAATCCGGAGTTTTCTGCTTCATTGCTTCCAGCACTAGGTTCATGATGCTTTTGTGCCCCATTAGTTCCACCCTCCACAGCGGCGTGTGCCCATCGTCATCCTTCGCGTCCGGATCGACCCCGGTTTCGAGAAGATATTTAAAAATCACCTCATGCCTGACCTCCGCGGCCCATCCTAGTGGCGTGCGCCCATTGTCATCCTTCGCGTCCGGGTCCACCCTGGCGTAGAGAAGTCGATTGATAACGGCCTCATGTCTATTCTCATCGTCTAAACTTAAGGGCGTTTGTTGTTGGTTGTCTCTTTGGTCTGGAAAGACACGTATTTTTCTTGACAAGAGCTCAATTATTTCGTCAGAACCTGCTTGTGATGCATATGATAACGGTGTCATGCAATGGATGTCTTTTGTATTTGGGTAGATTCCCTAGTCAGTTAATTCTTTGACGACGCTGACCCTCCGATTTCGTGCCGCGTAGAACAATGGCTTTTTTCCGACTGTGTCTTGAAAATCCGCCTCGCCATGTAATTCGAGCCAAGTAAGAACCATTTTGGCCCATCCATACCTCGTCGCCATGCAACGGGCTTCTCCTTTCGTTTTGCTATCTATCCTAGATGGTAGACGGGTGAGAATAACAAGTGCTGTGAGCAAGTTCTTCTCCTCCATCGCAGCGAGAAGACCAGCACCAGTAAAATCATGCTGTGGAACTTCATTTTTAACGGCAATATAACGATCAATGACCTCGCATGTAGCCTTGCATACAGATACCGATTTGTTAGTCCTCTGTTCACCGAGCGAGGACAATCCGTTTTGGCTGAACGACCTTGTGGTCTCACTCTCATTCGCTAAGACACGCCAATATAGCCCGCCCCGAGCAATTTTTGCCTGATTTGCAAGCTCGTGATCCCCGCTTGTTTTGGTCACATTCGTACACAAACTTTGAGACTAAGTGTAGATTCTCCATGCCTATCTAAGCGCGCTTTCTTCTCTTTCCCACTCCTTCTCTTTGCGTTTGTGATTTGCGATGGAAGACACGTGTAATAATTCCCACTTTTATAGAGCTCACACACACCATGGCTTGTCTAGATATATAGCTTGCCTCCGTATTGCCTGCACCTTCTTGCGCTTTACCGATGAAGGCACGTAGCGATGGGGTCCTACGCACGCGAATGGCAGAGACGACTCCTGTGAGAATACCCATTAGCGCTATTGTAAAAATGAAATAGTCGATTGGCCGTACACTCTCACTGAGGTACTATTTCGTGATCTATTAACCAAAGAGGGATAGAAATGGCGCCAGATCCGTCGCGAGATTGTTTGAAAAGTCATTCCAGCCGCTCGCGCAAGCCACAGAAAGAGCGATGAGAATCGTAAACAGAACATGCGTAAAAATTCCGAGTCCGTGCAAGTGCATAGTTCGACGGAGTCGCATGACCAGACTTTTGCTTTTCAACACCAGCGGCTCTTTCGCTGTGTTGTGAATAAGAAGGGCTGAACGATTGCAGTTGTGCCAAGGATAGCCTAGGTGCATAATGATTGCTAGGAGTACCTAGAGCTGTGTTCTTATTCGCTATAACAGTAGTTCCAATCGGATGCGAACTTACCAGGCTTTTCCAGTTTCAATATCTGCAAAGGGTGTTGATCGCCGACATGTCGGCGAAGTGCATCGCCAAACACAACCATGCAGAATTTTTCAGTCGATGTGCCAATTATACTCGCGCGGTCAGGGTTGCGGATCGATTTAAGATTTCCTGTCCTTCAAGTGGGGAGAGAAGTGCAAGATAGATCGACACGGGACTACTACTACCGATTAGGATGGTTCCCCACGGATGCGGGCCGTGACCCACCAATCTTATTTCAGCAGTCAGGTCCGGTGCCACCTGGGCTATCCATACTACATAGTACGTATATCTACAAAGGTACTATGTACGTATGTACGGAGAACTCCGTACAAGGGTCTGAAGTGGTATGTTTCATAGTTCCGTGTGTTCATTTCTTAGGGTATGGGAGGAGGATCAGAGTGGTCTGAGCCTCATTGCTCCTACGTGACGGGCATAATCCAGCCTCTCATCGCTCAAGTCTGCGAAGCCCTTCTGTCCTTTAAGAAAATGCTGAGAAACCAGCGGGGCGTTGTTCGACCGCTGGATTCTAACCAACTTCAATTTTGTGTCGGCGTTTCCGCTCACAATTGCAAACTATGCTCCCTCAACCATGCCGAAATGTGCATACAACACACATGATTGGTTTGGTCAAAGTGCTAGATTTATGATCAGTGGCATCCTTTTGGTGAATTTTGAAAGGCATTCTCAAGCTCCAGCCACAGCAGGGTGAAACCGGGTGGACACTGCTGCGGAGTGCCACACCAGGTGACTGGTCGCCAAGAGATTGAGAGAATGTGGTCAGAAACCAATCCTTTGGGGGACCAGCTCTACCTGCCAGTCATTCCATAGCTAAGAACAGCAATAAAAATGCTCCCTCCACGTCGTCGTTCCGCAGGACGCTGTCACTGCAGAAGTAAATTATACTTTTTCAACCATCCAACGTATCTTCCATGCTAATCGATCATGAAGCCACCAACATTTTCGGTGGCAAGGTGCACTCGGTGGCAAGAGCTAAGCAACGGCAGAGCAGGGTGAGGGAAAGCAGCGCGGATTACGCTCGAGGACTCGAAGAACCACACAAGACCGGCCGGTTCGCGCCAGCGTTAAAGGGGGTGGCGAGGCTCAATAATCCGAATTAATAGCAAAAATACCGCACCAGCAGAGCGTGCATGAGAAAGAAAGAGCTGAAGGGTGATAAGCAGCAAGAAGTTGAAGCGGCGAGTCTATATAGAAACACGCACCCGTGGATGGTGAAGCTAAGGAGTAGGGTGACACCTAAACCTAAAATAACGCACTAAGCCGCGTTGCGTAACTTCCCCTCACCCAAAAGTACGGAGTACAATTCCTCAACTTGCAACTACATCATTGCCTTCACGTCTCCTCCGTACTGCACTTTGCGAATCTGACTTCGGTTGCAATCTTCAACTGTCCGGATTCCCGATAGGCCCATGTTTTGCCACAAATCCGCTAAAAGTCCCTTGAGCACTTGTCTGGCCCCTTCTCGGCCCTGAATACTCAGCCCGTAAATTACCGGCCGACCAACCAGGACCGCCTTGGCTCCCAGACACAATGCCTTGATCACATCTGAGCCCGTCCGAACCCCAGAGTCAAAAAGAACTGTCATTTTGTCTCCGACTGTATCGACGATCTCCGGAAGCACATCCAACGAACCAATCGCACCATCTACTTGTCGGCCTGGACAAAGATGAGCAAAAACAAAAACAAACGCTTGTTTTGGGATACTTACCACCATGATTAGACACCACAATGCCATCACAGCCAGCTTTCAGTGCCAACCTCGCATCCTCCACATGCTGAATGCCCTTCAAAACAATTGGCCCCTCCCAATTCTCCCTCAAAAACGCCAAATCTTCCCATGAATGCGGCGCCCCAGCAAAAATATCTCCGATCCATGCCCTCGAAGCACCAAGCACATCGTCCTCCACACTTGATCCAGTCTCTTTCTCAAACTTCGCCCGGAACACAGGATCACTAAACCCAACCTGATTTCCCACCCCCTTGATAAAAGGTACATAAGCATTATCCAGGTCCGCCGGCCGCCAAGCAAGCGACCACGTATCCAGCGTAACAACGAGAACCGAGAACCCGTTTTCTCTTGCGCGCTTCAGCAACGAAAGTGTGACACTGTTGTCCCGCGGCCAGTAGAGCTGATACCAGCGCTTGCCGTCCTTGTTGGCAGCCGCGACGTCCTCGATTGAGCTCGTGCTTGCCGTGCTCATTGTATACGGAACGCCGACCTCACCGCATACTTCGGCCAGGCCGGTTTCTTTGTCTTCGTGGAAGATGCCCTGCACGCCGACCGGGGCCATGATAAGGGGGTTATCGTATTTCTGGCCGAAGAGCTCGACGGAGACGTCTTGCGCGGGTGTCTGGTTGGTGTCAGTATCGGATGTAGCTCTGTAGGTTGCCTGGACGTACGTTTCGCATCATGCGCGGAATCCTAGAAACTAGGTTAAATAGTGTTGGTGGTACGGGTGGGATATGGCTTACAGTTTCCACTGCCGGAAGGCCAGTCGATTGCTGTCCATGGTGGCTTTCTCGCCCGCTCCGCCGGCGACATAGTTGAACGAGCAGATGCCGAGAGACTCTCGAGCTTGTTCTTCTAGCTGGCGGGGGTCTGTAGTCACGCCGGGCAAAATGCCCATCAGCGCGCCCTTGCCATAAATTTCCGTTTGATAGCTGCCGTAGTTATCAGACATGATTGTGGTTGTATCTGTCCAGTTGCCCCTCACTGATTCTTAAATTTTCCAGAGTCTCTTTTCATCTGACTACAATTTGATTGTAGTTAAATTGCCCTCGGAAATATCCATGAATCATGCCCACTTGGTCCCTAGAGTTTGAATCAAGAAATGGCAGCGAAGAGGAATATAAGCTATGCAGACTTCCGAGGTAGGGTAGACTGATATGCGGGGGTGTCGAGTGGGCCGAGGTTCGATCGCCAAGGATAGCTAGTTCAGCTCGTCCATCTATGAAATTCATTCTGGTCAATGGTATTATTGCTAGCTTCATATAGGCCTTTACAGGTCTTTCTCCGAACTTTAAAAATGATAATACTCGACCAATTTACGGACCACATACTTAACCAGCAGCAAAGCTACTCCTCGCTCTAAGCCACTCCCCATACCTCCACAAAACAACAGGCACCGGGAATCCCAAAACAACAGCGACAAGCGCAAGCAGTGTATTCCCCCAGCTAAAGTCCAGCCTCTGATACATCGCTGGACCAAAAAGCGGAAACCCAAACCCGGTCAACCCGCGAAGAATATAAACCGCACCCGTGGCACTAGCCGCATATAACGTAAAAGCCTCATATAGATAAGCCGTGGTACACTGGAACAGAACCATAGCGGCAGCCGCGAAAAGTGCAATCCCCAAATCAGGTACAATCCAATGCACGACTGCCTGAGCGGCCCAGCCGTACCAGAGTAAGCCGACCGGGGCGAGTATGGAAGCTGGGAACATGAGGACGACGCGATACTCTGGTTTCCCGATGTTATTATTTTTGCTCTTGAGGGTTTTGTAGATTGGGTCTGCGAGGAACCCGCACACTTGCGAGCCGAAGAAATACCCGATTCCCAGGGCGAGGTAGTGCAGGCTTGCGGGGCCGATTGGTTGGTGGTATTTTTCTTGCCAGAGGGTTGGGAAAGTTGAGAGGACGAGGTACATTAGGCCGTAGAGGTAAGCGTAGAAGAGGGCAAGAAGCTGGACGATTGGTTGGATTTGGAGGAGGTTGAAGGGTCGGAGGAGGGAGTTGCGGTATAGCTGGCTGAGGGTTTGGTCTGGGTTCTCGTAGGGTGTTTTCAGTAGATGATTGTTTGGGAGTCGCTTTTTTCTTCTTGCTAAGATGATTGGCGGGTATGTCTCTTTCATAACGATTAACCCGAGGACGATCAAGGCCCCGTCGAAGATGGACGTAGCCCAGAATGCCCAGCGCCACGTTGTATATTGAGTGATGAACCCGCCTACCACGGCACCGACGGAGGGACCGAAGACAGGCCCAAGATTGTAAATGGCGATGACCCAGCCGCGTTCCTCTTTGGCGAAGCAGTCGCTGATAATACCCGCGCCGACCTATTGGGTGAGATCGTGATATTACCAGAGAGGAAATAAACTTACTACAAGGCCACCGGCACCCCCAAAGCCGGCGAGTAGTCGAAATGCAAGCAATTGAGCTTTGTTGCGAGCGAACCCACATACCAGGTTGAAGAGCAGGTAAAAAGAATTTCCGAAATGCAGGACAGCGACTCTGCCAAATATCTCGCTCAATGGGCCTAATAAGAGAGGTCCGAGACAGTAAGTCAGAACAAAGGTTGAAAGAACAAGGACAGCTTCTAAAGAGCTGCCCATCTGCAGCTCATTGCTGATGGTGCTTAACTCGGGGGCCACGATAGACGAAGATAGTGGCATGAGAAACACTGATAATGAGACTACCAGTGTGATAGACCATTTTCTGGCGCTGGACCAATTGAGGGGATTTTCATTATCATTTTCTGAGAACGTTATGATCGAGGATTTTTGGTTTATGTCGGCCTTTTCGTCAATTCCCGTGGATGAGAAGTTGTGATTGAGTTCATATAGTTTGGTGTTGTTCTGGCTCATGATGCTAGCTTGAGCGAAGAAAATTCATGTACGTAGGTTAGCTAAAGATAATTCGGAACATGTTTTTTGAGTCATAGTTGTAGGTATTCAGAGTCATGTCAATCCTTGCCTATCTGGATGAACAGCGTAGTCGCCATAATGCACTAACACAAAAGTGTAAGTATTTTCGACACCTGAGCAGAAAGACATCGCTCATGTTCTGTTGAAGGCTTTGGGGTGAGTCATACTAAATCCTTGCCCAGCTGGGCGTGACAAAAGTACATGGCGGATGGGGTCGCTTTCATCAATAGCTCTTCCCGTGTTTCGGGATGGTGCATAAGAGGAAGCAGGCTAGGTGAGTAGTGTCAAGAACAAGGGTGCATTAGTGGCGGAGGGATCTTGGCCCGCCTTTAGTCATTCCAACCCGGTCCTCATAATAGGTTAATAGATAAGTTTGATTGTCAAGATTTTTTCTGAGTAATTTTTTACTAATTGCAAATTATTATAATTAAGAGCAAGAACGTTGGTGGGTATCTCAAACAGAAAACAAACGCAGCACATCAAGAGCGACCTTCTAAAACATCCCAAGGTCCACCACAACCAATCACACCGATCTCCATATCTTGATAGTCATATCATCAGACGTATAGACCACCATACTGCCATCATTTTCCACAATGATAGCCCGAACCCAACCAGAATAACCGGTAACAACACTGACACAGGAAACCTCCAACGGCGAACCAGATTGTACAGCCCACAACCGGATAGTCAGATCATCCGCCGCGGTTGCCATCATGCGACCATCATCCGAGAATGCAATAGTTCGCAAAGGACCCGAGTGCCCCTTGAGAACGCCTAGCAAATCGCCCGAAGTCGTATCCCAAATGCGCAGCGTTTTGTCCTGCGATCCAGATACGAGCAGCTTCCCATCCCGAGAAAAGCAAACGACCCGAATCGAAGAGTCATGGCCACCCAAAGAAAGAATTTCCTTTCCGGAAGTTGTATCCCAGAGCCGAACTGAATTATCATCCGAAGCTGAAGCAAGAGTTTTCCCATTAGGCGAAAAAGCCACAGAGCGCACCCAACCAGAGTGACCGTCGAGGATTTTGAGTAGCGACCCTTCAGCCGCATTCCACAATCTGACGGAAAAATCATCCGAAGCAGACGCAAGGGTTTTCCCATCCGGGGAAAACTCCACAGCACGCACTTTGCCCGTGTGGCCCTGGAGCGTGCGGTAAGTGAAGCCGGTATTGGCATCTCTGATGCGAACGGTCATATCATCAGAAGCGGTAGCCAGCAGACGGCCAGTGGGGGAGAAACGCACAGCACGAACCCAGTTTGAGTGGCCGTTATCTTTAGCCGGGCCGCGCTGGAGACCGGTATTGGCGTTCCAGAGACGGATGGTCATGTCATTTGAGACGGAGGCGAGTTCGCCATTGCGAGAAGGAGTGACGTCCCAGATCCAGCCAGTGTGGCCGTCAAGGGTCTTGGATGCGACTAGGTTCCCATGAGTGGGAACGGTGAGACCTGACATGGCGGGATTTTTCTGGGTGGTTGAAAGTGCGAGATCTGGAGTAAAATGTTTGGAGAAGATTCCAGAGAGCAGTGGGAAGAATAGAGTAGCAAATTCAGGGGATTGACACTCTGTAGAACGCGTGAAGGATTTCTCATAGTGAGATTGAGGTCACAGAGCGGTCAGCATTGCATTGCGAGGGGTAAACAAGTAAAAAGTCCCATGAAGAATAGTATTCTACTGAAAGACACTAAGATAGATCCTGACTTTTGCTGTATGGCCTCCAACATGGAAATGAAAGCAAGTGGTAGCAAATGGTAGCTCATTGGCAAAAAAATGACAGCGGGATTTCCAACTTAGATGCTTAGGTAAGCTGGCTAGACCCGCCCATGGAGGGATCGGCTGACCTGCAGTACTTTATAGATTTTTTCGATGCTATTCCATTGCCTAGTTGCATAACTATATAATTATTTATTATGTACTTTTGGTCTTTATGGCCAAACTTGATTTCAATATCAGCCTCCCAAAACCCTGTCAAGGTCATATCTTACTATTGACTTTCACGGGTTTATTTCCTAATCCGGCTTCTAGATAATGTGTAATCATTACATATACACAATGAGATGAATACAATCCCTTCTACACAACAGGATGTGTGCATACAACGTACGTATGTATATATAGGCAGGCGCCAAAGTGTAACACCTTGGCAGGCGAGGGTTTCACTTAAGCTATCGCCGTTTTCATGAGAGCGCTTAGACTTCCAACATTAGGCTTCTAGATTATATATCAGCACAAATGCCAGTTTTAGCGAGGCGCTGAGGTTATTTATGTATATGATTATCCACGGTACACAAATGCCTATTGAGTCTTACCTAGGTACCATTTGTTGAGTGGCACGGACATCTAATTCGTGAGGAATTCTAATAATTTAGATCATTACTAACTATACTTTACACAGTCATAAGTATGTGAGGATTTATACTATAATAACGCGTTTGTTGATACTTATCATTCCCCTTATTTTCCAGAACTTCTTATCTTATTGAAAAAAATGCGGGTGGTTTATAGGCTTTGAACCATAGTGGTGTGCTTTATCTATTTATGATATTGCTTTTTCTCCCTTTATAACGTCGGCTCGAGCCGACAATCTCGAACAAAAAGCAAGCATGTTTGATTACCTATACCCATTAATTGCTATGAGAATATTCTTTTCATCGATTACCTTAGTACTGCTCGGGTTCTTTTGCCCTCTCTATATTTCCTGTTTCTATATGACGTCATAGCAAATCGCATCAGAAAAGTGATCAAATAGCTAGATCTTATATTGGAATAGTAGGATGCTAAACCAAACTAAAAATTTGATATATTGCAGAAAGTTTAGAGGCATATTCCTACATAATCGAGGCTCTTCACAACTAACACTAACCCGCCTCCTAATTCTACTTCTTAACCCTTAACTCTGTTTCGTCGGGAAGTTTATCATACTATGCATTATATTGGAAAAAAATAGATATATACAAACAACAGAATAAGAAAAATAAATAGGCGTGTCCTAGCAGCCCAAAGCGCATTCCCTCTCTCTCCATTGAGTCTATCGCATCTTTATGGACCTTTCCTTTTCGTGCCACCATGTTGCCCACTAACCCGTGGCATCCAGGATTGCCACATGGCGACATTTCAATGCGTGGTACCTGTTGCTGTAAACTATCTGATGCGTTAGAGAATGTGTTGATGAGCATTCAGGCAAGAATGCCATCTCTCCACACGCCGCCCCCGTCCTCGTCAAAAGAGGCAAGAACTCGCTGTATGCAAACCATCAGCTATCTGCCTATGCATCTCATTCATTTATTCTATAGGCGTTTTGCTTCTCTTCATAGTTGAGTTGACCCATATGAGGCTTAATAGTTATCTAAAAGCACGAAACATAAAAAACACCTCGTCCAGTGTTACCAACATTGAATGGTTACGTCGATTAAGTACTTCCATGTAGCTAGGAGTAATGAAATTATATCGTGCACATCCATGGATGTAGTACAAAAGTTTGTTAATGTACGTACCTAGGTATTCGGTGACATAATATTGACGGTATTGAGAAGTTGATCTTGGAATCTCCAGGCCAAAATTTCTGGGTCAGTTTTTGTAAATCCTGAGTCGCAACCTATACCGCCGCTCATTCCTCTGGTTTGTTTGCTCCTTTAACCTCCTTCAAAAAAACCACTTAGTTTTATTTCACTAGCATGACTGAAGCGCAAGGTCAGCCTCATGCCTTTCTTCGGTCCCTCTTTCAATAAGCTGATGACCTTGAGCCTGACTTCCTTTCTCTTGAGATCCTCCAAGTACTCGGAATCCAAGCATTTGAAGTGGCCTTAGATCCGGATAAATGCGTAACTCTCTAATTTAACCCGTCCATCTTTGGACCTCACCCAAATATATTTTAGGCCTTCGATTTGGGTTTCTACTTGTAGGTTGCTAGTCTCTGGATTCTGAACAGCAGTCTATTGTTTTACTTTCATATCGCGTCTTTCGCATTAGGCAGAATTTCACTCAGCCAATATGGAGAATCTGATGTACCCCGCTAAAGCTTGTTATTTTCAATAGCAAATTGAGTCATCTGGTTTAGCTTTCACAGACAACGAAAAACGGGCGAAGCGCTTTGCAAAACTGATGACGTTTATTCAGACTTCCATTACCGATGCCAAGGACAATATAGCCTACACCGAGAAACTTACAGCTTCTGTCGTTAAACAAATTGAAGTAGGCCTCAAACGTGAAGGTCAGCATAACATTGGGGACTTGCTGAACACTCTTGACACTGCTTGGGCCAATGATGCGAAGGAAAATTATGAACAAGTTTTAGACATTTGCAAAGACCACAGTAACTTCCTGGGGCCAGAAGTAGCAACATCTGCGCTCATTGCATCTATCACAGGGACAATCGGGCTTTCCGGTAGATTCTTCTGCCACCTTCATTTTCCTTGAAATATACGACCAAACAAAAGGAGATTGTTGACATTTATTGATAGCAAAATTTACCGAAATTTTCCCATACGGAACAGCAATGATTTCTTGCAAGCTTGTTGGCCGAGCCATTGTGGAATTCTCGAGAACTAGTAAGGCTTTCCTAGGATGGATCTTGTGGGCCTTTGATGGTGTCAATGTTAACTATTATGATCAAATTTTGCTTCGAACTTGCGACTGTTGAAGTATTGCAAGAACCTATCGCCTATCACACCTTTCAGAACACCTACTGGATTGAAGGTTTTGAAAGTTCTCAGATGGGGCGGCGCATCGATCGGGGTTGCTTCGCTATTGTTAGATGTAGGAATCGCGATATATACAGATATCGCTGGTGTAGAGAATCGGGCTGCTTTGCAAATTCGTTACTGATCCTCTACCTAGGTATCTCTCCTACTGACCATACTTTCTAATCTCATCAAAGACCTATGTATGCGAACATTCACTGTCCGCTTTGTGGAGTGTCTGCATTCGATATATCGGCATACGCTCGCAATTTTCAAGCGCCTAGTGATCAAGCAAAATTACTACAAAAGGCGTCTCGACGGGGAGAAGATTACCCAGGAGGATTATGACAAAAAGGTTTAACGGCCGGTGAAGAACACTATCAAAGAAATGAAAATGTACACTTGGTTCATAGTGGCAAATTTTTCTGTTGGACGATGCTAATGAAGATCGTAGGACTCTACGGAGGTCGAATCGGCTATGTGTGGAATGACCTTGAGGAGTTAGACGAATCGCTCAAGGCATTCACGGATGATGGTCCTTCGAAATCCGCTCTACAATGATCCTGAGATGACGGCAAAATTAGACCGCAAATCGACCAAGCAGTGGAAGAGAAACTGGAAGCAAAGCTCGAAGATGAATTGCACACTAAATCTGCTTCATCGGATCCCTCGGACTTTGTTCCTGAGGATGAGAATGGATTCGAGTATGCCGAGAGCTTGGAATACCATGGGTCCGAGACTGATGACGAGGAAAGTGAGATTGAGAGCGCGACTGATAGTGATAATGAGTAAGTGTGGGAGTAGGTGAGAATGCGAGTACGAATGAAACAACTTGACAGACTACTTCATTGTAGAGAAAGAAATGTATTCCCCTCTCCCTTAGCAAAACCAGCAACAATATACTCTTCGCATTTATCTATCAAACAGGGTGTTAGGTGAATTTCCAGAGGAGGCTCACTATTTATCAGTCATTTAGAATTGCCTACAAATTGCCAGAAATGGGATAACAAAAAGCAGAGTTTTTATCTATTTCTATTAGCTTGTTTAAAATTATTCTCGACAAATGGAACCAGAAGAGTATCGAAATTTTGACTGATCAATCTTTGGCCACCGGATCCACTTGTCTGGGGCCGGGCTTGAGATCATAGTCCGGCCATTTTTGGGGGATGTGGAAGCTAGCGAGTCATGTACACCGAAGAATGGTCAGACGGCCGGAGATACGAACAAATCCGAAATTTCTTATAGTGACGTCCTCGGTCTCCGGCAAGTCTGCTCTAGATCCCTAGACAAAGCCGATTAAGCCGATCACTTGATCGTTATGTATCTATCTACTTAGGAGTATTCTGATGTTAAATAGAGATCATTTGCTGTAGTTCTTGATTCTCACTCGGTACATTCCATTGAATATTTTCATTAATGCCACCTGCAACAAATCCTACCAAAAACATAATGTCTCTTATAGTCAAGAATGTGGCTATTGCCGGAGTAAGCCCATAACAAATAACGCTAAATTATCCAATTTAACAAGCTGTTAGGCCAGTGGAAATGTCGGAGCCCGGGTACTTGATGCATTACTCAATATTGGGTTCAATGTCACGGTGCTCAGTCGCATGTCCAAAGCCTTCCCGACCGGTGCCTACGTGAAAGTCGTTGACTTTAACTCGGCGGAGTCACTATCTGCTGCTGTTGCTGGACAGGATGCAGTTATAGATACGACTTTCTCACTCGATGTGGAAACGCCACTTCGACTTATTGACGCAGCGGTCCACAGTGGAGTTTATCGCTTGTTCGTAAGGCCGTCAATTTCTAATAATTTTGATTGGCTAACACCCTCTTTCCACAAACCAGTATCACCAGCGACTTTGGGCTCGATCCTGACTTACCAGGTGTCCATGATATGCCCATTTTCGGTCGAAAGAAGGCTTCCTATGAGGCCGTGAAGAGATATGCGGCTCAGAATCGCCTGACATACACGGTAGTAGCGTGTGGTGCCTTCCTTGACTGGGGTCTTTCCTCTGGTTTTGCGGGGTTGGACTTGGAAGGTAAACAAGCTTCCATATTTGGTGATGGAAACAACGTTGTTCCATGGACGACATTGAACGATGTTGGCATAGCAACTGCAAATGTGCTTATACATCCACACGAAACTCTGAACCGTCCGGTCTATGTTCACACTGTGTTCATGTCGCAAAATCAAGTTCTCGATGAAGCAAAAAAAGGATTGGGGAAGGAGGGGTGGAATACTACCTATAACGACATGGATTCTCTTTTGGAAAAAGCGTTGGCGGATCTCCAGGCTGGCAGAATTAGTGCGTCGGTTTTTGAAGTACAGATCCAGTACTGCCTCGCTACCAAGAGACTTGCACACCCCTGGGCAAGAGATGATAATTCCCTTTTGGGATTGAAAGAATGGGATTCGGATAAGGTGAAGGAGCTTATTCAGTCGATTGCCCACAAAACAGCGTGAAGTAAGGTCACATTCTCAACTGAGCAATGCTTTCTGCAAATTAAAAAGGCCAATTCAGCACGGCATACTACAAAGGTATATAACTAGACCTCAGGATCCAATGCCTTATTATAGCCTTGTCATAGATCGTCGCAAATGTATATCTCTGTCATGCCTAGTGCCCCGTGTCGGAAGCGCATCCGGCATGATAGGAAACTGAAATACCGTAGTATATGATTTGATCAGTTTTCATATAATCGCAAAGAGGATGCAAAGGTATTATTTAACCTGTTCTTCATCTCCATATGAATTTGAAATCACTTGGGTCAGTCCCGCATTTGTCTTCTGCATCAAGATTTCGTGATACGTTAGGTATGGTTCGTTTCGGTCATTTGCGATCGCTGGTTCATCTAATTGTATCAGTTTCATTAGATCGGTTGTTCTGTGGAGAAGTGGTAAAGCGCACGGGAAACCATCTGTAATATACTCAACCACAGGCAACGGACCACTTATAGCAAGAATCAACTCAATGTATAAATTGGCTTCGACAAATCTCGCAGTGGACGCATTCTGATTGTCCTTTTCTCCATTGATAAGTTCTATCGAGATACTCATGAGGAAGCCCAAAGTACTTCTTATAGCGAGTGATGTCAACATCTAAGGCCGATTGGTTCAGGAAGCTCGTGAAGCCAATGCGACTACCAGAATCTGCTGGGGGTTATAGTTCCCGATATTATACATATTCCGTAGATACGACGGAGTTATTGAACTTTCACATGGAATAGCTGCTGACGTCCAGGTCTCCCTCTCCCATTTAGAGAGCGTGCGGTGGCGATTCAAGTGATATGTGTACCCGGCGATCTCCTTGCTTTTGGCGAAAAAAGATAGTGGGCATTGACAATCCACATAGTCTTCCAGGTGATCCGGAATGGAATATTGGATAGTACGAAGGGTCTCAAATGAACTATGGTAATATGCAAAGGTGGTGCTCAACAATTCGTTGGCTGTTCCAACTTCGGTGTAAAAATTAGAACACTGCCTGTCTGTGAGGCTAATGTGATGTTGAAATTTTCAAGCCAACCAATTATTGGGATAGCATCGGCGATCGGAAATAGTGTATTCACTTCCTCGCGGTCAAGATAGTGGCCATATTGAGGACTACCAGGAGTGGAAATATTCTTCAAAGGGGCTCGAGATTGTCGAAATTTTGACGAGAGAGCACAATAGAAAATACAAAAGAGTTTTCTAGGGGAGCATCTCGACGATACTGCCAGTCCCCTAGGACATTATGCAAGGTCCCGTGAGTCGCACTTAATGCTAGCTGAAGATGAGCGAAAATTGCCAGGGATATTAGAAAACAGGTGATCATCTTCCAGGTAGGATAGAAGGTAGCAGATGCAAAAAGACAGCAGATGGTGAATGATTTTGACTGTCAATTATATAACTTGACGTCTATGATTTTGAATACACATTTTTGAGATGGAATTACCTAGACACGTTTCAAGCCGTAATCTTTGATCCCAATATTTGCGACTTAGGTGTCGGATGAAACCCTATTGCATATCCGCCCCGCCCTTAAGACGGGATAGTCCCGCCGCCAAACTAGCCAACACTAGTGCTTAAAATATCTTTACTACAGTAACAGGCCTGCCTACGATTCGGGTAAAGCACACCATATCAAATTAGTTCCACTAGGATTAAATGTTACCATCGATTTAGCGCCGTCGGAATCCGTTTCGCATCAGCGCTGATAGTCAAGCTTTCCAAAGGTTGCTCCGGAGGTTGACTCAAAGTCAAGGTCTGTCGTTAGATTGATCTCGATCTAATTGGTTAGATTGTCGCAAGCAATGAGTCATAATCAGAACCAAGATAAGTACTAGCTCAGTAGCCGCTTTTGACTCCACCTACCTCTACCGCAACGAAATGATAAATTTGGTAACAATCCATCTATTACGACGTACATTCACCCTGTCTAGCCAACTACTGCAGGATGTTGAAATTTTACACGGATGAAACCCCCGAAGTGGTCCAACATGCCCCGGTATGAAAACTTGAAGTTATCTAACTTTGCATATAAGCTAATAATGAAAGGGGCTGCATCTTATCACATGCTCCACCCCTAATGGCAAGAAGGTCCAGATCTTTCTGGAGGAGTTGAAAGATATTTATGGACTGGAGTGGACAACCTCTCTGATAGATATCGACACTGATGAACAGAAGGAGCCATGGTTCCTAAAGCTTAACCCGAACGGTATGAACATGACTAGGAGAGCTTGACTTCATATTATCTTACCAAACATAAATTTATAGGTAGAATCCCTGTTCTTGTTGACAATATAAGCAAGCCGCCGTTCCCCATATTCGAATCATCAGCAGAGCTACTGTATCTCCTTGATACGGTGGATAAGGACCATCACTTCGGCTTCTCTGATCCCAAAGAACAGTCTCAATTGATTCAGTGGCTTATCTTCTGGCATGCCTCGGGTCAGCCTAGCCAAGGCCAACTTAATCACTTTGGAAGATTTGCTCCAATACAGATCCCTTGTATGTGGACCTTTCCTATGACTATGCATTATCACGGGTATTATAGGGCAAACGTCCGATTAATCAATTAATTCTTAGATGCGGTCGAGAAATTCAAGGCCGAAACACTACGGGTCTACAATGTGCTCGAGCTCCACCTTTCTGGAGGCCTAAACGGCCAACCTCGAGCATATCTAGCTGGAAATGGGTTTGGCAAATTCAGTGTTGCTGATATTAATGCGTATCCTTGGGTACGCGCATGGAAAAGAAGTACTGTATCAGAAAAGGAGATGGCCCAATATACGCACTTGAAGGAATGGATAGAACGAATTGGGTCTAGACCAGCTGTACAGAGGGGAGTGAGCGATGTATACGATGAAGAAGTTCACCCTGAGTTACTTGTTAGTACTATTCATAAATAGATTATTCGGTTATAGATACAATCACTGACAATTGATGCTTTTCAAAATGGATGAAACTGTAAGATAATGGTAACGGAGCTTTTTTCATAAGAAAGTCGGGCTAAGATCAAGCTTTCTGGATGGATCTGGATATTTTGGCAGATAAGAGCGATGAAAAGCTAGACTTTGCCGTAGTGATCCAATCAGTGGATGGACTGACTATAGGGAAGGGTGCGTTTTACACTAAGCCCTATTAGGCCATCACATGAGAGCCAGATGTACAGTGGTGTATCATAAGTATTTGACCTCGAGTACTTCGGCCCCTAGGACCCACTTTTTAATACTGCCAGCAGAAACCTCCGAAATCCAGTTCAATTTAATAGCTAGTATGCCACCCTCCATATTTAATAACATCAGCCACCCTATGAGGCATAGTCTCTGATAGGTGCTTAAATATCTCAATATCTAGGCCTTCCCATGCTTCCTGCGCAGTTTCCAGTAAAAGATCTTTTGTAGATTCGTTATTTGGCAGGTGCATAAGCTCAGGATGACGCTTCAAAATTTCGGCTTTTAGTAGCGACCATAGGTTTTCAATTGGATTTAAATCAGGCGAGTAGGGGGGCCACTCCATAATCTCGCATTCAAGCTCATTAAGAGTAGGGGCTTGTTAAAAACACCCCCCTTCGGCTCAGAACACCCCCCCTGCCCCATTCTGCCTGATCCCTCAGGCATGGATTCTTTCTGCCAAACCTACTTTTTTCTGCCAGGTTTAACTGCAGGTTTGAATTCTGATTTACATAGTAAAAAATGCATCTTTATAGTCACAATTTTATGCGTATTTCTGCAATTTCAATACTGTCTATTCATACATAACCTACATAACCTTTATTAATTCATAAAACATTAGCACCCTCGGCGCCCTCACTATCTCCCTGACCACGACCTCGCCTACCACCTCGCTTACTAGTTTGCTTATCACCTTCCTGCGCAGCTCGCTTTGTGCCCCCACCTACTCCCCGACCACGACCACGACCCCGACCACGACTGTCTTCCTGCGCGAGTGCATACTCAAACGAAGATGGGTCTCGATGGACTGAGCGCTCATACTGGGTGATCCGATTGGTTGTGGCAGTAGTGGTAGCGGCTGGGTTGGCAAATCAGGGTCCGGCTGGGTCTCCAGAATGATCTCCGGCTCGCGCTCGGCATTAGACTTGGACTCCGAGTCCATAAGGTAGTCAAAGCCTAGAGAGGCCATATTGAAGAGATAGATGTGCTTGAAAAAACGAAACAAACGCGAAGAAAATGGTGTAAAGGTTGATGGAGAAAGGTAAGAATTCATAGTGCAAACTTGAATGCTCTTAACATTGTTTTCATCTCTTTACTCTATGCTAAAATGTAGTGCTAAAAGGTACATGATTTTATTAGGCATTTATATAGTAAAAGGAGGTACCCTTAGGTATGGTGCATTTGTATAGAGATGATCAGAAAAGCGGTCAGGAAAGCGGTCATGTGAAGCCAGAATTTTCAGGCAGGGGGGTGTTCTGAGCCGAAGGGGGGTGTTTTTAACAAGCCCCTAAGAGTATCCCGTACGATATATGCAGTATGAACGGGCGCGTTATCTTGCTGAAAAATAGCATTACGATCAATGCTATTAAGTAGCGTAGGTAAGATACGCCGATATAACTCTTCGATGGTACGTGAAGAAACACCCCCTCTTCTAGATGTAGGATCTCCGAAGAGTGGAATTAGGCCTGATCGACGTGGTAGGCTAGAGAAAGCAGCCCAAAACATCTGCTTAATTTGCTTCCCTCGCGCCGGAATCATTTAAACATGGGAGTCTTCATTTGAATGCTGAAAAAGCTGGTCTTTCGGACGTGTAAACGTCCATTCTTACCGCTGGCCGATTCCACGTTCAACTGTGTATTCGTCGGACCAATAAACGCGGGCCTAATCTGTAGATGTAAAGTGCTGATATCTTAAGGCCTAACGTAGGCGCTTTTCGGCATGTAAAGGTGTTAAACTAGGTCGCTGCATCTTTCGCCACTTTCGAAGGCCCATTTCATAGGTAAGACGCCAAATTGCCATTCGTTTAACCTTGAAATCGACTTGAGCGAGTAGATCTTCGACTAAAATTGGCGGGGTTTGCTGTTTAGTATCGTATATATGATCACGATCCTCTTCAGTAAGCTTCCTTAGGGCGCCTGAGTGTGGAAGGCTTTGCTGTTTTTGACGCTTTGCCTCTTGAGTAAGCGTATATTAAATAATTGAGCGTGGAATGTCGGGAAAGCGCATCTTCTTAATAGTGGTCGCACCCCAGCCATTTGTAGTATTTAATTCACAGATCTTAGCCCTAGTAAGGCAGTCAAGCTCTGGATCTCTCTTCCCACGTATTGGAGGCATAATAAGGTAAGAAAATGCTGTTACGCGTTGAAATATAACGTATACATCAGCGCGTTCAACGCGAGGCAGCATGCATACTAATAAAGTAGGCGGTATATAGAGCGGTCAAACCACCCGAAGTACCGGAGGTCAAATACTTATATACACCACTGTACCTTGTTTTTTTAAATGGTAATCCTGTATATTACAGATGGTTTCCCGTGCGCTTTACCAAAGGGAAAGCCAAGAAGTGGCAGAGGAATCAGGTAGCTGTGTACTTTTAAAGTTAAGTAGTTATAGAAACTTACTCTATAATATAAATACAATCTCTTAGCCGAATCCATTTCGCCGATACTTATGTTCCTCCGTCTATATATTCTCCGACTTTAAATAATTACGTCCTATATTAGAAGCGGTAGGAGATCTAATCTATAAGGAAAAGCGCCGATAAAAAAATCGAGAATTATAGCGGGGGTTTAGTAAGTTAATATACGGAACTGATAGACTCTCATCCCCTCTCTATTTATCACTATCCACAGAAGGACTTTCAAACCAAGTAGGCGTGGTAGACACGCTGTTAGTACCATTAACTCTAGTACATGGGAATATCATCCCCTGGCGAAGCAGGGCCATCTTATGTTAAGAAGAACATAGAGACATTCACAGTCTCAACCCAGAATGATGTTGATCATGCCGCCATGTCCAGCTCAGAGTCCGTCAATATAGATTGTGTTATCCCACACCTGGATCCGCAAAACGCGTATCTACGAAAATCCCTCTTCACCTTCGTACCCACAGAAAAAATCCCTCAAGGATGCGATCCCCAAATGGTTTTTCCACACAGTATAATAGTGACTGACCAGGAGCGCGGTATTCCGCACTGTATAGTAAACAAGCCTTTAAAATCATGCGGTTACCGCGCGGCATAGGCTCGAAGACTACAAATGGGAATTATTCATGTGATAAATAACATTCATGACTCTATTTACTACTGAACGACAAAATGGAATCCTATCCATCACCAGCTCTTGCTTGCTGATTCAACTCCAACATACTCAGTCTAGTCTGATGTTGGACACCAATCATAGTTTCCATTCACATTATTTCCCCACCACGAGGGGAAAGAATGTGCCGGTCCACCGGCGCCAAAGACCGCGAAGGATAGAATGAAGAGAACTGTCAGACTCGCGCCGTCAAAGGCACCCGTGATCAAATATGAGTAGTCTCTGAAGATACGTGGGCGGTAATTTCGAAGGTAGTACTGGACATAGAAGCCGCCAAAGATCCAAGTAGCAAGCACACATGTCTGGCTTTGGTTATAAGGGATAAAACCGGCGTATTGAATGAATTGGGGCATGTTGATTTCTGAGAGGTCAAATTTGCCAATTTTGGGTATGAACTAAGGGACGGGGAGTCAGCTTCTTAGAGACAGCATTGTAGGGACGGGGGACAACATACCTGGTAGATAATACGATGAACAACGACAACCGCTGCACCGACAACGATACCGATTGGCACAGCGCCATATGGAGTGCCGATCTTGTAAATATAAGGCGCGAGAGCCCAAGAGGCCGCGTTAGTATTGAAGGATTGAACGGTAGCGCCGCTCCACGAGGAGTTCCCGTTTCCATCTACAAGCAGGGCTCGGTTGCTAGTCACGATGGATATCATGACAGCGTAATTGATGAAACCACCAAGAATAGTGCCGTAAATCTGGGTAACGAACATGATTAAAGGCGGAATCTTGAGGTACTCTCCCATCTTCAAGTCATTGGAAAGGTTGACACAGTTTGTAATGACGTTATGCGACCAAGCGGCAAAGTACATATTGCCGATGGGGCGCCCAGGAAGCATCAAACCCGCAAACATCTTTGAAATATTGTTTGTGGCAATGCCATTACCGTACCGAGAGTATAGGATAGTACTCTATAACGAGAGCTTGGTTAGAGCTATTCGACAAAAATGTTGGTTGTTGGGAAACTCACGAAAGGGGAAATGACGATTCCAACCAGTAGAGAGACAACATACGCCCAAGCTGGAAGGGTGATGTTCTCTTTGAGAACAACGATGAGGCCCAAGACGAAGCTGATGACGAGTACCAAAACGTACCACCACCATGACACTTCTTTGTAATGCTTAGCCATGTGAGCATGGTGCCGATCGTCGAATCTACCCTCCCTTGCGCTTTGATAAGCCCGCTTGATATCTTTGCCCCAGAAAAGAAAGCAATGAACGATAAGAGCACCAATCTAGAAAGACAAATTAGTTTATCAAGCCAAAACGGGGCTGGAGTCACGTACTGCAGCGTTCGCCATAAACAACGCGAATGCGAACGTTCCAGTAAGCTTGGGCAAGCCAAAATTGGCCAAGGCTGTTTCATCTAGTACACCACCGGGGAACACTTCATTAATGGGATACGCCGTACCATTGCTCATAAGCATTCTTGTGGACATGAAAGGAAGCGATCGCGAGTTCCACCCATTGCCATAATAGATACCTAGCATTGCAATAAAACAGGTGAAGAGACCCAAGGCTTGATGAACTTGCAGTTTCAGTGGCAGGGAGGTTTGGAAAGAGGTGAGCTATCTTTGTCAGTCTACCTATTCAGGCCCGTGAATGCGTCATTCGAGTGTACCAACTCACATATTGCCAGTCCAAAGAAATCGAGAAAAGGCCAAGACCCTCGTTATTTGTGGCTCCACCAAAGAGGTTGGTAAGGACTGCAGCCTTGCTACCAGTTGCCTTTTGAGCAGCCAAACACTAAACGGTTGATGTTAGGAGTTTGTTTTGGAGACAAGGCTAGAGAGAACCTACCGGTATAGAAACAGAGTTAAGCCAGGGGAAGATGTAGGCCGGAATGATCTCATACAGTGACATGCCACTAAAGGCATACCAGAAGTATCTCAGTGGCTTAGAGTTTTTTACCTGCTGCCAGTGAAGTCCTTGGAGTGTCTTCACGGTAGGCAGAGTACTCCAGTAGACAGCCTCAGAGTGCCAGACAGCAATGGGACGCAACAGTCCACAGAGGCCGTACCCGAATAGGCCGATAGAGATCATACTCAAGATGATGGTGGTTGCGCTTATTTTAAGGTCATAGTAGAGCTCTTGTGCCGCAAATACTGTCGAAGTTGTAGAGGCATTTGAGGCTGAAGTGGCTGTAATCGCACAAATCGCGTGCTCTTTTAGACCCCACGGCCCATAGTTCACAAATTTGATGACTTTGATCCACCAAGGAAGGCTGCTACCCTGACCTCGCTTTGCTCTCCAGCGAGCCTCAAATTTCTCACCACGCGGAAGGAGTTTAGCCCAGGCATTACCAACAAAGTAGGAGATGAGGACAATGAAGGTTCCCTGGATCGTGACCAAGGTAGGTTTGAACTAGTAACGTATGTGTGAGATATAGACACAGAGGGCGGACAACCGTTTTGGGAAATGCAAAACTTACTTGGTAGATCTGGTTCATTACGGCCTGGAAGCAAGCAAGGCCGGATGCTAGCACAATGCTCCGAAATGTCAAAACTGGATCAAAGTCATCTCGCAGTGGTAAAAGATGGATAGCAGCATCAGCTCCGGTTATTATAATGGCATTTCCACTGTCACCATCATTGTCGTCTGCAACATCGTCCGCTGTTACGGTGTTTCCATCTTTGCCGGCAAGCACAGTAATACCGCTCTTCTCATCGAAGACCTCCTGCTTGGACATCGAGATCTCACCCTCCACCGGCGACTCAGATGAAATCGGTGACATTGCTGATGAACTCCACTTATCTTCCCAGATCGCGAAGATCGCTTGTCACACTGCTAAACCAAAATAAAAACAATCCTAGGGCCTGCGCGGTTCTTATAATCTTATCCTCCCACAAAGCCATGATTATTGGGCCTGTCTGGTTGGTCAATTTATGATACCATGTCGCACGAAAATGAGCCACCACGCTTCCGGGAGCTAGAACAGGTCTCTGGTCACCATGCCTAAAGTAGCGCATGGTGCGTTTAGTCTAAAAAGGTACAGGGGCGACAACAAGAAAGGTAACATTTTTGCCGTCCAACACCATGGCCCCACCGAAGCTCGGGCCTGCTTAACCTTAACGCTGCGCAATCTCCAAATTGGATGATAATGTCCTCGCTTAGAGACCCCTGCATAGAAGTGGCAATACCTTTATGGTAGAATCAATTAATGTTCGGTCGCTATATCCAATATTACCCCCTCGTTATTCAAAATCACTCAATGCCGGCATTTGTTTCCCACAAAAAGGTTGTTGGTATGCTATCGCGCTAACCGCTGACGCCATCTTGTGGCGTCTGTTGTTAAAATTACCCCGGCACTTTTCGCCTTGCTCGCGGAGCTCCGAGCCTTTTTCTGTTCTCATTTCTCCCCGAACGGGTTAGGCAATCGCCCCCGACCTTGAGGCAAGCAGAAATTTTCAACGAACAAAGAAGGGTAGAATAAGAGCAGACTTGAGATCCAATCACTATGTGGAATTAGGTTTACCATTATTGTCCGAACGGAGTACGCATCTCATGCCTTAGCATGAACGACTAAGGCATGAACGATAACCATTTAAAGTAGAATGTAATAAGTACCACGAACCTATATCACAGGCCCATTTGGGTAACATGAACGATCGGTATCCCGACGGAACAAATGCGCCACACCAGATAGACATAGCAAATATACTGACATGTGCCAATTTGTCCCTGCTTACTACTTAATTGCTTTTCATTCGCTTTGGTGTTCTGAAAGTTTCCCTTTGGCATAGATAGCGGGGAGGTTCCAGATTCGCCATACTTACACTGTAACCCTCCCTGCATCAGATGGGACTCTGCGAGACCTAGATTAGCTAGGCTTCGGTTGCTGATTTTCAATCGCACAAATCTCCACCAATGCCGGTCGAACTGATTCTAAGTTGAGACTACATCAAGTTCGCTACTGGGAATACAATTTCTCAAAATTTAAGTGCTATGATCCGACGCCAACTGCAAAAAACGAGCGGGAGTCTGAAAATCAATGCGAGTGGCCGTGGTCCCACTGTTTTTTTCCATACAAAATTAACAAATCCTAATGCGAGTGCATCAGCATGGTTTTTGGCTTTGGATATATATGTTAAGGGGCAACAAGACGGGAATGATTATCGAAATGATAATATCGAGATGCGTGATAAAGATAACTATCTAAACCATGAGATCAAAATTTGTTGCTGGAAAAGACGAGAGATAACGGGCACGTAGCCTATAAACACCCCTCATGAGCAAAAACATGTGAACCCCCACCAATGCGACCTTGGTCCATTGCCCCCCAATTCTCACAAAAAAGCAAAAAAAAAGACAGTCTCTGTTTCCTATTACGGTACACAATTCGTAGTCAGGTGATAGGCTTGGAACGCAGGGGCACCTTGCCTAGGGGTTTAGTGAGACTATTGGCGGTTATCCTGTTAGTACGAATTTATATGAATCTATAACTTTGTCGCGAATGTAGTGCAATCGAATTATAATGTGCTTAGCTTCTGCATAAAATTCGGGATTCGAAGCTAGGTTAACGGCTCTAATTTTATCCGCATAAATCACCACTAGTTCCTTTAGCAGGGGCACCCTTATCTAGTGATAGACAGTACTAACTAGGTGCATTCCTGGATAGTTAGCTAGTGCCGAAGCAAAAACTTAGATTCGGTAAAAAAAAATTACTGTAGGGCTACTTCCCCGAGGTCTATAAGATGGGGCTGTTAGCCATTATCGAAACGAAAACTAAGGTCGATATGTGTCGGGGAGTCAGGTGCCTTCCTATTTGGGGACATCCTCCATGCACGATAGTAGATACTAGCAGATAGCTTTCTCCATCTCTCTCCTCTCTCCTCTCTCCTTTCCCCCCGCCTGCATTTCCATATTAATTCTTCATATCTCATTGCCCATCTTATGATCCCCATGAACTATTGATCCACCATTCCCCCTCTTAGGCTCACCAAAGCATCATCGATTAGCTTCCACATCCGCTCATCTTGGCATTGAGCCCTAGCCTCTTTCAGCATCTCCTCCCAGATTGCCCATCGCTCCCGCGTATAGCCTGTCCAGTCCTCCTCTTCATACCTTTTCCCCAGCTCAGCGTCAGACGCCTTAGGATACGTGCGACCATTGAGCACATCCGCCCACAGCCACGCCGCAGCGTAGATGAACCACTGGCAAGCGGCTTCCGTCGCCGCCGTATCTCCCCGCAACGCAGGAGGTCGCTTGTTCTCAAGTGCTGTCGCTAGAGTTCATATGGCCCTTAGTGATTTGTCCAGGGAAAGAATCGCACTTTTCTTCTTGGGAGGTGTATAGTGGATCTCTGCAGTCTGAGTGAGCTGTGCGAGGAAGCGTTGAGAATAACCCAGCGATTTCGTTGCTTAGTATCTAGGGTTGCGTCACATGGATCAACGGCAGTTTGCTTCTGGACATGACACATAAACTCGGTAAGCTGGATGTTTTGGATGGTTCAAGGCGTTGAGCGAGCTCCATGGCCGCAAGAGAGAAGTTGTAGTCTGAAAGACCGATCCCGCTTATGTAGTTTGGACCATGAATGGATAATGTACTCATGGTCATGTTAATGAGGTCTTGGACTGCATCTTGCGTTGTGCTTTCTTCCTTGACTACTTTGTCGAGGACTTTGAACTCAGCGAAGTTCTCGATTTGTCAGATGAAGTTCTCTTTTCCCATAGCGAAGGTGTGTAAGTAATCAGAGAAAGTCGGTGTTCTTGGGTAGATTGTAAGTATATTTGAGATGATTATTGTGGAAAGTAGAAACCTTGACTGACTAGTAAAGAAGGACGAGGCATAGCCAAGATCTACGAAAGCGGATAAGGCTGTACAGAGATAGTGGGCTGTTAGTAGCTTCTTTCCACATAACCATAACCGTGGTGTTTTAATTCATTACTTAATTCATTACGATAGTCGCTAGGATAGAAAGAATTTCCCGAGCGAGGCTTATAAGAACCGGAAAAATCCTTGTTAATTGTCCCTCTAGAATACTAGAGGATTAACTGAGATAGCTCCTGTTATATTTAGTTATATAATGTTTAGTATTACCTGAATAATAGATGCCGATCACTTACTAGCTTTGAAGAACTAGGAAAGGTTATCACCACGAGTAAGTGGAGTGGACGACTTTAGAGCCTGCTGGCGCTTGAAAAGCTAAATAATAAACGCCCCTTAATTTAAAAATAAGGTCGCTAGCACCAATTGCTTTATAGATCACCGTTATTCATATAGTCCGAGTTACTCCTTTAGCCCCTGGTAGTAAAAATTTTTCTACTAACTAGCTTTATCCAAGACCACGTTACGAGGATCTCTGAGCTTAGACGGATTCGGAAAATAAATGGAGAAAGCGCTAGTACTGTTGTTCAATGCCGAACTAATCGATGGAGTCTTGGACTCCAGCCTCTGAATTGTCTTATATACTACTGTGGGATCATGTCAGGCCATTTTCACATCTGCGAGGTCCACGCCTCGTACCAGTTCACGCCCTAAAATTGGTCATCTCGCATTCTGTACATAGACTGCGAGACGTATTATTACACCTTCTCAATACTTAGGTCCTGACAGATGTTTCCCCAGGCGATTACGTAATCGCCAGATCAATTCCCAACTGGGAGGTTTTTGAATTCCCAGTGATTCGCTGCTCAATTGTTCTCGGCCAAAAATTAGAAAAGAAGGGTTATGTTCCGACAGAGAATTGTAGGGATTCAGTACTGGTAATGATCTGGTGCCCAGGTGCATTGCTTATATATCTGAAGATCTATATTAAAGCGAACATGGTACAAATTTTCCATGCAAGGGTTCTAATCCAAATTCTTGGCGCTTGGCAACTTTAATCGAGCGGGTATCTTTTTTCTCGTCTCTTTGCCTTCTAGAGATTTACATAACAATAGCTCCATATCGGTAAACTGCACCACCGGTAGGGCTTTAAAAGGTATCCATTACATCTCCCTTCTCTTCCAATACTCAAGGGATTGTCAAAATGGACAGCCGCCAGAAGGCTGACTCGGCCCTGGAATTACCGGAAATTCCCGATGAAGTCAGCTCAGGACCAACTCTCGACGAAGAAAAGATCGAAAAGACTGTAATACGGAAGATTGATATGCACATCCTCCCTTTCGTGGTATTGGTGTATCTCTTCAGCTTCCTGGATCGAGGTACGTGCGCTCCTTAGGTGATGAAGTGGGGTGATGCCTGAGTCATCCCTTGGTCAATCCATGCAACAACAACCCGACTGACTTGACACGTCCATAGTCAACATTGGAAACGCCCGCCTATACGGATTGGAAGAGGATTTGGGACTTGTCGGCAACCAGTACCAGATCGCAGTTTCCATCCTTTTTGTAACTTACTGTGTACGCACCACCCAATCCCAGCTCACCAGATGCAAACTAACCCAAGCAGTTTTTCGAGGTTCCCTCAAACCTCGTCCTAAAAAAATTAAGGCCGTCGCGGTATATTGCCACGATCTCAGTCCTGTGGGGTATCATTGCAACCTTAACCGGAATTACCCAAAATTATGGCGGTCTCATCGCCTGTCGGATTCTACTTGGCGTTGTGGAAGCCGGGCTGTTCCCAGGTTTCATCACCTACCTCACTCTCTTCTACAACAAGCGTGAGATTGCCCTGCGCACAGGCTATCTATTCAGTAGCGCAGCCATCGCCGGAGCCTTCGGCGGGCTACTAGCGTACGGCATCGGGTTTATGGATGGAATCTGTGGACTGCGAGGATGGCGCTGGATCATGATCATTGAAGGAATCCCGACTGTGATTTTGGGCGTGGCAACATGGTTCGGGTTAGCGGATGACCCGGACACTGCGTACTATCTCAACAAAGAAGAGCGGGCGATTGTTGCTCGCCGCCGAGGACGCTATATCGGGCAGACTGAGTCTGCGCAAAAGTTCCATTGGGCAGATGTCAAAGACGGGGTGATGGACTGGAAGATTTGGGCATTTTCTATTGGCCAGTTTGGTGTCGATACCATGCTTTACGGTTATAGCACTTTCCTTCCTACTATTATCAAAGGCATGGGCAATTGGTCTACCCCTGAAGTTCAGGCATTGACAATCCCGTGCTATGCACTGGGTGCCATTGTTTACCTTGTGATTGCCTGGGTGAGCGATCGCACCCAACACCGTGGGTTTTTTGTTTGTCTCTTCAGTGCTATCTCTGTCGTTGGCTACGGAATTTTGATCTCCGATTCATCTTCGGGTGTTCATTACTTCGGCGCTTTGATGATTGCTCTGGGTCTTTATGTTGCTGTTGGTTTGCCATTAGCTTGGTTGCCGACAAATTTGCCTCGATATGGAAAGAGAGCATATGCCACAGGACTGCAGCTCACTTTTGGCAATATCAGTGGAGTCATGTCTCCTTTCTTGTACCCTACTTCGGAGGGTCCACGTTTTGTTCGCGGCAACGCAGTGACTCTCGGTTTAGTTGGGTTTGCGGGTGTTGTTTACGGTGGCATGTGGCTGAGCTACCGATTGATCAATAAGCGTAGAGCCCAGGGTCTGGAGGATGAGAAGATTTCATCTCTGTCAGAGCAAGATATTCAAGAAATGGGTGACCGAAACCCCCGGTTTCTCTACAGCACATAAGCAATTCGACCAAAGCCTGATATCGGAATTCATAGTTAAGCATTTGATTAGGATGGTCTGTATGGACGGCAGACACGGACAAACAGCGACCCATCATAGAGAAAAGGAGATTCACACATGTACATATGGGATTTCGGGATTTATCAGCTCAGCCTATACCATTGGTCAAAATGACCCCAATTGAGATACTCACTAAACCTTTTGTCAGCCAAAACTTCACCTGATTTACCTATGCTTACAAAGACTCAAACCAAACATAGAGGTGGTCACCGGATCCAAAGAATTCATGTTCGGTAATATGATGATGTCATTTCCATTATATCTGGGGTAAGGTAAACCTTAGAACAACAACATCTCATTCCCTCTGCGTACATATGTACTCATCGAACATCTTACCACCATTCAAGAAAATAGCAAGTCCGCTCCTCGCTGGTAAAACGAAATGAGAAGCTTCAACCCTTTGAGACGGGCATTCCAAGCAACCGCCCACCCCATCCTAACCCATCCCCATCCCCTCCGCACAACATGTCACCTTCAAGCATCCAAGCCCCAAAATGAGATACTGCTTGAAAGATGCATCCTAAACCCCGAACACTCAGAAACCTGCCAATCAGGCACAGACGATGAAGTAGGCCGTCACAAATCTCCCTACGACCCAACCAACACAACACCCGAGCAGGAACATCTCGCACTAGAGGAAGAATACAGACTGGAAGGGGACACTGTGCATGACCCTCTATTCTTCAGTCCTGCGAATAAGGATGTCAGCTTGATCCTCGATCCGATGGCTGGTGTAGTGCACACTCTGAAGCATTTGAGGAGTGTAAAGGGGTGGTCTAATAAGCGGAAGGAGGTACTTTTGAACACGGCACCTTATGAAATGAGGAAATATGATAGTGTTTTTACGGAGCTGAGGAAGCCGTTCGGAAAGGTTTGTTGACGAGGCTGTTTTGTTGAAGCTGACTAACTTGGTTGGTAGAATTTGTAAGCTTGAGTAGATCGTGGTCACGAAGATGAAGATTGTGCGATACTTGGTTTTAAAATTGACATTGCTTTCAGTTGGACTTTCTTATTTCATTCTAGCTGTGTTCCAAGGCTTAACGTCTAACTTGGCTTAACGTCTAATTCAGCCCAACAAGCACCCCGTTCTCGTTCTCCAGAGTCATGAGTATCCTTTCTTTCCATTCTTCAGTATTGTAGTTTGAAATCGTCGAGTAAGTCTGGAACACACGAGTCACGAAATATGTGAGCACAGTCATAGCATAATGCCCTGTGAAATAAATCAGTCAAAACCTTTATCACAACAGTTGAAAGAGTAATTTACGACCAGGGCAAACTCTTGGTCCCGAGCTGAACGGTATATAACCGGGTATCTCGCCTCTCAGATTTTCCCATCGCTCCGGATGAAACTCCTCTGGGTGCTCACCGAACTGCTTCCCGAGTCGATGACTAGCCCATGAAGAAAAGACTACAATATCGCCTTTTCTGAGAAAAATTGGGGAATGGCCACTGACTCCGCCACCCTTCGGCAAAGTGCAATGTTGGTTTGCTACCCTTGTGTTGAAGACGGCTGGTGGAAAAAGTCTCAGAACTTTGGAATATAGTTTCAGCATAGTTTTAGCAAGTGGTTACGAGCTGGCGACTGGCTAAGTGATGACATTTACCTTCTTGGAGGACCCAACGAACATAGTGCAACGTCCCGAGTTGTTCCCACGACGGGGGAGATGTCCCAATAGTATCAACAATACTTTTTCGCAGCTTCCGAGCAACACGCTCATCTCTAGCTAGGGAGTAGAAAAGTCCCGACAGTGTGGTGGCCATAGTGTCACTTGCTAAAAGAATATCCATTGTCTGATTAAACGATTGCGAGACCTCAGACTCACTCTTTTGTTAACTCTTGATCCGACCCTTGCTTTCGAGCGTCATGGACACATAATTTCGAATTCTCTCACAGGACTGGTGAAATGTTTTTCTGGAAGACAAATAACGCAAAGGACCGCGGAATCCATGCTAAACGATTTTTCCCACGGCGAAAAGCAGATCCTCCTGGAATCTCCTTTTTTCTCGCGATTGAGTCAAACTAAGGGCATCGATGGACTCCCCAAGAGCAAACATAGTCTGAATATCCAAAACAAGCGCCGAAGCACACTCTTGGGCATCAAACATGCCACCATTCGGTGGCACATGTCGACGAAAGCTCTGAAAGTGTCGCTCACAAACACCGAAGTCGATAATCTCACGGAGGTTAGAAAACCGACTGCGCATACTCCTTCGATGACCTTTCCACTCAGGTTCATCGGAGACAAGTATACCACGAGTGAGAGGCTCAAATACGGGTTTTCGTAGTGTGGCGGCGTCGAAATTGATGAACGACGTAGACAGCATATGCTTAATGTTTTCTGCATTGCAGGTGAAGATCATTCGGTAACTGAGAATGTTGGACAAGTAGGTCTCGCCATATTTTTGGAATAAAGAGTTCGTGTACCGCAGTGAGGTACGGGCTCGAAAATGCGAAGCAAATTCTATTGCTTTTGCGATACCAAAAAAATCCGATGGAAAGCAATCGCTTTCATCCGGTAGCTTTTCGCAGCCCCGGAGTCGCTCGAGGTTTCGTAGTCTCTTTATTTGATACCATTTTAGTTCGACGATGATAAGCACCAAGCCTAATGTAGCCACAATCGCGGCCATGTAAAGGCTTTGTTGTTCGGTGCCATCAAGTAATTCAGACATGGTCGTGTCTAGCAGATATTGTTGATTTTCGATTAGGATAGAATATGATGTTGAACATGTATGTATGCTGTGCAACTTTTCTAACTGTCCGATTAAGATGTCTGCTAGTTGACGGCTCTTTCTTTTCTTTTGCCTATACTTCCCTTCCGTTCTGGACTCCGTGCTCTTGCCAAGGCATACTTACATCCATGCATGCAAAGAATAACTAGTGGCTGACTGCTTCAAACACTTTCATGCCATGTTCCATACAAAATTAGATTACTATGCAAATTTATTTATTTGGTGGCTTTTTTTCTACAGCCATGGGAATATCAGCATATCAAGCATTCCACCACTTCCCATTGGAGGTTGACACATTTGGTTATCTCATGCGATTATAAAGTCAAATGAAGGGGTAGCACACTTCAACGCTTTCCCAGAGATTTCCTATATTTCAACAACAGGTCTGAACAGATCACGTCATGGCCCCGAGATCACCTATCGATGATGGTTCCTCCCTTGCAACTCAAGTGGAGCATGCCTTGAAGCTTTCGAATGATTATGCTGTTGCGGTGCAACACCCTGACGGTCATTGGAATGGAGAAGTCCGCAGCAATGTCACCATCACTTCAGAGTATATCTTTCTTCGACAGGCCCTGGGATTGGATCTTTCAACCGACAGAACAGTCTTCACACGTCACATACTTTCTCAGCAGAACCAAGATGGATCCTGGGGTCTGGCACCGGAGTATCCAGGGGATGTTTCAACCACAACTGAAGCTTATCTCGCACTCAAGATATTGGGGACTAGCCAACACATCCCAGTTATGAGGAGGGCCCGAGCATTCGTACTTGGTGCAGGTGGTATTGCAGCTGTTCGTGTCTTTACTCGTATCTATTTAGCTACATTTGGCCTCTTTCCATGGGACGCAGCACCTCAGCTTCCAGTGGAGCTGATGCTTTTGCCCTCTATTTGCCCAATCAACATATATTCTTTCTCGTCCTGGGCTCGTGGTACTATCGCACCTTTGCTGATTATATGTCACCACCAACCCGTGTATTCACTTCCTAATGGTAAGTTCGCTCGAAACGACTATCTCGATGAGCTTTGGCTCGATTGCACCAACAAAAATGTACCGCTCAGCGCTTCTTTTTGGGAGATGATGTCCAAGGGAGAAATCACAGGACTAGCATTTGGTTTCTTGGACAGAGTTCTCTATCACTTGAATGGACTGCGCTCAATTCCCTTCGTGAGATCTTATGCACGACGGCAGTGCATGAAATGGATCCTGGAACGCCAAGAAGAAAATGGGGACTGCGGTGGCATATTCCCTCCCCTGCATGCTGCCATATATGCATTCAGTTTGGAGGGCTACAAGCTGGACGATGAGCCCGTGCGTCTTGGGCTGGAGGCGATGGAAAGAGCTGCCTGGGAAGACAAGTCGGGAAAGAGGATTCAAGTCTGTACTTCTCCGGTGTGGGATACCGCCTTGATGACGATAGGACTCTCCGATTCTATGGCAATAGAGAATAAACCCACTGAGAAATCGATCACTTGGATCCAAAGCCACCAGTTGCTCGAGCCTCGTGGAGACTGGCGCATATCCCGCCCTCAGCTAGCCCCCGGTGGATACAGCTTCGAGTATGAAAATACCTGGTATCCTGACGTGGACGATACGGCAGCCGTGCTTCTGGCTCAAGTCAAACACGACGCCCAATCTATTGCCTCGAACTCAGTGATTGCTGCTGCAACATGGATTCTCGGCATGCAGAACCCGGATGGAGGCTGGGCTGCATTCGATGTGGAGAACGACAAGCTGTTTTTGAACAAAATCCCATTCAGCGACATGGATGCTATGTGTGATACATCCTGTGCTGATATCACGGGACGAATTATCGAAGCCTTCGGTCTAATTATGAGACGCTCCTCTGAGAAATTTCACGCAAGTCACTTGATGCCTCAGTTGAGTGCAGCGTGTACACGTGGCGTGCATTACCTTGCATCCACCCAAGAGCCCGATGGATCTTGGTTCGGCAGATGGGGATGCAACTACATCTATGGCACGGGACATGCACTTTGCGGATTGGCGTATTATGTCGACAATCCTCAAGTGCGCCTGATGGTGAAGTCGGCTTTGCAATGGGTGAAATCAAGGCAGAATACCGATGGAGGCTGGGGTGAGTCGCTTCTATCCTATCAATCTGCCGACTATCAACGACAAGAATCGACGCCTTCACAGACTGCGTGGGCACTGATGGGGTTATTGGCTCATCTCCCTGTCGCGGATGAAGCTATCGAGCGCGGCGTTCGGTTTTTAGTTTCCTCGCAGAGACCAGAGAGAGACATTGGGTCTTCATGGCCACAGAAAGTCTATACTGGTACTGGATTTCCGAATAAAATGTATTTAGGCTACGACTACTATCGTCATTACTTCCCCATGATGGCCCTTGGACGGTATCTACAAGGAGTACGAGCACAGGGCTAAAAGTGTCTAGGAGGCAGGCTATTAGCCATGCAACTTTCATAATGTTTGTCTGTTTCCAAGGTTATTTATTGGCCGCATAGCTACTGCAAGATTTGGGCACCTTCGACATCAGTCGTGAATTGAATTCAATGCATTAAAAATGACGATTATGCAGACAACATATTAGACCTACTTGATTGCTAATGCTTGTACTATCTAAGAACCAAACCCAATGAAATGCCTCAAAACTTTGACAGTCAAGGTTTCGATGTAAATTGTTCGTGCAAACACAGGTCAGTTTAAAATAACACTGCATATACGACGGGGCATAACGGCCAATGTCCGGATGTATTTTTTGACCTAGTTGATGCCTGAAACTGCCACATTGGTGCCTTATTTTAAACCGGCAGAAATTAAAATACCTGAATTACTATGACAGGTGCCTTATTAAGCAAAGTATCTAAATTGCCTCAGTGTCAAAGTTCAATAATGTGAAGCTATTCCCACCATACTAAATTGCATGCACCCCGAAAATCTGGCGTTGAGGCCATTCCTAAACCACTCCCTATGTTTGCTCTATTCTGGCTGTCTAATGAGAGGGCAGCATTTTTGTAGGTTTTAGAGTGTCGCATTGCAATGAAATTGAAGCTATTCGCACTATGTAAAATATCATTCACCCGCAGACCTGGCGCTGAGGCCATTCCCAACACACAAAACATCATACACCCCCCAAACCTAGCGCTGAGGCTATTCCCACCACACAAAACATCATGCACTCCCCAAACCTGGCGCTGAGGCTATTCCCACCACACAAAACATTATACACCCCCCAAACCTGGCGCTGAAGCCATTCCCACCACACAATTATTCACCTCCGAATCCTCCTCCGCTGGCTCCGACGTGGCGGAGTGACTGCCTCCTGCGTCTGAGATCGACCTCGCTTGCACACGACTGCGGGTGCGGGTGGCGAAGGGATTGTAAGGGGCGATGGACTTAGCGAGACACACTCTAGGTCGACAATGCAATCCTGCGAATTATCAATTGCAGTTTCTTCTTGCGCTTCTCGCGCAATCACCACATGAAGTCTTGCCGATTGGTTCGGCATTCTTGCAAGAAGATCCTTTACCTGGCCATCGAAGTTATCCGTAATGCCTTCGATCCATTGAGGAGTAAGCTTGCCCCCAGCAGCCTTGGTCATCTTCCCAGCGAGGAAGAATTCATCTGTCGGCAGCGCTTGAAACTTCGTAGCCGTAGGTAGCCTACATAGTAGCTTTCTCCTGACAAACCAGTCGATAGCACCAATGTAGTAGGTTGGGCGGAGGGAGATCAACACCGACGAATCAGGAATCGAGCGTGTTTCTCCAGGTCTTTCTCGAAGATAGAACGCAACAGCAAATGGAATATCCCGCTCTACTTGTTGAGTAGCTCGCTGGCGTTGAGTGTACGCAAGCCTGGTGCTACTAGCTGTGCCCTGGAGAGCAGATAATGGTGTGCTTGTAAGCTGGGCCGAAGAGGGAGGTGCGCTCGCTGTCGCTGTCGCTGGTGATGTCGGTGTTAGTGTTGGCGTCGATGTCGCTGGCGAAGGCGTTACTGGATTCATTTCCCGCCATTGAGTGATAAAGGCAGCAAAAGCAGCAGGGGGTATGTCAGACATAATGAATAATGAATAATGAATAATAGAAAATAAGAAATAAGAAGTGAGAAGCAGTTATGTTTAATAGGGAGGGTTATAATTATGACCGACCACTTACTACCGAGACATTATATCTCCTCCGAGACATCAGGCCGCCAATTAGCAGCGCCAATTGGCTTAGCACAAACGTCGAGTATTGGATCTCGACCAGTGTCCCAGTGTGCAAACGCTCGTACCCGAAGTGCTTCGTACACCGCTCGATATGGCTGTTGAGGGTCCCCAACAAGGTGGGGATTCGGATCTTCAGGGTTAAACGGGTTCCCCGGTCCTATTAGCTGCTCCCCAATCTCTGCGAGTTGCTGTCGGCACCAAGTAGATGTAGACTGTGGGAGATACTCATCCGGATCCCAGCTTTGTGTAAATTGATGTAGCGATTGGAATAGCTGGCCTTGCTCCGAGTTGGCATCTAGGTTGATTGCACAGCGAAGGTTAGGGTTATCGGAATAGTGGTAGTTAATCGCGGGTCTTCCATAGATACCCTCTGGTCGACGAGGCTGGCGTGGAATATAATGTGTATTCCAATTATTAACAAATGCTTGGACTCGTGCTCGAAGAATTGGCATATAAATCGCAAGAAGAGAGACTTGCTCGGGGATACAGTCCTTAGAAAAGAGGTTCTCGCGTTGAAGACCGTGGAAATAATGCTATTAAGATATAATTAGAAATAATGATTATATCTGATAATCTGATCTGATGATCTGATACTATACTTACATGAAATAGACCCGTGGTTGCCCTTGATAACATTCCCCACCATGCTTCGATTCGCTGGTTATCAACACTTCGGCCATAAATGTAACAGTCCCGGACCTGCACCGAGGGATCTCCAAGTTGTCGAAGCCGATAATGTGCATCTGCTAGAAGGGTAGTCTCTGTGCCTCGATCGGAGCGGAACTTCCTCGGTTGAAATCCTCCATTGCTAGTGAAAGCGAGCAGACTTTGGCGTAGTACGCTAACCGCAGTACGAGCGCTGACGCCAATATAAATCCATACCATATAGCGGGAATAACCATCGATAGCAGCATATATCTCAAATCCAAAGGGTTCCAGTTTCATATGCCCATCAACATGCCATACATCATTAGGTCCTGGCGATATGTAATTGATTCGCCCTCGTCGTTGGCCAGGGAGTCGGCTTGTGATAACGTCTGGTCGGAGGAGGTGGTACACAATCTCAGTTTGAGCCCTAGGAAAGAGGTAAGAGAGGAGGGTAAATGTGGTGAATGTATAATGACTTACTCAGTGTAAAAATGACCCATAGACTGGAGATGACGGTGAAGTGCACGGCGCCCAAAATCTTCAATATCCCCAATAATAAACTCACTAGCGAGGATGCCTTCGATCTCATGAAGCTGTTGGAGCCGCTCCTCGGGAGGGAGTCGTAGGTGAATACTAAGGTCGGCCCGAATCCGACGTATAGTCCGTTCTGAAGAGGGTGTGCCTTCTTGATCGAGGATTCTAAGAATATCCTGGGTATTATATCGTGGTAAGAGCTGAGAAACACGGTCATGAATAGTAGCCTTTGTGGTGCGTAGAGGTAACTGCGAATCTAATGAGCGCCATCGTTGAAGGCGGGCATTTAGAACTGTCCGGCTGATCTTGATCTGGTATTTATCTAGTAGTATGGTCCGAATACCTTCATGAGTGGTTTCCTGACGGAGAAGCTCAAGAATTTCGGCTTTGTGAGGTTCAATATCGATGTAAGGAGGCATTTATTCGACGTCGCGGCGATGGATGGAGATGGGAATAGCTTCATGGAGATAGACGAAGATGGGGATAGCTTCGCAGCGATGGATGGAAATGGGAATAGCTGCATTTACAATACATGAAGATGGGAATAGCCGCATTTGCAATGCACGGAGATGGGAATAGTCCCATTTACAATACATGGTATAGGCGGTGTAGAGGCGGTCTAGGATGAGGCATCAATTTCAGGCATCAACTAGGTCGAAAAATACATCCGGACATTGGCCGTTATGCCCCGTCGTACTGCATACATAGGCTGTTCTCATGAAGCCTACATCCTAGACTTTGGCAAATAGCCTTGGATCACCGGAGCCGTACCAACTATGAGAAAAAGCAAAGCTTCGTTGGTTCAATTACATAATTTCATGAGAACAGTTGAGATTCTAACCCTGCGATTTTGTGCGGCTTTTGCGACTATTCTAGGCACGTGTTTACGTGGAATAAAAAAAAAGCAAAACTACCTATGTATGGACTAATTTGATTTATACATCTTATCATTGTCCAGTCAGGGACTCCGAGGAAGAGAATACAAGCGCATTGTACTTGTGGTTGAAATATTGGTAACAAAGAAACGACTGTCTACTTTCAACGTTCCTCGAGCATGTCTACATAGGCAGAGTCCAAAAGGGTACTCATTTTGGAGAATTTCCATATGAATTTCACTTTGCATACTGGAGAAGAGGGAAAGGGCTCTTTATACCTGGATTGACACTTTAAGAAAGCCTGAAGTAGCAATGTCCCTCAAGAAATCAACTGCTCAAGGGACCGCTAAAAAGATTATAACCAGAGTACCACATCATTTCCCCAACCTTCGACCGGCATTCACTATGTGCCCAAATACGGGAGCAGCATGGGCTGTCCACTCGCCATGTTCGCTTGCAAATGAATCACAAGTAACTCCTGCATGCCAACCTCCGCAGAGGCCTTGAGCCATTCTACTGGATCAACCGCTTCAAACTCTCCTCCGTGCATCTCCCTCAGCCGCTGTGCAAACTGACCAAATGGCACTCGCACATTACTACTGTGATGCTGAAAGCGAACTGGGCCAGGCACTGCCAGTGGCCCACCCGCAATTTCAGAGGCCACCTCCACGACGTCCTTGAAGTCGAAAAAGCCTTCGGTTTCTGGAATATTGGGGACTTTGTGAGTCAATAGCGAAAAGCGAACCACCGAGTTCATCACATCATCAGCTGGAGCTCGCTCGCCAATCAATGCGCAATGCCGATGGATTACAACCGGAAGATCCAATTCTTGATTGACGTTTTGTAAGAAGCGTTCGCTTGCCCATTTCGAGGCAGTTACGCCTTGGGAGCCATCCGATGGTGGCTGATGGTCCCGCATAGAGACAGGCCGTCCTTCAGTTTTTCCTGACAAAAGGGTTACCCGTGGTGCCGAAATGAGGTGGAAAGGAATCTTTCTAGGTAATGCAATGAGTCCAATCAGGGATTGCGTGGAAGCATAGAGTGCTTGCTTGACTGTGGTATAGTTGTTCATGCAATGTCCCTGCACTGTTGCGTGAATAATTTGATCTACGTTGGATTGAAGAAAAATGATTTCATCCTTCGACAAACCCAGATTCGGACTTAGCACGCTGCCAGCATAGATGACAAGTTTGCCCTTGTCTTCTGAGGGAAGTTTTTTTCGCTCGCCATCCAGTACTGAGATGCAGTGAACCTTTGAGACTCTCACGTTTTCGATCAGTTGTCGAAGAATCTCACCACCGAGAAAAGTTGTTGAGCCAGTAAGTATCACTTGACGTTTCTGGGATGGTACTGTGGACGGGAAGAACTGTCTTGCAGCTTCATACACCCAAGTTGGAATGGCTGTCTCGACATCCCAATCAATCTTGTCGTCTGAAAGTTGACCGCGCTCCTTGTGCATGGCATTTGCCATTCTTCGTAGGGTAGCAGATTGATAAAGCTCTTGGAGCGACAACGAGACGCCAATTCGCTCACGAATCGCATTCTGCAGGTGTACAAGTAGTAGGGAACTTCCACCGACCATGAAGAAATCAGAATCTGGGCCAATGGAGCTAGACATGGCAGCCTCTCCTAGGACATCTATCCATATAGCCCTCAGTTCTCCTTGGGGAACTGTTAAATTCCATCGTCGCTTTTCACCATCAGCTGGCGAATATGGCAGAGGAAGCTTCTGCAAGGCCCTTCTGTCGACCTTTCCATTTGGCGTTGATGGCAGCTGCTCCAATGGCACAATGACAGATGGTATCATGTAACGTGGCAGTTCAACTTGGCGAAGAATATCGTCCAAAACCGCTTGCTCTGGATTCCGCCCATTCGCCGTCACCACGTGGCAAACAAGATATTGGGGATCGCCACGAACTGTGACAGCTGCACCGGCGAGATTTCCACCAGGGTCTGCTGCTAGGATAGCTTCTGACACTTCAGTCAGATCAATTCGGAGACCTCTCAGCTTAATCACCATACCACCCCCATCAGTTCGACCCAGGAATTTGAGAGACCCATCTGGTTGAAGAATACCCCGATCGCCCGTCTTGTACATCATGTACCACCCCTTGGACATATATTCGGGTGTCGCGAATGGGTTAGTAACAAACTTGTTCACATTCAAAGCAGGATCCAGATACCCCTGCGAGACTCCAATACCTCCAATGCATATCTCACCAGGGATTTTCGGGGGCAGTGGAGTGCTATCACTCTCATTGAGGATGTATATGGCAGTGTTTGGAATGGACCTCCCAATTGAGCTTGGGAGATCATCATCAAGTGGAATACTTTGGAAGGTGGCTGCACAGGATATTTCAGTGGGACCATAGCAATCAGTCAATATGAGATTGGGAAGATCAAGACGTCGCAAGTTGTGAACGAGTCCCTCTGTAATTGCCTCGCCTCCAGAACAAGCATGGCGCCACGAAGTACATTTTCGTAATGTGTCTGCGGCGAAGTTGGCAAGCATGAGATACTCAGAGGGTGTCGCAAGGGTGAACTCGATTTCTTCGTCAAGCATGATTTGAGAAATCATACTAGGGTCACCCCGAGACTGCAAAGGCGTAACCACGAGAGTTCCCCCATTAACAAAAGCATTGAATGCCTGCGCGATGGCCATGTCAAAGCCAGTGGAAGTTTGCTGCAGAATCTTGAGTTGACCTAGACCTAAAGCTGATCTCTTTGAGGCAGCGTAGTTCATGATACCATGTTGGCCTAGGCAAATACCCTTAGGCGTTCCGGTTGAGCCACTTGTGAAGAGGATGAAGCTGCCCTCAGTAGCTGGGATATGAACAGAACCTGGAGCACTGTGACCTTGAGAAAGACCAGGGACCTTCCCCAAGTTAAGCATCGAAATCTCAAGTTCACCGCAACATTGTCCTGTGGCCTGACTTTTTGCATCGTGGAACACTATGAGATCTGGCTTACAGGCAGTGATCATGGCCTGTAATCGTGCAGCTGGCAGGCTGGTGTCCAAAGGTACGTGGACGGCGCCAATGAATAGGTTTGCAAGCATCATTGCGTACATGTCAACACCTGGCTCACACATCACTGCGACACGACTCCCAGACTCAAGACCTCTCACCAGTAGTGTGGAGATATAAAACATAACCCGGCGAGAGAGTTCATTATATGTCAATGACTCGTGAGCGTCTTTGATTGCCACTGAGTCGGGAAACGCAGCAACAACCTCATTGAACCTTTCGGGTAGCGTCTTGGGCCACTCGTAGTCCACATTTGGACCTCTTCCAAGTTCAATGGCCTTTTCCACCTGCGCAGGATTGAACATCTTGCACTCTTCGACTCTGGCCGATGGGTCTTGAGTGACACTCTCCACTATGCTACTGAAGATGCCCAAGATATTCTCGGTGTCCTCAAAGGAGTACAAGCTGTCAGCTGTGATGCACTCCACTGACTGGCTTCCTGTGCCAGTCTGCGTAATATTGATGGTCAAGTCATATGGAGTTTTGACATCTGTATATTTCTGCATGGTCATAACGCAATTTCCCAAAGGTCTTCGCAGGATGTCACCCACTCGATAGTTGAATGCAACTTGGAAAAGTGGTGTACTCGAAGACGATCTGCCAATGCCGAGCCTCTCCAGTAGCACGTCGAATGGAACTAGAGCGTTGTCGAACGCGCGCAACACAGTATTCGAAGTACCTTTTACGAGCTCGCCAAAACTCACATCACGACGCGTATGAAACCTCATGGGCAGAATGTTCGCAAAATGGCCAACAGCATCCGCGTATTGGCCACTTTGGCCGCGTCCATTGTCTGTAACCCCAATGCAAATATCTTCAGACTGAGTAAGATTTGCCAATAGAGCCTGGAACACTGTCAAGTAGAACTGCATTGAAGTCGCTCCGCACTTTTGGCTCAACGTTTTGACCTTAGCGACCAAGTCGGGATCCAGCTCATTGGCGGTAATGTGGTTTCTATACACCCGGCGCGGCTGTCTGCTCTTTCCATGTGCAAATGGCAGCAATGGGAGATCAGCTGGAAGCGGACTGAGTTGATCTTTCCAGTATTGAATGGCCCTCTCGAGTTTTCCAGTGACTACATCTTCATATTGATGCTTGGCAAAGGTCAAGAATGACCCTGGGTTTGGCGAAAGTGGTAGCATCTGATATGCAAGATCAATATCACGAAGGAAAATGCTAAAGCTAAAAGCATCGCTGGAAATCAGATGGAATCCAAAGACCACGGTGTGCAAGTCCTGACCGTGTGAGATAAGAACGGCACGGAAGGACTCTGCGACATCAAGTCGATATGTAGAGTTGGCAACCTTTTCAAAGGCGAGACGAATATCGTGCTCCGCCTCTTCTTTTGTGGAGCTAACCTGAGTGAGCCGGTTCAATTCAACATTGCTAGCAACCTGCTGCTTGACCTCTGGGTCGCCAGCATCAATAGAGAAAGCAGTTTGGTAGATTTCATGGTGACCTAGAACCTTTTCGATTGCTCGAGCTAGTCTTCTTGGGTTCAAATGTCCACGGATCGTGTATTGGGTGGTAACATTGAAATTGGTTGGATCATCCAAGAACGTGTGCAAGAAGTGGATTCCCAATTGCGCGTATGATAAGCGCTGGGTGCGGGAATATTTCAAAAGAAAACGTGCTTTTTCCAGGTCAGGAAGTTGGATATCAGCGTCTGACTTTCTAACTGAGGCTACAGAAATTGATGATTCAGTGATGGAATCACTGTCAAGCGACGGCGGCTCGTCTTCAGAAGGTAGTTGAGAACCTGAATTGGATGTTTGTGGCGACAATAGCTGACCTTCCTCACTGATCTGGGCCTGTTGCATTCTGAATGCTGGCGGTAAATGGGGCTTAATCGCCAGAGATTGACTACCAGATTGAACAGCTGATACGGCGTCTTGGTTTCCATTCTTTCTGGCGTTCATATATGATTCTGCAACACTTGTGTAGATAGCAGAAAGTGGTTCTGAGCCAAGAATTCTGAGGAGAGGGAACTCAACGTGCATATCTTTGCGTAACCAATTGCGGATCTCGATGGCGTGCAAAGAGTCAAGTCCCAAATCTACCATTGGAGACTGCAGGTCAACTGAAGATTTCGGCACCATAATCATCATCTCGATCTTTTTGTAAAACATTTTTTGCACAGCTTTTATTGCCTCAGGGAGGCTTTCAACGCTTTCCAGCTCTTCTCGTAAGTGCTGCATTGATGATGACACCGAAGGCACAGAGCTGGCGCTGTCGGAGGCAACGGGTTTGCGTATCATATGAGAGAAGAATGCCTTTTCTACCCATGGTGGTCGCGCCTTCATGTTGCCATCATCAATGTAAGGTTCCATTCCCATAACGACCTCTCCAGTCTGTGATCCTGGCCGACCTGAGATGATACCCCGCATAACGACCTGGTGAAACTCTGCTTCGGACAGAGGGGTCAGCAGCAACGAACGAAGAGTTCCTTCAATGTCTGAGCCATCGTCACGATCTTTCCTTGCTACATATCCGACGTCCACCAGCAAGCCGAAGTTTAATATAGAGGCTGCCTGACCGCGACGCCTCCGCTGTTCCATCAAACTTGCCATAAATAGATTGCCCGCATGGTACATGGCCTGGCCAGGGTTTCCACATACGGTGGCCAGAGAGCCAAATGTCAAAAAGAACTCAAGGTTGTCGTTTTTGAAAACTTCATCCATGTTGAGCGAACCATCAACCTTTGGCCTGAGCTGTTTTGTAACATTTTCGGCAGAGAAATTGGCGAAGATTCCGGCCTCAAAGACAAGAGCAGCATTCGCGACACCTCCAATCTCGGGCATTGTTTTCCGTATCAGCGCAACTGTCTCTTGTAGCTGTGGTAAATCTGTCACATCCACTTTGACGATTCGAATATCAGCACCATTCGCCCTGAGTGGCTGAAGCCAATGCGGGTCTTTGGTAGGGTTGCGGCTGCCCAGAACGATGTATCTAGCGCCTCCTCGAACCATAAAGCGGCAAAGTGACTGACCAAGTTCACCTGCCATACCTACTAGGAAATAGGTCTTCGTCGAAGAGAAAAAATTTCGTGCTTCTAGGGGTGGAACGACAGCATCTACAAGCCCTTCCCGTCTCCAGTCCAACACAGCCGAGAGACGGGCTCTGGATACTGGAAGCGTTTGGATTGCTTCTTGGATTCTGATAATTTGACCATCCAATGAGTCTTTAAATGATGCAGCGGAGGCGTCATGCAGATAGTAGGCTTCTTCAAGGGCGTTCATAATAGGTCTTTGGTAAATGGTGACTGGATCAAAAGTCTGGAAGGTACAATGCTTGGGCAGGGACTCCAGAATGATCCCTAATCCATCATTGGATAAGCTGAGCAGAGTAGATGCATCTTGTGGTATCGAGCTTTTGACACAACGGTGCGCTGCATGTGGGTGCAGATTCAACCAACCTGGTCGCTCAATCTTCTGAGTGGTGGTGACGTTAATAAACAACACTTTGAGTCTTTTCCGGTTCGCCACATTCCAAATTCCTTCTTCGATGTTTTGAGATGCTCCAAATACCAGGGTGGTTCCCCTGCCACTCACGCTCGATAGTGCGCAGGATGCAATCAGTGAGGAAGCTACCCCGAGGAGTGTTTTGGTGTCGGTGATATCAGACGTCGGAGGCTGAAAGACAGCGTTCTCATGGACAGCCACAGTCGACGCGTCAATTTCTGACAAGGCATAGACGCTAGCCGCAGAGCCTTGCAAGTGGCCGAACAGTACAAAGCAAGGAGCTTCATCATCAACATGCAATGCCAAAGACATATCGACTTCGATTTCCACGTGATTTATAATGACCTCAAGCTCGCCGCCTTTGGTCAAGATTGTACCAGCTGCAGTGGCGTCATGGTAAATCTCGATTCTCTCATCGGGACCGATAGCCCTCTTGACTTGGCGGCGGGTGGCGTTGAGAGTCTCGTTGGCCGCGTGGTCCTGAAGAATGCGAGGTATCATGATTTGGCCTTTTCTCATCACGATTTCTGGCTCTTGGGCCCAGAGCAAATCCTGGGTATTGCTCTCAGACGACAACGTGAACGCCATTCGAAGAGCTTGGCACACGATCGGCTCAACCTTCAATGGCTCCAGTTGGTCGAAATCCAGATAATGAATGTTCACATGGGGCAGTTCAACGGACAATGCGCGACCTACGCCAACCATCATGTTGGCATGAGGGTCGTCGAGAAGCCGTCCGCGCGTCACCCAAAGAATATTTTTCGCTGCTACCAACATTTCCTGCAAATTCTCGAGTCTTTGAGTGGTGAGAGGTTCAGAGAAAAATGGCTTATCGAGATCTGAGAGGTAAAGTATAAACGTCTCTGGCAAAATGAGGTTTGGCTCAAGTTCTTCAACGGAACCACAGATAGTAATTTGTGACGACCAGCGGCGCAGCATCTTATTTGCTTGCTGGACCAACTTGCAGATTTCCAAGGTTTTCCCACCTACGATAAGGATAGGGCTTTCTGGAATCAAGTCGGTGAATGCAAGAGGATCTCGCAGGACATCAAATCGATCATCTGCAGCTTGTGCTGCAAAGACAGAGCAGCTGTGTCTCGAAACATCCGGGTGGTCGTACGCAATGCACTCAATGCCAGAGAAACCATTCTCTTGGAGTAGATTATCCCATTCTCGGGCACCAATACCAGGACCATTCGCTCTTCCCTCCGCCGCACCGAGCCACCAGCCTTCCAAAGCTCCCATGAGACCTGTTTCACGAAGCATTTTGCCTGTGACTTCAACTGCAATCAGATAGCCTCCAGGTCGCAATAATTCGCGTGCATTTTTGACCGTCTCTGAAAGCTTCCGAGTAGCATGTAGGACGTTGGCTGCGATGACAACATCATAGGTACCCCCAGTGAAGCCTTGCTCAGAAGGTGGGCTTTCCGCATTGAGAACTTTGAACTCAACCTTGGGCTTGTGTTTCACGGGCAGCTTGTCGCCCAGTCCACTGAAAAAGCTTGCGGATATGTCAGTGCACACATAGGAATAGTATGCACTATCAAGGGTATCCAAGACACTCAGAGTCGTACCACCTGTTCCTGCACCAATCTCGAGGATGTTCATATTGGGGTGCTTGTGACTGATTTGCCGCATTATATCAGCCACATAATTATTGCATGCTTTCAACCCTTCGCTTTCTTTGTAGAGCCTGCTGAGCAAATCATCTTGTAACATGTGCTCCATCATTTCAGACTGCCCTCGGACCACGGAAGGCAAATTTTTGCCAACTGCGGTCAGCATGACAACGTCAATATCATGAGAGTGAAGTCTTTGCATTTCCCCGATGATCTCTTGGTTGTCTTTTAGCCACTCTTTTGGTAGTGTCGAACAGCCTCCTTCCCGGATGGCTGCAACTGTGGTGTTGATGTATCGAGCCAATTCCCGATGGTGCCACTTTGCCGATTCTAGCTCTTTCGGGCTAACTTCGCGTATCAGATATTGCATATAATACAGAGTGATTCTTTCGTATATATCGGACATGTCTGTCGATACCCTATGGGAAAGATCTGCCACAGATGGTGTTGTCATTTCATATGTGGTATCAACATCCCAAACGGTTTTCACAAACAGGTTTCGGTCAGCTGATGGCTCTGGCTCTGCAATGGCTTTCAGAATCAGTCCATCAACCTGGAAACCACCATTTCCAATGGCCGTATTGATACAAAAATTGATGTCGACATTCACCGTGCTTCTGTTAGATTCAGCCATCAGTGCTTCAACTTCGATGGTTGTCGCTCCAGGTATGCTGTCATAGTTCTGATTGGGGTCTAGTATAACGCGTTTAATGCCGACTGGAAGATATGGGCTTCCCATTGCTCTCTCAGCGGTTGAGACAAAGGTTGCCAATCCTGCTTGGAATCCGACATCCATGATAGCTGGGTGCAGAGCACAACCAATTTGAAGCTCTTTCTCGGCCCATGAGGCCGTCGCTTTTGCATGTCCCCATGACCTGGTCATCGAAGTCAAGGCACGGAAGGAACCAGTATATCCCAATCCCATCTCAGAGACTGCGCGGTGAAATCTTTCTGTGCTTAGTGGCGTGAGCTCTGCCTGCGATATGGGATTTGTTGGCAAATATCCCAATTCTGGCACACCGAGATGGATGAAAAGACGTCCAGTACACGTTTGCACTGGGTTGCGCTCATCTGCGCAACTTGTTGCAACGAATTCTGTCTCCAGAATAGATCCGTCTGGGACGCTGACAGGCGTGACCCTACTCTTAATGCTGAAGAGAAGCTCGACACCTTGATCTTCCCCAATAATCAATGGTTTTGGGATCTCTACATCTCGGATATCCAGCAGCTTCAATAGTCGACCTTGTGCAAACATCTTGGATGCTTCCGTGGCTAGAGTAATATATCCAGCAGCAGGGAACAAGACCTGACCCTGGAAGGTATGTCCCCTAACCCAGGGGATCTCACTGAGCTTCAAGATATTTCGCCATGTTTTCTCAGTTGGAAGGTCCTCCCGCATGCGGCCAAGAAGACTGTTGGTCGGGTTGTTTGCCAGTCGATAATTGTATGAAATACGGGACTCTCGCCAATAAACATGTTCATGGTCCCAGGGATAAGAGGGCAGATCCTTCATCATCGAATAGTGAGCGGCCATCCCGAATGCTTTCCTCCAACCATCGAAATCGACAGCGGAGTTTCCAAGGTAGCTCCAGACCAGTCCGATGGCTGCTGACATATTTTCTGCACTACTTATATTGCGGTCCAGGCAACCTGCATACGGCAAGAACTCTACGCTGAGAGACTTCAAAATCTGGCTGACTGGACCTTTGAGGGCTGGATGGGGTCCGACCTCGAGAGCGAGACCGAAGGGGACGTTTGTCTTTTTCACCGCATATTCCACAGCCTCTGAGAATAGCACAGGCTGTACCATGTTTTCAACCCAGTATGAGCCATCAAGCCCAAGCTCATGAAGATTTCGCTGCATCATATCTGTGCTATGATACACACTGGACATCCAGGTGCAGCTGCTTTTGGTGGGCCTTTGTAGCTGGATGTCGAGTTTTTTAAGATACTTAAGATACTGTTCTGAGCAGCGCAGCATGTGATGGGAGTGATATGCTGTATCAACCTTGAGCTCCCGGCCTTGGATTTGTTTTCCCTCCAGATGGACTTTGATCTCCTTGATAGCATCAAGATCACCAGAAAGCGTGACACTAGATGGGGCATTACTAGCTGCCACATTGACTCTCCCAGCAAATCGGGGCTCGGAGCAAAATGCGGTGGCATTACGGAATGACATAGCAACTGCTATCATTCCGCCTTTTCCGCCGACTGGTCCCTCGGCGAGGTTCGCAACGTAACCTCTATAATATGCAATGCTGATAGCATCACTCAAATTCAAGATTCCGGCAGCGTACGCAGCACCGATTTCACCTGATGAATGACCGACAACAGCCGAAAAATGGATGCCTGACGCTCGTAAGAGATCTACCAGTGCAATCTGGACAGCGGTACAGAGTGGTTGAGAGATCATTGCTTCGGAAATACGTGACTCTTCCTTGGATCTGATTAATTCTTGGTGAAGTGACCAGGCTGGAGGCTCGGGCAGAGATTCCAGTGTGTTTTCACACATCTTGATGGAATCGCGGAAGATTTGGCAGCTTTCCAACAACTCTTTGCCCATTTGAGCTGCTTGGGCTCCCTATGAATTTTACTGTTAGTCTCATCGTGATAATATATCTCGACAAACCCAAGGGACAAGAAATTTACTTACCTGTCCAGTAAATATACCAAGAATTCCTGGAGGGTTCTCGCCTTCCAAACTAGTCAACTTCCTTACACCAAAGAAGACATCAACGGGTGAGTTTGCCGCGGTGCGTACTTGTTCCTCAAGTTTCTCCGCGAGAGCATTGCGATCTTTGGATGCCGGAATGGCAATGCGGTGCGAGAATTCACTCCGCTTAGATTGCAGAACATAGCCCAATGCATTCAAATCCACGGAAGGATTGTCATGAATATAGTCCAGGATTCCCTTGAGTGAGTTGACCAAAGAAGAGCGACTTTTTGCTGAAACGACGAAGGGTCCAATAGAGCATGATAAACGAGTTTCTATCTGATTTTTTGAATCAAAGCTTTCGATAATGGCATGGGCATTGGTGCCACCAAAGCCAAAGCTGTTGATACTTGCCCTGCGAGGTATGTCTCCAGTATCAGGCCAAGGGGTTGCCGTTTTTGGCACACAGAGGTTGGTGTAGAATGGCTTTACAGTTGGATTGAGCTCATCGAAATGCATATTAGGAGGGATGATACTGTGCTGAATCGCCAGAGATGCTTTGAGAAGACCCGCCAGTCCAGCACAACCTTCAGTGTGGCCCACTATAGTTTTGATTGAGCCACAGTATAAAGGAACATCCTCTGTTATCGGGAGACTGTCTGGAAAGAATGCATCTCGAATGGCGCGAGCCTCCACTGGATCACCAGCTTGGGTTCCCGTGCCATGGCATTCGAAGAACTGGCATCGATCTCTAACAGGATCCAGGCCCGCATTCTGATATGTCTGTCTAATCAGGGCAGCCTGTGAGACTGAGCTTGGCATCGTGACACCGCTGGTAGCGCCGTCGGAATTAACGCCAGTTGCTCGAATTATACATTCAATGGGGTCACCATGTTCGATCGCTTTGCTAAGAGTTTTGAGAACCACGGCTGTGCATCCATCCCCTCGGGCATAGCCGTTCGCGTTTTTGTCCCACATGCGCGAGCGAGAATCCGGCGAGAGCATGTGAAGCGAAGACTCGGTGATAAACCAATGCGGATCGAGGATTAAATTAACACCAGCTACGATAGCTTGTGTGGCCTCGCCGCTTCGGAGTCCTTGAACCGCCAAGTGGAGGGCAACAAGGGAGCTTGAGCAGGCGGTGTCGATTGTCATCGAGGGACCTTTGAGATCAAAAGCGTAAGAGACACGGTTCGACAAAATGCTGCGGGATAGCCCGGTGGCAGCATGACTATCCATAGTGTCTGGGTCTCGGGCTTGAATAGTGTAGTAATCATCGGTCATTACACCGACGTGTACGGAGGTTTGTGAGCCTTCCACGTCGTTAAGTGGCAGACCTGCTGCTTCGAGGGCCTCATAAACCGTTTCCAGCACAATTCGGTGTTGAGGGTCCATGCCTGCGGCTTCTTTGGGGTTTATGTGGAAAAATGCAGCATCGAACCGTCTAATATCTTCTTGTAGTAGGTATGACCGCCGATGTACATCTGTATTTCCGTGGGATTCGCCATCTTTGCTGTAAAAGTTGGAAAGGTTGAGCCGGTCTGGGGGAAAGTCGCGGACGACATCTTTGGGTTCTCGTAGCAGGTCCCACAGCTTGAAGGGACTAGTTGCTGAGCCTGGAAGTCGACAAGCCGTTCCAATTATGGCGATTGGTTCATTCATAGTCTTTTTCTTCGCCGTTTCACACTCAGCTTGATAAATTGCGCATATGAAAGCGAATTATTGGCACTAAGTGTAGAGAGAACAGGGGACTTTATAGGAATTAGACAACGAAGGTAAGGTCTCATGATCTTCGCCAGAACTCACTAACTAATGGGTCAGTTAGAGCAAGATACGTATGCTACAATGACATCCTATGGCACAATTCTCCCATATGCCTCCTTCCATGCACTAACAATGCCCGATTCTCGATGCCAATAGGTTCCCGTCAATTCTACTAATTGAATAAGTTCAGCCCAGCGGGGCTCTCGACTATGGCACAAAGCACTAGACGAGAAAATTGACGCGTTTTTCAACTCTATACTAATCAGGTACCAAATCAAGTATGGATATCTGCGCCACTAATCCCCACGTTTCATCCACACGAGTGAACTCTGGATGGGCTATTCTCTCACTAATTAGCGGTGTGGATTGCCCAACATATCCAAAAATTCTTAAGTAGAAGTATAAACTCCAGGTAAAGATTTAGTCAAATCTGATAGCAAGGCTAGCCGGATCGGGATGGATATAGGTCTGACGAGTAGCCACGCTGTTGTGAAGGGCTTTGCAAAGATCCACATAAACAAATAGGTCGATTTTGCTTCCAAGGTTACACCACTCTCACCATCATGGATACTGTTATTTTCAGCGAATTCCAGTCCAATCGCTGGGTACAATTGCAAGCAGGCAGCTCCGACTCTATGGATGTTGTTACCATTTGCTAGAAGACCTTGCGTTGTGGCTTATGTCTTACAGAACTTTATATCTTCCTAGAATCTTGCGGGTGTATGCTGTAAGAAAAGTTATTTTGGAAAGATTCAAATCACTTGACATTTTGCAGGTTGCATAGTGCAGATTGCAAGAAATCAAGCTTCAAGAAACTTAAAGCAAGATCATGGGTCCCTAGCAATGCAGGAATGTGTTATATATCTTGTATAGTGTCTGAAAAGTATGGAAACAGACAATATCGAAATTCTTCCAAAGTTGAGGTATTATAGAATTCCGAGCCGCTATAAAACTGATGGTTCAAGAGAACCTCAGAAGAATGTTGAAAATGACCGAGCGAAAAACATGTAAATAGAGAGACTGAAGTGCCAGAAGAGCATAGTCAACTACCTGAATCTGACATGTGGTAATTGCCACACTTTCCAGATGGATGTAGTTGTTTTGGTCCAGTCCACATTTTACCATTCAAAATTACTTGGAAAGAGTCTTCCCTTGCCTGAACTGAGACATGCAGCAACTGCTGAAGATAAGAATTTGACCGAACAACCATCAAAGTTATACTTTTCCAACTATTTGTGGGCTTCATGTGTAGATCGAAAGCTCGGCAAAATTCTCCAGAATGGATCCGCCATGATGGTTACGTAGTACAGTGCATTGCATAGGCACCATCCTCAATGTGACAAGGTGAACGGGTCATGCTGCGTGGAGCTACAGAAAGCAATGCAAGGGTCTAAACGAGACCGAGATTTGAGCCGGAAGCAAGTAAGCAATTTGCCATAGGTCATATGCGCTTAGGTAGTATATGCGAAAGCGCCCGGCGTTCGAGAAGAAAAAGCTGATGGCCGTAAACAAGCGGCATGTAAGCGGTGTAAGCGAACAACACCCCATTGATATTATCGTCTCGGAATGAACGTTGAAAAACTATATTCATCAAAAGGCCAATGCTGTGTAGAAAACATGTGCTCAAAAGGCCTCCCTTCATTATTATAATTTGGCAACAGTAGATGTAGATATCGTGAGGAAATTTGGCGTTAGGGTCCAAAACAATCATGATTGACAAGGAATCTCCCGTTCGCGGGCGGCTTCTCACCTCTGCTCTGATCACCCAATTTGGAGAAAGTGTTTTAATTCTGTGACAGGTCTAAGAATGCCTTTCTTTCGCGGTCCGTTGAGAACAATAGTGTTTTTTTACACGGTTGTGCTGAATATACTCTTTTATCGTGAATATATATCTACGCTAACGCGTGAAAGTCTTGTACCGAAACCTCATTCTCAGGTTCATCATACTGGAGGTTTGAAAACTTGTCCCAACCCACTTCAGTCCAAAGCCCAAAGCCAAAACAACGCCGCAAATGAATGGAGTGTTTTGCATCACCTTGGAGGGAATGGCCCATGGTTTGAGTACACTGAAGGAGCGGTATTAAATCTGACAACAGAAAAATGCTCAGTCAGTCAAGTGCATTTGGTAGGACTTGCATAGACCATTGACTTTTAGAAAGAGCCTTCGGTTAACTGTCATCAGCTATCACGGCATGGCGAAAGATACCCGACACCTGCTGTTGGCAACCGCAAGTCACCCCTACAACAATTCGCGCCCAAGCTAACAATAGGAAATTACAGGTCATCTCAAACTTCTGAAGCGGGTAGAAGAGACAGGTCTGACTCTCAATGGCTCACTCTCATTTCTCAACCAGTGGTCCTATTTCAGCAACAACACCAAAAGCGACTTTGGACAGTTGACCAACACAGGCCCCTACGCTGGAACACTGGGTGCATTCACAACCGGTGTCAGATTCAGGACACGGTATGGCCATCTAATCCGCGACAACACTAAGACCCGACTGTGGGCAAGTGACTCGAACCGGGTGATTGAGACAGCTCGCTATTTCGCATCAGGTTTTTTCGGCCTATCATGGGAGAGCCGAGAGCATGCACAACTTCAGATCATCCCCGAGGAGTTTGATAGAGGCGCGGACACTCTGACTCCGGGTGATACATGCCTCAATTATCTCCAAGATACCATCCGTGGCCACGACAATGGCATAGAGATGCTTGCTCGGTTCCAAAATACATATATTCCTGCCATCGCAGAACGATTGCTCAACGAGGGGAATTCTGGACTGAAAATGCTATCCAACGTGGAGGTGTACAGTATGCAGGAGATGTGTGGGTTCGAGATCATGGTGCGAGGATCGAGTCCGTGGTGCGAAGTATTTACTGAGCAAGATTGGGACAACTTCGAATATGCCCGCGACATATTCCTCTATTATCGCGCTGGACCGGGTAATCCATACGCTGGTGCAATGGGATGGTTATGGCTGAATGCGACGGCCGGATTGCTGCATAATGGACCGGTAGCTGGAAATGTGTTCTTGAGCTTGTAAGTGAAGCCACAATACTCAACCTGCCACAAATCAAAGAGAACAAGCAGTGCTAATTCTAACCCAGTGTACATGATGGTGATATTGGACCGTTCCTTACAGCACTGGGGATATTTACCGGCGACAAGGCCCTTCCAACTACCCATCTAGTAGCAGACCGTGCCTGGCGCAGTTCTTCTATTCTGCCCATGGGTGCCCGGGTCACACTTGAACGATTGTCTTGCTCAGAATATATTGAGCCATTTGTTCGAACCAGAATCAATGACGGGATCATATCACTTCCTTTCTGCAAGTCAGGTCCTGGGGGCTCTTGTCCTCTCGGTCAGTTTGTGGAGCATGTCCGCCAACGAAGGGAGGAAGTAGGAGATTTTGCAACAAAATGCGGTTTGGAAGAAGATGCTGGACACATAACATTCTTACATCAAAATTAGTCAAGGCATTGCATGAATGTATCCGAGTTGCATATAGTGATCGCCATTGTGTGGATCGAGCACAAAGAAAATGTAGAATGTATATCCAAACCGAACCCTCCTTAAACCGTCAATTGAATCACACAAAATGATTAGACAAAATTGACAAATAAGACAAGCAGACAAAATCAAAAACAATTGATCTACTTGATTTTTTGTAGAAGCTCACGTGACCGTAGTCCGGCGAACCAATGTTTATCAAAAGTTCCCAAAACTTTTGCTCCGGTACTTGTTTGACCTGCAAGCTTTCATCTCGCTCTCTATTTTTCATCACTCCCCTTTCTTTACCATCTCCTGTCTTGGTACTTGCAATGGAATACCACGCAGTCCCACCAGAGGAGCGCGCCAGAGATGAAAAGGGCAACCTTCTCCCTTGGGGATATGTTTACAAAGAGTACGCCAATAGCTCCTGCAGCTCCTCTATAGCTATGACTGACTCGCTTCCAGTGAATCTCGCAATCCCCGACGACCAGCAGAAGAATCAGGACCCTTCGGAAAAAGAAGAAATGCTCGATACGATAATGCCCGCTCACGAACACGAACTGGAACACCTGCAAAGCGAGAGAACCCCAATGTCGCCGAATTCGGACGGTTATTCTCACAACAGCAACAGGATGAAGAGAAGACACATGGCTTGCCAAAGTCAGCATCATCATCCAGCCTCGATAATCCACGCAAGCAGAAGGAGCTCGTCGCGACCGAGTGCATACTGTACGGATACAAAAGCAAGGACAACGAGTGGAAAGTCATCGATAAATATGAGCGCATCTCTCAAGGCATGATTTGCGAAGATTACCCTCGCACCGACCCGAACGCATCAAGCCATTACACCCAGCTACTGAGCGGCGGCGACGTCGTGATTCGCAACCTGTCAGCTGATGCGAACCGCAAGTCAAAGCGCTACGCTGGTGGTTACCACTGGATTAAGGTCACCTACGACTCGACCCAGTCTGCAGATCGCGCATGTTTCTACTCGCCACAGGAAGTCGACGGCCACCTGGTCTACTGTGAACTGTACAATGGCCACGGCCCGGCCGAGGACGCCCCCATCCCTGCAAACTCGGCCGCAAGCAGGCGACACAGCAAAGCCGCGCGCACTCTGACTACCTCCCACTCAACCGCATTCCTGTCCAACCCGAGCAAGGACCAGGAGCGCATGACCCTACCCCGGTCCTTCGCTATGAACAACCTCTCCAGCGTCCCCGACCTCCCGGAGGACGAAGGCCACTCCAACGACTCCTCGACAATCGCCGAAACAGAAGAGACAATCACATCCACTGTAACCTCATCCACCGCAATGTTCGCCACCGCATCTGCCCAATCCTCCTTCCAGCAGGGTGCGTCCTCCTCGACCTGGACAACAGGCGCATCCGGCACAGACCGAGGCGCCGTCCAGCAGCGCCGCCCGGCCCACGAAGCGCCCGTCCCCGACAGTGAATTCATGACGCACATCCCAACGGTACGCCGCACAAAACTCCGCCCACTAGCCGAGGCGCTCCCCCCGCAGCCAACGATGACCGAGCGCATCCTGCGTTCGATCCCCATTCTCAGTTGGTTCACGGGCGACATTGTAGGCGAGGGACCTGTCTTTTGCGAAGACGGCTCCTTCGACTGGGACAAGTCAAGCATGTATTGGAAGTTCTGGTACTCGTTCGACGTTGTCCTACACACGGACATGTGTGGCTTGAAGGAGGATAACTGAACAGACTGCAAGAATGTCACAAATGAATTTATTATTTCTACCGCGCACGCACCACCACCACAGTCCCCATCTACGGGCTTGCGGGCGTTGTCTCAAAGCCAGATCCAAAGGTCAAACCAATCAATCAATGTACGATAGCCGCAAATTGCGGACATAATGAAGTTGTCCCTAGGACCTAGACGCAACAGCTCCCCTCAAAGAAACCAAGCCGTAATTCCATAGGAAATTCAAGCTTAACTTGCAGGCAACCTCTCATATATTGATATCCAGACAGGAACCAATCAACAGAAAAACTCTCGAGCTGAAATTTCATTGGTCATAGACGAATTTTAAGGTAATATTTATTCCTTGGTCTCGAAGTTCTCGCCCTCAACGAGGTCGGGGATATCATCCTCATCGTCATCCTTCTTATCACCCTGCTGCTTCTGCATGTTCTGGTAGCTCTCAGCGAGCTTGCGCAGGGAAGCAAGGCTGTCGGGGCCGAGCTGGTTGAGGATGTTGGGAACGAGCTCGGTGAGCTCCTTCTCCTCGCCGTTACCGTAAAGGGCGAAGGTGTTGGAGGGGACGGCGCCGTGGACTGTGTGAGGCGGTCAGTGTACGTGTTGCGTTTGAAATTGATTCGGGCACGGAATCGACTCGAATCGAACTCGAGATCGAGAACGAGCTCGAGTTGAACATCGACTTGGTCGCGGCCGTATCACACAATTGAAAATGAAAAGTTGCAGGTTCACTTACCACGGGGGTTGGCGAAGTGGATGACGTTGCCATCCTCCTTGAACATGTTGACCTCCTCGATGCCCTGGACGGGCTGAACGTTCAGCTTCTTAAGGGCAGCCTGGAGCTTCTTGTCGTCGGCACCGGAGTTGCGGACAACCTTCTTGACCTTACGGCGGGGAGTACCCTTGCCACTGGAGGAAGTTAGCTTGAGCACGGGAGAGGCAAAAGATCAAATGCCCGAAACACAATTCCACCCGAATCACACGGCGGTCGCATCGCGCGGAGAACGCGATCATCAATGTGCGATGCATCTGGGGTGATTGGCGGGAATCGATTCGGGGCGGGTTGAAAATTCAACAGGAATTGTTGGATACGTACCCTGGGGAAAAGTAGAGTTAGTCAGGTTCATAGCGGAAAGGGAAGGAAAGGAATATTGAGTGTCGAGATGATATCGCACGAAGCTATCCAGGTGCAAACTGGAATAGTATGCATGCTGTATCATCTCTCCAGCTCGAATGTTCGATAAAAAGACATACCAATGCGGGCATTGGCCGACATGGCCTGGAGCTTAGCCAACTTTGCCTGATCCATGATGAAAGTCGGGAGGGGTCCTGGTGGGATTAGCCGGGGATTCGGAGTTTTGAAAATCGGGAAGAATTCCAAAAAAGAAGTCGAGATAGAAATTCCTTGACGGGGGACGGGTCGCGTACCGTTAAAATGTGGTTTTCGGGGGGGAGATGGTGGGAGGGAAGATCGTGAAGTGGGAATGATGATGCATCAAAGGTTTTGTGTGGGGTTCAAAATCGGTTCGCTAATACGACGACTTTGATTTTGTCTACGTTATTTGACTACTTTTGTATGTTTATGATGTTTATATTTGATTCTTTCTATTGATTATCTCCTTAAATTGATCTTGATGATTTTGCATTGAACTCGTCGATTTGTGGGATATTGTGATGCTCGGCTAAACCCTAATCGGGCCGGGATTGTTTTCTACTATGACACTGCAGAGTAGTAGTGGTAGTTTAGAAGGATTCTACACTCTACGTTCTACATTCGTATAAATCCGAGCATATAGCAAAGCCCAATATTATTCTATTCACTCTCAATCTTCTTCTCCCAATTACTAAAATACTTCCTCCAAGGATGCCTCTCCTGAAACCCCAACATAGCCTTGATCTTCGCATTGGAGAACGGCGCCTCAAACTCCTCCACCTCCCTAGTAAAAGGGATTTCCGGAAATTGCCTCTCCAAGAATTCCCGCGTAGGAGTTAGATTCGTGATATGATCATTGGTAGCATTGAAAACCTGGAATCCAAGCCCATCCGTCCTCACCGCAGCCTCACACATACCGCCCAAATCCAGCCATGCACCTTCCACAGCCCCGGCTCATGTACATAACTGTAAAGATCTCGCCATCGTACTCATCAGGCTCGATGACCCTTCTAATACGCAGACTGTAGATGTCAGCCCCGAAGCGGGCCGCGAAGCCGCGCGCAATGCGCTCGCTGCACAGCTTCGCGATCGCGTACGTGTCCGTCGGGTTGACATCTAGGTCTTCGTGGATGGGAAACGAGGAGAAGTCCACGTCGCCCTGTGCGAAGGACACGCCGTAGACGGTCACGCTGGAGGCGAGGATGATCTTGCGGATGTAAAGCTTGCAGGCTGCCTCGATGATGTTGTACGTGCCCTGCGTGTTGGAGCGGAAGGTCTCGTTGTCGGGCACGAGCACGTTGCGCGCATAGCCGGCGAGGTGGACTACGGCGTCTGGGCGCGGCGGGAGGCCTTCCAGGAAGGGCTCGCGGAGGGCTAATTGGCCCGAGAGAGCGTTGAAGACTTGGCCGCTGTCGGCGAGGACGGTCTTCAGCGTGTGCACTTCTGGGTGCTCCATGGGCATTACGTCGAGGTTTAGCACTGAGTGGCCGGCGTGGAGGAGCTGCTGGATGGCGAATTGGCCTGCTTTGCCGCAGCCGCCGGTTACAACGATGCTGCCCATTGTGGTTGGGATGAATGTTCTAGGCTGGAGACGGGGGGATTAATAGACTAGGGGTTTGCTATCGGGGTTTGTGAGGGTTAGGACGATATGACCGAGGGTGGAATCATCATGATGCCATTTGCCTCCGTATCGGGGTGATGGACGAGGGAGAATGGGAACACGGATATGGGTGTGGATTGCAAAAGCGAATGGTGAGTTCTTTCATTCAGTCATATTAAACATCTTTATCATACATGCGAGTCGTGTGTATCAGCTAGCTGTATTCAGCGACCTGGCCTTCCGTCCAATCCCAGAGCTTGCGAGCGAGCTCCGAGTTCTGAACGAAAGCAGTTCCACCGCTGCGGTATCCAACGGGAGTGTAGTAAGCTCCGTTCTCAAGCTGATCTTTCGGCGAGCCAGCCGCCCAGAGGGAGTTTAGTGCTCCACTGGTGACGGTCCGGAAGAAGATAGACCCAGTGGCAGTGAGGGAATATCTCATCGCCAAGCTGAGATCCTTAGTATGCCCGTAGAGCCCGCTGTCAACAGCACCGGGATGCACAGCAACAGACGTGATATCCGGATATCGACGGGCGAGCTCAGCGGCAAACAGAATATTAGCGGACTTCGAAGCGCCGTAGCGCGTCCAAGTACTAGCAGCCAATAAGGCAGGAGTAGAAATCATTTCCTCGAAAGTCGAGGGACCAACAGCGTGAGCCACCGACGCAACAGTCACGACGCGAACATCGGGTTCCTCCTCCTTAGCGCGCTGGATATCAGCGGTCTTCAGTAAGGTAGGCAGAAGCAACTTCGTGAGCAGGAAGTGGCCGATATGGTTTGTTCCAAGCTGGACTTCGAATCCTTCCTCGGTCTTTGTAGGCGGGTTACCCATTGTCCCCGCATTGAGGATTAGGATATCTAGCCGATCGCTGTCGGCTCGGAACTTTGTTGCGGCGGCATGGATGGATTTGAAGGAGGACAGATCGAGAGGAAGGTAGCGGATATCAACAGGTGAGGGAAGCTGGCGTTGTAGCGAGTCAATTGATTCACGGGCTTTGCTCTCGGTGCGGGCGGCCATGTAGATGCGCGAGGGGTGGTGCTTGGCGAGCTGGAGGATGGTTTCCTTGCCGATGCCGGCATTGCCTGGATGGCGTCAGTTAGAGCAAAGAGGAAAAAGGCGCTGGGGAGGGCGGTGCATACCTCCTGTCACGAGGACGACCTTGTCCTTCAGGCTGCGGATGTCGCGCTCTGGTTGGAAGGAAGCGCCGAGGATGCCGAAGGTGGTTTCGTTCAGGGTCGGGCCGAAGCTTGATAGTGCCTCGCGGGGATGGCGCAAGCTGTAGGTTGCGAAACCACAGACGGCTGCGATGTCTCGAAAATCCATGATGGAGAATGGGTGGGATAGGTGAAGTAGGGTCGCATCCGGGGGTCAGGTAATTACGTGCCTATGCCCAGGTGGTGAGGGGGAGTGAGGAGGCAACCTAGGTGGTTGCCGAGGAAGACCATTATGTTCCTCGTTTTGGACATGTGTGAAAAGTGAAATTCAATGAAGATGCTGGAGATACATGCATGTACGAAGGAGGAATATAAGATCTTGACATTTCCATTTGGTCTGCAGAGAAGCCTAGAATGTTCTTAAAGCGACACCCTAGAAGTTCAAAAACATATATAGCTCAATATGGAGGTGTGTTGACAAAACGGTGGGAGAGTATCAAATCGGAACAACTCTTCTTAATGTCTACGGTGAGCGGTCGGCTGCAGGGTAGTGTTCATCGCCTAGCACAATTTTCGCAAGTTGTTCAAACAACCCAGCCCGGCTGGCGCGTTGAAATTCTATCTGAGAACACTATAACTAATAATACCTTGATCTTTTTCTAGCTTTACTCACAATATCTTAACCCTGAAATCGAAACATGAATAACGTTATTTAGCTTTGATAGCTAGTATAGAATATGTATAAGAATCGTGGCTATGGACTACGACACGGTATAACTGTAGTAAATAGAACAACAAATAACTCGCTATGGTACTATGCAATTAGTCCAAGTGTTAGTAGTGTTCTCCTCCCTCAAGCCTATACCCACTTCAACCCTGGAGATCTGACGCTGACTCTGCCAAGCTACTGTATGCCCCTCCTGCAGAAACTAGTACATTGATTGATCCCCTGCTTTGTATTTATTTTCCGATCGCCTGTGAAAGCTGATCCCCCTCTTAGGCTACTTGTCCCTGTGTAACTTGTTCTCCTTTCTTTCGCATCAGTGACACAACGGGTCCATTTTGAGCTGTCACACATTCACATCTCAGTCCCTGGACTAGCTATACTTGTCCACATTTCCATACGAAATTACAGAAAAGATATATAAAAGTTCCAAAATGCGCTTCCTTTGTCTCCACGGCGCCGGCACAAACGGCGAGGTATGTACTCAGTCATACCCCCAAAAAGACAAACCACTAACGAAAGTAGATCCTCGAGATCCAAACCGGAGGGCTCCGCCATAGCCTCGAAAAGAACGGGCACACATTTCAATTCATGAACGGCAAACTAGGCGCCAAAGTCGAAGAGGGTACGTAGCCAGCAACTCACTAATCTCCACACGCAAAGCTAACCCCACCAGAACTCGAAGGCGTCGTAGACGGCCCCTTCTACAACCACTACGCCCGGGGGGATTCACCAGGCTCGGGCGTAGCCGAAGCCTTTGAGCACACGAAGGCCATAATCGCAACAGAGGGCCCGTTCGACGGCGTGCTTGGATTCTCGCAGGGTGCAGCACTGGCCGCATCACTAATAATCAACCATAACAAGACGCGCCCGGCAGACCCGCCGCTGTTCCGGGTTGCGGTGTTCATCTGTGGTGCCCGGCCGTGGGAGGCGAATGGGACGCAGCATGTTGTGCGTTCGGGGGAGGAGCGTCCGATTGGGATCGTGACGGCGAATATTGTCGGTAAGCAGGATCCACTGTATCCTGAGAGTATGGAGTTGTATGAGCTCTGTGAGCCTTCTAAGGCGTCGTTCTATGATCATGGGTCTAAGCATATGGTGCCGTTTGATTTGAAGAATACAGGGGAGATGGTGCGGGTTATTGAGGAGGCTATTGGGAAGGCAGTTAAAGGGTAGGATTTGTAAGGAGTGGTCGATAGTATGTATATTGGTATCTTTCAAATGCATCTATGGGGTTCAGCGGACTCAAATGGTCAATCCGACTTCTGTGTGGACTTTTCTCTGTGGTATTTCGACCAGGCGATTGAAGCCAGCAGCACCACGAGCCCCAAAATCAAGACGTATCCCCATTGCCCTGTGTTTTCGTCTTCATGACCAAGTCATAGACCGGCGGAGGGGGAGGGGTTTGCCGCGAGAGACTTCTCGATAAACTTCTCGAGATCATCAATCTCCTCGGGATCAGCCGAGTGGCCAAGATCACTGCAAACATCAGCAAACCATCAAATCAAAACCACCAAATCAAGAGCCAAAAAACATACTCGTAACTGTTGAACGTCACATCTTCCAACCCAGTTTCCTTCAGCAATTTCGCGGTCTTCTCTCCATAAGCGAACCTCACAACGTCATCATCCTTACCATGTCCAAGGAAGAAAGGCGTGTTCTTATTAGCCCACTCCTCAGGCAAGTAGTTCTTGATGCGATCACTCAAAAGCAAATAACACGACAAGCCAAACACACCACCCAGTTTCTCAGAACTAGTCAAACCAGTGAACACTGACATGGCACCGCCCTGCGAGAATCCACCAAGGATAATGCGCGAAGCCTTAATCCCCTTGTCCATTTCTTCCTTGATGAGTTTGTTGAAGTATTCGCGAGAGCGGAGGATACCGGGCTCGTCCTGCGAGCGGACAGATTCTTCGAAATCGAGCTATACATGTATTAGTTTGCTTCTGGGTTGTGCGGGGGGTGTCTCACGTCGCGGCCGAGTTTGGCGATATCGTACCAACCAGGCATGCTCATGCCGAAGTTCTGATGCTGTTAGTAGTTGCCCTCAGTCCGGATATGGGACGCGCATACAACTGTGATTGGAATTGAGGGCGCGTTGGGGAAGATGAAGGCGACTTCTTCGAACTTGCCGCGGCGGCGCCAACTCTGGGCGAGAGTCAACCTGTTCGGAGGCGTTCAAAGTGAGTTCAAACATTTTTCATTTGGTCGTTGAGCGGTGCGTACCATCCTTGTCCACTGGGTTTCAAATATTGTCAGTCGGGGTAATCAGCTTCGGGCATTTGTCTTACCTGTCTCCCAGCCCGTGGGCCATGATGACAGTGGCGGTGTGCTTCTTAAGCGCTGGAACGACAAAGGGAGCGCGAGCCATTTTGAATATCGTTTTTATGCAACGAGATTCAATGCAGAAAGAGGAGGGAAATGATCTCGATCTGTTGATTTCCCCTCGATTCTGCCGCCGAGGTTATCTCCAGCTCACCGCCTGTTTGAAAATGATCGAGTCTTCGAAGATCAAAGACAAACTTCTATTACTAATTAGACATTATCTAGTACAATCTATGGTAAAAGGTTCATTGAAGTCTACCAAGAGAATAAAGCTCCTGCTTGGCCGACTCAATGACCTCGTTAATGAGGCTCGGCTCAACAACCCCTTCCTGCCACGACACCGACAAAACCAAACACCCATCACCACCCGTGATGGCAGAGACCTCAATAGCATTGCCCATCACACTGGCAGACTGCGAAAACACCATCCCTTTAATAGAAGGCTTCTCAGGATCCGCTGGCGAATCCACAAAGCCAACATTAGAAACCTCAAAACTGCCCTCGCGCTCCTTACCAATCTTAGACAAACACAATTCCTCCTGATAATTATCAACAAACTGCAAAAGATTGACACTGGCGTCTTTCCCCTTCATCTCCAGAACAGACTGGATAGTCTTCCTAGACCGTCTCGCTTCGTCCCACGGGAATGCAGCAGCGTACAGATCGTCTCGCGAGTATGACTCCTCAAACCCCTGTACCCAGACACCCATCGACTCATCATTAATGACAGCAGGCAGCCAGCGACGACAAGAAAGTGCGCCTGTGCACGCTAACTGGGTAAAAGAAGCAGGGATGTGAGCGAAGATTGCGCGGGCAATGACAGTCTGCAATAAAGCCGTTATAGTCGTACTCTGCGCATGGCAGAGATGTCTTAACGCGCGAAGTAGAGTTCTGGAAAAGGGAACCAGTCGGACGCGAGTTTGGGATGGAGTGAGGACCTTAGAGCCGGTCCAGAGACCTGCTGGACGGCGGGAGTAGATCTTCGCCTGGAAGAGTTTCTTCGCGAGATAGAAGAAGGAGAGAGACATTGGCGAGACGAGCTCGATGTTTGGTAGAAGCGGGATCAGTGGTGTTAGGATGATGGACTTGGTCTTCTCTGAGTTCCTTGTTAGGCCTAGGCCGCGGAGGAAGGTCTGGTGGAAGGCTTTTCCGGAAGATCCATCGCCGATGGCGTGGTGGTAGACAAAGACCACGGTGAACTGGCATTCATATTCTGTGTCTAGCAGAACGCAGAGTCTCCATGAAGCATCAGGGGTTTTGAAAGGCTTGTTGTGCTCTGTTGCTAGGAGAGCTTGCAGGTCCAGATCTGGGGCAGGCTCGCCATTGGCTTCTGTTGCTAGCAGGCCTGGTTTTCGATCTTGAAAAGAGACGATTCTGTCGAGATCGAGTTGTGGGAGACGTACGAAGTACGGCTCTTGTGTGTGGTCGTCTGCTACGATGGCGGATAGCGCCGGATGCTCGGCAATTGCGGTCTCAGTAGCTTGATACACGTAATCTTTGATGGGGAGGACGCATGTATCTGGTAGACGATATGTTGCTGCTACAGCAACGTTCAGATAGAATCCTACTTGGTGGCGGGATGTTGAATATTGTTCCAATCGGCCTGGGTCATTTTAGTATATAGGTGACTTTGGGAAAATGTTCCCGGCTGTTTACATGGGGATGTACGCACCGACGGAACGCAGTGTCTCGTACTGATTCATGATTGACAATGTTTCAGGCACTGCATATGTCTTTTGTGTGTTGGATTTTCATAAAAATGCAATGACTCTAGACTAGTGTTTGTTGTTTCGGTTGCCTAATAATCTACCCGCACACGTGACGCTGTTTTGACATAGTAGGTCGTTGTGTTCAAGTGATTTGTTGAATTTTTCGAATAATGAATGCTAATGAACCATCTAGATGAGAACCTCAATAGGCCGTCAATTTTAAATAGTTGGGCAAACAGCAAGATGGACTATACCGAGAGCAAACACAGCCGATTTTCGAAGAACAATCTTTATACAATTGCTCAATGGAAGACACCATTGGAACCGCAGTTTCTTCGCATCACTCATTTGCACCCATCCCAGTCACAGAGAAACAAGACAGCTGTCACCTGTTCTTCCTTTCTCGGGTTACTCGACACTTATCAAACTCAGGAAGAGCCCACTTCACCATTCACTCAGACTCGAGTTCCATATCAAACAAGCTAGCGACCATATATCCGATAGGAAGATAAGGGATTTTTTGTGGCTCGAATCAAGTCTCCGGCGGACCTTGATGAGTGGAGTGTGAGAGTCGTATCCTTGTTGCTTTATGGGAGAGCAGGATCTTGGCTTCTGCAAGTATAAACTCGTTGCTTGCTTTCCCAGCCATATTGTTAGCACCAAATGTGACGGGATACATGGCTGGAGGGGCTTCTCATCAAAGTGTCTTATCGCTGCGAGCTGTGGCTCTCCGTACTTTTGGCAAAGTTCGTCAATGGTTAATTGGTTCAAGTCGTAGGGTGGTTGCAGTAGAGCATTGCCAAGGTGGAGGTCGCCATCAGCAAGCTCTTGAGAGTGAACTTACTCGACTGCGATTGTTGGTTGTGCTGCCAAAACCCGGGCAACATTCAATAGAAGAGACCACTGTAAGATCCATCATTCGACTCGGATAGGCTCACCCTAGCCGGGGCAGTGATATAGCAGGCGTGTGTGCCTTTTGGACCGATGATATTGAAATTATCTGTTATTGAAGGAGCCATTGGCCTTCCTAGGCTCATGGTATGAGTTTGTTGAGGTATATTGAGTTCAGAGAGCACATTGGGTTCGGGTGGATTGGATTTCGCTGTACAAACTTTGATGCTACACATTTGTTGACTTGTTGATCTTGAGCCAGCCAAATAGTTGAATATGCGCCGTGACCGAACTTGTGGACTACCCAATAGCGGTCGTGAAGTTGATCGCCAATCGTTATGGGGGCTTCAACGTTGTAGGTTTCCAATCTCTCTGCTTCTTCGATGGGCTCATAAAGATGATAGATCGGAGCATTACTTGACTTTTGATGTTGGAGCTTTGGCGTATAGCAAATGCCACAGATTTGATTTTGTTTATGCACATGTTGGCGAGCTTTGCCCGATGAATGATAAAATTGAAAGAATGAAGGTGAGCGAAAGGATATAAGGAGTAATAAGGTCGGTTTTCTCATCATTGAATCTGCTTAACACTGCATTCCGTTGAGGGATTAGATTATTTGAAGTGATTTTCGCAGACTGCTCCAGGCCGCACGGCGCGTAACTTATACTGGAAGAAAGTGGGATATGCGTGAGACGCAGAGAGAACCCACTCCCAAGTCGGGGATATGTGTTGAGATTAAAGATACTAGGTAGCAGACAGTAGTAATAGAATTGAAAAGAGATTGCATTGTCGTGGGTAAAGTAAGAAATCATCTGTTACAGCATGTCATGCATCCGCTGAACTCCGAGCCCCGAAAAAAACGTGAAAATTTTGAGATTTTGAAATTCAAGCCGTGGCTTTACAGCACAGCAAGACCACCGACGACCGCAGCTCCAATCACACCCCAAGCGGCAGTTTGCATGGGCATGGCAGCGCCCTTGGAAGTCGAAGTAGTGGAATTAGTGGAAGAAGAACCGCTTTGGGCCGAACCCTGAGCAGTCGACTCGTTGGCATTGCGCTTGGCGGAATCGCCAGAGAAAAGAGTACCGACGACGTTGGTGTTGTTGCTGCACGCAGAGGGGACCGAGTAGGTGACAGAAGAGGAGAATTGGACATCGGCACACTGTGTAAATTAGCATGGAGAAATATTCTGACGCAGTAGCCAAACATACAGCGTAAAGACCTCCGCTTGGGTCACCATTAGTTTGGACTTGAAGTGTCGCATTCAGTCCATCAGTGAGGTTACGGCCGATTAGCTTCTCGTTGATAGCGACATGGGGTAGACAAAAGGCGCCGAGGCCGGTGACTCCAAAAGTGGGCTCGAGGACAATATTGTAATTGTCACCTGGGTCGCTGCCAAGAGAGAGGAGAACCTCAACAGCTGTTTGGGCATGGTGCATTTCAATGGCAACGGGGAATGAACCTCCGGACAGCGGAAGCTTGGTGCGGTTTGAGGACTGGCTCATACCACCGCAAGGGAAGTTGGGCATAGTGTCTTCATCGAAACCGCGGGATGTAGGCCAATTCAGCTTAAAGTGGGCTGCAGCGTAGGGCACGATGGCCGCGAGGGCCAGAATAGAGAACTTCATAGTGCTATGAGGGTTGATGAATAATTAAAGAGGAAAGGAAGGCAGCTGGGCAGGAATACGAGGACTTTAAATGTAAACCTTCTCTCTATATATGATCATATTCTATTATACTGAGGGAGTTTGCGGGACCCTGACCAAGACAGTATCCACTTGTGGTTTGGAGCCAGAGCTCGGTTATCAAGACCCTTTTATTATTTCATTCGCGGAATAGTTTATGATATTTTTACGAGTTTCTGCCTTTTCAATACTGTGACTATCCAAATAACCACTGAACTGTCGCAGACACTTATTCTCGGAGTTTCGACCCGTATCTATAAAATTACATATAGGCAATTATTTATGTGGCCATTTGTCCGGATGGTGCATAGCGCACCATGGACAATGGCATGTACTTTCCTTTTTGTAGCACGGATCGTACTTGCCGTAAAGTAGATTAAAGCATTACACTAGCGTGGAAAGTGGATGCTACCCGAGAGACTAGTCCATAAACGGCTAAGAAATGTGCTCAATTGCCCGCAGGGCTTCATCTTGTGACTGTATGCAGCGGAGGTTTGGAGGGGTAAAATGAATATTTATAGAGGGTAAAACAAAGAGAAATTGCAGTGGTAGTCCCCAACGCCGAAAATGCATAAAGAGAAACAAACCAAACAACTCAATGACCGTGCTCATTTGTTTGAATAAAGCGCCCGACCGCCAATTCCCCGAGAAATGCGCCTCCAAGTACAGAACAGAAATAGCCGACATTCATAGTCATAACAGCCAGCATACTAGACAGGAAATTAGCATAAGCCAAGAGAATTAGGGAATTGGAACGTACAGAAGATATGATACGCCAGCAATAAGTAGAAAGAGAAACGCTCGTGGCAAGTCAACACTGAAGCGCCACGGAATTGGCCCACGAGAGATACTCTGAACAACTTTGACCGACTCCTCCACGCCCTGCGCGGTAACGAGAGAAGCGAATTTCGCATCTGGGTCGGTATCGATGGTGCCCGCTTCGGTCGTTTTGCCCGCGACAGCGACATATCGTCGATTGAGATGTTTTGCAAGCCAATGTCGCTCCATAGTAGCCTTGAAAGCAATGAGGCAGCGATCAATGATAGCCAGGATAATCAGAAAGATGCAGGTTCCGGCAAAACTGCCAGACGATGAAGGCGTCCAAGCATTGGAGAAAAGTGGCGTGTTGTGTGTGTTTGTAAAGACCATGCTCATGCTCATTGAGCTACCAGAGCTAGAGCTAGAGCTAGAGCTCATATCCATGCCGTCCATGTCCATGATTTTTGATTGTTGGAGGAGAGTTGAAAGCGAAGGGAGAGAAAACATCAGGTCACTCAAATGTGACGGATTAGGAAAACGCCTCAGGTCCACATGGCGGACCCACTTTGAGCACATTCCCACGGATCCACCCGATACATGAGCACAATATTGGTAATCTGCTCTGCTATTGGCGAGTATCGAGGTATCAATCTGTATTGTTTCTTCGGGGCCGTATCTTCTGTCTTCAACACCCGATGAAATCTTGAACATCACTCACGATGTCCATGCAAATGGGGGACATGCCTGCGGGCTCAATGTCCATGGGTGAAGGAATTCCCAGTCTATTTACCCTGCAGAAGATGTACTGGGCTGTTGTGGGAAGCGCCATCGGAGCAGCAACTCTTGTCAATATCCTAGATCGTGCCCTCGCAAGACACCGGTATGTCCAATAGCATAGCATGTTTATCACGGTCTGGACTAACCTTGATTAGCCTTCGAGATTCATCACTCACTCCCGCCAAACCAAAATCGCTGTTCTTCAGCACATACGCCACACTCACAGCAACAGCTCGCGAAATCAGCTATGCAACCCCACAACCCCTCAGACTCGGCGGTCTCACAATCCACTTCCCACCCCTAGGCCCTGTCCTCGTCATGCTAGCGAACCTGATTGTAGTCATGGTTCTATGTTTCTACAAACTAGACTCACTAGATCCATGGCAGTGGGAGAACGTCGGCTACCGAACTGGCTTCATTGCCATTTGCCAATTACCATTGATCTTCCTGCTGGCAGGTAGACAAAACATTATCGGGTTCGTGGCTGGAATGAGCTATGCTAGCTTGAACTGGTACCATCGCTGGGTCGCGCGCATCTTGTGGCTGACCGCTACCATCCACATGGGCTTCTGGTTCCGTAACTGGGGTCGCTGGAACTATATCACTTACCAGTTGTATAATGATCCATTGACGAAACGTGGATTTGCAGCTTGGGTCATTCTGACTTTCATCGTGCTTACTTCTTTTGCGCCGATGCGTCGTCTAAGTTATGAGTTCTTCGTCATTCAGCATCTGGTGACATTTGTTGGGTTCATTGTTGCTGTTTGGATGCATGCGCAGGATGAAGTTAAGATCTGGGTCTGGATTCCTATTGGTCTTGTTGTTTTCGACAGGGTCGCCCGCTATACTTGGGGTGCTTATGCGAACTTGGCTATCTTTCACCGAAAGAGCAAGAAGGTCTCGCTGTGGACACACTCGGCTGTTTTCACTCCACTGCCTGGGAATATCACTCGCGTGACTATCGAAAACCCGGGAGTGAGATGGCAACCCGGTCAGCATGTTTTCCTGACTTGCCACTCGATCGTGCCCTTGCAGTGTCACCCATTTACTATTGCGTCTCTTCCGGCCGACAACAAGATGGAATTTTTCATCCGTGCCGAGAATGGTGGTACCCGTCGGTTCTTCCGATATGCATCGAAGATGAACAACTTGCTGGGGAATGGCGAGACATCTCAGTCTGGTCGGGCTGTATTTATCGAAGGCCCATACGGAAGCATGCGACCCTTGCGTCAATTTGACAGTGTAATTCTGCTTGCAGGTGGTATGGGCGCAACATTTACAATGCCTCTTTTACGCGACGTCGTTTCCGCCTGGAAGATGGAGTGTACCAGAGAACAGACATCTACACGCACTGCTCGCTTGGCAGCAACAAAGAGACTGCGTTTTGTCTGGGTGATCAAATCCCGCTCGCAGCTGACTTTGTTCGAGTCCCAGCTCCAGTCTCTCCTGGCGGATGTGGAAGAGTGTCGACGCACGCAGCCAAACTTCCAAAAAGAAATCGAAGTGAGCATCTACCTCACCTGTGATGAGAAGTTGGATCCGCCAACTGTTGCCTCCGAAACACAGTCACCAGAACAGCCCTTGACCCTCCCGGAAATATCCAACAAATATGAGATACAAAAGACAGAGAACGAAACCATCTCAATCAACTCCGTCTCCGACTCTACAACACCAGCACCCACACTATCAGGAAAAGGCTGCCTCCCAGGCGGAGGCTGCTGCTGCACCACCCAAATTGAAGACGAAGACAAAATAACCAGCAGATGTACATGCTCCGGCCCAGCTGCCCAATCAGACTTTTCTGATGTGAAGGTAACCGGATTCGATTTGAAGACAACAACTGATCAGAATATCCTTTCCGGTCGTCCTATGCCACGAACTATCATCCGCAAAGTCCTCGAGAAGGCCGAGGGAGAAAGTGCCGTTGTTGTGTGCGGACCTCGTGGTCTGGCAGATGATGTTCGTCGCAGCGTAGTGTCCCTTAGTGATGAGCGGGCTGTGCATAAAGGCACTGGCGCACAGGGTATTTATCTGCATGTTGAGAACTTTGGATTGTGAGGAGGATATACCCTGGCGTTATGGTTAAGTGATATATGCATTAGATGCGCAGAGATGACTGTAATGAAAAGAGTCTCTTGTTCTGTTACTCTATTTGATACAATACAATGTATCTATTGATAACCCCAATGGTCCTCGTGTTATGTCCAAAGATCAATCGCTGATCATGTGGTAGACTAATGGCGTATTATGCATCGCTTTCCGTTCGTTCCTTAAACCATAGAAACATGAAGACGTTCTCAACTTCCCAATCTACAAAAGTGAATTTTTCAACAAAAGGATCGAATTACAGCGCTTGACGTGTTGTGGGGTCGAATCAAAGGATTTGATCTGGTGATATGAGACAGAAAACTTCGAGCCGCTTCAACGGTTTCCCGCTATCAAAAGTCTCGAGTAGACCATACCATACTTCAATCCAGTAGGAATTGACTAGAAACCACCTGATACCAGAGCCGATGTTCATTGATTCGAAGTGTAGAGATACCCGTAGACCAAAACTGTTGACTCATTACCGATACGAGCCGACCCGGGGAGCACATGACATCATCCAGGAACTCCAAGTTAGAGCTCCAATTCTTCCTGACTTCACCTCACCCGTCAATCCAACCCCCCGTCCAACAAACCACCCTCTACCCAACCACCAAGATGTTCCGCTTCGTACGTCCTCAATCCCAAAATCCAATGCAATCCCCCTAACACAGCAGCAAACAGAGCAAAACCCTCGACCCAATCACCCTCTTCCACTCACCCGCCCTCAAAGCCTCAACACGAACCCTCAACATCCTCAAGCAAGCCTCTGCCACAGCCGGCGAAACCGCAACAGAAGACCAAGCCAGCGACCACTCCCAGCACGCGAAGCAGCAGCGCGGCGAGTTCGAGCTCGAGGTGACCACCGGCCCGCCGACGGCCGATCAGCTGCGCAGTATCCTGGATTACATTTCGCCTGTTAGCGGTGTCGGCGGACAGGGCGACAAGGTCACGTATGCAGTTTCGGAGCTTGTGAAGGGCGCACGGGATGCGGAGGATGCGCTGAAGAAGTTTAAGGAGGATAATGAGAATTTTGTTCGTCCTGTGGTAGGTTTTTTTTTGAATTGGGAATTAGTTATTGGCTTTGAGAGTTTTTTGCTAACTGATCGCTGTAGACTGTTGACTGGGTTAACGGTCGGGCTGTTATTGGTGATCATGAGTCTGAGATTCTGCGCATGGTCCGCCAGCTTCCTGACAATTAGATACGAGATGGGAGGTCCAATTGAGTGAGATAGATGGCCGATGGCTATCTTTGTTACATACATGTAGTTTACTTGAGCATGATTGAAAAATTCATACATGATTGATATTCCATACAAAAACTAACCAATTACTGCCACATGACAATTCTGCAGGAACCTGATCTAAGCTCGTATCATACAGCAAAGAGTCCACCGAATAAGGTAATTTCGAACGTATCTCGTTGAGTAAAAGTTGAAGTTAAAAGTCGACACGAAAAGAAGAGAAGAAGAATGCGCCATTAAACTCATACTGGGACAGGCACAAGGAAACCAAGATCCAGCTCGGAGTCACGCACCAGCGGACAGAAGTAAACGGGAAAACAAAACTGGCGAGAAATTAGAACATCGTTCCAAATGTGCCGTCCGTGGCGATAGGCTTCCGGGGAGAGCTGCTGCGCCCATTGCTATCAACTGCAGGTTTGCGGTGCCTAGCAACGTCAGTGAGAACAATCAACCAAGACCGAAGATAACATACCGGAAAGTAAACCCAACAAACAACCCCTTGCTCATCTTGTCATCCCGATCAGCCATATCCTCCAACGCGCGCTGCTTATCATGAACCTCCTTGTACTTGGCCATATCCGCCTCGTTGCTGAAATCATCAAAGTACCCAGCATCAGTCTCAGAATCGAGCTCCGGAACGAAGGGAGCGCGCTGCTCGCGCAGATTCGCAAAGTCCACCTCAGCAAAGTAATCATGCGCATGGATCTCCTTAATATTCTTGAACCGCGTATCCTTCCCAGCAACCAACTTTGTAATAAGATCCCAAGTCCGCCGCGAAAGGAAATAATTCGGATCTTCGTACACAGGCTTCCGAAGAACCTTCTGCCAGCGCTTCAAGTTCTGCCACGTCTCTTCGACTGTCGCTCCCGCGAAAGGCGGATATCCAGCCAACGCTTCAAACAGCATACATCCCAGACTCCAGTAATCAACCGTGAAATCATATTGGTCACCCTTGAGAACCTCAGGGGCCATGTAATCAGGCGATCCGACAATGGACTTCGCGTAGTTGACTTCGCGCTGGCGAAGCGATTGATACCCCTGTCTGCGCTCGGCCATAGTGCGCTGCTCCATGGGCCGACCAAACGGCACAGGCGTATTTCCGACCTCTTCAAGCTTGACGCGCATAGACTCGATCTTGCCAGGACTGAGCATACCAGCCGCCAGACCGAAATCAGTCAACTTGACATGCCCCGTTGAATCAATGAGGAAATTCTCCGGCTTCAGATCACGGTGAATATAACCCAGGATATGGAGCGCGTCGATACAGCTGAACATCTCAGCGATATAAAAGCGCGCATGGCGATTATGCAGAACGCCCGTATTATTCAACAAAGTGCGGAAATCACCACCTGGCACGTACTCCATAGCAAGATAGATCTGGGAATCATCCTGGAACGCGTAGAGCAATTTAACGAGCCATTCGCTTTTCGCCGCAGTGAGAATGTCGCGCTCGGTGAGGATATGGCGGATTTCATCAAGTTTGAAAAGTAACTTCTTGCTCATGACCTTCAAAGCGCACACTTCCCGGGTATCTTTCTTCTGCGCGAGATAGACCTGTCCATAACCGCCCTGGCCAACTTGAGTCAGAATCTGGAAGTCGCCTTGTCGGAGGCGAGTGCGGCGCTTGCGGAGATGTGCGCGCTCGCGCCCGAGGTATTTGAGGAGGGCGGGTTCATGTTCTTCGTTTGGGGTGGCGGGGGGATCGGGGTAGGCAGCTTTGAATTGGGTGTGGCGGGTTTGGCGGTTGTGGACATAGCTGAGGAGGTCGAAGTAGTGGTCGAGGAAGTCTGAACTGTTAGATTGGGTGGAGGGGTTGGGAACTGGGGGTTGCTTACAGAGTTGCGTTACGTTGACGAGCCGCTTGACCTTTGGTTGTGCGAGTTTTTCGATTTCCTCTGGTGTTAGGCCGCGCATTTGTACCTGGCGCTTTGTCGTGTCATCGCGCTGCTGATAGGGTTCCTGACGCGATAAGGCTGCGGCGGTCGGGGTGGAGCCCAAGTCCTTGGTTAGGCGCGTTGGGTTGGGAGGCGTGTTCTCCTTGTTTGATCGGCGCGTTGGGCTCGGAGGGGTCTGGTGGATGACACTTTCGTTGAAATCATCCTTACCGGCAGAGAACATGGGATGATTGTAGTGATTATAGGTTGATTTGGAGGGGGATGTCGGTGTCAGTTTCATTGCCTTGTCGAAGACATTGGGTAAATCTAGTGCACCGGGCGGGAGTCGTGATTTGCTGGGACTACCCTGAGGGGTCTGTGGCGGACTTGTGAAGGCATCTGGAGTACCTGGACGATCGAATTGACCACGAGTATGTAACAATGGAGGTGGATTTGGGAGTCGCAGCCCATGACGGTCCTCTTGAACGATAGCCATGATAGTTGTAGAGGGGTTTGTCTTGGGGTGAACTAAGAAACGCACTAGAGGAGTTAAGCTGCCTGACGAAGAAACAAAGCCAAAGTGGCAAGACAAAGAATTCGGGAGAAAAAGAGAATTAAGGAAACAATGATCTTGTAAATGATGAACAAGTCAAAATGATTTATGTTTATTATTTCAAAAAAGGCGATCACTCTCCACCTCGATCGATTTGATCTTGATTCTCAATTTCTAAAATCCACCCCCCTTCGAAATAATTTGTTGCTGTAGCAACTTTCACCCCACATACAGGCTGTGCAACCTGGATTTAAGATGACTTATTACGAGCGGCCGACTTTATCGAGCTGAACTCGATCCACTTCTCATCGGTTACTATTTCATTTTAGTTCCATTCAACTGGGATTGTCTCCGGATAGCCCTAAGGTGGGTTATTATGATGGCTTTTTTGCCCCTCAGTTATGGAGCTGACATGAAACAATGAGCAATGAGTGGGTGGATAAGTTCGGACTTCAGATTTTGACTTTTGCATACATTTAATGTTCTGCAGATTGTGACTGACTAGTGAATGTCGCACAGGATTTTCATGGTTTAGGAAGAAGCAATTATTTTCCGACACAATAGAAGCAATAGAAGGGGTAATCACATGTTATCGATTATAATCCAACGAACCTTGTGAAATTGGAAGGTCTCGCAAGGGACAGTAAGCATACTACCCGATTGGGAATAATACACTCGGTTCCATGGTTTGAAGCACGGGGACCCCGATAATTGGAAACAATAACCAAGGAACAAAAAAGAACCCAATATGTTCAAGCAGGAAGGGAGCATGTAACTGGAAGTTATTGAGTCCACGCATTTGATATCCAATTGGTCAAATATATATACCCCTCTGTCGTCATTTACGCAGCTCCCTCCTTTCGTTGGCCAGTCTACTCAATCGTTAGCGTGGTTCAATCTCAGCCCTGGGGTACCCACGTAGAACGCCAGCCCAAAATCATCCGTCGTAAAGGTGATAGTAGCCCCCTTGGGGAAATAAAACACATCTCCCGGAGTCGCCGTGACCTTCTGGCCCGTTTCGTCGGAAATTTCAAACTTGCCCTCAAGAATGATCTTCATTTCGTCGTAGGTGTACGTATACACGAGAGGGGTTCCCTTTTCAAGTCGGTAGAAGCCCGCCGACATGGGCTTGTCCGGGTTCTCTTTTTCACTATAGTAATATTAGTGTCAACTCAATCAACGGGATTTTACTATGTGCATACCTTGTTTGTATATCGCCCAAGAAAGCGTTCTCGTTCGCAATAAGAGGCGGCTTAAAAGTGGATTGTGCCTTAGCGTGATAGGTGAATGGAACCGACATGTTTAAAGTGGATTTCAGAGAAATGATAAGCGAGATACCTAGGTTTCTATCCAAGCTTCGAGCGTGTGCTCCGCCATATATATACCCGCGTATATCATTGCCCTTGCAATCTCGGATCGAAAGAGGGGATATCCTCAAAGTATACTTGATGCGAACAAGACTGAGCTCGGATCTGATGTCCTGACTAGGCAGCTCATGAGAGAACTGTTTGATACCGAGCCACAGAGAGAATGAGGGGATAATGAGGGGAAGCTTGAAGTTTTGATTTTGATCAACGGCATTCAAGGTGGAGAAGTTGCTATTTACGGTGCACATTGTTCTGTTTGAAAACACATTGCCGCTGACCACAGCTTGTTCATTCGAATAATTTCAATTGAGCTACCTAGGTAACTGCCTAACTGCCGATGCTCTATTGAGCTTTATCTTAGGATCGAGATAAGATCATGCAGAGTCGAACCAGGTTGGGGAAATTTTTACTGGATCCGGTTAGACCGTCATGCCAACCATGGATCTACCACAGTTATAGATATTGGTCATCTCGCATATATAAGGCAAACCAGGGCATATTGTCAAAGGCAATGGATATTTCGGCATCCCTCAGTCAAAATCACCAATCACACCCTGGCAATTGAAATATTGTATAGTCTCATGATCATTCACTAACAAAAAAACAAGAACAACAGGGCCGAGATGTCAATGATGGGTTTGCCGGCCGCCATTATGTCAACAGAGTCCTTTGACATGTACATAAACATGACTACCTCACAATCATTTTATAGAAATTGTCAATGTATGCGTCTTCGGTCGTCAACCATCTGGCAATTATATCCCATCTTAACTATGGACTTTTCAATCAAAAGGTGCCTTGATTCCCGGGGATTGTCATAACCTCTATTAGACTCAAACTGTTTACAGGAAGTTGAGCCATTGCTATCCATTGGGTAACTATGATTTGCTGCCAATCAGAGCACTATTCGACAGGACTACAGAATTTGAACCGACAAACGAGAGAACTCATTCCGAGTGCATCGAGATGACTGACAACTTATTATTATTCATTGATACACGCCAGAAAAAAACCATAGAACATCAATTGAATGACTTGGGCATTTAGTTTAAATTGTTCAGCAATGGAACCACCATCATCACCACAAACTACCGACATTTTAAATTGTCTTCAGTTGGCATCAATCTTCAAGAATGAGATCAACTTCAATTAGCAGTCAACCATAATAGCATCAATAGGAAGCTATTTTGTATATATACCACCAGAATTGAAACTTCAGACCGTTTTTACTTTCCCTGCTTCCAGCCACCTCTTGCGCTTACTTTGCCGTGCCCGCCCTCACCGTCTTTCTTCTCTTCTTCTCTTCTTTTTCAATTTCGTTTTCAATCAAAATATCGAACTGGGTGCAAGACGCCCTGGTCAACAATGTCCCATTCTCGAAGAAAGGCCTCCAGGCACTTGCTGGCAGGTACCTGGGTGCTCTTCTGAGTTAGGACCAGCTTGGCCTCTTCGACGCATTGTTCGGCTCCCGCGCACAGGAAGAAATTTTCGTTCTCAAGTGGGACATGACCTCGCTGCTCGGCGAGATCATTCTAGTTCTCACCCCGGCATGCTGGATGCGAATCTTCGCCTCAGCATGGCGCCCGAGTACGTGTGGCTCAGAATTTACTGAGCTGGGACGCCCCAAACCGGTATGAATTCAGTGAACTCTCACATAATTGTCACAAGATTTTCATTTCAACGGCTTCGCTCCGACCACAGCTCCCATCATGAGCCCTCCCTCCACGCCCTCGGCAAACAAAGTTTCTAGTCGCAAGGCGGACCGGTTTGTTTTCGTTGCTGTGGTAGCTTTCAGCTCGCGCGGAGACTTTGATCACTTACTCGAAAAATGTCCCGGTTTCGGCGCCATTCGGTATGTCTAGCCACGAGATCCTCGAACTCACGGAAAGCAAAATCATCTTTTAGAATTGCGTCGGCTGCTGCTTGTAGTTCTTCAACCTCGCTCTCTCCGTAGCTTTTAGCGGTACCCGCTACCAGGCCGGCAGAGATGGACCATTGGTCCTAATTTGATATTGCAGGTCCTGGCTTTGGTCCTGGTCTTTTGAAACTTCTTTTCAAAAGTTTGTTCTGGCGACTTGTCTGCGTCATTTGAGTCTTCTATTGCTATCTGAACCAAATGAAGATGATATGAGGACTGCAACTTTCCTTTATTGTAGTGTCCTCGTACAGTAATGCGTAGTAGATTGATTGAAAAATTGGGTATTGCTATCAATGATGAGTGTTGAGTCAAACGGCTTTTCAGTCCGAGCCATGATTTCTTGGTTTAATTCACTTTATTTAGAGTTTTAATTGAGGATTTGCAACGAGCTTGTTACTTCAGAGTTGAGCCTATGAATGCCACCATATGATCGCACGGTGAGACGAACCGATCCATATGTTCTTCTCAATCGAAGGCAGTCATTTTTTCACAAGACCTCAGATAGGCATTCAACCCAGCTCACTCATTGATAGAATGCACAATTCGTCGATGCGAATAGCTCGTATATTGTCGATCATGTGCAGCTCGCTGAAGGGTGTAGCATAAGTAAACTGAGACGGAGCACACCTCAAAGACGCGAGTGAAAGTACAGTAGGGCCAATTATTTTAGTGCCAAATTATAGCAGAAGATTCATGAGTACCGCGGGGAATTCCACGTGTGGGGTGTAATCGAACCATGGACAGAAGGCGGGTCCCAAAGTTCTAGAATCTGGGGTACCAAGACGAAATAATATATATTTGTACGTATTTTGAAAGTTCTCCTCGATGAAATTATCAAAGCGTAGAGCTCCTAGACCAAGTACTCTCTAGCCGAATGGTGATCTTTGGGATGGCGAAAAGTTCAAACTGCATAAGTAGATCATTTGATCTGAGGCGGGGAAAGCGTTGGAGGTTTGAGCTATGTGCTGGCATTTTCAACGCACTTTCTGGGCGCCTCTGTCTTTTGGGTTTCAATTACTCTCTTGCTAAGAAAACTGAACAGAATGAAAACGCTAAAACAAGATACGCAGTGAGAGTTGTATCTCATTGCTGCAAATTTACGCCTTATCTATGATTCAGGGGGGCTAAAGGTAGAATACTATGCAATAGTGACCTTGAGATGGATCTTGCTTGATCATGAATTAGATTATGTACGAACAATAAAAAAAGCCAGGCAAAAATAAGCGATAGGCGACAAGCCCCGATGAAAGCCCTACGAATAAGGGGTTTATAATAGACCGATAAGGCGACCTAGGTAATTTCGGAGTGGATCACCTGGGCGGATTCCTTCCTATCAAACTTCATTGAGATAATCATAATCAGCACTATCTACGTACTCATTGTTCATAACGAGAAAGAGCCATAATGTCAAGTAGATCGATAGCTGATATATCTGGGCATTGGCCAAAGGGGTTTCCCCGTCATAATTTATCAACGGATGTCGGGTCAACATCCGTGTGCCGAAACAAGTGGCGTTGGAGAGAACTTTTGATCTCCGCACTTGATCGTTCTATAGATTAGAGAAAGAGCAACTTCAAAGGTACACCCTTATATACCCCGGACCAACATACAGGTACAACATTGATAAGAGACACCATAAGAAAGTACAAAAATGACCCATGTAGTTGAAATTAAAATAGCTACGTACATGTGTATTTCCAATAAGTACAAAGGTAAAGGGAAATCAACACGGAGGCTTCCCGGACGAGATCGGCATCCCCGCATGGGCTTATCATTCTCTCCTCTCGCCTTTGGGTTCCCTATCTGCCTTCTACCATTCGTTCCTTTCCATCTCTTCCTTTTCCATTAATTCATGTGTGAATGGGTTTGAACATCGACTTGGTATGGAAAGCATCAAAATTCCGTCTCCGTCCACAATTTTGAACGACACCCCGTCAGCGGGAACTTCTGGAAGGAGGCAGAAACCGAAGCAAACAAAAAGTCGCAATGGTAAGTTGGATGTGATACTGGAGATTTCCATTTTGAAGGAGAGAATGATCAGATCGAGTCTGGGTGTTCACAACATTGACCCCGCTTCTATATAGGTTGTATCACCTGCAAGGCAAAACGGCTGAAATGCGACGAGGTCAAACCATCATGTCAACAGTGTGAGAGGCGAAAAGTGTCATGTGGAGGATACAAAAAAGATTTCAAATGGCGACCGTTCGAGGAGACCAACTTGGCTCCTGGACGGCCCACTGTGAAAGCCAAGAAAGGTAAATATTGATAGTCGTGAATCCGAAGTCTGAGATTGACACATTCGACAGCCAATCCTCCATATCAACCACCTAATGCGGAGAGCTTCCCAACTCCGCCAACTACCGAACAATCAGCATCGCCGATTCGTGTTTCTCGCAAACATCACTCATATTCACCTCCGGGTTCCCCTCTGCATAGTTCACCTATCAGTATCGCCAGCTTTCCATCTACAGAAGGTCATTCTATTGATGAGCTATCTGGGAATCGAGAAGATATTTCCATGCCCGATGGTACAGGTCCTCTTGATGTCAACGTTTCGTTGTCGGCCGATTCGCCACCCTTCAACTTTCTTTCCTTCCTTGAACCATTCCAGGATTCATTGTCGCTTGCAAACACATTAGTTTCAGACGTCGACACCAGCACTGGAAAGCAAATACCTTTCGGCCCCGAGCAGCTGAATCCAATCTCCTCAGCGCTCAGCTTTTCCCAGCTACTGGAAGATGAAAACGACGACATTGAAGAAATCATCCGTCGGTCGGATCCAGGCCTTGGACCTTGGAACCTAAACCTACCAGACATAGGAGCTTTCAACTTTGAAGCCGCCAGCATCCCTGGCAGCCCCTCGTTACCGCCAGGAAGTCCCGAAATGCTCGTGCTACGCTTCGACAAGCTCACATGCGGAATCCTGTCCGTCAAAGACGGAGCTCTGGAAAATCCATGGCGAACACTAGTCTGGCCACTAGCAAAAGACACCCCCGCACTCCGGCATGCGATCTTCGCCTTGGCTGCCTTCCATTCCGGCAAAGAAAACCCCTATCTGCGCGTGCAAGGCGTAAAGCACATGCGACAGAGCATGGGCTTCCTGGTCGAACACATCCAAAGCATGCGAGCAGACACAGCACTAGCAACTAGCTTGGCACTAGCATTCGCCGACACCTGGGACCAGCACACACGCACGTGCATCCAGCACCTACGCGGCGCAAAAGCGCTAATGTCGCAAGTCATCGCGACAGGCATGCAAGGGAGCGCCAGCGACGAGGAGCTAGACCGCATCCGGTTTCTGTACAACACATGGTCCTACATGGACGTGATAGCGCGGCTGACGTCGCTGGATGACTGCGGCCCTCATACGTGGGATTCCTCGATTTTCGACCTGCCCAGCAATACAGTGCACGATATCGATCCGCTGATGGGGTGTGCAACGACGCTGTATCCGCTCATGAGTCGCGTGGCGAAGCTGATCCAGCATGTGCGGAAGAGCCTGTCGAATACGGTGTCTGTTGTGGCGCAGGCAATGGAGCTGAAGGCGCTTCTTGAGCAGTGGGAGCCTCCGCGTTGGTTCGAACCGCCGGAGGATCCTCACTCGGAGGTTCAGCATAGTATTCAGGTTGCGCATGCGTATCGCTGGGCTACGCTGCTTTATCTGCACCAGGCTGTTCCGGAGATACCGTCTGAGCCGGCGGGTGAGTTGGCAAAGAGGGTCCTTATCCTGCTTGCAACTGTCCCGTATACATCCCGGACAACTATCATCCAGATGTTCCCTCTCGTAGCGGCCGGAGCGGAAGTTGATGCTGACGATGATCGGAAGTGGGTATTAGACCGATGGACGACAATCCAGGCGCGATTGATGCTGGGTGGTGTGGACCGCTGCTTGGAAGTTTTGAAAGAAGTCTGGGGGCGTCGCGATGCAATGAACGCTAGGCGAGAGCATGAAATGGCTAGTTTGCGACGAACGGGTTCTGTCGCGTCTCGTGATAGAAAGCGAACCAGCTCGTCATTGCCGAATGACTTCAAGAATTACAGTCTACATGGATTCCATAAAGGGTCGATGGCGGGGATGTCAGGCCAGTCTGCGAGACATGCGCGACGCGGCTCAGCTTTGGCTTCGCTGGAGAATATTGAATTTGAGAGAACTGTTCGCGGAAAGTTACACTGGGTGAATGTGATGGCTGAGTGGGGATGGGACGGTTAGTTTATCAATTCTTCAACGACAAATATTGAGGCTGACTTTGCGCGATTGACAGTCTTCGTCGGTTAGTATTATGGCAGTTGCCATTTTGCTATTCGAGCATGCGGGTGGAGAGAGAAAACCCAGCATTCCTCACCTCCAGCCTACTGTACTAATCCTGTGCTTACTGCGTTTCTTCTTTTTGACTTGCTGTTGATTTTCATTTTGTCCGAAATTGTACTGTGTCAGGGATTTGCGTTTACTGAGCGCGGCGTCTGAGACCAAGGCTTTCATTTTGTTGACGATTTATGACAAACCGTTCTTCCACTGGAAGACGCTTCTGAAACTGTGATCTACTCTGACTATCAGCAACCTTCGATCTAGGTATTAATATTTCCACCATTGGTATACTTCGCTACCCCCTGGTCATCGTTCTTCAAATCATGTCCAACTTTCCAATTTGCAAGCAACACAACCTCACGGAATCAACTCCAATGCAACTATCCGTCTCTCAGTTCCACTTCCGCCATCGCACCATATTGAAACAGTAATCTCGCAATGATCAGTCCGATCAAGTACCCAGACACATCGACCACACCCACTGAGCACCAAGACCCCGAATCCCATCCGTATATATTCCAACACTCCCAGGTCGATCTCAGCTACCAGTCCCACCCGAAGCAAGCAGTAAGCTCCACCCATCCAGGATACTCGGTGCTGGCACGCATCGCGGTGCATCGTCGCATCCCGATAGTGTAAATGAAGCCTTTGCCTCTTGTTACCATTATGTGAGAAATTTTCATCGACTCGCATCATTGGTCTAGTGGTAGAATTCGTCGTTGCCATCGACGAGGCCCGTGTTCGATTCACGGATGATGCACAATTCTTTTTTGTTCCCGCTGTGACCCGCCCGAGAATTTATTTTTGTCCAAACCACAGACAGTTCGCAGGCAGATCAGCGACGATGGCGAACTCGTCGCGATGCGATGGTTAATAATTTGTGCACGCACTTCGTGACTTTCTCCCATCGCACCCCGGAGGCTGTCTGAATGGCCCAAAGCTTCAGGTGCCTAGGTCCACCGTCATTGAAGGAGCGTATCTTGAAGGTATGACGGTCGAGGTGTGTTAGTCAAGCCGTGTTACGTAGCCCCTTGGTACTGTATCCCACAAAGGGCTCTGTGATTTGTTGCAGGGGTGGTGACATGTAGATCTACTAGGAAGCGCATGCTTAGCTACCCTAATTATCGAAGCACATACACTCACTGCATTGGAATCGAAATGCTTTTTGCCGAGAGTCCAACTTTGCGACAAAGAGATCCATCCTGTTATGAACAGGTTTTGAATTACGCCTAGCATTCCTGCTAAGCCTGGATCAAACACAGAATATTTGCAGGGTTTTAATTTCTTGCAGACCTACTTAGGTAGTCTCCTAGCTCTGGGGGCTTATGGTATATATTATATGGCTCACTTCCTCAATCTGGGGAAGTGGAAGTATATCATACGCCATGATCTGACAGGTCACAATGACGGTGGCGAAAAAAAACAAGAATGTTGTTTTTGGCTGGGTAAGAACTGTAAAGTAACTTGGAACGCCGCTATAGCGTCATCAAGGGGAGCCTGATTCTAGAACAAAGACGAGCTTATAACCACCGATCGCCTCCCGCGCATTTGCCTTTTGCCAGAACTGCGCAACGAGATAATCATAATTCATAACCACATTATACACGACTCACTTACGATCCACCTCCACTAATAATGTCGTCGATCATCACTTCCATCAAAGACCTCATCGCTTCGGTATTTGAGGTGATATTCGCCGTCTTTCACACCGCGCTCGATACCACAACCGGCCTGCTCAAAGCTATTGTCGACTTTTTCGTCGACACCATCAGACTGGCGTTCAGCGCTGTGGGGAATGTTTTGGGAGCTGCAGGTGGCGTGGGCAAGTTCGTTGCAAGTAAGTTTTGTTTTCTCTGTTTTCTTTCAATGATATTATGTCTCGGTGCGCTAACATGACGGAAGGCAATATCGTTGTCATTGCAATCATCGCCGGCGGAGCATATGGCTTTTTGCGATACCAGAGTCGCCAGGGACGCCCTGTTAGGGTCGGAGATAAGAAGTTGAATTAGGCTAGGGTTGGCACGTTACTGCCTTTTGAATTCTCTTTGTATACCAATATTCAATGATGTATTAACAAGTGGCATTACTTTCATCAACTTCAAGATCCGAAAACAATATTTGTGACATATGGCTACACATACCTGTATCATCAGCCCAAAGCTTGGGAAAGCCAACTTTCAATTTGCTATAGATATAGGTGACGTCATCGCTCTCAGCAACTCGAACTCACCACGACCATCGCTCTACTCGCAACATAATCTTCAAGAAAATACTCGGATATAGGAGTGAGCAAGAATTAATTTAATAGAGGTATTGTATACATAAGTGCCAGTGCCCTTTTACTTGGTTCTCGAATAGTCATGTTGCGTCATGGTTACTCAATCTCATGGTTCAAAACTTGAAGCGGACAATGAGGCAAATCACTTGAGTGGTAGCAGGATCAGCTTTGGGGAAATGCCTGAAAAACCGGAATATCATCTGCTTAAGATTAACTTGTCCTCAGTGCTTGTCAGTGTGCCGACGTCCCTAGTCCCCAACGTTCATTCACACACCACAACAAGGAGTGAACATCTCAAAACTCCCTTGACAATATCATTGGGCGCTACATATCATAATGTCTGGTAAGTTGAGTAACATCAGCCCTAACAGCGACTCTAAGTTTGCCAATGAACTTGACCGCTGAGTGATTTCGCCCGATATCTCACATCTTCAATTATCATATATACTGGGCATATCTAACGACTCTTTCAGATCATCAAAATGCCCCAGATAAGGGTACTAGTCTGCGGGATACCGTGGCCTCCAGTAATCGCTACATGCCGCAGGCTGGAAAATCCACGGGAAAACACGACACCACGGGTGACAAACCTGACCAGAGGCTAGACACAGATCAGGATAGTCAGCATCGAGACAAAGTTGCTGGAAGCAGCCAGTTCATTCCTCAGGCTGGAAAATCTGCGGGTAAATCATCGCTCTGATGCAGCGATTGTTTTGGTTCATAGCTTTGACTACGGCATGTGGTGTCGAAGTTGTTTTCCGATCGTTAAAGTTTTTCACATTTCATGTTTCTCTTAAAAACTTTACTGCTCAGTAACACATATCACATATTACAAGCATCCATGGCTATGATTAAAAGGTCACCTCCGGGGAACATCCGTCCATCACTGATTTCAGCTCAATTTAGAACCGGCAAGGCATGGGTTGGTAAAGATAAGGACCCCGCAGATGGGATACCGAGATTATTGTTGATCACTAACGGTGGGCGCCCGGAATCTCTCGATTTATCAGCTTGATGACAATTACTTGCAGTGATTAATGGTCGCGGTCTCAAAACATAAATAGAAAGAAGTACCAGCAACAGCGAGAGCTCAACCTCAAATTCGGATTGAATTAATCCCGACGATGTCCATCCCCGAAACCTACAAAGCGTTCAGGCGTAGCGCCGGCGCCCTGCCCCAAACACTAGATTTGGTATCAGAAAAGATCCCATCAACGCTCAGCCCCTATGATGTTTTGATTCGCATTCATGCCATTTCCCTTAACTACAGGGATATTGCAATGATGGATGGAACATACCCAGTCAAAGTTAATCATCGCGGCATCCCAGGATCAGACTGTGCTGCGGAAGTTGTGGCGATCGGGTCTGATGTGAAAGATTTCAAGATTGGAGATCGTGTTACGCCTATTTTCGACTTGAACAATATCGACGGCACTGAAGAGACGCGCAATGTTCTTGGTGGTGATACTGATGGCGTGCTTCGCCAGTTTGCGGTCTTCGATCAGAAAGTCTTGCTGCATTTGCCGGAGCATCTTTCTTGGGAAGAGGTATGAATTTGAAGATTCCATGAATTTGCAAGATTCTAATTGTACATCTTAGGCTGCCTGTATTACATGCGCTGGAACGACCGCGTGGAATGCATTGGATATGCCGCGAAACAAGGGCACCGCTCTACTGCTAGGTTAGTTGCACGTTCGCCTGAACACATGTTTCCAAATAAGCTAATCGATACACAATTCAGGCACCGGTGGAGTGAGCATGTTCAGTCTACTCATATGTCTAGGAGCTGGCATCAGGCCTATCATCACATCTTCCTCGGACGACAAGCTCAAGCTTGCGTTGTCCGTTGGTAAGCCCGGGTTCATTGATACCATCAACTACGGAACACATCCAAAGTGGGAAGAAGAGGCAGGTCGCTTGACGAATGGACGAGGAGTAGATATTGTTGTTGAAAACGTGGGCCCTACTTCGATCGCTCAGAGCCTTTCTTCCCTTGCGCGGAGAGGGACTGTGTCTTTAGTTGGATTCCTGGGAGGATTCGACATGGATCATTTCCCCGATGTTATTACCCTGGCGTTGTTGAAGACTGCCACGATTAGGTAGGTTTCACTCCTCATCTTTTCCCGAAATCTTTGCGGGTTACTGATGCGTTTTAGGGGAATTGCCGTCGGCTCGAAGGCCGATCAACAAAATCTCCATGACTTCCTTGTCGAGAAAAAGCTTGGGTTGAGGCCTCTCTTAGATGAGAAGATCTTCTCTTTTGAAGATTCCCAGGCTGCTTTCGATTACTTGTCTTCGGCTAAGCACGTGGGCAAAGTTGTGATCAAAGTATGAACTTTTTGCCAAGCTTTATCCACTGTGGAGCACCCACAAAGTATGCATAAGTCGATAGCAGGTACGGAGTAATGCACGAAGCATTAGGTGAGAGATTAGAAATTCACAATATTCTGCATTTAAACAATCGAATTGAGAGAGGAATTGACTCTAATTGATATCTATTTATCATAATGTACAGAATTTATGTGCACAAAACCCCTTTAATAGGGGAAGCTGAATTGCTGAGCCTTCGGGCCAAGAATCGGCACAAAGTTCTCACCTTCACAAATCTTCATAGCCTTCTGATAAGCAGGCCGCTCACCAACGCGCTTCAAATAAGCCAGAATATTCTTATGCTTCTGCTCATCAAAATCAATAGGACAGAAACCTCTCATAGTGGTCAAAGTGCAGATCGCCATGATATCGGCAGCGGTGACGTCATTCCCGGCAAGATAGGATCCGGTTTCACCGAGGCGAGTCTCTAACATCGAGAGCGCCCGTTCAAGCTTCGCATTGCCAAGTTTGAAGTGCGGCCCCTCGGTGTCATTGCTCAAACGTCTGGTCATAAGGACGCGGAAAAGGGCGGGCTGAAGAGTGGCATTGGCCCAGTGGTACCACTCCAGGAAGTGGACATATTCCTCGCCGTCTTTGGGGGTGCGGGCGAAACGGCCCTCGCCGTATGCAGCGATGATGTAGTCGATGATTGCGCCTGATTCGGCGAGCACGACTTTCTTCTTTGTGAAGGGGGAGCTGTCGTCTTCGATCACCGGGGCGGTGCCTGAGGGGTGGAGGTCTTTGATTGACTGAGGGGCAAGAATGGGATCGCGCTTGTGGAAAACGTAGTTGTATTTAATGCCGAGCTCTTCGGCAAGCCAGACGATGCGCTCGGACTGGGACCGACCAAGGTGATGGATTGTCAGCGGCATGGTGGTGGTTGTGTGGTAAGGTTTGTTGGGAAGTGCGGGAGAAAGAGGGTAGGGGAAGTTGTGATTAAGGCTGGAACTGTAGAATGAAGTCAGAAGCCCAAGGGACCGAGGTGTTTATATACAGTCCCGAGGATCGCAAGATCTTCGGAGATATGCATGTCCCCGCTTTAAATCCACTCGGATTAGTCAAATTTGTAGTTCGGGATAGGTCTAGAGCTCGATTAGCTTCATCCTTTCTCACGGCGGTTCAGCCTCCATGGAAACCAAAATGCGCATGCGGGGATTGGGCCGTTGCCTAGCGGTGCTGGAATTGGAAGCTCCAGTTACTTTAACTTGGATCCAGTCCCTATTTGATGAGCACAGTTGCGCTGTCCCCATTTCCAATACCGTCACTAACAGCTTGTCAGAGTTGGTCATCGAGTAAGGAGTATTCTTTACCGAAGTTGTGGTAAAACTCTGTAACTGAGTTGGAGTTTGACTTCAGCCCCAAGGAGCACTAGTTCTAACGAACTAGCATCTTGACCAACCACACCCCTGTCTTTTTCCGTCTCCTCTCATATTAACGTGTTGTATCAAAATGACCACAGTGAGGGATTGTATGGAGTTTAAACTATAGTCTTTAACATCGTGAAGTCGGCCGGTGACGTCGCCACGACTTATAGGTATCTGCTTTGATTCAGCCTCTTCATGGTGTATCAGTGAGGCTTTTGCCAATATGCTCCCAAACCTTGACACCGCAAGGACGAAACGGGTATAACCATAAACCTTGAGCGGAGGGAGACCGCAACTCTGTGCAACAATGAAAATAGGGGGCATACAAACGAGACCTATAGGGTCTAGTCAATCCAAAGATGGAAACAGCCAAAAATCAAATATGCATGCAACTTTTCCATCGGGGTGACCTTCCAAGCTGATAGACAATGCAAATAACTTGCCCACCCTCAAACGACTACGGGTGAATTTCTCAGCAATGCCGTGTTACCATTGAGTACATATGCACAGTTAACCTGATACCCCTTGTCTCTCCGGGATTTACTCGTACGAGTGACCTCGATGCCCCTCGTTAGTCTTTCTTATAAATCCACTTGGCTAATCTATGGTTCACTACCAAGCTTCGAAGCTTCAAGGAACAAGAATCGTGTGTTTCCACTATGCAGCTTCCTCCAGAGTGATGGGACCTCATAAGACCACGAAATAGCGATGAAATAGATCATCAGACTGACACATTCTCTACAGATTCTAGCCTATATTGAAGGCGCAAGCAGTCAGTTACATTATAGCTGGACGGACGACTCACGGCATCACAGGATTTGGAACCCCGAAGCCAGAAAGGACTTGACGTCAGTTCGTCAAGTCAACAGAACCTTAAGTAACAGCGTCCCATCGCGACTATTTCGTCACATCGTCGCCCTGCATAGTTTCGTCCAGTATAAAACTCCGCTCCTGCGCCTGCTTCAAATATCCAAGAGCTCATTGGCCATATACGTCCGCCAAGTTGATGTGGGGTTTGAATTTCAACATTATCCCTTTTCTCCGAGAGAGATATCATACATGGAAGACCTGTCTGGAATACTATTATCTTGCCTTTCCAAGTTTCGCAATCTGAAGGCCCTGGAGTTCCATGGACCACCTGCATCCCTGCCTCCCTAGCAACGGCAAGTTTACATCAGCACAGTTGTGGCAGCCCTGCGCTATGTGTCACTCCCAAAATTGACCGAACTCAACGTTGCTTTCCCTATAACCCATAACTTCGGGCGATTTTTCCCAGATCGGACAACAGCGCTTCACATACCGATCGATGAGGTTTTGGAAGGGCTTCAGCATCTGGGACTGTATGTTTGCGCTCAAATAACTACAAACAAAAATGTCCAGGGATATGTGATACCGGCAGAATATGCGGACCACCCAAAAAGTGCAACTTGGTTTCATCTACATAGGATGATTGCGCTGCTCACCGGCCTGAAGTCCCTCGAAATAAGCAGTGAAGAACCCTTTGACTTTGACTTCTCCGGGCTTTTCTTTCCTACGTCTTTAAGATCCCTTTATTTGAAAGGTATAATCACAACATCGGACACCATCACCTCATTCATTCGTCGATCCAGCGAGTCTCTCCGATATATCGAATTGTTGGAAGTAGAACTAATGTTGGGGAAGTGGCAGGATGTTCTCTTGGAAACAGGCAACTTGAAACATCTTCTTAACTTCGGTATCAGATCGAGTGGGTACTCGTCGACGCTATCAACACCTATTATCACACTTGGCTTCCGTTCCTCCATCCGTGATTCTGGAAATACTAGAGAACTCAACCCCCGTGATATCTATGCTATTAGCGAGCTGTAGCAAAAGGTCAACGAGAACCGTAGGGCAGCAGGTTACTTGACACTTGAGCCTTGCGCTTACTCGCTTCTATAAGAGTTATTAGGCGAATGCAAAGAGAATCTGGAAAATTTAACAAACAAAATCTTCAGTGGCCAATGTCCAAACTGCAGCCGACACATCTCGAGACCTGGCGCTCAAAATTCTGCTTGAGCCCCAAAAAGACTAGTTTCAAGAAATTAAGATGGTGACTACCATGTAGGATGACCTGACACACGTCCAGCCGACAAGGTTACGCAGAAGGGACATGAGAAGTTGCTAACTGTACGTTAGGTATATGTACCTTTGTTTGGAAATTCCTAATTGGGATATACGGGCGTCTCTAAACCACAGAGCTTACCGCCAATATTATCTCTTACAAGTTGACCTTCTTACTCACACGCTCCAGAAACGTCGTGCTCAGGCTATGAGGGTGTGCTGATGTTTGGAAATTTCCTAATTAGGAAAACCGACTGGTCTTACTCACCGCCTTTGGTCGAGCGGCTATTGCGGGGATAGATTTTCCGATTTTCGGAGGTGGCAGTCCATTGGTGGCGGGGAAACCCCAGATGTTGTTCACCCGAGGTCGTCACGGGCGGAAGCTTCTTTGTATTTATTTCTATCTTTTGATTTCCTCCGTGTTTCAACTCCGGCAATCATTCAGTTTTGACCTCAATTCTGTACCAGCCATGTTTCGCTCAGTGCGACGTCTACCTCGACGCCTTCGTATTGCGCCCATCTCCCCATTGCGGCCTTTCACATGGGCCGGTTATCCTCGGATGATGCCTGTGCAACCCCCCGTGTCCAGCACCCTCCCCTCAGACGCCTACCAGCTGCTATCGACACAAGAAAAAGCCGGTGAAGCTGAAGATGCGCTCTACGATCAACAAATTCGAGACGTGGAAGCATGGTGGAGCTCGCCTCGTTACGAGGGTATTAAACGCCCTTATACAGCTGCAGATGTTGTGAGCAAACGCGGCTCACTGCAACAATCATACCCTAGCTCCTTGATGGCGCGGAAGCTTTTCAACCTTCTTAATGAAAGAGCGGCTGCTGGTCAGCCCGTTCATACCAGTGAGTATTTGAGACGTGCCGAGTTTCAATGATGCCAAGACTAACCTCGGGTTAACGCGCAGTGGGAGCTATTGACCCCGTCCAAATGACGCAGCAAGCTCCCAACCAAGAGATTCTATACGTATCTGGTTGGGCTTGCTCTTCTCTTTTGACAAGTACCAATGAAGTTTCTCCTGACTTTGGCGACTATCCCTACAACACAGTCCCAAATCAGGTCCAACGCTTGTTCAAGGCCCAGTCGATGCATGATCGCAAACAATGGGATGCGAGGCGGAAGATGACTCCCGATCAGAGAAAAGCGACGCCTTATACTGACTACCTGCGGCCAATTGTGGCAGATGGCGACACCGGGTAAGTTTACAATTGTGGCTAGGAATGAACAATTTTGCTAATTTTGCATCAGCCACGGTGGATTGTCGGCAGTGCTCAAGCTTGCAAAGTTATTCGCGGAGAATGGTGCCGCGGCTGTGCATTTCGAGGACCAATTGCACGGCGGAAAGAAGTGCGGCCATCTTGCTGGCAAGGTGCTCGTCCCGATGGGTGAACACATCAACCGATTGGTCGCTGCTCGATTCCAATGGGACATGATGGGCTGTGAGAACTTGGTTATTGCTCGGACAGACTCTGAAAGTGGTCGACTTATCAGCAGCGCCATCGATGTGCGCGATCACGAATTCATCCTTGGTATTACCGCGGATGTAGAGCCTCTGGCGGAGACTCTCCAAGCCATGGAGCGAGAGGGTGCCTTGCCCTCCGAGATTGATGCATATGAGCTTGATTGGGTTAAGAAGCACAAGCTTGTCACCCTTGATGAAGGTATGATTTCAATTCTGCGTGCAGCGAGCGATTACTAATAATCCGAAGCTGTCGATGCCCATCTCGAGTCCGAGGGAGCCCCACAGTCCTCCCGTGACGGCTACAAGGCTTATGTCAAGAGCAACCCCGACCTCTCAATTACCCGTCGTCGTGCATTGGCAAATGATTACGCCAAAACCCCGGTCGTCTGGTCATGCGACAGCCCGCGCACTCGTGAGGGATTCTACCACTACCGCGCAGGATTCCCCGCTGCGACCAAGCGCGCGAAGGAATTCGCTCCCTACGCAGATCTCCTCTGGGTCGAGACAGGAGACCCGGATGTGCAAAAGGCCGGCAGTCTGGCAGGTGAAGTGCGCGCAGCGTACCCAGGCAAGAAGCTCGTTTACAACCTGAGCCCTTCATTCAACTGGATGGGTCAAGGGTTCGACGAGGCTTCTCTCAAGTCCTTTATTTGGGATATTGCTAAGCAAGGGTAAGTCTACTTTGCATCTATCTGGTAGTTACATTCGCTGACCTTTTCCAGATTCGTCTTGCAACTTATCTCCCTGGCTGGTCTGCACACTAACGCCACCATCACCACTGAGCTTTCACGTGCTTTCAAGGACGAGGGAATGCTGGCGTATGTTCGCCTTGTCCAGTCTCGCGAGAAGGACCTTGGTGTCGACGTTCTCACTCACCAGAAGTGGAGTGGTGCCCCTTATATGGATGGCATAATGGGAGCTATTCAGAGTGGAAGCAGCAGCAGCAAGAGTATGGGCGAGGGAAACACGGAGAAGGGTAAGTTTTGCCTTATTGATGATCAAATCCAGACTGCTAACCGAAATCATAGGTTTCTAATCCACAGTTTTAGGGGTGTACAGTATTTGCAAACTTGGTGTCGTTTAAACATGCGCTGATTAGTCTTCATCTAGAGATCGTGGTAGCGTTTATCTTACAATATCTCTTCTTGGGCAGGAATGAAAAATTTGATGAACATTTTATCTGCACAGCGCTATTCGTATATTGTTCTTTTTTGCTTTGCTGTTTGTACACCTCTTTGAATGTCTCCACCGGTTGACCCTTTTAGTTAACTGGGGTTCCACGCATTGGTTTGAGAAACAACCAAGATGTTTAGATGGCATCCTAAAAGAAAAGCTACTACCAGTAATTTGAAACTATCCTAGGCTCCTTATATGGAAGAATCAACTGCCTGGTGACTCGAAAGTGTGGAAACAGTTTATCTAAAGGCATTGAAACAAATATGAAACAAATAAGTAGTGCCCGTGATTTCATAACCAAGTTTCTTAAGCCCGATGTCAACGCGGGAATTTCGAGCGAATATAGTCAAATAGTCCATGTTCTTCTCATTCTTGACAAAATGCTTATTTTGATACGCCGTTTTCATTTAGCTTGCCGGCATCTGCCTCTCCTCCATCTGTCGCTAGTTTAACGTTGATTCCCTCTTTGACGGCTTTGCTTTCACTGTCGGTCAATATCTTATATAGATAGCAATCCCTTTTTAGATACGGCTAAGCTTGCAATGATGGGAAATTAGTTGTACTAACACTTATGGATCAGTTGTCGGTCATTGAGCAAGGAGTCTATCTGTATTTCTCGCGCTGTGATGATGTATGCCTATACGTTAGGCCTTTTGAATATTCCACAGAAGACGCTTGATGTTCGTGATTCAATGGAGTTATATGAGTTATAATTCGAAGTATTTTCAAATGCCATCGATACATAACGAAATCAACCATGCACAAATATATGCTCGCCCTTCTAAAACGGATTGACTTCTACACAGCACATTTGCATTTCCAACGGCATCATGGACTCATACCCGAAGTTCAAGAGCACTTTCCCTCGCTTTCGTGAGGAAGTTGCTATAGAAAATATTAGCTTCGTGTATCAGGACTACAATAGATGAGACCTATCGTACCAAGCAGAATCCGCTAGCACAGTTTCCAGCACTGCCATCTTGCTTGCAGGGTTGGCCTGCAGCAATCTGAAATCGGTTAGAAACGCTGAGGTTGGTCGTGCGTATACTCTTACTGTGGGAGGGGCTTTATCGGCAGCCAAGGCAGCGCCAATCATGGCCATGAAAGCAATGAGAATGAACCTCATAGTGAGATGGAAGCGATATTTATTAGAATTGGAGAGTTTTGAGATGAGATTGTGACCAGAATCGACGAGAGGAGAAGCTTGATCGTATTTATATCCTGTTCCTGGTTCCTGTCTTGCTTGGCACATTTAATATCGAAGTTCAAGAGTGTTACAAAGTGGGATAGTTGGAACCCTGTTGTGAAGCCCTTCGGAGACAAATTTCCAGCGAACGAAATTTCCCTTTGGTAATGATACAGATTTTCTAGAGCGAAGAACTGCATTCCAATAGATGGCTAGTCGGATAGAGAATTTCAGGTGTTAGAGCTGATCATTGCAAACGAAGCAAATGGCACTCGGACAAGTCCATGCACATTTGTTCTATACTGCAGTTGACCATTCAAAATTGTCAGAGCCCTGAACATTACCCTGTTTGACAGAATCTCCCTGCTTTTTTGCGGGTTAGTTAGGAAACATTGCTCCGTTTCAGGTAGCCCGTCAAGTCGCAGTTATGAGAAAGCCATCAAATTTGAAATTGCGAGGCTTAATTGCATCTATTCTGATATATTTATCCTTTCTCAATACATTGTAAACTCTACTTGAATAATGCCAAATCACTCCCTTCCTCTCGTTGTCAGCTTAACACTTTCTTCGTGGTCATATAGACTACGGATGTTGTGCTACCTTTCATGTCCCACAACCATATTCATAGCTCTGTGTCTAATCATCTATGCAAGCCACTTACTTCATAATTGTCCAGACTGAACGGATTTCCCTACCTGGGTGTGAAACAAATTATCTTATGATCGGCTTCATTGCAACATAACCCCTCCTGAAGGGAATCTTCGAGATAATTGGAACCTGCTTGTTGAGTGACATTTAGATGTAGTCTACATGGGTGTCCATGTACAAAAATAGTTAGAATTTGCATTTCCTAGTCGAATGCTATCGGCCGTCACACAGGTTTTGCCTAAGCGATTATCTCTGCAAGGGGGAATTTGCCTCCAACGATTGTACTGAAACCATCAAGCGCTTTCAGTTGAGATTCAAATATCTCAATGTTGTCAGATCCCGAAGATTAACGATAGAAAAATACTTCATTTCGGATCATAGCACGTTATATTCCCTGATCTCATTGCCAGGCAGCTTCAATGACACCTCAGTAATCTTTTGTGAGTAATTGAAGCGGCATCAGAATACGATTACAACCCTTCCCCGTAAGTTTACCCGTGACTCGACGGACAACCACCGATGTGGTTCAATTGTTGATACCGATGCTACCACGGACTCACTCGACAAACCCGCATGAGATAAGAATCAGAATAACACTCGTGCGAGATTCCGATGTTCAAAACATGATATTGGTTATCATTTGACTCGAGACAATTTGCACATAAGCAGTTCAGAATTTAATAGTACATGTTACAGTCACATCCCCTTCTCCAACTTTAAAGACACCCAGCACAAACCAGGCTAAATGAAACAAGCAAGCTAAGCGAGCAGATAGCATGAATAGGAATTGAATCAAATTCCCATGAAGACCGCACCAACGAAGAGTGTTGAAAGAACCATAACTCCCTTCAAGCTAGTATGGGCATTTGGCAAAGTGACAGTTGCGCCAGAGGTGCTTGTGCTAGTTGCCGAGCTCGAAGTTGAAGTTGAGGATTTCTTCTTGTCGGTAGATAATGCGGATGAGGTTTCCTTCGAAGTCGGATACGAAGCAGCTGTTGCAGTGGCGTTGGTCGATCCATAACACCAAACGTCTTTCCATTTGACGCCCGCGTCGTAGAGGCAGTCGGTGAGATCTTGAACGGACTGGTCAACAGCAAGGGCGTAGATAGCACAATCGTTGTTATAGGAAGTAACTCCTACAGATTTCGCACATTTTGAAAGATAGCCCTCGTATTTGTCGCTGTTGGGAATTCCGCATGCTGCATCTTTAACGGGGAGTTCGTATTGAGCCGAGGTGCCACACACAGTGCTGGTGGCCGCGGACCCGGTTGTCGTGGTAGTAGCCATTGTTTTGGGAGCTTTAGAAATAAACGGAAAAGACTGTGGGAGTTTGAATTCCAGTTCTTGATCAGGTTTGATACTACAGCTGTATATAATTGAAATTGGTGGAGCTTTATAGATGGGCTTTTCAATGGCCGCTGATTGGATCGCTCATCTCAACGCCGGTTAAAAATAGCCGGCCCTTTCGGCATTTTCATATTGCCAAGACGCACCATATAGGACCTCCAAGGCCTATTAAGGTCTGTTCAACGCTATTGGCAACTGAAAACTTTGATTGGACTAAATTTGCCCTAATTTCAAGAAAATCTATGTGGCTTCTCCGTATAAACATGAAAACATACCGGGATCCACTTTGCGTATAGCTCCGCCGTCCCCCTTTAAGACGAATGTCAGATTTGTTAGCCTAATATGTCAGTATCAAGTAATTTTGATGTATACGATTTATCGGCGTTCTCCGACATTCTTGTTGTTGCAATGTAAAACCAGTCGCATCAATTGGAAAGCAAATCTAATATCCCTTCATATCTCTTCTTCGGCATCGACGACTTTCTCACTTTGTACCTAGTCTGGGTCTTGAGATAGCTGGTAAAGTAGTCAGCCTACAAGATTGCCTGCATGGCCGTGAATCTTCCATTGAGATGGGATCGGCTGTGCGGGATGCATGGTGTGTAAAATTCTTTGAGTCTACAGTGTGGGCTTTCTTTCAGCTAGTAGTGTATCAAGAATATAATGAAATTTTCCATAGGATGGTCATGATTGATAGTCTCTAGGTCACCTAATGTGCTTTTAATCTCTGTCTTGCCCACATAGTTCGTAGTCTGTACGTATTGCATGCTCATGGTTTCCGAAACTAATTATGAGTACAATTCAGATACAGGATAACTTAAATGTAATCTAACTGCTCTGTATCCAATTGAGCAAATTTGGGCCCATTATATAGACTGGAAACTCAATTTCCCGAATGATTGTCTGGATCTGACCAACGAGCATGATAGTTAGCGATAGTAACTAAGCCTAGGAAAGTTCTCGATCATCCTCACTCACCTTGTAACTGCCAACAAGGAATCCTAGCCTCACATTCAGCCTGTATGTTCGCTTGATATTGCAAACTTCGAAGCTTGGGGTAAGCCCTGGGGGTAATAGGTAGCGGCTATACATGGACTCTCTCAGTTTAGCCACTGAATCCATCTCAGACTCCGCAAGCCCAATCGGGTAATTCATGTTCGCCGTGCTTTGCACGATCCACGTGCTAATGGAAGATTCAGTCACCCCTTGGGCTTTCACTTGTGTCCTTTCAACAAGCATAGTTTGGAACTCATTCAGCACAATTGGGCAGTGCCAATTCCCAAGCTTGGTGACACTTATTACCAGAGGGACTGACTTTCCAAGAAGAAGACAGGGTCCATTCAGGAGCTCGGTGTCAATTCTGAATGATAGAGGCGAGCCAGCGCCGATGATATGCGGACTGATGCTGATGTCACATTCTTTCTTCAGTGGCTTTTGTTGGGGAAGTGGGTCTGATAATGAGTGGAACAGAATATTACGAGTCTGACAAACGATCAGTAGGTGTTTTGAGAGGAGTCTTAGGTTGCATGCTCTTACTTTTTTCAAAACGCCTTTTCCTGTAACAATTACGCTTAGTGAGTAACTAATCTCCGCAGGAGACCTTGAATCTCCTGTTGAGGGAGGACACTTCCGCAATAAATGCTCTTTCTGTGCCCGCCAACGCCCAATGTTGGCGCATGTAAATTGCGTTTTGCTTGACCAGTGGTCGGTCTTGTAGCATTCAGTAGCTTGTGGAAACTGGTTTTCTTCGATTAGTTACTATTCAGGTATTGGTTTGTTTTGATGACTTCGATAGTACTGACCGTGATAGAAAACGGCAATGTGAGAATCCCACCTCCGAGGGTTACACTAGATCCTTTCGACTCCTTCATCAACAATTCTGGTGGGAAGATTTGCTGTGACTTTTTGAAAATCTGAAATCTCATAATGTTAGTAAGCATTAAGCGATTGAGATATTTGTATTTGATATTCGTTCTCAGACATACATGATGGGTTTCGGTACGGCTGCTGTGGTTGAATCTGGATATTGCCGTCCCCGACAGCTTTAGAACAACAGTCGACAAATCGGCGGCTGACTCATTGCACAAAATCACCCGGCCCGATACCGTATCTCGGTGTGTGTAGACAGGCTCTTTTTGATCCAGTTGCAAATCCACTTCCATCGGCGCAGGTGAGAGTAGAACCGAGCCCAGCTTGAATATCATGACGGAGGTTTTGAGGATGTACGATATTTTGAAAAGATGAAAAGTTTTAATACTCCTCACTAAATGGGTTGAGTCATGTCATTTAGCCACCTTGACCCTCAGTAATGCAAACAGTGGAAGCCTTGACTATGTTGTCTCACCTGTGACCCCAAGTTTCAGCAAATTTAAAAATATGTCCCTCGTGGAGCTTCGCGGAATCAACAATATTTTTAGTCGGTGCACAAGCAAATGTCCTCTAGATGAATGCTAGACTTGTTCGCTTGATTACACAACATCTGTGCCCGTAGTATACTTTGCTCATTGGTTGTCGGAAATAAGAACGTTTTAGCCGCACGCTAATCGGGGCTCCTTGCACTTTGATTGGTCATAATGTCGATACAAACGAAATAGTGGAGTCCCCGGCTTAAAATAGTCGGGTAATCTTTCACTATGACCCTAGAACAAGCAAGCTATTTCGTGATTTAGTTGCCATTCAGGGGACTAGAAAATTTTGTGGGTTATATCTTTTCTTACGAGAAAGCTCGCGTAAAATATGCTGCTCAAATGATACCCAAGTGCACAGCCTGTCATACTACATTTATCAATTCGAACTGGCTTGGCACCAGGGATTGCATTCTGGGCTTTCAGCTCAAGTACCCTAAAGATAGGTTCCACACAGGAAACCCATTGGTATACGATGGACCCTTCATTTAATCGACCATACTCATTCGAGTATGCACGACGGAGCGAGGAAAGCGACAGAATGAACGATAGCCATTCTCTTCGGGTAAGTATGCATGGAGTGGAAATTGCTTGATCTCTGGGCATGCGGCAAACCGAGCTGACCACTCCGGTAACAATCAGAATACCCAGAACGTAAATGAGCAAGCTGTTTCCCTTCTTTACACGGCCACCACATCTGCTTTACCCGTCAGCCCCTTTGCAGACCCGATTCCCCCCAGCGGAGTGACTCGACGATCCTACACATCTTCATCTTCTGCGCTCAAAAGCCCCGTCGCAGATTCCATGGAATCGCAAGAGAAACCCGACCAGTTTAGATTACACAATCTCTCTAATCAGGGCTCTGCTGTCCCTTCTTCTAGAGACTCCGGAGCACGATACAAGGGCAGCAGCGTACGGCGGTATCCGACACGACGCATCAAGTTGATACAAGGCTCAGTCTTGAGCATAAATTATCCCGTGCCGAGTCCTATTCGCAATGCTATTCAGCCGGAGTATAGGGATGCGGAGGGTGAACTTTCGGAGGAATTCACGCAAATGAGATGTCAGTTTTCCCACGAACGGAAATAAAACGGGTTTCACAGATCTTATACTAACCTCTTATTAGATACCGCTGCAACGTGCGATCCCGATGAATTTACGCTACGAAATGGCTACAATCTCCGTCCTTCGATGTATAACCGACATACGGAACTCCTCATCGCCATTACCTACTACAATGAAGATAAAGTTCTTACTGCGAGAACCTTGCATGGAGTCATGCAAAATGTGCGAGATATCGTCAAATTGAAGAAAACGGAATTTTGGAATAGAGGAGGTCCCGCTTGGCAAAAGATCGTTGTCTGTCTTGTTTTCGATGGGATGGATCCATGCGACAAAAATACACTCGACGCTTTGGCAACTATTGGTATCTTTCAAGATGGAGTTATGAAACAAGACGTGGACGGAAGAGAGACCGTTGCCCATATTGTGAGTTGTCACTCTATCAGTTTCTCCGAATTTTATCCTCAACGCAAACTCGAATCAATTGCGACTAACGATTTCTAGTTTGAATATACTACCCAGCTATCAATCACCCCCAAACAGGAGCTCGTCCGCCCATACGCAGACAATCCGATGAACCTACCCCCGGTGCAAATGATGTTTTGTCTCAAAAAGAAAAATGCGAAGAAAATCAACTCGCATCGTTGGTTATTTAACGCGTTTGGACGCATTTTAAACCCCGAGATCTGCATTCTAATTGACGCGGGCACAAAACCGGGACCCAGGTCTTTACTTGCTCTATGGCAGGCATTTTATAACGACAAGAACCTTGGCGGCGCCTGTGGTGAGATCCATGCGCTTCTAGGCCATCGCTGGAAAAAACTCATTAACCCGTTGGTTGCGGCCCAAAACTTTGAATACAAGATATCCAATATTTTGGATAAACCGTTGGAGAGCAGCTTTGGTTATGTGAGTGTTCTTCCGGGGGCGTTCTCGGCCTACCGGTACCGTGCGATTATGGGTCGGCCTTTAGAGCAGTATTTCCATGGTGATCACACGCTTGCTGAGAAATTGGGCAAGAAGGGCATTGATGGGATGAATATCTTCAAAAAGAATATGTTTCTTGCTGAAGATCGAATTCTTTGCTTCGAACTGGTTGCTAAGGCTGGTAGTCAGTGGCATCTTACGTATGTGAAGGCATCGAAAGGAGAGACAGATGTCCCCGAACGACCGGCAGAGTTTCTGAGCCAACGGCGGCGCTGGCTGAATGGCTCTTTTGCTGCCTCGCTTTATTCTATTATGCATTTCAATCGCATCTATCAAAGCGGACATGGTATCTTTCGGTTGTTTTTTCTTCATGTCCAACTGGTTTACAACATCTGCCAGTTGGTCCTGACGTGGCTTTCACTGGGTATGTTAATGGCAATTTGCTAGCCGTGTGGAGTCTTCCCAGGATTGCTGTATAAAGTCACTGACACATGATTTAGCATCCTACTGGCTCACAAGCTCGGTCATTCTCGATATTGTTGGAACGCCAAGCGCAACAAACAAATACAAGGGGTGGCCGTTTGGCAACGAAGTGACTCCAATTCTCAATAATCTATTGAAGATTGGGTACTTGACATTTCTTATGCTCCAATTTATTCTAGCTCTCGGCAATCGGCCCAAAGGGTATGTATCGTGATTCACAGGCGGTTTATATTTGCTGACACCGAAGTATAGCTCCAAATTCTTGTATACACTTTCATTCGTCTATTTCTCTGTCATCCAAGCCTACCTCCTCGTGCTTGCCTTTTACCTCGTTTCCCAAGCATTGACCCCTGAGAACCTCAAATTCGATTTCAACCATGGCTTCTCGGCACTGATCTCCGGTTTTATTGGGTCGACAGGCGGCATTGTCCTAGTGGCTTTGGTCTCAACATACGGGATCTATTTCGTTGCCAGCATTCTCTACGCCGATCCCTGGCATATGCTCACTTCTTCTTGGGCCTATTTTCTCGGAATGCCCTCGTCAATCAATGTTCTCATGGTCTATGCATTTTGCAACTGGCATGATGTTTCATGGGGCACTAAGGGATCAGATGCACCCGAGAAACTTCCATCCGCACAAACAAAGAAAGAAGATGAAACGCCTTTTGTTGAGGAATTGGAGAAGCCGCAGGTCGATATTGACGAGCAATTCGCCGCGACGGTGAAGCGAGCCCTAACTCCGTGGCAGGAGCCGGAGGAAAAAGAGGGTGTTGCGCTTGATGATTCGTACAAAGCATTCCGAACGAATCTAGTCCTACTGTGGACTTTTAGTAACGGTCTTTTGGCGCTGTGCATTAATAATTCCAGTATCACGAGGCTCTGCTTGACGGCAAGTTGATTTCTTTCTCTTCCTCGACACAGTCACTGACCCATATAGTCAACATCTACGCTTCGCACAGCATGGTACTTTAAATGCATTTTGTGGGGTACTTCTGGTCTGTCTATTTTCCGATTTTTGGGGGCTCTTTACTTCTTAGCAAAGACGGGGGTGCTGTGCTGTTTTTCCAGGCGTTGAGTTAAGAACCGAAATAGTAAATGAGAGGGCGCAGCATAGGTGGCCATGTGGCTGTGAGAATAACGGACTAATTTATAGTAGGAATTTAGGACTAAATTGTCGGGAATAATTTTATTTGCTCTCTCCTATTATTTCTTTCATGTATTCAATGTTTGAAGTTTCTCGGTTTGTATAATTTCAAAACATCTGTAATGTACAAATATGTACTCCGTATAGAATCCCGTACAGGTAAAATGGGTATGGGTACGGAGTAACCGGTACTTCTTTACAACTAATGAATACACTGCCTCAATCTATTTAAAACGATGAAACTAATGTATAGCTATCTAAGAAGAAGTGTATAAGTAATTATGTTTCTGTATTTCGAACCCTATTGGACTCAATTCTGCCAAGAAACTGTTAAATCCGCCAAGTCGATCAATGCTACCTATGTTTCGATTCTCTTGGCGAACGGAAATTTCTGAATCGTCGGGTTTATATTTATAGGAGGTTCCACTTTCAGGGTGCTCCATCTTATACTATACTTATGTACCCCGTACATGGCTTTGCATCACAGTAGTAGTTAGTACTGAGTTTTCATCATGTCAACTGTGCTTCCCAAAAATACCAAACTACAACCAGTGGTACGACTCAAGAATCTGAAACAGATGATACTTTCTCAATGCTAACAATTTACTGCAGTGTGACCTTTGTCATTCACGCAAGGTATGAGACTTGAATAAGTCGGTTCGACTTGAGAGTGAACTCTACTGATCAATTTTCAGGTCCGCTGCGACAGGCAAGATCCCTGTGGCAACTGCCAGGATGCTGAAATCTCCTGTCGTCGCCAGCGAACTGCAAAGCGCAGATGCACGAGTGATCGTCGCCAAGAAATCTCAAGTCCTAGCTCTTCTCATGCTTCGCGGCTTCAAACGATACCCGATCATGAATTCGACGAATTGATAACTTCGCCGAATGAAGTGGTGCCATTCCTGCCAGTCTCTCGTGCCAAGCAACTTGGATCAAATCATATATGGGAACCTAAAACTAGGATCTTATACGACCCCGTTCACGATGCGCAATCGACAATTCAGCGCCAACTGCGCTATCTGCCGGGTCTTACTCTAGATAGACGAAGTGTGCTTGAAACAGCCTTGTCTGTCATACACCTATTATCTGATAACCCAAGAGCTCTGGTACAAGAGAACAAACCCAACCATCAAGGCACAGGTTCTTCTCGAATTCCGCCCGCTGAATTCCTGACCTGGATGTTGAAGGGTATGTCGACACTGGATTATGGATTATCTCGCTGCCCTAAGGAGAAGCTGACCTTGAATCCTCCGCAGATCTTAAAACCGATAGATTCGGGCCATTTGTTGCAGATTATTTCAGGCACATTGCACCAGGAACATTAAAGCACATGGGACTTTCACTCCTTCGGAACAAAGCATCACAGCATGAATCCATCATTTACAATGTTTGTGTCAATGCGGTCGCCTACAAGTTCCTTACCACAACGATCAGTCTTGAAGATGACGCAAACCTAGCCCTCGAACTCAGGAAGAATGCCACCGACTACCGAGCAGCAGCTCAGGCTGCATTGAAACAAATCCCACTTCTTGTGCCTCCGTCTCTGGGTTTACTACAAGCTATTCTATGTGGAGTAAGCACCCCCCCCCCCCCCCCCCAACACCGTCAGTAAACCCCAGTTTCTAACCCCAACTAGGTTTTTCTTCATCAAGGATCGGGCGATGTCGGATTAAGTGGAGACCTGACCAAAGCAGCGTGCAAAACCTGCATGGACCTCGATCTTGCAGGAACTGTCCTACGGGGAAACGGCACAGACGAAGAACTCTTCTGCTTCCTTTGGTGCTACACTTTGGACAGGAACCATGCGTTCAAAGTCAGGACGTCGCGGTGTCTTCTTGACGTCCATTTACCGCCCACTTTCGCCGATCTATACCCAACCTACCCCAACATCGCCGAGCTTCTCTTGATCTACCTCGATCTTGCTCGCGTGCAGGACATAGTGATATCACATCTCCCGGATAGCTCAGTGAACCACCATGTCTCTACCTCATCGCTCTATAACACTGGAGAATACATGCTCCTGCAGATGCAATACATCCAACAAAGAATGAATCAGGTGAGTTCAATCCCACCCTATCTTTGTTTACCAAACATTCTAACCAGAACAAGATCGACTCCTTATCCTCCGAATGGAAAGGCCTCGACCGCCAGACCGAAATGTCCGCCCTAAAATTCGCCTATCAATCAATAAAAACCGGCATCCTCTACCTCCTCCAAACCTCCTCCGACCAACCACTCCATTCTGCAGACGGCTACCTCCAATCCGCGCGCCAGGAGCTCTCAGCTTTGGTATCGATGTGCCACACAGCAGAGAAGCAAGCAGCGGTCAGCTTCTTGAACTGGTAAGTACCAGCACACCCACCCATCATCCCAAATCCCAAATTCAAGTCTAATAAATCCCCCTCTACCACCAGGACAATTCTCCTCTACCCAGCAACCGCATACCTAGTCCTCTTTTGCAACGTAGTCGCAACCTCCGACATCGGCGACTTCAACCTAATGAGAGCAATCGCAGACTGTCTCACGCAGACAGGAATCAGTTACCCGCTTGTGCAGCTGCGGACGCTATTCCAGAAATTCCTGGGGCTGTCGCAAGGCTTTTTCAGCGACGAGAGGAACGCGACGCAAATGCCCGAGCCGAGACTGGATGGCTCCTTGTATCCGGGTATTCCGTTTTCGATGTGGGAAGGTGACGCAGAGCTTAACCATAACCAGGTGCTTTTCTCTGGCGCGGAAAGCTTCTCTAGTATGCTAGAGATAGCGGATGAGGCTTTTTTGCCGTATGGGGACTCGCTTTGAGGGGTTTTAGTGGGGATTGGTATCGCTGTTTGTATTAGCGCTGTATTTTGCATTTGGGGATATGGGAGTTGATGTTTTCAACAGATAGTTATATTGAGATATATATATGTAGTGATCTATAGAATGGTTGATGTTCTATTCAGTGTGGTATGTACATGTATATACGGGTGTTATTAAGTATGTATGGTCTTCCGTACATGACGGCGGGTTATATATTCTGTTCGAAAATGACCCAAACGCACAGCCGTACGAAAATTTACATACCAAGGTACATTGAGAGATTCCGATGAAAGCAACAAAATAATACAAGCATAGTGACGTTTAAATACGCATGGAAATCACGTTGGAGTCATACAATAGAAGAATAGAAGAAGAAAAGAAAAACGTATCACCCGGAACAATCTTCATTGAAAGCAATTCAATCCAGGCACACATCCAGATACCGTCGAAGGCAAAACCTGCCTTGGTCATAACGAGGTCCCGAATTGATATCGAACGCAGTAAGAGCATACCCAAATAAAAGCATACACAAAGATAAACTAAGATAAACAACAATACCCTAACAGGCCGACCAAGCCGATTGAGATGGTCGTCAAAGAATTACATCAGAAGAAAAAGTTCAGAAAGTAAAACAGACAGAGCAAAGACGCAGCAGAGCTCATCGGGGGTTGTCAGGGGCACATAAGAACACTGGGGTGTTGGACACCCGTGTTTTGAAATCAGAGGACCGGATTGGGTATCCGGTAAGAAACGAATCATAAAACGTTGCGCCGCGGATCAAGAGGGAAATGAAAACACCGTTTTCCCATCAATAATTTGGAGTCAAGGGTAGAAAGCATGAAATCGCTGAATAACGGACAAGACATGATCGTTGATCAGGGATCAGACTAGTTGACACGGAACGAGTCGAAGATGACTGAGATGAATTAGTTAAGGATACAAAGGGATTAAAGATGTTTAGACGTACCCTCATGTCCTCTGCGGCAACCGCTACCGATCCACATCAACGTGTTTAAGAATGTGTACCGCTCATCACCGGTCTCCATGGAAAGGTTGACGCGATACTTATAGCTGCCCGGGTTGACGCCATCTGCCATATTAGAATCAATGACCTTCTCGAGTACATCTTTGGCGCCCGTCAACCAGCCATCTGTGCGAACAACAATGAATGCTGGTGGGTCATCGACTGTCTGAAGCATAAAACTGGCGCTCAGATTGGTAGCTGAGTCCTTGGTCACAAGCTGGGTATCTTGACCACCGGGCTGTAATTTAACAGTTAGACAACGCTTTCAAAGTGACGGCATAATGCTTACCAAAACAATTCCCTTGCCCCACCGGCCAGCCCATTGACCGCCGATAAACGATACCCATTCACGTTGACCCCAAATACCGGCACCGACGTTCACCTTCGGGTTCATTTTGATGCTCATGCGGAAGTCCAGCTCCAGCGTGGGCGCAGGGATCTGTAGTGAGCGGGCGACATCGCCTTCAGGGAATGTGTGGAGCAGGTTGTTGGCGGGAATTGAGTCTTTCATGACACTGAGATACGTTGGGCATTCGAGCAAGTGCTGGCGCTGGCGACTGGTGTTCTTTGCACGGACTTGCTGGCAGTAAATACATTGCACAGACAGGCACTGTGGGTGTTTGTTAGCTTGTTTCTTAGTATGCGACAAATGAAGTTTGCGCGACGCACCTTGTCTTCTTCCTTAGCGCGGAACTCGACAAAAGCTGCGTGTACGTCATCGAGCGGAGGCGCAGGCAAGCTTGAAGTCGAGTTCTTCGACTTTGGCTTTGGAGTCGGCCGGGACGCGGCACTTGGCGGCGCCGAGGGAGGGCCGGTTGCCTGTACTGGGGTAGCCATCGCGGCGCGATTTTGGAGGGCCTGCAGCGGAGCCTGCAATGGGGTGGCATGAGGATTGACACCATTGGTCATGAGGGTGCCATTGGGTGCTGGAATAGTACCAGGACCGGATGGTCCTGACGGGGTCGCTGTCGGGCCATTTGGAGTTCCAGGGTAGCCATTGGGAGGGCCGATTCCGTTGGGGGCGGCCTGGGCGGGCTGGGAAGGCTGCGGCGCGTTAGGGTGACCGCGCAGACCGGGACATTCAAGAAGATGTTGTTTCTGGCGCGAGGTGTTCTTTGCACGAATTTGTTGGCAGTAGATACACTGAACGGAGAGACACTAACACATGCACAAACCCCAAAACGGGTTTTCGTATGTTAGTGACGGTGTGGAAATATTACGAAATACACAACGCAACGCACCTTGTCATCTTCCTTGGCGCGGAATTCGACAAACGCCGCGTGTACCTCTTGGTCGACAGTACGACCCATTATGAGGGGAGTAAGAGGCTCCAGGATCAAGAAAGGAAAAAATAATAAAGAAGGGTATTAGGATAGAAGGCGTGTAATGTTGGAGGGGTTAGGGGAAAGAGGAAAAGAGAAATGGAAAGACGAAGACGGAGACGGGAGAATACGCGGGTTACGCGCCCTGCGTAATTTGAATCACTGCTTACGGGTATTGATTTTTGGTATTCAATACTTCGTCACCGTACAATGTGCGTATTTATCTTTCAACCTTTTTCTATATAGATCTATTTGCGAATTATATATTCTTTTTTCAATTTACTCTGAATTGTAAAAAATTGTACTTATGTGACTACTCGTAGTTATGAGACTTAGGTGTCCAGTGTTGGTGTTCTGTTCGCTGACCATTCACCGGTTACTGACGCGGACGAAACATATCGGCCAATGGATGAGACCGACGAGGCGCGGTCGGGCAATGCCTAGAAATATATAAGAATACTACTATGCATAGTTAATTGATAGTAAGATAACATAAGATAGATGTGTCGGGCTATATAGCTATGGACAGACAGTTCCTTATTTCACCTGGTAACTACCAAAATACGGAGCATGCGACAAATGCCCAGTCGGAGGATTCAGGGCATACGAGGTACGATCGGATCAGAGATTGCTATGATTGGAGTTAGTGGAGATTCTCTCGCGTGAGAAACTCGCGTAAGGCAGACACAAAAATCGAAATAAAGATATGAATACTCGAATATAGAGTAGAATGTTGATATAGTTAGTTTACATACATATAGTATTTATATACTTGGTACCTGTTACCTGTTCTGTTCTGTTTCCAAGGTTCGACATCTTGAGGTATTATTACTGTCACTGAGGTTGCTGTATCCCATACGCGATACTCCTTACACGTAAGATTGATATAGAAACATTGAATGTTTAAAGAAAAAAATTCATAGATCCGTTTCGATGTATCCCATACGTTTCACCACTTTGGTGTCTCGTTTCTCGTTTCAATAAAAATAAGAGCCTTCCGGGGTAAAATCGGTGATGCAATAGCCCATCGCGTCAATAGCTTCATATGATCGCCAATATCAAATTGCAAATCGCAAACGGAAATCTGCCTTCGATTTCGCACCCCCACGTTAATTCCTCAAAAATCCCCCAAACCCGTGTTCTCATCAACGCAAGTTCTTATAGTCTCGTAATCTCATAATGTCATGTCTCGCAGTTCATCTGGAGCCAGCGCGCACGCTTACATTTCAGAGAATCGCAGCTGGATCTCACCAGAGCGATAACCACCCCATTCTGCACTGCACTGATCCTGATAAACACGCAGCAAACCCTTCGTCGCCAAAGTAAGCACATTCATCAAAGCCTGCGTCGCAACAGCACGCGTCGTACTCTCAGGCGGCATAAGGGTCGCGAAGGTAGTGCGGCCTCCGTTCGCAGAAACCGTCCAAGGGCTAACATTACTGCGGGGACTCTGTGCGCTCTTCTCAACGCCCATCTTAGTCTTCATGAAATCAAAGAAATTCAAACTCTCCCGATCAAGCGACGCCTTAGCCTGTTCGAGCAAAGAGCGCTTTCCGGGAGAGATAGAGCTGATGCCCTCGCGGTCTGTGGCGAGCTCGCCTTCCAGATACCGGGTGAGATCGAGGTCGTCGCCAAAATTCCCCAGGTCCAGGCTCAGTCTGTCTTGGCCGCCGTAGCGGCCGGCGAGGGGACTAGCGCTCGTGAGACGGCTGCGGGCTTTGCGGCCTTGAGAGGACAGTTCGCTTACGCTGCCGAAGCGGTGGGGCCGGTGGGAGCTCTTAATTGAGGCGGTGATGTTCCATGGCATCTGGGATGAGTGGTCGTCGAAGAGGCTTGAGGGGGCGTCACGGCCCAGCTCGACGTCCATGCTTAGACGGTCGATGTTCTCGCAGCTGAGGTGCTCTGCTTGTTCCTCTCTGGCGCGGACGCGGCGTCCTTCGGAGTCGAAGTCGTCCTCTGTACGGGTGTGCTTTTGTCCGCTGTGCTCGCCATAGCCACCAATGGATTCGAAGAGATCTTCACCTGAGAAGAGATTGAGCGGGTGTGATTCTTGCTCCATGCCCAGACCGAGTCCGACAGAGCCGATGCCTTGGCCGAAAACCCAGAATGCGGCGTTCTTCTTGGCGATGGTTGGGACTTTGTTCTGCTGCTTTTGATTCAGCGCTTGAACCATATTCGTAAGGTATTCGTTATTCCACTGAGCCAGTGTTATATTGCGCAGGGCCGTGGTGTCGTCAGATGTAATTTCTTTTGGGCGTTTGGCGCGGGGAATCCTCACTGGCGGAATCTCAATAGACTCCTCGATTACATTCTGGCCATCTTTTTCATCAAGTAAAGTAGGCCCTGCAGCGTGTGTATCAATTTCCATCCTGTCATTCTCAACATTGACAGTCTGAGTATCAATCGGCACCTTTGACACACAGTCAGTGACATCTCTCCTGATCCACAAGAAAACATACAATACTCACCTGATCATTACGGAGATGTCCGTGCTCATTGTACCGTCCATCAAAGACGCCTTCACTATCTCCCGCCGCAGGAGACTTCTGACTCAAAAACGGAGTCTTCTCCCTCCCCTCAAGCTCAACCAGATTCCCATCCCCATCAAAAGTAAAGTCCGCACCAAGAAGAAGCCCACCCTCTTCATCGCCGAGCCCCAGCCCAGTCACCTGTGCGAAAATATCTTTCTTTGCAGATCCACGGTTCTCACCGAGTCCCACAAGAGTCCCCTCGCCCGTATCATCGGACGGAAGCTCAAGCTGGAGACTTGAAAGCTGGGAGGTGCCGGACAGGCTATTGACTGGCGATTTGGAGAAGAGGCCATTGAACTGATCGGAGTCATTGACAGGAGCGAAGTGCGAGAGGTCGATGTCCAAACCTGGGAGATTTGTTTCTGGCAGGAACGACGTGTCGTAGGGCAGAATCAGATTGTTCGGTCTTGGGAGGTTAGAGGTCAGTGCGATTTCAGTGTATTTTGCAGAGTAGTGACACTCACTTAGTCTGGCCAGCCGATGGATCGATGCTACTCCCCGGAACTATCTTCAGCATGGAAACCATCTTGTCGTGCATGGCCTGTGTGTCAAGGAGGGTGTACCCGCATTGCTGGTTATAAACGTGGGAGACGCCGTATCTAGCTTTCAAGTCAGTATAAGATACGCAATGACCAGTTGATACCGTTTCGCTTACAGCAAGCTCCCTTGGAGTCGCAGCGCCATTGGTACTTCGGGGTTGATGATCACCCTACAGGCATTGGGGACATCCACGTCCTGGATGGCTTTGCGGTTTAGTCTTCTGGCGATGGAGCGGGAGCCTAGGGTTGCAACTAGCCTGTGGAAGGACATGTTGAGTACAGTTTGTGGTGCGGAGCTATAAAACCGTCGGCATGCTTACCAGATTGTTGCGACTCCGTGCTCTGGGGACGTGAGAACTAGTGCGAAGGGGTCAGTGAGTATTATTTATAGCTTGAGACTAGTAATGGATACTTGGAACCTACTTTCGTGGCTGTAGAACATGATTGCGGTGCGTGAGCTCGAACGGGCGCTTGGCCCTCGAGTCGCAGTGCGTTTCTGAGTGCTGTTGTTGGAGAATCAGAGATAGGCCAGGAGTTGCGTGGCTGTATATGCCGAAGTATTTTTGCTGTGGATATGGGCGTTGAAGAACAATGTACCTGGAAGACTGAGTGTCTGTGGCTTCGACTGCTCTCGTGAGGAGAGCCTGGGTGGATGTTACCGGTGTAGCTTGGATGAAGTAGAAAAAATGATGCGAGCAAAGAAGTATCAAGTTTCACATGTGGCAAGGAAAAGATAACAAGGAAGAGAAAAAGAGAGATGCGTGGAGAAAGTTGGGTGGTTGAATGGTGGAAGTCCGCGCTGGAGATGAGTCTAGAAGGCAAACCGAATAATGGTGTTGGGCAACCCATCTACAGTCTACACGTAAAGGCCAAAGCTATGGCATTTGATTTGGATGAAAAAGTGCTCGATCACATCAATCGGATCTTTCATTATTCCCAGCAGTCTAATCCAATATAGTCGGAGAACCCAAGATTAACACCATAATCAATATCTCTACCTAGGCATTTCTCGAGGCCGAAACACACCGTTTGCAAAAGACGAAGCTGTCAGATAAAAAGCAGAAATCTAACGGAAAAAGAAAAGATCGAAACCAACAGAAAGAACTCTTTTGACACAGATATGGACGTAAACGAAATCGACTATGGAAGATCCGGAAAATAGATAAAGGCACCTGAAATCTTCAACCCAGGCGATGTATAATGTGCACGCGGGGTATGAGACAAAAGACATGCAAGTACAACACACCAACACCCCAAAACTACTCGTGAGAAGCCATAGCTTAGTCAAGGGGAATACCCTCGTACTCGGAGTAGCCTAGAGCCAAGTTCATGTTTTCTGCAAATGAAGTTAGTGTTATGTTTCTTATATTTGAAGGGAGAAACCTACGCAGGCACTGAGTGGCGGCACCCTTGAGCAAGTTGTCGATGGTGGCGCAGACAACGACACGCTCGCCGCTGGAGTGGACGGCGAAACCACCGATCTCGACACCGTGGCGGCCGGCAATATCCTTGACGAGAGGGGCCTCGCCGACGATCTTGACGAGCTTCTCGCCGGCGTAACGGTCCTGGTAGAGGTTGCGGATGTCACGGGAGGTCATCTTCTGCTTCAGAGGGATGCTGATAGAGTGCTGTGCAAATGTGTTAGCAATCTTCATAAGAACGAGGGGAGATCAAGCACATACAGAGATACCCTGGAACCAAACCGCGACGTGAGGAATGAATGCAATGCTGGTGCCCAGCTGTGCGCTGATCTCACGCTCGTGAATGTGGTCAGTCAGGCTGTAGGGAATGAGGTTGTTGGTCAGGTATTGCACGTCGTTCTTAGGGCTGGGCTTGGTGCCAGCACCGGAGTATCCAGAGACACCGAAGGTAGTGGGCTGGCCGCCAAGGAAAGGAACGAGAGGAGCAATTCCAAGCTGGGCGGCGGTGGCGTAGCATCCGGGATTGGCAATGCGGGTGGCCTGAGCGATCTTGGAGCGCTCGACCAACTCGGGGAGACCGTAAGTCCACTTAGGGTCAAAGCGGTAATCGGCACTCAAGTCAATGATGACGTTACCCTTCTCAGAACCCTCGTCGACGGCGTCGACGAACGGCTTACAAATACCGTTGGGCAGAGCCATCACCCAGCAGTCGATGTCGCCGTTGGCGGACATCTTGCGGACATCATCGGGGCTAAGATTCTCGTAGATGATCTCACGCTTCTCGTAGCCCTGGAGCTTCTTACCGGCCAGCTCGCGGGACGATACGTGGCGGAGATCCATGTTGGGGTGGGCGTTGAGCAGGTTGATCAGGGCCTGACCAGTGTAGCCACGGGCACCGATAAGCGCAACCTTGGCGGGCTGGGTGTTGGAGTTGTTCTTCTCACCGAGAGGGGGATTGGGGTTGGTGGTAGAGTAAGAACGGAAAGCGTTGACGGCAACAGCGGGACGCTTGGCGCGGGTCATGCGCAGAGCGTTGCTGGTGGTGGAGAAACCACGCTTCTGCTCAACAGAAGCACCGCTAGCACCGTGGCCCTTGCCGATGTTTGCGGCGGCCTCGGCAGCGCGGTGGAGACGCGACTCGAGGTTGATATCACCAAACATCTGGCGGCCGTGCTGGTTGAACTCCTGCACGAGCTGCTTGACCTCCTCGCCATTCTCAGCACCATACCAAAACAGGACTTGGCCATCACGACTCAAGCTGCCGTCGGCCTTGTCGAAGAACCAGGTCAGGTTCTCGTCATCTTCCTTGACAGTCCATGCAAGCTTAGGGAAATCCTTCTTGATGCTGGCGAAGACGTTGTCAGCAACGTTGGTCAACCATCCAGACTTGGTGATGGTGAAGGTGGCCAAGTGAGCCATCTGGGATCCGGGTTGCGGGGGAAGCACAACTCCGAGGGCCTCCATGGGCTCGTCGTAGTAGATCTTGAAGTCCTTCTCCTTCATGCCCTCGACGTAGCGGTCGACAACAGCACGAGCATCAAGACCCTCACGGTCACGGATCAGCACCTCCTTGAGGGCGGACAGGTTCTCAAACTCAGACAGAGTGGTCTTGACGTGGATCTTGTTACCACGGCGGATCAAGGTACCGGCGCCGGAGTCGGTGAACAACTCCTTCTGGAGATCAGCGGGGTGAATGATAGCAACGCTAGATGAGCGAGGCAGGTCACTCAAGAGTTCCTTCATCTCCTTGATCTTGAGGCGAGTACCGTGGCGCACCCACCACTGGTTCATGAGATGATCGTACTCCTCATCAAGGTTGATAACGGAGATCTTCTCGCCAGTGTCACCGTTGAAAAGACCGCCCTTCTCGGCAAGGTAGACGATCTTGAGGGGCTGCAGAGAGCGGGCAAGCTCACCTGCAGCCACGTCCGCGTTAACGTTGAGAACCTGACCATCCGGGGTCTCAGCCATGGAAGTCAAGATAGGCAGACAACCAGCGGCAATAGCGGACTCGATAGGAGCCTTGTCAACACCATTGATCTTACCGACCAAGTTGTACTTGGGCTTGTCAAGGTAATCAGCCGAAAAGACACCGGCCGTGATCGGGCGCGCACGGATACCGATGCGCTCAAGCTCCTCAACGAGCTTCATGTTCTCCTCCAAAAACAGCTTGCGAGCCAGAGCCAAAGTCTTGCCATCAGTCACGCGAATTCCATCCTCGAATTGGGGCTCAACACCCGCCGCCTCCAACATGCGGTTGAGCTGGGGGCCGGCGCCGTGGACGACGATCGGGTAGAGGCCGACATGGTTGAGGAAAGCAAGAGCAGAGGACAGAGTCTCGAGGTGCTCGGTAATAATAGCACCACCGACCTTGATCACAGCGAACTGCTGGGAGGACACGGAAGTGAAGTGTGACAGGTACTGTTGGACCTCACGCTTTGAACCAATGTTGCTCAGCAGCTGCACGACGGTACTGCGAGTGGCGGTGAGATGGGGATCAGTGGAGCGAGAGTAAGAGCGAATCTGGCGAAGGGAGGTGACCTTGCCGGCTGAGACTCGTAGAGGAGAGGCAGTCGGTGCGGAGAGGGTACGGAGGGGCTTGCAAGCAGCTCTCCGCACAGCGGAGCGAAGGGACATCATTGTGGCAACGCGCATGCGGCAACCTCAATGGTCTCACAGTCCCAGTGGGAGAGTTCCCCGAATTTGTATGAAGTGGAAGGTGAGGTGAAGGAAGGTGAGTCAAGAGATTTTCCAAGATTACGGCCGACCCTCGGAGCGATTATTGGACCCATTTAATGATGGGGAGAAGGCGGTGGGGACTAGCGAGCGATTTATCTGTACGATTCGTTTTACGTGTGAGTTATTACTGATTTTTACTTAGGTATCTATTGACTTATAAGAGTTATTTTATTTCTAAACATATTTGTTTCTTTTCTGCTCATCTAACAAAAATTATAAAATTTATATAAGAAAACAGGTAGAATACTTGTGTAAAGTACTTTTGGTGTGGTGACTCAAAACATGGAAAAAAATTATCGGATCTACCCAAATCTCCTTAGACTTCCTCAAGCGAAATATCCTTACCTCCGAAAGAAAAAAAGAGCCCACTATCTGCCTCGGGGATCTTGAAACGTCATCCATCTTCGGTTAAGTCTGGGTTATCTGATCCTCTCCCTTCTTCTAACTCGTTACGTTTAGTCACCGCTATCCACTTCCCTCCACCCTGTCTGGATCTAGTTTCTCCCTGTCTGGGCTTGTTTCCGACGGTACACATACGAGGTCTTCTTTCAGTGGTTTATTTAAGAATATGGTGGACACTTTGTCTCCAGCCAAGAGGTCCTAGTAGTATTATCCGATATTTTTTCTGCTCGACAGCCCTCGGCAAATGCATTTCCGAAGCATTCGTCAGAGCTGGACCGGCCTTAGTTACCAGAAATTGTCGGGGCCCACTGTAGAGACCCTTAAGAAAAGCTATAGCATCGGAAGTAACGGGTTCCTTGCAGGAAATTCTCATTGGCGAATTGGGATTATGTTGGGCCGCAAACCACGTGGCGGTGAAATACTGAGATACTTAAAGGACGCAGGTAGGCCTTACGATTTATGACATATAACTCTCGGGTGCACGTTAGCTTGATTTCTGCGGATAAGCACACCCTCTGTACTCGTGGGCTCTCTCCACTTAGGCTCAAGCCAGAAAGCCCAAGCAGAGCTCATGTGCCATGCATGACAAGGATGCTTACCTATCACATTGTGGATCTACCTAGGTACACTAATGATCTACCTACGTGGGTACGATATATGGTTCTTCTGCAACAAAAGAAAAGAGCACGCTAAGGGAGATTCATTGCAGCTAGAAAACACCCGAATGGCAATGATAAGCATACTTAAACACGGCATCAACTATCATTTACATCTTCACCCGTTGACCGAGTCGCATAGCGACACCCAAAATCGGATGATCTCGTATCGTGGAAAAAGTCAAGAGGATTTGGTCATTGAAAACACGCCCAGATAAAAAACAGCAGGAGGTATTAGCGGCTGTGAAGAAAACGGAAAAGGCCTCACGGCCCTAACAACAGTAAACCCAGTAAAATTCAAGATTCCATGTCCAAAGAGAAGTCGTAAGTCGCGCACACAGGCTGAGCTTAGTGCTTGGAAGCCCACACTGCATACCGAATTAGTATTGAGTTCAGGAAATAGTGGTACAGTAGTGAAATCAAGACTCACCAGACGGCACAATAATGACAATCAGGAGGACGATGACGCAAATAACCAGGCACACGCGCATCTTCATGTCCTTCCACCACATATCTTTGCGCACGCGATTGGCGCCCCGGCGGAAACCCTGGGCCGAGACGGCGAGGTTGTCGGTCTTGTCCTGGAGAGCATCCAAGTTCTCACCACGCTGCGAGACCTTGTTGATGTTTTCGCGCATCACACCAACCGTGTTGTCGATTTGCTATTGAGAACAAACAGTCAGTCCTGTTGCGGAAAGCAGGAGGCCTAGCCTTCGCATTTCGGTAAAGAATACCACAATCGTTCGCCATGAACCAAAACATATCTACGCGATTTCTTGTTCGATTGTATGACGCCAGAAATCAAGGGATTGGGGAAGCAACTCACTTCTTGCAATTCGGCGGTCCGCCGGCTGCCATTCTGTCCATTGCTAGCCTGGGCTCCAGCCGAGCCGGAAGGGATATAGGGATCGTATGGTTGTTCATTCTGAGCCATTATGAGAGTCGTAAAGGGGGTTGAGAACTCCTCAGTTGTGATTTTGTGAGATGTCGGGGGTGTCTGGAGGACGTTGCCGGAGCAGTAAGGGTGGCTCTGTTTTGGCCGGAAAGCGCAGGCAAAATGGAGTGTGGAGATGGAAGTTGATGCAGAGGAGAGTCGTAATGCGAGGTTTATCACAGTTTGATAAAAATCGAGATGTAGCGCAACGGCGAGCGACGGAAGAGAGATAGGTGTAACGGTTGTTGTCTGGAATGAAGCTGACTAGGTTGACTTGCCGCTGAGGCGGATGGGTTAGTCACGTGTCGTATTGTGGCGTTGTCTCAAGACAAAGCGTAGGCTTCCGGCCTTTGGAGTCAATTAACTATCAACTACTGGATTTTCAGTCTATGACTAGTGAAGGTGATTGAAAATTCATTGTTTTTAAACAAGCACACCATCATGGTTTTATCCTTTTCCAAGGTTGAGAGCGACAGGGGAAATGGGATTAATCTACCACAATTAGACGAAACAAATTATTTCAAAGTGAAGTACAATTTTCTTTTTTGCATAATTATCTACGTAATTGAAGTCTTTGAATTTCAGGAAATCAACTTCGGTAGGAATACAGTTGAATATATGGCTGCCTACTATTGATACCTAAGTAGTACTCCGTACCCGTTGCCTGTTGCTCGAGGAACGATGCTATAATTAGCAACACGATCCAATACTCCGTGTTCCGTAGTTGGGTGTCCACGTTTGTGAAATTTCAAAGTCGCATACTTTCGATGCATTTCATGTATTCAAAAAAAAAAAAAAAAAAAGGTCAGCCACGAGGTAGGGCATGGGTGTTTTATGTGATTGTCCAACGCCGAAGGATTGCAATATTGTCGCATGTCTTACTATGTCGACAACCTGCCGATCCTTCAAAGGCGGGGCCCAATATCAAACAATTTCATCTCTACCAGTCTACAACGACTTAGCATGTCGCCAAGAACATCACACAGCCTCTTTAACAACTTCGTTAGCCCGCCAATGAACATATGTGCTTTACACTCGAGCGGTGCTGGGAGTCCAAGGTCTTCAATCCACCATTGACGTGGAGTAACATGCTACGGTAGCTCAAGTTTGAGCTTCGCGGCTCCTGCTATGCTATTATTCCGCCTATTTGCGCATTGTCTAATGCTTGATGATGGCATCCAATTTCGATCTAAATAAATTGCGACACTCTTTGTTCCTTTGCTAGCTGAATAAGAACATATATATCAATGCATTCCAAGGATCGGGGCATGACCAAGATCAATCAACAACCAGAGACACTTGCAAGGCTGATTGCTTACAGTTGAGAACGTAGTCCCTGTCTATGCGTGCCAAGCCCGAGATCTAGCCTTCGGTTTCATCCTCTGGCGATCTCTCGCGATATATACCCTACATGTCAACTATCTCATCTCGAATGGCCCGGCCCCCTGCACGAGGCTCTGACCTGACTCGCTACCTACACAACTATACTCCATATCATGCTGATCCGATGCCGAGCCACTGTCCAAAGACATGCGAATTACTCATGAGCACCCTCGGCCCCCATTTCGCTGTCGTCTTGATAATCACAGCTTAACCCATGGCCATGAAAGACAAATCCAAAGTTATCTTGACTTCCGAGGATTCTTTTGATGTTTTGTTAAATTTTTGTTCTCCTTCTGTATATATTTTCTTCCATTTATATTTATTATGAGATACCTAGGGCGACCATGCATCCTATTCCTCCTCTTCACACTAGGGCCTCAAGTGACGCAGGCGTCCATTGACCTCGATCTAACCGACGAAGGCATATACAGTCTAACCAATCCCATTCGCACATAATCACTAACAAAATTCCAGATTCCATAAAAGCCGCTGCCAAAACCGCCGCAGCAGGCATGATGCAATACTACACAGGCGACCAGCCCGGCGATGTCCCAGGCAACATCCCAGCCCCGTACTACTGGTGGGAAGCAGGCGCGATGTTCGGTGCAATGGTCGAATACTGGTACTACACCGGCGACGACAAATGGAACAACATGACCACACAAGCTCTCCTCCACCAGGTAGGCGACAACAACAACTTCATGCCGCAGAACCAGACCCTCTCGCTCGGCAATGACGACCAAATCTTCTGGGGCTTTGCAGCCATGGCAGCCGCGGAGCTGGGATATCCCGATCCACCGGCGAACCAGCCGCAGTGGCTATCGCTTGCAGAGAATGTATTTAATTCGCAGGCTACGCGGTGGGACGAGTCGACGTGCGCAGGCGGGTTGCACTGGCAGATCTTTGAGTATAACGGAGGGTGGTCGTATAAGAATACCATTGCCAATGGTGGGTTCTTTGATGTCGCGGCTCGGCTGGCTAGGTATACGGGGAACGATACGTTCGCGGAGTGGGCGAATAAAGCCTGGGACTGGACGAATGCTACGGGGCTCATAGGTCCGCAGTGGCATATTTTTGATGGCTCCGATAGCACGGATAATTGCACTGCCATCAACCATGTGCAGCATGCATATCTGCCTGCGGTGTATCTCCACGGTGCGGCAAATATGTACAACATTGTGAGTATCGCGATCCTATTGGTCCGCACAGGCATAGGAATGAGCCATCTCTAACATCAAAGAGACCGATGGCTCCGATATCTGGCGAGAGCGCATAGAAGGCCTCATCAGCGGTCTAGACACGTTCTTCCCTAACAAAGAAAACATAATGGCTCAGCCCTGCGAATCAGCAACCTGCGACCTAAACTCCCGCTCGTTCAAAGCATACCTGGCAAGGTTCATGGGCGCATCAATCCCCCTAGCCCCGTTTACCAACGAAACACTATGGCCGAAGATCCAGACGTCGTCCATAGCAGCGGCAGAACAATGCAACGGGCCCAACAATGCCTGCGGGCTGATATGGACTGATCGGACGGACTACAAAAGCACCACCGGGATCGGCGAGCAGATGGCTGCTTTGGAGATCTTCAAGGCGAACTTGGTGCATACTGTCGAGGCGCCTGTTACAGGGAAGACGGGCGGTACTAGTAAGGGGAATTCTGGGACTGGTGATGAGAGTGGCTCGAACACTGCGGCAGACAAGGATATTCGTACTCGGGCGATTTCGATAGGCGATAGAGCTGGTGCGGGGATTGTTGCTGCTTTGGCTGTTTTAATGCCTGTTAGTGCTGCGGCGTTTTTGTTTGTATCTTCGTGATTCTTGGTTTTGATTGGGGTCCCTGTGACGGGTCATTGTTATATATTTCTTGTACAATTCCAGCGAACATATTCAATAGGAGGCTTCCAAGATTGGCGATGTGGTGTACTTTCAACATTCCTTTGATATATAGCTGTCCCGAAACCACACACGATTGGAATTTTCTTCACACACTCCTGATTAGTGCTTTGAACGCCATGGAAATGCGACAATAGCAAGGAAAGCTTAACAATCCCCCTTTTCTTTCAAATGAGTGACAATATAAACAACCTCAACCCATTTCGAACATCCCATCAGCCATAAGCAAGACCCACCTTCTCCCTCCTCATACCGATCCAACCACCGAAAAATGTCAAAACGCCTCCCAACTATGATCCTAGTGTCCGGGCATAAGCATGCACGCGCATAGATAGAGGACGTAGATGATTCCGCCGGCTTGGTTTGCTGCTTCGTGGGTGCTCAGATCGAGACCTTGCGCCGCGTCAGTGCCGACTACACCGCCATAGGAGTGCATAATCAGGAGGATGAGGGTTCGGGGGAGGGTTTTGTGCTTGATGTTTTAGAGTTTGATACCCACCATAGTATTCGGGCTATGTTGCCTGGGAAGATAGTTAGGGTTGCTTTGAGGGCGGCGGAGAATAAGAGAAATTTGGGGTGAGGTTGAAATGGACTCTTGGCAAATGGAGTATGATCCAGTTTGATCTTAAGCGGTTCGCGTTAAATTATGATATCGAGACCTAGAGGTCGGTAATTGTACATTGGTGCCTCGGTGAGGCATAGATGCAAAGATGAGGGAAGAGTCGCAAAAGTATCGTACACCCAATGAAAATCATGAAACACACCCTGTGTTGTTGCTGAACAAGTACAGGGACTTGCCCAAGCACCGAAATAGCAAAGGATAGTTGCCGGAAACATCAACGGCAGGAGGCGCGGAGCATGTTTGAGGACGGTAGGCCATTATCTCGTGTCACGGAGATATACCCAAATACCAAAAGCAAATGTGGAGCGAGTCGATCATTTTTCACCCAGCATCTCCTTGCGCATTTCCTCCCGTTGTGTCCGCGTCTGTTCCTTAGCCTGTGTGCGCTGTGCCTCAATCGCAGCCTGCTTCCGATCCAATTCTTCCTGCGCGGCATACCAGACTAAAAATTCAACTCGTTAGCCACAGATCACCACGGACAGCCGTTACATGTCTGGAAGACAAGCCTCCCAAGAAATAGGTGACATACTGGACTTGTCGGACTTCGACCACTCCTTCAGCTTGGAGACATAGTCGTCGAATTCCTGCGCGCGGCGCTCCCCTGCTCGACGCTGCGCTTCTTGAGATCCGGATTGTATCGCTCACGGAGCTCTTCGTCCGTCGGGCGGATATATTCAACCATGGCGGGACCGCCGACGACCATGAGAAGGCCACTGGGAGAACCAATGTCAGGGCGAGTTCTGTTTGCGAGCAACTGGGCGGCACTTACCCGGCAATGACCTTTGCCCATAATCCGGCGCGAGACATGGTGGATTAATGCGGAATTCTGTTACCGATTCCGAGAAACTGCGAGATTTGATGGTCTCGGATAACTCGGTGCAATGCGAGATCATCAACATCATCGCGGCTCTCATTTGTTCCCGGTTTGTGGCTCAGTCGCAGTGGCGCAGTTTTCACGCTTGGCCCGATCGAGTAGGTTTCACTTGCTTCTTCTCCCCACACTTCTTTATTGTGACGTTTTTTTCTTTCTCTTTCTCTACTGTAGGTCTTAGGGGTCTGAGGGCTCTGAGACACGTGGAGTCCTTTTGGGTTTTTGAATTGCCGTTTCTACCTATGCAGTGCATTCTATCTTATACATGTTTTACACAATCCAAGGGGCTTCTGAGGTATTGCATTATTGTACCCTTGGGTCGCCCTGCCCGATTGTGGACACCTGAGCGCTAGTCTAATTTGATCATCGGTTATCTTGTTTCACCCCTTCAAGGAGTTTACTTCATACTGGTCCGGGGATTATGCAATATTTGGGGTTTCAGTTGCCAGCCAAGCAGATGTTGACAACACAGTCCAACACACTACGATGCACCAACCAAAGTCCATATTTAAATATTGGTTAGGATGGGCTTATGAGATACACAGTTTGCAGGTGGTTGTTCCTGCCCCCGGCGGCTACTAGGTACAACGTACAACGTACATCAGTCCCCTGATCGTCAGGCACCGGAAAGATACGATCTACTCAATCTGTATGTACAATATCCATACATAGTCAGGTTGAACATACTGTTGTACCTGTGTCTATAATCTCTATACAGAGATCCAGAATCATTGAATGTCAATAGAACCACTCTGCAGTAAATGATAAATGGGGTAAATAATAATAGAAATGGATCTATGACGGCACTCAAATTTCCACTAGAACAATGCAAAGAATTTCTACTCGGTACTATATAGTATAGAGTTTAAATCCTCCAGCAAACACATTTAAATCCAACTAAAATACTCTCAAAATACTTCTGAATGCTTCTTCAATACTTGTGAATACTCTCCCATCACCTCGATACTCAAATCAGTGGATCGACCGGTGGACTGTTTTTTTTTTTTTTCAAATTTAAAGGTCACCTGCCGACCGCCCCTAAGTCCAATTCTGCCTGTCTACTTGGACTTCAGTTCTTGTCTACTTGATAGTGGCACGTGTTAGGCCTTGGGCCCTGTGACATTGTGGTATGCTCTAACTGGGACATGATGAATTAACTGCGCTAACGCTTCCCAGTAACCCCTCCTTGCATGCGACTAGATTTGAACAACAACCTTCCACCTCTCGACCCGCAACACATTGTATAGTACGCTCTTTGGCTCGCGCCATGTCATATCCTCAACCTCCGGCGCAGAGAGCGCCTCCTCTGCGACAATATACCAATGCTCCTTCGCCGTCCGTAACCTCGCCAGGAGGTTATTCACAAGATGGGTCTTATGCTGGATATAGTGACGGAGGCATGAGCGGCCACAACTACCCAACCGACCCAAGCTACGACGATGGTGCATACAGTTTCCAGTCCAACTCTTCGGGTTCGCAGCACTACGGTGCCCCGCAGTCTCAACCGCGCTCGATGCGCCCACCTGGACCTCCAGGCCCTCCAGGCCCTGGATATGGACGCCCTCCAAATGGTTATCCTCCAGGTGGGAGACCGCCGCAATCGCGGCCAAGAACACGTACGTACCACAAAGACACAAAGACGATAGACCATCGGCTAACAGATGTAGCTGGTGGACGCCCTGCCCCAGGCGGCAGTTTCGACAATCCCTTTCCATCTTTCCCCAACCGAGACCCAAGAGACCCAAGAGACCCAAGAGACCCACGAGCTCCAAGGGACCCCAGAGACCCGAGAGACCCGCGAAGCCGTAGGGATCCAAGAGATCCAAGAGACGCAAGGGACCCAAGAGACCCCAGAGGACTGCCGAGAGACCCGAGGGATCGTCGCGGTCCGCCATCGCGCGAATTAGAAAAGGGCATGGCTGCAATGGATATCAACGGACGGGCAGCCGACATGAATGGCAGAGGTCCTCCGAGACCTCATACATCGAACGGAAGACGCCCCGAGATGCGCCAGCCACCCCCGCGCGGTCCCCCGCCTGGACGAGGTCGAGGAAATTATCCAATGGGCCCGGTGCGAGCCGCTAGCTCAGGCAGACCGGATCGCCCTGATCGCGAGTACCCAGACCATATGGGTGGGCCGCCTATGGGCCCGCCACGAAGCGCAACAATGCCGCTTGGCCCTTCGATGGGTCCTCCAACCGGCTCTCCCATAGGAGGACCACTGTATCCAGGCCAGTCGACCTACCAAGAATCAGACTACGCATCAAGTCCCATTGAAGCTCCTATGCGTCCCAACACCGCTGGAAGCATGCGACCTCCGCAATCCCGTGCCCCAAATGACATAGACCCTGGCTTATTCATTCCTTCAGATGGGCTCATGATTCCTCCCGAACCAGCCAGTCGCGTCTCGTATGCACCCAAAGAGTTTTTGGATAGTTACTACGAGCCTGGCCCCGTTGACGAACCTGATATGCCTAATTTCGACGCCATGCCCAATAACCATCAGATAACCCCAATCGATGAGATGGGGCTTGCGATACCAAGTCCAAAGCCGCAAGCTCCTGGGGCAAATTCCTCTTCCGGGGAGTACACCTCGTATGCGCCGGAAGAAGTCGATTTTATGCGCTCTCAATCTCAACCAAAATTTCGCGAGCCCAATCAGTTTGAGAATGCAGGATTCCAGTTCGGTATTCCCGGAGAATCTTCTGCTGTTCCTGCTATGGATCATCCGGATGCTGGATACATGCCGAATAACCATGAAGTCTACGCTGGCTACTCACAAGGCCCCGCCCCAATCAGAAACAACCAGCCGGGCTATTTCGACCAACCCGAGATTCCAGACCCCCACCAACATGCCGACTCTCTTCCTCATCATCCAGCTCCTTTCCGCCCTGGTCACGACCAAGGTTCTAAGCCCCCACCAGTACGGCAGTATAGCACCCCTGAAGCTGCTCCTGCGCCCGCCGCTACTTCACAGCAAATGGGGATACCCCCCAGTGCACCCAGTGGACCAGCGCAGGTGCCAGTCACGATTGAAGAGCTCCAGCGTCTGCAACAGAAAGCACGAGCGAACCCCTCCGACCAAAAGGCACACCTCCTCCTCGCAAAAAAGCTAGCCGAGGCATCCACAGTCCTTGTAGGCGACAACAGCCGCCTAGATTCGAAAACCAAAGCCAAAGCAAAGGAGAAGTATATACAGGACGCCCACAAGATCGTCAAAAAGCTCATCGCAGGCGGGTACTCGGAAGCGCAATTCTTCTTAGCAGACTGCTACGGCGAAGGCCGCCTAGGGCTAGAAGTCGACCCGAAAGAAGCCTTCTCGCTCTACCGCTCCGCCGCAAAGCAAGGCCACGCGCAATCCGCCTATCGGGTCGCCGTCTGCTGCGAAATCGGACAGGACGAAGGTGGCGGCACAAAACGCGACCCGTTCAAAGCAGTGCAATGGTACAAGCGTGCCGCCGCCCTCGGCGACACACCCGCCATGTACAAAATGGGTATGATAAATCTAAAAGGCCTACTCGGGCAAGCGCGCAACCCCCGCGAAGGCGTCTCCTGGCTTAAACGCGCCGCCGAGCGCGCCGACGAAGAAAACCCACACGCCCTCCACGAATTAGGCCTGATGTACGAGAGCTCGGGCCCCAACGATATCGTCGTCCGTGATGAGGGCTATGCCTCGCAGTTGTTCCACCAGGCTGCCGAGCTGGGCTACAAATTCTCGCAGTTCAAGCTTGGCACAATGTACGAGTATGCGCAGCTTGGATGCCCCGTTGATAATCGCCTAAGCATTATCTGGTATACTCGTGCTGCGGCGCAGGGCGAGCACCAGAGCGAGCTTGCGCTCAGTGGCTGGTATCTTACGGGCTCGGAGGGCATTCTGCAGCAGAACGATACCGAGGCGTATTTATGGGCGCGCAAGGCTGCGACGGCTGGTATGGCTAAGGCGGAGTATGCTATGGGGTACTTTACTGAGGTTGGGATTGGGGCTGCGGCAAACTTGGAGGATGCAAAGAGGTGGTATTGGCGGGCGGCTGGTAAGTCTTTTTCTTTCCTTTCCTACTTGGTCATATTGTTCACGGCTGATTGTTTTCTAGCTCAAGGATTCCCTAAGGCCCGTGAGCGCCTTGAGGATCTGAAGAAGGGTGGAAGTCGAATGCAGAAGACGCGGTTGTCGCGCTCTGCGGTCAATAAGCAGAGTGATGGAGATTGTATCCTCATGTAAATGGCTTCGTGCTTTTCTTTTCTGTCTTGATGTGTGCATGTTCTCATTGGCGCTGGATGGAACGAGGCCTTTGGATTATGACTGCATGATTGTTTTCTTCTTCTTTATTGCTTCCATTGTCAAATTTTGGTTGCAACACTTGCTCACTTTCGAGTTTTGCTTTTCTATTTCCCCCCTTTGCCCTTTTCTGCTGAGTTTATGAATTGGATGTGCATGACTGGAACGGACACGACCTATCTCCCGAAGACGCAGTTGCATACACTAATAGATTGTTGAACAATTGAAGTTGATGTGCAATGCCAATAACAAGCTAGATACTTTACATACTCAGGTCCGGGTATATACCGATATCCGTAGATCCGAACTATGTACAATATGTGCAGTAATTAACTAATTGTATGACAGCGGCGGATTTCCGCGCTTACAAAGTTCGGCTCGGCTTATGCGATCGGCTCCAAGCATCCGATGGGTTATATCAACAATTCTAGTGAATTCCAATCGCGCTATTCTAGTTGCTTTTTTATTGCTTTTGCTTGTTATAACAGACCGCTGTTTCTCGTTCGCATAGCCACTAAAGACATTGCCAATTCTAACCCAAACAAGCTGTATATGTCTTCCGAACCAAATCAACATAACGAAAGAAGTACAAATACACTAAGCGGACGAAAACTTGCCCTCATCTCTCTATTGACTCTTCTCGCTGCTATATTCATTGCCCTATTCTGGGGAGAGACAGCCAATCTGTTCGGCCTCCGTCGCTTCTTTTCTTCCGCGCGCTCAGCCGGCACTTTATCAGCCCCGACATCTATTGCAGTCGCAACAGCAATGGACAGCAGCGTATCAGGAGAGAAATTGCAGTCTACAATGAAGACTCCCGTCTACTTCCTCAGCCATGGCGGGGTAAGTCCCTCGAGGCGAAATATACAAAGGCGAAACTTAAAACTAATACCCGCCAGCCAAACGTCATGTACGAAGTCGAGCACCCGGCCTACCGCAAACTGGCACAGATCGGCCGCGAGATCACGACAAAGGTCAAGCCGCGCGCTGTAGTCGTTTTCTCTGCGCACTGGCAGGCTGGCCGTGATACAATTCAGGTCAATACGGCCGAGAAGACGGATCTGATCTATGAGTATGTGAAACAAATCCACCGAGCAAGCAGCGAATTATCAGATTAACATAGTCCAGCTTCTATGGGTTCCCCAACCACTACTACAAAGAGCAGTACCCGAACGTGGGGAGCAAAGAGGTAGCGCAAAAAGTGCTGGACCTACTGAAAGACGCCGGGATCGCGGCGGAGGGCGTAAAGCGCGGTCTGGACCATGGCGTCTGGGCGAGCTTCAAATGCGGTACGTACAGCGCTTCAGGATTCACAAAAAGACCCGACACAACGAACTAATACAATACGGCGCAGCCTTCGAACCAGACACGAACCCACTGAACGTGCCCGTCGTGCAGGTCTCGCTGTTCGACAGCGAAGACCCAGACCAGCACTACAGATTGGGGCAGGCCGTTGCGCGGCTGCGCGAGGAGAACATCCTCATCATCGTGTCTGGAATGGCGGTGCATAATCTGCGGGACCTGCGATTCACGTTTGATAGCAAGCGGCCGCTTCCGTACGCGGTTAGTTTCGACGAGGCGCTCAAGGACGCGGTGACTACTGCTCCTAGTGGGCGGCAGAAGGCGATGGCGGAGTTGCTGAAGCGGGGTGATGCGCGGCAGGCGCATCCTTCTTTCGAGCACTTGCTGCCTATTCATATTGGGGCTGGTGCTGCTGGGGAGGATTTGGGGAAGAGGACTTGGACGCTTCCTGAGGGGAGTATGAGCTGGGCTCAGTATCGATTTGGGGAGATTGGGAATTCTAGCTCGTTGTAATTGTAATTGTGCTGTGGCTTCGGGTGTTAGGAGATATATTCGCTAGGATGAATGAAATCCATTGTTGGAACTTGGATTGTTTTGAGTAAGGTTCGATTTCATCTATGGGTACAGAAGATGGGTGTAAAACGGGAGGCGAGGGCATAAAATAGTGCTGTGGATATGGAGGGATTTATGACTGCTTGACCAATTGGGTGATGCGCTCTTCGATCTGGGAGTCGGTCAGGCCTGGTGGAAATTAGTATTGTGGTTCTTTCGAGCTGTTTGGCGGGGGTTGCTTACCAGCCAGGGCCTCTTGCTTCTCCTTTCCGAATGCTGCGGCAAGAACTCGAATTAGTTTATTTGTTCTGTATTCTGTTCCCACGAATTGGGCTATATGTGTCCTGTCATACCATATCGGGCAAACACCCGCGGCTGGGTGCCCGCGGCCTCGCGCATCATGATAGGAGTCTGGGGGTTGTGCTTCTTCATAGTCGGGTAGGCGCGGTTGAGGAAAGACCTGCAAGAAAAGGATGGAGTCAGTCAATCATTGGACTAGCGATTCGTCTCGGGGATCGGGGTTGTACACACCTTGTGGCAGCGCTTGCCTCAGAGGTTTGGCAGAAGAGGAAGCGGAGCTCCTTCAGGCCTTGGGTGAAGACGTACTTGCCAGACATGATGTGTAGTCTGACGGATATGAGAGATATTCAAGGTCTCAAAGGAGCCACGGGAGAGTAGTCGCGGAAACGGTGGGATAGAAGGCTGGACACTTTGCGATGCAGTGCATTATTCACGATGGCGGTGATTCGCTGCGCAGAGCCATATCCCGCTAGTCCGCAGTTGGACTAGCGCCATACGATTACATCAGCCGAGTTGAGAAGCGTCATAGTAATCTGAGGAAGAAGAAGTATTTAGTGAGAGAAACTGGTATCAATTGGTAAGAATAACTAAATAATACTTTACAGCGTCTTAAAATATCCATATTCCTCGTGGTTGTGGTGGTAAATTGTCTTATCGCTACTCCGACGGAAAACCCCTTCCACTTCCACCGATCACGGACATCCATCTCCTCCCTCTCACCAAAGCCTCAATCTCAACTACCACAATGTCTTCTCGCGTGGGCTTCCGCTTCTTGAACAACACACGCTTTGCGTTCCGCAATGCCTCTGCGCCATTCCGCCGGCCGGGTGCCCAGGGCTTCCGCTTCTCGAGCTCCGAAGCCGGTGCCGCGGAGCAGCAGAGCACCTTCCAGCGCATGTGGAACAGCCCGGTTGGCGTGAAGACTGTGCACTTCTGGTAAGGGTTCAAGCTATCTAGGCCCTGTGGGTGGCTGCGAGTCCGCATCGATGCTAATCTACTCGTTTTAGGGCCCCCGTCATGAAGGTACGATTCGATTGGATTCCTATTTGATATTCGTTTCTCAACCAAATCACTACTCCGAAGAACACCGTCTTTCCTGCCAAACGAATCATTTACAGCTCTCATATCCGCCGTTTGAACAGTATAACTGACAAATCTCTGCTATAGTGGTGCCTCGTCATCGCCGGTATCTCCGATTTCGCCCGTCCCGCCGAAAAGCTCTCTCTCACCCAGAATGCCGCTCTGATGGGCACTGGTGCCATCTGGACTCGCTGGTGCATGATTATCAAGCCCCGTAATGTCCTGTACGTGAGCCCTAACCGCAACAACCCGATACTACGCTAACACAAAATCCCAACAGGCTTGCCGCCGTGAACTTCTTCCTCGGATGCGTCGGCGCTGTCCAGGTTACCCGTATTATGATGTGGCAGCGCAGCCAGAACGGCTCTACTGCCGAGGCCGCCAAGGTCATTGAGGGCCAGGCTGTTGACTCTGTCAAGGCCGTTGCTGGAGAGGCCGAGGGCGCCGTGAAGAAGGTTGCCGAGAAGGTTGAGAAGTCTACCTAAATGTGAGGTATATTGTGCAGTGACGGTGTGGGGTTGGAAACATTGCGCTCGGTTTCACTTAGATTGGCGTCCATAGAAGCTTTTGGTCAGCATCGAAGTGGATTTTGGGGGAATATATGGATCAAGCGCAAGCTTGAGATGACCCCCGTGTCGTTTATTTTTCGACCGACCTCGGGTTTGGATTGGAACCGTTGTACATATAAAGTATTTGAAGATGATTGGTTTTGTCTCCGTGAGACGTGTTTCGAAAATTCGACAACTCGAATCCCCAAGTAAACCCTCCTTCATCTATTGGCATATGGAAAATTAATGCACAGACTACACTGAGCTTCATTTGCTTAGATTAGTTCGGTCTGCAAAAGACTTAATTACAGCATTTACCCGGGATTTTCCTGCCAATCGGCGAAATGGCACTGAATATTCCTCCTATGAGACCTGCCTAACGACCATGCCCACGCAATCGGGAAGCACTTCATCTCCGACCACCCCATTAACGAGCCAAGTATATACGGCACGCACCAGTGCTTTGCCCAGATTTCTCCACAAGACGTTGTCCAGCTGGCCTGTTTCCCCGGACCAAGAGTAACGAGATGGAGCTACCCCACCGCATGACCGCAAGGGGCGCTGCTTAGCGTCAACCCCGGTCGAAGTAGGCCGGGGCATTGGAGAGACCATTTGCCAATGGCAAGACTATATATTAAATGACCTGTGAGGCTTCCCCAAACTGCCGATAGTCAATTAAGGAATTCGTTGAACACACTTTCAAGACTAAGCTAGGGCTTTCACTCTAGTCGCAATGAAGGTATCAAATACTTTGACACAGGCCTTGGGCTTCCTGCTTTCCCTCGGCTCAGCTGTTGAGGCTAAGAACAAATACTCTCGCACCGACGCATGCCACCCAAATCACCCATTCAAGCCCCTTCCTGTCAGCCATCCTCGAACTCGCACTTGTCATGTAGCCAACCATGGACATGGAAAGGATGATTCGTCCAATGTTCTTTCTGCGTTGAAGAAATGCAACAATGGTGGAAAGGTTGTTTTTGACGCTGACAAGACATACACCATTGGAAAAGCGCTTGACCTGACCTTCCTCAAGCATGTGGATTTGGGTATGTGGTGATTTACAGTGAAACGAACAGAGTATGCAGCTAACAAATGCCCAATCAGAAATCCAAGGCCATGTCCAGTTCACCAATGACACGGATTACTGGCAAGCCAACGCTTTCAAGCAAATTTACCAGAATGCCACGACGTTCTTCCAGCTTGGTGGCGAAGACGTCAACATGTACGGCGATGGTATTCTTGATGGTAATGGACAGGTCTGGTATGATTTGTATGCGGAGGATGCTCTTATCCTGCGACCTATCTTGGTAGGTATCGTTGGGCTGAATGGAGGAACTATCGGCCCTCTCAAGCTTCGTTACTCGCCTCAGTGGTACCACTTCGTGGCCAATTCGACCGATGTTCTTTTCGATGGGATTGACATCTCTGGATTTAGCAGCAGTGCTCATGTAGCTAAGAACACCGATGGATGGTAAGCCCGGCATATTCAACCAGATGATTATATTCACTAAAACTTTTGATAGGGATGTCTACCGATCGTCGAATATTGTTATTCAAAACTCCGTGATCAACAACGGTGATGGTATGTTGTTTTTGCTTTCGAAAGAACGGAGAGTGTTGCAATGCTAATTAGTCATTCAAAGACTGTGTCTCATTCAAGCCCAATGTGACCGACATCCTGGTTCAGAATCTTCACTGCAACGGCTCCCACGGCATTTCGGTTGGCTCTCTGGGCCAATACCCCGGAGAAGTTGATCTAGTACAAAACGTACTTGTTTACAACATCTCCATGTTCAATGCATCAGTAAGTTAAACTTAAATGATCTATGATTCACGCGAACATATCCCTAACGGTTGTTTGAAGGATGGTGCTCGTATCAAAGTCTGGCCTGGCGTATCTTCCGCACTCTCGACTGATCTCCAGGGCGGCGGTGGATCCGGCTTGGTCAAGAACATTACCTACGACGGAATGACTATTGATAATGTTGACTATGCCATCGAAGTGACCCAATGCTACGGTCAAAAGAACCTGACTCTTTGCAATGAATACCCCGTACGTTTACTCAGAAATAACTTCCCTATATCAATTTGACGGCCCACTGACAAGCTGGCACTACATGCAGAGCAACCTTGTCATCGAAGATGTCTATTTCAAAAACTTCAATGGAGTGACCTCCGGCAAATATGATCCTATTGTGGGAACTATTGTTTGTTCTAGTCCCGATGTGAGTATTTCGGAGGATGAAAAGAACTGCAACCCATATCTAATTTTATGCAGGTTTGTTCAAACATCAATGCCAGTGGTATCGATGTTACCAGTCCTGATGGCGACGATAAATTCACTTGCACAAATGTAAGCTCATAAAAGCCGTGTCAATAATGTGAAGGTCAATAACTGACTCCTTTCTTACAGGTCGACGATGCCCTCTTGGATGTCAATTGCAATGCTTCCAGCTGAGACTGTGAATATTTGATATTATCTAGAACTGTAGTCCATAGCATGCAATGACATAAGTTATTACGCAACATTTCACTCGCTGGCATCATGGCAGCGATATCGCAGACTAAGAACTGCTAGGATCCACCATTTTTACTTTGACCGTGAGACAAGGCGCTTTGAATGAATAATAATCTGGGGGCCCTTTGGAAGGCGCCTTGGCACGAGTCATGGAAATAATATATAGAGCCCAACGACCCCACCAAATGTTTCTTATGTCTCAGGTTTTTGGCCCCAAGGAACGAAAAGTCTCACCCACAACGTCAAACAATCTGATCCGACCAATTCTCAAGCTACAATCCGAGTTCCGGTTTCAACCAGAATACAACACTCAGCATACATGGATAAAATTATGAACAAGATTGGGCCAACAAATGCCTTCGCCCATGCAGGATTTATTGGAAATATCCCCCACTCCGACACCTACCCAGCAATCACGCCCACAGGAAGCGAGCTCAAAGGAAGATCAATTTTCATCACAGGTGCCTCAAAGGGCATCGGCCGGGCAACAGCCATCAGCTGCGTGAAGGCCGGTGTATCAAAAATCGCAATTGCTGCCCGGTCTTCCCCCGCCCTGCAAGAACTCGCCCAAGATCTGGAAGCCGAGGCCGTGAAATCGAATATCCCCAAACCACTCATCCTTGCGTTAGAGGTTGACGTTACCAGCAAGGAATCAGTCAAGGCTGCAGCAGAAAAAGTGAAACTTGGGTTCGAAGGAGTACTAGATATCCTGGTGAACAATGCCGGATACATGGCAGACATGAAAACGCGTATTGGTGACATTGACAACGATCCCGACGACTGGGCCAAGGGGTGGGATGTCAACATCAAGGGCCCATACCTATGCTGCCACTATCTACTGCCGATGCTCTTAGTCTCTGAGTTGAAGACGGTCATCAACATCACATCGATTGGTGCTCACTGTGTTTCAGTTAGTGGGAGTGGATACAATACCTCGCGATTTGCTCTTTGTCGGTTTACGGAAACGCTTGCTCGTGAGTATGAAAAGGAAGGACTTGTTGCGATATCTTTGCATCCTGGGACTGTCGCAACCGATATGGCCGACCAGCTTCCTGATTATATTCAGGAGTTGTCAAAGAATAGCAGTGCCGATAAGCCGGCGCTTCCGGCAGATACTATTGTGTGGCTTTCCAAGGAAAAGCGTGACTGGTTGACTGGTCGGTTTGTGTTTGGAAATTGGGACATGGAGGAGTTGAAGAAAAGGGAAGATGACCTTAAAGATAATGCTGATTTGCTCAAGTTCCGGTTAACTCTGTGAGTTTCATTGTGTGAATGTTGGTTGACACTGCCATGTCTGGATACACTATATAGAGAAATTCGTTCCATGTTTAGTGTCATTTAGTATTTTGCAAAACAGAACAGGTGGAGATAGAGATCATTAAGTGGATTATATTTTAAGAGTCAAGATTATTTCGTGTGCTAAGGTAGATTCAATCACTCTAGACCTGAGCACGCTTCCAGGCAGCGTCTAGATTGTTACCAATTGCACGCTCGGCTTCCTTCTCCAATTCACGGCGAGAAAGACCAGTACGCTTCGAGATCTTGGATGCAGACTCCTCACGCGACATTTCAACTGCAAAACTTTGTCAGTAACTTGGTGATATGAAGGAAAGATAACAGCTCACCGTGAACATAAACACCGGCCTTCTTTCCACTGTACATGGCATGGGGAACGTTGGTGCTACCGTCACTATTAGCGTCACCAATGGCGAAGACACCGACTTCGTTGGTGCGCATCCCGCTGGTGACATTGATCTTGTCGTTCACCACCTGAAGGTTCATTTTGGCGGGAAGGGAGGATTTTTGAACGGTGGGGAAGTTCACAATCAAAGCGTTACGCTCAACAGGCTCGCCAGTAGTGAAGTGGAGGCGGAACTTGTCGAACTGCTTATCAGAGGTCAAGTTACGGTTCTTGCCGCCATCCTGAATACGCTCGATCGAGGAGATTGTACGGTTGTCGATGGTGGTGTTCCATGCCGCAAGCTGCTCTTTCCAATCTTCGACCTTGGCGGTGGCACGAGCTTCGCCGTCTGCTGTCTGGGATCCATTCACAAATGCGATGATGTCGTCGTACAAAGTGTGAGTTTCCAACACGTTGGAGAGCATATCGGTGATATCACCAATCATACCGAATGGCTGGTCACGGTGCTCGTAACCATCGCACCAAGGGCACCAGAAGATACCCTTGCCCCATCCTTCCTGCAGACCGGGGGTTGGGGGAAGAACATCCCGAACACCTGTACCCAGGACGATCTTACGCGCGGTGTAGTTTTTGCCTTTGCTATCGGTCACAGTGAAGGCAGAGAAGTCACCCTTACCCCAAGGGACGATGGATTCCACAGTCTCATTTTTAAAGTGGGCGGTAGGGTACTTGGAAATCTGCTCACGCGCGAGACCCCTGAAAACAGCGGGTGGAGTGCCTAACCAAGCATGGTGAGCAAAGTTTCCATAGTGCAAGTGGGATTAAGGGCCATTTCTCACCGTCGTTTCCAATCACGTCGTGCATCTCCCGAGTCGGATCATTACGATATTGCTGGCTATCAATCAAGAGAGCCGTTCTCCGGACACGAGAAACACCACTGAGGGCGCTCAGGCCCGCGGGACCACCGCCGACCACAATGACATCGTAGTCGGTCTTGGGCACATCCACTGCAGCAACGCAAGCCAACAGGGAGACGAATGCGGACGCGAAGGTTGCCTTGCTGAACACCATGGTGGAGAAAAATTGGGAGTATTGAAGGACAAGGACCTCTGGCCGCACGGCATTGCAGACTCTTTATAGGCCTGCAGTCTGCAAGTCAATCACGTCATGGTACAGAGCGGTGGTACGCCATTGCAAGAGTGCAATTGGGCGAGCGTGTGGACACTATTTGAGTATGTGCATCTCGAGCTGAAGATCGGCGAAGTATTTTGTTGCATTTGGATGAATTTATCAGATGGCACCACCCGTGTGGGGGGAGCTAGGCTCGGCCCACCTTGAAAATCTACGACTATTGTATTTACTAGCTTATACATGCATTCAGCTAGTAAATCGTGTCGGATTCAGGGTTTTCGTATATCGAATACAAAAGTCCAAGACCTGAAATTCAGACCTAGCCAAGATCTAGCGGGTCCACGCTAGGTCGCTTCGTGCATCTCAAAGTGTGCAATGCAGGTGATCTATCGAGAAGATCGACAGAGCTCTGCGATACCCCCTTGCATGTGCTTGGAAAATTTTCGCATTCCGGTTTGCCGGAAGATCTCGGGTATTTCCCTCATTCTTTTGAGCTGAAGAACCAGATAGACTAAAATCCCATTCACTTTGTGCTGCATTTCAGGTGTTGCTCATTGGCAGTTGCAGCTTGGCATGAGGAAAATTAATGTTGTCCTACCTTGATACTCGTGCAAGGATCTACTGTAGATAGCTCCAGTTGGTATGGATTGCTGTAACCTAACTGTTTTTCGTTTCTTAAATCAGGTGCGTGGGCGAAGTTTTTGTCTCAATTCTTGATAGAATGCATGTACCTAGGTACTCCCTTCTTTTTGCCTTACCTCCTTAGCGCGAAATACACCCGTGGACCTACTCTGTACTTTTGACTATTCAATTTGGGAATAAAATTTAGACAAAAGTATTGTATATATCTGCTCGTACAAGGTCACAACCCGCAGCAATGCCCTCAGGTTCGAGCTCGCTTCTCATAAATATATATATATCTCAGATCAAGTCTTAGTATCGCAGTCATACTGGAGACCACGAAGACTTACATGGGAATAATAAACAGCGTCATACCTATCGTGGTACAACCAATGGTGAAGAAGCAGCCAACCCCCCTTATACACTGGTGGTCAATCCATTCGTTCGGATAGGACCATCCAACGAGAACATATGTTTGATAAATTTCATGAATGCGGAAACTTCTCTTGCTTTTTACAGTGGCAGCCGATGATAAGGGCATTCTTTGAATATTAATGCTATGATTCCGCATCGGAAGGCCAGTGAAAATATTCTAAATCAAAGGTACAATACAATGCATGGCGAAGGAAGACCAGAATTTGAGGTTTGTGAGATGAGAGAGAATCAGTGTAAGACCATAACTCTTAACTTGCAGTGTTAACGCCCTGAGTTCTGTCGCAGAAGTCATGTACTAAAGAGATGACCTCTGCCGCTTTGAGGACCTCCAGGGCTTGTTCTCATACATGACGGCAACTGTTCTTGCGACATCAGCCGCGCATTTCTCAAAAGGTCTTGGGACACGTCCCGATACCCAGAGGTCACTGCCTAGAAGTCAAAGCGTAGCACTGCAACACGATTCCCCGCTTTCGTGTGAGTTTGGTAGACAATTCATCGTCGAGGCTGATCAAAATAATTGCCGGGTTTAATAACCTAGAAGACGAAGTAAACCACATCGCGGAATATGTCCGCGGGTCATAATCCATCGAGTACCATTACTGGATACAAGGAGGCTGCATCATCTCACGGATAAACAATACCTTCGCCTATTCGTGATTCGGCAAGCGCCTAAAACTCGGCACCCGGAAATCCCCCAGCTCCACAATGGGGAAGCCTCCACAATGGGGAAGCAAGTGGAGGGTGCGCGGAGGGGTAAGGTTTGTTGTCGGATATTGGTGTGTATCCGCGAGAAGAGCACAAAATTGCAACTTAGAAGACAGAAAGAGAGTGTCTATGACATAGGCAAAATAAAATCAACTAGAAGTAATTTGTGACCGGTATCTCGCAAGATTGAATATTGAGATGTTATCGATTGGATTATGCTTGAGACGACGAGGTGCCTCTGGAGATCTAATATGGACAATCCAATGTGAGACGACATTATTTTGTTTGTTCAACTTGAACATGTAGCTGAAAATAGAAAAGAAGAAGCCAACAAGGATTATGAAGATATGGGGAGCGAACACGCAATACGCGAAAGATCAGAAAACGAAAACTGCCCAGGATATATTAATGCCCGCGAGAATCCAGCTCGCGCAAATAAAACAAGCAATAAATGAAACGCCTTAGCCTGTCTAGCCAAATCTACACTGTAAATACCATTTCCGTTCCGTCATTTGCATTATAAGTCCTTTTGATCGTCGAGCAAAACCTTCAACTTCTCCAATTTATCTTCACAGTGCACTTCCATTCGCATGACAACATCAACGGCATCCTTTTTGGTGATGAGGAGTTGCGACACTAGCCAGAAATTATAGCTATTTTTGTAAAAGCCCATCGAAGCCCACTCGTCATTTGATACCCTGTTGCGGAGTGCGAACCAGTAATCACGCCAGCGGGAGAGACCATTCTTGACCGAAACGAGAATTCTATCCTCGGGGATGGACTCGGCTTGTTGTGGGCGATCACTCATGAGATGCCCGGGTTTTGTGATATTACCCATGCGTATGAAAGGGCCAAGAGTTGCCATGTGAGCGTTGATAAAGGAGTACAAGACTAAAGAACGGGTGAGTTGATGTCAATGACCAAAAGGGACGTTGGGTCCTGGGCATACGGTGAATCAATATAAACATATCCAACGCGGTAAGATCCATGGGTTTGAGCTCGGTCTCTTCTAACAAATTTTCGAAAGCCGCGGTGATTGTGAGCTCGCGCGAAAAGCAAAACTTGGGCTCTGCGAACGGATGTTCAGAGAAGAATACAGATTCATCACTTGGTAAATCACATTCCATCTCTGATTGGGTCAGGCGGCATGGATAGTTTTGATAAAAGAAGAATGCACAATCAAGCAATGAAATGATGGAAGCAGTCCTGGCAACCGTTAGTAGAGTAGATTGACAATGGAAATATACCCACCGAACTCGACACTCTTTTTGGATCCACAAGTGCTCATGCCCTTGATCGTCTGGAAGATGACGGGCTTTAACAAGCTCCATCCTCCGTGCGACTTTGACAACTTCGCTGAACCTATTTTCCATGGCCCGATTCCTAGAAACGCGGCTTCCTGCCCAGTATTGAGCCAACAGTATGATAAAACCGGCCTGGCAGTTTTGGAATTTCACCCAATCGGTTGTCTCATCCTTGTAGCACCGCCCACCCGAGAATACAATGCTGACTTCGCTTTCAGCCGAAAACACATCGCTCGAGAACACGAAGAGCTCTGCAAAGTCTAACACTCTCTTGGCAACACATGTTTCCCGCTGATCACTGCTGTACATTGCACCCATGAAAGCTACCGCTGCTAGCAATGGCAGGGGAACAGTCTCAGGATCAAAGGAGGGTACATGAAGCATTGCACAGCTGGGTTGCCAGCATTTGAAATAAAGAGAGATAAACTGTCGTATACGGCCGGTCGTCAATATGAAATTCAAATTGGCAGAAATTTCTTGCTGCGCTTTGGGATCGAGCGGGACCTGCCACGCTCTTGCCAATATTGACTGTATTAAAGCCCTTGCGAACGGCCGCTCCGGTTCGAAGACAGACTGATCTGCGGGCAATGCGAGATTCGTGGTTTGCCCTTGAGGCATGACGGTCTGGTAGGTCAGGTCACCGGTATTGTAGGGATCGTCCATGGGCTTCTGTCCATCACCAAAAGGGCCATTGAAGAAGTCCAAAAATGTGTCTTGGAAAAATTGCGGCGTGGCCGGGTCGGAGTTGACAAAGCCGGCGCCAAATTCCGACCGGTTGCTGCTTTGTGCTTCCTCTAAGCTAAGCTGATTATGATAATTCAGACTGCGCGCCCGATCGCTACGCGGCGGAAGTCGAAAGTTTTCTGTGAAGCTGTCGGTGCCACCATTCAGGAGGAACTTTATCGATCCTCGGTCCGATGGCGGCTGCGTGTAGGTTTCGGATTTTTCGGTGTTTTCTATAGAGTGTGTGAGTCTTGTGCTGTAATCAATCTCACTTGAGGCGTATTGTACCTTCTTCGGGGCCAAAATGGCCCAAGCCTGTTCTCGCATTGTTGCACACCAGGTTTCTCTTCTGGCACGATCCACAGGGGCTTTGTCCGTCGCATCGTAGTTTCATCGAGGTACACTAGTATGTCAGTACTGAAGGGTTGCATGTGACCAATCGTGAACTAACCGATTGACAAGCATGTCGCCGACGGCCCCTCTGGCCGGTCTCTGGTATTTCGCGATCCCCGCGCCTGCTGCAATCAGGGTAGTGGTCACGGAGGTTGTCGCTAAAGCTGATTAGTTCACGTCTGGATTTGGATATCGAGGGATTCACCATCGCGCGAACGAGTCATTGCAGAAGATGCAGGAGTAGGGCTTCTGCCCAGAATCTGCTCAGATTTCAGTTACGTGAGGGTAGCTGCAGAGTGGGGCACATACGGCGCAAATGATGACGCTTCAGGTGATCAATGCGCGTAAAAGTCCGCTGACAGATGTTACAGCGGAAGTGCTTGTCTGTCGGCTTCATGTTGGGCCATCGGGGAAGAGGGAATCTGGGGTAGTTATCAGGAGCACTGAGGAGAAAGGGCGGCGTATCGGTATTGCGGTCGCATGTCGGGAGGAAATGTATTTTTTGGACACGCGTCCGGCTAATCGATACTTACCATCATTTCTGGGACAAGTACGGTATGGTCAGACCGATATCAAATCACTTTGGGATCAACGACAGTTGTCTGATTTACCTACTACTTATCTTTATTAGAATCATTTCTACTGTACTTTTTTCCCGCGATTTTAGTCTTCTCAGTGCTTAGGATCTAACAGAAAGTCACCTCTGGTTATCACTATCGCTGCACTGTCTCGATTCATTATCAAGAGCTCACTGGACGAGGAAAGTCAACCTGGTCGTCGTCCAAGTAATCTACATTAATCATGCCTTGCTTCTCATTTTCCGTCCAACCATCTCCGAGCCAACCCGCTGCGTTGTCATTGATATAACTATACTCGAAGTCTTCCCATCGGGGGTGTGCAAATGCCTTCATAGCGTGCAGGGAGGATCCTAGAATGGATTAGCCAAGCGTTGGTTCAAAAGTACTACTAACACATACCTGGCCAGAGGGAGGTTATTCGACCTTCTTCAGTACCACCCTTGTACCAGCTGCGACAATTCCCACTGAAGACTGTGCGCTTGAAGTAACTATCACAATGTGCCGTGAACTGCTTGACCGCGTCACGTCTGACACTCATTGCGCGAATGTTGTCCCGTTGCAGTTTTTGAACACATTTCGTGACATAGTCTATCGATTTTTCGATCAACAACAGCAGGTTTCCCTCGCCTAACCCGGCATTAGGACCGAGTAACATGAAATAGTTCGGGAACCCATCGGTCGCAATCGATATGTACGTTTCCGGGGTCTCTTTCCATCTTTCGAAGAGTGTGACACCTCCTCTTCCTTTGATCGAAAATCGGGGATAGCATGAGGTGTCAAACCCAGTGGCGCACACAAGCATCTCAATGGGCCGATGCTGCCCATCTGCAGTGATGATTCCGGTTTCATCTACCTTGACAATGTTGGAGGTGATGATATCAACCTTTTCATCTGCTAAGGCTTCTAGGTACCCGGGCCCTGGAGTGAGCCGACGACATGCAGGCGGAAATGAGGGCATCAGTCGATCAACGAGTTCAGGCTTATTTGCTAGACGTCGTTTCATATTCTCGACAAATGCGTTTTGAGCACCGACTTGCAGAGGGTGGCCCGTCAATGTGGCACCGTGGATAGACTGAAGCTCCAGCTCGACATCTAGCACTACAGTCAGAAGGGAACTACGTCCTGGGAAGTTTGTTCGGGTTCAAACTTGCCTTTGCGGAACTTCTGGTATGATTGGTGATCCTTCTTGAAAGTTTGGATGTCTTCAGCAGTGAAGGCGAAATTATCAATCCCATCTCCCCGCTTATCGACTTCTTCACGTGCGAATGAGGGCGAGACCCAGGTACGGCTTCGCATGTAATGGTCGATATGAGGCACGTCTGGGAGTAAGGCGGGAACAACCTGAATTCCACTCGAACCATTGCCAACCACTGCAACGCGTTTGCCCTATGCCGTGATTAGTACAATTACAGCGCAACTTGCTGAGCCTGCTCACCTTGTAGTCATAACTCTCGTCCCATGAGGCACTGTGGACCAACTTGCCCTTGAAGTCGTGGAGACCGGGTATCTTTGGCCATCTCCAATTGTTGAGTGCTCCCGTTGCCTGGATCAGCACATCACACTCATCTGTGTAAACGGAAGATCTCTCCACATCTTGCACCTAACCCGGTGTAAGCGAACAGCCAGTTATTCAGTGCAACGATCATTCTACCTTGAGCTTCCATTTTGACAATTCTTCATCCCAAACAGCTTCGGATATTTGCTGTTTCAACTTGATATGATCAACGCATCCATACTTCTCGGCAATGTGTTTCCAATATTGATGGATCTCTGGCGCTTTCGCATAGAACGTGGACCATTCCTTGTTAGGCTCAAAGGTGGCTTGGTAGGTATGAGCCGGGATATCTAAACGACAACGAAGATTGGTGTCAGAATTCATCAACCCATATCCCGAACCAGGATTGAGATTTCAGGAATGACCTACCACAGGCACATCCTGGATACCTGTTCTCAAACCAGGTTCCTCCGACATCCGAGTTCTTCTCATATATACACAAATCCACGTTTGGAATTCGTTGAATGAGCCGGATACACGAGACAATCCCTGAAATACCAGCACCAATGATAACCACTCTCAGTGGACGGCTTTCATCCACAGACCTCTCTTCTAATGTGAATGAAAGAGTGGTACTGGGTTGTTGCTGCACTCTTCGAGACTCCTCTGCGGCCGGTTTAGTACCGAAAAGCTGCGAAAAGCGTCTCATGCTGATATGGAAGAAAGTGATAATATGAGACGTCTGGATGGGAGAATACACCACGCAGACGGGACTTTGTCTGCCGTTTTCCCCGGTTCACTAGGTCCATCCCACCACGGATGGTAGGGGGTTTTTAGTACCCCCGGTATCTTATGGGCTGGACTGCGTCTCCACTGCGAGACAAAGTTCGCGCAGCTAGTGGCCAGTGAGGGGAGATATGCACTTGTGACTCGGGAAACGAGAAAAGACCGGTCTTCTCCCCGGTAAGTCCCATTATGGCAGATTCCACAATGGGGAATTCGCACGCACTGATTACAAGACAGTGGTTGGAGCCACACCTATAGTGTCAGGATCGTCACCTTATGGATCCAAGACCAAAAAACAGTTGGCCATCGATGGGACGGAATTACCCCTGTACCCACCACTGCCCGGGGAGGGCACACCAAGGCTCCACATTTGGAGAAACGCCAGGACCGCAATAGTCGGAGCTAAAAGCGCCATGTTATCTCCTCATATTTGTTTTCCGAAGGGCCTCAAGCGAAAGTACGAGACCACGGCGCTTTTCATGGATAAGCCGAGGTAAACGGAATATGAAAAAAAGAACCGTATGACGGCTTGCATCAACTTACTAAGAGATGTCATTATGGATGAATCGATAGATAAAGATCAATGGCTAGTATAATGGCGTTGTGAGCTTGTTCTTAGGATACGAATAATATCAAAGCTCATATCCATCGCCAATAATACTTGAATTATACCGAGGACTCAAGCCTGACCGGGACCCTAGACCATTGGTAAGTGCAAACAGCGGTCATTGCGATGACTCTAGTGCGTTGTTGTTAAGTCCCCATAACGCTACTGCATGTCTTACACTCCTATTTAAATTTAGGCTGAGGTCGAGCCCAATTAGTGAAGAAGTTATCTCATTATGATTTTGCTATTATAGCGAAATAACATAATGTGTATAAAATCCACGCAAGTATTCAGCTGCAGAGTTGTCGGAATGAATGACAGTCACCGTCACCGCACATTCCCTGATCTCCAGATTACTGTTGATTACTCAAACCTCACCAATCCACCCACTTGTTCCGTATTTCCGGATCTCAACGCTCTCTGTCGAATTTAAGTGGCTGGGTCCTGAGAGAAACCCACAATAACAAATATGCCTCACGGTACAGAAACTGCAGATTGGTCTGCCCCTCGATCCCCGCCAAATGCCGTATCCACTTGCTATAGGATCTGATGCAATGACCGTGCTTCACAAGTGTTTATAAACAAAGAGAATCAATTCGCTATTTGGCGAAAGTTCATAATTTCAACTCGAACAACGTCACATAAAACAATTATTAACAGACATGCCCGTATTCACTGAACATGCCGCCGCCTCGCGCGACCTGCGCGTTCTCCCTTCATTCGCTCCTCCATTGCCGCGCTTCGCCCCAACACTATCACCACCCACGTCAGAAAAATATGAAGTGGTGATTGTGGGAGCCGGGCCAGCAGGCCTAATGCTAGAACTGCTGTTGGCACGATACGGATTAAGTGACGACTCATTGCTATGCGTCGACACGAAATCAACAGCACTGAAATCCGGCCAAGCCGATGGACTCCAGCCTCGTACACTGGAGACCTTGAAGTCTCTAGGGCTGGCAGATGAAATTCTCTCCGAGGGATGTCAGATGTGGCAGGTACTTAAAACAGCCTCGAGCCACCCATTGAACCTGAACTAAAGCACAACAGGTTGCATTTTGGAATCCATCGGAAGACGAGGAAAAGATCATCGAGCGCACATCGATCGTGCCGGATGTTGCTGTTCCAGCGCGATACCCCCATGAAGTCACTATTCACCAGGGTCGTATCGAGCGAATCCTAGAGACTGATTTGCTGCGGTACTCCAAGCGCGGTGTACAGCGCAACACTAAGCTGATTGATGTCAAAATTGACGAAGCGGGTGACGCAGAGTACCCAGTTGTGGCTGAAATTGAGACAGAAGGACAGAAGCGCACTGTGCGAACGAAGTTTCTAGTAGGCGCTGATGGAGCACACTCTATAGTCCGCCGCAACATGGGGCTCAAACTCGAAGGTGAATCGAGTGATCATATCTGGGGCGTTGTCGACTTGGTTGTCGATACTGATTTCCCCGATATCAGACGTAGATGTGCCATCCATTCACCGGCTGGTTCTGTGATGGTCATACCTCGCGAACGCATTTCTACGGGGGATTATTTAACGCGGCTTTATGTCCAGGTACCTGGTGATGTGATTCCTAGCGAAGATCAGCAACCAGACAATGGGACAGGTAAGCCTCCTGTTGTGGATGCACGGGCACGCCGAAGCCAAGTCACCGAGAAAACAATTTTCGATAACGCTGCCGCCGCGTTCAAGCCGTATTATATTCGGCCCAAGAAAGATGGAGCTGTGGATTGGTGGGCGGCTTACCAGATTGGCCAGCGTGTTACAGATAAATTTTCTGTCAAGGATTCCAATGGTGTCAACCGGGTGTTCATCGTGGGGGATGGTATGTGACTTGCCTTGAAATCCTACAGAGAGATTTACTGACAAGGAGAACAGCTTGCCATACTCATAGCCCGAAGGTAAGCTCAAAATGCCACTCTTTTTGCGTAGTGACTAAACATTGGTCTATCTAGGCTGGTCAAGGAATGAATGTATCCATGATGGACTCCTACAATTTGTCTTGGAAGCTCGCATATTTCATCAATGGACTCGCGCCCGAAAATCTGGCCAATAAAATTCTCGACACATATCACATTGAGCGACACACGATCGCGCAGCAGCTAATCGAGTTCGACAAAGCATTTTCATCTATGTTTTCAGGCAAGATTGGTGCGTCAGAAGACGGTGTCAGCTCACTTACCCACGACGAGTTCTTGGAAGTGTTCAATCGTGGCAATGGTTTCACAAGTGGTTGTGGTGTCGAATATCCAGACAGCATGACTGTGAACCGGTCTTTCAATGGAAGAGAGGACCCCATCCACGGCACAGACTATCTTGCTGGTATTCTCCACCCAGGAAGGCGTTTACTGAATGTCCGTCTGGTTCGCCATGCCGATGGATACCGACGCGATCTACAAGATGGTAAGATAGAATGCAAGTAAGGGAATTGCACGCTTCTAACACCTCATAGATTTTGCATCAACTGGTCGCTTCCGCATCCTCTGCCTCACATCTTCAGACCTATTAGACCCAGCTGGCATCTCCGCCCAAGCTCTCAAAACCCTTAGTGCGATCATCGCACGATTCCCGAAGTCTATACTAGAGCAGGTGGTTATCCACCCACGTTTGTCTAGAGACTTCATGTGGGTGGATGTTCCCTCCCCAGTGAAGGAGCACTCAGAGATGTCTTTCTATAGTGGATATGAGATTGATCAAGTCTACAGCATCTATGGAGTTGATCCGGAGAAGGGCGCTCTAGCGATTGTACGACCCGACGGATACGTTGGTGTTATTGCATCCTTGACAGATGTTGGTCGCGCTGAGCACTACCTCGAGGGCCTAATCAGGACAGTGTAGAGATACATATGTAATTAGACCATGGTTATATTGCCAATCAAAGACATACTCCATGAGGATGTGGACAAAACTGCTGGGCATAAGCTATTATGTCTCGCAAAGAGTTCACTTGACCTATTAATTTCCCTCGTCTTAGACATTGTTAGCCCTGCCCGTCCTTGATTCAACAATATAATCTCTCGCCTGAGTCTTTTCTGGTGCCGTGTCCGTGTGACTTATTTCCTATATACGTCGGTCCCTATTTCCACAAAATTCTTTTAGCCGCATTAATGCTAACGCCAAATTTAACGCATTTTACTGTGAAATTAGCCTAAAGATTTTTTACTCCGTCATTGCTCAATCAGAGCGGGACGTACTTGTCAGCAACTAGTACTAGGCAGTGCCTCCTGGCGCCTATGACTTGCGATGTTCCAAAAACAACCCCGCAATCCATCGTTTGTGCCAACCCGGCCGACCACACGAAATGGATCTAATGAAGTTATCGAAACCATCAATAGGCATTTCTCTCACGGCTTCATATGGGTATGATGCTACCTACCTTGGTGGAACTCAAATCACACTCACAACCATATCGCAGAACTATAGCCCTTCGTCACGCTGACGGTTCATTCGAGGATCTTGGTCGCGTCGAAGGTGACTCCAGCTATGTAGAAATAATAAAGCGACTCTCGTCACTTGCTGCATGCCATCCTAGGTACATTCCCCCGAGCGAACTCTTTCCTAACATACGACGTCTACCATATTAACATGAACAGTCCCCCCTACTCTTCAATGGAAGATATGTGGAACGACATACCCCGACAAGCATGGCGATCTTTTCGCAAAAAGATAGGTCTAGCAGCATCTACAGACGTCCAAATCATGAGCGAGCTAGTCAAAAAGCTCCTTTCTTTGAGCAAATCCGCCGCCCTTCCATTCGTCGTAATAAGCTACCCAGGAATTGCGGCACTTTACAAAGAAGACATCAACGATGTAGCAGAATACCTAGGTCTTCCAAAACTCACGGGGCTTTACAAATACCATCCGTGGGAAGCTTACGCTGCTTATGCGGGACACGGGCTAGGATTATGTGAGCACTTTGAGGACAAGGATCGATGCAAGGAGGAGGGAAACCAACTACCGGTGCATGAAACACTCTTGGTTGAATATACCGATCAAGCTATCCTACTGCACACAACACCTTTACAGACAGCAGTTAGTGTAGATTGGGGGTCCGCTGATCTTCATGCAACAGCTTCTTTTGAATTGGGTGCCAATTCACGGGTCGTTAAACATGCGTTGCATGTGGCAGAATTTGTTTATCAGTTCTTAAGTACGTGGTATAATGGTCTAATCCTTCCTGATGAGCTCTTGGTTATCATGACGGGGATTGTGGATGAGGCTATAGAAGAGGCCATTCGAGAGGCGGTGGGGAGAGTAGTACCAAAGGCTCAACTACTTGCGTCTGAGTCTGAGTTTATTGCATCAAGGGGATCTGCAGAACTTGCTTGGAGAGTGAATATTATGGAATTTTTTTGAGCTGCCTACTTGAAGAGTTGGGGTGGATGCATTTTTATATGGGAATCCCAATTCCTACCGTTCACTAAAGGTAAAATGAGGCTTGCTGACTAAAGTGCACATAGCCCTGGAGATACCTAGGTAATGGTGTTTACATGGCAATGGGCGTTTCAAGGGAGGCTAGACGTCCAAAGTTACGGGGTGGGAAGTCCTCATGTTCTGAATGTAACATGCAGCTAGAACCAAAAGCTAGACGTGATTCGTTGCTCCTCACGCATCCGCGCCGATGCCCGCATAAGCCAATCCCCTGCCCCGATTCTCAATACCAATGCATGTGATATATCAATACAAAACCGTGCGGGGCTACATGTAAGCTCCTCTCGTTCACTCTTTATCAATTCAACTCCAAGCCTTGGAGAATTCCATCTCGTACCGAAACGTTGAAGTCTCACATAACCATGGCGGACAAAATCGTCGAAGCCCCAACTTGCTCTGTTGGAGAGTTTTTGAACACTTCCTTTGATTATATCGTGTGCGGGGGTGGAACTGCAGGATGTACGATTGCCGCCAGACTGAGCGAGATTCCTCATGTGACGGTCGGTTTGATTGAGGCGGGCAAGAGTCGACTCGGGGATCCGTTGGTTGATATACCTGCGATGTTTGGAGAGCAGTTTCAAAATCCGGAATATGATTGGTGCATTTTTAGTGAGCCGCAGGTGAGGTTGAGAATCATGTCGAAGTTTTATTGGACTGGTTTATTGACCAGTCGCGAAGAAAGGAAATCGTGATAGGGTTCACCAAATTCCTCGTGGCAAATATTTAGGTGGCTCCAGTGGCATGAACGTTATGGTGTATGTGCGAGGCTCAATGCAGGATTATGACAATTGGGCTTCTCTTGTCGGCGATGATGGTTGGGCTGCGACTTCTATGCAACGATACATGCGCAAACATCAGGTAGGTGATAAAATCAAATCAATGGGGCCTGTGGAGTTAACATGCTCCTTAGACCTTCGAGCCCGCTGAGGCAGATTTGGACCGATCCCTCAACTACCATGAAGAATTCCATGGCACGGATGGTCCAATTCATACAAGTTTCAACGAGGGAGCACTACCAATTGAATTCGACTTCCTGAAAGCATGCGAGGAAACGACCGGTATAACCAAGAAGGCCATTGATCCCTGGTCTGGAGATCACCTGGGAATTCACCACGTGCTGGCAACTATTACAAGGAAGGGCCCAAACAAGGGGAAAAGAAGTTATGCCGCGAGAGAATATTATGCGCCAAACCACACTCGCCCAAACCTGAAAGTACTCTGCCAAGCCCGGGTCAACAAAGTCTTACTGGACGACGACAACAAGGTTACCGGTGTAAGCATCACTCACCGCGAGAAAGATTATGAAGTTAGGGTCACCCGTGAGGTAATCCTATCCACCGGTACCGTTTTCTCGCCTCACATCTTGGAATTGTCGGGTATCGGTGACCCAGCTGTTCTCAAAGCAGCCGGAATCCCATGCAAGGTTGATAATGCTGCCATTGGAGCGAATCTGCAAGACCATGCTATTTCATTCATGACTTGGGACGTAAAACCCAATATTATGACTGGTGACGTTATGCGATTAGTCCCCGAAGCTATGCCGGCTGCCATCAAGCAGTATGCAGAGACTAAAGACGGGCCTCTGGCGGCTATTCCGAACATCATGGGCTTTTATTCGGCGAAGAGTCTCCTCTCTGATACGGAACTGCAGACGGTCATACAAAGCATCAGGGATATCAAGCCCACGACTGAATTCCACGCAAAGCAACTGCAGCAAGTCATTGAAAATCTCAATGACGAGAAATCTTCCAACTTGCAGATAGTTCTCGTGCCAGCGATGATGAACCCAGCAGGTGATCCTAAAAACCATGCAAATTTATTCTCGCCACCTGCAAATCAGGAGAAGAGTGGTGTTACCGGAGTCGTTGGAATACAGAATCCCGTTTCTCGCGGCTATATTCACGTTCAGTCATCTGGTAAGTCAAAACGTACAAGTACCTCACAAAACAAAAGCTAACGTCAATACAGATCCTGCGCAGCAGCCGATTATCCAGCCAAACTGGCTCAATCACGAAGCAGACGCCGCTATCCTTGCCGCTGGAATACGTTTGCTGGACAACGTGGGCCAATCGAATCGTCTTCAGCCTTCGATCTCCAGCAGGGTGTTTCCTCCTCCGCAGGTGGACTTGCAGAGCCTTGGAGGGGCCAAGAACCAAGCGCATGATTGTGTCTTTTCAATGTATCATCTCTGTGGCACAGTCGCGTTAGGTGAAGCCTTGGACTCGCACCTGCGTGTTAAAGGCGTGCGAGGACTTCGCGTCGCTGATGCTTCGATATTCCCCAATAACGTCAGCGGTAATATCCAGGCTACTGTCTATGCGGTCGCTGAGAAAGCGGCCGATTTGATTAAAGAGGATTTAGTCGTTGAGAATAGGCCGCGTCAGATGAAGATATGATGGTTCTAGCTCCGCTTGCATCAATTGTATTCAGTGCTCATGGGCTGCGTGGAACGACGGAGGCCAGGAAGGCGCGCAGGAACTTTCATTGACTTATCATAAATCAAGCTAAACTTGCAGTTATATGACCAGCATAGAGATTTACCAATCATAATCTACTTGCTAGTCCTCATCTGTACTTGAAACATGACTAGAATCTTCCTTATCTAGCCCTGAGTGTATCCTAGCCTCAAAACTTAACCTCTCGGCTCCCTATAAAAAGGTGGGGATCTGTAGATATGTCAAGGGTTGCGCCTTCGAAGAGTAGCTTATACTCATGACTTTGGAGCTCCCCGGAGCGGGTGTCCGGTTTCTCCTTTCATAAGTTGAACCCATCTGGTCCCACTTGAGATTCGTGCTGCCATCCGCTTCTCAAGATTTGGATGGCATAGTGGAAGTAGAGGTATTAGCGACAGGACGAAAGGTGGAGCAGAAGACTTGGGGTGTCGGTTGCCAAATTATTTATAGTTCGAGATGGCAAGTTCCAAATTTCAAAGTCTTTGCCTGTTCATCTGACCCTACAGTATCAAGCAATCGTATTTTGAAGCTGCGGACGTCGCATTGCTAGTCCTGCATTCATGATTATTCGGCAACTGTCATCGAATATTTTCCCACGCCCGAATGCACCATTCCTTACTCTCACTCTCTTCAAATTGTCTTGTCAGCTTCAGACGACACGCTGTTTATATGTAATTTGCCTTCTGACCGTGCCACTCGCACCTCCGCCCATCATGGTTGAGTGTGGAGGATGTTAACTCGAGTTCCGAACTCAGTATGACGCTGGGATCCACATGGGAGATAATGATCACTGGTGGCTATGTGAGTGGTGCGATCGCGAGTTCAGAACTGAGCGTGCATGCAATGATCACATGGATGCACTGAAACACTGGGACCCCGAGTTCCTATGCGAGACGTGTGCCAAAATATTCTGTTCCCAAGAAGCTGCAAACCATCACATGAATGCTTTGAAGCACTGGATGCCACCTCCCCATTATGACTGTCAGACTTGCGACCAAAAGTTCTATACGCAGAAAACTGCTAAGCAGCACATGGATTACTGGAAACATTGGGTCGGAGAGTTTGAATGTGATACCTGCGATCGGAAATACGGTTCTCAAGACGCTGTGGATCAACACATGACTGCTTTAGACCATTGGACCCCAGACTTTCAATGCGATACTTGTGATCGTTGGTTCTATTCTGAGGGAGCGGTAAATCAACACATGAATGCCAAGCAGCATCATAAGCCTCGTCGCCAAGATATCAAATCTGTATACCGTTCCGAAAAAGCACCGGATGAGCGGATCCAAGCCAAGATTCAGCCTGTTGCTGTTCCTAGCGCGGTCAAACCAGCCCTTCCTCCTCAGCAAGACAAAAGCCAGGAGAGCAAGGCTCCACCACAATACAATGCAGGTCATAAAGACAGCGAGGAAGTTCCTCAAGTCGAAAGCTCAATAGCTGGAGAGGTCAAATCTAAAATACAACAAGATCATCAACACAAGGAGTGCAAAAAGGAGACTTTGGTGGATCATACAACGCTCGACCAGCAACAAGCTAAGCAAAAATCTCACGCTCAACAAGGGAAGCACAAGCCAACCTCCCTTGCAAGCACTCCAAGAAGCCAAAAGGTTGAATCCAAGCCGCAACACGATACTCAAAGCAAAGAGAGCAAACAGGCCTCCCTTCTGGAGGATTTACCAAGCCAACAGCTTCAATCTGAGCTACAGCACGAGACTAATTTCAATGAAAGAAACCGAGTTTCCGACAAAGATAAGGGTATACAGCCTATATCCGAGGTAAGTTTGAAAGTCTTCTGATTGAACCACGTCCGTTGACTTTTGGCATTAACCAACCACTGCCTAAGTTCCAGGCATTTGAATCCGAACTTGAGGCTGAGCACTGCATTCCTTGCCCTTTCTGCCAAGAGCAGTTAGATACTACTTTTGCCATCACGTTCCACATTGAGAATGGTGGTTGTCCGAAGGCCCATGCCTTAGTCCGAAACGCAGTCCTCCAAATTGTTCACAGAATAAACATGCATGGTGCCGTCAAAGCAAAGCCTCCAAAGTCTGCAAATAGCTGCCAAAGCACGAAGTACTCATCTACTGACCATGCCTTCAACGGATCCTATTGGATCTGCTATTTTTGTCTGGGGCATTTCAACTCGAAGAATGAGTTGGATGAGCATCTCAACTCGTCAGTTCACGAAGCGAAGATTCACTTTTGTCCGAACAAATATGACAAATGCAATCGATACTTCTTGACTCTACGTGGTTTATTCATTCACCTGGAGAACGGTTCATGCGACTATGTGCGCTTCGGGGCCCAAGATCTGACGGATGATTTCGTGATGGTGTCTTAGCTGACTAGGAAGCTACGTTGCATGGCTCCTTGACAACTAGGAAATATAGAGCGCTCTATCACAAACTTTGTTGAAAGGACAATGTTTTTGCTGTGTGTGAAGGGGGATACTTACCTGGACACGAGGACAAGGTCGCGCCTGCGATGAGCGCGAAAATTTATCTATGATTAGATTGGAACGTACAAGGAGGTATCTAGGTACTTGCACCAGATTATGATGATTACCCAAGAAACCAAATTTGTATTAATGAATATGCATAATTTTTGCCGAGGTTTTTCTACCTGAACTTGCTAGGTCTGTGAAAGATCGATGCCGTACCTCGCTTTTCCATTAATGTCCATGTATCCATATAGTCAGTCTAGAAGTCTGGCTACCCGATTTAATATGAAGAAATATCACCAAGGTTTCCACAAACTTGCAAGCGTTCTTCTAGCGGCCTTGATTCTCTGGCGTTCCACGTTCCAAAGATTCCATTGAGTCCCGAGCACAATGCAACACCTGCTCGTTAATGGAATTCAACCGTACGCACTGTTAAAGATTGCTGAGAGTATCTGTTATTCAATTCTACTAAAAAACTTGACAAAGAATCTTTTAGAGAGCCAATTCGCCTACCCAAATCATCCACAAAGCTTGGCTTATTGTGAAAATTTTCAAAGTGGGACAAAATATATATTTGACGAAATACGACCCACGAAGTGATTATAGCTTTGTTTTTAATCCAGCTAAATGATCCTGCAGGCCCACTATTATATTAGCTCTTTGCATTATGCTCCTGAGATTTCTTTTGTGAAGATTTGATCTGTGCTCAAGATCCTTGCGATTCTCTGTGCTGGTAGCCACTCCTGAAGTCATTAGCATGGGACATTTTTCAACACTACATTGGTATATATCCAGTGAGAATACTTCCAAGGTTCCAGCAGCTTAGGCCCGAATTATCTGGAAGGAAGGTATAGAAAATAAAAACTCAACGGATTGCTTTTTGCAAGGCCGTGTCTAAGGATTTAGCTTTATACTTGAACAGAAAAGTAATGTACACATAAAAAATAACCACCATCAATGAACGAGTTTGCCATTCATATCCACCAGCTCCACGTCACTGTTTGTCTCCGATCGGGACGTATAATTGACTTCGTACGTCACAGATTTATTGATATTGCTGTTGCCGCCTGACTTGTGATAGTACTCGGCTGCAGGAGTCGCGTACGTTCGGCGCGTCGTGCCGCCCAAAAGACCAGGGAGCCATCGGCCGATGATGGCCCTGAACGCTGGTAGACAAGCGCACATGACGGAAATCTGGGTTTCGATGACGGACCAGTGGATGAGTGGGTAAAGACCGAGGGTTTGGTTGTAACCCCAACGATTGTTCCAGAAAACGACGACTCGGATGATAGCGATGATGGTCAAACTATGTGATTGTTAGCGTTGTACGGAAATGTCAGGTTGAGTAGTACTTACACAGAGCCCACAATGAACATCAGTGCCACAGTGAACTTCTTCCGCAGAGGCAACTGCAACTTGATAACCTCGTAGACAGGCATCATGATCAGGATGGAATCGACAAAGATGTTGACCAAGCAGTTGACGAGAATCGAGTTGATGAAGTTGATGCACTGCCCGGATTCCTCATTTTTCCAGCCGAGCCATGTCAGTCGGGTCGGTAGGCAGCGGAAGGAGTCCACGAAGGCCCAGGTGATACCGATAGCGGCGTTGATGCCAATGAGCACATAGGCAAGGTAGCGGAAGGTACGAGCCTGGAAAATTCGGAGTAAAAACAGGCATACTGAAATCTTGGCGAGCGAAATTTGAATCTTGTACATAACAGCAAGCGCTTGGAAAAGTTTGTAGAACCTGGTGACCGTGGAAAAGGGGACAATATCCCAAATATTTCTACCAAACCCGCTCCGAATCACTGTTTTGTTAGATCATGCCCGTAAGGTGGGACGAATAGTTGCTCTGACTTACTGAGAATGTTGAGGACATAGATCGCCACTCCTAAGATCTGCGACCTGGTCAATAGTGCACAGGATAAAACTAGAAAGTGTACTCACGTATGAAACGATAATTGTATAGTCATCCCATCCCCACCCTCCTGCAAGTCCGCTGCTTTTCGCAAAGATTCTCGCGATAAAGAAAAAGGAGGCTAGAATCAGAGGAATCAGGGTTGAGGGATTGACCACAGGGGGGCTTTTGAGCGGCGCGATATCGCACGTTATTTCGTACAGCCGTTTTGTGGCTATGCAGATCAGTTATGTTGCCACATTGTCGATACCATAAAAGTGAAACTTACTAAAGAACTCCATTGTTGTGCAATTACTTGAAACACAATCTAACAAGGTCGTTGGACGTGCTCCGCTATCGCAGAAGCATGTTGTATTGCTGCTCAACGAGCAGTCAGAAAATAATTGCCTGTCACATTTAATCTAGAAGACAAGCATCAGCATGAACCTAAAATCCTTCAAGAGGCCTACATACCGCGCAAGAAGGAAAGGCCTCATCCGAGGCTGCCGCGTGAAGCCCCACAACCAGCACAGCCAAGACAGCGGACAAGGATAAATGAATCCTCATGATGGCGAGATACTTGTACAACAAGGGGGTTGAAGGTCGTTGAAAGGGGGCACAGTTTCAATCTGGGGCAATGGCAGGTTTTTGTTCAGTCTTCGGTGAAGAATGCCCTGATTCAGCAGCGTGGAGACAAATGCATATTAAGGTTATCTATTTTGCACGAATTTTCGGGCAATGGTGGCAACGGATCTAATAATGCACAGTCCAAAACAAGCTATTGTTGGCCTCGAACAAGGGCCATTAAACCAGAAAGTCGGCTCAACTGAAACGTGCCCTAATATTGGCAGCCTTCGGTAACAGCCAAAGCGGGTAAATCGTCCGGACCAATCTGGATTTGGTGCTAGGATCGAGAGCCACGCGAAAGCCCCCACCTTATTAAAAGGGACAGATCGGTTTTCTCCGCCAAAAAGTGCGGTCTTAGCCTCGGTTTATTACCGATTCAGCCTCATTAGTGATTATTAGCGAAAGAAAATTCCTTCCGAGCTGAAAATTTGTCAAATATCCACCGGTAGGGAATTTTTCTCCTGCCAAGCAAAGCACTTTGCTCCAGGCCTTTATACATTCGGCCCCCTAGATGATCTCAAATTAGGGAAATGGCGTTTACAAACTCTTTTTTCGACGGAACTAGGTCATAACAAGGTACGCGCTTCAGCCACGTGGTGTCCGTGAGTTTTGTAGTGAGGATCACGAAGATAATCGCAGCTCCACTCCAGGGCTGATCGAGTTCATCTTCTTTGTCTCAATGTATCCATGGTCGAGATCGATTTTGATCCACACTAAATGAATGAAATTGACAAAACACGCGACCAGAATGGGAAAAGCATGAACCTCTGTCATTTAGACCAACACCAGCAAGTTGAAAAATACTATTCAAATCCGGCCAATATACATTTTGTATCTCTAATTTCATAACTGTTGTATTTTTCGTGCTGGACACCCGTGAGCAGCGCCGAGGCTAACATAGAAATAGGTACGTATGTAGGTAGAAATTCAACATTTGCCAAAGCTCCAGGCTTCCGCTAGTATTGAATCAGGCATCCTCAGGCAGCTTGAGGCATCAATATTGCAAAATCAGGCATCCGGCCTTTGGCCTCTATAATAAAATGAGGATCCAGGCCACCATCTTAGATAGTCTATAATCATTTTTCTTCCATTCCTATAAGCACTTACTCCATAGTTTTATCCACTTTCCATCATAGCTCTACTAAAAATTTATGTCAGGTGAATTTCCAAAGAGTATCTATTGGTTATTTTACTCATGTTTGAGCCTCTATAAATTGCCAGAACTAGGGTTAATGAAACACAAAGTTTTTCGCACATTCTTATTGGCCAGGTCAGAATAGCATCCGATAGAATGTCTCACCAGCAACCCCTCTTTCATTTGATTGCCTTAGCATTCTGCGAAGAGATATAGACGCCAAAGGTCGGATGCCTGATTGAGGCCTGTAGATGCCTGATTCTATACCGCTATCTTGACCGCTCTGTACCGTGTATTATAATTGAAGCTATTCCCATTGGTATTTGTTATAAGTTATTTTTTGTTTGATGGGATAATCGAGGGTTCATGACGTTTTGTGTGGTGGGAATGGCCTCAACGCCTGGAACTTGGGATAAGTGCAATTTCGTATGGTGCGAATAGCTTCATTTCATTGAACTTGGGCACTTGGGCAATATGGATACTTTGTTTCATAAAGCATCCATCATACAGTAATTCCCGTAAGCGGTGTCACCATCTGCACTCTTCGATTGATTCTCGAACCCTAATTGTCCAGACACACTAGCCTATATTTGATGTTTTCCGGGGCATCCCTGTCAGCGGGCCTGTATCGTTTCTTACACAGATGAACCAGAGCACACGACGTGGTGTATTCACTTGAAAATCGATACACCTGAAACCTCAGTGCCCCACTTCCAAAGTCAAAGTCCCTTAGTGAGCGCAGATCACATGTACATACAGAGGCTGCTAAAGAATGACAGAACAGGTCTAGACTACTAAGTGTCATCTCAACCTTCATGATTGATAAATACACTTTCTCTCGGGCTTTTATCGCTACCAACTTCTTTATGTCAATGAATCTATACTTAAAAAACGAAAGAGGCTAGCCCCCGCTGGGGACGGGACACGTTTAAGTGACCAGTTTGCATCGTAATTAATGATATCAGATACTGCTTGCATTTGCCTAAGATGGATCGTTTTGTCGCAAGTGTTTCGATGCTCGACTAATACGACCGTCCTTGGAGATTCTGTTCAGAAGCTTCTCCAGTAATATAGGAGATGGCCTGACCCTAAATCTGCGTTAATGATGAACAAAGCCCTATTTGAGATCAAAATATGGAGAGCAAAGCCACCTCAATACAATTATCAATTTGGTTCAAACAACTATCTGGTTAAATACCTGGGTAGTTACAAACGATCACCCCCGAACCCCACTGATGGCTCATTAATATGTCGATAATCTGTATCGGAGAAAGGCTGAAGTCCTATGGAGATCCTATTCGAATTGACTCGCCACTGCAGATTACCAAGTGCATTCAAATCAAGATCATGCATAGTTTCAATATTTGGACAGTACCCTGGAATTGGAGGTAGCCTGTCGGCCAGATGAGAACTCGACCCCGTTAACGAGTATCCACTGCAATCAATGTTGATATCGAGAAGATGTGGTAACTCGCACATTTGCAAAAGCACCTCTTGCCATGTCCCAGACTGTAATTTGAGCAGACAGAAATTGACGTACTTAATTTTATGCGCAGACTGGTTGATGAGTGCAAGGAGATTGCGCGATGAAATGGAAACCCCTCCTAGATAGAGGGACTGCAGACAAAGGGAAGATGGAAAGGCGATAATGTCAATGTCTAGAATATTGACACTAGACAATATGAGCGATTCGAGATTTGACGCACTTTCGACCATTCTGAATAAATGGGGAGCATATATGTTATTAGGAAGAGCAGCATATTCCGGCACGATTGACGTCTGCCGATATCTCGAGTCCGCCGAATCCGTAAATGCACAAACGGATAGCCCGAGGTGTCGAAGATGTTTCACAACATCTTCGATGGGGATCTGCAAAGAATTGATTCGGCTCGGAAAGAAACGACTAAAGTCGTAGGTGATAGGGAATTTGATCACAAGCTCTGTCAGGTTTGGAAGCGGCACGTAACGTAATATGGAAATAACCGTGTTCATGTAGGCTGTTTTCTGGGCTTGCGGTAGTGATGAGGGCGGTTCGTGAAACTCAAGGGCCTTGAGATTGGTGAATTTGACCAGAAGAGACGGATGACATTCTTTCAGGTCTTCGATATATATATCGGCGTTAGACGAGAGGCTTTTCTCAAAGCCAAAGTCAATTTGATAAACATATGTAGCATACGGGCTTTTCGATAATTTCATAAGCCGCTCTAGGGACGGAATCGCGGGAGAGGAACTGGACTTCGCATTAATATGCCGGAACAGCCAAGGGGACGCGCTGCGACAGAAGGCCCTGTTGACAAGGCGCAGAGCGGCTAAGTGCTGTCGAGTACCGCATCTATAGGTCGAGTAATGCCTAGCATCGTCTTCCAAATACAAAAGGTCATTGTATAAGTTCCAAACACGATAAACAATCTGTAAGAAATGTTGAGCGCTGAGCACAATAGTCAGCTATGACACAAACATAAGGCTTACATGATCATATATCTCCGTGGGGATTTGCATGTTGCTTTCCAACTTCTTCCAAGCTTAAGCCTCCGGTACAATTTTGTCAGGTTGGCGTTGGAAGTCAGAAGAGGGGTCTGTGGTGAGGTGAGAGTTATCGTAGTGCGGGGCATTTCAGACCTCTTGCCGGCGATGCGTAAGAGATATATTTAGTTTTGCAAATGCAATTACGAGACAACCTTGGTATTTTTATTTGAGTAAGGTAAGAAACGGTTTTCCTACTGATACCGGAATATTGATCGCCGAATGTATCACTAATATGGACCAATAGGGCTTGGCAATTAGGGTTCGCGAAACAATCGAAGAGTGTAGGTGGTGACACCAGTTTCGGGAATTACTGTAGTATTCGCCAGCGATGGGCAGACACCTCTATGTGGTGCTGGGGACAAGTATTCCAGTGGTGGACCCAGACCACCGCTCGAAGAAACCAAGATCTGCCCGAGGAAATGGGAATGGTGGTGCTTAGTGGGCGGGTGGCCCCCGTGGAATACCCCACAAATCTGCCGACCACAACGACGACATAGCCAAGGTGTTTGTCCCCACCTTGCCGAGCTAAGATCGATGATTCGAAAGATTACAGCGGATTTCTCTCGAGTGTGGCAGCTAGATCTCACCTCCGGTCTACCGTGCTACCAGCGCAAGAGCAAGTTCGAACTCACCGCCCCTGCCTCGGACCCCGCCCTCCATGCTGGCGGAGTTGAAGAATGACTAAGACTTTCCCTGGGTCTTATCGCGCCATGAACACCCCTCCAGCCACTACTGTTTCCTACCCTTCATCGAGAAGCCCCCCGATTGACCGCACCGGCGGTATAACAACGTGGGTTCGACGAATCCGTTTGAGCCCAACTTCATGAGTGTTCAACACACCTGACCTACTATCACACAACATCTTGGATGGATGATGATGATGATTTCATTTCCCTGCGTCTTACTATCTTTTTCGTTTTCGCAATCGTGTTTCGAGCGTCGGTGTTTACAAAGCACCCACCGAACCCGCCAACGCCAAGGTGGATCGCCCTCAGTCGCGCGCTTAACCGTGACAACCAATCCAACTCGGCCTCAGAGTTCTCTAGAGGTCTGAAATTCTCCGAATTACAGTCCTTTGCACCTTTTGGGTTTCTCTCCTTTATTGCGCATTTTGGTTCTGTTTCTCTGTTCTTGTTTTGTGCTTCATGATCTTGATTTTTGAAGAATCTACCACAGCCGCGCCGCCTGGGCAGCCTAACAACAAAAACGGCAACTGGGCCACGACAGGCCTTACCAGGTGAGGCTCAAAGTTCACCGTTCAGGAAGTTTGGAACAATCTCAGTGGATGAAACAAACATGTATTTAAACAGTTGTTGTAGCCTGCATATCGTTCGCGAGGGGTCAGGGTAAATGAAACTACTACTACTACTACTACTACTGTAGTATTCCAAATATTTTGATCTCTGCTTATTTGAAATCAGGCATCTATAGGCCCCAATCAGGCATCCGACCTTTGGCGTCTATGCGCCTTCGCACATTCACTCCTGGCTCTACTGCATCGCAGAATGTATTATCTTCTGAAATAGTTTTGATTATCAATCTGTTTGCCCTTCTTGCTCACTGTCCTAACAGAAGACCAGTTGCAGAAGAGGGATGTTGTGGACTCATTTATTTACGCCCGCCAATCAATGTGCTCGTTGATCGTGAGACTAAATGAATCATCATGAGCCTGCATGGGTCATGTACAGAAGCATGAAAGTCATTCTATAGAAGAATTCAACTTGTATTCAAAAGAGTTCATTCGGTAGTTCGGACTAAGTTGACTTCAACTGAAAGATACACTCACTCCACACCATAAGCCAAACACACTCATCTACAACAATGAATCAATACAGCACAAAAGAGGATGTCCTCAAGTTAGGTATCGTCGACCCGGAGCTAGAAGCAGTAAGTGAGCAGACACGACTCATCCAAACATCATCTGATCCCAAATCAGATCCTTCCCTATAGCCCACCACGTGCAATGGACTTCTCGGGACCCATGGAGGAATTGCGGGCAATGGTTTCGAAAATAGAGAAATCAGCATATAAATCCTGCCCAACATTCGATACACAAGAGTCCACGATAAACATCCAGATGCGCGATGGTGCCCAAAGCAAGCTCCACATCACCAAGCCAGGTAACTCGCGTTCAGGAAACCCAGTGGTTGTCCTTATCTTTGGAGGAGCCTTTGTAATCGGCACAAACATCCAATCAATTGTCTGGGCTCGCGCTATTGCATCTCTATACGGTGCTACCGCGGTTCAACCCTCCTATCGCCTAGCACAAATTCCCGGCCGCCCCGGGACAGTGTGCAGTGGATAGTTGCGAACGCGTCTGCGGTTGATGCAGACATATCTAAGGGATTTGTTCTAAGCGGCAGATCGGCAGGCGAGAATATTTCGATCTTCACAGCTCATCGCGCTGTGAAAGAGAAACTCAACCCGCCATTCACGGAAGTTCTAGCGAGCATCCCGGTTTGTATGAGCAAAGATACCGTGCCGAAGAAACACAAAGAGCTGTGGGTGTCCCGCGTGCAAAGCGCCAATGCTGCGGGGAATCCTGGTCTGGATACAAAGTCGATTGAAGGTTACGAGGTTCTCTATGGGCAGGATTCCTTATCTGAAGACTTTTGTCCATTTGCTCCGACTGCAACTTTCTCTAATATTCTACTAACGTATGTCTAGGTCGCGGGATTGGACATCATCCGCGACGACGACCTTGTCTACGCGAAAGTTCCGGAAGATAACGGAGTCAAGGTGAAGTTTGATGCTTATCCTGGCATGCTCCATGGCCGTTTCAATTTCTGGCCCCGCTTGAAACAGTCCATCAGGTCTCAGGAAAATACCATCTGGCATGCTGGTTGGCTTTTGGGTCGGGAGGTATCTAGAGAAAGGGTGAAGGAATTTGTAGCTGTGATTATGAAATGATATGTTTATATTCTTTTGTCTCAGTCAGATACGAAAGTCGAATAGAATTATCCGATTGCCATTGTGTCGATATCCAAGGAGATAGCAAAACGTAGCTGGCTTGTAGCTTTGAAGCAACAATCTAGGCGGGGATCAATTCCCCAATAAACTGACCTACCAGTATGACACCCTTTCCATAACGGCAAAGACTTCTAACATTTCGGTTAACACCTCAGCCTATCTCTTTCACGCCTAGAGTGCGCCGTTATCGTTCTCTGTAATCAACGATTTAGTCAACTAATTTAATATCAGGCGCATGGTATCAATAACAACGACAATATACAAAAAGTAAAAGACCATTTATGGCCATTTAACACTTCGTAAGACGAATGTTTTCAATATTGGTTGTCATCAGAGTATCGGCTAAATTAATCGAAGTTCAATGCATTTAACACCACAGATCGGATCTGCTACTGCCGAAACAGGGATGGTCCATATCCGACAGAACCTAGACCGCACCATTTTAGAGACATCATGCATCCGAAGCCCTTCGCTAAACAAAATGTTATCAAAAGAAAGGAACAAGATCAGCGACCACGCCTTAGCAGTCAATACGAGCCAATTCTATTTGGGCGCCTCTCAGCCTCACGCTAGGCGTTGGCTAGACACAGACGAGACTGAACAAACAAATCATAATGGGATGTGGAATTAGCATTACGAGGTGAGTGCTCGAACATTAAATATCACCATCGGTCAATTCTAAATCTGGTATTGCTGCTGTGTGGCGACTTTAATTAATATAGACTGATTTAACCAAGCTTTCAAACGACTGCAGGTCACTATCCCCGGATTATCGGTCGGTGTTTCAAGTTCATTGAACAAGGGGCTTTGTTGAGCTAAAATAAATCTCCAGTATCAAGGTCTTTTGTTGAGTAGCCACGAGGAACAAATGTGGAATTCACTGAAAGTGATCTTCAATTGGAACAAAGGGGCAGACAGGTGTGGGATCCCTTGGGGGCCTTATGCGTGGCTTGCTGACCGCAGAAGACACAGCAATGACAACAGTCCAGGTGTCTTGGCACCTTCCAATAACGTCAGGAAAACTATTAGTTGAACGCATTGAAGGCGAAGAAAATATATCAATGTGTTTCCATGCAGTGTTGTGATGTTCCAGAGCTATCGAAACTTAATAGTGAATGACACTTGAACGTAAAATGCTTGAACGCCTAACAAGTGATCGTCACTGGAAAAAGACCAGTCCATGCAGGACCTCCTAGTTGCTTTAGGATCAGGGAACCAACGAATCAGAACCAGGGGAGAAACAAAGCTTGGAAAACCTATGTATAGTGGGGGGCGATCTTGTGGACGACTAATCAATTTTGGTGAGAGTCTGCCTATCGAAAGAAAGCTGTCAATGAATGAAGGTGAAGACGGGTCAGCCCAATGGAAAACATCCCCAATAATGGTCAGCCTTGTCCGAAACCTGACTTTGACTTTCTTTGTCTTCTGGCCCAATATACTTTTCTCACACTGATCCCCATCTCAACTTGTCCATTACACATAGTCCCAACCTGCTAGGGTGCAGCACACTGCATATTCTGTTGATACAGCATTGTGCCAGTACCATGCTGTCTGTACAACAATTATTACGACCGCTGCTAGCATCTTTGGTCCTAGCGACCCTAGCTGCGGCTGCTGATTCATACTCAGTCTCAGCGACAGCGACATTAAATGATGAATCAACTTCTGCGACTACGACGTCGTTGACCGGCATCGCAACTCATACGTTTCAAGTTGGACCGAAATCAAATCCACATCAATATGTTCCGACTAACATAACGGCAAACGTTGGCGATGTTGTCGTCTTTGAATTTTATCCAACAAATCATTCGGTCGTGAAAGCAGATTACCTGGCACCGTGTGTGCCAGCCAGTGGGAATATATTTTACTCGGGGGCTTTTGCGACGTTTAATGAACAAGGAGGACAATTAGTTGGGCCGGTAAGTAAACCAAGCTGATATATGGAAAATGCGAAACAAAGGAACTTTACTAACATGCAAACCCCAGGCCCCAACTTGGTCACTGGTAGTGAACCATACCAATGTATGTATCTATACCATTGCATAACCGGCTGAGATCGACACATGCTAACATCGGTGTCTTGCAGCCCACATTTTTCTATTGTACCGCAATTGATTCATGTTTAAAGAATGGCATGGTCGGCGTGATAAATCCGGTACGAAGGCAGATTTGTCGCCAGAAATGAACATCATCCATGGATACTGACTGAATCTGCAGAACTCAAGTCAAACTTGGGAAGCACAATACAAGCGAGCCCTCGAATATCCATACATGTTAGTCCCAGGAGAGTCAATGCCAGCCGAAGGCGGAGGAAGCAGCTCGGACTCGGGTTCAAACGACAGTTCGTCAAGCAGTAAACACGGGCTCAGCGCGGGAGCCATTGCCGGTATAGCAATCGCTGGAGCAGTCTTTATCGGCATTCTGGTGGCCTTATTCTTCGTTCTCGGTCGAAATCGTGTGTACGCCCAATGGATGTCATCGCAAGACGGGCGGACAGAACGCACTGCCCGATGGGCACTGTTCAACCACGACGACCGGACCGAGTACAGCAATGGCCACCGTAAAAGTGAAGTCAGTAGCAGTGTCGCGAAAGCAGGCCACGTTGATCTCAGTGCTATGTCTAGTCCGGACCCGACTGTGCGCACGTTCTCGCCTGGAACGGAGAATATATCCCGTGGTGGTTCACCCGCTGCGCAGCAGGGCCATTGGAGTTGGAACGAACCGTCTGTTCGTTCTTCCCGTCCCGATGCGCCTACCGAGCTTGAAGGTCATCCGATCATTTGGGAAGCCCCCGGGAGTACACCGGGGGGTCGGTTCTGATAAAGTGTCAGAATTTTGGGATGGGGGAAATCGACGCTAGGTTGAAGGGAGGCGTGTCTATTTTTATGCGGCGATGTTGGTGTTTGATTGCTTTTTTACTCGCAACTGGTCTGGTCTGTTCTATATAGTGATACCTGAAGTGCCTTCTTTTTGTTACATCTAATACACCATTTGACTCCCAATGTTAGAATTGTCGTTGCTTTTATTATTGTATGTATCTATATTTTAGGTAATTCTAAGACTCTTGAGGGACTTTCAAGAATTTCACAAGTGTGACCTGCTTCAGCTGTGGAGTCTATAGTAATACTGACGGGCTGCACTAAATCCGCGAAGCGGAAATCCAAATAGTCAGTCACCGTATCCGCGAATGGGCGGATTTGGAAATATTGTTTCCCTACCTGATATATTATCCGACGTCTTTGGTAGCAGAGAACCTGTAGTCCATTGCTGGTAAGCGAGGCACGATCAGCAAAATCCTACCACATCAGGAAACTGCAAACGCCTTCGGGACCAGGGTGCTGTGCTTGCCCCGCGAATCGACCACGGTCACATGATAGTCATGCTTCGTGTCTGTGATACTTTAAGGATCAGATGGTTTTCATTGGATGCCCGAGGCACCGAGTATATAATAGTAAATTACATAATAATGCCAAGGCATCGCTTAGTGAGAAACCCAGTTTTACTTGTAGCAAGTAGTGCCTAAGGCATCAGAATGCCTTAGGCCCACTTCCGCTCTCAGGTTCTGCTGACACAGCAGAACCTGGAAACCTTAGGGGATCACAGCCTCCCCCACCTGCCGTTGCTCACCGCCCTCGGAGCAACCCTGAAGCCTACAGATTTCCGGAATAGGAAATATCGTCAAGGTCCCTGATGGTGAGATTCTGGCAATCAGTTTGCCCTTGTTTGCTCGCGACCGTGAGCGTATCTCTCGACAAGTTTGCTACTTGCCATTCTTTGTCGAGCACCGCTGGTGCCTATTTTTGTCTCTGTTTGCTGGCCTGACTGGCCAATGGGGTGTTTGTTGGTGGCGAGAGGGCTCACTTCTGAGCAAATTTGCCAGCCCTCTGTGGTGCTGTTGCCCATTTGGCATTCTGGCTGGGCCAATGAGAGTGAGAGTTGACTGAGGTTTGGCAAACGTGTGTTCTGTTGGCACACATTGGGTGTTTGGCTATCTTGGGGTCTTGGGGGTATATAAGAAGCCCTCTCCCTCACCTTCGCACTTCTTCTTTTCCTCTCTCTCTCTCTCTCTCTCTCCACCATCCACTTCCCCAACTCATTCGTGAGCTTCATTCCCACTGTAGTGAAACCTGCTCCCTCCTACAGTGAAGCCGGTGATATTCTGATATCATTTCCAGTAAGTGATCACCACCCTGGTCAGTAACGACCATCTGCTGACGTTTTTTTCTCTTCAGGCAAGTGAAATCTGCTCCCTCCTTGGCTGAAGCCAGCGCGTTCTGACGCATCTTTGGTATGTGGTACCCCTCTTTCTCCTCTTCTTGCTGGTTACTGACTTTTTCCTGGGTGATAGACCATGTCGTTTGCTGCGGTGAATGACCCTTCCTCCGATGATCAGGACTCGCTCACCGAGACTGACATCGTCGCCCCGCCCCGTTTCTACAACAAGGATACGGGTGACAACTCTCTGCCTGACTGCTTGGATCCTTACCTGCAGCCCATCCTAGCAAATGTTTCTTCCGGTGTGGCAGGTCATTTGGCCAGGCGCTTGGAGGTCAGGATGGCAAATGGTGTTTTCTTCTCCTTGGATTGGCGTGTGGACATTTCGGGTGTGGTGAATATTCGCTCTCCCCCTCGGGATGCACGCAACTATTTTAGTGCCATCTTAGGCCAGTGCCTTGGTATGGTTGTGCCCCCTAATGCTAGCAAGTGTGGTCGCTGTTTGCGAAATCCTGATGCTTGTGCGTTTGCTTCCTGCCGCGTTGCCGCTTTCTACCGCGTGAGTGATGATGTTGGGATGGTGATTGCCAAGGGTGCGTGCATGTGTTGTGTGTTTTCTGGAAGTGCGAAGCATTGCTCGTTCCGCGATGATTGCCCAGTTTGGGCCCTTTCCTACTTCCAGAAGTATGTCCCCTCCTTTGTCTGGGAGCCGACCAACACCCTCGCCTCTGCTCCGGCAACTCCTGTTGCTCCTCGCCAGCAGGTTGATCTCCCTATCCACCCCGCTGCTGCTCCAGCAACTCCTACTGCTGTTCCAGCCACTCCTACTGCTGCTCCAGCAACTCCTCAGGCACCTTCTACCCCGGCTTCGGCCGTTGCGTCCGCTTATCATAGTCTCTTGACAGATGATTTGCTCGCTGCCCCGCTTGCAGGCCGTGAGCAGGTTCTCTTGCAGATCGATCGTTGCCGTGCTCAGCTTGCCATCGACCTCGCTGCCGCTAACCGCGACTACGACTTGCTCCTTTGGCAAATCCAGTCACAGCGACGTCGCGACATGGCAGTTGCTGCTAGCAGATCTGCTGCCTGGGATGCCATTGGCGAGGAGAAGGATTCAATGGATATTGATGGGGCTTAAGCTTTCTGTTTCTGGTGGCTCTGGTGTTTGGTGCTCGCTCATGGGATCGGTGATTTGTTATTGTCCTCTTCCAAATTGAATAGTCTTATTTGCTGCCTTCGGCTTCGTTTCCTCGTAGCAGTAGAACCTGTATTCGTAGTACTTGCCAGCTAGTTTCTCACCATCCCTGGCGGCCACCTCCTGCGATGCCTGAAGCTGTACGGAGCTTCCTGGCTATCGTCATTCTGGCCGATGTTTGGTGGTATCACCTCATCGGCTTCCTCGATCCTATCCCGGATCTCATCTGCTTGTTGGGCAGGCTTCCTGGACTCTTGATTGGCATCCTCGGTCCCTTCCATCACTGTATCGATGGGGATATCTTCTGGCAAGTCGTTTTGCCCTTCCATCATCTCGATGGGATTTCCTTTACGATGCCTGAAGCTATACTGAGCTTCCTGGCCATCGCCGTCTTGGCCGATACTCGGTGGCATCACCTCCTTATCGGCTTCCTCGATCACATTCCGGATCTCATCTACTTGTTGCGCAGGTTCCCTGGACTCGGTATCGTCGGTCCCTTCCATCGTCTCGATGGGATATCCTTTTGGCAAGTCGTTGCTGACTTCTTCTGCTCTCTGTGGAACAGGTACTCTTTCTTGGGTGGTCGCTGGCCACCCATTCCGGCAGCTTTCAGCTGCTCTCATACCCTTTTGAGGGTCCTTCTTGCCCTGGTTTTCGGCAAGGATTTCCGTCTCGCCTTGATTCCCGGCGAGGATTCCTGTATTCGTTTGCTGGCGAACGATCTGGTCAGTCCTAGCAAGCGAGCCCTGCTTGCGTGCGTTTTGTATCGCCCTGTTTCTGACCTGTCGCACAGCTTCTTCCTCCCCCACCAAACGAGACCGCACACCTGAGCGGATCATTTGCTCCCATTCCTTCCGAGAAATCGTGGACAACTCGATATAGCTGGGCGGTGTTTCGGAGTCGCTGTCGGTGGCTAGTCGGCCATCAAACGGGTGGGTCACCTTCTCGCCTTGGCGACGAAGGTGCCACTTACCGCCCGAGGATGTCCACATCTGCTCTGGTTTGGTGACGTGTGCCTCCACGAGCCGTCTCCCATTCACCAGGTTCCGTAGGACTCGCCCTCCCGGCTCAGCAAGTGCATATGTGCCCAATGGGTTCGCTCTGATCACTTGGTATGGACCAAACCAATTAGACTCGAATTTCTGTTTGGCCTCATTCCGTACGAGCACCCAAGTGCCTTCAGCAAGCGATCCATGCTTATGGGTCACATTTTCATCCTGTATCTTTGCGGCTCTTATTGCTTTGTACAGCAAGTCCTCGTTCGCTCTCGACCGAGCATGATTTACCGCTAAGATTCGTTTGTCGATATCGGCGACATCGTCGCCTTTCTGGATCCCTTTGTCATCCCCTGGCAAGCACGGCGCTTGGCCATACACCAGGTAATATGGACTCGACCCCGTTATGGCGTGCTCGCGGACCCGCGCAGCAAATAGGGCCTGTGGCAAGTATTCGTCCCACAACCGAGTGGGCTTGCCCATGAGGTATTTGGACAGCATCTTGCCCAACAACCCATTCAGGTTCTCCACCTTCCCATTCGTCCGGGGGTGGTACGGTGTTGTTAACCGGTGTCGAGCCTTCAGCAAGTTGACAAAGTATCTCACCCCATCGGATAGCAAGTTGGTCCCATTATCCGATAGCAGTTCTTTCGGTGCGCCAAATGCCACAAATATCCTTTCATAAAGGAATTGCCCAAGTGCTTCTTGGGTGGCATCCTTCAAGGCCTCAGCAACTGGCCATCCGGTTGCGTAATCGATTGCTGTAACGATCCAGCGGTTGCCGTTTGGCGTCGTCGGTAGCAAGCCGATTAGGTCGATTCCCCAGCGTTCAAATGGCCTGATACCCGTGCTTGCCAAATAGTGCCTCGATTCGCGCTCGAATGCGAGGTTCCGTTTTTGCGATACTTGGCAATTCGGGCAAGTGCGCACCACTTCCTCGATGTCTTTTCTCATCGAGGGCCACCATGCCCGGCCGGCAATGACGCCTTGCAGGCCCGGGTGCCCTAGGTGGCCGTATTCCTCGTGCATTCTGCGCAGGAATTCTTCCCGGAATGGCGGCTCTAAATAAGGGGCCGTCACCCCGTTCGCGTGGCGAAACAGCAAGCGAGTGTTCTCTTCCTTGCTTGCGTTCATTGGCAAATCCGCCTCTTGTGTCGCCAACTGTTTGGCCCAACGTTTCACCCAACGGAGCAGTTTACGGTCTTCCGGCAAGCTGCCTTCTAGCAAGTAGCTAACCGTTGCAGCATACCATGCTGCTTCGTCGAACCCGCCCACGGTCGCCACCAATGCGAGCGCGCCCCATAGGGGTTGATTCTGTGCGATATTTGCCGGCGCATCCTGCATAAAGTCAGGCCGGCGGCTTATGGCGTCAGGGACGATGGCCTCCGAGCCTGGCCGGTATCTCCATTTAATGTGCTTATCCTGGAATTCGTCAATCCAGCGAGCAAGTCGTTTGCTAAACACCCTTGTTGTTGCTAGATATTGGAGACTTTGGTGGTCCGTGATCACCGTTGTCGGCAAGCCATTGTCAATATCCACAAAACGGCTCCACACTCGCAGAGCTTCTTTAGCAGCAAGCAGCTCCTTCTCTTGAACTGGGTAGTTCAGCTCTGCTCCTTGCAGTTTACGACCATCGAAGGAGACGGGGTGCAGCTTGCCATCTTCAGCAATCTGGCTCAGCACATAGCCGATCGCCCACTCGCTGGCGTCCGTTTCGATGGTAAATGCCTTCGTAACGTCGGGTTGAATCAGGACCGGATACTTGGTCAGCGCTGTTTTGAGGTTCTGGAATGCTATCTCGCAGCGTTCAGTCCAATGGATCGGCCTGAACCTGCGTTTGCGCACCTCTGCGTCTTCCTCCTTCAGCAAGTCGCTCAGTGGCGCTGCAATGTTGGCGAAACCCTTTACATATCTGCGGTAATATGTAGCAAGCCCCAGGAAGCTCCTTATTTCGTGGGCATTCTGTGGCCGGGGCCATTCGGTGATAGCCCCCACTTTCTCGGGGATAGGTCGGAGTTTCCCATCTCCGATGATGTGCCCACAAAACTCTAATTCTTTGGTAGCGAAAACGCACTTCTTCGGCTTGCCATATAGCTTCTGCTTCCGCAGGCATTCGAGCACTTGCTGCAGGTGGCGGTAGTGATCCTCCAGGGTCCCTGAGAATACAAGGATGTCGTCGAGGTAAACGACCACGGATTCCCCGAGGAATTCGCGTAATGTTTCATTCATCATTGTCTGGAATGTAGCTGGTGCGTTGCAAAGGCCAAATGGCATCACTCGCCATTGGTATTTGCCCCATAGTGTGTTGAAAGCGGTCTTGTCCATTGATCCGCTTGCCATCATCACTTGCCAATACCCGGAAGCTAGGTCGATCTTCGATAAATACTTAGCTCGCCCCACGATGTCGAGTAGGTCCTGAATTCTGGGAATGGGATACCCATTCTTGGCCGACAGCTCATTCAGCGCGCGGTAGTCGATGCACATGCGCCACTCGCCCTCCGGCTTCTTCACAAAGATGACCGGGAATCCCCACGGACTCGACGACGTCTCGATGAGCCCGCGGTCCAGCAAGTCCTTTACCTGCCGCTTCAGCTCTGCCAGTTTGTCCGCTGGCAGCGGGTAAGCAGGCTGGTTTACGGGGTCAGCGCCCCTCGTATCGATGTGATGTTCGAATTGCCGCTTCGGTGGCAATTCCTGTGGCAACTCGTCCGGGAAGACATCCCTATATTCGTTAAGGAGTTGTTGAATTCGTTGGTCTTCGGGAGGGGACTCAGGCTCATTTGCCTTCACTATGAATAGGAGCATCTCCGTTTGCTCGCTTCGCATAGCGCGGCGGCAATCCTTTTTAGACAGCAGGTTAAGGCTGCCCACTTGCTCCCGTTTGAGAGCGCGGGTATTCACGCCCTCGACCATTATCTGTCCTCCTCGGCCATCGGCGAGCCACATCTTCCTCTCTGGGAAGCTAACGTACCGGCTATGCTCCCTTAGGAAGTCATCGCCGAGGATCACATCGTAGCCGGCGATATCTATCGCCCAAACTTTCTTTGCTCCGCTCCACTTGCCAATATGGAGGTCCACAAACATGCTCCCGTTTGTGTACAGTCGCTCTCCATTTGGCAGGGCCACGGGCAGGGATTTATCTCTATCCCATCGGCCACCGATTCTCTTAGCTACGGCGAGTGATACAAAGGTGTGGCTTGCTCCACAATCCAGGAGCATCCTCACTGCCGCGCTACTCTTCGACGCCGCTCGTTGAACCTTTCCGTCGTAGAAGTTCAACTCATTCCCAAGGGCATTTAGCCTCATAGAAGCTTGCGCTTCAGTCCCTAGGGACTGTAACTCTGTTTCGTCGTCTGGCTCTAGTGGCCTTCCCACTTGCCAGGCATCAGCCATCGGCTGGATCTCCTTTCTGTCATCTGGCTTCAGTGGCCTTCCCACTTGCCAGGCATCAGCCATCGGCTGGATCTCTGCCTCGACCACAGCGAATCGAGGTTCCTCATCACGTTCGGCTTTGTCAGGCCGACGTGGCTTTCCTAATGGGTCAGCAAGCTTGCCAGGGCTTACTGACCCTCCGCTTTTCCCTCCTTCTTCAACAACCGGCAGTCACGCTTCAGGTGGCCGGGTTTGTTACAATTATAGCATGTGAAGGATCGGGTGCTACTATCCATCGCGGATAGGTCCATGGCATCGTCGTTTCGGGGCTGGCTTGCTTGCTGGCCACGCCCCCTGTTAAAGAAACGGTTGCCTCTCGTATTGGCTGCTTCCTTGCAACCTCTTTCCAGCTCGAGCAGACGGTTATGCACTTCCGTAACCTCTGTCGGCGGGTCCTGGAGTTTATACCATTCAGCCCTAAGCTCATGGTTCAACCCCGACACCAATTGAAGGATAAAGCTGTAGGAATCAGCAGGTCGCTGTAGGTTCAGCGAGGCTTCCTGCAGCTTGCGGAAGTATTCCGAGAAGTTATCGGACTTCTGCAAGCGGGTGATGTATGCGCGGTAGCGATCTGCTTCCGCCGTCTTGGCCTCGAAATTCTCGAGGATCCAGGCTCTGAAACCATCCCATGTAGTGATTTGCTGCATGTGGCCGCTCTCTACGGCCACTTCCAAGCCTCGCCAGGCGATCAGGGCGGTCTCCGCTAGGTGGGTGCGGCCAATGATCACCTTGTATCCTTCTTCCTCCTCCTCGCCAGCAAGTTCAGCTCTCGTCTCGAAGTATCGCTCGCAGTCCCTCAGCCAGTGACGGGCTGCATTCCCTTGTTGGGAGCCGCGATACATTTCAGGCTTCGGCACGTCTTTCAGCTTTGCTGCCAACGCCGGTGTGGACTCGCTGGGCGCCATTAGGTGGTGGCGCTCCCAGGGCCATTGTCATCAGCGCCTCGTGCTGGGTTGCCCGGTGCATATCGTCCGTTGGTATCATTGCGAACAGCTGCATGTTCTGCATAGCTACCGGCAACCTGTCAAAAGCCATTTGCTCGACTTGATTCAGCGAGTGCCTGAATGGGACCGCATGCTGGTTTTGGCCTTCGTTTGCATCTTGGCGAGGGGTCTTCTGGTGTTTTCCTTGGGAGTTCCGATGAGGGTATGCTTTACTTAGCAAATGCAAGTAGGCTTTCTATCCTCTTCTTGTTAACTAAGGGTCTCCACTTTTCCCTTAGTGATCGATATCCTTCGGTACCTAGGGATTCCCTTCATGTGTGCCCTCGTTTGTTAGCAAGCGAGCGTCAGTACCACGGCTGCTCGCCGCACACATAGTGGGTCACCCTTTGGGTCCCGGATCGGATTCTAGCAGGCGAGGGCAGGATGGCGATGTCGCTGGCCATCCTGATCGCTCGCTGCTTCAGCCCCTGGAGAAATGATTTCTTCCAGGTCTCAGGGGGCGCAAGTGGCCCTTTCAGCATGTTACTTGCCCCTCTGAGCTCACCATAGGAGGTGAGGCTTTGCATGACATGCTACCAGATGTGATACTTTAAGGATCAGATGGTTTTCATTGGATGCCCGAGGCACCGAGTATATAATAGTAAATTACATAATAATGCCAAGGCATCGCTTAGTGAGAAACCCAGTTTTACTTGTAGCAAGTAGTGCCTAAGGCATCAGAATGCCTTAGGCCCACTTCCGCTCTCAGGTTCTGCTGACACAGCAGAACCTGGAAACCTTAGGGGATCACATGTCGACCACCTTGCCATAGCAGCAATAGAGCAGCTTCTTCTCCCCAGGTCCAACTTCCAGCTAGCTTAGTATTAACAGCTATGCCAAAATTATCGGAACGGTCATGTAGACTGGAGAAGGTGAAAATGTGAGAGCATGGGCTGCATGGCAAATAGACCCCTGGTCTACTAACCCCCGGATAATTTTCGCTTCATAGGTTTTACGGTCCGACTCCACGGGGAAATTTCATGGAAGGAAAGCAACTCGGAAATGCCGAGACCCACAATGCGGTCATTCATTCAGCTTTCATTAACTAGTCCATCTTCCGTGAGCCAGATAAGCATTTCCCGCGACCCGGGTATGTCAACCCGGGTTTCCATCGAAGATCATTCTTCCCTAGCCGAAAAAGCAAGGCCCAGTACACCAGAACCTGTGCAGAATCACTGCATGACAATTCTATCGAGCGCTTAATTCTCAATGCCGCGATCATGTATTTGAAATGCGGGTACCTTGCGGCCCGTCATATTTCAAGACTTTAATGGCTCTCAATATCTCTTTTTCTGTCTTTTCTGCCCTTTCTCTTTCTTCGGTTATTGGGATCTACAGTGTACGTAGACAATTTGAAAAGGCCCCACAGCCAGAAGTTCAATGCAATGCCGTGTAAATCATGTCCGCAAGGAACACAGAGCTTCTCTTAAATAAACCCACTTGCCGCTGAAGTTCAATGTTTGGTCAGTTCACATCCACCTTTATTCTTCTCTACCATGAAAATATCTCTCGCCTCCGGACTTTGTTTGCTCCTGGGCTCTGTTACAGCCTTTGAGTGCCATCCCGCGGCATTCTCCAAGCACCTACCATCCAACGCAAGCATCGCGTTCGCTTACCCAATCAAGTCGAATGGCACATTTCACGTCCCCTCTGGTGATATTGGGTACCCAGAATCCCCGACGCAACTAAGACAGCTTTGCGCAGTCCAGGTCAATGTCACCTCCAGTCCCACATCCGCCTTCAGCTTCGGCCTCTTCTTGCCTTCTTCTTGGAACCATCGTTTCCTGTGAGTCGCGAATCGCCACCGACGATAACCTTTGTCATCACTCACAAGTTTTAGCGCCGTAGGCAATGGAGGCTTTACGGGTGGTATCAACTGGATCGATATGGTACGCCTGATCTTGTTTCCTGGCAACACGGTCATTGACTGACCATTCACTGCAATATAGGCAGCCGGCGTGGGCTACGGTTTTGCTACTATGTCGACCGACACTGGCCACAACAGTACCAATGATGATGGCTCATGGGCCACCAATCCAGAGTCGGTTACTGACTGGGGCTGGCGTGCGATGCATGGATCAATTGTCATTGCCAAGCAATTGACAAAAGCCTATTACGGAACCACGCCTCGGTTTAATTACTACAGTGGTTGCTCCACTGGAGGGCGGCAGGGACTCAAGGAGGTCCAGGAGTTTCCTGATGATTTTGACGGTGTCCTCGCCGGTGCCCCAGCGTGGTGGACTAATCGATTGCAACTTTGGAACGGCAAAGTGGGGACTTACAACGCTCCTGTCAATTCAGCCAACCATATTCCCGAGTCAATGTTCTCAGTCATCGGCGATGAGGTACTCAGGCAGTGTGACCCGCAAGACGGAGTGGTTGATCGCATCATTCAGGACCCTTGGCGTTGCAATTTGAGGCTTGAAACACTGCTTTGCAATACTACAAACCCAGCAGCAGGTAGCTGTTTATCTGGTGACCAGTTTGACACACTTCACCACATCTACAATGACTGGGTCGAGACAAATCAAACATTTATCTTCCCGCATCTGCTACATGGTAGCGAATCACAGTGGAGCGTCCTCGTCAATAACGGCACCCCTGTTTCCCTTGGAACAGACTACATTCAATACTTCCTGGGCCTGGGTAAGTCTGCGTCGGAAACATTTGACTATAAGACCGTTCTGATCTCCGAGCGGACGAACCCTGGAAACGCAACGGCCGACAACTTTGACCTCTCTCCTTTCCAAAGGAAGGGCGGTAAGCTCCTGCATTACCACGGACTATCCGACGGCCTTATTGCACCAGGAAGTAGTATTTATTTCCATGATCAGGTCCTACGAACACTAGTGCCGAGAGGTATTGATGTCGGCGACTTCTATCGGCTTTTCTTAGTCCCCGGCATGCAGTAAGTCCCTCAATCTTCAGAATTTACTGTCCATACTATCTTACATCTCCAAACTAACCTCATGATCTAGGCACTGCAAAGGCACTCCCGATAATATGGAGGCACCATGGTACTTTGCTGGTGGCAACCAGGCCAGCAGTATTTCTACTAGTGTTTACAGTGTTCCCGGCTTCTGCGACTCCCGTCACGACGCGCTGCTTTCTCTAATGGCGTGGGTTGAGAATGGTACTGCACCAAACGAGATCATCGCCACTAAATGGCACAATGACAACCTCCAGGATAAGGTGTACAGACAACGCCCAATTTGTATTTACCCCAATGAAGCTCAATATGATGGCACCGGTGATGCCAACAAGGCGGAAAGTTGGAAGTGCAAGCCTCTATTCTAGTGGCAGAAAGATTGAGCAAGAGGGTGTGAGCGCAAGTCAACCGAGTCAATAGGTGGCGCGGGAGCATCAATTGGTGTGAGACGTGAATTCTCCTATCCTTCTACTTGATCAATATATTAATTGATCGTCGAGGATGCTCTATTCATTTTATGATACCAAATAGAACCCTCTTCTTCCCTCGTACGCTGATCGACATGATGCATTCTCTTTCCTTGAATGCCAGGGGATCCATAACCTCGGCTTCCTGGACAAGAATCGCTGTGATGGCGGAGGCAGCATTGGGAAAGGACGCATCTGATGATATTTACTACTTGTGATCTGGTAAATGCCATCTCAAAACATAGCATACCATTGATTTTGGCCAAACCTCCATTTTACAATGGGATTGACTACTCAGGATATCTGTCGTTGCACGTAAGTATTTAATGTGGAAATGTCGTTCATGATGGGTCATCATTTCCCGCGGAAGATCATAAAATTTCTTTTTATTGAGTCTCTTTTAGTACGAGGCGCTGATTTGTAATAATTATTTGGAATGTAATGATACAATTTTCTTGTCATCGTTCATTCGTAGCAATTCTTTTTTGTATAGAAATGTTTTCAACATATGTACAGTGCGCCTGAAACGGTGAGCTTGATTTTAATAGCCAGTCCCGCTGTGATTACAGCCTTGCGCACTGTCTCGTCTCCTAATCTCCTCAAATATGTCATAGCCCCAATTTGCAGGAAAGTTGAAGCGCTTGTGGCGTTCAAGTCCAATCAACTTGCCATACGCGTCATCGGGCAGTGTCTTCACCTGGAGATTAGCAGCAATGCGAAATGGCGTGACATTCTTCAACAGAACAACAGTGCCGCGCTAGAAATCCCAGCTAGCAAGAGGAGGGACGGGATCCAAGCTGATGTCCTTCGCAACCTCTGCGACAACAGGATCATCTACAGTACGAGGCTCGCCAGTCTGGTTGTTGCCTAGGGAGAGTATGCTTCCACGATAATATTCTTGTCGTTGCAGAACTTGACCAGCTCTGGCTGCTGTAGATATGGAGGGGGGCTTCGATCTGGTTGGTAGCAAGCACGATGCCGACCTAATTGAGGTGGCTCTTCGAATGGCGAATGTTGGAGTTGGAGACACCGATTGCCTTCACTTTTCCAGTTGCGAGAACCTTGTCCGTCTGCTAATAGATGTCAACGTAGTCTGCTTGGCGTAAAATCATCTACTGTCCCAGTGAGGCTACATACACACTCACTGAATTTTCTGGCTGCTGAAGTCAGCCACACATAGGCCGCGTTTCGTGACAAAAAAAGCCTAGCAGTCTAGTCTACTGCTGATTTACTACGAGGTATCTTATTTTTGGGAGCCAAGATGTAGCCCTTAGCTCAGTGCTACAATTGCAATAGATTGTGCTTGGGAACTCTGCGATCAGGGCCTGGTGTCATTTGCAAGGTGCAAACATCCTCCTCCAATGCGACCAAGGTATAATCGGAACATTTCCTTCGACCTTCTTCCTAAAAGAATTCGAGTATTCCAACGTGATGCTTGCACTCTTACTCGGTCGACAACCCTTGGAGTTGAGCAGGTGTAGTCAACCCGACAATACGCAGCAAGACAATCCCGCTGACCCTGTTTTTGGATGCAAAAGCAATTTGTGGCTACTGGTGCATGAACTAGTCGATGTAACAAGCTGGATCCAGGCTGGCGGAGATGTGAACGATAAAGCCCGAATACTCAAATTCCGCCTTAATCACGATCAATAGATTCTGCGGGACTTAAGGAGGCATATTCGAAGCCATGGTGCAGATCGCGCAAGCATATAAAATTTGCAGACTGATAGCACTGCAAACTGGTGCGATGTTTTCCTATAGCACTGTCGTTGTTGATACTTTGAGATGTATGTAGTTGGAACTGAATGTCGAAACCTGCGATGTGTAATATAACCAAGTATCCATCAGTCGTGTATTTAAAAGCCGGAATGGTGGTATTCCGCGTAACTTACTTAGGTATTGCGTGACATGATACGCTTCCCGTCAACGTCCGCCCAACGAAAACAAAACTTCACCTTAACGAATTACAACCCCCGGTTATTGCGATATTCACAAAGAAGCGACCATGTCTGATCAAGCGACCAAGGCCCCATCTGATATAACTCCCCCAAGACAGCAGCGCGCAGCAATAACACAAACCCAAAAACAAGCCCTGCGAGCATGGGCAATGAATCAAATCCCCGCTCCCAGGGGCTCCCAGTGCATCGAGTGGTTCCAGAGGGCATATGGCCGGAGGTTATCCCAATCAAGCGTGTCAGATATTCTGTCTGAAAAGTTCGCCTATTTGGATTCTGCTCCGGCATCAGCTGCCAGACGCCGTCAGAAAGCACCACGGTGGCCACGACTCGAAACAAAGCTCATCGAGTGGTTCGATTCAAATCCAAATGGCATACAACCACCAACCGGCGAGGCCATTGTTACAAAAGCGCGCGAACTCTGGAATGAGATTCCCGAATACCAAACGATGCCATCTCCGCTATTCAGCCAAGGATGGCTGGACAGATTGAAGAGACGATTGCGTGATCGCGATGCTGAAGCTACAGGCGCACGTGTTGTACTACCTAACTCGTCTCGTCGCGTTGAGACTCCCCAGAGCATCGACCAGGCACGCAGGCACACAAAAGTCCTACGGACGATGTGCGGCGAATTTGACGAAGATGATATCTATAACGTGGATGAGGCAGGGCTCTGTTGGCGAAAGCCTCCGTTTTTGCCATCACCTACTCAGAGTGTAGACTCGATGGACAAAGAAAACTCTCGCATCTGTCTTATTCTTTGTACCAACGCCACTGGATCAGACCGGCTGCCACTTTGGATCATTGGCCACTCACAAATGCCCCAGGCGCTGCGCAACGTAAACCGCGACGCAATGGCATTCAAATGGCTATACAACGTTCAAGCCTGGCTGACGCAATCTATAATGCAACAGTGGTTGCTATCGTTCTACAAACATGTTGGCGATCGAAGAGTGTTGTTACTACTGGATAACCTCCCTGATCATCACGCGGCAGTGCGATTGACACCGCCGCCATCGAATGTCCATATCCATCATTTACCCATCTCAAAGACCTCATCTGATGATGAGCAGCCGCTTACTTTGGGAATTACCCAAAACCTGAAGCAACACTATCGACAAGAGTGGCTGTCTTTCATGGTTAGATGCAAGGAGTCATCTACCGACTCAGTGCACATGATGAGTCTTTTCCACGCTGTGTCTTGGATCACTCGCATTTGGCGCCACGACATAACGCATGGGACTGTCTACAAAGCCTTTCGGAAGAGTGCACTCATAGACCGACAAATAGCATTTTCAGTGCCTTCAAAAGCACCCAACCTGACCAGTCTCTACCAAACTGTCACTCGGGACAATCCAGAAAATCGACATGTCATTCATTTGGAGGGATTTATCAATCCCGTCGATGAGGACCTGTATTGCGGGGCAGGAGTCGAGGGGTTGGATGGAAATGATGACGCTATGGAGCTGATGGTGAACGGATTGGACGATGCATTTGTGCCAACGCCTATTGATCAGTTCGTTCCCACGTCAGCTGACGCGGTCGTCCGACTCCAGTCTGCCATTCGATATTTGGTGCATCAGCCCTGGGCTACTGCGAAGGATGTTGAAGCACTTGAGAGGACAGAGAGAATGATGAACCGTATCAGTGCCGATGAACGACGATAAACAGTCCTTGTTGAGTTGATTGCATGGTACGAACGGCAATGACTTTGAAACTTGTGCCTGGATCAATAGAGGAGAAAGAAGGAGCCGCTAGCTCACTCATCAGAAATAGTCACAGCCGAATCTGCCCTATGTCTATCTTCGTGGGCTTGTCTATTGCTTGGCCTCTGCATGTCACCAAATGGACATGATCATCTCTGACAGAACAGCCACTGCTCGGAACAACTTGCCGAAAACTGGATACACCCGCAATCAAATTCAATTCTGTGCATAGAAGCTGGGCGGAGGGCCAAGATAACTTCCTTTCACACCGCCAAGGTCTACTACAATCTTCTCCAGTAATAGATTCGAGTGGTTCAAGCGCACTCTGATGATGTGAGAACCCATTTCTAAACCCATAATAGAATGTTTTCTTTTCCATACGCAGTCCATAACAGCCTCCAACCACCCATGCGCTGGAAGTCTTGTCTTTTCTCCCGCATCCGTAAGTACGGAATATCTCTCCGGACACAGAGTGCCAATTCCAATATCATAAGTCATCTTTTCCGCGGGATCAATATCGAGCGTCATGTTGAAATATAATATAACGGAGCATGGAACAGAGTGCGAGAATATGTAGATTGGGTACTCAAGGAAAGGCTCAAGGCCCCTTTCATAAACAGAAGACATTTCGCGCATGACAGCGCCCTCGCTACCTCGACCCAATTCGGGGTGGTGCTTATATGGCGACTTCAAATCTATCCCAGATGCAGGGATAGATACACACCCATCTGCTTCAACGAAACCAGTGAATGAGGATGGAATGATGTGCCCTTTTATCGGTAGATGTACATTTTCGAAGTCACCTTCCTTGGAGGAAACGCTAATCAAAACTTCCTTATCAAAGTCAAACGGCACTTGGTCCCAATCCACTGTTATCCAAATGCGTACATCATCACCATCTGGACTTAATGTGCCCTCTATCGACGAGAGATGAATCCAAGAGTATGGCGCTGAGGAGGTCCAGTGGATTATCTGAGCTCCACGCGTAAAGACATCAAACCATCGCTTACTTGGTCCATACCGACTCATTGGGCCCAATGACAAGCCAGGGACCAAGTCCCGGCGACTAGGGTGTGTCCGCTCGCTTTCCTCGTTGATGCGGCCGGCTCGGACCCCCTCATGGCCTTCCACGGCAACACCCATCTGACCAACAATTAAGTTGCTGTTTTGATTCCTTTGGACATAGGCCAAGCCAAATATCGCATCCCGGGAGGGGGCATGCCAAGTATCGCCGTATCCCATATGCGGCTGGCACAGCATGTGGTTCCATTTTCCATCGAGCAGTGAATGGAATTCCTGCGAAAGTTTAAAATCCTCATCGAACAAATCTAGTGTTTCTCGCAGGAATTTGTTAGCGGCATTGCGCCTTTGACGGGCGTAGAGCTGGTTTCGAGCTTGCGTCACGCGAAGACGGACAAATAGATTGCTGGCTCTGACTGGGTGCACGACCAGCTGCCAGAAAGATGGTTTTTGTTCAACGGAGACGCGATGATATAGCGCGATAACGGAACATTCCAAATTTTGCCAGCGGGCGACAATGTCATCCGCTTCATTATAGTAAAGCAGTGAAAAGCTGGCTGGGTCTATGTGTTCGTGTTTGCGCATGCGAACAAGGCGATCGTACTCATGCCAAACGTTTGCGGTCTCGGAGCTTAGCTGCTCATCGAAGTAATGCGAAGCAAGATCACCCAGAATTTGAGGAATACTGGTCGCCTTCATGGAGTCGATATTCCATGCCATCTCCATTGCGAAGGTCAGCGGAATCTCGAGCGGCTTAATGTCTCCAACGTTGAACACCCAAATCTTGCGAGCTTGGCGACTGTGCGCCTCGTACAGTTGATGGTATATTTTGCCCTGAACACGTCAACATGCCTCAGCTTCATGAAAACCTTCAGTCGTGGTCAACTTACCAGAGAGTTGGAGTTGATCCACTTGTAGCTGCGAGGCGCCCCGACATATTCGAAATGATAGTAGATCTGGTTCAAGATCAGCAAAAATCGCTCGATAAGGTATCTGCCGACTTACTCCAGCTCCACCCTTTCTGCGTGTCTCAGCACCTGATGGCAGTCGACGCAGTGATCCAAAATTATCGTCGGCAAAAAGAAGCGTCACGTCATCTGGAACAGTGAACTCGCCAGCTTGATAGAGATCCTGGACCTCCTTGTACAACGCCATCACTTGCGGTACAGCATCCTCGCGCCCATGCACTTCTCCCAATAGAGCTCGCTGCTGTGCAATCACGTCACGCACAACCTTGCCGGGGTCGTCGGTCGCCATTTGTTTGTCGTATTCGCCTCGAATACCAAGCGTGAAATATGACTCCATTCCCTTGGCTCGCTGCACACCCTTGCGAAAAAAGTCGATGATCTCCTGGCGGTGTGTTGTCCAGTCCCATGTTCCGTCCGCATGGCCCTCTTCAAACCATTCTGTCGTCGCACGCTGCATTGGCTCGTGGTGAGACGTTGACACGCAAATTCCAAACTCGTCGGCGACACGTTGGTTTTCGGGATCATCGAGAAAGAAGACCGCACCAGGATTGGGATATCCGGGCCACATAGCTGGCCACATGAAGTTTGCTTTCAATCTCAGAAGGAGCTCGTAGACTCTCTTGTAAAATCCCGTGTTGTATGCGCCGAACTTCTCCAACACCCAGCCTGTGAGTGCCGGTGCTTCATCGTTGATGAAGATACCACGGTACTGGATACTGGGTTCGCCATGAACGGTCTGAATAGGCAAGGCGAATACCTCCGGGTGATATTTTGCAGGGACGTCGGCCCACCAAAACCATCTAACAAGAAGAGAGTCAGTCGGGAAATCAGAGAGGAGAATTGGGTTTGCGCACGGGGAAACCCCAATTTGGCTGGAGAGAGTATAGGCACCGAAGATTGCCCCTCTTTTGTCGCTGCCCGCAATGATAAGTGCCCTTTCACATCCCTCAAAAGGATTCTCAACGATGGCGGTCAGAAACGATTCCCATTTTCCTCTAATGCAGGAGGTGTCAATTTTGCCCGCATTCTCCAACCGTGATATGATCCGACAAGAGTCAACACATCCGACGATGATAGCAACGCCTGAGCTTGTTTGGAATGTTGATGTTGGCTCCAAGACTTGAAATGGGTTCGCATTTCCCTTCGTCACGCGACCAAAGTCTTCAGCAACTGCCCGGCCCGCATGGTGAATGCCTACGAAGTCAGTAGACTCTACCAACACAGTAGCTCCGACAAGATTACAAAGCCCCGGAGATCCGGAGAACGTGACAAAGCTCTTGTCAAACATGGTGTCAATAGTGTACCCTACGTTGCAAGAGCATGTGGTTGCGAGCGAAACACAACTACCCCAGCCTGGATCGGACGAGATTGGACTCGGCTACTCCATTTCCGGCTTTCGTCATGCCATTATCCCAAGCCAGATTTTTTTTCTCCACTTACTGCGGGATCAAAAGTTCGGGTTGTTGTTGTACCGAGCAGCCACTCATGACTGTGGAGCGCGACTAGGGTTAATGCGGCCGCATCCGTTGCCGATGAAGCCGTTAACTGGTCGCCAGTTGTAAGATCGGCATGCCCCTACCGAATCTCGTTGGACTTGTTCCTAGTGCGAGGCGAGAAGGGCTCCACGGGACATCGGCAAGTGCCCGAGCGTGGGGGAAGGTCTCCGCTACTCTCCCCATGGGGGACGATGTTGTACCGAACCGCGCAATACCCGGCCTCCGCCCCCGCAATTTCGGATGCATACAACTTGAATCGATGGTGTCACAATATAAAAAAAGCCGGCCGCCTATTCAGTCGGTTTCTATTGCACGGGAAAACTATACGTCGAAGATAGAATGACAAAAATGCATAAGAACGACAACCAAGAGGTCGAAGAGGCCCGCAGTTTTCACGATGAAGGCCCTCAGAAAAACCACACCGACTACAAGTTGGTGGACAGTGAAGTCGCTAAATATGCTACCGATATAGCGATTCACATTGACGAGGCGACAAACCAGCGACTGAGACGCATGATCGATAAGCGTATTTTAGTCGTGATGATGTTTACATACCTGATTCAGACTTTAGACAAAGGGGCGATGTCTTTTGCATCGATTATGGGTATCATGGAAGATGCTCACTTGGCGGACAATCAAGTCAGTTACGAGAGCAGCCAGCGCAAATCATACATTGGCTAACTGAGTCCAGTACCAATGGCTGACGACTGTCGTCTACCTCACGATTCTAGCTGTTGAGTATCCGGTAATTCGAACCACACTCATAGTCCATGGTCTTTTCAGCTCACCAGCACACAGGAAAATTGGATTATACAACGCGTACCGATTGGAAAGTGGCTTTCAGCCAACATTTTGCTATGGGGAATCTGCATTACACTCATCGCAGCTATGAAGAACTTCGTAGGACTTGTCATTCTTCGAGCATTAATGGGCGCGTTTGAGGCTGCGTGTCAACCTACTTTCGTGATTCTGTCCTCAACATGGTACCAACGTGAGGAGCAGGGAAGTGTGATCAACTACTGGTAAGCCTGCCCAAACATTGCTCAGAACAATCACCGCTAACCATACCTAGGTACATGATGAACGGTCTCCAAAACGTTGTTGGCGGGTTATTGGCATTTGGGTTTTCTTTTGTGCCATCAAATTCGCCGCTCAAGTCCTGGGAAGCCATGTTCATGACTTATGGTCTCTTGACTGTCATCTGGGCAATTTTCGTGTATTTCTGGATGCCGGACTCGCCCATGAGAGCGAAATGTTGGACCGAAGAAGATAAGCAGCTGATGGTTGAGCGCGTGCGTCAAAATCAAACCGGTCTGCAGAATCGGAGCTTCAGGAAAGAGCAGGTTTGGGATGCACTAACTGACCCGCAACGTACGGATCACCCAACTTTCGCAAGTTGAGCCGGACGCTAACAATAGTTTTAGTTTATGCATTTGCACTCATCCAGCTTCTCACAACTATCCCATCGGGAGGCATCGGCGCCTATGCAAACATCATCCTCAAGTCATTCGACTTCAGCACATGGGAAGCCCAACTTCTGTCCATGGTGATCGGTGCAGTGACCACAATAACCATGCTGCTATCCGCATATCTCGATCGCAAATTCCATCAAACCATATGGATTATGATTGGCTCCGTGATCCCCTCCATTCTCGGCTGCTCAATTCTGATCGGCATTCCTTTCTCCCCCAGTAAGCGAGTCGGGATGCTGATCGCATACTGGATCTTCTATTCTTTCTTCGCAGTCTCGTCCCTCTCTCTTGCTCTTTTGTCCCGCAATGTCGCCGGTCAAACCAAAAAGTCAATCATCATTGCCTGCAACTTCGTGTTCTGGGCTGCCGGTAATGCCGTCGGTCCTCAGGTGTTTCGCGACAAAGATGCGCCGCGGTACTACCTTGCGTTTTCAATTTTGATAGGATGCTTTGGTCTTGTTGTGATTATTTTGCTTTGTCTGAGACTTTGGTATAGCATGCAGAATCGCAAGCGAGATGCGAAGATTGCTTCGGGAGAAGTGGTTCCTGATGTTAACTTCACTCATGCCTTCGAAGATGTCACCGACCGCGAGAATCCTCATTTCCGATACGTTTACTGAGATACATAGTTACCGGCTTCAATTTTAGTTCGATTTATAGAGCAGTATAGAACAATTGATTCAATGGTTTGAATTCCCCGAGCATATTTGGGCTCACTGCTTTTCTCACAACATACAGAGCGTCCACGTCCACAAAAGTGCTCTTGAATCAAACGTCTATCTCAGCCATTTCTAGTCAGTGACACACTGGATGAGACGCGTACGTGAGAAGTTTTCATCTTACTGTGGACGAGTTTGAAGCGGGGAGGAATAATAGACTTGTATGAGGCAAGGATAATTATGGTTGACGGGGTGCGCTATTGTTATGAAGTCATATCCTCGGCTGTCGGTGATCTTTGTTGGGGCGGGGCGGGCTAGCGGCCAGGCCTTGCAGTGGCAAGACCATGGATCGAATTCTGTTCGTTTCTTCTTTTCGGGTCAAACTACTCCATACGGATGTTTATGTGACTTTAGGCTCTGCTGTTTGCATTTCGCACTTCTATACTATGGCTCGACATTCTCTATCCCCCTTGCCCACCCCTCCTTTTGACATGGATTCCACAATTTTTTTGGCGGTACACTCGGCAGTCATTATTATGGAAGACACGTCTCATTAGAGATAACTAGCTCTCAGTTTATTGGAGAGTCATAATGCTTCAACAGAAGTCTTTCTATTCCCCGACATCTGCCAGGCACGAGCGCCTCAGCCGCCGAACTCATCCGACCGATCGGACCCTCCGCAGGGGCCAATAACTATACTCTCCATTATCAAATGAGCGCCGCAGCCTTCTAGTTCTAGTGTTTAAGCTTTGTAGCTTTACAGTTCTTGATTGCCTGATGCCGGTCGCTTATCGTCATCAGTCGCTCGAACGGAGACCTCCGATGGCCACATATTATTTATACTTTTATGTTGACATAATCAAGTCCATTGCGTTAAGCAGTCCACAGCGAGCCCTAAGGAGTTCTCCGACGAGATTTCTTTCATATCTCTGACTTGATAAATAACTGATACGGCGATCCCAATATATCTCAGCGATTGATGGCTGCATGAGCGTAGGGATATGTATGTTTTTCGCATCGCTGTCGGCCCATTTGTTGGGAGATCCGCAATATTTTGATCCAACGCTATGTCTGTCTCACCTCGAGTGCTCGTGGAGAATTCCGGTCCGCGCCTTCTACGGGAAGTGTGGGCGCTCGCGGGTCTTGCGATCTCCATCATCGCCTTGAGGATACTTGCGAAAATCAAGATCCGCAAGTTTGGTTGCGATGACATCTTGATGGTCTCAGCATTGGTTAGCCGGCCCTTTAACTCCCTAGTTCCATAGACAGTGGTGTCCTCTACTCTTCAATTCGTGTGGAAATTGACTTGTGTTTGTTCCTTTAGTGTTGTACTGTTGTCGGATCGGCTTTTATTACTGTTGGTGTGAAGCACGGATTCGGCCAACATGTTGGGGACATTGATAAGCCGGATGTATCCAAGGTCATAATGTATGACTACCTGGCCCAGACCTTTGGAATTGCTGGGGGGAGTTTGGGCCGCATCGCTTTTATCATCTTCATTGTGGGACTCCTCGGCACCAGGAGGCTATACCGAGTCATTCTCTGGATTTTAGTCGTCCTGCAAGTTTTGACGAACGTGGTGTTGATCATGATACTCTTCGTTCAATGTCCTGGACATGCCTCCGCCATATGGGCGCCAAGCGGTAAGGACAACTGCTGGGATGTGCGCGTTCAAGCATACTACGGGTATTATCAGGGGTGTAAGAGCAGTATTCTACGCTACATTGTCAATTGACCTACGCTAACGACATCCCTCGAGCAGCGTTCAATTCGGCAACAGATTTCTACCTCGCAATATTTTCAACGTGCATATTCTGGAATCTTAATTTGAAACTTCGTGTCAAGCTGGGCTTGGTAACACTACTTGGGTTGGGCATTTTGTAAGCACACCTTGAAAATAATAATTATTGAGTGTTGCGAGTTAACAAACACCCTTTGCTGCCAGCGCAATGGTAGCTTCTGTTATAAAGGTAGTGCAAACCCGAATATTCGCACACCCAGATGACGATCCTACCGTTGCAACAGTGAGCTACGACCGCTGGCTCTTTATCGAAGCATACCTAGTCATCATCACTGCATCAATCCCTTGCGTCCGGTCCTTGCTGCGACCTTTCGAAGGACGGTCCACTGGCACTGGACGAAGTGCATACGAGTTGAGCTCACCATATGCTGGCACTTCATTGCCCAATTCTCGGAGGATGACACCCACCACTCCTGCGAAGGTGATGATGCGGATCTCTGACGGTAATGATAGCACGGATGATATTTTGGATTGGTCCAATCATGACACCGGGGAACTACATGAACCAACAGTCTCAAGCAAGTCGGTGCATAGTTACGTTTAGAATCGGCTAAGCCACCAGAGTAGTAATAAGGAGGTGTTTTGATGCTTTGCAGTACTTGGCCATGAAGTTCCTAGGTAGCCCTTTGTTGTTGTCAAAAGGCCGCGTGACGTTTGTTCTGTTGGCCTACTGTCTGATGGTAAATCCAACGTGGATATAATAATTCCATATATTAAACAAATTTATTTAATCCTCTCTCTTCAAAAGGCTGAGAGTGGATGTACAAGTCAATCAAAACCAGATGAACCATGGTAGAGCCATGACTCGCTCCCTCATTCACAATATAGGACCGATATGTCGGTTAGACATAGGAACTTTACTTTCAAAATCCCAACATCTTTCAGACATCGTCCTCAATCTTTTCGGTAACAGTACCATCACTCTGCACAACAATCTTGTCCACATTCTGGGATGCCTTAACCGGATTGGGCTGTTGGTACACCCACTCCAACTCTTCCAAGGTTCGACCTTGAGATTCGACACTAAGAAGCCACATGTTAGCACATGCAATGCATACAATGAATGGAATCGAAGTTAGGGAACATACCAGAAGAAGTACCAGAACACAGACTCGAGAACGTCCCAGCCGACGAAAATCCAGAAGTAGTTGGTAGAGATGTTTGCCATACCAATGGGCGTCGCGAACTGACTGATGAAACTAATGCTGCTCACCATAAAGCCAGAAAGAGCCAGACCTTTAGCACGAGTAGTAGTTTCCAGCGCTTCGGCGGGAATGACACCCTGGAGGGGAGTGTAGGTGAACGAGAAGACGACATTGAACAGGTAGTAGAAAGCCAGAGCAGCTTGACCCTTAGATTTTCCAATTGTCCCGTGGTTGGCAACCTCCTGGAGAATACCGGCGTTGATTGCCAGAGCCACAGCGCATGCTATCATTTCCATTAGCTAATCGCACCCAAGAAAGATTAGCAGATGCAATTATTCACTTACCGAAAGTACCGAAGATGAGCACCGGGCGACGTCGCATCTTATCAGTCAAAGCCACGGCTGCCAGGGCGCCAATGGCTGAAACAATGGAGTTGACCAGGTTAAGCAACAATTGTGTAGAGCTCTCTTCGTATCCAATAACCTTGAAGATCGTTGCGTTGAAGTAACCAAGACCGTTTCCAGACCACTGTCCAAAGATGGAAATCATGATAACTTGGGCGAAACGCCAGCGACCACTGTGTGTCGTAACGAAAGGTCGGTCTATTGATGAAATTCGATGTTAATTCTCATCTTGGGAGTATTGGGGTTCGATCGAGTTAAACTTACAATCCCACCACCTCTTATCAATTCCATCGATGCGGATACCTTCTTTCATCTCTTCGACCTCAAGACGAACAAGTCGGGCATTAGGATCGCCATTGCCGTGATACTTGGTCAGGAAAGCAACAGCCTCTTCGTGACGTCCTTGGGTCATGAGCCAACGAGGAGACTCGGGGATAAACCATACGGAGCAAATAACAATGAGGCAAGCGAAGCACTGGCAGATGAAGGGAATTCTCCACTGGTAATTGTTGCCGATAAAGTTGCAACCGTACGTGATAGCGGCCGCAGGAATGGAACCACCAAACCAACCACAGTTGTAGAAACCTATCACATGTGTCAGAAAGAATAATCGATGCCGTGGACCAAATCTTCTCAACGGGATTCATAGACTCACCAACAGCACGACCACGCCAGTGAGGTGGCGCGATTTCGACGGCGTAAGCTGGGGCCGAGACCACCATGATCTGGATTCCCACACCGAGAACAAAGCGACCGACAACGAACTGTGCCAATGTCATGCCACTAGCAATTATAACGGAACCGATGATGATAACCCATGCGCCGACGAACATGCACTTGCGACGTCCAAGCTTGTCGGAAATAACAGCACTGAACGGGGTAGCGACGATAGAACCACTGAGAAAATATTATGTCAGTCGTATGATGTTGTGGGATTCTTCGGTGAAACATACACAGTATAGAGCGAAGTGACAACGGAGACCTTAGGTCCATCCATACCAGTGTTGAAGACATCTTGGTAGTGATCCATGGCGAGAATAGAACCCATTAGAGATCCTGAACAATTGTTAGATATTGCTATTACAGAGAATCCAATCCTACTTACCATCGTATCCGTTTGCACAAGCACAGCAGAAAGCGACGAAGATACAGACTGGAAGCCAAAATGTGAGTAAATTCATCCTCGTAGACTGGTCCGGTAAAACTCACAGTACAAATGAAGCGATTCTTTGCTCCATCTTTCGATATTTGTCTCCTCAATAGCAGCAAACAGATCCGCCTAATTTATCCGGATCAGTATAGTCCAGAGGAAAGGCAGGAAAATGCAAACTGACATTGTGGACTTCTTTGGTTTTTGCACCCTGACGTTTGGTAGTTTCACCATAGCCGGCGACAACACGAGCCGGATCCTCAAGAGCAGTGGAGATGCCATGCACCTCCTCATGCGCTTTAACGTCCGACATGACTCAAATATTCCGCCCCGGGTATTTGGATTGACGATCTCGATAGATGATCCGGTCGGTGATAGACGAGACTGGCGCGACAAATCGTGAATCTGTAGACCAGCGGGGCAGGATGGGGTTCTTATAATGCAAGGTCTCAGATTGAGAGGCCATCGAGAAAATCTGCCTGTGAAATGATAATAATCCTTTTTCGGAAAGATCAGTCGTGTCTCCGGTTCCCCAGACTCCATTTCCTTGTGACCCCGGACCCCTGTCCTCGCCAGCAGTAGGCGCCTCCAGTCGGTGGCTTATCTGGATACCTCCGCATCCTTATTGGAACCGGGACATTCCCCAATCATACCATTTCGCCCCCAGATTCGGTACACCGTCTCATTGTCATTTTTATTCATCCAAGTCAACCAAGGTCTGATACCAGGGCTATCGGCCCTGTATCCCGTTTAGAGGCGAACGAGGACTCATCAACACAGCTGGGGTCAGAGAGCCCCTTTTTGGATTTAACTACTGGCTGGTCTGCAGGGAATCGCAAAAATTAACTAGCGTTTCGAGCCAAGATTCGACCTTGTTAAGAAAAAATCAGGGAGTAATTATTTTCCGTAACTAGCATCTAGATAAATGTCGGAATGTACATATGAAATTTAATTAATTCATTTCTTGCGCCTAAAGCTGGATGCAAAAGAGTGGCGAGGTCATCTTCCCGTGTCTCTTGTCTTACAATCAAGTTGGTTCTCGCCTTCGAGCCTCTTGGTCTAGTGTTTTTGCCTAAAATCTCCTTTCGCATACTTCCTAGGCGCGTCCCCATTTGGCTGGTCGTTTAGGAAAATAAAGTTGGAACACTGTGCGCCATTGTGAGCGCGGAGCTTCCTCCGTGTTGCATGCTTCACGGGTCCTTCCCCACAATGCGCTAAACCTCTTTCAGCCAACTTGAATAAAGGTTTCAGTTTCTGGCGGCCATACATTTCCTAGAGCCACTTCGAACGGAGTTGACTTCGGGCCGGGTCCCCCAATAGTTGATCAGCCGCGATTCGGATCCGCCACTCACTTATATCGGGCTGACCGTGCGTCGTGTTTAGTTCGTATGAACACCCACACTCGAGGCTAATTACATGAAATCTCGCGTGACAGAGCGCCGTCCCGGCGGAGGTTGGACCGAAGACGAGAAACCCTGATGCCAGGTCCCCGGGCCGAAGTTAGACTGAAAGTAGGTGGATGGTACAGGAGGAGAAACCCCTCGGCAATGGACCATCATATGCACCCAATCATACCTGATCATAATTCAGCCACTCATAATAATCAAGTGCTTGAGATTACCTTGACATCTTGGCAATCATGCTAGCTAGTCCAGCAAAACAGCTATCAGGAATAATTACCCGTAAATATCATTTTCTTGGACTATCCAACCAAAGCACAGAAGTGAATTTTAAGCGACCGTATGCACGAACGTTGGTATTTCTTTTTGTGCTAGAATATCTCTGAAATCTTAGCGAGCAGAATTTTGCAAGTGGATGGTTGATCCCGATCCTCATCGGAGCTGAGCGGGCCTCGGCCATGAATTTTAGATTGTCGTGGCGGGAATGTGTCTTGGCGTGACATGCGCTCGGACCTTTTGTTACCGGAGGCATTTAAATGTACTAAGATACTTGGGAAGCGGTCTCGATTCCTAGTAGATTTATGACCTTTTAGTAAAGGAGCATAAGTTTACTATTGAAAACACGTTGTTTCGCCAAGAACATCGTTCACTCCCAGAAACTTGCGCCAACTGATTCCAGCCTCCAATTGTTATTTTGTCCTTCATTCCAAATTCTTCTCTTATCAGCTCAATATCTTTTTTCGAGACATAGCTGGTGTCTTAAAATATCAAAAATTGTTTCTATCGAAATTCTTCTAATGAAACGGCATTCTATGAGTTCTCGCTACAAATTGATACAGAGAGAACGTCGAAAAAAGGTTTTTACATCGCACCATGGCACCTGTTCTCACCCGAACACTAAGAATGGTGTGCAAATAATGAAGTCAGTCTCATTTCTTGAGGTTGAGCAACGGATTCTCCATCAGCTCGCGATCCTTCGCTCCTCTGGGAGCCAGGTGAGCATCCCTCGCACAAACTTCGGAAGGATTCCCGCTCGCCCTCTTCTAGAGATGGGACAGTACTTTCTAGCGTACAGGCAGGAGTGAAGTCATCGTGGCGAAATAATCCTAATTAAAACTAGCGACATGCAAAGGTTCATTTGCGTGATCGTCCACAAAACTTCTTTTGAGGAAAAAATGGACCTCCAAAGAATCCTCGTGCCTTATTATAGAGAGTCACGGCCTCTTTGGGTATAGGGTGAGGCTAATTTTGTTGCGCTATAGCGTTGGTCCCTGCAATCAGACTTTCTGGCGGGGTCCAAGCAGCACGATCATCGCCGCTAGATGTGACCTGGCGTTTTATCGACCCTGTGCATCATTGACCTGAGTGATTAACTTTGTTAGTTCAGGCATACTCTATATCTGATGCAGTGTATAGTCAGCTTTGTACGTATCACCCATGTAGATCGAGAACCAAGGCTTCATGGACTGTTTTCCATGTAGAAGAAGGGGCAACCAAAAGGAAGAAAATCTACCATAACGCCAAAGTTCCAAATATGAGCCTTGAAATCCCATCCACAGCCAAGTATTATCTCAGGGGCACGGTAGTAGTCTGGATGTATGAGATATACGCCAATGGGATGTCCCCCGATCTGCTTTCAGGATTAATCCTGGTTGGCGATTGTTGACAGCCCATAATCAGATATTTTAGGTGCCATGTTCTTCAACTCTCTCCAGTCAAGAGGCCCCAAATCAGTGTTGCAGCGGTACGCTGTGCGACCAGTCAGTGGGTCGACTTTAGATTGCATAGACTCACTGGTCTATCGTTTGATAAAAACCGAGGGAAGATGTTCCGTTTTCAAACCCCGCAAGAATGTTGCCAATTTCATATCTTAGGTTCAGTGATTAGCTTTTTATGTTAGGACATGGCACTAAACAATGCCTACCGGTATGAGCAATCCCAAAAGTTGACTAGAGAAAGTCAAGGGCAACTAGGAAAAAATATATGTAGGCCTTTGCGGGTGGTAATGGTAGCCTCCAGTCAGCAAGTCGTCTCTGTAGAATCCAGAGAGGCTCTCGCATCGGTTCGTAGACCAATCAAGCGTGGTTCTCTTCCGTATTATTCACATTGAAACTTTCAGAACAGGTCCGCAAGATCACGCAGCCACAGTGAGATGCATTTTGGTTTTTGATGTGTTCTTCGATAGCGCGCTCACAGGATGTCTCACGAGCATGGCAAGCGTTGATGGTCTTCAAGGCGACTGTTTTTCTGCCTGCCACTGGAAACTTCGTCAGTTGATTATATATAAGGGAGCATAGCAAACACGGGATTAACATGGTGCCGTCGATTGAGTTCCCCAACCAATCTTTACCAGTAGTTGATACTGACTAGAGAGAGTATTTCCAGGTTTGCAGGGTAACAGTGACTAGGGTTGCATTCGGGAGACTTCACCTCATCGACGTGTTTATGCTAGCAAATTGACAGGCCAAAGTTGGAAGGCAGTTGTCAGATTGAATTTCTGGCAAATGAAAAGATAGTAGGCCTGCACAATGGGCTCACTATGTTCATAAATAACGACATACTATCAAGAAACAATGAATTGGAGGTTTGAAGACAGCAAGGAGCTTGCTTTAGGTAGGTTCAAGCTCTAGACGGGTGGAAAAGGGGAGCGTGCGGTCTCCAGGTTTTCCAAAAGGAGGCCCTGAGGTTCTACATTGATCAATGAGATGATGACTCATCTAATTTGAGCGTGTGGGGTACCTGGGCGGGCAGATCCGAACCCTTTTCACTTTCACATTTCCAAAATCAAGAATTAAGTACAGTTGCTTGTTTGAAACACTTGTACATATCCAATCACAAGCACTTATTAGTATGCTCATGCAATCTTGAAATAATTACCCGCACAAATATATCTCTCACAACACAATGAATCATTATCAATGTCACCAACCGGCCAACCCCTGGAACATCAAAAGAACATTGCTCGAGGATGTGATAATGATATTTTATATCGACTTCCATTCCATTGATCTGCATGCTCCCTGTAATGGACATTGGTATCATAACTGTAAATGTGTGGCCAATTTTTGGTTGCCCGGGACCGTAAAACACTCCTCCTTTCCTGCTTCGTTCTATCCTGCGAGCTGGTGGATAGTAAACGGACTAGAATACCTGACTAGAATACCTGACTAAACATTTTCGTCATACCATTTATCCAAATGTCTTATACCTTATGTGGGAATTCTTACAGGGCTCCTTTCACTAACTTATAGCAGAGCTCAGTGGGTAAAGTCCCCCCCAGCTCTTCTACTGTAGGCCAGGGACAGCGTTGGCAACACTGCAGGCTTAGCCACATGCTAGCTTTGCATCTCGTTCAATCGTTTTGGATTCGATAACAATAATCTTCTCGTGAGTTTGGCTGGGTTCAGTCATGATTCATAAAAGGGTGACGACCAGTAAGATGTTCAAAAGGGGCAAATAACTTCGAATGTCGGCGATTGCTTCGTTGTATCTTGCATTTCGTAGAATTCGCGGTCGATTCGTCTAACAGACTGACCCTGTCAGAGAGGCCAACGTAAGTCGGATACAGGAGGGGTTGCGGGGCTTCGTCGAAGTCTCCGATTCCAACCCCTGACTTAGTACAACCACCCGATGTAAGCAAAGTCATGTGATATCAGATTTATTTTACCACAACCATTAAACATGCTATCTTTATAGTCCATTGATTTTATGGTGAAACATAAATTGAAAATCATGAGCTGACTGATGTATGGCCGATGGTATGTCAAACTCAATGATGCGCGGGGTCTCCAATACCCAGATCTATGTGGATTTTTCTCGGGCCGAAGCCTGCGAGTTGGAAGATGAAGGGATCCTTGGAAGAGGAAAAAGAAAGACAAACGGGATATGGAAAACAGAGAATCTGATCATGATGCTCGAATGGAAAGATGACTAAGAATACTACAAGCAACTCCCAACCACCGCATGTATCCCATATATATATTCCCATCATATTGTCTTTTAGCGAATTTCGATAGAATCAGTAAATTGTTCATCGATCCTCAATCATCGATCCCTATGAGGCTGAGGTATGCGTCTGCGGGTCATTCGCCGTTATGAATTCAGTTACACCCCAATGAAGCATGAATTTAGAGACCATGGCATTAGATGAGTATCTATATTCTATCCTAGTCCTTGCCACACACTAAACTTGACTCTTATACCTATCTATCGATGAATCAATATAGGACAAAAAAAAGAATCTTCCTCCCTCCCAGCCGGGGCTGGGATCGAACTCGGTACCTCGTTGAACCGGAAGAACGACCATATATAGAACAATAGTACATACAAACAAGCTTCTTATCCTTCAAACCCAAAAGAATCAGTCCATCGATGAGATTTTATCCTAAAGTGATTTCTGTACCCTCTACCTCAGCTTCAGTTCTGGGTTGATATAATAAAGGATAGATCATTGTTTAGCGGGTTAAGTGGTCAGGCGGTCGCTAGTATGCATTGTTTGTTTGTAAATATTTGGCCCTAATCGTGCCTTTCCATCGTTACACATGCATGCGTAGACGAGCATCGAATAGAAGAGTCTCTATTCACATTTAAATTCAATGCCACCAGAGAGTACTACCGGCACCGGTCCCGAATATGATATCCATCCGCCGCCACATTTCTCAGACACGAACCTTCCCGGGATCTGCCTTCTCTGAATACACTCGGACACACAAGATTGTTACCCCGAAAACCCCGAAAGTTCACCATTACGGCTCCATTGGCTTCGTTGCAACAACAATCTCGCTTCATCTCTTCAGGGTGAGCAAGCCCGGCTTGTATGGAAGAGCATTGTATTGGCCACCGGCATTCGGGTCTCGGCCCTGGTAGAGGAGCTGGAGGTTGCATGGGTCGATTGTCATTGTTTGGTCGGGGTTGGTGCGGACCAAGTCGCCGTGACTGATGTCGTTGGTCCAGGTTGCTCCACTGTTAGCCTTTCCGGCAAAGGGATTACTCTCGCTCGTTGCCTGGGGAGTCCACGAGCCTCCGAGACTGCTAGCAGTGAATGAACGGAAGTACCGCTGCCCTTGTGATCCTATTGCCTCAACGATCATAAGGTACTTGTTTTGCCCTTTGACGGTGTAGACTTGAACTGCCTCAAACAGGTTGTTCGTGGTGTCACTGAGCACCACCTCTGAGTTCGTCCCGAAATTTCCTGGGAAATTGTTGATAGGCATGCTAGAGCGGTAGATTTTGCCATTGTCTCCGGCGAAGAAAAGGTACATATGTGTCGAGTCGCCGATAAGGGTCTGGTCAATAGCACCAGTGCCTGAATTGGCGATCTTTCCAGAGAAAAGGGCTTGCTCCGATGACCATTGATTGGTGGTAGGATCACTTGATGTTCGATAAGTAAAGGTGCTCGAGCCCCATTGGTAGGCCAGGACCCAAATATTCTTTGGCTGAAAGTAGAACAAAGTGGGCGCAACAGCGTTGAAGCTCATTGCGTTTTGGCTCGCAGATGCCATTCCAGACCAATCGGAAAAGGGGCTGAAGCTCATAGAGCCGTAGTTCCCAGCTGCATTGGCAGTTGATGCATAGACGACATGTTTGTTGTTGAAGACCACGTTGGTAAAGTCCTTAAGTGCCACCCACCCAGACTTGGGGTTCACGAGAGGGCCAGTGGATGTCCAACTGTAAGTTGACGGGAGTGCGCAGTCAGCGACGACAGCTGGCGCTGATGCGAGCAAAAAGAAAACAGATGACACTAGGCCAACCTCCGCCTTGAAGAACATCATTTCGGTGAAGATTTCCGTCAGTGATGATGATTGAAAGAGGAATGGAGGTCTCCAAGTAGAAACACAAAACCTCTCGATGGGAGGTCGATCGTGTTTAAATCATCTAACTGTAGCTGAATGGTTTATTTGTTTAGCCGGGAAATATGAGATCGACTACCTTCATATGCAACTAAGCTCCACGCTGTTTCAAGTGGGAAAGAAAACGTGTTGGGTATTATTCTCTTTCTTTTTCCTTTTTCGCTCTCAAAAAACTTATTCTGGATAAAGTACATTAGCCAGAACCACTCGTCCGCCGGATTTATGCCTTTCTGGAAATAAGACCTGACCTAAACCCCGCACCGAGGTACAATTCCAAGATTTTCTTCAGGCTATTGTTTAAGTTTGTACAAGTCTAGTTGTTGATATGCCTCGTGAGACTGGGTTCACGCCGTAAATGGAGTATGAACATACATGCCGGTGCCGATGGCAACGCTCAATGGATATAATCACTGAGACATCATAATCCCAGGGCTGTTTCACTATAAGACACAATAATCTTCAAACATTTAAAGTTTGATGGCTTATTTGATTGTGTGGGTTGTTTATTGTGTCTTCGAAAAGAATGTCGTAATGACCCTCGGAGGTTCCTCGGCAGATTTGACAGGGGAAGCCGATAATGAGTTTGAGTATGTAAGTATTCGAAACTGGGACAAGCCTAACCTTAGCGAGGTCGAAGATGATTGGTTTCGATGACCGCTAAACCATGATCGATTCCCGTAGTCCCCACTCGGGAGGACCCTTTTTTCGTTTCCACTAACCGCCAAAGTATCCTCAATCCGCGTTGTCTCCACCCAGGAGGACCCTTTTTTTCGTTTTAACTAAACGTCTTGCTTTCCCCCTGGCCACAAGCCAAGAATTTATGGTCCTTCCATCATCAAACGTATAGGCTAGACTTTACAGTGGACCTACTGGGCCAAAGGGAGCTTGGATGGTCTGATCGTGCCTAGAGATCAGCGCCCAGGCTAAAGCTATACAACCATTTAGGCAAAAGGTGATTGAGTCGAATGCTAGGACATTGGATGGAATAGGCAACATCCGTTCCACATCAGTGAAAGAGACAGATGATACTCATCAGATCGGGGAAACAACTCCATTGAGCCATCTAATGCTCAACTATGACTGTCTCGCTCCATGACAAGCTAGCTTTTGCCCTATATAAATAGTCTCTTCAACCCTCCCAAACGGTCTCAGTCTTCTATCATTATCGTTTCCATTCCTTGAGTTCAAATCCCCAACGCGTTTCCCAAGATGGTTCAATTCAAGGCAGCCGCTCTGGCTCTTCTTTTCGCTGGTCAAGCCCTTTCCGGACCCGTTGAAGCCCGACAGGCCTCTGTGAGCATTGACGCCAAATTCAAGGCTCACGGCAAGAAATATCTCGGAAACATTGGTGACCAGTACACCTTGAATAAAAACGCAAAGACCCCCGCAATCATCAAGGCCGATTTCGGTCAACTGACTCCGGAGAACAGCATGAAGTGGGATGCTACTGAGCGTAAGTATCATAATTTATGGGGCAATTATAGTATAAGAACCTAAGTGAGAAATTAGCAAACCGTGGGCAGTTCTCTTTCACTGGGTCGGACTATCTGGTATGAACCTAGCCTTCTTGTTCCTTCTTGTGTTTCTAATAGATATTCTAGGTCAACTTTGCTCAGTCTAATGGAAAGCTGATCCGTGGTCATACTCTCGGTAAGTGCTGAGATCCCAGGATCCAGAAGGAGAGCAGCTAGCTAAACTCATCAAGTGTGGCACTCCCAGCTCCCATCTTGGGTATCTTCCATCACAGACAAGACAACTCTGATCAATGTCATGAAGAACCACATTACCACTGTGATGAACCGTTACAAGGGCAAGATCTACGCCTGGGTACGTGAAATCAAGAGTCTCAGTCCTTCAAAGGCACTTCGCTAACTTATTCAAGGACGTTGTGAACGAGATCTTCAACGAGGACGGCTCTCTACGTAACAGCGTCTTCTACAATGTGATTGGAGAAGACTTTGTACGGATCGCTTTCGAAACAGCCCGTGCTACGGACCCAAATGCGAAGCTCTACATCAATGATTACAAGTGAGTTATGTCCCTTGGCTCTAATCGTTTTGCATATGTTCTGATCTTGCAAAGTCTGGATTCCGCCTCCTACTCCAAGACGAACGGTATGATCAGTCACGTCAAGAAATGGATTGCTGCCGGTATTCCAATCGACGGAATTGGTAAGATACACCCACTATTGTAATTCACCGTATATGACCACTCACTCCTTTCTAGGCTCGCAGACTCATTTGGGCGCCGGCGCTGGTGCAGCGGTTGCTGGATAAGTACTCCATGTCTCCTCTCGACCTAACATTAGCTGACAACCTTATACAGCTCTGAACGCTCTTGCTACTGCAGGAACCAAGGAGGTTGCTATCACTGAGCTTGATATTGCTGGTGCCAACCCCACTGACTATGTCAATGTTTGTTCCATCATTCCAATGCGAGTCCAATTGAGCTCACAGCTAATAATCCTCTCCATAGGTTGTCAACGCCTGTTTGAACCAGCCAAAGTGTGTAGGAATCACTGTTTGGGGAGTCGCTGACCCGGTAAATGCCCAGTTCAATAAAAGGAAGGAAAAAATAGTATACTGATACCAGATTTTCTTTTTACAGGATTCGTGGCGCTCCAGCTCCAGCCCATTGCTCTTTGATGGGGGCTATAACCCCAAGGCTGCGTACAACGCTATCGCAAATGCCCTTTGATTGCGATGCTCTTGATCTCTACCTGACAATGCGAAGTCTGCTATTGAGTAGGCTACATTTCATTCTGAAGTGCCCAATTTATATAGGGAATCTGGGTCGTGAGATCCTCGGGACAGGAAAGACTAGGGCTTCAGGGAACCACTTGTTATTTCTATCGGAGAGATTGAGGTTTAAGAAGAACAATGCGACTTTGTTATAACTCTTGAAAAGTCTTCTCCTATTGATAATCATATCGAAATCATGTCGTAATATCATCAACGAAAAGGCACCACTGAACCAAAGCTTGAACTTCAGCCTAGCTCCAGATAAGTGAGAACACATGTTCTTGACTACTACCAGAATTTACAGGCAAGGGAACAGTCGCTTTGTAACTTGTAGCCCCACTTCTTTCGAAAGCGTACCTGAGATTTCAATACACCTAGCTCGGCTATGTTTTGACTTGGGAGCGGACGCGACAGGAGTGTAGGAAGTGGTATCAAGAGCCTTTTAGTTCGGATTAGAGATATCTATCTAGGATATGCATCTAATTAAAAGACCAGGCTGAACTAGACCGAATCGAAATCGTTGTGGGGCACCCTGCGCATGTTCTGGACCCTTGTTTTATAACAGCTCAATTTGACTACTACCTTTGTCGGACGAGCTTCCTGATTTGGCGAGTCTCACGGTAGTTAGAAAACTGACAACTCCCGAATGGGGCGCATAGTTCTCCACTTCTCGGCGTGACAGATGGAATATCCTTAGCTCCCGTCACCCGGCCTATCAACCTGAACCAAATAGTGGATTCCAGGCCATAATCCCGTGTTTGAAGAAGCTCCAATCGAAACAGGGTCTTTTCCCGGTGGGCTCGGTTTATGCAGTTGGCCAAGGCTGCAGCAAAACGTTTCCTGGATTCCGTACAGCTGTCGAACCTATCAACAAGGTGTTGTCTCACGGGATAATCGCCCGTAGCCGGTAGAATTCGAAGTGGTTCCACTCCTTTAGCAGGATGTAGTCACCGTCAGTTTATCATTCATCCTAAATGTGGCTTGCATTCTGCTAATCGAGGGCGGCAGACGGAGCTTTGGAAACATGCCCAAGCACCATAGTCAATCTGTTGTCCCCGATAGTTTTTTAAAAATTCTAGGAACGGATTTGGAATTACGAGGATTTTTCATGTACCAGAAGCTCCCACTCTCTCGGTTGTTAAACGGAAAGGATAAGGTTCCATTGCGCAGGGCATGCCTGGCATCATCTATGACGTGTGATAATTGTCTATATACGGTTTGCTTCATTAGCGCAGCTTTTCTTTAGCTCACCGGCTTTATCAAATCAAATGAGACGTAAATAGAGATTTTGAAAGCAATCACTATGTTTGGCTACTGCCTCCGAACATATGAAAATCTGATGTGGATAAAAACAGAATACATACATGCATTCCATGTTTCTCAAGTGGCTTAGATTTCATATCTTCCCCTTTAATCCCAGCTCAAGTTTCATGTTAGACACAGATTCTTTCTAAATCTAGTTTTTTGACTCCCTGGGCTGTGTCATCTCTAGGTAGACATCAGCACAGGCAGCCCGCCCCGGCCTGAGGTCCGACTACATGGAGCGTTCTGGTGGAGAACGGGCCAACCCAATACAACTTCCAGAAATGAGAAGCTAGTGGAAGATGAGCTCCCCATAATTCGGCGTTTGGTGTCGGCATTCTGAGTCTTTTAATATCTGCGATTTTCCAGTCTTGGCCGAAATATGTAGAAAAGCTCAATAGCATCCAATATCCTCTTTGATTGGCCCTCCCAAATACCCTTGCATAGGTCTAGTTAGTGCAGCTCCTAGATTTCTCGTTGGGTATTTGTGCACCTAGCCGAACAAGGATCTTCTCCCTTTTTGAAAGCTCTAAGCCTAACCTCAGATCTGTGGGCTTTAATCCACAAGCTCGACTTTTTCGTGCCTGTATCTTAGAAGGAAAGACAATGTGCAAGAATAGGTGTTACAGTATCCTGGTAGCAACGCTAGCAGAATTCTACGTACCGTAGCACTTCGAGCAACCACACGGAAAAAGAGCACTTTTTCTGGCCATACGCGTGATAAATTCGTGGAAAGGATATTGCCTGCTCATAAAACTGACAAGACATGACAGAGAATCCCACACGACTATTCGAAAATAAAGCTTTGTGCTAAGGGCAATTGGGATGATAGCTCACTACTAGCACCACGAGGCAGCGTTTAGGAAAGTGACCGCATCAGGCACTCCGAGAACACCACAGCCCTGCTCGAACAACTAGCTACTTCGTCATATACGAACAAAGTACTTTTGTTGGACAAATCTAGTGTAAACACTATGTTAGCACTTAGCGGGAAAGTGTCCACAGATTGAGCGCTGAGCATTATGAAGGACGCGCAGCCCACTAAGCAACGCCAGGGAGCAATGATCTTTACCGTAGCGAACACGGGAGTTTCTCCGGAAGAGGAAATTTCAGCGAATACTTGATGCCAGGCGTTATACCGCTTCAGGAGTATGGAATAGCTCCGGCTTCCTTTGGTTGGATATACTTACTTGATCGGGTAGCAATGGTTTCCAGTTTTTGTTCCGGTTATATTGATAGCATGAAACTCGTTATAGCCTATAGTATAGACTCATAGCCTGTATTCTAGTGCTCTCAACACAGAATATCTCGAGTTTATAGCGAATTCCGCTGTTTCATGCGGATAATTGATAGAAATGGAAAGGATGGGTCGAGTCCGCTGTGCCACTGTCACAACTATAAAGTCTCTGAAGATATCGCGTTAGGATGCGAAACTACATTCCAGTTCTTTCATACAAGAATTCATTTGCTTGCTATCCAAAATGAAAATCACTCCCTTTTTATTTGCGCTAGCTACGACTGCATTCGCTCAGCAACAGACGCTATGTGACCAGTATGGCTATTATGCCAGCGGCAGTTACAGTGTCAACAACAATCTTTGGGGGAAGGACTCTGGGACTGGCTCCCAGTGCTCTTACGTCAACTCCGTCTCGGGCTCAGGCATCTCGTGGTACACCACATGGACCTGGTCTGGGGGTGAAAACAACGTGAAGAGCTACCCCAACTCAGGTTTAGTCAACCTGAAGAAGCAGCACGTTAGTCAAATTAGTAGTATTCCTACTTCGGTGAACTGGAGCTACGACAACACCAATATCCGCGCCGATGTCTCGTATGACCTTTTCACAGCCGCAGATATCAACCACAATACCTATAGCGGTGATTATGAACTCATGATCTGGTATTTCCGCCTGCTTTGGCTTCTTATCGTCTATTGCTAACTATCTAAAACGCTCAGGCTGGCCAGATATGGCCAGGTACAACCCATAGGTTCCCAGATTGCGACGGCCTCCGTGGGCGGCAATACCTGGGAGCTGTGGTATGGTGCCAACGGTGCGCAGAAGACATACAGCTTTGTTTCTTCCAGCCCTATTACCTCCTGGAGCGGGGATATCAAGGGATTCTTTGACTACTTGACTCAGCACCAAGGCTATCCAGCCGGCAGCCAATATCTCATCAGTACGTGACTTCAGAGAGAAGTGTCCTGAAAAGTGCAATATACTAATAAGTTGCACTCCCTCCAGCCATGCAATTTGGAACAGAGCCATTCACCGGCGGGAAGTCTACATTTACGGTGTCAAACTGGTCTGCCAATGTGAACTAGATACAGCCCATCATATGTGGATCATCACGGGGACCTCAAATCTTGTTGGAAATGGTGACGGGAGCACAAGGAGAAATGAGAAAGAGAAGATTGAGGGCTAGTATTGGTACAATCCACCATATCTTGAATTTTTCTAGTGGCAGAATAGTCGAATATAACACTCCAATTTAGATCGATACGTCATTAGGTTGTGAGGCGTGCCAATCAACGTACTTAAGCTAAAATTTCAGTTTCTGTTGGTCTATTTGCTCGGCATTGTCGAGCTGAGTGTCTTTATTTGGATATTCTAAAAATGATAGCTGTAGAAGCAACTCAGTGAAATGAGAGCATTTTGATATGATGAGAAAGCTGGTTCGTGGTGAACTGGTGTCCTCATATAGCTGAGACTGAGACTTCGACTCAGCCGCCGTATTGATAAAAGAGAGAGGATCTTTATTGGACAAACCCTAACAAGCGGATGGCTTCGACCAACTTCTAAGCGCCTGATAGACATGACGCATTATCTTGGGGGCAAGGCACTCTCCAGCAAACGAAGGCAGCCCAGATATCGTCAAGGCACTACTCATCAAATAATAAATGGCCTTATGGGGCTTGTCTTTGTTAGATATGGTTCATATTGAGTCAAATAAATCAGTATATATACAGGTGCATATGAATTATCACACGTGGTTGTTTATGTAGAGTTATTTCGAGTTTTTATGTTATTATGTAAGGGCCAGGACCTAAGGCTGCTCTGCACACTCTACCCGTATAAGATCTTTCCTCAAAAGTGGAGTTACTTCTGTCAACAATGCGACATCAAAATGGACCACACGACTGAACACTTGAACAAAGCTATACGGATTGCTCGATAAGTCTAGCAGGAAGGCCGAACTGGCCAAAGCCGCCGGACACCCAACCATCCCGGTCACCTCAATATCCCGCAGTGGAGTTGACAGCATCCCAATTTGGTTTCCAGTTCTTTGAAGACGACGAGGTCAGGTCCGATCCTCTGTGACGGTGCTTTCGGACATAGGTAAGTGGCTGGAAACACTGTGAAGCGTTGGTGTTATTCCTGCCAGTGTCAATTCTCAGCCCCTCCTACGAGACCACCATTCGCTTCGTAATCATACATTCCTCATCTCAGCCAAGCACACAGTAAATGTTGCCCCACAATTTGCAGCTTGGTTGTCCAATCAAGCTACGAATTAACACAACATGGAGTTATGACCCTACAGCCTGGAACGGGGAGGAATTCATATTGGAGGGCCGTTCTGGTTACGCTCTCTGATATGGGAATCTGATACGGGAAGAAAAACAAAATCGCCCTAAATTTTGTGATCGTTAGGGCTACCTAGTCAAACGTCCAGACTATACTTCCGTTCTCTTTAAGTAGTGGCCTGGACCATCGCGCATATGGGGAAGCGCCCGGTGAGACCATTGCTGGAAGACAATACGAGACTGGCCCTTCACAAGACCTTGTCCATCGACAAGGGATGAAAAACTAGGCGGACTGCTCTGTTTATGGACTTACAGCGTTGACTACATTCTTCTGGTTCCTCGAGCTTTCGCATGGCTCTCTAGGGCTCAAGTAAGCAATTATATCTCAATTACGTTATAGAAGACAATTTTGATATACGGCAGTTGTCCCTGCGAGTGAACCGGTATGAAGACGTGTTCGGTATACTTATTGACATATACAAAAGAGTAGCCATGATGGATGGCGTCAATTCACTCCAGGAAAACTTCGAAAGACCCACAGTCTGGCTCATATGGGTTGCCGGCTTCTGAGTTGGACTCCAAGGATGAGACAGAAAATGAGCAAGAAGGATGGAATCTTGTAGCATGAATTTTCCATACTGCAACGATATAGGGTCATTATTCTTACTCTTGGCAGTACCCATCATATTTATCGTGCTTCCGTTTTCTATCACTCCAGCGCAGTTAGGATCTAAATGCTACTTGCTTTAATGATACATGTTCTTTTTTGGTGGAATGGGTTAAAATAATTTTCACAGCGTGAAAGCTCTCAAGCCCATAATGTTTCATCCGTTCCACGTTCTTGATGATGTTACGATAGAGGTGCGAGAGCTCTGTTGAATCAGCCGGTATGTATGCAGCGGTGGAGAACCCACGGGCGCGTCGGTGCGAAACGGATGGCAGGTCATCATGTTTTATAACGAATGATGCCTCGTACTTGGCAGGTACAGTTCAAGCAAAGGAGATGGCCTGGTGGGGGCAGAGGGGTGGCTCGTTTGATGGGTTCGGTGCAACGAGGTCATGTTTGTGTGGGGTGAACATTCTTCCGGGCGGGCTGGTAAGGTTAGATCGCGAGTAACGAACTCCGCGCCAAGGTCACCAATTCTTGAGGCAGTTGTGGATATGTTTGTTTCAGGACCTGACAAAGCAATTGATCTTCTACCGGGTTGCTTTCCACCGCAGCTAACTCGCCAGCTATTCTACAATTTCTACTCTTCACAAGGAATCATTGCCAATCAATGCTACTGTTAGCTTGGTCTAAACAACGAAATTCTAAACTTCGCCGTACAATTCCCGTGTCATCCCTTGCTTCCCGTCGATCTGCGGGGAGCTGCGGGGCCGATTATCGGAGCATCTCCGGGTGAAGCTCCTGATTGAGTGTAAGGTCAAGGCACCGGACTATATCCCACCCAACATACTTCAGCCCGAGGGAGAGAGCGTGGGGTACGCAACCTTGATTGGCGGACTAGACCATTTCTATGCAGAATATTTCACGACATGGGGGTTTACTCCACCTCCCCCGCCCCCAGACTCTCCTACGAAACTTAATTCGCAATCACCGACAAAGAATTGAGGGAGCATAAATGGCTGATCTCCCCTCGTACCGGTCAGAATCCCCATATTTGCCATTTGCAACACTTGCGACAAACGAAGAAACGCGCTGCAATATGTCCAGATCTACCTTGTTATTAACGCTTTTTGTTATTTCCCAATCGTTTGTGTCACCTGTCATCTCGACCAATGTCCCAGACCAAGCACAAATCATTGACCAAAGGGTATTCAATGTTTTGAACAACACTCGGCCGCCCGCCGAGTTCAATGCAACAAATGTAGGGATTGTCGTTCTTCAAAGGAAAGCCCATGTTAAAACAGTTCGTTAAATAATAGGTCTTTGTACCCCCTGGCTCAACAGGGGACAGTCTCACCGAGCGGCCTTTCCATGTATATGACGAAGAATTTTTGAAAATCATCGGAAAGGGTCCAACATTGACTCGAATTGCACACTCCTCGAAGGACCCTCTATTTCATGAGGCTGTCGTGTGGTATGTGCGGCCCAGATGCCATCAATATGAAGCGATTCTCGTCTCTAATGTTGTACTTGCTGGCACAGGTCGAGAGAAACCGATGAGGTGTTCTTCGTTCAAAACGCAGGTGCCAAGAACGCAAGCACGGGTTTGAAGAAGTCGGCAATCATTGAAAAGATTTCTCTGGCACAAGCCGCTGCTGTATCCGACAAGACAGACGCTGTGGGTCTCGTCAATGTCACTACTGTTCCATCGTTACCTATGGTTGTCAATCCGAATGGTGAAATCAACCCCAAAACAAGAAATCGCTCAGTCCTCAAGCAGAGAAGCTGACTGCGGGATTTGCAGGAGCTACAAACTATCGCGGACAGCTCATATTCACGAGTGAAGGCCAAGGAGACGACAAGCCCCCTGGCCTGTCTGTCGTTAACCCCAAAAAGCCATACAACTCAACCGGTTCGTGGTTCTCTCACAAAAGAGACATCAGGAGCTAATCAAACGGCCAAATTTAATAGTCATTCTCAACAACTACTTTGGCCGCCAATTCAACTCTCTCAACGATGTAGCGATCCATCCGAAGAACAAAGAGATTTACTTCACCGACACAATCTATGGCTGGGTCCAAGATTTCCGTCCGGCCCCTGGCCTCCAAGACCAAATCTACCGATTCAACCCCGACACTGGTGCAGTGACAGTTGTAGCAGATGATTTCGATCATCCGAACGGTACGAACGTTTTCAGCTTTTTTTTCATCCGATCCTCCCACCTGAGACTGAACTCGTCATAGGCCTTACTTTCTCTCCTGATGGCGATTACGCATACATTACCGATACTGGAATCTCGAACGGCTTCTTTGGCATGAACTTCACCCGCCCGGCTTCTGTGTACGTGCTTCTATATTACCTCTCCTGTATTGTCAGCAAATCTAACTCTGAGATACAACAATTATAGCTACAGATATGACGTGAAGGAAGATGGCACGTTCGAAAATCGCAAGCTGTTTGCTTTTGTCAACTCCGGTGCACCAGACGGTAAAGCCGCGCTCTCCATATGCATTACGAACAAAGTGATTGTAATCCTGCGATAGCTGACGCTTACATCTCTTAACAGGTATTCATTGCGACTCCTGGGGTAATGTCTATGCCGGCTGTGGTGATGGTGTTCAGGTTTGGAACCCATCTGGTAAGCTCCTCGGCAAGATCTATGTTGGAGCCACTTCGGCGAATTTCAATTTCGCTGGAAAGGGCAGAATGGTCATTTGCGCGGAGACAGATCTATACTATGCAACCCTGGCAGCGGGAGGCAACTATGTCGATAGTGAGATGTGAGCAGGTTATATATCTTACGGCGGATAATATAATTTACTACTTCTCAACGATGCATGGTTTTTCCCTTCGTCTTTTTTTTGGATTTTCTCGGTCAAACTACCTCAACACTAGCTCCCACTCCTAAGTTACTACCATGCCATTGTGGTTTCACAGATGCTTTGCGTCAAGGCTGTCCACCCACTCCTTCGATGTCTGGACCTGTGAAAACAGTGGCCAAATCAATTCCGTCGCAGCATCAGTAAGCTCTTTAGACCATCCAGCAGTAGCATTGCCTCTATTGAAATCATTAGCGTGAGTTTTAAATGCGAACAAAGATTCTTACAGCATCGTAACTTGATAACCACTATAAGAATTGTTACGTTAGTCATCTATCAGAAATCCTGCTTACCAATCACAACTTACAGCTCGTACGCGTGGCGTGCGGTGGCCTCCAGACAGGTATTGGCAGTTAACCCTGCAAAGACGAGGTTTTTGACCTCACGTTGACGCAACTGGAAGTCCAAATCGGTGTTCGAGAAGGAACTATAAAGCTGAGTCAGTCACATAAACGGCGAAATGTTGTTTGATATATATGGATTGGGTCTTACTCGCTGCACCAATGACGGCTCACAAGCACATCGCCGTTCGTGAAGTCCGGCTCAAGACCCTCGTAAATTTGAGCACCAAAGCTGCCCTCTTCGAAGAGGCGTACTTTTTGCTGTCGTACATGGCTGGTAGTCATATGGCGCCATCCATGATAGTGGTTTGGGGTCCATTGTTGATGCAGACCATAGAAAATAGGAATATGGTGGAGGCGAGCCGCCGCAACAACCTCCTTGATATGCTGGATTGTTTGTTTCTCCTCCAGGTCTGTTAGAGCGGATGTCAATTTTCCTTCGGGATGGAGAAAATCGTTGTACGGGTCAATCAAAACGATAGCAGTGGGGGAAGGGCAAGACATGTTTGGTCACAACGGTCTTCTTCAAGGTTCTTGTATGCAGAGATGATCGGGTCTGAAGATGAGCTGAAATAGAGCATATTCGAACGGTGCAGACACATCTATTTATATTTCGTCATGTTGAGCTCACCCTCGCAGCAATGCTGTCTACGGGTGCTCTAGGGTTGGCGGGGTTGATGACCAATCTAAGAACAATAGCCAATATCGCGAGTCATCGGCATTGATGAAAAATCAATAATTGAACCTGCAGATAGCTCGGACACTACTTTAAATTTGTCATCCAATGGTTTACAAATCTAAAATGCGATTGGCTATCTAGGTGGGTGGGGTTGGGTAGGTTAGTAAGAGGTTTCGAGACAGAGATTGGACATGCACTTCCCTACGAAATCTTCTGGCGCCTAGTTCCTCTTGCCCGCATCCTCATGCCAGCTAGAATCTGCAGATTTGGATGTGTTTGTATTTCCAATATTCCATGCATCAATAGCCGTGATGCGCATCAAGAATGTAAGGAAAACACGGCCGAAAAGCCCAACTCGAGGTGCACAATATAAACGACAGCGACGCCAGTCCCCGCAGGTCGATTCAAATGATCCGGAGAATCCCCAGGAGCCCATCTCTGTTCCTGTATCAGATACGCCCGGCGCTATGCAGCCTGAAACATGGTCCATGATATTGGCTCGGGTTGCTGATCAACCTTTTACCTTTCAAGTCCAGAGATTCAAGGACTGGAGACGTGAGCCTGTCAATGCACATTTGAAATGTATATTTGGAGACCTAATATTCAAATAGGAGCTGGGTCAACACATGATGATCAGTGCTGCATTTGTCACAAACTAGACAACCTTGAGCTGTGCAATACCTGCAGACTGGCATTTCACCCCCACTGCCTGCCGAACGGGTGGGCACGCGATTCCGGCAATCACCTGTTTTGTGCGATATGTGTCGCCCGAGGCTGGGATCATTCACCTCCGGTACTAACACCACCTACGTCTCCTCGGCCATCGCAAGCAGAGCTTCCCGCCCCAGTTTCAACTACCAATGCCGATTCAAATGCTCTGACACCGGCCCCAGCACTGCGGAACGATGAGCTGGAAGTTGCCCAGGCACACTACAATACAACTCCCGGCGCGAAACTCGCGGTGATTGCTGGCCAGGTCCCAACAAATGCGCGCAGTGACTATACTGCAAGCAGCTGCATGCCTGCAGATTCCGGCACCGCCGAACCAAGACGCCGCCAGCGCAAATCGCGGTATAGCACATTGTCTGGTGAGGTAGATTTGTCCCTCGCGACCATCTACCGTGAGCTGGAATCGGTTGCTTCCCTGCGGTCTCAGATTGAATATTTGCGCGACGCAAATGCTCAACAGACTCAAACCATCCGAATTCATGAACAGAATCAGCAGGCTATGCGCAAAGAGCTGGAAACCCTGCGAGCGAATGCGACGAACTCCGCAAGTGCTACTAGGGAATTAAACGAGCTTCGAGAAAAGAATGCCTCCCTGGAGGCCGAATTGCAAATTTCGAGGGAGCAAACTGCTGCAGCGAAGGAGTTAAAGCAACGACTTGCCCAACTCCTCAACAACTAGCTTTTGCCTTTCAGTCTGATTTTTGGTTGGAAATATCATTCATGAAACCTTTACCTGATAATACAATCTTTATCGATCTCTGTCCCAGTTTGACGTGAATCCTGCAGGTAAAATCAAGGATTGCGTATGGAACCTGTGTTCATTACAATTTTCTACGCACCAAATGAGTGATAGACTATCAGAGACAACCTAGTTGATCAATAGGATGAACCAAACGTAGGACTAAGCGATAGGAGACCGAGGAAGGCCCGACCTCTTGCTCTAATGGAAGGCCGTGGAGATGAACAAGCCTAGGTTCATTCCAAATTTATCACATATATGTACCTAGATAGTTACTTGATAAATGTATATATGTGGAATGAATGGTCAAAGACCTATACTGATAGTACAATGTCCTATTTTTGACTCATTTAGATCAAGCACTACTCTGACGTTTCCGTACCATAGGTTTCACTCACTATGTCGAGGACTAGGTAAGAGTCTTCCTAGCCGGCCAACCGAGTGCGTCAACCCACCACACAACCCATTTGCGACTGGCGTTGTGCCCATTCTGTGTTTAATTGTTTTTGTCTGAAGATGTATAAAGAACCAAACGTTAAATCGCGATGGATGTCAATGGATAGTCTTCATGATATCTACACTATATTAGTAACACTTGTATCATAGGATCAAGCGTGACCATTCTGAGATTCTATGTATTGTGTTTGCGCTCAGATCTATAGCACAGTGAGTCAAAAATCCAACTAGTATTAGCTCAGAGCATCCCGATTGGTGGGGACTTTCCTGTCTAGAAACATTTGCAAACCCAACAAAGTAACCGTGATTTAGGAGTCTAGATATATAAGTTATAGTGCCTTACCTAGGTAATGTAGGACGAAGATCATGTTAGAGAATATAACACCATAGCGCCGGCCTTGAATATATCGAGAAATTCTCAAAGATAGATAGAAAAAAGCTCTAAAGCAAGATTTTGAAGGGCTGATAGTCCGTTTAAAGAAGCAATTCATTCTAAAGATAAATTAGCTAGATATAACAACGACAAGGATCACGATCACTGCCGGTAGCAGTTTTTAGGTAAAATAAATACCCGGCCATCAGATTTAACACAAAGGCATTCTGAGCCCGACCCACGAATATCATCTCTGCGAGACATCAGTAGTCTTTGCTGTCGGTCTTGAACGAAAATTGGACAGTGTCTTCAACGGCCCATATTCGTCACAATCCTTGACTTACTGAGAGATAGAAGGTATCCACCAGAGACACAAAATCAACCGCAACAAATCATAACGGAAGAGACAGTGAGAAATTTGCAACTGATCGGGAGGTCCAACGCGCGGATGTTGGTGGACTTACCATGACGAGCTTGGGCCCGGTAAGGAGGTGTACTAAATTTTATGACAAATGTTAGTACGCTAATGGAAAATACCATCATGGGACCGCTAAGTTGGCATCACATATTCTTTTTGGCTTTGTTAGGACATCAGCATGCGCTGGGAATACGCTGCCTGACTGCATATCGTGAATTTTTCTTTATCGCCTCCTCTTATTCTCGCATGAATTCTCCCTTACAACACCAGGGGCTAAAGGACCCGACGTCTTGTATAATTGTACCATCTAAGTGGCTATTAGCTCGCCTTTTAAAGTGTTGTTGTTGACGATGGAGCTGATTCGCCGAAGTTGCTACCTGTGGAGATCGTCAGGGAGAATATGCCGATGTTGGAGAATGATCTCCGCAGTCCCATGGTTCCATGATGGTGCAGTTGTAACTTCATGTACATCACTTTGATACCTGCCGCTAAGCCTGGGTGGATGTTAGTATGCGGGATTTCGACGAGCGAATGGCATACATGCCATCTGACTAGAAATTACGAAGACGCATGTTTCAAATTCGTGGATGCTTCTTGAGCCTCCTGTCAGCTGGAATGATGATGATCAGGCGACCTCCTGCCTAAAGTATAGGCAAGAGAAATGGCCAGGGAAAATAGTGAGATCAAGTAGACATGAATGAAGACTGAACTTTGTAAAGAAGACGATCTTTATGGATAGATATAGATATTTCCAAATAATAGAGAGAAGCAAACACAAGCAAACATAGCATGGCATGCGACAAAGATCATCGAGCAAAAAGAATGAAGTATTCACTGTTTGCAAGGTGCTCGCACGTGGTCACTTGATTGGTTAGGGTCTTTTGACCACGTCGATCTGGGGATGGTGTTAACTTTATTGAATTGACTGTTTTTGTATATAACTAATCACTGCATGTCATTTTCTATGTCTTTTTTATAAAAACCTCACTCTTTCTCTTTACACTTCTCACATGTTTGATGTGTTTGGTTGTGTGCATTGAAAGCCTTGGCATTTCGGCTGCCGCACCCGAAACAGTGACGTGACCCTGCAGATAAGATCTTGCGGCCCAAAATAATTCCTCCCGTACAAAACCACAAAATCTATGGTGTAGCAACTCGGTTCAGAGGACGCACTCATGCAGTCAATTTTCTTGCTGCTGGGCCTCTTCGCCGACGCCATCTCTGGCAGCCCCTTACAGCAGCCCCTGCGCGAGATCCAACCCGAAGCCTCGCGCAAGTTACACGGCCGATTTTTGCACATAACTGGTATGACTGTGATCCTATGCAGTTTGTATAATTGTGTAACACGAGCTGACCATCAGATTTCCATCCCGACCGTTTGTACAAGCCCGGAACGTCGATCGATCGCTCGTGCCACCGGAAGAAGGGGGGTTCGGGATATTTTGGAGCCGAAGGCACTGAATGCGACTCGCCCCTGTCGTTGATTGACGAGACATTTCGCTGGATCGAAGAGAATTTGAAGGATGATATTGATTTTGTGATTTGGACTGGTGATTCCGCCCGACATGACAATGATGAAAAACTGCCTCGTACTGCGGATGAGATTCTGGAACTGAATACATACCTATCGCAAAAATGGGTTAGCATCTTCAGTCAGGATCATGCGGTTTCCAGCGCTGCATCTCAATTGTCAGTGCCAGTGATCCCGACGTTCGGCAACAACGATATCATGCCGCATAACATCTTCAACGAGGGCCCAAATAAATGGACAAAGCGGTTCGCGGAGATCTGGAATTCCTTCATTCCGGAAGATCAACGGCACACTTTTGTTTTGGGAGGCTGGTTCACCAGCGAGGTGGTCCCCGGTCAGCTGGCGGTGATCAGTCTCAATACGATGTACTTCTTCGACTCGAATAGCGCCGTGGATGGATGCAAGGCCAAGTCGGAGCCTGGATACGAGCACATGGAGTGGCTGCGGGTGCAGTTGAAAATCCTGCGGAGTCGCAACATGAAAGCCATCCTCATGGGACATGTTCCCCCCGCCCGGTCGAGTGAGAAACAGAACTGGGATGAGACGTGCTGGCAGAAATATACGCTTTGGATGCACCTGTACCGCGATGTCGTTGTCGGCACCTTCTATGGCCATATGAACATCGACCATTTCATCATCCAGGATAGCAACAAGGTTGATATTGATGCCAAGGTAGACGAGAAGGTTTCGATCAACTCCAAAGCTGACTACCTTGAATCGCTCCGGAGTCAGTGGTCCTCGTTGCCAACTCCTCCATCTGGTATCTTCGAGGAGCTTGATTCAGGGTCCGAACGGTACTCAGACGTCGCCCCAGCGAAGAAGGGAAAGAAGGAAAAGAAGAAGCGCAAATTCTTGGACAAGATCGGAGGCCCATGGGCGGAACGGTACAGTGTGTCACTGGTATCCCCCAGCTTGGTCCCGAACTTCTTCCCCAGCCTCCGTGTGATTGACTACAATATCACGGACTTGGACTTCGCCAACGGGGCTGATGTGTCCTCGCACGAACTATACGATGCAATCTCTGAAGTTGACTACACCGAGCTCGATACTTCTCCGACTCTGGAGACTCAGAAAAAGAAAAAGAAGGACAAGAAAAAGAAACCCAACTTCAAAGTGCCAGAGCCCCCTTCACCCACCGCCCCCCCAGGACCAGCATACTCGAATCAGGCGTTCACCTTGCTGAGCTATACGCAATACTACGCGAATATCACTCGGATCCACGAGGAGATCGCTGCCGGCGAAATCGACGAGCCGCGCCTCGACTTCGAAATCGAGTACAGCACAAATGATGAAGTCTACCAAATGAAAGATCTGACGGTGCGCAGCTTCTTCCAACTCGCAGGCAGAATTGCCGAAGAAGAAAGCGAAGCCGATGTGAATAGTCCGAGCGCTGATTGGAGGCAAAAAAAGAAGCCAGTCAACAGTGTGTGGCAGGCCTTTTTGAGACGTGCGTTCGTTGGGTTTGAGAATATTGATGATTTGGATGATTAGAGCCACGATGATTTCGCGCCTTGTTTTTTTTTTTTGGTTTTTTTCTTACCTAGAATATTTTGAATACTTGCATTGGCACAAAGGAAAGGGGCTTATACAGAGTGCATCATGAGGTGTTGTTCCCTTACGGCTTACACATATTGGATACATGTAATTGGAAACCAAATACGATCTTGAACACTAGATTGAACACATTACAATGCACTTGTCCAATCAGCGATGATTTGCACCACTCTAGCGGTGTACATTGTAAGACGGGTAACTTGGCGAACCCTCGTCTTTCAGATATGACTCATGTACCTAGTTGACTACATCTGTATGTTGTTAGTACTCACTGTGTACATATGTGCATGTATGGATCTTGTACAAATGTCATATAACCACGATAAACCTGCAAACTATTCGATTCAACCCCTTCCATCAACCTGGATAGGCTGGTTGGAATCGCAACCATTCCGATACAATACAGGTACTGCAAAGCCACTGCCAGCGTGGCAGTCCGTGCTAAGGTTTGGCATTAATCTAGCCCGAGGACTTGGGCAGCTAGCTCTCCTCTATATTAAGGACAGCTTCTGAAAACTCCCTAAAATGAAGTCATCGCTTAATCCATCCACTAATACCTAACCCGCTGCCACGTAGCCGCTACTGGGCTACGAGCGCACAAAGCTAGAATCCGTTGGGTACAATCGCCCATGGTCGCCATGATGTAGCCCTTAATTCCACTGTGGATGTATGTTTATCTATTGTGGGACTCTAAGGAGAGACTAGTACCCATTACTTATACCACACACCTTTCCGTCATAGGAGAAACCTCCGCCTTGCATGATCTAAAATCTCCTAATTTCCCAAATCTCTCAATCTGAGAATCTCTTCTCCCAAAATTCCAGATCGCTACATATACCCGTGCACGCACCTGGCACTTAACCAGAGTTCACAAGAATCAGAACCCACAACCCGGAGCTAGCAGCTTCCCGAAACCCCAAATTTCCAATTCTTCCCCGCACAGCGTGTGCTGGCTTCGCTCCGCCCCTTGGCCGCACGATGCGCCGCTCCCTATTCCACTCTCCCTCCTTGCATTGCTAGTCGGGGATTTCCACGGCTCGGAGTCGGCCACACCGGACACATCAATAGCTCGGGGACCTCGCGGGGCCCTATCCGGTCCAAGGGATCTGGGAATTGAGCTGATTGTTGGAACAGTCACCATTGGCGGTTATATACTTCGCGATACGAACACTCAGAACAAAACAGCGTAGCTTCGTTGGGTTCTCAATTTCTTGATCTGGTGTATCAAGTGGGTGTGTGAGCTGTGCGCCAAGATTAGAGCGCAGATCAATTGGACTGCGTCTGATAGTGGCTGGAATGGTACAGGCGCGTTTGGACGATTGAAGCTCTGTTTGCGCTAGAATCGGTGAGTGGAATACTCCTTGTTTTTTGTTTGTTTCCCAGTGCTCAATTGGGTGTTCTCGGGCGATTTTTCTTTCTCTGAAGCAATACCGTATTTCATCGCTCGATAAAAGACCATGGCTGACTTAATTACCTCAGACCCTGTCTCTTGGACTTGCGCTTTGTGGATGGCCTCCTCCGAGGTGGACCAGAAGGCCCTAGGCAATTTCGCGGCCGTCATGGGCCTAGAGAACCCGCTCCTCTCAACAATGCTGTACAAAGTCCTCGGCGTATCAGTAATGTTATCAAAAAAGCTTATCCGAGCACGCAAGCTGCGACGCCTAGACACAACGCGCGAAACAAGATCCCTGCAGCTCTACCACCACATAATATGGCTCTCACGCGAAGGCCTCTTAATCCTGGAGGGCTACATCCTCCCACTGGTTGACCGCTCCGTGGAGCTAAAAGTGCTCGCGTACAAACTGCGCGCCTCCTTCTATCATATTTTCGTGCTCTTCCACAACCGACCAGCCTGCCCACCCTCCAGCTCCCCTCCGCCGCGCTTCAAAAATGACTCCATCTACGGCGCAGACTCCCTCTCTCTCGACGCCCGCAAAAGACCCCCCGGCCTGCCCCTCCAACCAGTCAAGCAGCAGCCTTCCTTCCTCCTCCCCCCATTAGATTACACAGCAACAGCAACAGCATGCTTCAATCACGCCGCAGTGCTAGCCGATAAACTCCTCCCAGGCTCGCACCCGCTCCGCCTCTCCGTCAAGCTCGAGTACGCTGCCTACCTATACGATTGCCTCAACGACCCCGTCGCCTGCCGCCGCCTTGCAAAACAGGCCATCGCAGACGTCTACAATGCCCAAGAAGGCATGGACGACGAGAGCTTCACCGATGCAGCCGAGATCGTTGGCGTTCTCGGGAAAATGGTCAAGCGCGGCAAACCCGGGAGTACCGCTACAGCGAGTAGCGTGTCGCGCTCGCGTAGCAGTCGCAGCCCCAGCCATCTTGATGCCAGTGTTCCCACGACTGTGTCGCCTGTCCCGGTTCCGGGGACGAAGACTAGATCCAGGTCTGCTGAGGATGGGAGGGAAGCTGCTGTGCCTGATGCTTCTATGATGAATCCAATTTGATGCTTGATGCAAGGGGCGGTTGTTTGTTTATCGCCATGAGTGGTGATTGCTTTTTGTATATAAACGTTTCGCTATGATGTATTCGATAGTCGCGATATGATGCATGATTTATGAAGTTGTTATTGCGTTGACTATGTTTTTGCTTTGAGTATAGCAGTTGACGAGCTCGTTGGCGTGGTATAGCCGATCTCCGACCAATACTTATCTATCCGCGAGCACCGGAATCAGGGTCTCTTATATCCCCGGTTGTTCATCGGGGTGTTCAAATGAGCAAGCAGTAGCGAGAGCTAGCATTGGCTCATGGGTCATCGCGATATCTAATCAGTTAGCTCGCTGGGAGCTGCTAGGAAGCTGACCAACGCTTCGCACCTACCGTTCCACCTGCACTTTCCCGTTGGCTAGTTACAAAAGAGTCCATGTGATTCAGAGAAATTTTTTGACAAATACTGCGCAAGCATCTCGTAGGACCAACATCAATGATTTCGAAAGGACTGGGATCAGAAGAGGTAATTGTTCGACGCCGGACCCATACTACAAAGCCAGCTCGGTTTCTCTCTCTCGAAAGGCCGATGGGATCAGTCATCTCGATTCATCAACCAAGCAGATGCAGGAAATCAATCGGGACAGAATTGTATAGCCGAGGCTTACCGGAGTCAAGCGTCATGAATGCCATTCGCAAGTTGCTCGGTCGAAAAGATCTCAGTTGGATCTCGGCGGCTCTATATGTTTGTAGCCAATGCAATATGGCCGGGATGTCGCCAAGGCGGTTAGACATAAATTAAAGCGACCGCGGCTCGTGGTACTTCCGAGGATTTGCCGAACTCACGACTTGCGACATGGGCGACCGTAGAAGCTGAGGTAGTGATGGAAGCCGGTTCATGCAATCTCTCGCTATTTGCAGGCAACCAATACTTGATTTTCCCAGTAGTCAACATATGCACAACAACCGTCGAGTCAGACGGGAGCGGAGATGTTCAGCCAGCGAAGCAAGTTCCAAATATAAACAAAGGCGAAGATATCTGGGACATTCTGTGATCCAATCACACCCTCGGAACGGAGCACCTGTGTTGATCACTGCCGTCAGTCGCATAGGGCGATAGGCGTTGCCAGTGGGGGTGCCGATCGGTTGCTATTATTGACCGGTTGCCTCTCGCGACTTGGCTCACATCACACCATGCGGAGAGGGGTTTGTTTTGAACAAAATAATAGCATGTCAAGTGGACATTGATTCCTTGACCCAGTAAAGTACTAGTAGTGGGAGTAGTTGGAAATCCTGTTTACTGGAGATCGGCAGTGTTTTGCGGAAATATCTGCCTCAGGCCAACATTCCTGGAATCCTGCGAGAAAAACTCAAAACGGAGTGCAACGTGGGAGACACATTCTTTGCTTTTGGAAAGGAAAAAAACGACCGTTACATTTTGAAGAGGCACCAGCTCTAATCTGACTATTCAGATTAGGTCCGGGGTATAGACCGCCAGAGGTAACTGATCGACGTCATACTCCTGTGTGAAAAAAAAAAAAACGAGCCAAGAAAGTCCGCATTCCCTCAGGACATTCGGGGTTCTTATCGTTCACTTTTATTTCGGCCGATTCTCAGATTTTCTTACTTTGCACGTCCATACCCCCCTCCAAATTCTCGCCCGTTGAGTTGACCAGCCCCCCTGCGCGCCTGTGCGTGCATATTCGACACCCGGTAACTTGCTTTGGACGCGACCCCATCCATGGCCTTCACGCTGCCGCTCCTTTTTCTTGACTCCCCCGAAGCTTAAATTCCAATTGTCCAGTAGAAGCTCCCGGCTCTGCTCAGGGAGCAGGGACGATGCGGTCCGGCTTGGAGAAACCTGGCGCGCTTCCGCTACTCGCCTTGGTCGTGTTTTCGCTGCTCACATTGGTGCCGTCGCTGTCGAGTATTTACAATTTAAAGCTCGCGGACTTGAACTTCTACCCCGGTGGAGCTCGCCGTATGTCCCTATTCCCTCTTTCGGCGTCATTCAACTTGCTGACAAAATTACCCATGCAGAAGTACCTCTTCTCCAAGACGGCGTGCCCGAAGTACCAACAGCGCACCCATTGACTGAGCCTCACAGACCATGGGCTCTCGGAGCTCCCCATCGATCCCGCGTCAATCTCTTAACGCGTACCGCACGACTCGATAATGTCGCCGTAGTCTCAGCAAGCGAAACAACCGCCATCGCAAACAAAAGCCGACTCTCCTCCTTGACCCGTGAATCACCATTTTCATTCAGCCGCAGGGCTCGCGCATTCAAAACCTACTTCATCCAACAATTAGACGACTATCCATTCCTCACATCCTTCTCCAAACGCAGCCTAGTCGAACCAACTCCATATCCCACAACCACCTTCAATCACTCCCTCCCAACCTCCAACCACCCCTCAAACACATATAATGATTCCTCCGACAGCATCCAGAAGAACGGCCTCCAAGCCCCCTCCATCCGCGAAATGTGTCAGCAGGCCTGCCGTCTCGCCATCGACTTTGGGAAACGTGCAACCCTCCACGGAACAGAATACGCCAAGTCGATATTCCTTGAATCCTCAGACCCTCCAACAACATTGATACGCCATCCGAAAGACCCACAAGACCAGTCCAGTCCTTCTGAGCCGGCCATCCAGAGACTTGCCGCCGAGGACTCCACCGACGCCGCCGGCCGGCATTCACAGGAACTCCGTGGCAGCTGCATGGCTGTTGTTATTGGGCTGGTGGCGGGCATAATGTGGTTCTGAGCACCTTGGTGATTTCATGTCCGCTGATACGTGTGATGATATTTCTTGTCTTTTGTTTGGCGCATGATAGATCCTTGTAGACACTTGGGTTGGTGGCTCTGGTTTAGCCCCATGTGGAATCTAATAATATCATCTGCCTTTTTTGGTACACCCATTCCTTGTATTCTTCTGATTGTATATTGGCCATTAAAATGGGAGACACCTTTGAGCAGTCATCTCCCTAGGTAGATTTTCCCGTTGTGTGTCATTGCTATTCTTGTCCAACAATAAATTGTGATAGTCGTCAACATTTGGATCGACCATTGTACCATTGTTCCAAAACAGTTGTCTATCATCTGCAAGATTGGGGAAATAACGGACTTTGGACCTTAAATCCTCTTAATCTGAATCGATTTAGTCACCGAAACTCCCATATACTTTGTTCCATCAAAATTGAAGGAAAGTCACCTCCTGTATCTGCGAACTCTCCAACTGATGACACTGCGCTAACCGAATTCGGAAAAGCGTGAACCCTGGCGTGGACTTCCATGGATGCTGATTGGCTCCACCGATCTATGCCTTCATAGTTGCCACGCTCAGTTAATACCATTATCGCCGGCAGAAAAACATATAAAAGGCTTCAAATCGCGACCATTGTTGAACAGAATATCACAGATCAAGCAATCACTTCACTCAGTCTACAATAACTCTTTATATTCATTTCCAAATCCACAATGTCCCACAATCAACAAGTCCTTCGCTCCGAGGTTGTCCTCGAGAAGCATGGAAAATCCCTTGCCGGAAAGACAGGTAGGTCCAACAGCTGTTCCCTTCATCGAAACATTCCTAACACCTCCTCTCCCACGATAGTTCTCATCACCGGTGTCTCCGACGACTCCATCGCCGGCGAACTAGCACTGCAACTCGCAAGCGCCAACCCCAAGCTCCTCATCCTAAGCGCCCGCGCCGAATCAAAGGTCGCAGGAATCCAGGAAAAGATCATATCATCCAACCCAAATGTCCAAACACGTTTCCTGAACATGGACCTGAGCGATCTCAGCGCCGTCCGAAAGGCCGTTGACGACCTCTCCGATGTTCTCCACATCGACCACCTAGTCTGTGTGGCTGGCATTATGTTCCCGCCCTATAACAAGACGAAAGATGGATTTGAGAGCCAGCTAGGCGTGAACTATTTGGCCAACTTTGTGCTTGTCAAGTTGCTTTTGCCTAAGGTTCGGGCTGCGGGTCCATCCTCGTCGATTGTCATTATGGCTTCCTCGATGGCGAGACAGGGGAAAGTTCACTTTGATGATGTTAACTTCAGCGTGAGTCTGGCGCTCAAGGGTTAAATGATTCCTTCTAACTCTTTTGTTCAAATGCAGAACGGTGAGACTTACGATCCCATGGTCGCATATGGCCAATCGAACGCGGCCAGAGTGATGTTCGTCAAAAGACTGGGAGAGAAGCTCAAGGATGAGCAAATCCGTGTTTTCAGTGTCGATCCTGGTGGTAAGTACCCGTCTTTTAATTTCTCTTGCGCAGCCATGCTAACTGAAATATCAAGCTGTTCAATCCGGTCTGCAGCGACACTGCCCACCCGAATTCTTGGACCAGGTTGCCGAATGGAAGAAGGCCGGACGTGAGTTCAATGAATATCTCTTGACATTTCCTTCTACTAACACGTTTTCTTCTTGTAGCTATGGTTGATATGGATGGAAATACTTTCGAAATCCCCCCATGGACAAGCACTTCAGAGGGAGCGGCCACGGTCATCACGGGAATGGTCGACCCGGCTATCTCTGGTGAGTACATCGCACGCAGGAATCTCAGAGCGCCTTTACTGACATAAACTCTACCCAGGCTACAACGGCTCCTACCTGAACCAGAACGCAGTCTCCGATCACGAACTGCACAGTCACATCAACGATACAAACAACTGGACCCGGCTGTGGGAGTTGAGCGAGAACCTGACCCAACAGAATTTCTCCCTGTAAAAATTTTAAATGCAGGAATCTCATATCATCGATCATTGGTGTACATTACAATTGAGCCTCATTTCTGTTTAATCACAATCGCCTTCTCCCCACGCTGCCTCCTCCAATAATTAGTAGACTTAATAATATCCGGACACTCCTTGATAAGCCAACTCCACTTCCGAATCAAGTTCTCTGAAGCCTCATACGCAAGTGGATCCCACGCCTCGCCCCAAACACGCAATCCAGTCTCGTGCGATGAAGCACACACCCCATATAAATCCCCACACGCCTCGTCTTCGTCCATCGTCTCCGCCCTCGCCAATAATCCCTCTCGCAGCGATACCATCGGAAGGAGATCAATCCACGGATGATGGATAATTTTCTTCTGCTTTTTTGACGGCCACAGGCTCGGCGGAAGGTGCAGCGACGATGGACCAATGAGATTAAATTGTGACGCTAGATCTTCATTCAATAATTCCATTGTCAAGCCCATTAGATTGGCATTCGTGAACATCGCGTTGAGCAGGCTGAACTGCGTTAGGCAGAAGGATGGATGCGGCGACAGAACCGGGTTCTCTAACATATGCACTGCCCGGGCTTGCAGTTTATTCAAAAATTCGTCGCGCTGTGTGTGGTTGAATTCGCAGAAATATGAATGCTCTGCATGCGCTGATGGTGATGAAGTTGTTTGAATGGTTTGGTTTGATTGATCGGTTGGTTTGAAGATTGGAGACATTGGTTTTGGGACGTTCGAGTCCTCTGTATAGACTACCCATTTCCTATTTGGAGGGTTTTGTTTTGACTCTAGCGCTTTTCTTTTTCCTACGGGGTTGTTAGTATGGGTATTTGATGCCTGTTGCGACGTGGCGAATACGAGTGCTACCACTCACTGCTTGCGCGTTGATTGAGCCGATTCTGGATTCGCCTGCGTGCTGCTGCATCTAGTGTGTCCATTGAGTTGTCTGAGGAGGTTTCCTCGATTGATGAATCTTGGATTTTCAGTGTCATTGTAGCGTTGTTGTTGAAGGGTGAGGTGAGGCGCAGTGAAGTTTGACTTTAACGTTCGGAGTTAAGTTTAAAACCCGTTTGGTTCGTCCGAAACTCAGCTTCGGAATTCACGACCATCTACGCACACACTTGTCTACTTATAATGGCACTCTTAATCAGATCAAGTAGATATCTACGTCCATTAATGCTCTCGATGGTTGAAGTAATTCCCTGTCTTTTTTGTTCGTCGGGAAAATGGCCGATGTAGCTTGCCGCCTCTGCATAGCTATGACGCAGGACGGTGGCCAAATATACAGCAATACGAAAATGTATATTTCTTCTACAGCAACGCATTTTACAAATATCTCTCCATATAAACGAGTTGTTGAATTTAGCCTCAATCCTTGACTATCGAAATATGACATTATCCAGACTCCGACGAATACTCACCTGGGGCCACACGAAGGAACCAAGCTCAGACCCCGGACCAAAAGAGACACCCCATCCAAATATGTGGGAACGCGATGAAAAGAACGGAGCATTCAACTCTTTGAGTGAGGTCGCTGCTCCGTATCCCGTTGAGCGCGTGACGGACGATGAGCAAGCCCGTCGCGAGTCGCTCGAGAGAAACATCTCGCAGCCACATTCGCGCCCCAATCTTTCCAATAACTAGATGCTTTTTGAAAATCTAAGGATTTAACGGGTAGGTATGCTGCTGGATCGTACTTGTATACACGATGGGCTAATTCTACGAATGATGAGTTGAAGACGTTTAGACCTGCAGCAGGAAATGTGGCTCAATGTACCTACAAGCCCAAGCAATCTTTAACCTTCAAGCCTTCAAGCCTTTCGCATCCAAGTTACCCCGCAGTCTTTGTGCAACGCGGGAAAATGCAGATTTGACGACCGAATTTAGGCATGGCGGGCCGTCGGGTTTAACCGCTAGCTGAATATGAGCTTAATTGTGTTGGTATCCATTTTGTGGACCGGGTCATTACAGCCAGCCTAGTTGACCAATCCATTTTAAATGAGGACTTTGGGCCGAAAGTAAACCAGGGCAGTGCAAGTATAAATTCACTGCTTCGCAGCTAAAAGCTTGATGATCAAAAGTTTCAAGCAGTGACCATTATCATGTCTCCGTTTCAGTATACACTATCTTTATTTTATCTATTCTTGAGTACTGCCTTAGGTCAGACTAGCTGTGCTTCTGCTTGGTACGTATCATGGTCACCCTGAAAGTGTCTGTCTCATCGTCACAGGGCCCAGTGCGGTGGAACAGAATTCGTCGGCCCAAATTGTTGCGCGTCGGGATCGACCTGTTCCGCCCTCAACTCGTACTATTACCAGTGCGTACCGAGCACTCAAGTCAGTACTGCCCTTTCGTGCTTATTGGATGTGATGTTGGTGCTAACTTGCTGAAGACATCGTCAGGCTCTGGTTCAACAACAACAGGATCCAAATCCACAACAGCAACAGGTGTTGTCGATTACACAACTACCACGAGCATTCCCACATTGTCTTCTACTCAGCCAGCATATCCGTCGATTGCTGCTAGCTCTTGCGGCTCTTGGTCTTTGGTAGACAATGTATGCTGTCCGTCCTACTGTCTCTCAGATGACAAATCAGAGTCATGCACCACTGGTTGCACTGGTGGGTGTGGGACCCCACCTTCCAGTATGTGCAAATCTGGCACCATGTGTGAGTGATCCTGGATGCCTCCGTCCTCTAAAAGTCGGTATGTGCTAAAACTGAAGGGACCTCGAAGGGGGAGAACAGCATACCGTCGGCTCAAACGAGGATTGGCACTACAGCGTGAGTCCTCCACCCAGTCCAGGTGAGAAGAGACACGGCTGATGAATTTCTGCACAGCGGTCGACTCACTTTGGTTTAACGAGTGGTGGCGCCTGTGGATTCGGCCTATATGGACTCTGTACAAAGGGAAGCAAAACAGCAAGCTGGACGGACCCAATGCTGGGATCAACGTGCGACGCATTTTGCACTGCTTACCCGCTTCTATGCCAGGATCCAACCAACGTTACTCTCAGGGGCAACTTTGCAGCTCCCAATGGTGACTATTATACACAGGTAGGCTGAGTTTGATACTGAATTGACGAGAGAGTGTCAACTAATCTACAGTGGTAGTTCTGGCCATCATTGAGCGCCATCGCATCAAGTGACCCGGATAACTATCTTTCCTGTGGGGAGTGCTTTGAGCTCATTCAGACCAAGGCAGATGGTACGGAATATGCAGTGGGTGAGACTGGATACACCGATTCCATCTATCTGGAGATCGTAGACAGTTGCCCATGCAGTGCGAATTCGAAGTGGTGTTGTACGTGATACTCTCTTCCATTGAAAGTAATTAAAGTATCATCTAACATCATTCATCAACAGGTGGCTCAGGTGCCGATCACTGCGGCGAGATCGACTTCAAGTACGGATGTCCAATACCCGAAGACAGCCATCACATGGATCTATCCGACATCGCTATGGGCAGACTCCAAGGCAACGGAAGTCTAACAGATGGCGTGATCCCCATCCGCTATCGACGAGTCCCATGTCCGAAACCAGGTAATGCATATATCTGGCTACGCGACGGAGGTGGAGCATACTACTTTGCGCTCAGTGTTGTTAACACCAATGGGGTTGGCTCTGTCATTGCGGTCGAGGTCAAAAGTGCCGATGGGACTGCGTGGGTCTCGCTCGAGCATGACCCTAACTATACCAGCAGTCGGCCCCAGGAGCGGTATGGTGCTTGGGTCTTGCCTCAGGGAGAAGGCCCGTTTGCTCTTCCAATTGGAATTAGAGTCACTTCGCCTAACGGCCAGCAAATTGTCAATGAGGCGGCAATTTCGTCTTTCACCCCACCTGCTGGGTCGGTCGCTGGGTTCTATTATATTGATCTTGGTGTGCAATTCACTTAGTCTCTGATGTGAAAATATCGGGTCACTACCATGAGGTTTGGGTTAAGATCGTTATGCACAATCCAGGGGTATTGATCACCCTGGACACGCACAGATTCGACTGATAATTTTTCTTGCTCGCTCGTTATATCCACAATGTACTGTGTTGATGCTCATGCCAACGGCGGCAGGATTGAATCGTATTGAGGCCGAGTTAATACAGAGTAGTGAATAAAATCAAATAGCAAAACATAAGTTCCCTATTTCGTCCAGACAGAGGCATCATACCCATCCATCAGGGATATATATTCCGATCCAGCCGCCACCCATCCCTTAATACCACCTGTAAGAACCAAGCTTTTGATATTATTATCTTGCTTTTCCTCAAGGTAATCCGCAAACCAACCCGCTGCACGAGTACCTCGCCCTCCGGATGAACCTGCCCAGGTGGATATTAGTTAGCAAGTATGTTTCATCCCTCTGATTCCCGATAAACCACGCACCACAATACCAAATCACAAACTTCGCATTGCTATTAGACACAAGACAATACAATGTCGGGATCGTGGGATATAGACTTTGAGCCGGTAGATTTAATGACCCTTGGATTGTTCCTCCCTTTGTAATGTAAGTATTGAAACCCAAAAACAACTGTACTTGTTCAATATTCCGTACCTCGTAGTCGGCCCGACGAAGATCAACCAGTACGAAGTCTTTGCCAGCTTGTTTACCCCCTCGGATCCATTGCAGCAGTTCCTCTCGCGATATAGAGGGTGCGACCGCCCTCGGAGCCGGGAATGCTGCGTGCCACGGTATTTCGGCGGCGAGCTTTGTTGCTGCAGACATCTTTGCTGAAAATTGAAGTGGTTATTAAAGATTGCAGGTTGTATACATTGTTTAGACTCATTGGACAACGGGAATACCCCGCGTTAGTGATGAATGTCACTGCTCTGATATGATTGGCCGAGAACTTTTCTCTGACAAATTCCATAGTCCGCGCTTTTGACCAATCAGCGGGCAGCAGTGACATATCGCTGTTGTCTCGAAGAATCCAATATTGTTCTGTGAGCATATATAAAGCTGTGAAATTTTGTATCTGATGTTTGAGTCTACTTAATCTATACTTCAACCATCGGTTTTTCAATCAACTTCATACTCTCATGGCGAGCACGCAATTGCCGACATGTTCATATGTCCCCAACCAAGAGACAGACCAAACGAAAGTATGCGACATCGAAAAACAGAGCGATCCAATCTCTCCAGATGAACCCGGAAAAAAGCAGTCAATGTTTTCAAGCCTCGGTCTGCTTGATAGATTCCTCGCAGTATGGATTTTCCTCGCCATGGCAATCGGTATCATTCTAGGGAACTTTGTCCCAAGTACAGGCCCTGCTTTGCAAAGAGGGAAATTTGTTGGAGTATCGGTTCCCATTGGTAAGATTAGGCGAACAAAGTTCAATTTATTTCATATATACTAATACGTTGTCGTTGCTCAGCGGTCGGTCTGCTGGTGATGATGTACCCAATACTGTGCAAAATCAAATTCGAATCGCTCCATCATGTTTTTCGGACCAAAGATATCTGGGTGCAGATGGCGTTCAGTGTAGTATTGAATTGGATCATTGCGCCATTTCTCATGGTAAGATATGCCACCTGGAGACAAAGCGAATTGGTGTTAACCCGCATCACCTAGTTGGGTTTGGCTTGGGCTTTCCTGCCCGATGAGCCGGAACTGCGACAAGGACTTATCGTTGTTGGATTGGCACGATGCATTGCCATGGTGAGTTCACCCCTAGAAGAGAACTGCCAAAGACAAACTATACTAATAATCTCCATCAGGTACTGATTTGGACGGGGTTAGCAGGAGGTGATAACGAGTATTGCGCAATTCTCGTCGCCCTCAACTCAGTCCTGCAAATGGTATTGTTCGCCCCGATGGGAGTTTTCTTCATCAGCGTGATCAGCGGCGACGAGGTCAACTTCGAATACGCCACAGCAGCCAAAAGCGTGGCTGTCTTTCTTGGCATCCCCTTGGGAGCTGCGATCGTGACACGTTCCGCCCTTCGACGGATTTCCGCCAGATGGTACGATCAGACATTTTTGAAGTGGCTCAGTCCATGGTCCCTCATTGGATTACTCTTCACAATCCTTGTGCTTTTCGCATCACAAGGCCACCACGTCGTGCAGCAGATTGTCTCTGTCGTCCGAGTAGCAGCACCACTTATTGTTTATTTCATGATCATCTTCTTTGCCACGCTCTTGGTGACATATAAAATTGGATTTGGCTATAAACTCTCCACGGTCCAGAGTTTCACTGCTGCTAGCAACAACTTCGAACTGGCTATTGCTGTTGCGGTGGCTATGTTTGGTGCTGATAGCAACCAGGCCCTTGCGGCGACGGTTGGGCCACTCATTGAGGTTCCTGTTTTGTTGGGGTTGGTATATGCCGTTAAGTGGATAGCGAAACGGGTTGGTTGGGAGGATTGAGTTCAATTCGATCTAATATTGCTAGAATTTGTCAAGCGCTCTGGCGGATATAATGACCTCGGACAAAATTAGGGTCAAATTTATGTTTATTAAGCAGTGACATGCCACTTTCATCTGATTGGATTAACGCATCAACGTCGTGCCTCTAAATTGGGCGAATAATATCGTCAAAAGGATTTGATTGGTTGGATAATTAAGACCCGAAGGTTATCCCAACATTCCTTCAATTCAAACTCAAGTTCCGTCCTACACAATTCCAGCTTCTCGTTTACCTGTAAAATATTTGTCGTATAATGCCTCGTGCAAAAACAAAAACTAAGGTTAGTGAACGAAAATGCTGGGTGCGGCGTATATGCGCTGTCCCTACATGGGCTGATCATGTCCTCCAATCTTTAGACCGATGATCTCGCCCGCATTCGCAACAATCAGCGGCGATCAAGGGCAAAAAGACTTGAATACATCCGGGAACTTGAAGACAAAGCACGGAAATACGAAGAACTGAGTACATCTCCCGATCAACCATCGCGGGAAGATTTCAAGAAGCTACAAACGGAGAATGCCTGGATGAGAGGGCTCCTGGCAACTCTGGACATCAACTTTAATCCTTTGGATGCGCCTCCAGGTAGTATTCTTGACAATGATCCTAGTATCTCAACATCGGTACGATATGCGAATTCATGAATCTAGGATTGATGTTCTGACTTATCCGAGATCATGTACCCTTCCGCAGGAGATTTCATTGCCGAAAATCTCGCATCGAATACAGTTCCAGCCCCATCGGCCTCTACGGAGGACTGGAATACTTTGGCATTGATGTCGAATACAGGAGATCTCATGGGACTAGATCTCGATTCTTTCTCGATATTCAATGAGAGCAGTCTTCCCTGTCGGAATCCTGTCTCAGCGCAATCAAACTTCGAAGGTGACCACTGCCAAGAACCTGAAAGGCTTCCTTCAAAGGGACCAACTAATGAAAATACAACTCTGTGCTCGCTGGCATGTCAATGGGTGATTCAATGTAACACGAAAGGCGTCGAGCTGGATGTCTTATACTTCCGGATGGAGCGTGGCTTCAAAGCAGGGAACAGCCCACTGGACGGATGCAGGGTTGATAATCAAGTCTTATTGAGTGTTTTGACTGAAATATCCTAAATTTCATATATTCAATTCAAGTTCTGTAGAATATTTGTTTACTAAGGTTTGATAGCGTAGATTTGAAATGATCCTAATCGAATTTAGACAAGTTTCATCTGTCTCGGGATGTTCGAGACTTACCAGCCCATTCGTTGAAATCATGATCCAACAAACTTCCATCAGACGTGTTGCTTCCTTGCACTACCTCATGGCATGATGGAGTCTGCAACTGGCACCCAATCACCTCAGATTCTTCCTGCCCTTGCACCAACTCTTTGTAAATGTTTATATCGGTGTGAGTGTCGATGATCATGATTTCTGGGGAATATTAACCGTTACTAATATGAAGACGGCATCGATAGACGATGCTTACCTTTGAATCCCGCATCATGGAGGTACTTGTCATAATCTTGAACCTGGCTGGCCCCTGCAATGCATCCAACGTAAAATGACATACTGCTCTCGACTTCCTGTGGAAGAGGTTTGCGAATTAGAATGTCACTTAGGGCAACACGTCCACCAGGTGCCAGCAGGCGAAACATCTCATTGAATACAAGATGTTTCTCTGCGGCTGGTACCAGATTTATGACGCAGTTGCTGATGATACAATTAGCTGTGGAGTCCGGGAGTGGAATGGCTGTGATCGAGGCCTCGAGGAAAGACGTATTAGGCGTGCCAGCTTGATCGGCATTTCTGCGGGCGAGTGCGAGCATGCTCTAGATCATTCGTGTGAGTTTTATGAGTGAGGATTGCAGAGTCCTGTCAGCGATTGATTACCTTGGTCATGTCCACACCGATTGCACTCCCCTTTGGACCCACATTCTTCGCAGCCAGTAGCACATCCATTCCACCTCCACTGCCCAGATCAACCACTGTTTCTCCCTAAGGCAAGTTACAAACTGCATCGTAAAGCATAGCCTGCTTGCGGGAGACTCACTTCTCTGAGATTTGCAAGTGCGAGGGGATTTCCGCAGCTGACACCAAGATTGGCACCTTGAGGGATTGAACTGAGGTCTGCAGCTAGATAACCAAATGCTTGGGCGATGCTTTGCTCGGTCCTTTTCTGCTCTTCGCTCGAAGAACGATCTGCCAGTTCTCCGTAGCGATCCAGCACGAGGCTATATAGTTTGTCTTGCTCCATGGTGCTCTACCAGCTCGAAGAATGGTTTGATGATAGAGTCACGAGTGAATCCCAAGGGAAAATATATACCATAAAGGTGATCGCGCACGTCCCCCCTCTGACGTATAGTAGCATGTCACCGAACTGCATCGGAGAAGTATAAAGTCAGGATTGTGATTTTTTGGCATGTCACTGCCAAGACATTGCGCCAATGAACTTTGAATCGTTGAGCTCCATTTTGCTTCTTGCCGGAACCGTGGAAATGGCTCCAGCACACCTAACTCAATAACAAATGTAGACCAGGCCATACTGTCCATCTCAACGGTTACTTTGATCAGATCGATAGATCCATTCCACTGGAATCTATAGTGCACTGCTCCCAAACAGGCGGGTTCGCCAGCATCGAGCCTTCTGGTAATATGTGGCGACAAATCGAGAACCACTATTCACTAATCTCCGCATCCTTCCGGCTATAGCAACTGAGAAGCCTTCTCTGCTTCACCCCTGAGTATGCTGATGGAAGGAAAATGTCGCTCTCGCATATCTGGCTGGAGGCCCGGCGTTAAGAAATCGGGGCAACTGGTGATTTCGAGGACGTATTGGAGGCACGACGTATTGGAGGCACGTTTTGTTTGATATCAGTGAATCGATGACAACCCAATGGGGCGGTGGACATGATATGATGAAATTTGGAGCTGGGAGAGGTACGTGCACTGCACTGCCAATACTTAACCAACCCTAGACTGCCAGAGGAGTAGAAATGATTGTTTTAGAATTCCAAACATAAAACACAGCTTACTAAAAAGATATCCCGCCACTCTGTCTGTGGAGAGGTTCATACACGTCTGAGGTGCACTCCTCTACCCCAGAAGTCCCACTCAGGCTTGTTGACGCTAAAATGAACACAAATCACAGGCTGAGACATCGGACACAGGCTGTGGGGCAATTGTGAGCTACGGCGCTTACCAACTGAGCTACGGGGACGGGATTTGAATAATTTACTTCTCCTGCTCTTCTTAACCTCACTCATTTCCCGATTGGGAATACCAACACATGGAGTGCCTGGGATCGATTCATCCCTTTCGCATCTAAGTATGATTTTCTTATCCACTGAATGACCCTATTTTGATAATGCTACATATATACAAAAACATTCTCTGAATGATAGGCTCAGTAGGTCACCATCACCATTATCTTTGGGTTGTCTCCAATGCATATTTCTGTATCACACTTCTCATAATACTTGGAAGCTACGAGCCTCGTCAGATGAAAGCCTTCTTATTGTTGGATTATGATTTACAGCAAAGTGCCTTGACATTGGTTTTTTATCCACCGTGCTGATTTCGGCCTATAGATATTTCAATTCCCACAAATGTATCCCGCGTTATGCAATTAAACTCTACAACCACAATCTCTGCCTATTTTGGTTCATTAAGGCCCGAAGAATCGTTTGATAATGATGTTATAAGAAGTAGTCACGGGTTTTCCTACGAAGAGACATATACCATCTGCAGAGAGAAGCCTAGCCGTGAATACAAAAAGGGTGACTAGGAGAGTTCTCCAGAGACATGAATTCTATACGCAGAAATTTAATCGCAAGATAAGTTCAACGTCAGAAATCGGAGTAGTATACGTAGAATGCTGGAGGATAATATAAACTACGAGCCACGACCCATCATCCCGCACAACAAAAGGTCAAGACCCACTCTTGCACCGAATCAAATGTTCGACAGACCTTGGATGCGACGGGGTTGAAACCAAAGACAGTTGCAATGAAAAATGTGTATATATGTCCGCAAATTCAAAATTATGACGCTACAAAGTAATCACAATATACCATAACAAGGGAATGATCGTTTCTCCGTCTTTATAATCACTGCTTCTGCACAACACGAAGCTAATCTTTCTTGCTACTTCTACTTCTGCGAGTTAATGTTCAGCTTTCGTGAATTGGGGGTTGTGTGGCGACTCATGATTTTTCATTGGTGTCAACAAATACTTAAACTACGGAGAATCTGACCAGCCATCCAGAGCAGGAAAGATTCCATTAAGAAAGTCATAGCTAAACTACATACATTGACGAAAATGTTGCACACAACTAACCTGGTGACAGCGTCAAAAAAGGCGCTCACTCATCAAAATCAGATGGAAGACTTTCAGCCCAGCCGAAAATCCTGTCAATGCCTACGCTCTGTTCATTTGAACGAGGGAACTTTTTGTAGCTAAACTCTACACCAAGGCGAGAGTAAATATTAAGCCAGACAGAGCAAGAAATGTGGAGGTTAACATCAGATATATGACAGATGATGCCATCGTGAGACCCAATGGATTGGCGACCCAGCAGACTGAGAAAGGCCCGGGCGTGTTGAATACGTCGGGCGAAATCAGGACACTGCTCACAAGCCTCTTCACAACTGCGGAGCATAATGTCCGCTTGATTGATCATGTTTGTGAGGGTGGAGACTGAATGGGCTACCCCTCCAGTTACAATAAAGGGAATGGCACGGGCAGCTATCAACACGAGCGCAGCCGTATAGATGTAATCGACGCGCTCGCTCAAGGTGACAGCCTGCAAGTTGTCATCTTGGCCATTGCCTGAAGGGGCCCACAGCGTCTTGATTATGTCTTGAGCTTCATCCAGACACTCCACGGCACAACCACGGATAATGAGGAGATCCATAGGGGTAGGGGCAGAATCCATCTCCCGGGATGACATGTGAGGCCTGGTTTTGCACTCACACGCATGTAGGAGGCGGGTGTACAGAATCAAGTAGGGACGGTGCTGACGGAGGCGAAAATACATATATCGTAGATGAGTGAAGACGCACATGCGGCGAATGGTAGGGTCTTCTTCTGTTAATGATGTGATATCGGGGCCTTTCCATCGTAGGCATTCGGGAAGTGATGCTTCCCATTTCGACAATTCCGTATCGAGTGTCGAGTCACGCAAATCCACACTGGAAAGCCATTTCATAGGACATTCAGGTCGCACCACACGAAGGTCTTCTTCCAGGTGGACGAGTTCATTGGCGTATTGATAGATATTGGCGGAAGCTTCAAAAAAAGCGGAAATAGCGTAGGCACTGTCCGTTGTAGCGACAGACGCTCCCATGTTCTCCTCGAGAGTCGACCGTCTTGGCATGCGGTCATATGGGGACAGCTCATCGCAAAATCCAACCTGGAGGCTAATGGAGATCTTCGCCATGCAAAGGGCTCGCCAGATGACACGGCACTGCTGACGCGAATCATCATCTACGGCAAGGTGCCCACCGTGGGGGTAATGCATGTTGAACCACTGCGCTTTCACAATGACCATGGAGGAGATGTACAACGACTCTCTCAGCTTTCCAGTCATGTGCAGGTAGCGGATTTGCAAGATTCGCATCTTGAACCATTCCAGGGTTTCCACTCCTTGTGCATCGTTTTCTACCTTTTTGGTAGCAGCCTCATACCACTCGACAGCGTTCCACAACTGACGGTCACGTGTGAGGAGGGAGGCAATTGCAAAGCAAAAGCCAATCGTGGGATCAATCTTTTCATAAGTAAGATAGCCATAATCCACAGCCAGACTGAATGTGACATTCAGCTGGTCAAGATCAAGGATCGGAAGAATGGGAGCCACCTTGTCGAGGAAAATGTTCAGCAGTTTCTTAGGTATTTCGGAACCAAAGGCTTGAGTTCCCGGTGCGGAACGCTTCTTTGTGACTGGTGCGACTGAGCGCGAGGGTCTGACGGTAGAAGCTAGCATTTCGGTAGAAGCAGGGTGGTCAAGAGGTTGTGCGCTAGCAGACAGATGAGGAGTTCGAAACGAAAACGCAGGTGAGGGGTCAGACCTCATGGCTGTATCAACCGGATTTTCTGTGGGGGAGCGATGATTCGAAGGACCCGGAGTGGTAGTAGGTGCACTGGCAGCGCCAGTTTGAAGCACGCCTTGCGAAGTTGAGCGGTTGGAAGTAGCAGCTTGAAGGTTCGCGCGACGCTGCGCCTCACGTGCTCTATCCGAGGGGATAAGGCACTTCTTTTCGTCGGCAGTAAACTTGCGCATCTCGTCTTCAGTCAATTCAGCGATATCAACGACAGGATTCAGCGTGGAAAGATTGGATTCCAACGCTGATGAAGATTGTTGAAAACCTGATGGTATATCAAGGCACAAGGAGGAGGAAGAAGGAAGGTGTGTTGTGGTTGGAGAGAGTAGAGAAAGAAGACGTGAAGGTGAACGCCTTGTTGCTTCTGAAGGCAAAGCTGGTGTCTCTGGGGAAGGAGCGAAGGGAGAACGCGAAGACTTTACGGGCACCTTCCTCGCTGTCGAATTGGTGTCTTTCTTGGAGTCTTTTGTCGTGACTTCTCTGCTGGGTTTTGGACTATCCTGTATTGGTTTTCCATGAACTCCCTCGGGATCCAAGAGCTGTGCAACCTTCCTCATCATCCAACGGTCCAAAGGAGAGCTGTTGGAGAGAGCAGTAGTGATAATCTCGCGCAAAGATTCGAATTCAATGTCACTCTCGTACAACCCGTAAGCAGAAGGATCATCAACGATTCTCTCAAGACGACGGAGTAAGAGCAGATTGAAGTCTGAAGCTGACTTGGATGAAGACAAGCACTCTTCAATGCAGATGGTAAGTTCAAGACTTTTCTTTTCCTCCGAACTCATCAATGGGCCGTACAAAAACCGTTCCAAGCGAGTGAGAAGAGCACGAGAAGATCTGCCGCCTTTTTCAATTTTGGACGCACAAATCTCCATGAGTTCATCCTCGTCAAGCCAGTCATCGGCCATCGAAGGATCTTCAGGGCTGGGCTTTGAGGGACGTTCAAGCTTGGCTTTCTTGAGAAGCTTTCTGATGAGCTGTAGACAGTTTGCAGGGAGATTGCGATGTTTTTCTCTTTGGATGTTGATCTCGCTTGTCAAATCGCAACGGATGAGCGTCTCATCTCCTCTGATGGTTGGAGATGGGCTGCGTAGTAGTTGTCGACGTGGAGTTTCATGAAGCAGACTGTGTACAGCCGTAGGTTTATTGTCTTCCAATGCGGACTGAGCTGGAAGATTGACGGGGACGAACGATGCTGTCCTCGGCCGCTTTGGGGATTGTTGTATGGGCCGTACCTCTTGCCCAGCCCTGTAGTCGAGAATTGAGACAGATTCAGGATAGCCAGACGTGATCTGAGTATCATATGTAGGAACATATGGCAAATCTGGCAGCCTGGGTCGTTTGTCACCTGTCTTTGGGCCGTCAGATGAATTTATGCTCAAGGGGGCTGGGGACAGTCCCATGTCTTTCGCAGTGCTTCCATTTTGAGAGGCCATGGCTGAACCACTATATGATTGTTGTAAGTATATCTTCTCGTGGTCAAATTGATGGAACATAGGCATACATAGACGGGGTGCGTGTCTGTCTCCCATATGAGCAATGATCTTGTACTCCGAACTCCTTGCAGGTTCCGCAGACTAAACGGAGGGTTAGTTGATTGCAGTCATATTGAATACATCTCCGTGAGTACCTGGCTGAACACGGTCACAGCGCGTGTGTCTCCTGTTGCAAGCGGTGCAAGCGTTTGGTGCACTGACGCTGTCAGTTCTAGATGGTGGAAAATCAGTCTTTTGCCGTCTCACAACATCTATTGCAGACAGAAGCATACACTGGCGTTGCAATTGGCGTGGAGATCGGAGGGTTATCTCCTGGATATAAACACTCTGCTCCATGGTACTTGCAGGCGGCGCAAGCTACATAGGTAGTCAGTTGGCAAAAGTTGTATTTCGCGATGGATCATCAAATCTGAGAGCATGCTTACTTGGTCGAGTGCGATCACATCGCCGGTGTCGCTTTTTACATGTGAAGCAATTGAGTCCCAGTGGGTTAGAAGAATGGGATGATGGCGTAGCCGACTGTGACTGAGACACGGAGGCATGAATTGGGGTATGTTCGGCCATAGCTGAATCCATCAGATTGAAGCCTGAGACAATCAGATAGTACTGGTCATTATATTAGCGGAAATGATCCAGACAGTAGATGAGCCAAGGTACTTGTATCTGAAAGGTCCAGCAACGACTCATATCAGACGTGTTCTCACTGCGTTGAGCTCAGGGATCATCCAGACGCAACAAAGGCCCGATTGACAGAGATTTAGAAAAATACTTCAAATAGCGTTCCAAAGTCCAAGGTAAAAGACCCTCAAAAAGGATGGATAGACAGCGCATAAAAGAATCGCAATCAAACGTTAATTGACAGTGTCGCTAGACCTTTGAGACGGAATGTGATAAGAACGGGTCCGTTTTTGCTGTGCAACGATTTCCTCGCTGAGCAGGACTCACCGGAATCGGACACAATGACCAACTATGAGGCCAGCAAACTGATCTAAATCTAGATATCCTATCAGCCAAGACTCATCAAATATAACTAGTGTTTTTGAGGTATGTAGGAATTTAGGCCGACGGCGGGAGCACCAGCGTAACAACCATATGCGAGTAAGGTGAAATGAGACTGAGATAGACTTACCAGCTAGAGTTGACGATAGAAAACTCGAAGTATTGATGGAAAATGTATGGCAGACGCGTAGAAACGCGTAGTACTTAGGCGGGGATGATGATCGCAGATGGAAGATCGGTCGCGACCGGATGGCCAGACGGGCTAGATTGAAATTGATAAAATGCAGTGTAAATCAACAATGCAACTTATTAGCCCAGAAACTGTTCATGATAACATCCCTTGTGAGTATCAAGGTCGTGATGATACAAAGAAAGTCTTAGGGGAACTAGGAATCCCGCACTTACCGCCTAGCGTCCGTACTAGCCTTGGCTATATTGACATGTACAAAGAAATGAAACGATTTAAGTTGATGGCAGTTTATAGCGAATGATCGGTCTCTCTAGAGATATTTATCAATATGCCTATTTGTGCAATGAAAGGGATTTATCTTAATATGAAGCTTTATTGCGGACGATATAAAAATTAGTTATATAGAACATATGGCAAATTCCAAGCACAACTGATATAATCTATCTTGAATAAGTAAACAAAAAGGTCGTGAGTAATAGGAATCTGTGGTGACTAGAGATTTGCTAATAAAGTATTATGTATCATAGTTATATTCGAGCAAACTTAGCCCCTACCTGTTTACCATTAGAAAGAATTTAAGGAGGCGCTCTCAAAGAAGCCATGAACGACCTGATAAAGACACTCAAAGAAAGCAAACAATAGAGTCATAATAAAGTGATAGTTCAGAGTGTCAGCACACTTCGTTAACAGAATGTACATATGTATGTTGACCACTCAAATGCTTCTCCAACACATCAAGAGAAATATTCAGGCGCTTGAGTGACGAGTTCTCCTGGTCATCACTGTAGGTAGCCATGCCGTACCTCCAAAGAATCAATGTTGTGATTGGCTCGAAAAGCTCATTATCGGCGAAATCAATGCACTGCCTGATAACGGCACGCTCTTCGGTGGTAGTTCCTAGTAACTGGTCGCTTACCAGTTCGGTTTCAGCCACGAACCGAACAATCGCGCCGGACTCAAGAAGTTTGAGACCCTTCCTGCTCTTGAAAGCTAAAACGTTGCCCAGCGGGAAATCGGAAAGACATTCAGCAGATTTGTTCGTCTTGCCCATAACAAAGTCTGGTCTAACCCCAAGAGTTCGACCGTTCAATACGGCCACGGCTTGAACCTAGCCAGCCATAAGCAAATAATTGTTAGGTGAGAAGAGGCGAGGTACGAACGCACCTTCTTTGCCCATGGGTAAATATCAATCCGATTGACGCCATTATAACAGCTAAGGGAGGGTGAATTTTGGAGGTGAGTGTGTATGGTGCGCAATCTGAATATTACACGTGAATGAGGATGGTGTACATGCACTTTGCTCTCGGATTTCGTGCCATTACACTTGCAAAATAGTATCTAAGCCGAGGAGCAATGCTTACCTACCAGAGAAGTTACTCATTGCAGAATACTGAGATACAGAGGAGAGAGAGAGAGAGAGAGAGAGTGTGTGTGTGTGTGTGTGGCTGCAGTCATTCTGCGGGTGGAAAGATAGTACCATCATATTATACCCTAACATTATCGACGGCGTATAGGCGAGTGTCTCCGACATCTCTCTTCTGGGTATCAATCCACTCATCCGCCACAGCTGATACTAGGCTACGAAAGTCCAATTCATTCCTATCCACTGTTAAACTAAACGTTACAACGGAAATATAGCTCCTTATGGTCAAGCTTCCGAGTTTATATCACACTCACTCAAGTAATGCGTAACGAGGCATAAAAATTGCTAAATAGTTGGTGGATTACTGGCTCCAGAAAGGTCGGGAGCTATTTAACGGGACAGGCGCCTGTTTAACCAGATCGCAGAGGAACCTTCACCGATTGCATTTGCAAAGTGATTAATGGGGAAGATGTTCTCGTAAAGATCTTGTCTGTCGACCCAAAGAACTATACCGACGCGCCGACCGAGGCGATCCGCCGCGTTTTGTCAATTTACTACAAAACTGCAATTCCACGAGGCTCTGAAATAGACCTTAAGGATGTTAGTAAGCACCATCACCGGAAAACAGGGTACATCGGGCTTTAATGTGATGTCTTAATATACTCTAGCGGGGATACAAAAAAAGCCTAACCTCTCCTCAAACCTGCAGCGTCAAAACCCCCGGCCGATAAGGCAGCAAATTATAATCCTCCCCATCACTGGACGGATCCCTCCCCTGATAAAGCAACTGTAGATTACAAGCATCAACACCCATTGTTTGGTTTGCCGTTACCCTTACCAAATCCCCATGGCTGATATCATTCGTCCAGCTCGCACCGCTATTTGCCTTTCCAGCAAACGGACTACTCTCTGTCCCCGCACCCTCCTGCACCGTCCACTCTCCGTCTAGCCTATCCGCCGTAAAAGATCGGAAATACCGCCCTTCAGACCCCATTGCCTCGACGATCATCAGGAAACTTGTGGTAGTCGCACCTTGGATGGTATAGACCTGGACTGCTTCGAACAGGTTGCTGCGGGAGTCGGTGAGGATTGTTTCATATTCAGCTCCAAAGGATCCAGGGAAGGAGGAAAGAGACATGCTGGAGCGGTAGATATTACCGTTGTCCCCGGCGAAGAAGAGATACATGTTCTCATCGTCGCCAATGACCGTTTGATCGATCACCCCCGTACCCGAGTCAGAGATTGTCCCGTTAAAGAGCTCCTGCGCCCCAGACCAGCTGCTTACATTGGCTGGGTTGGTGGATGTCTTATACGAAAATGATGTAGATCCCCATTGGTATGCAAGGATCCAAATGTCTTTGGGGGAGAAGTAAAAGAGGGTTGGTGCGACAGTTCTGGATGTCATGATGCTTTGGCTTGCGACGGCCATATCACTCCAATCAGTGAAGATGCCGAAGTTGAGTGAGCCGTAGTTCGAGGAAGAGTCAACGTAGGATGCGTAAACCAGGTGTTGGTTGTTATATGGGACGGCTGTGAAGTCTTTCAGAGATGCCAGGCCAGACTGAGGGTCTGCGAGGGCGCCAGTTGAGGTCCAGTTGTAGGTTGAGGGGAGATCACATTGTGCTAGGATGTATGGGAGGCATGCTAGCAGCATAGCGCTCGACGTGAGGGTATGAAAAAGCTTTGGGGTTCTCATTGTGGCGTTTTATTTTACAATAGTAAGCCACAATTGACGTATGGAATAATACAACATTCTGAGTAGCGCCGATGGGAATGGCTATATACCCATATTTACGGAAGTGTGGTGCATGATCACGGAATAATGGATAATTAACTTAGGCTGTTGATGAAGCCAAGATAGAATAAGAGTGATTAATCTCGGCAGTCGTTTATTACAAGCCACAAGTGGGGGTTTGCTCTTTCTTGCCACGATTAGTGTGATTTAGAGTAAATTAAACATTGTGCGCATTTTTATGGAGTTATCTAGTAAAACCCACGATATACCCAAAGACCGCATATCTAGATCTATGTATTTACGGAAGTGTGGTGTATGATTACGAAATAATGGATAATTTACTTAGGCTGTTGATGGAGCCAAGATGGAACAAGAGTGATTAATCTCGGCAGCCGTTAATCATAAGCGACAAGTGGGGGTTTGCTCTTTCTTGGCACGATTAGTGTGGTTTAGAGTAAATTAAACATTGTGCGCATTTTTATGGAGCTATTTAGCCTGTAAAACCCACGATATACCCAAAGACCGCATATCCAGATCCCCGTATTTACGGAGATGGAGGCAACCGGAGATCTGAATATTTATAGTCTGTATTTAAATCCTTTTTAAAGGATGTATATTTGGCTGCTAGGAGGTAGAATACTTTCATTTGTGGTGGAGGGGCAACACGCTTCAAGTTCCCGCTATTCTTCGATGGGCAACTATCGAAAGTGCTGATCAGAATTATCGTAATGGTCTCATTGATAAAAGAAAATCAGCCGAGGGGCATTGTCTCCTGATCTTCATTGCACGCAATTCTACTGGATGGCTTTAGACAATCAAACAATATCAATTAAAGTCATCCTTCTCCATTGTCTTGAGTTACAAACATAGGGTGGATATTATGCAGCGTATGTGACGTACTCTGGTTGACTTCCGGAAACCTTTCAGTTCAATAAGATTTAAAAGAGTTATGATACTTGGAATCCTGCCTGTATCAAAATTGATGCCATTCCTAGGCTGGCTAGCTAGGATTTTCTATAGCCACCCCCTGCTAATACAGGCTGGCACCTGAGCGTCCTCATATCCGGTCATGATTAAATATGGATCATACCATCTAAACTTGCCCCTAATTGGTCTAAGTGGGTCCGTTCCGAGTGCCGATCACCACCACGGCCCCCAATCACAAACCCCATGCGGATAGAAGTGCTTCACCCTCGGCGCTCATTAAGGGCGACAAAACCGGAGTCCTCCCTTTTTATTGAGGACAAAATCGGATATTTATCCGGGTTATTTGCCAGAACTATGACGCCGCGTAGTTATACTTTAGTCAACTTCGTAAGAGGAGAGACACATCGCATTGAGAAAAAATGAGTATATAATATTGCTTGTCTTCCTAGATTCTATGGTCATAGCACCTTCATCCCATGACAGTAATTGACAAATACTACCAATGGTTCCTCTTCATTATCTTCTATTAGCCCTCGCTAGCCCCCGGGCAGTGCTCTCCGCGAGCTCAATTGAAGTCGATACCAGTTCACTTTTGCAACAGATCCATGGCTTCGGCTTTTCTCAAGCATTTGGGCGCGCCAGCGAATTCAAGGCTGCCGACGATGATCTGCAGCAGCAGGCTCTGGATCTCTTATTCAATACGGAGGTCGGGGCTGGATTCAGCATTATCCGGAACAATATTCCATCTACGTCTGGGAGCACCATTGAGCCAAACTCCCCTGGTTCGCCATCAGCCACGCCCAATTACACATGGACCGGTGACGACGCCGGACAAGTGTGGTTTACCAAGCAAGCTGTTTCTTATGGCGTGTCGACTGTCTATGCGAATGCCTGGAGCGCACCGGGGTTTATGAAAACAAGTGGAGACGAGGCAACACCAGGGTAGGTCAACCCCTCAGGCTCCGAGAATTGTCAGCTTCAATACTGACGCTTTACTCCCTTAAGATATCTTTGTGGAACAAACGGCCATGATTGTACCTCAGGGGACTGGAGACGAGCCTACGCGAACTATCTTGTTCAGTATGTCAAGTTTTACAAGTCCGAAGGGCTGGACATCACCCATTTAGGGTTTCTGAACGAGCCTGACTGGGAGTAAGTGTAGCAATGCTGTTGGAATGATCTTGATATGTTTTGCTAACCTTTCCCGTTCTTTTTATTTAGAACTGGCTATTCACAAATGCAGATCAGTCCGAATGCAACGGAGGCGATCTCGTTCATCCCAATTTTATACGATGCTGTCCAGAATACTAGCCTAGATTTAAACATCACATGCTGCGATGCCGTCGGCTGGTCCGACCAAGAAACTTACACAACAGCGCTTATAGCTGCAGGAATGGACAAATATCTCAATGTGATCACATCCCACATGTACACCAGCGATGCTACCTCCGCTCTCAACACAAGCCTACCCACATGGATTACCGAATCCGGCGTCGAAACCAGCGATGCCCCCTTTACCACCACATGGTACGACTCTGGCTCCCCTAATGAAGGCATGGTCTGGGCAAATAAGCTCGCAACAGGCTTCATCGACGCTGGACTTTCCGCGTATCTGTTCTGGGAGGGCTTCGAGATCAACGAGACCCAATCAGCGAGCCACCTAGTTGACTTGGGCTCTGACGGCGAGGCTGAGGGCTCTGCGATATTGTATGCATTTTCCATGTGGTCACGTTTCATCCGTCCCGGGGCTCGCAGGGTCTCGACCATCGGATCGCTTGAGAATGTAGCAACGGCGGCTTTTATTAACTCGGATGACTCGGTGGTTGTTGTTTTGACGAATAGTGGTGATGTGGCGCAGACTGCTCGAATTGGGTTTCCTGCTGAACTAGATGCCGCGGATGCTTGGGTTACTGATAACAAGCACCAGGTTGCAGTGACGAATGTCACTGCAAGTGGTGCCAATGCCGAGGTCGTTGTTCCAGCACAAGGCGTGGTCACCATCAAGGTCAATTAAAGAGGGATGATGGAGGCTTGGACCAGCTATCAAATGAATGAAATAGGTTGGGTATATTTGTACACCAAACTAATCTCCATTTGTCCATCATATGAGAGTCAGATGTACCCAATTCTCTAAGTGGTATTCCTGCGCTCTAAATTGTTAACAATCAGGGAGATTAAGGTATTCTTTTTGGTAAAGTCCTGCACAAGCAGTGGAGATTGCGAGTGGCAGAACGACAGCCTGCTCAAAGCTCAAGTTATCCGGGATTGCTGCAGCTAGAGCCTGCGACACAATTTCACTTGGTCAGCCTCACACAGAGGAGTTATTGTAGGAAAAGGACTTACGCAACCACTCTCTGGCCTTTACTGAAGCGTGTTACCCCAGAACCAACAGCCTCCACAATACCAACCGCATCTTCACCCAAGATAAATGGGTACGTATTCAGGTAGCGACCATGGGTCCTAAAAATTAGTATTCCTGAAATAGAGATAAATACGAGAGGAACACAAACTAGATTTTCCAGTCGACGGGGTTCTGCGTTTAGAATTAGCAAGGGATAGTAAGTTTTCATGATAAGGTTTCTCACTATGGCCACAGCTGCATTCTTGATGATGATTTCTCCAGGACCTGGGGTAGGCTTGGGTCCATCGTTGACAGCAAAGGGGTAAGCGCCGGCTTCAGTAAGCCACGCAGCCTGGTTTTCCGCCATTTCTTTTGGTTCGTGTTAAAGGAAGCGTCAATTCGAGAGTGGGAAAAATTAGCTGCAATTTTGAAGTCAATTGCTGCACAGGAATCAAAGTGTATTTATACGCAGATCATTGGGTTACTACTAAAGGATTACGAAGAAACGTAATTACGGAATCCACATTATTTTCATTCGATGTACATGAGCCCGGACTTAACGATTTTATCCTCTTACATCCGGTCGACGGACTTCTGATGTGGGTTTCATACATCATAGATGCTACTAGAAGACAGCCAGATGAATAATACCCCTCAGATTTGAAGGAGGGCCGAAGCCAAATGATAGATATGTAGAGATCGCATTTCCTTCTTCCGAGAAATTTCATATTTGTTCGGTTTCGAGCTCCTACCTACTTCAATCCGTAACTCTTTCCCTCCAAATCCTCTTCTGCCTAATTCAAAATGCCTTCTATCGCGAATAAGTCGGTTCTTGTGATAGGCGGTTCGTCCGGTATCGGCTACGCGGTTGCAGAAAAGTGTCTCGCAGAGGGCGCAAAAGTCCACATCGCGTCGTCGTCCCCCTCGCGCGTCAATGCAAGCGCTTCCTCTTTGAAACAAAAATTCCCTAAAGGGGAAATTTCTGGTCATGTTTGTGATCTTGCTGATCGCAACGTGGAGCAGAACCTTGAAAATCTCCTAGGAACTATGAAGCCCCTTGATCATATTGTGTTCACCGCTGGTGATGCACTTGCCATCAAACCTCTGGAATCGATTGACCTCGACGCCATTCAACGAGCTGGACACCTTCGTTTCGCTGTTCCTCTTCTGGTTGCCAAGCTTGCGCCCCGTTTCTTGAACCCTGGCTTCCAATCTTCTTATACTTTGACTACTGGTGTCGGTTCACAAAAACCGTTCCCTAACTGGTCTATGATCTCTGGTTATTTGTCGGGACTCCACGGAATGACTCGTAACTTGGCTCTTGATCTTAAGCCGCTACGAGTGAATTTGGTGAGCCCTGGTGTAGTTGATACACCTCTCTGGGGCTCCGACGGTGTTCCAAAAGAAATGAGTGGATATACAACTTTGGGAAAGGTTGGCACGCCTGAGGAAGTTGCAGAAGCATATTTATACCTTATGAAAGACACAAATGCCACTGGTAGCTGCATTAGCACCAATGGAGGGTCACTTTTGCTGTAATGGATTTGGCTGGCTGGTCTGTTGTTTGTTTGTTAACCAAGCTATCAATCAATCAAATTTCTGTCAACCTGTTGGAGCCTAGTTAGTATGGCATGGCTATGCAGGCGCATTGTTCAATTCATGTTCACCTTGTATCACACCTAGAGTGGTCAGCTCTGGAAGTCGCTCGGGAGTTCGATGAGAGTTCTATATTTATCGATGTTTTGCCGTTCCAATTGCGAGTAATATCTTTGAGATCCTAGAATTGTTCCTTTCAACAACTTTGCGTCTCCAGAAATTCCAGCATGCGGAGTCGGAGAATAACGACAACGACGAACAAACTGGCCAACGGGCCATGGACACAGGTGTGGAAGACGATGGGTAATCAACAACGAAGCAAGCGAAACCGGGTGTCGAGAGGCCCGGTGACAGTCGACAAACATGCTGCACTAATAAACTGGTCAGCAAGCAACACAACACGAATTGAAACGGAGGCAAGGGGAGGAGGGGTTGGTGATGCGAGAGAGTGAATGATGGAGGATGGAAGATGGAGGGTGGAGGGTGCACTCCACGACGATCATTTGTATTAATTTCATATGTTTACGGGATGGAATGGGTTTTGGTTTTTGGGCTGGCAGGAAGGAAATGGGCTGATTTCCGCACTCTTTTCAAATCAGCATCTGTTGCCTCTTTGAGAGATTTGGTGCCTGCGAGAGTAGGTATCCATCCACAACCCAGCTCGGGCGTTTGGCTACGAGTTCTTGCTTCCGCTGGGGGAAGCGCCTGCATAGTCATACGCAACTAGTTAGACTGCAACAGGTTAATTGAGCTTTGATTGATTGATTGATTGATTGATTCCTTTCAACAAACCCATCCCACTTCTGGGACAAATTTTCAATGCCTTCGACGAATTTTTTGGTGGACTACGACGGAAAAAAAGTAGTATTTGATTATTGCGAGGCCCGTACATGTTTTGTTCCAAAGTTCCTGACTGGCTCTATCAGTAATATTACCGAATACTCCTTTCTACTAATGATACAAACATATCCTCCTCAAAAATTCAGGTCTTAGAAACTGGAATGAATATCATGTTTCATAATGATCTGATTTTCGTTCTAACGTAGGTTTCTTGTAACAGAAGATCATGACAGTGGTAATCGATCTCCTTGGTGGCAACTCTTGAGAGGAGTAGAATTCCTGGTGGATATCAGAATACAACATAGAATGAGAAAACGCTAAGCTGATTAGGGTCACTTCTGAGCCTTGAGCATATTTTAAGTAATCGCCCAGTGTTTTTTTTCTCTATAGTAAGCATGGCAAATTAATCATCATATTGCCATTTAGTGGCCACAGGAGGAGTTTGAAGAACCAATAGTAAATGCCAAGGAGACACGGCGATCTTCACATTGGCGAGTAACCTTCCGGTTCTGAACAATCAGTTCATTGCGCCGAAAATTCAATAAATCGCGATCAGAAATGCGGCCAAGCTCGCAGAGGCCAAGGCATTGGGGCTATATCTTACCTTGAGCAGAAGTCTTGCGTTCAATAGCAGACCATAGTCTCAAAATCTGATTATTATGCAAAATCAATAATTATATCTATAATTTAGGATGAAAGGGGTTGTCGAATAATTTACTATGATTGAAATGACAGCAACCAATCGATACCACTGATAATTCACCAGCAGGGAAGATCATTACGGACTCATTGCCTAGAATTGATCTAGCAGGCATTCAAGTTTCCGGTCTCTGCTGCTTTTTTTGCTGCTTACAGTGTAACGGCAAGCTTTTTTTGCGGAAACACCAGCTTTTTTGAAGATCAAGAGTCTTCTGTAGATCCTCTTATTCACCCCCAACGATGACAGTGTCAGTTTTAGCCTGAAATTTCCGCTTGCAAGTGCATTGGGTACGAAGTCACCCCAGATCTTCTCCCCTATTTTCTCGTTGTGTGAATAGACAATACCGTATGAAGTAATTAGTAATTTAGTAAGTTCCAGTCTAGTGCGGTAGGAAGACAACAGGATAGAGAACTACGTATTACTGATCTTTGGGTTGAAATCCTTCGCAGGATTGTTGCAAGGTAACACTGCGGTGATCTTGGCCGATTCCTTAAGACGTTTCACAATAGCTCGGAGTGGCTCGAAACTGCGCTCTTCACATTTTGCATCGTAAGTGGTGGCGATCTTGGACTCCTTAAGCTTGCTCAAGATGTCCTCAACGACAAAGCTAGACTTGTAGTCAGATACTGCACTAGCACCAAGCGACGGAACAACATCATGATTGAACTAGAAGCAGTAGCAATGAGAGTTCTGAGAGACGTTGAATAAGACCATTGCCCTCATACATAACAGACTGGCGACACACAACATCGAGAAAGGCACGGGCGCGTCGAATACGTCGGCCAAAATCAGGATACTGCTCACAAACCTCCTCGCAGTTGCGGAGCATGATGTTGGCCGGTTGAATCTGGTTTGTGAGGTCGAGACTGAGTAGTCTGGACCCTTGTTGACAATCAACGGGATAGCTTGGGCAGCTATCAAAACCAGGGATGCCGTGTAGAGGTAATCAATTCGCTCACTTGACGTGACAGCTTCCAAATTGTCGTCCTTTCCATTACCCGAAGAAGGCCACAGGGTTTTGATCATGTCTTGAGCAGAATGCAGACACATCAAGACATTTCCATGTTTGTGGTGGAGAATGGCAGGCACGTCAGACAAGCCAAACTCCTTAGCAGACATGATAAAGTGAAGCAAAATGAAACTAGAGTAAGAATAGGATGGAGAGAAGCTGGGAAAGACATAATTTGAATATGCAGGAAATAACAGTTTGCCCTGTATTCTGTCCCATTTCGTAAGCCTCATTCATCAGCAATGAAAAGCCCATTGGCTGTGAGATCGTGCGAGACGAGATATAACGGAATCACCGCTTTGCTTCCATGCTGCCGATTAGGTAGCTTCAAGTTCGCTTGTGAATCTTGGCCAGGGGCACAGGGGATCCAGAATAATATTTTATGCCTTGCGCATGACTTTGCTTTCACGGTATCGAGACGGATAGAAGAGGAGAGGAAATTCAAGAGAAAATGATCATTGGGTTTTGCTAGATAATGTAGCTTAGAGTGGTAGACAACCAGGTGAGATCTAGTTACTAATTAATTTCGGATATTGTGCTGGACAAGGGAAGGCGAATGTCGCGAGCAGAGCATGGGCATGTATAGACAAGGGATGCTCGAGATGTATTGCTGTGTCGGCATCTGTGTATAAAGAATTGTCTGGAAGCATCCGTGGAGTTGAGACTCAAGTCCGACCAGCAGACCATGTCAAAGGTACTAGACCCAATGGTGAAAATCAACGTCGTGGAGATTATTCTTTCTCTGCCTCTTCTACCGACCGCTCGAGCTCCTGCTCGGTCCATCGATGGAACAATTTACGTGCATCGGAGAGGTCGGCCTCCTTGGGTGATCCCTCCTGCACCGATTGAACGTGTAGCACGGGTACATCGAAGTCATAGGCATCCCTCCATGTTTTATTCCCGGGCTCCATGATATCTTTTTCGACGTATTCGAAGGACCGTCGTTTCTGAAACTGCAGGACAGTGTTTTTGGCGGTGTCGCACAGGCCACAGCCAGCGCGAGTAAAGAGCGTCAATCGGGCAGAGCCAAGTAAAGTGCGTGTAGGGAGCATGATGAAAGGATTATGCAGGAGGTAAGAATTGGACATCCAGGGAGATCGTGACGCGACTGGCGAATGCGGTCAGACAAGTTCTCCACGATGGAACATTCGAGCTTCCCCCGCTAAACCTTGTTGGGTAACCTGCGCCATTCTCTCTACAAGACTTGACTACAATTTCTGTTCTCTCGCTCAATTCTGTCGCCTTATTGTTATTTCTATACATCATGGCAGGAAAGTGCGTCCACAAGGCGTGTGGCAAGACCTTCACCGATCCCGAAGAAGAATGCGTATACCATCCAGGTCCTCCAGTGTTCCACGAGGGGCAGAAAGGTAAGTACCTTGGTGTTCAAGCTACTTCAAATCCGTGTCCCATAGGGTTCCCTTTAAAGGGCTTCTGGTAGACCATTGCACCCGTACTATGATACTTGAACTACTTTCTCGTTTATGCTATTCGCGACACTGCTGACTTCTCAGGCTGGAAATGCTGCAAGCCCCGCGTTCTGACCTTTGAGGAATTTCTCAATATCCCACCATGCACAGTCGGCAAGCACTCCACCGTAGACGATACACCTGCGCCTGAGCCCACCAAGACTGAAGAAGCTCCCCCTCCCCCGGTCGAGAAGAAAAACGAGCGCCCGCCCATAACCGCCTCCCCCGCCATTACCACCTCCGAGCCTCCCGCAAAGCCTGTCATCGAGGAGCCTGAGTCGGATGATCCTGATTTGGAGATCCCGCCTAACGCGACCTGCCGTCGGAGGGGTTGCGGTGCGACTTACACCGGGTCAACTGCTCGCGATGAAGAGAAGTGCGTCCACCACCCCGGTCAGCCAATCTTCCATGAAGGCAGCAAGGGGTGGTCATGCTGCAAGCGCCGTGTGCTTGAGTTCGACGAGTTCCTGAGAATCCCCGGGTGCACAGAGAAGACGAGACACATGTTCGTGGGCAAGGCCAAGCCCGCAGGTGAAGAGAAGGTGGACACAGTCAAGTGCGTATAGAACACACCAGACAATTGTCCTCGTCGATTCTACTCCATGAAGCTAATCTCCCTCGCTACTATAGAAATGATTTCTACCAGACTCCCACCGTGGTCAACGTCTCCCTCTACTTCAAGAAGATCGACCAGAAACGCGCCACTGTCAAGTTCACTGCCGACACGATTGTCTTTGACCTTCCTACGACAGATAACAAGCGGTACCAGGATACATACTCTCTCTTTGCGAAGATCGATCCCGAGCAGTCGACTTTCAAAGTGAAAGGCACCAAGCTCGACCTGCAGCTGGTCAAGGCCGACGGTACCAGCTGGCCAGTCCTGCGCAGCGATGACAAGTGGACTGGGCAGCGTATCCAGATTGGAAATGCTGGACACGCATGATTTATGGAATATGTAAAAAGTCGATAGAAAATGTGGAACGCTTATGACGGTGATGACATTGAGATTTCTACTACGGCAATTTTGAGCGTTTTACCTAGGCAGCATAGTATGTATGATCTTGTAGGATGTATCTTTCAAGACGTCTAGACCAATGCCAGCCACCTTAGCGACTCAACCAGCGAGACCCAGGTCACAACATGCATTGCAGTGGCGCAGCTCACGGCAATTAAGTGGTACAGTAGTTCGGCAAACCGATTGGTATATGCTGTCAAGCAAAACCCAACATTGTAGGTTTTCCTCATCGAGAAAGCTTCATGGCATCTAGAAACACCTCAAGAGCCTAGAAAGGCTTTTAAGACGATTGTTTAGAAGTGGCATCAACAAGTCCCAATATTGGAACATGTTTACACCGACCAAGAGTTACCAATTGAAAATCGTGAGAAATTCAATACTACGACCATTATATTGACCAGGTGAAACGCTGTCGCAAATATTCAAGTCAATCACATGGAAATGATTGAAAAAAAAGGAATGTAACGTCCTCTCCACAGCTAAAACCCATGGAGCTTCTCGAAAGAAACCCTAGTATAGCCATAAAGTGATTGGGAAAAAGAGAGACGCCTTTACTCTCCAAGGCCGGGAACGGAAGAAAACCCATGGAGGCCGAAGCCTAGGATAACCCTCAGCAAGCCACTGTGTGGAGCCATGTTGAAATTTACATTAAGTTATGTAAACCTCTACTGATGATGGAGAGAAAAGAAAAAAGATGAAAGGGCCGGGAGAGGACACTGTATTTATGTGAGAATTCCATTCTACGCTAGAGCTGATTGGGTGCCGGTGAAAGAGTTCTTCCATTTCGGTTGACTAACTTATTGCTTGCGATTAGGTAATTCTTTTCCTTTGTTGAGGGATTCCAATTTGAGAAGTATAGGGCTGAGGGTTTGGTCTGCTCATGTGACTTTGTTCTGTTTGCATCTTGCATGTGATCCCCCACTCCCAAGCAGTGACTTGAAATGCTTGTACATGGCAAATAAATAATACTTCGATATTGTTCGCCACATGCAATAAATGTACAAGAAACTACCTACAATATTGTACAACACTTCGTCATAGACCTGGTTTAAGACCAGGGGTAAAATAATTGAACTTAACTGACCGCCATCTACCATTTCCGCCACTGAAAAAAAAAAACCAAAAGGCTAATAGTATAGTGGCGGCAGGCAGTACCTTTTCCCCTAAGGGTACCCTAGGCCCCAGTAGGAGGTATCTTCCAATCATGGCTTGAGAGCACGAGACCTCTCCTCATGTCTCATTAACCTCCCCGCCATTGCGCTTTCATTTATTCATGACCCCTGAAATTTTTTTCCTTTATGTCCGTCCTACTCTGCCCTTAATACATAATCCGCGTTGCGCTCTTGAAGTTGTAACCATTTCCAAAAAAAATCCCGCGCTAGCAATCTGTCCTTGCGAACGTGTTCACATTATTGAACATTCAGACATCCGATCTAAAGGAGGCACTGCCTCGTTACGAACAACTTTGGACTAATTGAACAGACCAAGCTCATTACAATCCCCTCTACGACCTCGCCCCTTTTTTCGCCTCTCCACTCGACTGCATTCCACAATGGGTTCAACAGACACCCAGATGGCCATCACGCCAGACTTTCGATACATTCCGCTATCATACAGCCATGCCGACTCGCAGGCCTCCGCCCTGAGGCTGATCTTGACCCTGAATCCCCACTGGGAGGGTCCCGGAAACAACATCCAGTTTGTGCGGTTCACTGACGGCATCACCAACACCGTTTGTCTCCCCTCCTATCGCATTACAGACAGGACCAAGCCGCAATTTTTAAAGCGAATGAGCTAACACACCTTCTAGCTCTTGAAAATCATCAATCTGAAGCCCGGCCTGACAGAGGAACAAATAGACAACGAGGCGGTATTGATGAGGGCGTACGGAAATGGCACAGAGATCCTCATAGACCGTGAAAGTACGATCCCCCCCCGACGGACCTCGTCACCCCTTTATAAAAACAAAAGCCCCTCGCGACTCTTTTGCCCATTGCGACACATGCTGAAGTAGATATCCATTAGGAGAAACAAGGTCCCACGCTCTCTTAGCCGCTCGCGGCCTGGCCCCGCCCCTCCTCGCCCGCTTCAAAAACGGCCTGCTGTATCGCTTTATCCGCGGAAAGCCCTGCGGCCACTTGGACTTAGTCTCCCCACCTATCTGGCGCGGTGTCGCTCGCCGCCTAGCGCAGTGGCATGCCGCTCTGCCTAGTAGTGGAACTGTGGCTGTCAAGGATGACTCCGTTACTGAGATCGCGGACGTGGACGCTGATATCACGGTAATTCAGCCCCGTCGTGCGGGTCCGTCTATTTGGGCTGTTCTGCAGAAGTGGGTGCTTGCTCTGCCAGTAGCCACGCCTGAGCAGCGCGCCCGCCGTTTAAGCTTGCAAGCGGAGCTGCAGTGGGTTGTGGATCTGCTGGATGATGGAAAGGGAATTGGCGAGGATGGGGTATGTTGCGCTTCGATCGTTGATTCATTCGGTGGATTTGTGCTAATCGCTGGTTTTATAGCTTGTCTTCTCACACTGCGATCTCCTTTGCGCGAACGTCATCGTCCTCCCGAGCGAGAGCAGCACCCCGGTTCCCGAAGACGGCATCGCGCCCGTCAACTTCATTGATTATGAATACGCCGTTCCTGCGCCCGCCGCTTTCGATATTTCAAACCACCTTGCTGAGTGGGGTGGCTATGACTGCGACTACACCATGATGCCCACAAAGTCTGTGCGCCGCTCGTTCCTGACCGAGTACACCAAGAGCTACTGCGAGAAGCGCGGTCTGGACGCCTCATCCCAGGCAGAGATTGTCGACCGTCTGTGCGAGGATGTGGACCGTTTCCGCGGCATTCCCGGCCTTTACTGGTGAGTTTGGCGCGCACAGAAATCACAGCGGTGGCAGTATGCTAACAAATTTTCCAGGGGTGTGTGGGCACTCATCCAAGCCCAGATCTCTCAGATCGACTTCGACTACGCCAGCTACGCCGAGACCCGTCTTGGCGAGTACTACGCCTGGAAGCGGGAGGTCGACGGCAGCCGTAAGCAAGCCGGCGAGGAAATGCCGTTGCGCGAGTCGCGCTGGGCACAAGACGCGTAAAGCTTTCTATCCTGGTCTTTCTTCTGGTATCCTTCTCTGCGCCAAGATGATACACCAATCCCGCGAACCAAGCACCAGGATCACCAAAATAACCATGGTCCTGGGCAGATTTTCCCTTCGCCTTTACGTTCCAATTACGATACTTCTACGGCACTCAAGAAATTCAACAACATTCTCTGAGAAGACTGGAACCGATTAAACCGAAATATGAGTTGTGGTCCCGCATGACCTGCGACCACAGAAGAGGATCTTGTGCGACCGAGGGGTCTATAATGAGCAATCAAGGTATCGCTGGATCTAGTAGATGCAGTGCTTCCTAGGTAGGAGCAAAAGTTCTGGGATACGGATATAGATGTTGGTTTTTCTCTTTGCATTGTGTTGGCCATTTTCGCTCGATCGAGGTCTTATGTGTTGTCCTTCAACGAAGTCATAGCTGGGGTGTTCGAGGATTAATATGATCTATTATTTTATTTTTGGGTTATTTTGCCATTGGAGTAGCTGTAGAAGACTTTGATTATTGCTAAATCGTGTTTTTCAAGGTGGATAGAGATCGTGAACATGGTCATGTAAGAAAAATTCACCAACTTACATTTGTTCGAAGAAGTTATCATTTAAAGGCTCTATTTGGACAGATATATTTTGAAGTATCTTTCAGTCGATTTGGAAGATCATCTTTTTCTACTTTTGTATGTTATATTGAAAATATAAAATCACTCACTTTATGCAGAAACGTGTAGGTCGTCAACATTTATATATCCACCATATGTACTTTGTTCTCACGACTCCATCAACCAAAAAGAAAAAAAGAAAACTCATTCACCTAACGGCAAAAGCCATCCAGAACCCCATTTCCAAACCCGAGGGTCCTGAATCCCTTCGATCACCCCAAGTTTCCAATCCTCTCCGCCGCCTTTACCTCTCCAACCGATTCTACAAATCCCCCTCGAAAGCAACAGCTAATGTAGCAGTAAGTATCCTCCCCAAAGCCCCTTCAACTCTCCAGAACATCCATCAACACGCTCCTTCACAAGCCTAACCTTCCAAGGTTGAAACTCACTCCACCAAAGAAAAAAGTTCCAATCCTTCACCCCTAATCCCCCAAATCTGGACAATATCAATATTTGCTATTCTGTTCACCCAAATCCAAAAAGTGTCGTATTACACCGCAATAGAGTGGGAATGGACCCCATCTGCATATTCATTGGATGTTTGTGTTGAGGCTGATAGGGTAGCGGCTAGTAGTCTGTAGAACAATATTAGAGTTGATGATCTGACGGAAGATTTTCATAGCCGCAGGACTACTTCCAAGGTTAAACTGATCGCATAGAGTGGAATGACTTTGTCCTGAGATATACCTGTTTACAATTCATACGATTCTCTGCTATTAGCTGAAAACACACAATTCCTATTGTTTACATAATAGATAGACCATGTCTGTGGTGCGAATCTTTTTCGGGTAATATTTTGGTACATTTGATACATCTGACATCTTATTTGAGTCCTTCTTAATGCCACAGATAAAGAAAACCTATAATCATCATGTTATACAATAAGGAAATCACACTGTGAATCCCGGGATCGCTGTCGCGCCATATCAATCCAAGACGTATATGTCCCAGATTCACTCCACCAAGTCTCCAAGAACTGGAGGACACGCGCGCGATCCAGGATGCGACTTATGCGCATAACATTACCAAAACATTCCCGGATAACTTGTTGTCCAACCGGGTGTCCTCGGAGTAGAGTTCCTGCCGTGAAGAGCGGCCAGACCAGGTCCTGGGCGAACATGCCATCCCGAGTTTCAGAAAGGAACTGCACATAACGCAGGATCTCGTCGCGAGAAATTCCCACATCGTACGTACTGGTAGCGGTATCGGAATCTGCGAGAGCTTGATAGCTGTATATGAGAGTTGCGTGGTAATACATCCAGATAACCAGCTCGAATCCTCGCTGGTCCTCCTCAGATCCGAAATGGATGGTTTCGCTTAGTCGCATCATGTTATCCCTCGCGGCATCAATCTGCGAGTGGATATCTTGCATTGGGCCGTGCGATGATGGGGACTGTTCCACCAGCTCGGAGCGGAATTTGAGACGCTCCAGCCGGGTGATTTGATCGATGACCCGGATGTAGTCAGTGAAGACTGCGTTTTCGGCGCCGGTGGGCGGAGCCCTGGCTGTGCCATTGTAGTTGTTGAATGTTGTCAGATCGGCCCATACCGAGGCTTCGTAGAATTCCAGCATGAGAAACTCTTCGATACATGCCAGTTGGTGGGGACGATATGGGCGGCCTTTTGCCGCCAGGATGATCTCTCTCGCGGCAGACAGATGGACCCGCCATCCGGCGCCTTGCGGCTTCATGAACTCGTTGTTGCAGAGGATGATGACTGAGGCAAGGGTGTAGGCGGATGTTGTGCTTGCTTCCAATGGGGATGCAGGGGTTGTAGAAAGACCATTTAATTCTTTCGCCAGCAGAGCTAGGGACTTGTTTTGATAGTTTTTCGACATCTGCTGAAATGTTCCATGACCTAGGTCAGTCGGAGCGTACTCGGTTGCAAGATCATGAGCGGCAATCGCGAGAATAGAAGACATGACGGTTTCGGAGCTCTCAGCCATTGGCAGGATCATGTGGCGCCATGCATTCTGCTGCGGAACCCACGCTAGGCGATGCGCAACTCGCTCATTGAACCAGGATAGTAACCTTGAGACATGCAGCGGTCGCGCATTGGACAAACCAAGCTCTGCAATGGGAGACGAATGAGGCCCCAACGGCCCGAAACGCGCGGGAGTGAAATGGCTGCACCAATTCAGCGCATCTGCGTCTGCATTGGTTATACAGGTCTCAGTTGAGTTTCCCGTAGAAGGTGGCGGATTTGAAGTTGCTACAGGTGCACTTGGGGACGGGATTGCCTTGCCCCGCAGATTCCCGCGGCTGGCAACTCCCTGGACCCATTTGAGCTTAAGTCCATAACCTGGGCATTCGAGATTCCGCTTGCCGCATTTCCGGCACCCGGGAAGACCGCGATCACACTTGATACGTCGTCTTTGGCACGTCGGACAATCTGAATCGGTTAGAACCCCGCACTTGGCTTGAGAGCGGGTGCCTTACCTTTGACGGCTGTCTGTTCCGTAGAACGCGCGGACATTTGTCTATCCCATTCGATGATTTACTTGAGAAAAGAGAGCGTCAGTGGAGATGCATGTCATGTGATATCGTGAATGCTTTTTATTTTTGAGATTTTGATGCCGAACAAGAGGTCAAGAACTGGTTTTGATGGGGCTAATCCTATTTAGGCTATTTGATGGACAACTTTGCAGGCGAATGAAAACTCAGAAGACTGATTGGTTCTCAGTCATCTTGGCAAGTGGGTCAAATGCCGTTTTATATCTACTTGTGGATTTATTTTGCGATCCTTCGGCCTAGATCTTAACCACATGTCTAATTGCAACAATTTTTGGGAGCTGATGTGATCTTAGTGTCTGAAGGGTTGGTCATTGTTATGGCTAAGGGCATCTCTGAAACATAGTCGTGGCGTCAAACTGCATCTATGCCAATATCAGAGGTAATCTTGATCTAGCCGATTGAATGTTCGGAAAACTCTCTATTCTGGTAATTTATACCTAGGTATAGGTTGAATATGATCAGAAAGTATCAAAGCGAATGATGCAAACATATAGCTCCAACCCTGACATCAAACAGTGGTGGACAAACTCGAAATGTACTCCACAAGTAAATCCTTCATTTATGGACAAAGCCGCGATGATATGCACCTGTTTAACTTCGCCGTCTCATGTATATTATGTTAGGCATACCGCCAGTGCATCCTTGATACTTTTGGTGTCTTCGTTTGTAGATCGACGCCGCAAACCAACGCATCGTATCCCCTCTCTCTTGTATTCCAGAGGGCATACTATCACTTTCTTCAGATCTCGAAACTTTTCTATGTCGTTAATCTTAATGCATCACACAAAATCTAAGCTCGTTCGTTAGAAAATCCTAGTACTGTCGGTTAGATTCCCCTACCAAATTGAGCAAACCAGCTGTCGAAGTATTTTTGGATGTCCGCTTCGTTCTCCTTCGATGTTCCTTTTGCTACATCAAGACCTCTCTTGCGGTCTAATTCGTCTCTAAGATCAAAAGTTGCGTTTCGAAGATCACGCCACTGTTCAGTGAGCGATTTTCTAGCAAAGATTAAAGAGAATCGAACCCTACGGTCAAACTCAAGAAAACTATTGACAAAAGTGCTTCACACCAACAGGGTGACATATTATCAGGCCAGGTGAGATTTCTAACCGTAATGTTGGATCGGAGGTATGTTATGTTGGCACCCCAATTGCCGTTGCTCTTCCAGTAAAAGGCAATCACACTTGCATTGTACGTGGAACTCACTGCCGTGGACGCGGTGTGTGATGCATTATCATATAGAATCATTATAGTAATACAATAATGTGATTGTGACCTCCAGGAAGTAAGGGGATTGGATCATGAACAGTGTTTGGGTGATCATAAAAGCAAGGTGGTGGGTAGAGAAACCGGGGTAGTGATCACGAGGAAGAAAGCGAGATCCAAGGGAAAAAATTCACGCTGAACTATATTCCGGCGAGAAAAGATGCAAGGTAGTAGGTTGGGAATGTCTTCAAAATCACAAAGTAGTATGAAGTGGGAAGGTGGTAATAATTTCCTGGCTGGAATAGCTTGAATATCGCGAAGTGGTCAAGGACAAAACCACATCTCCAAAGATCGAATAAGAAGAATACCAAGTATAAACTAGATTAAGGAACATCGACATGAAAAAAATAAGTCTCCAATCACCCTGAAGGATGACCCCAGACCGGTGTGGGCTCGAGTTCAGGCATTGCCCAATATTGTATTGGAGCACAAGAGCACTAGCAGGTTCTTATGTATATCACGTTCGTCTCTGCCCGTTCTCCCCCTAGCATGCAACGGAAGACTAGGGACAGTGGGGTGTTACAGGAAAGACTCGCTGTGATACTGAGGGATGGAGCCCAAAGCGGAAACCAAGCATCTTACGCCTGGACCACTGGAGGAGGCTGGTAATGATGTTCCCCGATATTTGTTCCTTATAGGATTCTGGGGTATTTCTACTGGTGAGTCATGTTGCTATGAGGTCTTGATGCTCGGATATCTGCCTCCCTAGGCTCGGTAGAAACTTCAAACTTTGGAGAAACCATTGTCGTAGGACGGAATTCAGTACTCATTATTTTCGAAGCAATTGATTACTTCAATCATGTTTGAAAGTCAGCATCATCCCCCGGAGGTACTTTCATCTGAAGTAGCTGTTGAAGCCAGATAGAGAGCATTAGAACAGGCAGGCTCACTGCCCTCACCAACCACAAGAACAAAGATTGTAAGTTCGATTCCGGTTGTTATCATCACTCCGTTTACTTTCCTTCAACTATTCCACGCGCTCCGTTTACTTTCCTTCATCTGTTCCACGTTGTATCCTTTACCAAATCTTTTAGATTGATAGGTAGCTGCTCTGGTTATCTGGATCCAGACTAACCCCAGATCGAGGCACAACCGAGCCCTGGAGTGAGAAATTGCTTACGAGCCTTCAGGGCTGCCCATGTCATTGACTCGGACAGGAACAGCACCATACTACCACACCATGCAACGCAATGCTATGTTTGTTGATGAAGAGGTCAACCTTGGAACTTGTTAATCATTTGTTATCCTGTTTGCTTCTCACCCTATCCATAGACTTATCCGTTTAGTGTGTCCCTCCCATTCAATCTTTTGCAAGATAGAGATAGTTACCTAGGTAAAGAATACAGTTTCAGCCTTGACTAGCGCATGCAAGTTGGCCATGCATATAGACATCTAGATCTTATGCCTCAGGGACTATGTGCATAATCATGAATTGATTTCTCTTCCACGTGAATGATAACAAGAAGTACTTCATAATTAACCTGATTACTATCGATAAAGTAGTTAGCAATAGCTATAGAAACCTACGAAAAAGGATACGCCTATAGTTAAGTATAATCAATATCTTTAAGCGAAATGGTAGCGTGCAAAGAATATATTCCTAAGGTCTTTTACTGAGCTCCCTAACCTATAGCGGATAGTAATTGGCGCTGTAGCCGGTAGTGGTCGATATGTTCGATGAAGATGATTAAGTGGGTCCGTCCGTAATTTATATGTCAGATACACAAAGAAGTACTCATATCTAATGAAAGCATAGCCCTGAAGTATATCTAGTAAAGATAAGTCAAGTTGGCAGTTATAATATAATACAAGCTATGCTTAAATTTTATTGAAATGACTCTTTATTCAGGGACAATTTGCTCCTTGGCCAACGGGGCGAAACGCAGGTACGGTTTGACCACATGCATGTTTGGGAACCGGACTTTGGCATCCTCGTCATCAATACTGAAAGGGACGACCACGTCCTCACCGGGCTCCCAGTTGGCAGGGGTATTGATGCAATGCTTATCCGTAGCGAGTAAAGAGTCAACTACACGGAGCAATTCCGCCGTGTTACGGCCCGTAGAGGCGGGATAGGACTGGATCAAGCGGATGGTCTTGTTGGGATCGATGATGAAAACGGATCGGATGGTATAGGCGATTCCTCTGGCATCCACATTGGTGATATCTTGGTGATCCAGCCTATTTATACACATGAGTCCGTTACTAGGTTGCCTAGGTAGATGCGGGAAAAGAGAGGAAGCCACTTACATGTCATAGGCATAGGCGATTAAGCGGTCCTTGTCGCCAATGACGGGGAAGGTCAAGGGACATCCCGCTATCTCGCTGATGTCGTTGATCCAGCCATCGTGCGACTCGATGGAATTGGCCGAAAGACCGATCAGCTTGACGTGGCGCCTGGTGAACTCGGGCTCGTACTTGGCCAGCGCGGCCAGCTCGGTGGTGCAGACCGGGGTGTAATCCTCCGGGTGGGAAAAGAGGATCACCCAGTCGTTGCCTACCCACTCGTGAAAATCAATGGGGCCGATGGTAGTTTCAGCTTGGAAGTTGGGGGCAATCGAGCCGAGACGGAGACTAGAAGATCGACGTAGGTGTCAGTCGGGATCCAAAATGGAATTGGAGATGTTGGCAAGATTGGTGACCGATTTGAGTACACGAAATCGGAAAATGACTCCTGCACAGAAACGACGGTAAAGAATAGAATAAATCCGTGGTCTCTTGACTTGTGGTTGATGGAGTAAAACAGAAAGACGGCAGTGGAATGAATACTAACGTAGGAGGAGATACGAAAGCAGGAAATTAGAAGACTTACGGATTAGCCCTCGTTTCTTCTGGCATTGTGAGGCGACTGCTACTGTGCTCGAGCTATAAACAACCAGTTGGAAAAGTTACAAGAGATAAGATGAATCCAAGCTCAAGAATTGATAAAAGAGATAGATGTCCGCGGATGGTGGAGGGAAAGCTTAGATGGAGGGGTCTGGAAGTTGCCAGACCCAGAGCCAACCACTGATATTTCTCGGCACTTATTGTGCTGCTTTCCCCCACTCAAGATCTTGCTCCAGCTGCCACGAGCAAACAACCAATCAGAAGGAGAAATCTGTTCCACATCGTTTTAGTCTAATTCTTTTTCCCGAATAGCTTGTTTTCTTGCATCTTTTCCTTGTGACACAGTAATGTGAGGACAAGAATAAAGCTCGATGAAAGAATCGATCACGTTGCGATCAACTTACTAGGGTACATCTGTCATATTTACGACTGTCGTTTTCTGGTCGACAGGCTCTCCAATCGATTTCTAGTCTAACAGGCAATGCGAAAGATTCTCAGAAGAAGATGAAAAGAGAAGAAATAAATAAATTAGAATAACCGGTTTTTCTGGAATTCTGGTCTCGGTTCTTTCTCCCCGCCCGATCGCATCTTCTAACACACGCCAACCAATACATGCATTCTTCTAAGTACAATAGCCTGGTCGGGCTCTTTCGTGTTCATTTTTCTCTATTGCAATTCGTTTGATTTACGTCTGACAGCAGGACAACCTCCTTAAAATCTCGAGGCGACCAGCGGAAACCACGACGACCATGACACCGATCGACGGTTGATTCTTCCGCCCAATTCTCAACCCAACCCCCTTTCGCCTGGGAGTCCTAATAACGCACGAAGAGGCGCAAAAGCCTTCTATCGGTCAGATGGAAAAACTGGATCGCCTGGTGGCTTATACCTGGGACGAGTCGAGGCAATTTCGCTCAAGCTATGGCGTAAGGTGCGTACGATTTCCTGACGGAAGCAAGTCCCGTGCTAAGCCTCCATAAGGCACATTTTCGGCACCAGGCACCTCGACCGTACCATCCGTGCAGATTTTGCGCAGACCGCTCGCTTCCGAAGTGCCTCATTCGGCAATGTGAGCGGTTCCTCGGCCCCATGTGGTCCAGACAGGGACAGCGACGTAGAAACCCATGGCAATTGGCCAGAGAGGACTATTGAAGTGGTGGCGCGCATTGGTGAGAACTTGGTCGCGGAAGAAAGAATGCAAGAGGAGTATCAAATGTTGGCATCCGTCGCTGCTTCCGACCGCAAATATTTTCTACTCCCCGTGGAGATGCGACGCCTACCCAGCCTGGATGAGGACCACGAGTCATCGCTCTTGGCCTGCATTTATGAAAGTCCCGGTCCTAACGATCTTCCTCGCTTCGTCGATTGCGGCACGACCTGGTATCATACACAACCCGAAGGAGAACAGAGTGATACCGAGACCGATGATATTGGCTCGCATCGATGCGATCGGACCGAGCTCATACCGTTGCAGACATTTATGGATTTTGCTATCGGCGCTGCGGAGTGCATTCAAATGCTGCATAGCCAGCAGATTGTTCACGGGCAGATCCGAGGGGATGCATTCCACTTCAGCCAAGAGACCGGCCGAGTGAAATTGATTTATCTCGGAACGGGCCTACGGCCCTATGACACCGGGCGGCTGAGCGCCGGCTGGCCGCGGGCCCCAGTGAACCAGAACAGTGCCTCGACGGGCACCTCCTATATGAGCCCCGAACAGACCGGCCACACGCCGATTCAGCTTGACAATCGGGCCGACATGTACTCACTCGGTGTCCTGCTGTGGAGCACTCTAGTTCACGAGACTCCATTTGAGGCCAAGTCTCCCATGGAGATTATTAGGAAGGTTCTAGGACGGGAGCTGCCGTCGGTTTCGACCTTGCGACAGGACGTGCCTAAAATAATTGCACGAATCATCGCCAAGGCGACGGCGAAGAATGTCTCCGAGCGGTACAAATCTGTCAGCGGTCTGCGACATGACCTCGTGGAGGTGCGGGATATGTTGGCAGCGGGAGATACGGCAGAAGTGGATACTTGGGAGATTGCCAGCAAGGATGTTTCTCCGTTCTTCACGCTCCCGCGCACGATGGTGGGCCGGACGGCCGAGCAAGACGCCATCGTTGAGGTTCTGGATCGTACATCCAGGTTGTACCAGGGAGGCAAAGGGCTTCACCTATTGTCGCTGCCGGAGGACCAAACTGCGACCTTCGCCGTCCTTCCATCAGGCGCTTACCTGGAAGAAGAAGCCTCCGGTAATCTGGCCGATGCAATTCCCAACTTGCCGGATTCCACCAGCATGGCCTCCGTTGCAATTACTCAATCGTATATAGCTAATACGCGCCGCGTGCGCTCCAATGGACGTTCTCAAAACAGCTCAAGCGAGCGCAGCGAGTCCGACTCCGTGGCCTTAGACAGGAAGGGAATAGAGAAGCGATTGTCGACTCTATCGATTGACAGCACCAGTGGAGATGGAAGCTCCCGATCTAGTGACACGGGTAGGAGATCGGCTGCACATCGCGGGATGGCGCCACAAGGACGATGCGAGATCATCAGCATTGAGGGAGGGGCCGGTCTGGGCAAGTCTCGACTCATCAAGTCGGTGCAGATTATAGCCCGACGAAGAGGCTTCTTTGCCAGCTCCCGGTTTGATCTCTCAGTCAAAGAACGTCAGCGTCCGGTTCTGAACCTATTCTCAAGTCTATTCGAGCAGGCCTTTTCAGAAAATACAATTGAGCCTAGTTTCCTGCCGAAGTTGCGAAACCAGATTGGCCCTGTGTGGCACACTCTGCACAAAGTTCTAGGCCTTCCAAAATTCTTGCTCGGACCAAGCCCCGAGTTGCCGAAGCAGGTGCCGCATACTACTGCCCGTTCGGCCATGTCATCGTCTTACCAGCATTCTCCCGATAGTGCTGGAACGGAGAGTTCCCATAAATTTCTTCGAACCGGATCCTCAACCAATTCTTTGCCTCTTGTACTGACTTTGCTGGATATCTTGCGAACCTTCTCGCAATACAAATTAGTGTGTCTTTGCCTTGATGATGTCCACATGGCGGACGAAGAGTCGTTGGAACTTATTGCCCAGATCGTCTCGGCTAGGATCGAAATTGTGGTGATCTTGGCCTATCGACCCGAAAATGATTCATCGGAAATGATAACCAAAATCCTTGACCTCTCTACCAATAAAGGTAATTTACCCTCAGCCTTTTTCTTTCACGATTTTTGTTCGGGTTTTCTTACTATGTTGTACCGTGCTAACCAAAGTAGAAATTCGGAACGGAAGAGACGTAAGTATTACCGCCATCACTCTCTCTCTGCTCAGTGAAGACAGCGTATTGCAATATGTAGCAAGCACCTTGTGTTTGCCTGTCCCCGTTCTCTTGCCTCTGGGAGCGCTCATTCAATCTATGACAAATGGAAACCCATTTTACGTCCGTGAAATGTTGAACGAGTGCTATGAACATGAATTCATCTGGTATGACTACCAGAAAGGGCTGTGGTCGTTTGATCTGAGCCGCATCTCCGAGCATTTCAAAGCGGATAAATACGACGATGCCGTCTTCGGTGATTTCTTAGCAAGGCGCCTTAGTAGCTTATCACCTGTCTCTAAGTCAATCCTGGCCTGGGCATCCAGTTTGGGCATGACCTTCTCGTTCCAGCTGGTCCAGAGGCTTCTCAACAGCGATGAGACGATTTCAGAGACAGACTTGCCTGAGCGGGAGATGTTTCTAGCTCTGCAATCGACCATCCAAGCCTACGTCATTGTGCCCACACAGGATAAGGACGTCTTTGCATTCACATATGATCATTACAAGCACATCGCAGCGTCATTCCACACGAGAGATCAACACCATGTGGAGTTTATCAAAGCACAAGTGCTGCTTCAATATTACTCACACGACGAGAAGTATCGCAACATGCTGGCGTCAGCCATTATTGAATCAGCAACGATAATCAATGACTCCGTGGCAAACAGGAAGCCTTTCCGAAAATTCTTGTTCGACTATGCGAAAGCTGCGAGTGATTCCGGCTTCCGCTCGGCTGATATCAAATCATACCCAGGCTGCATTCTACTGCTCCAGGAGGACATGTGGAATGACGACGCAGAGGATGTAAGCTACGACGAGACGCTACAGATATTTACCTCCGCTGCTGAAGCCTACTTGTACCGAGGACAGCATGCCGAGGCTAGTCGCTTGCTAGACTCTATGCTGTCCAATGCTCGAAGTCCCGTAGACAAGGCTCCCTCCTGGATGTTGCAGTCTCGCATGCTTGCACAACTAGGTGATTCGTCAGGTGCTTTCCAGGCGCTGAAAGAATGTCTCATTACTCTGGACGTCACAATTGATGACAAACCAAATTTTGCCAAATGTGACAAAGAGTTCCGTCGGCTGTGCGAGGCCATTTCAGCTATTCAAATTGAGGACATCATCGAGAAGGTCCCTGTTGAGAATCCTACCTTGGCTGCTATCGGTGCAGTTCTCGTGGAAGCCACCAGTGCAGCTTTCTGGTCGGATACGCTGACCTTTTACCAAATGACGCTGGTCATGGTTGGCATATATATCTCTCGTGGCCCCTTTCCCCAAGCGGGCATGGGACTATTGCAGTTGGCTGTGATAGCGATCACTCGGGACAACGCAATTGCATTCGCAAGTCATAGTGCGGAGCTTGCCCTGGCTTTAATCGAACAATGTAAAGACCCACATACCAGGGGACGCGGTATCGCGTTTTACTTGACTTTCGTTGATCACACCCAACATCATGTCCAGTCTTCAATCTGTCAGTTGGAAGGAGCTTTGGATTTCTCCATCCACGCTGGTGACCGAATCGCGACCATTTTGAACTACGGCCTACTGGCCACCACGAGTTTCTTTGTCTCTGATAACCTGGCCGAGCTGGAGAGCTTCTGTGTCTACAGTTGTCAGGCCATCCCTAACTGGCAGACGGATACTCCCGGGGGTACGATCCTCATCACAATAGGCCAGCTCTGCCGTGCTTTGCAGGGGAAAACATATACGCATGACTCAGCAGGGGTGATGAGTGACGAAGAACACAATTCGGCTGCATACAAGTATTGGCTAGTAAGGAACATCAAGAACAGCGACCGGCCGCTGATGCTCTATGAGAGTATGGAAATTGCCCCGTTGTTTCTGTACGGTCACTACGAGCGAGCGGTTGCGCTGGGAAATTCCTGTCTCAAGAAAATAAATGCCATATGGTCTGCTCGCAACACGCGATTCCTCATGTTCTTTCATTCTCTTTCTCTAGCCGGATGTGTGTGGAATCGGAAGCAGCAGCAGCTCAATCCCGCATATCGCGCCTGCTCCCCTCAATTGGCGTCCGACATGAAGGGGCGATCCCTTGAGGCAGCTTTCGAGGAGGAGATGGCCAACCTGGCGAAGATGTTGAGGTATTTCAAACGCAAGATTGAGCAGTGGCAGGTCGTTACAGATGTGAATTATCTGGCATGGACAAAAATTTTGGGGGCTCAGATCGCCGAGATGGAGCATGATCAAAGGGCTGCTTTGTGTCTCTATCAAGAGGCATTAGACCACTCTTCCATGCATGGATTTGAGTTCGAGGAAGCTCTAGCCAACCGTCTGTTAGCTGAACACCTGATGCGTGAGGGCTCTTTGCGACTGGGCACTTTTGCCCTGAAAGAAGCAGTTAGACTCTACCGGCAAATGGGAGCTACGGGGGTGGCTGATCACATTCTGCATATCTATGATCTTGAGCATAAGGCAAAGGGTGTGGCACGAGACACCGCTACTCAGACCGAGCCAGATGAAATTATACGAATTCACCCTCAAGTATCCGATCTTGGCAACGATGAACACTCGAGTGCCGAAGAGTCCCCGGCAGAGCGTTCGCTACACATCTCAGATCTCACCTCGATCCTAGAACACTCACAGGTGATATCTAGCGTTCTAAAGGTTGACGAGCTGTTTCGGACCATGTGCAGAATTATTATGGAGAGCTGCCATGGTGCTGCTACTTTGGTAGCCATAATCACCGAGGAGGACCCGACCATTGGGTGGGCCGTGGCAGCAAGTGGCGACGCAGCCAGAAGCATCCAAGTACATCACCCTCCGATACAGATTGGAAACTCCGTTCTTGTCGAGGAAAGCATTGTGAACTACTGTGTGCGCTTTCGTGAAGCAACGTATTTGCCTGATGTCTTGCAGGATCCGCGATTTAGCTACGTCAGCGAAGCGTGGGCGGCCCAGAACCCGGTTAGTAAATCGGTAGTGGCGTTGCCCATTTCACATGGCGGCGAGGAGAGCGAACCACTTGCGGTGTTGTATTTGGAGGGACCGCCCAACGCGTTCTCGTATCTCAATCGCGTCGTGCTACAGCTGCTCGTTGTCCAACTCGGAATTAGCTATTACAATGCGCTTACCCTCAGGGAAGTAGAACGGGTATCCACCATCAACCAATCCATGGTTGCCGTGCAGAAGACGGCCCTGGCGGAAGCGATGGCGGCCGAGCAAAAGGCGAACACTGCTAGGGCTGAGGCTCTGCATCACGCCCAGCTGGCCGAAGAGGCCGCCAAGGCAAAAAGCAGCTTTCTCGCCAATATATCTCATGAGCTACGAACGCCACTCAATGGGGTTATTGGCAACTCGGAACTTCTGCTCATCAGTCCACTGCCGGAGCAGCAATTGGAAATGGCGGACTCAATTCGCATGTCAGCGAAGCTTCTACTCACCGTAATCAATGACATCCTCGACTTCTCCAAGCTCGAAGCGAACAAGGTGCAGTTGCATATTGTGTCCTTCGATGTCGACAAGATGGTTCGGGAAGTCGTTCGCGCGATGTCGACCGACTTGACGAACAAGCAGCAGTCCAAAAATGTTCGCATTATCCAGGATATCCAACTACCCCAATCCCGCGTATATGGCGATCCCGTGCGCCTGCAGCAAATTCTAGGCAACTTATTCAGTAACAGTCTGAAATTCACCGATACGGGGTCCATCACGATAGGATCCAGAGCGGTCGATGCAACCGAGGATTCAGTCAGTTTCTCCTTTTGGGTGAAGGACACGGGTATTGGCATCCCCGCACGACTCATACAGCACCTTTTCAAGCCATTCACCCAAGCCGATGCCAGTACCGCGCGCCGATTCGGAGGCAGTGGTTTGGGTCTTAGTATTTGCAAATCCCTCGTAGATCTGATGGGGGGCACCATCGAGCTCAAGAGCGTCGAGAACGTCGGCACGACTGTTTCCTTCTCGATCACCGTGCCGAAGGTCAATTCCGGGGGTTCGGGGACTACCACTCCAACCGAATCTATCGACTGTCCATTGGGTCTGCTCGATAGAGCAGCCCCGGATTGCATTGATCTGTCCCAAATCGCCCTCCCCGACCTCCGCGTGTGCATCGCAGAGGACAACCTCATCAACCAGAAAATTACGGTGCAGTTTCTCAAAAAGCTAGGATTTATCCAAATAGATGCCTATAACAACGGCCTAGAAGCCGTGGAGGGCATCCGAAAGAAGGCCGCTGCAGAGCAACCATACCACTTGATTTTGATGGATGTTCAGATGCCCATCATGGACGGGTATGTTGCCACCCACCGTCTCCGGCAGGATCCCGTGGAGGCTGTGAGGAGCATCCTGATTATCGCTCTGACCGCTTCGGCGATCCAAGGTGATCGAGAGAAATGCCTGGATTCGGGCATGAATGATTACCTGGCGAAACCGGTACTCCTGGCGTCATTGAAGAAGAAGCTTCATAAATACCTACAGATGGGGTCAGCCGCCTTCCCCAGCTGATATTTCATAAAATTTTCGTCCACTATGAGCTTTCTAGAGGGTTTACCCAACCCTTGGACTGAAATTTGATTTTAAATAAAATTCAATAAATATTAACATATACTATAGAATAACTAGTAAATTTAGAGGATCAAAATTGACTTTTTGCACAGTTCAGAGTTATATAGCATGAGTTTTGTCCATGATATTATCACACGCACCGAGAAATTAGTCGAACAGAAATGAGTGCGAACGACTGTATGTCCTGCTTTTCCGTTAGTGTTTACCAAGTATCGACATAGCCGGTTGATTTGACGAATCTCAATAGCATGGTTGGGCAAGCGAGTTGAATCCCTATATACCGGTTGTTTGCGCATTCAAACTATTCTCGGTGGAAGTTGAATACATTGCCGTTTCTATCTCCAAACCAAGCTCCATATTTATAGTAAATAATGCATGGAATGGACGCCCTTTCCACCGAGAACAAAGAGCAGGTTGAGTTTTCTTGTCCGGGGTAGTACTGTGGCCTATTATTGTATCAGTTTGCTTGCCACTTCCCTTGGACTCGACAGTTGCCTGGATATTTAGGGCTATCGGGAAACTGTGCGGTGCAGCAAATTGCATGGATGGACGAATATGGGCCTTTATACACATAGTAATGTGAAGTTCTGTGAGGTATATATAGTCTTCGAGGTAATTGCACGTTTGACCTCAATGAGGAAGCAATACATTCACCATTGAACAATCATTGGAAGAATGTGATGAGGGTCACTCTCCATTCATGAGTAACCCGGGGTTTGTTTCACTCGCTAAACCATATTGCAAGAGACAGCCACAGCTGGTTATAGTGGGCAGCGTAGTTTTTAGGTGGCAAATCTCCAAAACATCACTAATTCCAGCGCACAACTGGAAATTACGATGAAACAGACCGGAGAATTATGCAACACAATAACGAGCGCCAATGAACGACATTGAATAGGCAAATTACTAAAACCCCCAATTCTCCACACAAACGGCAAAGCACTCAGCCGCGGAGCCGAGATGCGGAGATGACAAGTTGAACCGAAGTAAAGAATATAACCGTCCAAAGGCCAATTTACTACAAAATGTAACAATATCTCATATCTCATCCCACTCCCATTCCCAATTTGAATTGCAACACCAAACCCACAACTAAATCCAACCCTTTCCAACCCCCAAAATGCCAAAATCAATCCTCCTAATCAACGGCCCCAACCTCAACCTCCTGGGCACCCGCGAGCCCCACATCTACGGCCATACAACGCTATCCGACGTCGAGAACAACAGCCGCGACGTAGCAGCAAGTCACAACGCAACGCTAGAATCGTTCCAGAGCAACCACGAAGGCGCGATCGTGGACCGCATCCAAGCCGCCCGCGGCAAGGTCGACGCCATCATCATCAACCCCGGTGCGTACACGCACACCTCCGTGGCTATCCGGGATGCGCTGCTCGGCGTTGCTATCCCTTTCATCGAGCTGCATGTGAGCAATGTCCACGCGCGCGAGCCCTGGAGACATCATTCGTATTTCAGTGATAAGGCCGCGGGTATTATTGTTGGATTGGGGGTTTACGGATATAAGGTTGCTGTTGAGCATGTTTGTGTCAATTTTGAGGAGAAGGAGAAGGACGCTAAGGCTGCGCTTTAAAAGAGGCGATGGTGATTGGTGAAAATGAAATGAAAATTGGGGTTTGCTTGTATATAGTTTTATGAGAGAGTTGATGAATTCATGTGGATTATTCTTTTGTATGGATATGTTGTTTCTAGTGGAAAATATAGATGTTTTCAGATGGAGTTCTGGAGCCTCCTTGCGTATCTGCCTCGGGATATGCAATGTAGCTTGCGCTGTGCACTGTCATATATAATAGACTGGGACCCTATAACAAGCTGTTTCGGGCAATAGGCAGAGAAGTGGTTCTTCACAGCCCAACTGCATGATGACTAGAGGGGGTATTGGCGGAAGCGGCCGACCAGCGGCCATAGGGTCTCCCACAACATGTATTCAAATGAACTGACATTTTAAATGTGACATCATCGCTTAGGGGTTCCTGACATGCTTAACGACTGCGATTCTCGCCGCACACCAGATGGTGTCCCGCTACCCGGCAGCTGCTGAGTTTGTGCGAGCAAAAAAGGCTCAACCTGACCAGAGAATGAGTATAGTTCGGGAATACCAGCGTCGGAGACAAAACCCAGGTTTTGCATGAACTCCGGTTGATTGTCGGCCCTATAAGGAGAAAATAGTTAGTGGTTTTTTGTTTTTTCCCCAAAAAGTCAAAACGCTGAATAGACTATGCTTACTTCTCGGCTCCATCTAGTGACGCCAGCTCGTCGAACAATGCATCGAGATCTGGTGCAATCCGTTGTCTCCTTGGAGCACCATATCCATCCATATCAACAAATGAGCCCATACCGAGTGATGGGTCTTGATATGCAGTCGGGTGATACTGTGTAGTGTGATGGTATGTAGGCGAAATTTCAGCCAGCATACCTGTGCCGTGATGTGGTTTTCCAGGTGCGGATGCAGGGTGGGAAAGCCCGCTACCGACAGGACCGCCCATGTGTCCCTGTTGTGGGGGCAATTCGGATGGGCCTCCGACGGAGGTTAAAGGTGAGGGCGTTGGTAGGAGAGATACATCTTCGATGTGCTGTGTGGCTCGAAGCCATGGTGTGGAGAGGAATGGGTCTGGAGGAGGGGCCGTGGCATGCGAACTGCTTGGAGGATGACCGTCGGTTGGGGGAAGATGTTGGGAAGAGGAAGAGATCGAGAGAGATGATGGAATTGTTATGTCGCCGCCAGTGGAAGTATCCATGTGCTGTGAGATTGGAGATGCACCTATAAGTTGAGATCTTTGGGCCAAGTTCTGACCCGGGGCCTGTCTGTCTGGCATAGTCCACAGCACAGAAAGATGAGAGGAAAACGAGTGAATTTTGTTTCGTAGACCGATATCAAGATCTGACGGGAGTTCTCGAGAAATGGACCGTGGAAGGCCAAATCGGAGCATCATGCCAAATGTCGGTGCTGTAGCGGAAAAGCTGTATGTTTCCACGTAAAATTGAAGGAGCTGCAGAAGCCGATGTGAGCCTTCCGTTGCGCGAGCCTTGTGGGGAGGCTCCGACATGCTTTGATCGCATTCACGGATAGCTATCTGAGAGCTGAGAGCAATGGCGACGCTCTCGTATGTCATTTCCAGTCCAAATATGTGCGGTGAGGCGAGCCTCACAGGTCGGCTTTGTAGATCAACACGATAGCTCTTAGGCAATGCTGTCACCCAGCGTTGTAATTGCAATTCAAGCTGCTCTAATTGTGATCGTGATATTGTTGGATCATGTTTGCAGCAGCAGAGCTCATTGAGAATAGACACTAAGCCGACAAGACGATTGAAAGTGCTCAACGCGTGGAGTGGACCGCGCTGCATAGACGCACGCGAGGACTGGGCAGGCCGTAAACCAGTTTGATCCTCCCAGGGGTGCCACTCTTCAAGTCCATCTTCATTGATAGAACCTACCCTCGCCAGGTCTGCCCTTCGTAAAGACGGGCACTGCGAAGTTTGTTCCGCAATGAGGCTCTCCAGAACGAAGCAACCCAGAAAGACATGTTTTGCTCGACCAAGTTGCTTTTCTTGGTCAGAGGTCCTGGATGTTGATGGATAAATGGGCTGATCAAGGCCCAGTGTGTGAGAGATTCGCACAGCTTGGCCAACGAGCATCCAGGAGGCAGTCCATTCTTGCTGTCCGAATTTGACCAGACCGAGGATCAAAAGTGCTTGCACGTGTCCAATCTCGTGGGGACCGCTTTCTGAAGGAATTAACTGTCGGGCGATATTATACATTTGCGAAGGATTGAGTTGGTCTCTCGGCTGCTCGTCTATTTGCCGAGTGGCGGCGATCGATGCGTCTTGGAGCGACGCGAGGGTGAGAACGGCCCACAGAGCCGCGTGCTCACCAGATCCCGGGGCGAAACGTGAGACAAATACATCGCCTTCTGTGTATTGGAAAGCGGTACGGAGAATGTCGTGTTTTTCCAAAATGGGGAACCAGCATTGTGTGTAAGAGAAGTAGACGTCGAAAAGAGGCCAGGCATTGTAGGGGAGTTGTAGGGGGGATTTTATTGACAGCGATCGGGGGTCGTCGGAATTTAGTGGAAGGGCAAAAGAGGGTGATGGTAAATCGGGTGTTGGAGTGGTTTGCATACCACTGTCTCTAGTAGGCCTTGGAGGATTTTTCATAGGAGAGATGCCCATCGCCGTTCGGGTCGGTGATACCCCCAGCAATGGTGTCTCGCGAGCCTCGAGACCTTCCGGGAGCTGCCATTCCTGGGCTTCAGCTGAGGAAAGAATAGCATCGACATCGAGAGGGGTTTCTCCCTCGCCGTATGCCTGCAGACTGCGTTCCCTCTCCTCTTCCGGTTGTTCCAATACTACTAGAATGCGCTCGATGTCTCTAAGCACTGTGCTGTTCTTGAAGGAAGCTAGCAAAGCATCGGATCCCTCGGCTTCCTTGCCCATCGAGGCCAAGTGACTCGGAAGGTTTATCGATCGCATCAAGGCTCGCATCACATCCTCACTACCCTGAATCCTTTGGAATACCAGCCCCCAAAGCAATTCCAATGATCGAATGTAGCCGGTGGGCAAGCCTCGCTTCTTAGGATTGGCTTTGTAGGTACACGGCCGACAGAGCGACGCACAGGTCGAGCATACTGGTTGTTTCCCATCGCATTTGTCCTTTTTCGAGCGACAACTGTCGCAAGCCCGTGAGACTCGCTGACGCTTTGGTTCCCCCGTTGCCTTCCCATCTTCTTCTGGATCGGTCCATCGTCGTTTTGATTTGCCGCTGGCGGTAGTGGCTTGGCGCTGTTCGGCGCTCATGGTGTTTGATTTCACGATCCACCTGCAAGATTCCGGCGCATGTTCCCGCGAAATGATAGATGAATCTTTTGCCGACGTCGGGTGCACGGACGGACCGGTGACTACGCCATAAATGACCAGCCCGCTAGGGTATATAAAAGCTGTTGGGGGTGGCTTGAAGGGATCGAATATCCGCGGTGTTTGAGGGTAGGTGCAGCACGAGTCAAGGTGCTCGAGTGCACAAGCGAGATTCTTCCGGGGAAGATGGATACCCGGCTAGCGGTGAGCCAGTCAGTGCCTCGCCAAAGGTAATACCGTCTCGACGTTTTCAGGATTTCGACCACCACACAGTTGAGAATATTAACGATTCTTTTTTTATAGAGATTAAATCACAGATTTAGAATCAATTCCGATAAAAATCAGTAAATTGAACCTTTTTGGCGCAAATCTATGCAAGTAAAGCGTAAGTCCCGACCCCGCGGGGAAGGGGAAAACCGAAAAGTTCCGGATGAGCGCTCGTCCGCCCTTTTTGTCCTTACATAACACATTCAACGGCCTTTGGGCCCGGGCGTCGGCCCACGCCGCTGATTTTGTTAATTTCTTTCCCCCCCCCCCCCCGCAAATTCTGGAAACGCTTACCATATTGGTTGTTCTCTTCCTCCACAATTTCTCCATATCTTCTATCCTGTGTCTACCCTTTTTGACTATTTCCTCATTACTTTCTGTGGTAATGGGTCCTCGACTCCCCTATCTCTCAATCTCTCATTCCTAATCACAGGACCCCCTCGCGCTATGTCCATGCTAGTCCGCCCATCGAAGAGAAAGCTTCACGAGGTTGAGACGCTAGAGGATGGGCCTCGAAAGTACAATGCAAGCGCCCTAGCCTCCCCCACCGTCCCCCTTTCATCCCGGCCACCCTCTCGTCGATCGAGTGAACACAGAGAAGCATCTGGAGATTCACACTCGCGGCCACCATCGTTGAGAGAACTGCACTCCAATCGCGGATCACCGGTTTTGTTCGAAAATGGTCATCTTCAGACTCCACGGACTTTCAGCCCTAAAGCATCCATTGTTTTAATTGGAATTCGAGGTACTGGAAAGTCCAGTTTGGCTGTCATTCTTGCCGCAACATCCGGACGACGCTTGATCGACGCAGACCGCTACTTTCAACAGAGTGTGGGATGTTCCCGGGCGGTTTTCAAAAAGGAAAATGATGGATTTGTGTATCGCCAACAGGAGGCTCGGGTCTTTGAATCGATGCTGGGGGATAACCAAGAGGGGTGTGTGATTGCATGCGGGGCCGGATCAATGGAGCGGAATGGCCAAAGGCTCCTTAGAGAATACGCGCAGACACACCCCGTTATCCACGTGGTCCGTGACCCAGAAAGTATTCAATCGTACCTCAAGGCCTGGGATACACAGAAAGTACGACACTTTTTGGATTTGTCTGGCCCGATATACCGAGGTTGCTCCAACCTCGAATTCTTCAATTTATCTGAGGCCAGAAGTGATAGTGTGCCCGCAGACAATAGTGATTCACCGGCACACAGAACGGAACCCAGATCACATACGCCCATCCCTTTCTTAACCCTAAAACGAGTTCAGAGAGACTTCCTCCGTTTCATTGCTTTTATCACTGGTGACATTGCCGAACTCAATAGCCAGCATGCTTCATTCCCGCTTTCACTGTTACCCGTGGAATCCCGAACTTACACCACTGCAGTGTCGGTGCCGTTCTCTAGGGTGTGTGAAAAGGGCGTGGATATCGAGGAGCTAGAGTTCACTGCAGATGCCTTCGAATTAGCCATCGATGTGACAGATTCTTCTGGTCAGCCAGGCCTTGACTCGAGCCTTGCGGACAGCATCAGTCAGGCAATTGCAACAATTCGTCGTAACATTATCGTGCCGTTGATCTATCACGTGGAAAGTTACACTTCCGCAGGGTCTCTTTCTCCTAGTCAAGCCCCGGTACGCAGCTCGGACGAAATCTACTTGAACCTCGTCCGTCACGGGCTGCGTCTGTCCACTGGATTCTTGACAGTAGATCTCTGTCGGGATGACCATCTCCTTTCTCAAATCATTTCTGCCAGTGGACGAACAAGAATAATAGGCCATTTCGAAGCCTACCAACCCCTACCTGGTGGCTGGGATGGGGATGAGTATATGAAAGTCTATGAGCGCGCCAAAAGACTGGGTTGTGATATCGTTCGGCTGTGCCAACCAGCCGAAGCCCCGGAAGACAATATTGCTGTGCAAAGATTCCGCCATCGCATTCAAAGTTTGCCCGTGCCTGGTCTTTCTCTGATAGCATACAACACAGGCCCGCTCGGGCGCATGTCTCGCTGCTTCAATCCTGTCCTTTCGCCTGTGACACACCCGTCTCTGGTGACCGAAAGGCCAACTCAATTACGATCGTGGATTACAGCGCGCGAGGCGCAGCAGTCGCTTTACAGCTCTTTTGCCCTGGATCCCATGCAGTTCTTTGTATTCGGTGCCAACACTACCTACAGTATGTCGCCCGCCATGCACAACACTGCCTTCAAGATATGTGGCTTGCCGCATAATTACGCAATCCATCAATCACCTACGCTACGGGGGTTAAACGACCTTGTGGAAAATCAATACTTCGGCGGATCGAGTGTCAGTCTGCCGTACAAAACAGAGTGCATCCCTCTCCTCCACTCAATGTCCACACACGCCCGAGCCATCGGCGCAATTAACACCCTCATTCCGATTCGCAACGTCCAGGACCTCGACAATGTCCGTCTCCAAGAATCCTCCGTTTTTCTCGAAAAGAGCCGCGCAGGTCCCATTAAAGGTCTACATGGCGATAACACCGACTGGATCGGAATCTGCAACTGCATCCGCCGTGGCCTGTCTCCCGCGAACGCGGTACGGCCATCAACGACCGGCCTTGTGATCGGGTCCGGTGGAATGGCCCGCGCTGCAATCTACTCTATGATCCATCTTGGCGTGCAAAATATCTTTGTCTATAACCGCACGCTTGCCAACGCAGAAAGGCTCGCTCACCACTACAACCGACAAGACCTTCACTCCAAGGAAGCCAGCGGGTCTGGCCGTCCTACTGTTCGCATTGTCGCGTCTTTGTCAGACCCCTGGCCGGCAGACTTCAAACAACCTACCATTGTTACCTCGTGTATTCCAGCTCACAGCATCGGCGGTGAGCCAGCCCCCAACTTCCACATGCCCACGCAGTGGCTGGAGAGCCCGACGGGCGGCGTGGTGGTCGATGTAAGTTGACATTGTTACTCCAGCAATCCTTCGATCTTGATCTCTAACAAGTGTTTCCAGTTGGCATACAAACCCCTCAACACCCCTCTCATGAAACAAACCAGAGGCCTCTCTCATCGCGGCTGGGTAGCCCTCGACGGTCTTGATGTTCTCCCAGAGCAAGGTTTCGCTCAATTCGAGCTTTTCACTGGCCGCCGCGCTCCACGGCGTGTCATGCGCAGTATTGTTCTCCAGGAATACAAGGATGATGAAGGCAATGACGATCATGACGCAATACAGGACAGGCTACAGCAGATGGACGGTCAGCCGAATTGATTGCTAATTCGGGCTTCGGGCCCAGGCTACTACTCCCAGGGCGAAGTCAACTCATCTGAAAAAGACCGGATCCAAGTTGAACGATGGTGGTACTGACTTCCCTCACCTCTTTATGTATATAACGCAACGACCACGGAGCTGTATGTTACATGGACAGCAGCCTTTTCAATATGATACCTACGATCCTCACATTCTTTTACGTACTTAAACCGAGTTGTGTCTCTATCTATCGTCGAGTAGAAGTGATTGCCCTGACCCCAATGCCAAGACCCCTTTGGGGTAGACTTGGGGTAACAATAAATTACAAACATAGCCGTCTTACCATATGACTAATGCTGCTACGGTACATTAATGCAGCATTCGTCATATTGTAAGACGGCCCTGGGGCTATGTAATACGCAGAGAATCTACCTGAGGCCACTGCTCTAGCGGTGTAACAAAAGTATTTGACCTCGAATACTTCGGTATCCACTTTGGCCTGGCCGCGGCCGAAGTACTCGAGGTCAAATACTTTTGTTACACCACTGTATATTGATGCGGTTGATCGTGTATTGTAATTCAATACGATGCTATCGCAAAGCTTTTGGAGTTCCTGCGACTTGACGCAATGGTTTTGATATGCCCAGTAAATCACGGTACATAGGTTTGGCCTTTATTTCTTGAATGCTCTCTGTGCCTTCTGACCTGCTCTTTCTAAATGGCAACCTCATACGACTTCTCAGGCCAATGTGTTCTGATAACAGGCGCCGCAAGTGGAATCGGGTGAGCTGCCCCAACCCCTCTTCATACTACACATCTAATATCCACCAGACTGGCCACAGCGAAAGCATTATCATCAAGCAATGCCCGGCTAGCACTGTGCGACATCAACATCAAGGGCTTAGAATCTTTCCAATGTGAGGGCAAAAAGCACCGCATATACGAGCTCGATGTGACATCCCCGTCTGGCATCGCCGAAACCGTGGAATCCGCGCTGCGGGATCTCGGCGGTATCAACCACGTCTTCAACTGCGCGGGCGTGAATCCCACAAATCACGCACTGACCGACACGACGGACGAATACTGGAGCAATATTGTCGACACGAATGTCCGCGGCACGTATCTGGTGACGCGAAGCTTGATCCCACATTTGAAGCCAGGGTCTTCGATAGTTAACGTCTCTTCTATTGCCGGGTCGCGTGCTATGGCTGGGTGGGCGATCTATAACGCTTCGAAATTTGGGGTCGTTGGGTTCTCTAAGTCCATGGCTCTTGAATTGGGACCAAAGTGTGTGAGAGTCAATGTTGTTGCGCCGGGGCATATTCATACTCCGACTAATATTGCGGTGAAGACGGGCCAGGAGGAGATTGATAGAACTGCTGAGTTCGCAAGTGCGATGGGGAGATTTGGGACGGCGGAGGAGGTGGCTGACGTGGTACTGTTTTTGATGAGTGGTGCTGCGAGGTATGTCAATGGGGCCGTGGTTGATGTTGATGGTGGAGCGAAGTGATGTGTGATGGAACGAAGGTAACATAGCACACATTACATAGTTGATTCGAATATAATTCTCAATATGGCCATCAAAGTCAGCCGTCCAGTTGACAAGTATCTAAAGTGCATTGAACATCCAGATTCTACTAATGGGGAGAATATTTTTGGTCCAAATGAACTCGTTTCTTTCAAAGAGCAATTTCCATGCGAGATATTTTGACCACTTGGGTTCAATCATTCCACATGTTTCTGGCTGAGTTCGTTGGTCTATAGTATCGAACATGGGGTATGGCAACCGCGGTATGATTTAAGCAGTGGGAATACATCTTATATTAAGATCATGACGTACAGACAATAACTACTTTCATATAGTGTCTATCCGTGCCGTGCTTTTTGCCCATCTCACAACTTTGCCCCATTCCTCATTTTCAGTCCCAATGTCTTCAGCAAGGCTTTGTACGATGGTCTTGCCCGCCACTTTAGCCCACCACATTTCCTCGAGGCGTCCCAATAGAGCCCCCCAGGAAATGTATATTAACAAAGCCAGAGGCTCTTGATTTTCAACTTGTTCGACAAAGTCGGTACCAGCCATAACTATCCAAGGAATTACCATCCCTTCTGCTATCGCACAGTGTTCGAGTGTATCAACAGCGTGGCGATATGTATGGTGTGGTGGCGCATCCATAGCACCGCAAAGCTTTCTTAAACTTGGAGGTAGTAAACCCTCTTCGGTTGATAGGAAGGTCGGATCAGCCCCCGAATAGGGTTGGATGATAAACCTGAACGATCCGTTATCAAGCGACGGACGTGCCTGATCAATGATAGAGTGAATTCCTTTCACGAGGTGAAATAGTGATTTCAAGTCAGTGGGCACCTTCCCTTTGATTTCTGGTTTTTCACTGGCCTTGATCTCCAGCGATGGGGAAACGACAGTACAAGCCATCATCAGCACAGAGCACGCAAAAAGCGCATCACAATTGATGGGTGAGATGTTTTCAAGTTCTGCACGAAATGCAGGGAATGTCCTGCTCTGATAATGTAGTGCATCGCTCAAAAGCTCTGCTCTTTCTGGATTGTCTATCTCGAGTTCGCTGGCCATATGTAGTGACGTAAGGGCCAGCAGTGCGTCCATGAGGAAATGGTGATGAAGCGCTTGTTCTACCACTTGTGTTTGAAACACGTCGCTCAGTATCGTCGAAAAGCTATGACATGTTTTCAATGTCCAGTGATGCATCAATTTTAGTTCTCGCGTGCGCCTCGGGATTGAAGCTAATGGAGCTTTCGGATTATCTCGAACAGATTCCGAATATGATTGTGGATTCAAGGTCTCTGGCACCGTGGAAATCACATCTCTTTCCCCCGGTAACAAGTCTTTTCTTTTGTATTCCTCAGACCAGTTGGACGGTCGAAAAGGGTTACCAGGATATTCACACTTTGCATCTCTAGCTTTGCAAATAGTACATGGAGGGCCGCTTTCGTCACATTTTATCCTGCGTTTCTTACATCGATTGCATCCACCGCGGGATTTAGTGTGGGATCGTCTTTGAGGCATACCACCAAAACGGTATGAAATTGTTGCTGGATGTGATGTTCAGCACAAACCCAACCAGTATTCTAAAGGTGAAACTTTAATCCGTGGCCATATCAAGGGCGGTGAAATTCTCTCTACTTCGAGCGTTTGAAGACATACAATCGGTACATTTCTTTCCCTCACTTGTTACAAATATATGGCACCCTACCCACCCAGTTACCCTCAGTCGCCTCATCCAAAACCCATCTCGCAACGCTAGCTCTACTAATCCATGTTTTATCCATCCCACTCCCCAAGTAGGTCGCACTAACTGGTGCTTCTTCTCCATTTGTAAGCCCGCCCACGCGAAACAGTCCCCACTGTCTGCCATCCATCTTCGATGATGAAGAAATTGCCTTCCCAACACCAACCATCTCATGATACTGGCCAGGACTAAGGAACTTCATAGTCCATTCCCCAATACGCCATTTCCATGTTTCAATGTCAGACACATCTCTGAAAGATGGTGTGCACAGTATAAGAACACGGGTTATGTTTTGTGAAGCGAGTTTCGGGATAAGGAGCTTGTAGCCGTTTGTCAAGGGCTAGATTGCTCATTAGTCTCATTCGAACCCTATGGAAATATCATAGAAAGGGTTCTCGTACTGTTCCTTTTGATCCAACTGCTGGCCCTGCAAAAGAAACAAAAATATCTGCTTTACAGTTTGCGGCTTTGTCAAGGTCCGAATCGACCTCGAGCGAGCCTTGAATGATCTGTGTTGCTTCGCTAAGCCGGATGTGCTCAGGAACTTTACTGGCGTTTCGGACGAAGAGCACGAGCTTGTGGCCTTCTTTAAGTGCGAGATCACAGAATTGGCTGCCGATAGCACCTGGGTTAGATTCAAGTTAGAATTTCAACGTGAACTCAGATACCAGGTTAGGGAGTACCAGAAGCTCCTAGGACGAGGAAATGCATTTTCGCTTGAACATTCAAACTTTCGAACTTTGAATTAAATATTTGAAATGATCAGAGGATGCAGGGCATTTTATGCGGCGCGAATAGAGTGACTAGATAATGCCAAGTATTGCTGGCCCCACCGAATACGCATCTTAGTTCGCCCGAAACGGCAATTTGTACGCTTTTTCTACTCCATGACACACTTGTTGATGATAACGCCAATTGGCGTTCAAATTGCTCCTTATTGAAAGTTGGAAATCACTGAACTTAGAATAGATATTCTCTGCTCGCGTAATACACTGTAGAATATCATATATAGTACCAAACTAGTTGAGATGACATCCTTAGTGGCAGATATTAAAAGGCTAGACCTTATAGGCCAGGATATAACGATCACTATCATACTCGGTGACCGTATAATATTCCTTCCGAACAGGATTGAAGCTCAAGTCCTCATTTCCCGCCATGAACCAACCCTTGTGCTCTTTCGCCGTTTTGCCTTGTTCCCAAGTAAAGAGATCGCCTGATTTGGGGGCTTTACCGGTACTGCGCGAGATATAAAATGTCTTTTCGTATGAAAACGCACCTTGAACGTTAACAATATTGACACAATGGGCCCAGCTTGCAGTAGCAATGCCTTTGTCGTCGGTGTGTAGCCGGCGGGTCGTAGCATCTAGATCATATTTGACATAGCGGATAGGGACCGGGGTTTTGGTGTTCGGAAATTTTTCTCCTTGACGCACAAACTCACCGACCATCAACGTGTCGGGCGAGTCGCTACGGTCTAAAGAAACCCAAGAGAAGCGGAAGGGGGAAGCGTCTCCGGCAGTCCACTTGTAGTAGCTAGAATGGTATTAGTCTTGATTGTAAAAGATATCATGAAGACACTCACCGGATTTGAGGAAGAACATATAGGTAGCCGTCCGCAGAATAACCTTTACCGTCCTTTGTTTTTCCCACGCCATCCGCAATCTCAATCTCCCAAATATTGTCCAGGTCAAAGGCACGGATGCCAACCTTTGTGTCGACAACATAGAGCACATTTCCATACCACATGATGCCACCCGCATGAATGGCAATGGATATGAAGTCATCGTCGGCAGTAGGGTACACGAGCATCACATGGCGATACTTGTGTGTTTTGCGATCGACGAAACTTAGCCGCACGCTATCCTTATCGCGATACCAACTGACAATCCATACATTGTGGTCATTCCAGGTTCCTTTGCCAAAAGCATCGGCGGAGCTGGTGATTCCTTGTGGAACCCAATCCTTTGTGTTGTCGTCACCTGAGTTCCAAGCCCATGCTTCGACGGGAGACCCATTACCAACCGATGGCGAGCCTTTGCTCAACGCACGGTTTGCAGATTCGAGAACCGCGGTAACGCTCACATTCTTGCCTTTTGACTTGAAGTATTTCGCGAGCACAGGCAAGTGAACATTATCTGCAGACTCCTTGAGGGTGAAGTCTTTGTCGTTGAGCGTCGTCTTTCCTTCACAGTAACGAGGGTCGGCCGCAATCGCGACGGGGAGGCAAAGAGAAAGGAAAGCAGTCAATACAAATGCGTACCGCATGATGAATTCTGGTCTCGAATGGGAGGTATGTCTTTAAGGGAATTGGTCAGTTTCGTGCCCGGGAGAGGTGCAGTTTATAAACACATTCTGTTGCACGAATCCATACATGAGGATTCACCTTCACCAGCTGCGTATGAACTATAGCCAGACAGCCCCTGTTAGATTCCGTATAGGAGTCCTTCCCCTCGCATGGCTCGTGTTTTGATAGGATTGTATGGAATACGAGCCTTGGCAGGCCCGTTTAAAGTAGCTAAACCTAAATTGCATGCCGAGAAACAGTTTCAAGCATCGTGAGAGGCCCGCTTAGATCAAGGCGGGACGGACTAAATGTAAGGTGAAGTAATTTAAGAAAAGCTCGTATTGGTCTAAAAATAATACAATCGTATTTCCACGTCGAGCACGAACACTAGTCAGCATCGGCTGTGATCACTCATCTTTCCTCGCTGCCTACGGCTGCCTTACGTTCTCTCATCGTTAGTTCATGGACTACATTCCGGTGCCCCATTGCCCCCTCGTAGCTCCGAATCTTGAGCCTCAATAAACACTGCTCCTCCCGATGCCACACGCGCAAATTAAAGAAAGATAAAATTTTCTCCCTTGATGTTTCATGGAGAACAATAGAAACGAATATGAATCGCTTTTTCGACAGTCTAAGCCGAGAAAACCCCCCGCCAGGATATGAAGCATCACCAAGCGCCCCACCGACTTACGAGGAATCAGAAAGCGACACTACCTTCGAGGATGCAAAATCTTTACGTGATGCTACTAAGAGTATGGACACAGACAATGTGACCCTTAATAGAATCATATCACGTACATCTTTGAACCCGCAACGAATGATATTGCTGCAGGAGACATACACACAGCTGTTCAATCGTGATCTCGAAAGCGACATCCGAGGGTATATGCCATCATCCTTAAAAGATGCTTCTTTCAAAGATGCTATCATAGGAATGATCAAGGGCCCAATTTGGGTCGATGTGAAGCGGCTGCACAATCCTCATGCCCTTCCTCCTGTCACTGCCAAGCAGGTCTTCATGGAAATTATCCTCTTCCGTCCAAATTCCCAACTCCAAGCAATAAAACAAATGTACGATAGGCTATATCCACGGACTCCCCTTGAAAAACACATCAAAATCTCTTGTCCTGGCAAAACCGGCCAGCTTTTGGCCATGTGTTTAGAAACAACGCGGAATGAAGATGGCTCCGACACGCGCTATGCAGACATGGTGCGTGCTGACACTCGACGCTTGCACCAAGGCATCTGGCAACACGATGCAGATATGGATGAAGTTATAGAGATCTTTGCACGCTCTTCTCGCGAGAAAATCTTCTCCATGATGGAGCAATTCGAATTCATCTACCCTCTCACCATGACGGCCTATATTGAGGACAGGCTCAAAGATGATTTTCGCGATACCTTGCTGGTTTTATTGTCCTGGGCGGAAGACCCGGTGCAATACAGTCGGGATACTCTTTTTAAGCTCTTTCACATCCAGCCAGGTCACTATCGAGACATGCCCACTCTCACTCACACTATGCTTTGGGCGCATTGGAATCGAACGATGTTTGAGGTTGGGAAGATGAGGCTTCAATATACGGGTTATAGACTGAGGGAAAGGTTGGAAAAGGGACTGTCTAAGAGCTCGTATCAGAAGTTGATGTTGACGATATGCGAGAGAAAATACTAAGGCTTTGCAAGGCCCAAGCATATGCCAATACTTATGTAAGAACTCAATAGCTATTTTGTTCGTTTTTGTTCTATGAAGCTCTGAAATATTTGTGGAGGCCATGACATCCCTTTTATGAAGTGTAATAAATGCTCCAGATTCATGGATGAAGTACGGGTGCTGGATATATATCTGGTTCCGCCCGCGAAGACCAACTCAATCTCTCTTGATGCAGATTTTGAAGGCGTTGATGAATTTCGCAAGAACTTTCTGGAAAAATCATGCCATTTGTACGTGATTTGTGTTATTTAAGGGACAACAACGGGCACAGGGACAATCCTCTGGTATATAGGCGAAATGTATCAGAAACATAGCCTCACCTCCATATAAAGTGGGGAAGTCGTCGATAAGCAAATCGGTTAGCGGCGGTCTCGATTTTCACCGGATGACTCAATTGTCAATCTTCCCCTCTTTCATTCTCTCGTTCTGCTTCATTCTTGAACATACATTCAACTTCATTCGAGTCCGCCACATTCACCATATCACATCATGCCTGGACCCTTACCTCAGGATGAGCTGGACGAGATCTACGCCTTCGCGATAGACCTTGGTCGCAAGGCCGGGAAAATGCTCATGGAGCGTGTTGACCAGCGCATCTCGGGCGAAGAAAGCACCAACAACTTTGAAGAGAAGGAAAATGCGGTAGATATCGTGACGCAGACCGACGAAGGTGCGCAACCCGAGCCCCAGCCGATAAGCTCATAAAAAAAATGATAAAGCTGATATTTCCACCTGACAGACGTCGAAGTATTTATTCGGAGTTCCCTAGAAGCCCGATACCCAACTCACAAGTCAGTGGTGGCCGACCAGAATGCAGTGGCAGCAAGCTGACCCAACTCCAGATTCCTCGGCGAGGAGACATACGCTAAAGGCGACTCGCGCGACTATCTAATCGACGAGAAACCAACATGGTGTATCGACCCATTAGATGGTAATTGAACACTTCCCAATCACCAAACTACCACCCAAAACCCCTGAATCATGCGCATCGCGCAACCACTCAATTCCAGCTAACCCGTCCCAGGGACCGTAAACTACACGCACATATTCCCCATGTTCTGTGTCTCAATCGGCTTCATCGTGGAGCACAAGCCGGTAATTGGTGTGATCTACGCCCCATTCACAGACCAGCTATGGTCATCCTGCACCGGGCGCGGCGCCTGGCTAAATGAGACACGCCGCCTGCCGCTCCTGCACAACCCCATCCCGCCGATGCCGCCCAATGCGCCTGCGCAGTGCGTTTTCTCCTGCGAATGGGGCAAGGATCGGCGCGATATCCCTGACGGTAATATGCACCGCAAGATCGAGAGCTTTGTCAATATGGCGGCGGAGCTGGGCAGTCGGTCTGGGAGGGGCGGGATGGTGCACGGCATGCGTAGCTTGGGCAGTGCGACGCTGGATCTGGCGTATGTTGCTATGGGGTCTTTTGACATTTGGTGGGAGGGGGGTTGTTGGGAGTGGTGAGTTCCTCCCTTGCTTGGGGGTTGTGTGTGCTGACCTTTCATAGGGATATTGCTGCTGGTGTGGCAATTCTTTTGGAGGCTGGTGGGCTTATGACCACTGCTAATCCGCCGGAGAATGAGGCTACGGCACCGATTGAAGATGTTCGACTCGGTAGTCGGTTGTATTTGGCTATCAGGTGAGTTTTTGGATTCTTGAGGGTTCTTTTTTATTTGGACCGTGCTGATCAGCCACATTCCAGACCGGCTGGCCCGTCCGCTACTGAGACGGGTCGCGAAACGCAAGAGCGCACAGTACGTGAAGTCTGGCGCCGTGTTCGTAACTTGGACTATTCGCGGCCTGGTGCCTAGATGGGGCATAAGAACCCAAATGTAGATCCTGGTCTGTTTGGTACATAACAATTTACAACTAAACACAGTATATGGTATATTCAGAGTGATATTTATTTCAAAATCGACGCCACCCATCTATATATAGACAATGCAACTAGTAGCTATTTGGCGCTCTATACAGTCATAAAAAGGACATGATCATAAAAGAATATCACAGGCTGGACCTCGATGCTTCCCGCTCGGCAATAGTCTTAGCAACAAGGTCCTTGACCTCCTGCACCAGACCAGGAGTACCAATGATATCCTTGCCGGTCCAGAGGCGGGCCTGCTCAAGACCCTGCCAGATTAGAGCCTCGGAGCCAAGAATGACCTTCCAACCACCGGCGGTGGCCAGATTGGCGATATCAGTCCAGGGAGTAGGGTGGTAGCACATCTCCAGGATGACACCCTGCTGCTTCTCCGCATCGGCAGCAGTTCCCAGGAAAGCCTCAATGATGGCGCGGGCGCGCAGCTCCTCGGGGGTCTTGGGCGGGTAGTTAGGAATACCGGAGACGATAGCAGCGGGGGACTCGAGACGAGCCGCCTCAGCGGGGTCTGTAACGGGGATAAGAGGAGCCTGGGCATTGGGATCCGGGTTGCGGCGGCGGTCTTCCTCAAGGATGGCAGCCACTTCGTCGGCGTCACGGTTGACGACGTAGATGCGGCTGGAGCCGAGCCAGCGGCGCATAACGTAGATAGCAGTGCGGGCGGTGCCGCCACCGCCGATGATGAGCGCGGGCCGGCCGCGGAAACGCGATGCGTCGGGGGCGTTTTGGGTGAGCGCTTCGCGGATGCCGTCGCAGTCGGTGTTGGTGCCGACGTACTGGCGTTCGCCGGTTGCTGGGTCGTTGCGCAGGAAAATGGTGTTGCAGGCGCCGGCTTGGCGAGCGTGCTCAGTCAGATCATCCAGGTGAGGCATAATTGCAACCTTGTGGGGCATCGTCACGGACGAGCCGACGAACTTGGGGTTGGATTTGATTGATGCCATATATTTCTCAATGGGAGGCGACCGTGTGTATGGGGGAGGGTAAGTCTCTGATGTGCCGGTCACGCTGGAAAGCGGAATCTGAGTCCAATTGAGACCAAGGGCATTGTAGACGGTTTGGTGGAGAGGAGGGGAGAGAGAATTCAACAGGGGGTGACCGTATAGGTAGGCAACGCCATCGAGGTGGGATGGGATGGCAATGGGCTCCTCTGGCGGGGTTTGGTTAATTTCTGTGACGGACATGGTGAAGATTATTTTTTGATTGGAATATGCCGATCTCAAAGGGGAGGGGTTACAATGTTATAAAGATGAAATGGTTAAATTCGGAGATTTGGGAAAAAAAAAGGCTCTATGGTGAAAAAGAGATGACCCGCGGGCGGAGAAACATTTTGCTCTTTCCTACTCCCCACTCTCCACCGAGATATTCCACGTTGGCACCATATGGAATCATCTTCAGGGTTTATTTATATCATGGCATTGTTTCTGTGATCAGGAAACATCTATTTATCCAAATATTGACTTACTTGCAAACTTCATGCTTCGATACTTTGACATCTCGTCCTCGGCTGCACAACATATGGGCTGAATGCTTTCCCACTGCAACTACCCACACCCCACGGGGAAATGTGATATGGCGCGCATGAGACTTTCCAAAGACCAATGGGAGTATTCCGCTTACGACAATGGATGAACGGAGTACAAATTAATGTCCCGCCAGACAATCCCTAGTGATGGAATGTGCGCAGTGGCTGCGTGTTTATGCTTGAGCTGCCGGGGAAGCGCTTTTCCCCGCCACGCGAACTCAACAATCAGTCATTGGCCCTTCCAGCCCTCGCTTGTTCGTGGGTCCATTTTGAATTTACCAATCAGAATGTACTTTATTCGCTATTTCACACCGTTCCGAGACTGGGTCTTGCACTTGCATCGCCTCCGGGGTACCCCAGACATCTGGAGGTGATGTTCACTTGTCACGGGATACATACTGGGGATGTCCCCACTATTCAAGCGGCATCGGAGCATCCCCACAAATTCTAATGCCTAAGTCTAATTCTCCTCGTGCGGTTGGTCAACGCCCACAGCAGAGTTTGCCATTCCCTGAGTCTTTGAGTCAATCTTCTGCTGGGTTCAAGCCACAATGGGGGGCCAAGAGGCAAAGAATCCCATTCACCGTGACTCGCACAGTCCTCGCCCAGAATACCCAGATTAACTTAGAGTATTCGTTTTGCCGCGCCTTGGCTTTTTCTTCGCTTCGACACGAGGTTTTTCTCTCAATAATTGTGCTATACCTTTCTCCGCCTCCACATCTCCACGATTCCTCCCCCTATTTTCAACCCCAGATTCTCTCCTCTCTCTTCCCCAGGGCAAATCGACGGTCCGGGGCTCGAGCCTATTTAGATCTCGTCTATCCTCGCTAGTTGCCTTTAAAAAAACGTGGCGTGGACTTACTTTTCTATTTCTATCTCTACCTCCCACTTCTTCTCTTTCTTCCCATCCCTACACTCGCACCTTGCATACATACGCACGGGTCTTGATAGTCCTTCCTAGGACACATATCTTACTGCCTCTTTGCATCTGGCATTGAGGAACGATCGAGATCATCCGGTAACACGGGCTCTTTCAATCATCCTTCAATTCTTCTATTTTTATCATGTCTATCCTCAAGCTGGTCGAGGACCGGCCGACGCCTAAGGCGGTCTACAATTGGAAAGTCTACCTCCTGGCAGCTGTTGCATCATGCACATCCTGCATGATCGGTTACGACAGTGCCTTCATTGGTACCACTCTCGCGCTTGACTCTTTCAAGACCGAGTTTGGTTTCAATGATATGAGCTCAGGGACCAAGAATCTGATCAGCGCCAACATCGTCTCCTGCTACCAAGCTGGTGCTTTCTTCGGTGCCTTCTTCGCGTACCCGATCGGACACTTCTGGGGTCGCAGGATGGGTTTGATGGCTGCTGGTCTGGTTTTCATTCTCGGTGCTGGTCTCATGCTTGGTGCTAACGGCGAGCGGGGACTTGGTCTCCTCTACGCTGGCCGTGTCCTTGCTGGTCTAGGTGTCGGAGCAGGCTCTAATATCACCCCAATCTACATTTCCGAATTGGCCCCTCCCGCCATTCGTGGTAGACTTGTTGGTGTATATGAGCTAGGCTGGCAGATTGGTGGCCTTGTTGGATTCTGGATCAACGTAGGTTTTATGTCCTGCCTAAATTCTAGCTTATATGCTAACAGTCTACTAATAGTTTGGTGTCGATGAAACTATGGCACCTAGCCACAAGCAATGGCTCATTCCATTTGCTGTTCAGCTCATCCCCGCCGGTCTCTTGCTCATTGGTAGTGTCTTCATTCGAGAGTCACCTCGCTGGCTCTTCGGACGCGGTCGCCGCGAAGAGGCCATCAAGAACCTGTGCTGGGTTCGCCAGCTGCCCGAGGACGACCTCTACATGATCGAAGAGATTGGTGCCATTGACCAGGCTTTGGACGAGCAGCGCCGTAGCATCGGTATTGGGTTTTGGAAGCCCTTCCAAGCCGCCGGCACCAACAAGAAGGTCATGTGGCGGTTGTTCCTCGGAAGCGCGCTGTTCTTCTGGCAAAACGGATCTGGTATCAATGCCATTAACTACTACAGCCCTACTGTCTTCAAATCGGTAAGTTGCATCTCGCCGAGCCCCTATTTATGGAGCAATTCTGACTGTGCCTTAGATTGGTGTCAAGGGTACCAACACTAGTCTGTTCACCACCGGAATCTTTGGTGTGGTGAAGACCGTTGTCACTTTCGTCTGGCTGCTTTGGCTGATCGATCACGTCGGTCGCCGTAATTTGTTGTTGATAGGCGCCGCAGGTGGTTCCGTCTGCCTATGGATCGTCGGCGCATACATTAAGATTGCTCAGCCGGAGAAGAACTCAAGCGACAGCTTGAGCGGTGGTGGCATTGCCGCCATGTTCTTCTTTTACCTGTGGACCGTGTTCTACACCCCGACCTGGAACGGTACCCCCTGGGTTCTTAACTCGGTAAGCATTTCCAACCAAACCAAACTGTGAATTGTGTGCCAATGCTAACATCTCATCTAGGAAATGTTTGACCCCAACATGCGTTCTCTGGCTCAGGCCTGCGCTGCCGCCTCCAACTGGCTGTGGAATTTCCTCATCTCGCGCTTCACTCCGCAGATGTTCACAACTATGGGGTACGGCGTGTACTTCTTCTTCGCATCTTTGATGATATGTTCCATCATCTTCGTGTACTTCCTCGTCCCTGAAACCAAGGGTATCCCACTCGAGAGCATGGACCAGCTGTTCGACATCAAGCCCGTGTGGCATGCCCACAAACAGATGGTTGCCCAGCTGCGCGAGGACGAAGAGCGCTTCCGCCACGATGTCGAGTCTTCCGGTCTCGGTGCGTCGAAGCTTGGCGCGGAGCATGCTGAGCAAGTCGAGGATTCTGCGGCCGAGCCGAAGTATGCTTAAACCATGCTATGAGTAGATCTTCCTGTGTTAGCACTATCTGTTGTTGTAGAACCTCAAGTGTGATTTTGTTGGTTGAAAGATTGTTCTCGTTCTTGGAATGATCTTGGATTTGTCGACCTGGCGTCTTCTTTTGGTACCCTGAGACTGTTGTCTATGTACACTGCACCAAACGAGTGTGAAGAAGAATATGATTTTTGACGACCGCCCTTTGCTGTATAGTCCAAATGAATATACCCATCTCTGTATCTTATGATAAGTTCTCTCCAAATCAACACCTTAGAAAATGAAATAAAATAGAGAAATAAATGTACTCGCCTCGAATTCCACCATCTATGTATCCGATTTAAGCCAACAAGTCAACATCAATATCGACAGGCTGGCCCGATCGCATAGCCTTCTGAACAGCCTCGCAGACAATCAATGCACGCAAACCTTCCTCACCAGAGCAACTAGGCTCAACCGTCCCACTAATAACATCAACAAAATGCGCCAGCTGCAAATCAAACGGCGCCTTATCATCAGAAAGCGGAATCCGATCAACAGTCAACGGATGATTCCAACTCTTGTCAGGACTGGCATCGTAGCTCCAACGGGTAAGATCAGGCACGCTAAGCGAAGCCTCGGATCCAAAGATACGGTAGAAGTCGGAATCAGCGCCGGTTGTCGACTTCGGAATAATTGGGTTCTCACCCGTCCCAGTCTCGAAATTGTGTGGCGAGGGCGTGGCATCGCAGACCAGGAACGTACCCACGACGCCCGAGGCAAAGCGCAACGTCAGTGCGGCGCCTTCGTCCGCGTTGTGCGGGGGACTGGGGCGCTGCGGGAGCGTGCGCTCTGCTGTTACACGCACGATCGGTCCGAAGAGGTGGTGCATGAGGTCGATGTCGTGGACGAGGTTGATGGGGATGACGCCGCCGCCGCGGTCATTCGAGGCGCGCCAGTCTGTTGGCGGGGCGAAGTACGCGTCCGGCTTGTATAGAGTCCAGAGGCCGTTAATGGCGATGGGACGGCCAAGAGAGCCGGAGTCGAGGACGGACTTGGTGGCTCGCACGTAGGGGTTGAAGCGGCGGTGGTGGCCGACTAGGAGCTTCAGGTGGGCGTGCTCCGCGGCTTTGGCGAACTCGAGGAGGGACCGTCCGTTCTCGAGGGTATCACTGACGGGCTTTTCGAGGAGGACATGTACTCCGCCTGCGAGGAGCTCTTTGGCGACGGGGACATGCGTGTGGTTTGGGGTGCAGACGATTGCTGCGTCGGGGCGGTGGGGTGATGCTAGCAGGGAGGCTACGGAGGCGTAATAGTTTGTTTTGAGGGTTGAGGCGGTTGCTTCACCTGTTGGCATTGGGTCGACGAGAGCGGTCAGCTGTGTTGAGGGGTTGGAGATCACGGATTGAGCGTGACGAGGGCCGATGAGGCCTGCGCCGATAATGGCAACTTTAATAGACATGGCGGTGGTTCGAAGCTCGAAGGGACAAAGATTGAATATGAGGGTTTGAAGGCTTCTAACTTGAGAGACTATAGCTTGCGGAACTTGAGTGGAAACTCAATCTGGTGGTTGGCTGCTTTTTGATTGCGGAGAATCTGTCATTGCCCCGGACCCTGAACGGATTTCACAACTCGGCGCCGGTTCACCGGTGAAGAATGGACCCATACGGAAAAAATCATTTGCGGGGACGAGTGTTCGTTTTGATTCCAAGGATGGGGGAAGGATTGCTAATGAGTACATAGTGCGATGTGGAGGGGAAATTCAACGGCTAAACGAAATGGGGAAAACGCTTTGCCGGCCATGTGACCGGCCTACTATCAGGCTCTGCCTCGTAATCAACTCACGAATCAAAGTACTCGAACCAGGCAGAACGTTCAGTCATGGAGGGGATATTGGGGGATAACGTTTTGTCGCAATAATTTTGTTATCTTCCCCTTATGGGCTCAAATAACCCTAGTCTCGCTGATACTCTAAGACATTCTCACATTCCTCACGCTTTAACTTCCACCCTCTCTTTTTCTAAAACAAAAGTCTCCTCCAACCTCTACATAAATCCGGCTCTATTTAATTCAACGCAAGCAACGTTCACAGTCCTCTTAAAAAATATGGCTTTCAACCGTCCCGGCATCGCCTCCATGTCCCTAGGCCGGCCCTGGGTGCACGACCTCCCAGGCAAACTGATGCAAGCCGCGGCCCATGGCTTCGAGGGCATCGAGCTTTTCTTCGACGACTTGGACTGCTATGCCCAGCGTGTTTTCGGCGGCGATCACCTCGAGGCCGCAAAGTCAACACGGCGGATGTGCGAGCGCCTCGGACTGACCATCATCTGCCTGCAGCCGTTTTCCATGTACGAAGGTCTCATCGACCGCGCCGAATCAGACCGGCTCATCAGCGAGAAGCTTCCTAAGTGGTTCATCCTGGCGCGGGCGCTTGGCACAGACATGATTCAGGTTCCTTCCAACTTCCTCGGACCAGACCCCCAAACTGGTGCAGCTCGTACCACTGGTGATCGCACTGTGATTGTGCGTGATCTCCAACGCCTAGCAGACCTTGGTGCCGGTGCCGGTTTCCGGTTTGTCTACGAGGCTCTTTGCTGGGGTGATCACATCGACACCTGGGAGGCCTCATGGGAGGTCGTCCGTGATGTCGACCGCCCCAACTTCGGTCTCTGCCTCGACTCATTTAACATCGCCGGTCGTGTATATGCCGACCCTGCGGCCCCCTCTGGTTGCACACCAAATGCTGCGGCTGATCTGGCTGCTTCATTGGAACGTTTGCGTACTGCGAACATCGATCCCGCCAAGATCTTCTACGTTCAACTCGTTGACGGCGAGCGTCTCTCCGCCCCTCTGGATGAGAAGCACCCCTTCTACGTCGCTGGAAACCCTACACGCATGAACTGGTCTCGCAACGCCCGTCTCTTCCCCTTCGAAGAGTCTCGTGGCGGGTATCTCCCTATTTTGGATGTTGCTCGTGTCTTCTTCGAGGACCTTGGTTTCCGCGGCTGGGTTTCTCTTGAACTTTTCAGCCGAACTCTTGGTGAAACCGATCCTTTTGTTCCTGCCGACCACGCCCGCCGTGGTATCGACTCATATAACAAGATGGCTCACGTTCTAGGCTGGGAAGAGCCTACCGAGAAACTCTCGGCTTGCATCCCTGCGCCCGAGTCGCCTGTTCAACACCGCCTTTAAATATATCAGGTATCTTTATCTGTCTTGTATAGCATGCGGCATCTGTACATACACCATTTCATGACTTTTGACGATTTTCATTGCACATACTAAGTCTTTGCGGGCGGAAAATGTTGAGACTAGCGGGGAACATGTATTTCACATCTCATTTTCACATTGCATTCAATACGATTCCAGTCTTCTACATTTAATCACATTCTATGCCAAGATAACCGTATAAATTTCGTAGCAAACATACCCAGGTACCGACTGACTCCGGTATTGAGATTGATGTATATTTGTGTAGCTATACAACCCTGTCGCCTGTAATTTAGATACACATAAGTACCTTTACCGATCTAGTGAAACCACAATGTATTTAAACCCGTTGACCCCCGCAGTCATCTTCATCTATGCTTTCCAGCCTGTTCGGGATAAGTTCCCTCGGTGTGATGTCTGTCCCAAGCAATGACAAGCGCCGCGACACACGAAATGAATGCCGCAAGGCCTTGGCTGACCATATCCGTAAGTATTTTCGTTTTAATAATCTTACAATCGCAAATTGACGCCCGCGCCCTCAGATGAGCGACTTGGCCTCGAAGTCTCACCTGACAAGATACGCTTGCACCCGTCTCGAGACAGTGGATATGAATGGTCCGTGGCAGATTCCCAGCAGTACCTGTTCGAAAAGGAACTGAGTAATGGGAACATTGGTATCTATCGGTCTCTCATGGAAGAGCTCGGCCATTCAATTGAGGCGATCAGGCCTCAAATCGCGGGGTCGAATGGTGACCAACGCATGATACCTATTCGCCAGAACCCGGAGACGGGGTCAGATTCCTTCACGGCGACAATCGAACGACTAAAAAGCTCAAATCAGAAGTTTGCCCTCGAGTTAAATCAAGCTCGAGCCGAGCTGCAGCGGCTATCTCAGCAAAAAGAGGAATGGGATTCCAAAACTCGCAACCTTCAGGAGCAGCTTGTGAGCAGTCAGTCTCGGGCCGATCGATTAGAAAGAGAATTATTCAAGGCAAAGGGGGACATTGCAGGCGCAATCGACATACTACAGAACCAGCAATCGGAAAATCCAACCCCGAGAAAGCGGATGAGAAATATGTAGCGAACCAGTCGCTTAAGAAAATGTAGCGAAGGAAATGTAGTGTATTTCTATTCATGCAGGGAACCTGCTGGGCTGAAGCTTAAACAGCAAAGATGTATCACGAGAAGGACATCGATGAGAGAGGAGGCGGCTGAACAGTCCCGATATATGCCCAGGCGGTTGTCTGTGAACAATTGACATAAGGGTAACGATATTAATCGATACTTGAATGCTATGTATTCCTGAATCAATGGGAATTACCAAGACAGGATTCAAAAAATGATTTCAAGTCCTTGAAAAAGGTTGATAGAACATCGTACGAGAAGCATGTAGTGTACAGCCCGTCTAGAAAATCTGGTGATATGTCGATGTTCATGTATGCTCTCTAGGTCTTTCCATCTGTTTATGGTTGTTTCGAGGCTTAATGAACCATCAATTGATAAAGTTGAGAAATCCTGTAATATCATCTCGTTGAGACTTGCAATATAGACCATTTCTAGGCCTTTGAGATACCATGTAGTAGAAACAACAGGTGCAGGGATTGTTGGCAGATGAAAATACATGACAAAGTTGAGATCAATAGACACTGCTCAAAAAAGTGAATCGACAATACCATTTTCTATTGAATGCTGGCTATTGAATGTTGGCCATTGAGAAGTGCAACATTGTATTTCTCAAATGATCTACTAGCCTTTCCTGACTGCTCTTCCCCCAACTTGTCCTCTTATCATCTCATCCCCCATCATTTCTTCTCCATCAACTGAGTCTTCTCCCCTGCATCAATTTGATTGATTGATATTCACCCCCTCTCTCTATCTCGCAAGTCTGCACGTTTCTTCGCTATTCGTTGCCCAGACTTCAACGAGCTGCGCTGCAGACCCCAGGGGTTGAGCTAGTCTGAAGCGATCCAGGACATATCTGGTGTTGCAAGTTGTGAGTTACCCTTCCATTTGATACTCTTCTGTCTTATCTCTGGAACGAGATTTAATGGCGGATCTGATCACACAGATACACATCTCCACAACTATGGAAGTCGATCTCAACTTCGCAACTGCGGCTCTGCTCTTGCAGGTAGAGATCCATGAAGCTCAACAAGCATTGGCATCTCTTGACCCGGAGAACAATGATCAGAGAAAAGCTCTTCTTGAATGGATGGCTCAGCTTCGAGCCCGTGCAACGACCGTCGATCGTCAAATCGCTGCTGAAATTTCGCTCCAAACAGAGCAAGCGAAATTGGTATATCATCGCGATCATCAGATGGCTCTTGAACTGTCAGCAGAATCAGAGGACTCTCAGGCTGCTATTCTCCTGGATATCCAAGAAACACGTGTGAATGCTCCGCAAGTCCAGCCAGCTCCACGAACACAGCCATTTTCACGAGCACAGCCAACCCAACAAGCTGCCCTACCACAACCAGCACCACAACCAGCACCACAAGCACCACAAGCAGCTCCCATGACACTTACAAATCTCCTTGCATATTCCCAACCCCTAGTTTCTGGCGTTGCTAAATCCTGTGTTGCTCCGGCTTTCCAGTCTACCAAAGCTGAACCGGAACCAAATTTCTCGCACAAACGGCCTGTTCCAGACCTGACCACTGGAGACCAGGAAAAGCGACTTCGCACGGCTTCAACCGCACCAAATGTCCAGCACGAGTGCGAGTCATGCTTGGAGAAGTTTAATCAAGTTGAGATGCTCGTTGGCAGCTGTTCACATCATTACTGTCGGGACTGCTTGGTTCATCTCCTGGAGAATGCTCTGGTGGTCGAGACTCTATTTCCCCCACGTTGTTGCCGTCAACCCTTACCACTGGAGCAAGCACGGGCTTTGATTAGCAGCGAGATATGGACAAGATACGAGGAAAAGAAGATCGAACACAACGATCAATCCCGAACTTATTGTGCAAACCCAACTTGCTCCAAATACATCCTGCCATCGCAAGTCCGCGGTAGAGTTGCAAGATGCAAATCATGTGATCACCAAACATGCACCAGATGCAAGACTGTAGCTCATGCTGGGAGATGTCCTGAGGAAGATGAAGTTATTCTTACGTTGGCACGAGAGGAAGGATGGACACGCTGCTCCAACTGCGGCCATTTGGTCGAGCTTCGAAGTGGCTGCAACCACATCACGTAAGAATACATATGCATTTCTGTTTTCCTTGTTTCTTTCTTCACAATCAACGCACTAAAGACCTCTTTCTTAGATGCCTTTGCGGATTCCAATACTGCTACATTTGCTCCATGAAATGGAAGCAATGTGACTGTGCACAATGGGATGAAGGACGACTGCTGGATCATGAACGACTTAATGATATTCAAGATCGAGCGCGACGATTCGACATTGCTCGTGAAGATTGTGACCACCAGGTGGTCTGGAGAAAAATCCGGAGAGGAGCGCTGTGTGAACAATGTGGTGATCACATGCGAAACTTCATTCTGCAATGCCGGGGCTGCGGTTTTCAAGCTTGTCGAACCTGCCGAGCGAACTTCAATTAAAACCGAGGACATCGTTTATAGTTATTCTAGGGATCTGTATCATGCAAGTTATCCTAACTACCCCCAGGGGGTTGTCGTGGAATATCAAATTGAATTGAATTGATGAAACTGAGGTGGATGAATGACTATGAAGAATGGGCTATCAGTTATCGAATCCGGAATCTCTTGAATGAAAAATAAATTCATGGACTGACTATTTGTCGTACCTGCCTATGGAGCTAGGTAAAATTACATCTACTTAGAAAGTCTGAAATAGCATCAATTGCAATCTTACATAGTGTCTTGAAAGGTCTGGAAATGGATTATATCGAAAGCCTTCCTATTAGACACATTATGTAGGATATGTAACTACTATAAGCTGATGATTCAAAGCGAAGCGCGAAAGAATATTGAAGAGAGCTCAAAAACGAGAGGTAAAAAGAGGACGAAAAAGGTCTAGAGAGCATACCTAGATGACATGTCGCCAGACTTTCTACATGCGTAGATGGGACGTATTCAACAGTTCAACAATTCAGCAATACAAAGCTGCAGGTTGAAACATAGGCTGGACGGCAGATTCGAAAGACAGATGCTCATCATACAGAGTCTCAGATGGCTACGGGTTCGTGGGAACAACCATCTGATCTTGAGAGTCAAAACCAAGCTTTCGACCAAGACTAGCATGTCTCGCTGCCTTTGCGAAGCGAGTCCATGAGTTACCTCGTCTCGTTGTTCGCTCTGCCTAATCGCATCTGAGCCCACGCTCCCGCCCCATTGTGGCGAAAATTGGGGGTCACTGCTGGTACTTTGAACCCCCTTGCGGGATTCATCTCCACGAACAGCGAGCCAATTATCATCATGATTTGAGTATTGATTTCCACCTCGTGAAGCACGATAGTATCATCACTGATGGTTCCTGAAGGCTCAAAGCAAACTAAACGCTCGCCAATAGGGAAGGTTTCTGAGATCAAGAATATTGCAGCAGCGATACGAAATTGAGAGAACGCATTTTTCAAAGCTATCCTGTTGGGGCTATTCTCCTTATCGACAGCTGCCCAGTCTTGGAGCATTTTATACCCAGCGGCCATATGACAGAGAGTTGCGAGGATGTCTCTCTGATAGAAAGCGAGAAGCGCCAAAAGAAAAAAGGTGGTCATAACCGTCACTCGATGTTCCCGACTTGACTCATGCCGGTTCAGTTCGTTGCGACGACAAACGATCGACTTGTCTGCATAGCTAAGAGCCAAAAGGGTTTCATCATCCACGGTATGTTTCTTATAGATTTGGTCGGTTTTGACTTGTCGTACACTCCTTGCTATCACCGCATGCTGAATTGCAGTTTGCGTTGCGGTCATCTGAAGTAATGACCGGCTCCACAATTGATCTTCGAAATATCCATAGCTTGGAGTGCGCTGTTCCTGCACCAGCTATCCAGGTACCAGCGATCAACCCATGTTAGATCTACTTGGCTTGGTTCGACCAAGCATACCAGAGTCACGGCTTTATTTTGCAAGCAATAATAGCTCTACCGAGTTAATGTATTATTTTGGTCTGGAATTTCTGGTTGGCTGAGGCTTACGCCAAGCTCAGGTTTTCTTATCAGGGTTTTGTGCATATCCGTCGCAGGTTCAGCCTGTGTTAACACAGTTTTGACATGCCGACTGGGTCCCATCGCATCTGTTATGCCGGATTCTGCGTTGGAGACGAGTCAGTCAAACTTAATGTGGAGCTTCGGGGGACCCTGAAAGGCTTGTTAGGATGTAAGGAAGCAAGGATGCCTAATTTCACGTGATACAGCCTGTTCGGACGTTGGAATGGGGTGACCTGACGTGGCTTTGTCGAGGCATGGTGCCCACAAAACAGATATGATAGTTATGGGGTTTGGGGAGACAGGAAGCTTGCGGGAGTATCCTGACGGGCTCCCGCGTATAAATCCCCACTCTTGGCGCCGATCAACTGGAGCTTGCTACGTGATCTATTTAGTATACATTTTTAGTATTGATCGAGCAATTGATCTCGTTTTTTTGTCTATATGTAAAGATGTGGAGATATCTCTTAGATGGTGGTTTGATTCTGCGTATCATCTATTTTTGGTATGCAGAAGTGCCCATTAATCTCCATGGATCCCCACAGATCACCCTGAAGATTTGCGAAGTCCGGGGAAATTGATAATTGGAAGTGGAGCAGAGCCTTTTCTTCACAATGTGGTATATTGAAATGTAGTTAGGTATACCTATAACTAACTAGTTACTGTAGCTAACTAGTTTACTATGTATGGAGGTAGGTGTACACAGTTAGTCTTGTACTGAAACTAGTGTTTCTAGGGCCCAATTTTAAATGTCCTGTCCTGTGTCAAAGTAATATGGGTAAAGTCGACCAAACCATGGGTCTGACACTATCTGAGACAAATTTTGATTGAGGGTTCCTGGCAATTATCTTCCAAAGTCCGGTGTTTTAAAAGGGGACTATGAATAGATGCGTACTGGCGTACTGGCGTACTGGGTAGGGCTTGATGGTATCGGGGCCAAACTCACGCAGGTTTCAAACAAACCAACAGTTTCCAAGCTTGTATCAGACAAAATTGCTCAATACAATTAACAGCTCACTATGTACATATGTAACTATGGGTAATTGAGAATATTCAGCATCTCTACAATCTTGTACACCAGGAACCCCTTAGACACGTGACGCGTTTCACAATCTCACTGAAACACACGCGGCCTGAGCTGAGAAATGAAGGACAAGCCGAGACCACTCCGGAAATATTATTAAACTCTCGAGATTGACTTCAGCCGCAGTTAGGCCTTGTGAAACCATAGACAAGGCTGAAATTTGATGAAATATCGGGAACAAGAGAAGTGGATGACAGTGGTCAATGCGAGGTCGATCATATTAGACAATACCATTATACCATAAATATGATAAGAGGTAGTTGAACTGTTCGAATATTGTAGTATAATGACCTCAGATGAGAATAGAATAAAGACATTGTAATAAGTACGTACATATGTAGGTTGGATTCAGGAGAAATAGTACCTAATGAATTGTATACGTTTACACGTTTACGTGGGGTTCCAGACCGGGCAGAAAGCCAAATGTTCAACTCCTTTCTCATCTCTTCTCCCCCCCCTAATTATTATTGTCCTAAGTCAATCTCCCATTCTATTGCTTTTTCTTTTCTTTCTTTTCTTTTCTTTTTTTGCTTATTCTCCCCTGTGCATTTTCCAATTAATTTCAATTAATCTCCTCTGTCGGATCTCATTTCCTTTTCGCCTTTGGGGCCATCCAATTCCGCGAGGGGCAATATTCCGCATCTGTTGCGCTTAGCCTTCCAAACACACGCGGTTATTTTACTTGAAACCCTTCTGTAGCACCGGTTAGCAGTGCCAGGTATGTCGGAATATGTCCCCTGGTCCATAGTTAAGTCCCCATGGACCCACGCCTCATACATAGGTACCTACAGCAAGTAGGCACAACCCTGCTTGTTCTAGGTTCTAGGATTGGGTTCTGACCTGGAGAAAGACGTCTTACACTTAAATCTACTCTTAGATCACGTTTTTTGTTGACGCCGCATTAGTCTGCAGGTTCAGCCACCACTTGCCGTTCTTTCAGCCCCTGTCGCATCCCCCTCCAATCCCGCAGCCGACAACCTCGTTTCATTTGATCCCAAATTGCGCTCGATAAGACGCACGACCACAGAACCAATACGAAAGACGCATGTAACGTCAACGGGCATCCTCGTGCCGCGACCAAGAATCGCCCGTATTACACCGCTGTGTCCTGCGCCGTACTTGTACCTGAACAGCGTCGGTGAACGCCCACAGTCGACTTCTCGGTGCGCGATAGAGGAAATATTATACGATGGATAACCAAAGCTCCCATCCGGAGTCTCCTTACGAGCAGGAGGAGTCTTATCCTTGCAAAGGTTGTGGAGAGGTAGGTACAATGCGAAGTTACATGACAGGACCGGACTAACAAGTCGGGCAGACTCTCGAAGAAGGGAAAGCGTTTGAGCTTGGTAAGTCGGAGGAATGCGATGGTTTCCCTTTGCTCCGTGTCGCTAACCTCACGCAGCTGGAAACCGGTGGCATATCGATTGTTTCCGATGCAGCACTTGCAGCACTCTCCTTGACTCGGACGCACATCTCCTCCTGCTAGGCGATGGTTCCTTAATCTGTAGCAACTGCACCTACAGCTGCAGCTCCTGCAACACCAAAATTGAAGATTTGGCCATCCTAACAGGCGACCAAGCCTTTTGCGCTCAATGTTTCCGGTGCCGGAACTGCAAGAGGAAGATCGAGAACCTACGCTATGCGCGTACATCACAAGGAATATTCTGTATGGACTGTCATGAATCATTAATGGCAAGAAGGAGAAAACGGAAAGCTGGCGGCAGTAGTGGAAAGAAACCAGCAGGGCCTAATGTGAAACTGGATAAATCTTTACCGTCATTGCCTCCTCACCTTCTTGAGGAAGCCCAATCAACGGACGAAACGCCCAGTGAATATGCAGGGACGCCGGACTTGGGGCGTATGCCAGATACACCAGAGTTGGACGAAAGGCCAGAAAGCTCGACGTCTAACCAGCTCGCTGATACAGGTAAGCTTCCTCCTTCCCCCTACTCCAGTTTGCTTCTTGAATCCGGATCTTTCGTGTGTCTCAACGTGTCGGTGTGCGCATTGTTTGCATTGTAGGTCGCGGCTTTTGAGTAGTACTAGCTACACATTATTGTCGCGGCCTACACATCGTTCCCGGTTGGCTATATAGCCGTGATCTACATCAATGTTTTCATCAATCTTTGGGCTAGATCAGTTACTTACTTCCAACACAGATAACCTTATTCTCCCCTCCAGCACATACCGCAGCAGTCGTCAGTCAATGGCCCGTAATACTGACGCAGATGGCGGTGAATTGTTGATTCCTCTTGCCTTTGATCCCTCCGCTGAGGGTCGCTCCTCCCGTGGCCATTCCCAGACGCGGCAAGAACCTAGTCGCGATTACTTCAGTCAGGCTCGATCTGGTGAATCTTCCCACCGAGCATCGCGCGACGGCCGCGATTACTTGCAAGAGCCTCCTTCACGCACATCTTCAGAAAACCCTTCGCCTCATATTGCCTACCAAGAAAAGAATTGGGAACGTAACGAGCCCGGTTCGCCTGATAAGGCGCCCCATACCGGCGATTCATCCAAATTTGGAAAGGAAAGCTCTGCTCGCAGTTCCTCCGATATCCCTATCAGCTTCAGGGAAACCAACAACCTTTCTGGTGCTGCTAGTCCTGACAGTGGCAATTTCAAAGAACTGCACAGTGATACCAAGCGATCAATTCCGTTGGATAGTATTACCTCGGCTCCAGCTCGTCCTTCAAGCGAGCTTCATCGTCTTCACGAACACGGCTCTGTTGATTCGGGGCGCTCTCAACCCTCGGGTGTACCTAATTTGCCTAAGCGCGGCGATTCTCTCGAAGGCAGGCATCACCAAATCCCCAGGAAAGAAGTTGGAGCATCGCCTGCATCCTCGCAATACGGGGATTCTCCCATGCTGCGTAGCGACACCTTTGAACAGCCCTCGCAACCCGCCCCGTTGAAGACATCGAACCTTGATTCCCTCCCACTTGACGGCCCCGCCTCGCCATCCTTGTTACGGTATAACAGCGGAGGTGACTTCTCGATGGACGAGGAGTTGTCTCGAATCATTGAGGGCGAAGATATCGTTGGTCAAAGCAACGACTCTTTCTTGAGGCGCGTCTCCAACTCTGTCCGTCATGGCCGAAGCTTCAGCGAGAAAAGTGTGCGGATGGGCAAAGATGGGAAGAATCCAAGGTCCCCAAGAAGCGGAAGTATAGCCGGAACAGATGTCGGTAGCCCGATCGTCGGGTCGCAAAGCGAGGAAATCTCCTGGCTTCGAAATGAGCTCCGCAAAGAGCGTGAACGAGTTGCAGAATTGGAAGCTGCTGCTCGCGCCACGGCAGATGTCAAGCAGGTCAATACTGAACTTTCCGAGAAGCGGTCGACGATGGTTGTTTTGGATGCCCAGCGCGAAATCGTTTTGCGTGAGCTCACGGTACTCACTGACCATATGGAAGCTGAGAAGCGAGGTAAAAATAACGGCCCTTTGGATCTCGGAAAGCTTTCAAATCATGTGCTGCGCGAGCTTGCAGAGTCCATTCAAAAACTCAAGGAGTCCTACGCTCCGCAAATTGAGAGCCTGATTCAGAAGCGAAATGATCTTTCAGAACAATTGGAAGAGATGAACAGCAAGAAAGAGAAGAGCTTCCAAGAATTCGAGCAACTTTCAGCGAAAAACGCACAACTTGCTGAGTTGAACAATCAACTGGTTCACCAAATTCAGGAACTCTATAAAGCCACAGAAGGTCATCAACCACGATCAACTGGTCTCGGTATCTCTCACAACAAAGAAAGATCAACCACTTCTGTTGAAATTATGAAGCCTTACAATGAGCTCCAGTCGTCGGGTTCGGCTGCTCACATCGCAGATGAGTCCGGCCCTGCTACTGCTACTGTTGTTCCCGGTCCCCAAGTTGTCAGCATTCGCAAGGGTCAGCCTCGCAAGTTCAACTGGAAGAAGGGTGGCCAGAATGTCGCCAAGGGTGTCAAGGGCCTCAGAACGTTAATGGGTGAACAGGGCGATAACGGCGGTCTACCACGTTCCCAAACTCAGGACCCTAGTCGCCAAGGCTTTGGTTTCTTCGGAAACCAAAAAAGCAAACAGGGTGGAAAGATGTCACAAGCCGACAGCGTGCCTGTGTTGGCCGAAGCAGCACCCGCCTCTGGTGGTGATGGTACGTGCCTGACCTTCTCCTTTGAAGTGATATGAAACTCAGTCAGCTAACTCTCACTAGTTCTTTTCGGTACTGATCTTGAACTTCGCATGGAGCATGAAAAGAGCATCATCCCTTTCATTGTTACGCGGTGTATCCAAGAGGTTGAACTGCGAGGTACGTTCTGGTCGCCAAGTTCTCTGAGTTTTCTACTTACTAACAAACAAATAGGCATTGACATGGAAGGCATTTATCGCAAGTCCGGTGCTGCTTCCGTTATCCAGACCATACGTGAAGGCTTTGAGAATAATCCGTTCGAATTCGATATCTCTGATCCTGATCTCGATATCCATGCGGTCACATCTACTCTGAAACAGTACTTCCGAAAGCTGCCTAACCCTCTTATCACCTATGAAGTTTACGAACTAGTCATCGACTCTGGTGAAGTTAACCCCGTCTCGGCGCGAATTGAGCTTCTGCAGAAGAGCTTGCTCGAGCTGCCTCCAGTTCACCGAGATGTCCTTGAGTTCCTCATCTTCCATCTCAGACGTGTGGTCGAACGCCACACTGAAAATTTGATGACCTTCCAGAATGTGGCGGTGGTCTTTGCCCCGACAATCATGCGACCTGAAAGCCTCGCACGTGAGATGACCGATGTCCAGAAGAAGAATGATGTCCTCAAGTTCCTGGTGGAGAACTGTCACGAGGTTTTCATGGGCATGCAGAGCTAAATCTGAACCTATTCCTCTTCGCAGGTCTCTTTGTTCATTCCAACCCGTCCCAATTCCTTCAGTATTCATACGCATCCCGCCCTTGATGTGCAATGTCAGAACGTGCGTTGTTCTTTCCCCAGTCCTTCCTGCTTCCTGACATTCTGCCTACTTGTTCCTCCAGCTTTCTTGTTTGTACAGATACCACTTGCTCATATTCCCCTCCTTTCCCTCCCATACTTGTGTCAATCAGCTTTGCATGCTTGATACAAATACCCTGTTTTGTTTTACTTCTTTACGTATTTTATTTATGTTCAACTTCCAAACTTTTCGCCGGTTCGAAGCTAGTCAAACCCCGGGCCTCGTTGCCATTGGATTTAACCTCGTTGGCTATTTTGGGTATCAAAATTCTTTGGGTGGTTTCTTGTCCCTTTTCAGGCATGTTGGTGTTTGTTTTGTTCTCGACTCTGAGCGAGCATTGGATCAAGCGTTTTGCATCTCAATACAGCAGTCCAATTGAAATGCGGTAGTAAATGAGATTTTATACTCGGTCTTTTTAGCAAATCCCCGTAAGATTCTAAGATTTTTTCCATTAACAAATTTCCGAGTGTCATAAATGTTGACTATGTACATTGTCGTTGGTTATAGCAGTCAATACTTGTAGCCAGGTGGTCCAAGCACCCACCGCCTACGACATCGACTAGGCCACCCGAGCTCCAACAACCCACCCCGAAACGCTCCCAAGCCTCGTCGAGGCCCCTCATTTCCGTGTCCTCAAATACCTAATCACAATGTCGAAACCAAGCAACTACATTCTCCTCTCCCTCCCCACCTCTATCGTTCCCTCGCATCACCGCGACGACGCCCTCCAAGCAGTCTCGGCCACGGTCTCCCCGGACAATGGCTCCGCCACCTCGTTCCCAATCCCGGAGTTCAAGATCGGCACGCTAGATGCCCTCGTCCAGCAAGCAGATGAGCTAGCCAAGCTTGAGGCGTCCTGCCAGGGCGTGGTGGCGAAGGTCGGCGACGCCCTGAAGAATATCCTCGAGGGTGACGAGTCGCAGATCGAGCAGATGAAGGTCGTCAATGATAGTATGTCTATGTGCTGGATTTGATCAGGGACAGAGTCCCTCGAAAATGGTTCTGACTGGCTACTACAGAACCCGTCGACCAGTACCTGCGTACTTTCCAATGGAATAAAGTCAAGTACAGGGCCGATAAGTCCTTGGCGGAGCTGATTGACTTGCTGCAGAAGGTCTGAGCCCGCGCATTCGCATCCTGAGAGGAAATGCTAGTGCGGCGCTAATGCGAATGTCTATCTAGGAAGCCGCCAGTATTGACAGCGACATTCGATACAAGTACTCCCAATATAACCAGGTCAAGAACACGCTGTCCACGCTGCAGCGGAAGCAAACGTACGTGCAATGCGGCAGACCATGCAATCCACCAGAACTGAACTAACGGCTTTTGCACAGCGGAAACCTGTCAACGAAGTCCCTCGCCTCCGTCATCGACCCCAAATCCATCATCCAGGACTCGGAATACATCGAAACCCATCTCATCGCCGTCCCCGCACAGCTAGTAAAAGACTTCCTTAAGACCTATGAAACTGTCGCGCCGATGGTTGTCCCCCGGTCCGCGCAGCTGGTCGCTTCCGATAGCGAGTTCACGCTGTACGCCGTGACCTCGTTCAAGAAGCACAGCGTAGAGTTCGTGCATAAGTGCCGCGAGCAGAAGTGGATCCCGCGCGACTTTAAGTATGTCGAGGGCGGGAAGGAGGAGGAGCGCAAGGAGGTCGAGCGCGTTGGCGGCGACGAGCGCAAGCTGTGGGGTGAGACGTTGCGACTTGGTCGCACTGCTTGGAGTGAGGCTGTTATGATCTGGGTTCATATCCTGGTCTTGCGGGTGTTTGTGGAGACGGTCCTGCGGTATGGGCTGCCGCTGGACTTTGTCTGCGCGTTGGTCAGGGTAAGTTTTGTGTTGTTGCTGTTTCTGTTGCTATTCATCGGTGGTTTGGGATTGACGCACTTGCTGACTCGTTCTAGACCCAAACTTCTAAGCAGGCGGACCGCGCTAAGCAGAACCTTGAGAACAAGTACTCGTACTTGGCGGGTAATGCCTTTGGCCGAGACAAGAAGGGTCGCATGCAGCGCGATGATCCCGGTGAGATGCATGCCACTGGTGAGGGCGGCGCCGAGTACACGCCGTATGTGTTTTATGAATTCGAGTTCAACTGAGGCGGCTGGTTTGGGCCAATTTTGCTACAATTACAAAGGTTTCGAGAAGATGCTGCGTACATATACCATCTCGGTACATCGAGCACAAACTAGCATTGGATATGTTTTTTACTTCATATATTTCTATTCAGCAAGCATTAACACCCGAGTACCTATGCGGCTACTTCTACAACCCTTGACTCAAAAAGCATAAACATCAAAGCGATCTAATTGTCCACACAGTATGTACAGCAAGGTGGGAGGGGAATCAAGCAACAAACACCGTATCTAATCTGCTGTACAGGATTCTTTTGTATGAAAAGCAGGCATAGATACAATCATGAAAGTTCAAACATCCATAGCTTACTGCTTAGCGGGGAGGTAGCCCTTGGAGTCCAAGTACTCAATGATCTGCTTAACAGCATCGGCAACGGGCAGATCGACGTTCTTAATGTGAACCTCGGGGTTGGCAGGAGCCTCATAAGGAGCCGAAATACCAGTGAACTCCTTAATGACACCCTCACGAGCCTTCTTGTAGAGACCCTTAGGATCGCGCTGCTCAGCCACCTCAACAGGCACATCGATGTAGACCTCAACGAAAGGCAAACCGGTCTCCTCACCAGGCGTAGGCACCTCGTGCAGCTGGCGTGCGCTATCACGGTCCTTCTGGTAGGGCGAGATGAACGAGGTGATGGCGATAGAGTTAGAGTCGGCAAATAGCTTGGACACCTCACCGATGCGGCGGATGTTCTCGTTGCGGTCGGCCTCGCTGAAACCCAGGTTCTTGTTCAGTCCGAACCGGATGTTGTCGCCGTCCAGGCGGTAGGCGTGCACGCCGCGGTCCCGCACGAGCTGGTGCTCCAGTTCGACAGCAATGGTTGACTTGCCGGAGGCGGAGAGGCCGGTGAGCCAAATGGTTAGGCCTTGCTGCTTGCGCAGTGTGGTGCGCTCGGCGCGGGTCAGGGCGCTGGCGTGGAAAGTGATGTTGCTGGTTGCGGGGTTAGTCAATTGGTTTGCATGGGATTGTTAGCTGGTTTTACTCACGTAGACATTTTTGGGGTATGTGTGTAGTATGCAATGGAGAGAGAAGGAAAGAAAGTTGAAATATGGAGGGGCACTTGAAACTGGGCCGCGTCACAGCGATATCGCCGATCGCGGGTTGCGGTTGCGCAATTCCTTGGCGTTCACTTTATTTTCTTTCGATTTCATACTTGATTGCTTCTTGATCACTTCTAGATGCTCTTGATGCTCTTGATGCTCTTTATACAAGTAACGAGTTTTATAATATCATATATAATGCACACTTGCTATCTAATTTATTAACTCAATTCTAGTATGAAATCTATTTACAAAAATTATAGTATTTGCCACCAGGAACCCGAACCAAATGAACATTTGAAGATATTTCAATTGGCCACTTTGGTAAGAGCCTTAAACGCCTGTATCAATTAGCAAGGTCAATGGGTAAAGAGGGTTCAACATGAACTTACAGCAGCTTGTCTAGGCTCAATGAACAGAGCGGTCGCCTCAACCAAGACAACGGGCTCCTTATCATCCATCGGGAAAGTCTCAATGCGAGCCTGTACCCACGCCTTACGACCCTCGACCTTGACAGTCTCAGCCCGTAGAGCAACGTACTGGTCCGCCATCGCAGGAGCCCGATAATCAATGTTCAGGTTCGCCGTAACAGCAACCTTATTAGGCAGCGCGGGGAAGCAGCAACGCGCCATGCCCTCGTCCAACAACGTAGCCAGCAGACCACCGTGCACAATCCCCGGGTGCCCGCAGACATCAGAGCCAAGGTACATAAGCGACACCATGCTCTTGCCGTCAGCCTCGCTGAATACGTACGGCGGCACGACGATCTTCCCCGGCCCGGTCAGCGTGCCGGCCGTCAGGCTGCGCTCGCGCATGACTTCGGGGATCTTGAGGTGTGGGCGCGCTTCGGTGAATAAGGGATTGGCGCGGAGGGCCTCTGCTTCCGGGTGTGTGCGAATATTGTGGTCGATCTCCGCGATCACGGAGTCGGTGGGCACGAAGGCCGTCAGGGTCTCTTCATCTGTGGGGACTTGATTTTCCATAATTTCTGCGAGGGTGAGGCCGGTTTTGACGAGAAATCCTGCGTTGAAGCTGAAGAAGGCGATTGCGCTGAATCCTATGAAGCGGCGAATAAGAGAGCGCTTGGGAGGTGGAGGCGGTGCGGATTCACTTGTTTCTATGACGGGCGGCGCGTTAGATTTGGGATTCTGTGTGGTTCCGAGTGTAGATCTAAATTGGTGTATAGCTTACCAGCGAAGTACGTCTTATATTGAGGTCTCTTCGGGGTACCGGAGAATGATCGGTATGTTGGGCGCTGGAGTCGGGCAGAGGGTGTTGTGCGGGAGTTTAAAGAAAGAAAAGAAGACTTGGAAAATGTTCGGAACATGATAAATCCAAGAAAGAAATGAAAAAAGTATAACGAGTGGATATGAGCGTAAACCGCGAGTTCTAGAATTGCCCAGGTGAGCCAGAAGGCGAAATGTTGAGAGAAGAGGTTTTTACCTCGGCATCTTCACTTTTCCAAGCAAAACCTGGGTTTTTATGTTCACAATTCATAACTTTTCTTCTTCTTTACAGTTTGTATTTATTTTGTTGAGTATTTGGCTCCAAATGATTGATCATTGATCGTCTATTGTTCTTACATTATGAGAATTGCCATCTATTTTATGCACTCTGGGAGGGTCTCGCATCCAAGTACGTAGACTGCCCCGAAGCCCGGTTTCACCAAGAAGTCTCCATAAAAGGATGTATTAATAGATGTAAATAATCTGTTGGGATCTTGGAAATTGACAATTGAGTCATATCTTATACAATTCTCGGAAAATCAAAGAGAAGTTTCGATGTATCAATCTGCCCCTGTAGTAGATCTAGTCCTCGAGGTCTTGGTCTCTTACCTATATGTATATAGGTTTCTGTTTGTTCTCCTGTTCTTTTAGGCTGCCTTGTCCCATATCGTCTGGTATTATCAAGTTAAAAGAAACATGTCTTGCTGATGCCCGAGTTGTTCATATATAATGCGCATAGGTAAAGCCATAAGTCCAGAGTCCAAGGTGATCAGGTCCAATTTTATTGTACGTAGTCCCAAAAATGGTACAATACTTGTAGTACATCAACTTCAAATCTAACGCAGAATGTCATAGCGTGCATTTTGAACAACTTCAAAATATAAAAATAACAAGTCTCAGCTCATGTCCTCTAAGGCTGCGCAGATCTGAATTTGTCATGGGCGGTTTTTCAACTCCTGGACCAATTAGAACTTTCCCTATTCGAGATTCTCAATGAAACCATCTTAAAACATACATACATATGTATGTATGGACTGAGAATAAAATGAAAATGCAAAGCGTTGGCCAGACAGGGGCACATGCCAGGCAGGCGCGGAGGCAGGGATGAAGGTATTTAAGCCTTCGACGCGCCTGTCACTTACCCTCATCGATCTCGACAATGCAGAAATCACTGCTGATCCTTTTGACTAGCCATGTGCTAGTCAATGCTGCACCTCCGGAGCATTACGATGTTCTTCAATACATCAATCCCTTGATTGGCAGCGCGAACGGAGGTACGCCAACGCAACATCTGACTCAAATCTTCAGTGGATAACGGCAACTCTACAGGAAATGTCTTCCCTGGTGCATCATTGCCATATGGCATGGCCAAGGCCGTGGCCGACACAGATTCAGACAGTAACCAAGGAGGCTTCACCTCTGAAGGCGGCAACATCACCGGTTTCTCCAGCATGCACGACTCTGGCACTGGAGGCAGCCCCTCGCTGGGTAATTTCCCTCTTTTTCCCTACGCGAAATGCGCCGGGGACGATGTGAATGGCTGCGTCTATCCGAAAAACCAGCGGAAGACAAAGTACAAGCCCGAGTCGGTCCAGGCACACCCGGGGTACTTTGCCATCGAGCTGGCGTCTGGAGTCCGTGTTGATATGACCACTGCGCACCATACGTCTCTGTTCCGCTTTCAGTTCCCCAAGGATAGCAGCCCGTTGGTTTTACTGGATCTCACCGATTTGTCCAACTCCCGACAGGACAATGCTACAATCTCGGTGGATGAGAAGACGGGTCGTATGTCTGGTGATGCACGGTTCGCTCCCAGCTTTGGATCTGGGACTTATAACTTGCATTTTTGTGTTGACTTCAAGAGTCCCGCACCTAAACGGGACAGTGGGATCTTTGTCAATTCCCGTGCCAGTACTGATGTCCACGATTTGAAGATCTCGCGGAGTATCAATGGCTATCCGCTTCCAGTGAGCCAAAGTTAATTGTCTTCTTGGAACTATGGCTAATCGCAGATAGGGCGGCGGGTTTGTTCGCTTCAAGTCTGCGCCTGACAATACGGTCCTGGCCCGAGTTGGTGTCAGCTTTATGGGCACCAAGCAGGCTTGTGCTCATGCTGAAGCCGAGATTCCGAATTTCGACTTCGCTGCGACCCATCAAACAGCTGTCGATCAATGGACCGAGAAGATGCGTCCAATTAGAGTATCTCGAGCGAACATCAGTGAATCTGTACTTTCCAACTTTTACAGTGGGATCTACAGAACTATGATCAACCCCCAGAATTACACTGGCGAGAATCCACTCTGGCAAAGCAGCGAGCCTTACTTTGATTCCTTCTATTGCCTTTGGGATTCTTTCCGCTCCCAGATTCCATTCCTCACGATCTTTGATCCGAGGTCCGTGACACAGATGGTCCGATCACTCATTGATACACAGCGTCATCTAGGCTGGCTTCCAGACTGCCGCATGTCTCTCTGTAAAGGGTTCACACAGGGTGGCTCAAACGCCGATAACGTCCTGGCAGATGTTTACCTCAAAGGTCTTGAAGGTGGCATCGACTGGGATGCTGGATATGCAGCCGTTCAGAAAGATGCCGAAGAGGAACCATATGACTGGTCTAACGAAGGCCGTGGTGGTCTACGCAGCTGGAAGAATCTTCACTACATTCCCGTCGAAGATTTCGACTATGATGGATTTGGCACCATGACCCGCAGCATCTCACGCACGCTCGAATATTCATACAACGACTTTGTCATTTCCCAGATGGCCCGCGCCATGAACAAGACAGCAGATGCAGAACGGTATGAGAAACGATCACGGAATTGGCGAAATCTCTTCAAGAAAGATCAGACCTCATTCTGGAGAGGCACAGACACGGGCTTCACCGGCTTCTTCCAGCCAAAATACTTAAACAAAACATGGGGATACCAGGACCCGCTCACATGCTCGAATATCGACAACACCGGCCACGCATGCTCACTTCAAAACACCGCCGGCGAGACCTTTGAATCCAGCATCTGGGAGTACCAATTGTAAGACCCCTCTATATTCCCATCCAAACCAACGAACCCTTCTAACACTCCATCTAGTTTCGTCCCCCACGACATGTCAACCCTAATAAAGCTCCTAGGCGGACCGAACAACTTCGTCCGCCGCCTCGACTTCCTCCACGACAACAACATAACCTACATTGGCAACGAGCCCGCCTTCCTAACGGTCTTCCAATACCACTACGCCGGCCGCCCAGGCAAATCCTCATCCCGCGTCCGCACCTACATCCCCGACTACTTCTCGCCCACACCAGCAGGACTCCCAGGTAACGATGACAGCGGCGCAATGGGCTCTTTCGTCGCAATGGCAATGATGGGTTTATTTCCCAACCCGGGACAGGACGTGTACCTGCTCACCGTGCCGTTCTTCGAGACCGTAAGCATTGTCTCCCCGCTGACGGGGAAAACGGCAACCCTGCGCGTCGTCAACTGGTCCGAGTACAATGCTGCGAATGTGAGCGGTGCTGCGGCTGGGGGGAACGGGTTCATTCAATCTGCTACGTTGGATGGGAAGCCGTACACGCGCAATTGGGTCGGGCATGACTTCTTCAAGGAGGGGCGGGAGTTGGTTCTTGTTCTTGGGAAGGAGGAGGGTAGTTGGGGCACTAGGCCTGAGGACTTGCCGCCTTCTCTTGCTCCAGAGTCTGCGTTGCATGCTGATGTTGATTCTGTTGCTGTTCGTGAGCGTAGGTGGGATAGTGTCCTTGAGGACGGGCAGTTTGAAGGCCTTGTTCACAAGCGTGCTCTGCATCTTGGTCGTCATATCCATGGGGCTGGGGATAGCCACTCCGGTAAGGGCTAATGCTGAGTTGAGAGGAATTGGGGTTTGTTGCTTTGGAGGTTGACTGCATTCGCTTCTTAATCTGCATTATATACTTATCCTTAGCATTACTGGTATAATTCATGCATTTTTGAAACTCGTTGATTTGCACCTAGTTACTTCTTGAGCTTAAGCCTTGTAGCCGGGTGATGGTACGTTCGTCCAGTAGCATTGTATGGAAATGCGAAATATATATTTGTGAAACCGCTCATGAGCTAAGAGATCCATCGATACAACTCAATAATGACAGCTCTACACATGAGTCAATCACTAAGAGCATAAAGGTACAAAGAAAATATATAAATCTTTTGGTAATAAACCTATCTCGTAAAATCGGAAGCATATATACAATGGCAATGAAAAAAGTCACAACGCTAGTCTTTCACACGACATCTCATTTCGGAGAATCCAAAATAGAACACAGAAACCCAAGCAAGGAGCCAAGGAGAAAGCCCCGTTCTCTACTGAGGACGGTGGAACTTGCTCTCAATCCAAGGCATACCACCAACAGTAGCCTTACGAATCTTGTTGCGGACCTTGACACCAAGCTCAGTGCCCTTCTTATGCAGGCCCTGCTTGACATACGCCATAGCGATGTTGGCACCACCCAGGGAAGGACTAGGCAGACCGGAGGTAACAATGCCGACGTCAATGGGGTTTGCGGGGTCCGAGATATCAACGACAATAGCACCCTCACGAGCAGGCGGGCCCTTCTCAACGCTCAGCCCGACACGGCGCTGAGGAATCGTCTTAGGGCTAGCAAGCTGGGCGAGGATAGTCGATGCGCCGTTGAATGTAGCCGCCGCGTCGCGGCGGTCCCGGCCAACGACCCAGCCCAGTGCAGCGGCGGGGGAGTCTGCGCCGTGGAGATGTCGTGGCCGTAAAGACACATGCCGGCTTCGAGACGGAGTGAGTCGCGGGCTGCGAGGCCGGCGAGCCGGCTCTTGCTGCTGTCTGCTAGGAGCAGGTCGGTGACTTGCTGGGGGAGGTTAGGGGCTCCGGCGGTGGGGATGGAGATCTCGAAGCCGTCTTCACCGGTGTAGCCTGTGCGGGAGATGAGGAGGGGGTGGGCGGTTGCGGTGCCGTCGGGGAGCGTCAGGTACAGCTCGCGGCAGTTGCCGAAGTAGAGGGTGCTCAGGTCTGTTTCGGCGGCGGGGGTGTTGGCGGTGTTGATGAGGGGTTGGAGGACAGAGGCGGCGAGGGGGCCTTGCAGCGCGACCAGCGCGCGGTCAGAAAGGATGTCCCACTTGATGCTGGCGGCACCGTGCTTAGAGCGGTAGGCGTCGATCTCGGCGGTCAGAAAAGCGAGATCCTCGGCGCGGCGGCCGGCGTTGGTTACGAAGTAGAAGGTGTCTTCGGTGCGGCGGGTGATCACGCAATCGTCGACCATGCCGCCGGTGCCTTCTTCTAGCAGGCAGGAGAGGGTGGATGTGTTCGGGGCGAGCTTGTCAATTGAGGAAGGAGTCACCTTCTTCAGCAGTTCGGCGGCGCCAGGACCGCTAAGGTGGTGCTGGACCCTAACAGACAGACTTGGTTAGCCATTGCGGGGAGTTTGAAGCTCAGAGATGATCGACTTACATATGGCTGACGTCGAAAAGACTGGCCTTCTCGCGCGTCCACATGTGGCTCTCCACATGGCTCATGTCGGCGTATACAAGCGGCATGTCGAACCCGGCGAAGGGGACCATCTTCGCCCCGCGCTCCACGTGCAAATCATACAACTGCGTTTTGCTGAGAGGTTCGCTCGAGCTGGAGGCAAACCGCACGGCCTGAGGAGTAGCTGCGATTGCCAATGGTGCATTGGATCTCAATGAGCGGGAGGCAGTTGGACGCACGGCCGCGGAGGAGAGCTCGCGCCGAAGCAGAGTGGAGCCGATAGAAGCGCGGGGAGCATGAAAGGCGGCGGCCCTCGCAGCGGCAAGGTCAACACCTCGTGTGAGAATACGTACGCTGGACATGGTGAGTCGATGCTGGAGGAATCAATTGACAAAAGTAAAAAGAGAAGAGAGAAGGAAATGGGCCATAAGAAGTCACCAATCCACCGTCGGGGAACGTACTGCGGGAAAGTCACGTGGTGATAGGCGATCGGAGAGCAGCTGGTTGCCCGATTGGGAAACACTGCAGGTTGCCGGGAATATGATCTACAACTTGGCTTCAATGGATATTTAGTTAGTCGTGTTCAACTTCTTTGTGAATGGAATGACATAACTTAACGTGCCTTGTTGCGGTATTCCTGTAACAGTCGTCACAAATAAGAGTATGAGACATGAGCGTCTACAATGGACAGAAGAGTATGTTCGGTCGACCAAAAGCCTATCGGCCATTACCGCGGTGATTCCAAATAACAATTGGACAGCCCAGGGCAGCTTCTAAAGCGGTCGCCTACATTCAATTGGACGCGGCGTCTTCTGCAAAGAATGCAGGGATAAAGATATACATATATAAGAAACCACCCCCCCAACCCCCCCCCCCTCTCCAAACTATACAGAGCATTGAGAGCCAAGCGATGAAATGTCACAAAACATCACCGGAACAAGTCCCAAAAGCAAAAATTTTAAAAATATCCCAAGGAGGTATGCATCAACAATAACCCGTCACTTGGTCGAACTCGGTCATCACAGTCATAAAGTCCCCGAAGCCATAGGCCAGGCAATCGGAAACAACGTGCAGGTATCCAAATGCAGAATGAAGATATAATTAACAAGTCCCCGCCCCGCGGGTATTTACAGAGCATTACTGGCGCAGGTGAAAACGCCACCGACGGTGCCCTCGCGGTAGCTGGTTACCACGGCCATCACGGAAGCCTAGAAGGGTGTCAGAAGAATGATTCAGGCTAGAAAAAGACTTGATGCAGCAAGTCGGAGAGTGAGCACTTACGTATGTACCAGGGCCCAAGAAGAAGAAACCAACAATGATCAAGAAAACGTTGAAGATGAACCCGAGCCATCCGCGGATGCCACGAACCATAAAGAACCGGGGTCCGTGGTCTGCAGCCCGCATGCGAATATAAGCCGTTCCCCAGAAGATGAAGCCGAAGAAGGAATCGAATAGGGAGCTCATAATGGACAACAGATCGGAGAAGAAGGGGATGACCTCGGCGATGATCCAAGCTGCGATCCACAGCGCCGCAAGGATGGCAGCCCATGAAGCCCAGCCAACAACGGTGTTGTTGCCCTTGTGGCGGGTGTCATCGAACAGGCGGAAGAAGACGAAGCGCGCGGAGACGGAGGCGTATAGCACGCCCAGGAAGATGATTGTTGGGATCATGAAGGAAAATGAGACCTTCTTGTACAGATCGTCGCCGATGGAGCCGAACGCCGGAGCAACCATGTACTGGTTGCCGACGTAATTGTAAGTGATGGCGCCGACGAGACTGAAGACGATGATCTCGGCGATTGTCACGGCTGTCACGGACTTCCAGAAGTCGCGCGGCTCTTTCATCTCGGCGATGAAGCTGGGGAGCGTGATCTGGCCGATGAAGGTGTAGCTGATGTTCAGGAATGCGTTCATGCCCTGTACGAATGTGGTGCCCTTCGCTGGGACGGCGAGGACGATGGGATTGCCCTTGGCTGCGGTGTATCCGGCGGGGTGATCTTCGATGCCGGCGAAGACACAGGCCAGGATGACGGAGACGAAGGTGAAGAACGCGGAGAGGGTAGCTACTTTGGACAAAGTGCTGAATGTGCGCGGTAGTGAGAAGAAGAATGAGATGATGGCCACGATGGCGGAAAATGCAACTGTGCACACTGCGCCGCCCGACATCGTGTTCAGGTACTCGGCGCCGACTACGCAGTGCAGGCCTTGGATGAAGGTGTTGTTCAAAAGGAACATGACTGCTGTGGCCCACCATGCAATCTTGGAGTCCCAAAACAGGTATTGGCCAATGTCGCAAACATCACGGACTTCTGGGTGTCGCAGACAGAATCTCCTGTATAGATATTAGCACTATGTCACATATTTATGAGCAAGAACGGATTGAATCCGTACCAGGTGATCAGCGAAGTGTACAGCACGATACCGGCGATCACCACGGTCAGTATCAAACCAGGAACAAGGCCTAGAATTGAGTACGACCAAGGGAAGGACATAATGGCCAAGCAGATGTACTCGGAGAAAAGCAATGCGGCAGTCTAAAAAAACCGTTAGTACGTTAATGCATATTTTGTCATGGATCCAGCCCACACGCACCTTTTGCCAACTACACGTGCGATATTTGATTGTGTTCTCCGATTCCATGTCAATCTGGCGACCAACGCTCTCTGTCGTTGAGGAGCCATCGATGGCGGTAATATCATTTCGCGAGCCATTGCGGCCCTGACCCTCGACATCGAAGTCCTTCAGCTTGGGATCGTGTTCGGACTTGTCTGAGAGATCGGGGGAGGCATCGATATTCCGATCGTGATCCCAGCCGACGGGTCTTGTTGATTCATTCAACCCAGCCATGATTTGAGAGAGCGGACGAATCGTACTCGTGGGGTAACTCGGTGGAGTTGAGGGAGTTGGCGAAGATCTGCGGATGCATGTAATGCTCTAAGTATTCTGTATATTGTACTGGACAGATTGTGAGCGGAGTCTTCTTTTTTGTTGACATATGCGCCGATCATTTACCTTCAAGATCAGACTTTTAATGAATAATGCGTTGAGAGAAGAAGCAACACAAGAGGTGGACGGATTAGGGCAAATGCGGGTATGGAGTACTTTGACGTAGTATTCCCTAAATAGGAACAATCGCAATCCCAAACTCGAATGAGAGGAAGATGTTACAAAGGAAGAGAGAGAGAAGACTAGGAACTAGCTCAGACTGAAAAGAAAGAGGAAAAAAAGGGCCAAGAGAGGTAGCTATAGCATAAGACAAATGTTGTACAATTAAATTGGTATGGAGAGCCCATACCCACTTGAATTCAAACCGGAAAAAGAAATGAGAAAAAAAAAAAAAAAAACTTTTGATCGAGACAAGGCAACAAGACGCAACAAGACGCAATGACGTGATGGAGAAGGAATCTCCGGGGGCCGCAATTGGAGGCGCAAGCCACGGCTTGAAGTCAAGATGTGCCAAGGGACATTCAAGAGGGACTTCCCTGAATGGCAGCTGGATCCAGTCTGGAGTACTAGTCCATAATAGGCGATAATCCCATATCTTGTTCTTTTCATTGACGGGCATTCCGAACCCGATTTTCGAATTTTCGAATTTTTCGAATTGTCAAATCGATTCTTCAACCACTGCTAGAGTAAGGGGGGCTGCGCACGCGGTCGACAAGAGTCCAAGGATGATTGGAGCTTCCGTGCACAAACCCACCCAGCAAAGTCGGTTGCGCCCGCATATCATATCATCTCCGTTATGCTATACGTCTGTGGGCCGTGGCGGCCCCGCATGCGGATGGCTGTTGTCGAATGATGGCCCCCTTCTTTCCAGGGAGTGCCCCGGTCGGTATCGGAATCCATGCATACCACGCCCCGAAAACATGGAAGCATAGTTGATCCAGTTCTTTGATTAGAATAATTGAATGGGTTCTGAGTGGTTTTGTTTGGCGCTGTGATTCGAGCGTACATGATATAAGGCGGTGGCGCTGAATGCGACGAAAGAAGGGATCAACCACTTAGAGTGTGTATGGATTTCCTGATCTGGTAATGTAAGCAAACTGCGATTAGAGTTACCAGGATGATACCATTGCTCTCGGATCTTTTGACTAGACCCGTATGAGAATACCTAAGTAGAATATATACTCGTATGCATTGTACAACATCATATCTATATGTATTGTACTCTTTACACGCTGAAAAAAAAAGCAAATGCCCTAGATTATGGCGCCACGTGCTGCTGACTAATCTTGCCTTGGAGCCCTAGAGTGCATCTTCAATTGATCATACCATGAGGAAAAAAGCATAAAGTAGAATAGTGATTCACTCCGTAGAAAGTGGGCGTGGTTACTAGCCCTGAACGCTTGGACGGTCAGTAGGTGTCCCTTGCAAAGGAGTAACTTTGCACAACCAAAAAGCTAAAAATGATATCTGAGACTCACCAATTGAGATAATGATCTTGAAAACTCGGGGCTTGTGTGGTCACGACTATCTTCAAGCTGCACCTGTTAACATCTGCGCCTTCCACAAAACGTCCCCTGATTTGCCATCAGCTCCGTCCCTATGGACACTTATCAAAATACAAAGGATGAATATAACCCGTAGCATGGTGATGATACGATGCTATCGAATTGTTCTGCTTGTCCAAGCTGAATTGTTTCAGTGGCTTTGACGCTGCCTGCCCAGATCTTTCCTTCCATAGCTCTCTCTCTCTCTCTCTCTCTCCCTCTATAGGTATATCTTCTTCCTGGCTTTGAGACGTTCACCAGATATATTCATCATCTATATGTTAAAGTACTACTAAAGTGCCGTGATCATACGGTAATTTGGCCGTATTATGTTACGCATGCTAAAAGATCCTACATGTCTACCGTGATTTTTGTCCATACGTATCTAATACAGCAAATACTCTACTTTTGATTTCTGAGATCTTTCTATAATTTTAGAGTTTGCCTAGGTACTATTAAAGGTGACATATTGCCCTGGAACCGGCAGTTCACTTTGATCATGCTATGAGGCAAAAGAACAATGGAATGACGTAGAGTATTATCGTTCTATCTCTATACTATAACTACACGGGGGAGAGTATAGATGCATCCAGCAAAACACCGAACACCGGTAATCCCTAGGGCGACGTTCTGGACTTTCAGCCCCCATCAGCCGCTCTTGCGTGCGAATCCACAGCGATGGCATCAAAGATCCACACGGCATTGGCGTTCAAGGCGCCGAGCCACACGGAGCTGGCTGAAAGAGCTTATTTAGATGTTTCATTTTACATTATTGTATTTCCACAAAAATGGGTCGCCTTATTGCGCGCGATCTGGAGATTACCTACATCTCGCCACCTTACCGAGAGCCGATTTAACTGTTCGGTGCAGGATGCAGCCTTGCCTTAGTGCAGGGGTTGGGATTCTGTGAAGCCGGAGACGCTATTTTGGTGGACAGGGGTAGGTAGGTCTAGCTGGAAACTCCTACAAAATAAAAACATACGGAGTATGGTTATACTACATGCATTCAGTAGCGCTAAGCAGGGTAGGTAGTTGTATATGGAAGCTTGTATTGGCTGCGCCCACAGACGAAGATAATAGATAGTTATATATGACAATGAAAAAAGAAACATGTGCAGCCCACAACAACTCCAGATGCAAAATAAGAATTTTTGGCCCCCGTGGGGGTGATACAGAATCGAAATCTTCGTCCGGATAGATATACAGATTACATTCCGTCGTCGTCGTCCGCCAGCAAAGCAGCGTAGTCCTCCGCGGAGGCGAAGGTAGGCAGCTGCTTGAGCTTGCGGCGCTTCTTGCTGTTTGACTCGGCCGGGGCAGGGACATCGGCAGGCTCTTCGACCGCGCCGCCGATCTCGATGTCCGAGGGGAGATCCTCGTCGCTGTCGAAGAAGGCCTCGTCGTCTGACACATCCATATCGAAGTCGTCGGAGTCCTCCTCGTCTTCTTTGGAGGGTTTCTTGGCGGTCTTCTTCGACTTGGCTGGGGCGGCCTCTTCCTCGCTGAAGTCGGCCATTTCCTCGTCTTCGTCGGAGGGCACATCGGACTCGTCATTGAAGATGACGCCACCATCGGAATCGTCGTCGCCTTCATCTTCCTCGTCATCATCATCACCGAGCGCGGACTCGAGGTCGGACATGTCCAGGTCGTCGTCGCTCTCATCGGCTTCCAGCTCAGGCCGGGAGTCGACGAGCGCCTTCCAGATCTCGTCTTCGTTGTCGCTGAGGCCTTCATCGCCATCGACAGCATCGACATCCTTGCCCTTCTTGGCACGGGACTTCTCCTTGTCCTTGTTAACACGGGTGAAGTACTCGTGGAAGAAGACATCCTCGGCGGCGACATCCTGGGCCTTCTTCTTCCAGAAAGCGTCAGTGTTGAGCGGCAGCTGGTTCTGGGCCTTCTTGCCGGCCTCCACCAGGCGGTCGACAGTGTCACCACCAGCAAGAGGCTGCATGAGAGAGGCACCGCGAGCACCGGCGCTAGCTTTGGGTGTGCGGTACACGAAGCGGTCGAGGAAGTGGGTGAGAGTGTGCAACGTCAGGTCTGGCTTGCCGCTCATTGGCTTGTGCTCGAGCAAATTCGTAGCGTTGAGAGAGACGGAAGGATGGAAGTGGTTAGTGAACGGCAGCAATTCCCAAAGACAGCTTCGGTCGGCATTGCTGTGCTCGGGGTCGCGCTTGCGAGGATCGTATGCGTTGGCCTGCTTAGGTTTGCTAGCCTCGATAACTGGTGCCTCTTCAACTTGCTCGTCATCCTCATCGGGAACGTCACGGAAGTTCTCCTCTTCATCGTCGTCGAGTTCCTCAGGCTGGTCAACCAGGGCCATCAGGCCTGTGAATGTCTTCTCGAGCTCGCGGATCATGTAGAGGATACCGCAAATGAAAGAGGGTTGGTGCATGCCAAGAACCTGCATAAGGCGCTTAACAAATGCCTTGACTCGTCGGACATTAAGATCGTTCTTGAGAGACTTGTAGAGAAGGTTGAGGTAGAGAGATTGCTTGGAGGAAGTAGCAACGCGAGGATCGAGCAAGGACTCGTACAGAGTGCGGTAGAAACGATCGCCAGACACCTTGTTGGCCACTGTCAGCTGTTGGATCAGCATGAGAGCTTGGATACTGGTGTTGAAGTTTGACGAGTGCGTGATACGGAAGAGGGTGTCAAGGTGCTTTGACATGCTAATCAAGGTTAGTAATTTGCGAGAAGCAATATAGCGTAGGTAACATACCGTTCAGAATCCGAGTCGGTGAAAGGATAAGCACGGTTGACACCGGTCAAGACACCAGAGATCAACTTTTCCCGCATCTCGTCGTCCTGAGCCTGGCCCTTGGCCTCGTCGTCACCCTTGCCCTTAGGTCCCTTTCCAGACTTACCGTGCTTGCCCTTAGGGGCCGGCTTGCCCGGATTGCCCGCAGTCGAGGGCTTAAGAAGAACAAGGAACAAACCGAAGTAGATGTCCAGCAGCTGAGCAGCCACCTTCTCTTCCTTCTGTCTCAGGATAGTTTGATTCAGTGTGATAATAGCGTAGTACTTGGTGTGAGAGCTCTGGCCGGGTCGGAACAGCACCTCTTCCACTGACTTGATGATGATGGGCTTCATCATAGGATGCGACTGCATGAGTTGCAGGAGCAGGTAAGAGGCTCGAGAGGCAATCTTCTTGCCTGGATCTCCAAGCTTGTTGACCAAAAGTCGCAGAAGGTTGGTCTCTTGCTCCGGCTTCTCCTTCAGAAGTTCGTAGACGTAACTGACGGCGCGAGACCGAGAAAATTCGATTTCGTCATTGCACCAAATTTCCAAAATCTTCAAAACCTCGAAGAATTGGTCCTTGACGAAGTTCTCAAAGGCCCAAACAATCAACTGGCTCTTTTGAAGACCACCAGGAAGGGGGTCCTTCTCGTTCCATCGGCCACCGGCACCTTGGAATGCTGCAACCAGACCAGGCTGGTTGGCGAAAGCCTTCAGTCGTCGGTCACTGGGCAACAGAGTACCCTGGGCAAACATATCCTTCAACGACCGCAGGACCTCAACTGCCTGCGCGCGACTGCGTTTCTTTCCGAGGCCAATCAATGTTTCCAGTGCCTTGGTATTGTGCAGAGGTGACTCCTGAACGTTCAGAGTCAAGGCTGAAATCTTATCGCTCAGAGTACCGGAAGCCATGATGGTGGAGTAGAACTTGTGTGACGAAGAAGCGTTCGTTCTTTGGGCCACCGCATATTGCTCGTTCTCTTCCTGGAGAAGATTGTTGGCCAGCTCGTGGACGCGCTCGATAAGGTGGCGCGGCAATGCGTTCATTTGTTTTGTGTTTCCAGCGGAGGGCATGGGGATGTTATACCAATCGGAACGAGGAAGAACTTTCTGTGGGCAAAGGTTAGCAAAGGTATCATAGTTTTAGGGCATGCCACAACTTACCAGGTTCAGAAACTCCTTGGGAACAGTAGCTTCGGACTCCTTTTTCTTAGCAGGGGCTTCTTCAATGTCTGATTCCGCTCCGCTGCTCTCTGCGTTGTCCTCGCTGTCCTCAGCAGCAATTTCATCTTCACTCTCTTCTGGCTCCTCTTCGATTTCCTCGACTTCGTCATCCTCAAGATCCTCGGGCACTACGTGACCGGCAGCTTCCAGCATACTTGCGAGCTGCTTGCGAAGATCATCATCGCCTTTGGCGGTTTCACCTTCGACCTCAGACTCCGAGTCAACACCAGCAAGAAGTTCAAGATCTTCCTCTGTGCCACCCATGGCGAGAATTTCCTGGCGCAGAGTTTCGTCGTCGTTAGTTTTCTTGTGCACCTTGGGCTTTTCCTGGTTGCTCTTTCCATCCTTCTTCTCGTCCCGAGCAATCACCTCGCCATTGCGATCCCGCTTCTTGCCTTGCGCGGAATCCTGGGGTCGGCCGGGCTTGGCGGGAGATTGCTTTCCTTTCTTTGCGAAAGCATCTGTTTTAGGCGCAGGGGGCTGCTTGTTGTCCTTCTTTCCCTTGCCGGTGTTCTGGGTCTGATTCTTCAATCGTTGTTCAATTTTCTGTCGTAGGCCTACAAAGGCGCTTGCGTCCGGCATAACGATCGAATCGAAAGCAGAGGTTGCAGCGGCTGCCTCGGGGGCAGGCTCATTTGCGCCCGAAGAGCGCTTTTTTTCCCCTTTGGCCATGATGTGGTGTGTTTGGGGTTGAATGATGGAGAAAAGAAAATTGAACGGAGAAATCTTTTGCGGCGGGTTATCAGGACGCTCGGACCAACCCGATAAGAAACATCGGAGAAGGGAGACACGGTTTGTTCTACCATTTTATTTTTCGATTTAGCCAGCAGTTCAATTGCGAGATTAACATTGTTTGAAGCTTTGCTGTCTCAATTTCAATGTTCTCTGGGCTCCGACCTGTTCTTGGGCGTATACCCAGGCGACGATTGGCGTTGAGCCTCCGCGTTCAGCAATGCAATCTTCACGTATGTACTTGATTGCGTGAGCTCAATGCTGGATACTGACTTGATTGCAGGTGGACGGCCGAAGCCGTGTGTCAAATTTGTGGATTCCTACAGGTGGAATCACCAAGAAACCGATTGATGGTGAACAGGGTGCGATATATAGAACCCGTTGACATGACCAATCATTGGAAGCTAACAAAGATCTAGAGGATGCCAACGACCTGTTAGTACGAGGCGGTTTCCTTCGACAGGTGAGCAGTCATATCTTATGGATCAACGAATATAATTGACAGACCTGCAGGCATATTCCGGAGTGTTTCATCTACTCCCACTAGGGCTGCGCGTTCAGGATAAGCTAGAGCGTCTGATTGACAAGCATATGGGCTCACTCGGTATGCTACCTCTTTCCCATGATTTTTCAAAATACTGATTTGTACTATTTCAGGCGCATCCAAAGTGTCTTTATCTTCATTGTCATCGCAAGAGCTTTGGGAGCAGTCGGGTAGGCTGACTGAAGGTTCAGAAGTGGGTTGATGCCTCTCATATATTGGAGGCCGTTGCTAATGCTAGATCTAGCTGTTCAAATTTAAAGACAGGAAAGACACTCCATTTCTCCTGGCTCCGACTCACGAAGAGGAAATTACCACCCTCGTGGGCAACCTGACGACATCATACAAGAGTTTGCCCCTTCGGGTATATCAAATTTGTAAGAGTGGAGTATTCTTCCTATCATATCAGCTGACTAACATGCGTTCATCAAGCACGCAAATACAGAGATGAAGCCCGGCCTAGGCAAGGTCTACTTCGTGGGAGAGAGTTCATCATGAAAGATCTCTACACATTTGACTACAGTGTCAGCGAGGCGCTAAAAACTTACGATGCAGTTAAGCGAGCCTACAAGGAGCTTTTTGACGAACTCAAAATCCCGTATTTAGTCGCTGCAGCGGACTCGGGAAATATGGGAGGTTCGTTAAGCCACGAATACCATTTCATCAGTCCCAAGGGCGAGGACGATGTGGTCAGTTGTTCAAATTGTGATCACGTATATAACGAAGAACTTGCGGACGGCAAGACACATAACATCAATGAATTCGAACAATCTGAAACGCCTGGTTTCAACACAGACGATACTGTTGTCGAAGGTGGGTCAACAATCTCAACAGGCATGTGGATGGCCATCTCTCATGATAGCAACACCATCGTACGGGGCTGGCACCCCAAGTTCTCGATGCAGAATGGCGCAACAGAGCCTGTTGAGCGTCATGTTAACTCACATGCTGTCAAGGCCATCGCTACCGCTGCAGGAATTGACCTTGATCTGAGCGTGGAAAAGCCACTCGAGCGATGGGTCAAACACGTGAAGGCAAACAAGTCTTCTACGCACAAGCCGCGTGTATTGGACCTGTACGACTCTCAAGTGCGAGTATACCAGCGCCCACCACTAAGCGACCTTCTTGAAGAAGTCAACTGCACGGCCTCAGACATTGAATATTCCAAGCTGGACCGTTTCCCTGGAACCACGAACAAACTGAGCCTTGTTCGCGTCCATGACGGTGACAAATGCTCGCACTGCGCACACGGATCATTGACTAGCCACTCTGCGGTGGAATTAGGACATACTTTCCACCTCGGAACGCGATATAGTGAAGTCTTGAATGCTTCGGTCTCTGTCAACCCAGCGCTTCTGGATGGATCATCCGACTCAGGTGCTACATCATCCGGCAAGGAAAAAATTGTGCCAATGCAGATGGGATGTCACGGGATTGGCGTCTCGCGTATGATCTCTGCTGTGGCAAACAGACTCGCTGATTCAAAGGGTCTCAACTGGCCCCGTGTCATAGCGCCCTACGAGGTCGTGGTGATCCCAAGCAAGGGGCTAGAGGTTGTTGCTGACCAGGTGTATGACAGCCTTACCGCCGATGCGTCCGCGCCCCTCGATGTTATTCTCGATGACCGGGACAAGGGCATGGGCTGGAAACTTGGCGATGCGGATTTAATTGGATATCTTATCCTCGTGGTCGTCGGCAATGGATGGAAGAAGAAGGAGACCCTGGAAGTGCAGTGCCGTCGTTTGGGCATCAAGGAGGATGTGCCGTTAGATGAACTGCGCACGTTTGTCGGGTCTCTGTTGACGCATCTATGAGCGAACAGAAGCAGAGATATTCAAAACAAATAGCATGTAACTTTAAGCGACCTAGTCGCGTCAAATTGTACAATATCTCATCTCATTGTTCGCTGGGCGCTCTCGGTAAAGAAAGGCATAATTGACATGCTTATATAAAGACTCAGCTCTTATGTATACAACAAGGGACTCTATGCCCTGAAGGAGATAGAGGGAAACCAGCATCCGGGGTCGTCCCCACGCCAACCCACGCCGAACACTCCGGTCCGAATAGTCCGGTTTGTCATATTAGATCTCTTGACTCATTTAAAGGTATAGCCAATTCAATTGTTCTTCTTCTTTTTGAATCACATTCTAGATCTTTTTTTCTATTCCAGAAGGATATCTACTTCCCAATTCTTCCAGACAAGAACTATTTCACCATGGGTCAAACCAACATCCACATCCCCGGTCTCGCTGGTGCCAATGCTTTTACCCGAACTCTCGACAAGGAAGATGTGAATATCTGCGTAACTGTCGAGCAAGCTTTCACAGAAGCAGAGCGATGCTCTAAAGAAAAGGTAAACCGAGGCCAAGTGAACACCAAATGCCGATGCGCCAATCCCTAACACAACCTAGTTTTGCTACCGCCTTGGCGCATGCCCCGAACTATGTTTGGGTCTATTTGTTGAAAACACCGATGGAACGCCAGCCACAATGATTGGGCATGTCATTGCAGTCAGATCGCCTTATACTCGTGTGACCGATGGGTCTATGTCAATGCCGGAGAATTGGCGTTCATTGCCCAATGACGAGCCGGTCTATGTCAATGAGGAGCTGATTGGGAACCACAAGTATGGCGATACTATTGCTATTCATTCCGTCGCTATCTCACCTGATTTTCAAGGCAAGAAGGTTGGGAGGGCTCTCGTGAAGGCTTATACAGAGCATCTTAAGAGTGGTTGCTTTGGAGCCAGCAGGGCTGTGCTGATTGCGCATGATTACTTGGTGAACTTTTATGAAAGTGTTGGATTCAAGAACCAGGGACAAAGCAAGTCCTCTTTCGCAGGGGGTGTTTGGTTTGATATGGTTCGTCCTCCCCTTATTACATGAGTTCATGATGGTTGGACTAATTTCTATATCTCAGGTTTATGATCTTTGAATCTGTCTTTGACGGGGCTCTTTTGAATTCAAGAGAGATAGAACGACCCTCCAGTATCAAGGACCCAATATGTGATAGACTGAAGAATCAAGATAGCATTGGACCCCCAAAATAGACTCATTTGGTTATTCTATCAACTCAAGCAACTCTTTCAAATTTAGTAAAAAGAACATCGAGGTGAATGTCTCTAATTCTATTTAATATGAGCAGCTAGAGCAACAAATTGTGTGAGTTACTACTTGATGTTCCTATATAGCATATAGTGGTGCCTTGACCTTACTGTTATATTGGAAATAGTGAAATTCAGCGTAGCAATGATACTGATTTCTTCTTTCAACGAGAGCATCCATGTCATCTTCTATCTCTCTTGGCTAATTCTTTCTAGTCCTTCAGTCCAATGGCTGGACTATCTAGTCCACTTACGCTGCTGGGATTTTGTTGTTTGATGAACCTTTGGATTTTCCTGGAGAATTCTCACTGTGGTATAGGCGGCTTCAATAAGAGCGAAATTGTCTGTGAGATAAAAAGGAAACAAACAAAAGCAAAAATTTAGAAGGAGGGTTTCAAATCCCATTATGGCTTCTAGGTTCATGGGATCTATGGTTGTTCCCAACGCCCTTGTGTCCAGAAACTTTTGTTCTAGCATAGTTCCGACATCCGTAAAAGTAGAACGAAATAATTCCATCAACCGCTGCTCGAAATCGGCAGTCCAGATATATATCAAACGGTGAATCCCAAGAGGCCACCAATTGCGGAGACTTGGTGCTTGTTCACAGCCATATTGAGCGCCGAACCTTTGATCTGACTCTATTTAGAGCCAGCCATATGAGCGAACTCAGGTTTGTGGTGAATTGCACTTGGTGGGAGGCATAAGCCTGGATCAATCTATACACATGCCATGAGATCACGGCTCCCAAAAATGCATAAACTTTTGGTAGGGACATCACCGCCAATCCTATAAATCTAGTGAGAGCAGCTTCACATGAAATTAGAAAAATGAATTTTAATTTCGGAGAGATTGGGTTATACTAATATAATACCATCGCGCTATATTGGGGGCAGAGCGTGATCTGAAGCCAAAAGCGACGGATGATCCGCAAGATTGTCCCAAAAAACGGTTTCAAAATCGCAAAGATCTTGACTGAAGAACTCAGCCCAATCACCATTCTCTCCTGGATGCGAGAGCTCTTGTGTTGGAGACTGGATTCCTTCGCGGTGAACCGAATCAAGGAACCGTTCAATTGTTTGTGTCGCTTTTGATATCAAGGCATAGTTCGGATCACCGCGTCGCACAATGCTTCCAACCTGAACTTGCGCGACAAGGATACCGAGATTCAATAGTGTTTTGGACCGTGAAGATTTGGCTTCGTTCAGTCTGTGACGTTGCTTCAACATTGAAAGAAGAATGATCCCCGCGGCCGGGAGACCGTAGTGTGAAATCTAGCAGAATTTAGCCTGGGAATTATTGATCTAAAACCCACATTAGGAGAACACACCTTCCACACTTGCGATGTTGATGACATAACGAGCTGATCTCGTAAAAGGACCGTTTCGACAACAAGAGCAAGCATTTGGTCCGAAACATCAAGTATAGATGGATCGGGCTCAGTCAGGGTGTCAAGAAATGACAATTGAAGCAGGAAAAGGACGTGTAGTTGGTCCAAACGCATGCTTGCCAGCATGTCACGCTCGAAGGCGTCACCGGAGCATTCCTTCAGAGAAGTCGACAAACGAAAGTTCAAAGGAAGGTTTGCCCATTGCACTTCAGCCTTTTCGCGGATGGAACTACGTTAAAGCATATGGTAAGAATCTATTGTCAGTCAGAGGTTTGGAAGTAATGCAGCTTACCTGGCTATTTGATTGAAGTTTTCTCGATGTCTATCTCGTAGCAATTCGAGAATATCTTCTTTCAGCGCGGCACACAAGGCAGCCCACCGTATCCCTGCCCTATAACAAAATGGAGTGCCTATCTCCCATTTTACATTTCTATCCCAAGCATTCAGGTTATTAGTGACTAAATCAGATTTTGTGGGATTCAGTGGTAATTGGAAATGGCAAAATCGCTTGCTCATTCGCGGTGGTCGACCAAGGAAGATGGCCACGTTCTTGTCCGCGGAGTATGTTATAGCCCAGGCTGTTTTCCTCAGTTCCGCTAGGAAGCCGGGGATTGGCGGTTTGCTTTTTTCGACATTTTCATGGTAGCCAAGTGCAAACATAGAGGACACGACATCACCAAGTCTGCTCCACGAATGGTAACCTGGGAGATCTGATTAGCGTAAGGTTAAAAGATTCATACATTGCAGATCCTCACTTTGATCCCCATCAACATTGGTATGGACAATAAAATTCTCGTATTGAAAAACAAGCTGGAGGTCATTCAAGCAATCCAATGAGATCGCAATGTCTAACGCAAGATCACTCAGTCTTGTAGCCAACTTCCGAAGCATAAACTGGTCCTTTTCTGTCTTGTATAGAGGCGGGAAAAAGGGTATCGCTATTGTAGCTCGGCTGACTGCAGAGAGAAATATGCCCAGACTTTCCCACCGGAAATTCTGATCGAGGAATTGAGCACAGAAATCCGATATGTCAGATGTTGTTCTAATTTCCAATGGTGCACGCGAATTTTGAGTTAAACGTTGGGCGTACGCCAGGTGCCAGTTATCCTCCTGTGAGAAGGTGGTAAACAGACGTGTCATGTTTTCAGTACACTTCTCGACAAACGGTTCAGCCAGTGACATATTTGCTCCTGTCTCCAACCAGAACATGACAAATTCCTTCATTGTAGTTAAAGGAAATGTGTTTAGAAGTTGCCGGAGAACATCGGCCCCTTGTATCAGCAGGATATTCTCGCCGGCAATCTGTGAATGCATTAGCATCGTCGCGTCTGGCTCAGAGGCATGGGAGTTATGAGGTGCACGATATTCCTCTGGAGAGATTTGGTTGAAAATAGCGACATGGCTGGAGGATCCTAAGAACCCCGGATTTGGATAGGGATTGTTTCTGGGTGCGAAAGATGGCGATGATTGAGCCGGCGATAGCCGACTGCACAGATAGGTTATTACTGCATTGAATACAGTCTTCTCAGCGCTGCATCACATACCTAGGAGATTGCTGAATGGATGGAGTAGAACTCTCTACTCTTCTCCTCTTGAACGGCGTTGTTCGGTAAATGCAGATAGCTGCTCTGTCATTACTTGTACACCGAGTGCATGCCGGTCGCTTATGATCACAGGCGACTTTTGCTTTCCTGCAAGCTTCACATGCAGCCAATCTTGAAGCCATGGTTTCATGTGATGTATGTAGAAGTTGGGTTGCGGAGTCTTCGGAGCGGAGAACAGGAGTCGGGATGTTCGGAGTAACACCGAGCTGTGTTGATCTATACTGTCCCCTTCAATATCAACCTTGGTTATTTGGCGAAGAGCTTGGTTGGCTAATGGATCGATTTAGCCAGGAACTGCAAAGATTAGATTGCATAACAATGCTCACCGTCTTTTGAGTCATGATGGGCAAATTCTTCAGAGCAAAAGCCTAATCTGTCTGTCCAATGACTGACCTTCGGACTGTCATTTGGGTGTCTCTATCATGATATGGAGACTTCTTCGGCTGTTTTCCAACCTAATGTACACAGTTGTTTCTTCTTCGCTGTCTTTTCCAGACTGGGTAACAAACGTCGCGTTGATAGGAGAGTGCGTGGCATTAATATACACACTATATGGAACAAGTACAACGTGACTATTGCCACTTCCCCCACGTCCCACCGCGAGGTGCGTGTGCATAACCTCATCCCACCAATAGATGAGCGGACAACCCTTACACCCACTATCACCACGCGCTCAGGGAGTTTTTTGAAGCTCTCCCCCACTATTGTATACACAGTTCGCGCAACCAATCCAAAGACGCGATCATCAATACTCCGTCGGATACACGAGCTCAATCCGCCGCGCCCTCGAATTCCTTCTCCATTCACACCACGAATCTCAAAATGCCGCCGCAAAACGCCCCCGCCTCAGACGGAGCTCCCCAAGGCCAGAGTACGTCCACAATCTCCAAGATAGCAGGCTAAGCATCCAGATACATCACATGTGATGAATGTCGACTAATCACTCATTTGAATCAGTCAACCTTGCTTCCCTGTCCGTCCCTCAACTCCGCGCGCTCCAAACCCGTCTCACCTCCGAACTCGAACACCTGACGACCTCGCACTCGAAGCTCCGTGCGGCCCAGGCCAGGTTCCGCGACTGCGTGCGCTCCATTACCCACGGTGTGACTGGCGATGAGAAGACTGGGACCGCCGGTCGCGACGAGATCCTGGTGCCCCTGACCAGCTCGCTATACGTCAAGGGCCGGTTGGCGGATCGTGAGAAGGTGCTTGTTGATGTTGGAACTGGTTTCTACATTGAGAAGGTATGTGGCTCGAATACGGTGAGGGGGATTCATGTTTAGCTGACTGACTTGCTGTACCAGACTACGGCTAAGGCTGTTGAATTTTACGACGGTAAGGTCAAGGGCTTGGAGACGAACTTGCAGGAGTTGGAGAAGATTGTACAAACCAAGAGCACGCAATTGCGTGTTGTGGAAGAGAGTGAGTTTATCTCTGGGGAGATTGGAGATGTGCTTTCAATCGCCTTACGTCCACTTGTTGCATATGCTAATATTTACCCTGTAGCATTGAGACAAAAGATGCTCGCCGGAGAAGGTGCCCCTACTCAGGCGGCTGCCGCGGGCTAAGTTTGACTACTATGAACAGGTCCACACAATATGCATATAGCAATCAAAATTATACTCATTGCGAATTGTTACATCTTGCAACATCTAGTAGATCTACCGTGGACTGGCCATTTCCTCGAACTATCCTCCATGAAGTTTGTTACAGCAATGGGTCCAAAGTGATACAAACTCGACTACAACGCAGATACATCTATTTAAATTGCTGTTCTGGAGCCCAAGCACCCTGTATTTGCAATGGGAGTATTGCTATTGACGATGCATAGCTATGTCGGGCGCTCACAAATAAACTGATGATCTTCCAATCCCTCTTTTCCTTTTTATTTGCTCTTCCCATTTACTTGTTACGAATACCAGCCTCTCATGGTCCCATCACATCAACTCTTGATAAACTTCCCCCATTGAACTAATTAAAACAAGATCCCAACGTCCGTCTCGAGAACATCGACCATCTCAAAGTCAGGCGACCCCATCAATCGGGCGATTGTTTGAATTTTGCTCATGAAGTTCTTCAATTCCTCAATCTCTTTTTGTCTGCATATGTCTTCGTGCTTCTCGTCAGCCTCTTCCTGATCCATGCCTTTCTTGGCGTCTCTGATGGCCTCTGGTGACGCTGGAAAGAATGCGGAAAGACATCGGTCATTTTGGGTCTCCGCAAGGTTGAGCTTTGCCTGTGCACCGAGGATGTCATCCCATTCAGGGTTGAAAAGTGACCCGCCCCATGTCACTTTAGGGCTTTTTGGCCACTGACGATTCATGCGCACATATTCGTCAAACCGGGAGAGTTCGAACACGTACGGGGTGCCAATAACCTTCAACTGAATCGCGGACTTTTCAACAAATCGAGTGACGGGTGCACCTGGAGAGAAGTTGGCTTTCCGCATAGGCTCAGATCCGATGCTTTTGACACTTGAATTCCAATTGTACTTGATCGAGCGTGTGAATTTGTTCAGCTCAATTGTGTAATCGTTTTCTTGACAAAGCGCCAATGCTTTGACCTCGAATTGCCAGTCTGATCTAGAATCAATAAATTAACATTCAATCATTCTTCAAGAACACCACGGCTCCCAAACCTTTCAAAATCAATCATTCCAATCTGCATTGGCATTTTCAGATCCCCCTGCGTGCCGATCTTGCGCGGTTTGAAGCACCGAATCCCATTGGTCTCAAACTCTCCAGATCCAGGCGGGACCGAGAACTCCACTTCAACCCGAATGATTGAATCTCCTCTCACCTGATATTCAAAGTTAGCGGAGTGCTTGGGCTTGATCTTCATCAATGAGCTCAGCCGTTCAGCCCCCCACGGTACAAGCAAGCCCTTTGCCGTCATGATTCTCTCGAGCATCTCCTCCTGTGGTAAACGAATTCTGAACCGAGTCGTTAGTAAAACATGCAATATCAGTGTTTGATGATATACCCTGGGAGCAGACGTCCTCGCACATTCTGAAGCCTCAGCATGTTGCGGAACTCTTCGAATGAATAAGTATTCCCGGTCACTGGCTTCCGCCATTCCTCTAACATGAAAGTGCCAAAGTTCGCTCGCATTTGAAGAAACCCATCAAAGTGGGGAATCAATTGCAATGCTCTGTCGAGATGGTCCTTGATGTTATTCTTGTTCTCCTGCTTAAAGCCTTGAGCAGCAGAAGTCCAGCTTGCAACCCTGTCGCGAGGTAATTTGATTCCATAAAGAAAAGCTTTAGACAAATCACCTAACTTTTCCAGGATGACTTTCGACTGCATGATGCTGATAGTAGGCGGCTCGACAAGGAACAGTTTGATTTCGGTCTCGTACTGGACAAAGAGAGCCTGCCACATCTCTCGGAGCTCGTTTGAGATCCGACAAAGGTTCTGCTCGTTATCCCCAGAAAAGAACAAGCAGTCTTCAATACCCGGCTTCGTATATATGTTCACGTCATAAAGCTTGCGCAGGTCATCGAGATTCTGGCGGCGGCTGACGAGGCAATGACTAAGAGATGGGCCATATTGAGGCCATAGGAAAATGAACTGTTGTTTCAAACCCAAATATTAGCCTCAGTGTTTTCATTGTGGTGTATCACCAAAACATGTTGTGCTGTACATACCATGCAGTCAGTGGGAATCCTTGGGGCCTTGCAGAGTTCTTCTATTTTGACATCACAATGTTCTTTGAAATTTTCGCTTGCAACTTGGATTTTTGAATGAGCATGTATTTTGTCCCAGTTATGGGGTTCTTCAAGCCGCTTTGGCTGGGCGGTCTTGTCCACGAGACCCTGAATCTTTTTTTGAGCCGCAAGCACTTGGCTTTCTTTTCCCCAGATTTCGATTTGCTAGGAGGGTATCAGCAATTCAATTCAAACCCCAGGTATCTGATGATACTATAATCTGATACTGACCTTAGCACTTCTCCCACTGACCCTCACATATGCACCAGTTTGCTGGTTTATTTCATCACAAACGTCGGCAGTTTGTGCAAGCCTAGTTTATTTGGGTTAGTATTTTGCACAAACGAACCTTCAAAGATAAATCCACTTGCTTTTCTTTAAAAGCACGATATTCACAGGGTAGTCTAAAAGAGGCTGTTCGATGTTAACTACGGAGGTTGAATCACCACATGATCACATACCATCAGCTGCAGCGCCCTTCCGCCACTTTGATTTGGCAAAAGATTCATTGTGTGAAGACGAAAGACTGCGAAGAGATCTAGATGTAATGCCTTTGTGTCTGTCTAATTTCTGTGGTTGGTGGCTCGTTAGGAATGCATGTCGTTTTTTGGGCACGCCATACTTTCCGGGACCGAATCCTCCTGTTGACTGCCCCGGCAATTTTCCATGTCCAGCTATGTTCTGATTTGATGCGAAAGATCTTTGAGTGCTGCATTGCCTGGAGCTTTGAGTCTGGTCTCCTCGTAGTCCTAGGGGGGCTGACTGCTTGTTGACATGCTTCAGAACGTAGTCTGAGGATTTTGAAACTGCAGATGGTGCGGAGAAGAGACCATTTGTGGGTGGTATTGAGTTGGTCGTAGATGGCATGCTGGACGAACATGAAATGTATGCATATTTGTCATACGACACAGGATTATTTTTGTCCTCGGGGTCCGCCTCATATTCGCCCTCGCCGCGGGGGTTGGTGGTCCGACTGGGACCGTAATGGGGCAGTGCCCACGCTGGCAAAGTCAGTGGGTATTCTCACATGTGGCGGTTGCATCTCTCACACTCGGCACCTTCCTTCTCCCATCTGAAGAGGAAATGTCAGTAAGCAACACTTTATGATGCGTCGGCGCGGTGTGAATTTGAACTCACTCCATGCTGATAGCTGGCTTTTGAGCGTATCCTCGGAGTAGTGAACAGGATAAAACTCAAATTGACTCAAATAATCTTGATATTCCGAGTGTCAACGGGAGCAAGAACTCGAAGAAGGATTGGATTGGAGACCCAAACTGATGAACTTTGAAGGCGGAGAGGAAAGATGAGATGAGAAGGAAGCTTCGTATCTCTGAAACGGACCTTCCGTGTACACCTATATGGATATAAGGTCTACGGTCATCTTTATTAGAAGGTTGATGAGTCAGAATAAAGTGAGACCTCGGGAAGTATGATAGACAGTGGAGGGGGAAGTAAGAGTGAGCCGAACGTGACCAAGTGCAACCTTGGAATAGTTGATTGAAAGCTCACCTTGGCAGGAATTGCTGCAATTCTCTCTCATTATCTTCGTTCAAGACCGAAAGATACCTACGCATGTGTGCATTGGTCCATCAATGACACCATTGATTCAATCTTCTCTTGTCAATTGCATATAGTTATAATGGTGACAAACACTCGAATCAAACATTTTGAAGTATTCACTATCCACGTATCTGTAAACATAGGATCTAGTCATACTGAAGTAGTTGATACATAGGTACTTAAGACTGAACTTCCTAGGCTTCGTTTGTATTTAAGGGTCATTCTTTCTATACCGGCGATATAATTATTGTTATGCACTATACAAAGTGAATTATTTTTCATAATGACATATCCAAATTGATTGCCAGAAGCTCAAGAGATATTTTGCCACTCTTGAAGAGAAGCTCACGACTTAAGATCCTGGTGTCTGTGATACTGCTGCTAGCCCTCCCTGTCGTCTTCCGGTGTCCCCCCAGACAACGCAAGGCCATCCCACTCCTCAAGTAACCGATCCAGATCGACTTCATTCATCAAGCCCCCCTCACTCTTTTTTGAATAGAGACAGCAAAGTTCGGGTAGTGGCTGCTGAACCGGTCCCGATCTTCTGTATGCCAAGTCTCAGCCTCAAAATCCTCAAAGAGAAATTCCGATCCAAATTGATTGCCAGAAGCTCGAGAGATATTTTGAGTGCTATTCCTCTATCAATATATATATTGAAGAATTGGATACGTACGTACTGAGGTAGAGTTACTGGCCCAGGGAGTTCTCTTACTAAAATTGTCAATAGAGTCGCCATATATATATACACAAAGGTTGCGCTATTTGGTGAGCCCCTTACTATTTCCGTAATCTGCAGATCTCTGATATTAAAGAACATTGAATTCTGCATCCAACTACATGTGCATACCGTTAGGGTTGAAAGGGATGGATTTGATTGGCTAGACCTCCTTGCTGCGCTAAACCCAACAAGGATGAAAGTGGACAACGCGTCAACGCGATTTCTCCTTCTCCGTTACACCTTCAACTGTCCACAAGTCCTGCATTTCCAATGAGCGATAGCGATTCAAGCGACTCTCCGCCCAAGAGGCGCAATGCTAGTGCTCGTGCGCATCAATGGATGACTAAGGGTGCCCTGGTTCGCGATGATTCCGACGATGAACTAGGCGTTGAAGACCTCCCATGGGTCTGGATTTACGATACCAATGAAGAGATTAAGGAGGAAACCGAACCCAAAAATGGCAGTCCAGAAAAGCGCAGCCGCAGGCGCTCCTCGCGGCCTGCCCGCCAGAGCCGCCGAATTGTCGGTGCACGGATGGGACAATTCGTGTGCAAAGTAGGCGAGGTCGTTCTTTTGAAGTCCCCCGAGCCTGGCAAGGATTGGGTCGGTATCATATCGGAATTTTTGGAGGAGGAGGATGAAGATGAGGAAGATGAGGTGGTCAAATCGGCGAAAATCATGTGGTTCGCATCGCCCGATGAGTTCATGGGTACCAGGAACAAACGCCGAATCGATGCTTTGCCGAACGAGCAATACCTCACACTCGACTTCAACAGCAATCCCTTGACATCTATCAGCGGCAAAGGCTCCGTCATGTCTCAAAATGCCTTCTATGCAAAATACCCGAACGGTCCTCCGAGAAACAAGAATGAGTTGGCGGAATACAACAAATGCATTATTTGTCGGCGTGGTGTAAATCAGGTGCAGGGACGCTATACCGAAGAATTCATTTGGGAACAGGTATATGATATCGACAACATCCACACGCTCATCGACCTGGTGAGGAACACATTGAAGACTTCCCGAAAACGCAGGGCTGCAGATGATGAAGTGAGTAACAAGGTACAATCCCACCGTTGAGCCTCGAACTGACTTAGGCGATCTCCTAGTATGTCGAGGCCAAAGAAGAAACCGTTCCTACCACTCCAAGAAAAAGGCAACGATTGACAGCAACAAATGCCACGCCGCAGTCACAACGCAGAAAGGCTCTGACAACCCCGACTCATAAACGGTAAGAAATGGTTGCAATGGCTTCAATAAACCAAAACTAATATGTCCAAGGATTGTTGTGAAGAAGCCTCTCGAGTTTACACCTTTGGGCACCCGTGTCCTCTCACCCACACACTTTGACTCCCCCTACCGCCAAGCTCGCAACTTACTACATGTTTCTACGGTCCCTGACTCACTGCCATGCCGAAAAACCGAGTTCAACACCGTATACAACCATCTCAGTGCCGCGATTATGGAAGGCACAGGAGCTTGTATCTACATCTCGGGTACCCCTGGTACTGGAAAGACTGCCACAGTGCGTGAGGTGGTAGCGCAACTCAATGCTGCCGTACATGAAGAAGAGATGGACGATTTCATCTTCGTCGAGATTAATGGCATGAAAGTCACAGACCCGCACCAATCCTATTCGCTATTGTGGGAAGCGTTGAAGGGTGACCGTGTATCGCCCTCCCATGCACTAGATTTACTTGAGCGGGAATTCTCGCATCCTTCCCCGCGTCGAGTCTCCTGTGTTGTGCTCATGGATGAGTTGGATCAACTTGTTACGAAGAACCAGTCGGTCATGTATAACTTCTTCAATTGGCCCGCTCTCCGCCACTCACGCCTGATTGTATTAGCTGTCGCAAACACGATGGATCTTCCAGAAAGAACCCTGAGCAACAAGATCTCTAGTCGTCTCGGTCTCACCCGTATCACATTCCCGGGATACCGCCACACAGATCTAATGGAAATTATCAGTACCCGTCTAGCCAATGTGCCGGGCAACATAGTCGATCCAGATGCAGTTCAATTCGCGAGCCGAAAGGTCGCCGCCGTCAGCGGTGATGCGCGACGAGCTTTGGACATCTGTCGCCGAGCTGTTGAGATTGCCGAGCAAGCAGCAGAAGAGGCAGCCAAAGCAGACGACGCTACAAAAGACGAGACAGAATCATTGCCTCCCACGCCTAGCAAAACCCCCGCCAGGCGCAACAAAGCAGCCGCACCTAAGGCAGGCGGTGATTTAGTCATTGCGAAACCTCTACCTGCGAAGGGCCAACCAGGTCGAGTCACGATTGCAACCATCAAGCAAGCCATTCATGAAGCGACATCTACACCTTTACAACAATCCCTCCGTTGTTTACCATTGTCAGGAAAGCTCTTCCTTGCCGCCCTCCTGGCACGGGTTCACCGAACAGGAATTTCAGAATCAACATTCGGCGATGTTCTAGACGAAGCCCGCCGCATTGCTGATGCAGCTGTTGCCGTGGCTGGAGCCGCAGGATCAGGCGTTAAAGACTTCTTGTTGGGCGGAGGCCCCAGCGCCCGAGTACGGGCCATGGGACAGGCAGCCATGTCGCTCATGAACTCGGGTATCTTGGCGCTGGAACAAGGTACTGGTTCTAAGAACGTGCTCGGTGGTACGACGATCCCAACTCGCGGTGATCGCAGCAGCAAAGTGCGGCTTAGAGTTGCCGCGGAAGATGTTAGGTCTGCTTTCCGTGAAGATATTGAGGCTAAAGGGTTTGGATTGGGGATTGAGCAGTAACTGTGGCAGGTCTTTTGGGTGTTTTGATATGGCACGCATTATTTGGAGTTCCTCATGTAGTGCGATACCGCATGATAGTTTGCATATGATACCCTTTCGGTTGAATCTCTCGCCGCCGTACAGTTAGTTATGTCTATCTTGAGGGGTGGACAACTTAGTTTATATGACTAACATTAAAGCCACCATAAAAGGAAATACAGAGAGACCCGTCTGAGATCAGAGATTAATCAAAATCGTACATAAGGATTGATTCCATCCAGGGCATCAATGGGTCACATGGCTTGTATAGTACAAAACGATATCTATTCTTTTTCAGAGTATAGAACTTTCCGAGGACAATCCCCATATCTGAGTTAAATTCCAGGCTTAATCAGACCACGCCTAACTCCACATAGTGCCGATACAAACGGGGCAACGAAAAAAGAGGGTATTAAGAAATCGGAACAGAGTGTATGAATGCCAGGTATGCCGGTCATCGTTCTCTAGTACCGTTGTCTACCAAGAGTGGGAGCCCAAGTGAGAGGGTGAGTCTCAGGAGTGGCATCTTCATCCTGCTTCCAGACCTTGATAGTTTTGTCGGCCTCACCAGTGATGAGACGCAGACCGGTGCGATCGAAGGTAGAGGTCATGATACCGGCTTCGGCCTCGAGCGAACCGGGCTGCGCGGTGGTCTCAATATCTTGGAAGCGGTGGCCAGTCTTCCAGTCCCAGAAGGACATGGAGCCGTTGTCACCACCGGAGAACAGGACGTTCTCGTCGTTGACTGCAAGGGAGTTGATGACGGCGTTTTGGCCGTCGAAGTTCTGCATGAAATCACCCTTGGGGCACATCCATTGCTTGATGCTGCCGGTACTGGCACTGGCAAACGTGAACTCGGTCGGGTGAATGGCGATGTTGCGGACGCCCTTCTTATGATGCGTCAGGACGCCCATGCTCTTTCCGGCGGCCAAATCCCATAGTCGGACTGTGGAGTCCAGTGAACCGGAAATAATTTGGGGGTCAGCATCCTGACACTTAATGTCGGCAACTGTGCCCTTGTGGCCGCCGAGAACGTGGACATTGCTTCGGGTGCGCATGTCCCAGACTCGGCATACACCGTCACGACCACCTGTGACTAGCAGATCGAGACGAGGGTGGAGGGCCAGTGTGTACACACCGCTGAGATGGCCGTGGTAATGTCTAATAACCTTATTGGTTTCCAAATCCCAGCACTTGACCATCTTATCCTCACCGCAGGAGAAGAGATACGGATGCCGCGGTGAGACTGCCAATCCGCGGACCGTGGAGATGTGACCGGTCAGAGTCAGACGCAAAGCGCCCGTTGCCAGATTCCAAATTTTGATCGTGCGATCTCCGGCACCACTAGCAAACCACTGGTTGTTGGGCTCTACAGCCAGAGCCCGCACCCAACCCAAATGGCCTGAAATAACGCGCATCAGCTTCCAGGGCGCATGCCATTCCGGTCGCTGTTGTTGGGTAGCCGAGGGCCTCTGGATCAAGCTCTTGGGCTGGTCTCCCGCGGCACCGGCACCGGCACCGGTGCCAGATGGCCGCCTCACGAGTGACATGGATGCTCCACTGCCGTCGGCAGGTTTCTGTGCTTGAATCTTTGGTCGTTTTGATCGCCCGGTTGTGGCCTTTGCCTGCTTCTCTGCGAGCGCACGTGGTAACTCTGTCACGTCCTCATATTCTGCCTTCCGTCGATAGGAGACACCGATCGAACCGTCCATGGTCGAGGGAGTAACCATCAAATATTCAGGGCCGAAGAGCTCCGCGGTGCGCTTGGCGGAAAGGCGTACCGCGTCATCAACAGATTGGGGGGATGTATAATCCATTCTGTGTGTGTGTGTGAAAGGATCAATCGAGGGGTGTAGACGTGGGATAGTGCGTCCTCAGGATCGGGAGCTTCAAATCGCGATCGATCGTGCGCGCGGTGAAAACCCTGTGGCGAGCTTGTGGTTCGAGTCGATTCGGGTATTTGGGTCAGTTCATCGGAAATCCCCCAAGGCGATCGATTGGAATGTGAAAGAATAGCCCTGACAGCTGCAAGGCAAGGCAGTGGTTGAAGATGGGGAGAAAGATGAATCTTTATTGGAACGAACTTGGAGCGTGATTATGCCTGAGGTGTCAATATCCACTCGTTTGATGCTGGTAGTGACGACTTTGCTTTGAAAGTAAACTTCTTTTTCACAAGACATTCAATTGACTATATGTACAATTTTTCTAGAACAAGCTAATTTCATATGCTCCTTAGTATATCTTTCTTTATCAAGTCAGTGTACACTTTTTACGCCCAGCTCTTCGAGGGTGCTTACTCAGCCACGTTGTGCCCAGGTGCTTATCGCAGCTCTTATCGGAATATCGCTCTGCCTTCTCCAAAACCGCCATGGATTCAAATCAGAAATTCGCCTTGCATGAGGCTGCCCGAGAGGGTAGAAGTAAGTGTTGCTCTCTCCTGTAGAACTTGCTTTACTGATGCTTTTATCTTAGACCAGGTCGTCGAGTCGTTACTCAACGTAAGTTATGCTCCCCGAATATATAGGCTGCCCCGCAAATCAGCCATGCCTTTTACTCATAGCGGCTATAATTCAATACAAAAAGATCTACTAACATCATAAACAGGCAAACCCGAAATCAGCATTTGTCACAGATGATGACGAGCGTCTTCCGATTCATTGGGCTGCGGCTAACAACCGACTCCCAGTAGTGGAATTGCTCGTCGCTAGCAAGGGATTCGATCCGGATGTAGCAGTACGTCTCTTATTCCCTTTTCCCAGGTCGTTAAGAGATAACCGAGTGCTTATCCTCTCTCTGTGGTGGTGCATAATATTGACCAACATAACATAGGATGGTTCAGGATGGACACCCCTCATGATTGCAGCCAGTCTAAAGGATGCTGCAGGCGAGGCAATCATCGACCTGCTTCTACGAAAGGGAGCTGATGTTTCTATGAAAAGCAACACTGGACAGGTTAGCATTTAACATTGAATCTGCGGTTGCTTATTGTCCTTGAAACCTAATAAGTCAACAGAACGCCTTGCATTTTGCAAGCTCGAAATCTAATATTTCCATCGTCCGAACTTTGATTGCCAACAAGTGCAGTGCCAGAGTCAAAGATAAGCGCGGCCAACTACCACTTCATCGCGCGGCCGCAGTAGGATCTGTTCCCATCTTGAAAATGTTGTTGGAAGAGGGCAAAAGTCCTGTCAATGCAACCGACGGTGATGGATACACAGCACTTCACCAGGCTATCGCTGAAGGGCATGGACCGGCAGCAATTCTTTTGTTGAAGTCTGGAGCGGATCCACTGAAGAGAGACAATGATGATAAATTGGCCATTGAGCTAGTTCCAGATGACAAGGTAATGCCCTCGCATATGTTGGGATGGTTTGAACTAACCATTTTTGTCATTCACACACAGGTTAAGCAGTTTATCCTTCAGACAGCGGAACGAGAAGGGATTGAACTTCCATAATCATCCTAGTGCACCTGAGAACACAAAGTACTTTGCAGACATTAGGACTAATCGTTAGGTGATCGGTGCCTCGGGAGTTGCAGATTCCCCGCACCTCAGCTCCACCAAATTGTACAAAGATCTTCAATGATCTAATTTCTGTTTTAGCGAAAGAGGGAATACTCTTTTCTTAAAAAAATTATCTAGGTTTATCTGGGTGACCACGTAATAAAAAGCAAAAAAAAGAAGTACGGTGAATAACCGGGAACTCCGGGTTGCTTACTGGGTGAGAGGGGGCAATATGGAAGTCATGATTAATACGGGTTTTATGCCTATGGAGTCACGTGGAGGGGCAGTTGCCCAATTATCATTAGCAGACATCAATATTCTTATCTTTAGCATAGCCGCGAGTTATCCAATATTCTGACCAATTGATTCTTGATTCCACTGTATCCCATCGATCCTCTTGTTCTATTTTCATAGCGAATCGCTTGTCGAAAAGAACGACAGCGTTGGCATCGTTGTGAGAGTCTGTCGGGTCAGTCGTCGGGTGGAGAGTGATCTGCGGTCTGGGGCATTGGATTGGTTCGCGCTGCGACCGGAGATCCACCGTCAGGTCCGAGTCGACTCCCTCACTGGGTCATGCATGTACCCATGGACTGTGACTTGAATTGCATCTAAACTTACAGGTAAGAAACAATGAGGGGCCTCGGTTATTCCGGTGGCCATAAAATGAGTTCGAATAACCGATAGCCTTTAACAGTTTACGAGCCTAACTTATATGCCTAGCTGCTGCGCGTATCATCTCAGCATTGGAAATCATCATCAGAGTGCACTGTAATCCCAATCAACATGTCCCGATCAATAAACACACGTCTCCCAGTGGGAAACAAAGACTTCACTAATGCGACTGTTGTAATTATCGGAGCCGGCATTTCAGGTACACTAAAACCCCTCTGGAATAGTGAAGTTCGCTAACGGTTGAAGGGATATGCATGGCGCTGGATTTAATCAAACGGAATAAATGCCAAAACTTTGTTATTCTGGAGCGAAGTAGCAGTGTTGGCGGAACTTGGAACGACAACAAGTATCCTGGTTGCTGCTGTGATGGTAATAAATCTCTATCTGCATCCCATAGCAGCAAATGCTAATTGAACATAGTCTGGAGCTCGCTGTATAGCTATTCATTTGAGCAAAACCCTAACTGGTCCAGGGAGTACCCTGGACAGGAGGAAATCCATGTGAGTGATATGAAATATGAAATCGAAAGCCAACAAATTCGGAAACATTGCTGATTATCTGTCGCTTAGGACTATTTAGTCGGTGTCGCAGAGAAGCATGGACTTTACAAGCACATTCGATTCAATTCAACCGTGGAAGAGGCTCGGTGGGATGGTGCAGAAGCCAAATGGAAGACTAGCGTCTCCCTCTCAGGACAGAAAGACAGCGAATTCTCGTCTTCATATGTTATCAAGTCAGACTTTCTTGTCTCTGCTGTCGGCCAACTCAATTTGCCCCGATATCCCGATATCCCAGGGCTCGAGGATTACCAAGGGAAGATTATGCATTCCGCTCGATGGGATTGGAGCTACGACTTGGCAGGAAAGCGAATTGCGATAATCGGAAACGGAGCCACGGCTGCTCAAATCGCACCCGAAGTTGCTCAGCTCGCGTCTCATCTGACCATCTACCAGCGAACACCAAACTGGATCATTCCCCGAAATGACCGACCAGTCTCCGCTTTTCAGAAGGCACTGTTCAGATGGATTCCACCCCTGCACAAGCGAAAGCGTGCTCTCCAAATGGACTTCCGTGAAAGCTTCTATGAAGCTTTCACAGATAAAGATTCAGGCTTTGCTCATGCAATTCGGGAAATGTGCACCGGTGCGATGAAAGCCCATTTGCCTAACAATCCAGAGCTATGGGATACACTGACGCCCAAATATGCGCCGGGATGCAAGCGAGTTATCATCACAGATGATTACTATCCTACTCTTGCTCGTGACAATGTTAGTCTGGAGACACGGAGTATCACAAGCATCACGGATTCCGGCATCGAGGTTGATGGAGAAGATGAGCAGGAATACGATCTCATTGTTCTTGCCACTGGCTTTAGAACAGTGGAGTTCATGCACCCTATCAAGATTTATGGCTCGAATGGCCGGTCGCTGGAGGATATTTGGAGTGGTGGCGCTAGGGCATTCAATGGTGTCACGGTAGAAGATCTACCGAACTTTGGCATGTTCTATGGTCCCAACACCAATCTGGGTGAGTAGCATTTCTCCAACTCAGGACCGTGGACACTCTTACTAAGGATCAGGGCACAATTCCATTGTTTTGATGATTGAAGCTCAATCAAGATATCTGAATGCACTGGTTGGAGAGGTGATCAAAGCCCGCCAGCAGGGCAAGACCTTGGCATTCAAGCCCAAGCCAGATGTCTTGCAAAGCTTTAACGATAAGATCCAGGCTGTGTTGCGAAACACCAGCTTTGCTGACCCAAATTGCAACAGTTGGTACAAAAGAGACGACGGTGTCATTACCAACAACTGGTCTGGGACTGTCATTGATTATCAGATGGAACTTTCGAAGGTGAACTGGCAGGATTATGTTGCTGAGGGTACTGATAAGACCCGGCTTGTGGGCAAATCAGCTACAAAACTTGGTCGCGTTCGCGAAGAATCTTTACTGAGTGATAGGTCTCTTCTTGTGGGAGCTATTGGCGCCTTGTCGGTAGCAGGTTATTTCGTAGCTCGTGCCAAGCTGTTCAAGGCCTATTAATGCGAGTGCAGATCCGCAGGGGGATCATGTTAACCAACCAGCGCATGGTTATCGAGCAGAAAGGTAATAGGTTGTGGTATTGATTTGTTTCTCCTAAGATTGAAGTTCCCACACTGTTTTCTCATGGATCTACATCAAATCAACTATATAAAGCGACAGATGTTCAAAACTAAAATATCCCTCTTTGTAATTCTTACACAAAGCCCTGACCGACAAAAGAAAGGAAATAGATGTACGCAATCACGGAACACCACAAATCTCAGGATGATCCGGTGAGGTCAAACAAAGAGACTGGGCGATTACCCCAAATGGCTGGAAAGGCCCAGCAGCAATGGCAGTCTTACCACTCCCAGCGCATTGATTCGCTGCCGTAATGGCAAAATTACGCATCACCTGTCCCGAAATGACTGACCAACCGGGGAACGAACTCCCGAAGAGCTCGGACTTATCTGAAAGCACGAATGCGCAGCCATTAAACTGGTAGACCAGACACCAATTATTGGTAATGACGCCTTCGCTGTTCTTAGTCGTTCCGCTACGGATGCAACTAGACGATGGATTGTTGGTAGTGATTGTTATTCCCTCTGTAAGGGGTTGACCTTGGACGATGCCGCTGATTTTTCATTAGGGCTAGGGATTCCTTGCCAAGCAAAGTGGGTGATACTACTTACCTGTTGTAGGAGAACATGCAGTCCGTCATTTTGCTGACACCAGCTGTGCTATCGGACTCACAGGTGATCTCCCCATTGATATTCTGCGGGAAGATGGGCGAGATGGACGATGAACCGGACCCCGAACCTGAACCCGAGCCTGAGCTTGAGCCTGCTGGGTCAGGAATGGGGTTTCCACCGCAGGCTTGACTGGCCTAGATTCATTAGCACCAGTGTTAGCTAAAGTTGAGTATCAGGGACGGGGGGAATACGAACCCGAATCTCAATGTGAAGATTGATGGAAGAGGTTCCTGCCGGCACACTTGCTGTCATGTCGATACTCGCTGCGTGGGTCAAATACATTAGCAAGTCAGTTCTCAATATTTGTAGAGTCCAAATTATACTCACTTGGCAACGGATTTGTCGGGATGTCGAAATCAACAAAGGAACCCGAGCTAGTAGGTTTAGAGCTCGAGGGTGACATCGAAACGCTCCATCCTGTCGCCGACACAGAGTAGGCCTGCATGGTTGCTCCATCCAAGTTATACCCATAGCTACCAAATCCGAGCAGATTATAAAGATCAATGTTAACAGACGTCTTTCCCGAAGGGATGGCGATGGTCCAGGTGTTCGAATAGCTCTGAATGGTACCGGCCCACTGGCACGTTCCTCCGGTTTCACCGGTTTCCTGGCCCCAACTTGGTACATCGCCAGAGCTTGGCCAATCAGTTAGAGATGTCGCGAATGGAATACCACAGTCACTTTCGTTTTCTTCTTCATCCCCTGCGTCATCATCTCCAGCTGGCGGAGGGATGACGCCGACTGGCGGGGGAGCTCCAACGGGAAGTGGAGGGCCTGGAACAACGACGATTGGGGGTCTATATAATTGTCAGAAATGGTGAGAATTCATACTTGCGGGGAACGGTTCCATACAAGATCGGCGGCCAGTCAGCATCAGAGCAGAACTGCATGCAGTTGGGGATCACGGCAGGCGGAATTGGCATGGGGATTGGGGGAGGTTGAATCGGCGGTGCCCCTCCCGGCCAATTCCCATCAGTTGGGACTATAAGAGGGACGGTGATACTAGGGCTGGGAACGATGATGGGCGTCACCGTCTGGCCCGTGGGCACAACGATGCTAATAGGCTGCACCGACAAACCGGGGGTTTCTATCACAGGTGGCGTAACAACCACCTGCGAGCCGGATATTGTCGTTGTATACGGCGGAGGTCGAATTGGTCTGATAGGAGTGGGTGGTGGCTGAATGACGCAGGGAATATTGCATGATACCGTTGGACTTGGAACACTCCAGATCCATGGAGGCAGAGGGATAATTGAGGAGGGAGGGTCCAGCGATCCGGTAGTGTCCAGTCCAGTCCAGCCCACAATGGTGCCTAGAAATCCGTCCATATTCTCCAAGGCTAAGACATCAGCACTGCTGCTACCTTGGATCATCGAATACACTCCCTTCGTGTACAGATTAACAATGAAGATGTTGTTGCTGTTAACGACACGGGAAATACGCTCCTGGCAGGCCTCGAGGCTTAGACATGCCTGCGAGTACCATTGGAACCAGCTGTAAAAGCCAGCCCCATAGATCATGACATTAGACGAGCCAATGATCTCTAGACCCCAGGCATAGGCACAGGTTGAAGAGTCCGGGCTGCAATAGGTGAAGGTGGGATCGTCAGGCAAAGCATACGCACCAGTGAACGGAGCGGGCGCCTTGGGGCTTGGCTGATAGTATGGAGTCTCCGTCTGCAGAGTTGCGGCGAAAATGTTCTGCGCGTGATAGAAACGATATTGATAAAGCGTACAATGCTCCGACCCAGTACCCCAGAGCCACACAGGACCCTGAGATTCAATTAAGAGACACCGTGCAGTGTACACGGAAACTTGGTCCTGCGACGGGATGTCTAGGTCATGATCTGCGGTCCAGACCCAGACATTTTCCAAATATAAGGATGCCGAGGAGGTGATGTGGAACAATGTGGTGGCAGCAATACAGTTGTTGTCTGCCTCGACCTGGGTCCATGGACAATCCGCATACTGTAAATCACTGCCCTCGGCGCCTCCAACGCGGAAGTGGGCATCCCACATGCCAGCAGAACCCTGAGAAGCCTGTGCTAGATTCCACTCCATCAGAATGGCACCCGCCGTAGCTCCTTGCACTTTTTTGTTTGTTAGCCTTCGGTTAAAGGACACAGTTTGAAGAAATCTCACCAGTGAAGAGCATGTCTGATATTTCCACATCTCCCGTTTGGCCTGCCGTTCCTACTCGGATCATCACTCTTGGATTCGATATATCCGAAAATTTGTCTCCGAATCCCATAATTTCACTCCACACTTCACCGACAATCTTTGTCCCTGGAGGAACCGAGATGGTGTCTGAAACCATATACGTGCCGTGCGGGAAGTAGACAATTGAGCCCCCAGCAGATGAAAGAACACTGTTGATCACAGCAGTGTCGTCGGTCCGGCCATTACCAGCGGCACCGGCTGCTCTGATATCGACAAAACCACCGATACCCACGGTTTGATACTGAGGTTTAGACCTAGCAAACCAGCCATTGGATGACCGCAGCGACGATGATGCTGTAGCCTTCGCAGAAGGTGAGAATGCGCCGTTCAAAAACGTCTCACTCAACGTTTGTCCGTTTTGGATGAAATTGTTTCCATTCCCATAGTTGTCAATGAGGACATCTCCACCTTGAAGAACCGTAGGACCGCCTGAAAAGCCAACGGCAATTGGAGCATTGTTCATTTGCACGTTTTCCATCATAATGTTTGTCTTACCAGCCGTCAAGACAGCAATTGGCCTACTTGGAGTTAGATTGCAACTGTTAGACAGGAGAGTGAGACACATACACATTGGTAAAAACAGAGTCAAGGACCGCAATCGCGGCTACACCTTGATTGTGCTCTGCACTCGCGCTGCTAAGCGCCGTGACGTTGATTCCAATCTACCATTTATGTTATTGGGTGTCGTTATTAGTAGATACGCACGCTCGGAAATCATACCTGGCAGAGAAGAATGTCCAGACCATGCCACGTCCACCCCCAATCCCAGATCATCTCAATCGCCTGGATGCAATTTCGAAATTTGAGATTACGCGATGTGAACTGCTGGCTTCCACACCACATGCCAATGGCGCCTCCGGTAAAGGTCAGGTCTCCAAGGTAGCCACCCGATCCGTTCTCCATGAAGATTCCAACGTGGGTAGTACCATCAGCCTGGCTCATGACAAACTGAATGTTTTCAATGCTCGTAGCCTGGCCCACTTGCCAGTGAATACCCGTGGGGGCTATAAAGATGTCAATAACCCTCAAATGAAACGAACATCCGGGAACATACCAAATCCATCTGGAGTAACCGTCGGACAGCCTGAAATATCGATGATAAAATTGCGCACTTGGCGATAAAAGTTGCTCTGAGGTACATACCACTCAGCACCAGATTCACCAGGAATGTAGGTGTTGGCCGAGATGACACCGATACCAGCAAAGCTAGGTGCCGCCTTTAGAGTGGGCAACGCGTTAGGATTCCCCACAAACTGCGTATAATAATACTGAATCAACGGTGCCGAAACAAGGTATGTACCTGACGGAAAGTAGACAACGGCCGGAGTGGTGGTTGAAGAACCACAAGTCTCTCCGCATCGATTGCCATCTGTGATGGCGCGGTTGATTGCCTCGGTATCATCGGTCACACCGTCTCCTACGGCTCCGTAGTCCTTCACGTTGCGGAAGACTTGATAGCTGGAATCTCCAAAGGCCGAGATACCATGGCTTGCAGACTCGTACCAGTACCCTCCATCTTGACGGGTATGGAGGGTAGACGTGTTACCCTCATTTGGAGTGGGGATCGAAGCAGATACGGCCCATTTTTGCACCACAGTCCTATCGTAGGGAATGGACTGATCAAGTGGCCATGCAGAGGCAATGACTTCAAAAAGAGCCAGAAGAAGGCAGAATGAGAGAATCTTCATGTTGACAGCGAGCGGTTGACCGCAACTATGCCTTTAGCAAGAGCCCATAATATAATCGGGGTTTGTGTAAATGCGAAATAACGAGAGATGGCGCAAAGTATCAAACATTGGGTTATCACAGAAAGAAAAGAAATTGCAACCAGCGTCCTAATCGGGTGGGTTATTGAATACCTCGGAGATTACAGTAAATTGATGGCGTCCGGTTAAACTGTGGAACTCACCTGCATTCACCGCGCTACTGCAGGTGCCACTGCAGGGAGTCTCGTAGCAGACCGCTTTAAGGTAGTAGATGCCTCTCCACTAGGGCACGATTCCACTTAGGTACTAGTTAGCATCCATCTGCAACCCCCTCCTTCGGCCTCAAATTTCCGACAGCCCTTATCAACGGCAAGAGTAGCCGAACCTCTGTCTTCATTGGAATTCTGGGACTTTGTTGGAGTAAAAGGGTCAGTTCTGTTATGATGCTAGATCTTGTAGGATGTTTGATAATGTCGGTTCCCCCTAACCCTTTCTCTTACTCGGGCCAGCATATTTTTCAATATGAGTCCTTCGATCTATACTCTACTTGCCCTGAGCCTCGTTGTTGGGACAGTGGCTCTGGACCGGGTGACTTCAACTCCAGTTGGTGGAGTTGCTGAGTATACAGGCCAGCCCGTTGATGTCTACAATCCGTTACCAACTCTTATCTACAACTGCGACAATCTCCCGTCAATTTGCAAAAATGTAGAGGAGTACCTGACGGACAATAACATTCCGATAGGCACGGGTTTGGACTTCCATTATGATTCTGATCGAAAGAGCACAGGAAAACGGCGTGGAAAGTCATGTCCCGGCCAAGGAGCCTGGACAAAAGTTCTCACTTTCCCCTGCGGTAGTGACCCTGCGCAACCCGTCGTGATGCCTGGGAATTTACCTGCACGTGTTGGGCCCCTTGTCACCTGGCAAACCCCGGAGTTTGAGATGGAGATTCCTAACTTGCTGGGTAATGGTCCCAGTGGGATGAGGTATACCTGTGATGAATTTCCAGCCGCTTCGTATGTTTATGGTTCAACTCTGGGCATTCATTTCTAATATGCTTCTTGTAGTTGGATTGAAGGGGGAGTGGACGGTCAGGCTCCATATACCAGCGTATACTGTGCACCCAAAGCCGTTTCGTGTGAATCAAAAACCTGGGCAGATGTGCAGACAAAATATGGTGCTGGGATTTATCCCAATACTCTGAGCGAGCAGGACTGGCAAGCCCGAGCACACGCATTACTCGGGGTATTTCATCCTCCTATCTTTCCCCACATATGTGGCTAATGGAACTTCCATCAGAATTATGCCAAAGCACGGAGTCCATGGCAAGACCCGGTAATGAAGTTCCACTTTACTACCACCGTGTTGGGAGCTGCAAGCGCAGCGACAGCAGCCCAGGTAGTGATGCCCGCCTATGCGAACGTTGCAGCAACTACTGCGGTCGCCAACGCGAAACGAGAATTCATCAAGGAAACTGACGGCCGCTTTCACTGCACTGGCAAATTTTGTGCAGACCTGAGCGATGCAGGCTTTGTATTCGAGGCCCCACCGCCCACGACTTCTTTCCAGCTGTTGAAGGATGCTGGCGATGAGACCGAGTCAGAGTCACCGCATGCTACGTTCCACATCTTAACATCCTAGCTTTGGAGGAGCGGATCTATTGTCCTAGATTGATTGAATTTATCTTTCATAATTATCATAAGAATCTCCCTAAATGATAAAGGACTATTATCAGGCTAATCAATAGTCAGAAAAGAAAAAAATGCTGTACATGGTAAACCCGGCACAATTTCTATTTCATAGCACTCTCCGAGCAACAACTACTTTCGGCTTACCTGGCTGGGATCTAGATAGCCAGCGAACCCGGTAGAGCTTTTTGCTGGGGCCAGGATCAAAGCCGGGTGGAGAATCGCTGTTCTCAGTCTAGTATTACCAAACCTTCAATCACTAGATACCTCGAGCTAAGATTGATGGCTTTCTCTGTGTGATGGGCTAGGTAATAGTCCGGGTGTGATTTGGGGTAGCACTGTAGCATGGCGGACATGCTGGACAGGGCTCTACACTAAGGTCAACTCAATAAATAACATATGGCAATTCGACACTCGACTGACTGATATTCGGGTATTATTGCCATCTTGTCCCAGGACAGGTGGATAAATGAACTAGCATGCTGCAGGGCCTAAATTAGTGCCGAAGAGTGGACAGGGTGAAAGCGCCAAAAGACCCGGAGAGTAAGCCGCCCAATCTCCAGCTCTTCCCGCTAGGGCCCACTAGGGCCCGCTAGTGGAGGAGCTATCTAATGGTCAAACCGCTGAATTCAAACAACTTCTTGGCGACCAATTGTTCTTTGCTTTCTTTCACCCCCTGACATCGTCTAACCTCACTAAACACAACGTCGTGCAATCATTTACTATCCGATACATGGAGTGATGGATCATCCCGACGCTCTCGCCCGTGTTCTGGGCACCCCGGAAATACTGTCTTTGATCCTAGGCAATTTATCACAGGGTGAATTACTCCAACTGCAGCGTGTGTGTCAGTCGTGGCGCTCGCTTATCAAGCATGCACCTAATCTATGTGCGACCACCTTCACCGGTCAACGGCCCTTCCAACATACTCTGACGAAGATTCCGCAGCTGAATACATTTGTTATCAGCCGACTGCGTTGGTGTCCTAGCTTGGAAACGAACCTGGTCAATACCACCCAGTTCCATTCTGTTGAATTGGACCCGATCCTGCAGGCGATGGCTTATGAACATGCTTCATGGAGAGACCAATATCTGACTTGGCCCCCTGTGTCCAAATTGTCGATTGCCCACGGGACAATTTCCCAGGAGGAGCCTAGTCTAGCGGACCTAGTGGTGATGTCTCGCCGGAGTGGCCACCAACCTCCCGGGTATGAGGAGGAAGAGGGTGAGGACTCCGACTCTGAAAGCGAAACTCCACCCTTTGTCTTATGCATAGAGGACTTTCCCCATAATGAAGGTCGGGAATGCCAAGGAATCAGTGTCCTAGACATGATCTATGGCCTTCGACTGCATTATCTAGAGTTTCAGCATAGCTTGGAGTATCATCTCCGTCCAGAATTTGGAACTTCCAGAGGAGGTGAAATTCTTGCGCGCATTAAGAGGTACCCTCGGGAGTTGATGGTTGACGTTACAGTTATCAACTTCTGACCAGAGCTATCAGTGTCACAAATCTAACAATTACCTACACTGGAGTATCCCAGAATCACATGTTTCATTGTGTAGCAAAATTTCACATCCATAGATCTATTTACACCCTTGTATCTAGTCCTGTGATACAGTCGAATGAAATTCCTTCAGGCTCGTATATACACCATTGCGATAGTTGTGCTTGTTGACGCCTACTTGGCCGAACAAGGCTTCGTATGGCTAATTTATGTTAGAATTGTATTCAAAAAGCCATGACAGACAAACTAACCCGCTCAAGTGCGACTGTCAACTCCTCCTTCTTCCCAACTCTGACCAGATGCGCTTTGTTACTGACTTTGGGGGGAGTTGACACTGGAGCCTGACGACCATGTTGTGAATGCGGACCCTACCTAACTTTAGTACCTTCCTCAATGCGCATAATTAGACCACCTACTCCCGTTGAAAATCGACCCTGAAAACCGCTTCCAAGGGCTTTACCCTGAATTAGCGGAGCTTGCTGGCCTGCATGCTGTAGCGTTCGAGCAGACTCGGCTGGAGCGAGGGCGAGGAATATCAATGCCAGAACGCAAACAGCGCGTACCATTTTGATGGAAGTTTTGTTCCAGTTTAGAATTAATACAAAGGCATTTACAGATATGAAAATGGATTTGATGGTTTCATAGCCCCTGAATACACAATGCGAGTTAAGTCAGGTATTGATGATCATTTGGCGCTCAAGCTAGAGAGCCCAAAGATAGCCGATAATATCACAACTCTAGTTCGTATATTGATCTCAACCGCAGACATGTAGTCCCACGAGGCTGGCTAGGGTTACATCTGCTCGTGGTGGAGCATCCCGCAGTGGAGCATCGAAAACTTCGCCGCATCACGACAATCAAGCGGTTACCGTTGGCTCTCCCTTGTCGGCTATCAACACCCAGTTTCAAGCAATAAAATTAATCTGAGACATTCACACTTGGTGATCAGGGCCATGATCAGGGTCTGCCGCCGGGCCGTGCCCAAAACGTACCCGAGGACCCTAATATGTCCTAGCCACGAAATGAGCCAAGACGAAAGATGCCTCTTCGGACTTGCTCCGAGATACAACCACCAATTGTCATGTTGAGTGTAACTCAATCAAACATCAATAGAACTCCAAGCGAGCTTAGGACGGCAGAGCTTAGTTCTTACTGCAGAATGGGCCATTGCGGAATTACACTTGTTGCTCTCCACCTTTACTCCATCCAGCTGTCCCCCGGCAGCCTTAGCATCTCTATCGTCTTTCAAAATGCGAGAGTATAAACTCTCTCTCTTCTAAGCCTTTCCCACGCTTTTAGTTCTATACAACCGCCATCAATAGGAACCAACACTAATCGAAATCCTTGAATCTCCATCATGCGTGCAACAGTAGCCATCGCTGCACTGCTCTCGATAGTTGCTGCGGCACCATCTGCCGAGGACCTCACTAGAAGAGAACCCGATAGCATGCCCGTGTCTTTCATTGAATCTACAGGCCTTCACAAGCGTGTGGAAGGTGGTGTAAGTATTTTACAATCTTTCCGTTTATACTCGATGAGCATATGTTCAATGACTGAGGCTTGTTAGGTGGAAATTTGCACCGATATCAACTGGGGTGGAAACTGCGGTTTTGCCAAACAGCCATGGGATCTGTGTATTCGGCTGGATTCTCCCTGGTAAGTGACGTCTTTGAGCGAATCAGATGAACGGTGGATTTTATTGACACGATCATCGCTTCAGGTGGCATTCCATCTCTTCAATCGGCCCTGATGAATATAATGCAATCGTGGCTTACGAGTATGTCCACCCATTGACAATCTCTCAATTCTATATCCTTCGTAGCTGATATATGATGCAGGGACTATAACTGTGGATCTTCTAACACCCTGACTATCTGGAACCCGGGCTATGTATGTCATGCTCTTTTTCTCTCCCTACTTCTACAAAAGCTAATGCTACTTAGTCGGATCTGAGGGCTGCGGGATGGAACGACCGCATCGGCAGCTTTAAAGTAAAGCAAATCCCTGGGCCCAACTGCCTATACGACCTGGGTACTCCGTCACTTCCCAGCATCGATTGTACTGTCTGTTGCAATGGGTGTTCTCGTAGTGGAAGCTCTTGCTGCCCTTCTGGCGCCAACTGTTGACCATGGACCTAATTGGCGTAATTTTGATGAACGGCTACGCATGTGGTTAGTGGATCAGTGATATGAAGAAATGGATAGAGATAGTCGTCTATCTAAAGCCTCTCATGTCCATACATGCTATTGACCATGAAGTGGGAGCTATCTGAAAAAAGATACAATGACTAGTTCAGGCAATAATCTCAAATAGGATGCTGCTGAATGAGTGTGCATCACACCTCCTCTGTATCTATGAGGCCCGACTCCCAAAGACAAGCGTTATCTTCTCCAAAGTGATACCACAGATCTTTTTGAAAGTTCCTCAAACCACTTAGACTATTCCTGGCCCCAGATGCTCCTAGGATCTCGACTGCCATTCCTGGTAATCATTTTCTAGTTTCAGGGAACTCTCATGCTCCCGGAGTTTGTACTCAGTAAGCATGGCCATTCGGCTTGTGGCTTATGCTCGATCAATAGCTCGGTGGGTGTCGCCCAGGTGAGCAGGAGGGTGTGCAGGGGGGTGAAGCAGGCGATGATCTTTGCGGGGTGGTAGGCTGACTGCTCAATTGGACAATAGCGATGTGTCATTGGCCATGACCACGGCTCTGGAACATTCATCTCTTGGAATCTGCTTCACACTCTATGATGTAGAGTATCTCAGGTTGTCAATAAGGTTTCGTCTGGGGTGAAATTGATGAGTCTAGTCTCTTCATTACAGACATTCATGTTGGCTCCCGAATTCAGGATCCAAAGGCAGCCGTTTCTGGCCACGCAAGCGGTCATTTTCGGCATCAATCCCACAGGTCCTCATTTTTTAGCTGTAAACACGCGGAGAAAGCGGGGCAGAATATAGAAAGAAGGCGGTCAAAATGATCGGCATGTCACAACAGGAACCGTGAGGAATGTAGCATGCTTGACTTCCCCAGCCTTCATTTGCAATTCAACTCAGTTTATATTAAAGGTGAAATGTTCCCTTGTGAAAAATGGAACCCCTTTGGACCGATGCTGCCCGTGGTGTTCGGAAATTGGGTCATCTAAGCAGCAAAATCCATCAATATCAAATTTTAGTCTTCCAACTGTACACCAATCTACCCTCAGACTCTTCTACTGCCCTTGAGTCGCTGTTATGCCGTATCGCGCCCCACTAAGGGTCAAAACCATGGGCGCGCCAACGATATTGGAGAAGCGTCCTCTCTCCCCTCAACCCAGGACACCTGTGGGAGATGATCCAGCAAGCTCTCCTGCCAAAAGGCGCCGGGTAATTACCGCTGATAAGCACTCTGCTGAAGCAACTGAGAACCCTGATTCATCCGCAGTCATCGCAGAACCCAATGCTCAGAAACTAGCCGAAACCGTGGCTTTCGTCGAACGGGCATTTGGCTTGTGGAAAGCATTCGCGGACGAAAACTCGTCATTAGAATGCGATTGTGCACCCTTGCGTGGCCGATCCGACTACCGTATCTGGAGCCGCAAGGTCAAGATTGTTCTCAAACGGAACTTTGTTCTGGACCTTGTCGAGGGCAACATTGGCCAGCTACCTCAGTCGCATCCTTTGGATAGCGATCTAGCAAAGCTGAATGTCACAGCGGCTATGATCATCAATAAAAACCTGTCTGCACTCACAAAACCGATTGTCCGCACTATTACCAACCCCCGAGAGATGTGGGAGAAGCTTGAGAGACACTGCAAACCTTCAGATTGGACCTTGGCGCAAACAGGCTGGTTTGATTTGCAGAGAATAAAATATAGCCGATGCTCTAATGTGAGGGAATATGTGGACCGGATAGATGATGCGTGGAGGTGCATCTGTCTTGACAAAGATGACGCTCTGGAGAAGCATGAGTTAGCACGTTGCGCTAGTCTTGTGTTTTCTTTGGATACACCCAGATGGGAAAGTTGGAAGATGGGGGTACTTTCTGGCCGCAAAACCAACATTCCGAGTTGGGCAAGTCTGGTGGATAGACTATTGGCAGCGGAGTGATGATGCCAAGCAAGTGTCTTTATAATTTCTGTTTTTATTTTCGGGATTGCGATCTGGTTCATCTATTGGCAGCGTGGTTTCTTGCAATGATTTGTTGGCTCGAATGATGAAGTGTGTCAAGTCGAGGGATTTTCAGGGATATGAAACAAGACTACAAGTTTAGTTAGTGAGCTACGTGTATTTTTGCAAAGTGAAAGGTTTTGCTCATCTTCGCTCAACACACACACAACTATGCCAATAAACCATCTAAATCGCGCTGTCTTCCTTAGTGCATCCTGGATGTCTGCGTAGTGACTATAAGCAAGTTCAAACAACCGAAGGGTACAATAAAATGAATGACCAATAACATATATTCGCATCAAAAACAGGTCATGGCACTCGTCATACCAAAATAAACAGGAATCGCTGGAGGGTTAAAATACAATATAATTACTTAGCTAAAGTCAAAGATCCATAGATCATGCCATACGCAAACCAAATGCCCGAGCCGTGCAAAGTGATCGCCGCCAGACGCCGATTCGGTGTGGCCGGCCCACCGCAAAGCTTGTCTTACACTGATCAACAATCAGATAAGATCACTTCCTGAAGTCGCCCTACCTAGGTACCATTTGGCTCCACATTACGTTTAGCCCCGTGTCACAGAGAATCCTGTTGTCTGCGCGAGTTTCATTTATATATTCATGGAGCGGCGTGTAACCTCAGAAGTAGGTGTTCTTCTTGTAACTGCCGAGACGATCGCCAAAAGTGACGCTGGCGCCTGTTCAAGAAGTCAGGGCGATGATCCTCATTATACCAAATCATTTTGCTAGTGAAAATTTGCTTCTTTGGCCGATCTTCCAAAGTGATAATTCATTGATGACATGGCCGTTGTATGGTTTCAAGGCTGGCATTGGTACTAGATAGCCCCCAGGCCCACATTAGGACAGCGTTTATCAATGCAGCGATGCCATGTAGGTGAGATCAACCGGTGGATGAATGTAGTATAGCTATATGTAAGTCCAAGATAGGCGTCATTTGGCAAGTTTATTACGTTCCAGCCTGTCAGAATTGAAGCTGTGATCTAAAAGGGGATAAAGTTGTCAACTCGGCACTGGAATGGAAGTTCGATTATCCACAGTGATATACTGGCAGCCCCACTGTAGTCAGGTCGGTCGCTCGCATGCTGTCTATTCCTCACTTCATTTGATGCCTAGATTTTTCAAATTTCTCGGAAAATAGCGATTTAGGAAATACAAATTAAATAATTTGTATAGCCATCTAAAAAAGTGTCAAATACCAACGAAAACACTCCGAAATGCCGTGATAATATCCTTATTTCCCTTGGTCTAGCTCATTCACGGGCACACCAAGAGCAGGAACAGCCTCAATAATCGACTCTATCCCTGGGCTTGAGTTCCAAATTCCATTGATTCTCAACCCAACACTGAACAAAAGTTCGGTCCACTGGCGCTTCGATCTCTCCACTCCGGCACTAATGCTCATCATTTGAATATCCATTGCAGACTGCATGCGCCCCGCATTGATATCAGGAAGGACGAAGTCCACGATAGTAATGCAGGAATACGTAGAGTCCATAGCTGCAATCGTGTTGAGAAGGATCTTTCGGCAGATATGGTCTGGCTAGTCGTGGAAGATTGCGCGGAAGTAATATGCACGTGCATCTATTGCGACGCTGTTAGAATCTCGCCGTCCTTTTTCTCCCTTGGTGACATCGGAGGGGTTTCAAGTCGACTCACTCTTGACAGGTTGGGGATCCATAAAGCTGTAACCTATTGTCTCAATGCCGGCCCGGTCAATGGTCGAGACAATCTTAGGCAGATCCTGCAGGATGAGCCGTCCTGGTCTAAGTCCGTATTTGGAGACAAATTTTCCGAGATCATGACCTTGGTTGCCCCCGATATCTACAAGGAAAATGGCCCCCGTATGGGGAATTGCCCCGTAAACTAGTCTCTCCAAGGGATAGACGTCAAACCAGTTGGGCTTTCCTTCTCGTCGACTCGACATGTATGAGTTGAACAAAGCTTGGTGGCACTTGTTTTTAGCAAGCCATTCAAATTGACTCTGATCCACTGCCCATTACATTGCAGATGATGCATAGTCTTCTGGGTTGATGTAGTTGTGCTCACGGAGATACTCCAGGAGCTTGCTGAGAGTGGGGACGGTGAGATCGTAACTGGGGCCATCAATCTTGGTTTCGGGATGTACCGCGGTCTAACTTGGGACTTACGTGCAAGGAACTCCATCTTGGCCTATCGGCCGGGTCATTGTGATAGTCTTGTCATTCGGCCGGTAAACCTCTGGCTCGATACTTGCACATGGGCCAAGGGCATTCATGACTCGCATGAGGCGCACTTTAAATATAATTGTAAGGAATTTGTTTAACGCAAGTTGAAACCGACTTAACAATTAATGCTCTGTCTGCCCCGGTGCAAATGGCTATGTCTGTGGCAGTGAGGCCATCCTTTTGACTGTTTCTTGTGAGAAGCGGGAAAATGCCTAGATCTACAGCTGTGCGCAGAGCGGCATTCTCAGGAGGCTTGATAAATGCCAGGTCAATCCGGGGACTTCCGGAGAATAACGATCATAGAAGGCAAATCAACGAACCTGGTAGATCAAGCGGAGAACAGTCTCAGTAGGGGTCTCAACAGCCAGCTTTAACTCGTCAGCGAGTCGAAGAAGACGGGCATGCCCATGACCAGATTGAGAAGGGTCTAGCGAGACTTCTCGTCTGATCTGCTCAGTCAATGAAAGGATAGTAGTAGCTGACATGTTGAATTTTATAAGTTGATGTTAACCAATGAGGATATTCAATTGAACTGGGATATTAGCATCGACTTATACCCATTCAGCCGATCGACTGGCAAGGACAATACTACCTCGATTTGGACATGGTCACACCTAGTGTGGATCTAAGTGTAATGGCAAAGCTGACACAGAGACATCCGTACCGCTCTCCGATCTCGCTCCGCGGAGACAGGCGCGGAGTGCGCAGTCTGCGAGAGCGAATAGATGCTAAATCCACATAACTACCTAGGTATCAAACAGCGATACTATGACATGTATCAGTGGAGTGGATCTATGTCGATCTTTTCACTTTATGATCGAGTGCGGGAAAAACATCAAGAAGCGACTAGCAGCGGGTGACCGGACTTTGGTCGCTACTCCACTAGCTGTATGGAGTAATGTAATGCCAATCGCGGGAAATCTTGTAAATGTCTCTCCACATCGGAGACTGCGGCTGATGCGGGTTTGGAGTAATTGGGAGTATTCGTATTTGTTTACAAAGTATAGTATACATAGAACAGGTAGATGTATATCTTTTCTTTCTGTTGGTTGAGCAAATGGGTCATACCCGCCTGTTCTCTTGACTTTCTTCCCATATTCCCTGGCTACAGACTCAAAAATATGTCAATCAGCTCGGTAGGTTGATCAAAGAAATCAAACATCACAATCCCCACCCGCTTGCCCTTTTGCCCTCTCAGGAAGGGAACCAGCTGCTGGTTGACTCCGCCATCTGGTGTATATTTTGTGCCGTTTCCTAAAGCAATTATGCGAGGCCAATCAGGAGGGTTATTTGCGGTATTTGTACCAGACGCCCAGGTCCAGAACAAACTGTCCAGCTGCTCGGTGGTGGCTTTTTCAATGTTTTTCACAGTCGCATTGTATTTCCACTGGATGTTCTCAATTGCGTCAGATCTCATCGGAGTGAGAGGCTGGTAGTAGTCTTCGATATAAGCTGTAAGGTTCTTGGAGGTGTTGTATACCAGGGTGATATCCGGTCCATTGTCAGTCCAAAGACTAGGCGAGAAATGCAAGCCAGGAAGCGCGGCTGTGTAAGAATCCGGCAGCTTGTCCAGATCAAAACGACGCATGAGATTAATCTTGCCACGGGCATCTCCCAATTTCCCTAATTCGTTTTTGGTTTGAACAAAATAGTGGCGGGCAGCCGGCGACGTGAGAATATTGTAGAGCTGCAGTTGCTGGGTCGCGTCGTTGGCGGTATAACGAGCCGTTGAGCTCTCATGCTGGAATGAGAGGAAGATTGTCTCCGATGGATGATCATCCAGCCACTGATAAAACCCAAACAACACATCGTCGACGGTGGCTAATTCAGATAGCAAGGCATAGGAATGGTAGAAAATCAGGGTGGTGTTTGTTGGGTCGATGGCATACCGCAAGTCAAATGCGCGTATTCCCATATTGAGCATATCGATCAAAGGTAATTCCTGGCAACGGTATGTCTCGGGGACCGGGACAGTGACCTGATTGAGATCGGTGATGCCTCGCATTGCATCTTGGGTCGCCTGGGTGTAATTCCATGTGGCGCTATCATGGGTACCAGGGATATTCATGTGAACGAGCAAAGTGTCATCGGAATAACTCTTCATCCACTCCGCTTTTTCTGCTGTATCCCGAGTATAGGATCCAAATATTGGAGTGGCATCTTCAAGGACCTTTTGAAGAGCGAAATCCGCTAGGGATGAAGATACAAGGGGCGCAAGTGAGCATATTGCCACGGCCGTCGACATTGAAAATATCCACATGTCTGAAATACAAAAAAACCAATTGAACTCATGAACGGAATGTTGAGTTGAATGTTATCGAGTTCAAAAGGCGGTTGGGAATGGCATTTAAGTTCAAGATCTCAGGGGTCGTTGCCGATCACTTGCGTCGCTTGGCGTTAGCTTCGTCAAGCTTACCACATTTGATCATATTAGCAATATTGACAGTATTGAAACATCCAATGTTTGCCGACAGCTAATAGTTAAAGCCACATGGCTGTCACTCCTCGCGTCGACATGCCACGTGCGCCCGTCGTCAGGTCGCGACTGGCGCAACGACAGTGGAGCATTTGTCTTCTCGTTTTGGGATTAGCTGCCCTTGGATTTGAGGTCTTTATATTCGAAGACCTCCGACAGGTTTGGTTCTCATCGCCTCAACCATTCTCCAACATGCGCAACCTCGCTCTTCTTTCCCTGACCGGGTCCGTGCTGGGTCTCAGCCCAGAGGAAACCTTCTATCCCCCAACGCTGAATAACACGAGCTATATCAGTAATAGCTCCATTGGAACATATGGTGGCATTTACAAGGCTCCCACCAATGGTCCGACCGGTGGAACTCCCTACGGGACCTATGATTACTGTTCCATGCCGCATCCTCGTTCAGAGGAATACGAACTACCTGAAGCTCTCGCCAACGGATCAGCCAAGGGAAAGCTTGTGTACCTAGAATATCTGCAGCGTCATCAAAGACGTTCGCCGTACAATATCCTTCCCGGCGGAGAGGTAACGACTCGCACCCTGGATGAGACCCTGCTCCCACACTAACCAGTTACCAGAACCAAGCGTATCACTGTGACGATGTTCGTCCATACCTTTACGCAGGCCCCAACAGTGCAAGCGGCATTCAACCCATGCCAATGTACGCGCAGACGTACGAGGATCCCTCCAACCCGTTCAGTTCCGGCGTGAACGGCACATGCCAGTACCCGCAGATCACCATCGGCGGAGTCCAGGACGGGTTCCAGCATGGCAAAGACATTTGGGCAGTATACGGCGAGAAGCTTGGCCTGATTCCTAAGAAGCCAAGCCATCGCGTTTGGTTCCGCTCCAGCGAGTCTGCCCTCACTCAGGCCTCTGCCGGCGCGGTTCTGCGCGGCGTCTGGCCTGACTATCAGGGAGCTTTACCGTTGCATCAGATGGTTTCATCAGTTGATACTGTTAATGAGGGATACTCTTGTTCTGCTGTCAGCTCAACCCTTTCCAGTTTGCAGTCTACTGCGCAGTGGAAGGAACATTTGGCTGTCACTGAGGAGCTGCGCTCGAAGCTGGGCTCGATGCTTGGCGCGACGGATAGTTCGTGGCAGAGCACCTTTGACCACTTCTCGGATAACTTCCAGGCTCGTCTCTGTAATGGATATGAACTACCTTGCAGTGTGTCGAACTCTTCGGCGTGCGTCACAATGGAGATGGCCCAGGAGGTTTTCCGTGCTGGTGACTGGGAGTGGAACTATTATTGGCGCACAAACCCGGATGTGGTCAAATATATCCAGGCCGTTGAAGGTCTGTTTATTGGCGAGATTGTTTCTCGTCTACAGGCTGTCCAAGACGGTACATCGTCTCTTGATTACAGCCATATTTTCGTTCATGATGGTGATATTGGTCCTATATTGGGTGCTTTGGGGATTGAAGCGCTTCGCTGGCCGGCTATGGCATCCAACATTGCTTTCGAGGTTTGGTAAGTTACCCTCAATAGATGGTCTTCGATTTGACATCTTCTAATATGGTCTTGAATTCTAGGGAAGTTCATGGTCATGATAAAAAATCTTTCTATGCTCGGGTACTGTACAGCGGCCATCCTGTGCGAAGCATTCATGGTGTTCTTGACTGGGTTCCTCTCTCAGATCTCATCGATAACCTGAGTCCATATGTCCCTACCGACATCACTGCTCTCTGTGGATGAATAACTTTTTGTCGATATAACTAGGTAGCAATGCACGCTGTCATCAGCTCGAAATCCACGACTACTCACCGGTATATGAAAATTGATCTGATCAATTGTAGTATTGACTTCTGTATATACAGGGCACTCTTTGGATTTCAGTTCTCGGTCCATCCTGCCTCTCGAGTCCAAACGGCAAAACATGATGACGCATTCTTTTGGAAGGTACGGCCAAGTGCATACCCTCTCTCTTTTCTCGACTTTCCTATTTTTGGTTTGGAGTAAGACATTAAGCGTGTTTAGAGAATGAAAACATTTGAATCAATTAGATGATCGAACAATTAATAATTAGTATATTCTGTTATTTATAAATCGTTATCGCCCATCCAAATGCTGCCCAGTCCAACTATTCGTGGAGATCATGCCTAGGTACGATGGGCAATGAGATATGGACGGTGAATATGAAATTACGGACGGATGGAGGAGGGAAGGGGGAGAGAGGAGAGAGATGGAGAAAGCCATCTGCTATCTACTCTCGTGCATGGAGACTATCCCCAAAGTGGAAGGCACCCGACACCCGACAACTGTTCATTCTGTCTCCTCTTCCGAGATAGCAAACTTGCTCAGAGCACGAAGTCTGCTACCATAGAAGTAAAGTAGCCAGATACCAACAATACCAATAACACTCAATCCACCAAGCAGACTCACACCTCGGGCAACACCCAAGTTCCCAAACAGCGGATGAGCAAACAGCACACTTCCACAAGCAAGCGCACTGCGGAAGAAATCATTCGCAGCGAACAAACTAGCCGCGTACTTCGGGTAACTGAGCGGGATGTAGACAAAGATACACTGCATGACGATGAACACCGTCGCGCCGTAAATGGTGATACCAATCGTGGGCACAATCCAATGGATAGACGCACGCGCCGTCCAAGCAAAGAGGAAGAGACCAATAGTCGGACCAAAAGAAGCCGGCAGCGCAGGCAGAAGACGCGATTCTTGTGCTGGGAATCCGAAGCGCCGGATGCGTGGATTCATCCAGAAGTGGATGTACGACACATAGATGATGATTCCAAGAATACATGATACCATGATGCACAGGAAGACGAGACCGATCTGGCCCAGGTTCATATTGTAGTCGGTTGGGTAGACAAGGGGGAAGACCTCGAAGAAGGAGTAGTAGATGCCGTAAATGATGGCTGTGTAGATCTGGACGAAGAGGACAGCGGGGTCCTTGATTGTGATTTCCAGTGGCTTGATCAGGGCATCGATGGCCACGTCCGAGATATGCATGTTACGTTGGTCGATCTCAGACTGCGACATGAAGCGGCTGTTATTGTGGATTTTTCGGAGACGGTCTGCGCGTCTGAGCAGGATCGTTGCGCTGCTGGTTTCTGGGAGGAACATGAACATCAGGATCAGGACTGGAGCGGAAGCCCAGATTGATTCGAAGAGGGACCAGCGCCAGCCTTTGACGGGGACGGCAAAGCCGCTGAGGAGGGGGCCGAGGGCGGCTGTGAATCGAGTTAGTATCAAGGTTATATTTCGTGAATTTGGAAACACTTACGTCCACAGTATGCGGCTGAAACCCAGGCCATCATGGCGTATGGCAGAGCCATCAGGCTGTACATGTCTCCGATGGAGGCTCCTCCCGATGCGAGACACGGGGAGCCGAAGAAGCCCTGTAGGAAACGGAGGACCATCAGGCCGGCGAAGTTGTCCACCAATGCCGTTGGAATGGAGATAATCACGAAGAGGAACATCGTGACGATGTAAACTGGGTTCCGGCCAATGACTGGGATTTCACTCAATGGAGAGAAAATCAACGGCCCAACGCCGTATCCCAGAACATATAGTGACAGACCCAATGTTGCGAGCAGGGTGTCTACGCCAAACTCTTTCATAATACCTTCTGTGGAGGATGTGTAGATGGCCGAAGTAGTATATACGACGAATGTGTATAGACAAATGAGGGTAGCGATGAGAGCACGCTTGCGATTGGACCAGTTGTGGGGGTTCTCCGAATCGTCGGTATAGTACCAGTCAACGAGGATGGCACCGTCCTTTGTCTTTTTGGGCGCAATTGGAATGGATTTGATTTTCTCGATTTCATGTTGTTCGTCGGCCTCGAGGCGGGCTTCGGTGAACGGGAGGGAAGCTTGAGTGGAGGCTCGACTTAAAGGTGCACTACTGTGATTGGAGTCTGCAGAACTAACGTTCTTTTCGTCTCCCAGGTTATTTGCACCGTTGTCGTTCAGTAATTGAAGCCATGTATCGGGAAGCTGGAAGTCGGGCTTTTCTTCTGGGTACTTGAAGTATTTGTTCTTTGTCAAGAAGCGAACAAGCTGCCCAAAGGGGGCATCTCGAATGGCAGCCTCCATTGTATAGTGTAGATACTATAGTTGGTTACCTGTGGGTAGGACAGGTGGATATAACTGGAGAATTTGATACATGGTATTAGGAGGTAGAATTGACATATTATATACTTCAAATGACCGCCCCACAGGATCCTTTGATTGTGAAATCCATGTGTTGGTTTCGATGAGAATCCGAGCCTTAACAATCATGTTTGATTCCAAAGCAAAATAGCACCAATGATAGATAATCTTAAATCATTATTAGGAATCAAGATGCGGGTGGGTCAATTTGAGCCAATGAAAGGGACATGATACAAACGCCATCTCAGGGTTCGTATTTGAGGTGACCCAATGCCGAACGTGATGACAAGCTCTTAGCGCCGATAGGCAGAGATCTCACATATTTCCACGAGGGAGACAAGGATCAGTGAGATCTGACAAGGGTTGGAGTGTCCGTGCAAGTGACCTGCTTAGAGATCAAATCTCAGATCCATGGATTGCGCGATTGCCAAGTCCGGTCATTAGCTTAACCCCGATGACCTGAGATATTTCCGTCTAAACTCCTATACTGTATGTGGTACTTATACATTTATAGTTACAAATACCGATATAAGCCATGTCTATGAGTCAGAAGCGACGAACCAAATACGAATTGAGTCAAAGGAGTCTTATCTAGCATATCTTGCATATCGTTTGCGTCAATGTCAATCATTGAACACATGTGATAAAGCGCTAAGTGGATTTGTACAGCGCAAAATATACTTTATTTACATATAATCATAACAGCGAAATGTCAGTGCAGTAACTGGACAAATGTCGTATCCAGACTATCAGTGCCCACTCATTTCATGGTGCTGTCAACAAGCTCACGGTAGATTTTCTTAAGATCCGCGATGTCAGCATTCAGCTCGTCGACCTGTTCGCTCTTCTCGCCCAGCATCTCAAGAGTTGTTTGATACCGCTGGTCAAGGTCTTCCAGTTCGTCTTCGAGTTCCTGCACGCGAGAAGCAGAAAGTTGCTTCGCCTCAAGTTCGCGCATTAAGTCTACAACTTGTTGCCGGGCTTCGTCACGCTGGGTTGTCACCCGTGCCAGCTCATCCTTGGAGCCGGCACGTTCGCTCTCTAGGCGGCGGACCGTGGCACTCATGCGCTCGACTAACTGAACAGATGGGCCAGCCCCGACAGTGGACTCAGAGATAATGTCGTTTATACCGCGTGGTGGTGCTTGAGTACCACCATAAGCCGAAGGAGTGGCAGGAGTGCCCGAATCGCCGAAATACTCGTCCGGCTCAAAGCTGATGGAGGGTGCCTCCATAATGGATGGGTTGGTGTTAATGTGCGGAGGAGAGAGCGTTGCTTGGGTGATCGAGGCAGGGTATGAGTTTTGCCGAGGTGGCGTGCCAATCTCGGGTGAAGCAAATGGCATACCAGATGAGCGTCGGCTAGGAGGACGGAAGTCTGACAGCGCTGGGGTCAGGGCGTCCAGGGTGCTCGACCGCCGGGTAGATGCCACGGGGGAAACTCCGCGCGTCTGCGATGGGGAGTTCACTTGTATCTGGTCTCTCCATTTGATTCGCTCGTCTTCTAGCTTCTGGGCCCACGTTTTGTCGCATGTCTTCTTTTGCTCGGCCATATCTTTCTGTGTTGAAGTGAGGTCCTCTGACGCTTTCACGAGCTTTTGCTGTAGCTTTTCTAGTTCTTGCACACGTTCCTCGAGGTTGCTGTTCAGTTCATGCTCGGTCTCTTTGGCGTTATCTAGGTCCTCTTCAAACTTCTTCAATTTGACATTCTATATTATCAAAGTCAGTAATCTTGTGTTGCGCAGACTCAAGTCATGAAGATCTTACCATTTCCCGGATCTTCTTGCGCAGATCACTCTCCCGTCGACCAGTATCATCACGTTCCTTTTCCACGCTGGCCAGCCGTGAAAGCAGGGAACCCTCAAGAGTGTGCCAGTTTTCACTAGCAGCGGCATATTGAGTTTGGAGGGTTTCAATCTGGCGCAGGAGTTTGGCTTGAGTTTCTCCTGTCGCACCCGATGAAGCTTCTTCGGCGCGAGATCGAAGACTCTCCATCTTGCTTTCCAAGACGGACTGCTCTCCCTTCAACTCAGTTTCGAGCAGTCTAGCCTTTTCTTTCTCCTTCTCCATCTTCTCCTGCAATTCGGCAATTTCTTTCTTTGCCTTTTCCTCGCTAATTTCATGCTCAATCTCCAAGTTGGAAAGCTCTTCCTCTAGTCGGTCTGCCCGCTGCTTCTCTCGGTTCAGTGCATCAGAGTTTGCCTTGGTTTCAGCAGCCTCGGCGCGAGAGACCGCACGGCTCAATTGCGACTTCATCTCTTGAACGGTTTGGCTGAGCGCATTCCGCTCATTCGTGACAGCCTCAATGTCTTTAGTCAATTTTGCTTGAGACGATAAAGAATCTGTTATTCTCTTCTCTGCAATCTCTGCCCTCTTGGCTCTTGCTTCGGAGTTGACCAGGTCTCGTTCAAGTTTCTCTGTCTTCTTTTTCATTTCAGCCAGCGATTTGGTGTTGTCGGTAAGTTGCTGGCGCAACTTCTTGATCACAATCCGATGATCCATCTCTGATTTAGATAGCTTTTGGCCTTCTTCGAGGAGCAAAGCGATCTTCTCATCCTTCTCTAGAAGCTGCTTCTGCATACTTCCCGGGGTGGCGCTCGCTGCAGCATGTCTAGCCGATTCTGCAGCATCCTTGGCGAGATATTTCAGCTTGGACTGCAATGCGTCGATACGTTCGATGTAGCCATGCACCTCTTCTTGCCATTGAGGCTCCGTGGCTTTATTATCAGCTTGCATTCGGGCAAAATCTGGATTTTGCTCCTCCGCCGGTGACTCCTCTGGCAAATCAACGCTAACCCGTGGACTGTCACCTGAAGCAAGAGCACTCGGTGCCTCGGTCCGTTGCGAGCTCGGGAGTTCTTGGCTAGCCCTTGCGGAATCGGTACTTGCTTGAACTACATCAACAGACGCCCTAGGAGCAGACTCTGCGATGCTGATGTCTGCGGAAAGACGTGATGATACTCCAGAGTCGTAGCTGATTCTGGGGGAAGCCAATGCAGCCGTAGCACTCTCTCCGTTTGGCGGTGGGCTTTTTGGGCCTTCCGGTACACTTGAAACCGATGCAGCACTCGAGTCAATGTCCATACTGGACCGAGCTCCATTACTCGGTACCGGACTAGCAGGCGGAGATGATACTCGGCTTTGTGGGGACTGCGAAGAGAGATTCGACGCATTTTGCTTTATCATGGCTCGGGCAAGACGTTCCTGGAGACGGTCGTTTCTTTTTGCGCTCGATGAACTGCGGGAAATAGCTTAGAGTATGTTAGCCGATTTGTCCGAGTCGCTATTGTTCCAGAGATTTCGTACATGCAGCAGGGGCCTTCCCCGAAAGTGCTTCCTCATTTTGGGTCTCAGTGGGCTTTCCAGTCGAGCTGGTCTGGTTCCCCTCCTCGTCCATCAAGATGTGATCCAACCGAGATTCCACGCCCGCCACTGCCTGCTGAAGAAACGATCCCATCCCCCATTTTGGCTTCGTTGGCTTTGAATCCTGTGCCATTGTAGTAAGCTATGGTGTTGGCGATTGCGAACAGACTACTGGTAAGCGGCCAATGCCTCAAGTTTCATTCGCATAAATTCGGTGGGGGCTGCGCTCGGACACCGACTCGTTTCGACTACCGTGGGGAACAAATTGAGGTTTTTGCAGTTATAGATATTCGAAGTATGCCCAGGAGCCTAGTTCCTATGGCAATAGCTTGTCGTGAGAAGGAAACGAGAGACTTATTGCCAAATTTAAGGTAATAGGCAGAAGTCTGGACGAAGATTAGAGCGCTGGGGCCAATAAGCCAAAGTACACCAATGAAGTCACTGAAAAGAAAATATCCGCGCAAAAGAACAAAATGAGGATTAACAAGACAGAAGAAATGAAAGTTGGAGTAGGACAGAAACAGAAGTTGAGGCCGTGGCTCGAGATACCGTCGGTCTTGGCACAGGCTTCCGTCATCCCCAAGCTCCCCCGTCCGTCTGGACACACCTCCAGTTATCAGACACAGCCAGCGACGCTCCTTTTTCTGGCTTAATATTTCTCAGATCATATTTACAATGTCGCTGGATCCACCTACCTACCTCAGCTCGCTTCAGAATAACATCCGAGCTCGGCCAATTCCGTGGGAGGGCGCTGTCCGAGCGGGCAACATCACCGATGAGCACTTGAAGAAGATCAAGGCGGTGGACAAGGTGCGCAAGGAACAGCGATGCCAAACAATAGAAGCCGATATTGCTGGATACGCCGATCTATTGGCCGGTGGCGCACAGGGAAAGAGTGTCTTGGACTCGGCCTCCCGAAGGACCGATATTGTGCAGTACATTCTGGTGCTGGCCTCGGACTTGATCCAAGGTAGATATCACTGATGAAATTGTTCCAAAGAAATTCTGCTGATCAAGCATCCGATAGATGTACCCTCTCTGGCAGATTCCCTCATCTCTCACCCAGAACCGTACAAGCCATTTCTACCCTTCCTGCAACACTCGACAAATGCCGAAGACCCTATCCCTTTGCTCACTTCCACTTTTCTCTCGGCCCTAGTGTCGCGCAGTCTTGTTGCGACACCTAAGCCAGCACCACGCGACAATGAGGCTCTCCCACACCTATACACTTACCTCTCCACCTTGATCAAGAATCAGGACAATGGACTCCAGGACATTGGCGTCCAGGGATTCTCGGAGCTTCTGAGGACATCCAGAGCGCGAGAGATCTTCTGGGAACAACGGAAAGAGACTCTAGATCCCTTGATTGAAATCCTTCGAACTGCAGCGGGATCTAAAGACGACAACACCAGCACCCTAGGAGGCAGCACTCGCGGTATCGAGCCTGGTCTCGCTGGTGGCGTTGGTCTCCAGCTTTTGTACCGAGTACTTTTGGTACTATGGCAGCTTTCATTCGAGGGTGCTCTCGTTGGTGATGAACTACAGGAGTAAGTAACCGCAAGGATAAGTGATCAATTCACCCTCTCAGCAGCGACTAACCCTACTTAGGAGCTACGAAATTTTCCAACTCTACACCCGCCTCTTGCGTTTCTCAACGAAGATAAAGACTACCCGTTTGCTTCTTGCAACTCTGTACAACCTCTGTTCCAACAACCGGACAACTTTGCTACCCATCGCTGTGTTCGTTCGACTCCCCGAACTCCTCGTCAACCTGAAAGGACGTCAGCTCACCGACTCCGATCTGTGCGAGGATCTTGATGCCCTGTCTTCTATGCTAGAGGAATACACCAAGACACAAACCACCTTTGACGAGTATGCCGCCGAAGTTCAGTCGGGCCATCTGCGCTGGTCGCCTCCTCACAAGAACCCAACATTCTGGAAGGAAAATGCTCGACGGATCGTTGAGGAGTCTAACGGCGCATTGCCTAAGAAACTGGTTGAGATCTTGTCCAAGAGCTGGGACAATGATAAGCAGGTGCTGGCTATCGCTTGTAGCGACGTAGGGAACCTAGTGAAGGAGGTTCCGGAGCGCCGTTCGCAATTGGAGCGATTGGGCCTCAAGACACGAGTTATGGAATTGATGGTTGACAAGGACGAATCAGTTCGGTGGGAGAGTTTGCATGCCGTTGGCGAGTGGCTCCGGTATACTTTCGAAGGATGATTGTACTTTTTTTCATTATCTGGCTTTCCGGGATGAACATATACTCTGTTTGAGCATGTATTGTGTATTTCTTGCCATAGCGCATATTCGTTTTCCTTTCTTTTGGGGATAGACTCGACTCCTGAAACAGTGTGATACTATGTCAATCGGTGGATCTTGCGATCGACCGCTAAAGAACTCATACAGTGGCACACAAACCATAAGACATTCAAGCACATATTGCACTTACCTTGGTATTTGTCCCTTGATAGGTATTTTTCATATAAATGTTTCTATAATTTCTGAAGTATTCAATCTCATTACTTGTTCCCCGGAAACCCCATTTGCCACGCGGGAACTCGAACTGGGGGGAGATCTTTATCGTTCCCCGCAGAATTCTTCGCACCACCAAAAAGTATAGCACCCATGTCGAGATCCTTTACAGGCTGCAAGAGATGTAAGGCGCGCCGGCAAAAATGTGACGAGTTGAGACCAAACTGCGGGCGTTGTCAGACGGCAGGCGAGCAATGCCAATATGCGATGCAGCTGCAGTGGGGAGGGCGGGCATTCTCGCGATCGCGATTTGGCGCATGTGTCGGAGGCACTGGAGGCATGCAAAGGCTCGGTGTGTACTCTTGCCTACTGAACCATGTTTACATCCACTGACGGTTCCAGAATACTCACCAGGAGAGTTCATCTACACCACCAAGACCAAGGCTGCAACACCAAGCACCGGGTCAGAACTGACTCTATCGCAACCCGTCGATCCTTTCTCCTCCTTATCCTCCGATCAAAAAGCTTTGTTGCATCACTTTATCAATGATGCCTCTCAGATTACTGCTTGTCACTCAGGCATGCAACAGGACATATGTCGCATGCTAGTCCCCATGGCCCTGCAGACTCCCTCGTTACTCTACGCCACCACCGCCCTTTCAGCGATCCACATCCAAGCTCTACACAATCAGTCGGAGAGCGTGAAGTCAGCACCAGATATCGCCCGGTTGATGGCTCTCAGTCTCGAGCATTTCCGCACAGAGTTGCAAAACCCCTCGTCTAAAGACTCGGAGGCACTGGTAGCGACAGCCCGAACACTATGTCTTGCCGAGATTCATTCAGGAGCGATTCACCCAAACTCGTGGAGAGCACACATCGACGGGGCAAGAGCGCTGATGAAGGCATCAGACGCTGCCGGTGAAGACTCGCTGCGATCTGCAAGCGGGTTTCGACGGTATCTAGATCGCTGGTACTGGTCGATAGTGTCTCTCACAGCGCTGACAGGGAATGGCCCGCCGATTGGAGATACCTCAGACTTTGTGTCTTCTGATTTGATGGGGATGGGTGGGTCTCCCGACTACCTGGATGACTATTGGGGCTTCAGCGTTGACCTTGCGGCCGTCTTCCGACAAATCGGGGCTGCCGCCTGGCGCAACCATGAAGCCGAGAAATCCACTCAAGGGTTTGTGGCGGGAGAAATCGACAGCAGTGTCGAGGATGATGCAGCATCTTTGGAGTTTGCTGTTCGTCAGCTCATGAATCGCGATTCAAGTTCACAGCCTTCATTCTATCCCGGAGCTGCAGAGGGTTTGTCGGCGGAGAGCGCACAGCAGCTTTTACTCTGCAATGAGGCTTTCCAGCACAGCGCACTTATTCAAATTCACCGACGACTGCGAAAAACGCCCACCACCTCGTCGGAAGTGCAACAGTCTGTCCGGCGTATCCTAGAGTGTACTGCGCAAATTGGCCCTTCTTCTGGCCTCACGCCTTGGGTGATGTTGACTACTCCGATATTCATCGCTGGCTGCGAGGCGCGTGGTCAAGATAAGGACACAGTCCGGCAATTACTGTCGTCTTTGCATGACACCATTCGTGTCCCGAATGTTCTACAGTCTTTGAGGTTCCTCGAGCAGTACTGGGCTAATCAGCTCAGCGATGAAGAAGACTGGAATCATTTCCTCGGTGCTCATCTACCTATTCCCTCCCTGCATTTTCACTGCTAACTTTTTGTCCTTGTATAGACCGAATGCAGTTCGATTTCATTCCCTATTAGTGACTCGGGTCACCGATAACTCGCTGTTATGCCTCATGTGCAATGATTCATGCTTGTTTGAGAAATTCTCTTCATATATATAAACCTTTGTGTTGATACGCCGCCGGTGGCCGGCATGGTTTTTGGAGTACATAGATAATGTCCCGGCGTTTGGAGGCTCTGGGCCGTACATATTGTTGGCAATTGTATACAATCATTTTCTCAAGATCACAAGTCTATTCAAAATTGCTACCTAAGAAACATAATGTAGAAATCCGAGGCGAGAGACATATAATTGAACTTGAAATCGTCAAACAGATGACGAGCGTCTAGAGTTCCCAGTGCTAGGTCTAAACCTCACCAGTGCCTGCTCCCGTGAGCTTTCGGCCTTATTTCTGTCCCATCTTGCAAGCAAAACATTTACCAACTCGTTGGCGACACCCAGCAACAAGAAAATGGCAATAACCTGGCCGAACGTCCATCCTTTCTCTTCGGGATTGAGACGATTGCGCTGAACAGTCTGCTCCAGTGACACAATCAAATATACACAAAACGAGCAGTACACCACCCTATTGAATGTGTATTTGCGCAACTCCTGGCCGTGTAACTTCTTCGGTGGCGGGGGCATAATGTTTTGGTCGACAGGAAAGTTGACCTCCACAAACCAGTTCATCCACCCTTGCTTTTGACCCTCGATCGTGTTTCCACTCGTGAACTTCCGCTTTTTATACCTATGGTATCCACACAGACACGGTAAAATGCATGTGAAAATAAGAGCATACCATGCCACCGTCGCTGCTAATATTGCGAGAACGATATAGCGGAACACAGGCGAGATAGCCGTGATGCTGACACCGAAGACAACATAAACAGTGCTAGCGTTGCACTCAGGCTGGCTCCCAAAATGCGGCGCTGTCACCCATACATAGATGTTGAAAGCAGTGAAAGCACCCAAAATCAGGACCTGGAGCGCAGCGAAAAAATACAGCCTCCGAGGGCCAAACCCTGCGTACCGGCCTTTGTTCACAAGGTCCGTGCCTAGAAGGGCAAGAAGGTGCAGGACACATATCGCGTGGAAGAGCGTCAGATCACCCTTAAAGGTTTGATAGATTGCCGTGCAAAGGAGAGCTAGGCCTTGTATGCCGAGGGCCGACGAGACGCCACGCGAGAACTCTTTTGGGTCTTCGCCCGGCGCAAACACGCGGAGAAGATAGCTTACTATCGCGCCACCCAGGCAGAGGGCATATATTGATATGCGGATCTGTGGGGTATCAGACTGAGCTGTCACAGGGTAAACTAAAATGTGACCGAATGAGACTTACGCCGACTCCAGACACATCAGGGTTTGCCTCTATAACACAGGCAGTTGACTTCATTCTCTGTGAAATGATGGTCGTCCAAATAGACTTCTCACGACATCCTACACTATCGGTGGAGGGGAACGACCAGCTCTATATATCTCTCGACTTAAATAACCACCGTCGCTTGCAAACTCCTCGAAGAATTTGATATATTCTGACGAGGGGTCCAAAGAAAAGAAGCAAAGAAGACAAATCACCCGGGCACGAAAGGTGGCTCAGCAAATCGTATTACGCCACAAACCTTCGCGATGGCCTGTCAGAATCATCATTTCAGTCTCCGAGAATGACAAGAAAGACAGCGGCCGAGTCTGCCAAGATTTAGAGTAGCTTTTTTTTTTCTAATCAGAACGTCATGTGGCACCACGGACGAGGCTGAATCCGTTGAGCCAGAATTAGAGCTTACTTAGGGTGCTCAACCCAATGCCAGGCGCCAAAGTGGTGGCCTCGTCCTCGCCTCACCAAATGCGTCTCCTAATTGGTCAGTCCGGAACTGCATCCTTGTCACACTTGTTCTTCATTTCAATGCTCGACTAGTATCCTCTCCATTGGAGAAAACAGCACCTTGTGCTTTTTAATAGTCTCGTAGTGTCATTTCTTCTCCATCTTATCGCATCGTGGTATTTATCGGGTGCTGGTTTCGTTGTTGGTTGCTGTCCATGTTCATGTTCTTGCTCTTGTTGCTGCTATTCCCCTGGCAACAGAATGCACTGGATTACTTCGATGTAGGTCCTTGCTTGCGATTTTATTCAACGTTATGAACACTGCCAATTCATCCAGCGCTTGGCGGCGGCCGAATGAGCACCAACGTTCTGGCACGAATTGTCAGTGTGGGGCTGAACGCCTTGGGAGGTTATGTTTTCGCTCGAATGGCGCATAATGGCGGCTACGATATCTGCCCTTATAACGTTGCTGCCGCCGCTGGTGCTGTATACGGCCTCGTCCCTGGATTTTTTCCGCCTCGTCCTTAGCTGCATCACAGGAAGCACCGAGACTCAAAGCACCAATGGACGGTCATACAATGCATGGCCCTGAATCTCGTTCTGTAACTAACAAGAGATACTCATAATACCTAGTACCTGTTTTGAAGGTAAGACTTTAGGGTCAACACCCCCTACTGGTTCTTGTACACCACATCAGTTAGTATAAGAACGAAGGTTCTATTTCCACTCTGCCTGTGTTTATTTTATTCCTACCCAGTCATCGTCTTATCCATTTGACCCTGTCACTATTCTGCGCTCGCACAGCACCCTAGAACTCGAGTTAACCTACTCCGTACATATGGCTACTTCTGTAAGATGTGTACATTTTGCGAACATCGATGCGATGTGCGACACGGTGCGCTGAAGAAAGTCGAGGTGCTGACTCTTTGGGGGATCCAGCTTTCTTCTATAGCATCCGTCCAGTCATCGACAAACAGCAAGGGCGCCTGAAACATCTTAAATACAGCGTCTAGACGTCTAGCCGCCGGGTAGGCTGAAACATCTTCAAGGGTTCTAATGATAGAATGGCGGTGGCTGGGATTCAACCCCTAGGAAAGCATCCAATGTCTAAATATACGACGAATTCGAAGGTGAGACACGGTCTAGATTTTGCGAACCAAGTGGATCCAACGGGGATGCAGAAGCCACTTCTTTTTGACGTGCAGGGGTGGACTAGGATAGTGGGTTTAGGCTTATGGAGTACTTACACCGTTTATTATATCATTTGTTAGCCGTGGTTAAACCTATACCTAGGCATAAATTGCCGCGATTGAGGTTAATACAAAGCTGAGGTTTTTCGCACTTTATTATCAGCTAGGTCAAAATTATTGACAAAACACACTAAATGCCCCGAGGCGATAGAATATTTGATCACAGTTTGACCTCAACGTCGGAGTACCCGCTAGGCAATGGTAAGACATACAGTTTATCAAGCAATTCTTCTCGAACATATATTGTTCAACATACTATCTAATGGAATGCAATGCACAGGTTGGAGGGAGAAGCAAGCAGCTTGCTCACGGAAAAGAATTAGCGACTTTGGAGTAGAGGTGCTTCATGCGATTGAAAGATCAGTTTCGCACATCTCGACAAAGGGGGTATTGATCACTTTTAGGGATGCACAGGTAATGAGGTTCGGCGAGAGGCTGACCATATTCCACATTCTCACATCCTCCAGGTAGTAATCAAACGATCTTCGTGTAAGCTCTTGCATACAATGTATATTCAGCATGAGAAGTGCACCATTATAGACTGAAAAAAAGTAGAGGTTTGTCTAGGTGGCCAGGACAAACCATGTAGAATATCTAAAGGTAACTAACTAAAATCGCACCTTTTCTGTTATTGTTTATTTGACATTCTAGAATTGAACGAATAGGTAGGCGATACTCCGTACAATTTTATACTTACACATGTAGTTTTTACCGAGTATCCAAGGGGGTATAACGCTAAATGATTTAGGTAGTAGTACTGTAGTAAATGAACCCACCCAAATGCGGAGGAAACCCGCAAAATAGCACCTTTCTGCTCAAAGAAAGATGTCCAAAAAGATGTCTAAAAGAAGTGTAACAAGAGATATAAGACATTCTAATTTTGATACCAAGGTTTGACATCCGCTCTGATTGGTCTGGAAAAGAATAACGGTTGGTGATTGGACAGAAACCATGAATATTGCAAATATTGTTCTTGCCTTATGTACAGAAGTTGGCGATTCAATCAGTCTGTGACAGCTATGGTGGACCTCTATGGAGCAGCCCTACGCATCCGCGCTTTAATCAATAATTTTGATGGTGTGACAATAGACCAAGCCATGTCGCAAGCTATTTTTGTATCAGAATCGGTTTCTAAATCGACAACTAATAACGTAACCCTCATCTTTCACAAACAAAACTGCATAACCGCCGGTTCTGATCCATTTCAATCATAGATCAACAAGGGGGTTGAGACACAATTATGTGCATATTGCTCCAGGCCCTTTTAATTAATGGTACGTTTTAAGTTTCCAAGACAATAATAATAGGAGACTGGTGCTCAATGTAGCCTTTTTTTCTGTCAAAGTGTATATAGCCACCTAGTAGAAATGGATCCTTGGGTCCTATGATGGAGTAAGGAGCCTACGTCCAATCATCTTTAAGTGCGAACAATTTTCCATGCAAATTGTACTCTGTACGGAGCAGTGAATTTCAGAAAGTAGTGGTAGTTCCGTCAGCTTTTTCAGTTGTGGGGTCTTCAGTGCCGAGAATCTTCAGAGTCAGCATCCAGTGTGCAATCAGATTTCTAGGACTCGCGCTCGATGTGACACAATGCACGAACATCTCTTTTTAGTATGGGCGCTTAGCCCGTTGGAGTAACACACGCCGGCCACTGGCCCGAGTGTCTGGCGAGACGCCCAAGTTCTATCAGGATGATTGGCATACTGCAGAGGGTTGATTGAGCACGTTCTTTTGGCGTTCCTTAAATTCTTGGAAGAGCAGAGAAAAAGGGGCATATATCCACTGTTAAACAATTATTACTTCAAAGAAGGATTCCCCTTAATCTATTGATAACTTCGACAATCTTGTAGTTATTGAATTAGATTTTTTTTCTGAAATTATAAATCTGATCATAACGAAAATATCGTATGCAGTTGATATATAGAAACAATATAACGTAGTTCATGTAATTAGCACCGACCCAGCCTTGCGTATACAAGCTCAAAAGGTGGAAAAGTCAGCTGTGAAGTAGTAAAAAGGTATTTTTAAGTAGTTGTGGTAATTTGGGATAAGGAAAGTTACTAAAAAGTGACTTAATGAGAACCAGACGGCTACCCCTGAATCGTCCAAACCTTAGCGTGGGACGGGCCAACCTCTTCTCCCAGATCGACTCAAGGGGGTTTTCTTTGCGTTGTACACTATTGAAGCCCAGGTTCTATTTTCGGTTCTTTTAATAGGCAAAATATATTCAACTCATATTCGATCACAAGGATTACTCCGTACGAGTCCGTACAATCCATGAGAAAATACATACTATCACCGACAATCACCAACTGTTATATGGCTAATATGGCTATACAGCTAAGTTCAAGCGATGTCGATCCTACCGGCCAGAGCGCTATCAGGATATTGTACTTTGTGCCAATAGAATCCATGCAACTTCAGACCCACGAACTCCAGCCCCTGCGATCCACCTTCACGCTTACTTGTCCCGACTTGCGCTACTGAATGGCGTCTGGATCCCACGGGCGGTTTGCGCCAATCGCCCCCAGGCTTTGTATTTCTCCTTTTCTTCCCTTTTTCCCTTTGATAGTGATAATTTTGATATTTCTCATATTTCTGATATTCTTGATATTTCTCATCCTTTCCCCATTCGTCATCTAATTGGCGCGCCATTCTACTTTCTGTGTTAATCGGCATGAATGACCGTCGATCCATTGCTATTTTTTGATACGGACCTGGGTGTTTCATGGCGTCTCCTCTAATGCTCGGCGGCTCGCCCGCCCATTCAGAAAGCTTCTCTAGTCTCAACTCCCCTCCCTCATCTTCTCCAGTCCAAAGGAAACCTCTCCTGCAGAGTGTCGAACTGACTACGGGCCCTGTTCACCCCTCCTCTCCCCTTTCGATTGAGGGAGATACACCCACTCCTATTACCACTGTACCTGTGGCCAGACCACCCTCACCTTCGTCGGATGGAGATTTTATATCGGTCCCAAAGAACCCGAATAGGTACGCGCCTAACCCGAAACCCCAACTCTCCTCCGAGACGTTTCTGTACACCCTCCTTTTTTGGGGGGGCCCCGTCGACTTGTCGATCGATCATGATATGGCCTATACATACATACATACATACATACATACATGTGGCTCTGCTTCTCCAAGTCCTGAAAGACTAATCATGTGCCCCTGTTTCGACTCCCCAGATATTCTCGAGAACCATCCGCTACACCCTTACACATCGATACATTTACTTCGCGTCACGGCTCCGCTTCGTACTTGAGATCCGTACTTGAAGACGACGACGATTCAGACGAGATCCCTGACTATTTTGACGAAGAATATGAACACCAGTTCACGAATGCAACCTCTCTGCACAGTCGACTAGACAGCGAACCATTCATCCCGGTCCTCAAATCCCCTCCACCAACACAAAAGTCGTCGAGACGAGCGACGAGCATGGCATTGCACCCACCATTAAATCGGCCCCCTCCGCTACATATTGACCTGGATCATCGATCAATGTCCATGTCCATGGCTTCGGGAGACCCAAGGCAACCCAAGACTCCCGGAAATAAAATCAGCTCATTCTTCGGCTGGAAAGCGGCAAATAATAATCATAATAGGAATACTTCCTTAAGTGGTGAATCATCCAGCACAGAGATATCCGACTCCGGTCGATCAATGAAGCCTTCTCCTATGCCACCATTAGCGAACGTGCCCTTCAAACCCCCTTCACCTTATGAGACCAGAAGCAATGGATATGGGTTGCCGGCACGGACCCCTTCTCTGGGATCCTCAAGTTTACCGGAAAATATATATGCATCTAAGATGGCAGATATTGAGAACGAATTACGTGAAATAAGCTCCGAGTTGGCGGGGTCTATTCGTCGAGAAATGGATCTAGAGGATCTAGTCGAGAAATTACAATCAGACGCGCCGGACGCGAATCGTCGGACTAGTGACTATTTCTCGGATTCAGGGACTAGCTCTGTTCGTTATGCATCAGATTCCGGAAAGAACGAAGATATTGAGAAAATTCGCCGCGCTGCAGAGCAAGAGCGGGCACAGCTTAAAGTGGAATTTTCCCAAAAATTACAGGATGAGCGTTCTCAGCGCTTAGCTTGTGAATCACACGTTAAGATCTTGGAATCCCAAGTCCATCAGGTATGGCCAGAATTCCGTTAATAACATACGACTCTTGCTGACCTTTCATCTAGCTTCGTCGCGAAAGGACTGAATTATCTGATATGTCTTCCAAGAGTAAAGAACTTGAGACAGCTTTGGAAAACACCAAGCGAAAGCTGCTTGAAGAGCGGCAGTCCAAAGATAACTTTGAGGATCTGCTGACAGCCATGCGAGTAGAGCTGGAACAATTGCGTAATGATCGAGATCAGCTCCGAGATGGCAATAAGCTCGCAGAGGAAATTGAGGCTCTCAAAATCGAGAACGCCTCTTTGGCTCAACTCCAAAACGGTCGATTCGCTTCGATTGCCGAGGAAGGTGGCTCACCGAGAAACTCATCTGTTGGACTCTCGAGATCGAACTCTCTTGCCCGCAAGCCCAGCGGCCTAGCGCGCTCCTCTTCTCTTTCTCGCTCCAACTCGGTTACTAATAAGGGCAATAATTCGCCAGAGACCCGTGAATCATTGGTCGACAAAGTCCATGATATCGAAGTTCAACGCGATGCTCTTCATGAAACACTCCGAAAGCTTCTTAATCGCCAGGAATACCAAGCCCGTGATTACGAGAAGCGCGTGCGGATGCTCGAGATGGAACTTGCTCTTGCCCAGCAGTCGGACCAACCCCGGAAGTTGGGCTACGAGAGAGATGTGCGCAACCTCCGCGACGAGGTTAATCACCTTCGCATGCGCGCTGAAGATGCTCTCGATGGCAAGTGGCAGTGCGAGAAGAACCTCGCAGGTCTGAAGATGGACTTGGACCGCGCCGAGCAAGAGACTAGCTCCCTGCGAGCTCTTCTGCAGGAAGACACTGCCGCTGCGGAATTGGCCGCTGGCCAAGAAAGCCTTGCTGGGGCAGCGACTTCCACGTTTTCTCTGCAATTTGCGTTCCAGCAATTGCAGGCAGACCGGGCTGTTGCCGAGACCAATGTCGCAGACTCAGAGGAGCTCTCTTCGTCCCTGGATCGAACAGAGGCACTGGGCAACAAGGTGCATCGCCAGCTCCGAACCAACGAGACTCTGCATGCTCGTCTAGCGCAGGCTATTGATAAGGGTGACAAAGATCAGCAGATCTCAGTTGAACGCATCAATATCCTCCAGAACCGTATGAAGGAGCTGGAGGACGTTCTGTTGGTTGCCCAACAACACTCCGAAGAAGAGATGGGCAAGCACGAGGATGAAATCCGCAACCTGAAGGAGAGCCAAACTGCTCAACTCACGCGGATGAAGAATGGTGGCCGTAACCCAGCCAGCCTCTCACCGCGTCCACCTACTGCGCCATTTGACGCCCGCTCCCCGCGTCTGGACCAAACCACCAGCGGACAGGGCATCTCCTTGACAGAAGTCATCCAATCCGAGATCCTCGAGAAACGGGTGAAGGACCTCGAAAAGCTCCTCCGCGATGCCGACATGGAGATGGAGCAAGTTGTCGGACGAATGAACCGCACGCAGATTGATGTGGCCCAGCTCCAGACTGACAGGTACGTATTCTCACATTTCCTCTTTCATTCTATCTTATGCTAACTCATCCTACAGAGAGGACGCTCTCCGCCAGACCCACCAACTCCAAATTGAGATCCAAGCCGAGCGTGATGCCCTGAAGGGTCTCATCAACGCCCTATAATCCCGACAGATCTCGCACATTACACTGTTTTACTTTCACTAATATACCACATCTGCATCTGCATCTTTGTGCTCCCATCCTTCGTCATGGTGAGCACCAGGTGTCTTGGAGTTAGCCCGAAGTTCCCGGGCTTTTGTTTTGGATTCTAATAAAGATCATGCGCGTGGCATCGCGCTGATCATTCTATGGCTTGGAGCACTTGTCTTTCCATGAAATTCCAAGGTTGGGCGGTTGACCGTTGTTGGTCATGCTTGTATATAAAAACCGTCTCTGTTTGGGAAAATATCTAATTGGCTGTACAGTATAATCTGTTATAAATGTGAGATTCATGAACCATATCGAAATCAACGACAGCAAGTAAAGCAAAGTCCAATTACTATTCCATGTCTGCTGGCGATAAGCTTCGTAGGGGCTGTCACATACGGTGTTTGTTTGTTTTGCACTGTTATCATACAGTGTGAGTTGAAACTCACCTTGAATGCCACCTAAGCTCTTTGGACACCTACACCTTTGATCGCATCGAAATATATACACCGAGAAGTCACCTCTTCCATCTTCTGCCCTCGTTGGCCTTCGGTGTAACCTACAAAACCACCCCACCGCCTGGTCGCATTGCGCGCGACCACAACACAACGAGCCAAAGCGCTCTCGAGTCCAAGAGAACGATTACCTTTGAGCAGTGAAAGCAAAACCAATATCATTTCCTCTTTGTTTACTCTCACTACATCCTCGAACAAACCTGTTCTGAAACCAAACAAAGAGCTAAAAATCACAACGAAAGTCCGACTCCACCAAACAAAACCGCAAATCGCAACAAGCGAGCAAACTCTCTCCTGCCATATTTTCTTACTCGGCAATACTCTCTCGATTATCAAAAAGGCGCTTAAAGTCCTCAGAGCTTTCAAATACAAAGCAGAGACGAAGCAGCCATGGACTTCCTCCCGGGTACCTACCACCCCATCCCCCAGTCAAGCATAAATAACTTCAAGTTCGCCCGAACTAATCAAGTACCTATGACGCAGAGAACTTCCAAACGATACTCCAAAACCCAACCTTCACCTACCTCCAAAGCGCAACACAAGACCACCTATCGACGAAACTCTCGCATGTCCGCACAATGTTTCTCCAGCCCTACATCATCGAGCCACTATCGAGCTTCATGGCCTCCTACTCTTCCTCAATGCCAGACCTCCTCTCAATTTGCCTACTGGCAATCATCATACTTGTCTCCCTCAAGATCCTGGACTATGCCTGTCGCGTCATCATGTTCTGGTTCATCCTCGCCTGCAGAGTCGTCTTCTGGGGATCTATCCTCGGCTTCGGATGGTATGTCTATAGCGTAGGGTTTGATAACGCCAGCAGGGATGTCGGATGGCTTTGGGGTGTGCTCTATGGCTTTGTTGGTGACTTCCAGGAGAAGAGTAAGGCTACGGCAACGGCTTATGCGACCAATCCAAAGTAGAAAATGCTTGGTTTGATTCATGGGATATTTATGGGCACATTGCTGTCTTGGTAGTATGTCTTTTTGGGTAATGTGACTAAAATACGCAGCGGGTGCTGTTTTTCTTCCGGGCCTCTTAAGTTGATCTAGCAGGTAATGATCTGTTCTTGGAGTTTTACACATAGCAAAATTCATGAGCTGGTTTTAAATATTATTATAATTTCTAGTCATTGATGATATGCTATTATACGTATCTATTTGTATGTAGATGGGTCTCAATGCTGACATAGCTGACATTTCCAGCCGTTACAAAGATTGATTTCCACCATGGAAAGTTCAAATGCTGCTCCCTGTAGTAGGCATTTGGGACAAATACTTCAACGCATCGCTATCCAAGAATCAATCGCACGGTGACAGCGTGAGACACAGAATGGGGACTGCGATGAAAGGTGCACCCTCTCGGTTACCGGAAAATCGATGCGGGGGTGTGCATTTGAAGTGGTCGGCTGTGAGCGCCCTAGATGTTCCGAAATTGTGACTGCATGCTGCATGCTGCATCGCTGCAGAAATCACATGTGATCTCACTCAGTCTCGTAGTCGACTTCGACTGCATCTTTGGGCTCTCTTGGTTCCTGGGCCTCATGGTATTGGATGGCATCGTCAATGTGGCTAACAATGGCCGCAACGCTATCCTCATCTTGAACATCGAGTTGTAGGAACGAAACCATGCTGAAGTCGTCAATCAATTGTCCAACGGCCCGGTTGAGTTGTTTAAAAGATCCACCGCTCATCAAAGCTTCCGTGCCCATGGGGTTGGAACTGGCGGTGAGATCGTCCTCTTCCTGCTCTTGCAGCAATTGAACATCCACATTTGTGAAACGTTTTAATTCTCGGCGAGATACCATATCGCGGACCTGATCCATTTTGCTGAGAATATTGACGTGCGGCATTTCCATCATCAGCATTGCGGACATGGCACTGAGTGTACCGGCGAAGAATTTGGCTTTGTCGATGACAAATGTGCTTTCGAGGAGGTAGGCGGCGCACATGTTGATGTTCAATGGCCCTTGCCGGGAGAGGAATTGCGTAAGGGCTGGCAGGAGAGGAATGTGGGTATAAAGTTCGATCTGGCCAGGCATATCGAAAATAATGAGATACTCTTCACTCAGTGGCTCTATCGCCTCTGATATGAATTCCAGGTTCTGAAGAAGAAACTCGAAACAGTAGATAAGACCACCATTAGGTCCCAGCCCCATCTCTTCCATCACATCTTCTAATGTAATTAGATCACGAATGTCGAGATCTGGTTCGTAGGCAAATGTTTCGGCGGCGGGGTCAAGATTGACATAAAAACAGCTGCGACGAGTGGTTTGGAGGTGTTGAATCACAGCATTACTGAAAGTTGTTTTACCTGCACCTGCAGGGCCCATAACAAGGACACCGAATTTCGACATGATTGATTAATAGAAGGTTGTGAAGCTATCAAAAAAATGAAGCTATCTTATCGGAGATCGGTAACAAGAAAATTGAACTTCTGCCGGAGGGGCTGGATCTGCCGGTACTGACCGCCCAGATGTCGCCATCACGGCTGACAGGGACAAGAAGTACGGCGTACATTTAGCGGGTACAAGGGCGGTACTTGGTTTGTATCCACACGTGCTGCATTCTTACTGGTACTGTCGGTGTATTTCGTAAAAAAGCAAATTCCCCCACTAAAATTTCCCCTCCCCAAAGATCCCGAATCCTTTTTCTTCTCCTTCGTCCCTGTCTTTCTCTTCTCTCTCCTCTTCATTCCGGTTTTTTTTCCTTCACACATTTTCACAATGGGTTCTCTCGCAAACGGCTCCCAGTCTGGCACTTTCCTCTTCACCTCCGAGTCAGTCGGTGAAGGCCACCCCGATAAGATTGCGTGCGTCCCAATTCCCCCCTGAGAAAATCTTCGGACAATTTCTGTTCGGCCTGTTTTTTCTCAATCAATTCCAATTGTCACAGCTTACTGACTTTCTTCTAGTGACCAGGTCTCCGATGCCGTTCTCGATGCCTGCCTGGCTGAGGACCCTCTCTCCAAGGTTGCTTGCGAGACTGCCACCAAGACCGGTAGGTTCATCATCATTATTCTCACCTCAGCCCAAATCTCAATCTGACATGTCTCACTAGGTATGATTATGGTCTTCGGTGAGATTACCACCAATGCTCGTCTGGACTACCAGAAGATCATCCGTAACGCTATCAAGGACATCGGTTACGATGCCTCTGAGAAGGGTTTCGACTACAAGACTTGCAACGTCTTGGTTGCCATTGAGCAGCAGTCCCCCGATATTGCTCAGGGTCTCCACTACGAGGAGGCTCTTGAGAAGCTCGGTGCCGGTGACCAGGGTATCATGTTCGGCTATGCCACCGACGAGACCCCTGAGCTCCTGCCCTTGACTGTCCTCCTCTCCCACAAGCTCAACTCCGCCATGAAGACTGCCCGTAACGATGGCTCCATCCCCTGGTTGCGCCCCGATACCAAGACCCAGGTTACCATTGAATACGCCCACGACAACGGTGGCGTCAAGCCTCTTCGCGTCGACACTGTTGTCGTCTCCGCCCAGCACAGTGACGATGTCTCCACTGAGGAGCTTCGCGCTGTTATCAAGGAGCAGATTGTTCGCAAGGTCATTCCCGCTGAGCTGCTTGATGACCGCACTGTCTACCACATCCAGCCCTCTGGCCGTTTCGTCATCGGTGGTCCCCAGGGTGATGCCGGTCTCACTGGCCGTAAGATCATTGTTGATACCTACGGTGGTTGGGGTGCCCACGGTGGTGGTGCTTTCTCCGGAAAGGACTACTCCAAGGTCGATCGTTCCGCTGCTTACGTCGCCCGCTGGATTGCTAAGTCTCTGGTCACCGCCGGCTTGGCCCGCCGTGCCCTTGTTCAGCTCTCCTACGCCATTGGTGTCGCTGAGCCCCTCTCCATCTTCGTTGAGACCTACGGTACCTCCGACAAGACCTCCGACGAGTTGGTCCAGATCATCCGTAACAACTTCGATCTGCGTCCCGGTGTCATCGTGAAGGACCTTGACTTGGCCCGTCCCATCTACGCCGAGACCGCCAAGAACGGCCACTTCACCAACCAGAAGTTCACCTGGGAGAAGCCCCGTGCTCTCAAGTTCTAAGTGGACCTTACTTAGTTCGGTGAATCCGGACACTTTTTTGACGACTGTGATGAGTTTGCTTTGTTTTCAACAACTCAAAGCATAATGAGCATAGAATAAAAAAATCCTCATAAAATCCAGAGATTGTGTCCCGATCTGGGATCGATCTCTCTGTTTCATTAATCTGCATGGTCGCGCAAATGACGGGCCTTTTGGCGAAGACAAAATTCAACATGATACCACTTTCATCGGCTGGGAAAGGAAATTCTTTTGGCGTTTTACGGAAGCAACAGTCTTCAACAACCACACCTCTACCTCTCATACCTCTCCCCATGGTGCCTCCCGAGGAGTCATTGGTCTCGCTTCCACACGAGCTCATACTCTGTCGGCTTCGACGAGGAAGCCCTTCACGATGCTCTCTGCGAGAGTAATTCTAGGCTTTTTTTCGTCTTGGTCCTGGGTCTGCTAAATTAAACATTAGCTATAGACATCAATAATATCTTCATGAAAATTTATTTTTCACCTATGATCTTAGATAGTATCCAATTCTTTTCCTGTAGTACAAAGTCTGAACGCTTTTCAATGTTCTAAATGAATACTTGATCTGGTCAAATTGTCTTCTTTGTCTTCAACCACGTAGTTCATTCAACAGAAAACTAATTGACTAAGTGGTTGATATTGGTCGAGGCGGCGTGCACGTCCCGACGCGTGACGCCAGACCCGCCAAGATTCGGCGCGATTTGTCGACACTCAGCACGTCAATTGAGAATTTGTTCGTTGTTTTGAAAAGGACTTAACCCTTTGTATCCTGGGCGCACGATGCCCACTCTCTAGACGCGGCCATGAACTCGCGAATAGTCCCTCAAATATTGGATCCGCTCAATTCATCAACGCTGAACAAACTTCACGAACCGACCCCTCCACCAACAAAGAAACGAAAGAGAAACGACGAACAGGAAGGGCATAATGCTGCTGGACAGCTTGCTACCTCCTCGATCGTTATTAGAGTGAGTGGTGGCCTCGATTAACCCAGCACAGGCCCGGGCTCTTGATCGCTGTTGCTCACTCTCGATCTGTAACTATAGGCTCACGCAGCGTCCCTATCTGATGAACCCTTAATTCTCGAGCCAATAACAGCACTTCCACGCCATAATTTCCCTCTCTCGTGGCTCGACGACACGCCCGCCTCCCGGTCTGATGAACAGCCAAGCGGCCTATTCACTGCAAATATTCCCACCCTGGAGGTTGATCTCCGCGCAAAATCCGAACCAACAGTCCTCGCTGTACGTCTAGTGGCTAATGGTGGACTCTACATCGTTGAGCGGGTGAAGCGAGGTATCTACTCGCTCTCCAAACTCGCGCGGTGGGTACACGAGGGAAACCTTGTTGTTGCGGCGAAGGGGTGGCATGCAACCGACCCAACAGAGGCGGACGGTTTCATGGCCGTCGACGAGCCGAGGGTTGTTTCTGACGACTATGACTGGTGGCAGGCCGCGCAGATCGAGGAGCCATTATCGGAGATCGGAGTGCGGGAAAAGCCTACGGGGCTCAGCGTTGCGCTTGTCTTTGGTCCGTCTGATGAAGACTTCCAGAGCACTGAGCCCTCCTTTATGGGTGTCGTAGAGCATCGCAGTCAGTCGCTTGCTCCGTTGAGAAGTTTCGATGCTGCCAACGGGGATCCATTCTTGCTTCCCGAATCTCAGGGCTTGGGCGACGTTGCTGAGGCTATGGAAGTCGATGGTGTAGAACCTAATATCGCGGATGTGCAGCAGTCGCCCGAGGAGCTGCTGGATGGAATGCGAGACCATTATCTACAGGCTCTCTACGTTTCGAAGGTAATTCTATGTTCGAAGTTTCAGGTGTGCTGTGGCTTACAAGTTCTAGACTTCTGTGGCATACTTCGCGAAGGGGCCGTTAACGCGCTGTCGGACTGCTTTCCAAGCCCGTGACTCAGAGCAGCCCCAAGGATCAGTCGAGCTGACTGGATTTTACCGTGAAGCTATCCTCGCTGCCAAAAAAATGGATCTCAAATACAGGGAATCATTGCCTACGGTAGTGCGAGATGCAGCGCTTGCTATCTCTGACGATGGCGCTAAACCCAAGAAGCGAAATAGTAAGAAAAAGAAGCTCGGCAAAAATGGTCTTTATCCCGAGGAGGAAGGTTTCATCCACAAATGGTGGAAAGACAGGACCACGAATGATACTGCGCAAGAGCTTTCGCGCGAAGCAGAGTCCAAAAAGCAAATATCGGATCTTCGGTTACGCGAAACACAATTGCAGATACTGCTGGTTCTAGAAGTCATGGTGCTAGAAATGGCCATCGCATCAGCAGAAAAGAACAATCCTGATAAGGAGAAAGAGGTAGATGGCGCTAAAGAGACGCCAAAGAAAAACAAGCCCAAGAAGCTTGCGGATTTGAACGTGCTTCTTGAATTGCATCTTGACCGAATGTGCATATGGCACGCTGTGAGCATGGAGGAGACAACTGCTGCTGACACAGCTAAGGCTTCCTCGTTCAGTAACAACCATTCGTCCGGCAAGAAACTTGAGAGTGATGCAGTGCGTGATTTCTGCACAGAAGTAATCATTCCATTCTATTCAGCACGCCTTCCAGATAAGTGCAAGTTGATCACGCGCAAATTCGGTGTATCCGGTGGTATTTCTTCCGTTGCTAAGAGGACACAATCTTCGAGTAAATTGCATCGCGTGGAACCTGGGGCTGAGGTCAAACGGCTGCCGCCGGCACAGAAGCCTCGGCGAACATTGCAGCGAGTGCTTACAGATGAGAAAGCGGCAGCGTCTCAAGCTCGCCATCCAGCGCTTCATCGATCCAACACTGCACCCACCCACACCAATGGGAAGCGTGACAATGAGCCCTTGCTGCCCACCCTTCTCAGTGGTAGTGTGCGAGGTGGCATCCAAAAGGCCAAGCGCACTGAGAATCGTGAGGTTGACCTTAAAGCTGTGGCACGACTCCACGAGACCAAGTTGAGAAAGGTTCAAATGCTGGCCGATCAGAAGAAAGAACTTGATGCTGCTATTCACGCACTCCGGAAGCCGAACAGAGAACTCGTCTCCAAGGATATTGCAGAAGATGCTACCAAACGAGTTTCAAGCGGCGGAGGTAGTTCGAGGAAATCAAAGAACCCAGTGCGTAATCCATTCGGCGAGGGCGTCCAAGTAATGGCAACTCCTCGGGCCAATCGCAGGAAGGATCCGATAGCAGGGCTGCCACCCATGCCTCGCAGTCTCGTCCCGTCGCGGTCATTTTCGGGTGTGGAGAACTCCCCTATCGTCGAGTCCCCTCTCATGATTCCTTCCTCAAGTCGACGGGCAATCTCATTCTCGGGCGCCGACTCCGATCCATTCAATGCTCGAGATGATGGACGAAGCCCTCGGTCAAGCCAACCGGAAGCTGCTGTCCATGAAACTCCCACCAGGCCCTCTTCCAAAATCTTCCAGAGTGACACGATGGCTGCCCGTCGGCCATCTTCATCTGGCAAAGGTCTCTTTCGCGTACCCAACCTTCCAGCCCCTCGCTCTTCTGCACAACCAATGGTTCCAGGAAGTCCAATTCATTCACGCCATACGCCTTTCATTGCCCCATCGGAAGGCCCGCCACTGTCATCTCGACAATTCAGTCGGTCTCTCAATAATGCTCGCTCTTCGGCAATCATGGAAACGCCGCCCAAGAAACATGCGCCACAGAGCATCTCTACTCCCACTGCCGTTCCATTCTCTGCTTCACTCAATGCCATGGTCGTCGAAAGCCCTCGGGCTCACTCCCCTCCCGCTGTGATGGGTACACCAGTGAAGGGTGCCGCAGCTGTGCCCGTGACGCCTGAAAAGCCACAGTCAAAATCAATTTACGAACAGCTCGGCTGGGATGACGAGATGGAGTTCTGATTTTTCCGTTACACACACGCGTCTGATTGCATAGCGTGCTCATGTGTCCTGCATTTAATGCGAAAACATTGCATGGATTTTATTTTTGTTTCTTGCATACTTTAGTTTTCTTATGACTTTTGTTGTTGGTGTTCTGGTTGAATGGAGTTTTAGAATGCGGCTGAGGCACTGGCATTGCATTTAAATTCTGGATATATCCCCCGCATCATGTTAGCATTCTCTTAGAAACAATCAATATTCATGTCTACATCTTTAGTATGGCGGTTGAAATAATTCATGTACCTATTATCCCGTGTTTATCGTACAATTGGCGATTATTCGAGGTGAGACACAGAGCTGAAATTCGCTCACCCAAATTTAGGTTCAACGACAATTTCTTATTTTGCCTTAGCATGTTTTGGATAAAACATGACAGATTTTGAAGGATTTGAACAGATTTTGATTACAATCCATTGAACTTCATTAAGATCGGCAAGTGATCTTCACTAGATTCTACGCCCGAACTGCTCTAAAAACACTAAACACTACTAGCCTCAATATATTCTGACCAAACACTTAAGTATTCTAACGCTCCATCTTTTTTTAGACCATTCGAAGTCAATTGCAACTAGATCGGCCTTGGCTTTCAGTCTAAAGGCCTTACGTGGTGGGCCCCACACTTGAAGGCAGTCGTATTCGGATCCTCAACAATTCTTTAATAACATTGCATTGTGCCTCCTGAAAAAAACAACAATCATATGAATTCTGACATTCGAATTCGTATCCGAATCCGATAATGACGATAAGTCTTCCACGGCCAAGGAAGTAATATATATGTGCATACTCTGCCTCCGGCCATGGACGATCACTCCCACAAGGCCCCAAACCACAGCCGACCTCTACTATATGTCCCCAATTCATTATGGACGCGTTTATTCGCCTCAACGGTCATCACTGAGACTGTCCTTACGGTCGCAATTGAAAGGTAGGGGAAGGGCCCTTGAAGAGACACTATCTTGAACTTGACTGATGGCAACCCAGCTGGATCTTGATTAGTTTGTGGAACAACCTCGACGACGACGGCAAAACGGACGGTCCCCTGCGTCTCCAGTCATTTTTGGGTCTCTTTATATTTGCCCTCCTATACGAGTTAGCTCTCTCGTATGATGCATTGCGCCGGAAGAACACAATCCAATTGGTCGGACTCTGCATCTGCAATTTAGGTCTCTTGACATATGGCTTTCTCCAGATGCAAGAAATTCAGTCTACCATCAGCGATATGGTCAATGATAAGAAACTCAGCACCCATCTGTTGAAGTTATATCGCGTGGAACTCATTATCGTTCCAGTCATATTGGGTGTCGGGACCGTCTGCATGGTTTTCTTGACGTGGAAGTTGCGTGCTGAGTTCTCGTGGTCCATCTACAAAAATATCAGTGCGGATCTGCAGATGAAGCGCCGATATGTTACATATCAGGTTCGTAGGCATGGTGCTGCTGATATTTGTTTATGCTTCCCGATGTGAAACTAATTCTTCCAGGTATACATTGCTCTTTTGAAATTCGACTTTTTCTTTGTATTTGGCAGTCAACTTCAAATTCTTCTGGTTGTTTTCAAAGCCGAGGACGCCGATTTTATTATTAATGCTGCCTTGATTCCAACCACGATAGCCACATTGGTCGGGTCGGCTCAATTCTGCAAGCGTGAGAAGAAAAAGTCTCTGATCACGATGATAGTGAGGAATCTTCCCGTGGCAATTGTATTTCGAATACTAGTTAACCACGTCTTCAGTTTTTTATGCTTATTATAATTGGGTGTTTTGTCCTTACCCTATTTCGAATGCACAGTGTCAAGACTAGCGTCGACTTCAGCTCTGTCCGGGTATCTCTGACGTTGTTTGCCGGTGTGTCGGTGCTACTGATGCTGATCACGGTTATAACCTCCGTGGCGTGTATCATCAACTTTGGTAAAGGGCTAAAGAACCATACCAATCCACCCAAAAAGCGGCGGAAAGATTCAGTCACCTTGGAGCTCCAGGAAAGCGAAACTCCTACGCGGTTCTTGCTGCACTAAGAGATGCCGAAATGCCTTTTATCCTCTAGTGCGGGTTGCCTTGTGTACTGTTATATTAATCTTACATTCTATGTATATATTTGCCATCATCCACAAATACAAACCCTAGCTGTATTGAAAAAGGGAAAGAGAAAAAAAGAGAGAAAAAGTGTATGAGATCCTAAACCTGAATAGATCGATATCATCAGAGGCTTATGATTGGACCGGCCAGATTTAGGTTGGCCGACTTTGCCCACCACGAACATCTCGTTTTCTCCAAGTTTCTTAATTTGAGATCTTCTCGTCTCTATGAGCAAAAATGAATGAATCTCAGAATAGTCGGCCTAGTCAGAGATTTCGAGCTACAGCGAGACCTAAGAAAAGAGCTGTTGCGTAAGTGGGCTCATGCCGACAAAGCGGCTTCGACTCACAGTTTTCATAGCTGCCATCGGTGTCATGCACAAAAAATCAAATGTTCCGGGGAAAAGCCATGTTCGAAATGTCGGGCTGCAGGCTATGAAGGCCAGTGCATTTATGCAACTCGGGATCGCAAGATACGAGTGGATGAAAGGTGAACGAACATCTTCGGTTTGCTAGCAAGGGTTTAATCAAACCCATACTAACGATCGTGATTGATAGTTACTTAGAGCAGCTCTTGAAAGACAGCGAAGAACTTCATGATCGACGAACTCGTCTGAAGCAGGAGTCTCACATGACCCGACAGGATCATAGCACTGACTTCCAACAAGTCTCCAATAACATTACTGCTGAAAATGATGAATCCAGGATACAGGGTAACCTCCTCGGAGATAGACCGTGGTTCCAGTTACATGACGCCTCTGTGCTTCCTCTCTATATCAGTGAGGCAACTTGCACTGCTTTCGCTACTCGTCTCTGTCAATGTCTGAAAAAGACCAACACCCCCACACTTTACCTCCCAAAAACGCGATATACTGATGAATCAACGCTATCATCTTTGCTGAATAGCGATGTTCAATGGCCCAGCTTTGTGAGCGCTCAACTTCTAGTAAAGACTGCACTTGGGCACATTGTTCCATGTTTCCATTTAGCGATGAAAAAGGACACATTGGACATGCTGCAGTGCGTTTACCAAAGAGGGGATTTTGATAATCCAAGTATCAAATGCAAGTATTTTGCCCTTTTTGCCATCGCCCAGGTTTATTCGACTCCTCATGATACCTCCAACGCGTCGAATGTACCGGGCTCGGCATATTTTGCCCGAGCGTTGAATCTCATCCAAATCATCCCCGAGAGGCCGAGCATGATTCACATAGAAAGTTTGCTATTGATTGTATGCTATTCTCTCCCAAGTATTTGGTCGGTGCTGACTTAGAGCCAAAGGCATATTACTGTCAATTTTTGAATCGTTTCCACTCTGCGTACCTCTTCATAGGAAACGCATTGCGTCTCGGGCTTAGCATAGGCTTGAACTACAATGTTCCGCAAACTCAAACTCTACACCCAATAGCACGAGAACACCGGATTCGAATATGGTGGACAATTTATGTACTTGAGCGCTTCTGGGGCTCAAAATCAGGATTTCCCGTGCAAATTCACGATGAGGATGTCCATGTTGACCAGCCCTCGCTTGTTGTATCAGAGACCTATCCTGACCAATTCTTGGACGGTGCATACCAGATTGCAGCCATTGAACTTGCCAAAATTACTGGAGACACGACAGGAGAGATCTATTGTCGAAAGATTTCCGCTGAGAGCTTTCTACACCGTGAGCAAAGACTTTTGACTCAACTTAAACAATGGGTTCAATCTCTTCCTGAGCATCTGAGGCTCAGCCCAGATAAGCCAAACTCCAAACATACGATCCAAATGCATCTTCAGTTCAACTTTGTAAGAGCATGTGCTACTTGGTTTGAGAATCGTTTACTGACTTCGCAGTGTGTCATCTTGGCGATCAGACCAGTCCTCCTCCATGTTCTTACTTTGGAGATCAAAGACCAACTCAAGGGGTCTACGGGCACTATTTCTCCCATCCTGGCCACCCTGAGCGAGGCCTGCATCCACGCGGCCAGACACTCTCTAGCATTGTGTGTGAACGAATGGACCGGCGGTTCCCTAGCGATTTTCGGCTACTCTTTCCCTGCGTATATTTTCTCTGCTGCATTGGTCTTAGTAATTTCTAGTCTTTTGTCGCTCGGAGATCCAAGCGACTTGACCTCAGCCGAGACCGCCACGGAAATCCTGAAAAGCCTCAGCCTATCTGATCATCTGGCATCGAGAGATTTGTATGAGCGCATGCAGCGGGTGCGCCAGTGTTTGCAAAGCAATCCAATTCACTCTACGTCTGCTCCTGCTCACGGTGCTGCCGTCAACTCTACTAATGTACCGCCATTGACCGAAGATCCGGTCTTGGGGGCATTGCCATCTAGTCGGTTCTCCGGCAATGTCCAATATCTCGTGGGTCCTCCGGATGATTTGAGTCATCTGCTTGATTCGAATGTTCCATATCTCACTACCGAGATGGCTCTTCATCAACCTACTATGTTAGACTTCCTGGCTCAGTCTCATGTGGACTTTGGACTACTCGACTCTGTGGAGATGTTCAATGATTTTGATTTGGCTTTTTCCATGTCTACCGACTCGCCATATGAGTCAAGTAATTATTAATAAATGAGATCTTCGATTTGTCATCAGAATCTGTCACACTTGGTTCTCGCTGTTTGACTGTCGAAACAGTGGACTAAACCGCGAGTAAGTGACGTCGGCCATTTTCAACTTGGCCGTACCGTTCCATACGTATAAATGTAAGTATTGACATGTAGGGGTATTCCTCAGAACTTTCACAACCGAGCAAGTCCCGTTGATAGGACACATTGCTATTATTCAAATCCCCTGCTCTCCAAATATACGTGAGTCATGGCTTCGAATCGAAAGTATTCTTACTCATGTATCCACGTTTGGAAACATTGGTCGACGCCTGGGCCTTTTCTACCCTGATGTACTTCATGATTCTCGGATCGAGAACATCCTTAACTGGCTTCATACCACAAGTAATTTGTTCCGAATAACTCTGAGAATTTAAAGCTAATTGAGGGCAGAACCTCGATGGGACCCGGCACCCCCTGATCTGTAGTCACATCCAATCCGACCCCTGGCCATTATGCACCTCCGTAGACTGGCACACGACCTCCGCTCCACCGAACCTTGACCGGGCTCAGATTTAGGTATAGTACCAACCTTCGTACTGAAATAGAATCTGACACTGATCCTCATTACTATGTAATAGCACATTGAAAGGAGCAAAAGCAGAGGGTGAGATGATAAAGAATCGAGATCATATTCCCCCAAGTACAGTACAGTGATCCTCATTTTGATCCCACGCTATACTATGTCAGGGTAGCTGTTTTGACCGCAAAATAGACATGTCAATTCTGTGTTGAGTGAACGCGCCTGATTCATCCCCCAACAATGCTTTATAGGCTGTGAAGTGCTAGGCCTGTGCAGACCCATGTTCTTTCTACCTTTAGGTGGGCTGACTAGAACGTTTTACGCGGAGATATCTACTCACTGCGAGCTGTAGTGCCTTGCAATAATACATAGTTGATGGGGTATACGGGATGACTATCAGTGGCAACTGCAAGATTTAGAAAATTCATTTATTCCTGGTTCACATCAACACCCTCTTTGTTGCTAATTGGCAGACTTCGGCCCAACCATAATTTCAACCCCATGTCGATTGTCTTGCATTCCGGAAGTTGCTGAATGCAGTAAAATGCGTGCTACCCTTCCAACCCATGCGAGATCCAATTTGACTTAGTGCGAAGAGGCTGAGGCCTGATACGCGATAATCCCTGATACCCAGAGAAATGACCAATCTACACAAGTGTGTCGGGAAAAGAAGAGGAAAGCCCAGAGAGAGACCAACGATGCGAGAATCATACAAGCCGAATATTAATATTGATTACAATATCAAGTTCTTGATTCAAGTTTAGCTATAATCTTCGTCTAAAGATCAAACACCACTCCAACCATTTCAATGATAATCTAGGTAACAGTAAATCTGCCTCGGGAAGTGATCGGCTTCCAAAAATCCTATGTTTTGTCAACGAGAACAAACTCGACCGTATTAGACCCAGGGATAACGATTTTCTGTTTTCCTTCGTTGTCAATAGGATCAACAACATCACCCCTCCAGGGTGGCGCTTTCACCGTGGTATTACTATGTTCTTCCCGACTACCCCAAATCCACCATTTAACGCAGCCACCCCAATACAGGAATCGATAGGAGTCACCGACAGCCGTATCCTCGTGTAGCTCGCTGAGATCAAAAGTAAATTCATCAGTCCAGCTCTCCCCTGGCTGTAGACTCAAGAATAACTCCTCATCGGTGACATTGACTTCAATGTTGGGTCCATCCACAAGTTTATAAGAGAGGTTCCAGCTGTCGTCATGATATCTCTCCCACTCCAGATCATCATTATCTGAATCCCATTCATCATAATCGTGGCAGCGGCGGAGTACCAGAAAATTCGAAAATGAAAAAGGAAGGTTCCGTATAATAATTGGTTTCGCGTCTGCAAGGACTGCCTCGCCAACCTCGTCGGTCAAACCATCGTAGGACACTTTCATCCTGACCTTGATCCTTTCTCCCCAGATCATCTTAGATGGGCCTTCCAGTACACTCTAAGATAAGGTGTTCCGGTGCTATAAAAAGGTTAATGAGTTAATAAATGTAGAAAAATAAAATTCAGCTCTTCGCATATCTTACATTCGCGCAGATTCATATGACTTCTCCGATTAGGGTGTATCACCAGTTGCTATACCGAACAGGTGACGGAGGCGGGCCGAATTTAAAAACTTCTTTCTCTTGTATGACAGTAAGAGAGGAGCATGCTCCCCCAGGAATAATAGCACGGGGTACTCCCATTCCCACGCCGACTTTGTGACCTATATGCTCACGGAGAGTGCCCCAGTCCCACAGAGCATATTCAGCGCCTGGCCAGAGTAGCTCATATCTCTCACCCGGGACCAGCTGGTCGGAAAAGGGAAGGGGAATACCTATGTTCCTTCCGAGACATTGACCAGGAAGAAGCTCATTAAAATAAGCTTCCCGTCCTGTCAACTCCAAAGTCTCGGGAGGTGGGGGCTGGTGATTTCCTTCGATCTTTTTAAGACCTTCTGGCGTGTGTTGGAAGAGCATAAAGCCCGAAGGACCCCATGGGTCACAGTGTATGTCCCAGTGGAAGATGCAGGGCTTATTTATGCCATCTTCCTCTCGGTGAACTGTAACGTTGATACCCATATAGTGATCGAGGGACACGGTGATCTCAGGTGCTATCTCAATGGAGAGAACAGGTGTGTTCGAACTGGGGCTTGTTAGTTCTTGAATTCCCTTAAAAGTGGCAAAGTGAAAGACTCACGGTCTGTCATGGTCAGAGATTTTGATATTTTTTGCAAGTTCAGGTTCCATGGTGGGAAGAACGAAGTCGGAGTATGGAATATCTGGGGGGCCACAGCATATTTATATTAATAGGGCTTGATATAAACACCCCCCTCGTTTGTGATATACAGCCTCAGAGAGCCAAAACAAATTCATACCATTCAAATACCAGAAATACAAATGTACCCAGATTAAACTTTTTTTGGGTTATCCCGAGTCACGGTTTCTTGGCTCTTTAGAATACCACGAGGAAATCATATCTAGAAAATATCTAGTGAAACGTGAACGACCCGAAAGGTCGATACTAATGGAGAGAGTGGGAAAGAGAGTATGTAAATAACCAAGCACCTATGTCAAGTCACTAGGTAGGCTAACGTTGTCTGATATTCTCAATTCCACCAAAAGTCTCTATAGCTCTTTCATATACAGAATCAAGATCCCAAGATCTTTAAGCCAACAATGGCTGTCTCTCCGTATCAGTAGCCTCAATACGCCTTTGCCGCAGGCCTAGATATAGCAAAATTCCTTGCCCTAGAGCAAAAGCTGCATCATCGATAGCTACAAACCCAACTCCCTGGTACCACGCAGGAAGAATCATATAGAGAGGCCACGATCCACGGGGGTCTTCGCGGTATAGATACCACGGGAAATAGAGTCTGAAACCCCACGAGATAGCCGAGAGTGTGAAAACTGCTATTTGGAGCTTTAGCCCAATTAGACATAGATCTTGTGTAGGTTTTCGCGCTTGTCGATAGAACCCTATCACTAGGGGTATGACGGTGAAAAACGGAAATAGAAAGTTGCTATGAACAGCCACGAAAAACCAGATAACGTCGCGTTCGATTTCTGGACAGTTCGGTTCAAATGTAGAACAAAAGACGTCCGTTGCAGAGTCAATTAGAACTGGTACTAGAGATATCATCAGGTAGCCGATATAAGTGATGGTCGTAAGGGCCTTGCGAAGACGACTAGCAGGGCTACTGTAAAGGCCGAGCCCGAAACTATACATTACAATGTCAGCGTTGAATAGCTCTCATTAGATTGTGGGTAGGTTCAGCTCACAGGAAAAAGAACAAAGCAAATATACCTGTTAACTGGATCAAGTTGAACCAGTCAAGAGTATTACGGGGGTGATGGGTCCATATCCCTAGCTCGGGCTCGGGGGGGAGATTGACATTGTAGAAGAAGCCAAACAATAAATGTTCTGTGGAACATATCAAATTGAACAGTAGATATGCCAATGAAATATGAGGTTTTCCCGGCCAGACATGGCGGATCAGAGGGAGGAAAGAGTAGAAGACCAAATTCAGGACAATGCTATCTCGTTTATGAGTGCTCAGCCCAGAGAGGCTTTGGAAATGAAGTACTCACAGGCTAATAATGCTGAGAAGCATTTTCTGCGATCCAAGGTCAATGATGTAGGAATTTTAGAAGAAATTAAAATCAAATCAAAGGGGAGCCGAGGGATAGCAAAAGCTAGCCTAGTAACTAGCGGCCTTCCGAGGCTTTCTAGCAATGAAGTCTCCGATATCTTGTATAGCATTTAATTTGCTCCCACTAGAGTCTACGGACCTCTATAGTAATGTCACATGTTTTCTCTTGGCGGCTTTTAGTTAGCTACTAGTTACATCTGCCACTCGTATTTGACGGATAAGAATTGCTTCACTGGGAATAAAACTTGTGAAGAGTGGAGAAATCATACAAACAATTGGTTATTGCGTATATATGCCGGTGGGGAACAATTTTAGCGGTTAACTGATTACAGTAGGGTAGTATGGTGTGCAGTCTGCTCCTAACCTACAGCAGGGACCCTTTAACGCTGATTGGTGGATATTGACTAAGTGGACCCTTATCGAAATACATCTCGGACAGAACGCTCTTCCTCCCCAAGCTAAATGTTTTTCCGTAGACAAGCGTCTAAGAGTCTGGGATAGAGGGTCAGGGGGGCCAAGCGTTCAACGCTTGTACAGGGGGCCAATTCTCGATTAAGCCTGAGCATCTCCTGCAATTTTATTTATCCATTAGTGGCGACAGTTCTGATCGGACTACTCGACATAAATACATAGTAGCCGCGAACGTGATTATGGCCTCCTCTCTCTCTCTCTCTCTCTCTCTGGGTCCTTTGGGTGACCTGCTCTGTCTCTTTCTAGTCCTCTTTGCGTCGGTTATTGGATGGTTCTTGCTCAAAACCCCCCTTAGAGCCCCAGGCTCTACTTCGCTCAAAATCGAAGCTCATATGGTAGTGCCACTAGAAGTGAAACACTCATAGGGAAAGCTCCAGCCCGAACCGATTTCAATTAACCTTAAGTGTTCTTTTGAAAGCCTCGGCCGACAAAATCAAAATCAAGACCACCCTCCGTTACCAGTTCATTGGCTATTTCACCGGTGTGGATCATACCAACAGCTACCACCAGCAGCCTATCACTTACAGCGGCCTTAACAGCCTTCGCAAATGGCACTTGAATGCAAGGGCCAGTGTTGATATGTTGCGAGGGGTGATTCTCACCAGAGCTAATGCTTGCTCTACCAACGACTTAGCCATCCGCAAAGTCTCTTCAAGCTTCCAACTATCAGTTTCTAGCAGAAATTGTTCTATGTTCCAGCCAGTCAGTAGCGCTGATCCGCAACATAAATGGCATGGTGTCAGGAACGGTTTGGTGGGTCAGCTCCGCAATCTCAAGGAATAAGTTGATACGATTTTCAAATGAACCACCCTATTTGTCGGTGCGCTTGATGAAGACCGGGGAAGCAAAGAATGCAAAAGGAAGCGTGGGCTATATGAATCTCAATAAAACTAGCTTCAGTTTCAACGCACGTTTGACGGCTGCAACTCAGTCAGCCTTCACTTCCTCAATATCTACTTGGCTTATAGCATAAGCAACAGGTGAGCGGTCGCTGCAGGCGATGGGACTAGGACCTTCATTCTGATCAGACCATCCCCCTATATTTACAGGACCACCGCAGCCAAATAAAGGAATTTGTCCACTCATATTCCCAGGTGAGCTTCGACGAATACAAACCTTTGATCTGACTTATATCAATTCTCCGATGAGGACTAATTACAAAGCACATATACTTGCTTCGATAATGCGTCCGAGTGTGGGTAGTCTTTCCCTACGATGCCCCCACCGGGCTGAATTCATCATCACTTACATCGCCAAGCTATGGGTAAAGAAGTTTTAAGGAATGGGGATTTTGGGGAGCATGATGACACTGATTGCTTTGATCTGTTGTAATATATTACCTCCCATTACTGCTTACTATCTATCAAGGTGATTGTATCAAAATTCCCTTTTCCCAATTATTACGATTTCGATTCAAACTTCCTAAATGCCAGAACCACCCGCACGATGTCAATTTCAACTTCCCGTAGACCAGCTATTCTTCCTAGGTTCGCGCACCCAACACTCAACACGAAATCGGACACTGGGCAACTCCTTCCATCTTGTCGGTCGAGGTAACCGGGGAAATCCCAACTCCTCTACTATGGCAATAGGAATATCAAAAATATAGAAAGTATTAACATCGGCCAGACCAAAGTGCAGACTGACCGAGAAGGAGATGTCAGAGAAAATTTTCTAGTCCGTATAGCGCTGTTGCTACAGGAGCAAAACCTATTTCCTGATCTGTCTACCGAATCCTCTATGCTAATCAATTCTAAAGTCGACAATAATTTCTGTCACAAGACGCATTTAATGGCAGAGGTAGTAGACCTCCGGAATACGAGCGACCGCGCGATAAACTAGTATAGGTCGACGGGAGTGGATGTTTGCACGCTGTCTAAGGATATCGCCTTTTAGGCTTTTAGATCTAGCGGCCGTTCCTGAGCCTTGATATGCAACTCGTGAAATCTTGCAGTTATCCGGAAAGAACGAATTAATACTGTGTTCTTCTTATGACTATCGCGCACTTAGCAACAATAATACACAGTCTGGACTTCTTGACTGCTAACAATGTGCCATTTGGTGGTGAGATTGTTTGGGAATTGACTGGTCAGAAAGTACACCTGAAGTTTACTACTAGGTAGGGTAATCTCGGTGTGAGCAGCACAGCGACGAGAGGATGCTGACAAGCTGTAGCTGCATATTTTGTGGTCTTAATTGTGGAATACGACGAAACGCCTAAGCAAGCTTCATTGGGCCGAATTGTTTCTCCTCACAGAGCGGAGGAATTGGCGAAGAGACTATGTGGTAGCTGCATGGCTCGTGCAGGATCAAGTGATCTGGTGATAGGATCATCATAACAACACATCCTAATACAAGCTACCCGACCGACGCATACTCCGCACCTAGTGCATAGCTGCCTATTCGAGTACAGGCTCATCACATATCCTATTTTCGAAACAGCTTGGGTTGCAACATCAATACTCCGCCCAACAAAGAGTAAAAACATATAGAGACCACGAGCGCTGCCCTAAACCACCAGACTGGTACATATTGTATCCATGCTATCTTTTTGTTGTTCGGATACAATTCTCTTACTTAACGATGACCAAATCCAATCTCCTCATCGCTCTAATTTACGAAGACCCAGCCACCTATTTAAATCTCGGATACAAACCATCTCAGATTGCCCACCTGGAAATTGGCGCTGCAGCCGAGGATATCGCGACTGTTATTGTCAGGCTGGGACACCGAGTTGTTCCAATCCCAGATATCCAAACCCTCGCGAACAAACTCGGCTCCGGAGAAGCGGCACAATGGGATCTGGCGGTGAATATCACTGAGGGCGTGCATGGAGCTGCAAGGGAAGCACATGTACCCGCTATGCTGGAGGCTTTCAGTATACCGCATACATTTTCTGATACGGCGACTATGGCAATATGTTTGGATAAGGGAAAGACAAAGGTGAGAGTCTGATTGAGTCTGCTTTAATTCTTCTATGCTTTGCTGCTCGGTGGAGGATGGCCAACGCCATATGGAGTGGTGGGGGGGGAAAATATCAAATGGATCCCTGGATTATAAGTGCTGATAGAGGGAACAACAAACAGATGGTGCTTGAACATTATGGCATTCCGACCCCAGCATTCGCGATCGTGAATCTAGAGAAGCATGGCAATAAAGCCTTGACGCCCGACGTCATCCGCGCCCTCACCAAAACCTCCAAATATGCACCAAGACTGCTGGACCCTATGTCCTATCCACTTTTCGCAAAACCACTAGCAGAGGGATCATCCAAGGGAATTAAGCAAACGAACGTCATTCAAAACATCGACGAGCTCTGCCAAGCAGTCGAGGAACTACGTTCTAGCGCGACCTCGGCACCGGCGATCCTAGTGGAGAAATTCCTTGCAGGGCGAGAATTCACAGTGGGGATCCTAGGCACAGGCGATGACGCATGGGTCCTTGGAGTTAGTGAGATGGTGTGGGAGGGAGATAAGGCTGGCGTTGACGTCGATGTGCACTTTCAGTTCACTGAAAACCCCAAAGCTAGCGAGGACTGGGATGCGCTGGCGGATGAAATGCCAGCCAATCGGGAAGATCCGCTCGTCGAACGGGCATGCACGGCTGCTTTGCGGGCGTGGAGAGCGTTGCGCTGTCGCGATGGTGGGAGGGTGGATATCAGATTTGATAGTGGTTCAGCCGATGCGGTGGCTAATGTTCTGGAAGTAAGTGACGTCCTGCGGAGCTACATTTGTCTGGGTGATATTTTGGAATATATGTGTCGTATGACACTTGCCTCCTTATGGGTTTGCCCTTAGGCTCAAAAAGTTGGCAGATGTGATTTGAAACGTCATACAACGCATCAGGCCCATAACTGACAAACTACGTTGTACATAGGTCAATCCGCTGGTAGGGTTGAAACCAGAATGGTCTCAATTGCCAAGAATCGCAAAGCACAGTGGGATGTCATACGAAACTCTGCTTGAGCATATCTTGCGGAGTGCCTTGAAAAGGGCTCCGGCACGGTGGAGAATGTGATACGGGTATGATGAAAGAAACTGGCCCGATCTGCGAATGATTCGCCACATGTAAAAGTTTCCACCATACATAATTCTTAGGGCCTTTCCTTCGGATTCCACAAAGTCGACCACGAGGATCAGGGTTCCACTGTCCCTACTCTTGGGTTTGGGGCCTGCGTTAGTTCTCCAGGATTTCGAAAATCAATTGCCGTTTGTCTCGGATACCTTTCGGTATCATGTGACCGGCCCCGGGAGTACGCGGCTTTGAGTCACTTCGCCAGACTTTCCGATTTGGGAACAATAGAGTTAAGAATAGAGTCCGGATGTGGGGTGCCGGGGGGCAAGTTTGATGATTTCAATACAATGTAGAAAATCGCCACAGAATACAATGTTTCACGAAAGCGGTTTTTACATTTTGAATGAGATCAGAGGAAAGTGAATTGTCCAGCAAAAAAAAATTGTTTGGTAATTAAGTAAGTGTAGACATAATTGTCCACAAAATTGAAAATCTATATACATTGGTTCATTTTGGTGGTTGTTCGTCAAGGTCGTCAAAGGTCGTTGATATCGTGTGTCGGCTGTAAGGAAAAGGTGTATTCAAAGAAGTGTAGGTCGGGAATGTAGAGTTGAGGTAGAAAGAAATATAATGGGGTCGGGTTTAACCCGATATGGGAGAAACCATGCACGACCCCCCTGTCCAGAGGTGTTTAGAGGTCGCCTCAAGACAATTGCGACCCTTTTCCAAAAAACCATGCTCGGAGTGTTCAGGGGAAGGTTGTGTTGCCGGAGTAGCCGCAACGGCGACAGGCTCTGGGTTTGAAATTTGTTCGGTGACTTGATTTTGTGGCTCGGCGGCTTGTCTGGACTTGAGCACAGGAAGTTCGGCGTTCTTCATATCATCCATTTCTTCTTCATCGTCGGTGTCTTCGAAGTCGAATGAACTGATCCGGGATTTCATATCATTTTCAGTCCAAGTGACAGAGCCACAGTGTAGGCGGAAGTGTGCTACGCAGCGGCGAAGGTCTGGATCTGGGGCGGTGGCTTCACGGGCGAGCTTCTCTTTTGAGAGATGTGTGAGCTTATAAGGGAGAGCATTGCGGTTTGCCATTGGGGGCCAGCGTTTATTTTGAACAATTGGCACGGAGGCAGTTGGCTTCGGTGTCTTGGGAGTTTTTTGGGAGGCGTTCATATTTAAAAGACCATGTAGTTTTTATAATGGAAATTGAGATGAGATGGGGTTAGATGGGTTGAGAATGGTTGAGTTTAGAGAATAAATTTAGTGGGAGAGAGATTCCAGAAATAAAGTAAAGGAAAGGTATGGAAAAGGTGGGAATTGGTAGCGAGTTCTTATACCCTTTTTTTTTTCTCTCACGATACTTAGTACGCAGTGAGTACTTCTCAGTAATCGTAGTAGTACTAAGAATACTAAGGGAAAAAAACAAGAATGGGGAACCTGGTCCAAGCGTCTCCTCGGCCGTGTCACCAGATCACGAAACCGGTTCCAGACTCTTTTGGCCTTGGACTCTGATGTGTCATCCCTTTTATTAACTTGGAATGGTCAGTTCTCACTTTCTTACTTTCTTATGATTCATCATTCAAATGCTATACCTCGAGGTCAGACAATAAAACAAATACTCATTATTAATATTCCGTCTGATATAAACTACTCCTACAAAGATGGCCGTTAGTTGGTGCAAGAAAAAATAATTCCTCGGTGTGCGTAGCGGCTAATAGGACCCTCAGAGTGGATAGAATAGGCCCCAGTTTTCTTGATCATTTGATGCTTCGAAAATTTTTCGGTGGGGACCCTCCTGCGGAGCTTATCTTGCTCTATTCGCCCTGAGGATCCCTCACAGAAGAAGAAGAAGAAGAAGAAAATAGAACCGTTGCACGGGGAAACTCACGATCCCCACGGATTACTTTCCTTGGAAGTCCGAACCCCCTCATTCCTTCTTTGACAACGTTTTCAGCCACGAATAATACTACCAACAACTTTTAATATTGATTGTTTTCTTCTTCTGTTTTCAGTTTGTTGCTCTTCTTCTTGTTTGAATGCAAACTAAATATAATCGAAATTCTTTCTAGTGACTCTAGATCCCTATTCAAGGACATTTGTAGGTATTAAATCACTGTTCACTTAGCAAGCCCTAAACTCCCGAGGTTAAGGGCCAACCCCCGGCGCTTCTGATTCAATCTTGCCAAATTACTTCGCTGCACCTATATGAGTTCCACTGCATTATTAAGTGCCCCGAACCCCCCGACCCCCAATCCGTGCCCCGTGGGCATACCATATTGTTCAATAATATTATAATAATGTGCTGGACAAAAGATATCCGCACACCGACAAATCCACCTGCATTCCATGCTGGGCGTTCCACTCAGGAATATGCCCCTCCTGACGATCTTGGGGTGCGCCAGGTGTCCATCCGCCGAAGACCTCTAACCCCTAATCGTCTGATTATTTTATCCACCCGTGCAACACTGGCTAAGCACGCTCCAGACCCGTAGGTAGACCCCCTCTGTAAACCTAGACCAAGGACTTCCGCGGAAGCCAACCAAACATGTTGAAAGGTGGCGCTCGAGAATGGAGTGCTTTTAGTTACTCCGCCATGAATCCTTGGCCTCTACATATGTTAAGGCATTTGTGGAAAATTATCCTGCCGATACTTCCGTTTTCCATGAGAGATCTGCTCAGATCATCCTAAATTAATTAGGGAGCTAAGCATCAACAAAAAAAAACGCAGCTACAGTCGGAGTTCTCTCCGAGTTACGATAGAATTTCGCCGAAGCCCATGTGCAAGCCAAAAAAAATTTGGTCACAACAAACTTGCAAATAAGCAAGCGGCAACGGTTGGTGAGTGAAACAGAAGCAAAGATGGCCAGATCTTCTGCGGCTATGGACTCCACAGTTTCCAACGAGATGGTCGAAGCGATTGCAGCCACCAAGCCCAAGAATGAAGTCTAGAATCTCCTTTAAAGGGCTGGACACTTGAAAAGCAGGTTCTATGTGCACTAGCACACGTTGGCGGGGCCCACAATTGCTTTTAGCTCCTCGAACTAGTTCGCACGCACGCTATGGATTTAGGAATTGCCAAGCAGGGAATTCACCGATGCATCTTCGATATCAACTGTTTTGCTTGCGCGGCGGACAACATTCAACATACAGTGTCGCAACTGCAGATTTTTGTATATTAAAAAAATTTTGTATGTGACAACACATTGTCTATGGACACGCGCTCTAAGCGCAAACCCGACAACTGTCCGCAAGCGTTCGCCTCGAACACGAGCATGTGCGGTCGCCCATGTGACATTGCGAACACGATCGTGAACTCCTAACATTGTACTCGACTTGATTCCAGAATGACTATCGACGAGGCGGAGACTGGGCGTGCGACTCCTGGCGAAATTATTGACTCTCCGCAGCAACTAAATTTCTACGATTCCACTCTTCTTGTTCAGACATGCCTGGCGCCCCATCCCTCGATGACCTTTCACTCGATGTCCGAGAGGATCGAGCCTCTTTAATTAGTCTATCAATTATGGTGGGGCTACTGACTAGCCTATCGTACAATTACTACCAATCCCAACCAGCTGAACCCATTTGCCTCAGTTCACAGTGCTTCCTAGCACCGGATAAGATTTCCATCTTGGAGCCCCATATGTGAACAAGCCAACCGTTATACTAATGCAAATCACGATTGAGATCAGCTGAAACGACCCATCTGCTTGGGCCCAAGACATTATGCGGGAATTAGGTGCCCACCACCCTACTACAAATACGGAATCTAACCTTGAAGAAACTAATCAAATCTTGCAATCCACGATTCCCTGGATAAGTGTAACGAGCTTGTTTGCATGATCACAATTATATTGTAGTCGATGTAGCATTCTAAATTATACTTTTACCTTACCATGGTTCGGGTCCGGGTCAATCGTCCCGCTGGCCACTCTATGCTGACTCTCTTTAAGTAACAATAGGTTAGAACCGCTAATTTGGAAGTGTTTAAACAGGAAACAATGGCGAATCCAGTATCTTGCACAGCAGCTTTTATCTACTGCCATGGCTTTTCATGATTTAAGGCTTTAATCTTACCCTTGAGTATTTTAATTTGGAGCTCATCCACTTTGCCTAAAAGTATATATATAAAAACATATCAAATGTTACATTTTAAAACTCGATTGTCCCTATAATCTGACCACTATGCAACCCCCCGAGAGCACAGTATCCGGCTGATAGCTTGAGCGACATCCCATTCTATATTCTACACCAGCGTAGCGCATTATTGTTTCTGTTCAAATCATGAGTAACTTAAGCTTTCCTGAAAGCTCGAAGGTGGAAGAGTATGTGTGTTCTCATTGGACGTTATTAAAGCGTGCGTGGCAGAGTTGAAAGGAATATCATATAGTCCCTATATGGTGATTCACGCACTATGAAAGTACGTGCCAAGGAACCGAAGGAAGTTGCCTGCAGATATCAACCTAGCCTAGAGCGGGATTTAAAGGGAGGGGTCAAGTAAAACTGCAGATCGAAATTATCCGAAACAGCGATCCATAAACAGTCTTGTTTTGCGCTTCAATCTCGTTCGATCTTGTTCGGGAGCGAGATTCATCTAAACGAGATGTAAACCCGCAACTGATCACTTTCTTTGGATTTTTCCTGTGCTATGCAGATCAAGCAAACGAATATCTTACGAACACCTTGTTCTCTTTGGTCTCATTTCCCTCTATCATTCAGGAAAAAATCGCATCCAACTAGATGATACCAATTCTCTATAAGCTAGCGCTATCCAACAACTGCCCATATGGTATGGATGTTTCTCTGTAGACACAGAAAATCCCATTTGTTGGCTTTGCACCGTAAGCTACATATTTTATTACCCTGGATAAGCAATAGGGAACGATTCTACACGTCTGGCGATAATTACTGTAAAACACCGAATGGCTCGTTTCAAGTCTTTCCCAGTTAAAGAATTGTATACCCTGCTAATTTTACTCGAATTCGAGGTCATGGGTTCTCTGTCCTGTTTGCAACGCATGTTGGCTGCCGACTGATTCTGCGGCCTGAAACATTCCTGGCTGGCGCTAATGCACGTACGCGACCGGGCTTTGAACTTGTTCATCAATGCCTCAACAGGCCCTCATCTCCGAGTATCGGAAATACATATGCAACTAAGATGGTTTTGAGGTTGACTAGAATATACACAGTATGCACGAGACTTTGGGCACCCGGAAGCAAGGTTCGTGCTTATCCCCAAACAAAGAATAAGGGTAGCCTCTCGGGGTTGGGGCTCGGGGCCGTTTCTACTACATCCAACGGAGAGAAAGCATACTACTGGGCAGGCAAACCCTTGCTCACCGGTATTTAAGAAAACCCCGCACCTGATCTGCATGCCATAGTCTACAGAATGAACCATTCGTCACAATACTTCCCAAGAACAGTTTCATGTCTCATATTTGGCTAAAAAAATAACAGGTTAATGCAAAGTAACAGGTAGAGCATATGTGCTTGGATGTGTTCCAGGTTTTGCGAAAGGCGCTTACTTTATGATCGATCAAACATTAGCAGACAGTCATTGTAGATGAAAATTTGTACAACGTGTGGCCGCAATGCACAACGCTCCGAGCAACCTGAAGTATGCTCATTATATAGATTAGGAAACAGCGAATCTTGTCTCTCCCGTTGCGTGTGACCCGTGACTACTGTAGCCACATGCTTCCAGGGCCTTGGTAAAACGTCTGCTTCTGTTTTCCTCGCAAGTCATGGATCGTGTATCTCCCGGAATTATCACTAGTAGGCAGAAAAGACCTGGGATAGGTTGAATAATGGGATGTGTGAACCTTCAACTCATCGGAAACTGGCGCTTCTTCGAGGACTAACACTCTTGGCTTTCCGACTACGTGGGACTTGCTGCTCTCCGGGGTAGTCTGTTTTGTCCGAGCGCCTGCTCAAAACCATATATGCTCGTCCATTTCGATGGTGTAGACTGGCTTGATGTTGATGTTGCATCAAAAGAGAAACATTTTGGCCTCTCGCCCAGATATGGAGTCAAAAAGAAATTGGTGGGACATATGATTGGATGTCGAATTTGACATTATTTCTTTGGAAGCTGACGAGTGATGTTTGAGCTTGACTTATGTATGTGTCAAGTAATCGCCCCCGCATGTGCCGAATATAGTCCTTTAGGAATGTAGGGATAGAAGTTGGGGGCTTCTGTATACATCAATCAAGGCTTGGATTTAAGCAAGAGGTGGTGTGGTGGTATAGCGATCTTCACCGTCGTTCGCGTGCTACATACCGAAGTATTTGTGGATGATATTACAGCAATATCCTCATGTGCAGCTATTGGTGGATGTTTCTGTCACTATACTAACAAGCTCACAGACTAAATATACAAGCAACCGATATAGCAAGTCACTCGGCGTGATTTGATGGCTCACAACTAAATGATAACCCGTCAGTTGAGGTATTAGTCGAGAGCATGTTGCATTCGGCCGTAGACCGATTAGGACTCTTAGCCAAAGTGCCCTAGGTTTGTGCTGCAAGGTCTCGATCAAGCATATACTGTAAAAAGCAAGTTCAGACCTCCTTAATGTGGGCTAGAAAAATAGTCGCCTTGTGCTCACTACATACGGCACAGTTGCGTCTTTTGTGTGACAAGAAAGACATGCCGGCACCAAGCGTGTAAAGCGGCAGCACTGCAAGGCCAGCTGCTGTGAGACCCGGGACAGCGTATATGATGCTTTGGGCTATTTCCATTTTAGATCCTGTACATTTGTTATGAGCTTCTGTTCGTAGTTCGACTGTCTCTACAGACGCTATTGTACAATCTAACTACACCTTACTCAATGTCATACAGCCGTCGGGGGCGGGTGAGGTACCCGCGCATATCAACGAATATTAATACCAATTTCGGCGATAGTATAGAGAGGCACAATATCACTAGGTCTTTATGAATTGGAATCATGCTGATTGGTACAATCCAACGTAAACTTGCTTTTGGTTGCGCATGGGCCGTTGATCGACTCCCTAGTTCCCGAGCAAATGACCCTCTTGGCTCCATCCATAGCGTCTTATGTCGGTCATCTGCTCTTCGTTGAGCAAATCACAGACATTAATCGGGCTTTGAATAATTCCTAGCCCGAAAAGGCACTGATCCCGCGACACGAGGCCGCTGCATATTGCAACTATGACCACTCCAACCCCCATTATAAAACCCAGAATATAGTGAGCTCGCGTTTCATTCAATGCTTCTCAATATAAGACAATCAATACACGGACGATACCAATACCTCAACTGTGAATTCTCTCGTGATTGGTCCTGTTGCGGAAGGTCTTAAGAACTACGAATTTGAAAATTCAAAGGGCTTTGTACTTCTCTTGTGCTACCGTTACACTATTTTTAAAATAAATAAAAATTAAATTCTCTCTTCTTATTCCCTCCCTCCTGCATACGCGACATCCTTTGTTGCCCAAAAGACGTAGGGTCCTTCTCCATGTTGCTCAACCTGTATCGAGGATTCGATCGCTGTACCACCTCGGAAAATCAATTTTTCTGGAATTTGTTAGAACCGAACAAGTCAAAAGAGAAGAAAAATATCATTCTCCTGATTTAAGGCTACAAGTCGGGTTCCACGGATCTCATTTTGCCTCCTGTCGACCGTTGCCGTATACTGGCGCCGTACGCGCAACGCCCAGAAGATCACAAAAGCATTACCCTTCCCCACCCCCTCGGCCATTCAGATCTATTCCGCTCATTGAGGACGATAATTCTTAGGGACATATTGCCCGGAAAGAAAATACTAATTTCCAACACCCACTCCAATATTAGTTGTCCGGATTCTGTGTTTATCTTTTGCTCTTTTTGGGACTCTCGATGACAAGACAAATCAGTTTAGCCTCTTCAGAGCACGGGGCATCTACCTGCAGGCTTTGGATCCGTGTTGGTCTGATTCGGCGCCACTTTCTTTGCAATATAGATTGTGAGTATTGTTTCCTCGTTGTTTTCTGCTCGTGACCAATCACGAGATGACTATTATCATTCTTGCTTTGATCCCTTGCCCCTTGCTATACTTCTGTTCTCCCCGGTATGAAACAAGATCAGATTGTGCAAGATTAGTTATCTCTTAAGTTAATACTTCTTGTTGTTTGTTCCCAGCCCTCGTGGCGGTGTACGCAACCTGAATTATCAGGCGCTACTACTCACCGCCTCGATTCCTTTCCCCTCTCAAACCCAAGTTCATCCGATTCTCCAAGGCCCCAAGCTCCCTGGCGACTGGACCTAATCCGATCTACTATAGAGGCCCAAAAGTCCTGCATGAGCATCTCCCGCTCTCTTGCGCCACTTTGACTTTTTCTCTATTCACAGTTTGGATATCTTGCGCGTTCGCTTGACGCGCCATCTTGCGACGGGCGCTCATCCGTCCGACTTGTGATCCGCTATGTATGGCACGTCTCATTCCTTATCCACAATGAATGGTATGGGGGATATTGTCGATGGCTCGGGAACCATCGACCCTGCGAACTTGAGTAACTCCGGTATGTATCGTCCCTTCGATTCTTCTGCTGCCTGTGCCTTTGTTGTCCCTCGATCCAATTTCTCGTTTCATCCTTAATCGCAAATTGTTGCTCGTACGCGTTTCGGTCTCTATGGGCGGACCACTTGCTTAACTCAATTTCATATCTCAGCTCATCGCCTCCTTTCTTTGTACATTCCTTCCCCATCGCTGCTTTCAAACTGATACCCCTCCTAGTCGCTCTTACCCTGCCCGCACCTTCCCATTCAATAGCAAGCCCCCGTGGTGTCAAGCGTAGTCGCACACCAGAGCACAGTGGGAATGGACGCGCCGAACGGGATCAGGATGATGGTACGTGTGCAGCGGTGGGGGTATTTCCAATATGTTTTGTCCAGAGTCACACGATTTTCCCAAAAGCACTTTTATACCTTGTTTAGTCGCAATTTTCTTGTTCTTTCGGCTCGGCGCTAACATTCTTTTCTTTGCTATATAGAGGAACAATCCCGTCGCAAGCGTGGTCGTCCCCCAAAGACGCCACGAGCAAGCTCCAATGAACAGGCAATCGCAAATACTTCTATCCAGACTCCACAAATGCAAGCACGCCCGCTACCTCAATCTACCGCCGGGTCGCCACCTCTTGCATCGCCGGATAGTAGGGTGACACCAACAAAATCACTTATCAAGGCACTCCCTACTGTCAGGGACCATACGTCAGACCAACTGAATCCAGAGGGTGATGAGTACATACCGAAGGAGTTCGACGAGGCAGGAGAAACCAAGGTAGATCCTATGGGATACCTGCAGGGTAGCCGTGAATACAAATGCCGAACATTCCGCGTTCCACTTAGGGGCACCAAGCTATTCATGCTTGCGACTGAATGTGCAAGGGTGTTGAATTATCGAGACTCATATCTTCTGTTCAACAAAAATCGTTCATTGCATAAGATCATCGCCTCCCAGATTGAGAAGGACGACCTTATCCAACAAGATATCTTGCCGTATTCCTACCGGTCCCGTCAAATCGCCATCGTTTCTGCCAGGTCCATGTTTCGACAGTTCGGGAGCCGGGTCATTGTCAATGGCCGTAGAGTTCGGGATGACTACTGGGAGAGCAAAGCGAGGAAGCAGGGCTTTACGGAAGATGACCTAGCTGGAGAGAAACGCCCCGGGGCCGCCAAGGCTCGAGATGGTTTAAACTCGGAACCCGCCACAAATACGTTGCCTGCGCTTCCCCACAACGATGTTGTCTACAGCAATACCCTGGAACCGTTGCCTCCTGGTCTTTCACTGGATGTTGGTGACTCTATTTCCTTGGCCCCTCTCCCGATGATTCATATGGCGACAACAGATGATCCGCGACTGCGGGATTACGCTGTCATGCCTCGCACACGCCAAGAATTGACTGGGCAACCTTACCACGACCGCACGCAAACGAGTTCGGCAGCCGACCTTATCAATCAAGCCCAGCACACGGCAGATTTCAACAAAGTACTCAGCAGTCAACGAAGCTTTCGTCAAAAAGGTCTAGACGAATTTTACTCTAAGCCACGCGAGCCTCCGGTTTCAGAGGCTCAGTCTAGCACCGCCCTTGAAACAGGGTTATCTGTGTCGCAACCTGTCCAGGTATCTCAAGTTCCCCAGGCGGGCATGCCAAATCAAGTCCATCCCCAGCAACATATGCTCCCTCAGCAGGTTCCCTTGCAGACTGGTCCAAGTATGGTTGGGCAACAAAACTATTCTCAGCAACATCATACTCAGTCCGTCGGGCAGTCTCCCCTCAGAATGCCACCAAACATGCAACCCGGCCTCATGCAACAGCGATCTAACCCGTCTATGGCTGGGGGTATGCCCCAAGCTCCTTCATATGGATATCCCGCCCAGCAGCAGCAACAGATGTGGGGGCAGCCGCCGCCACAGCCACAGCAGTCTCCTTTGCCGTCTTCGGGTCACCAAAGTGTCGGAATGCCTCAGTATGGTCAACAAATGTCTGCAGCCCCACAACAAAGTCCATCACCTATTGGTCATCACCCACAACAGCAGCAACAGCATCACCACCAGTCTCCTCGCAACCAACAACGTCAGTCAATACCGCAGATGCCACAACAGTTCGCTCAGATGCAGCATCCCCAAGCGGCGTCACCTCAAGGCATACAGGGCATGGGATATCCGGGAGGCGCACCAGCCGGCTATCCGGGCATGGCACGAGCCATGTATCCACCGAACCAGGCTCCGAGTGGTCAGCAATTCATGACTGGAAACCCCCAACAGGCGGGACTTGCAATGGGCATGAGCGGCAATGGTATGCCTGGGTGGCCCTCTGGCCCTGGCGGACAGATGCAGCCTGGACAACCTCAGCCGGGTCAGTCTGGCAGTCCGTTGGGCGGTTGGAACTACTAGATCGGGGTTGGCGTTGCCTGGATTGGACTTTGCGCGAGTCTTCGCCTCATTTACTCATTTTCTCCTTTTCTCGTCTCTGGCTTTACCCGTTTTCTGATGTTCCAATGTGCCATTGCATTCTTCGCTGCATTCCATGGTGAAGGATCTTCGGTTAATGTTAATCTGGGCCAACCTTCCTATACCCTTTGTTGAGTTGTACTTGGTCCAGGTACCTACTTATTTCCTGGTGTGCCTTTATCGGCGTTGTTTCCTATTTAATTGTTCTTACCTGGCGTTGATGCTATTACTTTGGACAGAGTGTTACTGGATTATGAGTATGTACGTGTTTTTGTTTCCCATACATGGTCGATAGAGGGCGAATCGCCGTGGAGTCTAGCTGTCTAGTTTTCTCTTACCCTGGCCAAGATGTCTGATAATCTATCGACTGTCCAAAGAAGGCTGTGTTCCTTGTTCACTTGCATCCCCTTCTGTACCGTGTATTCGAGTCTATTCCTGTTTTTCTACTATGTTATTCTTGCCCATGTATTATCGTCTTATCTAAGACCTGATATTAGTCGCCCGGGTGATTTATCTGATCTTCGCTCCTTGGGCAATCTATCCACACTGGATCATCACAGAAAGAAACGAGGCTCCTTTCTATCTGGTCCGCTGCTGCCGTTTGTCTATACATCCATTACGGATCAATTCATTTTGCATCCAGTTGGTGTTGCTGCTCTTTAGGTTTTCTTTCCACTGTCGGTGTCTCTTTTGCTCCAGACTGACGATGCATGGCACCTTGTTATCTTTTTTCTTATTAAAGTAGATGGTCAATGGCGTTGTTTATACACAATATACGCTTAATGTACTGGCTTTTGAATTTTCGTATACCTAGAACTTGATTCATGTTCTTTGATCGGTTCACTCGATTCGAGGGAAAAAAATAACTACTGACAGTTGAGGGACGGTGCTTTGATGGTCGTCGGCTGACGGAAAAAAAGGAAAAAAGCAAAAAAGAAACGTCCCCGGGAAGGCTTGAACTTCCAACCTCTCGATTAACAGTCGAACGCGCTAACCAATTGCGCCACGGAGACGTGATTTGATGAAAGGAGCAAAGATATAGTGAGCTAATAAGGGTAATCTTTTCTGGGCGCTCAAATGATAAATGTTTCTTAACTGAACTAATCCCAACTGACTATCTAGAACAAGTCCACTCAAATAATCTGGTTTGTAGTGGTAGCTCATTCGCTAATTTGGTTAGCCGTTCTTGATTCACTCCACTTAAAACTAGACCGCCTTAATTGACCTGGAAGTTCTTGGTCTGAGTGTGTGCAATGCATGGATGTAGATATATATGGTTACAACTTTGCGACTCTTGCACCTACCGGGGTACCACTAGAAGCGTTTACCTGATAAACACAAGACCATGGCCTCACATCGTTGGAAGCTCCACAGAGTTCGTGCATCATGCATGAATACCAAATTCATATTCGGAATATGACGGAATCAGAAATAGACAAGAGGCCACATCATAATTAAAAAAAACCAAGAGCAATGCTAATACTCGCTACCGCCAACAGCTCCTGAGGTCTGTCGGGATCTTTTTGATCATTGGGCCGGCGTGGCAAAACTTCAACCAACTGAACCAGAAGCGTCATCAAAATCAAACACCAACCTCTATGGGACAGGCGAAATCGTGGGTTTATATGGACTGGCAACGAGGGATTGATGTATTGTATGGAAGCCTTAACATCCCCAAAGCTCCATTTTCTTCAGATAGCGTGTGATCTTGTAACCTTTTCGAGGGCAAAATGATTGGATATATATAATTTATGACCCCCATGCCTGCACTTGCACGCACGGGTTTGAATCTACACCACACATACCACAATGAATAGATGAAATTTATGTTTGAACTGCAGCTCGAAAGAAACAATACCCTACCCTCATCACTCACATTGGAAAATGAGATTACCTGCCATCGTCTCGATCCTTGGCTACACCTTGTTCTTGATGAGATTTCAAAATCGCTCTCAATTATCTACCCCGAACAAAGGAGATCCACGTCAATATGTATATATGGCGTCTACTGCAGCAAAGTCTTCAAGCAATGCCCATGACCATACTCCTGATTACTCTATAATCTTTGAACTGATACAGTAGTGCATCAACCATGGATGGACTTGAAAATGGCATTATCACACTCGCAATAAAACAATTATCAATATTGCCTAGTTTCATGGTTCAGCTCAATAGAAATCAAGAGCTCATATATTTGAAACGTATGAACGCCTCTGAGCAGTCGAAATGTATTAACACCAAACTCGAATTTCTACATTCATTTAACTCCTTTTAGTTACTATGTCACTAATCAGAAGCACCATATATCAGCAACCAATTAGCTTCCAGTTTCCATTGGCTTCTTAGCATCATTGGTCTAGTGGTAGAATTCGTCGTTGCCATCGACGAGGCCCGTGTTCGATTCACGGATGATGCACAATTCTTTTTGCTTTTGCTTAGTCCAAATAATTTTTTTGTTAATATATTCGAATTATCTTTGGTGAATGTTTCCTTAGTTGTGAGATAAGAAGTAAGTAGTGGTGAAGCGAATGTATACGATTGCAGTTTTGCATTTATGTCAGTAAAAATTCGGTAAATAACCCGAAACACAATCAAGTATCCTAGTGTGGAATTTGATTCCATTAATCACAGTCAGCGAAGACTTAGGAGTAAATCAATTTTGTTTGATAATTGCAAAAAAGCAAAAAAAGCAAAAAAGAAACGTCCCCGGGAAGGCTTGAACTTCCAACCTCTCGATTAACAGTCGAACGCGCTAACCAATTGCGCCACGGAGACGTATTTGTTGAATAACGTCGAATTGTTTTGCAATACAAGCCAGAGAGTATGAGACGGAAAGTCTAAAGGGCTCAATTCGTGTTCGGATTACAACCGATCATGCCCATGAGAAGCAAACACGGAAAGGAACCAAGAATCGCATATGCAACTTCTTTGGCCCTACAGTATATCCCGTTTGACCTAAGATTTAAGTAACTACCACAAAGGTATTGATAAGATCCAGATCAGAGGGCTTCCCCGGAGATATCTGCTACTTGCGTATGGAGTATACAAATAATGAAACACATGCCTTTCCAAGGAACAAGAGTGCAATGAGACACATTTTTGCAAGCGATCGACCATCAAGTAGGCTAAGGAACTTGACACCGTTGTTCATACTCTTATTGTCGCGATGATATAAACCTAGCTCACAAAGACATATTGAAAATATGTAAGGATATCATACGGAGAAATGGATAAGGCAGAAAAAGAAAGAGAGCTTTCAAGGAAAAATTTACTTATACAATTAACCATTACATCCACAACAAGACAAGAAAGAGAGGAAAGAAACACCCAAGGTCAATAAGCCCCCAAGTCGACATTGAAATCGAATCGTGAGTCTCAACAAAGGGCAAGATCCATAGTGGATCCACTACCAAAAAGCCCGAACGCCTCAAAACAGCCGTCATACCAGAAATCGCCACTTATGAAACCCTCACTCGTAAGTATTCCTCACAGTGCAAGAAAACAGAAAGAAAAAGAAAAAACAACAAATAACTAAGAGGAAACAACCCATGAGTAGGTAAGTCCTCGAAAACAAGCCAAGACATTCGGAAAAGTAGTCAAGAGAGAAGGAAAGAATAGAAAGAAAAAAACATCACATGGGACTTCTTTTCTTGTAAATCGCTTGTAATGCAATGAAGATGAAGATGGAAACAGCATCTACATGAACGTCAAATGCCGCTGTACCCAGGTAGACTGTGAAAAGGGGCATAGTCCTAGCGTCTTACGGGTATCATTCACCATTCTCCTCACCTTCCCGAGAGCAGTCCAGTCAGGGTCATTGCGAGTCAAAAGAGGAGCTGGCAAGAAGGCATATGCGTGGCCACTGAGATGAGAACTGACACCCGACCTCGCATAGCCACATTGCGTAGTCGCAAAGAACTCGATCTTGGGAAAATAATTGAGACACAGGTCAAAAAGGTCTGCCCAGGTGCCAGTCATCAGTAGAACATGTTCCAGCTCGATGCGACGCAGTGTGGCACAAGCACACATAAGAACGTCCCGGAGGGACTCAAAGGTGATACTCACACCCACGAGTCTGAAACACGTCATTTGGTTCAAGTTGTGGGACTCCAAGCTGCTTAACTCCAAAGGAGCGCGGGTCTCCACGCTGAGAATCTTAAGCTGCCTAGTGGAACTGATGACAGTGATGAGATATCCACAGAATGCTTGTAATGGGAATTTAGTTTTGACCAGCGAGCGAGGTCGTTTCATGTCCCGGTGGCCGTCACGCCCAGAGTCATCGTTGACGACAAGATGCAGTTCTTGGAGTTGCGCGAGAATGCTTCGAAAGTCCATGGCATAGCTCTCGGACACAAAGAAGCGCCCAAATTCTGCTGTGACAGGCAAGGTCAAATAGAGAGATCTCAGCCTCGGTAGAGAAACATAGCGCAAGGCATGCACGAGAGAGTTTGTTAGATTGGAGAGAAGTGTCACCGTTATTTGATCCTCGGGAGAAAATGGAGCGATCAGGGTAGGCGATTGTAGCCGCAAGGTTCGGAGGTTCGAGAAACGACTAATAAGCACTGAGAGAGCTCCTGTTGACAGATCTGTGATGTATTGCTCATAATCCAATCCATTTTGCCAAGGTCCTATTATGCCAACGTGCAGGTCATGTACGCAGGAGGCGAATCGGCTTTCGGAAATCTTGAAAACAGCTTCTAGAGGTCGACCGGCAACTAGGCCAACCATCGCAGAGACGTGCGAAAATAGGCGTCGAGATAGAATATGGCTCCATTCTCGGTTCACAAGTCTGAGGGTTGACATTACTTCCTTCGCCCTAGGACCTTGATAGATAGCTCCAGAAGGAACGTTCCATTCCTCTCCCATATCAGTGGCCAGAACAGCACGGAATATCTAATGTAAAGATTAGCAAGATAGCCTTAAGTAATACCAAGCATGACTGATAGATTTCGTACCATGTCCCACAGTTCATATGGAAGTTTTGGAGACAATTTGTCAACAGAAGCCTTGCCCAAACTTCCTGCATGAGTTGCACGTGAAGACTTTTTAGCAAAAACATGCCTCTTAGGTCTGTTCAGAGCTTGTGGTAGGGGCGAAGGACTTGTGCGAGGAGATGGACTGCCAATCAAAGAAGGACTACCAGTCATCGAACGGCTTCGAAGTGAGGGAGTGGCATCGAACACAGAGCCCGGCGAGGAAGTGTCTAAGAAATGGTCACTTAGAGTGCGCTTGGTGGGTGTACTGTTCAAGTTCATGGACGACAGCTTTTCTGATGGCGAGCTATGTTGCGGGCCATTTCGCTGAGATGAATCCATCGCTGTAAGATTGCTTCGACAGATCCAGAGAAGAAGAATGATAAATCGCGATTGAGACGAGTGAGTTTACAATAGTAATGTGCAAGCAACGCGTAAATTAACGAAAAAGGGCTAAGAAATGATAAAAGTGAGAACGAATGGGGTCGCGAACGGAGAAACAGATAGGTGAAGACGTAAACAGGTAAACAGGTAAACAATGAGGGTTTATGACATTTAGCTATCGATAAACTCCAGGGCTGACAACTATGCTCACCTGGGCAGGCGGCATCCAGGACATAGTCAGGACTATCACGTGGAGGCAAAGACCTGATCTTGGAAGGCGGGACACAAACAGACCTCGGGAATACATCTGTATGTATTACGATGATATCGGCATTTCAGCAGGAAAGAGCCAGACCCCGTGAGTACGGCATGTACTATATTTTCCAATTGGTGCATATAGAACACTTTTATGTCTTGCGTTGGATAAATCGTCTTGATAAAAGGACTGGACGTACAATGCCCGTACATTTTCCGAGGTCTGCTGGTTTCGGTAAGTCGATGATCAAGCCCTGGAAAGGAAGACATACCTCGAGTAGAGCCTAAGAATTAAAGGAAAAGAAACGAAAGAAATAGCCCTGTACTTAATATGGGACAGCTCCCCAATGGCCCAAGAAACCGCAGGATCAACAAAGCCACCACATTAACATTTTAATAGCGTAGATCCAGTGCGCACTAGTTGGTTTACCTTGACCCAGGGGGTACTTAATCTCATGTTTCTCCGTGAATTCAAGAAGTGTGATCACTTCAAGACTAAAGATATTTCTTGAGGTAGAGGTAGTGTATTGCTTTCGACTGTTTGCATGTGTATGCATGACATACATATTATCTTTGATACAAGCAGCCTCCATTCAGAAATCGATAATATTTGCCACTTATCACAAGCGGGTCTCCGTGGCGCAATTGGTTAGCGCGTTCGACTGTTAATCGAGAGGTTGGAAGTTCAAGCCTTCCCGGGGACGTTTCTTTTTGTTTTTTTTTTTTTACAATTATCAAACCATCAATTGACATCAACAATTAATCCACAAAATGTAGCTAGTTTTAAAGGTGGAATGAATTCCACCCAAAATTTTTGAATTGAGTTCTGCGTTAATTCTATTAATATTCTATCTACGTACATGCAAATTTGCATTTGTACAGCCTGTGTCTAGACAGTTAATCGGAAGGTTCCAAGGTTGGAATCGAGCCTTCTCCGGGACGTTCTTTTTGTTGTTATTGATGTGATTACATCAGTCATCCGAATGATGACGATGTGGTGCAGCAAAGGGAAGTTGAAGGGTGGTTGTGAATGATATACTGAAAAGTATTTCGTTGCGACAATATTAGGCGGTAGTCATCCGGTATAAGTGCAAACGTCGATGGGTATATATATATATACGACGTGCTGGGTCATTCAACTATTGCTTTTCAACAATACCTATGTACGTGATGGATTGGGAGAATGGGATTGTTATATAGATTGAGATGCTCATGAAATGAACTATGAGTCTCAGAATCAAAACTATTGCAATCACTTTCACTCAATGGACTCAAAAGGGGTACCTTTGCAAGCATGACCTGCTTTGTATTGTTTTAGTACTTTTCTATACCCTAGCTGATACCTAGGATATCATCATAATCTAACACTGAGACTGATTTTTCTAGCCACGTCAGTCTAAAGCTAAAAACCCGTAGCTAAAGCCGTAGTAACCGGCACCGCACTGGAAGGGCAAACACAAGCCGAAATCGAAGAAACCGGGGGCTCCGTACAGTGCGGGCTAACCGTCCAAGCAACAGAAGTAGTAGCAGGCTTCTTCTCATCTGTTTTTTCCGCCTTAACCAAAACAGGAATAACAGCACCGGTACTCAAACTGAAAGTCCGGTGGCCTAACACTCTGAGGATCGACGAGATCTCACCAGAATGCGATGTAATCGATACAAATGACTTCTTCTTACTTGAAGAAGCAAAGAAAACCTGCCCCAAAGCTTTAGCACTGCGAACATCCTGCGCCCCGCTCGTCTCCGCAGTAACGCCATTCCATAGCTCATCCACTTCACTGAAGCCCTCTTCGATGGGCCAGGAAGGAAACATGGCGTGGATGTAGCTGCGGTTGTGACGGTGGTCGCAGGTGTGGATGCTGATGCCTTCGCGGAAGAGCTCTTTGATGGTTGGTACAAAGGCTGCGCTGCCTTTGGGGAGATCCAGGCCTGTGAAGGTTAGGTTGGCGGTTTGCAGGGTGCGCGTCAGTGGGCTGACGTAGTAATGATCTGGCGTGTGGATCCGTTGCTCGTTGATCTCTTTTTGCCAGAATGAGTTTGCTTTCAAGGCCTGGGAGACGCCGTTCGTTGTCAGCGAGGCGTCAGCCCAGGTGGCCGTGCTGTTGCCGTCTAGTTCGGCCCAGTAGCACTGGTTGATGTTAGCTTTGATATTAGGTACAATACTTCGGTGCTGAGGCTTTTCTTACATTCCAGGCTGGCGTGCCGTAGTAGGTCTCGGCGGCATTGTGCCATCCCTCGCCATGACGACCAAGGAATAAGACCTTGTACTCAATGTGCTTGGAGGTATCCTCGTTAAGCTTAGAGACCTGGTTGTAGAAACGCTCCCATTGAGTCAGAGACTTATGGCTCTTAAAATGCTTGTCTGCGGGGTATGTGCGGTTGATCAGGCCAAAATTTTCCGCCGTCTATGGAAATGTTAGTGACGCAATCAATGACGGGTGAAAAGACGCACTAATTGCAACAGGTCGCAGCTATTGAATCAAGAATTACTTACATAGTCGAAAGTGGAGGCATCAGTCGAGTCTTCATCTTGTAGAAAATAACCTGTAACAGCGGTATACTTGACAGTTGATGCTTGGGCAGCTGCCAGGCCCACAAGGACTGAGCCGAGGGTGGAGAGCTTCATTTGAAATTATTGAAAAGCGGAGATAAACGCGGGTTTCAATGTCAAGTTCTGAATCTTTCAGTTTGTCAATTTCGATAATCGGAGGTTTTAAGTTTTTTCTATTGTCGATCGACAGAGGAATGTTCCATTTGTTCCATTTTATACAAATCTCGTGGGCCCACGTGGCCAAAGATTACATAGTTCATTTTCCGCTTTCTCCGTTGCTTTTCCCCATTGCCATCCTATGGTTCAGCGCACGTGCAGCAGTTATAGGAACAGCATTCCAGGGGCGGGCTAAAAGGGAAAGGCCGAAAACGGCTTGTTGACTTAACGTCCCGAGGTCGGCAATCCACCAATGATTAGTGCGCACTAATGGTACTAGCTGATCGTCATTTCCTTTGATCTCGGAGATTTCAGTCGGGTAATTTCCATTTCTTGATTGTTTGAAATATATCCAAAATGCTCATGTGCAAAGTCCAAGTCCAAATCCCACACAAAGCCCGGTTCCAAAACCAACGGGCATAATAACGACCAAAAGATAAACGACGAAAGATCAAAAGTAGAAGGTAATAAGTCTCGAGTTCCACGGAGCTCGGCAGAAATTAAAAGCTCATATCAGACACCAAAATAATAAGAGTCCCAAACCCAATAACATGCAAGGAATGCTCCAAATCTGTAACCCCGGTGAGATCACCCCAAATAAACACACAAAATGAAAAGAAAGAGTATATAGGCATAAAATGACAGTGCTTCTCCGCACATGGAGGGTTGAATAGACAGTCCACCTTTGAAAGGTGGTAAAGAGGAGGACGAAGGGGAGGCGGTAAATTTTAGCGTAGTGAACTCGTTCCAGACCGATAACACCGAAAGTTGTTGCACATTTCTCATATATCCCTATCATTCACTCAAGAAGGGTAGTTGCTAGGCGTCGTGTTGTTTGCGAAAGTGTAGGCTTTCGGCTTTTGCATTGACGGCACGTGATGTCCTCCATAGCGGTGAGCATCATCTGGGAAATCTCGCATCATGAAGTCGGTTCGCTTCCTTTCTACAAGCTCAGCAGAGCCTGGCAACTCAGCGTCTTCGATCGAATAGATCAGAGATGGGGAGCCAGACACTGGCTCCATTCCAAAGGCTTGACCGGTGTGATCGGTGGTTGCGTCGTAGCCCATGGGCGAAACAGTACTTGAGTGAGGTACCTGGAGGCCCGCAGGGTACTCAGGCGAGGAAATGGAACCGGTGTCAGCCCAGCTGCGGGCCGTCATGGGAACTGAATCACACGTGACATATTCAGGGAAGGAAGAGACTTGAGCCGGAGCTGACATTGGCGGGGCGACATTCTGGTATGGGAAGGGGGAATAGATATCCAGAGGCGTGGTAGGAGGTGATGCGATGTTCACTTGCATAGGTTGGGAGGTGGGGAAGAAGTGTGTTGTGGAATGCGCTGACATGCAGTAGTTACTATCTGTGGGAGAGGCAGGCATAAAGTGCTGGAGATCTTGCGGAGTCAAGGGAGTCGGAGGAGCCAAGGTATTCGTCGAGACCGAGGGTCGTAGCATCTTCTCGGCCTTCTTAATGGACCCTGACTCAGCAAAGGTGAAGTTGAGAGGAGAGCGCTGAGCAGCGGAGGCTTTTCTGACTCCAGCGTATCGGGAATTGAGACTCTGAGCCGACTTGGATTGTCTCATCGAGTTGCCAGGCCCGGAGCTGGGCACACGAGCGGTTGGCGATAGCGAGGACATCGAAGTTGAGTTAGCCAACGAGCGATTTCCAGAAGTACCAATGGCAGCGGGGCGAGGACGCTTGCGTCGTGCCGCGAGATCAAGTTCTTTCCCGTTTTCCTTCCAAGAAGCCCCTTCGTTTCGATTGAGGGATTGAGACAGCCCAGGTTGGTCAGATGTGCAAATTCCAATGCCCTTCAAGGAAGTAGTCAGAGCATCAGAAGACTCCCGACGATGTAGAGAAATATTAGGGGCCTGCATAGACATGGGATATTGCATGTTGTTGTAAACAAAGTTGGAATCATGCACATGAGAAGAGAGTGTTTCCCTGTTCTGTGACCACTCTTCTGTGTGAGGTGGGAGATGACTCGAGTAGGTATCCCCGTTGTGCTGCACAGAGTGAGAAGAGGCGGGCATCTCTGCCATCGGTTGGTGGGTAGCGGAGTATGAGGCCTGCTCTGCAGTGCTGAACCCGACGTGCGCGTTGTGCTCGTCGGATCCCCACGAAGATGGATCTTCCTTAATATCAGACCAGCCTGAAAAGGAAGAGTTGATGTTAGAGAGATTTCCATTGTCATTGGTCGGAGTGGCAGTGGTGGGTGGGGGCATCGAGCCAGGAGAGACCGCCTCATCTTCTTCGGGGACGGTGTCATTCTTGCTTCGAGGGTTGATTCGGCGACCGAAACGATCCCGGGCAGCACAAGCAGCGTTGAGTGCCCTCTGTAATGACGCAAATGTAGCTTCTCGTGCCGACTCACTTTTCGTTTTGTGGTGCTTGGAGCGGCTGGATGTGGAATCTGATTTGGCGTGTCCACTGGTTGTAGAAGTAGGAGTTTGCTTGGGGGTAGCGGACTTCTCCGTTTCCTCCCTAGCGATAGATCCTTTTCGAGACTCGGACAACTGGTCTAATGTCTCTGATTTCCGCCGAGCAGCCTCCTCGGCTTCAGCCTTCGCCTTTGTCATCTTTTCAAATTCCTCCTGGCGTTTCTGTTGTTTGGCTTTGGCGCGGCGGTTTTGGAACCAATTCTATAAACTCAATTAGCTTTCGGTCGACAGAAATAGGATGACGCCTATTCGGTACTTACAGCGACGCGAGGCAGGCTCAAATTTGTCTGAGCCGCCAATTGACGCTTGACATTGCTGCTTGGTTTGGGGTGGGCCTGAAACTGGGCCTCCAGGGTTTCGACTTGTTCCTTGGTCAACCGAGGTCGCGACAGATTTTCTGTGTACTCGTCGTAATCCATAATCGGTTGGTGGTAGTAGTCAATCATTTCCATTGGCGGATGAGGATACATATAGCCATCAATGGGGTGCATCATTGGTGGAGGGACCATAGACGGATCATATGCCATGTGTTGGTCCATCGGAATGCCCTGGTGGTGACCCTGATAGTTCCATGAGGGGTGAATGTAACTCATGATGTGTGAAGAGTAGGAGGGTATAGGAGAGAGAAAGTCGAGGACCAAACAAATAAAAATGAGAATGTGGAACACTGCACGAGAAAAGTGGCAGCTTCGAGGTGGGAGGTCTATATCATTAAAGTCGAGGTGGTCAACCTATGATGGAGACGGGACCCTGTAAATGTAAAGAATGTGTACGGGTAGTCGGTGATTAAAGAAAAAGAAACGAGCAGTTGATAATAGCCGTGTTAAAGAGAGACTCGGGAGTTAGGATCCCAAAAGAGTGTGCATGCAAAAAGCAATCAGAAAAAGAAAGGAAATAAAGGAACGTAAAGGAAAGACTGTGAGGGAAAGGATGAAGAGAAAGGGAAGTTTTGGAGTTTGGAGGCGTTCGGGGGTGGAGGATCGGAGACGGCTGGTAAAGCACGGTACAGAGCTAATGAATTCTGTGATTTGATTGGGCGATGGCCAGGGTGTTATCCGGTAACGTGGTCACGGTTGGTAACGAGATGAAACCAAGGTCTGTGTGCTTGAAAGATGTACTGGGTACATGAGACTTATGTACTACAAGTACCCGGTTTGGTGGTACCTGTACCCAATCGAGATTTAATATAATTTGAAGATATAAAATAGGTATATCAAAAATAATAATTATAAAAAACTGTATACAATATAAAAGAATGATTCCAGATCTCAGATCGTCTACCTCTCCCTATTTGGGAATCTAGGAATGATGTGAATATCCACCTTTTTCGTTTTTGAATGGGCTGAAAAAGATACCCCCCACCGTATTGTATTCTTTTTTTTAAGCCCGTGGAGTCGCGCTACCGCCCGCTCGGTAGGGGGTGGCGGCCTGGTTAATTGCATCGTCACATTTTGGATTGGATTTAATATCTTTAATCCAATCTTTATTTATGAGATTTTCTTTTCTCTTTGAGATAGAGTTGGCCCAGAACGTAATTCCGATCTCGTCCATACTTTTCTCGTGACAAGAAAACAGTTTCCGAATCGATTTTGGATCTCTCATAAATCAATCGCACTAGGAAGACGGCAGTGTCTCAAAATATCCTCGATTTCTCCACCATGTCCATAAAAAGCTGTTCAGCTACGTACATTGTATACGCGGATAATTAAAGTACCCGTAGACAAATGTACCAAAAATTGTATAATGTTAACTTATGAGCGTACAGATATGTACAATATTGTAGGTAAGCTCCAAGGGTAAACAAAGGATCCAAGGTTGAGAGTGCGGAGGAACCGTGTTTGGGTCGGGTACCATGGATGCCTCCCGCTGTAATCTAGCAAGACACCTATCATACCGTCTCTCCAAGGAGCTTGAATCAAACGCCCAGACAGCACATTGGATAGTTCGTGTATTACACAAATGAAAAAAAAAAAACCAACGCAAAAAAATCGAGTTCCTGCATTAGCGCTATGTCTGATCCCTGGTCACTGCAAAGTAAATCATGTCCCACTATTGTTCTATAGAGATATTTGGAAAAGATGTTAGTGGAGTAGTACTTTTGCTTATTAGTTATATACAATTTAGAAATTGTGTACAGCTTCAATTGTAGTATCTTAGGTTGAAGGATAGTTATCTACATTGAATTACGTTGTAGGCGTTTACAATCAAGGTGCATACAGTTTAGGTACCAAAGTAAGAATAACACCTGTATGGATACGGTGATCGGGCTTGCATGAGTCTATCTGCTTTGGGTAGCAGTAACATCTTTTCTTAAATAAAAAAACCATAGTCGAGTTTTCCCGGTTCCTCGGACCAGGTGACTGGAGACCGATGCTTTGGGTCAGACGATCGGTCGCAGTTCCCCGGGCCAATACTACAGGTCTGTCATTCTAGGATCGTCATGATGATGGAGTATAATGATGTCTTAAAGTGGCTATAACAGACTATTGAGTCCTGAAGCAACTGGGGTCCTAACTATCTATTACTCGGCTGTATCGAGGAGCAGTGTCCCCCTTTCCACTAACACCAATCCATACTAGTGAGGGCGCATGGCAGCGGTCAGCCAAGACAGACTAAACATCAATAGTCGACAGATCCCCCGTCGATCACTCAAGGATCTGCCGAGCTTTTTATTTCCTTTCTTTTTTAGAGTGGCGCCGCTCTGGACAATTTACCCCTGTTCTTCGGATTCCTCCAGGCTCCAGCTAAAAGTGATGTGACACCATTTCGCTTTTGTTCCCGGGGATCTGGTTGGGCCCTGCTCCAGAAGCGCTAAACGTCTTGAAATAAGAGGCTCCATGCAAGCAAGTCACGAGGAGTTGCAGTCTCAACTTTGCCCACCCCCTTTATCTGCAATTGCGCGATCATCACTCCGGAGACCCGGCCCGTAGAACGCTGCACTGACGTTTCAGCCGAATTTTCGCTCATCTTCTCCAGTTAATTCCATCCTTATTTTGCCATATGAATTTTGACAGCCAGTACCATCAAACATTGGATAAGCGTTTGCTTTCGCTCTCCAGAGTAATTGACAGCAAAACGTTCAAGGTCGTTAGGTGACGAACCCTAAACTATGGAGTCGGAAGGTCCTCGGGTGCATATCCTTCAACCGTGATAGGATCATATCGGGAACTCTAACTCTCTGACCTCGAACCTCGTCGGCACATGGATTGGCACCCAGCACAGAGAGGAAGGAAAAATACACAATGAACCGGTCTAACGGATCCTTTGTTCTAGTTGTAAGCCACAAGTTCACCACCCAATCCTCAATTTAGTGATCTACTCCTTTACTGCTCTTTTTGGTGGCATGTTCTGACCCGAAAAGCCGCCAACGCTTCAGTCTTCAGTGATCCTAGGTTGATCGTGTCCGATTAGCCAGTCATATAGATCGGGAGACTTGCAGTGGGGATTAACAGGGGGTTCCATCTCTTGCCAGAGAAAACATCCGCAGTAAATACCTCTTTTGAGACTGGCAGCCCCACGCCGTAGATCAAGGAGGGTACACAACGTGGCTCTTGACCCATTCCACCTTCCCAAGCTTTGTACGCATATGGTGCCATTAGTGGACAAAGTGAAATACTATGATGGAACACGCAGCTACAAACTCTGTTCCTAGTTCAAGCTTGTGGTGCAGCAGGGCGGCTATCGGTGTCCGCACATCCACATCCGATGGCACTTCCGAATAATGACTTCAGAACTTCTTTCCCCCTTTGACGATTGTGCCAAACTTTGGTCTTGGCACATCATGCCCCACTACTAGTCTCATGGTCCCCCAGGATGGCTACAGTTGTGAAATAAGATAAAAAGGAGTACTCCAGTTTCGAGTAGCGTGGGCATAGCCCAGTTTGGTATTTCTCCAGTCTGGCCGAGAATCCCCGATATCCCTTCAAATTCATACAGCATATAATACAGTGCTATGTATGATAAGGTCCATTTTTGTGCTTTAAGCCTATTAAGGTAATTAGTAGAGCTAGTTAGAGTACTCCGTAACGTTGCACAAAGATCTTCCGGCAGCATTAGGGGGATCTGCCATGACGACCCCTGGGTCGATCCGTAACGCATGCATACTACGCACGGATCCCTGGGCTCCATTGGACTATTGATTGGATCTGGTGTGAACCGTTTCTTTGGTAACACAATCTCAAATATCGAGAGCCGAGCGCACAGTCCAAAATGGAAATTTGAAAAGGAGAAAAGAGGGGGGGGAGTAAAGTAATACCCCGACATTGGATTTATGATGATCGACAGATGTGTGACAGCACATCAATTCCCCCTCTTTTACGTAGTAAGCCTCAGTGCTTTGTGATCAACATATGAACGGAGTAACGGATTGATGTTCAATGGGGGATCCTCAGATCGCCCTCGATCATCATCCCCGCTTCTCAAATCCCTGTCCATGGCTGTGCATAGCTTTACGAGCGACTTCGAAAACTGACTCGTCAACTGCCTTGATTGCTCTAGCGCGAATTCGGAGTATTTCGGTGACTAGAAATATCTCAGTGGCTGAGCTGTACTCTCTGAGCTGTGTGATACATCCAACACGACTCCCTTGTGGCGCCGGGAAGATCTGTGGCGGTGCGCAAGTGTATCCAGCGCCCTGCATACAACTTGCATACGACTTTCCAAAAAAAGTATTTGTCACATTCGTGGGGCCAATTCACCAATTCACGTCATTTGCATTGGCCACAAAGGAACGGCCTGCAAGATGACTGGATGCACCGTTCCTCTCGGTGCATCCCGATGCTGTGGTTCAGATCGGAATGAAAAGCACATCACAGACCTGCTGTGTGTGTGATGAGATTGCATCTGCCCCTCCTTCGTCATCCGTCATCACACATTTTTTAAACGCTGTTTGAGCAAGCTCCAGATTGGAGTAGAAGGGCTCTTCCGAGTTTCCTTTTCTTCCTTGGTTAGTGTTGTGATATTCAAGAGCCTGCATTTGAGCAACCTTCTCCCGACCCGTGCACAGGATGCAAATTGACCCCTTGCATGTGTTCTCACCGGTAGAATAGTCTTCTTCATCTTTGGAGAAGCTTCCTTCTCGCCCCAGCTGGCTTGGCGGATAGGATGTGTCCAATCCAAAATTATAAATTAAGAAAATCACTGGGCCCACCAATTAGAGGACAAACTCTTTGTTCGTATGGCCCCGGACACAAATTCCATCCTCGTGAGCACTTTTGTGCTCTTCCTGAACGAGACAGTTGCAGATGCAGCTACACCCTGACAACCCATAGCTGCAGTGCAGCTCAGCACGCCCTGCCATGTCTCTCAAGCTCCGAACATATAGGTACTACCCCTTTAGGCTTCTTTTTCAAACCCGACGTCGACTCCTCAGGGATGCATTTCCGAGCACTCGGCCTGATTTAATATCCACCCAAGGCTCAAGCGTGCATGAACAGCCGTTCGCAGCTCGCCCTGCCCGGACGATTGGATTATAGCTGAGCAGCGGGTACATTTGCATACTGCAATGTCCTGCCGAATAAATCCATAAATCCGGATTTTTGCACTGCAAGGACTGCGTGGCTGCAGATTGCAAACTTTCGAAAGCGCTGCCCGCCACACACGCCATGGGGGTCTAGGGCGGTCCGATAACCGTGTCAACAGCTATACAGCTTTATCCTTGCCGGCCGAATCATCTAAATGGGTGTTCATCCTGGTAAATCAGACTTGTATGCTGTCATTACACAAACCCGCAATGCAGAAACGTCAGCACCACATGCGCAAGGCTTGGGTGGGTTCAATTCTTGATTCAAGTATCTGCACATGGTGGTAGGTATGTGGAACCCGAGCCTAGGTACATTTGATGCTGCATCATGGACCTTACCTGACCCGATCACGCTATCTCCGGAGAACCACCTGAGCCGTTCTTAACCTTTCATCCTGTAATAGTATCTTCGTCTCGTTTCAGAATATGCAGAGCCCAGTGTTTGAGGTTGGGAGGTACCCTGCCCTGCACAGAAGGACCAATCGGCATTAGAATCAACTTTGGTCCCCGATAGATGAAATCGGGCTTCACAAGGTACCCTTTCATGCATGAGTAGCAGTTATTCTCGGGGACCACGAGCAAAGGGAGTTCCTTTATCAGTCTAGATGTCCTATTTTAAACACTTAAACCTGGCCTCCATCTCAATCCCAACGAACATATGAGTAGAGAACACATGGAAAGCAAGCAAATCTAGATATGTACCAGTACAACTAGTATGCATCTTGTGGTGTATATCTATTTAGAATCACCCCAAGCCACTATGCCGTGCAACGTAACTCCGAATGAACCCATTATGCAGCCGCAACCAAACATCCTGTCGCACGCAGCAACACTTGATCATTCTGCGATGACCATCTATTGGTAAGCATTCTTGATCTCAATGTACACACGACCATCAACGACTTCCTTAACGGAAACGCTCCTCAAATCTTCCACAATCCAATCGGCTCCAGCTTCCTGAAGCTTCTCCAGCGAATGCGTTGTCGTGAGCGCAATCACCTTGAACCCAGCGGCCTTTCCGGCTTTAATACCAGAAGGTGCATCTTCGAGGACAACAATGGAGGTTGAATCTTCAAGGCCCAGCTGCTTCCGGCCGAGCAGATAGCAGCGAGGATCCGGCTTGCCGAGCGGTACGTCCGCTGCGGTCACCAAATTCTTAGGGTGTGCGAGCCCGAGCACATCCAACCAGCCGTCAATGAGTGGCCGTGTACCAGATGTCACCACACCCCAGCGTGCGCCAGAGTTCTCAAGAGCTGTGAGGAGATCGCGGCCGCCGGGGATTTCGACGGCGTCTGAGCCGTATTGTTTCGGGATGAGGCCTTCGACATAGTTGACGTCTGGGAAGTTGAAATGTTATCAGTCTTTGCTTATCAAGGAGGCAAGATACGGTTGGAATGTTTAGCAAGTAGACTTACAGTCCCAGTTGGCCTTGGTCTGGTCGTATAGTCCCATGACATCGATACTGCGGCGGCCATGTGAGGTAGCGAGGATAGTCTTGGGGTCGACGCCCAGCTCGTCACCAATCCTAAAAGAGAGACCACATTAGGAAGTTGTTCTTGCGGATGACTTGGTAGAGCCGGCGTAGGACTGACTCACTTGTGCCAGTGCTTCACAATTGCTGTTCAATTTCGTATGATTAGTGGTCGTTTCAATTGCTTCCGGATGGGGGCAAAGGAGAGCTAATACCATCGGTAGAATCCACAATTGTGCCATCAAAGTCAGAGAGGAGGCCATCAAACGTGTGGACTTGCGTAGGCGCAGAGAACGATCCTCTTGTTGAAGACATGGCGGGGGAGGGGTGATGCGGGGGAATGCAAGAAGGTGAATGAGAAGAAAAGGATTGCTGAATCTTTTTAACAATACTCTCTATTGTAATCTTTAATCGTATGATTATGAGAACGCGGTAGAGAAGGACAAGACGTCATTAAATATATTTCTTGCTTATCTTGAGTCAAAGTCGGGCATACCCAAATAGGAATTTGTCCCGATCTCGACACCTTAGTCATCGAGATGCTTTCGGAGATCGGTCTAACAAATTATCCGCTTATCGGCTGAGGGAAATCTTGGCGCTCAACTTTTTCTATCCTCCGTTGCGGAAAGACTTATATAGTTTGCAGTGCACATTTTTGTGATATACAAGGACGTGTATTCAAAATGGTTACCAAAAGTGGCTTCGGTAAGACAAGTCTTGTTCAATAATTGCCCATGAGATCTTGGGGAGCATTTCTAACAGTTTTACAGGCAAGACCTCCAAGCGGGTTCCCGTCCGCCTGAGGCACAAGATTGAAAAGTCTGCTGTCCAAAAGCAGAAGAAGCAGAAGAAGCTCGCAAAGAAGGTATGGAATATGGTTCTTACTTGAATTGACACAACTCTGATCACTTTCTCTGCAGAACCCCGAATGGCGGTCAAAGGTCAAGAAGGATCCTGGCATTCCCAACCTCTTCCCCAACAAGGACAAGCTTCTCCACGATATTGAGGAGCGGAAGCGCATGAAGGCAGAGGAGCTGCAGCGCATTCGTGAAGAGGCACGAGCCCGCAAGGCTCAGGGTCTGCCAGTAGCGCAAAATGGCAGCGAGGCTGTCGATATCAACGAGGATGATATGCTGGACGACGATATGGAGGGCGATGACTCTAACCCAATGGCCGCTCTTCTTGCCTCGGCACGCGCTCGTGCCACAGAATACGATGACAATCAAAGCGAAGATGACGATGAGATGGAAGAAGATGACGAGGACGATGAGATGGATGAGGACGATGAAGGCGACGCACTGATCGACGAATCTGCCCCGCCATTGGTCACATCAAAGTCTTTCTCAAAGGAAAGCTCACGACGCCAGTTCGACAAGGTCTTCAAGCAGGTCACTGATAACGCCGATGTTGTACTGTACGTGCTCGATGCTCGCGACCCCGAGGGCACTCGGTCCAAGGACATCGAGCGCGAGATCATGACCGCAGACGGCGGCAACAAGCGTCTGATTCTCATCCTGAACAAGATCGATCTGGTTCCTCCCCCAGTGCTCAAGGCCTGGTTGATCCACCTCCGCCGTTCCTTCCCCACTCTCCCCCTCAAGGCGTCCAACGGCGCTGGCAACGCACACACCTTCGATCACAAGCAATTGACCGTTAAGGGAACTTCTGATACCCTCTTCCACGCTCTCAAGTCATATGCCAACGCCAAGCAGCTCAAGCGATCCATCTCCGTCGGTGTCATTGGTTATCCCAACGTCGGCAAATCGTCCGTGATCAATGCTCTCACTGCACGACTGAACAAGGGCTCGAGCAACGCATGCCCGACCGGTGCCGAGGCCGGTGTCACCACCAGTCTGCGCCAGGTCAAGCTGGACAACAAGCTCAAGCTTATCGACTCACCCGGAATTGTCTTCCCTTCTGCTAGTGACAAGACCACCAAGAAGAACAAGAAGCAAGAAGACCAGGCCCGTCTCATCCTGCTGAACGCCGTCCCGCCTAAGCAGATCGAGGACCCTATCCCCGCAGTCAATCTTCTGATCAAGCGTTTGTCGTCTTCGGAGAACCTTATCGCCAAAATGTTGGCGGTCTATGGCATCACTGCCCTCGTCCCCACAAGTAATGGTGATAAGACCACCGATTTCCTGGTCCAGGTGGCCCGCAAGCGCGGCCGTCTCGGAAAGCACGGTGTCCCCAACATTGAGAGCGCTGCCATGACAGTCATTAACGACTGGAGAGACGGTCGCATCCAGGGCTGGGCTACCGCGCCTGTGCGCAATGTTGTTGTCGCCTCGACAGATGCTACCGCCAGCGCCACTGAGCCTGGCGTTGAAACCACCCAGGTTGTCACTGAGTGGGCCAAGGAGTTCAGCATCGAGGGCCTCTGGGGCAACGGGCAGGGTGATGATGATGAAATGGCCGAGTAAGGGCACTTCTTCTTGCTCGCGTTACGACCTCGTTATCTCATTCGATTCTACCTTTCTGGATACCAAAAAGTGGGCGTTTTATGTTGGCATTCCATCGTTCCCTAGATTTGATCTCAATCTCAATGTAAGAATTTCATTAAAATGGATTAATTTCAAGCCAAATATATTCTCAACATTATGTGTGTAGAAATCAGACCGTTGTTCATACAAGTATGAAGTTCAAGTAGACATCACCGCCAAGCCCCACACTCGCGCATCGAGAACTCCAACGCGTTAGCGCGTCCTCCTTACAACCCTACAACCCTTGGACCCTCGAATTCTCAAACTGCATAGCACATTCAGTCAAAACACAATCGAAATATTCATTTACAGTCCCAACCTTCGAAAACTTGATTGATCCCAAAGGGGGGCACAGTACAACCCCCCGATCCTTCGAGATCGCAATCAGCACAGAATACCTCATCGCCACATTACATCCCTACAAAAATGCCTCCTCGCAAATCAACTTCTTCGGTGACACCCGCTGACCCAGATGACTCGCTACTTCAACAATCATCTCCAGCACCGCAGCCCGACAAGCCCGTCTATGCGACAGAGCAGCAGTTGAAGGCTCGAGCTGAAGCGGGCGCCAGCATTGAGGTAAGCAGTGAGGTAGCAGGCATGCAATAATTCAGGTGTTAGGGATCGTGGGACTATACCTATCTGTCTGCTTGGGGTTCAGAACCAGATTAGGCTAACCTCTGCAATCATCCGCAGGACTATCTCCTCCCTCGATCATTGACGCTTCGTCTCGCAAAGTCGGTGCTTCCGCCACAGACGACGGTCCAGAAAGATGCTCTGCTGGCTATGCAGAAGGCTGCCACAGTCTTTGTTTCTTATCTGTCTTCACAGTATGCATACCCCATTCTCACTCCCCTCGTCTTCTTGCCTTGTTCTCCAACCCTCCGATCTTATTTGGGAGATCATGCGTTGTGCTGTATCTGTCATTTCCTGTGCAGTTTATTATATCTCATGGCTAACGCACCGCCCCCCGCAGAGCAAACGACGGAACCCTGAAACGCACCATCGCCCCCGCAGATGTATTTAACGCGCTATCGGAGCTAGAACTAGACTCTTTCCGTGGCCGGCTTGAACAGGAACTGGAGGCATATACTGAGATCAAGGCCGGGAAGCGCAAGCCCAAGAAGGCCGATGCGAATGGTGCAGCGCAGGATGCGGCAGAGGGGGCGACTCAAGGCGACATTGATGTTGAGATGACTGACAACCCCGCCAAAAGGATGAAGCGGGATGAAGAGGGGGAGGGAGAGTCTGCTGCCGGCGTTCCTGTTGAAGATGATGGGGATGAGACGCAGGAAGAGGAGGCGGAAGAAGACGAAGAAGAGGAAGAGGATGAAGGTGAGGACGAAGAGCAGGAACGTGCTCCGCGTGAAGATGAGCTTGAGGTTGTGGAAGATTTGGATCGTGAACCTGGGGCTAAGAAGGGGCCTTATGACCCTGATGCCGAGGAGACGGATGAGGATGACGATGGACCTGCCAGTCAGTTGCGGGATAACCTTGGACTCGGTTGAGGTTGAGTGATGTTAAAGATGGCGATTGGGCTGATGGATAGTTCTATAGAAGTTTATGCCCAGGATACTTTCATGGATGGCTTGATGATGGCGTGGCGATATCGAGAAAAACTGGTCCGCGAAAAGAAAAGAATGTTTGTGCTTGTATTATACAAATAATGATGAATGTATTTTCATATTGCAGTTTCTCATCTTACTTTAGCATGCATAGATTCGCCATCCATGGATGGAACCCAACTACAGCAGGATTTGGATCCTCATGAGAACTACCTCTAGCAATTTCTATATGACAGTGTCAACAAAGGTATATAGAAAAAGGATCAAATAGGACGTCTTATGGTAGCATCTACTGGAGGAGGCATCCTTTGGAAGGCCTCATCTATCTTTTCGACGTGCTTCTCGGGCTATATATATATTTTGGCTCCAGGTCAAAGTCATTTTAGGATAAACCAAAAATCAAAATATATACTCTGTACATATATGTATGATTTGGAAGTTACCCACATTGCATGTATCTATATCAATGAAGACTAAGATGATATACTACTGCGCACATAACATTGGACATGAATCGAAAGATCTCCAAAGAGACCGAGGGAAATGTATTAAATGATACAGTACCACAGAAGGTATGAGATAACACATGAACACCCATGCATATTTGCATGAGCAAGATAAAAGGTGAAGGGAAAAGAGTAGAAACAAGAAAACCCCATAGTATGGGAAAGAGCCAATCCTTGGCCGCAAAACGCCCCAGCCAACCTATGCAGAAACAGTGTCTATCAGTGGTATCTTTCGAAAAGAGGACAGCAGCAAACATCAACCAGAGGAAACACAGGCGATGCAAGTAAGAATACACAGTCCACGAAGAAGGTATGTGAATAAAAAAAGCGAAAGCGAAGAAGATGAAGGAGGAAAGAGAAATCCAAAAAAAACACCAAAGACGCCATCTTGATAACCATACATCATGTCATGAACATGCGGTCACAGAATATCAGAATATCAATATCAATATCATGACCCAGACGTAAAATGTTTAAGAAGAAGCCACGATTCGAGGGATGGAGTCGAGGTTAAGATCTGCTCTCTCGGGCTTGACCTCGGAGTCGGCCGTGAGTATTTCCAGAGTTCCATTGTTCTTTGGATCCCCTGGCGCAACTTGACACATGATCTTGCCTTTGGGCTTTGAGTTGGGATCGGCGGCGGCGGAGGTTTTCGTGATACGATTGTTTTTGAATGCGGTGAGAACGGAGTTGGGCTTGGCTTGAGCGGGGTCTTTCTTGCTGCGTCTTGCGGAGGCAGCGGTGGTTGCGGGCTTCTTTGATTTGGTGGCGGTCTTTGCAGCGGGTTTGGGCGCGGTGGTGGATGCCTTGGGGGCAGTGGTGGGCGCCTTGGGTTGGTTCTTGATGACATCAACAATAGAGCGACCCTTGCTTGCCGGGTTCTTTGTCATTTTGTTGGCCTGGATATTCTTTGTGGCGCGCTTCTTCGCTGGCTTCTCGTCGGCACCAGAGGAAGGTGAAAGTAGGCCAGTGACTGGACGAGACCGTTTCTTTGTTGGCGTCACAACTACAGAGACAGATGGGAGATGCTGCTTGGGGGCCTCCAGGGAGCTTTCAAGACGAGGCATCGGCTCGGGCGAGGACTCATATTCGCACAGATCGTTGTCGCCGGACTCCCAGCATTTCAGGTTGGCCTGGTTGGCCACTTCGTCGCATGATCCTTGCACAATCAGATCGAAGCAGTCGTCAAATTCCTTGCCGCTTGGGGGTTCGTTGTTGATAAACATGGTCACTCCGTCTTTCCGACCGCGGATCGTTGCACACATTCTCTTAACGAGCTGGCGAACTCCCGGGATTTTCAAGCTGGTGCCGGCAACGATCAGGACGCGGGGACGAGACTTGATATCTGCGTTCATCACAGAGGTGATTGCCTCTTCATCGGGGTTATGTTCATTGTAGAGAACAATACGCGGGCGCATACGGCCGATTCCGTGACTCCGTAGACCACCGATCTGGCGGTTCTCATCGTTGATCGCACACTCCTCACACGCAGGAGGGTCCGCTTCGGTGAACATATCACGGTTAAAGTCAGTTAGAAAGCGACATTTTTGGCAAACCATCTTCTCGATACTGCCATGCAGTTGAATGGTGATGGGCCAATTGCCTTTGATGTTGAGAGGAATGTCGGTAGCTAGTGGTTTCATCCCAGTCTCGATGCCGTCGATGTTTTGGGTGTAAAGTCGTTTCAGGCGACCTTCCGTACCTAGTCGGGCGATCATTTTGTGGAAGGCGGTAGGCTTGCTTTTCTGAACTTCTTCAGACAGCGACCGGACCATTTCGTGAAAAGGTGCTGTCAAGGCGTAATCCTGATAGACAGCGGCATCAAAGAGAAGTTTGCCGGAGGCCTTCAAGTTGTGCTTCTTTTTTAGCGTTTCAAAAAGACCATCTGTGGAGCGGAAATCCGGAACTAGATGGGGTTAGATGTGAAAGGCGGCAGAATCCCCAAACAGAAACTTACTGCCCGCGGATGTAGAGATACCGGCGCCAGCGATGACGATGACATCTTTTTGGTGGCGAAGAGTTTGAACAAGTAGATAGTGCTGATCAGATTGCTCATGTAGAGACTTGGAGAGATTGAGGTACTGAGTGGTTCGTTCCTTTGGTAGGGGGTTGCGTCTCCTCTTTGCGGGACGGGCTTGGCGTGCAGAAGAACCCTCAGCGGCGTAGTGATCGGTCTCAGCTTCAAGTTGGGATGACGGTGTTGGATAACGCGCTTCTGGCTCCAGAGAAGATCGGGGGGACACCGAAGCCAAGGAGCTCAGGTCCGAGGCTTCGGACAAAGCGTCAATATCGTAGCCCATGGTTGGGATATGAACGGGCTGAATTGTGGCCAAAGTGGTCATGTAACAGCGTAGAATGTCACCTGAGAGAAAATTCGGGGAGAAAACGAAATGGGAGGGGTCAATCTGAATTTCTCAGAGATCGAAGAAACCCTCGAACGCAGAAATCATATATGCCCGAAGAATATGGGTGAGAACGTGAAAGAGGGAAGGGGATGAGAAAGGAGTAGAAGGGATGTTCGGGTATTCAAATGTAAAACGAGACGATGAGGTCAGCGTTTAGGGGAAATACCTGGGTAGCTCTTTATGAGATCCGCTAGATAAAGGTAGAACAAGGAAAATCAAAATAGCAGAAGGAAAAAAAAAACACAAAGTCCAAGCAGAAGAGTGGTCTTTGTTTTGGAAGAAAAAGCTTTGAATTCCGTGTTCAAGGAATGTGGTTGTGTGGCCGATGAACTGGAGAAAATTGGTCAGTGCTGAAAGCGACGACTCGGTGTTTTGGTTGCGAAGTAACATTGTTGGATTTGGGAGGATTTAAGAAGGGAGGGACTACTACAATACAATATACCATAGTACTTACACAGGAACAAAATTGGGTGAATAGAGACAATTGCTTGGAATTAGACCGAAAACTATCAATACTTGGTTACATTGATTGAATTACAATCCAATTCTGTCGCTTAAGAAACCAATTTCTTCTCGAAATCCAACTGTTTTTGTGTTTTCCATATATCAAATGACAGTTGAGGGCCAATCGTTGATTCGTTGCGTTAGATCGTGGATCACCTGATATTCCTCTGATTGGTTAGACCATCGTTGGCAGGACTACCGTCACATGATATCACGAGATCTGACTAATCTGACTAAGAGGGGGAATCAAAGAGTCCAGGCCTCTGGACATTGGTTCTCTATTGGTCTTTGGTAGTTCTTCAAAGGAACAATATTCAAAGAACTTCTGTGGATTATACCTTTATCGATTATTCTTGAAGTTTGCATCGAATAGCGATATTGACTCGCACATTGGAGGCTTCCCTCTTCGGAACCCCATTATCCTTTGGCCCATTAATAATAAAGCCAATTCGATATCTAATGGTCTGGGCATTTCTATAGAGTCATGCTGGATCAGCTTCATTGATCCCTTTGATAAATTATCAAACAGCCTTGTGAAAAACCTTGGGACCTTGAAATGCCCTTGATTATGGAGGATGGTATCAATGTGGACGATCTTTTTGGAGAATCCAACTCCTTGGAGCTGGGTTTGCCGCCCGCCTCCCCAACCAAAGGATTAGCACAGTATTTAGATGAGATGCGCCTATTGGGATGTTGCCAGTAAGTTTGTTTTAGCATGCTCCTACTTCACATTCCAGAAATTGACAAGCGTCTAGGAAAATTGCATGGTCCCGATTGGGATGTATTGCATCAATTTCTACGGACGGGCTCCGGGTTATCGTCCGGTATCTCCAGTGTCGTCCCTCAGATGGTAAATGGGTGCTTGGGGAAGAGTCACCACTAGTTCCAGTCCTGGAAGCCCATAATGGAAACCAACTCGCTCATCTATCATGGAACGAGACCGGTTCAGAATTGGCCGTCGTTGACTGTTCAGGTCGCATATCCATATATTCCATTTCAATTGCATTGAACAGTATCACAGGATTGCGACAAGCATCATTTGACTCTGGTGATGATGGAAGCCAGGTTGTTGGAATGATGTGGCTCAACTCCCAACGTTATGTATGCCCGCGTTGCCTACCATTCGTTGAAATACTGGAGGAATTCTAACCATAATATAGATTCACTCCTTCCACCAGGCAGCAAAGGTGAATGGCCGATGGGCATACTCACCCTTTCGTCGACGCCCCGTTGGACCATTCCACCCGGCCAACAAAGGCGCATTGGTCTGTGTGACCAGAACGGGCCAAATTAAGCTGATATATCAAAACCCCGACAGCAAATGGGCCGAGCTGGCCGCCGAACTGAAGAACACAGGCTACTCGGACAGGTTATTAACGCACGCATCCATGACCGCAACACAAGGTATCTTCCTCCCTTCCACCCGAGCTTCGGTCCCGCCTTGACTAACCCAAAAACACAGCCGGTATCCTTCTCGCCACCTACTCTGCATGTCAGAAGATGTGTCTGTATAGAGTCCACATCACCTGGAATCCCCCACAATGGGAACCAACTCAGGCCAAACAGCCCGGCCAGTTCCCCATCCCTAGTTTCCGCTTGATCCACTGCAAGGTCGACATGCCAAGCACTATATTGAACTTCAACCGCGGTCCAGATCACTCAGACCTGTCTTCGCCATTTTTGAACAATGTATATTCATTGACACGCTTGGAAATTATGCCGGGACAGGTTGACAGCCCGGCGGGGTCTACACCCAGCCCTTGGATCCTGGCTATATTCTCGAAACCTCTACATGCCAGCCACGACTACCCAGAACAGCATGGCCCGCCGAGTGTCATGGTCAGATGGCATTTGGACTCTGCACCACAAAACTTGCATCCCAAGTTCGACGAGGTAGCGTCGAAAAAGAGCAATGCCCAAGCAAAGGTGCGAGACCTTTCCTTCCTTTTTGTTGAGCCGAAACTGACGTATCCTTAGCCCCAAATGGAGCTTCGCCGCTTGGACGATATTCATTGTGACAAGTACATTGTCTCAACCGAATTAGTGGAGTACGGAACTGCTTTAGCTGTCACCCACGATGATAGCTCAATAACTTGTTATGATGCAAGGAATATGGTTGCTTTCAGTGGAAAGGACGACTCAAGCACAGTAACCTGCCTGGCCCAGGCTGGGTTTCATTACCCAATCGAACAATCGGGTATGCATATTATTATTCCACGTTTCTTTCAGTGACTGATTCATGTGCAGGTCTGCACATTACTTTCTCTCCTAATGCATGTGTTGCCGTTACGCTGGACAGTGACGGACAGACGCAATTGAGAACGATGGAACATTCATTCGGTTCCACTGATGGTATCTACGATGAGAGTATGTGTCATCTAAACCCTCTGAGGGTGAGACAACAATACTAATTGGGACTTATAGACAAATTTTCTGCAGCTGTTGCAGCCCTTACATTGGCATTCAGCCGTGGTTGCGGCGGGGAATCTAATACAGACGACGTTCTCATGGTTGCTCTTAGACAGTTATCACCAGGTGAGTGTACTGGACCTGATAAATACCGCATAAGCATTATGCTGATGACATTTGAAGAGGCCCAAACTACGTTCATCAGCGAAGTGTACCGTGCACTGCCGGTCAATTGCAATTTCACCGCTGAACAGGACAAATTGATGAGCCATCCATACATACCTCGTTGTCTTAGCTTACAGGCTGGGCTCGGCTTCAAAGGAAGATCCAGACACCGCAACCTTGCATCGGCCGTGCCGTGGGCCATACTTCAACTTCGTCATGCATCGGTCCTATTTGCTTACTTCTTCCAGTACAATAAAGGTGGACAGACTGAATCGCACGATCCAGGTGAGTTGAACAAAGCCGCTTTACTCTTTAGTCTCTCGCTAATTGAAAAACAATAGATGTTCTGCGCATGGTGTTGGGTAATACTAAATGGACTTTGGACTTCTCCCACTTCCTCCTGAACGAGATCTTCGACATGGCCGACGAATTCGAAGATGTCTTGAATGACTCAGAAGCTTTTACTCAGAAACGTAAGACCCAATCCGCGTCCATTTCATGGTTCCAACCTAACCGTCTCAGTGAAAACCACAAACTCTCTCCCCCTCTTAATTCTCCTCTCAAGCATGTCCCGTGCCTTCCTCCGCTTCATCTGCCGCGGCCTCCGCGGCGTCCACGCCGGCTTCGCAAGCGCAAACCCAGCCTCTCTTCTAGGCGACTCTCGCATATACTACACAGAGATCTGCCAAACCCTTGAATCTTCACCGGTACGCATAGACGTCTATGAAAAGTTCCTGGCAGGTGTCGACTCAGCCGTGAAACATGCATACCAAGGCGCAGGCTTCGGCGACGCTGAACGACCAGGCCCGGAAAAGGAACTCCTCGTCAACGCACGCATCCCGCCCGTCCTCACGACCGCCGTGGTCACCCTCCTCCGACAGACGGTGCCAGCCCTTAAATCCGAGATCAATCGCATGGCTATCTACCTGGGTGACTACAGCTGGCTTGGGTTTGGGAATGATCGCCGCACTGCGCTGTACAGGAAACAACGTGAGGTCGATATTCTTAAGAAGTGTCCCCTGCGCCCGCCTTTACCGCTGGGCAATGATGGCCGCGTGGCGCCGCTTAAGAAGCGGAGGTGTGCGCGCTGCTGTGAGGTTTCTGGGGATACGAATTTGCCAAGGTCGCTTTTGTCATTTAAGATGATTGCCAAACTGGGGTTGTTGAGGTCTTGTCTTTGTGGGGGGATGTGGATTCTCCAGACGGATGCTGGGGAGCTTGGTGGGACTCATAATGAGAATGGGATGGGGGTTGGGAATGGTCACACTTAGGATGGACTGTTGCCGACTATACTAATTGCATTCTAGCGGCCGTCATGGTGTGAGTGTGATCTAATGGTGTCGGGACCTACATATTGGCCGTTATATATCAAGCATACTGTTCCGAATTTTACTATATCCTGCATCTTTCAACGATTTATGATCGTACTCCTCTCGCAAGCAAATAGTACACAAAGAGTATAAAGTTTACCTCTTAAGCGTTAAGCAGTAAGGACATGTTTACTCCAGGGCTTAGATGAGTAGTTGCATGTTGTAGCAGAAGAAGTAGATTGGTGTGGAGACATAGCAATGTGCTGGAGTGAATATAATACCGACATGTGTGTAGGTAGATATCCACCGGCGTTTGATCTAAGACATTCCATCTGTACTTGCACCACGTGGACTACATGCGTTGACTCGATGTAGTTACATCAAGCATCCGCAGACATAGATCAGATAAGTTCTCAGGTTCCTGACAGGAGGGCAAGAAAATGTCTAAGTCATGTCATGTCAAGAGTCGATTCGCATCCTATTTAGATACATAATCAAATTCCATTTTTTGGATGTAAAAAAAAGAGAAAACCGACCCTTTCACAAGCTGTCAGGTCAACAGTTACATCCTGCTTGTGTCCAAGGCCAGCAACGTCTTCCCACAAAACTCCATATCCTAACAGGTTCTGCGTTTAAGCCTGAAAAATTCCGTCAGTATGAGATTCGATTTCGATTCGACTGGTGAATCATGTCCTTGGTGGCGAGTAAAGAGATGAAAAGAATGACCATCTGGTATTTCATTCCACCAATTCCATGCCCCGGATTGATTGGAATAATCATACCTTAACGGCGAACTTGCGCGCAGGGAAGTGGATGGCACGCTTGCGCTGCTTGTCGGTGGTCTGGGTACGCTCGTGCTTGGTGAGACGGCGGCGGATCTCACGGGTGAGCTTGGGGCGCAGGTCAAGAGGGAGGTACTTCTTGTTCTTGTAGAAGAGACGAAGCTGGGCGCGCTGGTTGGCGTTGATGACGGTGAGAACGCGAGCGATCGACTTGCGAACCTCGCCGCTAAGAAGAAAAATTCCAGTCAGCATCGAGATCTCGAAATTTTGTTCAGCCCCAATATCATTCGCTTTTTTCCGATCGTAGTATCCATCTCTTCCTCATCGTATCCCGATATCGAATCCCGGCGTTGTATTGTTGGGTCGTTGTAGTGCCGGGTCGGGTTCGATTGTGTTTCCATGCCGCAAATCTCCAAATTCTTTCCGCACAAAAAAAACAAATATCGGGAGTGTCGGATACGCACATTCTCTGAGTCTTGGTGGAGGCACCGTTGGAGATCTTCTGAACGCGGAGCTGGTTAAGCTCGAACTTCAACTCCTCGAGCTGCTTGGCAAGCTGCTCCTTGTTCTTGCCCCAGAGCTGACCAGCCTTGACCTTGGACGACTGCAAAAAAAGAGGGGTTCATCAGCATTGCAAATGCAGAGCGTTTGCACAGCAGAACATACCATGGTGGCGTTGAATTATGTGGGTTGTCGACGTTGAGTATTGAAGATGTCCGAGGGTCAATTTGCGACTGTGGGACTGACTAGGGCTAAGCGAAGATTTCTGTTAGCGGGCACGTGATAACTCGATAACTAATCAAACAGCATCACATGATCGTACACGTGATGTAATATTAATGCCTGAATTAGATGGCCGCAACTTACGTAGACAAGCAGCAGGTGGTAGTACCTCGGCGCTTGCACTTGGTTGATTTGGCCTGAGAAGATCCCTGAAGATATCTGAATTTCCTGGTCGATCTCCTCACTTCGCATTTCTTCTCTACCTGATATGGCAACCTCTACTGGCTCCGGGTGGACGCAGCTCCGGCAACAAGCCCGGTCACTCGAGACTCAGGTACCAATCAATATCCCATCACCAGCGGTGACAATGTGACTGACACAATGGACAGACCCAAAACCTTTTCAACACGTACTCACAATTTGCCTCTATCACAAAGCCTCCGCAATCACCCACCGAGGAAGAGCTACGGCTTGAATCACAATTGAAGGACCTCCTCGAAAGAGTACATCAACCCGCAGTCAATAGGAAAAAGTCCCGATAGCTAATTTACCTTTTCCTAGCGTGAATCTTTGATCGCCCAACTATCTCGTTTACTTGACTCCGAAGCTACCCTCACATCCTCTGCCCTGAAACAAAACAACGTCGCCCGCCACCGCGAGGTGCTCCAAGACCACCGCCGTGAACTCAACCGTCTCACTTCAGCCATTGCCGAGTCGCGCGACCGTGCTAATCTACTCTCTAATGTTCGATCTGACATTGATTCCTACCGCGCATCTAACCCCGCCGCCGCCGAGGCCGAGTACATGCTCGAAGAGCGGGGCCGAGTTGAAAACAGCCACAATATGATGGACGGGGTGCTGAGCCAAGCATATGCGATCAACGAGAACTTTGGAGTCCAGTCTGAAACCATTGCAAATATCAATCGGCGCATTGTCGGCGCTGCCAGCAGTGTCCCCGGTATGAACTATCTAATTGGCAAGATTGGCAACAAGAAGAGGAGGGACGCTATGATCCTTGGATGCTTCATCGGGTTCTGCTTTTTGATGTTGCTATTCTTCCGGTAATACTGGACCGTTGATCTATCTCAACATGCTATTTATACCGCTCTATGTCCTATTGTTGTTGTGTCGGCTGCTGCTATAGCGAGTGGATTTTCTTTTCTAAGGCGTTCGGGTTTGGGCATTTCTCATATCCCCCTTGATGGGGGATTTGACAGAATCGATGATAATATTTGCGCCAGGATGTCATGGCGGTTATTTGTTATACTTTCTATTATACACATTCTCTATTGTATGTACAAATTAACTGAGCGGGGAATCACATCACATCGAAGGCTCCAGTCGAGGCACCCTTCTCACCTTAAAACTCAATATCTGCGAGCCGGATCCTGTGCTTGAAGGATGGCCTTCTTTTCCTCAATAAGCTTCCGCACGCCAGAATTGAGCCCCTCCAGTTCAGAAGCATCGGCCGGTCCACTGCCGGCCCAGCGAATGCGACACTCCGAATCAACCAGGTAGACATAGCCAACCTTAGAGTTCATCATGCCCACAGTTTCCTTGAGTGCTTGATCGAATCCTTTCTGTACAAGGAAGTACCGCGAGTGCTGTTCCTTCGCCAACTTCTGTCGCATCCGCCACATAAACGACTTCACTATGAATGCCTTCATTCTGTTCTCCTCGAGATTGATGTCGATTCTCTGCACCAGTCTTCCGCCACTAGCCATCGCTTCCACAAGCCCTGGGTTCTGTTTCGGTCCAGTGAATGTCGCAACCTGGCTCTCAGCCCACACGCTCGAGAACAAGTTCACGACGCTGATACTACCGCGCAGCTGCGTCGTCGTATTCTGGGGATCCTTGGGAGATGCTAGCGTTATGCCGTGCAAATTGGGGAAGTAGAGGGCTCGGTCGGCTTTGAACAAACGTGGGTTTGAGACGAAGGTTTTACCTTCGGCGAAGCGGAGGTTCGACCACTCGCGGAAGTAGGGTTTGGCGACTTGCTTTGTCCTATAAGATGCATTTATCATTAGTTTTGCTGCTTCTGATTGTATAGCCTAGCTTTGAGTGAAAGGGAATGGGGAGAGCTCGTACAATTCTTTGCGCCGCTCGATGTGTCGGTCATAGTTGGTGAAGTCGTCGCGCCGCTGGCGCATCGACCGCGGATCAATGCCCGTATTCTGTCCTTCTAGCGGTACCAATGGGCTACCGATTGGCCGATCAAGTCTTGGGGGAGTGAAGTCTGCGTCGCCGGGCTGAGGGCCATCTTGGGTGGTCGGATTCTGTTTGAATTCGATGGCACTTGACAGGCGGTTCTTTGTCTCGTCGTTCCTAGTTCGAAGCACAGGGGCGGGGTCTTTTGGGGTAATTGACTTTTCTGTTTTGTTGGAGTAGTGGCGCGCAGAGAAAGGTTTAGTTTGTAGCTGTGTGAGAGTCGCTGGATTGCGGAACTGGCAGCTTAGACAGCGGCCGGTTCGCAGGAGTGGAAGGTCGGCCACTGTAGTCGTGGGAAAGGCGAATTTCCACATGATGGGTAACTTTCTATTCAGCCAATGTAGTAAACGTGGTGGAGGGAGTGCAAACAGAAATTACCCGGGCCTGATTTCAATCTTGCTATCGCATACTATCTCGTTCTCTGTCGGAAATTCTCGGTCACATGACAATATATTTCCATTTTAGGATATACATCACCCATTTGCTTTTGCTGTCGGTTTTTGTGCGAGTTAGAAAAGGAATAGAATCCTATATGACGAGAATAAGAAGTAGTTTGAGGGCATACTCAGTATAATACTCGAAGCACTCGTAATTCAATATGGTCATCACAAATACATCCCGTCTACGGAGTATATTGTACATATGGAGATAGAAAGGTTGATAATACTAAGGCACATACTTTCATCCATGAATGCCCTACAAAGCTTCCTGTAAGCTTTCTTCATCAGTCTATTTTTTGTCTTTTCAACATTCTCTTTATCTCATGGACCTGCAGTTGACGGTCAACTACTAATATCCCCTAATATTGAGGACTTTTCAGACCTTTTAGACACCATGTACATTTCAGCTATTTTCCAGTAGATGAACCGAGTATCCATAAGTTCTTTGAAAATTTCAAACATACATATGTAGCAAATATTGAACAAAAAATTCGAACTGCGACCAAAATCAATTTAAATCCCGTGACTTGGCGCCGATTTCGCGCCAGTCTTCGCGTCCTCGGACCAGAACCCTGCATATACTTGTACATATGCAGGCAAAAGTGCTCAAGAGCTTATAGGAGACTTGTGTGACGCGACGCCAGGCACTCGGGATGAATGATGACTGTCTTGGATACTCGACCCTTCATTGGATACCAGATTAGCCTAAGATGATGGTGTCACTTTCGGCCAAAAAGAGTTTCTTTGAGGCTCTTGACCAACTCGACGAGTCAGATGAAGATGCAGACTATAGTTTCTGGGACCATGTCACGAAAATTTCGAAAACTACAGATGTGGCAGGCATAAATTCACACACACAAAAAAGGTCGCTCTTTCTTTGAATTCTCGAGCAACCTCCGACTCTCGTTCCTTGCGTGACGCCCATGCCAACACTTCCAGACCTGCAATTTTGAAAGACCCAGAGTCCCTTGGAACAATGCCAACAATCAAGAGTAGAGGATCACCCCCCAAGAAAACAAGACTCAATAACGTCAAGATTATACCAGATGACCAAAAGATCTTCAAAGGTCTGATCTTCTGTGAGTGCTCCATATGTCATTCTCACCTAGCTTTCACTAACCCTTCGTCTCAGTCTTCTTTCCAAACAACGACATATCTCCCTTCAGGCGCCTGCGCATTCAACGAGCACAGGAATATGGTGCCCGGTGGAGCCGAGCTTGGGCGGATGATATCACCCATGTGATTCTTGACAAAGACCTGCAATTCAAGGATCTTCAAGTCCATCTCAAAATTGAATCTTTGCCGGTCAGTCTGCCTACGAGATGATAGACCGACCTCAACACTGACCAAGGAACAGGCGAGCGTCGCTCTTGTCAACGAATCCTACCCATCCGAGTGCATTCAATTTCGCTCAGTCCTCAATCACTCACAACTTCGGTTCCGTGTTGATAGGAGTCCACCAACTGCTCAGAAGGAAACATCTCCAATAGAAGCACCGCCACCCGAGTCGCTGACTTTGAAACCCCCACGGCGGGAGCAAAAGAAGTCCCCTGAAACCACGCAGTCTTCTATTGACAGCATCATACCAGAAAGCGGCCTCGAGGGAGTGACAACCGAGCCATCTAAAGCAACAACGGAAGAAGCAGGCACTGGCAGAGGCAGCTGGAGGCGTGATGCCCTAGATGACATAATTGATGAAGCAAAGGCTACAAGTCATCTGGTAAGCTCTAGCATTTGTCAGTACAAGGTCAAATAACTGATTCTTGTCAATAGCCACTGGACGAGTTCCCAGATGACGAGAATGCTGTTGATTCCGATGTCGAAAGCTCCAGCTCAGAGGAGTCGAATCCTAAAACAAAGAGACCATCACCAAAAGAAGGGAAAGAGAAAAACGACTGGACGAAAGGCTTCGCCTGCATGCAAAAGTTCGACCAGGATGCAACCATTCCTAACCCGAACAGTGGCACCATTGACATCCTCCAACAAATGCTGGATCATTATACCCGGAATGCTGACCAGTGGCGAATACTTGCATACCGAAGGGCAATCGCTGCCTTGCGGAAGCAAAAAACGAAGATCGTAACCCGAGCACAGGCTCGGGCTATACCCGGTGTGGGGGAACGATTGGCTGACAAAATTGAGGAAATTGTCTTGACCAACCGTCTCCGTCGTCTGGAAAACGCGAATAACAGCCCCGAGGACTTGTTAGTTCAAGAATTTCTCGGCGTTTATGGAGCTGGTCTCCAGCAGGCTTCAAAATGGGTCGCTCAAGGATACAGATCCTTGACCGATTTGCTAGAAAGGGCTCCTCTCAGCAAACAACAACGAATCGGCGTGGAACGCTATGACGATTTTGCACAGAAAATTCCCCGCAAGGAGGTTGAAGCCCATGGTGCGATTGTACGAAAGGCGGTGCAAAGTGTGGATAAAGACATGCAGGTGATCATCGGGGGCTCTTACCGCCGCGGGGCAGTCGCCTGCGGTGATGTTGATTGCCTCATAACTAAACCAGGCGCCACGCTTGAACAAATTCGCACAATGGTGCTCGCGCTTGTCGTTCCCAAACTCTTCGGCAATGGATTTCTAAAAGCTAGTCTTGCTATCTCGTCTCGTCACGATGGTTCCAAGTGGCACGGTGCCTCTGCTTTGCCTGGCACTGACCTATGGCGTCGTATTGATTTGTTATTTGTTCCGGATACGGAGATCGGGGCGGCGCTGATATACTTCACGGGCAATGATATATTCAATCGGAGTATGAGATTGCTGGCAAGAAAGAAGGGTATGTGTCTCAGCCAAAGGGGCTTTTCACCGATGTGCTCCGGAATCATCAGGTGAAGGTGAATGCAGGCCGACTGGTTGAGGGTCGGGATGAGCGTCGGATCTTTGCTGTGTTGGGCGTACCTTGGCGGCCTCCCGAGCACCGTATCTGTTGATACAATTCAATTGGGATTCCTTGGCTTCATAGCGAACATGGTACCTAGGTAGTCCCTGTACCCTGTGCATGAGCAGACGAACAGTAATAAAACAATTATTATTAATATTGCTAACGTTAGTGTTCTCTATTGTCACATACAATAATGGTAAGCGGTTGACTGATTAAATAGTGGTAGAACTGAAATAGATACATATATATACGGAATACTCTGTGCATACGAATCAATGACGATACTTTGAACAGAAGTTTTCCATGAAAAACGCACTATAATAATATAATAAAATATATTTTCCTGCAGGCATAGATCTCCCTATCGAATTGAACAGAAGAAAGAAAATACAAATACATGGCTGCATGTACATAGAGTTTCCCTATAGGCCTTGAGTATTCCGACAGAGAGAGTAGAGGGAGAGAGACAGAGAGAAGGAGTGTAGCAGTCACAAGTGGCACAAAGTGACTAAGAATTCTTCTCCCTCTCTCTTCTCTTCATCAACCCCAACAACACTTGATCGACTCCCTACTCACTGATTCCCATCCAAAACCTCATTTGATATTCCTTTTTTTCATTAATCACCGCCTTTCTGCTACCGCCTTGTAGAGATCACCGCCTTGACGTGGATAGATCACCGCCTTTCGTGCGGTGAAGCCTTCATCGCGTGTCCCCTCCCCTTCTTCCCAGACCGCCCTCTACTGCCTCTGCGTTTTGCCCGCACATCATCAGTTCGATATCATCTTGATATTTGTTTTTTTGGTCTTGAGCCTTTTCTTTTGAGGCTCGGGCCCTATCTGAGGTCCACGGCCTGGGATTTCCAATCCTCAGCGTGTGTGTCGTGATTTTTCTTTCACGTCCACTCTTCCCTCGTCTATTCCCCTCCGAGTCCACACTGTCGTCTCGAACTTTGGTGGGATTTGCTACTCACTCTGGTAACTACGTCTATTGCTCTGATTGATTGCTTACCTTCACGATACTCCTGATTGACACGTGTGACTTCTCTAAAACACGTGCCAAAACACCACCGCAATGGGTCGCAAACCCAACCAACTGATCCTCGAGTTCTTCCACCGGGGTCCTAAGCTGGAAGACGCGAGCAACCGATACCAACACACTTGCAAAGCTTGTGGCGAAGTTTTTCCGAAGGGTCGCATTGACAGTCTGACCAATCACCTGGTAAAGAAGTGCCAGGCGATTCCCCTCCGCGACCGCCAACGCGTGTTGTTGCGACTTCACGAACTCCCGGACTTGACCGATGGCGATTCGACCAAGGATTCCCCAACTGGAAAGCAAGGCAAGGCGGGTGAAAACGGATTTCCCAATCGCCAGAACTTTGATGGTCTCAACGTGCTGGCTGAAGCTTCGCGACAAGTCGGCGCCTCGGACGTGACCAAGCGCCCCGGATACACCCAGTCTGTGACAGCCGGAGGCAAGACCGTTATTGTCGACCCCGCGCTCGAAGCGGAAGGCTTCCAAGGTCAATCCCAAGGACCTGACAAGATGGAGGGTACGGCAAATGCCGAGGGTAAGTTTCCCGTTCATTGTTGCAGGTATTCCAACACTAACACTTCGCAGGAACTCCCCAGTCGTCCAACGCTCCTAGTATTCCTGCTCTCCCGAGCCACACCCCCAACGAGCACCACGAATCCATGTCTCCTACCCTTGGAAATACCTCCATGTCGCCTGAATCCACATCCAATGCGCGGCAGTCGCAGCTGTCAATGATCGCAGCGTCTGCCAGTGAGATGGTCCCCCAGGGACTGTCCATTGATGGTGATAGCATGGGTCCCGATGGAATGAAGATGAGCCCATGGAGCCAGCAACTGTCAACCCACGAGCAGCTTCTCTTTGACAGCTTGGCGGAACATGACCCCACGTTGACTGCTGCCACTCAGCGGGCTGCCTCCTATCCTCGCCCTATTGCAATGAACCCTAACACTCAGGCGAAAGGATTCGTGAATGAATTTGGCAACTCTACCAAGCCGATGAAGCCCAAGGTTCGGGGTCGCTTTACCGCCGAGCGTCGACGTGAAGTCCAGGATGTGCGAAAGAAGGGTGCATGTCTTCGTTGTCGGATGCTCAAGAAACCTGTAAGAAACTGTGAAACCGTGCGATAACTGAATCATCACTGACAAATACTTCAACAGTGCTCTGGTGATACCCCTTGCACCACCTGCGCTAGCGTGGAGAGCGCTCGCTTGTGGAAACACCCGTGCCTGCGTACCCGCCTTTCTGACGAGTTTGAACTCTACAATGCTAGTATGTTATGTTCTTTTCTATACCTGTGACCTATGAACTGACATGATTTCCAGACCTTAACTCCACCCTGGCCTACCATGACACCAATAGCATTAAGAACCAGATCAAATTTGACCACTATTCCGGTCGCATCGAGGTCACTCACTTTGAAGAGAGCAACTCTTTCATGACTTTCAGCGGACTTCAAGGTCACCGTCAATCTGTGTCTGCACTTGATCCTCAGCTGCAAGCCCTCGGTGATGATCAATTCTCAGGTCCATCGCAAGAAGTCTTTTTGCTGGACTCCGACTCCGATGATATCCCCAGTAAGCTGGAGATGTACATCAAGAAGAACGCCTCCTACTTCTATGAACGGGAGACCTCACCGTTCATGAAGCCGACTTTGCTGCTCGCCGCTGAACTGAATCAATCAAAGAAGGTATGTCCTCTGCTTTTTTATTCTGCCAATCTTGGTACATTCATTGACACATAAATAGGACATTCTTCTGGAGCGTGTGCTGGAACTTTGGGTTGCCACACACATTCTTGTTGATACAGAACTCACCTGGAAAACTTACTACAATCCCACTCTGCCCCCGAATTCGTTGCACTCACTTTCTCAGCCCTCCGATGAGGGCCGGCTGCCCATCGAGGAAGTTTCCGACCCAGAGTCTTACGGTCTTCTCTGCAGCCAGCTTCGTGCTGCCATGGAGAAGCGCGCTTCGCAGCTGAGCAAATTTGTCATCAACGATCTGGAACGTCGACTTCTTCAGCGCCAGAAGTGTGGCTGGTTCGATACTTACATCGTTGCCATTATTCTTTTGAACTGCGTGGAGCGCACTTGCTGGTTGTTCCGCTCATGGGACAACGAGAACTTCGCTCAGCGAGTAAGTTGATCTTGATCGATCTGCCATGCTGCATATCTTACTAACAACTACCTCCAGTGGCCTCTGGACAAGCGCCCTCCCTACTACTTCAACCAGTCTGACCGCTTCGCCGATATTCTCGAGATGCTTCTGCGCATGCGCCATATCCCTCCCAAGGCTACTTTCCGCCCTGACAATGGTGTTTTAAAGGCAGTCGAAGGCAGCGACGAGCACGCTGTCCGCTGGTTCGATATGATCCAACTTACTCGTAAGTTGCAGCTCAATTGTTATAATTTCCACGTGTCTTTGACTAACATCCTTTTGTTTAGCCTACTTCATCGAAGAGCGCAAGAACGCCGTCTTCGACCCATCTGACTCGCGCTCGCTTGATTGCCACCACAGCGCTAATCTACTTGAGCCCAACAATGCAACCTGATTCAGCAAAGAATAAACAAATATGTCTGAGTCTTGCTTCTTCTCTGAAAAAGTTGAATTATCGTTACGAAATCGAAAGCGAAATGCATGCAACAAGCCAGCCGAAGCCTTGCCTAGGCTTCCGAGGAATACTAATGGGCTTCGGGTCAGGTTTGCTTATGGAGTTTGTCTGCAAGGGAGGAAATGTTTTCATGAAGCGAAATATGTGCCAAAAAAATTCAGAAAATATCGAGGAGGGATTGTTTTCGAGTATCATTAATTTCTGGGTGTTAGTGGGTGTTCAGCTGGGTTGCTTCTGCTGCGTTTTGTATGTCTAGCTTTTGTAGCTTTTAGGTTTTATCCATTTGGTGTGAGTAGGCAAACAAAATTTCGAATCTCATTTAGAATGCTCACCAGATGTATCGCAACTTGCTGTGCTATCTAAAAAAGTAACACTCATTCTCCGAGAAGAGATCCAAACCAACATATAGAGTCAGGCTATAGCCTGGAATTACGCACATTCAAGTTTTAATAACTTTTCCAAGTTCCAGCAGGTACTATACTTAATGCGCTGGATCTTTCGCTTCCAAAGCATCCAGCCCTGGTAGTAAGAAATTCACCGACTGCCTCTCCTCCCAAGCCTTTGCATATAGATCCCGCCCCCCACCTACACTATCTGTCCCATAAGTCCGCCCAAATGCACCGACCCAGTTATTATAAGTAGTTTCCGGCTTTGTCCGGCATAACCAACACATGATGTTCTTGAAGCCATCTGCATTGAACCCAGCGCGCGGAAAGACTCGCATAATTGTACCATATTCTTCCGGCGTAATCAACTCCTCATCGCATGGGCCGCGAAGGCTAGGTCCCATGAAATCGGCCACCACACCAAGATGTGTAAGAGCAACCTCGGGAGCGGCATGTCTGGCAATGGAGCCTGTGGTATGCAAAGCGATAGAATCCCAAATCCGCTGGGTGGTGGCTTCGTCGATGGATTCTGTTGCGTCCTCGGAACTCTTTTCGGACTTAATAAACTCTCGTGCGATATTCGCGCTGTCAACCTCGAAACGCTTGTCGGTTGACAATAGGTCTGGTGTTTTGGCCCAGCCCATGTCGTGAAGGATACAACCGATGACTACTGCCTCCAAGTTGAGATCGGGGTTGTCTTTGAATTCGGGCAACTTTTTAGCGATTAGAATTGCCCAATATGCGGAACGAATAGCATGGTTGTAGACCGCCTCGGTACAATGTTCTTTTGCGTATGCGAAGGCTTTTGGAGCTAGCTTTGAGGGTGGGAGCTCAAGGCCAATCGATTCAACAACGGGAAGCTCTTGAGTGGGAGATGTCATGGTGAACTTGAAGTTGGATGAAGTGTAATTAAAGTATGAAGCTTGCTAGGTGGGGATTATCTCCATTGTAGACAAGCATGGATGAGGGGTATATTTGACTGTCAGCATCTCTACTATGCAGGGGAATAACCCATAAAAGGTGGAGCCGAAATACAATACTAGCCAATGCTGACCTCAGATTTTGAAGAAAAGCAGCAGTCTGCAGGGCTGAGACTGTCATGTTAGTTCCGCATATATAACGAAAGTTTACTATATGGATGGCACTTCTTTGGTGGCCAACTATATCCTGCTGTAGCGAAATATAAACTGTTTCCCGACTTATGGGGCCCGTGTACACAGGGATTACTTTATGTTTCACAGACTGGTAGATTAGTTTGTGTTTTTAGTGGCATGAATATTCTACAACATAAATCATGTTATAATCGCCACCCGTGCTATTCCCAGTATATATAGTGGGGTGATGAAGTTGGCCTCATATGCCAGGAACTGGGTCAGGGGGCACAAAGCCCAAAGAAAAAGAAAGTAAAGAAAACCCTAGGAACGAGAGTCTTTGGCAATAAAGATTGTAGCATGATTGGTTGATATTCGACCATTTGGTGGCCAATACCTCGGATATGACGTACACCCAGGAATGGGCGGCCTTCACTGGTCGATCGGGTGATGTTCCCCCATTTCATTTCGAGGTCTGGAGAAAACCCCCGTCCCTCTCTTTTCTTCTCAACTAAAACCAGATCATGCCTCCGTTTCGCAATCTCCTCAGTCGAAAGCCTCAACCCAATGCCGGGGACCCTGCTGTCTTCGACGAGAACTATCTCTCACCTAATCAACGCCCCGCGCCGATCCCGATCCGGAACAGCCATGATGAACCTACCGAGTACAAATTGAGTGGTACGATTGCCCTCTTGAATACAGTCGCAGTTTTGCGCTCGATTATTATACGTTTGCTGTTGGAACAAAGGCTAACCTCATTCCTCGCAGTGGTCAACGACAGTGGAGTCTATCTCCCGGTATGGGCGTTCTAAGGCCGGAAGGATGATATCGCCTGCTAATTACTGCCATAGCCGTCTCCTCCGGAGAAACAGAGCTTTTGGCGCCGATACCCAGGGTCTACTAAACCCGTGCATCACCGCGACCTCGTTGATGAGAATGAGCCTTTCTCCATATCTCGCGAGTCTTTCGACTCTTATCGCCGATCTTTTGTATGTCCGTCCCTGTGAATTGCACTGCCTCCTCCATCAATTAAACTGACATTCAATATTCGATATAGGATATTTCTGCCCGTTCTCCCATAATTCACCCTGACGCTGGTCCTTCTCGGACTTCTCTTGACTCCCGATGCTCCCGGTTAACTCCGTCGGCCACCCATTCCACCAGCTTCACCAGGCCCGACACCATGGAAGAAGAAACTTTCGAGGAAGTGGGTCTGAATGATGAGGCAAAGCCTAAGAAGAAGGGTTTTCTCTCTAGATTCGGTGACTCTTTCAATGAGGCGCAACCAGCCAATGCCACCAAATCCACGTCCTTTGGCTTCCACATCCCTGGCCGGAAGCGCGGTCAGAGTGGTGGTGCGTCCGAACTTGGTTCTATGAATGGTCCCACATCCTCAAGCGCTGTGGATGACGAGAAATGAATTGCATGAGTGATGACATATATTTCGTATTGTGGTCGGGGTTTCCCCGCGGCGTTCTGGAGTTTCGCGAGTGATGCACTACACACTAGCTTGGAGGCATAATATATTCGGGGACTTGATGAACGCCAATGGCGGTCCTGTTGTTCCCAGAGGGTCTATATGGCTCGTGTCACTGATCCGCATTTTGTACACCTGTTTTGCCGAGTTGCGACTTGGGCTGTGTTTTAACGGCAATATCCTACATTTTATTTCCCTAGATCTTCATTATACCATTTATTGGGAGACCACGCATTTCACCACGCATTTCAGTAGTAATCTCAGTAAAAAGTCAATGGATTGAACGAATCAATATTATTATATATTCATGATTGGAAACTTTAATGACCTAGGGCACGGTATGAGGCACGCTCTTGGATCAACAACCACGATCTTTTACAAATGCCTGCGGTGGTTCATGCTTATTTTGACTAGTATAGTTGGCGAATGAGGAATTCAGATGAAGGTCAATTCAAGTATTAAATCTATCATATGCTTGGAATTGTCGTGGTGGCCGTAAACACTTTCTGTAAGAATTCTCCGCAACTATCTTATCAGTGCAAACTGTGCAAACTAAAAAAACTTCCTTCGGCCTGCGACCAAAAAAAATTATCCACCAGCACATCGAGCATTCTCCGCTCGCAACCTCCAATTTTATTACTTATTTGGAGACACCCTACAGCCTACGAAATACATTATCATGGCTGGATTGAAGCGTGCCGTCGACGGCAGCGAAGAGCGCAATGGCAAGCGGAGCAAGACCAAGGAAGGTTCCGCATCTAAGAAGTCTGAGCCCACAGCGTCCGTGAAGAAGTCAAGCTCTTCGTCAAAGAAGGACTCTAAGAAGGACTCCAAGTCCAGTAAGAGCGACAAGAAGCCTTCGAAGAAGATCCAGAAGGAAGAGTCCGAGGATGACGATGACTTTGACATCGACGATGTTTCCGACGAAGATATTGATGCCCTTGATGCCCTTTCAGACAACGATGTTGAAATGGATGACGTGAGCGAAGTGGAAGAGGAGAAGCCCGAGTCAAATGAGCAGGAACAGCAAGAGGCTCGGAAGAACCCCAACAGTAAGTTTCTGTCCTATCTTTTGACGGTTTCGTAACTAATCGCCTTTGCGCCTTCAGACAACTCTCGCGAGTCGCACATCAAGCAGAAGGCACTTCAACAAGAACGCAAGGCTGCGAAGCCCAATGCCGATACTGTCGCCCGCTCCAAGAAGCTGTGGGAGCAGCTGCGCCGCAAGTCCCACGTCCCGCTAGAACAGAGAAAAAAGCTTGTTAAGGAGCTGTTCGAGATCATCACCAACCGAGTTCGCGACTTTGTGTTCAAGCACGACTCCGTCCGAGTCATTCAGACTGCCCTCAAGTACGGAAACCTTGAGCAGCGCAAGCTGATTGCGCATGAGTTGAAGGGTACCTACAAGGAACTTGCGCAGAGCCGATATGCCAAGTTCTTGGTTGGAAAGCTGATTGTGCACGGAGACGAGGAGACCCGCGATTTGATTATTCCAGAGTTCTACGGCAATGTCAGGCGTCTTATTCGCCACGCCGAAGGTTCATGGATTCTCGACGATATCTACCGACAGGTTGCGAGCAAGGCACAGAAAGACAGACTCCTCCGAGAGTGGTACGGTCCCGAGTTCGTCATTTTCCAGGATGAGAACGAGACGACTTCCGACCTTACTACTATCCTCGAAGCCCACCCCGAGAAGCGTGGCCCGATCATGAACCACCTGCGCGAGATGATCAATCAGCTGGTGCAGAAGAAGAGCACCGGATTCACCATGCTTCACGATGCTATGCTGCAGTACTTCCTCAACACAAAACCCGGCAGCAACGAAGCCAACGAATTTATCGAGCTGCTCAAGAGTGACGAAGAAGGTGACTTGGTCAAGAACTTGGCTTTCACCAAGTCCGGCTCTCGTTTGATGTGTCTCTCCTTCGCGTACGCCAACGCCAAAGACCGCAAGTTGCTTCTACGATTCTACCGTGACACTGTCAAGGCCATGGCCGGTGACCTCAATGGCCACCAAGTCCTCATTTCCGCCTATGAGGTCATTGATGACACAAAGCTCAGCGCCAAGTCCTTTTTCCCCGAGTTGCTGAACCAAAACGACAGCGAAGAGACCCGCAACGAGGAGCTCTGCTTCCAGGTCAACGACCTGACTGCCCGTATCCCCATCCTATACCCCTTCGCTGGTGACCGCGTCAAGTGGCTGCTGCCGGAGGCCGACCAGAAGGTCCTGGAGGAGGTCCGCGAGATTCGCAAGGAAACCTCCAAGAAAGACCCCACCATGCGTCGCCAGGAACTTGTTAAGGCCGCTTCCCCCACACTGCTTGAGTTCATTGCCGCTCGCGCCTCTACCCTTCTCGAGACTACCTTCGGCTGCCAGTTCCTCTCCGAGGTTCTGTTCGAGGCTGATGGAGATAAGACCGCTGCTCTCGCCGCTTTGGCCGAGGCTGCCAAGGAGCACACCGAGGCCCGTGACACTGCGCATGTCGGCCGTCTCCTCAAGTCCCTTGTACAGGGTGGAAGGTTCAACCCGGCCACCAAGAGCGTTGAAAAGGTGGAGCCCGCGTTAAACTTCCACGGCGTGCTTTACGATCAGATCAAGGATGAGGTTATGGACTGGGCGACGGGCGCCAACCCCTTCGTCATTGTTGCTTTGGCCGAGTCCGAGGACTTTGAAAAGAAGAGCGAGCTGCTCAAGACTCTGAAGAAGAACAAGAAGGCGCTGGAGCAGGCCTCGGCGTCCGTCGTTGAGAAGGATGGTAAGAAGAAGCCTAGCCCGGCTAGCAGCGGTGCGAAGCTTCTGCTTGAGAAGATTTAGGGGATTTATAGCATGTGTAATTATGTTGTATACAAAAAGCATACATTTATTTTTTTTAGTCTTTGGTCTGTCGTCGAGGTATACAATATAACTAAGTAGAGGCAATCAGGCAATCAGGCAATCAGGTGTCCAAACCGAAATTACAATCTCCACAAAGTGGCAAAGTGGAACTTGGACGGATCGAGGCTCGATCTCAGGGGTTCGTCCAATTTTACATTGTTTACACTTGGACTCTGTAAGTAGAAAGGAAATAAAGGGAAGTGAATAGTTACAGATGTTATCGAGGTTAGGAAACTGTATATACATAATGTATGCATGGGTACCCAGGCAATTCAGTCCTTACTGAAATCAAAACACCACAATGCATATAAGCCCCTTATATACTTCTAAGCCCGTTTGACCTATACTCGAAAGGTCTTTGGCGCGAGACCATCCTAATCAGACGAAATTAGACATCCTTCACCTTGTTGTTTTCTTTTCTGTTCCAGTACGTACTGAGGTAGTACAGCTATATATGATCTATCAACTTGGCTACTACTGTACTTAAATCTACTTAACCTACTAAACTATTGACAATTGCAAGGAGTAGTGGAAGCCTAATGCCTATTGATGGGAATATCTTCACAATCAGCAGATCCCAAATAGGCAATGATCATACGCTAAAAACCTCATCATAATTTAAGGGTGAGCTCAGAGTGAAGCTGAGGCTTTTGATTGACCGACGTACAATTGACAAGGAATCCGCATCTTGAATTTGTGATCTCTCTTCTTCATCTCCTCCTCCTCTCTACTCCATACAACACTCTACGTTGTACACCAATTTTCAAAAGGCCCCAGGGCCCGAGAGAAGGAGAGAGAAAGAGAGAGAGAGATAGAGAGATGCCCTCCCTCACTTTGACAGACCCGGACATGATCCTGCCATTCGATAGCAAACGCGAATCCCAAACTCCCTCCCCACCCCAAATCGCCTACTTGTCGAATCTCAACTCCCGCCAATACGACAATGCCCCCGCCATGTCCCGACAGAAGAAAAATTTTTCTCGCCATGCCTGGACCCACGACGATGTAAATGTGAGTCGGCGATTATCGGATATTGGCGAGGAGCTATCACCCGCTAGGTCGGAGAGTTTCGACACGGACTCAGGCGACTATGCAGAATCGAAGCAGGACCAAGATGGCCTGAACCGTGAAAATGCTACGTACAGTAGCTCTAGTTCCACGATTAGTGCGGGGAGTCGTCGCGCTTCTGCATCGACAGAGGTTCCTGAGCAGCGCGAGCGCGACAGCACGCCTGTTGACCCCGAGATCGCGAGAGCGCAGGCTACCGCCGTGGTCGGCTCTGTTGGTCTCTCGTCTCTGCCGGCTAGCAGCGCAGTGGCGTCTGCAGCCGCAGAGGGTAAGGGGCCCGGCGAGGAATTTTCTTCTGCCATCCTGAGCAGCGAGGCAGAACGGATTTTGGAAAACGCGAAGAAGAGACTCAATGTATGTGAATGTGAAGATTGGTTTTTTGCGCGACCTTGCACAGCAATGCTAACGTGGTTTTGACTCCCAGCTCATGGAAGGAAACCTTACACGCGCTAGGTCCACGACACGCATGACACCCTCTCCCTCGTCCTCGAACGCGAGCTATATCCAGCCATTAGGCAAGCAGCAACCGGTCGGCGGCCTATATCGATCGATCGCGAAAACGGAACCGAAGAATTCATCGTTGAGACGACAGTCGCTCATCGCGTCGCAGGATACGACCAATAATCGCCATTCGAGGGTTCACTCTGAAACGAATATTTCGTCTGGATCGAGTTTATCGAACGATACAAAGCGCATGTCGCGCTCGGTCAGTGCCATGGGCGCGAGTAGCTACTCGAAGCTTCACACCGATGATCGGTCGTTCCATTATGAGCCCACCAGGGCATATCTCACGCACCGCTCGTCGATATCCTCTATAAAACCTCCGATACAGGTGGTGGAGCAAGAAACCCAGGATCAGACGCAGTCTCCTATTTCCACCCCAGATAGTTCCTTGGATTCTCCCCAAGGCTTGGGAATTTCGTCGGATGAGGGTTCCAAATCTAGTCCCGATAGGTTCAGCCCAGTCTACAGCTCGTATGGACCCCCTAGCCGTGCGCAATCGCAGCTGCAAGTCCGCGATCTCCAGTACCAGATGAAAGGTCTCCATATCAAAATCTCTTCCCTCAAGGTGAAGACCCAGGAGGACAACCTTCGCCGGCGCAGTCTACAAAGCTTGCGCACTCCTAGTCCTTTGACCGCCGCTGATCACTGGTATGCCAATGCGTTGGAGCTAAGAGATGGTCGGAGCAGCCGAGGCTCTAATCCTCGACGCGATACCAGCTCTGAATATGCCCGTGATGCCTCAAACGGACCGGCAGCAAAAGAACGTTCTGACTCGGACGAAAATATCGCCGGCAACTCATACAGACCTACCCGTAATGGGCAGAACAATGAGTTTGCCGAATATGACGACAGCCAATCTGTTACCGAGAGCATGTATGAGGATGCCGAGGAAGGCGAATATGACGAGATCGACCGAAAAGCCCTGGATGAGATCTTGCGAGAACCCCTCGACGAGGACTTGGAAAGCGACACTGAAGCCTTCCCTGACATGATATCACAGGACACGACCCCCCACGAAATGCGTGAAGACGCTTTCGACTATGAGCATTTCATCTTGCACAGTGCACTAGGCAATTACACCCAACAATTGCGTCGTGTGAGCAACAGCTCGAACGGATCGGTTGAGACAACTCGGCCCGCATACACAGCACGACACTCCCGCACCAACAGTGCCATGTCCGACTCAACAGTAGCCACCTTCGCAACCGCAACCGAAGGCCGACGCGACGACGAGGACGACATCGATAGCGTAATGTACTGGGACCGACGCTTCAATCACGGTTCGCCCCCACAATCCCCATCCCCTGGACCACACCCCGCTAATCCCCGGACAGAGTTGCGACACGGCCATTCCCACAGTCATTCTCGATCCCATTCTAACTCCCATGCCCACTCCCACGCTCACAGCCACCAACCCAGCCCCATCCAAGAAATGGAGGTCGAAGGCGAGGGTGATCGATCTGTAACACCGAGTGGGTCACGCGAGAACGGCGTTGCTACCCGGGTGGGCATGACTTCATCCCCGCAAAAGACAACCGGCCCGTCATCCTCTGCTGCGGCTGGCTCTGCAACGCCGACCTCCCTCGTTTCGTCGCTCGTTTCGACCGTGCGCGCTGCGTCTAGCACGCCCAGCGTGGGCATCAACGATGATGACACCCAGATGCTGGAGGCGCTCTTCAGCAGCCTGGGTACTGTCTGTACCGATCTGCAGGCCATCACGAGTTCCTCGGATCCAGATACAAAGGCTGCGCGTGTGCTTCGGCGCCGTCTGGACGCCGCACGGAGAGTACTGGAGGGAGAGCTCGATGCTTGATTTTGACTTGATGGTGTTTCTTGCCCATCTCATCTCTACACAGCGACTCGTGCCATGTACCATGATCCAACTATCGCGTGGGCGATATTGACGTTCTTTATCTGTTTCATTTACTATTTTGTTTGGCTCCTTTCTGATGATACCCAGCTTTTTATATGGAGAATTCCCTTTCTCGATACTGTCTCTTTGTGATATTTGTGTATTTAGGTCTTCTGGAACTTCCAGAGTATTAATCCAGGAATAATGTAATATGTATTTGTTATAACATCTCATACAACGATACAAAATTGTTTGGTTAGATGTCTTTTCCATTATTTCATCCTCGCTCGTTACGTGTGACCCTAAGACTTGGAAAACAACATTTGAACAGTTCAATCATTGCTGATTCCTCTTCCTCACGACTCAATCTGTTTTCTCCCCTGCAGTATACTGCACGTTCTCGTCAAGCCCCTTTTTGCCCCGCGATCCCCAATTGGCACATTGATCGCCGATCTTTATGCGATAAAGCCCGTCGCGCTTGAACACTAACAACAAAAAACAATAGTAAGAGAAGGACCAGGTTACAGAAGACAAAAGAGACTAATATATAATCCAGACGAAAAGCGCGTCTCGGAATATCCACCGACCCCAGATTTCGGCGATCAAAAAAGATCAACAAAGGGAAAAACACACTAGAAAAAAAAAAGAATCAACAGCCAAACTGAACTCACCACTACCACCAAGTCTAAGCCTAAGTCCAAGAAAAAAGAAATCCAATCCAAATCTCCACAAAAAGCTCCTCCAATCTCTCCACGCCCAAAAAGTCTTCGCGATGAGCATGAGCGCCAGCGCATCCAGAAACCCCGCCGCGAGCATCGGCCCAGTGCCGCCCTCGCAGTCGCACAGCGCCCGCCGCCTCCTCATCTTCCAGGAGACGCGCAACCCTGCAAATGCTGCTGAACCAGTCTATCTCCCCGTCAACAAGCTAGGCCTGCCCATCTGCGGCGAGGCGCCTGAGTTGCCGTCCATTCTGGAGTTGCCGCTGCGCGTATTGAGGGTGTTTACCGATATCTTCAACCAGCCGAAGTATAAGGGATGGTATGTACTTTTTATGGACCTTCTTTCTTTGGTTCTTGTTTCTGTGGTTATGGACTAAGACTAATTTGATTGTAGGGCTGTGCTGGCTGCTGGTCCTTACCATGACATCTCAGAAGAAGGGAAATTCTACGCTGTCGTTCTGGAGCAGATGTCGAGTGTGCCTTCGCACGCCCCAGAGATCCATATGGGGACTCCGTGATTTGGGATGCGTGTGACTTGATATCTTTGTGGTTGTTTTTCTGGTCTCGTGGGGATATTGATAGATTGGTCTTGAGCTTTTTATTGCCTTCTTTTGTACATTTTTATTATCCATGGTTTTTCTAGCATGTGAAATGCATCAAGCTTGTGATACCTTTTCTGTTCGTTCTTTTCCTGTCTAGATTTGAAGCGTACATATGTAGTCTGCGGCTATGTGGGAGAGCAGGAGGGCAATCGAACTTTCAAAACACCTACGTAGAAGATTATGTATGTATTGTCCCCTTACAATATTAGATAATCGTTTTCCAATGAAAGTGAGCCATCCAAGCCCTAAATTGGTGTTGATATCCATGGGTTCGGAGTTCCAGATTGGGAAGCGGCTATGCCGCTTATTGAGTCAAGTTAATTGAGGTCTCGACATAGTTCTCTCCCTTCAAGACTCTTCAATACTCTTTTATCAGGGCTGCAACATCAAAAGCACAGTGACCAGTCCGTTTCAACAAAGTTCATCAACTATATCTGTCAAGGATCTTGCCAACAGTTTGTATAATCTCTAACCCTACTGTTTCACTCTACTACCTCAGTGTCTGACTATCTTCCCTGAATACCAGGACAGAGCCATTCTTTCGGCCTTTTTTTGTCATTGGTTTCCCTCATCACAAAACTATTTATATTGCCGAGCGACACCAGTCGCACTATGTGGAAATCAAAGAACTCATGGCGGGTTGGAAGTATCACAGTCCTTGTTATCACCGCAGCTTGGGTGTTTATTGTCGTTAGTCCAGACACCTTCAACAAGCTTGTGACTGTGAATGATTGCGACCGAATCTTCGTCTGCCAATTCCTTCTCTGGTGGGAGCCAGCAAACCAAAGACCGTACTCCGTCACTATATCTACTGCCGACGCGCCAAGTTGGGAGACAGGAAGTTACCACCCGAAACTTGATGAACGTGACGTAGATGACGTTTCACTTGGGAATATTGCCAGCATTGTTGGCGATAATGAGCTTGCTACAGGATATCCCCCGGCTAAGGATGAAATTGCCCAGAACGAGGATCAAGTCCACGAAGACAACGAAATGCAGATGGACATTCAAGAGGAGGAGAACAGACCCACTCAAGAGGACGAACAGACTCAAGACAACTACATGGAGGGACTGAGCCACCAAGAAAAGCTCACAGAGGAAACTATCGACGCTGATACCGAATCTGATGATATCGGGCTACTCCATGCATGTCTTTTGAATGGTGACTGTGGGTTGGGGTACATGTGCTTTAAGGGACAATGCAGACCTAGATGCTCGAAACACCTAGACTGCCCAAATGGGTATGAGTGTCGATATGGTCGATATGGGTATCGGTGCTTTGAGAAGAAGGGGTGGCACCGAGAATGTAAAGTGCATCTTCGGTTCTGCTGGCGCCATCACCAGTGCTGCTCGGGATACTGTGGACGTAAGTCTAAGGGGAAGTCCTTGATGTGTCGGCGGCCCCCAGAGGGCGCGCAAGTGGAGACAGGGGAGGGGGATTGGTTAGTGGATGATTCTGCCAGGAGTGAATAACTTTGGCTTTTGTTATTCTTGTTGAATGGTGATACTATTATAATTATTGTTATGTAGAAAAAGCAGGGTATAAAGCAAAAGAAAGAAAATAATACTAATCTGTCACGGATAACCTAGTGGAAGGCTCACCGCTATGCATATTACCTTGCTTCGACGAAAGTCAGCGGGTACTGGTGCCTGGTACGAATCCTGGGGTTGGCATTTCACTCGCGCGAGTAATCCGCGACGCTGGAGGCCACTAAGCAATGGAGATGACACTTGAGGGAAGCAATTCTGCAGAGACATTTCCACCCTGGGATGGCGTCGCCAGATTACACCGTTCTGTTACAGGGATGTGTGCAATTTGGTGTGACAACCACCTCTTCTTCTTTTTTTGCTTCTCCAATTTAATCCCCATACTGTCGTTCTTTTGGTGTTAAATCTACAATACACACTTAATCAATCTTCCAACCTGGAAACACTCGGGCAATCCCGTCTCTTCCCATCTTGCTCCAGCCACCAATCTCGCTAACCCAGGTGCACAAGTAAAGATGATAGCCATCCCATGGCCGTTAAATCCAGCACACACCCACTGCCCCTCAAGTCCATGAACCGCCCCAATAACGGGCGCATTATCAGACGTGATCCCCAAAATCCCCGTCCAAGCATAATCAAAGCCCTCCCCATGCCGCAAAGGCTCCGCCGCACTATCAGAGGCAATATTCGCAAACTCTCGCGCACTATTCCGAACCAAGGAATCGTTGATTCCCGTATCGTCGAAAGTAGCCAACGCCTTCCATTTCTCCGCCTCCGAGTTCGATCCGTCACGCGTCCCCGTCCCCCCAATTACAATCGTCCCGTCGCGCAGCGGGTTCACAGAGAAGAAGTGCTCTGCGCTGTAGCGTAGCGACATTGTTTTCTTCAACGCGTCCGCGCCAGAGAGCGAAGACCGCGGGATAAAAGATTTCGCCTGCGAACGACGCGGCCGGATAAACGTCCTCAGCTGTGGGAGCAGCAGACCCGCGTACGCGTTCGTGCAGTGGATGACCGTCTCTGCCGCGATGGTCCCGCGAGCTGTGTGAACATCCCACCTGGCGTCTGTGTCGCGCGCTTGGTGCGCCGTCACCCTGGTCACTGGACAGTGCGTCCAGAGCTTGCCGCCCTTGGCGATGAAGTCGGACAGAATCCACTGCACTAGCTTGGCGGGGTTGTTGGAGGCGGCAGGCCACTCATAGGCGCGGATTGCGTTCGGCACTCGTGTTCTGGCTTTTGCTTCGTCGCCTTCGTGGATCTGTACTTGGGAGATGTCTCCGCCGGCTGCTTGGTACCCTGCTAGAGCTTTGGCTTGGTAGTCGGCGGATTCTTGAGAAAGGCATACTTCCAAGGTAGTTGTGTCGACGAAGTCGGAGTCGATGTTGTGCGTTTGTACGAACTCACGGATCTTTTGTAGGACTAGCTTTTCGTTTTCGAGGATCTTTTTGGCTTGCTCGGCGCCGTGTAGGGAGGCGTAATGGAGGAAACCTCGGAAGGCGTCTGCGTAGATTAGTATTTTGTAGTTTTGGCCCAGGAACTGATCGTGTGGTTGATCGGGCTGCACGCACCTGGTCGAATGTGCCCGGCATTTCGCCCACTGGCTCCAGATACAGCCTCGCGAGCTTCCAAGATCAGGATCTCTTCGCCTTTTGCGCCGCCTTCGATCAGCTTCCAGGCTGTCAGTGATCCCGAAATGCCAGAGCCAATGACAACATATTTGATGGCATTGGGGACGTCTGCTAGTCGATTGGCGTTCAAGTGAGGGAATGATCGCGTTCCTCTATGCCAGAGAGACAGACAGGCAGATGGAAATGGTAAGGATGGTTCCATATCGGACTATATAGTCGGGGTTATTTTGGATCTGATCATGAAAATAAGGAACGACTATGATGGGGATTGAAAGCTTCAAAACAGGAAAAAAGAGGTTACCTCCGCGATAACTACATCTAACGACTTTAGATGCCGAGTTGAATATCGTTGAGGGGTACATATGATCGGAGCAGTATGTGCCGCCAGCGGGCCTTGAGGGGTATTTGTCCACTAATTTTTCGACTCAAGATAACGCCATGGTAGTGCAGAATTGGTTGTTTAATATGAATCTGAATATGCAAGTCAGCAGTTGCAGATATAGTATGTTGTACGGGTCCAAATAAAGGCCTAACTATATGATATTCAGAGTCCATCAGGTCGTAAGTAATCATATTGGGATGCAGCTAACTATATCTTGACGAGTAACTGCGTTGCGATTTAAATGAATACACTTGGAGTTCTCGCCCAGATGCGACCTGAATTAATGTCAAAATTCGGCAGACAGCTTATTGTTGCCTGATGTTCTCGCCGACCTTGCCTTTTCTCAGATAGATGCTCAACCCGCCACATAGATATATCATATCACACTCCTACATGAGAGGAATCGCAATCACTAGCCGTCCATATAAGGGCAAATGAGAAAATCCAAGTATGGGCGGCCTTTAGCACTAGTAATAATTGCAGCGTGGACTGTACGCTGGGGGTGCGACACTGCTTGGTTCGGCAATTATGATGACTGATCTGTCACTACTTCGGTGCCTGTCAGGGATGTTAGCCAGCTCTGTGCAGTGAGGCTTGGCAATAATTACATCCAACCACTGTGATCCTCACAAAAGTCTTCGATCTGCTCGATATAAAACTGGCACATATTCAGTCAATTCATTCGCTCGTATTAGTTCAATATCCATGAACTGCTTACGGCCACCGAGCTGACCCTCATGCTAGTAGAAGCACACGAGTCTTGGTTCCTGACTGTCACTTTGGCGGTCCCATGAGTTGCAACCTGTGTCGACCCTGGCGGTAGACTAGTGGAACTGTTTAGTATGCCTCCGTACATTGTGGGATTCGATTCTGATGTAATGCTCACTTGAAACCGCCCTCGCTGCTTTTCATTGAAGACCTCAGAGCTCCAAGATCACTCTTATACTTCTGAACTGTGCCTGAGATCCCCCGGGGCCACCTCCAGCAATCGTCCGGTTTCTCAGAACGTCCCTCTAAGCCGCCAGATGCTGGAAATTGAGAGTTAGTTGAGTTCCAGCCAAACTTAGAACTCTCATTGATGTCTGAGCCAACTTCGATAAACTGGACCAAGAATGCCTCATAGGTTTCCAGTCCAGGGGTTGGGCTCACAGTCGGCGAAGCGATCGCAGAATGGCCAAGTGCTAGGATGTTTATCATAGCCAAAAAAGTGAGAAAGAACATCTTGATTATTGAGTAAGGGTCCTTGGGAGTAATTGTGGGGATGGAGTGAGAAAGGGCTTTGTCTATGTTATTTAGGAAGGGCGATTGCCCTCAATTTATAATTCTTAAGGCCATAGCTGACCATTCTACCTAGATCGTCCCTGAACACGATGTTACAACCAAGCTGGAACAGCTATGGCCAGGATTTGGGGGCGAAGCCGCGATCTGTCAACTTCTTGAACCAATACGCTTCCCCAACTGCGAACATACAAGGTTGCCTCACTGCAGCTGCTCGATAACGCGATTCTACACCAAGTTGGAATACTTGGGCGGGTCTTGACCTTGAAATCATAGCACCTATTGGCAACTATTTTCGAAACGGCTTAACTTAAAATCACGATAAAAATGAGTGGTCATGGGGCTCAATCGGGTTTGCCAGGACACCGCGGAAATAGCAAATAGTTGACTGGCGACCCAGAATTATGAGTCAATATATTGGCTCATTGGATCAAATGGAAGCTGTTTACATAGTTCTCGTTGTTGCTATTGGATGAATCAACATGTACTTTATTGGAGATGTGCGTGATCTTTTTTATTGGTTCGCAAATACTTGCTATGATTTATGCCTTAGCCTATCAACATGGGCCTAGCTGAAATGCAGGTCGGGTGGGGTTTTCGGCTTTTAGGACCCGCCACCATGGGTAATCTGGAATGGGATCGGTACTAGTTGAGATTTGGAGTTCGTCGGGCTCGCGGGAAGTAAGGGATGTCTCAAATCAATGTTAAAGCAGGTTTGTGTCGAGACCCATTTGCCGATTTTGGCAATGTCATGCACGTTGTAACATTGTGGAGTAGAAAAAGACACTCTCACAATATTGTAAGTCCGAAAGATCCGCAGTCTTTGTCTAATATTGGCCCCTGGGTGAGAATTCCTATGAACTATGCCATTATTCTATTTGGTTTATCAAAAATGCCCAATGGTTCGTTAGTGGGTCGTAATATCATCTTCATGCAGGTTCGCGGATATTAGAATGCCAAGATGGAATTAAGAACGAGCCGCATATACGTAGAATGCTATTTAGATATAAATGGTAAAAGGCGCAAGCGAATTTCTTGCTCATAGCAAGCGCTCAAACAGCAATGGCCTTCTCTGAGTCAGACATTCCTGACCTCTCTGGGAAGATCGTAATCGTCACCGGTAAGCCATTTTCATTTGTTTCAAAGTTCACAACCCAAGGGTTTACTGTCATATCCTAAAAATTCGGTAGGGGGAAACTCTGGCATAGGTCTTCAAACAGTTAAAGTCCTCGCATCCAAAAACGCACGCGTATATCTGGCCTGTCGTACCCGGGCAAAGTTTGACTCGGCCCTTGCAGAGATCCATACTCATTTACACCAACATGAGGCCGACGTCCGATTTTTGGAACTTGATCTTTCAACCATGATGGGTGCAAAGAAAGGTGCTGAGAGTTTCAAATCGTACTATGCCCTTTTTTGACCCCGTTGCCCTAATCTAATGATTTAATAAATGCTAACGATATCACCAGACAAGAAAACAAGCTCCACATCCTCTACAACACCGCTGGAGTGATGGGAACACCCAAAGGGAAATTGTCAGAGGACGGATATGAATATGTAACGGACATCTTTCGCGTTCATCTTTTTACGAGATGTCATCGAAAGTGAACATAAGCTAACAGCATCAATTATATACTGAATCCAGATCTTCAGCGTCAACACCCTTTCTCTCTTCGTCTTCACGTACAATCTCCTCCCGATTCTCCAATCAACAGTATCCATATCATCCCCAAACACAGTCCGGATCATAAACACCGCGTCTAGCGGTGCTAGCCAGGCACCTCGAAGTGGCATTCCACTCGACGATCCCACAATTGGCGCAAGAAAATCCCCATCGCAATGTTATGGACACTCCAAAATCGGGGTTGTGCTCTTGACCAGACAGCTTGCGAAAAGATTCCCTAGTATCCTGAGCTTTGCCCCACATCCGGGTCCCGTGCAAAGTAATTTGACAAGAGAATTGGGTATTCCGGGGCCGGTTATGTGGGTTTTGAACGTGAGTATCTTCCTAGCCGTATCTTCAAGGGCGGATAGCGCTAGTTTGCCCATTAAAGTCTATACATCTGACGCGAGACTTGGCTGATTATTTAGAGAATCGTTTTCAAACCGGTTGCCTACGGTGCCCTTACGCAACTTTATGCTGGGACTGCCCTGACAATCGATGGAGTTGAAAATGGTGCTTACATGGTGCCTCTGGCGTGAGTTCTCCTTTCGACCCTCCACATCCCAATGTCAACGAGATCTCTGACAACTAGAGTTGATAGAAAAATTGAACATAGTCCTCCTCATCCTCAGTGCGATGATGACTCTTTTGGTGATAGATTGTGGGAATGGTGCGAGAATGCTATGAAGATGGTCAATGCTGGTTGAAGTATAAGTGAAAGGTAACATGCAGTGCGAGTGTATTTTTGCGACCTCCCAATTTCTAAGACTATTTATGTGTTCTCATATAATCTGAAATCAGCGAGAGACTAGTCCCTTGTTGGTATTTAAACAGGCCAGGAGGCGGCACTGAGTTCAGTGTACGGCGAGTCGCAAGTGGCCTAGCAGATTAATCTCATATTGTATCAATAGATTTCATCAGTTTTCTCATTTTTGACAAAACTTGGCAGCTTTTTGAAGAACCAAGATTTGCGTAACTTCTCAACCAAGATCTGTCTTGTCACAGTCATTCAAAAGTTAACAGGTCCCTTAAAAAGACTGTAGTCTCTGAATGGCACGTTGCTAGTCTCATTAGTATCATTCTCAAAAATACAAAACATCGGCATACGTCAAACAAACTAGTATGTAGGTAAACTTGACGTCCATTTCTCCCTTCATCATGCCTTTCGACAACCTGTCATGCCCACAATGGAATGTCATCACTCTCCCTGGAGCTGGTTCCAGGAACCATTCTCATAAATCAAGACATCGCTCATCTCTTCCTCGCGAGACAGGGCGATGGATGATGGATACAGAGGCTGTGTAGGGATTACAACTGATATTGGGCACAGTGTATGCACGCATACTTCCGTTTCCGAAGAATGGCGGTACCACAGATTCCTCTGATTACTGGTATTACCGCCGAGCATCTGTTGGTGATCGCGAGTATCGTGCTCACACCGGTTTGGGATTGAAGAATCGAAACTTGATAAGCTCTCGTGTGTTGAGAAGTGGCCATCGTCGATCGTTTCCGTTTTGTTTTCTAACGAGACCGAATCCATCTCCACATCTCTGGAGCCGTCTTCTTCGGACGAGCGCTCTATGTCTTCTTCAGAATTCAGAGGCTCATAGGCCTCATCTGAGTCTGAATGTGTGCTTGATTGCAGGCGCAGATTGAGAATGGTTTTCGGATTTTCGGGAGTTTGCTGTGGAGTAATCAGGTATCCTTTGTTTTCTGACTCCGTGAGCGACTCCGTGAGCGACTGCGATGGCAATTCACCATTGGCGCACGATTTGTGTGGAGTTTGCTTGGGTGTGATCAAGCAAACTTCATTCTCCGAATCCGAAAGCTCTTCATCCACGTAAGGGAATTCACTTTTTAAGCCACGCATAAACTCCACAATTTCCTTACTGCAAATCCACCCCCAGCAATTCGTAAACCAGTGCGCCGCATGCTCCCAATGGAGAGTTGGAAACTTGACAAGAGACAGGAGCTTGCCGAAGGCTCGACCGGATCTGTACGGCGACTTTCGCTTTGCTGCCAAATGATCACGCAAGCGTTTATTGCAACGTACGGTACTGCGCAAGATTGACAACTGTAAGAGACGATTGATATCACGGTAAGAGATTGCGACTCGCTCCAGAGTGCTGAAATTGATTGTGAAAATTACAGCTTCGCCAGGGACCTGCCCCCAAATCAAGAATTCGCCTTTGCCTCGCCAGGAGAAGGTAAAGCTTCTGGTATATTTCGCGATAGGATGGGCATAGAAGACTTCTGTGCGAATCTTTTTTGTATCAATGACTGCAATTGTTCCGATTTTCAGACTGCGTGATGCGCGTTGGAGGGGTGCCAAAGGCGAACGAAATGTTGAAATGAACGGGGTCAGGATCTTCTTTGGACTGACATGGTTTCGAAAATGTTCTTCGAATTTCTCATCATTGATTTGTTTCCGCTTGAAACAGACACCGCTGGCGAAAAGACCAGATAGAAATCCCTGACGGGAGTTCACGCCCTGTGAGCCACTGTCATAACATCTGTATAGCAATGGCGGGATTTGATCCACAGGTAGTCCTTCCAATTGAGGGTCATCAGGTTCGCTGCCTTGATGATGATCAGGGTCTTCAACGTTGTCTTCGTCTTGGTGTTCGTGCTCTTCGTCTGGGTGTTCGTGCTCTTCATATTCCTTCGGCGGTTCGGTCATGCCTTCGTGATCACACCATAGGCAAGTCTTTCCATGGCTTGTCACAACTGGCTCATCGTACTTATAGGGATGCTTCTGGAGATCTTCTTGGTGGTCAAGGGTCCCGCGGTCGCTGAAACTTTCGCCGATGAATTGATGGCTTATTTCTTCCGGAATTGACAATCCCATCAGATTATTATTCTCTCGTATGAGAATTGGGGACGGGGGAGATATGGATGAAGGAGATGGGGATGGAGGAGATGGGGATGGAGGAGATGGGGATGGAGGAGATGGGGATGGAGGAGATGGGGATGGAGGAGATGGGGATGGAGGAGATGGGGATGGAGGAGATGGGGATGGAGGAGATGGGGATGGAGGAGATGGGGATGGAGGAGATGGGGATGGAGGAGATGGGGATGGAGGAGATGGGGATGGAGGAGATGGGGATGGAGGAGATGGGGATGGAGGAGATGGGGATGGAGGAGATGGGGATGGAGGAGATGGGGATGGAGGAGACGGGGCCAAGGAGACTGGCGCATTCGGCACAATATGCGGGTTCTTCACGAGCAAGCCATCAGTTTGGAATTTTAGATAGTGTTAATGATTACATACCGACGAATTCATCTGATCACGGCTGACATCTTCAGATCTCGCACCAGCATTCCAGCGAGATGTATCGATGTCGTCAACTGTTTTCGCCCGTAGGGGAAGCTTCAAAGCTTTAGCTGAAGATTGGATCCTTGCGATTATCTCTCTCCAGTAACCACTTGACTCAAAATCGGTTTTCATATGCACATGAGACCAGTCCAAATGCCCAGTATCTCTCATCCAAGTCCACTGTGCATACATGGTTTGGAATGGAATAAAGCCAGAGATACCGCGCTCTCTCAGATGTTTTTGGAAAATGTAACGAAATATCTCCTCGAAAATTTTCCTGCTGCGAACGAAAAAGCGAAATAAGCAACATAGAACCTGTCGCTTAAACTTATCCCACCGCAGGTTGGGTCGTTTAGGCGGTTTGCGGGACTCCATGGTTGATGATAATGCTCGGGTGGCTGAAGTGTGAAGATACGGAAAAAGAAAAGGAGAGAGAAGAGGACTGAGAAACGAATGCAAGGGAAGGGAAGGGAAAGGAAAGCAAAAACAAAGAAGAGATGGGAGGAGGAAGAGATGAGAGAAACAAGAGATGAGAGGAACAAGAGATGAGAGGAACAAGAGATGGGAGGATAAAGAATTAGGATGAAGGTTGAGAGTTGAAGAAATGGCCTTCGTCTCAAATAAATCAAGCTAGAGATACAATACCCAGAGGAAGGTGTCTGCACCATCTTTGAGCCAAATCATCGACGCAGATTAGCCAGGAAGGATCCTCCACGGCGCAATCTGGTATGACAGAAAGAGGCCAGAATCGACTCCAAAGCTACATAACTATGTGACACTCTAGTTGTCGATGGACATGTCTTCCTCACATCATATGATTGAGGTCATACCAGATGGGGCCCGGAGGCTCTCCTAATGATCATTTGGCGAAATAAGTGCTGCCTTATTTCTACGTAGGTTCGTCTTGAGCTTCAATAAAATTCAAATTTCATTGGACTATAGACACTTTAACTCAAGAGCTGGGGCTGAAAACCGCACAGAGTATAAAATTTCCTTTTGCGCTTATCACTCAACAAAGCTGCGTTGTCTTCCGTCATCTCGACTCTCCATCCAAGAGGATGTCTGACTTTCTGATGTTTCTCCAACTAGGAATAAGAAACCCCGTAATAAGATAGATACACACAACAAAGTACTCCATCAAAAGACCCATAGTCAAGAAGGGGGCAATCGGGCCGTTGAGATCGTTCCACCTCAGGTCTGCTGGCTGGAATACCGACAAAAAGAGGTATGTGATACGAACGGCTATGAAAGGCGTAGCAAGAGCCATGGATTTGAGAATCTGAAAGCAGAAGGTTAGAGGGAGAAAAAGATGTGAGAGGGTCAGCGAACCGTTCTGCTGGTTGCCGTAAGACACAATCGCTGTGTCCAGAAATACACTTGCATGGCAAGTAAACACCCGACGAACACCAACACGACGATGTATCCGGCTTTGACAATTTTAATACCCGTGAGGGCATCACTGACAGTGTCACTTCCTTCCAGAGCTCCTCCTGCGACAGTGAGTGCGATTCCGGCAATGAAAAGGAACCGAGTCACGACTAAACATTGCCGGATTTGTCGGCTCATATCTTGCTCCAGAGCCGCTCTAGAACGTATTAGACAGATAATAACGCATAGGAATTACAACCTGGTATTATGATCAAACTCACATTATTCGAATGAAGCCCAAAGTCGCTCCGATCAACGGAATCACGCCAGCATTGAGGAAGATGACTGAAGCTATCATCACGCCTGTACTGTTGGATTTGGTCCCAATAATTACCAAAATTCCTGCGGTAATGCGAACTGAGATTTTATCATATTAGATATACCGGATACTAAACCTGGGAATTCTGACAAAGAAGATACTCACTGATGGAAAAAAATGACAAGATGATCCACGCCATGCGAGGTCGCTTGTGCCGATAGCTGGCGAGATAAAGTGCAATAAACGTTACCGGTATATAGAACACAATTTGTGCAATGCTCAACTTGGAATGACTGCCAAACATGTTGATTTCAAGAATTGTCAAATTTAGGGTTGTTCGTTCCTCTGAGCCGTAAGCCCGCTTGTAAAAAATCAATAAATGAAGGACGAATGGAAATTTTGTGTCTCTTGGTGAATCAACAGTAAAGAAAGAAAGGGAGAATCCTCCTCTTTATAGAGATATTTTCTCGATTCTTTTGCTGAACAGCCCGGCTGTGCAGAAATCGTCTCCATAGATGCCCTCGCAAGATCAGCCCCCTTTTGGGTTTAGCGTCAGACACCATCGGAGATTGCGATGTTGATTGGTCGATCTTGGATTTATGGACCCACCTTGGTAGAGCCGCCCCGAACGCCACGTCAAAACTCTTGAACTGCAAACCCCTCTAGTGAATACCAATTAACCTTATTTGCCAAGCATTGATCCTGATATTTCAGTATTTAGGTGTTGTAATGCAACGCCACACAGGGCTAGACCAGCTTGTGTCATGGTTGGAGTAGCTGGCAAGTCAAGAGGCTGCAATACCTGTCGAAAAAGAAAGATTGCAGTGAGTCATGTTAGACTTGTGTATAGATTTAACAAACTGACTGACTGAGTATCTAGTGTGACCAGCAAAAGCCTGCCTGTGCCAAATGTATACGCTCACAGCGAGTATGTGGCGGGTACGAGAAAGAGAGAGTATTCGTACTGGTTCAACCAGCAGCTGAAAAAACACATACCTTTCTCAGACCCCACACCCTATCTCCACAAGGAACTCCTCAGATTGAAGCAGTCAAATCAAATATATTTAGCCCAGCGAGCGTGGTTGGAGTCAATAAAATCCCGCAATCTTTCACCGAAACAAGCCCCCTAAATGTGATGATGATGCATAGAAGCATCGAAAGCCACAACTTGATCCAAGCCTTCCTATTGAACTGCTTTCCTTCAAACTGGCCCTCAACTTCACACTCTTGGATCTCCTTACTTGGAGAGTTACCCACCAAAGTCGAGGCATTGGAGATATCAAGTGCAGCAGTCGCAGCTTCAGCACTAGGATACATGTTCAACGACCAAGTTCTAGTCAAACAGAGTCTGACTTACTATACTTGGGGCCTTCAACTACTACAAAAGGCGTTGCATGATCCACGTCTTATGCGAGAAGATGGAACCCTGGCGGCGTGCATGGCACTAAGTCTTTACGAGGCCCTTGAATGCCCTAACCTGGGATCCGAAGGCTATTTCAATCATTGTCATGGTCTCATCGCTCTGATTCAATCTCGCGGCCTTGATGTTCATTCTTCGGGCACCGGCAATCGATTGTTTCGCGGTGTTCGAGTCCCTGGGGTAGGTTTCGTAAAAGCTCAGAAATCATGTTTGCTCGTCTGTTAACCGTACTTCTACTAGATATTATTCGCCTTGAAACACCATACCTCCACCATCTTCTCTGAGTCTACCTGGATGGAACAGCCTTGGATAGGAATACAGAAGACACCTCACGACCGGGTAACCGACTGTCTCGCCCAAGCCCCCGTGATCCTGGAACGGGTGCGATCATTACCCCGTCTGAGTTTAAGCCACCAGGTTGATTTGCTTCATGAGTTAATCCGTGAATGTTGGCAAATTGACCAAAAACTAGATGTTGCCTATGATCAGATGCAGCAATCGGCGTCAGATGTGCTATACTGGCAGGTGCCGTCGCAAACAGATCCTTTACTTCAGTCCGAACAGTTTGAGCCCCTGTTTCCAGTCGTTTTCTGTTTCCAGAACGTCCAGATGGCTGCAACACTGATGCTCTTGTGGGCAACACGGACGATGGTTTGGTCGGGTCTTTCCAATATGTACCAGTACTTGGAAGGAATCATGCTCTTTGAAATCCCAAGTAGTATGTCCCTCGAATCTGACTCACTCCAAAGTGTGGTTTTGGAACCGTTGGGTGTATGCAATCCGCTCGATCGCTGCGGAGAGTACTTATCCATGGCACATCGAGTCTGCCAATCCGTGGAATACTTCTTGAGAGATGAAATGCTATTAGCTGGGCCATTATCTGTTAGCCCCGCGCTTGGAATTGTGGTAGACAGCCTGCGGAATCGACCTGGTCATGATCAAGAAATTGCATGGATACAAGCAGCTCTGGAGGTAGTTCGACGGAAAGGACTTCGCGTTCTGCAACATGTGAACTTATAACGATGTGGATTGACAATTACCTAGGTAGACCGTCAAATTATCGGACAACTGATAGCTACTACACAAACACGTGATTCTTGACAAGCAAAAGTGCAATATAAATATACATCAGCGGTTCCAACTTTTGGCCATAAATTTCTTGTGAATAGAAGTAGGACCATAATATTCTGGCGGCTAGTATTCCTCATAGCCCAAAGTGGATTCAATCGTATGCGAACTTCGATCAAAACTCCCCAGGTCCTTTGCCGAAAAAGCTTCCCTTGGGAACAGTCAACCAAGGGACGGAATTGGCATCTGCCGTATTGGACCCCACTGTGTTTCCCCACCAGTTAAAAGTGACAGCATGGTATCCCAACGCGAAGAAAATGATGATTGTAGCGATGGCAGTGCCGGTATCCATAGCTGCCTGAAGCAAGTCTACGATTTCGCATGTCAGTAAATTATGTTCGTGAGGGGGACTTTGGTAAAGTAGATTCTCACAGTTGTAGCGTTTCCACCAATCAAATGCACGCTTGCGGATTAAATAGTTGAAAACGAAGCCAACGATAAACCAGAGGGAGTATTGGGCTGTCAGGTTAGATTCAAGCCATTTCGTCAGAGAAGGGTCGGGGCACATACTGGTGTTAGCAGGAGGGATGTTACCCGCCGCATTGAAGAAGATCGGCACGTTGATATAGCGGATCCAGCTGTTGGGATAGCGGCGGTAAAGAAGGTAGACAATTACAGTAACAACAGGCTGAAGAGTCAGTAAATCCCAACCAAATCATGTTTCAAGACTCACCCCGATGAGGAAGAAGTAGACAAGGCCATTGTAAACCTGTCCAGACTGGAACATCCGCTGCGGACCAATAGTGCCCCAAATCAAGGAAGCGTTGTACATCACCTTGGCACCGTTGCATGTGAATCGCTGTTTGTTGGTTGATTCACAGAGATCATTGATATGTCCCATCATCCATCGCAAGACTATATACGTTAGCTCAAATCGAGATAAATTTTGCAAGCAATCGTACCTCCAGTCTGAGTAGCTGTTGCTAAGATACTAGCATAGATCTGACCAAAGAACAAAACGCGTGGCGGGATTTTCTAAATAATCAGTGAAATTCAACTGATTGGGTGAAAAAGTCACATACCATGTATTGCCCGAGCTTCAAATCCTGCGCGAAATCCATACCGTGCTTGACTGCATTATAGCCGTAACACTTCACCATTAGATTAGCAATAGGCTTTCCCGGCCAAGCGTATCCGGCGATCATCTCCGTAATAATATTGAGAAACACGCGCTGGTTTGTTGTTCCTTGCAGAATGCCCTCAGGGACAATCAAAAGCACTGCCAACCCGAAGCAAACCACGATAAAGCCCCAGACCGGCAGCTCTGTGTCCCAGTATCTGGTCGTCAGGATACCAAGTCCTAACACCACGATAGTGAGGATTCCATACCACCATTCCGGAACTTCTTTGTACTCGCGCATGAGACGACGGTGAATATCCTCGCCTCCATGTTGCGCATTCTTCAGCCTGGCCCAAATTTCCTTACCATTGTAAAGATAGGTATGCATCACGATGGCGGTGACTGCAGCGAATGATAGTCCGTAGGTCAGAGAATAGGACATCGAGATGTACATGGGAGAGTACTCCTTGTATTTGCTCTCGCTGAAATCTAAAGCTGCATCGAGCACACGAGATACGTTGTAGGAGCTTCCCGTGTTGTCGAAAGTGCCTGAAGAAAGGAGGGGAAGACTAAATAGTCAGTATGTTTGACTCATTTCACCAGGCTGGAAACTTACTAAGCGCTATACCACACATTGGAGTAGTAAAGAATCGGTGATAGGAACAGGTAGAAGAATACGACCACAGCAAAGGCGTTGCATGTGATGTAGAAAGGGGTCATTAGAGGGTACCCGGCGTAGTTGATCTGTGTCCAGTCGATACTGATAGGTATCAAGCCTAATCCAGAATTCATCTAAGCAAAACGAGGTTAGATCGATGCAAAATTTGTTCATGATACGTCTGTGGACTCACTCCAAAGATCGTGTTGACCTTCTGATTTTGAGGCGCAATCCACGTCACAAAAGCGAAAGTGCTCAAACTTGTCCAGATATAGTCTGGGAACCAGTATAGAACAAAAGCAAAACCAGTAACGTAGGCAAAAAAGCGATACCGGGTGATAGTCCAGCCATTGGCTGGCTTGCGGCTTTCGGGTTCATGTAGTGCCTGGAAAAGAACGGTGGAAGATAGCGAAGTAGGCCAGACCAAGGCAGCAGGGTACACAATCCACCGGCGGGCAAGGCCTGTCAGACCGAATCTGTAAAAGTCAGTTTTGAATAGTATAGAAAAAGCAGGATCCCCCGTACCCAATCATCTGTGTTGTCAAAAGATACAAGAAAGAGAAGCCGGCTCCGAGGTCGCGATTCCAATATACAGGACTGATGATTGCCACCAAGGCACCTTGTGCATAAGCAGTGGTTGCGCTAATATTGACGCACTGTTTATATTGTTAGACTTTGTTTGTCAACTCAAAACTTCCAAAGAAGTGATTATTTACTCACAATCACAATGAAGGCGTGCTCCTTGATGGTGAATTTCCCTGGATTAATATCGAATGAAAGTTTTCCAAGAGGAACCGTCCATCTCGGGAGCTTTTCCCAAGCTCGACCAATAGGGAACACGAGGATTTGGGCAACAACGTAACCAATCACGAGGGAAGGCTGAGAAATGTTAGTAGATATCAGTAAAAGCAAAGTTGAAACAAACATAGCGTAGCCCGAAGAATTGGTTAACTCCTGAGAACAAGATGACGAAAATCGTCATCAAAATCCAGGCCCGAACGGCTGCAATGAATTGTTAACGCGGTGAACTTTGTTGAATGAACAGCAAAATGACTTACTATTGCAGGCGATAGTGGGATCATCTTTGTTAGACACACAAGCCGCAACCTCAGGGACTAGGAAATGTTAAGAACGGCAGATGAGGTATGTATAGATCGACTCACAAGGTGACTGGTCACCCTCCACATTCCATTTGAAAGCTTCAACCGGCGTGAGCTCTGTGAGCTCTGCTCTATCAGACTTATACAGGAATTCTCCCGGATCTTGATTACTGCGCTCGGATTCAACATCTCGCGCCGGCGCCTCCGATATGTTGGGATCCTTGGCTGGATCCTTGGAACTTGCCATAGCTGAAATACTTTCAAGCCGGAGTACGGAAAAGAGGATTGATAGTCTGAGAGATATAAAAAATCCCGGAGTTCAGTTCTTAATAGCAGTTCCCAGTTGGCTTTTTTTTCTCTCGGATGGCTTAAGCCGAGCCAAGATGCAAAAGTCGCGATAGATCCACTCAGAATGACAACAAGTTGCCTCCGCCATGGAAATACGCTAAAGCTCTACACCGGCTTTGAGTCCATAGGGTTTTATACTAACTTAGGCAGTATGACCGGTTGAGCTATGAATACCCGCTTACGCACACTAGGAGCACTAGATAAAAAGTGTGTTGCGTACTTTCTTCAGATCTCTATCTACATTATCTGACGCCGGGCGAGCACCCAACGCATCTACATAGGTGGAAGTACTCTCTTGTTGTACTTTGAGAATGTATTCTGAAGTCACATACACAGGAACAATATTGTCATTTTCCGTAGCAAGAGTGGCAGAAGCAATGTCATCTGGAAAATGGGGTCAACACGAATAAAAATGATACAATGCCTCATAAGAATGCGTTCTTTTTTACAGTTTAGTTACTTAAAGGCAAATCTTCGGCCGACTTCGGTGTGGCCCGCGGGCAAGTGCTTAAATTGTTTTGATGGCGTGCCGACGCGGCTTGATGAGCTTATCTCTACAAAGGATTCTCTTCGCCTTACCCCTCAACATTAACCCAACGAAACTAATGCATTAGCTGTGGAGTCTGTCCCCGAGAGAAGGTGTAATCATTAGATAATTTTACGTCTCTCTACAAGAAAGAGACCATATTATTTCTATAGAGGAAAATCCTAACATTTCAATGAAAAGAGGGATGCAAAAAGGGGAGTTATGAGATAGATGTAGGAAATTTGTCTAGTTGCTTAAAAGATTGCCCTTCTTACTTCACTGTCGTTGTTGAATATGAATGATCTCTTCATTTAGTATAACATTCGGCTGCCAGTTCCGAATCCAGAGTGATCCGCAGTGCTCCAGTGGTCAGACGTACATGAAGCGGCTAGTGCGTCGATTGCGCGATCAAAGGTGATTCGCTCAATTCTCGCAATCTTTTTTATTTCAATTTTAGCTGACGAGCTTTGGAAACTAAAAGTTCCAAAAATATACTGCAAAAAAAGACAACCTTCTTCAAGTTCAGTTAGGTGTTGTCGCTTTGACAACAGCACTAATACTACGGGCAGTGTAATCGACATTGAATTTGTTTAGCCCACTAAAGAGAAAATAAGTCAGCATAATACTTATCACCAAAATATGCTCATCAAAACATACGCGATAGAGATTCTTCCAGAGTCCTGAAGATAAACATGGTACTTGTCCCGGAGAAGTGTGACTTGTTCCACGGAGAGTCCAACATATCTACGGAGTAAACAATGTTAATATGGTAAGTCCCCGCAAGTAAGATCATGGTAAAACTCACGAAAACATTCCGTTCTGGTCAGTGATATGCTGCCAGTTACCTGGTGTTTCCAATTTCTCCAATCCTTCCCTCAGCGCATGTCGACGATGCTTAAGTTGATCTGCCATTTCGCGGACTTCTTGTCGCCATTGGCGCTCCAAAACCTCATCCGATAGAACGGTTTCAATGATCTTGGATCCGAAGTCGGGCGGTGCGCCGTTCTCTGATCGGGCTAGTAATTTCAAATGCGACTCCAATCTCTTTCCCACTTCTTCGCTTGGAGCGAGAATCGAGAGAATTCCAACGCGTTCGCTGTAAAGCCCAAATGATTTCCCGTATGTCGAGACAAAGATAAGTGGGATTTCTTGCTCGGCAAACAGTCGCACACCTTCAAGATCTGTGTCGATGTCGCCCGAGGCAAATCCAGGATATGCAGCATCGAAAAATGCCAAATGGCCCCGCTGGGAGAAAATAGAGGCCAATTCTCGCCACTGATCCCGCGATGGGTCACATCCAGTTGGGTTCTGGGCTCCTGATTGGAGAAGAACAACAGACTGAGCTGGCAATGAATTGATGGCCTCTGCAAACCTTGCAAAGTCAAATGCGTTTGTTTTGCTGCTGAAATACGGCAAAAAGCTGGGTTTGATTCCCGCCGATTCGAACACAAAAGGATGGTTTACTGCGACCTGGTTAGCATTGCGTTTGCGTGTCTAACCCAAAAAATACTTACGCCAGGTCTCGCTAGGAAGGAAAATCTCTGCATTTCCGGACTGCTTCCACGGCCCATAATGATGTTTCAACACAACTGCGCCGACATGACATCCACCACTTGCGCCGAGTGTCTGCGTTGAAACTATTCTGTGAGGATGGCTTAGCTCTAGATCAATCTTGAAAAGAGTATTTTGGAACTAGTAGCTCTATTACCTTTTCTCTTGTAAAAGACGATGATCTGGTCCGAAAAGCAATTTGGCAGTTAAGTCCCTGTAAATCTGGGAGCCCAAAGCTGAAGGGCGATACTCATGATGCCAATCAGGATCGTTGAATATTCTCTCCTTTGCCTGTTATGCCAATGTCAAGTATTTAGCGAAGTACCAGAGTACAGAACGAAGTAATTTGAGACTTGATACCTCTTTCACACTTGGCAACACGTATGCCTTCCCTTCTTCGGTTTTATACACGCCCACAAGGAGGTCGGTTCTGTTGGGATCGGTGTCGGCTCTGAACTGCTCAACGAGAGCTTGGAGGCCCTCTATAGATACTTTTTCAACTCCGGTACATGAATGTATCAATTGTCTCATTTACCTGTTCGGCCCGCTGGGACATCCTGAAAGGGGTTCACTAGCGATATGCTACCCATTGTGCTTCTGAGTTTCTGAGTTTTTGGACTTGGATTGAAGAGATAGATTGATATATTCGATAGATTAATCTACTAGACCTTATATGCTGTACCTGCGCATGCGGGGAAATGTCCGGTTTAGTGTGATATTTCTGTAAGAGCACGCGATTCGCACACGCCATCATGGCGTAATATTACACAGAAGCCAAATAGCCTATTAGTATGCTTTTTAATTCAGAAATCATTACTATGATCAGCCTGTTCACAAATATCGGTAATATTTTCTCCGTTGTAGACCTGACTGCGAGTTCAAGCGCTCAGCGATAGACTACGTAAGTCTGGGGAAACGTCGGAGCCTTGGTACCCTGGAGCCCTAGAGTGTTCTCCTGATTTCTAAGCAGAAGGCTTCCCTAGGGCCCATGGACGGCTCGGTTATGTATCCGCCCTCGACCCGAACCGGACCAGGACCATTGAAATCTTAGAATGCCTATGAAAATGTCTATGGTAAAAATGATAGAGAAGATCGATATTTAATATATAGATTGACTATTTGAAATTTATGTACAGTGCATTTCATGGTATATCGGCCGTATATCGGCCGTGAGAAATCTCAATCTTTCAGTCTTCACATAGACCAGTGTCGATATTGGCCTCAATTGGCTTCACGAATTCTGTGCGGAAAGCGATTTTGTGACCGACGTATAATACAACGAACAATATAAGACTGAGATAGTTGATGAAGAAGTCGGTGACACTGAATGTGGGAATGAAGGCAGTGAAGCCTTGGGTGAAGATGATGAGGACATTGAAGAATAACCCATACCAAGAGAAAAATGGCTGCCATGTAGCCTTATATGGAAGGGTGTCCCGCGATATTCCACGTGCTTTCAAAGCTCTCATAAATGCCAGGTGAATAACATTCAGAGATGCCCAGGTAATGAAGCCAGCTAAGCCAGCGATCTGCATCAACCAGTTGAAGACAGTGGCTCCGGCATTTGACAAATTCAAGAATCCCAGTAGACCAAAGAGGGCAGTGAAACCGACGCTGCCATATGGCACACCGTGCTTGGTTGTTTTGGCGAAGAATCGAGGAGCAAAGCCCTCGTTAGCCAAGCCGACTAGAATTCGGCTGCCGCTGTAAACGTTCGAATTGGCAGCAGAGAGCACCACGGTAAGGAGAACCGCATTGATGATACTTGGCAAAGCATTCACACCCGCTCGTCTCGCGGCGATAACGAACGGAGATGCATTCGCGTCCGCACCATTGCTGTCGGAGGTCAGACGCTCGTCATTAGATGGCACCACAATGCCGACAAAGAAGACAGTGAAAATAAAGAAAAACACAATTCGGAAGAAAGTTTTCCGAATTGCGGAAGGAACATTCTTGCGTGGATTAGCGGTTTCACCCGCGGCAATACCAACAAGCTCAGTGCCTTGGTACGAGAATCCGGCTTTGATGAGAATGGCCCAGAATCCGACGAACTTAGCCAAAGCATCCTGTTTTGGATTTTCGATCAAGTAAGGAATAAAGGGACCGGGATGAACCCAGTATCTAAATCCGAGATAGCCTTCTTTGCCCACACCGGCGTTCATGCAGATGGCGAATATCATGAACCCAACGACGGTGATGATCTTGATGCTCGAGAGCCAAAACTCTATTTCACCGTAGAAACTAACGGGAAACATATTGAGAATAATGATGACGACCCAGAAAATAGCAATGAAAATAGCCATTGGAATCCGGTCATCCCAGAACTGAATTATAAGGCCTGTCGCGGTCAACTCGAGGGCGAAAGTCGAAGCCCATGAAAACCAATAAATCCAGCCCATCGCAAATCCAAGACTGGGGTCAACTATGCGATTGGCATATGTCGCAAACGCTCCTGGAATAGGTAGATAGGTAGCGACTTCACCCAGGGCTGTCATGACCGAATAAACAATTGATCCAACGAAGGTATAGGCGATCAAGGCGCCCACTGGACCTGCAGTAGAGATTGCAGTTCCCGTACCAATGAAAAGACCTGTTCCTATGGCACCACCTATGTAGAGATATGTCAGAAGAAATGCAATCAAGATCAACTCGAGATGCTTACCCATCGCGATCATCTGCAAATGTCGGCTCTTGAGCCTCCGCTGCAATTCTGGTAATTGGTGAGACTCTCCATTGCTGTGTTTTTCTTCGGCATCAAAATCACGATCCTCCGCTGAAATTTCGTCCGGATTGGATTCCCTAATGTCCTTTTTGTCTGTCCCAGAGGCGTTGCGTATACTGGTGACCTCGTCGGCGGTCATTTCGGGGGGTTTCGGAAAGAGTTGATGCGCCAAAAAGTGTTGAAATTGGCAATTGAAACAACTCGCAGACCAAAAGTTCAAGATATAGGAACTATATGAAGTCTTGATCGCGTTGAACTTCCTGAAACAGGTTCTCCATGGGGAAGATCAGGGGACCCCGCGTTTTGGCCGGGCCGGGTACACTTTCGGGTTCCACAACGATGGCCGAAGGAGCAAATGCGAGATGACCATTTTGCGGGTCTCTCCAGTGAATTGCTAAGCTATCGATGTTCAATTACGTGTAATCGGTGATTTGGAAGTTCCTTCGCACTTCGGGTGGCTCCGAAAAAGCAAAATCACCAATCAGACCCAATTGCACGCTCGGTTATAACGTAAGTTCCCGAGTTAAACCGGCCCGGTAGGTCCATCCCGCACTTTCCATTACCCCATGGTGGACTTCAGATATAACAACCCGGGGTTGGCCCACAATGCTGATCAGTATTATAGAATGATGAAGTAGCTGTTGTCAAATTGAAAGTCAGTTTGAGCTCCCCAGTGGACTGTCAGTATATCAGAAAATGACTTCTGATCGCGGAGAAGGGGAGGGGAGTAATCGCATTTGAGCCTGGATGTCAACTGAGCACGGTTAAGCGCTTTCAATGCGGCGATAACAAAAATAATGAACTGAATCCTGACCACTGATAAACTCCACAAATGCCCGGAGCTAATCCGTGCAGTCCTATGTTCAGAAATACTCATGGGAGAGCTGGTTCGAAGCTCAGACTCTCACATTCCAATGACGAAGTAACCAGAAAGAGTGTCGTTATACCACTGCTATCTTGTTAGCAGAGAGGATTAAGACAGTACATCGTCCTTTCTTAATTTGTTGAGGGCTCTTAGCTTAGCAAGCTCAACCGGGCCAACACTCTGGGATCATCGGAGTCGAGTGTACACCCACTTGCTACCCACACTGCAAACTCCATGATAGATTGAGCTAAAACCTGGTTCGTTGGCTAGATCTTCTTTGTCTTGGTGAAGAGGTTTAGCAGTGTGGGATGCAGAAAAGCGCAGCTTATCACGTCGTTCCAGGCAATGTGGAGGTGAAATTTCGAGCTTGTCGGTAACTTTGGTTTTTGCGAGGGCGAAAGAAATTCTTTAGTACACATGGCGGTCTTAGTGCTCCTGAGGCTTGCAAGGAAGAGAGCGTTAGCGTTGTGCATATTGGAGTATTTTTGGAAATCAAAGTTGATCAGTGGCGGGATGGAGGCGTATGCATTTGTTTAGGGCGGGATCAGAGAGAAAATGATGGGAAAAAGGCGTGATAGACCCTTGTAGGGTTACGGGTACATACAATGTTTATTTAGGCATAAGATTCGCATATGAATGCTTCAACCGTGGTTTCGGCTTCCATCTTCTCCTCTTTTCCCTCTGCCCCCATCTCTTCACCGTAAATCATCGGCCAAATCCGCTGATTGCAACCTATATCAACGAACAACAATCGTGAATCCAATCGTGAATTCAGAGTCAGCCTGTTGTCCTCGATTATCATCGTGACATTCACAATAATATTGATAGCCGAGCCCTTACCATCAGAATCGATGCGCTGCACCGTGCTGAAAACCTCCGGCGCCCCTAGACTGGCGACCAAGAACATGCCCCGGCTCAATGGTCCGCGCATACCCGGAATCTTCAATTCGATTGCGTTCGGCAAAATCAAAACATCAATTCTGAATGACTCCGATTAATCTTCCACCTAACCCCCGCGCCGTGAGCCAATGCTCCGACTCAACATCCCTTTCAACAACTTTTCCTTTGAAATGGAGATAGCTCGCTGTGCAAACCACGTGGAGATCGTTTACATTTTTGTGGTTGGCTGCCGTGCGAAAGTGCATTGCATTTCTTGCCAACACGGACATGGGGTTTTCCCATTTTGTGTCGCTGTGGATACCGAAAATGGTAATTCTGCGTGCGCAAATTGCTTACTGGGGCCGGGACATCTGTTCACTCACAGGCGTTCCGCTATCGGGCCTGCAACGCTCTACAGCAAGAACCTCTCGCCGATCCCGTCGTGTTCGGGGCCGCTATAACGCGAAATTACAACACTCATCGATACGCCTTCAACAAAGATTGCAAAGCTTAAGCGATCAACTGGAGCCGCAACAATAGAACAGCGAGCGCAACACCACCCGGAGCGTAATCGCCACTATGAGTCCCGACGCCCCGAAGATCAAAATATGAACCTTCTTGATATGCATCTGCCCCGACTTTGCCGCTTATAGGCAGTGCTATCTCTGGACCAGAGATGTGTGAAGCCTCCCTATCAGCTATTTGCTTTCTTCTTCTGTTCTTGTCTTTTGCGAATGCAAGTGAGAGCTAGCCAATAAAACATGTCCTGCCAACTGAAGACTGTATATTCTAATTACCGCATGGACAGAATGTTGTGGCCTTTGTGCTATTTTCCAGCTGTTGATACCATGAGCATCAGGAATGATGTGGATGCTTAATAAAGGTCTACACACTAGTAAGAATTCTCTTTCGGTGGTAGAGACTATCGATCCCGGGTTGACTGCCATCATCATCTGGGGCTTCATTCTGCCAAACTACAATTCAGCCTTATTTCATCTTCTAGGTCTAGATCAAATTATGTCAAAAGACTTACAAGTGAATTTATTCGCATCTTCTGGATTATTTTCGCGGGAGATTCTCTTGTCCTGGTTTTCTCGATTATAAGGTACAAGTGAACGCACACTCTAAGGTTCTGTTTGAGAGTCTCAGGTGCGAAAAAATGCTTGATTGTAACTCAAATGCCGGATGTGGGTCTGGGTAAACAAGTACGGGATCAAAACCATCACTCCTAACTGCTTCGTCCCATTCCTCGTCTGGCTTGGCGATTTTGTGCAGGTTTGAAGACCTTTGCGAATCTCGCTCTTCCTGACTCTTCTACACGTGGAATTTTGATGACGCTCAATGCTTGAATAACGACATGAATGACTTTGGGGAAAACAATAAATCTATTGCGAGCCTGTTTTGCATTTCGACATACTATCGCTAGCTGTCTGTTCTGCTTCATCTCTTCTGTGTATCACGTATAAGCTCAGATAAATATTGCATTAAGAAGCAATTCATAAACCTATATTGTTGAAGTAGTCAAGAATAGATCGTTCATTGAACGATCAGGAAGAGGGCTCAAAAGAGGGAAGTTTAGTAGTGAGATATAGGTGTGACTTGCTTTTCTTTCTCTTCATTTTCCTGGAGTTAAATGGATGAGCCAAAACCCGCCAGATTAAATACTAAGGGGGTGGTTATATCAACTGCCCAAATAAATTCCAAGTGATATTGTATACGGATATCGCTTAAATTTTAGCGTGTTTCACGCACTCGGCAGTTGGCACCTGGCGAGCCCCGTCTACTACTTCATCTCAAACCACCATCGGTTTCATCCCCACCAGCGGTTTCATCCTCACCATCCATTCAAATCGACATTGCGTTTATTTGCTGGGTTACCTAGCAGAACGGGGCAGCGAAAATATGTGCATAAGCGATTCTGGCCCGGCAGGTGAAATCAGCTTTTTTTTGGCAGACGCATTGACATTCCACAGTCATGGGTGATCCCATCATTTTGATCGATAGCTCTAGTAGCCAGAGTGATAGTCGTCAAAGGTTTATCGATTGATGGCATGTAATAAGGTCGCGTTGCAGCGCATGTGCAGATAAAAAGCACACCACCAGCGACTTGGGAATTATTACTTCATACAGTTCTAAGTGGGCTCCAGAATAATGAAGGAGCCACGACTGTTTGTGAAACATACTATCACGATTGCATGGCTTGACGAGTGATCAATCATCGTTCCAGTAGTTCATGAGAGACCCCAAGATTTGATTTGGACTACGTAATTGGGTGTTTTGAGATATGTGGGCTGTAAATTGTGCGCTAACGCAAGACTAACATCTATCGATTTGCCGGGAATCTTGAATTGCCGAGAAAGTGATGGACACAAGTCGTACTCTATGGCCCATCATGCATGGATAAATAGGAGATCTTTCCTCGTGGATTCAGAAATTTCCCAGTTCATCTCTCATTTTCATCTTTTTCTTTTTGTTCCTGTTCCCTTTTCATCTTCGTCGGGCTCGTTGATCGAAGTCCCTTGTACATTCCTTTTTTTTTTCTTTACTACGAATCCGAACCACCGGGCGTGAGTCGGCTTCCTCTGACATCATGTTGTTTTTCAAGCCCCTAAGCTTGCTTCTCGCGTCATCTGCTCTGGTAGCAGGTCATGGATATGTCTCTAGTATTGAGGTTGACGGTACTACCTATGGTGGTTATCTAGTCGATACCTACTACTATGAGTCTGATCCCCCTGAGTTGATTGCTTGGTCTACGAACGTGACTGATGATGGCTATGTGGCACCCACAGCCTACAGTGATTCAAGCATCATCTGCCACCGTGGCTCTTCTCCGGGAGCGCTTTCTGCTCCTGTACCGGCTGGTGGTTCCGTCAAGCTGACGTGGAACACTTGGCCGGATGATCACCATGGCCCTGTAATTACATACATGGCCAACTGCAATGGTGCCTGCTCTGATGTCGACAAGACGACTCTAGAGTTTTTCAAAATTGATGCCGGCGGTCTGATCGATGACAGCACGGTCCCGGGAACATGGGCTACAGATGAACTGATCGCAAATAGCTACAGTCGCACTATCACTGTTCCTAGCGACATCGAAGCCGGTTACTATGTTCTTCGCCATGAGATCATTGCACTCCACGGTGCTGAGGACTTGGACGGAGCACAAAACTACCCTCAGTGCATCAACCTTGAAGTAACTGGGAGTGGTACCGCCACACCAAGTGGTACTCTTGGAACCGCCTTGTACAAAGACACTGACGCTGGAATCTACGTTGACATCTGGAATGCCCTCAGCACTTATGTGATTCCCGGTCCGGCTCTCTACACTGTCACTGGCTCGTCCAGTACTACTGTCTCCGCCATCTCTACTACTGTCTCCGCCATCTCTACTACGCCAGCGGCTATCAAAACTACCTCAACTACATACCCAACGACCTTGATTACTTCAACCCGTCCTCAAACTACTACGGCCACATCTTCTTCTGAACAGACCGCGCAGGCTGAGCCTAGTGACGGTAAATCAACCACTTCAGGAAGCACTCTGCTCAGTGCCACTCCCACTGCTCTTCCTCAGGCTGTTACCAGTGCCACAGTAGCCTCTAGTATCCCTGCCACTACCTCTGGTGTTCTCACGGGGTCATGTGCTCAAGAGGATTATTGGTACTGCAATGATGGTGCAGCATTCCAGCGCTGTGTTAATGGCCAGTGGGATGAATCACAGGACATGGCCAATGGTACCGGTTGCACCCCTGGTATTTCGGAGACTATAACCATCTTCGCGACCTAAATTAGAAGGACTTATGACGAATCTTCGTGGGGCAAGGGCCAGAGTGAACGAGATGAGTTGTTCTGAGTGAAGATGTATATCGTGGTGGTTTTCTACATCGCGTTGTTTGGTGTATGTCTACAACGGAATGTGTTAGTCTGAAAAGATCATGCCGAGAATTATGCTTATTTCCATTCTCTTGAAATATCAATTTCCGAAGTGCATCGCTAAACCGATAATCCTGGCCTGTTTATTGTCCCTCATGGATAAACCGATAGGAATCGATGTACGTGTCTATTACCCCTGAACGACAGGTTTCTATGCCGTTAGCATAGCAAATTGTGTCCCATGCATGGATTTAGAGAGTATCCCATTCTCCCAGTTTAACGGTATTAGAAAAGTTCACTTATTTGATTCTCACCTATACATTTCATTTCAGTAGACCAGATAGTTCCTTCATATTGGCCAAAGTTTTGACCAGGTCGAGTAGCCTACAGAGAATTGATAGACATAGCAGCGATTGCTTGTTTGGTATTTGCATGCTTGCTTATCCGTTGTTTGTCTTGCCTCCATAGCTATAGATAGCTAGCTTCTTTCCTCAGAGATCTCAGAATATCGTACCATTTTGCTGCATCACTATTCCATATCACTATTCCACTCATATAGTGAATTCACATCAGCATTTCTGAAAGGGAAGCGGGAAGGTTATTGTGGACATGGTGGTTCAGTGAAGTTAGAGAGTAAAGAGAGCATAATTCAGTAATTAGAACCATGTGGGATCACCTCGGAATTTGTCTCATTCCAAATAATTGCCAAAGCTTTCAAGGTTCCATAATTTATTTCTCAATTGCTAAATGCCCATCTGGGAATCCAATAATCCTCCACCGCAATTGCAACCGCTAGACGCCATAGCCAACACAAAGAAAAAAAAAAGGAACACACCCTCCATCCCCCTTTACACTTCCTGCTCATTCCCCAATTCCCCCTTGTACATCCTCCAGACTCCCACAACCAATCCAGAAACTCAATTCCGGCCCAGCCAAACGGACCAAAACCAGCATCCGCACCACGAACGACGACCACGTGCCTCGTCAACCTGCGTATCGTGCCGCGAACGGCTCTCATCCGTGTCTTGTCTGCCTTTCAAATGGTGGCTACCACTGCACTTGATGTGGGAGCACATGTATTACCAACTCATCTTAGTCTACACGGTTATACACAAAACACCATTTCAAGACTCTACAACCTGCGCCAAAGCATCCTGAATGGAGTGCCGTACCTCCGGTCCAGAGAAGACGGATCAATGGTGGATCGTTCGTTCGGTCTCCGCTATCAAGAGTCTTGAAAACATTGAACCTAGGGAGACTGCAGGAAACCAAAAAGAATTGACCCAACCCCGCTACCACCATGACGACAGGAGGCATTCTCGGACAATGAGATCGAACCGGAATGGAAGATCGCAATAGAAATAGCCGAGGCTGCGCGGCCTATCTCGGCCGTCGTGGTGTACTAGGACGCCTCAGGAGCTGATCCACGGTGGTTTCCGTCCCTGGAGTTATCCTCATGGTGGAAGGGCGAATAGGGCAGGGACTTAGAACTATGCCGCTCCCATGACCTTGACCACGACTTTGAAAACTCCTTCTCTTGGATATCTAAGTCCCAAGCCAAGGTAAATCTTAATACTTTCTGCCGTTGTTTCGTACAGCTCCATATCAAATCGACGGACTATGTGAGCCATGGTCATGTATAATTCACATGGTGCTAGACTAGACGATGCATGAGATTCAGATCAGTTATCACGAAGTGGAGCAAGCGGAAACCTTTTTACATACTTCATACCTAAGCATTGCCGGCTTGCCCTGCCAAGTGCTAATTGACGCGGATGGTGTATTGAGGAGGTAACCGCTTTGAATACATGTACGTACTGTCACGTTTATAATACCAAGAAGACGGACAAAAATACCGTAGACCCTGACGTGAACTCTGAACGGTGAAAGGTGATAACTTGCCATACCTGAGTAGATATTCTATTCAGGTACTTTTATCGGCATATTCCTCATCAAATCAGAATATTAGCCCTGTGGCAAGACGGAACGTGAGCCTTGAGATGGGCTGACCAGAGTGTCTCGGAATAGCAGAAGGGATCTAATCTTGGAAAATGCAACATCGCAAAAGACCGAGGACACCATTGGCTAATTCGAACGCGATTTTATTCTCTAGGGCCAACCTAGGGCCAACCGGGAATTCGTTCTGGAGTGGGTTAAATGCGCCAAGGGATAGCCCCCGAATTAATTCCCTGGCGACATGGAAATCATTACTTGCGTGCCCCTTCTGGACCCAAGTCACAATACTTGTTTGCCCAAATTCTGTGACATTACCGATATCGGCTAAACCAGAGAGGCCAAGTTATATAGTTTTGATCGGCACATACGAGCCAAGCCGCTATTGTGACCATGAAAATTTTCACCATGGCAAGGACAGACAAGAAGATCATTCCTGGATCTGATAAGGGGTTGGACACCTCTACGCCATTTAAAAAAGAGGCAGAGACCGCAAGATCTACGAGAGATAGAGTTCTTGCACCTGACGTTGATACCAACTCGGAACAGGAGTCTCTTGATCATGAGGCTCAGGCCGGTGTTAAGGCTGTCCAGGCTGCCGCCGCTGTGTGGACCAAATCTCAATTGACTCTGGCGTATGTAATGTGAGTACCAGTGTCTGGTCAATCGTCTCTTCTGTGCAATTTACTGATTTATTTCGAATGAAGTATCTGGTTTATCTATTTTGTCACATCCATCCAGGAGGTTGTCATCCGCTCTCTCAATCCATATGTGACCAGTGCATTCAGGCTGCACTCCTTGACCGCTGCCACGAGTATCATGTCAAATATTATTGGAGGTTTGAGCAAAATCCCTTTGGCGAAGATTTTGGACTCGTGGGGCCGGCCCCAGGGTATGACTTTGATGTTGGCCATATGGGTCATTGGTTTCATCATGATGGCCGCTTGTGACGGAGTCCAAACATATGCGGCTGCACAGGTTTTCTCTGCTGTGGGGTACGATAATTTGTTTTTTAAATTCTCAATTTATTTCCGAAAATTTGACTGACATTCTGCGACTCCAGATCCCAAGGAGTCAGCTATGGCTTGACCGTTTTTATTGCCGATACCTCCGCATTGAAGAATCGAGCCCTCATGTTGTCATTCGCAACTTCGCCATATATTATTACCACGTGGATTGGAGGGCCGATCTCTCAAAGTGTCTTGGAGGGTCCTGGCTGGCGCTGGGGATTTGGCATCTTCACGATCGTTGTGCCAGTCGTGGTCACCCCTCTATGTATTCTGTTCTTCGTGAACCAGCGGAAAGCAAAGAAGAGCGGCTTGCTTACCCCAAACAGCGGACCTATTACAGTATCCATAGTAAAGCGATACTGCATTGAGGTCGACCTGTTCGGAATTATTCTTCTGGCTGGCGGAATGGCCTTGTTCCTGCTGCCCTTCAGCCTGTGGTCCTACCAAGAAGATCAATGGCGCTCTCCAATGATCATCTGCATGATCGTTTTCGGAGGTCTTTTGCTGATTGCATTTGCCGTATACGAAAGATTCTGGGCTCCCGTCACTTTTATTCCATTCAATTTATTGATGGACCGAACGGTTTTTTTCGCAGGGTTAATGTTCATCTTTGAGTTCTTCAACTCAATGGTCTGGGGCAGCTACTTCAGCTCAATGCTGCAGGTCGTATGGGGTCTTAATGTTACAGAGGCTAGCTATGTGTCCGCGATTTATCGAGTTGGATCTTGTGTATGGTGTCTTCTTGTCGGATTCTTGATCCGTTGGACTGGTCGCTTTAAATGGCTTGTCGTTTACTTCTCTATGCCGCTCATGATTCTGGGCGTTGGGCTTATGATAAAATTCCGCCAGCCCGATGCAGAAATTGGCTATATCTGCATGACTCAGATTTTTGTCGCATTTGCCGGCGGAACAACTGTTGTCTGCGGCGAACTTGCAATGATGGCACCTTCAGATCACCAACATATTGCTGTCGTACTCGCAATGCTGAACTTGTTCAGTAGTATTGGCAGTGCAATTGGATCCACTGTGTCTGCCGCTATCTGGACCAGTGAATTCCCAAGAGCACTGGCCAAATACTTACCGGCAGGTGTGAGCGTAGCGACGGTGTATTCGGATATCAACGCGCAGCTTTCTTACGCATGGGGCAGCACAGCACGAAATGCTATTGCGCATGCGTATGGGGACGCGCAGCGATATATGCTTATTACCAGTGTTTGTCTGCTGGTCGTTGCGTGGGCTTGTGCTTCTATGTGGAGAGATATCAGGATTAAGGATGTGAAGCAGGTCAAGGGTACCGTGTTCTAGAGATGTGTCAGGTCAGTGCTACATAGCTGTCGTGCTATGTAGCCTGCAAAGATTGCTGGTAATGTTTGTTTCTTTAAGATTGTTTAGTCGAGGAATCGAGATTTGGTTGAACCATCGAAATTGGTTACTTAATATGGTTTTTTTTTTCACATATTAGATTCAGTCCATTAGAAAATAAAGGAAAAGATACTGGTAAAAGCCTCAGAGAGAATCCCTGAATATCACATATCATCAACCTTTGTAGGCGAGGTGTACTTCCGCAAGATACATAATTTTACATAATAGTTGGATCTAACAATGATTCTTCACATCCACAACCTTAGAGGCACCCATCTCAATATCCAGGCCATGAGCCTCCACACGAACATACTTGAGAGTTCCATTAACGCTCACAGTGGTCTCGAACCCCGTCTTATGAGCAATGAGAATTGGTTGCAAGTCCTGGCGGCTTGCGCCTCCGAAGATCTTCCACTGCTTGTGCTCAGTGGCTCCATTCCAACTCATAAAAACTTTGGTGACGTTATGTGCTTTGTCAACACAAGAGAATACTTCGGGAGCTGTGGTTGGAACGCCAACCCACGGAGAGCGATACGCCCGGTAACTGGCGACAACGCCATCCTCTCCGAACTGAGCAGTCATGATGCAAGTTCCATTTTCGTTGTATTCCTTGATTTTAGGGTTTGAGCCATAGCCAATCAAGGCGTGGCCCTTGGCTAACAACTGGGTACTTCCTTGAGATAGAGAATATATCTCATCTTCGGGGTCTTGAAGAGTACGCAGGAAAGACACCTCATGGGTGGCTAGATTGACATTAAGGAATATGCCTTCGGTGTGATGAGTACCATTTTTGATATCTGAGTTGGCATTGTCGAAGATGCTTAGCACAAATCCATTCTCATGCTCATTGTGAATGCGGCCATCGTGTTGGTAGGCCCACTGTATTCCCTTAAGATCAAAGTCGCCACCAGTTTGGCCCTGCAAGTATTTAGTGTTTGATTTAGACTTTGGGGGGTTTGATCTGACCTGAAGTGTCCAGTCAACGGATCCGTTCTTCGCAATCTTGAACAGCGAGCAGTAATAACGAGAAGAAATCAAGTAGGTCCCATCCTTGAACTTTTCTACCGAGTTGATGTGAAAGTATCCATAGGGAAAACTGCTGTTGTGGCCCCAGTCTTTCACGGGATAGAACGGCTGTACATCTTCCAGAGGAATCTGATCAAGATGGTCCTTGGCACTCCAGCGGAAGAGGATATCGTTGGTCTTAACATCGATCTCATAGAACAGTGAGTCCGCAATCCAACCGTTTTTAGGACCGCCCACAGAGCTGAGATCACATACAGTCACATTGTATCCTGTGACCAGCATAGTGTCGTCGGGCGTCATCGTGTTTTCGTGCATATCAATCCAAGACACAAAGGATGAACTGTCGATGCTTCCTAGAGCCTTGTAATTATCATTGATCACAGAAACATTGTATATGCTGTTATAGCTTTGATCCAAAACTTGAACGATTCCATAGCCCCAACCAAAGGGCTCGGGGACGCCAAGGCCATTGAAGTAGGTCAGGACGGGCTTTCCGTCAAGTTGCTGGACACGAAAACCCTTCAAATCCCCAGCTGGACTTTGCCAGACAAGCTCGTTGCTGTCTGACATAATAAAAACGCTGTATTGGTGGGCATCCCATGATTGGTCAAAGAAGAGGTAGCCAGGGCTTGTAGGGCCAGATTTTGAAATCTTTAAACTGGGAGGCTCGTTGGAGCTTGACCTGTATGTTTGCCAGGGCCAGGGAGTGCCAGCCAGAGCAAGGGTGGTAGCCTGCAAGCTACCTAGAGCGGCAAAAGCAGATGTAATGCGCATGTCGGCTTTGAGTTTCCGAAACCAGTGGGTAGATAGTGTAATGTCTCACTGGGATTACACTTCTAATATTCAAAGAGTTCGATAATTCCCGATTCAGGCCGATATCGGTCGATACTTTCTTGTAGTCATGATGCTTTCCTTATTGTTTTTTATTGAGATCGTCTGCGGGTTTCGAAAATTTGCTTCGGTTGTATTAAATCCATCTTGGCGACGTAAGCCGACAATCTGATAAATGTTAGATCAGATAAGATCTGCGCCCCACTTCGTATTACACATCTGATACCGCAGTATTTGTCGTTTCATACGTATTACACTGTATTACATCTATATATCGCTTGGAGGTCAGGGTCTGATCGGCGTGATCGGCACTGTTAAACTGGCCATCAGACCCGAGAAGTACCAAGGAGCGAGGAAACAGCCGACGTTGAAACCCGAGCCTGAGTTGATTGTATGACAGGGTGCCGCTGATCTCTCCAGCAATACCCCTGGACATCCATTGATCTGTACTTTGTGAGCGGCGGGTTTAGTATTCCACAAGGAACCGCAGAGGTCGGGATGGCGGCGGCACTTCCGTGAAACATATTCTCCTCTTTGGCTGGCCCCTTTGGGGATACGACCAGATTGGCATCCTTGGCTTGGCGGACTAGACTAACAGATTGATAAAAATTAAACCTTCATGGCTGATTGATAACAGAATTGATAATATTCAACAAATAGCTTCACTAAAGAAGACGACGCCAAGGCTTGGCCTGAAATTTCTGACCGCTTGGACCTCTTAATAACGTCAAAAGTGTCTACCAAGACTGCCGAGAACTGATGATCCGCTATCTTTAATTTCCAGGTATTGATCCTGGCCAGCGGATTCTCTCAATCAAGTGAATGTTTCAAAGAGAGTGGGTTTGGACGATTGCTCAGGATGCCAACACGATTTTACTTTCTCGGCGCCTGGGCGACTCCCTTGGTACTATGTGAATTGCATTCACATTCACATACTTATTAGGTACATATGTATATGTAATGAAGTACTTTGACAGTTCTGTTTTTTTAAAGCTAGCAAGGTTTTTAAAATACTCGATGAGATTTTAGTTAGCCGCCCATTCCTCGAATGTCGTATTTCCTGCAGCTTTAGGCATTTTGACCATCAATGGTGCCTTGACCTCTCTTTCAACCCTAGTAATCTCAGGCTTGAACACAATACTATCAGATAAGGTCTTGAACCCCAGCCTTTTGTATAAAGGAACACCCTCCACTGTAGATTCGAGATAGATAGGCAAATTCAATTGCTCAGCAACGTCCATTCCCCATTTCATAAGCTGCCCTCCGACACCTTGGCCTTGGTAATTCGGGTGAACTGCCAGTGTGTGACAATCTGGTATTTTAAAGATTAGCGAACGGTTATCCGAGTATAAGCCTCCTGGACTACTTACACACATGCTTCTTCGCCCCAAGGAACTTTTCTTTCTTCTCCCAAAGTTGTTCCAAAAATCCCTCTGCGCGGGCTCTTTGGTCTCCCTCCAGCCATCCAATCCATGGCTTTTGACGCTCTTCGTCTGTTCTTTCGCGCCAGTAGACTTGCCATGTTGCCATTCCGGCGATGTTTCCAGTGTCGGTGTCAATACATTGAAAGGTGTGCTCCATGCTCAAACCTTTCCAATATTCGAGAGTCCCTTCGGCATGAGTTTTACGGAATTGCTCGTCATGCAATTCGGTTTCGGGGTAGATCAGGTCGAGGATCAATTGGCCTTTGAAGGCGGCAAACCAGACATCGTAAATGGCACGAATTTCAGGGAGGGTAGCTGGGAGAACAACAAAGCCCATGTTGGAGTCAAGAAGATGGGAGTTAATAATTGCAATTGTGAAATCGATAGAAAACAGATGAAGGATAGATTTGTTCAATAAGCGTACTAAGTGTATCTACCTGCATTGGCGCCAAGCCTCCCGAGGTCGGATCTGATAAGACGACAACGGCCCCCAAAATTACATGACCGTAATGTGGAGTATTGCGTATCAAAGAAGTGATCTGATTATGTTCTTCCGGATGATTTGCTCCGGCTGGTGTCCCGGATTTCCTGGCTTGGTTGGTTTCCTCTCTCATTGCTCCCACCAGCTCTCCATACAATCATCATGCCTGGTATTAATGAACAGCCACCCTTCAAGGTCCTGATAATTGGAGGTTCATACGCAGGATTGGCGGCGACACTGAACCTGGTTGACTTGTGCCAAGGTCGAAAGTGTCGTTTCAATCTCGATGAGAATGACAAGGCGCCCGAACACAAGGTTCCTGTGCAAATCACGATCGTGGATGAGCGTGATGGCTACTGTATGTGAAGCCTAGCTGACTGAATCTAGAAAGCGAATCATCCACTAACCGTCCTCCAGTTCATATTATTGGCCTACCCCTCGCTATAGGATCCAATGTCGATGCCAGTATATTTTGGAAGAAGTTTGATGATATTCCTGCGCTCCAGTCCCCGGACATCAGTCACATCCGAGGACGGGTTGATTCGGTAGACTGCAAGTCGCGCATTGCGCGCATTGTTCAGAGCACCGGTGATGATGGACACAAGATTATTGAACAGAAATACGATTATATGATTGCGTGTTCGGGTTTGCGGAGAGAATGGCCCAGCGCTCCGAAATCGCTGACTCGGGAGGCATACCTTGCTGAAACTGCAGAGTCTGTACAGGCCATCGAGAATGCTGCTGCAGGTGTCGTGGTGGTGGGAGGTGGTATGTACTTGTCAGTGTTCGCCTTGACCCACGCTGATGAATCAATCTTTTGCAGGTGCTGTGGGTATCGAGATTGCAGCGGAAATCAAGATGCTCCAGCCTCAAACCAAAGTCACACTCGTGCACTCTCGACAGCAACTGCTGTCTTCGGAACAACTTCCCGATGAATTCAAGGCTAAAACACTTGAGTTGTTGACGGAGTCCAATGTCGAGCTTGTGATGGGTGCGCGACTTCAAGACACACTACTGGCTGATGACTCCACTGCTGCAAAGTTCTTACTGAAGCTCTCAGATGGTCAAGAGCTGTATGCTGACCATGTCATCAATGCTGTGTCCCGGTTTACCCCCACGTCATCTTATCTGCCCAAGGAAGCCTGTGACCCAGAAGGATACATTCGTATCACATCCGGTCTCCAATTTTCGGGCGATGTTCCTAACAAAGAGTACCATTATGCAGCGGGTGACCTCGCCTCTTGGTCTGGTATCAAGCGTGGCGGAGCGGCAATGCACCAGGCGCACTTTGCAGCCGTCAATATTCATCAGCGGATGTTGGCGGAGCTTTACAAGACTGAACCTACATTCAACAATTTGGTTGCAGTAGCACCCATGATGGCTTTGGCACTTGGAGAGACTGCTGTCGGATATTTCCCGACTATGGGGCTTTCCTCGGGTGACGAAATCCGCAATATGTTCTTCAATGATGATCTCGGATATGGAAGTAAGTTCATATATTCTTCATTGGAGTTGCTGGGCTAATGACAACAGTCTGTTGGAGATGGATGCGCTTGGGAGAAGATACAGAGTATAAATCGTAAAGATGGTGTATATTTTGAATTACCTAGGTAGACATAGATCGATGTTGTTTTTGAAAATGAACTTAGAAAATATATATTTTTACAAAGCAAAAGAATGACATTTCAACTCGCTATCCCTGACCATATTTTTCCATTCAAGATCTCTATTCATCGACTGTCTGGTTGAGTGCATTGACACGGTAACTCTCGCTCCGCTCGATCAATTGGGCATGGGTGCCCGATTCGACACATCGCCCATCCTCAATCAGGAAGATTACATCCGCCTTGCGGATCGTGTACAAACGATGCGCGATAGCAATCACCGTCATGTTCTTGGTTGCCTTTTCCAGGCCATCCTGAAGCAGACGTTCAGACTCTGCATCCAAAGCACTTGTCGACTCGTCCAAAAGCAAGAGCTTTGGCTTTCGAATCAGCGCACGCGCAATGGCCAGTCTCTGCTTTTGGCCTCCTGAGAGACGATCACCGTTTGGCCCACAGTGCGTATCGTACCCCTCAGGGAGTTGCTCAATGACGTCGTGAATATTGGCCAGTCGACACGCGTCTTCCAGGTCTGCTTGCGTGATCTCGTTTCCGGGTCGTGCGCCAAGAGAAAGATTGAACCGAATCGTTCCTTCAAAGAGAACACTTTGTTGTGGCACGTATGCTATCGAATCTCGGAAAGAAACTTCACTGAAGGCAACATCTCGGCCATCAACCTCAATGATACCTGCTTGTGGAGAATAGAGACGTTCGACTAGTGAGATAATTGTTGATTTTCCAGCACCACTGGGTCCAACTAGAGCAGCAAACTGACCCGGTTTGATGGTTAAATCCAACCCATGGAGCACACGCGTGTCTGGACGCGCAGGATACGCGAACTGCACCTGTTTGAAAGAAACACAGACACCATTTCGAGTAATATCAAACTTTTCACGAGTGCTTGCGACAGCCTCTACATCAGATATAGAGTCTGATGGCTTAATTATGAGTGCTTGAATAGGAGCTGACAGGTTCTTTGTAGATCCCAAGTCCAACAGGTTCAACAGGCGACGCGTAGCTTGGAAAGCGCGCGACACATCAGGCGCCAAGGCAAACATTTGGCCCCACAATTGCGAACTAACGAGAAGAGCAAGTTGAACTATAAAGAACTGTGTCTGTGTATAATGTCCTGCAATGATGTTTTTCGCTCCCCACCAGTAGGCAAGACCGTACAAGAAGTTGCTTAGACCATACCCGATGGCGAGCCAGAGGTTTGCCCACGCGCTTTGGCGCGTCATGTCTTTCATCGGGGCTGCCAAAGAACGACGGTATGTTCCCATGATTTCGTGTTCCAAAGAGAGCAACATGACGGTTTTGATCGAGTTGACGGCTTCCACGGTGATTCCAACTGACCGAGCGAATGCTTCCAGATGACGTTCTTCAAACTGCGCCAGTGAACTAACCCGCATCCATCCCGCTGCCAGGAGCAGAGGTACGACCGCAAGACAGACTAATGCGATGCGCCACGCGATGATATGCGTCATGATGATCGCAGCGAACAGATTGATAAGAATGGAGAGCATTGTACAAACAACGGAACCCGTCAAGCCAGCTAGTGCATTGCTATCCTTGGTGATCAAAGACAGCAAAAGTGAAGGATTGCGGTCATTTGATTCGTGCCATTCGAGGTTCTGTTCAAGAATGGACCGCAAAGAGAGCACCCGCACTTTATAGATGACATTCTCTGCCATCCATCCGAAGAGAGACCAGCTGAAGAAATTTGCGAAGAATTCAATAATGGCAAGAACAAAAAACATCAGGCCGTAAAACTCTCCAGCTTCACGGATACTCTGCGGCTCTTCACAACCACTGAGCTTGCCAACGACGTTACCAAAAATCACCGCAGATGCGCAGTAGGTTCCTCCAATGACAACGGCACCGGCGACGGCGAACACCAAAACAAAGGCGTAAGGGCGGAACATGGACCCCATAGACCTTGCTGTTGCGGAGAAGGACCGGTTTGTATCAACCGCGCCACTGAGTTCTTTATCTTTTGAACCTTTGTCTTCGGGTGAATCAGTCGTCTCCTCCTTCTCACTGACCTCATCAGTCACGGGTAGATTCGGCTCAGCCTTTTCTATTATTCTGTCCACAGGCGAGGCCGACCGGGTGGATGATTCCTCCCCAGAACCTTGAACATTGAGATTTTGAAGACGGACAAGCTCTGCATAGGCGCCATTCACCGCTAAAAGCTCTGTATGAGGGCCTTGCTCTACGAGTTTTCCTTGTCTCATGACGATAATGTTGTCTGCATTCCTGATAGTTGACAGACGGTGCGCAATAGTGATTACAGTGCGACCCACCGCCACAGTTTCCAAAGCTCGCTGAATCCGCATCTCGGTTCCAGAGTCAAGAGATGCCGTGGCTTCGTCCAGTATCAAAATCCGAGGGTCTTTGACCAAAGCTCGGGCCAAAGAGATACGCTGTTTTTGTCCGCCACTGATCAAGTTTCCACTCGAGCCAACAGGGGTACCATAGCCCCCCTGGAGCTTTTCGATGAATTTATTGGCATCCGCAAGCTGGGCAGCATTCTCGACCAAACGCACCAACTCTCGCGCGTGGTCGCCATGTTCAAGAGCAGCGGAGTTTAGGGCTTGGCCATCTCTCACCGCGGCTGCAATTTCAGCGATCGATGTGCCAGCGAGGATTTGTTGGAGATGACCATGTTTCGGGGAATTGATGAGACCCAATGCAATGTTCTCGAGGATTGAACGATCGAGAAGACATGGCTCTTGTTGAACCAGACTGACATGACTCCTAAGAGCACGGACGTTCAGGTGCTTCACATCGTATCCGTCTAACAGAACAGCTCCTTCTGTCGCGTCATAAAGTCTTATTGCTAACCCGGCAACAGTAGATTTTCCACTGCCAGACAAGCCAACGATAGCAGTTTGTTGACCAGCGGGACACGAAAGGGAGATATTTTGAAGCACTGGCTTGTCGGGACGAGAGGGGAAATGGAATGAGACGTCACGCAACTCGATATGGCCTTTGACCTCTGACAAAACTTCACCGATATTTCTAGAGGTACCATCGATTGTGGATGAGTGTTCGATGTCGGCCTTCAGTTTTGTGAAAGCTACGGAGGCGGCATCGAAGCTTTGAAGGAAGGGAGCCACCGTGCTGAGAATCAAGGAGGCTAAAATGACAGCTGTCAGCCAGTATCAACAAAATTTATATATGAGCATGCTTACCGTCTACTAGAATAAAGATTACCGTGTACGTGGCTCCGACCGTGATACCACCACCTTCAGATTCTACAGAATCCGCGATCTGTCTGGACCCTTGCCAAAATGCCAACGCATTGGCTGAGAAAGCGATAAAATAGAGCAATCCGGCCTGGGTCGCCGTTGCAATCGACTTTCGAATTCCTGCAATCCGACCAGGATTGAGCAGCTCAATGAACTTCGCCTCCAGCCGCGCGTTAGCTGAGAAAGCATGAACGACCATGGTATTGGAAAATGCCTCCAAGGCAACCGACGACGCCTTGCTCATGCTCTCCAATGCGCGACCAAAGTACTTCTGGACGAAATATCCTCCCAGCAGTGACATGATTAAGTAGGCGGGGGTTAGCGACACCAGCATACCAGCCAACTTGGGATCTTTGATGAAAGCCACGATGTACGCGGTCACAAAGAAGGCGAGAGCATTGATCACGATGCCGACCTTTTCGGATGTTCCTTGCTGGACGGTTGTGATGTCACCTGTGATTCGCGAGGATGCTTCGCCTGCTGGGAGATTGTCGAAGAAGGCTACATCTTGGCGAATTAGAGCCTTAAAATACTTCTCGCGCAGACGTTGAGCTAGGCGCTCGCCTGTGAGATTCCAACTGAACACATAGACATAGATCAAAAACAAGTATGCGATACCAATGTACACGATCATCAATACTTTCTGATTGATTCCATCTTGGTATGAGTCTCCATTGGTGCCATCCACATTACAGGTTGTCGAGTTCATCTCATCCACCAATTGACCGAACACGATTGACATGATCGGAAAAGGGATTCCGGAGGCAATTGCTGAAACGATTCCGAGGACAAGTAGTGCAATGTCTGACCTGCTTGGCTCGCCATAGATGAACAGACGGAAGAACACGGCTTTGTCCTTCCACTGATATGTGTTAGCTCAAGACTCTTGTGATCAAGGAGAGCATGACTTACGTTGCGCTCTTGCGATGGTGCGTCCTCGATAGACATGATGGAAATTATGTCTCTATGCGTGGATGGAACAAAGCAAGATCATCTTTTTGTGTTAAAACGTCAAAAAGACAGCTTAGCTGCGGCAGAAACCCAGGCCCACTTGCGTACCAACAATTTCACGAAAAGCCGACGTCGGACCATGCACAAGGTTCAACCCTTTATCAGATCAACTAGTAATAAACGCCAAGTGCCAAGATCATGTATTTTTCGCACTATAGTCTTTCATGGGGTCTTGGGGGAATGGGAGCTGAGATCGTCAAACCCCGGTGGAGTACATTGTATATTCCTTTTTAGTACGTGACTCCAAAGGCGTTTCATAGTGATTTCGACGATCGCCGATAGTTTAGAGCTACGGCGAGACCATTCGGCAATACCATTCTCTGTAGAATGCGAAATTACTGCATTGCATATCTTTCCTGTTTCAGCACTTAGGGTAGCATTGGCAAAACACGGCAATATCCGAATCTGATTAGATCATAGTCCTCCACGAGGGCCAAGTCGGAGACGATACGGCTCTTACATAGGCTAGGTTGTTTTGCATCATGCAGAATATTGAATCCAGTTTTTTTTGGAGCCTGATTCAAATGTAACTAAATTGCACTAATTCTAGAACTAATTCATCACAGTTTGAGTGAACGGAACGGATTCCGGTCAAGAGTATCAGAGCCATCGAACCTCAATGGGGCTACATGGAAAAATTTTTCTCGACTGCCAAGAATGAGCGCCGAACGTTTGTGCGGTAAGTCGACTAGCTTGGCAAGGTTCATGCCAGTGGCGTGGTCGTAGGTCAAGGGAGCGAGATTGGAGTACTTCGGCTCCCCGGTGACAAACTCCGTGCGTGGGTCATCCAGGAAAATATAGTGCATCAAACTGGACCACCACACAATAGTGCGGTGCGGGCCCCGGAACCGTTCATCGCCGACAAGTGAGTGACGGCCTCGGTCCCAGTCTCCAGCGTCGTAGTATGCGCCAAGATGGTCCTCCTGCAAATTTGGTTAGTAGATTCCCTTTCTCAGAAGCTATCTGACAACATACTTTGGTCCAGTATATCTCATGGTAGGAGAAGAATGTGTCATTGAATTTAGCTAGCACCGCCATCTGGTGCGGATCCTCATGGATCTTGCGTAGATATTCACGATGTTGGTCCAGAGTTCCAGTTTCATTCCAACCCTGAGCCACTCGAGGGTCATTTTGCCAATTGTTGAACAGACCAAGGTGCTCTGGATTCGTATAATCGAGGGCAAAGACAGAGAAAAACTCGTCTAAGTGTGGAATATACCGACTGTACACCCGAGATCCGGCGGTTGGCTTTGGAGGACGCACCGGGTGGAGTGCATGTACTCGACGTTCGGGGAAACCGGTGGTCACCATGTGCTGATAAGGCCGAGCTGGATAGATGCTCAAAGGCTTGCGCATAGAGCTATAGATCGAAGGGTCAGAAACCCAAGCTGGACGGGTACCAAATGGCGAGCCAGCACCTTGCCAAAAGCTGCTGCGGAAAATGACCAGCTCGCCTTTATGCTCAGTTGATGTGGGAACAGGCTTTTCAGGGACTGCAGATGGCTCGGGGTGGGAGATAGCAAGGCCTACGGCTTGTAGCTCCCGTGAAACCAAATCTTTCCCACTACCAGACAGCACTGCTCTGAACCCCTCGAAGCCGCTATGTAGGGTCTCGATAGCATAGACCAAATTCCAGATCTGGCCCACCGTGGGTGTATCTGAGCCTGTCCAGGTGATATGTGTGACCGGACTTCTTCGTGCGCGGGCCCAAGGGGAGTTGTTTCCGTCCTCTGGTGCGTTGGAAGGATCGGGCTGGGATAAATCCGTGAATCTCAAATACGCATGGTCCAATGTCTTTGGGGGAGGTATGCCTTCATCTTCACGGGGAGCTCGGAGCAATTGGAATGTCCGGAGCTTTTTGTCGGTGGAAGTGACTTGCAGCTCATAGGTGGTCTTGTACGGCTCTGGAAGCCGCACTAGAGGAAAGTTGCTCGAAGACATGATGATGATGACGGTGTTGCCTACTTAGAGGAGGAGAACGAGGGAATAAGTAACTAGTCTGACCAGGGGCCTACATAAAGGCTTCATTCTCGGACATACTACGGGTCGGACAATTTGACAAGGATAGGGAATTGATCATCCTCCGTCTCAGTATACCTACCAAGTGTCAAAGTCCGACAGCCGAGAACTTGGCTGCAATAAAAAGTCGTCGCTGGACCTCAGTGTCGTCACTTGGCATAGACTAGTACAAGTAACTTGCTCGAAACGAGATTGTTTGTTGAAACCTTGATTAGCGTAGTCATGCCCCAGCTATCCGATATCGCAGCTAATCTTTCGAGTTGAGAACATCACAATACAAAAAAGAAGTCCTAATTTGAAGGACTGGGTATTCCTTACAAAATGACGAGAATTACGTATATGACTGTTAAGGTGCTGATTCGTTTTAGGTGTAGATCTGCAATTGGGTCTGGCGCCAAGGGGGTTTCGGGGAGGCGGTGCTTAGTGCAGATCTTGGCAGCCCAGGGTCTTGTATATATCGTATGTATCGTAAGTTTCGTATAGTTGTGTTGTTTATTACCAAACATGCCAAATCGCGAATATCCGATGTCAAATGCCAATGCAACTACTTTGGGCTCGCAAAGTCTCGGCATGCGGCCGGATCTCTTCTGTCCGTTGTGGCCTTCTGTTCTGCAGGCACCGAGTATCGCGCCTACTGCCAAGTCCATCAGTAGAGATCGGCAGATAATTTGATCAGACGGTTGCAAATTCTCTTAGGAGAAAGACCTCTAAGGCCCACGCTAGACATTTTCTAGAGTTCACACATTTTATTCACTGCCAGGACAATGGGCGAATACATAGAGCCAAGCGCGACAGCTTGGGGCAATGCAGAGCTGAAAAACCCAAGCGATGACGGGTGGTCCGACTCTGTGGCCCTACCCCAGCTCGCAGGCGCAAGCTGCAAACAAGTTCTGGTGCTATCTTGGGTGTTGCTTCTCTCTCGTGGCACAGTGAGCAGCGAGGATGGGGGTTTCTCCTGGAGTGGAGGATCTGAGATCCATGGAGGCCTTCTCACAGACGTGATTGAAAACCAGAGCAACCTCCTGAGAGACGTTCTAGAGAGGCTGAGAGCCTTGGGCCGAATCGACGAAGAGATGCCAGATACACTATTGTTTAAAAATGGCAGCCCTGGATCGGAAGTAAGTAAGACAAGCCATGTAATCCGCATCAGTAGCTAACTTGAGCAGTATACATTTTCGCTTGAAGCAAACGTTTCGCAGGGTCTTGCATACATTCGCGGAACCCCACATTCGCAAACAGCGACACAACCTGTCGAAGCCGTTCTAACTCAAATCCTCGCCGACATAAGTACTTCCATTGCCAATGGCCTTAATCAAACGGTTTTCCAGGCTACTGGTATCGGAAGACTGGAGCTGTCTCATATATGGAGATGGAATGGGCTTATGTCCCCAACCCTCAATTACTGTATTCAGGACATGATCAGTGCAAAAGCTCAATCTCAATTGGAGCGTCTCGCAGTTGTTTCCTGGGATGGAGAGATGAGCTACGCGCAGCTGGAGAACATGTCAACAAATCTCGCTAGACACTTGGTAAACTTGGGATTGAAAGTGGGAACGGCTGTGCCTCTCTGCTTTGAAAAGTCCATGTGGACGATTGTGGGTGTTTTGGCAGTGATGAAAGCCGGCGGCGCATTGGTTCTCATGGATCCAAGCCAGCCCGAGGGGCGGCTGACAACCATTGCCAATGAGGTTGATGCGGATTTGATTTTGACCTCTGAGCTGCAAGCCAGCCTCGGCCAACGCATTGTCCCCGAAGGAAAGCAGGTTGTCGTTGGGCCCCTGGTTTCTCGCGACGACTTCCAATCATCACATGTTGCATTGCCTGCTGTGCCAGCCTCGTCACCCCTTTATATTCAATTCACTTCCGGTAGTACTGGAAAGCCTAAAGGTGTTGTAATCTCCCACTCCAATTATACCAGTGGTGCGGTACCACGAGCTGCGGCCGTGGGGTACGAAGCCCATTCGCGAGTCCTTGACTTTCCTTCGTATGCGTTTGACGTCAGCGTCGACTGCATGCTGTGCACTCTAGTCAATGGAGGTTGCATTTGTGTCCCTTCGGAGGACCAGCGAGTCAATGATCTGAGTGGAGCCATTCGTGGTATGCGCGTCAACATGGCCCATATGACTCCATCAGTCGCACGCATTCTGGCCCCGGATATCATGCCTTCTTTGGAGGTCATTGGCCTTGGGGGTGAAGCAATCACTGCTAGTGATACGGTCGAATGGGGCAAAAAAACCAAAATTGTCATTGCCTACGGTCCCTCTGAGTGCACGGTTGGCTGCACGATTAACAATAGTATCCCCGCTGGCAGGTCATACACCAGCATCGGACGAGGAGTTGGAGGGACAACTTGGATAGTGGATCCAGAAAATCACGATCGATTGATGCCCATCGGGGCGGTGGGGGAGCTGCTCGTCGAGGGGCCCGTAGTTGGCGATGGGTACCTCAACAACCCAGAGAAAACAGCAGAGGTTTTTGTCGAAGACCCCGAGTGGCTGGTTGAAGGCGGGGGAAATATCCCAGGTCGTAGAGGCCGTTTGTACAAAACTGGTGACCTGGTACGGTATGACCCTGACGCGTCAGGAAACATTGTTTTCATCGGTCGCGCCGATCAGCAAGTGAAGCTGCGAGGTCAGCGTGTGGAACTTGGAGAAATTGAGTACCACGTTCGCAATTATCTCCCCTCCGGGGTTAGTGCGGCGGCAGAAGTGATTTTACCTGGAGGAAAAAAAGGCGATGCCACGTTGGTGGTCTTTGTTGCGGAGGAGAAAAGCGAAAACACCGGAAAAACCAGCCAAATCACATCATTCTCGAATCCGTTCCAAAGGCTCATTGGGGGTATCAATGATGCCCTTGCGAGCGATCTCCCTCGGTATATGATTCCCACCGCTTACATCCCACTTGACCAGATGCCGCTCTTGGTGTCATTGAAAACAGACCGAAAGCAGCTGCGTGCTCTTGGAAACGAGTTGAACAGGCGTCAGCTCGCCGAGTTGAAGTCCTCCACTGTAGCAAAGATCCCTCCACGCACAGAAATGGAGCGCAAACTTCACAGTCTCTGGCTGAAGCTGTTTGGAGATGAAGTGGAGATTGGAGTGAATGACCATTTCTTCAGTCTTGGAGGTGACTCGCTGAAAGCCATGAAACTTGTATCTACTGCGCGAGAGCAGCTTCTTGCTGTTCAAGTCACGGATATCTTCCAGTCCCCTGTTTTGGAGCATCTGGCTTTGAAATTAAAAGAGGCGGATGGCAAAGCGCCACTCGATATTCCTCCATTCCAGTTGCTTCCGAGTGATTGGAAAGCAGAGGCGGCCCGAGTCGACGTATCTTCTTTGACCAACCTGGATCCCTCCGTGGTGGAAGATGTATATCCCTGCACTCCTCTTCAAGAAGCACTCATGGCGCTTTCGGCTAAGTACATGGACGCATATGTCGCGCAGAGAGTCATTGAGCTGCCCGATGCTCGATCTGCCAATAGACTGCGATCTGCATTTGAATATGTCTCGTCACAATCTGCCATCCTCCGCACGAGGATTGTCCAAGTTCCACGACGAGGCCTGGTGCAGGTTGTTGTGCGCACAAACACTCCCTGGTTTGAGGGTACCAACCTGGAAAAATATCTCAGCAGCGACACACTGAGGGGAATGTCACTGGGGACTGATCTTGCTCGCTTTGCCATCGTGAATGATGAAACAACTGGCAAAAGTCACATCGTCCTCAGTATCCACCATGCACTGTATGATGGCTGGTCTATGCCACTGATAGTTGAACGCGTAAATCGCGCCTATCGTGGTGAGAGTATCGGGAACCCGGCACCATTCAAAAATTTTATCAAATGGCTAGGTGACACCGATCGATTCTCCTCCGAGAAGTACTGGGCGGATCAATTGCAGGGTGCTACGGCATTGCAGTTTCCGGTTCTTCCATGGTCTGGATATCAAGCTAGAGCCGATTCTCTTCTGGAATATTATGTCCAGTTGCCATCTACTTCAACCAACTCGACAATAAGTATTGCAACTGCTATTCGCGGGGCTTGGGCGCTTGTGGCCGCCCAATACACTTCCTCCGAAGACATCGTGTTTGGAGAGACTATGACTGGTCGCACAGCCCCCGTAGCAGCAGTAGAAGAAATCGAAGGCCCAATGATTACCACTGTTCCAGTTCGCGTGCATATCGATGGCAAAACTCGGGCATCAAACTATCTCCAGCAGATTCACAACCAAACAGTACATCGCATTCCTCATGAGCACATGGGTCTGCAGCATATTAGACGCGTGACCGCGGATGCAAGACAGGCTTGCGAGTTGCGTACGGGTATTGTGATCCATCCAACAATTGAGGAAAATATCGTTTGCGCAGAAGATCAGCCAGCTACGGCGTTCGTTCCAACCAGTGAAGCAGAGGCTGCTCGCGAGGCTCTGAAATTCAACTCTTACTCTCTTATGCTTGTCTTCACTGTTGATGCAAAGGGATTCCTTATCATGGCCAGCTTTGATTCGAAAACGGTTGAGGTGCCGCACATGGAGCAAGTGCTCTTGCAATTTGATCGAGTAGTGCAAAAGATTCTCGAGGATCCAAGCCAACGTATCCAGCAAATATATGACTTCACAGCTGAGAAGGAAGTCACGGAACAAGTCTGTCTCTCGAGTATCGGGCCAGCAAGCCTGCCATCAGAGAAAATGTACTCTGCTATCACATCAACTTGGATCGTGCATCCTCACAACAACGAGCATCTCGTACCCATCGGTGGAGTGGGTGAACTACTTATCGAGCGTGAAGGCGAAGTGCCTTCAGATTATGTCATTGTCAATCCATCCTGGTTTACACGCCCAGGAAAGCTTTTCGCGACCAGCCAATTGGCGAGATACACAAGCAAAGGTTCAATTATTATTCTCCGTGCAAAAAGTACCCAGGTCAGCCAGAATCCGGTTAAAACCAAGAAGCAAACTGCCAGCGCAATCACGACCGTCGCTCAGCAAAAGCTACAACGACTCTGGGGGCAGATATTGGATATTCCTTCTCAGGAGATTATTTTGGATGACAATTTCTTCGACCTTGGAGGTGACTCAATTCGCGCGATGAAGTTGGTCTCGGAGGCTCGGGCCGACGGTCTTCAACTGACTGTGACGACAATTTTCGATCACAGGTTGCTGGTGGACATGGCTGAACATGCAGTGGAGGCTAAGGCTCCCGTGACTGCGTCGCAGAGTTACTTGCCATTTAGCTCACTTGATGTGGCAGACATAAATTCATTGATCTCAAATCTCCAACCACTGCTTGGACAACCAGAATGGAAGATTATCGACGCCTATCCCAGCCGCCCGCTCCAAGAAATTGCAGTTCAGGGTACTGTTCAACTTCCTCGCTTCTCCACTAGGTACGAACTTTTCTACATGGATACCATTGTCGATCGAAGTAAACTGTTCCAAAGTTGCCAAGAACTTGTCTCCCACAACGAAATACTTCGCACTGTTTTCGTGGAGTACGAGGGTGTCTCAATAGGAGTGGTTGTCGAAGATCTTCCCTGCGAGATTATTGAATACGAGATAGAACGGGATGTAGAAGAATTCAGCCGGAAGGTCTGCGAGTTGGACGTGCAGTCACGCATTTCCCTCGGATCGCAGTTCTTTAAATTCTTCTTCGTTCAGCACCTTGACGGGCCCAGTAGCCTGATCATGCGTATCTCTCACGCTCAATACGACGAGATCTGTCTTCCCATTTTGCTGCAGCAACTCTCGGCCTTGTACGAGGGACGATCGGTGCCAAAGAGCTTGCCATTTTCATCTTATGTCAATCATGTCACTCGTACCAATTTGCCGGCCAGTATTCCATACTGGACAGAACTACTTCGAGGGTCGTCCATGACACGGATACAGCCTGATATTCCCGTGTTTTCCGGTGCTCATTATGCTATAACCAAGGAAGTCAACATATCTGCACGACCACGTGAGATCACAGTCGCAACGCTCCCTACAGCAGCTTGGGCGTTGTGCCTCGCGCGACGTCTATCCCTTGATGACGTCACATTTGGTGAGGTGGTGAGTGGTCGAAACATCGACCTACCCAACGGCGATGCGATTGTTGGACCATCATGGCAGTATGTGCCGGTTCGGGTCAAGTTCAAAAAAGGATGGACGGCTTTGGATCTGCTAGAATTCGTCCAGCGGCAGCATCTCGAAAGTGCGCAATTTGAGGGAATTGGCCTCAAGGAGGTTGTCAAGCATTGTACCGACTGGCCAGAGTCTGTTGACTGGTTTGACTCAGTCGTGCATCAAGATGTCGAGCATGTAGAAGATTTGTCCTTCATGGCGGCTAGTAGTCGCATGCAAACCATTTACCCGCATTTCGAGCCCTTGCGGGAAGTCAAGGTGCAGGCATTCCCGAAGGGGGACATGCTATGCATTGAGATCGTCACTGTCGAGTCATGGTCAGACTTTGGCCAGTCCATACTCGATGAAATTGCCCAGATCATTGAAGAACTGGTGAATTGCGTTGATTCGGAGGTGCTTTGAATGTTCATTGCCCGCTTACTCGGCGATTGCTTCTTTCCTATATTTAGATGTTGATCAATGCATTTCCCATTCATGATTTGATCTTATTGCAGAAATAAACATGCAAGTCTGGGTACATCTTCAATCATTTCCTCCTCAAGTTGATGCTGCTGTTGGCCCCCACTTGCCCTTGAAATCGCAAATTCCCAAGTTGTGTGAGCGCTATCTCGACCTTTGGGCGCACATGATGCAAAAAGATCAGGATTTCAGCTCGTCTCTTGGGAGATCTACCAATAAGCTACATGAGCTACACATGAATCATGTGCCCTCAACCAACCTTTGTGAAAATTTGAAATTGGGTTAAATAAAGATGTCCTCAATATTGCAAGGCTCACTGTTGTGCCAATCCAAATTTCCCTAGGTCAGTGCTTATTCTCAACCGCTCCAATTACAGAGTAACTTGAACGTGCGCCTTAGTAGCCTGTCGATCAACGTCGTTTCCCGTTGAACCGGCTGTTCCCCTATACGAACAGGAAGTCACGAGGCTTTGTCGAGAGTTCTCATCAATAACGCATTACTGAAATCGATCATCCATGCATTTCAATAAGAATTACACCTGGGCAAAGCCTTACCAATAGGCCAACCTTTATATATTGGATAGATGGTTGGGTTTGTGAAATTTAGCTACAAAATACGGGGAAAGACAACATATTAGGATACTTTATACATCTGCAATGGAATTGGATCTTAAGCTTTGATCATGAACTGGTCACTGGCTTATAGCGGGTCATAGCTGTTATTGTTGAATTAACACCAAAAGCTTAAGGAAAAAATGCATAACTATATATCGATTGCCATTGACTAGAGTGGGAACGATGAATCAGATCAATCATATCGCGCCAAAGGCAGCGGTTGCACAGTTGCCAAATTTCCATATCCGAAGTGCAAAGCCTTAAATTCACTCATCCGGGACAGATTCAAATTTGACCTGCACAGAGCTTGTGTATTGTATTTCCTGCGGAGTAAGATCGAGTGGTGGTGCAGAGGGGACAGGAGCAGGGGTGTTGTTAGCTATGCTGCCAAACAATCCTCCGGAGCCTCCTCCAGTGTTTTGTCCGAAGCCTGTAGCACCATTACCAAAGAGGCCCCCTGAACTTACACCAAAAGGCATCGGCACTGGACGCGCCAACACACCGAAAGCGGAATTCCCTCCATCGTGGATTTCCACTGCTACCACCTTACGCCCAATGACATCAGTGTAGTCAGTTGCTTTTTGGACTGCATCGCGGATGGCCTCCTTGCGCGACTCGGAGCTCAGTGCCTTTTTGGTGGCCGCGGTTAGCTCCCAGCCTATCGAGTTGATGTCGACGTTTGAATATCTGACAAGCTTCCCAGCAACCTCACTCATTTTAGCGAAGTCGCGGAACACAGCAACGAGTGACAGATTTCCATGGTATTCCTGGGTTCTGAAACAATTCGCTCCACCTTGGACATTCCAGCGCCAAGTACGGAGGGAAGTGGAGGAGTAAGTTACCACGGCTGCATCTGCGGTTGGATCTCCCGACTCATTCTTCGGAGAGAGGTCTTTGAAAATTTTGCTGAGCTCGTTGGAAGTCTCTGTCACTTTGTTAGAGACCATTTCGCGAGTGGTCCCTTCGGCGTTTACGGTCACGTTCAGAAGACCTCGTTCAGGCTGGCGGATGATGACTGATGAGCCTCCGACAGTGATTTGGAGTGGTGCCATGTTGATAATGAATCTCTAAAAAAATCTGTCGTACTCAGTTCAACAGCGAAATGGACATTGTTATATAGAGAGAGGGTGCCAGGCAGAATTTGGGCAGGGTGGGGCCGCAGCGCACACCTCCGGCGTGGATGCCTTGGGCTGTCGACTTGTACCCTTTCCTTCCATTCTTCATAGGACAAAAAAGCCAACGTAAGTATTTTTCCACTATGCCAATTGGAATTCGCACCAATATATGTGAGTCCATTACATGCATGGTAAGAGTCCAAAATTCACAGAGGTCATTCTGGTTTGACCTTCAACACTAATGCCGGTTTGGTTAGCCCAGTGCCGTTGGAAACAAACAAAAGAAAAGAAAACAAATAGACAGATCAAATCAAACACGTCAATCAGTTCGCTGCGCCTAAGATCCATAAGATCCATAAGATCGATCTGAATTACAGGAGCCTAACAATTTTGTTCTGTTAATAGAATGAGCATGTACCTACTTCAATATTTCTCCACTAATACCTTGTCCCCCCCACACGGCAGGTATGGTGAGACGACTACGAGTTCATCAGTCGCATCATTCATCAGACTAGGCATATGATATAGTAACGTTATCCATTTGACATATTATATAAATTTTTTCCCGCAAATGTTCCTGCTCTGGTCTATACCAGAGATCATTTGTTCAACAAGTTCTTCACACGAAACCCAAAGCAGAACCATATCATATCTAATGCATAATGAATCGCTCAAAATAAACATTATAAATCAAGACCATGGTCGTATATCATGATTCATGAGTCAAAGATTGGCCCATAAGCCGGAATCCCTTGGGATTCGAATTCGTAAACGATCTTTTGAGTCATCGCTGGGTTACTGATGACGAACACCGCTTCCGCTTCAAACTCCTTCAATTGCTGTCGCACCAAGGGAATCATATCAATACGTCCATCGGTCGACGTATCCCAGATGATTGGATCCGGGCCCATCTTGTGCACAAGATCAACGACATCCTGTCCGTAGGTCTTGACAGGAGTACGTGTCTGCCAGATGACCTTGATGGCGGGACGATTCTCGTCGCCAAGGAAACCGAGACAGGGACCGATTCCAGATCCGGTGGTGACGATGATAATGCGGTTGAAGAGACGGAGGCCGTAACCAACACCGCGCATCAGAGCTCCACGCTTCCAGAGGTAGGTTGGTGGGTTCGAAATGGTATCCGCGGTCCAGTCTCCAGCTTTGGATACCACAATGGACCAGCTCTTCAGGTTATTCTTGCCACTTGGATCGGGATCAGGGAAGCCGGCAAAACTGTGCCAGTCGCGGAGAGGATGCTTCGTGACTTGCACACCCTTCGCGAAACTGATCGCTGTGTGGTTGAAGTGGAGTCGTACAGCGTGCGTAGAAAGGGGCTCAGCATGCACGGGCACTTTGCGCAATAGGAGCCATGGGTGGGCCACTGCGAGGACTGCTGCGATCAGGAGCCAGAACGCGGGCAGAGTAACCAGGAAATAGCCAAGAGTATCCTTTTGCGCCGCACTGACTTCGTGGGCGAAAACCATCACCAACACCACGAAAAGCGCCAGAATTAGCCATGAGGTAAAGCGATGTGTGAATTCAAAGTAGTCATGGAATTTTCTGCGGATTGCAGGGTGTGCCACGATCACCATCACCAGGAGAAGCACCAAAATGATGTAGGCAATAATAATTGGTGCTGCAGAGAATTGATTTGCCGTCAGTGGGCTAATGGGAGACGAAGTGAAATAGGTTTGTGACACCACGGCGACAAATCCAATGTACCACACCAGAGATGCAACACCGCAGCCACTATGAACACCACCATAGTGGGCTGCTTTGGCAGCTATGCGACGCAGCCATAGTGGTGCTGATCTAGGAAGCGAGCACACCACTCTGTAGATGGCATTAACCACCAACGGGTGTCGGGCAAGACCGCAGGCCACCAAATTGACAGCTGTAGCATTCACTAGCGCTAAAAGTTGACGATCAGAGATCATCACGTAAAGAAAACACGCAAGATTTGCGCAGAACACAAGAGTGAAAAGCCGGCGATAAACAGTAAAGATGACATATCTGGCATGCGAAAATGGCTTGCGATGAGGGTCTTCGGGCAGGGTGATTTGAGCTTCCACATCAAGGGTGTAGTTCCTCCTGTGACCCTTAGGCTTTTGGTTCAAGCCTCCCTTTGATGAAGATTTGGTATCATTAACCTTGACTTTTTCCGGGTCTGAGATAATCCCATGCGGCGGGTCTGCGATGCAAACTACCTTGGCCGGTGGTGTTGGCATGGTTACTGGCTCAGACGCCGACATGGCAGTCTCATTCTTCTCGTCCGCCATAGTTGGTGGTCTAGGGAGGAGAGGAAAAGAGGTGGAAGAAGTAAAATCGGTTCGTCGGCGTAACTACAAGACTTTATTTAGGGTTTTTACTTTTTTTTCCATCGTGGGGAAGAGACCACCGAGAGTCTAGTCCAATGACGAGGAACTCATCGGTAACTCCATCGCGAATTCCCACGATTACCGAATTAGAGGTATTGCAAGGGCCAAATCCATGGGCCGAGATGGCTCCACGGTGGACATGCATTGCCTAAAGCCAAAGGATCCAGCAGTGACGATTTCACCACCAATGAGCTACTACCGGACGGATCCTGCCAACAGAGTGGAATGGTTGACTAAAGTTCAGCCGAGGATCGACCATTGACCCCTCTTTGTGGATCTTTCCCAGCCATTTATTTACATTCGAGGTTATCTATTCGAAGTTATCTTGGACTTTGACCAAGTTCGGCGGACCTCGGGTCACATAGCGCGGGATAGTCCCGGAACTTGATAGACGCTCATCCTCACACCGACAATTCGAGAATTGGTGTGGAATGTAGCTAAATTTTGAGTCTAATAAGGATAGGGATAGACCTCAAATCCGGAAAATCTAGAGAGTGGGTTGTACGGGTCAATCACCCGCCCGCCTTATTCCCTTGCATGTGTTCCACCATACCCTGCGGCAGCAAGGGAGATCTTAAATGCAACCTTAGGTAGAGACTTTTCGGCCATCCTTTAATTGCGTTGAGGGATTTCTTTGAAAATTGTTTAATACCACAGGCGGGGCGGGTGATAGCCCCCCGGACGGCAAGATCGGAAATTATTCCAGCCCGGAGCTCGGTTACTCTGTTGAACTGAGCCTTCCGATAGAGGATGGTGTTTGTTGATCTAGTTCCCGATCCATAGCATTAAGTGGACCCGCTGTCACCCACCCAAGCCGTGTACAATAATTTGGTGGAGATGTACGCTCGGTCCCCTCCACCGCTGAATATCCTTTCAATCATTGCCTGCATCATGCATGCATGGCGGTCGCGGACCGTAATGTTTATACATGTATCGGGTAGTTGAACGTGGGCACTAAATTTACTAATTGAGCGACGGGCATTTCCCAAGAGGCCTACACGTGGAAGCTGATAGGCTCCTAAAGCGAAAGGCGCTAGTTAAAGGAATCGAATCCACAATTAATTTCAAGGATTTGGTTATTTTGGTTACATCGCTAATACGCTGTATTGTATTTGGGAAACAAGCAATTTTCATTGCTTCAAGAAATATCAATGCTATTCGATTAATATTATATGCATCTAATTAAAAATAGACAAATTCAAGCGCTAAAGTGGAATAAAATGCAGAAAATCGAACAGAGGTCTCGCAATATACGAGTCATGTCAATATCTCGGGAGAAAAAAGGGGTCTTCAATCAGAGTGAGTGTTCAGCTCGACTCTGAGACGAATGAGCTGGCCGAGGCGATTTTCCTTGCGAGGGCCTTGGTAGGTTGCGATCCAAGGAATTCGAAAGAAGTAAGGTCTGCACCGAGTTCACGGGAGACCCAGTTTTGGACAGATGTTGCCTTGAGTGAATCAACTAGAGAAAAGTTAGTTCAAGATCGTGTACCAACAATATTAGGGACAACATACCTCCCAGGGCGGACAAAGGCAGATCCGAGTCAATGGCATCGGCCGTTGTAGCCATGGCGTCTGCTAAATACTCACTCAGAGCGTCAATGACAATCTGAGTAGCAGTGTCTAGTGAGTCGGCCTCCCTGAGTAGGGCGCTTGTCGTGACCTTGGAAGAGTCACTGTCATCGACAATAATGCGAAGTCGGTGATCAAATTTACGATCGAGAGCCCAGGCTGTAGAACCGTTGCTGCGAGACAGGGAATCCGTCATACCAGCGATGATTTGGGAAGGGAGAGAAAGCTTGCTGTTGATGATCACCCGGAGCAAGGTTTGAATTTCATGGGTCATGATCTCCGTACCCTCCAGATGCTTGTAGCGGCGGCGTCGTTGTTCTTGATCCTCAGCAATGTCACTCATTCCACTGGCATCAGGGACAAGACCAATGTTGATAGAATGACCGGGCAAGCCTTGGTTGCGTCGCCATTCCATGAGGGCGTCAATGAAACCATTTCCGGCAGAGTAGTTAGCTTGACCCATGTTGCCAATGACGCTGGCCACGGATGACAATGCCACGAAGAACTTCAAGCCTTCTTTCTCGGAGAACAAGTGGTGCAAATTCATTGTTCCGCGGATCTTTGAATCGGTTGATTTGGACCATTCTTCAAAAGTCATATTCTCGAACATGGCATCCTATGGAAGAAAAAGAAAAGAAGTCGTCAGCTAGTGTAAGAAAAAGAGAACGAGTGGAAAATCGATTACCTTTAGAACAGTCGTGCATTGGATCACACCTGCAACGTCCCAATTTTTACTCCGGATCTTGTATGAAAGATGGTCAATGTCTCCCTGCTGGGAGATATCACAGCGGAGGACATCAATCTGGCATCCGCGATCGCGAAGCAAATCTAATGCCACCTGCTGAGTTGGCTGCGCGCCGCTAGAGCGACCAAGGAAAACCAAGTGCCGGGCTCCGGACTGCACCAAAGTATCGGCAAGTGCAAGACCCAGATTTCCCAGTCCACCTGCTAGAATGTATGTACTCGCTGCAGGTAAGCCTGCAAGATCTGGCAGTGGGAGAACAATTGGGACTTTTCCAGGAGCCTTGAGATCGACTATCACTCGAGTGTTGTCGTCTTTGCACTGTTTCAAAGCGTCCGTGACGTCAGAGATGGGGAAATCAGCGTATGGTTCCACACGATCCAACATTCGGTGCTGCTTCATGAAGTCTATCACATGACGGACTGAAGCATGAAGGCTACCAGGCTTCTCTGAGAAGATCTTCTGCAGCTTTGGCGATGAGAACGTGCAGCCACCGTCAATGAAGCTCTCTGGGAGAGCACTGAGCTTCATATCGCTGGACAAGTTGATGTACTGTCCGCCTTGGACCAAGCACTTTGCGGCATTTCGGCCTGGGTATCCACCTAAGAAGGAAATACTGGCATCAACTCCGCATCCGTTGGTAAGTCTAGACACACTTGTTTCCAGCCCGCTGTGGATGCCCAGAATGCGTTCCGTCAGAAGCGGGTAGCGAACGCGAAGGGCTTCAGTGGCATCCTGAGTATCGGTTGCCACAATGACCTGCATGTCCATAGCAAGGGCATAGTCAATCATAGCTTGAAGAGTTTGGCTGAGCGACCCGAGCAATAGAACAGAGGAGCTTGAGCTGAGGCGACCCACTTGAGTCAGAATTTGATGCGCGTTGAGGTACGCGAGCGGAGTCGAAATTACTTGTTTCGGGTCGGTGTTTGCGGGGATTCTGATGATGTCGCTCTCGAGAACGCGCATTGTAGTCGGAAGTCCGGATTCTGCGGAGGCCAGTGTCAAGACCTTGTCTCCGACAGCTGAGTCGCGCACACCTGATCCAATTCGAGTGACCTGAGCAACAATTTCGAACATTGGGATAGCTGTCTCTGGGATAATTCCAGTATTTCCCTGCAAATCGAAGATGGTGGCCATCTCTACCTTCAGCTCGGTGTGATCTGGTAGAAGTTGCTCTTTGGACACTTCTTGTTCCTGCCAGATCGCGTTGGCTGGATCCTGGAGCTTCAGCTCGAGTGGTCTAGAGTCTTCAGTGAGTTCTGACAGAACAGGCCTGGGGCCATTCACCAGTGTATGCATGGCTTCATCAACAGCTGAGGTCTCGAGAACACGGGGGACCAACAACTTGCCGTTAGCGAGGCGGTACTCCAAGTCTGGTCGGCGTGGGTTCTCTTGCGTGGTGAGCTGCATCACCTGAAGAATGCCACATGCGAGACCAAACTTGTCTTCCCAATCATCCGCGTCTACGAGCAGGTGCGGAATAGTAGTGTTCCATTGCTCATTGCGGAGTGTACGCAGAAGGCCACCAGTGGCACCGGATCCAATATTGTCGACTTCTCCTTCGCTCCAGAAAGGCGAGATCCAGAGAACGTATTGTGCCTTGATGAGACCTTGTAGATGCTTGAGGTCTTTTTCTGTCCAGTTGGACACCCAGGGACCCGCCAAGTCGAGCAATGAAATCACAGTCTTACCTTCAAGCGTAGGGACCTGGTTCAACCCAACAGACACAAGGCGAACATTGTGAGTGGCAAAGATCTTCTCAAGGTGATCAAATACGGGGAAAGAGTTCGTAGTTTCAACTGGACTCAAAACATAGATCTCGGGATCTGTGCTCCAAGGTACCGGAGTTCGGCGTGCAATAATGAATTTGCGATCTTGGGTCACACTGTGGATATCGAGGCCATCGAGGCGCTGCAAGCTGTTTGCTGCCGAGTCCAGGTCTTTATCAGAAACGCGAATTGCGGCGAAGCCTCCGTGGTCCAGAATCATGGGCAATAGGGAAACTACAGCTTGAGAGGTAATTTCATTCCACGGCTTGGGCTCATCAATAACGACCAAGTCATATTTCTCCTCCGCAAGTGAAGACGATGAAAGTTTTTCAAACGAATCAAGAGGCACCACGCGAGCGCCTATAATGTCGTTGTTCGCCTCATCGCTAGAACCACATGGGGCGACAGTGACCTTCCCAAGGCAGGGTCGATTTCCGGTGCCTGGAGTTACCCCCTGGAGAGCTTCGGCCCAAGAGGTAGCTGCGTTGGAGGTAGCGACTAAAGCACTCGCATCGCCGTTTGTATGGCACAATCGCTTGATCCAGTCTGTCAGCTGCAAACTGCTGGCTTCCACCGCGATCTTCTTCGCTCCGTCATGGATTTCGCCAGTGATAAGAGGCGACTCCAAGTGCTCTTCCCAGACAACCGAAGAGTATCGACTTTCAGGTCCGGTCTCTTCTTGCTTTTGTGCGTTGGGGTTGTAGGGAAGACGGCCGAGGTGGACACCTTCAAACGTGATCCAGGGTTGCGACCAAGAAGGATCCGACGCGACGCAGTGGGATCGCGACTTTCCATCTTGCCACTTAGTCTCAGTGTGGACGACAAACTGTTCGCCAGGTTGGGGCTGGAAAGAGTTGGAAATGTAAATGTTGTCAACTCCAACGGGAATATTGGCGTTCTGGCTGGCAAGTGCTTCGGAGCATGAGAGAAGAGCAGACTGGAAGAGGCAATCAAGGGTTGTGGGGTGAATGAAACTGGGCGTCTCTTTTTCGTAAGGCATTGTCGACTTTGTGTCCGTCACAACTCCAGAAAGCCAGATACGAGGCTCTGACTCGCAGAAGGAAACTCCAGTGATGGTCTTGAATGCTGGTCCGACCGTAAGCCCGCCTGTGATGGACAACCAGTCATAAGCTTGTCTGATGTCGGCCATTTTCGCGATTGTTTGGGTGTTTTTGATGCGCTCCAATGATGCTGTCCAGTTGGCCTTGCGCTCCTCGTCATCTTGGCTCTCGTATCGCGTCACGAATGAGCCCTTCGCGTGTTGAATCCACGCACCCCCGGATGGAAGTGAGAAAATGCCAAATTGGTACCAACCTGGCAATCCTGGGTGGGGAGACAACTGAAGAAGAGTTTCCAATCCTCGCTCCTCTTCTGGGATAACCACTCCGCGCATGAAATGAACGTCTTGGAATTCAATTCCCTTGATCGCGTGGCCGTCAGCCAACTGTCGCGCTGCCTCGGTGGCCATCACCAACATGCCGGCGGCCGGAAAAACGACCGAGCCAGCGACAACGTGATCGGCGAGCCATGGGTTCTCTGAAAGTCGCAGGAAATTTCTCCATCGTGGCTCCAAGGCGTTTTGATAGTCCACGGCAGCTCCCAATATATCATGGCGGGGATGCTTGCGCTGTCTCAACTGCGCTGTCTCGAGAGGCTCGTGCCAGAAAGATGCTTGGTGGTTCCAAGGGTAAGAGGGCAAATCGGCAACCATGGAGGGCGTTGTTGTATCAACACTGCTGTTGACAACAGAGAGGTCAATCGTGTGCCCTGTGCTCCACAAAGATCCAGCAACTTCGAGAGACGTGCGCAAAGCGTGCTGATTGCGTGCAACTAGGGAATGGTAAGGCAGATTTGCCATGTTCTTGTTGACAGCTTGCAAGATTTGATTGACCGGCCCCTTCAAGACCGCATGTGGGCCAATTTCTACCAAGCTGGTCCATTTGATTGGCACAGGACGGCGGCGGGCCTTGGTAGACTCGCTCAGCTTTGCGAGTTCTGAAACTGCAGCGGTGAACTCGACTGAGCTCACCATATTTCGAACCCAGTATGCTCCGCCTAGCTCAGAAGAGTGCACGCGCTTCTTTGTCACAGATGAAAGCATGGGGATTGAGTCGCCGTAACGGTCTTCGGGCTTAATAGAGTTGATTGCATTACCGACCACTTCAACCAAGTCTTCCATGTGAGGAGAATGGTAAGCTGTATCAATGCGGAGCTTGCGAGCGAAGTGACCATCTTGCTGCAATTTCCCTTCAAGAAGGTCGATTTGGTCCACGTCTCCGGAAAGGGTTGTGCTGGAGGGGCTGTTGACGCAGGCAACCACCACTGAGCGTGGAGGCAGCTCGTCGAGATATTTCTGTGCATCTGTGGAAGAGATTCCAGTGGCAAGCATACCTCCTCTTCTGTCACTCTCAGCAATTTGCTGTGAGAAAAAGCCACGGAACCAAGCAACTCGCAGAGCATCTGCATGAGACAGATATCCTGCTGCATACGCGGCGGCTAGAGGACATGTGTTAGTTCCACAATTTTAAATATTAATGTCAAAAGGAAATAGCTGTGATAGAGGTTTTCTTACCAATTTCACCACTAGAGTGACCAACAACAGCGTTGGGATAAACAGACCAGCTGGATAGGAGATCAACCAAGGCGATCTGCAGCGCGCATGTAATCGGCTGACTGCGGTCGGGTCGGTTGATGCGACTCTCTTTTGCCTCCAATTTGATCTCCTCCACAATATCAAAGGAACATCCAAGTGCTGAAAGGATATCTTGTGACCGAGCCACGCTTTCGCGGAAGGTGCCAACTCTCAAGAGTTCTCGGCCCATTCCTGCCCACTGGCCACCCTGACCAGTGAACACAAACGCAATTCGGGTTTGAGCTTTGCGACTAGCCCGCGAAAATTTAGGGAGTCCCTTGTCCAAAATGCTCTGCAGCTGATCTTGGGAGTTAGCGACGGCAAAGCTGCGGAAGCCCAACTGCGAACGCCGGGTAAGCATTGTATGCGCTAGATCCTTCAATGAAACTTCCTGCTCGGCCTTTTGCTGACGTTGAAGATATTTACTCCAATTGTCACCAAGACGGTCGATGCCAGCTTGATCAAATGTGGAAAATACCACCACGCGTGGGGCAGGTTCTCTGTCTTCAGCGCTTCCTTGGAAAGCCTCTTTTGTGCTCTCCAAAATAATGTGGGCATTTGATCCACCAAATCCAAATGAGTTGATACTGGCGCGTTGTGGCAGGTGCTCTGGCCAGGGCATTGTTTTGTCGCTTAGGCGTAGTCGCCAGTCCTCCATCCTGATCTTGGGATTGATGTTCTTCCACCCAGCGTTTGGCACCAAAGTGGCTTTTTCTAAACAAAGAACAACTTTGATCAAGCTAGCCACACCGGCTGCTCCTTCGGTATGGCCAAGATTTGTTTTCACTGAACCGATGTAGACAGGCTCATCAGTTGGTGTTCTTGCCTCGCCCAAAGTCATTCCGACAGCAGATAGCTCGGTGGGATCCTATAAGTCATGCTTAGAACTTTATTGTCTCGCTATCCCCGGAGTGAATCCACTTACTCCGACAGGAGTGCCAGTTCCATGGGCTTCGAAATAAGTAGTGTCTCTCATCGAGATACCGTGCCGTTCATAAGTCGAACGAATCAAGTTAGCTTGAGATGTTGGGCTAGGCAAAGTGATTCCAGGGGTCCGGCCATCCTGGTTGATTCCTGTGCCACGGATGACGGCTCTAATGTTATCTCCGTCGGCCAGCGCAGCGCTGAGTGGTTTCAAAAGCACAGCTCCGATACCTTCTCCTCGACCATACCCATTTGCGGACTCGTCAAACGAATGACTTGTACCATCTGGGCTCATCATGTGCATGTAGGAAAGCCTTTGTGTAAAATTAGGGTGTAAGATGAGACTAGCTCCAGTGACCATAGCCTATCGTACTGTCAGTTGTTTTGAAAGACACATTTCATTATGTAGTTACTCACCATTCCGCACTCGCCAGAACGTAAAGCTTGCGCTGCCAAGTGTACTGCGGTCAAACTAGATGAACACGCAGTGTCCATCATAATACTCGGTCCTTGAAGATCAAAAAACCATGACAAACGATTTGCCAGCATAGTTCGTCCGTTTCCTGTAGCGGAATTGTGAGGCATGTCGTAAATATCTCTGGTTGATAATAACTCATAATCATTGGTCATTGAACCAGAGTAAACTGCCGTGTTACTGCCTGGAAGACTGTCGATTGGAATTCCACCTATTGTGGATGTTAGTTCTGCGCTCTCTGAGAAATTAAACATTGCTAAGCTTGCCATTCTCAAAAGTTTCATAGGCAACCTCGAGCAGCAAACGCTGTGCCGGATCCATGCCCGCCGCCTCCTTGGCGGTGATAGAAAAGAAAGGGGCATCAAAGCGCGATGGGTCTTCCCGTATGAAGAAGCCACTGTCATGGTTGATCTAAAAATCCGATCAGCTCAATTCAGGATAGCAACAATGAACAAACAAAAATGTTTAGCAGGGTCCTCGTACAGCTCCTTTGCGTTCGTGGCTGGGGTGGTGCCAGGCTGATGCCTGGTATCGGCTCTCGGGAATAGTTCCATGACCAGTGCGTCCTTCACAGAGCATCTGCCAGAAATTCTCAACGGAGTTCGCTCCTCCAGAGAAGCGACATCCCATTCCAATGACCGCAATTCCCTCCATCTCTGTGGGGTCCGACATGTTATTGGACCGGCCAGGCATCTTGTGGAAAAGCAAAGATTGAGAAAAAAGGGTTGGCTGTCAAAGTCGCATATGCGGGAGATTGTGGGGGTATTATACTCCGAGGTTTGATTTCTGGGCTGACTCGGTAAGTCCCTATCGTGATCTCAGGCCGACGATCTAGTCGACAATCTTGGAAGCTAGTGCCATGAGTGCGGGTGGCCGCGCATAGTCATATGCATGTATTACTGGCCAACTAACGGGCGGAGGACATGCTGTGGGGCATGGAGACACGCTGAACAAAACTATTCATCCTTTAGGTTCGGCCGGGGGAGACTTCCTTCCTACTCAAGAAACCCAAGCCCGGACTAGATGATTTCGAATCGCGTTATCACAAACCATGGCTAACGACTCCAACAAGTCAGTGCCATGATTTTTCTTTCCTTGCATTCCTCGAGATGCAGTCTGCGGCCGAGGTTATGGATCATCATGTGGAGACAATTTATGAACGAACCGGGATCGCCAATCCATATGCACACGCACGACAACAGAAAGGGTTAACTAACTACATTGTTATTGTTATTTGAATTCCAAGCTAGGAAGCACCTTCACGAGATACGTTTGTATTGTGACCATTTGGAACACGTATTTGTCACCGTATTTCAGAATGATAATCTTACAGCTTGGAGGAAAGGATTTTCAGGCTCCATCGGCCCGCATAGCTTTACCCACAATTATATTGTATGGTCTGCTCTAAGCTCATCTTGGCAGCCGACGATCACAGTCATAGGTGAAATGATTTTTTTTACAGCTAGCTGCTCAGGGGTTATTGTCATTCCGCAGTGGAGAAATCACCATTCTCGCTTCCCAAACCCCCCTGTTTGAGAGACGGAATCCCGACGGCTTAGTGCGATTTTCTTCCAATTTCAAAGAGGACAATGTGTGAGCAATTTGTAAAATGAGTCTTGAGCGTATTTTTGTCTTCAGTCCTAGCCTTCGGGACCTCCATTGGTGGCCACAACTCCTCAAGGATGAAAATAATTATATTCATTGAATGTTCAATGATCACATGCACTTGAGTACAAATTTATGTATTCACGGGTTCCTATAGTCGATCACAAATTAAGAACAAAGCAAAAGCAAAAAAGCCATTAGAACTGCATTCAATCCGGTCCCTCGGAGACCAATTTCAAGATGAGATCTTCTCGTTGAACTTGATTTGGTACAAACTAGCTGGTGGAGTTAGCACACGGGGTTCTCACTAACCCCACCCCCCACATGTTGTTCTCGAATATCTGGCTGGATTTCTGGATTTCACGGTTTATTGCGGTTCATTGGCCATATTGTGTGCAGTGGACACCGCAAGTCTGCATATGAGCTCAAGAACAATTCGATCTTGCCCCAATCAACTCTGAGCATTGATACTATTATTTGCGTTTATTTTTTTCTGCGTCAAATCCAACTCGCCCCGAACTCTTTCTGGACACATAACTTGGACAGTCTAAAGTTTGCCACTAAGACGATTGCCTATGTGAACCTCACTTGTTCCCCCTGTCTTTCGTTGGCTTCCCCCACGTCGGAAAATTCCTTCAAAATGACCACTCAAAGCGCCATCATTGCCCAAGAGCCGGGTCATGCGATTCTCACACAAGATGCCCCGCTCCCTGCCCTCCCAGACAACTATATTCTTGTCAAAACAAAAGCTGGTATTTTACCCTTCCTTCTGCGCTCTGCAGCTCCCTTCCCTCATTCATTGAACTAATAAAAAGGTAAAGTGGCTTTGAACCCCACGGATTGGCGTCACATTGATTTTGTTCCTTGTAAAGGGGCTACCGTAGGCTGCGACTATTCTGGAATAGTGGAAGCTGTTGGTCCGAACGTCAGAAAGACATTCAAAAAAGGCGATCGGGTTGCTGGATTTTTGCATGGTAGCAATGCAGTTCGTCCCAATGGTGGCGCCTTTGCTGAATATATCATTGCCAAGGGTGATTTGCAAATTTTGGTTCCCGATTTCATGACTTTTGAAGCAGCAGCCACTTTTGGCGTTGGCTTGACTACTGTTGGTCAAAATCTTTACCAAAGCATGGAGTTGCCCCTGCCCGGTCAACCAGATGAGGAGTCAGAGGGCACAAACATCCTCATTTATGGAGGAGCCACAGCTACTGGAACTCTTGCTATTCAACTGGCCAAGCTGTCCGGGCTGCGCGTTGTGACGACATGCTCTGAAACCAATCGCAATCTGATGTTCGAGCTCGGAGCAGACGCTGTATTTGATTACCGCGATCCCGAAGTCGGCGATCAAATCAGAGAGGATACTGATGACACTCTGGAATTCGTTCTGGACACAATCTCTACCCCGCAATCGGCTGCGATTTGCAGTGCAGCCATCTCATCGGCGGGTGGGTCTTACAATGCCCTGTTGGATGTCAAATCCACAAGAGACGATGTTGATTCGCATGTCTCAATGGCATATGACCTCATTGGTGAACCTTACCGTATGGGGGCACAAGAGGTCTCTCCCGACCACAGCAACCTTGAATTCGGGATCAAGTGGTGGGAAATAGCCCAGAATCTGCTGCACGAGCGCCGCATTCTCCCCCACCCTTATCAGGTGAAGCCAGGCGGCTTGGCCGGGGCGCTGGCGGGGCTCCAAATGTTGAGGGAAGGCAAAGTCCGAGCCAGTAAGCTAGTCTATCGTGTGGATGAATCTGAGTAAGATTTTATACAGAAAAAGCAAATAAACATCTTAACATCCTACGTCGCAATAAAGTTCAATAGCTCGCCGATCTCTAGGGCTCTGGTCCAATATGATTAGCCACATGCGGAAGTGTTTTCCGAAGGAGCGGAATGAATTGAAGGAACGAAAAGAGTGAAACCATTTATTCGATTATTGATGAGAGCAATTTTCAAGGCAGCCAACTAGCGTGAAGCGCAGATTATCTCCTTCCTGATCTTCTCTCTAAACCTGGGCGCAATGGTTGATCCGGTCTCTCAAGTGGATGCAGAGCTCGATTGTTTTATCGGATACGTGTCAGGGCTTCTTGGGCATAATGTGGTCTGACAAACAGGAGGGGATGGTTCCAAAGATTTTTCTCATTGTGCCTCTCTGCATATCGAAGGTGTCGACAAATAAAAGGTATGTGTTCTATAATAAATCAACAGGAAATCTTCATCTCAGAGCTATGTAAGAAGAAAACGGACTGTGCCAATAAAAAAAGGACATACCTCTCCCACCACGCGATCGAGATCAAAGTCACGTGGATGCGTCAGTTGGTTATAGGCTAACATTGCAATCAACCAGCTCTTTGCATCATTAGTGCACGCGAACATATCATTTAGTCGGTGGCTCGGTCATACAGTCCTGAGCCTTCTTATTCAGTAACATCTTAGCCATAGGTTTCAAGATGTCTTCTCGGTAATTTGTACCTTCTAGGCCAGATTTTCAAGTAAATCGCTAACTCACTGTATTTGGGCCGCCTCTCAAGTGATGGTCGCTATCACCTGGTCTCTTAGGTCTGAAGGACCACGGCCTTCGAGGGCTATGTGGGAGTTTCGATCCGGCGAACGTTCCCTGCTGAGCTGCAGATCGTGACCATCAATTATCTATATCAAAGTATCGTTATAGAAGAAGCAAAGCCACAACGATTGAGCTTTTTCAAGAAAAGAAAAAGGTGGCTCAACTGTGGCGTATTCCTTTCGACGATGCTTCACTCAGTCTCGGACTTTGAGCGCTCAAGCATTGATTTAATCAAATTACGGAGTTCATTTTCCTTGAAACTCGCAGAGAATATTAATTGAAATTCTTCAGAATTGGGTAACCTACTAGAATGATGACTGGCTAATTTTATCGAGCTCCTAGGAAGTAAGTATCGAGGGCTATAGAAGACAGGCAAGCAGAAGCAGGCGCAATCAATTTGTAACCATCGTAACGTCATCTAGCATTCCTCTGTGAATTCTGTGAAAAATTGTGCCGTAGTTTCAGGAGCAATGATAGCAAGTTAAAAACGCAAGAAAAAAATATATACAATGAATTTTGGGAGAATGAAAGTCGAATATGGCAGCTAGTATAACTTAAAGTTGTGGGCTCCAGGGCATCTGCATAGGTGTGAGTGATGACTAATATAACTAGTTGCCCGGGGCGCGGAGTTTGCATCAGGCGGTACCCGCGAACGAATATCATTGATTTAACCTCTTTACCAACTAACTGTCAACCCATTCTCGACCAACTTTCTTATCCCCGAATTTACAGTCGAAGCTCGGACGGGATTATAAGAAGAAATTCGCACTGCCTCAAGGGTAAGTGCAGGATGAATCATCTGAACTTGTGTATCCCCTCAAGCCGCTTGAGGATAGCCTGTAAACGCGTCGTGCGGCTTGTCAGGCATCGCTCACTTGTGCTCGATGGTCCGCGATGCACTGTCAATCGTTCGAATATCTTTCTTTTTTTCCCTTCAGTGATAAAACTGTATCCGTGTTATCGGGTATACCTTTACCTACAAAGAAACGGTGAAGTTGTCTGGATTTGTGGGCGAGTCTCCATATACTACGATAATAATAGAATAAACGTGCCCTATGTTTCAAAAGCTTTTCTACATACTTTATAGAAAAATATAGTAGTGTCATCCAAAGGTTGGTGAAAATTCGGCCTGCATTGATAGAGATGAGGCGTAGACTTGGGTAGGTCTTCTTATCCAGTAATCTTGCAGCGCGGCACAGGCACATTCACCAAACATGAACCTCCGAGCCCCCCACATAGCGTAACCGTTGCAAGTTCCTTCAGGGCTCTACTGCGTGCAATATCCAACTTAATTATGAATGTAACAGTCATGACCTCGGCCCTGTGTATGACATCATGCTTAGTCACCTTCGCCGAAAGAGGAAAACCCTCCCTAGGTACACATATATGGTGGAATTACAAACCCATTAATAACTCAACTAATTTTCGAATTCGCCATTGATAGTGGTATTGTCCGCAACTTGAAAATCATAGTGGTATCGGATGTTTCTTTCCAAAATATATGCTTCTATATCTATACAGTGAATTGAGCAAATCGTGGTCAATATCCTCTGAAGTGAATTGGAGTCGAAAGGTGGAGACAAATTATCAAAGAATGAAAAGCTTGCACAAAGCCACCTAATCATCTACTTCCGCCTTACTCCATCCGGAAGTGTAGGAGCTGTCATAATAGTGCGCTGGAGATGTTTACTTCCCACTAGTAATTAAGATGCTACCTATTCCATCTGCAAACGGTGAAGACTCTTCTTTGTCAAGATAAGCGGTATTCTCTTAGCTTCAACCGTTGTTATAAAGCTGCTGCTAGTCTCTAGGTCTTTAGCTTCTGCAGACATCAAACAACTATCTCATAATCTCATTCTTTGACCCTTTTCCCCTAAACAAAAAAATCCTGCAACAATGAAGTTCACCGGAACCGCTGCTTTTGCCCTCACCGTGGCTGTCGCCATGGCTGCTAAGCTGTCTGACTCTTCTGCTCTTGACCACGCCAAGTCCCAGTGCACCACCGGTGATATCTCTTGCTGCAACTCCGCTGAGGAGACTAAGGCCGATGGTATTCTGGGTAACCTGTTGGCTGGAGGCCTTCTGAACGGTCTTTTGGGTAACTCCAACTCTGCTTGTGCCAAGACCAGCCTCATCGATGAGCTGAACATCCTTGGTGAGTAAACTCATCCCGGTTTCATTACTGCGAGGAAAAATTATACTGACATACTTAAAGCTTCCGTCAAGAACTCTGACTCTGGACCCGTCTGCAAGAACATCATCGCTTGCTGCCCCGAAGGAACCAAGGAGGTGAGTACTAGCAATGTCAATTCCTGAACGGACCAGTGTCTAATCATCTCAAAACAGTGCATTGCCATTGACAACTCTGGCAAGAAGGAGTAAATATGTTGGGCAACTAGATTTACTTAAAGGCCAACCTTGCAATCAATCAAAAAGTCGATACATGTTCGCTGTTATAACAGCCACCAATATATAATTCTCAGTCTTCTAAACTTTTAATGATTCCTAATTAGTTAGCAAACCCTCCAAGGTTAATAATTTAGCTAAAAATTATGGTACAAATGGTCTATTGTTTGGATCTGGGCTATGTTCTGCGAAAACGAGAATTTAGGCATGCTTGCTCGTTATATATTTCGAATCCGAGTCGAAACATAGAGCAACTGTGATTAATTACCTAGGTACATATCACCAGCCACGAACACGTTAAAATTTACTTAGATACCATTTGGCTGAAGGGTTAATGATTATAGAATACATATTTCCAACCTGAGGGACCAAAGGAAGATGGATTCCTTGAGCTGGAACATCTGTCTGTCTTCTCATCTGTATGAAGATATACCTAGGTATCAGGTGAAGTGGGGATTGCAATTTAGGTTTCATGGGGGGCCAATCCGCATGACGTTTAACCTCGAGTATAAAGAAGAAGCAAGCGTGACATGGCTATCTCGAGCGTCGGAAATTTTGGGCCAAGAGATTCATAAAGGTGAGGCTATAACGCGACCTACTAGATCACACACCATCAGCCACAAAATAAGCTCAAAGCGTGGAATGCGCCAATTAGCAAGGTCTCGTGGCATCGTCTACAGTACCGAGGTCTCATTCAGTATCAACAACGTTTGTTCGTCAAAGATCATCCACCCTCGTGAATGATTATATTACGTTACCATTCCGCGTATTTTGCTTTAGGTTTGATTCCTCGCGTCCATGAAAATAGATGACAGGATTAACATGGTATCGAGAATCTTTGTATCGCATCACATGGGAGACAATTGAATCCAACCGTGCAAGTGTTGGATAATTTGTGCCTTTCGTGGACTCGAAATCCCCGACGTCTTAAAATACATAGATAGTTTTAAAGTTGAATGTCATCACTTTGCCAAGTTCAGCGTGAAATCAATCTCGAGCTACAGTAAGCTCCTCAATATTTTGAAAATTTTATTCCCGCCACAGGAAACGGGGGCCGAATGAACCCTAAGAGGCTATCCAGCTAGAGCAAATATCTGGAGCTTATGAATATCTTTACCCAACACGTTATATCTATGATCAGTGCGAGGTCACATTTTGACCATACAACGCTGTAACTTTGCAGAGTGGTCTATTCAAGGCTCGTAGTAAATTTGGCATTCCCAAATAGAGAACCCATCGGAAAATAGACCAGGGCCACATACCATTCATTGCACGAGCTGTAATCTCATTGGCAATAGCTTTTGCCCCTTGCTCTAATTAGGTTGCATTTACTATGGGCTTGTGGCCCCATGGACCCACTGCCTATTCCGGGCTTCAAGCCTCGATATGCCATCGTCCAATCAACCACGAAGACCCAGTAAAATCGAACGCCTCATAGACTCTAATTACACAACACTGATATCTTCAAGATCAGAATGGAAACAAGCCTTCGGTTTCCTAGAGATATTCTATAGTAGCAAAGAGTGATTCAACACACAACTTTTGAGCTACGTCGGACGCTGAACATCTAGCTTGGCCGGAAATTAAATGATCATGTAGCATTATATATCTGATAGATAGTGTTCCTAATTGTTCCTCTTTTCGGGTCCTCTGCCGGAGCGGAAAGTGGTGATGCTGGACATTCCAGATTCTCGGATTGACATTCCTGAAAACAGATCGGAACGACTACGTACTTCATACCATTTGGCTTATTAAACAATGCCAAGAATAGGTAAATTCTCCATCCGGAACTACATTCTTATTGCTCGTGCCTAGCCATCTACGTCACACTATGAAACAAGGGTCGAACGCAATCATATAAAGTCACTGCTCATATCGTCTTGCTAGTAAGTACAAATCTCATCATTTCACAGTTTCTTACGCAATCACGCATCCAAACCATCAAAATGAAGTTCACTTTCTCTGCTATCATCGCTCTGGCCGCGACCGCCACTGCCATGTCTCTTTCTGAGTCTACCGCCCTCGGTGGTGCCAAGGCCCAGTGTGAGACCGGCAGCATCGCTTGCTGTGACTCCAAGGAGACCATCTCCGGCGACGGTATTCTAGGCAATCTGCTTGCCAAGGGCGCCTTGAATGGCCTGCTCGGCAACGACGATGCCGCCTGTGCCAAGGCCAGCGCTATCGACGACTTGAACGTCCTTGGTATGAATCTTCGAACGTCCGTCTACGTATAGTCATGACTAATGTGCAATAGCTCTCACCCAGGACACCAAGGAGGGTCCCACTTGCAAGAACATCATCGCTTGCTGTCCCGAGGGCACTGGCAAGGTAAGAAAACACAGCTCCCAACCTCAAAACAATCCAGCAGCTGACAAGGATTGAATGCTCTAGTGTACCGCCATTGACAACTGATAACTTGATCCGCACATGGTGCTCAAGGTGTCGAATGAGTTGGAAAGTTATCCGGACTTTGCCTTTAATGTATCGCCTGGGCATTGTCCCTTGGAGTTCTATATTTAATAATAAGTGCCAAAGGCAATATTTGTTTTATTTATGGCACTGTGTAAAACAAAATTTCTTAATCACACAGTCCACAACCTACCACCTGAGCTATGAAAGGGTAGCAGCCTCCTCTGAAAATAAGTAGCATATGGGTAAGGCTTCATTCTTATATTCGAACCTGTTCCTTTTGTGGATCCTTGACGCATGAAGCTCATTTCAATGTGTAGCTGGCGAGCATTTCATGTAATATTCCATTTATGTATTTGTGTTTCATAACAACACACACCAGACATCGCAAACCTGGATTGATAGTAATGGAATACCTCATCCAAAAGGGTACCGCTTAATATACTACGTCCCTGAAGATCTCCCTCGGCCGAGTCAGACTTCTGCCTTTTAAGCCAACCATTATTTGTAAAGCTCCTATGAATGTTCGACTTTTAGCGAAACCTGATCACCCTATTTATTTTAGAGGTCGAAAACTTTAGGATCACGTCCACCAATGCACTTGAGCGTCGTGCCACGCAGTCAATGCATGATTGAATTTACCCCAAGACATACCATACCCATCATGTCCAGGAGCAGCCCTTGCGGTTGTGATGTCAGAATTGAGAGTTGAGTGTATCCATCGTATCTTTGAATAAGTGAGAATATATATCATGGTAAAACTCACGCCACCCTCATACAATATTTTGAACGAAATGAGCTGCGATTGCCTGCAAATACATACTTTGCGAGTTAGTCTAAGCAGTTCAACTGAAGTTGTACTAATTGAATTTTGGACTTCATCAGGATTTTAGACAGGAAAAATCGAGTAGTCGATTAAAGATGGTATGCGGTTGCCGACGAAACCATTCTCCGTGCCTTTACTGTTACCAAGATAGGTGGGAACAAGAATTTATTTCGCCACCTGTCACGCGTAGTGAAGTTCTTCTGCAGATAGACAGCCCTCTAGTGTGTACTTCTGGCTCGGGTTTAGTAACGTCACCCCTTGAGAAACTGGTATGACTGGCTGTAAATGTCATAAGTGCATTTCATTCAGGGAGATCTCAAAATCCCTATCCGCCTCTATCTTGGACTCATCAGGGATCCGGTCTGTTCTTGAAATTGAACGTGTCAAAGATATTCGGCAATAAGGATAGAGGAGCTTTCGAGGTCTTTGGTACACAGATAATTTTTGAAACGTTGGTTGGAGATATAAACATTCGGCAAGGTGTCTGTGTTTTCGGTACTTGATATGCATTGGCCGACAAATTATAGACGGGTGCTTCCGCTCCATTATGTATTATCTAGGAGTTGCAGTAGATGAACATTCATACGAGTGGCCAACAAGTTGGAGGTAAGTACGAGCGTGGTGTACGGAGTACAAGCACCACCAAGGCATGAATAAGTCTAATCGAGAACAAGACTTGTCCTCATCGCGACCCCTGTCTGCAACGAATGATTGGAGAAGCTTCGGCGAAGGAACCTGTAGCAATGCTTCAATGTCAACTGAGCCAGCTGGGCCATCTGAGCCTCTGATTTAACTTCACAATGATGATGCATCAACACCCTATTGTCGTATGCATATGCATGAATACAAAAAGAAGAAATTTGCAAGTGCTTTATTCCGATACCTGAAGTTTCTCTAATACATTCCGCCTATATTCTCAATAACCATTTGACTGTCACGTTCCTATGCGCTTTCTAAGTGCCGTTCTATCGGTTATTTGTCGGACCATATAACGACTTGCCATCCGCCAGTATCACTGTAGCGGAATAACTTGAATAATATAAGTTGATGGAAGTTTGGTTTCCTGGAGTATATCTGTTTCACACCGGGTACTGCCTTGAGAATAGATCTCGAGAATAGCCGCACATGTGAATGGCAATAAATTGACTTATGAAATAACCAATTTTCCATCAAGAAGAACAATACTATAAGAGATCTTCGCAATGAGTCGAATGTCGCCAGCTCAAGCTAAGAAGACACCAGAGTAGAGACGCATAAAGCCAACAGCGCTGCGCAGTTTACTATACTAGCTCCTTCAAGCTTAGACTAGCCACCGAAATCTCGGCCCCTGTTGATCGTTAGATAATGCGGCTTAGGCCATCCCAAACGGGATGTAATATCCCTTGTCTGTGGAGGGTTCATTCCCGTTCAACGGGTCGGAATGAGCTCACCGAGGCCGTCTGTGCCAAGGAGCGCACTGCCGAAGGCTGGCAAATTACGACGGTCAACAATTCAACTTGTTCTCTCTCCTTACACTGGATAGTGCGAAGAGCTCTGATGGATTTGGAGAGTGACTGTTGCGCGCCAAATAATTACTGTGAAGCTCTATTTCTAGAGATGATTAGATATTTCAAGTGCTTCTAGGAGAAGAGGTCTGAGAATTTCAAAATGATTAGCTTTAACTTGCTGCTGTGATCCATGGCTACGCGCGAGGCCTAAACGTTCTTTTGACTCGCGACGCCGGAAGCGGAGATGAAGGCCTCAGGCAGATAATCTTATCTGACAGCCCCTTTTTAGTCACGAAATCTCTCGCTCACTTTCTCCATTTCGGTCTATCGCTTTATCTTTCTGTTTTTTTAAATAATATCATTTGTTGCTAAATGCTGCGCAGAATGCGATAACCCATTGTTTTCCCAATCGACTTGATTTGAATCGATCTACGGAGTAAAAAAGAAAGTGATGGATTGCCGCCAAAGCTCCACCTATCGTACCACAAATCAAATGATACAAACATATGTATCTACAATATTACATATAACGTTATGTAGGTAGGCGATATCTCAAAATCTTAGGGTTAGGGCAAACATTTGAATGCTGGGACGAAACAGGTTTCCTCATAGCAATCTTGGCTGAGGGGAGCGTGCACGAGAACACGGGCACCCCGATAGTAAATTTTTACCCAAGCAGGGTACAAGGTTCCATCGAATGTATCCTCAACTAGCTCATTTAGGTCGTATCATCCAGTGAATGGGATTGATTAGAATGAAATGAGCTAAGATTAAGTGAATTGCATTAATTAGCTGAACGCCACGTGCCCGGAAATGAAGGCTGATCCATGGCGCCCAGATGCCTCGTTTCCGGATAAGGAATACCCCCCACAAAACCGTCTTAGACCGCGCGGGGTCATTGATAAAAAAAAAGTGTTCCTGTCCAATCATATCCCTCCACCCGAAGGAAGAACAGTGGGGAACGTCATAATGGCTTGTATGGCTTGGACGGCTTCTGTCGGGCTTGTACTAGACTGACTCGAAGCGGGAAATCCCTGCCTCTTAGGATTTTCTTTTTAAACCTCTTCGGCCAACTTGCACTTTCAAATTATTGTACTATCTATCTCGGAAATCGTGACCTTCATTTGGTCTCGCTCAAGTACCAGTTATTTACTGAGTCTTTGTGCTCACTGCAGATATCCTAACCTCCTTATTCTTTTCCGGTTTCTTCTTCACGTCTCACCAAAACTCAACTGCGCAAATCCAAGGTATTCCTACGAGACAATTCTGTTCTCAGCGCGCAGAGCTTCCCACTTTCATAGAGAGCCCAGTTCTCCCGGTTTTACCATTGCACCACAACCAACATCCAAAGCAACAACCTCGCTGCCCACATCGTATCCAAGCTGCAATTTCCAGCGGTCACATTGTCCCTCGCGATATACCCTACCACCAAAAATTTGCTGTAGCACATACCCAGAACCGACCCATCCCCCAAACCAACAATCGAAGTCCATGCGCCAAAACACAGACCGATAAGCGACAGTCCCATTGCCGTGCAACCTCTATATAGCATCTTTCTCCCCCGCGCCACATCCGTATCGCAACTAAACAACACCAGCAGAAAGAAATGCCAGCAAAATGGCTATCATGAGCGACAAAGACAAAGGAAACAATGGTGGCTTGTCAGACACACTCGGCCTTAAGGCCGAGGGTCCGCGAGATGTACAGGAGGGTGTGATTGCCTCAAACGCTGATAACCTGCAACGTCATCTCGGAAACCGTCAAATCCAGCTTATCGCCATCGGTGGTTCGATCGGAACCGCCCTGTTCGTGAGTATCGGCACTGGTCTTTACCACGGTGGACCAGGTAGTTTGTTCATCGCCTTTGCCGTTCAAAGTATATTTTTGGCCATGGTAAACAACTGCCTCGCTGAAATGACTACCGCTTTCCCTGTCAGTGGTGGTTTTATTCGCCTGGCTGGAAAATGGGTAGATGATGCTCTTGGATTCATGGTTGGCTGGAACTTTTTGTCGGTTTTCTTTTCGGCTCCGCCGAATTCCCTCTGATATCGCTAACACCATGTGTAGCTTCTACGAGGCACTGTTGATTCCATTCGAGATCTCAGCTTTTACTCTCGTGCTATCATTTTGGAGTGATAAAATTACCGAACCTGGACCAGTCGCTGGTATCTGTGCTGCAGTCATCTTCATTTATGGGTAATACTCCCTTGGAATTCACATCTCGTGGTTCCACTTTCCTGGCTGGGGTGCTGCGCCCATGTTTGGTCTGCTCAACGCTAAACTTCCATACAGTTTCTTGAACATCTTGGCCGTCAAGGCTTATGGTGAAGCCGAGTTCTGGCTTTCCGGCGGCAAGGTTATTTTGATCTTTTCCTTGTTTTTCTTCACCTTCATCACGATGGTTGGCGGGAATCCAGCCCATGACGCTTATGGTTTCCGCCACTGGAACAATCCTGGTTCCTTCATGGAATATCTAGATGGTGGTGCCCTCGGCCGCTTTGAAGGCTTCTTGGGTTCGCTTTGGTCAGCTTGCTTCGCAGTTGTTGGTCCCGAATACATTTCGATGGTTGCTGCGGAAGCCAAGCGCCCCCGAATCTACATTAAGAATGCTTTCAAGACGGTTTATATTCGATTCGGTATTTTCTTCATCGGTGGTGCTCTGGCCGTGGGTATTGTCTGTGCTGCAAATGATCCGCAGCTGGTAGCTGTTGTCACGGGCAGCTCTGACGGTTCGGCTTCTGCATCACCATATGTCATTGGCATGCGAAACCTCGGAATCTCAATCTTTCCCTCCGTTGTTAATGCGTAAGTTTCTTCATATGACTGTTGATATTCTTGTGGCTGACCCCTTCATAGTTTATTGTTGACATCTATCTTCTCTGCTGGCAATACTTATACCTACTGCGCCATCCGTACTTTGTACGGCTTGGCACTAGAAGGAAGAGCTCCCAGAGTCCTTACACGCACCACACGCCAAGGTGTACCGATTTATTGCTTCGCCGTAGTGATGATCTTCCCTCTCCTTTCCTTTTTGCAGGTCTCGAGCAGTTCATCCATCGTCATCACCTGGTTTGCCAATCTTGTCACTGCCGGAGGTAAGATTCCAACTTCAATCATTCTTAAATTCATGACAGGTTTAACAAAATTACCAGGACTTATCAACTATATTGTCATCACCATCACATACATCTGCTTCCACCGTGCATGCAAAGTGCAAGGTGTTGACCGCAGATCGTTCTCCTATTTCGGTTGGCTCCAACCGCACTGTGCGTGGATGGCATTGGTCTGGATGATCATCGTCACTATCGTCTACGGCTACCCATCATACAAACCTTGGTCCTTGTCTACCTTCTGGTCCAGCTACACCATGCAAATCGTTATTCCGCCTCTATTCCTCATATGGAAGGTCTTGAAGAGAACCAAGTTTGTGAAGTCACGTGAAGTAGATTTGGTATGGGAGCGGCCTTTGATTGACGCTTACGAGGATAGCTTCCTTGACCCACCCACCGGCTTCTGGAGAGAAATTGGCCAGATGGTGGGTATTGGGCGGTCCAAAGGTAGCGAAAACAGGCGATCAAACTCGGTCGCTCAGCCGGAAGAATCTACTGTGGGATCGAAGGCATGAACTTCAGCTACGGGAGTTGTTCAATGAAGACAACATACATATGATCGCCTACAATTGGCAAGGCATATATCGATTCCCCTTCATGCCTCCATTGGCACCAAGCAGGAGATGTAAATACAAAAACAGATAAACAGACAGAACGCATATTTGAAACAAATTCCAAGGAACTCCCTAGGGCTGGGGCTGTATTGTATTTCGACGATGTTAAAAAGTTCAAGTAGGCCAAAAATCAATAAAATGGAAAGAAAGTAAATATCTGGGATCAGACGACTGACTGGGGTACTGCTAGTGCCTCCGGCAGGGACTTTTGCAGCTGGGGGTGGCATTGCCTTCGGTGTTGGTGTCTTTGGCTACTTCTCCACGATGACTCCTTCTATGAAGGATTGGCCGCCTTTGCATCTCTTGACTTCACTCCCTTCGGTGCAAATTTTACAGTTCCGGTATATCTGAAGAATGGCGGATTCGGTGGGTTGTTGGCAATATTTAAGTTTGGCAGCGCCGCTACGAGTGAGCGTTTTTGGGTTGCAAGTATGAGGAGCCGTTGGAGATCAGGCGCTGATCCCGCATATAAAAGGTCACGCAAAACCGGTCCATCCAGTCGAGGAACGGCATTTGGCGTCCAGCCCCCGTTCTTGAGACCGCATGGAACTCTAGTCCAGGCTGTCATTCTTTGGCGATGACCATTTAAAATCGTGACTTCTAGTGCAATGATGTCTCTGGTTTCCGATCCGCCATTCGAGCTTCTAGCTCTTGTTGTGCCTATTATCGGGGTATATGGTCCATCAAGTGAAACATAGGGACCCATAAGTGTGATGAGGTCGTTTCTATATAAGGTCATCATGGTGCAACCAGTATCATGGATGAAATCCAATTCTGCAAACCATTCGACCCCTGGGAGGCGAAGCGCTAACTTCAACTATGCAAAAGAAACTCAGCATTGGCCATAATTAGCTAATAACAAAAATCATACCCGGATATGCCTTGGATTGGAGTCAGATGGGCCCAGTGTCAGTGACGTGTAAGCTGATACAGGCCCAGGACTGGTGAACTAAAGATAGTTCGACAGTGAGCCATGCTTCAAAAGATCGTGAAGGTGTCCACTTACGCCTTCTGTCCAAAACCCTCCTTTGTTTCCCTCATGCTCTGAATTAACCAGTTCGAATTCATCCCATTCGAATAGTCTTGGTTGACAGATCTGAACCCCATTTGACCAGTAAGTCACCAATCCAGGATTCCAATCCAACCGACCTGATCTGTATGCACTCAAAAGAGCTTTGATGTTTTGGAGCTGCTTGGAACTGTCCCCGCTATTCTTCAGATCCGTCCTCATGGTCTCCAACTCATGAACTCGCAGGATGAAATCCTGGCTGAATTTCTCAGAAGATGGGAACTTTTCAAATTCAGAGGACCTCATCTGTCTGTGTAATAGTTTCGCATGAGTCAGAAATACATAACTAGTTCGCAGGCCGGATACTCACTCATTTTCCTCACGGGACGCCATATATTCTCTCAGCCTTTGGCGAAAAACATCTGGCATGATATTCTCTGCGATACGCTCATGGCATCTTTGGATCTGGCCTTCGATATCACTGTTGGGGCTTGATTAGTCTGTATATTTTCCATATCAAAATCGATAAGACCCTACTCAATCTCTAGATCGTCTTCATTCATGTGCCAGCCTCGTGGAAGTTTACTTGGATCTGTAAGGGGCTCAATGTTTCTCCATTTACCCCAAGGCCTTGACTTCGTGGACTTCTGGCATCGCTTTGGAGCTTTGAGTATGCCAGCATAGGATTTATCAAGATCAAGTTCTTCTATCCTGAGTTTCATACGTGGGATCTGATCTTTGGGACAGCCTACCGGGCGCTGTGGCTTTAATTTTTTCGCACGAGTACTGTGTCGTAGATTGTATCGGCCCGACATTGTGGAAATAATGTAGCAAACAATTGACTCTCTTAAATCGTCAATGAAAGCTAAGTGGAACGATTAGAAAAAGAAACCCACTAAACATATCATGAACAAGTACAATAAAAAAATGATGGGAGGAGGAAATATATTGATAGGAAATTGGCTGATGTACTTTGTATCTGATACTGTAGAATAAAGAAAATAGTGCCTGGAATAGCAGTCTTTGTATTCAAGATTGGGCGCTCTGCGACCCAAGAGTCTCACTTTACTTAACCATGCTTTCTTTGTTGCTCCCTCGATGAAGCCCGAATGCATCGTGAACTCCTTTGAACATGCCGAGGCTGATCCCGAAATGAAAGAAAAATCTAGGCGACGTAACCGAGTGAAAGAATGAAAAATCAAACCCTCAATAAATTCGGGAATGAAGATTCAGTCAAAGAGTACTATTGACTGAAGATAGAAAATTATCAGCAAAAGCCAACTGATGGGTTGAAACCAATGCATAAGCCCTAGAAGCCTTCGGTTCAGGATCTGTTCTGACTTCCCCTAAGCTGAAGTGACCTGATATGTAGTCAAAAGAGGTAAGACCAAAGCAGCAGAGATAATATCAAACTTCTAACAAGAAGTTATTCCAGAAACCCAATGCATCTACATGTATGGTCAAGCAGAGGCTTGTGGCAGAATGCTATTGCCAAAGAACCAAAGAATCCATCTCTTCTTGAAAATCGAAATTTCGATTGTCTTTCAATCATGATTGGTCAAGAATTTTACACTTCTCGCAGAGCAAGTCCGACACAATTCGTAGGGTGGAAGGAGTTCACAGGGTGGGTGTCTTTGGTCGAACTGAGTACATGAAAATGCTATTTATAGCTCGAGAAGGCCGTAACCCCTAATTCCTTTTTAATTCAATGCGGCGTCTTTGAGATAGCAATTTAATATTTCTGTCTTTCCCTAATAAGCTTACCACCTGTCGTGGCCGTGGAATTGCCAGGCCTGATGTGTGGCGATAATCGTACGAGTACACATTTGTCACCAGGGCCACGGGGCTTGGGATGTATGAAAACCCAGCCTTAGAGAATAGGTGTCAATCCACCCATATCACAACCAACTGCACTTGAATCATCCAGGGGTTCGTATTCAGTATCCTGTCCTTACGTTGTGTATAACGGACATTGAGACTGAACGTGATTGCGGGCAATATCGCGTCATGCGAACAAGACTTACACATTGATCCATGTTGGTTCCGTTTGACAACGCAACTCGATGATGCTATCGACAATCAAAGCACGTAAGAGTTTATTTGTATCTCTTTTACCTGTTGACAAGCTTGAACCCCCATACCCCGCTTTACGTAGGTGGTCTTCGGCATTGTGTTTTGAACGGTTTTTGGCGATTTTGCAACTTCAGTGCCTGTACTTGTACTAGTCAACGAAGTAGATGAAACCAAGCTCTGTCAAAAGTCTGCAATTACCATATGACACTCTGGCTCGAAAATGCCAACTCAGAAATCTAATTGTACAATTCACGCAAACACCGATGTGTTTTGCATAATCATGTCATCTACTGCTTACCAATACTCTATTCTTTATATTCACATCTAGCTCCTACCAATGTTACCGAGAAGTGTATACGTGCTCGTGAGATGAAATCACGCGAAGGGCCAGCACTACCAACAGGCCGTATTTAGTTCAGCAGCAGCTCTCAGATGAACCGATACAAACTCTACAATTTTATTTTCGAATCCCAGCGCAACTTGAAATGGCACCTTCTATCATCGAGGGACCTGTCACTGGTCTCGTCGCTCCTCTGAAGTCCGATACTGAAGCATCTGGGACACCCCCGAAAATCAGAAGAATTATTGACGAAGAAGGAGGCACTTCCACTGCTAGTGTATGTCACGACGACTTGTTCAAACGTTTTCATTCCCAACTAATACGAAAAATGATCTAGTATCCAGAATACTTACCTACCTTCGATTATACTGAAAAGTATCCACCTCTCGAGCCTTTCACGCACACCGAACATGGCAAAGATGCAGATGTATCCTTCAAAGATCTTTTGACGGAAGGCTCAAAGATCCAGAAGCTCACACCGACTATTGGCTCTGAAGTAACAGGCGTACAACTAAGCAAGCTCACTTCCGCCGGGAAGGACCAGCTGGCCCTCCTAGTTGCTCAACGTAAAGTTGTTGCTTTCAGAGATCAGGATCTTGCAGATCTCCCAATTGGAGATGCGCTGGACTTTGGAGGCTATTTTGGCCGCCATCATATCCACCCAACGAGCGGGTCCCCGGAGGGATACCCTGAAATTCACCTTGTTCACCGGAACAACAATATTCTAGGGAACGAAGGAGTCAACAGCAGTGTATCATGGCACTCGGATGTGACGTATGAGCAGCAACCACCTGGTACCACATTCTTATACATTCTCGATGGCCCCGAAGTTGGCGGGGATACCATTTTTGTGGATCAAGTCGAGGCCTACAAGCGACTTTCGCCACGGATTCAAGAGCTACTTCATGGGCTGAAGGCGGTGCATTCTGGGTTTGAGCAAGCCGAATTTAGCCTAAAACGAGGAGGAGTTGTGAGACGAGAGCCTGTGAAGAATGAGCATCCTTTGGTTCGAACCCATCCGGCAACTGGCGAAAAGGCACTTTTCGTAAACGGGGGCTGTAAGTCACTTTATCTGATACTGGATCAAACCCCATCTAACACTGTTTCAAGTCACACGCAGTATAGTTGGACTAAAGAGCGAAGAAAGTGATGCTCTTTTGACCTTCTTACTGGCCCATGTAGGTCGTGGCATTGATTACCAGGCTCGCATCCGATGGGCTCCTAAGACCGTTGTAGTCTGGGATGTGAGTTACTTCCCTGTGATTCACTCAGAAACCTGTGGGCGCTAACGTATCAATCTATAGAATCGTGTCACTGCTCACTCCGCAATTCTTGATTGGACAACTGGTGAACGTCGCCACTTAGCACGTATCACCCCACAGGCCGAGCGTCCTTATGAGACTCCTTATTTGGAAGAAAACGATAGCTCTTAGGGACTTTACTCAACTCAGTTACGTGGAACGAGGAATACAGACGAGACTGTTCTTGAACTTGATGGTTCCTGAACTTTTCATATAGGCAAGAAGTATCCTATCACCGATAGCGTCAATCAATCTCCCATTCTTCGATGTAAGAATTTATTGAGAGTAAATTGAATTATCCATTGTCCACTAAATCGTAATATCCTAGCACTTTAGCTTTAGCCATGATGACCAACAGTCACATTGAAGCTATTATGACGTGATCCGTAGGCAGGGAACTTACACTCATTTGTAATTTACAATTATTCATCATACATACACATCTCTTCAACCCATCTGGTTCCCTAAAAACGCCATATCTTGCTCTGAAGGAGTCCTCATCATCCGCTCATCATAGATGAGCTCGTAAGAGTTGGCCCTAGCTTCCATATTCCGAGTTAGTATCCTGCGTATAAGCCGGAGAAACTGATATTTTTTCTCACCAGGTGGGATTGTGGTGACAAGGTCCTCGAAAGAGGTTTTGGGAAAGGGGGCTTGGATGCCCAGTTGCCTTTATGGAGACTCGAGTTGGGCATTATGATGTGACCAGGAAAGACGCGACCGTTTCAGCATTTGTATAGTCAGCTATTTTTTGCGAATCTCAGTGATTTTTCTTTGAGGTTCCAGGTCCAGAGCGTGAACGGTTATCTGGATTCTTTGTTTGGGCATTGCAACGGTAGGACACTTGATTTCTTTGAAGAGGCGCCCCTAACTTCATCGCTCAATCACTCCTTATCCAATGATAATTCATGCGGATTCTTCTATCTATAATAAATAGCTCCAGTGGTTCGGTAGCTGCACCTGCCTCAAAAGAAGTCCACGTGGGAACCGTCAATTGTGAACACCCACGTGGATATCTGTGGAGAAAACTTGTGTAATTGATATTCTCTTCATTTATCAAATTCATCCCATGCTTGAAGCACGAGTTTCTTCAAATAGGGATGAAATCTTGATGACCTGGTAACTCTAGATCCTTTGATAGTGACACTGCGTATTATGGGCAAAATCCTTTCATGAGCCTGATTGTCAACCAAAAATTTTTCTCTTATTGAATCGAGTGAACCGACCAGGGGACTTCTTTTTCGCAGAAATCAGAACATCCTTCAAAATAAGCCGACAAGTGCGGTCGCTTGGAACTGGTCTTGATTCGCTCATCGTACCATCTCAAGTTGCGTTAAAGGCGTAGGCCTGAGCTTCTAGTGGATACAGATTTCCTTGTGAATGGGCTGCAAAATATATGGTATTGTCTGAAATTTTATTGTCAAAGAAAGTGGCCACTATTCTCTGGATCCGGCAATGCAAAGGTGGTGCTGTCACGCCAATTGAGTGAAGATACACTACTGATGAAATTAACAAAGAGCATACTCAGGCCCTCAACTATATCGCCCCACAAATGTTGTATCTTAGATATATTTTCTCCAGCTTCTTATCTGCCTCTCATCTGCTTCTCACTTATTGATATATCTAGTTTTATTTGCCATCCTTGACCACCAATGGCGGAGTTTGATGACCAGCACAGTAGAATCCCTGAGCGTGCCTTTTTGGTTGGTTTCTCATTCCTATACATAGGTTAGGGCTAATACACTCCTCATAGGCCATCCTATGGGCCTTCACTGGGATATCATTATCCTTCGTTCTTTTTCGCATTTATGTGCAATTTGCCTCATTCCGCCGTCTTTTCATAGATGACTTTCTGGTTATATCTGCCTGGATCATCATCCTTACCGCTGCAATTGTTTGGCAGGTGAAGGGGCATATCCTTTACGAACTTTATGCGATCAGCGCGGGCATGGAGCCTTTCACCCTCGAGTTTCTACCAAGGTACAACAATTTTATGCGCTACAACGTGCTATTCCAGATTTTATTCTATACGGGGTTGTGGTGTATAAAATTCTCATTTATGACATTCTTCTATCGCTTCAGCTCGAAGGTAAAAACTTTGCGTGTCTGGTGGTTTGTTGTGCTCTTTTGTACCGCGGCTGTCTATATCGCCTCTATTGGTGACATTGAATACAAATGCAGCTTGGGGGGAATTGAATATATTATTAGTGAGAAAACTCGAAATCCGTCCTGTCTCTCCAATAGTGATGCTGATTGGTCTAATTACAGCCCAATGTCCCCAACTTAACCACGTTCACTACGAAAATCGCAGCTTCTGGGCCAACGCTACCGGTGATATTATCACAGACTTGATGAGTATGTTTCACAGGCACCCATACCAGACCGTTGTTTGCTCTCTGAAGTCTAACACATTTTCTAGTCCTATCTATTCCGTTCCTGGTATTATGGAACACCCGTATCTCGTGGCGCAAGAAGCTCGTCCTGCTCAGCATGTTCTCTGCCACCATCCTGATCATGATCAGTGCGATCATTCGTGTCGCTGTTGGTATGAACTATGATCGTCAAATCAATATCGACTGGTTGTGTTTCTGGAGCTTCGTTGAGGTTGACATTGGTATATGGTCTTAGATCCTTGTTTTCTTTCTCTCCCGCTGACTTTGAGTTCTTAGCGATCATTGTTTCTTGTGTCACTTCCCTTCGGCAACTTTTTATCACCTTCCAAAGCCAGAGCCCATCTGCCCGGGCGGTGTACCATAACACATACGATCCCATTCTGAAGAAGTCGAAAGAGGCGTATAATCAAGATCTATCACAATCTGTTGGGGACATCCAGTTATCAGCGGCTGATGAGGAATCCATGAACCCATTAAGCATCGTTCCTGTCCGTGGGGATTATGAAGTCAACCGTGGTGCTCCAATTCCGTCTGTAGATGGCTAGAAGACTTGCAAACACCAAACAAGCCTTGACTAAATATTTTGTTCATCTGTATTTCGGGGTTCCTAGAAATTCTTATCCATTTCCAACTATCAGAAGTCAACAATGTGATACTTTCATCTAGTTTGATTATTAAGAGGAAATTTATCCTCTTTCTGATGACCATACCCGGGCTTCATTGGGTCGACACTCCCCGCAATGAATCTAATTAATTCATATAGTTTCCTGAGAAATTACTATCAACCTATTCCAGCGGGATTCCAAGTAAATGAATCGACAGGGAGTCAGAAACAGGGGTTTCATCCGCTCAGGTAGCTTACGGCCATAAAGCAGGACTGAGAACATAATATCCATGAATAGAATTATCAGTAAGAACCAATATAATCCAGTGCCACAATCAGGTAAGCAAACAGCACCCACATGAACTGGTAGATCCTTCTCATCACTTTTCATCTCCTCATTCCATTGGGGGCCTTATTTACCAGTATCGGCGTTGGTGTAATCAAGGTTATATGAGTCATTTTGCTGAAGATGAAGCTGTTTTATTTGGACCAGCTTTATTCTTTCATCTGCGAATCGCATTGCGGCCTAGTCCAAGGAAAAGAAGCAACGTGTCGCAGCATCGGGGGAACCACGCATCATACATGCTTCGGGTTAAGATATTTCCGTTCCGTGTATTTGAACCAACAAACAACATGTACTCCGTAGATAACTATCTCGGAACTGACAGCTGACACGGTTCTGACACGGTTCAGACGCGGCTCAGACCCGAGAAAAATTGCAGGTGACTTACTTCAGGATTTAAGCCCTTGCACCTTGGGGGTCAATTCCCTTTTAACAAAATATCAGTGCTAGAAAACTGGGGCTCTTGTCATTTAACTAGGTGGGCCCAGAGTCATCTTAATCTCGGGGAACTCTATTGGCTCTTTTGGTAATCATTTTGATGTCACGATCACACATTGTGTGGGGGTACAATGTTCAATTCAACGGGGGAAATTTGACGAACGGATAACTATCGGGTCATCCGACGGGCTTCGACCCAAACCACGCAGCCAATCATTTGTGGCGTGAAGCGTCCTCCGCCTCTGCTGCCGAAACAGCTTGGCGGGTTCCATGTCTGTTCTTGGTGATCAACCCGCCCAGTGATGGGTTTCGCTTCCATATTAGAATATCGGGTTAATCATCTGATCGGAATACAATCATAACTACCGGGCTACTATCGAATCACCATGGCACATAAAAAGGAGTCCCTACGGTCACTTGCAGTGGATCAGGATATAAAGAAAACTTTCTTTGAAAGGGTTCGAAACAGATCACAATGGCAACTTCAGTGATGCATTACTTCGGCTTCGGCAACAATGCTCCCCCTTCTGCAAAGGAGCAAGTTAAAGATACACCAGTGCGAGCCTTGCCGGCATCATGGTACACTTCTCCAGATATGTACGAATTGGAGCGTCGGGCTATATTCTCCAAGAGATGGCTCTTCATCACCCACAGCGTTCGCGTCAAGAACACGGGTGACTGGCTCCGCTATGAGATTGCGGGTTTCGATTTTATCATCACTCGTGACCGACAAGGCGAGATCAACGCGTTCCACAATGTATGCAGACATCGTGCGTACCCGGTTATCGAGCAGGAGGGTTCCGGAAATTCCAAAATCATCTCCTGTCGATACCACGGCTGGTCATATGGGCTCAACGGCAAGCTCGCGAAAGCGCCTGGGTACCAAGAGCTGGATGGATTTGACAAGAATCAAAATAATCTCTTCAGAATCCACGTCAAGGTCGACGTGAATGGTTTTATTTGGGTCAACTTGGATGCAAAGGAAGAACCAGAAGTATCGTGGGAGGAGCACTTTGAAAATGTTGACAAGCAAGATCGGTACAAAGCCTACAATTTTGACGACTACGATCTTGATCATGCTTACGAGCTCGAGGGTCACTACAACTGGAAGATTCTGGCCGATAACTTCAATGAATGTTACCACTGTCCGACAACCCATGCCGATATCCCTGAGTTCCTCAATCTCGATTCTTTCGACAGTGACACCAAAGATGGCCACATTCAGCACCATTGCGTCTCTACACCAGAGCAGATTGCAAGAGGTCTCTACACAGCGAGCACATATTACTTCCCCATTTCGGCCATGGTTGTCTCGTGAGTCCATACCCCAAGTTTGTATTTCAAATTGACCCTTCTGACATACCCAGTCCCCACTTTATCATGGTACAGAAATTCCTTCCAAAGGGCCCAGACACCTCCCAAATGGCCTACGAGGTCTACCGGAACAAGAACTCTTCCGATGAAGACTTCAAGCTCATCAGTGAAATGTACGCACGCGTCATGAGAGAAGACAAGGTTCTCTGCACAAACGCACAAAATAACATCGACCGAAATGTTTTCACAAACGGTCAACTTCATCCCAAATACGAGAAAGCCCCTCTGTTCTTCCAAAGCACAGTTCGGGACGTTGTCACGGAGCATTTCGACCGTGAGAAAGCCAAGGGACGAGAGGTCTGGCCTGCGAAGCCGAAGGTATCCTGTGACGCGAAGGTCAGTGACAAGGATGAGGCACTTTGTGCGTCCCTCGCTTGTGGGGCTCAGAAAGAGCTTCTGGCTTGGTGATTAGGAAACCATACTTTATACCCAGGGTAGTGGAACGTCAGATACCGATAACGAAGAGACCAGTAGTTTGCAAAGACGGCGAACTGTGGGTGCGATTCTGATTGATGGTTCGTGTGATAGTTGCATTGTTTCTCTTCTTAGCGATTGTTTTGATTTAGGGCATGACCGTGTGAATTAGACTTAGCCTTACTAATTAAATTGAATTGTTTCCTTTTAGTCCCGATTCTTATGTTACCCTCATACTGACAAATCCAAAACACAGGACATACTGCTCCATGTGTCATCTAGAAACATGGTGTATGTTGCCACGTAGGGAGTCTCACGGGGTTATTCCAATCCCCGCACTATCAGCATGACGTCGACAGACGCGGAAGTCCTTCCATGGGTTTCAAATCACCTTGCTAAACGACACACTTGGATGCAGCCATAATATAAGCCCTTTCGTCAATCGTGTTCGTGGTCTTGGTATCAAATACCCGCGAGAGATGTTTACCTTCGAAGCCACTCAACGTCGCGCGTTTCGGCGAACAGACAACTATATCCCCAGCGCACCCAAGTTGAATCTTGTAGAAGAGCGCACTGCTATTGCCCCTTGCACCGACTGCAGTATTGATCAAGGTCCTCACAGTAGTCCTCAACTACCGCAATGCCAACATCGCGACCTGAGGGAACCCATGGTCAGTGTTGCCAAATGGGACTCTGCAAGATCCCTTGCTGGGAGCAATAGGTCATGAGTAACTCGAGGAGTAGGGGTTGACATTGTTGTTGAAAATGGCGTGACTGGCTCCTTGATCAAGAAGTTCAAGTGCACTCGTCGGAGTGTCTTATCAGCCGGGTCAGATGAATTCCAAAACAATACCTGATGGATCTGCTGGAACTGATTCCAACCCTTATCACCACTTTAAGCACTTACTCCTTTCAACAACGATTAACCCTTTGGCAATATTTCAGATCCTAGGTACGTCCTCCTAAAGTTTGGAATTTTCAAGATTCAACCGTACCTTCTTACGGTCTCCATCCTTACGGCCTTATCCAACTGCGCCTTTTTATTTATACCTTCTGCGCTTTATCCCTGGCTTATCTACGCTTACCTATACTGTCTATCATCTCTATCTGTATCATATCGACATCTTGTCTTCGCTTTGCCTAAGTTTATCCACATTTATTTATATCCATGGCTTATGTACGGCTAGTGTATACCTAGGTACTTTTTTGGCGTTTTCTCTACACGTTGCCCTCGTGTATTTCTCGGGGTTTTAGATGAATCTCTGATTTAAAAATGCTAAGCTCGCTACCTAGATCTTTCCATGATGTCGATTAACTCGCACTCTGGGTGTCTAATACCCATTTCTATTTCGATTATGGTAAACAAGGCTGGAATTTCTTCTTAGGTAGCACCCGCGGGCCTTTTATAAAACTAGTAATGTAATAGCTCCGCGAGAGACCAACTGGGGGACATATATCACAACTACCTAAATAAAGAAGCCGGCAAGCATGGCATCTATACATCACAAACAATAGAGAAGAGTATAAAGACAGGAAGCATAGAAAGCTCGAAATGTTGAGGCTATTCAAATATAGGGCGATCCCTGTGTTTTCATTGGTCATTTTACAGCTGCCACTGCACTATTGGGCCAAAGTACAAAGTCACAATGATCATTATTGGTCCGGGCCGGCCCGCGCGGAAATTCCAAGAATAGGCAACAACGAAAAAATTCACCATTCGACTCCGTACCATTAACCCGAAAATTAAGAAGCTTCATTGACACGGCGCTGTGTATAACACTGAAATGGAATAATATTTCACCCAAAAAGCTACAACAAGTACCATCAGGCTCTTGGAATCCTCATGATCACCAACATTTTCTTCACCAATGATAAACCAACGCCATTGGACATCAGATTATCCACAACACTACAACATGGCAGCAATGGCAACAGCTGCTGCGGCTCCAAGAGGAGCGGCAGTAACCATGGCAGCTGCACCAGTAGTCTTAGTTGTCTGGGTGCTGGTCAACTTAGAAACACCACCAGTGACAGGCATGGCGTAGTACTTCATTGACTTTGTGGGGAGGCTGGTGGTTGAAGTGGAGGTAGCAGTGGAGTATTCAACGCCGCTGTTGGAGCCAGTGACCTGATACTGGAATGAGCAAGAGGCAGACACGCTGGTGCTGGTGAACGAGCAATCAAAGTGGCGGGACACAGTCACGGTGCCAACTTTTCCTGTGGTAGCAGCAGTATATTGTCCAGTGAAGCTGAAGGTTGTGGAGCCCTGGATGAGGGTCCAGGGAGTCTCAATATGGCAGACCGACTTAGGGGCATTGCTCAGACATGAGATCTCATATGTGGTAATATGGGAATTGATACCAGCAACGCTAGCTGCTGTGCTTTGATAATTGGGGATCTTGGAAGCCCAGTCAAATCCAGCTCCCAAGTATGGCTTTGAGGTGCTCGATTCGGCGGCTGTGGCTAGAGTAGCTAGGGCGGTCACGAGGAAAGAGGTGAGATACATGTTCGCGGAAAGTTCAGAGAATTGAGTTCAAAAATAATTTGGAGAGTCGATTCTCTGCAGGGAAACCAAGAAAATGTATTATTACGGAGCAGAAATAAGGGATACGAACTCATATTTAAATTAATGTAAGCGCTCAGACTCTCAGCCTTACAAAATACAACCCAACCAAATATATACAGGGCCAGCCAAGCCAAGCCACTAATATGCAGGTCTCCTCTACAACGCCCATCGTCATAGGAGCCAAGTTATGGCCAAGCCGGGGTCGCGCTGGCTAGTATGCTAACAGATGGAGCTCAGCGCACCCTCAGCGTGTAAATATCTGGGCACTGCTGCCTAGTATGCATATTCTGACCGCTCCTTTTGCGCATGCATAATTCTTCCAAATGTGAGCTGGTAAATAAGTTAAGATTCGGCTGAAAATTGTAGTTGGATGTTTTCAGAGTGCGATCTAAAAGTTAAGGGAGGAGGGGTTTCATGGTAGTATGCTGTTTAAAATTGATGCGCATGCGAGCATTTGAAAAGGGGTCTGAAGAAAGCTTTCCTGTCACTGTGACTATTTTGTTGGTCATATTTATGTGAGACAGTTGGGTTCGCAAATGCTCAAAGCTCAAATTACCTGTTCCGTTGGAAGTGGGCATTCATGTTTGATGACGTGAGGGGTCCTCCAAAACTGCTCGTCCCCCGGAAAATACTTGCAAAGTCGTGGGACACGTTATTTATCTCATGCATTCCCTTTTCTTGGTTTCTCTCTGTCACAAAACTTCTTTTGGGTTGACGTATTGTGGTTTTCCTAGCCTTTTAGCCATGTTTTGAATTTTCCCCTTGCTTGTAAAACTTTTGTGGAGCGATCAATTTGGAAAAATCCGGTCGTAATTTGCCAAAAACCCGATTAGCCCGACTTATTTATTGTGACATTTATCTGTTCATGGTGAAAATATGGGACTAATGGCTGGTCTTTATCGCAATCTATCTAGACCCTCATTATCGTTCTCTAGGACAGAAATTGGCACGTCGTACTAAGTTGGTTGGCAAATATCAATCAAACGAAGGGCCTTTGTGCTGGATAATAGCAACGAGTCGTCTAAGAGAAAGACAACATTGTGATGATCCGATAGTGGCAAATCAATGTCTAGCTTATTGCAGTATGGAGAACTTGAAACAGAACATTGAGGTTTCACATTACTCATCTAACTCTAGTTCCGAAATAGTTGAGTTGGAGTCTTAGATCATAGATTAGGGTCGCTGGGATCAAGGTTGTAAAGACGGCCAGGTAGTTGTAAAGACATCCAACGTCGCTTTTTTAAAAGCTTCGCCACCTTCACCCTAGTTGATCAGATGACCAATGACGATATAAAGGTAGAAAGCAAATCCCGAAGACTCATTATGATCATACTTTTGCTAGGATAACCATAAGGGCATAGAAGGAGTGTAGTTCATCTCCATTCTCACGTCACACAGAATTCTTACTAAGTGCAAAGGGGAGGAGGGAAGGAACATCCTCCCTCCAGATGCAGGTTTTTCTTTTCAATTCATCGCTCAGACATAAAACTCACAAAATATGCTACAAACTTCGGTGAATTCTTTAAAGGCTAGCCTCACTGAAATCCTCTCTTTATATCTACATAAATGTCGGAGCATAGGCCCGAGTCACACTGTGAACTGCTGATCGGACAGGTGACAGATTAGCATTGGAGAGCCGCCCACTCTGGGGAATTAAGACGACATTCATTCAACTGAGGGAAATTAAATCGCAATCAACGGTTTCATACTGTTCGCGACAATGAGAACATCTATCTTGAACCCCGACTCATCAAAGCAGGGATCCTCAATTTCACCACGGTTACTTCGAAACTATTACAAACACTCTTTGACAGCATCACTATCACTCGAGCCATTCTCCCAATTGACCGTTCGCAGCAGCCTGGTCATAGGGTTGAGATGTGAGGTATGCTCCAAAACTCTCCATGTGCGGGACAATGCAAAAGACAACAGCCTTCAACATCACCGTATACTGAGCACTAATTTCACTCGATTATTCTTACAGTTGTCATTTGTACCTTCGCGAGGCTCTGTATTTTTCGAAATTCCGTGTTATAATTGTTCAACAAATTCACAACCAACGGGAGAATAGCTAGAGCCACCCATACTATTGCTCTGACAATGACGGACTTGAGCAATGTAAAACATCTCGAAAAGGGTAGAGAGGAACAAAATAAATGTGATGAGATGTACCTCATCTGTTACCCCGCAACTTCATCACATCTAGTCCCTCATTCTTTCTATAGAAAGTACACCTTCGGTGCCTTCTCCTTTGTTCCTTTAATCGAGACTTGTTAACATCATGGCAAAAGTATAATCGTATCATGATTTCAATTTCACGCCATCAGCTCGCATGTTTTAAGGTGAGACTTTCGCTTGTCTATACTAGCCCTAAGCTTCAATATGCTGACAACCCAATAGGCTGAACGATGGAAGAACCTTTTGGGATCAATGCCATTGATGCCAATTCAAGCGAGCTATTGGACAATAAATTGAACTATAAGGCAACCAACCTATTGAAACCAATGACAAAGAGAGAAACAAACTTACGGTTACAATAATTGATCCGAGATCCACACACTATTAAATCTACGTATGTTGTCGGGACGCGCCTAAACTCCACTTTTTGCTGTTACTAATCTCAGGGGTTTGGAAATCCTTCCAGAAATAAGACGGCAACATCCGTGAAACGCACGAGTTACGAGTTTAGAGTTTTGATATACCTCTTTTGCTTGTATTTCGCTACTTACCATTTCCAACATGCGGTTCGGTCGGGATTTGCATGCGTACATTGTGCCGGAATGGGAGTCTTTCTATGTGCCCTACAGCGTGGTCAAGCGCACACTCAAGCTGGCGGTCGGGAAGTCGATCGATGAAAGTTCTGAGCCAGATTTTACAGGTTGGTTCACTCTTTTATGCGGGTGAAGGGAACAAAAAGTGTTAATGTAAATGATAGAGGTATATAAACTCCTCGAAAAGAGTAACGAGTCGTTTGACGATTTTCATCGTGAGAACTGTGATCTTCTTAGGGTTAGACAAGCCGAACTTTGTATCAAGTACGAAAGGGCGATCAAAGCATGTGCATTTTCAAGTGATGGCACGAGGGAGTTCCACGAAGCAAGGAGCTTTCTCAAAGTCGCCTCGGAACTTCGCAATGATTTCGAGAAACTCCAAAGATATTCTCGTGTGAATGAATGCGCGATGCACAGATTATACACCAAAGTTGAGCGATCGAACAGCTTCGATACTCCAGCTTATGAAGAACAGAAGTCTAGCTGGAACGTTTCCCAAATCGATCGCCATAGGCATTCCGTGAACTTTTTGAACAGATTGGACAGCTTGACGAGTAGCATTAAGGAAGCACGTGAAGTTCCCGAGGGTATGCAGCTGTCTTCAGACAAAGACACATCTCGTCAGAAGCAATTCCTCGCTACCAAAAGACCGGCTTTATATCGCGCTGTCAGCAACGATGATCCCTCTACTTTGGCCGTTCTGCTCCGGAACTTGTCGCGTGATCCTACGATAAAGCTTGACCGGAAATCTATTGTGTACGAAATGGCTGAGACTGCCGTGAGCTGTAATTCTCAACTTTGCTTCGAAAATTTGCTAGCAAAGGTGTTTGACATCGATGGCGTTGTGCTGGATCACGAGTTGCTGAACCAAATCATATCTATGGAAGGTCAAACCAATGATGACGGCAAGAAGAGAGACTATAGCTTGTTTGGCTTTGCATTCGATTATCTTGTGCCTCGCCAAACGGACGCCTTGTTTACAAAAGACAACTGTCTGCGCTCAAGCCTGCATTATGGGGCACTTTATGGTCTGGATTCTGTCTGCCAACCAATCCTCCGCTGTGCTCAAGGCTTAGGCGGTGGCTACGCTTCAAATCTGATCTTGTCGTCGGACTACCATGGCTTTACAGCATTCCACTACGCCGTCATAAAAAACCATGTGGATGTTGCAACCACATTCCTAGAGACCTTGCGGTTGGACAACAGAAGTGACGAAGCATCGTGCTGGGGCTTGAACGATCTTCTAATCATTGCCCTCCGATATCAGCATGACGATATGGTCTTTCTCCTCGTAAAGGCTGGCTTTGGTCCTAACAGTAGTTCTTTACACGATGAGTCTGCGCTCTATGTTGCATCTCAAATTGGACGTGAAGATTACGTGAAAATGTTGCTGGAGGATGGCAGCGATGTCGATATAAACACCCCCGAAACCCCACATGGCTGGACTCCATTGTTCATTGCTTGCGTGGAAGGTTACCAGTCGATCGTCGAACTTCTTCTACAAGCGGGAGCTGACCAAGACAAAGTCGACCATCTTGGTTGGACTGCTAAGGAGCACGCCGCGCTGAGAGGTCACCTAGCTGTTGCTGCAATCTTGAAATCATGGGACTCTAATAATCTGACTGGCGGTCCTGCAAGCTTACTGTGGAAGGCGGAATCTCAAACCAGCTCCCCCCTTTCGGTCTCTGAGCATCAAGTTATTGTCAATCTTGGTGTCTTGAGAAAAGGTGAACATGTCGAAGCCTTTGACTTTGACGGCTCCTCGGCAACAACTTTATCCTCCCTCGAGATGTCGATCTCGGTAGAGGACAACACAAGCCCAATTTTGAAATTGCCCTTGCTCAGTGACATGATTAACGAGCCTTTTGTGTTCCCTATTGCAATGCCAAGTCAAGCACGTCTGGTTTTCAATTTTTACAACTCCGACCACTCTTATGAAGAGCGTCAACTTGTGGGTAGTGCTGCGGCATTGTTAGGAAGCGATAGAAAATGCTTTGGTGAGAACCGCGAGAGTCTCGTCAGAGAACGCACTGTTCCCATTTTCGAAAAAGCCACAATGGACATTATGGGGACTGTGACCTTTACCTGCATCATTGCTAAGCCACTCGCATCCTCTGAAACTCCATCGTCTCCCAAACAGGAATTGGAAAAGGATACTTTCCAAGTCGTTGGTCATAGAGGTATTTATAACGCCCAGCCAGCAGAGTTTGTCACACAGTTCACATTTCCTAATGCCGAACAGGACTCGGTCAAAACACGGCCAATCGCAGCCAGCTTCAGCTGGGTGAAAACACGATCGAGGTAACTTGATTTCTATTTCGATTCCCATCCTTGGTTCATCTAACATTCAAATAGTCCTTCCTATCTGCCGCCAAGCTAGGTGCATCATATGTCGAGGTAGGTACTGTACTGCTGGTCACCTTTTTTGATTATACTAACATCATTGGATAGTTTGGTAAAATCACCCAAGATCCTGAACTCCGATCCTTTCTAATATATGAGCAGACGCGCAACTTACTAGGGATCTCGTGCCTATTATTTATCATGATTTCTCACTGAGCGAATCGGGAACCGACATACCCATCCACGATCTCAGCTTTGAACAGGTCAGCACCCCGAATTCGAAGTCACACTCAAGTCTCACATTTATAGTTCATGTACGCAAGCAAGCTTCAATCCCCCAGGGGCAAACCTATATCGGTCCTCGGAACGCCGAACTCCTATATTCTATCGCAAAGGCCCAGGATTCGGTCACGCTCTGTGTCGAAGGAACAGGAAGAGGATACTCAACATATTCACGACAGGATGAAGGTCACTGTTGATTTCCAAAACAAAGGATTTAAGCCGAATACCAGGAGGCATTCTGTTCAAGGCTCATTCGCCACTCTAGAAGAATTAATTGGAAAGCTACCCGATTCGATCAGTTTTAACATTGAGATAAGTAGGTTTCTTCAATCAACAAGAATGTTTGAAAGACTGAACTGCGCTAACTCTAATTCGAAGAATATCCCCGACTTCACGAAGCTGTGGAAGCCGGCATGGCACCTGTCGCTCTCGAGATCAATACATTTATTGATAAAATCCTGGACCAGGTATTCCAGACTAATGGTGAAAGGAGGATCATACTCTCCTCCTTTTCTCCTGAAGTTTGCATGCTCTTAGCTACCAAGCAGAACATCTACCCTGTCATGTTTATCACCAATGCCGGAAGGTTACCGGCGTCGGACATGGACATGAGGGCCAGCAGTCTGCAAGCAGCGGTTCGTTTTGCGAGGCGCTGGGCGTTAGCTGGCATAATATTTGCTTCTGAGACATTGATTATGTGCCCAAGACTCGTGGGTTACGTTAAAAGATCCGGATTAGTCTGTGGATCTTACGGTGCTCTAAACAACCTTCCCGAGAATTCTAAAGTAGGTTTGAGAAACCCTCCTCTACTTCATGTGTCAACAATTGGAGCAATTCACTAATCATCTCATCTAATATAGGTGCAAAAGGCCGCTGGTCTTCAGCTTCTTATGGTCGACAATGTTCGGCTTATCACGATGGCCTTGAACGAGAAGCTTCCACTCAACATCTAGCAGATCTCACTGGTCTGATGGGATAGTCTCAGGCGTCCTAAATTTTGCACATAGCACATCAAATACATACGCAGTCAAGTACAAAATATGTAATATGGTACAATAAAATTTTGATATTTTTTGTCAGTATATTCCATATGCTAATGTGCCTTCGATATGAATACGGCTTTATGAAGTTATTGTGAAAGACCATGTTATTTGTCTTCTTCATCTAAGTAACCATCCGTGTTGGGAATAACTGAACCAGCAAAATCACTTGATTTGGTATATAAGTCCTCGATGATGAGAATGTCAGCAGAGATAATGTTAATGCTATAGATAAAAGTGACGGCATCGATGCTCTTTTCGATCTACTCACCCATTTCTCACCCAGGCGATGCTCGCGCGGCTACTGGGCGCATTCAACCAACACACTGCTGAGTTCGTAGCTAGGTGGGTGATCACCAGCGAATCCTTAACTGCTGTTCGTTTCTGTTCTTTGTCGTTTCCGATCCAATAAAACGTTATTCTATTAATTCGCCTGTCATCTACATCGTCTTGAATCTTGTCATCTCACCCTCATGCTCTATGTCCAATCGCCATAATCCTACTTGACCTCTACACTAGCAAATATACCATTGAGTCTCCAATGCCTGATTTAGTCCAGTCGAAGAGACCCGTGACCCTCGGCTTTGTCCAGCGCATCGGTGACGCGCGATCCCTCTCCCTCGAACAACAGTCCGTCATAAGTCGCCGCACCTATCACACAGCCGATGATAGGGGCGAAGATGGGAACAATGAAATAGTAGTTCGCTGTGGTAAACACCTCGCGGCCATAGAGAATGGCAGAGAACAATCTTGGGCCAAAGTCTCTAGCCGGATTAATAGCCTATTATTATTATTAGCACGACTTTCTCAGGAAAACATAGTCTCCTAATGAACATACGTAGCCTGTTTGCCAGCCTAGTGCCGCTCCGATCATAAGCAGCAGCAAAAAGGAAGCGAACTGCGGAGCAGGGAATCGACGAGCATTTATGGGATCGGAGATGCTAAGGCACCCAAATGCCAGCACAGCCGAGCCCAGCGCCTCAGAAAAGACAGCCTCCCAGTTCGACTCGAAGGAGGCACTTGGGTAGGTCGAAAAAACACCCGCAGAATGGTGACCGCGGGGGCTCAAAATAGATCCACCGGGAATAGTGTATTCAGGATCCCACTCCTTGATGGCTGAACGGTAGTTGACGTACACGATGGCAGCGCCAACAAACCCGCCCAGGGTCTGCGCGGCCAGCTTGCCTGGAAGTTGTCTCCATTGTCCTTCGGATGGACGCACAAGAGCAAGGCAAATAGTCATGGCCGGGTTGATGGACGGACTGGGGTCAGACAAATAGCCAGATAGTGATACTGCAGATGCCCAGGCGAGGTTGATAGACAGCCAGGTGCCGTATGTGTAATCGGACAGCAGACATTGGGCGACAACTCCATCTCCGATGACGATTAACAGAGCAGTCCCCAGAAATTCAGCCAAGTATGGCTTCAGCGCCCGGCGCGAGATCATTTTCAATGATATCAAAAAGTCCCTTGGAAGGTGGGGGTACCAAGACTGGAAACCCCTGGTTTCTGCTCGTTTATTTTCAATCAGTGGGTGACGTCATATTTCTAAGTCCTCCCTCGGAAATACCTATTACGGCATGCCGAATCTCCCCGATGCCTTGAACTACAATATCGTAAGGAGTACACATATGTGCAAAAAACAATATCGCACATGCAGCCTTCATTCTCTCTGTTTTATTTGCATTGGTGGTAGATATATGCTACATATATGCCATTTCCTCTATTCTTGGCCAGCTAATTCACTTGTGAGATCGGAGTGTCGGAGTATAACCGGGAACTTCTAAAAAGAGATGAGTCTTGCGTCTACAGCAACAGAGAAGGAGGAGGATATATAAAAGCGAATAATAGGTGGATGTTACGAGTGACACAGGCCTATGTATCAAGACCCAGTCAGTGCCGATCAGACTTCATACCTAGGTACGACTCATGCTCGAAATCCACCAGGAGCAAATATCAAGAATCTGCATCCGGTATAAACCTCTAAGAACAAGCATACTTCATTCACATTTGAAATTATCGGTATATTCTACTGAGATAATCAACATTCTTATGGGACTTGGATGCGATGAGGTATAGAGGGAAATCCTATCATCACTCAATATGTAAGTTCGATTAATTCGCGAACTCGGTACGTCGTCTTCCAAGTTCTCCCTCGATATACAAGTAAAAGAAAGTAAAGGACAGGCTTGATGTATGAAGTGAAAGAAAGATGATCTTTTCCACCCGCTGATGCGAAAGCTTAACCACGAAGTGTGAATTCTTGAAGATATCTTGGATTTTGTGGACATTTTTGTGGACATCAAGCCAGGTATGCGAATGCCATGGACATTGCACACTATCATACGATCTATAAATAGTGAATTCAACAGATATCTTGCATAGCTCGTTGATGAGAGGGGTTATCTCAAACTTTGCAGGGTTTCAACGGCAAAACGCCCCTTGGTTAAGCCGAAGCCGCCAACCGCAAACGCCCCAGCAACAAAGATCGTCAACAGTAGCAAAGATCTTCACACAATTTGAGAAATTTTTCCTGTAATATTGGACTGACCTACTACTTGCTAACTCATTCAGCCGGCCCTTGAATCAGGACAACCTTTTTCTCAATCTCTTTGTGAATACTGGTCATCACATGCAGTAATTACGATAAACATTCTCCCCAATCAAATCCTCGCGGATATTATGTCCACTCCGACTCCCGCTGACGTATATATCACAGTGAGGCGAGGGAAAAGGAGGGGGAAACACGTCGGCAGTAATGACCCGAATTTTACTGACTGGGCTCTGCCATCCAGGTCGCCACGCGTCGCGGAAATGCATGGCGAGCTGAATTTGCACAACATGCAGATTTAGCTGCATGTTGTGCTTCCATAGTTGATTTTATATACATAGTTCAAATTTTTCAGCTAAGCCGCAGCGCTTCCAGTGCTGTCACTGGTTTCCTTTTCCTGTTTCAGCATCGTCAGCATCATTCGTGGTGTTTTGGCCCGATTCATGTTCACTTGTTTGGTCAAAAAATGGTATTTCCGGCTTTTTCCTGACGGAAGATAGGAGAGAACCAAAAATAAACCTTCTCCGTGGTTTGGACGTAGACAATAGAGACCAAACCGCGAAAGCGGGGCAAATCGCTCTCGTTTTCCTTATATTGGAGCAGGAAATATGAATAATTGAGATTCTATTCATTCCCTCTTGAAAGACTTTGTTGATCCTTTTGATCATTCATTTTATCATTCAACAAGAAAGACAAGCACAAATCACAATGATCAATACCGAGGATAAATATGTTTTTGGTAGAGATCCAAAGGAATCAGAACGGTATGCGAGAAATCATATTTCTAGCTCAGTGGCAAAATGTGTCTAATGAATAATGTGACTCAATTTTCCAGACTTGACGCACAGCACAACCTGTTGTCGAAAGTGACCAAGAACACGCTTATCCATCCATCAATACCCAAAAAAGGCGTCCTTTCTGTTGCAGATATAGGTACTGGAACTGGGTAGGTCTGCCGTCGATTGTTAAAGTCCAGAAGACTAATCCATGAATTGTTGATAAGTATCTGGTTAAAGGATGTTTGTCGAATGCTGGAGAAAGTACAACCCCAGTGTTACTATCATGGATTCGACATCTCAGCGGCCCAATTTCCGAAAAGTCCAGGAAATATCCAATTTTCTGTCCAGGATATAACACTGCCGTTTCCTAAAGAACATTGGAACCGGTATGATGTGGTTCACGTGAGACTACTCGTTGCTGCTCTCGAAGAACCCGAGTATAAGACTGCAATTTCTAATATTTCTTCCATCTTGAGTATGTATCTCCCAATATTTCTTCGATCTTCCTCGATCCAACACTGACCCCCTTTGTTTGACTCATATAGAGCCCGGTGGCTTCCTTCAGTGGGAGGAAATCGACGAGGAGACATACATTTCACCCGATAACCCAGTCATTTGGGAGATTCGACGATGTTTTGACATGTCATTAAAAGCTGAAGGAAAATGTTTTGCAGCATCAGCTAAGGTCTACGAGGAGTGTAAAGCAGCAGGTTTCTTAGATGTTGTGCGTCTGGATTATCGCTCAGACTGGAATAGTGATCTCCGCCTTGACACAGAGAATAGGCTCGCTGCAATCATTGAAACGTTATATGCAAGTCTTTTGTTGCGGTCTGGACAGGTTCCCAATGAAGAGACGGCATCGAAACGGGCTGAGGACTTGATCGAACAACATCACCGTCTTTGTGCGGGTGGAAACTCCCCAACGTTAAAAGTGATGAGAGTTGTTGCCCAGAAACCGCTAGTTAAACCACGTCTATAGTACTAATGCCGATATTACTGGTATTCAGAATCACTCATAAGTAGTCTTATCAGTGGTGACCAACCATAAAGAAGTTAACAAGCAGTGTTGGGACCTGGGGACTACATGTACATATGTAGGCATAGTCGGAGGGATTCAATATAGGCCGCTTGCTTAATTTAATCTTGTTTAATTCAGAGATCGATGAACTCGGTAGAAGGTACATATAACGATAGCCATAGGTTTTGCGCAATGAATTCTTCCCACGCACCTGACTAGTAGCCTGCATGTCGAGCCAGCAGTGCACTATCACCTCGTACTTGTAATGTTTGAAGACAGCGAATTGGCCTTGGTACAAAGAATACTCCTGTTTTTCTTTTCCTGATACCTATATCATTCACAACGGCTTGGTCGTACGTTAACTACGGTGTCCAGATGCATACTGTACACGAAGAATTTTTGAGAAAAAGAATTATATGCAATAGTTAAATAGAATATATAGTACCTTCGCGTCGACAGACCCCAGTGTACCTTTATTTTATATCTAGTTCTTTCACGAAACATTCGGTCATACCTTGTAAATAGACAAGGACCCGGACAAGTCACTGCCCCCACAAGCCTTGTTATAATCCCCAAACAACTCATCTCTTCCCTTCACGAACTCGTGGAATTGCTCCTTGGAACAACTTCCACCAGGTCCGTCTCGGCATCCCACCAATGGCTGAGGTCCAGCATTATTCAAGATTCGATAGTAGTCTCCTTCATCAAATCCATAGCTCTCGCACGACATCTTCTCAACAGCGATATTGGTGAGGAATGGGAGGATCTCACTGCTTTTCCAGGCGCGGTTGTAGTTGATTCTATCTTCGGGCATGGTATCATTCACGTTATTCGCTCCTGTATACGCGCTATTGTTATACAGGCCGAGAGCAGTGATCACCGTAGGTGGGAGCTCGCGGTGAGTGAAGGAGACAAATAGCTCCTGCGACGAGGTGTCATTGTCTAGTGCTGCGACACTGGCATTTATCCAGGGCATTCCGAGACTCGCAGATAACGGCCGACCGTAGCCGGTGTTGTGGAAATACATCAGGTCGTTCGCGTATTCAAATCCTAGCCATTCGTCGGGAGAGAATAGGTTCAAGGAGCAAAAAGGCGAAGAGCCTCGAATAACGGTCTCGTAACCGCAGAGCTCAAACATTGCGGTAATGTCGTCTTGGGTGAAGTTAAAGGATCGTGCTTCGGCATTTAGTCGAGCAATGATGGGCTTCGTGTACACTTTTCCGAAGGCCTAAATTGTCAGCATATACTAGCGCGAATTAGAAATGGTAATACTTACGGAGGATTGGTCACTCCCGTAGGAGGAACTAAATGCGGAGCAGCCCTTGTACGGTGTCAAAGAATCCGCACCGGCTTTTTTGTCCTCCTCGACTTGGGTCAGATTGACCAAATTCGTGTGATTTTTCGTAAATCCAGCAATGAAGCTCTGGGCGCTCTTCACGGTCCGTTCCGCAGTCGACGACCAAACTTTCTCGGGTGTTTTGAGGTGTGCATATTTCTTGTGAAGAGTGGCTCCTAGCGACTGTGCCTCTTGCAACCCAACACGGGTCAATTTCTCGATATGCTCATCACTGATCGGTGCGGTCCAATTGGATAAAAAGCGGAGTGACTTTGTTGACGACCAATTCTGCGATGTGTTTTGTAGTTTCTTCACCAATGGCTCAAGGTATGTTTCATAGTCGAAATCATTGGCGTAAATGGCAGCATGGCGGACAAGATAAGCTGCTCTGGTGACGTTGCAGCCTTGCGGAGGGGAAGATTGGAGAGGGGGGTCGTGAGGGGTGAAATAGGGTGCTATGCCAGCAGAATGCTCCAGGGGATTGAACCGATAGGCGGATAACACAGGGGCAGACAATGCTATGAGGAAGGATTGAAGGAGCATTTTGCTAACACGCAGGATGAGTACCCTAAATCAAATTGTGAACAGTATTTCCCACACACGAAATATGTTCATCTTATAAATAGTCTATGCGAGAAGGGATTTTCAAACAGGGAAAAACAAAGTTGACGTAGTTGATCGGCGAATAGCTAAAACCCGAGCTCTCTATTGGTGCGCCCTACCCGAGTTACCCACAATGGGTGCAAGGTAGAACAATGTTATTTATTAACTGGGCAATTGATGTCACCTACTTTCTTTACCTATCGATCTTTTAAGCTATATCTCTCGTTATATGGCTATTGAAAATGGGGACAATGTTGAGTCGACCGTTAATGGTGGACCCGCTACTCTATCGGCGGAAAGACGCCAAAGTCAACGACACCGATCTCAGTGAGAATGGGGTTGCCTTCTCCCCTCATCCATCGTGCTGGGCTAAGTTGATGCCACATCCATTTGGTAGGATCAGATTATGCTAATAAGTCGGGGAAATACACTTGTGCGTACATTATCCACCGATGAACTCCGCAGAATGCCACATTGCCCTGCAGAATGTCACATTTAGGGCTGAAGCTGCGCATAACTGGCAACGTGAAGAAAAACGAGAAGGTACTGATCTGGCCCTCCGCTGAGGGTCAGACCCTCATCTCTGTCAAGCTAGTCGGTTTTGGCTCCCATCTTAACGAGTATTCGTTGACCGAGGTTGATGTCCTCGAGGATCTTCTCAACTTCAGCATTGAGTGCCCTGTCAGTGGTTTGATCTAAAGCAATCTCGCCGGTTCCACTTGAGTGATATATCACAGTTTAATTGCAAGAGCTTTTACCGTCTTAGCCGGACTTCTGGTCCTGCTGTCCCCAGTGTGCTCTTCAACATCCCACCGGAAGACAGAAGTCGATGTGCAAGGATGCTGAGGTTCGATGTAATATGAAAGCAAATTCAACATTAACACCCCGCGCTTGAAACTGATTCCCGAATAGGCATATAAAAGAAATTGTTAAGCGTGTGTTATCTGTGCCCATCAATATTTGTGTCTTCGGAGCTAATCCACTTCATTCCCCAATAGTTATTGAAAACATTCAGGGTCTTGTTGCAAGTGGTCTTGTCTCCCCGAAGCCCCGTGCTCTTGACTGCAGCACGCGGTGCCTGACATAGGCTTCATCTGCTTTTTTACAAAGAATCCGGAACGAGCACTGACTTCGACGGAGCTATTGAGCCCCATTTTAGGTCATAGCTTCAATAGGGCCGCCAGGCGCGCGGGTGACCTCTGCCTATTGAACCCAATTTTTAGTATATGGCTTGAATGGGAACAAAGGGCACTTCGAGGATGTCGGTGTGCAGACAAAATATTCTTCTTTGTTCAGGTGAGAATGGTTTCCTTCCGCTGGCCAGTTATGCATTTATAGAAAAAACAACAAAAGAAGTCCCTGGAATGCAGTCAAACAATGAACTCGAGTCCTTTATAGGCACGAAATCTATTGGGTTCTCTTGAACTCGGTCAGAGATGTGGTATTTTGTCTGTAATGTTGTTCGATGTGCGATATTATAAAAAGTCGGTTGCATCCTTTCAATGGGCGATATTGTTTGAGTTGTCGTCGATGCAATGAAGTTCATTCACTTGGTCACCGTCTTCTCTCTGTTCTTTCTCCATACACCAATTGCCTTGGCCGGGCGGGATTTTGGTTGTGAGTCAAAAGAACTCGAGAAGCGTGATGCAGCACCCGTCGCAGGTGCTGATGGCATTTGTTTCACCTATACTGTGCAACAGGGGGATACCTGCGTGAAAATTGCCGAGAATCACTCGGTCTCTATCAGCGACATTGATAGATGGAATACTGGATCATGGGAATGGAAAGGTTGCACAAATATCATGCAAGGAGACTTTGTTTGTCTGAGCTCCGGGGCCCTTCCGATGCCAGTTGCTTTTCCAAATGCTGTGTGTGGTCCGCGGATGCCTGGATCGGTGCGTCCTGAAAACTATGCCGATCTCGCTTCTATGAATCCATGTCTTTCTGGTCAATGTGTGAGTCTTCTGGTTAGTCTGTTCATCAAGTTCATGGGTCGTACTGACTGTTTCTAAAGTGTTCTCGCTGGTATCAATGCGGAAATTCATCGGCTTTCTGCAGTTTAGATAAGGGCTGCCTCTCAAATTGTGGGGGAAAGTCCATAAGTAAGCAGGTCATGAGCGAGCCTTCTCCTTCACAGGAGAGCACTTCCTCGAAAGACACTATCACATCGATGCGTACAACCTCAGCCACGTCTACCACCAAAGAAATGGTAACGATCACCTCTGTCGTCATGATCTCACCACTCCCTACATGGGTATTAACTCTGTATGAGAATAGCGGATGCGATGACGGCAATTACTTCTCTCTCCAGGGTAACGAAAAGATAGATCATGGGAGCTGTATAAATCTGAAGGTCCATACCCAAACTGACATTTCGGACGATAAAACGTCTTGTCGCTGGTGGACGGATGAGGGACTCAAATGGTCGACTTGTTCCTCCAGTACGCTTACGAGACCCAAATCATGGTATCTCAAAGCTGGCGCTTGCTGGGTGTACTCCGATGATCATTGTGGAGAGTGGGCAGGACGTATAGACATTGAGGGGTGTGGAAAACCACGTATGTCTTTATGGTCACCTGATGAATTTGTTTCTCTGAAATGCTGGGACAATTCGCCATTCGGTTATACTTAATTTATGACATCCCCGGTTTGCGATATATATATGCCACATGCCGGTTCCAAGGTTGACGATACACAAAATAATTTTCCACTCCAAGTAAAAATATAGTTAAATATCACGAAACAGTATGCTGAGGCTAATTTACACTTAGTAATTCACATTACATTTTCAACCATATTCTATAGGTATGATGTGAGAGGCGGAAAGTCCAATCATGCATGTTTGTCAAAAAGATGGTCATATATCCAACCTCTGCCGATATTGATATCAACCAGCCAAGTGGTCGAGCAGTAACTCGACCATATCATCTTCCTTGGTCTAGTGGTGATGATTTCCGCTTGTCATTAAAACCGATAAGCGCGGGAGACCGGGGTTCGATTCCCCGAGGGAGAGATTTCTTTTTTGCTCTTAGCACACATCTTATTGATATATATCTTATAGTAAGTAATCAAGGTAAATTATAGGGGTCTTTTTTTTTGGGATATTTTTCACTGCCTGTCCGATTCCCAATGGTAGAAAAATAACGGAGGGGAATGTTGAATACATCTACAAGAATGAATGGTAACAAGTGAATAGGTAGAAAATAACAAATACCGTTCAATGCTAGATGGTAGATCCCAAATACACTGAAAATAAGTATGAATAGATGATACGTCCATACAGATTGAACAGAGAGAGGGAGTTGTTATTGCCTCCTTCCATGTCGGGCACTTTCCCTCAACCCTAACAAGCCTTCACCTCCATCTTTACGTCTCCAAAGTTATCTCCATGGTTTATTTTTCATTTACCTAATCCTTGGATGAAATGCAGCCACACAGACCAGAGCACACATGCACAGTCAATCTCTGACTGTACACCCACCATGATGTTTTGGGTAGATTGGCAGCTGTGGGAGAAGCTGACACTGGTATGTTTACAACACATGACTGAGCTCTCATCAGCTGACAAGACATGTAGGCAATGGGAATTTTGATAGTATGTGGAGTCTTATCCAATGGTACAGAACTTTCCGCTGACTAGCTATATAGGTTGTCGTCTTCAGCTACGCCCTTTGTGTTCTTGGCTGGAGTCGACGGAAAATGCGCAAGTGTGCCATAGCAGAAGTGACCAAACAGGAGATGGAGGCAGAGATATATCCCATGCTACACAAAAATGACATCCCATTCGGTGCAAGAGCTCTGGAAAGCGGGATCGAGATAGAAGGGATCTGGAATTCAAATACCAACACACCCGTCCCAAGTCCACGCCAGCCCGCTACTCCGGTCGGAAGCAGGACAGCCAGCCCAGTGCCACAGCTGTGGGCTAGAAGAATTGAAGACACCACGTCCTCATTGGAGTCTCAGAGCCCCATCGTGAGTCTGATACCAGTGCCACAGGCTGCCCGACGAGGACTCGTATCCGAGCTGGATCTAGCATCTGCAGACTTCGTTCATGAGCCCCCGAGACCCGGTGGCTTCTACAATAATCGGGCCAGTCTTCCGATCAACCCCACTCCCCTTCGTATATCACCTGCGAGAGAGGAAACCTTGGTCGGCGTCAAAGATCCAATTGTTCGAGATAAACGCGCCAGTTTCCATTCTCGAATCTTCGCCTCGAGTCGTCACCGGGAAGCAAAGGACTACCGATCAGGCCTAGATGAGGCAGATGAAGAAGCGGGCTATATCGCGACCATGGCAGGTACCTCCCCGCATTCTACATCGGGACACAAGCGGGTATCAAGATTCACCAGTAAGTAAGCCCTTCCTTGAAACCAAGACTGGAGCAAGAGACTGATGCACCTTGTCATGTTTAGAAGGTCTCCGTCGGCGATCATCTGAAGAGTTCCGACGCAAGATGAGCCAAATTTTCAACGACAATATTCATATTGGACTGCCTGCCGAGCAGCTGGAGTTCGACCCGGCTCTGCGAGAGTACCAGAAACCAACTTTCCGAGAATCTTTGCTTCGTCCTTTTCGCCCATGGCGCGACTCTTCTGCAAACGAGAGCCAGTGATATACAGAGATTGAAATTCTTTTCCTTGTCAGGAAACGAATGGCACGGAATCCACCTTCAGCATCTGCTCTTCGGACATCTAGCTTTGGCTTTGATCTGGTGTTGCAGCGAGTCATGGAATATTTCATGATGCATCTTTTTGGGTAAAAAGAACAACGGCCGGACTTTCTCTGCATACGGAGAGGGAAGACACTTTGTTTTTTTAAAAAATGTGGCAAAACTTGTATTCTTACACCTTTCTATTGTTGCGAATTGAGCATTGGCACCCGATTCAGGTCAACACTGCCGCGTACGTAGATTGTGTAAACACCCAGCTATCCACCCATAAAAGGGATGGAGGACACCAAAATGATTATAAGTAATTGAAGCAATGTCAAAAAATATTGACACCAAAACCGGAAAGGTCCAAGGCAGCAACGACCCACGTGATCTCGCGATCCCGTCGACGCGTCTAGTTGATTGAGAGTCATCCTGACTTTTGCCACAAACAAACTTCTCAAAATTCAGGGATTGTTTGGATATTAACTGCTCACACTTGAGAAACGGTTTTGTTGGGTGATCTAATAGACGAACGCGCTTATCGAAGTCACTTTGATTTCAAGCAAACGCGTCTCGAGCTGGTGGATCTCCGCGTTTTCGAATCGTGACGCATCAGAGAGACATTAAGCCATTTCTGGCAACGATTTTTCTAGAGTGATAATCTTTGATATGGACGGACAAGAGCAATACGAGGAAAACGGGCTGCCTGGCCCTGGTGCCCCGACCCCGCTCTCTGCACTTGATGTGAGTAAATGCTGCAATACCCTGCCGTTGTTGCAAACATGAGACTGGAATACTGATACGAACTCATAGGGCGTGTCGGGTTTGACTGCCAGAGATATCAAGTTGTTCGTGGATGCAGGATATCACACTGTTGAGGCCGTGGCTTACACGTACGTATTCCCTGATCATAACGCTCAATGGAGTCTTTGTCATGGCAGAAGCTCGATGCAGCTCAATGCAATGATAAGAGTTTCATCTGGCTAACTTGTTCCGTGATTCTCAGACCAAGGCGGCTATTGGAACAGATCAAGGGCATCTCAGAACAAAAAGCCACCAAGATCCTGGTTGAAGGTAAGCTTCTCCCACGAAACCCAAGACATCTTATGGGATCGTACGCTAATGAGAATCCGTCACCTAGCCTCAAAACTAGTCCCCATGGGCTTCACAACAGCCACTGAAATACACGCCAACAGAAGCGAGCTCATCTCAATCACAACTGGATCCAAGCGCCTGGACACATTGCTTGGAGGAGGCGTTGAGACAGGCTCAATTACAGAAATCTTCGGAGAGTTCAGAACGGGAAAAAGTCAGATTTGCCACACTATCGCTGTGACCTGCCAGCTGCCATTTGATATGGGTGGTGGTGAAGGCAAATGTCTCTACATTGACACAGAGGGAACATTCCGTCCGGTTCGATTACTCGCGGTTGCGCAGCGTTATGGTCTTGTTGGTGAAGAGGTTCTTGACAATGTGGCTTATGCACGCGCGTACAACTCAGACCACCAGCTTCAGCTGCTCAATCAGGCTTCTCAGATGATGTGTGAGACTCGGTTCTCACTATTGGTTGTTGACTCAGCGACATCTCTGTACCGGACGGATTTCAATGGTCGTGGTGAACTCTCATCACGGCAGACTCATTTGGCCAAGTTTATGCGCACTCTCCAGCGTCTTGCTGATGAGTTTGGTATTGCGGTTGTGATCACGAATCAGGTTGTTGCTCAGGTTGATGGTGGTCCCAGTGCCATGTTCAATCCGGACCCTAAGAAACCTATTGGTGGTAATATCATTGCTCATGCCAGTACCACTCGACTCAGCTTGAAGAAGGGTCGTGGTGAGACACGAATCTGCAAGATTTATGATAGCCCTTGTCTTCCGGAGAGTGATTGTCTCTTCGCCATTAACGAGGACGGTATCGGTGATCCTACCGAGAAGGATCTGGAAGATAAATAATCAACCCTTTCGATGTTGATTCGCTGTGACATGATGTTAGTGACTTGATGAGCAACACATTCAATAACTGTTTATGTGATTATTGGACATTTCAGCGATTAGAATATCTATTCGATAGCATTGAAATTAATACAACATGATTATGAAAAAGAATATCTTAACAGCAAATAAAATATAAAGAATCCAATTCAATTGTCGACTGTTTAGACTGTAAACGCGCATAGTTGTCTCCGATCTATCGCGCCAAATGCCAAGACTTTTGTTTTTTGAGCTCCGATAGTCAACTCTCTCTTCCCGCCCTTCAATCTTCCCTTCCTACACTAGGCCATGGTGTGCTAAGTTGACACTTACACGTCAATCGATCATGGCGAAAATCTACAAAGACTCAAGGGTCGATCTTCGGCCCTACGCGCCGACCACGGTCGCTAATATCCAGATTCCGACTCAAGAAGGTCTGATCCGTCGCCCACGCTTTTCGATCTCATCCGCCGACCAAGAACTTCCAATCGCCAAGGACGAAGATGAATTTGCTAGACGGTACCTCGCGACACAGGGAGACATATACTTCCGCAAACGTAGGGTCTACCCGCGGACGTTCTTGTGGAGGGTCGTCAACGACAACAAAGTGCTAGAGATCCAGTGCGCAGACCTAACTAAGGGTGGGACGGAGGTTTACGAATACAATGTGACTCTGCGATTGGATTTCCAGGAGCGCATCCTTCCTTTTGGTGTTGAGCTGTCCGATTCCGAGGACCACGAAATCATCAATGTCTTCGTGATTACTGCCTCCAAGCACCTCCACACCTTGACCTTACGACCTGAATACTTCCGGAGAACCTCTTCAATCGATGAAAATGTTAGGGACTGGTGCAAGACTTGCCTTCCGGCTCCTCTGGCCTTCTCGAACCCCCACCGACTACACGCAAGCAGTCCCCTAGAGCTGTTCATTTCTCTTGACAATGGCGCGTTGCTGCGATTGACCCGCAGAGCTGGAGACGATGGTGAGGCTTTTCTTTATCTCTCCGCCGTATCGGTATCGCGATTACGGGATGCTAACTACTGGTTTGAATAGGCTCGCACTGGTCTCCTCTCACCTTCGACGAACGCACATGGGGCTCTTCGATCCGAGGCCTCGTCAAATGGAACGCACCAACCTCAGTCCGACACGACGGACGCAACCTCGATTTGAATGTCGCGAATGCAATTGCAACCACCTCCGACGAAACCTACGTATTTGCGATTTGCTTGAACCACACCCTCAAGATTTGGAATCTTGCAACGAACAAACTTGCGGCAACAAAAGACCTCCTCGGACGCTCAATTCAAGATCCAGATCTTGTTTCCTACACACTGAACCCCGCCGAATCGTCATTCATGCGCGTTTTCAACGCCGAGCGAGCAATGGATGGTGGGCACCGCTTCTATGTCGTCACATATTCGCCATTCGAGGACGGCAAGTTTAAGTTCTGGGCTGTCAAGGGTGGTCTGACATCTGAGCTTGTTATCGAGGAACTGTTCGCAGATGATGTTTTCCGACCTGTGGACCCCGATGCGACTGGCAACATGTTCTGGAGCATCGCCGACTTCCAGGTCAAGTCTCGGGAAGAAGGCAAGGGAATGGAGATGTGGGTGCTCTGGAGAAACCACGGTCTTTACCAGCTCTACACTTTGCATTTCGATCTTCAAACTCTTGTAACAGATTGGGCAACCAAGTGGGTTTCAACAACATTCGAAACGCATCGACAAGAATCCCCGCCTTCTCTGATTGTGGATGATGTGGTGGACCCTACCCAAAAGTGGCTGCAATACCTATTGCAGCCGAACAGATATCTGCCCGAGGTTCTCGAGACCGCTTTGGCCGTGTACCAGGAAGCCATCAAGCCACTCTCGTCAGCCTCATCGGGAGGGCTGAAGAAGAGCTTGCCTTTGGCTGAGCGTCTTTGCTCCACAATAGCATCTGCAGTTTCGCTGCGGAAGTTCGCTGACGACGAGATGGACTACTCCCGTTTTACCTCGGACACAGATTCAAAGTGGCGTCAGTTCTGGCAGGTTGCGGAAGACCTTAACAAGCGCCGGTTTGAACCAGTATCCCTCGCCTACGACTCATATACCGATATGCCGTGGATCCTTCTATCAGACTCTTGTGCCGTTGTGCGAGAATGCAGCGTTACTGAGCTTTTCTTACACAACTCCAATGCTGAACTTAGCGAGGGTATGCCGCAGATGATGGATCGCTGGAGGCACCGAAATGTCACAAGAGAACTAGGCTCGGACTTCCAGACTGCCTCTGCGTTATTGAAGATTGCATCTGACTTCCGAAAGAAGTTTACCCCTCAGCTTGATGGTGCGTGCAGAGCTGCCCTTCAGGCTGAAATCTTCTCCGAACCTTCATCTTCGATGCTGGACCGGATGGAGACTTTCCGCGAGCGATGCGACTTTACGAACCAGATCTCCAACAAGGCTTTCGATAATTTGGACGCCGCCTTGAGCGAATACATGAATACAGATTGTTTGAACATGGATGCATTCCTTGCTATAATCCATACAGCATCTCTTCACTTCAGCGGAGAAGACTCCGATCTTCTTTCCACTTGTTTCGGCGCCCGAGTCCTCGTTAGTGGTGCTCAGGAAACCATATCTATCTCGCGTCAAATATTCTTCGATTTGTTGATCCTCGCCACATTCCTGGACGGTGAATTGGAACAATCCAGCAAATCTGATTTCGATGCGCCCTGCCTTTTCTCTTCCCTTGTCGATCTCCTGCGCGAGTATGAAATGATGTCGTGGCTCAGTTCAAATGTCCGCACGTGTCCTGACGGCACTACAAAATCCCACGAGTCGTCAACATCGAAACATTTGAAAGACAGCAACTCCAAAAACAAAAACCATCGGACTGCAAGCATTTTGGAAGATCTATTCGTGACAGACATTAAGCCTCAACAAGCGATTGACTCTCCACAAAGCTACACCTTGACTTTGGATATCAGAGATGTCGTGGCTTGGATCACACGCGCAGGCGAGGTGAGCTACCAAAACGCAGTGGCCCACATCCAATGTGACTTGATTGCAAAGAACAACATTGATCTCGCATGGGACTTCCTTCGGTTCCAGGCAAGCACTTCGTGGTCGACTTACGTTAAGGGTCGCTTGCATGTTGCTATGTCAGAATACGATGCTGCAGCCATATACTTCCGGAAGGCAGCATATCTGCTTTGTACGTATTCTATTCGTTGTTTCTCTCTGGTCGAGCTAGCTAACAAACCTCCAGCGTGTGGCAAACCGATGGGCAACCTTTCCGATATGTCAGCAGAGCTTTTAGATCTCCTCGATGGCAACTGCTTCCACAACGGCCTCGCAAAATACTACCAGCACATCCTTTCCATTTTTGAAAAAGCGCGCTCATATTCCCATGTCGCGGACTTCGCCAGCCTGGCGCTGCAGGCCCTCGACTCCGAAGTTTGGGCAGAGCAAGACGTCGAATATTCGACTACTCGCGACGACCTGCTGTCACGTCTATTCACCGGAGCCCTCAAGACTTGCCAGTTTGACCAAGCTTATTCCGCCTTGACTAGGCTGCAGGACCTCAAACTTCAAAGGACCGAGCTTACCGAGCTTATCTCCACCATCTTGACAGTCTCCGGTCCTGGAACTGCTGGTCTCAAACAAATTCTCCGCTTCCCCACCTCCCTCGTGCCCAACATCGCCTCTTTCATCGACGAGATTCTCGTCTACCTGACCCACAAACAAACCACCAATGTCACCTGGCTAGACGCAGACAACAATATCTTCGAAGCCACACCTGACTATACTCGCATTCTGCAGGCCTACCGTATCGCCCGTGGCGATTACCGCGGCGCCGCTGAAATCGCCTACCGCAATGTGCAGCGTCTCCGCAAGGCCCGCGACGCCCCCTCATCAGCCCTCACCCACAAGGGCAAGGAAATCGACGAGGCAGCCCGCCCACCAGTCGAAGAAGACGATGCCGAAAGCAAAGAAATCCGCCACGAGCTCCTATCCCTCATCAACCTCCTCGCCTGCGTCGATAAAAGCGAAGCCTATATCCTTGTCGAGAACGGACCACCAATTAGCACAACCTTCGGCAACGAGCGACGCCCAAGCACACACGCTGACGAAGAAGGGAACATCTCCATGGAAGACGCCGACAGTTCCCCAACAGCCAACGGCAAACGATCCAGCGTTACCTTCGCCTCCCACCGCAGAGGCAGCAGCAAATCCTCCGCCATCGAGCGTCGCAACAGTGTCTCCTTCGAGGTCCCTGCTATCAACAACTTACTGAAGCGTCGTATCATCGTTACGCTTGAGCATCTGCGCCGCGAGTTCCAGTCTGAGCTTGATCGGGTCAGTCGCATTGAGCGGGGAGATTGGGAGTTTGGTCTTTATGAGGAGGAGTTGCAAGGGGATGATGATGAAGTGATGGTTCTGTAGTTGGGTGCGATTTGGCTTTTTGCAGCACCTCGTGAGAATTTGATCTTTTGTTCCCAATGTATGGTATCCGTAATCGGTGTTTTCGTCTTTTTCTTAGGGTAGCTACTTTTTGGATGGGGTGCATAATGGATCTGAGCTTTACTCTGATTTTGGTGTATTGGGTTTGTAGAGCGGGTTGGCTGAGGCCCTGGGTCATACATGTGCGTATTGTGTAGGGATCCTCGGATTTGAAAGGAATCTATTTTGTAGGATACCTAGGTTTATTCAAGTAATTGATTGTGACTCGATTGATTTTCCATTGTTCTTGAGATCAATGGATAATTGGGCTAGTTTTAGATATTGATAACATAATGTACCGAACCTTTCGTGCTGAGATATATATTGTCTTACACCGAACATCACTACGTAAATAGATTTCGCTCCAGCAATATCGATTGCAAATATGACCTTGGGATATCTATAAAAAAACGAAGGCACAATCGAATGTATTAAGTTATACACGATATTCAATAGCTACTGTTTTGCTTATGATAATTTGACTAAACTCATACATAGTGCACAGTTGAGACACCACAGACGAAGCATACGATAATTAGTGCGAAATATAATTTAAAGTTGCGAATGATGTGCAATTGAAATACCCCTGGTTGTAATCGGGGGAAAAGCTAGACAAAGACTCCAAGTATAAGACGAAAGTATAGACACTCATCCCAATCAGCAAAGGCAAGCCAAAAAAACGCCGAGGCGAACCAGGAGAGACACGAGGTCACAAAAAAACAACACAGGCTTAACGAATGTAAATAAAGAAAGGCATAGACATCATCTCAGCAAGAAAAGGTAAGACAAAACCATGTACAGCGCTAGCCAATATGTACCTCGAAACAATCTATGCAGAAGTCCATCCTCGGAGAGGCAAAACAAATCCACCCAAGGAAACAAAAAACACCCCAAAGTTCAGAGTTTAATCCGACTCATCCGTTGACATGGCGCTAGCGTAGAGTTTGCTAAAGTGAGATTTGGGGTCCTTGAGAAGCGTCCAAGGCTCACCGTTCTCAATAATCTGGCCCGCATCCAAGACAATAATGCGATCGAAGTCCAGGATCGTATCGAGCTTATGCGCAACAGCAACAATCGTGTGATTACAGAATTTCTCCCGAATCACACGCTGCATGATTCCATCCGTCTTGGTATCGATGCTGTTTCAAATCCGTTAGTCATAATGCAGCAAGGGGGTGTTTATGGGAAGTGGAGAATAGTTTGGATCGCCAAGGTCAATGCGCGCTCGGATACCGGCTGCGATCATGCAGGGGATATGTGGGGGTAGAAAAGGAGTAAATGAAAGGGGGTGAGTGGCTTACTTGCTAGTAGCTTCGTCGAGGACCAGGATGTTGCCCGGACGAAGAAGTGCGCGAGCAAGGCAGAAGAGCTGTTTTTGGCCGTGCGAGAGGTGGATCTCGTCGATGTCTGTGTCCAGGTTGCCCTTTTCTTGGATTATTGAGAGGAGTTGGACGCTCTTGAGGGCCGCTAGGATGTCTCGGTCGGTGCGCGTGCCGATTGGGTCGGCGTTCAGGCGCACACTACCCTTGAATAGGAGGGAGTCTTGAGAGACACCGTTGATCCGTGACCGGATCTCTCGTCGCGGAAGTCGGGTGATGTCGACTCCGTCCACTGTTATCGTGCCGCTGGTTAATTCCATCATGCGGAAGAGGCTCATTATCATGGAGGTTTTGCCACTGGGGGGTTTTGTTAGACTAGGTTCAATGGAATTTGAAGATTGAATTGTTTCTTACCTGCCAGTTCGTCCGCAGATGCCAACCTTCTCGCCTGCTTGGACGGTGAGCGAGACGTTACTGAGAACTGGCTCAGTGGGTCTGTAGGCTGCAGAGACGGAGTTGAAATTGATTGCACCCTTTGAAGGCCAATTGGGAGGCACATCTTGGTCTTCGCCTGGCTTGTCTTCAGACTCAACAGTGTTGGTGAAGTCCTTGATGCGCTGGATGGAACCGATGTGAGTTTCCAAATTAGTCCAGAAGGTAACGAGCATCTTGATGCTTTGGCTGAACTGGATGACGTTCAGCAAAGCAACACCAACATAGCCTGCACTCATGTTTGATCCACGTAGCGCGACAACCAGAACAATCAGTAGAACGGCGATACTCGCGACAACCATGTCTAGTGACAGAGTGAGCCAGCGCTGAATAGCGAACATGAAGTAGAATGGGCGTTGGGAGTGGTCGAGGAGTTCGATGTTCTTCTTTTCCATAGCGTGTTGCCATCCGAATGCACGCAGAGTGACAAGTCCTTGGAGACAGTCGGTGAAATGCGAGTAGAGCGGAGCCTTGGCCTCAAGGTCCAGATAACGAAGCTGGCGCGAAGTGCGCAGATACACCTTCTGGATCAAGAAAAGGATACCAAGGACGAAGGGGAAGGAAATAGCAGCGTACTTCGAGGAGACTCCAATAAGCGCCATCTGCGCGATACAGAGGAAGAAAGTCACGACAGTGTTGATGGCGGCGATGGGAAGCTCCATATCAATGAGCATCAGATCTTGACTGAATCTGTTGAGGATAGCGCCGCTGTCGGTAGTGGAGAAGAAGAACATTGGGGCGCTGAGGACAGTCGTCAACAGTCTGCGATGGAAGGTCTCGCCGGACTTTGGAACCATCGTAATGATCATCTGGCAACTGCCGACGACGAGAGAGAGCATGGCAACGGCGCCAAGCATCACGTAGATACCAAGGTAGTGACCGATTTGCTGCTTGGGGTGCGCGGTGTCGGACTGGGCCCACCATTTCACCCAGATACTGGGGAAGGAGATACAGAAGACGAAACCGGCCATTGCGACCATGAAGACAATTGCTGGGAGCCATCCGATAGCGTTGATATAATAAGTGTAGATTCCGAGATCGCCACCGGAGTCATGGTGCTCTGGCTCCTCAATCACCACCTCTTTCTCCTTTTGGACAGTGTCGATGCTGCTGTAACTGGTTGAATTGGAGAATCGCTTGGGCTTGTATACCCAATCGGGCGAGCTGAGTCCAAAGCTTGAGACATATCCACCAGTCTTGTTCAAAGAAGCAAAGGTTCCTTGCTCAGAAATTCGTCCGTCTGTTTCCAAGACCACGATTTGATCAGAGTAAGGAAGGCGTTTGACAGAAGATGAGGCAACAATGACAGTAGTTTCAATTTCTCGCAAAAGACCCATGTGTCCAAAGAGGCTGTGGAAGATATGGTTCTCTGTGGTAGCATCCAGACCACTCAGGGCATCGTCGAGAATAATAATCTTTCGGCGAGCGTAGACGGCGCGGGCGAGCGCGATACGTTGGCTTTGACCTCCACTGAGGGCAACGCCCTTGCTTCCGATAACAGCGGCGTCACCTCGAGGGAACTGTGCAAGATCTTCTTCCAGAGCGCAGGCCTGAATCACAGAGGCATACCATTTGGCATCATAGTCACACATAGCGACGATGCTGTCCTTAATGGTTCCGTTCATGTGCCACGGAGTTTGATCGCAGTAGGCAACGCTAGGAGATGCGAGTTCAACTTTGCCATCGGCGCAGGGGAGTTCTCCAAGAAGAGCCTTGAGCAAGGTAGATTTTCCACACCCGGAGGGTCCAATGATAACGGTAAAACTGCCACTGGGAATGGTCATGTTGATATCCTTGAGAATCGGGTCTTTGTTGGCTTCCCACCCAAAGCTGCCGCTTTGGACAACAATAGGGTTTGCAGAGGAAGCACTCATGCGCTTGAAGGAATCGACAGAGCCAGACATATTGGAAGATATGTCGATATCGGTAGCCTTAGAAAGGAGACGCTTTTCACTTAGATTATCGGGGAAGATAGTCTGAGCGGGGCTGCGTCGGCGATCGGCATGGTCTTCTTTGTCCAAGAACTGCTGAATACGCTGGAAAGATCCAACTGCACCAGCAAAGGACATCAAAGCCATAACCAAAGTCAAGAGTGGGTCCGCGAGAAGCGAGAACAGCGACAAAGACGTGTAGACTCGAGAAACATTCAAGGGCTGACTGGAAATTCCAGCGTATACACCGAAAGTAAAGATGGGAGCAAAGATTCGAGTGAGCCAGCCGAAAGCCATGTTGTACACGAGCAAGGTACGGAATTTCTTCGAGATATCCAGCTCGCTGAGTCGAAGACCATGCACAAACGTCATAAACGAGTCCTGCAAGCCAAGCATCTTGACGCCCTTGATCGAACCCAGCATTCCGGAGGTAGACGAAATGCGCTTCTCGATAGCCTCTAGCCACTTGGCTTGGCGGGCGACCACGAAGGACATGCCTATCAACGATCCGACCAAAGCGAACAGTGCCACGCACACGGGCACGATGCAGGAGATCCCGAGCTGTCGCTCGAGCAAGTAAATGGCCAAGGCGATTTCAACCGAGTTTGCCCAAATCTCGTGCATGGTCTGCCATCCTTGTGTGATGCGCTCCACGTCTGCGCTCATGAGAGTGAGAGAGTTGGCCGGATCATTGTCACTAAGAGTGAGGCAGCTGGCCTTCTTGTAAAGCATGGTAATGAGCACGCCCCGAACCATGGTGATTCCGCGGTAGGTTAGGTGCTGGTACTGGCCCATGGAGATTGCGAGTCCAGTATAGACCATGATGTATGCGCCGATGAGACCATATCCGATGTTATTGCTGGAGGCATTCACGGGTGAATTGAAGAAAGACAAAGATCTTTCTAGAAGCAGCGGTTGGCAAAAGTTGAATGCTACCACACAGGCTCTAGCGGGCACACCTGCGAGCAGAGGCCATTTGACGGCCTTGATCGATTCCCATTGCAGGGTGTTCGGGGATTTGGTAGTGACTGACCATGTTAGCAAGTTGGGACGCTGGTGTAGTTTTGAAGGATCTTTACCTTTGCTCCATTTCTCTTCGAATCGAGATAGCAGGCGCTCAGAACTGAGTTCCTTATCCAAAACATACAGGTCATCAACACGGAGCGCGCTATTGAACCCAATCTTGAATAGTGGATTCAGCCACCAGAATACCGCGCGGTTATAGAAACCCGCCGTCGCTTCCGGAGGATACCCGGCATATTCCGATTTGAGGATATGTCTCTTTTCCACAGCCTCAATTACAAATAGGAAGAATTTGACGCCCACTGCAATAGTCGTAACAATAGCAATAATATCGTTGAACGCGTCTTCGCTTCGCAGCCATAGTGTCCTGGACCGCGCAATATCGAAAAGGAGGCTGCAGAAGAGATACGTGTTTAAAAGGAAGGACGGTTTCACAGAGCGCATGTGCTCTGCATATGAAAGCAGACCGAGAGCAAGTACGCCGATCGTCAGAAGTGCATTTGCTGGAACTGACGTCTTGGTACTGTCGGCGGCCGGAAGAGCCCATAAGGCTAGCTGGGCAATTTGAAGTCCTAGTAATACAAACCAAGCCACCTGTTCGGAACAAAGATGACAAGCATTAGATAACAAATACTTCAAACTTGAGGCATGCATCAATTGACGGGAGTGGGGCATCTCATGCGAGGCAAGAAACAATATCAACTTACAAGTTTGATCAGAAGCAGCAATGATCCAACGACTTTGTTCCGTTTTTGTGAGAGTTGCCATAACCGTACAGGAATAGCAATTAGCATTAATAAGATAGGTAAAATTTCCAGAATAGTTTCTTCGAACAAAAGAGAAAAATCAAATCCCCCGCGACACGACCCAGCATCAATACGTAATGTATTGTCCAGGTCGCGGCACGAAGGCATTGAAGAGCGAGTGGATGTCATATCTACTCTTGAACCACCTGACGACAAAAGATGATTGAAGAGAAGAAAGACGCAAAAGAAAACGAGCGACGCGAATTATAATTCAAAAGAGTGTATGGTATGAAGAGACTTGCATGAGGGAACCATGCGGCTTTTGGCCTAGATCGGATACATCTCATTAGTGACATTAGAATTCTCGCATTAATAGTGCATTTCCATATTAAGAGATACATAGGGCTAAACGAGGTCCCTATCCCTATTTGCAGGAGCATACTACATCTAGGGGAACTGATACCTCGAGGTCACCCTTCTCAATCTCCTACTGGTTCGCTGCAGTTAAGTGGACATGGGATACAACACTTGATGCAATTCACCTTACAATGCCACGCTGAAAATGCTCTGTGAGCTCATCTAGACCTCGATAATAAGCCATTCATTGTATGATGACCCTCGTGTACATCCTATAGGGGAATTTTTATTTTATTTTCTCTTTTTAATGGTTTTTTTTTTTCACCAAAGAGATTAGGAGTGACTTCATGGCTCCACATTAACTCCATCGAGCTGTGGTTATCTTCATTTAAAGTCTCAATTTTGATTGTAAAGTTGCCCCTTAAGGATGTGGGGGATGCACTAGATCTGTTTGCCCCTGGAGTCAGCAAATCTAATTAATCTAATAGGAGTGCGGGTACATAAACCAAGAGCAACACGAGGGAGTCTTGATACCTTGCAGGAAGAAAATATTATATGCCTGAATCTAACCAATGGCGATTCTGACACTTGTGTCGGTCAAATCCCGTGTCTCTAACTCCATAGAAACTAGGGTAAAATGTTTAGTTATAATATTGTAGTTTCCATGCGAGGGCTAACCTTGGATTAGCCGCTCGTACTCCGTGTGATGGGAGATCGTCCGGTTTGGGGCGATCCGGCCTGAGACATTGACCTAGTACGGAGTAGGTACAATGTTGTTTTATTTTTATTTTTGCCTTCGTCTTTTGATATTTCTTTTTTGATTTTTTTAGCTTCGAATGTAGGAGGTTTATGTCACAGTTTTCCTGACCGCATGGCATTGTCCTAGAAGCTGAACTAAAAGTGACATTATTTTTAGTCTAGTTACACGGTGAAGTATACTTCATACTTTCGGGTGTATCATGTCCATTGAGAAAACAAGAAAGGGGAAAATAAAATCAAGTATATACAAAATAGTAGTATACAGAAATCGCTCATTTTGCGTCACGTTTGAAATTCTCAATGGTCCAATCTCCCATCTCCATCCACTCCACATCGTCAACTCCACCTGTCATGGTCAAATTTTGCTTCTGCTCGGTGGTAGTGGCAACATTTAATCGAGGCTCCGGATCCAATCGTTCAGTTTTACTATACCGATGTACTTCTTACTTAGTTAGTCTATTTAAACGGCTGATGGCGGTCTCATTACAAGGTTCCAATTGGGCCCGACCGATGTGAAATCCTGCATATTCCAAGACGTGGTGCTGGCCCGTGGTGGATGCTGACCCAATGTGCATGAGGCGGGATCTGTACCTACAGCGATGCCTGACAACCCTGGGTCGAGGTCCTTAGGGTGGAGCTAAGAGCCGTGGTAACCCTGTTGATGTCTTAGAAGAACATGGTTGATGGGTGGCGAATTCCGATCTTTGCATAAAACCCACATCCACATTTATCTCAATTACCTACATACAGTGTGTGCAGTTAATCAAATTCCATTCTAGTGCGGGGAAATGCGATGTAAGTCGGATTCAAGTGACGTTGAAGCTATGTCAATTTTAGGACTCTAGGGCTCCGGAGATGTAGGTTGTAGAAAGTGCAGGTAAAAATTTTCAAAAGGTGACCTGTCAACGAGGTGGACCACAAACATATTTTAGCCTGTCAGCTTCGACTTTCTATACCTGTTTAGGGCACATTCTAGTCGTCAGAATCGACGCTAGACAGTCGCGGCCGCTATCTTAGTGTCCACAAACTGTCCATTAGTGGCTCTTAGTGTTCGCGAACTAAGCCTCCCGAGTGGCTACGAACCGCTCCGCGCCCCAAGCCAAGCCTGTCGATCAATCCCGATTCAGCACTAGTATCGGGTCATTTCCTTGGTGTCGTCAGTGGATCCTGGAAAAAAAAAAAGGAAGAGCTGTAGAAAGTAATCTTGTTACTACTACAGTAGGCGAGAGGTATGTTCCTCCGGGAATGTGGAACTCGTGGCCTCGCTAGTCCTCGTTACTAGTTTGATATATATATTTCCGGTTAGATCGCTGATGCGTTAGTGTGTTAGTCGTCCTACTGTGGAGACGACAAATGTACGGTCCAGATCAAGTTTATGTGCTTACGGAGTACGCGAGAGCGATTGCGATTCCACGCGTGCACACTAAATATATCGTAGAAAAACTAAGATAAAAAAAGTACGACAAAAATGTAATACATTCTAATGTGTTACACTGCAGACATGGGTACTTAGGTGTTAGGTGGAGATTCTATGTTTTTGAATCTCCATTTTTGTTACTATTGAATCTCAGTAGCTATAACATTGATGTTCTACGACAAAATAGATTAATGCCAAGTCGACAGGTCGCGGGATTCGGTTACGCCCGCATCCCTTGAGGAGAGGACCCTTGCAGAAGCCATAAGCTAGCATCCATTGTTAGTGGCGTGCTGGCTTGTCCTGTTCACTACTATTTTCTGTATCATAACTCTACTGAAGTACTCCGTACATTCTACGCTAATACCTTTGAAGATATCATGCGAAAGGATTCAATACCCGGTCTGCTTCGACCCAATGACATCCCCGCTTAGCCGAAGTTTTGCCTGTTGATGGTCATTCGTGCCCTTCAGTGTTTAATTTCCGCAACCGCATATAGCGAGATCCGAAGTATGAAGGGATCAAAATCTGATCTCGGAGGCTGTCCCCGCAATCAAGTTTTTTCCCTTCTCAGAAACTTTCCCCGGGGTTCCCGTTTCTAAGACACGATCGGGCGAGAAAGGAGAATACATATTATTAACTTTTGATCACGATCAGTGGGTCGACACCACTCATATTTTCACAACATGCGGTAGTGCCTGAATTGCGCGGTAAATCATCCCTGGTTGAGTTAGTAGGACAATCCTTGCTGCAACGATGCATCTCTGAGCCATGCGGTGGTATCCGAGTTCCAGGAGAGCTTTTCAGTAGGTAATCCGGGGATGTTGCCATGTGTGCATCAGTCGGTGTAACTTCGCTTGACCTCACGAGCCTCTGGAGCCTCGTATACATGCACTGCCGATGCAGCGGAGCAGTCAGACCGTGCTTCCGTGTAAGGTGAGGATATCCGCTGGACAATGCACCTGTTCTCGAGAACTTGCCCTATGCGGTTTTGACACCATAATCAGCGTCAGCGCCTGGCCATGGGAATTGCCTTCCAGAGTGGCGGAAGTCATTCGTGTGGTAGAAGAAACAAAATAGCAAGGAAAAATAGCGAATGACGCCATGGAAAATTCACCACTGAGCTCAGCGGCGCCTTTAAACGCCTTCGTAAACTTGAAATAGTATGCCACGTTCCAAGACTTCCAGACCGCAGAAGTTTTGACCGGGCAGCTGCAGCTTCTCGCCAGGAAGTCTACAGTGTAGTCGTGTGTAATAGAGTCTAGGGCGCTTTTCTACCCCTGCATGGTGACCTTTTGGTGTTGGTCCAAGTGGATTAGCTATTTCTCAAGGGTTAAATTAGGGCGAAAAAAAAAATAGAAAATACTTAGGAAATGGAGAAATTAGATATCCAAATTAAGAAAAAAGAGTCTGACTCGGTTCCACAGGGGCTAAATCCCACCTGATCCACCGTAGCCTCTCTCTTTCTCCCTTCTCGATCGCTTATGCAAGGAAGATAGGGGATTTGTGATTGATTTTAGCTGGTACTATGAATTCCGGCAACAGTATGCGAGCATGGTCTATGCGGTCTTGGGCCTCCCGACTTATGGCGTTACTAAATTCAATGTGTTAGCCTGGTTGTAATTAATGATTAAAAAAAAACATTTATTAAAAACCTGTAGCTCTTTAAAATAACCGAATCCATCCGATTTCGCTGGCGCTGAAGTTTGAATAACCTCTCTTGGATTCATACTGTCGTTCATCATCCATAGTCGAGGTCCATTCAATCACTTCGTCCACCGATACACGAAAGGAGACGAAAGCAGAAGATCGCTGGAAATTTTAGCCATTAGACATCATGGCTCAATCTACAAAGTGTTATCTTCCTCGATTCGCTTCGGCGATTGATGGGCCTAAACGTCCAATCTCGATGAAGACGAGGCCGACGGCCACTCAACATGCGCAGTTATTAACCGCATGGAATGAAGGTCGTCTGGACTCCATCCTGCGAGCGACATGGGCACTCGTTTTGCATTACTATATCCGCTCAGAGGATATTTGTTTCGGTTACCAGCATCTCCAGGGCGACTCGACCCCTAATTCATCTGTACAGCATTCGAACGGCGTCAACATTTCGACGATCCGCATATCTATCAACGACAACGACTCTCTCACGGCCATTGTAGATAAAACTCGCACAATTGATTCGACGCGACAGCTCAATGGAAGCTCCGAGGCCGCTTCCGATTACCTTCCTTTCAACACTATTTTGATGTTGCGTTCATATGACTCACCATCTTCGCCTTCAAAACCCTTTCTGGCAACAGCTCTCCCGGATGAGGTTAGTACAATTAGACCATGGAGTTGATCCGTACAGAGTAATTTACTCACAATGCGCAGTGCCAAGTCCGTCTTCATGTTAAGGTCATGCATGGAGACATCAGCATGTTCCTCGAATGGCGCCAGGGCGACATGTCCGGGGAACAAATGAAGAGCGTTTCCAACATTTTCGAGCAGTTGCTTGCCAAAATTCTTTCTTCGGAGAACACCGCTATTAGCCAGCTTAATTTGTTCTCGGAGAATGACTGGCAACGCATCCGCCAGTGGAACTCCACTATCCCGCAGCTTTATGATCGCTGCATCCACGACGCCATTCACGACCAAATGCTGAGCGGGCCAGAACGCGAGGCTGTTTGCGCTTGGGATGGCAATCTGACATTTGCCGAGTTGGACCAGCAAGCGTCGAAGCTTGCATATCACCTTCGCATGCAGGGCGTCGGGCCGGAAATCCGCGTGGCTTTGTGTTTCGATAAATCGGTAGGTTCTCAAAAGAATCGAGGTTGCTGGGACCAATGGTTGACTTTTTCTATAGAAATGGAATATAGTCGCAATGCTTGGCGTTATGAAAGCCGGCGGTGCTTTCTCCCCATTGGATCCTACTCATCCGACATCACGGCTGCAGGGTCTCATTGAATCAGTACAAGCCACGATAGTTTTGTGCTCCGAGAAACACGCAGAGAAGCTTCGTCCAATTGTTAAGACTTTAATACCACTCTGCGCTGAGACTCTTGATTCTTTGTCCGACCCAGCAGATAATGTTGATCTTGCATCAGGTGTCACAAGTCAAAACGCGGCTTATGTGCTGTTTACCTCCGGTTCCACTGGAGAGCCCAAGGTGAGTTTTTTGCTTTTTTTTGTTTTGCTTTTGTTTTGAATAATTTTGTGTCACTTTTGATTTGACTTTGCTGACTTGTCGCAGGGAACCCTGTTGGAGCATCGAGCGTTCCTGTCTAGCGCGACGGCGCATGGACCCCGCCTGCACATTTACCGTGACTCGCGATGCTTGCAATTCGCTGCACATACATTTGATGCCAGTCTGGCAGAGAGTTTGACACCACTCATTCATGGCGCCTGTGTGTGCATTCCTAGCGAGGAAGCTCGACTTAATGATATCGTCAGCACTATCAATGAGATGCGGGTCAATCACGCTTGCTTTACCCCGTCGTTCATCGGCTTTATTGAAATCGAAAGTGTCCCAGGACTGGAGTATCTGATTCTGGCCGGGGAGGCAATGTCGCAGTCACAACTGGCTACCTGGTCCAAAATTCAATTGATCAATGGGTACGGACCTACTGAAGCAAGTGTGGCATGCGTCCTCAACTCCTATGTGACACCAAACACCGATTGCAAAGATATCGGTCTTCCTGTCGGTGTCAGAGCTTGGCTTGTGAACCCTGATAACCACGACGAACTTGTGCCTGTGGGCTGTCCTGGAGAACTACTTTTGGAAGGCCCGTCCCTGGCCCGGTGCTACGTGAATAACCCACAAAAGACAAACGAATCGTTCATCTACGACCCTGCTTGGACTCAACTCGATCCCGATAATAGCCCCAACCGCAGATTCTACAAGACGGGCGATTTGGTCAGATATAACGCGGATTCTGGTTCCTTGAACTACGTTGGTCGGAAAGATACCCAGGTCAAGGTTCACGGTCAGCGTATTGAACTTGGCGAGATCGAGACTCAGCTCAGCAAAGATCCAGGCGTAACTCACTGCTCTGTGATCTTTCCCAAATTGGGCTTCTCGAAGGGGCGGCTGGCCGCGGTCATCTCCTCAACTGGATTACTCGCGGAGCAATCCGACTCGGACTCGGAACCCCTACGATTAATCTCAGCCTCGAAAAAGGCCGAGCTAGTCTCGGGAGTTCGTGAGCGTTTGTCGGCACGTCTTCCAACTTACATGGTTCCTGCAGTCTGGCTGTGCGTCGAAGCTCTGCCACTCTTGCCATCAGGGAAACTTGACCGCAAGGGCATCGCCACTTGGATTGCAGGCATGGAAAGTGATCCCGACCTTCTGAACACCGCCTCTATTTCCCTCGACGCGGAAGCCTCCCAGCCTGCAAACGAAAGGGAGGAAGCTTTGGCTGCTGTATATAGCCGTGTACTCAATATTCCACAGAACCACCTCAACCTCAACGAGAGTTTCCTAGCTCTCGGCGGAGATTCAATCGCAGCAATGACATGTATCGGCCTTTGCAAGAAGCGCGGGTTCGCTCTTTCTGTACAGGAGCTGCTACGCAGCAAATCAATCCGCGATCTCGCAACGCGGGCCAAGACTATTGACCACCTCACCACTTACGAAGAAGCCGTTGAGGAACCATTCAATTTGTCTCCCATTCAGGCCCTCCATTTCGGTGTTCGGAAGGAAGGCGAAGGACACTTCAACCAGGGAATTCTCACCCGCCTGAACAAGCCGATCGATGAACAAGCACTCCGCACTGCGGTCGAGACTTTGATATCCCGCCATTCCATGCTCCGCGCACGTTTCACCGACACAGGATCTGCGACTGCCTCGAGCCAACATATTACTCTTGACATCAAGGGCTCCTACCGATGGCGCTTGCACGATGTGGACAGTATGGAAGAGGTGAAGGCGCACATCGCGGACAGCCAAGCGTCTATTAACTGCTTCTCCGGACCACTCCTCGCGGTGGATTATTTCACGATGAAGGACCAGCCCCATGTCTTGTCCATGACCGCCCACCATTTGGTTGTTGACATTGTGTCATGGAGAATCATTTTGGAAGATTTGGAGGAGTTCATTCTGAACCCCGAAAAGACGGCTAGCATTGATGGGTCTTTGCCATTCCAGACCTGGTGCCGTCTACAGGAGGAGCACTGTAACACTCTTCGGGCCGAACAAAAGGTCGATACAGATACCATCCCCACTCCTGACTTCGCCTACTGGGGCCTCGAGAAGAAGCAAACCACGTACGGCGATGTGGATTGTGCCTCCTTTGAGATTGACCCAGCCCACACCAATGCTATTTTGTTGGAATGCCACAAGGCGCTCGGCACGGAACCGATCGACCTATTCCTCGCAGCAATGCTTCACTCATTTGGTCAATCTTTCCCTGACCGCGCTCTTCCAACAATTTTCAACGAAGGGCACGGACGCGAAGTCTGGGACTCATCAATCGACATCTCGCATACCGTCGGCTGGTTTACCATTGTTCACCCAATCTTCGTCTCTGCATACAAATCAGACGACCCTATCGACACCCTCATCCAGGTAAAGGATCTTCGTCGCCGGGTTTCTGATAATGGACGGGCCGATTTCACTAGCCGGGTGCTGCCCGCTGAAGGGCGACAAGGTCCTGATCACCCCCACCCCTTCGAGATGTCCTTCAACTACGTCGGACAGCATCGCGATTTGCAGCGAACAGATGGCCTTTTCCAGCTGGTCGACGCGATGGCTGGAGAGGCGGGCCAGGGAGGTGGCGCCGCTGACTTCGGACGCGACACTCCCCGATTCGGACTCTTCGAGATCTCGGCCATGGTCGTTGCCGGGAAAGTTCGCTTCAACTTCTCTTTCAACAAGTTCATGCAGCACCAGAACCGCATCCACCGATGGGTTTCCAATTGCCAGCAGCTGCTTATTTCTCTTTCCGAGCAGCTTCCTCAATTGTCGTCTCGTTTGACGCTAAGCTCGTTCCCGATGCTGTCTTTGACTTACCCAACCTTGGATAAGATGATCAACGAGAAGCTTCCTGGTATGGGAATCCATTCGCCAAATCTTGTCGAGGATATCTATCCTTGCTCTCGTATGCAGCAGGGTATTCTCCTGGGCCAGAAGCGCGATAGTGCCTACTATGCCGTGCACGATACGTTCGAGATCCGCGCGACTGGCGCAAGCGAGCCCAACCTCGATCGCCTTCTCCTTGCTTGGCAGCAAGTCGTCTCTCACCACGCTATGTTCCGAACCATCTTCGTTGAGAACCTCACTCCTCGTGACCCCTTCTGTCAAGTCGTGCTGAAGAAATACGAAATTGAGCCTGTCTTTTTGCAGTCGTCTGGTGACAGCGATGTTCTCGCCACATTTGACAAGCAAGATCCCAAGAGCTACGGCGACTCCACACCCGCTTACCGCTTCAGCGTCTGTCAAACCTCTACCGGTAGATTGTTTGGCCGCATAGAGCTGAGCCATGCTGCCATGGATGGCAACTCCATCTCCATCATTCTTCGTGATCTCCAACTCGCTTACGCCGGAAGGCTTGAGGAGAGCCCTCAGCCTCTGTTCAAGGATTACATACAGTACCTGCAGGATGCACCGAAGCACGCCAGTATCAACTATTGGTGCTCTTACCTGGAAGGTGCTAAGCCTTGGAACTTCCCCGTACTCACTGATGGACAGCAATGCAACAAAAGCCTCCGCTCCATTCCAGTGCAGTTTACCGCTCTGAAAGCCCTCCAGACTGTTTGCGAGAAGCGCGGAATCACCCTGGCCAATGTTTTCAACGCCGCTTGGGGTCTCACACTCCGCGCTTTCTGTGGATCTGACGATGTTTCATTCAGCTATATGGCATCTCTACGCGACGTGCCTGCCGATGGGGTGCAGTGGGTTGTTGGTCCGGTCATAAACCTTCTGGTTTGCCGAATGAAGGTTTCCGGCGACTCCAAGCTCAGTGATGTTCTCCACCAAATTCAGAATGATTACATGGAGAGTCTCCCCTATCGCCACACCTCCCTCATTGACATCCAGCATGCCTTGAAGTTGGCCGACACCAACCTGTTCAACTCTGGTGTTTCATACCGCCGACTACCGAGCGCCAAGGATGCTGTCAGCAGCGATATTGAGTGCATTGAAGTTGGCTCAATCCACGATCCAGCTGAGTTCCCAGTTTTCATTAACATCGAGGCCATGGAGAACAAGGCCCGTATTGATTTGAATTACTGGACCACCAACCTTTCTGATGCCCAGGCTGTCAATGTTGCCAACACATACCTTCGTTGCCTTGAGAACATTGTATCAAACATCGACGGCGAGCTCCGCAACTTGAATACCCTCAGCGAGGACAACAAGGCGCAGATTATGACTTGGAACAGTAAGACTCCCAAAGCATTTGAAAGGTGCGCCCACCAGGTTGTTCAAGAGATGGCAAAGAAGCGCCCTGAGTCTCTGGCTGTCACTGCTTGGGATGGGAATCTCACTTACGCCAAGCTGGATCAATACTCCTCCCGCCTTGCCAGTTACTTGGTTACCTTCGGTGTGGGCCCTGGTACTCTAATTCCGATCTGCTTCGAGAAGTCGATCTGGAACATCGTGTCAACCTTGGCTATCATGAAGGCTGGTGGTGGCTGTATCCCCGTTGACACACCTCAAAGCATGGCCCTTGTCGAGAAGTGGATTGTCGATAATGTTGTCCAGGTTGCATTGGCTTCTCCTGACAAGGCTCAGATTCTGGAGGACACTGTTCCATACGTCATTCCTGTCAGCGAGTCTCTTCTCGAGTACTTGGCTGATGAGGTCGTGAAGCCTGTAGCACGCCCCTCTGACATCGCCTATGTCGCCATGACTGCTGGAACATCTGGCCCTGCGAAGACTGTTGTCCTCACTCACACGACCGTCATGACTCGCGCTGAAGCGTTTGCAACCACCATGGCGATCGCGGATGTCTCTAGGACACTGCAGTTTGCTGCTCACACTTCCGACTCTTTCCTCCTCGAGACCTTCGGTACCTTTATGTGGGGCGGATGCGTGTGCATTCCTGCGGATATCGACCCGATCCACTTGGCTGCCTCCATCAACGTTCTTCATGCCAATGTGGCGAGCATCACGCCCACTGCTGCCAGCTTCTTTTCGCCCAAGCACGTCCCTGGCTTGCGCTCCCTCGCTCTCGGGGGAGAGATCGTGTCTCAAAGTGTCCTTGACAATTGGCAGACAGATGATCTGCAACTGAAGGTCCTGTATGGCACGAGTGAAAGCTCGTCCGCCTGTTTCCACGTCTTCTGCTCTGAAGGACAGAACGAGGCAACACTAATTGGAAAGAGCTTGTCGTCTGCATCTTGGGTTGTTGACCCTACTAATCACGACTGTCTTGTTCCAATTGGTAGTGTCGGAGAACTAGCCCTCGAAGGCCCCATCCTCGCTAGCGGCTACCTCTACAATAAGGTCGCAGAGAGCCTTGATTTCTTCGAAAACCCTCCTTGGTCCTCCAACCAGCGCGAAGATATCAGTCATCGCCTCTTCAAAACAGGGGATCTGGTTCGCTACAATTCAGATGGCTCGCTCATGTTCGTCGGACGCAAGAATGACGACAACGGATCCGCCTTTTCTTATGACTTGATTCAGACGCAGGAGCGCGTTGATTCATTCATCGGTCACAAGAGGAAGTGCGTGGTCGAGCGAATCCAGCTTGAACGTGATGAGCACACGATCGAAGCCGTAGTGGCGTTTTTGGTATCTTCAGACACCACCACTGCAACATTTGGTGAGCGAACCGTTCAATCCCCCGTGCCTGAGTTAAAGGCCACTGTTGCGGCCTTGCACAACCACTTGAGTACCAGTCTTCCTGGTAACAAGGTCCCGAGTATTTATGTCCCTATCTCCTCCCTTCCCCTCACTATCTCTGGAAAGCTAAACCGCCAGGGCCTGAAGACCGAAATGCAGGAGCTGTCAAATACTGCTCTTGAAGCACTCGACATAAAGCGTTGGAACGGATCCAGGGCAGGCAATCGTTTCTCACGCCACGCCAGTCTCTCGGAGGCCAGTATTGCTTTCTGGAAGGAGTATCTCGCTAATGTTGAGCCCTGCTGTTTCCCTGCCCTCTCACAGGAGGCAGGCGAGAGCACTCGCCAAATCCGCACGCTTAACAAACAAACCGCCAAGATCCATGCATTCAGCAGGATCGCTGGAATTCCTCTTGAGAATCTCTTCCAGTTTGCGTGGGCTCTTGTCCTAAGGTGGTACACTGGATCAGATGATGTCTGCTTCGGATATTCCGCCTCGGCCTCAGAGGAGAACAAAATGGATGCGCCAGAAGTTGCAGCTTGTCGATTCCTCGTCCTGAACGAGAACAAGCTGAAGGACACCCTCCAAAAGGCAAAGAAAGACTCAGAGATCAGCGAACTGAACGTTGCAGCGTTGGATGCCGTCAAGCACCAGCTTGGCCTCGACGATATCACTCTCTTCAACACCTCCCTTACCTACCGGACTGCTTCCTTGCTTCCCAAGGGCAGTACCCGTGAAACAAGCACCTCCAGCGTCTATGACATTTTGGTCGAAACAGTGGTCTCGCATACCTACGCTGAGATCTACTTCCATTACTCCTCAGAAATCCTCTCGGCCGCCCAAGCCAACCATGTCATCGACCTGTTTGACCATATTTTGGACGACGTCATCTCCCAAAATCTCAACGATCGTACAGTCGGAGACGTCGATCTTCTCTCTGAGCGCTCCGTTCGTCAAATCCGCGATTGGAACGCCGCAACCCCTCCCAGGGTGGAAAAGTGCGCCGACGAGCTTATCCAGCAGCAAGCTCTTCTCCATCCTCGGGCAGAGGCTATCTGCTCATGGGACAAGAACTTCACATACGGACAACTCGAGATCGTTTCCAGCCGCCTTGCGCGATACCTTTCTGGCCTCGGCGTCAAGCCTGAAGTCTTCGTCGTCTTGTGCTTTGAAAAGTCCGCGTGGGCTATCGTCGCTCAGCTCGCAGTCCTCAAGGCCGGCGGTGCGTTTGTCTCAATTGATCCCTCTCACCCTGACTCCCGACTGAAGATGCTCATCGACGAGATTGGCACTGGTCTTGCCTTGTGCTCATCTTCGCTCCACGCGAAGGTCTCGAAGCTGTGCGAGAAGTCTTTCTCCGTGTGCCAAACGTCCGTCTCCCAACTGCCGGACTCGCCTTTGGCTTTGCCTGGAGTTCGTCCTAGTCCTGACAATGCCGCGTACGCCATCTTTACTTCTGGTACTACAGGAAAGCCGAAGGCCACGGTTGTCGGGCACACTGCTCTTAGCACCACCGCACTCGCCATGACCGAGGTTCTGCACATGGATGCTGGCACCCGTGCTTTGCAATTCTCCAACTACACTTTCGACGTCAGTGTCATGGAGATCATGATGGTTCTCGTGAATGGTGGTTGCGTTTGTGTTCCCAGCGAGGAAGAGCGAATGAACAACCTGGGTGGTGCGCTTCGTCGCATGGAAGCCAACTATCTCTCCGCTCCTCCGGCGATTGTTAACACGCTTGAACCCAAGGACATCCCCAATGTCAAGAGCATTATTACTGGCGGTGAGAAGATGCCTGCCAACCACATCGACCGTTGGCATGATCGATTCGTTGTCAATGCCTACGGCCCGTCCGAGGCTGCTGTAGTCGCCACCCTCGGTATCAAGGTTGATTGGGAAGGAACTCGAGTCAACAATGATCCCACGTCGATTGGAACATCTCCAAACTGCAGACTCTGGATCGTCGATCCCAGCAATGCCAACCGTCTCCTCCCAGTTGGTGCAGTTGGTGAACTGATCTTAGAAGGAAGCAACGTCGCCCGCGGATACCTTGCCAACGAGGAAAAAACCAAAGCGGCATTCTTCGAAAATCCTACTTGGAACTGTAATCCTGGTTTGCAGGGCGTCTTCACCCGCAAGGACCGGATGTACCGCACTGGCGATCTTGTGCGTTACAACAGCGATGGAAGTTTGGCGTTTATCTCCCGCAAGGACACCCAGATCAAGTTAAATGGCCAGAGAATTGAACTTGAAGAGATCGAGCACCAGTGCTCCCGTTGTCTCCCCGCGGACTCGCAGGTCGCCGTCGATGTTGTCGTTCCTGAAGAGCGCACGATCGCCAAGGGTCTCGCCGCATTCTTCACCGTGCACGACCCAGATTCCAACGGTGGTAGTAGCGATCATTTCGCTCCCACGATCCCAGGAGCAGACCCACTTTTGCTGCCCATTTCGGTATCTAACTTGGATGCCATCCAGAAGTTGAAGGCGTCTTTGCCTGAGCTGCTGCCTCAAACCATGATGCCCCGTCTCTTCTTCCCCATTCGAAACCTTCCTTTCACCTCCTCTGGAAAGATTGATCGCCGGCGACTAAAGGCTATGGTTCAAAGCTTGTCCAAGGAAACCCTCAAATCTTACATCACATTTGATACGACTACTGATAAGAGGGAACAATCCTCGGCAAACGGCCTCGAGACTCAGCTTGTTGCCCTTGTGGAAAAGACCCTGGAGCTGGAGGCAGGCTCTGTCACAGCAGATGACAGCTTCTTCGGCCTTGGTGGTGACTCTCTTTCCGCCATGAACCTGGTCAGTGCAGCTCAAGCGGAAGGCATTGCTCTTACCGTGTCGAGCATTTTCAACTCCCCTCTCTTGATTGATATGGCCAAGAGCTGTATTTCCTCTAGTGGGGCCGCCGAAGTTAAGCAAACCAATATCAAAGCTTTCTCGCTGATCACCTCCGGAGTTGACTTGGATGGCTTGCTTGATGAGATTACCGACAACTGCGAGGTCTCCAAAGATGTCATCGCAGATGTTTACCCGTGCAGCGCCGTCCAAGAAGGCCTTCTTACGCTTTCCATCAAACATAACGGGGCTTACGTCGCGCAGCCATCCTTCCGTCTTGCCGATGGAATTGATGTGACTCGTTTCAAGCAGGCTTGGCAACAAACTGTTACTGATCTTGAGATTCTTCGAACTCGCATTGTCCACACTGATGCCATGAACTTTGCCCAGGTTGTGCTCAAGGACGCTCCCATCTCGTGGGGACAGGCGGAGTCATTCGATGAGCTGCCAAATGATTTCCTTCATTTGCCCAAGCAAAATGGCGCACCATTGACTGGCTACGCTATGGTTCAGCCTCGTGGATCGTCGTCGAACTACTTCGTCTGGTCTGTTCATCACGCACTTTACGATGGATGGAGCATTCCTTTGGTTTTCCGCAAGGTTGAAGAAAACTACTTTGCCTCTAAGGCCAAGAGCGCCGGAACTCCTTACAGTATTTTCATCGAATATTTGGTTAAGAAGGACATGGATGAATCCGATGCCTTCTGGAAATCTTATCTTGCAGACTTTTCCAGCCCTGCTTTCCCCGTCAACAAAAATGCTCTTCCCGATGCCATGCGGGCTGGAAACACTCAGCATCATACCTTGAAAATATCCCGAAGCTCGAACAGTATTGATTACACTATTCCGGTTCTTATGCGCGCTGCCTGGGCAATTGTGATTGGGACTCACACGTCTTCTGGCGATGTGTGCTTTGGCGAGACTCTTTCAGGCAGAAACATCGATCTTCCCGGTGTTGCTGAAATCGCGGGTCCCGTTCTGACTACCATCCCCACTCGTGTCCAGGTAGCCAATCAGATGTCGACCTTGGAATACTTGCAGAAAATCCACCAGTCGACTACCGAGATGATCCCGCACTTGCACCATGGGCTCCAGCGAATTCGTCAACTGAACAGGGATACCTCTTCCGGTTGTGAATTCCAGAACTTACTTGTTATTCAGCCGGGAGATGGTGAACTGAACAACAAACTTTGGATTGATGAGAAGCGCCAGGCAGCTAGCGAGGACTTCTTCACTCACCCACTTGTTGTTGAATGTGGCATCACGAAGACCAGCATCTCCTTCACTGTCCACCACGATGAGCTTGTCATCAATGGATGGCAAACGAAGCGCGTCATCGAACAATTTGCACACGTCCTTGATCAATTGATTTCCCTCCCAAAGAACAGCACCAGCAAGGTAGGGGATTTGGACTTGGTAAGCCCCGGGGACAAAGCTGAGATTGCTACTTGGAACCAGCGCACTCCACTTGTGGTTGAACGCTGTGTCCAGGACTTCATCCGGGAAAAGTGCGATGAGACCCCTAATGCCCAGGCTGTGTGTGCCTGGGATGGTGACCTGACTTACAGAGAGTTCTGGAATCTTGCGTCTGGATTTGCCAATTACCTGGTTTCTCGCGGAGTCGGCCCTGAGGTCTTTGTTCCAGTCTGCCTGGACAAGTCAGCTTGGGCCATGGTGACTCTCATTAGTATCCTCATCGCTGGTGGTGGTTACGTGCCACTCGATCCATCTCACCCTACATCGCGACACGAGGAGATTCTTGCGGATGTTGGTGCTAACATGATTCTTTGCACACCCAACTACACAAGTCGCTACAACCGAGCTGTGAAGACAGTCATCCCCATCAGCAAAGAGACCCTCAAAGCGTACGGTTCTCTCAAGGCAACCTCTCGCGGCCGCACTCAGGTGAAACCTTCCAACATGGCGTACGCTCTCTTCACCTCAGGTAGTACGGGTCGCGCCAAGGGAATTATTGTTGAGCACCGCAACGTGGTCAGCAGTATCATGGCTTTCGCACCATGGGTTCGCATGGATGAAACCTCAAGAGTTTTCCAGTTCGCATCTCTAACATTCGATGCCGCTGTGATGGAAACCCTCGCAATCCTCATGCTCGGAGGTACCATCTGTGTTCCCAGCGAGGACGATCGTCTGAACGATGTTTCTGGTGCCATTCGCCGCCTGAATGTCACATGGACCTTCCTCACTCCCTCCATTGCCAGTATCATTGAGCCATCCTCTGTTCCCTCTCTCAAGCACCTTGTTTGTGGCGGAGAGAAGATGTCCAAGGAAGTTATCACTAAATGGGCCAACTCAGTCCACTTGATGAACGGATACGGGCCAACTGAAACCTGCGTCTTTGCTGTCGTTGACAACGCTGTTGCCACTAACCGGGATCCTGCCCGAATTGGCTATGGTATTCCCAGCACACTGACCTGGATTGTTGATCCCGACAACCATGATCGGCTGACACCTCTCGGTGCAGTCGGTGAACTGGCTCTCGAAGGCGCTCCTCTGGCCCGAGAGTATCTCAAGAACCCTGAGAAGAACGCAGAGGCGTTTACTTCTGATCCCGCTTGGATCAAGGACTTCAAGTCTGCCGTCCCTGGACCTCGCAGAATCTACAAGACAGGTGATCTTTGCTACTATAACCCTGATGGCTCTATTGAGTACATCAGCAGGAAGGATCACCAAGTCAAGCTGCACGGCCAGCGCATGGAACTTGGGGAGATTGAACACCGCTTGATGGAGAATGATCTTACCCGCCATGCCGTTGTCATTCTTCCCAAGAACGGCCCACTCAAGCAACGTCTTGTTACTGTTATGTCCTTGAACAGCATTGCCGCCGATAACAAGTTAATATCCGATAAGCCGTGCGAGCTTGTTGATGAAGATGAGTTGGAACGTCACGCATACAACGAGATGGTTGATGTTCAAAACAGCCTTGAGGGTCAACTTCCTATCTACATGGTACCACAAACCTGGGCCCTAATCAAGAAGCTTCCTATGCTTGTTTCTGGCAAACTTGATCGCAAGAAGATCACTGCTTGGCTTGAGGACATTGATGATGACTCCTATGATCGTATCATGGCTGATTACGATCGCATCAAGCGTGGTAAGACGGAGGAGAAGCCGCAAGAGAAGGAAGAGAAGGACGGCTCTCTCAAGATCGTTCGTGAGATCTTTGCTCAGGTGTTGAACATCTCTTTGCAGAAAGTCAATGTCGATCGTTCCTTCGTCAGCCTGGGTAAGTCACGTCTAGGAAATTCAGGGTACACCCATGCTAATCATTCACAACAGGTGGTGACAGCATCACTGGCATGGCTGTCATTTCCCGGGCCCGCAAGCAGGGTCTTGTTGTGACCTTGCATGACATTTTGCAAAGCCGATCAGTCAAGGAGCTCGCCCAGACGGCTAGCGCTAAGGCGCCTGTTGCTCAACGTGAAGAGAAGTCCGGCGACGGATTTGCTCTATCTCCAGTTCAGAAGCTCTACTTCAGCAGCTCACATTCTTACAAGGGTGAGGCTCGCTTTAACCAGAGTATGACCGTTCGTATCTCTCGCCGTTGTGAGGGCGAGGTGCTCCGACGAGCTCTGAAGGCTGTTATCAGCCAGCATGCCATGTTCCGCGCACGCTTCAGCACTGGCAATGGTGGCGTTTGGCAACAAAAAACTGTTGCGGTATGTGACATTTCCATGAATCAAGCAATGCTTGCTGACTTAGTCTTCTTAAAGGAGGTCGATGAATCATTCCGATTCCGAGTCCACTCCGTCAGTGACACTCGTGCTATGGTTCCCAAGATTTCCGAAAGCCAAAACTGTTTGGACCCTATAAGTGGGCCGATTCTGGCTGCTGATCTCTTCAACCTCCGCACCGGTGGACAAGTTCTATTCTTGGTCGCGCACCATCTCTGCATTGACATGGTTTCATGGCGTATTGTGCTCCAGGATCTCGAAGAGCTGGTTGTTTCTGGTTCTCTATCTCTGGAGAAGGCTTTGTCCTTCCAAAGCTGGTGTGCACTACAGGCCGAGCGGTCTAAAACCCATGATGCAAGTGCCGCTTTGCCTTTCACTCCTATGCAGCCCAACCTCGAGTACTGGGGTATGCAAAACTCTCCCAATGTCTATGGAGATATCAAGATGGAATCATTTACGTTGAGCGAAGATACAACCGATTTTATCTTGGATGGCTGCCACAGTGTCTTCCGCACTGACACTGTTGATATCTTGCTCTCTGCTATCATTCATTCCTTCGGTCGCACTTTCACTGATCGCAAGGTTCCCACTGTTTATAACGAGGGACACGGCAGAGAGCCATGGGATGCCAATATTGACCTCTCACGAACGATCGGTTGGTTCACCACCATGGCGCCTATGCAGATCGAGTCCGAAGCCCGTAAGTCTCAATCGCCCTGTTCTAACGAAACCCAGCTGACAGACATAGATGCTCTGAACGACATCATCAAGCGCGTCAAGGATACTCGTCGCAAAATCACTGACAATGGACGGCCCTACTTTGCCAAGAGCCTTCTGCAAGATCAAGCTGCCGGGTTCCCTGTCCCGTTGGAGGTTCTGTTTAACTACCTGGGCAAAATGCAGCAACTCGAGCGAGCCGATTCCCTTTTCCACCACCATGGAAGCGTCTTCGACAGTTCGGACTTTGCTGTTGCCGGTGACATGGGTCCCCAAACGGCTCGCTTTGCCCTCTTTGAGGTCTCTGCTATCGTTATCAAGGAGCGGCTCAATGTTGCGTTCACTTACAACCGCAATATGCAACATGAGAGCTCAATTCGCCGCTGGATCCTCCAGTGCAAGCAGACTCTGGAGAAGGACCTCTTGAACCTGAAGACTGCTACCCCTGAGCCAACTCTCAGTGACTACCCCCTGCTCCCGATCAACTATCATGGTCTTCAGATGCTCACCAACGGCACCTTCCGTAAGGCCGGTATCCGCCACATCGACCAGGTGGAGGACATCTATCCCTGCTCCCCTATGCAGGAAGGTCTCTTGCTCAGCCAACTGCGTGATCCTAGCGCGTACATGTTCCACACCGTGTTTGAAATCAAAGATGCCAAGTCTGGCAAGGTCGATGCTGAGCGACTTGCTCGCGCTTGGGAAACCCTTGTTGACCGCCACCCAGTGCTCAGAACCATCTTTGTTGACAGCAACTACACTGGAGGTTCCTTTGATCAACTCGTTCTCAAAAAGCTCACTGAGAACATCCTCCGTGTTGAGTGCCATGACTCTCAACTTGAAGAGAAATTGGCTGCTATTTCTCTTCGTGACATGAATACTATGCGTCAGGCCAAGCTTTCCCACCAACTGACCGTATGCAAGACAAACACCGGACGTGTCATTCTGAAGCTCGAGATTAACCACGCTATCATTGATGGTGGCTCGGTTGATGTTGTCCTCCGGGACTTGACCCTCGCCTACGAGCGAAAGCTTCCCGAGGGCCCAGGACCGCGCTTCAGTGACTACATCAAGTTCATCAGAACTCAAAGCCAAGGCGATGCTCTCAGCCACTGGAAACAATACTTGGGTGATGTTCAACCATGCCATCTCGCCCCCTCGGCTGAATACGACTCCAAGCGCGAGCTTAAGGGTGTTATGATGAACTTCCAGCGATTCCCCGAGCTGCTCAAGTTCTGCGAGCAGAACTCTGTGACTCTTGCCAATCTGACCCTGTCCGCTTGGGCTATCGTCCTCCGCCAATTCACTGACTCGGACGATGTCTGTTTCGGATATCTGTCAGCTGGGCGCGATGCACCGGTCAATGGAATCCAAGATATGGTCGGCATCTTTATTAACATGCTTTGCTGTCGAGTTCAATTTTCTGCCCAGCAGACTCTAGCCAACGTTTCGAAGAATGTTCAGGAGGATTACATTCGATGCATCCCACACCAGAGCTGCTCCTTGGCAAGTATTCAGCATGAGCTTGGTTGGCAAGGACAGGCTCTGTTCAACACCACCTTGTCGATTCAGAACCATTCTGTTGCGGGTGGCTCCAAGGAGAAGGGATTGTCTTTCGATCTCCAACACGCGCATGACCCCAGCGAGGTAAGACCCAGTGCCCACTATATTTTGATTCATTTGCTAATACATTCTAGTATGCGGTTACTGTAAATGTTGAGATTGCTCGCGGCCAAGAGGGTGTTCTTTTGAGATACTGGAACGATGTTGTATCTGATGACCAGGCCCAGGCGCTGGCGGATATGGTGGGCAGAGTTTTTACGGGTTTCATTGAATCCCCAACTGCGACTTTGTCGCAGTCCAAGTTCAATGCCCCTATCGCAGCGTCTTCAATGGATTGGGCCCAATCCCAATCTACGCTTGCCGACAAGGCCAAGTCTACTAAGTCTGTGAAGTCTACCGGAGAAGGAATGGATAGCAATGCTATTCAAAAGATTATCGATGATCGTGTTCATGAAATTATTGGTCAGATGTTGAGAGAAGGAAAGTTGACGGTACCTCCCATTCAAACCGATGGGTTGTCCGCTTATGGCAGTCAGACCGATGCCACAGTGGACTCACCGTACCAGTTAGGAAATCAAGGAGCGGATGATTCGGGTGTTTGCTCGGAGACTTCCCGTTCCAGTGAGGATGGGATGTCGGCCGATGTGGAAAGGAAATTATGGAACCTTTGGAGTACTGCTCTTGGTCTGTCGCCCAACGTGGTGAGACACCAGGACAGCTTCTTCAAACTCGGTGGTGACAGTATCACCGCTATGAAGATGGTCAGTGCCGCTCGTGAAGAGGGTCTGGTCCTTACTGTTGCTGATGTGTTCAACAACCCTGTCTTCGAGGACATGTTGAGTACAGTACGGGCAGCCAATGTCACCCAGCAGTTGCTGGATGTCGACCTCCAAACTTCCCACAAGGATGTTGAGGTTGACTTCCCCAACAGCACAACTACTTTGGCTCCCAACCCCTCGTCTGAGAGTATCGAGATGCTCAAGCCGTCTTGCGTCGATGATGCTGCCGTCGCGAGTGGAATTTGCCCCAAGATTGGTGTCTTCAAGGGTGGCATCGCCGATGTTCTCCCTGTCACTGACTTCCAGGCCATGTCGCTGACAGCAACTCTCTTCAAGTCCCGATGGATGCTCAACTACTTCTATCTTGAGGGCAATGGTCCCCTAGACCTTCGACGTCTCCGTGAGAGTTGCCTGAAGGTTGTCGACGCATTCGACATTTTGCGGACTGTCTTCGTCTGCTTCCAGGATCAATTCTTCCAGGTCGTGTTGCGCAAGATCCGCCCTAGTATCTTTGTCTACGAGACCGACCGTGCTCTCGATGAGTTCACTATGACACTCCAACAGCGAGACCGCGAATACGGGCCTCGCGAAGGCGAACAGTATGTGCAATTCTACGTTGTCAAGAAGAAGGGCAGCGACCAGCACCGTATTTTGATTCGCCTTTCTCACACTCAATATGATGGAGTCTGTCTGTCTAAGATTATGGATGCTCTTAAGCACGGTTATGAGGGGAGCCCATTGCCTCCAGTGATCCCCTTCGCCAGCTACCTTCGTCAATTGCCGGGTACAATCACCCCAGATCACTACCGCCACTGGTCTGATCTGCTCAAGGGCTCTCGGATGACTCAGGTTGTGCGCAGGAAGGGCACTAGTATGTTCCAGAACGTCGGAGCATTCACGGAGATTCATAGGAAGATTGAGATCTCGCCCACAGCCCTTGGCAACGTTACTATCGCTACCGTCATGCAAGCTGCATGGGCCTTGACTCTCGCTAAGCTGTCTGCTCAATCCGATGTCATCTTTGGACTGACTATCAGCGGTCGCAACGCCACAGTTCCCGGCATCGAAAACACCGTTGGCCCTTGTGTCAACGTCATCCCCGTCCGCGTTAAGCTCAACGAAAATTGGACTGGGGTGGACCTCTTCCGCTACCTCCAGGACCAACAGGTCTCCAACATGCCCTTCGAGTCCCTGGGCTTCCGCGAGATTATCAAACAATGTACTGATTGGCCTGCTTGGACCTACTTCACTACCTCAGTCTTCCACCAGAATGTCGACTATCAGGGCACCCTGGAGCTTGACAACACCACATACCGCATGGGAGGTGTTGGCGTGAACGACAATCTGGCCGATCTTACCATGGTCTCGCGCCCCAATGGCGACCGTGGCCTCGATGTCACCCTGGGCTACTCCGAGAAGGGCCCGGTGATGCCATCATTCGCACACAAAGTCCTCGACATGGCTTGCGAGATTGCGCAGTCTCTAGTCGCTAACCCTAGCACCTCGCTGCCCTCCGCGAGCATGCTGCGCTCTCTGCCATCCCAGATAATTGAGGACCTGCCCCGCCCGTCTGACGAGCACTTCCTCAGCGCACACCTTAAGTCCCGCTCTATCGCGGAGCTTCTTGTGCACTCTGACATTCTGTCTCGCACATGGCACCAGGTTCTACCCAGCCGCACTACGCCACCCCTTGGCTCAGATGAGAACGACACACCAACCCATCAATCCACCTTCCAATTGGACTCTTCATTCTTTGATCTTGGAGGTGATGTTTTCAATCTGGCCCAACTTACTTGGCTTCTCGAGCAAGAGGGCCTGAAGGTCCGTCTCGAGGATCTTATCGAGCATCCCTCCTTCCTGGGCCAGATGGCCGTACTGGCATTGCACAATGCTAAGCACATGGAAGATGTCCCCACCGAGCTTCTCGCGACGGGTGCTGCATCACCGGATCCAGTTCCCCGCGTCGAGAAGAAAAACACATGGGAGAAGGCGAGAACACTTGCACGCAAGTTAACTCGGCGAAACAACAACTTGGTTTCTCACCGATCTTGATATCCAAAGTTCGACTTGATTCCGCAGAAAAAAAAACAAAGAAAAAGAAAAAAACAAAAAAGGTGTTCTATTTTGGAATGGAAACTGGAGAAACGTGTCTATCGTTAATTTTTGCTATGTCTTCATGCTCATCTTCATGCTCATCTGCATGCTCATCTTCATGTACTTTTCATCTTCTCGTTCGGGTCCTTTTGGATTATATTTGGCTTTTGAGTCTGTCGATTGTTTTTACTCACTACATTTCTCTCTTTACACTTTTCCTACTCTGTCTTTTTGTCATCTCTGCTTCTTTGTTTACTTTAATACACGGAAACTTGTCTATCATATCTTCTCCAACTAGAATAAAGTCGGTAGATAAAAGTTGTAGAATTTAGTAGAACAGTGTATTGAAATTATCAGTCTAGGAAAATAATATCATCCCTCTGAGCGGTGCGATACTCTTTGTCGAATCGTGATCAGGGTGCGCCTACGCCAACCCACCATGGGAATCGCTCTGGGAAAAAACAGCATTATATACAAAAAGGGAAATCTCTCTACTGATGTAGTTCTTTTAGACGGATTGTAAACACTGTTCAAAGGAGATAACCAACTAGAACACTCAAGGGTATCATCAAGAAAGGGCACACAACAAGCCGTGTTCACAGCTAGGGATAATGTACATAACCAAGAAACGCTTTGATAAAACACCCTCAAACCGACTCTTTCGACCACGTCCCGCGTGCTCGAATCTTCTTTCCATACCTGTAAAACAAGTAAGGAATCGGGATGAGCGCTACAGAAATGAATCCCAAGATACTAGCCGCCCAGGGAACTCCCAGATTATGAAACATGGCAGTTGTGAAGAGCGGGAAGCAGCCGGCAAAAATCGACCGGAGGAATGTATTTGCCGCAATCGCACTAGCAGAGTATCTTTGGAACGTATCGATGAGATAGTTCAGCGCGGCCTGGAAAATTGTGAAGAATCCGAATCCCATCATCACAGCACCGATATTTGGCGCGATCCAATGAATGTTTTTGGGGCTTGTCCAGCCAAAGACGAACATTCCCCCGGCGAACAGCACAGAGCCGATCATCATAGGCGGGAGACGGGCTTCCGGAACGGGGCGGTTGTTGTTTGCTTTGAAGCGCTTGATGTAGAAGCTTTGGTTGGCGAGGTTGATGCACGCGCCTAGTAGGATACCGACTAGGTATGCTAGGAAGGGGAGGGCGCCAACGACTTGGTTCCAACCTCGGACTTCTTGGAAGACGATTGGGAAGGCGGCGAGACTGAGGTAGAGAATGCCGTAGACGAAGGAGGCGTAGAGTGCTACCAGGAAACAGATTGGTGTTGTGAGAAGCTGGAATGGTCGGACTAGGTACTTGTTTCCGATTTCTTTGAGGGTGACGTCCCATTCCTCGTGTCGGGCATGCAGTGCCCAGTTGCCGCTCTCGAATCGGAGTCGTTGCGCTTTGTAGACTAGTAGAACTGGGGGATAGCTCTCGTCTACGAAGAGGAGATCCATGATTAAGAAGAACATCATCATAATACCAGTGATCTGGGGGATGTCATTAGTAAGTTAATTGCAAGGACGAAAAAAGGGACTCACGTATTCGGTCCACCGCCAGCCTAGATTACTTTGACAGATTGCACCACCGGCAATAGGGCCCAGAACAGGTCCGCCTACCACAGCCATAGCATAGCCGACAATAGCAGCTCCCCGCTGCTCGGGAGTCCAGATATCACTCAGGACTCCACCAGTGTTTGTGACTGGTGCCGAGCCAAAGAATCCCGTGAAGAACCGGGTGATCATGACAGTCTGTAGGTCCTTCGCAGTGGCAGTTGCGAAGGAGAAAATGGCAGCCAGGAAATACGGTGGGAGTACGGCAGTCTTGCGTCCATAAAGCTCCGACAAAGGAGCCCAGATCAATGGACCCAATCCCAGCCCGAATAGTAGTAATGAGGTGCCGAGCGTAGCGACCTCGGTTGAAACGCCGAACTCCTCGCTAATCTGTGTCTGGCCGGTTGAATATCTATTCCAGTTAGTATATTGGTGCGTGGAGAAAAGATTCAAATCACATACACCGAACTCGCCCACGTCGACCCTAATTTGATGATTAGCATCCATCACATTATACCATCACATCGAATATCAATTGAACATACCCATAGTGGTCAGCCCATACAAAACAGTCGTAATAGCCTTCTTCCTAAAACTCCAATTAAGAGGTCTATACGGATCATCCGGCCCTTCAAAATCAACAATAACATCGGGGCTCGTCTTCGTATGCGTAAGCGGATGACTAAATTTGGCCGTTTGTCCCGGGTCTCGACTCCGAATGCGCGATACTACTGATTGCGCGCGCTGCTCGAACACCGATAGCCCCGATGCGGCGGTACTTTGCTTTTCTAGCGCGGCGTGGGCACCGCTAACGCTGCGGTGAGCTGCGATGTCATTGCTTGATGCGCTGTCGTAGTCGTGCTCTGTTTCGGCCATTGCGCCTTGTCTGTGGCGAGATGGGTATCACTGGGAGCTAGCTGGGAAGAACATGAAAATATGTGCTGAGTGTCGAGGTGGATAAAGATATTGCCCTCGGAGATAAAGGCGGAAATTGTACGAATGAGGAATTGGTTTGCGGGGATATTATTGCAATAGTAATTAATAACTGTAAGGCTAGAATAGAAGTTCGAGATTCCATTTTCTTTATATTCTTGTTTCGTTCAAGCTTTCTGTCGGACGTCCGATGGAAAACTCGAAGCCGTGCTATCCGAGAGCGGCTATGGTGGGGGCGAATCACTGTGATATATGCCGACGATTGATTATATACTATACATGTGGACTCTCTAGGTATGTATGTATCAAGGTCTAGACTAGTACTATTCCTAGGTACAAGGATCGGGAGATATTTCGGTGATGTTATTGATGCACCGAGGCTGTTCATTTCGGTCCTGACGTTCATGTGCCGAAAGTGGGACTATATTCGGGTCACCAATTAGAGTAGACATTGTATGACTATAGTACGATCTAAGTCGAAAAGTCCAAAAGGAATGCTGAACTTCATTAGATATCATAACTAAATCTCTATATGCATATCATACTACAGGTCAAATATGAACAGAAACCCAATGCCGACCTCTACTATGCCATTGGATGCATACTCTCCCATTTATTGACGGCCTCCAAACCTGCAGTGACCTTAAACCCCTTCCGAGTTTCCAACTCATACTTCTCCCACTCAGCAGCCGTTGTAAGGTATTTCTTACACTCACTGACCAGCTTCCTCTCAACCTCCGTGCTATCTCCAGACCCAGAATCAACTTTATCAGACACATCCCCATGTAAAGCCTTATACGTAGGCCTCTCCATCCATAAGTTAGCAGCCATCTCAAAGTTCGCAACAGGAAGCACCCAGTCATCCTTGAGATGACCCTTAAAAGTCGCCTTATTAAGATTCAGCACGCGAGTAAGCAGGATCGTCTTCGCCTCGTCGAATCGGTAAAGAGCGCGCAGAATGGCAACGCGCAACACATCCAGAACGGCTTTGTCTTCCCGGCTTTCGCGAGGCCAGGTCTTATTGGCATCGCTTTCGCACCATGCCAACTTGGCCAGGGACTCTTCCAGTTGCACCTCGGTCATGCGGCTATGTCCGTTCCAGAAGAAAATCATTTCCTCGATTGGATCGACTCCAAATGCGTCGACGAGGGGGACATCCCATTCTTTGGCACGGGCTTCCAGCCTGGCAAATTTGCGGCTTACGAAGGCATCAAATGGGAGATGACGGCCCATGAATCGCTTCTTGCCGACGAATTCAGGGGCTTTGCGGATATACTCTTCGGCCTTTTTGGCGTGTGCTTGGGCTAGATCTGGGTCGTGGATGGATTGTCGGTATAGGACGACGTGACACGATCCAGCGACGTAGTAGTATAACGCACGGGACCACGAGTTGAGTTTAACGCACTGAATGATTAGCTGATTTGCTTGCAAATTGCTGTGGAAAGACTCACTTCAACGAATGCGTCGGCGCAGATGTCATATTTGTGCAAGAAGAGTGCATTCAGACTCTTCTCGAATACGCACAATCCCTCAACCTGCTTGATAGGACTGCTGTTGCCCTTGGATAAGAGAGCCAACGCCCCCTCCAGATTCTTGTTCGCGCCCAACATCCGCGATCCTTCCAGCGTCCAAAGCCGACTATCCGGGAACCGAGACCGCATCTCCACTAGTAACTTATCCAGTCGCTCCTGCGGATATCCCTCGACATCGGCCTCACCAGGAGTTGGGTCGGGCATTATGTCGCAGAAGGGGACAAGGCCGTTGTAATATCCTAGCAAGGCCAGTGCAGCAATGGCACCAGTGATATCGTGGAACTTGCTAGCTTGCCAGAGCATCCTCAGTCCTCGTGGTTTGTCGCCGTGGAAGCCGACGATTTTAAGAATTTTGCTGAACGCCGGCGGAACCATGGAGATCAACAGTAGTAGGATACCAAAACAGCAATTTGCGCCAGAATGCACAAACACATCAATCTCATTTTTGAAGACGTCAGAGTCGGGATCATGGTGAATATGCTTGGGTGTGGAAGCACCCGCCGCAGCAATTGGGCTCAATACCCTGGGAGATATAGACAGGTCGCTCATTGATGCATTAAGTTCGGTCTTCTTGGCCGTTCCCACCTTGACATCTTTCTTCGATGACAGGCTGGACGACTCTGATTCCGTGTCCGGGGATGCAGCGCTCGACTTGGAGAGTTTACTTGCGGTAGGCAGCAGCACCTTGTTTGGGTCCCTGAGCTCCATAAATTTTTCTTCCATCTTCAAAAGAGCGTCCAGTGTGATATAAGCCTTTCTCAGTTTATAAAATGCCATAATACTTTCTGTCCAGCTCTCGTTCAGCACTCCAAGCACCGCAGTCATCAACTGGGCGACTACCTGGCATAGCGCATACTCAGATCCGGCAGTGTATATATCCGATTTAAACGCATTGGGGGCTTGGGCAGTTTCCTGGGCCCGAATTTGATCGCTTGCTGCGCTAGTTTCGGCATCATAGAGAAGCTTGGATGCTGCGGAATCATTAGAATGATTGGTTCACCATGTTCATGAAAACAATTTACCTTCTTGCATGATATCCTGCTCAAAGCTCAAAGTCGCTTGAATGAATGCGACCAAGCCTTTGCCCAACTGCAGAGCCCAAGAATCAGCAAAAGGTCCGTGCTACGTCATATAGTGATGATCGCCCACCTTGTGAAATGTGGAGGTTCCCTTCGAGAGACCATTTTCAGCGCCCTCGACATCATCATTGAGAATCAGTGCAGCCGCTGTGAGTATCGTATTAGTCGGTGCCTAGATCAGCAATGGTTTCCACAACATACCGTTCAACGCTTCCACCACTACATCGGATCATCGCGGTCAGCATTTGATTGAATAATCTTCATGCGCTTTTTCGCACGAGAAAGCCAGTATATAAAACTTACAGTCTTTGACTTCGACCTGCGAGTCCACAAACTCCGCCGGCTTCTTGCCAGAAAACCAGGAGCCGACTCGCAACATGGTGAAAATCACTGAGGGTATAGCGGATGTGAAAACCGAAACAAAAGCAATTCTCTATTTTCTATTGTCTCATGTCAGGGCAGCCCGGAGTGCCGAAAAAGAGAGCGACGGATTGGGAAGAATGTCAAGGCGATATAACACGGACTTCCGGGAGCATCACTCGGGCATCAATGTAAAGGAAAATAGAGTAGAGTGAGAAGAGAAGAGAGAAGAGAGAAAAGGATAAAGAATATGGATAGGAAGAGGGGCGAGAGGTGGGCGAATAGTAGGCCAATAGTAGACGAACAGCGAAGTTGAATATAAGAGGCTCTTTCCATGGATGGTTTTTGGGCGCCGGTAGCTCCGAGTTGGGTTTTTGGCTTCGCTTCAGTTCGCTTCAAGTCGCTTGCAATGGAAGTATTTCTACTACTGACCTACATGAAGCGTCTCTAATAATAAAATGAAACGATTACATTCACTTCTTCGAATAAATCACCTATTTGTGTGTACGTTGTATAACTATGTTCTTGTTTGTTTGTTCCAAGGTTGACTACAACCTGATTACTCCGTATCGTTATCGCCTATCGCGATCTTACTAAGTCACACCTCCGACCTCCGATCTCCAACCTCAAGAGCTTCAAGAGCTACATCACATCCATCCACACAGCCCATAATGTCGAACTCAACTCAAAACAAGGAAACCGCCACTGAGCAACCTACACAAAAGCCCCAGGTGCTAGAAGAAGACGACGAATTCGAAGATTTCCCCGTTGAAGGTAGACAAAGCGGATCTGCAGACCAGTCACCCAAGCTAACCAAATACCTAGACTGGCCACAAGAAGAAGCCGAACAGACTGCCGGCTCGACGGCAAATGGCGGAAGCGAACACCTCTGGGAAGAGAGCTGGGATGATGACGATGCCGCAGAAGACTTCTCCAAGCAACTCCAGTGCGTTCACGCCTCACCTTTCCATCACCAACGTCCTTGACTTCTCCAATTTACATTATTCATTTCGCATTCTGCACTTATTCCATCCTTCAGACATGCCCTTCTCGCGCCTATACTCCCATGCACCCCGCTACTTCGCCCCACTTCCATGTCCTTCCACGTCACCTACCTAGGTCTATGTACTAACCGACCACATCAGGGAGGAATTGAAGAAAGTCGAAGCATCAGCCTAAACGACTACGCGAAACGATCAAACAATCTGCCTAATAAGCACACGAGAGGAACCACATTTCGTATTCGGGTTTCGGGTTCGGATTTCGGGATGGGCTCTATATTCGAGTTGGCTGGCCATTTCTTCTCGCACACACCTGTCTTTGAAGCATCCGTACGGAAAAATCGGCATTTGCATTCGGGCGCTTGCCAAGGAAATGAGATACGGTCTTGGTTCTTTTTTAAGTGATATTACCAATGCGAAGCTTTTGTCTTTGTGCTTTTGGATTATGTAGACTTTTCAGTCAGATAGATGGGTGTAGTAACGATAATTGAGAAATTCCCTTCGATTTCAATGGTACGACGCTCACTTGTATATTCTGCCTTCTAGTTATTTACATGTAGCATGCGATGTAGCCTATTCTATTCTTCTGCGCTCACAGTTTCGGGTTCGTACCTGGCACAACGAATTTAGTTAAGTGGTCTAGAGATATGTTATATATGTAGTGATTAAAAGAAATTCATTGGCTGTGTACATTACAGTTTCATAAACATGCGCGGGGATCGATAATGCTCCCCTTTAAATTTTGATCATTTACTTACTGGACAGAGCAGCGACACCAGGCAGCTCCTTGCCCTCGAGAAGCTCGAGCGAGGCACCGCCACCAGTCGAGACGTGAGAGATCTTGTCCTCAACCTTGTACTTGGCAGCGACGGTAGCAGTATCACCACCACCGATGATAACAATGGAGCCAGACTGCGCGGCGTTGACAGCAGCGTCGAGGGTCTTCTTGGTGGCGTTGGCGAAAGGCTCAAGCTCGAAGACACCGGGGGGACCGTTCCAGAGGATGGTCTTGGCCTTGGCAATGGTAGCCTCGTAAAGCTTGACGGACTCAGGACCGACGTCCAGACCCATGAAGCCATCGGGGATACCGGTGGCATCAGTGGCCGCGCCGACGGTGGCATCGGCGGCGAACTTATCGGCGGTGACGTAGTCAACGGGAAGGACGATGTCGACGTTGTGCTTCTTGGCCTTCTCGACGATCTCGCCGACGATCTTGCTGCCAGCCTCGTCGAAGAGACTGTTGCCGATCTTGACGTTCTCAAGGGTCTTCTTGAAAGTGAAGGCCATGGCACCGGTGATGATCAGGCTGTTAACCTTGGGGAGAAGGTTGTCGATCAGCTGGATCTTATCGGAGACCTTGGCGCCACCGAGGATGGCAAGGAAGGGACGGGCAGGGCTCTCAAGAGCCTTGGCGAAGTACTCGAGCTCCTTCTTAACGAGGAAACCGGCAGCCTTCTGGGGGAGGTCCACGCCGACCATGGAGCTGTGAGCGCGGTGGGCGGTACCGAAAGCGTCGTCTGTTGTTTGGTTAGATACAGAATTCGAGGGAGATGTGCCGGACATTACATACTGACGTAGACGTCACCGAGGGCAGTAAGGCCCTTGCGGAACTTCTCAACATCGGCCTTGTCGGCCTTGACCTTCTTGCCTTCAGCATCCTTGGAGCTGCCCTCTTCCTCAGCGTGGAAACGCAGGTTCTCGAGGAGAATAACCTGACCATCGGTGGCCTTGTTGACGGTCTCCTCGGTCTGAGCGCCGACACAGTCATCAGTGAAGACGACGCTCTTGCCGAGAAGCTTCTCGAGCACGGGAACAACGGGCTTCAGGCTGTACTTGGGGTTGACCTTGCCGTCGGGACGGCCAAGGTGGGACATGAGGACCACAGCCTTGGCGCCGTTCTCGATAGCATACTTGATGGTGGGGAGGGCACCGACGATACGCTGGGGGTTGGTGACGTTCTTGTTCTCGTCGAGGGGAACATTGAAGTCGACCTGTGCCAATTAGCGACGATACATTGTGAGTACAACTCAATTGGAAGCTTACTCGGATCAAGACACGCTTGCCCTTGAGGTCGACATCAGTGATGGGGAGCTTGTTAGAGAGAGACATTGTTGGATAGTAATATGATACCTTGAACAATGGTAAAAGGAGAAAGAGAATAGAAAGAAGAGGAAAGAACTAATCAGGCCACGGTGAGTCGCGATCAGTAAAGAGTGGAGGGGTTGGTTTTGGTGGGGCAATTCGGTGAAGAGGTAGCATCCGTTGTAATCTGGTACTTGCCGGTGAAGTATTGGTCCGACAGCGGTACTTCTCGAACTATGATGCAATACAAGTTTTTCGAAGTAATTCAATAGAACAAGTACCTCTTTATGATGTACCCGACTCCCCGGAGAATAGATCGGGCTGATGCGGGACTGATGTCAGAGATCCCGTTGAGTACGGAGAGGGCCGGGGCATTAAGGTCCTCATTAGCCTCGGATTCGGGGAACTCTGGGGAGATCGTCTCTACTGGAAATGTCCATAGCCGCTACAGACTTGATTGGTATATATGTCAAGCTTGGTGGAGAAGTAGAAGATTCGAAGCAATGAGAACAAATTCCGAACAAAATACTTGACAGCAAAATAAAACCAAATCGGTCTTCCCAAATGTGCAAAATCCAACCTTGTGAAATGCAAACCCTTGCCCGTGGGCAGATACCATAACCATGTACAGAACAGTCAGACCGAAACGCCCGGAAAACTGAAAGAAAGAGTGCAATTTATGGCTCGAATCGTGTAAACGTGATATTCGCTTTTATGAGCATTCAATTAGGACTCCTCGGAGGAGTTTGTCAAAGAAAGGTACGCGGTCCACGCGATACCAATGGTTGAAACGAAGGGCTGATTTGAGAAGTTAGTATCAGTCATGGTCCAACAAGCGCAGGATGCTTACAATTTGGAATTGGATAGGAACAACACGGAAGTTGAGGATTTGAACTGCCGGCCAAAGCACGAAGTTGGCCTTTAGGGTCGGCAAGTAAACATCACGGAACTTCTGTGTCAGGGCCCTTTTGCCGCCGCCCTCAGCAATCGTCATGTAAGTGAAGAAGCACGCCAGACCTAATATATCGGGTCAGTCCAAAGATATCTCAAGGCACGGAAGATCCAAAGCATACCAAATGGCGCAAAGATAAACTGATCAAGTGCAACACGCTTGAAGGCTGGGGCAGTCGGGTTCATCTTGGTGAGCGGGAAAGCCCTAGACAAGAAGCCAAACCATTGGAATTGTATGGGCGCCATGAAGAAACCATATGCCATGAATCGAGTCAGGCGCTCGAAATCGAAAGGCGGCGGCAATCCCCGGTTGTACCCCAGCTCGCCTAGAGTGAGCGGCTTTTCCTTGTCCATGTCGGGTATCTCTATCGAAAGAAAGTCGTCACCGCTTGTTTGGATCCGGCGGGTGCGGAAGGCTGTGATCAGCTGCGCAACAGTATCGGCAACACCACCAAGCACCTATATCATTTTGTCAATTTTATGGTTCTCGGAAGATTGGATGTCGGAGTAGGCTTACGGCGTTGGTGACCATTGTCGTCAGCACTATTCGGAAACATGTCAGCTAGAACTCTGCGGGATGTGGCGGATAGAGACATACCTGGCTTTTCGGCATAGTAGGTATTAAATTTTGCAGCAAGGCGCGCTGCTACCGCCATTTCGATAAGGAAGATGATCGTGTGCAGTAAAGGCTGTACAGCGATGACGACACAGTTAGCCGCTTGACACGCTTCAAAGGTGATATGTTTGAGCACGGCGGGCGAGCAAAGGGGCTATCAGACGTACCACGCGACCGTAAATGTATCTCTTATTCAGTCCATCCAGGAGTTTTCGCTTCGCGGAGCAGATCATCATGAGACGGCGGATTTGTGGCTTTGGCAGTTAAGATCAGATTGCAAGGCTTCCGGGCCAGAGTGGTGCGCCAGTATGACGCAAATATTAACTGAATGGATATGGAACCCTGTTCCAATACCTACATATGTAGGTCGTCGAATAGAAACCTAGTAAATCAGGTATGATATCAATAAAATCAAGATAATAATTGTAAAGATAGAAAGATGATGAACCCACGCATGACTAACAAAGTCACCTGGCCAACTACGACTCTGAGTCCATTACCCCATGAATCACCTCCACCAATCACATTCGACTAACCATATACCTTGCTGCCTATCTACATTGTTCTCAACTAACTATTCTTTTGTATGATGCCTTATGGCAGTATTCACACATATATAGATGGTAGTTCCTTAAATGATAAGATGATCATATCTACATCTACATAAATGTATGACCCTTTAGTCAATCTCCACGTATTCGCCGTGGCTCTACATTGTATAGTTCATTCAGGTGTTTCCGAGATGTGAAACCATTAGGTAACCCTGTTTCAAAGCCCTAGAGGGCCGGCGCTTGTCTAAGTTAGGGCCTCATTGTGTTGACAATTATACCAACATATATAGGTATATGCTGTAGGGAAAATTTAAGCATATCAGCCCCTTTGCTTAGGAGAACGTCAGTTCGAAGGATTCTCCAGGGCTCTCTAGTTAGTCTCTTATGCCTCTACAAAATCATGTCCTGCGTTAACCCTATAGTCGCTCCGCCCTCTTACTAAATGATAGAAACGAAAATAGGTCTCTAACTTATTAAATCCACCTGGTTCTCTCCCGAACTCCTTACTTTTCTTCTACCATAAATCTTTACCAACACATATATTTAAAGCGAAACAAGAAATTTCTACTTTCATGATTTTTTTTGAACATTAATATAACGTAGACCTCGATTCAATTCCTCAGCAACGGCGCGTTAGCCCAGTGGTAAGGCGTAGCTCTCCTAAGGCTAAGATCGTGGGTTCGATCCCCATACGCGTCGTAAACCTCCCTGTGAGGTTAACATTTTGCTTTTTTGGATAAGCTACAGTCTATATTCTATTTTGTTTTCTAATTTTTAACCGCTTTCTATCTGCTTAACTAAGTAATATTAAAAGGACTTAGGAAGAACTATTACGAAACCTATACAGCCCTATAAGAATGAAGCGCTCCATATTAAAGGTTCTTAAAATCGGTCTGTCTTACTTAAATTAGTATTAAAACACTACGATAATAATGCAGGAGGTAATCATGACGGGCATGATGCCACTGCCGGGAATATAAAGGTCAATGGCCAAAGAATCGCCTTGCAGCTGTAATTTGAGCGGTAGTAGCGCTATCTAGATAGAGTAAATCTATGTCAGACTGCTAGCCTGGTGAAAAATCGTAGGATAGATATATATATATTGCTAGTTGAAAAACCTGTTACATTCACTAGCTTATAATAAAAATTTTGATATAATTTAGAAATGTAAAATAAACATACCCTAATTTATACTACTATAAACTGCTCGCGGACTATCATATATATGGACGGATGTAGTGTAAGGAAACAATATAAGTGGATTATTTACTCTAGCATATATTGGGTTCTAAAGAGCCAGAAGCTAGAATTAGGGTATGGGAGTAATAATTTTTGCTTTTATGGATATCGATATAAAGCAAGCAGTCTACTAAATCCATGAGAAAAGAGAGAGAAGTCTTTATCATTGGATATCAAAACCTTTAAGACTTTCACTAGTATGCCCCAGAATGACAGGCCTCGTGTTTATATCCCTGCACGCTGTTTGCTAGCATACATGCATATGTACCTAGTCTTATAGCTCTAGCAAATCGTAGCCTGAGTTTTGAAGAGCACCTGTCCTGTCGAGCTTGATGCTATACCTTCCCCAAGCTCGAACTTTCTCGTTTGTTTACTATTATTGCTACTCTTTGATCACAAACTCTGGCCTTTTGTCTGTCATTGCATATCGCACTCTGGATATTTTCATCGGTACATAGAAATCAGATCTCGGGTCTCTGGATTCCCGAAGTGGACAATAGATTGTTTCATATCCGGTAAGTGGCCACTGGCAGCCCATTGTTAGCTGGCTGCTCCTTCGCTTGCAGAGATGCATCCAGCTAACATCCCCATGTAGTGAACTTCGGGGTCTTTTCTTTCTCTAAAATACCAACCAACCCTCACGCCACAATGCCAGAGCGTGATGATTTCCTCAGTGGAATAACGGGACGATGGTGTAAGAAATGCGAATGTCTCGAGACCGATTACATCAAAATGAAGCAATGCAGTCGTTGCAAGTCAGCCCTCTACTGTTCGCGAGAATGTCAAAAAGCAGACTGGAAGGGACATAAGAAAATTTGTCTCAAGAATGTTCAAGCCGAATCAGCTACCACTGCAGCGAGCGAAAACAGACATATCCCAGCACCAAACACAGCAAGAACCTTACGGCCGCCACATAGACCCATTCCAACACCAGAGCCAGGGCCAGCAGTTATTGGACCCATCATTGCACCAGGCCTCGACGTCAACCTCACAGCCCCCTTCACCAGACTCTACGTGAAGCGATGGCTGCACGGTCGATCGGAAAAAGACGTCTACAAAATCCTCTTTGACACAATCCGCGTCAGGGCATGGGATGATCGGGTTCTGGCCGCTCAAAGCCTCATGGATGTCGCCAATGGTTCCAGACCACAGGCTGCGAAAATGTTCGTCCTGAGATTTCTGAGGCAAGCCGAGCGCCAGCGTTTTCTGCCTCCCTGGTGGTCTCCCGAGAAAGAACAAGAATGTACTCGCTTTGGCACAAGCGAGGAAAACTGGAATCACACTGATCGTCCTATTAGGATGCACCATATTGTTGCCCGCTATGGGACCCCGTTGATCTTGGTTCAGATGCGAATCTTTGCGGAACAGGTCTATGGCCCTATTGTGGGGAAGATGAGTTCTATTCCCATGATGCGTGTACATATGAGGGCGGAACGTGGGGACTTGATTAGAAATTTGCTGGAGGCTGCTAAGGCTAAGTAGATGTGTGTGTGGGACAAATTGTTGGGAGGTGGTGAACTACGCTCGCACGCTAATCTTTGCATGTGCTTGAATATGAGTGAGAGGTTCTTTGTACTTATTATGTTCTATCCCGAAAATCATGAAACTTGTCAATTTCATATGAAATAGTCATTGATAAATGGTGACCGAGCAGCAGGTATTATCATAAAAAAAAGAAAGGGTTTTGGACAGTCGTATCTTTTCATATATATGTACAAGGCAAGTCTCCTTTCAAGAGCGTGGCTGATCATCCGCGAGAATGTCGGGAAGATCTCGAATATCAGTCGTTTCGTTCGTGTTCACATCTACAAGCCGGACTGCGTCTAGGTGAAGTGGACCTGTGGCTAAGGGGAGGAGTTTGATTTCTGTCGAGTGGCAGGTCCCTGGTAGAAGAGGGCTGGCGTCTATGTTAGACTGGAGTGACCACAAGCGGGAAGGAAGAATGCTTACCCTACACGGATATCCGTACTCAAGCTGATCAACTCAACTTCCTGTCCAGCCACACTCTTTTGCCTAGCATGCACGATGTTGTCATCAGTCACCGCTTCAGCGACTTGGTCCTCTTTCCGGCTGGTGATAGATGACGAAGAAGGCCGTGCAACATGTCCTCGTGGGTCGATACGTTTCCGCCGTGGAATAGCAATTAACGCAAATTTGCGAGGTACATTGGATCGATTGACAATAAAAACGCTCCAGGAGAAAACGGAGCCAACCTGCACTCGAACGGGCCCGGAGAAGGATATGGTAACACCCACGTCAGTAACGGAGTATGCTCGTTCTCGCAATGAGCTTCTGTTGGACGGGGCTGCGCCCGCTTGGGTTGACACTGATAGACTGGTAGGACGATTCGTCCTTTGCAGCGCCGGACTGGGGCCCCCAAACGTAGGATTCAGTGCAACTGAGAAATCGACATTTGTTTTCCACTGCATAGAAATGCGCGGTTTGCAATCATTATCAACAAGAATTGTTGCCTCAAGAGATATGCCCAATATACTGGTTAGGGCTGTAGATGACGGGTTGGTCTCTGGGCCATATTCCGGCGTGAGTTTGTACATTAGGGTGACGTCGTCTCGTGGACGACAGACAATAGGGAGAGTAAGACCTGGTATATCTGACATTGACTCAATCGTTCCCTCGGACAGCTGGAGATCCGCCTTGTCAAAGGATACCTCACAAGTCAGATAAGGAGTGACTTCGAAGTCAAGGCTGGCGGCTGTCAATGGGATGCCAGTGTAGGAATTCAAGCGAGAGTATCGAATCCTCGCACTTGCAGCGGGCACAACACGAAAGGGATGGCCATGTTGCTGCTGAATGTTGTAGATGGGGTCCTCGTTATAGGTTGTTGGCACCACCCTCAAAAGCCTGGAAGCAGGTAAGAAGGGCTCTTTGTGATTGAACGTTTTATCGCCGGATAAAGGCTGTAGCATGTTCGTTGAGGCGGGGACAAGTGAGGGGAGATAATCGTCCTCTGAATCTTCTGAACGGCACCCGTCAGACGGGTTTAGGCTGGCAGATGCAATGAATAGGAGGGACGGGTGTTGAATTCGGATGCGAGGTCGTTCTATTCACCGATTAGTTATGTCACTCTATGTTTCCCAATTACAGCATATTCAACCCACTCAGTGCGGTCTCAATATTCCAGACTAGATAGACGTGGTTCCCACTTCCTTCCTCGCCTTCAAATTCATTGAACACAACTAGAGGATCCTCGTCCCCACTGACTATACCCGAGAATATAACATCTCGAGTTGGTGTAGGGTTTTCACCAACCGATTCTGCTGGATCTACAGCAAAAACATCCAGCTTGACTTCGAGTCGCGGTAGGTAATGTTTCAGTATGGTTTCGGAGCAATCAGAGAGTCTTAGGATTATGCGAACGGGGAGAAATTCATCTAGCAACTATCAATGAGTAAGATATACACCCAGCCGAGCTTCAGAAGGTTCTTACCAAAGAATAACAAAGACCGTTGAGGAATTGATGAGAGAACGGATGGGAGATCATCAGCTCCGTCCTCCAGGGCCAAACTTAAAGCGCCCTCAATATCATGAGCTGGCGCATGAGGTACAATTGTATCAAGAACGGCATGACGCAGGAATTCACCTGGGATCTCCAAGCCAGGCATTGCGACAACTTGTCGCATTAAACAGTCAACAAATACGTAGTCCACGGGTTCAGTTCAGGAGATAGATAACCGATAAGTAGATACGGTCACCGCCAACGGCCTCTAGCGCAAAACGGCAGATCAGATCCGCGGAGCAATTGAAGCTCCGTTTTCATTTCTGTCTTTAGCATCAACTTTCAAAATGGACCCCAATGGCCACTCAGTTCCTGCCATTTGGCAGGAGGCGCGTAATACTGATGGTCGAGTCTATTATTACAATGTACAGACAAAGGTTACACAGTGGACTAAGCCCCAAGAATTGATGACTCCAGTTGAGGTTTGTGTTAAGATTACTCTACTCATTGTGAGCTTGGCTAACATTTCTAGCTCGCGCTGGCGAACCAACCCTGGAAAGAATACACCACCGATGAGGGGCGCAAATATTGGTACAACACAGAAAGCAAGCAGAGCACATGGGAGATTCCGGAAGTGTACAAAAGTGCGCTTGCGCAGGCATCTGCCTTAGTTCCACCTCCAGTCGCGTGAGTCCACCCCGTCAAACTGACGATGCGGTCCTAACCCCGTTTTAGTGCGCCTTCTTTCGTTGCCGGTGGAACTTCCTTCTCGTCTCAACCCCAACATCGTGACCGTGACGATTACGACCGCGGGGACCGTGGTGATCGAGGTGATCGAGGATACGGTGACCGACGTGGCGGATACGGATCATACGAATCAAACAACATGGCGGCTGCTCCAGACTTCAAGTCGCAGAACGACCCCGACTACCATTCCCTTGAGGAGGCGGAAAGCGCTTTTATGAAAATGCTCAAGCGACACAATGTGCAGGCCGATTGGACCTGGGAGGAGACTATGCGCGCCACCATCAAAGACCCGCAATACCGTGCACTTAAGGACCCACGAGACCGCAAGGCAGCATTTGAGAAATATGCGGTCGAGGTTCGCATGCAGGAAAAGGAACGAGCGAAGGAACGATTCGCTAAGCTCCGAACAGATTTCAATACCATGCTGAAGCGTCACCCTGAAATCAAGTATTACAGCCGCTGGAAGACCATTCGTCCCATTATTGAAGGTGAGACTACTTTCCGGTCTACCAACGACGAAGACGAGAGACGTCAGCTTTTCGAGGAGTACATCATTTCACTCAAAAAGGCCCACGTTGAGGAGGAGGCTATGACGCGCAAGGCTGCTATGGATGAATTGATCGAGATCTTGGGTTCACTTAACCTGGAGCCATACACCCGCTGGGCCGAAGCTCGTGATATGATCCATTCACACAACAAGTTCCAAAGCGATGAGAAGTTCAAATCTCTGACGAAGTGTGATGTTTTGACTGCTTTTGAAGACCATATCAAATCCTTGGAGCGCGCCTTTAACGATGCTCGTCAGAAGCACAAGGCAGCCAGGGCCAGAAAGGAACGCAAGAACCGTGAACAGTTTGTGCTTCTCCTCAAGGAGCAAAGATCTTTGGGTAACATCAAGGCTGGCTCCAAGTGGATGAACCTCTGCCCAATAATCAAGGATGATCCCAGATACCATGCAATCTTGGGCCAACCTGGATCTTCACCACTTGATTTGTTCTGGGATATGGTGGAAGAAGAAGAGCGCGCGTTGCGTGGACCTCGAAATGATGTGCTGGACGTCCTTGATGTGAGTATCCACAGACTAAACTGCTTCGTTATCTATACTAACCTTAATCAGGACAAACGATTTGAAGTTACTTCTGAAACCACATTTGATGAATTCAATTCTATTGTGTCTAACGACCGTCGCACCTCAAAGATCGACTCAGATATTCTCAAACTTCTTTTCGAGCGCATTCAAGAGAAAGCTATCAAACGCAATGAGGATGAGAAGCATGCCGCCGATCGCCACCAGCGTCGTGCAGTGGATGCTCTACGATCTCGAATTAAGCGCCTGGAACCACCTGTTCGGGTCACTGACACCTGGGCTGAAGTGCAACCTCGTCTTGAGAAATATGAAGAATACAAGGCCCTCGAGTCGGATGAGCTTCGTGAGTCTGCCTTTGAAAAAGCAATTCGCCGTATGAAGGAGAGAGACGAAGACGCAGAGAAGGATCGTGAACTTTACCCACAGAGCCGTGGAGGCCGACGCGACTACGACCGCGGTGATCGTGAATACCGCAGCGGCCGCGGAGAACGCCGAGGACCCAGCGGCCGGGTGAGCCGCACCCCCGAAACCGATGCTTACGAGGCCGATCGCCGCAAGGCACAGGCAGACCGCGAGCGTACTTACCGCAAGGTCAGCGGGATTTCCCCATCTCGTGAACGTCGCGATGAGCGCTCAGACCGGGACCGTTACCGTAGCCGGGAGCGTGACTTCGATCGTGGCTCCCGTTCTGCTAGAGATCCAGACCGTCGTGAAGACGAGCGTGAACGCCTGTACCGTACTCGTGGTGATCCCCGTGGAGGTCGTGATGAACTCGATTATGGTGGCGGTGGTGATACTCGCAGTGCGGCTGGCGGAGAGCGTCGTCGCCGACGTGACAGTGATGCTGAAAGTGTGGCTAGTCGCTCGGCCAAGCGATACCGACGTGATAGCCGTGAGCGAGAGCGTAGCAAGGGTCGTGCTCCTCGACGCGAGCGCTCTGCCATTCCGGAAGAGGAAGAGCATGCTAAGCAGGACGAAAAGGCCATTCATTCTGGTAGCGAGGAAGGAGAGATCGAAGAGGAGGAGTAGATGGTAGTCTTTGCGGACTCGTTTTCATTTGCAAGTAATCTCTGCCTTGTACGAATAGGATAATCAGCTGAATCTACGTTGCAATCCCACTTTCTGTTTGCCTAAGTCTGTAGTCCTGGTAGTTTCCTCCATTCAAAGTACGGTGGCCATTCCAAGTTGAAGATCATTTCGCTTTGATGATGCCGAAGACAGGAGCCAATATCCCAGTTCCAGCATAACAACACCACCGATGTTGTACCTATCTCCTTGGTAAATCCGGCTGGCCCTCTGAGGGTTCATTGAGCACTCGGGTCTTCTGACAGATTGCACAACTTCCAGTCATATTTTGCTCGCGGTCTCTTCGTCCATACGGCCTTCCGCTAACCTTCGCGGATAGCACTACATAGTTACATTGTATAGTTCCCATCCGCGAATAGTTACACCTTCTACGAATGTGCATAACGGCCAGAGGGCGGATTGAACTATTTCTGGGATTGCTTTTTACCTCTTGTTACCTCTTGTTACCTCTTGTTTACTATACTATAGTCTCTGTTATAGTGATTCAATTATTTTAATTTTCTGCCAGACTCATGTCAGTTTCAGGCAGTAATCTTCAGGCAGTAATCCTAGACAACTAATACAGCCCTGGCTGCTATGCATCTTCGCACACCATCTTTGTGGGTCGTGGTTCGTGCCAGATGAGTATTGTGAAGCACACCTAGGCAAAGCATCAACTTACCCAAATCACTCAATCCCAGATGCTTTATGTTTTCTCAGCGCATTGCTATCACTGTCTACAAAACTAATATATAGAAATGGACGACATTGGTTTTAGTAGAGAAGGATGGTCTTATTTGATTTTTTATATGAGAGTTTGACATTAGACTCGACAGTAAGTATATGTTACATATAGAATATTAAGACCAGTGAAAATGACGCCGAAAATGAAAACGGCCGCCTTTCCACCTGTACTTTTAGATGGCAAGAAGCCTCTTAGTCGTTCTCCTAAGCTGATGCTGGTGCTAGGCCTCAGCAAATAGTTCCCCTCATTTCTACTCACGACCAAAACCTCGCCGACAAAGGCTCCCCTTTGCAGCAGCCAGACCCCCCTTCATCTGACCCAGTTGGGCGTCTATAAGATGCTTCTCGCCCCCCCTCCTAGTGTCCTCCTACTATCACATTCTCTCTGCTCATCGTCCTCCAACCCCGCAAGTCGACCTCAACGTGATTATTTCTAGAACATAGACTTTGAATCCTAATCTTGATCCTGAGTTACTCTTATAGCACCTACGCCTATGCACCCTGCTTAACCTAATAGGCACCAATATTAGACAGATGCCATTTTCTACGAGGAACTCGAGCCAGACTGGAACACTTTCGCAGCGTAGGATGACTCCCTGGTCTCCACAGACTGGTTGGTCTCCACAGACCCAGTGGTCTCGCCTTTGACTACATAGGATAATATCTAAGAATCAGAATCTTAGATCCTAGGGGACGTACCACGGGCTTAAGTGTCCGCTATCATTTGACTCGCGTTATCGGCAAAATAGTAATTTAACCGACACCTCGCACCAGGTGTATATATATAAACAGCGGTCTGTAAGTTCGCAAGCAGAGTACAGCAGAGCTGTCCTACTGAATAGAGCTTTATTTTCTTCACTTGTGATCCTCGCTTTTGCTGGGCTCGGTTTCGTTCACGCCCAGCTTGTTAGAGCCTGGGTAATATGCATGAGACAATGGCCTACGAAGCAAGCACATTTGAACGTTTTTGGCAGTATCCATCCCTCGCTACTGCTAGGCACTAATGAGCCTTGTGGATTGCGTTCATTGGCTCAATATGGATGTTTTTCATTTCGTTACGCTTTACGATATTTGCCTGCGTACTCTACAACTTGCAGACTCAGATTATGACGGTACGTACCTTGAAATCAGCCATCACCAGAACATCATAAACAGAACCACATAGGCAGTCTAAAGAACTTCTATCACCTGCTGTATATTGGATGCCCTAGTTGTGGACCGTAGCCACACTGGGCAGGTACGACAGCCATAGATATCTACCTAGGTAGATAGAACGATAACGACCCTTTCTAGAACCTCCATTTATCAATGGTTCTGGAGATGAATGGGCAAAGGTTGGAGGGTTATGTTTCCATGATGACTGAAACTCGAGTAAGACGTCGGGAGACAAGATTAGGGCTGCGTCTCGACTCATGACGCAGCAGACAAACCAATGGTACGAGGACAATGGAATATGAAATATGAAATAGATAAACAATTTTGAACGTCTGAAAAGAAATGGGTTGAAACCTATCTATCTACACGATGTAGAGGCAATGAAACCGGCATTAGCCTGTCCCATACCATCCACAGTCTGGAATGACCACATCACCAATTCGACACAATATCCATCTTCTAAACCGATCATAAAATTCATGGAAGAGCTTTTTTGAAACCCAAACCCTCCCAGCCTGATGCAAACATAAACTCCGTTGGAACAATGAACCATGCCCATCCCAAGAACCATTAAAATTTTGACAATTATGGTAGGAAGATCCGTAGGCAAGTGATTCCCATCCGGATGTGACAGTTCTGTATGAAACCAGAACTAATCAGATCAAGTTGCAAGGCCAAAACGATTTAGGCGTATGATAATGGATCGACAAATGGCAACAGGCCGCAAATTTAAATGAGCGTCATAGACTGTGGATAGAAAAAGAGCAGATAAATATACTGCCTCTTACCCAGGGCCCCTGCTGCCATTTAAATCATCGCCATCGCCATCATCGTCATCATCGTCCGAGAGACCGTCGCTAGCACCGGGAGACGGCCCGGCGCAGCGACGGAGTCCGTTGCCTTGAACCGCCGAGGCTCTGCAAACGCCTGGAAACGCCATTAACCACATGATCTTCCTGCCGCCGCGGCGCCTGTTGCGCCGCTGCTCAGAGTCGCGGCCATCACGTTTGTGACGACGGCGACGATGCTCGTTGAAAATGCCCTTTTCAGTTCTCTTCCTCCAAGAAGTAGAAGTTGCCAGCCAGCTTCTGCTCCTGATCCATTTGACTGTTGTACTTGTTGATACGGGGACGGTAGCTGATGGGGTCACGGCGGAAGGTGACATCCAAGCTCTTCAGGAATCGGTTGCAACCTCCGACTAGGGACTCGGGAGCTTGAGCGCGGGCGTCGACGGAGGGTTGTCCGTCGAAGACAATGACACGGTCAGCGAGGTAGGTGGCCATGATGAAATCGTGCTCGACGATGAAAGCAGTCTTCTTGGTGTGCATGATGAAACGCTTGATGACACGGGCAGCAACGATACGCTGCTCGGAGTCCAGGTAGGCGGAGGGCTCGTCAATCAGGTAGATGTCAGCGGGCATACCCAGGGCGAGGACAATGGCGACACGCTGCAATTCACCACCAGACAAGTTCTGGACTTCCTGGTCAATGAAATCGTCCATCTTCAGGGGCTTGTAAACATCGGTCTGGAACTGAGGAGACAGGAAAGCAGTCTTAATACGCTTGAAGAACAGCTGGCGGACGGTACCAGTGAACTTGGGAGTGATCTTCTGGGGCTTCATGCTGATGCTCATCTTGGGAACGGTGATATTTCCATCGGGCTTCAATGCACCGGCAAGCATCTTACAGAAAGTGGTCTTTCCGGTACCGTTCTCACCCATCATGACGACAATTTCAGAGTCAGTGAACCTTCCGGCCTCGACCTTCAGGTGGAAGCCACCCATAGTCTTCTCCATAGTAGGGTAGGCAAATGCACGGTCCTTGTCCGCAATGAACTCCTCACCAGCCTCAGCGAGACGGAAAGTGAGAGACTCATCACGGAAACGCAGGTTCTCGGTGGGGATGTGACCATCCAAGAAGATGTTGATACCTTCACGGACGGAAGAGGGCAGAGTCACAACACCGTAAACAGCGGGGCGACCGTACAACACGCAGATAAAGTCGGAGAGATAATCCAGAACAGACAAATCGTGCTCAACAACAACGACGTAGTCATCGGGTCGAAGGAGGCTGCGAATAGTACGGGCAGCAGCCAGACGCTGCTTGACATCGAGATATGAGGAAGGCTCGTCGAACATGTACCTGTTTGAGTTTAGCAAATGAGTCTCACTTAAAAGTACCAAAGTTAACGTACACATCGGCCTTCTGAACACAAACCAGACCAATGGCGAAACGTTGAAGCTCACCACCGGAAAGGTGACCAATTTCACGGTCCGCAACCTGTCTCAGTTCTAATGTTTGATTAGCAAGTAGACCTTCAAAAAAACAGAACAGGAAACGTACCAAGAACATCCATGATCTCATCGAGGTTGTCCAACGCAGCACGAGCGCTGATGAGCTGCTCCACCTGCTGGATAGGGCCCTTGACGGCGCGGGGAATCTGATCGACATACTGAGGCTTCACGACCGCCTTCAAGTTGTCCTCCAGAACCTTGGTGAAGTAGTCTGCTCCAGTCAGCAACATTGAATATCAGAAATGGTTCAAAGACTGTTCCGCTTACTCTGCAATTCGGAGCCACGGAAGTACTTCAAAATCTCCTCCCAGTCAGGAGGGTTCTCATAGCGGCCCAAGTTGGGCTTCAGCTTGCCACTGAGAATCTTCAAAGCGGTACTCTTTCCGATACCGTTTGTGCCAACAAGACCGAGAACCTGACCAGGGCGGGGCATGGGAAGTCGGTGAAGCTTGAAGCTGTTGGCCGAGTAGCGGTGGGTGACTTGGGTCTCGAGGTTGGTGGGCAAGTTGATAATGTGAATGGCACCGAATGGGCACTTCTTGGGGCAGATACCACAACCAATACACAGTCGCTCGGAGATGAAGGCAATCTTGGAGGTGGGGTCGACTTCAATGCAAAGCTTTCCCGAACGGACCACGGGGCAAGCCTTTTTGCACTCTTGACGACATTTCTGTAACCAATCAGCCTCTGTGTTCCCAGTAGAGAATCAGATCGAGTCGCATACCTTAGGTTTGCACTATTCAATCAAAAAAGTGTGGTGTAAGCCAGGGTTTCAAGAACCGCAGAGAAAATGTTATTAGTGGGGTAATTTTCGACGAACCTTGTCGCTGTTGATAATCGCAATACTGTAGAGAGAAAAGAAACGTTAGCTTCGAATAGAGCACTTCAAAGGATCCAGTAACATACCGGGTGAGCTTGTCAGACATGGTGAAAGAGTTGGCTTCAAAGAAACCAGTATGAATCGGAAGATTCGAAAAAAAGAAAGAATCAGCAGAATAGGAAAGTAGGTGGAATTGGTCGATTTAAGCACTGTCGCAGGTGAATAAACTAGGCGCAATAAAAGCACCGACTCTGCGCAGACTCGACTACCAAGGTAGAAAATAGGATAGAAAGAACAACACTATCAATCGCTGGAGGGGCGGTAGAAAATCGTTGTGGGAGTGCCCTTACAACGGATTACGTCGACGCTGATTGGCGGTTGATCAAATGCCACGTGATTGCTGACCTCATCTGCCAAGAAATGCCATTTTATGCCTGAGGCCCCAACTTTTGAAGCAGGCGATTTCGCTTGGCGCCTAAGTCCCATCTCTTGCTTCCTCAAGTCTCGTCTCTCCTCCTCCCCCAATATTCCAACGCTTGATACTTCCCCACCATTTATTTTTCCACATTGATCTCCTGATCCCCCGCTGTCGGGGTCACCACGCTATGGAGTGTAAGTAAAATAATTTTTTTCTTCGAGTTATAGACGTGTCGCCTGAACCGTTCGCCGCGGTACTTCTCCGCGCTCTTCGACCCACTGCATGAACCCTTGAATCTCCTCATTTTGTTCAGATCTGGGAAGATTGCAACTGTCGATGGTAAAGTAGTGTGTCGCTACTTTCTTCAAGTCTGGCTGCGTGTGTCAATCTGCCCATTGCTTTGTCTTCCAGTCCGGCCGCGTCCATCCCACCCGTCATCAAAAAACATACACTTCCATCAAACTCAATATCCTGACCTATTGAGCCGTGTTTTGAGCTTATATTGACTGCAATTTGGATCGCGTGTCACTGTTTTACCCACTCCTGCCTCTTTGACGCCCCTCCTAGCCTTCTTTGAGCTTCAATGCTGACCTCTGTCCCTCGGTCACAGCCTCTGGCATGGTGATCCCATCTGCTCAGGAACCCTCTTCTACCTCCACAATGTCCAACGGCTACCCTGCTTCGCCCGTCGCCTATGATACCCACGCTGATCGCGAAGTGGTAACTCAGCGCGAACGCAGCCCCTCCGAACCCATGGAATCCCATCCCGTCTCCGAGTCCTCCCCCGAGCCCGATGCCGCGGACGACTCATATGACGGCGCATCTGCTGATTCAGACGCGGAAGATGATGCGGCGGCAGACAACAGCGAGGATGATGCCAATTCCTACAGCCGTGAAAACTCTTCATCTCCTCATCCCGACCGCGGTTCCAAGCGGATATCGTCACCACAGAGTGAGACCGATCTGATAAGACAAAATCCCGATTTGTACGGACTTCGTCGAAGTGGTCGTGCTCGTACTACGCGCAATGTCGCCGACTCATCTGATTCAGATTCCGACGTTGTTGCGCCGCGTGCAAAGCGTCGGCGCAACGAAGCCTCTCACCAACCCTCCAAAGCCTCCCGATCCGTCACAGTGTCGTCGCTCTCGGAAACAGACAGTGATGAGTACGGCGGAAAAAGGGCCCGTGCTAGCAAGGCCAGAAGGCGACGTCTCCACCAAGATGACAGCAATGAACCTTCATTAAACGAGGTTCGCTTCTCAACCCGAACCGCTAAAAAGGTCTCAAACTATAACGAAGACGATGGCGAAGACGAGGCCATGTTTGAAGCAGACCCCGAAGACCTTCCACCCAACTACTGGGCGGAAAGCTACGCGGAGGATAACCGGCCTGCTGTCGACGTCGTTCTCAACCACCGCCTCAAGGAGGGCGTCGACCCTAAATCCCATGAGCTCGATCGCAACGACTTTGAATTTTGTATCAAGTGGCAGGACAAATCACATTACCATGCCACATGGGAAAGCAACGAAGATATGCCGAACTTCCGTAGCACGCGACGTGTGGACAACTACGTTCGGAAAGTGCTCAACGAAGATATTCGGTTGCAATATGATGGCGACGCTCCTCCAGAGGACCGTGAAAAATGGAACCTTGATCGTGAACGAGACGTCGAGGCCATTGAAGACTACAAAATGGTTGAGAGGGTCATTGGTGTGCGTGATGGTGAAGATGGCACCACGGAATACCTTGTCAAATGGAAACGTCTGCTCTATGACTCCTGTACTTGGGAGCCCGAGGACCTGATCAGTGAGATTGCGCAACCTGAGATCGACCGGTTCCTGGACCGCACCGCTCGTCAGCCTTTCTCCGACAAGAACGAGACAACTATCCCCACACGTAAACCCTTTGAGCCCATCCACGGCGGTACGCCCAGCTTTTTGCAAAATGGAGAGCTTAAGGATTTTCAAATCAAAGGCCTCAACTTCCTAGCCTTTAACTGGGTCAGGGGGCGAAATGTCGTCTTGGCCGATGAAATGGGTCTGGGTAAGACCGTCCAGACGGTCTCATTTATCAACTGGATGCGCCATGTCCGACGGCAGCAAGGACCTTTCATCGTCATCGTACCCTTATCCACCATGCCGGCTTGGGCTGACACATTTGATCACTGGACACCCGACCTCAACTATGTTGTATACAACGGTAGCGAAAAGGCGCGTTCCGTCCTCCGCGACTATGAACTGATGGTCGATGGAAACCCCAAACGACCCAAATTCCATGTCTTGTTGACTACTTACGAATATGCAATGAATGATTCACCTTTCCTCGGTCAATTCAAGTGGCAGTTCATGGCCGTTGATGAAGCACATCGTCTCAAGAACCGTGATTCGCAACTTTACATAAAGCTGTTCGAATGGAAGTGTCAGGCTCGTCTTTTGATTACTGGTACACCAATTCAGAACAACCTCGCTGAGCTATCCGCTTTGATGGACTTTTTGAACCCTGGTCTTATTGAAGTTGATGTTGACATGGATTTGAATTCCGAGGCAGCATCGCAAAAGCTCGCCGAGTTGACAGACGCTATCCAACCTTACATGCTGCGGCGTACCAAGTCTAAGGTCGAGTCTGACCTTCCTCCCAAGACTGAAAAGATCATTCGAGTGGAGCTTTCCGATGTGCAACTGGAATACTACAAAAACATCTTGACAAAAAATTATGCAGCGTTGAACGACGGGAACAAGGGAATGAAACAGTCTCTTTTGAACATCATGATGGAGTTGAAAAAGGCGAGCAACCATCCATTTATGTTCCCCAACGCAGAAGCAAAGATTTTGGAAGGCAGTAGTCGCCGAGAAGATATCCTTCGTGCCATGATCACTAGTAGTGGAAAGATGATGCTCCTTGACCAGCTCCTTCGCAAGTTAAGCGTTGATGGCCATCGTGTCTTGATCTTCTGCCAAATGGTTGGTATGCTCAACATTTTGAGTGAGTACATGGAGTACCGTGGTTACAAATACCAACGGCTTGATGGAACTATCCCATCTGCTGCTCGTCGGTTGGCAATTGAGCACTACAATGCTCCTGGTAGTACCGACTTTGCGTTCCTTCTCTCAACTCGTGCAGGTGGTCTTGGTATCAACCTTATGACCGCAGACACTGTTGTGTTGTTTGATTCTGATTGGAACCCCCAGGCTGATCTGCAAGCCATGGCACGAGCCCATCGTATCGGTCAGACCAGACCTGTCAGTGTCTACCGCCTTGTCTCAAAAGATACCATCGAAGAAGAAGTCATTGAACGAGCTCGCAACAAGCTTTTGCTCGAGTTCATCACTATTCAACGCGGTGTCACGGACAAGGAGGCCACGGATATGCAGAACAAGATGGCTCGCGTGGTTGCGGAGCCTAATTCCACAGACGATATCTCTCGGATCCTCAAGCGCCGTGGCCAGAAGATGTTTGAACAAACAGATAACCAGAAGAAGCTGGAGCAGCTTGATATCGACTCTGTTCTTGCGAACGCAGAACTGCACCAGACCGAAGAGGCAGAGCAAATCCAAGCCGATGGTGGTGAAGAGTTCTTGAAAGCGTTTGACTTCGTTGATATTAAAGTCGATGATCTCACCTGGGACGACATTATTCCCAAGGAACAGTTGGAGGAAATCAAGGCCGAAGAAAAGCGCAAGGATGATGATCATTACCTTGCTGAGGTCATTGAGCAAAATCGACCTCGTAAGCGTCATGCACCCACAGATACCCCGGATTCACGAGAGGAACGCAAGGCGAAGCGTCTCGCAAGGGCTCAAGTCCAAATCGACGATGGTGAAGATGAAAGTCCTTCTTTGGATCCTAAACGTCCCCTTGGAGAGAAAGAATACCGTGCACTCTCTCGTGCTTTCCTTCGCTTTGGAGATATGGATGACTCCGAGGACCTCATTCTTGAAGACGCTCGATTGCAAACTCGGGATCGGGCTACCGTTCGTGCCGCTCTTCGTGAAATTACCGACAAAGCCAATGCGCTTGTGCAAGCCAGCCTGGATCAATTGGACGCCTTGAAACAAGCGGGCAAAAACCCAACTAAAAAGGAACAAAAGGCCGTCTTGTTTGACCACCACGGCGTCAAGCGACTGAATGCATGGACTATTGTAGAGCGCCCCCCTGACATGCGCTTGATCCGGAGTATCACTAGCTCCTTGCCTGATTTTAGGACATTTCGTCTTCCCGAGGCTACCAAGCTGGCAGATTACAGTTGTCAGTGGGGTGCACGTGAAGACGGAATGCTGCTCGTCGGTATCGCACGCCACGGATTTGGTGCGTGGACTCAGATTCGCGACGACACTGAGCTTGGTCTTGGCGACAAGTTCTTCCTCGAAGAGCACCGAGTAGAGCGTAAGACGCAGCGCCTGCAGACCGAGGAGAAGGCAACTAAGTCACCCGGTGCTGTCCACCTTGTTAGGCGAGCTGAATATCTCATGTCAGTATTGAGAAACAAGTACAACAATAATGCCACCGCGAGGAGGGCCGTTGACAACCATCACCGCAATAACAAGCGAAACTCGCGCCTGTCCGGCAGCGGCAGTGTCTCTGCCTCGCCGGCGCCCTCAAGTTCTCGCAGGCCTGAGAATCCTCGCAAGGGTCACCGCGAATCTGACCGTCCACGGCCACGGCCGCATGGCGGCCGGGAAGGTGATCGTCACCATACTCCAAGCCATGAATCTCGTCCGAGATCCGGTATGGATATCGACCGCCCTCGTCACCGCCTTTCCGATGCCTCGAACGACGAGCTCCGTCGGCGTAGAGGGCACGAAAACGGTGGGTCGAACAAGGAGGATATGGCCTTCATGTTTTTCAAGCCTGTTGTTGGTACCCTCAAGCAAGTGTCAATGATCACCGCCAAGAATTACCCAAATAAGAATGAGAGGGCTCAAAAGCTCCGCCTCACTCTTGTGAAGATTGGTGAATTCATTGGCACTACTCTGGAGGGCTCGCAATCGATGCCCTCCTTGGAGCTCCGCTTATGGTAAGTTTTCATTATGGGCTCACTTATAGATCACTTTCTTACTCAGTTTTAGGGATCATGTTTCGCTCAATTACTGGCCCAACAAGGACGCAAGTGGAGCCAAGCTCCAGCTGATGTTCAACAAGGTCATGGAGGCAAGTAAAGCGAAGCCCTCCAATGGCACATCGACTTGAGCAATGGGCGCTGGTGTTCTTGGTTCACTTAAAACTCACTTTAGCACGGTTTCATGACATGCATGTTCAGCGTTTCTGGTTCCTAATTATCTATCATTTCGTTGATGACGTGATATTCAGCACTTTTATTTTTGATATCTGCTTTGCCTTTTTAAAATGTTCTTTGATTTCCACCTCACCATCTCGAACCACGGCTTTCTAACATTCTGCATTGGAGTCGAGGCCTCTGGACTCGCCGCCGTCCTCTTCCATTGCTTCATTATCAAAAAAATGAAAAAGTCCCTTTTTGCTTTTCTTTGAAGGTATATATGGATGCAACTTGTTGCATGGCATTGCGAATGGCGTCGAATTTCTTTGCGCAAGTCCAAAAGCACAGAAAGGAGAATTTTAGGCTCGAAATGAGCATGACCTACGCTCTTGGATGATCACTGCATGGCGTGTTTGGGGTCTTTGTTACTTTATTCTTTGTTTATTTATGCCAAGGAGTTTTACTGGACTTCCCGGTCTCGTCCCCTTGGCACTGGTTTGCTTTGATGCCTAGGCATACAGACCTTGACTCTTGTCGAGGCATCGGTCTGCCGAGGGCTTTTTTTCTTTTTTCTCGGCACATGTATCTTATGGAGTGGCTGCCACGGCGTCGACTGATTTTCTTTGTATCTGAGATCACTCAGTTGGGAGCGTGTTATCTGTGACATTTTTCTTCCGATTTCTGGTTCTAGAACCAAATGCAAGATCATCCAAGGCTTTGGCCGAAGAATGAATGACGTTTCTCTCCCGTATCTATAACATGTCTGAACATTTTGGCGCTGGAGTGACATTTCTACAAGTTGCTCCATCATCTTTATACATGCCTTCTCTTGAATGTTTCTCTACTGGTCTTTTACATTAGAGCGCAGCCGCACGGAAATCATGATTATTGACAGTATCATTGTGGTAACCAAGTGTAATAATGGGCCATTATGGAGCCTGCAGTAGGCCAACGAAAAAAGAGCTATTCATACATTCCGTCACAGGTCACTTTCCCGAGAATCAAAACTAAATAAAGAACGCATGCACCAACGCCATGCACGCCGGGATATGAGGGCAACGAAAACACAGCAAAAGAACAGCCCAGAGCCAAGCACAAGCATGGCCCAGGATAAGGATGAGAAAGAGACAAAAGAAAGATAAACCAGCCAACTAAGCACCCTCGACATGAGGAACCTCGGCTGCCTTAGCAAGCTGCTCCTGCTGACTCTGGAACTGCTGTTGCTGTCTCTGCAACTTCTCGAGACTAGTGGTGAGATGCGCAGGCGGGACAGAGCCGACCATAGCACTCAAAAGCCCAATCTCGGCATCAATGAGATCATCAAAGATGGCCTCTTTCTCGCGCCATGCTGCCTCGCGCTGTGGCCGTAGTACCTCCCACTCAGCCTGCAATTGAGCAGTTTCTTTCCCGGCCCACGCAATCTGGCGCCGAAGTAGACGGTACAGGTCGCGTGGGGGAAGAGCGAGTTCATATTCATCGAAATCAAGCTCGGGTCCAAATTCCGGCATGGAGTTTTCTTCTAGCTCGTGCTCCGTTAGTGGTGGGATGATCACTGGTGCTTCGACGTGGTGTGGTTCGTGCTCTGTGCCTGGCTCCCGGGGCTGTGTGAGCTTCAGGCGGATGCGCTGCAGCTTGGACGCTGGTGTGCCGGTTGTGCTGGGAGCGCCGACTTTTGCGATTGCGTCGTTGGGACGCATGGTGTCTGTTTCGTGGACGGAGCGCATGTGCTTGGTTAGGGCATCGGAGCGGGTGAAGTTGCGGTCACATTCTGCGGTTTGGGTGCGGTTAGTATTGTGTCCCTTTACACCATTGGGGGTTGACTGTGGGACTTAGACGTACCTGGGAGAGTGCAGTAGAAGGGTTTCTCGCGGGTGTGGCTTCTCATGTGTGCGCGTAATGCGTAGGCGCTGGCGTGTGTTTGACCTTTGCGAGTACAGTCGGTCCACTCGCAGGAGTACCGTTTCTGTCGGCTCCCGATGTGCTCATTGTGGAGGTGAGACACCAACCCATCCATGTTGCCGAGGTCACCAGCAGCGCATCCGTCCCAGCGGCAGATGGTGACTTGGTCGGTGCTTTGTCCACTATAATCATCTTCTTGATTGGTCCCTAGGAGAGCAAGGAGGCTAGGAGAGTTGGGGATGTCGGCGGAGCTGTCGGAGGAGATTGAGGCTGTCGGGGATGGGGGTGGGTGGTTCTCATCACAAACTGAGGATTGAGGTGTGTGTCGGTCTCTATTGATCAAGGGAGGATTGGTGCGACGCCGTTTCGAGGGCGGCATGTTTGACATCGAGGGCGAGTGCGCGCGACTGTCTTCATGGTCTGATCCCTCAATAGAGCCCACGGAGGACAGGGGAGAGCCCGGAGAGTCTCGTGAAGCCATTGCAATGGACTGTTCAAATAAGAGACGTGACAACAAATATATCGATCCAGGTTACTGACTGCTTTGAACGAGATGATCGCGGCGATGCGAGACGCTATGTCATCACGTGTTACGATCACGTAAGCTCCCCGGAGTGTGAATCCACACTCTCCCCTCCCTTTTCCCTTCTTCCCTTTCTCTTTATACCTCCATTGAGCCTTTTTTTTTGACATGGACGTTGACATTGATGATTGTTTAGGGTTATCAAATATGTCATAGGATCCTAGCATCTTATATTGGTTCACGTTTAATATCACAACTCTTCACACTCACCGGTAAGCTTGCCTTTGTGTCCTTGTACTATGACACTGCCTACCTGATGAACAAACCCCGAAGAATTCTGCAATGCTGACAGTCTCCATGTTTGAAAGCATGTGAGATTGTATGTTGACTCTTCTACACTTGATCTGATTTGAGCAATAATCCATTGTCATCACGAACGTCTACAAGCTAGAATCTGTAGCTAACAGAACAAAGTATAGAAACCCCTTAGTACCGAGCACCAGCAACAACATTACTCTTCAAGATAGCATCAATCTCAGCCAGTTCTGCATCACTCAATACCTGTGTACCACTCATATTCTCAATCACCTTATCCTTCGTAGTACCACCGGGAATAGGAATAATAGTAGGCATACCGGGCCGGCCACTCTGGCTGCGCACCCAAGCAAGTGCGATCTGGGCCGGCGCAGCACCCTTGCGGTTCGCTAATTCCTTGACCTCATTGATGAGCTTAAGGTTCTGCTGGAAGTTCTCTTCCTTGAATCGGGACATATGGTGACGGATGTCACCTTCGGGAATATCCGCCAGCGAGCTCACAGCTCCAGTCAGGACACCACGCCCGAGAGGCGAGTAGGCGACAATGGGGATGTCGAGCTCTGCACAAGTTTTGGCGACGTCGTTCTCTAGAATGTCGGTCGACCACATCGACATCTCGACCTCAACGGCTGCAATCGGGTGCACCTTGTGTCTTTTAAAAGTTAGGTTGAAGCTGGTTCAAAGTAGAAAGAGAGAAACATACGCTCGGCGGATCGTCCCGGCATCAACCTCACTCAATCCAATTCCACCAATCTTCCCTTCCTTAACGTATTGTGCGAGGACGTCGATAGTCTGCTCGACAGGGACCTGCGGGTCCTGACGTGCGCATTCGAAAATGTCAATCTTCTTCTTGCCGTCGAGCAGACGCAGACACTCGTCCACACTGCGACGGATATTCTCTTCTGAGCCATCTGGGATGAGAACTCCCTTCTTTAGTCCGCCCTTGATGCTGAGAACGACTTTCTCTGCGTTCTCTGGGTACTTGGTGAAATACTTGTTGAGCAAGTGCAGGGAGTTGTACTCCGGAGTACCGTAAAGCTCGCCACCATTCCAGAAATTGGCACCCAGCTCAAGAGTAGTGTTGAGTGTTTCAAAGCACACTTCTTGGGCTGGAGGTTGCGGTCTCCATGTCATGCCTGGTATAATTAGCATGGTTTCATTGATGTTGGAATTTGAAGAGAATGCGCACCCATGGTGCCATAGCCGGTAGGACCGACTTCTTTTCCTACAAGAAAAGGCATTTTCGTTATTTTTGAAAGGTAATTGAGAAGTGGTATTGTGTTTGGAGATGGAGAATGTTGATGGAGTGATTGGAATGGTGGGCCGAGGGTCCTTTTTATGGTTGTCAAGCCCCGCCACTTGTGAATAATAGATCGGGGGACTTTACGACCGAAAGCCGTGAAGAATTATATCTCGGTTTGTTTAAGCTCCACTTTCTTCAGATCACCTTCGGCATCCGGACGCTGATAGTTTTTCAGTATACTGCTAAAACGGAGTTTTGCTCGGAAAACGAGAACGGAGTTAAGGGAGATAACGTTCTGCGGATTAATCAAGCTTTTGTCCGACTTCACTTAACAGCTTCTATACATTGTGCGATTGTAAGACAGAAATAATTGTTAAAGGAGAAACTGTATTGATTTGATGTCTTATTTGAATGGGAACACGCTTGAGAGCTCATGGCTTCTGTAAAAACATTGTCTGTCAGTATACACCACAATTCTAAATGACGATTCAGCCAGACACGACTAGTTCTACTCCTATTTCAAGTGTCTAGCTTGATTATTTCTGTTTGATAAGTTTAGCGAATATCAATAGCCCGTGAACGGCAAGGCCAATATCATCACGAAAGCATACCTCACTTGCCACCTGCATTATCAGCGAGTCGTGCATTCCTCACTCGCCAAATGACCTGGGAGTAAGATGATCGAATCATCTCCTGTATTCCCCGCGGGAAAGCTCTCAAACATCCAGCTAGCCATAACCTCTTAGGTAAAAAGACTTGATCACTTTTCTGATACACAATTTGCTCAACAACAGCTTCAGCAACTACCTCCGGACTCATAACAGGCTGAGAAAAATGGGATTGGTATTGAGTAAACCCTTTGATCAAAGAGGTCTGGACCCAAAGTGGATGGATGATACTAGTTGAATTGTTTGAGTAAAATCATTGCCAGTTGAAGCGTCTGTAAGGACTTACCTTGTTTTAATGCCTGGCGCATTGTACCAATGCTTTAGCTCTTGCCCGAGTCCTTCGTGGAAAGCCAGTGCACTGGCCTTCGTGCAACAGTACGCCATCATTTCGGCCACCGTCACAAAGCTTGCAGCACTTGCGACGGTAATGATGTGACCTCGATTCATCTGTATCATGGATGGCAGGAACTCCTTCACAAGGAAGAAGTGCGACAAGGTGTTCACCTCGAAAGTCTCACGGATCTCCCGTTCATCGTTTTCAAGCAGTGATCCACGATTGAAGACGCCTGCAGCATTCACAAGAGCCGTAGGATCTCCATATAAATGACGGATTTCAGAGGCAACCCTGGCGACATCCTTTGTTGATGTTATATCTGTCTTGTAGAAGGCAATGCCGGTAGAAAGCTGAAATTCAGGCGCTTTGATGTCGAGAATTAAAACCCGGGCTTTCTCGCGTGCAAGTTGCTCAGATATGTGTTGGCCAATACCACCGCTGCCACCGGTAACAATGACAATTTCATTTCCCAGATTGCGTGTTCCACCCAGCGTGCTACTTTTTCGCAAATGCCGACTGGAAAGCTTGGATCGCCAGTAAAAGAGTATCGAGCAACCAATGACAACACCAGCAATAGTTTTCAAGGATAGAGATTGTACACGGTCGATAATAGTGCCAAAGCTATAGGCCGACGACATGATGTGAGGTTTGCTGCCGTAGTAAGGACCTGTGTAAACATTTGCCTGACACGAAACTTGGCGGAGCGCGCTTTTGCTTTAAATGTCTTCGCTTGGATTGTCTTGGCTCTAAATTTCCTTGAATCGGAATGTCATATGTGGCTACAGGGCTCACATTAGCGTTGTGAGACCACGTACCATCGATGCACTGTGATGGTCTGTGGCACACTCATAAACTTGTCTCTCTTATCTCGAATCCAAATAGGCGTGCAAGCTACCCAATCCCGGTGCAGGAATATAGTGCACAGGTCACCGTGGACCGGGCTTTTGTAGATGCGACCCTACTAATTTAGTATAGCTAGCTAGCGTTGGTTCATTAATTATTGTCATCGCCTGAATTTCCCACCCATGGCTCTATCAGCCAAAAGGTAAGTTGTCCAGCTCTCGCCCCTCACGAACCACTTGTACTACCCCCAGGGTCGATCACTTCTCTTGGCATGTTGATCATCACCTATATCCTAGACGATATAATAGAACTAAGGGGAAGCGCGCCTCAGATTTAATATTGCTTTTGAAATCAGATATGACCTGTTACTTTATTCTATGTGTCGCATCTACTAGAAAGTCGGGCGACAATTGAATAACTATGTGTATACCATCTTTTTCTACGCCTCCCAAAGTCTTTTCATCGGTTTTATTGTTATTACTTATTTTGAATGGTTACTAACATTTTCTATCCATACTCCTAGCTAGATAATATCACTAGTTATCAGCTGTCCACAAACCTGTTAGACGGGATGCTCACATCCGCCGAGTTACAGCCTTACAGTCAGCATACACAAACGCCAAAGAACTCAAGCCCAAAATATGCACCGGTAGAGTCAAACAATTGCATGGAATATAATAGTACAACTATTAAAACAAACTCATTTGATACCCAATCTCTCGCGTTCTCACATTTCCCATCAATCATCCAATCCATGTGCTTACAATCCATTCATAAACTCATCCAAACCAATCTCATCCGAACTATCAATTGCATTCCCAACCCGATGCTTCAACTCCCGATAAACCGCATCAAACAAGATTGGCAAGTCCTCAGAGGTAAGTTTCCGATTCTTATCCCAGCCCTGCCCAATCTGGACATTCGCAATGGGTTTGTCGCTACTCGCCTGGTGCTTGACGGTATGCGTAAAACCGGCGCCATTACTACCATAGGTGGGTGTGTAGCTTATCGAGCTCTCATATGTGATGTGGGTTGTTGGTGTTGCTTTCATGTTTTCGGCTTGCCCGTGTTTGGCCTCCACGCTTGCTGTTGGTCTACTGGAGGGCGAGGGGTCTGCCAGTCCCAAACCTTGGAAGACTTCATGGACGTATTTCTCTGTGTCAGGGATCAGGCGCTGTTGTTTGTCAGTGAAATTTTCCCTATGGTCAGTGGAAAGGGTGGCTAACTGGTGATCGGGTTTCAATTTCGGTTGCTTCGCCCTTTTCTTGGCGAATGGGCTGGCCGTGGACTGCGGAAGTTGCTAGCAGTGCTAGCACTAATACGGAATGCCATGGTCTTGAGATGATATGCGACATTTTGTTGTATAGGTGTGGTGAGGCTGTTGTTTGAGATGGGATTCCGTCGCTGATAATGGGAAAAGTTGATCACAGGTGTCAACAATCATAACAAGATTGATCGGCGATTCGTAGACTTGTCATACTTTAAGAGAAACAGCAGAAATTACCGAAATGCCTGTTTGGTCGATTGGAATGGAGCTTATCCAACAGTCTTGAATGGAAACCAATGTTTATATGTTGACTGCACTTTATTTTTCGTGGGGTTTTTCGTACATCAGTTCCATTCGACTTGAATTTTTTTTTTATATAACTATGAAAAATATATCCTAGAACTGTTGCTTCCCAAGACCCTTTTGTGATGACTAGCAGAAGCGGGCATCAGACTTGTCCTTCCCTGCGCGAATCTAGGGGCAAGTACCCTGTATTGGTCCCCACTAATGACACCAGACATTCCAGTGAAGAACATCCTGCAAATAAAGTACGTTCTTGTTGAATCATAATGATTCTAATCTAGTCTCCCTGGAATGAGGGAGTGATACTGTCCCATGCTTGCATGCTCTTTTGTCTCAACCTTGTCCCCTATGCAACTTCTGTTCCTCGGGATTATTTCTCCATAGATTCTCAACTATGATGAAAGCTATTAGGAGTTGAAGTTTATACATTTGAGTTGAGATCCAGAATCAATTAAACCTGACACTGAGATGCCTTCGTGCCTCTATACACCATCACCAAAGCGATACGAGTTCATCCATCTCTATAACAAGACGTTAGCTGTCAAGTACCCCTATATTTCGCCTGTTTAACGAGACTTACCTTGTCGTAAGGCTTGGACGAGTCACAGAACCGAAGATCAGTCGCGAGACGAATGACATTGTCAGGATCGTTGTTGATAGTTGAGGCATGAATCTGGACACAGCATTATAAGCCTCATAACTTCACAAGAGAAAAGGAAGAACGGACCATGTGTGGCTTGTGCAATACAACATCGCCAGCTTCATAAGCCGAGACCAACCAACGCCGGCCATGTTCCTTTGCAAAACCAACCGGGAACTCAGAGAGCAAACCCGTAGACATCATGTTTGTATTGAAAGCCGACTTGGCCTCTTCATCAGAAAGTCCAGCATCCTTCGCCTTCTTGAAGAAAGCCTGTTCAAGTTCGACTCCAAGTGTATCACCTATATCCCAATTAGCATGACCCTCCAACCCAGAAATTCACTCAACATACCATCCTCCAAATAAATCAACCCACCACCATTAATCTTAATATCCCCCATCGGAACCCAAGCAGTAACACTGGTCGGTTCCCCATACCTCAAAAAGATCTGATCATAATGCACGCCAATAGGTTTCGATCCAGGAATATTATTCCTCAAAAGCGTCCTGCGCAAATTAAGCGTATCATCCCCCCACCCAGTAAGCCTCGCAACAAAATCATAAAGCGCAGGATGACGACAGAATTTCTCCGCATACCAATCCTGATAGTGAGCATCTAGGGCGAGATCCACAAACGCCGCCGCCCGATCACCACCAGGCTTACCATTCCCGCCGACATGTCCGGCTCCAATACCGGGGTAGTCGAGATGGCTTTTTGCCGGGTCGAAAATGCCTTCCACCGGTGCGGTTTTGGGTTTCAGAACGCCTGTTGATTCTAGTGAGGTGAAATAGGATTCGCGGGCGGATAGCACGTCTTCGCGTGGGAGGACTTGTTTTAGGAAGAGGTAGCCGTCTGCTTCGTAGCGGGCGCGCAGTTCGGCGAGGGGGAGGCTTGGGGATGAGGGGCGGAGGAGGGTTGCGTTTGCTTGGGTCAAGGGGCCGTCGTTGACGGAAAGGTTCTCTGCTTGGAGGCCGACCATTTTGGCTTGATTGAGGGTTTGATTTCACGGAGGTTTGATTGTTGGCTGGGATTTTGACTGGGGTTGCGCTGCTTTCTTATATCTTGTCTTGGGTGCCATGGCGGGGTATGCTCTAGGATGGATATCCAACCAGGTAACACATAAATCGATGCTGACCTGATGTTCCCTCATTCATTTGTTATTTTGAAGCCATGGTATGACTGCATAGTTGTCATCGTGGAGCTGTTGGATCAAAGAAGTAATTTTTTCCGCGATTGTGGCGGGGATCTGTACTGCTTTTGACAGAATGTGGAGAGACGTGGAGAACGGCCAATGCAGATCCGCGGGGAAATTTGCTGTTTCTATATTGATTTCTCTCCATCTCCATTTGTGTTAAGCGATGTTGGCATTGAAGAGCCATTGAGATATTCATAACTCCATATGCATACTGCATAGATATGTATTTATGTTTCCAGTACAATTCTATATCAACAACACTGCGGATGCAAAAGGATATGAGATTGGATATTCAGATTCTTTCCAAGGCATCTATTAGCATCAAACTTTGGGGCACCCACGATGTACAAGAATCATAGGGTATAACCTACTCCTTCTCAGCAGCCAGATGAACTGCCAAAATCGCATTTCCACTAATGCTGCCCCCAGGGCCATTTCCATAAACCTTTTCACCAAACAACCGCAACTGATTTGGCATAGAAAGATCTCCATAATGCTCAACGACATCATCCTCCCGAATAGCCAAAGCAATATCACTCCAGGAAGAACCAGAAACATGAGCACGAAAGCCAAACTCAACACACTCGCTCAGCTTGGATGAAGACCACCAATCCGGCAATATATCAGGCTTGGGCTCAAGCAATTTCAGAAATCGGATCAATCCATTACTCCCGTCTTCACCGTGACTGTAGATGCCGTCGAAATCGACGAACCCTCCGTACATATATGCCTGCTCCATCCGTAGGCGGTAGACGTCGATAAGGAGCATGAAGACGTCTTTCTCTGGTCGGTTGTGGAGCCACTACTTTGCACGTAGTTTGTGGAAAGGCTTTTTGATGGTGGGTTCTAGACTGCCGTTGTAGATACCGAGCAGAGCGGGCTGCTTTTTGGCACGCGTTTCTCAACGGGTGGGCCGGTGAATGCAAATATCTTGTTATTGAGTCTGCACGTTTTCTTGTGCTCTTTGAAATCTTCTTCTTGGCATTTGCGGGAGCAATAGAGGATTTCTGGCGACTTGCAGTGACCGCAGTGTTTCAGGACCCCGGTTGTTGTCTCATATTTGTCGCATGTATGACAAACTCTTGCGATGAATGGACAGTCGATCATTCTCGAGTCTGGGCTCGGTGGTGTGAGCGGCGATTTGGAGGTTGAGACTGTTTATCGAGGTTAGTCGAGTGAGATTTCTGGTGAAAGTGATTATCGTGGTACCTACGAGACATTGGTGTTTCTCAATGCGAATTAGTATGACCCATGAAGTATCGATAAAAAGAGAGATAGCAAAAATGGTATCTGGAGATTATGAAAGAGATAGAGAACGACCACGGGTCCTTCTACTTCAAATATCTCCAAAGGTAGGTTCTCCCAGTTGAGATACCATGGCAACCCCCATTAGGACAACAGCAATTTGGAAAAGTCCTATATGAGTATATCTCCAAGCCCAGCTCTAAACAATAAAATCTTCAGCCGCAATTCCAACTCTCATCTCAGCCATTGCCGAATTAGCAACACCAACAGTATCAATAGTCGGCTTATGACTCGGCATCCTGGTCCTCCAAACCTCCATTAAAATAGGATAATAACGTCCATAGCGCAGAAAAAAAGTGAACTTATATGTACCAGAAAGATTGTTGCCAACACCTGCAGACATTGATGCTTTCTCCACGCCGTTCAGACATGCGTTGCATCTCTATACTTCCGATGTTGCAGTTTGTAAGGATGTGTTAGTCGACTCCATATGCATGTTGAACAAGCTGCATTAGTTCCATGCATTATCAGACATAATCTATAAATTGAAGACCTCGCACACCAGTTGTTTTGCTGAGTTTTAATTACAGGCGCTCAAATGCAGATAAATGCCTGTTGTAATATGTGAGATAATGCGAATAATCCAGCTCTAGAATGCAATCCACTTTTCCAGATCTATGCATCATCTTTCCAATCACTCAATTCCCACCCCTTGACTCCATCATGAATATCCAACCTTAACGTCGTGAATTTAATCTCCTCGTACATGACCGCAGCCGCAGCTCTAGCCTGAGCATGCCAAGGTCCTTTCCCACCAAGTCTAGCATCATTCCTGGAGCGCCAGATGCCTGCAAAGTACATGTCAGCATTTCACCCATACAAAACATATAACCAATGAATAATAGAAAGAACACTCACAAGTCGCCAAATTCCTCCTATTTTCATTTTTCGCACCGAACCAATATTTCAGCAATCCCCCACTAGCAATGGCTTCACGGTGAGAATGCGCATCAAGCGCATAGAGGCGATCATTATCGATATCCGGTAACAGAATCGATCGAAAGATAACAACATAGTACGATCCAGCTGTCCAGTTATGTTCTTCGGTCTCCGAAAACGCTTTCACCAAACCGAAGACTTCAGTCCAGTTGAAGGATTCTGTGTATGGCGCTGTGGCATAATCGTTGCGTATTGGTTTGAGGTAAGATAGCGCCAATGAAAAGAGGCGGTCTTGTCTTTCTAGGCCTGATATGTCGAGGAGATGAGCTGGGTGATTGTATGGGGAGGCGATTAGGTGGGTTGATGGCTCTTTGTTGACGTTTGGTTGAAGTTGGAGTGAGGCTGCTGCTTCAAAGCGCAGTGGGTCGAATTCTGTAGTTATTGTGCTGTGATGGTGGAGATGGGTGAGGCTTGGTACTGGGCTTTTAGGCGGAATTGGGACGGTGGTTGATTCCGCGATGGTTAGGGCCATGGTTGGCGATGGGGAGAAGAGGCTATGTTTGAAAATTTGAAGGTCTAGAGATTCGAGATATAGAGGGAATTGAGAATATTATATATAAAGTCATCAATGGCATCAATTTCTAGAAAAAGAAATTCCTATATAATTTCACCGCTACCATGGGGCAAAGGATCTTGTACCACATTCCATGGTGATTGCGAAACAGAAGCACGCAATTATGGCAAATTGGGCTTCAATTTACACTTTTTTTGCCCTATACGCACTGCTGTATACACCCCTGCATATGAATTCGGGATAAAGTCTTGCCCCGACGAGGATTACTCTTTGTCAAAGGATCATCCACGTGTCGTCGGTGAGCCCTAAACCGTTGGCAAATGTGATCCTTATAGATCTCGGGGGCGACTTTCCCCCATATTTTCGATCTTGGCAATCACACCTTCACACTATTATTTATCTGAACAGGAACATGAAATTATTAAAGTTATTGATTTTTTTCCCTATCGAAAGGTTTTTTGAGGTTATGTAGCCATGCTCGGCGACAAGTTGAAACTAATTGTACAATCGGGATGGTATCACGTAAATCATGGCGCTCAGACCTCCTGATATCCTTCTGAAACTCCGTCAAAATGCAGGTATCCGATGAAAGCAATAAAAATGAGGGAAAACAGAACTGATCTACTGCTTGGGAGGGGGACCCATCTTGCCCTCGCCAGTATCGACCTTCTTCTTGGGTGGAAGAGCGGGAACCTTGAATCCACCATTCTCTCCCGGGTTGTTGGTAGCCTGAGTGAAAGTACCAGACTTGAACCAGCGATTCTCCTCAGCTTCACGCTTGCGCTTGAGCTCAGCTTGCGCCTTGGGATCAGCGAGCTCCAGACCTTGGACGGGAGTGAAGGCGATGGTACTGGAGGTACCCGCTGCGCCAGCCTGAGATCCAATTCCGGAGGCGCGGAGACCACGAGCCTGGAGGACGCTGGCGGTGCCACTAGCGCCCGGAGCGAAGTGGGCCACAGATGCGTTGCCACTAGCTGGTGTAGTGGTGCCCCAACCCTTGTTGTTTTTGCTGAGTTTGGCCCGAGTACGCTTGTCGATCTGAGTGGCGCGGATGCGGCCGTCGTTCTGTTGTCCAAGCATACCCAGTCCAACGGTTCCAGATCCCGTGCCGTATCCAACCTCTGATTCCTCCTTACCGAATGCAACGCGGTTCTGCGCCTTGCGCATTTCGGTCATAGTTGTAGCCTCCTTCTCCTTGCGGGCACGCCATCCACCGCGCTTGCGAGAGGGCTTATCGTCCGGAGCGGGGAGGGCCTTGGTACCGGAGTTCGGGTTGGCCTCGGTCAGCTTGTCCATTTTGGTGTAAATTAGTTCGCGCAATTCTCGGCCGTAAGATCCGTCTTTGGACTGTTCAGCGACATCGACGCGGGTGGCAAGCACCATCTTGGCAGCGAGGGCGCGAATACCCTTGGTTCTCAGGTCCATGGGAACATTTTCAAAGATGGGGGAGTGGTAGAGATATCCCTTCGCGCGGACACCGTGGTTGGTCGCAAAGCCTGTTCCCTCCGATCGACCGGAGCCAATGGCGCCCAGGTTGCAAGCGGGGATAGTCGAGAGTTGCCTCAAGCCTCCGACTGAGTTAAGGAACTGCGCAGCGGTTTCGGGTCCGATCAGAGCTGCCAGATTCGGGGCGGTTTCGTTCATGCGCGACTGTATGCTTTCTGTAAGGGCGATGCGCTCACGGTCGAGTTTCAGGATCCGCTCGCAGGTACGGATAACTTTCTGCAGCTCAGCGTCGGTCATCTCCCGGCCTCGCGTGGTGGTTCCCTCCACCGCGACAACCATCAGGGACGGTCCATCGAGAACGGTCTTGAGTGGAGCGCCAACCAAGTTGTCTGAGGTGTTGGCCAAGGTTTTGATATCGCTGAGAGGACCGTTCAGGAGGATGGCGACTGTCTTCGCATACTTAATGGGAGTGGTAACGAGGGTCTCGAGCTCGGGAAAGCGAATAGAGTAATGATCGCGCAGGACTTTGTGAAGGCGGTTCAACTCATCGGCAGTAGAGATAGAACGGTCAAAGTCGTTGGATTCGCCGCCGACTTGAGTGTTGCCAGCATCCTCGATCTCGTCAATTTCACCAGTGGCTTCGGACTCTTCAAGGAAATCATCTTCGAGCTGGGCTGCATCATCGTCGTCACGCAGGTCCGCCATGAGCTCATCGAGCGCAGACATGATGATGGCTTCTGTGGAGGAAACTTCGGGAGAGGCGCTTTCAGATTGGTTGCCAGACTTTTCACTAGATGTTTCGTTGGATGGCTCGTCAGGAGTTTGTGCAAATGCAGTGAAATCAAGCTGGTGGTCTGATCTAGCACATACACCTGGAAACTTGAAGCTTGGGGGTATGAGTGGCTGAAAGCTTTCTTCTGAACGTGTTCTGCCGTTCTGACCGCCCTCGGCTGAAGTTCGGGAGCGATAAGAAGTCTGATACGAGCATTTCTCGGCACGTGATGGCCACTTGATAAGGACCAAAGGTTATGTTTTTTACGTTTCTCGAAAAGACCCAAGAACGCAGTTCCTGCGTCGCCCGGCAGTTCTACGGCATGCGATAAATTCCAAAGGCGAAGAAGATGTACAATACTTTCATTAAGATACATATGTACTCAGCTCAACCACCTTTCGTCTGTTATTCTTGTTTTCCCCGAGGCTTTTGTACTTACAAAAACAAGTACAGGATATATAGAAGGACCTTTTTAAGCAAATAAATAGTCTTTTTCTATAGTAAACGGGATCAAGCCTCTTATTGGACCGGCCATTACTCTCCTTCTGTTTCTGCCACTGAGTACTCCGTATACAGCTGAACAATTACCAGAGTTTTTCAGACCAAACAACTCTATGAAACTGTGGCCTCCAATGGCAAGCATTAAGTATGTCAACTATACAAATTTTGTACTTTATAGAGGAGGGCAAAATAGTAGTATGACAGCCAATAGAAAATCACTTGTTCAAGGCGGTCTACACCTGAACTTCGCAAACTCACATCGGATCCATTCCTGCTCTGATTCAACGAGCTGACTCTTGTCACTGAACTGGCAAGAAATCTTGCTTTAAGCTTGGGAAAAGTGGTCGCAGTGACTTAGTGAAGCTAAATTGACATTCGGGCCCCCTTCCCACCATCAATTCTCTTTTCTCCGACAGATTTATTATCCTCGACCGTCACCTTGCACTTCCACCGCGTATCAATACCCCCACGAAATCAATTCAGACACCACCGCCACAATGGAGGCGTCCCGTGGCCCTCCCAGGGTCAAGAATAAGGCCGCAGCGCCCGTTCAGATCTCTGCGGAGCAGCTCCTCCGCGAGGCCGTTGACCGACAAGAACCCGGCCTCGAGGCACCGACACAGCGCTTTGCCGATCTGGAAGAACTACACGAATACCAGGGCCGGAAGAGAAAGGACTTTGAAGACTATGTCCGCCGCAACCGTATTAACATGAACAATTGGATGCGATATGCCGCCTGGGAATTGGAACAGAAGGAATTCCGTCGCGCACGATCCATCTTCGAGCGTGCGCTCGACGTCGACTCAACCTCAGTGGTACTGTGGATTCGCTACATTGAAGCTGAGATGAAGACACGAAACATCAATCACGCCCGAAACCTCCTCGACCGTGCCGTCACAATTTTGCCCCGCATCGATAAGCTCTGGTACAAATATGTCTACATGGAGGAGACGCTGGGCAACATCCCCGGTACTCGCCAGGTGTTCGAGCGATGGATGTCATGGGAACCAGAAGAGGGCGCCTGGAGCGCATACATCAAGCTGGAAAAGCGATACAGCGAATTCGAACGAGCACGAGCTATCTTCCAGCGTTTCACCATTGTCCACCCCGAGCCCCGCAATTGGATCAAATGGGCCCGATTCGAGGAGGAGTTTGGAACAAGCGACCTCGTTCGAGAGGTCTATGGAGCGGCGATCGAAATGCTGGGAGAGGATTTCATGGATGAGAAGCTCTTTATCGCATACGCCAAGTTTGAGGCCAAGCTGAAGGAGTATGAGCGTGCACGCGCAATCTACAAATATGCTTTGGACCGGCTTCCGCGTTCCAAGTCTATGGCCCTCCACAAGGCCTACACGACGTTCGAGAAGCAATACGGTGATCGTGAGGGCGTGGAAGATGTGATTTTGTCCAAGCGCAGAGTTCAGTACGAGGAACAACTCAAGGAGAACCCTCGCAATTATGATACTTGGATCGACTTTGCGCGACTAGAGGAGCTCTCAGGCGACACGGAAAGGGTGCGCGACATTTACGAACGGGCCATTGCACAGATCCCTCCCTCACAAGAAAAGCGACACTGGCGCCGTTATATTTATCTTTGGATTTTCTACGCTGTGTATGAAGAATTGGAAATGAAGGAGATGGAGCGCGCTGCACAAATTTATCAGGAGTGTCTAAAAATGATCCCACACAAAAAGTTCACATTCGCCAAGGTCTGGCTCATGAAGGCGCGATTCGAAATCCGGCAAATGGAGCTTCAATCGGCGCGGAAGACACTGGGGCAGGCGATTGGAATGTGCCCGAAAGAAAAGCTCTTCCGCGGCTATATCGAACTCGAACAACAATTGTGCGAGTTCGGGCGGTGTCGAACCTTGTTCGAGAAACAACTCGAATGGAACTCCTCCAACAGTCAGACTTGGGTACAATTTGCCAAATTTGAGGAAAGTCTCCAGGATGTGGATCGAGCCAGAGCTATATACGAGCTCAGCATCGAGCAACAGACTCTCGATATGCCCGAGACTTTATGGACAGCTTTTATCCAATTCGAGGAAGAACAAGACAATCCCGAGGGCGTTCGATACCTGTACGAGCAGCTTCTCCAAAGGTCCGACAATCCACGTCTGTGGTTCGACTATGCCAAATACGAGATGACGGTTTTCCCGGCAGAAGTAGAGGAGGAGGAGGACGAGGACGAGGACGAGGAAGAAGAGGAGATCACCGAAGATGCGAAGATCAAAGTGCGCGCGATTTACGCTCGGGCAGAGAAGGCCTTCAAGGAAAAGGGGCAAGCAGGAAATGTAAGTTCAAACGCAAATAAGCCATTCACTACCCCGGACTTTCTAATATCTTCACAGCGCTTCAAACTCCTCGAGGCATGGCAAAAATTCGAATACATGCACGGCTCTCCCCAGGATATCGAAAAAATCAACAAACAGGTCGGCCGTCAAGTCACGAAGACCCGTGTGTTGGAGGACAACAGCTACGAGCATTACGTGGACTATACGTTCCCGGCGGACGATCAATCAGCCGCCAATCTCACCAACCTGCTACAAATGGCACATCAATGGAAGCAGACTCAATCTTAGGTTGCTTTTCCGTGATTACCTGTTTCACTGCGTTTGCAATCATGGGATGGACTTATCCATGTGTTATAGTAATTAGACCAAAATACCATTCATATGCCTCATTGACCCACGTCTTACGGTCCATTTAATTGGTGTTACTAGTTGGATATGTGTATACATGGTTATTGCCTGCATCTAGGTATATAACATGTCATGCATGAGTCTTGTCAAGCTGGTTTCCATTGATCTCGATCCAGTTTCATACAATCCCTGCATCTTGCATCTCCGATATCGATCAATGGCGGCTGACTGCTGAATGAATAGCGTATTACCTGCGTCGGCCGGTTTTGATACTTGTATATTAAATCGGGTTAGTGTAGGGTCTTTTGTTCTCCAACACGGCTTGTATGAAACTTGAAATTGATAATGGATGCGATGATATAACTTCCATGAACACCATACATCTAAGCACATATTTGTTTGCTAACCCACGTAGCATCAATATATGTTTCGCAGCATGGGTCATCCGTGTACAAAAGTCAAATTTTTGGATACCAAAATAAGAATGATATATATTTTGACCAACGATCTGGAACAGGGGGTCTATGTCTCTACGCTTTGTGGTGTATATGCTTAATGGCTTAAAGATATCAGGGCTCACCAAAAGAAACCATAGAGTTACAGAAGAAGATCTCATCTTTCAGTTCTAATTTTATAATATATTCGCAAAAATCTATCCAAGTAAGCTCTTCAAGATCTAATAATAATATCAAGGTCAGTGTTCACGAGCAGTTTTATGTCAAAAATGAAGATAACCAAAGGCCCTGCCTATCTCCTTCCAAGGTTATTCGGATTTATATAAGAGCCTTGATTCCTGGCTATGTTTAGTGAATTATTATCCAGCGACACTTTCAGCTTAGGCTTCATTCAACGAGTAATTTTTACAACATGCCAAGGTTTCACTCTTCCTATCAACTTTGGAATCTTACTCAACCCAAAAGTATACTTAACCAAGTCCGCGGACAATACCGCAAAGAGTATGCATTCCCCTTGAAATCTTGATAATATTACTAACATTATTTAGTGGCCGGCCAAATCCCGCAGCGCCCCATCGATGACAATGTTTGTGACAGTTGCAAGAAGAACATTTACGGTAGCGGCAATAGTTCATGCAAGTCAATCTGAGTGATAGGAGAATAGGAGAATTGATACAGTAGACTTGACTTGAAACACAATGGAATCAAGGTTTTCAAAGTCCCATGGAATATCACGAGTCGCGCGTAAATGAACGAACCAGAGCCTTGGAGAAGCCAAAGCACGAGCCAAGTGTGGCATCAAGATCCATGGATTTGAAAACTTCAACCACGGGTTGAAAAGGGGGAACCTCCAGATGGGTGTTTTGTTTATTTATTTTATTTTCCTCGCGACCTACATATGCATATGTACATAGTATACTACTTACGTTGTATATGCATATAATATCGTACATGATTTATTTATTAGTCTCGCACAGCACCGTGGACTCCTTGCAGTGTCTCTCGTTTATGCTTTTCGCCTAGAAGGATTGGAAACAGAGGGCTAACGGCTGCGAGAACAGGGGTCCAGTGGGATCAGACTGGGCTCCACCTAATCGGTATTGCCTGACAGAGAGGATGACTATTTTGGTTCTCTTAATGTTGCACCTATGTTGTACGACATTTTACATGTAGGAAGTTGACAAAAAATCAAAATCAAAAACAAAGAAGCCAAGTGAGAAGAAGCAATGTAGAAGTAAATTAAACCAATTAAAAAGGGGACATGAAATTGAGGGGAGTGACGAAATGGTTCCCCTTAAGGGATGGCGTCCTAACGACACCCGCTAACCTCCTCCGTTAGGGGGTTGACCTCTTCTCCCTGTCTCACTCGTCTCTGTCCCTCTTTTCTGTCTCTGTTCCTGCCTCTGCCTCTCCGTGCTGTGCACTCGTTAGCCGGTTCTACAGCCTCATCTTTCGTTTTACCAACCTCATTCGCTTACTCGTCTTACTTTTTCGTTCTATTTTTTGCCCCGACTGGATCGCCCAGCCTTAGGCTCCAAAGTTGTGATTACCGATTGATTACCTCGATACATCGAAATTATCACGCGTGTTTTGACATTGTTGTGCCCCTGAACCACTGAATCAATCCGCGTCTTATCCCGAACCGAGTCATCCGATACGAAATCCCCACAAAATAATTCCGCCATAACTTGAAACAGTTTACGGAATAGCCAAGAAACGCCATTCGATTGCCGCTATCGCGCGGTCAGTTCTCTCAGACAGAGAGTGGCATACTGGCAGATTTTGCAAACTTGCCTCGGTCGATATGAGATAGTGCTCTGGCAGTCACCTTGATTCACGACACGGCATAGGGTATCCGACTCCCTAACTGGCTGGCCAACGCTACACGTTTGATACGTAGCATAACTATCCGCCATTCGAGATGACTGGGCCAAAACCTCCAATGGAGATCACGGGCGATTGCTCCACCATTTACAACAACACACTTTACGTCTATTCGCCCGAGGGTTTCGCCTCAATACCCCTCAAGGAAAATGGAAAATGGTTCCCATTGCCGGAGCCAAAATACACGGTTACTAGCCCTGCTTGCGTCAAGGGCGAGATTTACGGCAGCAAGGACGAGGCATTCTATCTGGTCGGCGGGACCGGCCCTTCTGACAACAGCGGCCTCCAACGATTTTCTTTCAGCAGCAACAAGTGGGAAACTTTACCCATGACAGCCTCAGATATGAAAAATCGCACTGGACACGGCGTTGGATACTTGTCATCAACTTCGGAAATCCTTGTCTACGCGGGAAACACAGATGGCAGTAAAAGTGCTTCCCAATCAACACTCCTTATCTCGACAGAAACCTACGGCGTTAATTCTGGTCTTGCCCAAGGTGCACCCGCAGCGTATCAGCCTATCATCCTGCCTTGGGGTAATTCCCAACTCGCCTTCATTGGCGGCTCTACAACCAATACTGCAATTTTTGTGTATGATCCCAGTAACGGCACGGGCTTCACTGTGTCGGAAGCGACTCTTCCCTCTCCCATCGAATCTACATCGCTCTGTGCTCTGGTATCGGAAGGCGACGACATGGTGCTCCAAGAATTCAAGATGGATTCTTCCCCGAACACTGTGACGAGCTTCCTCCTCAAGTCAAAGGGAAAGCTGCAAAGCCCGGCCCCCGTCGTTAGCTCTTCGGAGAAGAGGAGTATCACGGATTCCTCCAACAGCACATTCGCTCCCAAGGAGTCCTGGTCAGAATATGCGCTCGCCCAGGGCAATGGCATTGTCGTTCTGTCGAATGGCCAGAGTAATGACTCACTGGCAGTGTTTAACCAAACCTCCAATGGCTGGGTCAACTCGACCGCACTGTTTTTTGGAAGTGGAGATCAGACCTCACTCAGACCATCGACCACTTCCCTCACCTCATCATCTACCCCGACGTCCACTTCATCTGACTCGACCTCCGCCACGACCACGCCTACTTCCTCATCAACTTCAGCCGCAGCTGCCGGCGGTGGCCTTAGTGACCACGGCAAAACCATTCTCGGCGCTACACTTGGAAGTGTCCTCGGGTTTGGTCTGATCTTACTCATCATCCTTCTACTCTTGCGCCGCGAGAAGGAAAAGAAGAAGAAGCTAGCCGCCCAGAGCGATACTCGTGGCGATAGCAAAGACCGACTCAGCTTCCAGGACCAGGGCATAGAACCCCTAACTGAAGGCGCCTACCCAATGGCCAGGTCTCCTGTCCCACTTGCTGCCTCCGCATCGGCCGACTCGCTCGCCATCATGACTGGCAATTACAGCGGAGAGAAATCTCTCAGGCCACCTGGTGCCACAGGTTATGGATTAGCCGCCGGCAAGAGCAGCCCGCTATCAACTATTCCCTCCAGCGGCGCCTTGGGCGCATCAAGCGTGTACACTGATGAAACCGATCGGACGGCCGATTCCCCCGGTCGCGGCAACCAGCCCGGAGACCGGACAACCGACGAAGGATGGGGGAAGTACTTTGAGGAAAACGGTGGTACCAACTTGCAGTCCGACCGTTCCACCATGAGCTCTATCTACACAAAATCCGACTACCGTGGAAGCGGCTGGCCAATGGCCAATTTGGCACCACTAAACTTCGGCTTCCTTGACCAGCCCAAGCCCCTCGGCCAAGTCTTCAGCGGCAGCCCAACGACCGAAGTCAGTTCTTCGGATATGGGCAGTCGAAGCCTCGTAATTCCAGAAGGTCAATCGGCACGAATCTCCAGCGTCGACTCAATCAGCGTCACATCAGATGACGACCGTGATGATCCAAACTGGCAAGGTGCAGCACACAGCAGCTGGCTCGGCCGTCCCTCAAGTTCCAACTACAGCAACAGCTTCTACGACTCAAGCACACGCGATCTAGCAGGAAGGTCGGCCAACACCGGCCTCGCAGACAAAGCACGACAATCACATCGGAGATCCAGTGTCATGATTCCCGACAACATCGACGAAGATGAACTCCCCATACAAGGGCAGAATAACAATCCCAATTCTGATATGAGCTGGCTCAATCTCAAAGTTGAACGTTAATCCCACCCTCACCCACTCCCCTATGAGCTTACCTCCCACACCACCCCAGTTTCTTCTGGTCTCTTTTACTCTGATTCTGATTCTGATTCTTCCGGCGTCTCCTTGGCTGTCCTTGCAAAAGTTCCTTTTCGCATTTGATGCATTTTCGCGTTGCATGCCTGTGTCGAGCGATTCATTAGCGTCTGTCACAGGTGTTGTTTTACTGGCTGTGCCTGTTCCGCCTTCTGGCGTTTATTGTACATATCGTGATCTATCAGTACGATTACTTGTTAGAATCAAGCGCATGTAACCATGTCATACATTCACCATTCCATATCCACATCCATTAACATTAAGCATTAAGCTTGGAATCATCTAATCTTATCGTAACGCTCAATAAAACTTGGCCAAGAACGACTGCCTCTTCGAAACCTTCCTGAACTCGTTGACCATCGGGCTGACCATCGCCCGATCATCCCCTTCAACCATAGCTTCAAGTCCATCTTTCCTAAGCAGCGGAACATTCTCCTCAACCTTCGTTCTAATATAATAATGTTCATCATTCTCTTCCATCCCAATAAACCATCGCTCCTTCAACTGCCTTCCCATAGGCCCACTCCCACAAGCACCCTCCAGCCTCGCACTCTGCGGACTATTGACTGCCAGCGCGAACAGATTCTGTGGCTCCGTAAAATCAGTCACTTGTCTCCCCCGCGCTTCAACAATCATAAACACCAAGCAAACAAAACTGGTCAGAAAAGCAAAAACCAATATCACAAGAAATATCCCCTGCCACTTCTCCGTGCCTCCAGATGCATAGCCAAACGCCTGCAGCGTAGCGTTGAAAAGCTGGTACTCTGCTTCACTAAGAATAGTATCCGTATGATTCCAAAATGGAACGAAGGGCGCGTCTTGCGTGCTTAGGATTAATGTGCTGCCAGCCATCATGGCTAGCCCTTCTGCGACAGACGGCATGGATGGGTTGAGAGCGTATACGCCGTCTGTCTTGTTTGGTACCATTTGCATCAATAGGCGGGCGTTACTTGCTGCTCCATCTGAGATGCCGGCGTTTAGACTTAAAGCATTTCCCCATTCTGATGCGATGTTCTTCCAATCGGCATTCCATAATCCTTCGGTCATGTCCTGCCGGTGGTTGTATTGTAAGGAATTTGCTAGATCCTCGCATTGAGAAGTTAAGAGTGCGCCACTGGATTCCACATTGTAGGTTGTTGAACAGTGGCCTGTCTGCTTTGCGCGCAGTGAGCACAGCACGTAGGGCGTTGTTTGGTATGGTGGTGATGCGCCGAGGAGGTAGATGGCGTTTGTGGGCCAGGCGCCTGTTCCGTTCAGGATTGTGTTGTAGGCTTTTGGGAATTTGCCGAAGATGGGTGGTCTTTGGCCGTATTTTGGGCCGAATTTGAAAATGTCGTCGACGACTGTTCTATTGAGCCAGGAGGGAATTCCTGGAATGTCATCTGGTGGGTTGGACGTCCAGTTCGTGGGATTGAACTTCGAACCGCCTGGCCAGGAGGAGTAGACTAGTGGTTCTAGTTCTTTTTGAGACATTCCGACACAGAGGACGTTGATGGCTGGAGAGGGGACAGAGGCCTCCAAGTTGTATTTTCCTTCGCCCGAGGTGTCTTTTGGTTGTTTGATATTATTCTGTTGGTTCATTGCTGCTGCAGGGATTCCGCCATGTGGCATTGCCATAGTTATGTTGTTTATCATTCTTTTGTGGTGGATGGAGAGGCTAGTCATATTTTGGATTTCAATCCAGCTGCCCGTTATAGTTGTGTTGTCCCAGATTGAGCCGGTTGGTTTGGGACGTTTTTGCAGCTGAGAAGAAGTTTCGTTATTGCCGCGGACTAGATCGGCCCACTGGGTTATCCATTGTTGATAGTTGTGATAGGCGTGACCGACATGCTCGATTTGAAGACAGGTGTTGTTGCGGTTTTCCGAGTCCATTGCGTTGGTGACGGGTGTTTCGCAGTTGGATGCGACGTAATAAGGATTGGCAAAGCTGGCTATGACTTTGCCTTGGAGCATCTGTGGTTGGACCGATCCAAAAGAAAGCTTTGGAGAAACTACCATAAATTAGTACCCACAATCCACTTGTGCGGGTCACAGACGTACCCAATGCTTGCGCCGCAGTTGTGTATAGCATAGCGACGAAGGTTGCCACCAATGCAATTGCACCAAGAAATGTGAGCGCCGAGTATCGTAGTGTTTCCCAGTGAACAATCATAGATCCAGGCTGCATGATCCATACTCTCATATTCATATCAGAGATACTAATTCCCCGCGAATCAGTCATTAAAGCCCTCCGACTAAGCACCTGTCCCAAGAATGCAACGCAAACCGTAACATAAGCGAGCTCGATAGTCTTCGCAAAGAAAGAACTTAGCAAGTCCGCAGTCGACGGAACCAACGGGCCGTCGCTCGATATCCTGCTCCATCGCGGCTTACGCAGCGCGATGGCAAGATAAATACCAGAAAAGATAGTCGCATAGAGAGCAAGAAAAAAGACGGTTAAAGGAACCCACGAGAGTCGTTTCTGGAGTACCGTCGCTCGATTGGGACATCGTACATGTGGAGCAGGAGATGGAGTCTGCGGGGCTTTGTGGATATGAGGAGTTGTAGTCGCGTCGCTATCAATTGAATTACGCTTTGGATCGTTTGTGGGGATGGTCTCGCCTTCTGGGGTTGAAATCCCTAGGCCTACGTCTCGGAGAACTTCTTCGGACCAGTTGTCATGCGATGCGGGATGATAGAGGTAGGGTTCGGGCGATGAGCGACCGAGAGGGTTCCATGCTCGTTGAGGGTGCGTATCGAGTGAGTCCTTGGACAGCAATGAGCGCTGCGACTCGGACGAGGCCATGTTTGAATAACAGAAAGAAGGGCCCGACACTTAATCTGAAGGCATTTACGAGTGACAGATCTCAGCTTAAGATAAGAATAGCAAAAATAAACAGGCTGCGACCGTCGCTTAGCCTGGGGCTGAAGTTTGGGGGCCAAAGACGTTAAAAGCGTTGGCGAACTGCGATTTCAATTTGGACTGGAGCATGTTCTATTTTATCATTTATCTTTAGGCTGTGAAATAGGGCTGACAATTCCTCTATGCCTATCGAGTCTCCTCTACACACATAGAAAGACCTGGATATATGGTGTCCAAAAAGTCTTCCAATGCAATGATAGATATTAGGGTCCATGCATAAGCTGGAGAGAGACCAAAAGAACGTTGAAAAATGACCCGAGAACAGTCTGATTGAAAGATAACGGAAAGCCTCAAGATCATAATACTATGACATGTCGCCAGGCTCTAGACGGGATATACTGTCATTAACCGCGGTAACCTCTCGCCAAGTCATCCAAATGTAGCTAACTATGTAAAGAGCCATAATCAGTCTCAACCCCGACAATACGCTAGAGAGTGAGGAGAACAGTAGAAGAATCAGGAACATTCACCGTCAGCTGACCATCTTCAATCCTTGTCGTTTCCTTCAAATGCAGCCGCACCGGTTTCCCTGATTCAATGCATAATCACGGAACATCCCCGAACGTGATATTTCCAGTTGCATTGCTGCCAGGACCAGTGAGATGCTCGATATTAGCGCTTCCATGTTGAATGGGCACCCGAAAGTTATAATAATCCCTGTGAGGACGCTTGGGAATCGTCTGGTCAGACCCCGCAGATTCGTCGCAACAATCTTTCACATGCGCTCACCATTGTAAACGGCATACGCGGATTCAGTATCTTCATTTGAAGGAATATTAACAACGCATGAATCCCGCGGTTCTCCGATAGCAATGGAAAAGACAACCTGACCTTAGCATGGGGCTCTGGTTGTTCGGGGGACGCCCTTACTCTCGATTGGCTGCCGTGATGCGTAGCGATAGTTCAGACCTCGGTGGAAATGGAGGCGCTTTATATTCTGCTAGGGGTTAGTGGCTTGTACCAGGTGGGATGGATCGGTGCATACATGTTCAACAGCCCATAGGAAGAATTAGACTAGCTACAAAGCATCGCCTAGAACATCCGTTTCTCCGTTTCTTCCTTGGTTCGCAACTGAATTGAGCTCGCCGAGAGTGTAGGGAAGATCAAAGTACGCAAGGCTCTCAGACCGCTGGAGTTGTTGCTGGGGATTTCGCATGATGTTCGTGTGGTTCATTAGGGACCCTGCATTTGTTAGTGTGATGCATGAAGTCAGTATCATTTAGAGGACCATACGTTGAAGATCGAAGTCTGCAGGGGGAAGCGGCGGTGAATTGACGCCCATATGACTATTAATTTCAAAGTCAGTCAGGCAAAATAGGACAGAAAGAGGATGGACCAACTTATGGAAGCAAAGCTCTCTAGTCAAGTTATGTTTATCATAACCAAGATTGTAGAGGTATTCAGCTGCCCAGGTAGTATTGGAACTAAAGTCAAGCAAAACAAGGCTAGGCGCCATAAGCCCAGGGAAAGGTTCCGGGCAAGCTTTTCGAACAGCAGCCCTGACGATCGCTGATTGAAAGGTCCACTCATCGGCATAGTCAAGAAGCGGGGGATTGGCAGCGCGATATTTTCCCGCAGCGAAGTTGAATTCGTTGCCAAACTCAAATAGGTGTAATTGAGGACTGACGAAGGTACAGGCCTCCATAGCAGCAGCCTCAGACTGCTTGCTTGATGAGTTCTGATTCAAGTTTAACCCGTGCAGGTACTTGATATCGTGATAGGATTCGAGATAGGTTGGTCCCTAGTTGATCTGGTTCAGTTGATCATCACCGGGATTCTCATAGATCAATTCGATGTTCTCCTCTTGCTGAGGGAAATAGGTTGCATGGTCCCTGTCGGAGAATCCGTGGGTGACTAGAAGCTTTGACTCGTGGACAAAATTGCACACTATGAAATCCCCCAACCATGGCCTTTGGAGAAACACCAGTGATGGTCTTTATATTGTGAAGTAAGTGCAGAACATATTTGGATGAGACTTGCTGCCTGCATGAGAAAGAAGCAAACTCGATCGAAATAGATTGCAGGTCGCTCGAAATTCGGCTGCTAGCCTTTGGCAGAGCTAGAACTTTGAGAGTCTGGTGGCACTGCCCAGGCTGTAGGAAGATAGCTGCAGTTAGAATTGTTGAGACGCTGATGAACATGATGGATTGAAAAGCCAATTAGGCTTGCGTTTTGTTATCTCTAGTTTTAGCCGAGTCTCCGATGGCATTCATAAGAATCGGCCTTTGAATATTGAGTAATAGATTCGACATGGCGAGGAGCTCTGCGAACATTGAAGACCTGGTGCTACAAACGCATTCAACGGCTTCGCCATGGTTGAGGCAAGGAAGAAGGACATCAGTAGGGCTATTGTCAAAAGCGCGTATAAGCCTAGGTGCAGAGAACCGGACGTTCTTTTAATCTGCTCTTCGCGCAAGAGCAGCCCGGTCGGGATAATGTAGTCGCAATCGACGATGAGCAGAATCGCGGCCTCACAACTCCCGTTGAGGGTTATTCAGCGAAGATTATGCAAGCCCTGAAGCCAATATTGAGAATGGTTAATGTAATTGATGGAGGTCTTGATAGATGGAAACTACGAAGCATGTCCCCAGATATGGAGAAATGAATAGCGATACTGATCTATCTATCGCCTGGCATGTCCATATACATCGGCTTCCTACCTGGGCAGGGCCATAGATAGACCATCATCTTCATTCATTTCTTGTTCCCCGAGTGCATGTCTCGTATTCCTCATATATTATCTCAGCTTAGAATATCCATTACCCATAAGATTCTAATAGAACGAAACGTCAGTAAAAGTATAACTTGGCGCCTTTAACAAGTACACGATCCTACCTATGCTTGACTGGGAGAATGCCTGCTCAGTTCGTGAAACCTAACTTCCACATAGACTCATCGGTCTTACGACAGTCGCGCCCTTGACATGGAACAAGGCACATGTATGGAGGTAGGATAAGACTACGTCAAACAAATATTCAGCAGGTCACCTCTGGAAAACATATTTCGTTGAATGCTGAACTGGACTTGTTTCTCAGGGTTGGATGCTAATGATGACCCCTATAATCAGTAGAGAGTTGAAACGTTCTGCAGGCGGTGCGTTCAGCACCCTGCTCCTTGTATCAACCACGTCTCTTGGATCGGCTGTTTGAATCAGATGATTCGAGGGGGTGTGGTGCTTGGGAGGGATATCATCGATAGTGTAGTATGGAAGCGAAGAAGTGTGCAGCTACCCATAATGATTAATTTGTTCTTCGTGCGGCGTACTTTGAGGATTATTCTTGAGAAAGAGGAACGCTTTGAGGCTGTGAAGTGTCTAGTTGTTAGCCCACAGACTAACTGTACTTGAATGTGTGTCAGAGGGGTTTACTTTGTGGCATGGAGGAAGGGGATTCTTGATTTTGAAAGAAGACGTATAAGCTCACAACTGCTCCTGCTGCATTGATCTTTCTTTTTCCGGACCCGTGTTATGTAGGGAACAGGGAGAACAGGAAAGACAAATCACCTCTGCAAATTCTTCTCATGCTCGAACAGCGCTTTTGCTCAACTGTGTGATGGTTTGATAGAAATCCCGGATATACGCCAGCATCTGACCCCTCATCAAGGGACTCGGATTCCACGTAACAGCACCATAGCCGCCTCTAGCAATACCATCCCCACCGAATATGCAGGGGCCAACCTATCAAGCCCCAAATTAATTTCCCAACCACTTGGCAGGCTAGCATGGACACAAAGAAAGGATAGAGCAAAGCAGGCCATCCACCTACATGACGTCTCCGCTTACGCAGCCCAGATGGCCCTGGATACGCTAGTAAACCCATAGGTCGACTGCTCGTTTGACAAGTGATGCAGGGGAGAATACGAAAGATGGAAGATGAACAGCAAAGCATGATGTGTATTGAAGTCATTGATTGTGCAGTGGACAGATACGTGTGTGTAGTCCAAGCCACAAATCGAAATTAGAGTACGAATGCACTCTCGTCAGCCATCCGCCTCTGTTTATTCCACTCCACTCCCCACACCGGATTCGGTCAAACCCTTTTCAAGCAGGTACCGAATAATAATGGAGCCTATTCGTATGTCGACTCCGTGTCGTCTGATGTTTGTTTGGTTTTCTTGGACCTATGACCAGTCACTGATTCAAAATTACAATAATCCACTGTTGGATCCGGAACAGATAACAATCTTTTTCCTAGCGAAGTGGGACATGATAAACTTAGATAAATGGGGCGCTGGATAGAGAATGACTTACTATATACGACGTAGAGATTATGCACTTGGGGTATTGTTCGCAGTTTGAAGTCTACGATGGAGATGTATCGTCATTACTTTTCATTCGTTTTCTCACTGAGGACTGTTTCGTATCGGTGTGCTCGGCTAACTCATTTATAGCAGCGATCTTTCCTGCTATAGGACGGAGTAGCTTGGCGTTAGGGGGGAACTTTCCTCGCGAAATATTAAGGAATCTTATGTTGCAGCCTATAACTACTCCGTAACTGTCGTCGTATGTCGGCGCTTAGACCTTGTAAAGACCGATGTTCAAGAAAATGACAAATAAGAGAATCGGAGTAAGCTGCCAGGGACTCCGCTTTGTAAGCGGGCACTGAACCGTGGAACAAGTGGATGTTAAGCAATTCAATTGTTTTCAATGGTATTCAATGGTGTTTCTACCAATGTTATACGACATAGTAACGAAGTAGAATTGTAATTATGACATTGTCGTACTAAATTCAAGGGTAATTGAATTTTCATTATTCTCAGAGATAGTAGTCACTTCATATACTAGAAATAGATCAAAGATCAATAGCGTGAAAGCCAACGCATATAAAGCTTAGTGGAATGGAGCAAATAGTGACTGAAGCGAGGGTCTCCACGTCCTATCAGGGCTCGGAGGAATATGAACTCGCCGGGCAGCTATCTGCCGGATCGTCTCTATGGAGTTAAGCATAAATGCCGAGGCGTTGATTAATTCATGACTAGTAGATAATCCGTACTCCATACGTCGTTTACGATTCCAGAAATCAGGCAGCAGTTCAATTTTATGCATGGGGCTGTGGCTGTGTATTTGGAGACGGCGCAGCAAAATGATTTTGTGCGGGGACACAATGAGGTGGAGAAACTGGTTTTTCCTGTTTTTCTCTTTTGATCGGGGTCGGATATAAAAGCTCCGATCGGATATCAGGGACGGGGGCCTGAAATCAATAATAACAATTCTAGGGAGTACAGAGTAAGATTTGTATATTGAGGGTCAAACCTACTCCAAATAGGTATGGTTATAGTGTATATTTTAATTCAAGCCACGCAGATAACACGAAGGCCGCGTGGGCAAAAGAAAAAGTGGCGGGTGAAGTAATAAATTATGGGGGTCTCCATGCCGCTAAGCGGGAAATGTGGTTAAAACGAAGCTATACAACTGGTTGACGCATTAACTAGTCTCATCATAGTAAGCGGGAGGGGACTGGCCACGAGTCCCTGCATCTAAAGTAAGAATTGATACAGAACCCAAGGGAAGAAAAACGGAAAAAAAGGGTCCCGTAGGTAATGACGGGAACAGGGCCCTGACAAGTCAAGCTTGTGGCGTAAGCTGGGAGGACGAGTAAGAGGACTGAGTCGAACACTAAATCGTTAGTTGAGTCATGCACTGAAGTGTATTTGGCTCAAGCTGGACTAAACGGTTAGCACTACCGTGGATATACGTAGGCTGCATACGTATGCCCCGTCCAGAATCGATGACAGGCAAATCACCGCTCGGCTGGAAAAGCCCCAACACGGTCCGCGTCCTCAGCCCACGAACCATGTTTTGGGCTGTATTTTCCAGATCGGAGTGTTGAAGCTTGGCTTGATCGACGCCCATGTGTACATATAACGTTTGAAGGAATGTGCAGAATTTGGCATGTGCTTGAGAATGGGGTAGAGACATCTAGATCCATACCATGAAAAAAAGAGAAGTATCTCTAGTAGAATGTCAAACCACCCGTTTCATAATTCAACGACCATGCTCTCAACATACAAAGAATTGAACAGTACGAAGAGCCAGAATGCTTCCATACGTCGCCATCTTACGTATGCTGGCGGGAGTGTTCTCGGGAGCGGGGCGGGTGTTGGACGCGTACGAGTACGAAAGGCACGGGCCAATTTGAACCCCCCTGAGCCCTAAATCCCTTGACACAGCTTGACGCAGTTTCAGACGTGACAGATGATCGTAGCAGATTAAGTTGTCTTGGAAATGAATTTCCTAGGAATAATGTACATTCTATGTAATTCGATGAAAATCCCTTGCGATCTCGGACGAGAACAAGAAAAATTTGAACACTCGGTGCAGAGTACCTTTTTGAGCTCAGGATAACCCGAACCCGAAATGCACGCCACGGTGGAAAATTTATTACACGATTGATGTATTTAACCTAGGGCTGGGCCTTTGTTTCGTCTTATCTTGCTTGAATCTTTTTTTTTCCCAAAAAAAAAAAGAAAAAGAAAATTCCATAGGGCGAGATCGGCCGTATTTCGGGATATGTAAAGGGAACTAAGAATAAGGCCAAACCAATAAAATGAACAGCAAGAACTAAAGTTGAGGATTGAGAATTGGGAATTAAGGGAAATCCGAGCCCTTGGGATCCCCGAGCCGGATGTTAATTCCCAAACAGGCCAAGTCTCCAACATCATCACTTACGTATGTCCTCGGATTTGAATATTGTTCTATGTAGTGTATAGTTTAATCCGTACAATGTCAATATGTAGTTATACGTAGGAGTTTTGTACAATGATAGACCGGACTAACGTATAGTTTCGAATCCAAGGGCTAAAAGCTTGTCCGTCCCGAGCCAGGAATTCTGGGCAGAAAAAAAAACCAGATCTGTACCTTAGTTACAGGTCGCACCCTAAATTGTCCCTAAATTGTTCTCCAGGGTCCAATGGTCTCATGATTGTCCGCAGTTCTGCCGAAATGGTGGATCTTTTCTGTTTTCGCTTCACCCAACCGAAGCCCTAGTCCAAATGGTAAGCGCAATCGGAGTTAAGACTTTGATTCCCATAAAGAGTGAAACAGAATACGTCTTGGCCTTGACAGTGAATGGCATGAATGAAATAAAAAGACAATAATAGCCAACGCAAGACTAACAAACTGAAAAAACCTAAAAGAATTATAGCTACAGACCAGCGATCTTCTCAGGGTCGCGGGCGGGCCGGAAGAAACGGAGAAGGAAACGGGTCTTCACAGGGTGTGGATTAGGGGTCTTTGTATTCATGTTTTTATATTACGATTTGGATTTTAATATTTTACAATTATAATCATATTTAATTCATTAAAATCATTTTATCTATTTCATAATTTAATTATTTTTCAATTTTCTCATAACTCCACTACACTAACATAGCGTGCTCCGTATCGTGCAAGTCTTCTGGGGAGCCTCGACAGACCCTGGAGCTTGGCTTCTTTCGCATTTTAGTATAATTAGTTCCTTAGATGCATGCTTGGCTTGTTATCATTTTTTTCTTCTTCTTCTTCTTCTCTTCTCGATCTGTATTCTATACTTTTTTTGATTCTTTCTATCTCTACGAATCTCCCCCCCTCTTGACCTTATCTCGTATCCACTCACGGCACTCACTTTTACGCCTATCTCATTCTCTCTTAAAAGCGTGGAGCGCTTTATTGGAGAAACACATCCCCAGTGCATTTCTCTGGAAGAAAGTTGCTTTTACACGGTTAGACAACTTGAGACTTCGACCTCCTGCAACATCCCCAGTCCAGTTTGTAACTGCCGTTGAGGATTGTACTCCCCACATCCAATTGCAAATTTAGAAAAGGAAAAAAAGGATTCTTGTTGCCGTTGTGAAAGAGATTTGTCAAATCTCAACTCGATCTCCGAAAGCGCGAATATTCAACCTTCGGGGATATACTCCTCGATTTGTCACTTCCGTGCCTTGAAGAAGAACATACAGAGCACCCCACAAGCTCGAGTCATCAGGCTTCTGTTTAGGCCTGCATACCAAGTGCCGATTTAGGGTCTAATGTTGTCAACGTGTTACACGACCCAGAGGACAAACATCTTTCGAGAGCCGCTGGTGCGTTTGTCATGTCCTCCTGGAGGGGCGAGCAAAGAAGCGAGAAGCCCTTTCTCTTCCTCCTCACCCTCCTCATTATCCTCCCTATCTGAGATACATAATATTCTCGTTCATTTGAACATCCAGACAACCAAGCCGGTCCCGAGCACTCCAAACTAACGTGGATTCTGTCATTTAGTATAGCTTTCCAGCCCCGGTGACGACACATCGGGGCCTTGAGGAGATGTCCAGCTGCAGGACGAGTATCGTGTCCATTCTCAATAATGATGACAACCCATCCTTTGCTGTCCGGTCTGCACCGCGACTCACCCGCACACAAACTTCTCCATCCTACTATCCAAATCAATCAGAGCGCCTCCCTCCCATCGAATACCAACCCCATGCTTCATCCGTATCTCCAGCTGCCTCCCCCCGAGGCACAAGGCACTTCGACCCAGTAACCGAAACAGTGGTCCCTGTCTCTCCAGGCTCCTCCGATGGTTCCGCTTACGACTATATTACCAGCCAACCATCAGCGTACCACCCATACGCTCGGCAAGATCCACGACGGGAACCCTACAGATTCCCATCTCGCGGTCCCGCCCCTCCCAGGACTCCTCCGGAGACAAGCGCCAGTACTTCAGAATCCACTCAGACTGGTCCCCGCGCTACGGGCAGGAAGAACAAGTACCCGTGTCCGTATGCTGCCAGCCACGGGTGCACAGCCACCTTCACAACCTCCGGCCATGCTGCCCGCCACGGAAAGAAGCATACCGGTGAAAAAAGCGTTCATTGCCCGATCTGCAATAAGGCTTTTACGAGAAAAGATAACATGAAACAACATATTCGGACGCATCGCACTCACTCCGATGAAATGCGGTCGACTTCTGAGCCGGAGAATGAAGCGAGGTGGGGTATGGCTCGGCCTGAATCGGTTTATGCCGTTTCGCATCAGCGCAATATCAGTCAGCCCGTTGAGTCTGGTGCGAAGACTACTTCTGGTCCTGCGAACGCACCATGATTTTGTGGTACCGCTGGTTTTTGTATGTGTTTTGTACCATGTCTCTCGTATACGACTTTCCCCTTGATGGTTGTGCCCACTGCTGTGCGGTGTACTTTGATACTGTCTGTCTACCTATGCCCGATACCAGGGCTCTACATTTTTCTTATACCTCAGCGATTGGGAGTTTGGCTTCATTTGTTTATTGTTTTCCTGTTTTATATCCCTCCTGTACTATGTTATGGTTTATTTCAATGCTGCCTCTTATGGAGGTCACCAAATACGAAAAATTGTATAAGAAGTCAAAACAAGTTTCATATTATATATAGACCAATACAATAAGCCAAGATAATAAGCCAATATAAGCCAATATAAGCGTAGAGGCCAGCGAAGTAAAAAAGAATTAAGCCAGTTGGATTGCGGGGAAGCGTGACCCGTGGAACCATTGTTTACTTTTTACTTGATTAGCTATTCTGGAATGACCAACGAGCAACCTCGTTCAGGGATAACCTAGTTAATTTATTGTCAATCAGCGGTCAAATGAAATTAATGTAGGGCTAGAACCTGTCAGGGCTGTCATGTTCCCTGATCCTGAATGCAAGATGACGTCGATGGAATAATATACTGATACACGACAGTTCTACTCGTCTAATTCGACGGAGTGAGCATTTCCTTCATGAAACCCACAGGTTTTAGCGACGTCATTAGGTGGAAATAAAATGGAAATATATATAATAAAAGGACGAACTTTGACTTGTATACTTTCCTTTTCTATGTAAAATCTAACTAACACCTAGAATAGTACAGTACTACTTACAATCTCTCTAGCCACACCTGCCAAGTCTCTCAGCCCCCCCAAAAGTCATCTGAATCCACACTCGACGTCACGCCACCTCAGCCCCGCTATACACTCTTCGATCTCTCTCCTATTCATTTGGTTTTTTTTTCCCATCTCAACAAACATTGTCCCAGTGAACGGTAGCAGATCACATCATTCGACTCTCATCTTTGAATTTGATCTGGACCAACCACCATGTCGTATTACGACGACCGCTACTATCAACCCCGCGACCGCTATACGCGCCCAACCAGTTACGCTGATCCGTACGATGAGCCTCGTGGGCGCTATGCAAGGAACGACCGGGACTACGTACCCCGCGGCTCCGACTCGGTTGAAGAAGTACAGCGCGAATATCCACCAGGCTCAGACTTTGTCTACGAGCGCACATACACTCGGCGACCAAGACGACCAGTCTACGAGAATGTGCGCCGCGCTTCTTCCGTCAGCGGATACGATCCTCACAACGATGCTGCATACACACGCTCCCGCCCTCGCCGGACCAGACAACCCGAGGACAGACGTAAGCTGTGAACTATTTTCTACGAGAAACAAAACCTAACGTACCGCAGGTGCCCGTCGCGCCAGATATGACTCTGATACATCCCCAAGTATCTCTCCACCCCGCCACAGACGCAAAAAGTCATTCAGCGAGCAAGCCCTAGGCGCCTTAGGCCTGGGCGGTGCCGCAGCCAGCTCCAGCCATAGAGAGCGTGGACGCGACCGCTCCCGTTCCCGCCATCGCAACAGATCTTACTCGCGCTCGCCATCTGATTCCCGCAGCCGCAGCCGCCACCGCAGCAGCAAACGTGACAAAAGCGAGCAGCGCATTATACAGGCCGCTCGCGCTGCTTTAACAGCTGGTGCCGTGGAAGCCTTCAAACAGCGCAAAGAGCCGGGAGAATGGACCGGCACGAAAGGCAAGCGCATTCTCACTGCCGCTGTCGCAGCCGGCGGCACAGATGGTCTTGTCGATAAAGATCCCAGCAAGCATGGCACGCGCCACGTTGTCGAGTCTACCCTTGCCGGTCTAGCAGCCAGCCATTTGATGGGTGGCAAATCCCGCTCGAAATCTCGTGGTGGTAATTCGGCAGCCAATGGTTTAAAAACTCTCGCTGCTACGGGCGCCCTCACTGCTGCCGGAAAGGAAATCTTTGACCGTGTCTCGCGGTCACGGTCTCGGCCTCGCGGCCGTAATGATTCCCGCAGTGATGATGATCGTGCTAGCGGTTCTCGAAAACGCAGCAAGAGCGTCCATGACTACATCACCAAGGGCATGGCTGCATTAGGGCTGGGCGAACAAGATGATCGCCATCGCGATTCCAGCCCGCGCAGAGATAGCCGCGACGACCGGAGCCGGGATAGCAGGGATGACCGACGTGAGCATCGAGGATATGGACAGCATCGCGGAGAGCGGGAACACCGAGATGGTCGACAGCGGACCCGGCGACGTGACGATTCGGACTCGGATTCAGATTCAGACGACTATTACAGGGACTCGAGACGAGGCAGAGGTTCGAGAGATGTAGGTCGAAACCGTTCATTGGACGGTGGAAATTTCCCCCCCTATGGTTCTGCGCGGAGTGCTCCGCGCGAAGCTGAAAACTGCAAGGACTGCGAGAAGGGCGAAAGTGATTCTGACTTGGGCGACAGTTCTGATGAGAAGAAGAAGCGCAAGAAGCTGAAGCGGGATATGTTGTTGACTGGTGGGCTGGCTAGCGTTGCGACGATCCATGCTGCGCATAACTTGTACGGTAGTATGGAGAAGAGGAAGAAGCGGATGCAGCAATTGAAAGAAGGAGAGATTACCCCTGAACAGGCCCGCAAGCTTCGCATGAAGGCTAATACTATGGACGCGGTGAGTCTTGGTCTTGCGGCGTTGGGCATTAAGGGTGCTTATGGGGAGTGGCAGGAGGTGCTTGAGAAGAAAAAGGAGACCCGTCATTTCAAGGAAGTGTGTGCTCATCGGGCTGTTAAGAGGGAGATGCAAAGAGCGAAGAGTCAGAGTGCGCCGAGGAACCGGTGGCCCGATGAAATTGAGGATGCTTCTTCGCATGATACTGGGAGGGATCGTCCGGTTTATCGTGATGGCAATCCTTACGGGAATACCTACGGGACTCCACAGATTTCTTACTAGTCCTTGAGGCTTCTTGTCCTTGTTCTCTTTTTGTTTCTTGTTTTCTGAGCCTACGCTTTCGGATTTTACGCCTTTCACGATTTATGAGACATGCCCATATGTGATCTGATTTCTCATGTTTTTCTTTTCCTACAATGAATCTCCTATTTCCTGAGTTATGCCAATCTTTTGTTTCTGCAGCGTTTTGTGCGCATTGCCAGCACTTCCGCCCCGGAGGTCTCTTTCAAGTCGCAATTTAGCACCTCTTTTTACATGAACGTGTTTTTGATGCAGTAATCTCATTTAGGACACCTAATGCAAATGCATGTAGCCCGTATACAAAATAAGCACGGCAGGCAGTTAGCGGATCTACCGATGAGCGATTAGCTAATTCATTAGCTAATCTTGGACCCCGCCAAAGTTAGCCCACTACGGAGTCCGAGGAAATGTATTGGTACCTGCACGTGCATGTTTAATTGCACTGGAATGGCAGTACCAGTACTTTTTAGGACGATCGCTGGGGCGGAGAGTTTTCCTTCACTTCCCCTCCTCTGATCCCCTTTTCTTCCTCTCTTTTTCCTCTTCTTTTCTTCATTCATACATCTTTGGTAAATCCATCCATTCAGTTTCTTTTTTTTCTATACTGACAATTAATAGTTTTTGAACAAATACATTCATAATGGCTGCTCCCGCACAGAAGTTCAAGGTCGCTGACCTCGTACGTTTCTTCCAATCCCCGTCTTTATTTTCAACCATTGACCATTTCTAGTCCCTCGCCGCCTTCGGTCGCCGCGAGATCGAGCTCTCCGAGGTTGAGATGCCCGGTCTCATGGCCATCCGTGAGAAGTACGGTGCTGACCAGCCCCTCGCCGGTGCCCGCATTGCTGGTTGTCTTCACATGAGTATGTTGATCATCCAGGAACAAGATTGGCCCAATGCTGACCGCCACTACAGCCATCCAGACTGCCGTCCTCATCGAGACCCTCACTCACCTCGGTGCTGAGGTCACCTGGACTTCTTGCAACATCTTCTCCACCCAGGACCACGCCGCTGCCGCCATTGCTGCCGCCGGTGTCCCTGTGTAAGCGCCCCAAGGCCCCCATTAGAATACTGGGACTTTTGCTGATATTCTTCAATAGCTTCGCCTGGAAGGGTGAGACCGAGGAGGAGTACCAGTGGTGCTTGGACCAGCAGCTCCAGGCCTTCAAGGATGGCAAGAAGCTCAACCTCATCCTCGATGACGGTGGTGACCTCACCTCCCTCATCCACACCAAGTACCCCGAGATGCTCGATGACTGCTTCGGTGTCTCCGAGGAGACCACCACCGGTGTCCACCACCTCTACAAGATGCTCAAGGAGGGCACCCTCAAGGTCCCTGCCATCAACGTCAACGACTGTGTCACCAAGTCCAAGTTCGACAACCTTTACGGCTGCCGTGAGTCCCTCATCGATGGTATCAAGCGTGCCACCGATGTCATGATTGCTGGTAAGATCGCTGTCGTTGCCGGATACGGTGATGTCGGTAAGGGTTGTGCCCAGGCTCTCCACTCCATGGGTGCCCGTGTCATCGTCACTGAGGTCGACCCCATCAACGCCCTCCAGGCCGCTGTCCAGGGTTACGAAGTTAACACCATGGAGGAGGCTGCCAAGACTGGTCAGATCTTCGTCACCACCACCGGTTGCCGTGACATCCTGGTTGGCCGTCACTTCGAGGCCATGCGCAACGACGCCATTGTCTGCAACATTGGTCACTTCGATATCGAGATTGACGTCGCCTGGTTGAAGGCCAACTCCCAGTCCGTCCAGAACATCAAGCCCCAGGTTGACCGCTACCAGCTGAACGGCAAGAACATCATCCTCCTCGCTGAGGGTCGTCTTGTCAACCTCGGCTGTGCCACCGGCCACTCTTCCTTTGTTATGTCCTGCTCTTTCTCCAACCAGGTCCTTGCCCAGATCGCCCTCTTCAAGGCCGAGGACGTCGCCTTCGGCAAGAAGTACATCGAGTTCGGTGCCGGTGGCCGCAAGCCCGTCGGTGTCTACGTTCTCCCCAAGCAGCTCGACGAGCAGGTCGCTCGCTGCCACTTGGACCACGTCAACGCCAAGCTCACCGTCCTCACCGATGTCCAGGCCGAATACCTCAGCCTGCCCGTCGAGGGACCCTTCAAGCCCGAGATCTACCGTTACTAATTTCCTTATACTCTTATTCTTCCAATTGCGTCTGATATTTGATTCTGGGAAATAGACTTTCAACATGATTTCGACGATGTTATGATTGGCATTTCGGGTTCTCCATCAACTTAGAACTCAAAAGTGGTTGTCCTTCAACGGCATAAAAAGTGGCCTGCACTGGAGACTGGTGTGTTTCTATTGTTTTGTTTTGGCGTGGGATGACCTGGTCAGGTCTTGCATTCAACACTGCGTACGGATGGGATTTATTCGTGATACCTCTGTGGGCCCCTCCATGGGCCGATTGTGACGATTTAGAACTTCTATAATCGAAGCTATTCGTCAACATCTTGGTGTGTAGTGTAAACGGCGTAGTATTATCATCAGTAGTGTGAGTTGTATGTGTATACCGGGCTTGGCCGCGGCATTTTGTCCCGATCGTGGTCCTGGCGCTTTCTAGGGACATTTGAGGTCCTGCTCACAATTTATCCCGTCCCTTCAGATCTGCCTCCCAGCAGAGGTTTACAGACCTTTACGGAAGATTAAGAACGCCCCAGCCCCATTCTTCGAGACGCCGTAATGGAAGGCCCTGGATTAGCAGTGGATCTAGCTCAAACCTCTGATAGTTTGTGGCCGCTTCCAAGCTTAGCCCTGATATCATCATTCTGACTATAGTAGCGCATGGGCTGGTCTCTAGCATTGGGAAGGTTGTAAGCCGCAGAGGTTACTGACTCCAAGCCTTTTTACCACTAAAACATCATATTGACAAACGTTGTTACTGCTCGTGCTGGACGCAGTGTGCAGGTCATATTTGTTGAATTGCCTCAACGACAGTCATAGCGGCATAAATTGTACGTCCAGATGATGCTATGCTCACCCCGTTGACAAATCTCATGTTCAACTCAAATTGCTTCCCTTCATGATTCCAACCCTCTCTTCCCCTTCCAGCTGGTTATTCCACGACTGAAAGGACGCCTATGGTACGAATATGTCTTATAACAGAAACATGATAGTGGATTTGGTCTAAGGTAGAAAGAGAAAGGTAACGTCGGAGGTGAATACTAATGTCCTCCGGGGCTGGAGGGGATGGACAGCCAATTACTACGCGGCTGGACGGGGCTAAGACAATCATAATAGTTGATAATTGGTTCATTCCCAAGTACTGCCTGACTGCATCTTGTTGCTTTACTTCAAATCATAAAGTTCTAGAAAACATGATTATAATTGTAGATGATTTGAGCTGTAACTATGTAGTTATATAGTCAGGGAATGACCGATGAACACACTCAAAATGAGGGCAATCATTTCAAAGAACATCAACACTGATTGTGACTGACCTTTTCTTGCGCACTTCCACAGCGAAGAGAGCCATCTCGGCCTTCTAGACTCTCGAGCATGGGCCCCACATAGTTCCTTTTGCCCCAAGCGACGTACTAAATAGCGGAAATGAGTAGGAAGCCAGCAAAACAAGAGAAGCATAATTCAGATAGCTATTAGATCAATCGATGCAAATGACGAGGTGCCAAACTCACATATACGAATAACATTACAAAACCGACCGAGAGGTCCTAGATTGAAAGATCCTTGCTTGACCTCGCTGCGACGACGAAGGAACATAGAGACTGCAACAAGACTCGCATAACTTAGAGTCAAGAAGATGACGCCGACACCAGAAAAGGCATTGAAAGCAGCGCTTGAGCCAAAGTATATGCACCCGAGGATAATTTGGGTGACCATCCCCAAAGCCATCGCGTTAAGAGGAACGCCAAAACGCTGGTCGACTTTCTTCCACCACCCAGATCCAGGGATGGCACTATCTCGCGCAAAGGCCCAGGTGCACCTAGAAGTGGCTGTAACACAGCAGATGCCGCAGGTTAAACCAAGAACCAACGGCGGAATTAGAAGGCAAATGCGCCTGCAGAGTTTCCCGTGACGGATTTGATGATTGTTGGAACTGGTTGCGCGGATGCAATGCTTGCTAGCATTGATATATCGGGGAGCACGAAAGCGACTGGAAGTAGGAAGGCGAGACCGGCTAAATTCCTGTTGTTCAGACCCACTCAACTATGATGAAAAAGTCCAGTCCGAGGTGAGGAACATTTCGCTAGGCCATCTGCTCTCGTTGTTATACGGCTTTCTCTCCTTGTTCGTGGTCGGGGGTCGGGGTTTGAGAACCTGAACTTCCCGCAGACCGACGATCTGATATCGAACAATATATGATAATGCAAGTTTCTTACAACATTAAGTCATGACAGAAATACATAATCATCTTATGACAGGTTCATTAAACTGCAACAATATCAATAATGCAACACAAATCGCTGATGTGGGTATTTCAAAAAATGGGTTCGTAATGCGGTGGTGATGCAGGTATTTCCGTGTAGCATGGTGGATTAACCTGCCAAACGTCTGGATCGATGTTATTTTGGCTCTTTTTGAGAATGTGCAGCGGAAACGATCCACTGAGTGCAGTTTGGAGTGGTTTGCGATCAACCAGGCTTTTGTTGTGCACACCAAATGTATCCTCGCTAGTCAAGATATCAAGTTTGAGTCGGTGCTCGACAGTAATCATCATTCTCTGTTGTGTCATGGAAGAGGTATCTTCGTGAACACATGGCAGTAGATGATCCCCTGGTCTGTAGTCGAAGCTGTAGCATTTCAACCCGATCTCTGGGGTTGGAGCCACAGCTCTAGGTATTGCTATGTCGAATGCGATCTCCACAGCGGAGTTCTTTTCTTGATGAGTCTCCTGCTCTTTCACGATTGGATTGTCCGGAGTTCCCCAATACCCGTTCTGATATCCGTGGAACAATTCGCGAGTAAAAGATTCGTCTTCAACCGGCTCGTATTCGGGGGGCTCCTCGTTTCGTGGTTGGCGATAGTCTTTCGCACTTTTAAAGAGTTTTGTCACTTCCTCAACACGCCATTGAATTTTCCGGATTGCGACACATTTGAATTCCAGGGCACGGTTACTGGGTGCAGCTGGTTTTCTGAGAGACACTCTTACAGAAAGTGAAAGGCGTGAGCCCGTACTTGCACCGAGCTTTTGGGTAAGAATAACATCGTTGATCACTTTTGACGTCGGGTATATGCGAGTATGCTGTATCGGATCGCTTCCTGGTATGATTCGGCGAACAATGTTGATTTGCTCGCTGGCACCAATCGCCTCCTCAGCCGCGGTTGTAGTGGAAGCAACTAGATACAGTGATAGCTGGCCCAGATCTGTGACTGTTGTTTCTGGTATGCCAGCCGGAATGGGTATCAAAAAGGGTATCTTGTGGATGTTGCCTTTGTCGGGAGAATAACCCACGTGGATGTCAGATAGAACTGTTGGTACGCATAATGCCACCTCTTCGATAAGCGAGCAGTGACGGGTCATATGGGCTGGATGTAGCTGTGGGCTCAATGAAAGAAGACGACTAATTCGACTCGAAAATGGTTCATGTTCTTTGATCCCATCTCGGTTGGAGATAGAAAGCAAAAGAACGAGAGAAACTTGTAGTCGGCTCAAGCCGAGTAGCTCTGCCTCCGTGTGCGCTGTTAGAATCACTGATCCACAAATAGGATGGGAGAAACTGTCTCCATTATAGTCGAAAAACATATCATGAGTTGACGGGAGCTCTAACCCTAGGCGCACAGTGCCCATCGCTATGGTGGTTGGAAAGATTGGATGAACTTCATCTGCTCGAGACTTGGATCTCTGTATTCATGTATTCATGTACTCATGTACTGAAAGAGCTCTGTACTAAGCTTGCAAAACCAATCACATCCCTGGGGTTCGCATATTTGATCCATCAAAGAACTACTTCGTAAAGCATACGCTAGTCCATAACAGGCAGCCAAGACTAGAGAATAGAGTTTAAAGTGGATCGTATATCGGACCAGCATCCGCCTCGTCTGTTTGGACTTGGAAATGATACTCCCTTTGGTCTCTAGCAAATGGGCTATCAGGCTTCAGAGGTAGGGGTGTGTCGGCCTTAAAACTTGTAGCATTAATAGGGGGTTTCTATTCTATCTGCCTTCTCAATTGTCTTGATCTCAAGTTAAACTTCCTTGCTTTTATATTCGGTTCATAAGGTAGAGACATTCCTGAATTATGATATCACTCTAAGGCTCTTTACTTGAAAAGTGAGCTTGAGTCTACTAAAAGGTAGGTAAATCTTAGGTGAAAATCAGATAAGAATTGGGCTAGAAGTCAGGTGAGCAAGACATAAGTTGGCAGACAGCTTTCAAGGCTTAGTGACCAAAAAGTCTCAATTGATCGTCAATTTCTTAAGGCCTTCCAAGCTTGTATCAGAGCTGAATGTATCTTTGAAATACTTCCTCGTCGCAGCCATGGTCGTCTGCAACTTTGCCCTTTCTTAGAATTACTCAACTTGCGTTTTTTGCCTTTGTCTTATTCTCGTAGCGTCAATACCTTTGTGGTTATATAGCAGCTAAGCCTGTAATTCCGTTGTTGTTATCTCCACTCAGGCAACTAGGCAGGCTATTCAACCTTAGAAGGTCGAACCTATTCGAGCAGACACTTGATTGTATAGCTGTTATAAACCTAGCGAGGTAACGGGAAGGCGAAAGGCAAGTCTACTGTAGAAGAGCCTTTGATCTCCCTAGGTATGAACGAAACTATGGCGAACGAAGGATGATTTTCGTTCGTCTAGCTTACTATGTGTTCAGATTAGCCGGTAGTGTAATAAAATATAGCCATCGATCTTCAACGGAATATCAGCGTCTTCGTACCTTGGTAGTCGTTTCCCTGGATGCTTAGTCCGAGAACCATTGCATAAATATGTCACGATAAATGTTTATGTAGCTCGTATTATAGTTCTAGTACCGGGCTCCGGGAGGACGACAAAGGAGATATAAATATATGTATATAGTCTGTCTCCGTTAGTCTGTATAGTATTTCATAGAAACATCGAGTCTTTTTGTTCATAAAACCTGTACAAAAGTCGACTAACAGTAAAATTATGACTATAATAAATTCTTTAATCTAGTTTTACGCACTTAATGGCCTAGGCCATTATAAATCTACCGACGGAGTATTTAGGGTAGAAATATATTTTTCTTAAGAACAATTTTCCCCTGGCTTTTCTATTCATTCACAAGATGGCTTGACACCATCACTACCTCCGTATTTCAATTGGCTAGAGCGTGCGGCTTGTCAGCATTCCCATTTTCGATACTAATATTAAAAAACCCACTGAAAACCCTCAAGTTCTCTGTCCGATAATCGCAACCTTGGAAGGCTGCCGTCGATTCCCGCCGGAGGTGGCTAATCTTACTTTTCGTTCCCCTAGCTAGTTTCCGCACGATTATTTCTATGAGATTTCTACTCGCACTTGCATTGTAATCTTTAAAGAGGCCAGCTTTTTTCATTGCGAGTTTTAATTCAATTCTTTTAATGGAGGGCATAAAAATCAGAGTACCCGCGAGCGATGTAAAGGAATGGACATGTGAAAAGGAAGGATTTGGCCGAAGGGCCAATTAGAAGAGACCACAAGGTTTGCAAAGTCAACTTGCACGATTCAGTCTGTAGAAGAGATCTGTAAATATTGCTTTTTAATCTGTAATAAGTCTACCTAAGTGAACCCTTGAAAAGGCAAAAGAAGAGTAAACCACGCCCGAACTGGGTGTTGACCAGAAACTTAGGATTAAATCTATCTAATGAGGTAACCGGTTTTACTAGTGGAATTCATTTCATAATAATTCATACGCACTAGTTACCGTTGGACTCTAGAACTGGACAAGGGGGGTTGGTTACATGCATTCGACCTACATATCATCCATAAATGCTATCACTAACTCCGGTGATATTTATTTAAATCACTCGAGCGATGGAATCCGAATTACTTTCATCAAAATGCAACCTTGAACCCGTCGATCTACATGACGAGGCCCAATTCCGCGAGCTCCGACGACAACGTACCATATGTGGCTGGGATTTCGATCCACACACCTTGCAAAAATGGAGAGACAACAATCATCTCAAAAAGCTATTCTGGATTACCGTCCCTAACACAAACACCAACGAAGCAAGTATCCGCACTGGTCACATCTCGCTGAACAAACTCCCTGGTCTACTCGAACCGGATATGGCGAAAGAGAACGAGGTTGAAATCTCCATAAGTTCTTTCTTCATTCTACCAGAGTATCGCCGGTTACGACTCGGGAAGCGTGCTGTGAAAATGTTGGAGCAGCTGGCAGTAACTGAGCCATTTGGTGATTCCTGCTGCCGGTACATCACATTAACAGCGCTGAGCAAAAGATATATCTACGATGAGGCGCCGGAATGGAGAGGAATCTGGCAGCGACTGGGGGAGCCGCTGCCGTCATTCAGTATCCAGGAGTGGTACGAGAGTCTTGGGTATGTTAGTTGGAAGGTCGAGCCACTCTACGCAGAAACAGCGATGGATGGAGAGCCTATCACACTATGGGAGGCATTTATGAAAAAGGATCTCCGTGAGAAAAATCGGCGGCCAGGGTGATTGAAAGATTTGCATTGATTTCTATCTATCTATCATGCTATAGAAAGTAAAGCGGGTGGTCTTGTTCCTACCTAGGTACATTATGACGGAGAAAGGCCAGCCTCGAAGAAGAGAGTCCGGCCGTATGTATATACATTCGCTACATGGTTCAAACAACTCTCCATATTGACAACATCTGGCTACCATAGTTACTAAATCAACTAATTCAACACAAAGGTGAAAATTAAAGGTCCAATCGCATTTTCCGTCATAGCATCATCGGTGTTTCATATCTGTCGTAACATCCCGTTCGTTCATCAAGACAAAAACCCCCAAAGATCGCTGAAAGTATACAAAAACATTGCAATCACCAAAAAAACAGCAATCAGCCGCACGGATGTTTTATTTTCTGTGTCATCACAAATTCGTCAATTTCCGGAACCAACTCGACTTCTTCGCCGAACCGGGCGGAGGTGGGCCCCCCTGCCGACTCCCAGGCCGCGATCTCATCCCCCGATCACGCTCATAATCACCACTCCCAGAACTGCTCTTCACACCTTCACGCCGAGAGTCTCTGCGTCTGGATCGCACATCATCAATATCCTCATCGGGATACTTAGCACGACGTCTAGCCTTCCGTCTTGCAGCCCGTCGTGCCTCCTCATCCGAAGAAAGAGAATGCGCATTCCCCCCACTCCCTTCAGCAGGAGGCGGCATATCAATGACAGTAGGCATAATCGGTGGCGGTTCAGGCGGTTCATCAGCTTGCCCATAAACCCATGAAGAAATTTTATCTTTGCCATTGCCACCACTCATATATGGAGCCCTAGCTGGTTCAGGTGCAACCTTGGACTTGCGACGCCTCGCTCGATCCTTAGGATCTTCACGCGAACTGCGCGCACGACGATCTTCTCCATCCAGAACATCCTCTCGTTCCTCGCGCACACGTCGTCGACTCATCTTCGCAGCCATAATTTCTTCTTCGCGAAGGCGCCGCCGCTCACGACGCTCAGCCGCTTCAGCAGCAGCAGCAGCTTCAGCTGCGGCCTCAGCGTCTCTCGCCTCCTGTTCTTCGCGCATACGCCGTTCTTCGCGAGCAGCGCGTCTAGCGCGCTTTTCTTCACGCAATCTTTCCTCCTCTTCTTCCTCGCGAGCGCGCTGCTCGCGAGCCCGCTCTTTCCTTCTCGCGCGTCGCTCCTCGGCTTCCCGTGCTTCGATATCGCGCGGCTCAGAGGGCGCTTTGCGAGATCCGCGACGCGAGTGTCGTGCTGCGCGTCGCGCTTCGATATCTTCGGCTTCTGTTTCCGCTGGGCCGGGCGCATCCGTGACGAAGCCTTCTGCATCTGTGTCTGGGCGGACGGAGCCACGTCGTCGGTCTTCGCGACGGGCTCGGCGGGCTGCTTCGCGCTCAGGGTCTGGTGGGTACCGCGGGTCATCGTCGCGGTAGGAGCGGGACTTTCGTCGATCAGGCATCTCGGGCCGTTCTGGGTCTGGTGGGTACCGCGGGTCGTCGTCGCGGTAGGAGCGAGACTTTCGTCGCTCGGGCATCTCGGGCCGCTCTGGCTTTGCGCTCTTTCGGAGTGAGCCAAAGAGGCCCATCAGGCCTCCTGTCTCTTGCTTCTTTGGTGGGGCGGTGTTTGAACGCTTTAGGCGGCGTTCGCGTGGTGCATCGACAAAGCCCATGTCGTCGGGTCCTGACATTACGTCTGGGACTGGTTGCGCTTGGTCTGCGTCTACCATGACGGGTTCTTCGTCTTCAGGTCTTGATCGTGACTATAATGTATTATTAGTAGTGAAAGGACTGAGCTATTCGCACGACATACCTGTCTCTTTGGCTTGCGCCTCGATCCTTTAGAACCCTCTCTCGGTGAGTGACCCTCGGCATCCTCCATATCTACGACAACAAGGTCATCATCCTCGATCGCATATGGATCACGAGCTAGTATTGAGAAAGTCAGCCAAATGCAACTAAAAGGAAAGTATGAGCCACATACCGGATTTCCGCCTTTCCGCGCGGGGCCGCTCACGTCGAGCCTTAGTATTCATCCCCATCAACTTGGCAGCCTTATCCGAGACCTCCATTTTATCTTCAGTTGGACTAGGCATAGCTTTCTCTTCATCGAAAGAAGCACGTCTAGACATAGGTTTCGACGAAACAGCCTGTTTGCGGGTGGATTTGCTTTTGGACTGGGGCGTACCCAGAACCATGTTAGCCAAGGCCACGCCACGTTGATTCTTCGACGGACGACTCTCTCGTTCTCGTCGCTTTTCCCGATCGGAAGATGACTTTTCGACTTCCGGTTCCGGTTCTTTAGGTCGAGCCTTGCTAGGTTTTGACCGTGTGGCACCTGGAGACCGGTCGCGCGTAGACTCTTTCTTCTTGGCATCCTCATCGCGCGGCTTGTCTCTTTTCGTGAGCTTTTTGGGTGGAGGTGCGACAGGGAAGAAACCCCAGCCGTGTGAGCTACGATCCACGCGGGCTCGTTCTTTCTTCAAGGGTTTTGCGGGCTCTTCGGCTTCTGGTGGCGCTGCGGAAGGGGCACCTTTTTCTTCTGGTTCCTCGGGTGCTGGGTCGGGCTCAGCTTCGGGCTCAGGCTCCGGTTCAGCTTCGGGTTCAGGTTCAGGTTCCGGCTCTGGTTCGGGTTCTGGAGCTGGCTCAGGCTCAGCCTCAGGTTCTGGCACTGGCTCCTCCGGTGGAGGAGTGGGCTCCTTAGCCGCCGCTGCAGCGGCAGCAGCTGCCACCCTCTCAGCCTCGGCCTTTTTATATTTCTTGAGTTCTTTCTTCGACATTTTTGAAAGATCTGGCGCCGGAGGCTCCGGTTCTGGCTCTGGCTCCGGTTCGGGTTCAGGTTCAGGCTCGGGTTCAGGTTCAGGTTCAGGTTCTGGCTCTGGCTCTACATCATCGCCGAAATCAGGGAAACTGCCTGGCAGAGAATCCTCCTTGGTCTTGGACTTAGACTTGCTCTTCTTTGCCGGGGCAGGCTCCTCAGCAGGTGGTTTTGGTTCCGGCTCTGGCTCGGGCTCAGGCACTGGTTCGGGTTCAGGCACAGGCTCGGCCTTCTTTTTCTTCGCCAATTTTTCCTCCCTCGCTTTATCCTTCTTGGCCTGCTCCAGTGCTTTGATACGCTCGGCGACGCTTAGCTTAGAAGTCTTCTTGGAACTCTTGACGGGAACAGGCTCCGGCTCTGGTTCAGGTTCAGGTTCAGGCTCTGGCTCTGGCTCTGGCTCTGGCTCAGGTTCTGGCTCAGGTTCTGGCTCTGGCTCTGGTTCAGGCTCAGGTTCTGCAGGGGGATCCTCGCCTACATCAATGAGATCCTCCTCAAGAGGCTCTGGCTCCTTCTTCTCTTCCTTAGTCTTCTTGCTAGCCTTGGATTTACTTGTGCTACCTCCAGTAAAGCTTGACCAGAAGCTTTTCTTTTCCTCCTTGGGAGACTCAATGGCCTTTGTAGTCTTCTTGGTCCCCTTTGAGGTCTTGGGTGCCAGTTCTGCCCATACATCGTCACCATGGTCATTGAAGGATTCCGGCTCTGGTGTCAAGCCCTGAGCAGGTGGTGTTGGTGCAGGTGGAGGAGGTTCGAGTTCTAGACCCTTCTTCTTCTTTTTCTTCTCCTTCGCTGGCCCCCAGATACCCCAGGAGTCTTCTTCGGCGGGCTTTTCAGGTTCGGGTTCGGGCTCAGGCTCGGGTGCCGGTTCTGGCTCTGGCTCTGGTTCAGGTTCAGGCTCCGGCTCCGGCTCCGGCTCCGGCTCTGGCTCTGGTTCGATAATTGGTTCTGGGACCACAGGTGGCTCGTCGGAGGGAAGCTCGAAATCTTTGCCAGGGATGGGAAGACCCTTCCTCACCAATTGCTTCTCTCGCTTCTTACGCTCCTTGGAGGATAGTGTACGCCAACCCTCATATAGAGGATCGTCATGCACGGCTGGCTTTGGCTCCGGCTCGGGTTCAGGTTCAGGTTCAGGTTCCGGCTCTGGTTCTGGCTCTGGCTCCGGCTCTGGCTCCGGCTCTGGTTCAGGTTCCGGCTCGGGTTCCGGCTCTGGTTCAGCTTTGCCTTTTTTCTTCTTCTTATCCTTTGTCGAGATTCCCCAGGCGGCAAAGACATCTTCAGGCTCCTTGGCTTTTGGTATTTCCTCTACTACAGGCTCCGGCTCCTTGGACTTTTTGTCTTTCTTTCCACTAGTACCCCATCCACCCATCCAATCGTCACCGGCTGATGGTGGATCTGGGGCTGGCGGATCTAGGTCAGCTAGAAGATCGATCTTCTTTTTCTTCTTGTCCTTTGTCTTGACTGGAACATTCCAGCCCCAATCATTCTCGGGCTCAGCGGGTGGTTGAGTTTCCTCAACTATCGGTTCAGGTTCAGGCTCCGGCTCCGGCTCTGGCTCCGGCTCTGGCTCTGGCTCAGGTGCAGCCGCAGCTTGCGCTGCCGCCTGCTCTTCCGCCTCTGCAACCGCCTTTGCATAAGCATCATCCTCGTCCTTCCACTTTTTTTCCATCTCCTTCTTCGCTTTGCGCTGCTCCTTCTTCGACATTCCAAGGTACCAAGCTTCTTGAGTGAAATCCGTTCTGGCAGGAGGCGGAGGTGGAAGTGGCACAGGCTCGAATGCTGGGACTGGTTCCGGTTCGGGTGCTGGCTCTGGCTCGTCTTTCTTCTTCTTATCCTTGGTTTGTATATCCCAGCCATCCCAGTTGTCTTCTTGTTTGGCGGGCGGAGAGCCAAGGTCGCCAAAGTCGAATTCACCCTTTCCCTTCTTTTTGGACGTGGCCCAGGGATTGCTGTCCTTGGCTTCCGCTTTAGGAGGCTCACTGAGAGGATCACCTTTGCCACCGGTAGTCCAGTCTTTGCCCCAACCCCCAAAGCTGAATCCAGTTCCTCCAGTCTTTGGCGCCGGGGTATCAAAGTTCAGGTCCAGCTGAGGTGCGCCATCGTTTAGACTTATATCCTGGAAACCTCCAGGCGGTGCTTCGTCCTGCGACATTACTTAGAATTTCCAGCTTGACGAAAGGCACCGTTGATCTTACCTTCCCCTTCTTCTTTTTTCCTACACTCGCAAAGCCAGCCCACGAGTCATCGCCACCACCACCATTTCCCTCAGCCCAGCTGAGATCATTGTTAGCGGAAGCTTCTGCCGCCTTTCGTTCTTCCTCCTCCTTGGCAAGTCTCTCCTCCTCTTCCTCTTGCTCTTTCTTCTTTTTATCCTTTTTGCTGCCACTCACGTTCCAGTCGTCACCCCAGTCGTCACCCCCACCCCCTTCACCATTGCCGTCCCCAGCACCGCCCGCATCACCACCGCCGTCTCCACCATTGGTATTGTCATCTCCGCCATCCCCACCGGACTCGGCCGGTGGAGGCGGAGGGGGAGGCGGAGGCGGAGGCGAAGGTGGTGCTGCTTTTTTTGCAGGGGCGGGCTTTTTCTTCTTATGTTCCCTTACACCCGTAATGTTCTCAAAGTCAATACGTATATTCAGCATGCGATCTTTCAGCACTGCCGATGACCGAGTCTGCGATTTTTCCCGAGTGGTGGGTACTGCGTAAACGATAGATTGTCGCTGTGCCAGCGGAGGCAGAGCAGTATATTCCGGAGGAAGGTCATGGATCACATCGTCGTAAAGCGGAGGCAGGTCGTACAACGGAGGCTGCGAGCGAGTCAGAGAGCGAGAACTCAATGCACCCACATCAAGATCTCCTTTTGAGTAGCGATTCTGCTCGCGGAACCGTTTCTCGAAAGTAGTCCAGCCCTCTTCGAGGACTCGCTCCGTCTCCATGTCCATCTCCAGATCAAAATGCGTGCATGCGTATGCGTCTTCGTCGTTCCACGCCCATGCGCGATACCCCACAATCGCAGCCATGGGAGTCACATGCGCCGATTCACGGCCCGATCACTGTGTTTGCGCGATATGAGACGGACGCATCTGTTGGGTTTTGGGCGGTCCTGCGGTGGAATCTCGTTGGTGCGGTACGTTGCGCGAGGTTCCTCGGGGAGCAATTATGGGTGTTTATTGAGTTGTTTGTGAGATGACAGGGTCTCCTGCACGACCGGCGCGACTTCTGTTGGGAATTAGAGTATGGCCCTGGTATGTGAAGCAAGATTTATCGTATATAGAAATTTGGTATTCAAGGGAGGAGGTAGGGGGAAATGGGAGAAAGTTAGAGGATTCAAAGAGGGATAATCAGGCGGTGGAGGTGAAGATCATTCCTTTAAGTGACTTTGTATAGTCCGAGTCCGCTCGACTGCAATGGAAACGTATACATTGAAATTCTTTCAAATCAGAACTGTCATCTCTCATGTTCTCTATTTAGTTGATCACACCTGAAATTCTGGACTATCTTGGAAAATTGATTCATTCAATTTGATCATGTACTTAATATTAAGACTCTTACTCACCCTCCCCAAAAAAGCCCTGGAGAAAAAATTAGAAAAAGAAAACATAAACAAAAGGCTGGGAACAAAAGTCAAATATACTTTACAGCCATACAAATTGGCATAATGTAGTCCACATTCCCATTCTTTGAAATTTCTTCTAATCCAATCTGCATAGCATACTTCATAAGCACCTCAAAGCCATGTTGCACAGACCAACGTACAGAACACATGCAGCCTGACAGTCCTATCGATAACGAGATCACCCCTCCATCAGCACTGCAGGGAGATCTTAACAAACCACCTTTAATGCGATATGTCGCATGCATTCGAGTTTTCCTTGTTTACTCTGTATTGTGGTCCGATTGAGTACATAATTTTGTGTTGATGTTTTAGTTCACCGCAACCGAGGATACAAATCCCTCATTCCATGGATGCTAAACCCTGTACCCATGGGTGCCCAATAAACTAGCGGGTAAACCCGTCTGCATAGAATAAACAAACATCATTGAAAATGCACATCGGTCTACTTATTATAGTGTTGAATAAGTAATACAGTAACAAAGTACATTGTCGAGTCTCGAAGACTCCATTTGTGGACTCAAATATGTAGTTCACGAACATGCATGCACTCACATCCTCAAAATGCACCAAATATAACCTTGGAAATCCCCCCACGCGTATTCAGGCTGTTGATAGCACTCCCTCTGCACATGCTAGAACAATCTTACAGTCTACATGTAATCTACTCGATACAAATTACTCCCTAAAAAGAGGGCGTCTGCAAGTGCACCAAATCCCTTGCTCACCGCCACTTGGGCTTCGGAGTAAAAAATCCACCAGTGCGGGGGTAGCGGAGAGACTGTGGCAACCGATATGGTGATTAGCTCTGACTCATTTGAATCAGAAGTAACATGCGATGAAATTCGGGAGATGAATTGGGCAGCTGGATTGGAAATATATTGTTTTACATGTGGCAAGAACGTTCCACTACATACATATCTGTGTGGAGGTATTTGCGAGCCTCACGCGATGAAAGCAGAAAAACAAAAAAAGACGAAAAACCATTGACCCGAGAAGCTACAATACACCGACAAGGAAACGTAACCGAGCGACAAGAGAAGCAGACGCGGTAAAACACAAGACCATCTGAGCTCGCCTTGTGAAAACTTCAAAACACCATCACGCAGGAGATCGATATCCCAAAATCAAGTCTACTAAGACTTGTCTTTAAGAGCCCTGGGGATATATCCATAGACTTCCTCGTGCTCTTTGACGTACCGTGCTCGATCTTCGTCCGCCAATTTTTGGTAGCGCTAGGGGCAGATTAGCATTGGATCCTACATATATTTGAGAGATCTTACCTGTTTGTCCGACTCGGGGATATCCTTCCATTGCCGGCCAACCGTGGAAACGGCATTCTGCCAATCGCCTTCAAAGTCACCGGAATTGAGGCGCTCAGTCGCATAGGCCAGGTAGGCGGTGATTGGTTTCTTGATGTGGCGGTCATCTTTGAGCTGCATGTATTTCCTTCCCCTGGGAGTGGTGTTGAGAGTGCGGAAAAGTTCTCGGCGGGCAATGTTGGCCTGCTTGATCTGGAGAGGTGTGTGGGAATTGATCCAAGCCTGGTAGGCTTCCGCATTGGCGATTGCGTTTTGCTTGGCCTGTGCCTCAAGTTGCTGTATCATGGATTAGCTTACTGCTGCAAAATGAGAAACTAAAGGGGACAAACCTGTCTCTCCTCAGCACCCATGTTCTTCGTCATTTCAGAAACTAGCTTGAATGCCTCTGACATATTCGTGTATTGACCTTTGAGCTGGGGCACCTTCGCCTGCATAGCACAGGAGTGGAAAGTAGAGGGGAGCTTCTTGGGCGGCGTCAGTGCAATTGCCTTAAGCTCTTTGATATGGGCCTTCTCCTGTTTGATATCCCTAGCTTCTTTCTCCTCCTTGGTCAGGCGCGGGCTCCGCTTCTTGGTCTCGGAATTCTTGTCTTCGGAACTCTTGGCCTTGGGTTTCTTGGCCGTCTTTCTATCAGTGGTAGTGGTTGCGAAAGCATTGGACTGAACGAGGAATCGGACCGGCAACGCAGCCTGAAGCTGTGGGCGTGCTTGGGTGTATTTGGTGGACAAACAAAGGCGACGGAGCTGGGTTTGCATGCTGGTCACGCCGGTAGGGAGAGGGATAGCAGTGCGGTGCATGCGTTGCATGCCCCCCCGGGCGACGGTCTGCCAAGACATGCTATAGATTTTGTTGAGAGCAGATTAAGCAAATAATTTACTAGTAGTGGGAGGTCAAATTAAGAATTGAATTGCAATACCTCAGAATTGCAGAGCTAACTGACGCAAGCGGAGGAGGTTGTTTTTGAATCGCGGCGCGCCTGCGTCGTTTGGGCCTATTCCGCATTGGGTTAGTACATCATTACATAAGCGATTCTCGATTCCGAGCTTTGAAGGTTTGCATCATCACAGGCGCCTGGGCGACGATTAAGCGATATCAATCAAACGTTTTCTAAACGGCCTTAGGCCTCACAAACCCACCTAAGACGTGTTTGCGCAAGTGCGCTCTTACTCCTCTCTTAGTTCGCTCCGTGTCCCGGGTGCTTTTGCGTTCCAGTAACACTCACTAATCAGCCTGCAACAATGGCTCGCCACGGGGATACTCGCTCACCATCACCTGTAGGCAGCACATACTCTTCATCCCGACGCCGCAGAGACGATGATCGTTATGATCGAAGCAGGCGGGATGATGGGCGCGGCTATCGCCGATCTCGCAGCCCCGAGGTACGTTTGACGCATTGCCAACTCATTCTCCCTGTGAAAAATGCTCATATTCGCCATACTCAGCGTCGATACCGCGGTAGTCGTGGAAACCCTCGTGACAGAGATGGATACCGTCGGCGATCCCCAGACCGGCGGGATGAAGACACTTACCGACCACCTCGGAGGGACCAACCAGTAGACCGCCGTCGTTCCCGAGACAGAGATGACGAACGTGATTTTCGACGTGACAGACATACCCGGCCTAGGCGAGATGACTCCCGTGATCGCGACCGCAGACGGACAGATGATGCTGCTGATGTGAGACCTAAGTCTAGACGGGATAACAGCCGGGCTTCGAACCAACGGTCAATCTCCAAAGCTCGAGAGGTAAGCCACCCAGACAATGCTCTCTGTGAGATAATTGATACTAATGGTATTCCTCAGCAATCAAAACAATCCACACCTGTCCCGGCCGCCCAGACCGACGAAGAGAAGAAAGCAGAGAGACTCGCCAAACTTGCGGCCTGGAAGCAGAAGCAAGCGGCTGAGCGTGAAAAGAAACAACAGGAGCAAGTGGCAGGCGATCCCAAAGCCATATTAGATGCGATTGACCGCAAATCAACTCTTTCCTCAGCTGTCGGCTCACCGCAGACTCCCGCAACTCCTGCCGAGTCTGAAGCTCCACCTTCATACCCCGGCAAGTTTAATCCGAAGGCAATTGCCAAATCCTCCACAACCGCTGCTGCTACTGCCGCTCCAGCCGTCCTCGGGACCGATGTCACTCTCCCGGCATCTGTAACAGCTCCCCCCGCAAAAGGCCTCACAGCAACTGCCGCTCCGCCTGCCAAGTTACCCGGCCCTCTCAAGGCCAAAGGCAATGTCAGTGGCTTTGGGTTAGGTGCCAGACCGGTCTCCGAAGCAGAAAAGCAGTCTGCACCCAAAACCTTGGGCTTCGGTGACGAAGAGTCCACTCGCAAAAAGTTGGAACGACTGCCAACACCCCCGCTTGAAGATGGGAAGGATTCTAGCGCACAGGCCGACGATGCTGGTGAGGATGATGATGTAGACATGCAGGACGAACAGACAGAGGAAAACGTCGCTGCGGTAGCTCGCGCGGCAGCTGAACGACGAGACGAGCGGCTGCAAAACCAAGAAAACGGAGATGTCCTGATGGAGGAAGCAACCAACGGTCAGGATGGTTCTACCCCCATGGAGGTTGATGAAGCTGAAGAAATTGACCCTCTCGACGCGTTCATGTCTGAATTGCAAGGAGCCCTGCCACCAAGAAAGACACCCGTGGCTTCGTTTGCTAAGAAGAAGCCTGATCAGCAACCCGAGGCTTTGTTCGGCGACGAGGATGACATCGAATTCAGCGCTGTGGGTGATGAGAACGCGGGGGACGTCCTTGCCATGGCGGCCAACAAGAAAAAAAAGAGAGAAATCCCCGTTGTTGACCACACCAAGACCGAGTATGAGCCGTTCCGGAAGCAGTTCTACACCGAACCTTCCAATCTTGCCGATATGACAGCGGAGGAGGTCGCAAACCTGCGCCTTGAACTGGACGGGATCAAGATCCGAGGTTCTAACGTCCCCAAGCCTATTCAAAAATGGTCACAGTGCGGCCTGGGCGTGCAAACACTCGATGTGATCCAGAAGCTCGGCTATGAAAAGCTGACATCTATTCAAGCTCAAGCAATTCCCACGATCATGTCTGGTCGCGATGTCATCGGCGTCGCAAAGACTGGTTCCGGAAAGACTGCAGCCTTCTTGATCCCTATGTTCCGACACATCAAAGATCAGCGGCCCATTACTAGTACAGAAGGTCCTATCGGTTTGGTGATCTCACCTACCCGTGAATTGGCCACTCAAATCCACAAAGACTGTAAGCCTTTTCTGAAGGCTTTGGGTTTGCGCGCTGTCTGCGCATATGGAGGCGCCCCCATCAAGGATCAGATTGCCGACTTGAAACGAGGAGCCGAAATTGTTGTTTGTACCGCTGGTCGTATCATTGATCTGCTTGCCGCAAATGGAGGACGAGTTCTCAACCTCCGCCGTGTGACATACGTCGTCATTGATGAGGCCGATCGCATGTTTGATATGGGCTTTGAACCTCAAGTCGTGAAGATCATGGCCAATATTCGACCCGACCGTCAGACTGTGCTCTTCTCCGCCACTTTCCCCAAGAACATGGAATCTTTGGCCCGCAAAACATTGCACAATCCCGTTGAGATCACGATCGGAGGCCGAAGTGTCGTTGCACCGGAGATCACTCAAATCGTCGAAGTTCGCAACAATGATCAGAAGTTTGTCCGCCTGTTGGAGCTGCTGGGAAATCTGTATTCGGACGACGCGCATGAAGATGATCGCTCATTGATCTTCGTGGATCGCCAAGAGGCTGCTGATGATTTGCTCAAGGAATTGATGCGAAAAGGCTACCCATGCATGTCAATTCATGGTGGTAAAGACCAGGTCGACCGTGACTCTACCATCCAGGATTTCAAGGCGGGTATTTTCCCCGTTCTGGTCGCTACATCTGTGGCTGCTCGTGGATTAGATGTCAAGCAGCTCAAGCTTGTTGTCAACTATGACGCACCTAACCATTTGGAAGATTATGTTCATCGTGCCGGCCGTACTGGTCGTGCCGGAAACACCGGAACCGCAGTCACATTCTTGACCGAGGAACAAGATCGCTATGCGGTTGATATCGCCAAGGCTCTCCGTCAAAGTGGGCAAGAGGTTCCGGAGCCTGTTCAAAAGTTGGTTGACTCGTTCCAGGAGAAGGTCAAATCTGGAAAAGAGAAAGCAATGGGATCTGGCTTCGGTGGTAAGGGTCTTGACCGGCTTGACGATAAGCGTGCAACAGAACGAAAGCGTGAGCGAGCAACTTACAAGACTGGGGACGGTGATGATGAAGAGGAAGAAGAGAAAGAAGACAACGAGGAGGAATCTGAAGAGCGCTTCAACAAGGCCTTGTCATCTGTACAATCTGCTGCTGCCCCTACCCCCTCTTCCGCTTCTCTTCCTGGTGTACCAAAGGGTATTGATTTGGATGGAAAGATTACCGTGCATCGCACTGAGAAAGATCCAAATGGCGGCAAGAATCCGCTCGACAAGGTTGGATCCGCAGTGGCTGATATTCACGCACGCCTCAGCCGTGCGGGTGTCATGAGATCCGGTGTACCCATTGATAATCGTGGACCCGATGCAGGAGCATTCCATGCGACAATGGAAATCAATGACTTCCCCCGTAAGTTCATGTTACCCAATGAAAAAAAGGTGAAAATAATTACTCACAAATTTCGTTTACAGAAAAAGCACGTTGGGCCGTCACTAATCGTACCAACGTGGCTAAGATCTTGGAATCTTCCGGAACATCCATCACAACAAAGGGTAACTTCTATCCAAACGGGAAGGAGCCTGCGGCTGGAGAACTCCCTAAGCTGTACATCCTGGTCGAGGGTGAAACGGAGATTTCGGTTACCAACGCTATGCGCGAACTTATGCGTCTCTTGAAGGAGGGAACTATTGCCGCTGCAGACAGTGAGGCGCGCGCGCCTGTTGGTGGCCGCTACAATGTTGTTTAATCTCAAAGCCGGCATCCTCAATAATGAATAGTGTACAATACGAACCAATTCCTAGGCCTAGGATTTCGTGGCTCCATAAATTCAAACCTTGATATTCTAACTTCTACATTGTACGCATACATAAGAACTAGCCTAAAGATCATCTTGTACCTCCGGCATAATCACCCAATAAACAGTGGATTTGATAGACACAGAGCCCCTTAGTGGAGCCGTAAGGCCCTGGGGAGATCATCAAATGACATCATTCATGGAACAAACGGTTAAATATCAGGCCAACGCTTCAAAACTCCCATATAACGCCAAGACTCGGAAACAATGCCACTCGCCTGCTGACATGCAGATTGATCAATCCCAATTTCTGTCCTTAGCAACCTGATCCGCATCCCTAGCATCCCTCTCTGACTGACTAACCTCAGCCAAGGTCTGTGCACCAGTTTTCCCCTTCTGTTTGGCCAATTTGGCCCCAAGCTTGCCTTGACCACCCGAGGCAGCCTCGGCACGTTTCTATAATCGTCAATGAGAATTTTACAATAAATTGCTAAGAATTTAGAACGGAAGCGTACCTGAGCAGCGATAGCAGCATTCGCGCGCGCTTCATCAGCGTTCTCGTGCGCTCCCGAAGCATTCTGCTCAATGTTCCTTCCGTCGCTCCCACTCAGCGTGCGGCCTGGCGTCCCTTTCCAATTTGTTTTTGTTGGAACAGGTGCACGGGGGGATTCTGCATGTTGGCGCGGATTGCTTCCGACTATGCGGCCTGGCTGGTTGAAGTTGTCTGTTTCGTTGCGCGAGCGCGAGCAGATGTTGCCCATCGTGTGGAGTGAGGGGATTGGAGCGGGGAGTTTTGGTTTAGGTGGGTGTTAAGGGTAAGGGGAGGATTGTTAGAGCTTGGCTTGGTGCCAAGAGAGTTGGCGGTGTTAATTAGAGTGGAATTGTCTCGAATAGAATAAGGGCTCTGTGCCTTAAGTTGATCTGTTGTTCATTGATGTTTGAGCTGATAAGATAGTCGGTCCGGGGGAAAGGCGGTGACGGGATAGGGTTAGATTTATATGATGTCGGTATTTGATTCTTGTCCTGTGAGCAGTATGTTCAGTATATTCGGTATGCTCTAGAAATTTGGATATCTATTAGCATGTAAATAATTAGTGTATATAGTCTGCTGATCATCCAATCCTCAGGTACACTGCTACACTACAATGTACTGGAATTATATGCGGGCACTTGAGGCGGATGAGATGGGCAGAAAACTGCTGAGTCATCTATCTGGACCGGGGGAAATCAGATCCGCGGGGGAAAAGAAATTGTTCATCGGAATGCTGGCACCATTTTGAAGGGTTCTATTGATCTTGACTACTCTTTGACTTCTAGGACAGCACCATGTGCTCCTAACGACAATCTCCGGAGGTCAATAACGCGCGACTTTCGATTCGTCCAAAATTTCGAACCATGACGCCCAGTCCCCAAGGTCCCCATCACATCTGCGTCCCGAAGGTCCTCACCACCGCACCGGGAGGTCCCAGTCAACAAGTGATGTCGCCTGGCGCCTGATTCCCTCACCACATTTTCGACTGAGCACTTGATATTATTCCGACTCTCACAAGGTCCTCTTTTGACTCCTCACTTCGTGCTTCCTGCTTCCTGCATGTCGATCCAACCCAATTATCCGATTGCATCGGTTATTCACAGCCGACCAAATTCTAAGCGAATGAGCTGCGAGACAACTCGTATTTTGTGAGAGGACTTCATCACTCGGTATCAATACATTCTGTTAGAACACTATACTTGTGGTGGACGTGGATTTGGGTGGCGTTGCGATCCCCGGTTACGTGATTTGTGAAGTGGAATATTGTACCTGGCAGTCATTCAATATTCCACTAGCGGTCGCACACCTCGGTCCCTCAATTGCTTTTTCCCCGTCTTGTCCCTTTCACACCTTGTGGTCTCTGTCCCTGGCAACCCCGTATTGGCTTTTTCGCCCTAAAACCCTGCCTCTTCCTCCTGAAGTGAACCGTGCACCATGGCGTCTCAACCCAAAGGAGGTGATTTCTGCCTTGAGTGCAACTGGGAAGCCTTCCATATAGATGGCAAGGACACGGTAGATCTATCTGGAAACCCTACGCAACATCATTGGAACTGCTCGGGCCACGAGCTCCCAACACCTTTACCCTCTTATGAAGTCGATGAGGCCTGCTGTGACGTTGACGACTGCGCGCTAGACTGTGGGTCAGCATGCGGTGGTTTTCTGGATTGTGACACTTCCACCGTCTGCTCTGTTGCTCATTGCGAGGACGACAACTGTGAAGATACTAAATGTGAAGATAATCATTGTGATACCACTCATTGCGAGGAAACCAACTGCGAGGAGGATCACTGTGAAAGTATTGACCCTCTTTGCTTCGGTGATCACTGTTGTGATAGTATAGACAGTCAAACCTGTGGATTTGACTCGTTCTTTGGGATCAACACCCCGCTGTCGCTAGACACTGGTATCTTCCCTCCTACAATGATGGGACAACACGACGCCGGACATCCGACGAAGGCCATGGAACATACCTTCCCTGGAACATTTGATCCGAACCAACAGCAAAACTTCTTATCCTCCTACCAAGCCCACGCGACACATTGCGACCAAGATGTACCGAACCACTTCGAATGCCATGACTTCCAGAAGGACTGGCATGGAATGTTCCCAGCGCCCCCAGTTCCGACTCAAACCGAAGTCAACCCGGCAGAGGTTTTCCATATGCTTGGGATGTGCTCTGACTTTTCTGTGTGTCAAGATCAACATGTGACAGGGCAACAAAATGGCTTCGATGCCTTCGAGAAATCAAAAATCGACACATCGAACGCATTTAATTGCTTTGACCATGAACACCAACACCATGCTCACAACCACTTCAAAAACCCCAGCGATCTGAACTTACAGACTACCCGAAAAGGTCCTCATCGCAACCATCATCGTTGCAGATCTCACCACCATACTCATTCCCATCCATACTCTCCCTATTCCCGACAATCACGCTCGAGCATTAGCTCCCACCTCCACTCCAGCCCAGGAGAAACCCCGCCACCCCTCGATGGTGGCGCCTCTCTGACTTCTCCGGAATTTTCTGAGGACAATGAGTCGCATATCTGCAAATGGGCAACGAGCATCCATGGAATCAAGGCTGCTTGCGGGGCTAGATTTGCAGACTCGGGTGCTCTCCAAGAGCATCTCATTGCCAGCCATATGGGTACCGTCAATGGAGCCAAGGGTAATGGGTACTACTGCTGCTGGGAAGGATGCCATCGCCCAGATGAACCCTTCTCGCAGAAGTCCAAACTACAAGGTCATTTCCTTACCCACAGCAACTGTAAGCTCCTTTCATGGTACCATCTTATTTGACTGTGCAAGTTTTTTTTAACATACCATTTAGACAAAAGCTTCGCGTGCACAGTATGTGGCAAGACATTCGCCAGACAAGCCACGTTAGACAGACACGAGCGCAGTCATCGGGGCGACAAGCCTTACAAGTGCAAACATTGTGGTAAATCATTCACGGACAGCAGCGAATTGAGTAAGTTATGTCGAGTCTATCCTTCAGACACAGCGGCTGATCCCCATAGAAACACATTCGCGCACCCACACTGGAGAGAAACCTTTCAAGTGCACCTGGCCTGGATGCAGCTTTACAACGGGCGACGTGAGTATATACACATCCCATGAAAACGAGTACTCATTCTAACACCAAGCAGTCCTCAAATATGTCAAGCCACAGACTTAGTATGCTTCAATCCCTTAAAAAGCGAAAGGTATTTACTGACCCAGTCTAGCACACGGAGAACGAAGACACAAATGCCTCTTCCCAGGATGCACCAAGAGTTTTACAAGACCTGGTATGTCCCACTTATCTCTCTGTCCATTACCATGAGAATACTAACGGCATCCAGACCAACTTAAACGTCACCAAAGAACAACCCACAAACATGAATCCTGCTCAACCCTTCCATCACCAAGCCCCGCCCCCTTCACATTGACCCCCTTTACTCTCGTCTAATCATACACCAAAGAACTATTGTACACGATTATTATGTTTACGACCCAACAGAATATGGCGCTCGCGCGGCCGGGCGTACTATCGGGAAACATTATGGCGTTTGATGAATTTGAGAATCTGAAAGAAAAATTGATACCACCCAGGCTTGATGCCGGGACTTTGCTCTGACTAGTTAATCCCATGTCTTCTCGGACTGGTTTTTCCGAGATGTTTTGCTTGCACATGATTTTATCCGAAGACCGTCTCTACCTTTCGCTCAAAAACACATCAAAGACTGATAGAAGAAAGTGGTTGTAAGCTGCTGAAGATGATCGTGTAGTGCACATCCATGCCACTGGAGATCAATTCCATCTACCAAGAATCGCACCGCTCGGTCCTGTGTGCCAGGCACACACACCCTGAAATTAGAAGGGAGACTTACATGATACATGGGATTGGAATATAGGAAGGATCTATCTACGGATCAATTCAGTTCGTCGTATACTTGAATCCAATCTTGATCTATTTTGATCTATATCCTCGTCTAGATCATTGGCCGTCGAAATAACGGCATCGTTCAGTTATTATAGCGAGTTACCTCAGGCCTTGCTCGCACTCTCAGCCTCTTGACGTTTCTGAGTCGGCCTTTTCCCCTTGAATGCCTCTTCAATCTCCACAAAAGTTCGACCCTGAGTTTCATGCATGAAAATGACGCTGACAACAACAGTCACAACACAACATCCACCCCACAAAAAATACGCACCATAACTGCTCTTCGCAAGCAGAACAGGCGTTGTCAAAGCGACCAAGAAGTTGGACACCCAGTTGCTTGAATGAGCCAGCGTGGTGGCCGATGCACGAGTTCGCTGAGGCTGGATCTCAGCACTATACACCTTGACAGCAATACCCCAGCTAACGGAATAAAGCGCTGCAAAAAGATAGATGCAGACAATCACGACCCAGCGACCAGCGCCAGTTGATTGGTGCACTGCATTTCCGGCATACAGGCCACCCATTAAAAACATCAGAATTCCCATTCCGACACCACCGTATATAATGCTGCTTCGGCGGCCCCATCCGTCGGCATAGATGAGCCCTGGGACAGTGACTGCAAAGATGACTATTGCCGATACACCGGATGCTAGAAAACTCGCTTCGGATGAAGCAAGTCCGGCTTTTTGGAAAAGTTGAGGCGCATACTGTTAGGTTTCTGTTAGCAAAAATTGATTGAGCAGGATAAGTGGAAGAATGCGTTCGACATACATAGAGCACTCCATCAATACCGCTCATCTGCTGCATTCCCATCAAGAACACTGCGAGAACGGTTCGACCCCAGACATCTTTTGAGAAAATGTCAAGAAGCTTTTTCGTAGTATTGTCTTTGACATCGTCCACGTCTGGTCCTGTCTCCCTGATTACAACATTGACTTCGACCTTTTCACGCTCTGCGGGTGTCACTCCTAACCTCTCCCATGCCTCTTCAGCCATCTCATATTTACCATGAAGGCCAAGCCATTGTGGCGATTCCGGCAGGAAGAAGAATGACAGCGCACAAAGAACCATAGAAAGGCTCGCGAGAATAATCCATGGCAATCTCCACGAAAGCGACGACTGAATACCTGATGTCCCATAACTGACGAAGTACCCCAAAACCAATCCAAGTGTAGTAGCCAGCTGGGGGCCTGTTGTCAAAGCGCCTCTGGCCCGAGTCGGCGATATCTCGCAGATCAAGACAACTAGATTTCCAAGAAAAAGACCCTCGCCCAGTCCTTCCACAATGCGACCAACAATGAACATGGACAAAGCCACGGCGCCTGCTTCTATCGCTGCGCCAAGGCCGAAGATAAAGACTCCAATGCAAATTCCCTTTGGTCGACCGAGTCGATCGGCAACATATCCGGCAAAGAATGATGACAGCGCTGCTGGGATCAGAATGCAGGACACGATTAGGCCGTGGATTGTGGAGTTTTCACTGCCTCCGAATGAGGCTTTGAAGTATTCCATATCGGTGACTGGACCGATGGTCCCTGTGTCCATGCCGAAGAGTAGGCCGTTTGCTGAACAGAGAATGCATCCTAGTAGATACTTTGGTGGACTTTTGATGTTTGCGGGAATCAATCCCATTCTCTCGGGTTGCAGGTTTGCGATGTGTGGAATTTTATGAGAAATGTATAGCGATTATGGTGCGAGGAGATATATTTAAATGAAAAGATGGAAAAACGCTTAGTTCTAAGGAGTTTGATTCTTCCACTAATTTCTATCATTGGCAGGTCTACTATGTCAAGCCCCACGGAGTAGTCGTTATCTAGATCTCTGTGGCCACAAAGGTAGTACTTCTAGCGACATTGTCATCCCAATATGGCAGTTATTACCACCAGTTCTATGAAATACATTTTGCACTTCCATTTGGCCCTTATAAAATCACATAAGAAAACAGTAGATGGCAAATCCAGCGTGTAATCTTATTTGCAAAAAGAATAAATTGTTCCTGACCCGAGAAGAGTTTTTCGGGCGTTGATTTGCAAAGGCTTCACGGCCCGAAATGAAGGGGAAAGTGTGCCGAGAAGCCTCGTATCTATCCTGATCTTAACCCACTCCTGCCTCGAAATTCGCATTTTTTCAGCGAAGTTGATGCCGTTCCGCCTTGAAGAATCGGGCTATCAAATGACTGTGGACTACAAATGTCCTTCAGATTGTAAGTCTCGAAATGGGCTGCGAGCCGAGGACTATAGGTAGCATCGTCGGGATAATGGGGCAAGCAAGGCGTGGGGTGAGTGAAATTAGGGCATCCCACTTTTGTTCGGAACTGGTTATCTATTATCGTGATTTGATAGAAAGAATGTGGTTCATAATATTCGAAGGATGCACAGCAGGGCGCTTGAGGTAGAATTGATGCTTCCAATTTTAGGCTAACTGACAATGGCCAATGAAAAGATGGAGAAGAATGACAATAAACTTCTATCAAATCATTTCATTAGACTGTCTATATGAAATCTATGTCCTCATTGATTAAACAGACGCTTTTTCAACTTCTTCAATCTCATGGATTACATGAGCATCAAGGCCCGCAGGTCTATTTTTCTTTGCTTGAGTGTTTCCAACTTCAGTCAAATGGGCATCTTCTGCCTTTGAATCCTCAGTAAATTCAAATTGTCGCCATTCGCAGTTTCGCCAGCCAGTGCCTCAAGTAATAAATCAGTGCTGGAGATTGAAATTCAAATCATAACTGACTTACTATGAGCTTTGTCGTATGTGGCCCAGTCCTCCATTAGATAGTGTAGGAAGCCGCCGTGGGTTACTAGAGCTATGTGCTTCTCAGGACGACTCCAGAGCCAGCGTCGTAATTCGGCAGCACGCCGGCGGACAGCAGGCAGGGTAGGAGCATATATCCCTGTCTGATGGGAAGTTCAGTTTAAAGTTTCCGGCTATACAGAGAATACTCATGCTTCAATCCATACCTTGGAATTCCACTTTCCATTAACAAGCGCTGTGTCCAGGTTTCTCTCGTCAAAAGTCGGAGCAGCCTGTAAGATTAGATCCGGGGCCTTTGCCTTGACATATTCCTCATCCCAACCCATGTCACATTGGAAACCACTTATTTCTTGCGCATTGGGCACCAGAATGAATGGCAATTGGCGACTCTCTAACTCTGGACCAAAGGTCCATGCTGCCGTTTGAATGGTTCGTTGCAGGGGAGAAGCAAGCAAAACCGAGACATCTTTAGCAAATGGAAATTCGCTTCTAAGCTGAAGACATTGGTCTTTTCCCGTTGTAGTCAATAATGGGTCACGAAGATGATGAGCGTTCTGCGACAAATATTAGCGAATTCAGTATTGTACGGAAATGCGTGAGGATACGTTGATGTTATGTTCGCCTTGGCCATGGCGAATTAGGTAAAGTGTTGGTGGCATTTGGAAGAAGTTGGAGTCCAAATCCTAGTCATAAGCTTGTGCAAAGTAGGTTGAAACTGTCGAAGGAAAATGGGGATCTGACAAGATTGAGAGTCGATTTTTTATATGTAATCTCGAGACTAGATCTACCTAAATCCACCCAGTTTGGCTCAAATGGAGACCCTAACCCGAGCTCAATCGGCTGGTAACTTTGCCATTATGGCGATGACTCGGAATCCAAAACCTAAACTAATATCTAATTGAGCTGTCTTTTCAGTAGACTCTGTATGAACTGTGATCTAATGAGCCATAGCCATTAGTCATTGCGTGGCTAGATCGATCGCTTTCACCTTCCACCAAAAGCGGAAATGGAGCCGAGGCGGCCACTCCACATAGTGAATCCACATCGCGGAACGTCATCTGCCATTTTACCCGGCAACCGAGCCGACGCCACCTTTTACCCGATTGTAGAATTATTCCCGAGCCACTCCCTGACTTCAACAATGCGGTCCTACACTGGGTGGTATGTGCATTTTATGTTGAATATGATCAGCAGAGTGCATGGCTAATAAGACTGGCATAGCATGACATGCAGAGGCCGCAAGCTCAAATGCGACGAAGCAAAACCAGTATGCGGTCCTTGCATCAAAGCAGACCGGAAATGCAAGTTTGAAGAGCGATGTATATTTCGAAATCAGAAAATCCCTTCAACCCCGCAACGTACACAGAGACGCAGAACTGGCTCGCGGAACAATCGAGATATTGTAGAACAGATTGATGAAGACCAAACATGGGTAGAGGTACCAACTGAATGTGAGTGGTGAAACTTGGGATGCTTGAACTTTTGCTGAATGAACACCCCAAAGTGACTTTTGTCCAAGTTGATGATCCGTGGTCTCCAGATGGTGAGCACATATTGCCGAGGGATAATATGGTGTCTGCCCCGGACAAGGAAAATTATTCAACACCACGAGATTCTGAGCGACAAGCAGGAAATTACACTCCTTTGACGCCAAATGTTGAAACAGACTTGGCCTCAGCAAAACAAAGCTCTTCTTTGCATCACGAGACAGAGCTAGATGCAGATTTGGATGTTCAAGAGGATCAGACTGGTGAAACGCCACAAAATAATCCGTTTCAGCTTTCCTCAGGGTGGAATACACCAACTACAAACTTGACCGCAGGCACGCCTGCTAGTATCGGCTTCTCAGTCCAAAGAGCTGCGATATCTCGGAGAACAGCTGATCCTAAAGTCGTTGTCTCTCACATGTTACGAAATTTCAAGGAAGGACCAGGGCAGTGGTAGGCATCTGTAAGAAATGGGACCATGATCATGACTAAAAGAAAATACAGGATGGACCTCTTCGATACCACGGCTTACTTTTCATCGAAAGTCCCCGTGCTGGCAGCTACAAGGCCTTTGCTCAAGTCTGCAGTTTGTGCCCTATCTGCCAAACACTTGCAACATGTGTATCATACCTCGATCGGTAATGACCGAAACAGATTCCTTCATTCTTTGGCCGACGAAGAAACATGGCAATATCAATCTGCTAGACACTATGACCTAGCACTGGGGTTTTTGAAGAATGCTATCGATCTTGGAACATACAGCGATAACCCTTCTGACAAGGAAGAAATGCTCGCTGCCGTGGCTATTCTCTGTCTTTACGAGTTGATGGACGCCCCTGGCACCGCATGGAAGGCTCACCTCAGCGCTCTTCCCCTCTTCAATGACACCTCTGCCACGATGCCGGCCCACTCCTCGGTGGTCATTCCCAAAACAGCCATCAAAGGACCCATATTTTGGAGTTTAGCGCGGCAAGATCTACTTTGTGCCTGTGAGCTTGAGAATTATGCCTGCAACTATGAACAATGCTAACAGTAGTAGTCATAAGTGAAACTTATACCCGCTTGGATCTCAAAGACATGCGACTTTGGCAAAACGTTGGGCTGGTAACAGATGAACATGGCAATCTCATTCCCTCCCCGGCAACTACGCCATTGGATTTGCAGAACTCCCTCGAAATTGAAGAAGACATGAAAAGCAACGAGCTCACCTGGCTTCTTGGCAAAATTGCAAACCATCTCACTGCTGGAGACTCTATCATTCCCGAGGACTTCATACTGCCGCGTGAAGAACGTCCCTACATCGGAGTAACACAAGAACTTCTCCATGACCGTTGGGTAATTCTCATGTCTGAGCTAGACAAATGGTACGACTGCCTCCCATCGACGTTCACAGAAGCGGCACGCACAAAGGCCGACAGCAGCAGTGATCCACGACATAAACTGGCATTGGAGACATTTGAGCAGATTTGGTTTGATTTACCGTTATGTGCTGCGACAATACAGAGCTACCATCAAGCCAGGATCTTGCTACTGGTCAACCAGCCTCAACAGTCGACGGCAATTAGATCCACTGTCTCTGCACGGCTTAGGGCCTATCGACATGCATTGAAAGAAGCGCTTCACCACGCGAGAGAAATATGTGGAATCAACCTTGCAAGTCCGACGGATCCAGTGAGGATCAACTCTGTGCAGGCTCTTTTTGTTGCTGGGCAGGTATTTCAAGGGAGACGGGAACAGGATGCTGTTCTTGAGATCCTTGCTGGGATTGAAAGGGATTTAGGCTGGACGACTCAGTATCATGTTGCGAAATTGGTCGATGAGTGGGGAAGAAATGATGAATTTCGTCTAGAATAAGATGCACATCGATGGCGAGATATGTAATTAATCGGGTCGTCGAACGCGGCCACCAGGCGGTGTCCGGGTTCCCGGGCGTAATCTCAACCCGGGCGTAATCTCAACCCGGGCGTAATCTCAACCCGGGCGTAATCTCAACCCGGGCGTAATCTCACTTTTCTCCATTCCACCTTCTTCATTGATTCACTACACCCCCAATTCTCTATATCATGTCTCAAGAATTAGAAGAACGTATCTCCAATGCCTTATCAGCATGCTCTGCTACCCAGAGACCTAACGTTTCAGCGATCGCCCGGGAATTTGGCATTACATCTAGCATACTGAGGGGCCGCCTCAAAGGTCATAAGTCTAGAAACGATCGCATCCCAACCAACAAAGCATTAGACCCCGAGCAAGAGAAGGCATTAATTCTATGGATTGATACCTTAGACCAGGCCTATTCTCCCCCGACCGCAGGGCAAATTCAGGCTGCTGCTCTACAAATTGTTCGACGTCATGAACCCGCCCGCACGCTCGGAAAAAACTGGGCGTACGACTTTATCGCCCGTCTACCTTCACGCTTTGAGACTATTAAGCAAAAGCCGATGGAAAAAGCACGATACGAAGTCTGTGAACCTGGTTATATTGTTTCTTGGTACGATCGCCTACAAATTACGCTCAAAACCTACGGAATTGCACAGAAGAATCTATATAATTTCGACGAAACTGGGTTTCGAATTGGCGAAGGCAAGGCCCAGAACGTTGTTTCAGCCCGGGGAAATTCCAAAAATAATACCGGCGGACAAGCTGAATCCCTTACTGGTATCGAATGCGTCTCGGCCGATGGTTGGGTTATGCCACCGTGGTTTTTAGTTAAGGGTCAATTCCATATGGAGAGTTGGTTTATCAACACTAACTTACCCGACGACTATACTATATGGCCAACCCCGAACGGCTGGACCGATGAGATTATTAGTTTTGCCTGGATTCAGGTCTTCGACGAATTTACATCGTTCCGTGTTAAAAAAGGGGAATATCGTCTTCTTTTAATGGATAATCATAGTTCACACTTGACCTATGATTTCATTGAATTTTGTTGGAGAAAACGAATTATCCCCTATTGTTTTATCCCACACACAACACATGGCTGCCAACCGCTCGATGATACACCATTTCAAGTGCTAAAGCATTATTATAAGAAGTATAATAATGAGGAAGCCTTTGGGGGTGGTGATGCGCGGTCAAAGGCAAATTTCTTTGCGGGAATCCACGATATCCGGACGTCGGCACTTACAACGCGCACTATTCGACATGGATTCCGCGAAACTGGTATTTGGCCTGTGGATTCTAATAAAGGCCTCACAAAACTTGGTATTTCGACCGAGGATAATGATCTACCTATGATGCCCGGTTTTATTATTCATAATATTACTTCCGGAACTACACCACCACCACTATCAAGCTCATTGCCTAATACCCCGCCCGAGACAGTACAAAAATTGAGAAAGGCAAGCACTAAGGTTATAAAGCATATTCAAAATGACTCGACAATCTCCCCGAAGGTGCGACAAAGCCTCTCTCAGATACTAGCGGGTGGCCTCGTTCTCGCTGAGGTCGGGGCTCAGTTTGCGGAAGACAACGTGCGAATTCTACGGCGCAAGAAGCGGTCTGATACGGCTAAGACTAAGCGAAGGCTTCCGGAAATAGGCCCTCGTTTGGTTAAGGATTGTAAAAAGCACATAAATGACCGGGTTGATAAAGAAAGGCTACAATCATTCAATCGTTCGAAGAAAGCCTGGCGGGATGCAGCTATTTTAAAAGCAATTGCCGACGGAGAAATCGAGGATATAGGGCAAATTGAGTCAGATCATGATGAAGAGAGGCCTCGGGAATGGATTGATGATCTTTATTGTATTGATTTGGAAGGTGATGCTATTTAAATTCAATGAATTATTTGGTGGAATGGAGAAAAGTGAGATTACGCCCGGGTTGAGATTACGCCCGGGAACCCGGACAACGCCAGGTGGCCGCGTTCGACGACCCGATTAATATAATTAATGAGACTAAACTAATGATATTGACCGGACTACGATCATTGAAGGACGCAACGAAAGCTGCCCAAATCTTCGCCCTACGAAAGTAGCTCCCAGAAGAACAACAAATAAATGAAATTTGCATATTCAATGAATTGTGATCTATTGTTCTTGTTTATCCCGAATGAATAAAAGGATTGCTTTGTTGCTGCCCTATTTTCTTGAGACCCTCTATAAACCACAATGAGCTAGTATGACGATCAACAGCATAGAATCAATTGTCTTGGTGTCTTGATCATTTTCTTTCTTCATTGAGACCCTGCCCACCCAATTCAATCAGTCGACTAAAGAAGCACTGGAGCCCCAACTCGAACTACATAAATACCTCTGGTTCCAGCCTTCTAATTTCACTGACAGGATCTTTCGAGCGCCCATGCTCCAGGTTACTGTATTTCAGATCTTCCGGGTTTTCTTAGTTCATCTTGACTTGTGGCTCAAATTTCTCCACCTACTTCTCTCTACAACCCCATCAAAAGAAAGCGTTTATCCAGACGCACTGACTTGTCCAAAAATTTAAGACTATTCACCAGAAAACCAAGAACTAAGAAATGCCACCCACAAAAGTAACTTCTCCCTGGGAGAAGCTTTACGAGCTCGAGTGCCGCAAGTTCAAAGAAGACCTGGCGCTCCAAGCCTACATTCTCAGGGAAGACCCAGAGAAGCGAGGAATCGAACGCATTAGCCATGTTTGCAAAGAGCTCCGCCGTCTCTCTGAGAAACCCGATGTTATCAAAGAAGCAGCACTAGGAATGGCCGAGTACAGTCCTAGGTGTGCATTCGTTCTGAAAGCACCTAGAAAATGGCTTTTCTCGAAGTCGGGTGATCCAGATATCGCACAGGCTTGCACCCTTATGGAGTGTAGTCTAGACCGAATGGCGCTGGAGCTTAGATCTGATGCTCTCATTACCTACGCCGTTGCTGGTCATCTGCGGCAAATGATTGAGGATATTGAAAAAGACTTTCTTTAAATCGTACAAACTGATTTAATTGTCTCAATTGCCTAAATTGCCTAAATTCAATCTCAACTGGGTTCTGATCTTGTAGTAAAGCCATTCCATTGCTTGAACATTTATCTAGTGGAATAGACTTGAATAGAGTGTTGAAGTCCACTAAAAAGGACTGTAGAAGACGCAGTAGGAAATGCAGTCAAGTCCTGTTGAATAGCAGCGCGAGAGTTTCTCACGGCTGGTCCACTACAAAGGGAATGAGATCTCACAAATCAAATCCAATTCTGTTACCGACTTCTCACTTCTCCGCGATTCATTGTAACACATCAAAATTGTCAGCCAGAATTCATTAATGAGCGTATCCATTCCGTGTCTCATGCAAATCGTGCGGCTCCTCCAAAAGCAAAATAAAACTTCAAATCTTTCAGAAGCCATCAAATATTCCATGAGCTCATATTAAGCTCAGTCCAATTTTAGACCCTGCAAACGCAGTATCTACTCCTGTTGACCAGCGTTGGCCTTGATATCCTTATCTTGATTCTGGTCCTGAGGGTTGGCAGGGTAGTTCTGGTAAGAGCCATAGTTCTTGTAGTTGCCGTAGCTCTGGTACTTGCTGCCCTGGGAGCTGGGAGTAACCTGAGGGTTGTTGACTTTGTTAACGGCGTTGTCGACAGCACGGGCTCCATTTGTGGTGGAAGTGGCTTGGCCGCGAAGCTCGCGCTTCTGGTTTGCGTGCCATTGGCCGTTGGCGTCGGTCCAACCATTCTGGTCGTTTTGGTTGTTGGCGTGCCACTCTCCATCTGCGTCAGTCCAGCCATTTTGGTCGTTCTGGTCGTTCTCACGCCACTGACCATTTTGGTCAACGTCGCCGTTCTGATTGTAGCGGTTATCGCCGTTGGCAATGAACTCTCCGTTTTGCCAGTGACCCTTGCGGTACTGTCCACTGGGGTCCCATTGTCCAGCCTGGTCGTTGGGGTCCACGGGCAGGGCGAGGGCAGTCAGCGGAGACACAGCCAAAAGAACAAGGCCGTTGATCATGGTGTAACGCATGTTGAAAAAGCTGAGTTCGAGTAAACTCAAGCAGAGCTTTGTAAGGTTCCGTTTTTGAGAGTAGTATTTAGACTGGAAGACAAAGAGTTGTTTTGTTTTAAGATACTGATCCAAGACCGGCCAGTCTACTTGTATTTATAGCTGAGCAAGCTCGCCTTCAAGTTGTAAGATTACGCAGCTCAGACCTAGCCATATCTGGCGTTGAGAGGTGTTCACGTCGATGTCTGAGCTCTTTTCTCGCCATTTCGCGGTGAGTGCCGATGGTTTTTCCCTGTCACTGCAAGGGACAGCTGTAAACGTGTGGTCCAGACCCATTCCGCCTTGCGGGGAATAAGCGAGAGATGCGCAGTGATCTCTGTGGGTCTAGTCAGTGACTTAGTAATGACAACAAACATTGACTGTTTCAGTGGAGAGTTTTCAAGAACTGCATGATGAGCCTCGCATGAATCTGCAGAAAACGCGCAGATTTGGCCCCCCAAGGGGCCTAGCCACATTCCGCGAAGATCACCCGAGATTAAGAGAGATCAATAATATGTGATCAGAAACGACAAGACACATTGACGGGCATCTAGCTGTATTGTTATTTTCATGTCGTGACATCCCTTGGGGAAATCTCACGTTGTCTGTGCCCCACGCTTCGTACTGATGGTATTGCAAACGTGTGAGACATGCAGTGCATGTGTTGCATCAATTGGTGTGCTTCTGAGGAATTTCTACTACAACGTAATGCCAATATTCAGAATATCTGGAAGGTGGGATCTGAAATTGCGGTCTGAAGGTGGCGCGACAACGCTAGAGTTGAATCAAATCGAGACAGAGACAGCGCTTTCGCCCCTTGTAAGATTCAATTGTAGTTTAAGGATTCCATTTTTTGTCTTGTCACTATTAGGTCTATGTTCATCATCTTAGAATTCACATCATGTTTTGTCACAAAACTTCTCATTATGAAGACAGTGTGCGTGAGTCTGGAGAGCGTCTTCTAGCAGAGGAAGAAGGAGCTCTATGGAGTAAGAATGAAGAGTCCTCGACATCAACTTGCAAAAGAGTTGCAGATGCCCTATTTCAAATGATTGCCCTAGTGCTGATGTTTCTGGTCGGGACTCTGCTTGGCTTTCACTGGCGTGGAGACTTGGACGGTATTTGCAGTGAACATATTTCCCAATACTGTAAGAGTTACACCGCGACCCTTTTTGAAATAAATTAACTAAATATACAGCCACTGTAACGAGGGAAATTGGATTAGGATATACTTTGCAAAAGTTCAACGGTTCGCTCCTGAAAGAGAATGTCTTCCGACAAGACGCCGGCCCCGAAGTTGACGCAGCGTGGGAGTCTTTAGGGGTTAATTGTTAGTTTCCAGCTTTATAATTGCCATTTGACCGTGCTAATATTGCTTTTCATGTCTAGACAGGGGTGTTAGAGTGCCGCCGGAGGATGCACAAAAGTCCGGACTTGCTTCCGATCAAGTAAAAATCAACGAGAAGTATGGAGGAGGGTACCCGGCGAATGTGGAGGGCTTGCACCATCTTCACTGTTTGGTGAGCAACTTCCACTCACCTTTTTTCTCTTTGCTACATGGCATACTGACATTAACGAGAATCTCCTTCGTCAATCACTCTACTACAACTATGATCACTACCACGCAATGGGCGAAGGACCTTTCATCAATAACGACTATATAGTCCGTCGACATGTCTGTATGTTGCTTTCCTTCCTTCTATTCAATATAATCTCACTGACTATCGTCTCTTTCTACTAGCCCATTGCCTCGATATTCTTCGCCAAGAGCTTATGTGCACAGTCGACACCGGAGTTCTCGGTCAAATCTGGATTTATCCTGAGAGCCCTGAGCCGTATGTCGACTTCAACACACAACACCGCTGTAAGAACTTCGATGCTGTTCGTCAGTGGGCAGAGGAAAATCAACTACCCGAGGACCCTCCCTCTGATTTTTTGGAGCCACCGGCAGAAGGAGACCGGATCTATAACGAGATGCCATGAGCAATCCCATGCTGCAAGGCTAGGAACACAGCTTCGTAATCAGGAAAATAGGGACTTGATGAATAAAAAATTTAATAAATATCCTCCAAATGCTGTAAACCCTTCCAGAACAAGACCTTCACTCTTCAAGACCGTAGACCCCCAAGTCTGGACTCATCTCCGGTGAAGCATACACCGCACTTTGTTGCCCTCCAAAAACCTTCAAACACTTGACACCTCGAAATTCAAGTCCGATTTTCTCCAGCACCCTGCAACTCCGTTTATTCTCCGCGCTACAAAATCCAAACACAGCATCTATCCCAAGCTGAGCTTTAGCATACTTGAGCAGACCCACAGCCGCCTCGGTCGCATATCCCTTCCCATTTTCTTCTGGTAAAATGGAAAATCCGACGTCTGGGGCAAGATAGTGCGGGTCTGGCGGGGCCCCTTTGGTGAGGGAGACTGTGCCGATCAATTTCATGTCCGATTGTCGCGAAAGTAGAAACATTCCAAAGCCATTGCGGACGTAGTCTGCTATGGCTCGTCGTTGTAGGAACTCAGAGGCTTTCGCTAATGTGTTAATTCCTGTTTTTCCACAGGAGGAGATGAAGTCCTCGGTGTTCCATAATTCCACTAAAAAGGTGCAGTGGGCGGGATTTGAGGGGTCGAATGGGTGGATCTTCAGGTGTGGAGTCGCGATGCTGAAGTTGGGTGGAAAGGGAGATGGCTCGGACATGTTGTGGAATAAGATTATTAGATGGAAAAAGAAACAACGGAGTTTTAATATTGGTCCAAGAGTATATTTCAAGTTTTTTTCAAGATGTCGGTTGGGTAAATATACACTTATCGTTGACTCACAGTGGGGGCTAAAATCAGGATATCGAAAGTAATATCAGAGTCACATTGTGTATCGTAGGACGATATGCTCGGTCTGATTAGCTCGAGCTAAGCAGGATCTACCGAGCACCGCAAGATATAGAAACATAACGAGGAAAAAGATAACTGGCCATCATTTGAATCGTTGCTATATAGTTCGTTCGGACATCATACACTTGAAGCTTTGTCCTGTTCTTACATCGTCTTGTTAATTGGGTTTTATTTTGCAACAAGATTTTGCCAATGGGTCAATACCTATATTTCGATCGACTTGTTTGTTTATCTTTGTTGATTTTTGAATTTAGGTTCACTAGCTATGCCCCTACATAATAATGACCCCTTCTCTCATGGAAGTAAGAGTGACCTCTCTGACTGATTTCATCAAACCGACGGCTGATCAAATCATAATTTTGTCCATATCTTCCAAGCTCACGTAACCGAATAGAAACCCAGTCTTGATAAATCCGGTCCGTAGTTGCAATCCCAGCAATGAACAATGGCCAGGTAATGCGGACTACAAGGCGCGGCCGGCTCCGATGCAGTTTCAGACTCAATTCAAGAACTAAAGATACTGCACTTGTTAAAGAAAGTATGTGGTTATTGTATCTTTGGATCTCTGGCCGATTGGTTACAAAATCCTGGAAGCAGAGATGGAAATAGACAATTGTGCCGTAAAATGTGATGGCTGACCAGAAGATAGTCTCCATTACGCGACGATCGCCAGCAACGTCGCAGGAGGAGGATTTTATGGCTGTGGTGAGGATGGTGTCGTATTCCTAAATAGGTAAATTAGAACAGAGAATGGAAAATAAATTGTCAGAAATATGTGCAATGCTTGAACTTACAAGAGATAAGGTGTTGATCTCCTTGACGATCCGCTGGTAGGGAGATCCTTCCCCAAAGCTGATCTCTGGACCTGAGCTGTGTTTGAACATTTCTGTAATTTTGAATTGAACCACGTGGCTACGGTGATACAGTGTCAAGCCCGGAAGATTTTCCATATCATCCAGTTGAGACGACATGGGGTACCCATCACCCCAAAAGCGGGCTGGAGATTGTCTGCTCAGCCTGTATAATTCGGGTAGACTAAGTGCAGTATTTCCGGTCTCTGATCGCAAGAAAAACCGAAAAATATTAGTGTCCAACCGGGCGGTTTCAGAGCCAAAGAAAAGAGCTGCAGGAGTAAAGAAGTAGAGAGTCCAAAGAAGGAAAAGGGGGACACATGTGCCGCCCAGCCCATCTATTGGCCCTGCTGGTTGCGTAAGAGTGAAAGTGTCTGTATTGTTTGCATATTCGCTCAAAGTGAAACCATTCACCTGGTCTTCCGGTTTCTGCAAAGGGATTTGGCCGTCGGTGATGACAGCTGGACGCGTGTGGCATTGGAGTAAAGGCACAATGTGGTTGTGGAGAAGTGTCTCAATGCCCCGGATATGGATGTTGATTGCAGATGCGCCGCTACCGAAGCGGTTCTCGTAATCTATCATCAACCATAGTGTGATAAATATAGCTTCAATTTGCTGTGGACTTTTCACCTCTTGCTTGAGAGCTTCTCTGAGACTGGACAAAGCTCGTCCGTAATGTACCCTGCCATCCGTGTCTGATCGTTCACTGCTTGGCAGTTGATCAATGGAATTATCCATATCATAAAGTTTGGAGCGGTAGATCTCCCTCGCAGCACTGGCCAACATCATACTCATGACCATTGGCTCCTTAGTCGCTATGTTGTGGTACGCGTAAGAGACAGTTGACCATGGCCAGTGCTTGCCGAGAACTACAACCAAAATTGAATCTTGAAGATAGCTCAAACATTCGCGATCAAAACCAGACAATGACAGTGAATTGGCCGCCTGTATGCTTTGGCCTTGCACACAAGACGGATTTCGAGTGGAGAGTGACGGGTGTGGATACGATGTAATTTGCAGATGAGATCTCTGCCTTGCAGATTTGGTATGATTCATAGTCCCATCTTCATCCCTTGGAGACCTTCTGAGAGATATATCTGTCGAACTACGCGTCGACCTGCGCGGGATTGGACCACCTTTCCACTCGCACAGGATCCCCACGGCCAAGCACCGCCTGCATTGTGGCTCCTCATGGGCTTGACTTGGTAATTTTTCCTCGTCGCATTTCACCTTGCGGATACGGCAAGTTCGGCAACCTTGACTAGCTGTTAGCCTCAGGGGTTGATGCAAGGGAGAGGGTCTATGGATCCTTGCCTGTTCTGGATCGGGTCTTCCCCGGTTTATGCATTGCTGAGCTAATATTGTAGCCGCTAGGCAAAGGGGTTTCTAAAATAACATATTTGTCTCGGCTCACACGCGAGGTCAGGACCTGGAAATACAATACTGAATAGACAGACCTTTGAGAGCAAAACACGATAAGAGGGGAAGTGGCGGGGAAAACTTGGTTATCAAGAGGTTTGCGCCAGAGCCGAGTTGATGATGCCGATTGGCTGCGTCGGCTATCTCCCCCAACTGCCGAAAGTATAACCAGTTTGCGTCCTCTGATTCGTCAATCCGCTCTTTCCATTGTTACAATCGCCTATATTCCTGTCCTACCTATGTGCATATGATATGATTGGAAGTAAACGTTGAAAAATAGCTATTTAAGAAAGACAACATCACGAGAATATAAGTTTGTGCTATGCTGGACGTTTGAGTCATCAGGAAACAACCTGCCTTTTGGTCCTAGATTGTCCCAGATCATTTTTCTCCTTAAATAAGTCGCGTTTTCCCAACATCTTGTTTCCCCGTGTTCTCAACAACTTGACACCGATAACATACTCACTATGCAATTCTCCGAATCACAAAGCCGGTTCCTTGAGAGCGTGCAGGATGCAATTCGTCGCTATGATTTGCAACTGAAGGATATCAACCACAAAGTAAGAGTAAATTATGGACAAATGCGGAGTAGATCGTTAACTTGCCGCCAGATTTGGTCAAATCCCGAACTTGCATATTCAGAATTCGAGGCCCACAACAATATTTGCGAGCTTTTTGAAAGCCTCAAATCCGAGGGGTACAAAGTGACACGCAAAGCGTATGACCTCGAGACTGCGCTAGAAGTTGAATACACATACGGTACTGGAGGGCGCGTCGTGACCTTCAATGCGGAATACGACGCTCTTCCGGGTATTGGACATGCATGTGGTCACAACCTCATCGCCACCAGCTCGATTGCGGCCTTTATTGCAGCCTGCGAGGCTATGAAAGCCCACGCGAAAAATTCTTCCGAAAAGGGATTCACACTCCGTCTCATGGGCACCCCAGCAGAAGAGTCCGGCGGTGGTAAAGTGCGCATGCTCAACAAAGGGGCCTACAAGGGTGTGGATGCCTGCCTTATGGTACACCCAGTTCCCATGGTACCCGGCAACTCAGAATTAACAGGAATGGCAACTGTTGTCGAAGGCGGGTTCCTTGCCAATGATAAAGTCAAGGTCACTTTTACCGGCAAACCGGCGCATGCCGCTGCCGCACCCTGGGAGGGTATCAACGCCCTTGATGCTGTGGTTTCGGCATACGTGAACATTTCAATGCTTCGTCAGCAGATCCTTCCAACTCAGAAGATCCATGGAGTTATTGTTAACGGTGGTGACCGTCCCAATATCATTCCAATGTCTGCCACAGTGGACTATTATATTCGCTCGCCGACCATCAAGACACTTAAGCCTTTGACAGAGAAAGTGGTGAAATGCTTCGAGGCGGCTGCGACTGCGACTGGTTGCAAAGTGGACTTTGACTGGTATGATGATCTTTCAGAAACTTGCGTTGAGAATTACTAACATTTTGCTATCTATCAGGGGAATTTCATATGCTGATTTGAAAACCAATCTGCCAATATGTGAAAGTTACGTCTCTGTGATGCGAGCCATGGGCCACCACACTTTACTTGACAACTCCACGCAAAAGAGTACTTTGTCCGGAGCCTCTACTGATATGGGTATGTACCAAGAGCTCTCTGGTATCTGAATCGCTTTTGCTAAGAGTTTATTAGGCAACGTTTCATATGCAGTACCTGGATTCCACGGAATATTCACTATTCCTACAGACGGAGTCAACCACACGCCACAATTCACGAAGGGCGCTGGATCGGATGAAGGATTTAAGAGGGCACTTGCCTGTGCCGCGGGCATGGCTGTTGTAGCTTGTCAGATTCTAGTTGATGATAAATTTGCCGAGGATGTGAAGAAAAACTCTGATCAGAATTGATAACTAGAATCCAACATGAGCAGATGGCAATCCGCGTTCAAACATACAAAGAATTTATTACGCTTAAACCTTTATTACTAAGTTGTCTAAATGGGAGCATTACGAATTGTGTATATTCCTTGATGAACATATTGTCCTCTACATAATCATGAGTCTTCCGATGGTATGAAAGTACAAGGCCTGTTATCTGGAGGGATAAACTAGATTGAGCAGGCCAATTATCTAATGCTTCGGCTACATTTCTTGGTATCTTTCGAGTCTTCAAATGCCAAGGTCTGACTGGTTTGCCGAAACAGCCAATCGACACACACGAGAAGATGTCTTAGTCTCTTGTTATCTAAACTCTTAGTTTTGCGGGGAAAGGTCTATCTCGTATCAAAGCAATGTTTAGCGCATGTGAAGTATGCCTTCCATATAAATAGAGCAGTCTTTACCGCACAGAATTGATTTGAATGTCATCTTTCGATTCTACGTTTTTAAGAGGCACTTGAAGTTCAACTGCTTTTTTTTCTTTCTTTCAAAATGTCAAATAACCCAGTTAAAACGAAATATGAGATGGGTCAAATCGCCGAACAGCAAAGTGTTGAGAATGGGGCCCTCGAGAGTTCGTTTCAATTTTCCGCCAGCGCAGAGAAAAAGCTCGTTCGAAAGATTGATTTGAGGTATGTCTCACAGAAAAAGGATACTTCTCATCGAGTGCGACTGCTGACTTTGAGTCAGGGTTCTACCAATTATGCTGTTTGCTTATATGATGGCGTTTCTGGACAAACAGACATTGAACTATACATCTTTGATGGGAATTCGGGAGGACCTTCATCTGGTAGGCTCCCAGTATAATTGGTCATCTAGTATATTCTATTTTGGTTACCTGTTCTTCTCGTAAAGTCGCCTTCAAGGTAACCACTTTTCATCAGAGCTAATCGTTCTCAGGTACCCAGCATCTTTATTGATGGTCAAATTCCCATTGGGCAAATACCTTTCTACCGTTTTGTGGGTGGTCCTTTTGCATAAGTCTGTTTGCCAAATCTGACAAAAGGAATATAGCATTTTGTGGGCGATTATTCTAGCCTGCCATGCTGCTACCACGAACTTTACTGGCTTGATGGTGGCACGTTTCTTCCTTGGGTGTACAGAAGCCAGCCTATCCCCAGGGTTCACCTTGATCACTTCTCTATGGTACAGAACTTCTGAACAGCCACTTCGCCATGGGATCTGGTTTTGCGGAAATTCTCTTTCTTTGATCTTCGGCAACTTGATTGCTGTCGGCATCTTACAAATCCAGCACAAGCTACAGGCGTGGCAGGTAAGTTCTGAATATCCTAAGTATTCGAAGTATAATGACCAATGTCATGATATAGTGGCTTTTCATCATCTTTGGAGCTGTTACATTTCTTTGGGGAGTTGTCATGCTCTTTCAACTTCCCGATTCGCCGGCCACTGCGAGTTTTCTCACCGAAGAGGAAAAGCTCATTGCGGCAGAAAGATTGAAAGCAAATAAAACAGGATCTAAAACCTCGACCATTGATCAATCTCAAATTTTGGAAGCATTCACAGATGTCAAGACATGGTTGCTTGCAATCTTGATTCTTGCTTCCAATATTCCGAATGGCGGGTTCACAACTGTTAGCAAGACCCTGGAGAACATATGCTAAAAAAAATACCTGCTAACAAATTATACTAGTTCAATGGTTTGGTTCTACAAGGATTTGGCTTTTCAACTTTCCATACACTGTTGCTGGGAATTCCAGGTGGTGTGATTGTTTTCATTTTCGTCCTGCTCTCGTGAGTGTTCCCTCATAGTAAATTTGCAAATTATTCTAATACAAGACAATAGAGGGGTCATTTCATCAAAGGTGCCCAATACCCGATGTCTCGTTATGGTTGCATGCAACGTGATAAGGTAACAACGTGCCTTTCGATTTCAAGGAGACAGACGACGCTGACAATTATCACAGTATTGTTGGAAGTGCTCTTGTCTACGCCACTAGCTCTATCGGTTCCAGGTACGCGGGCCTACTTTTGATGGGAATCTACTCTGCCGCAATGCCTATCTCGATGGCAATGATTAGTTCCAACGTTGGCGGCTTCACAAAAAAGGCCACTGTCAGTTCTATATACTTCATAATGTACTGCACTGGCAACATCATCGGGCCGCAGCTGTTCTTCGAAAGAGAAGCACCAAAATACCAGGTAAAGCATGAACATTATCTAAAATACCTCATCGAAAACAATGTTGACAATGTTACAGAGCGGATTCCTGGCCATAATCATATGTTTGGTTATAGCTGTGGCTGATGGCTTCGCCATTCTATTCTATCTGCGCTGGACAAATGTTAGACGTGACGAAAAGGGGGTAGTGGAGACGACAACACTTGACCACCAAGAGAAGCCTAGCTATTCTCATCAGATTGAGATTCTCGATACTACCGATTTGAAGAACAAGGAGTTCAGATACGTCTACTAGATTAGTCAAATGATGTGCGGGGACCTTCTCCATGATCAATTTGACCAAAGCACATGGTACGCAGTATCCGCCTTGCGTTGTTTCTGGACCCAATTGAGTCGAAGGGTGGTTGGAATTCTTGGTGGAACAAACTGTCCCCAAATCATCGTTTCGAGGTTTTGGAATATATAATTGATTTTGTCGGAAAGATTAAGCTACTAGGCCTGGCCGTCATTTCGAGACATCACAGGCGGAATTGCAGACTAATGAGTGCCCTTTGTTATCTGCAAGGTGGGCCCAAAGAATATTGTCCTCAGTTTGAAATTAATGATATTGACCTGAGTTATTCTCTGAGAGTAATATCAAACATCTAGAGTAACGCGGACTGGTCGGGATGAGCAAAGATAAAGATGACACGAGGCGTTAGCATTTCGTCGATCGAACTGTCACTGGACGGATCCCGCGAAAAAGAGAGTTTTCGTCGTGCAGAGAAGACTGGGACGTTCGACAAATGCCAGAATGTTAAGGACCTTTGATGCAGAAGTGTGCATAATGATTTAAAGTATAAGAAACAACCGGAGGCTTCTATAGCCCACATGTACCACCTAGCAAACAATCGAACAACATGGAAGAGGCACACAACAGTGAGAAGAATGTCATGTTAGGAGAAGGACAAAACGCAATGCACAACGGTGCTTTCATGGAATTATATTGACCACTGCGATCTCGAGTCTGTAAACGCGTTTTCTATGGCCCGAAAGAACGTCACAAACGAAGTTCTATTAATTATCCATGAAGCACTGCAAGTTTCTTCGAATGTAGCATCAATCCATCTGGGGACTAATATTAAGATATTAAGTCTCCAACACAGGCCCAGTATACATTTTCCTAGCTCGCACCAGGTAGTAGACAGCGGCCAAAATAATGGTTCCGAAAGTTCCGACAACGCTGTAGTTCATCGTCGTCACAGTAGGCATCATATGTGGTGGCCAAAAACTGAAGAAAACAACAATAACTATATATACCACTGCATATGCATTGACAATTGCACCCAAGAGACCGGGGAGATGGAATGGTCCCCAGACCAGCCTGGCTCCCGGGACATTTATCGCCCCGTCAGTATCGTTGTGTCCGTAGATATCACCTTTGCAACGACGGTAGAGTAGCAATGAGCTAACTATAAGATATGATAAGTACATCCCAGACACTGCCATGGAAAGAATATCTTCAAGGGCGACGCCCGATCCGATGTTGATGAGTGCCAGAAGCCAGGCAACGGCTACAGTGAGGAGGGTCGAGTAGATGGGCAGCCTTGTAGACGATGAAACCTAATCGTATCAGTATATTATCGATGAGAATGGAACGAAGTGAAGTGCAGTCATACTTGAACCCATAGTCGCCAGCCAGGGACAGCTCGGTCTCTTGCGAATGACCAAAACTGACGGGAAGCCGCGGCGAGGATACCGATTACTCCAAATATCCCTATTGTGATTAAGATCGTGGACATCACTACAGCTCCCGCTGTTGAGTGTGTTGATTGATAGAATATCTCCATAAATGGATAACCGGTGGGAGAGTTCAGAGCGACTTCAATGTCTCCCATGCTGAACAACATAGCTATTAGCATTCCAAACCCGAGAATGCCATTTATAAGCACACTAAGCATCATAGCACGTGGAATGACAATGGCCGCATTGTGAATCTCCTCAGCCATCTGGAATCGTTTAGCTCTCACTCCAATACTTAATGCTTCTTGGGGAGCACTCACATGAACCACAGCATCACCGCCAGCAAACGAGAAGGCACACCCTGATACACCAACAAACCAAGACAGACCCTGCGTAGGGAATTCACCACTATTCAAAAACTCCTGGAAGACTTCCTGATTGGACCTGTGATCGGCCAGACATACCAATGGCATGATGATAGCCAAGCAGCCCAGGATATGTAGAACGAGAATACCTTGTTCCAATCTCGGGAAGATTTTGCCACCTGCTAAATTGATAGCAAGGGCAACAAGAAGACACGCCCACATGATTAAAGTGCCTTGCCAAGCTTTGGAATCATAGTTCTTGTGAGCGAGAATCGCAACACCTTGGATCATCGACCCAGCTAGATATGCAGAACTGGCAAGTCCAGCCTGCCAACCAATGACAGTAACCCAGCCTATATTGAATTGTTAGATTGTTACAGCCGCGATGTTTGGAGAATGTTGTACCGGTGATGTAGCTTAAGAACTTCATGCAGCTGTTTGGAGCTAGCATGGCACACCAGTGGTATTGACCTCCGGATGTTGGTGCCCTAATTTTAGGTTAGTATATAATCCGTTTCTCTGGACATTCGAGCTCACATCGATGACAGTTCCGATAAAACACAATAGCAGCATGCAGTGCCCGTCCAAGCAAAAATGAAGGCATACACGGCTCCCGCAGAGCCTCCACTGTGTTTTGTTAATCCAAGGTCGAGGTCCATGATCGAGGTACATACTTGTTCAACGAAGTTGTGAATGTTCTGTTGTAGAGTTAGAATCCCAGTGAGTGATTGGATTTCCAATTACATACCCAAGTAAGCCCTCCCAAGTCCCAAGAACAGTGCAGCTCAATCCAAGAACTGCCCAAATGCCAAAGTTTCGCTTCGAAAGAAAGAATAAGTTAGATTAACGCGAACTTTGGTTCGAAATGTTTGAATTTCACCTTCAGCACTGGTTTCTTTCCAAGCCGCTCGAGCTGTATCCGATCGCGTTCGCTACTAGATGAATCACGCCTAGCTTGGGCCGTAGAGGCTGGGTCTTTCAGCTCTTGTGTCATCATGAAAATTGAGATCGAATGTTCACGCAAACCGGAAATTGGGAAGAGTCATGAAGTGAACAATAAGGATTCAAGATACTTTCTGAGGCCCGCTTGACTAAAGAAGGGGGAACGAGGCTCTGCACCAAAAGGTACATGGTGCCCGGCACTATACGTGGTGACACGGCAGGGCTCGTTTTCAATTTGCTCGGGCCACTCGGGATCTGCACCTATAGGGAGATCATTTCGGCAGGAGGCCCCATAACACACGCTTGGGTTGGAAGAGAGAGAAGGCCGCGATTCTGTAACCAATGGCGAGTTGGAATGCCAATTAATGCACGATTGGTGGATCACTATCGTGTCTGGTTCGAATCAAAGTCCAATCAATCACGTATCGAATCACAGAGGCAGTAGGTGTTCATGCAGGGGGTGACTTTTGTCTCAAGGCGATGTAACTATGTGCTGTTAATTTCTTACCTAGGTATGTTCTAGGCCAAAAGCCGCCTACTGGTAATAAGTTGTACACGAGATCCCTTCCTTCTTTCTCTTCGATTGTTAACAAATCCTACTTTCCGCCCTTGTCTCGTCGCTCAAATAACAATAGATAGTCTAATTATATATCCCCGCCGGCAAAAATAAAAACTAGGCGAGGTTTCCGAGCAAACACTGAAACAAAAAAAAATTTTATTGTGCGACATTGAATTATGCTTATTGACCCATCTTCATACCACCATTGGCGCAGACCACACTACCAGTGCACCACAGACCATCGGGCGTGCACAACATGCCAACGACACCAGCAACCTCACTAGTAAACGCCGGTCGGCGTCCGCCCATCTTCTCCTGAATCAACCGCTTTTGCTCATCCGTCAAGCGAGCCATCGTCTCCGCATCATTGAGATCCAATTTACTCAATGGCGTGTTATCCTGATACCCTTGAATATCCTTCCAAAACTGCTCCCCAGTGGCGAAGTACATATCACCAACCACCGGACCGGGGTTGACGGCGTTAACAGTGGCACGATCAGCGAGCTCACGCGCCCAAGTCCGAGTCATGGCCTCGATCGCAGCCTTGGTTCCGCCATAGATTGATTGGCCGACGAAGCCCAAAGACGAGGATACACTGGAGATGCTGACGATGCGGCCGCTGCGGTCGGTGGGAAGGAAGGGAGCGCAAGCTTGCGTGAGGAGGAGAGGGGCCAGGACATTGACTGCGTACTGCCAGTGGAAATGTTCGGCTTCGATGGCGCCCTTCGGGTCGTTAAGGTTTCGGTCTTGAGAGACGCCCGCGTTATTGATGAGAATGTCGATCTGGAGCTTTCCTGAGGCGCTGAAATGCTCATGTGCGGCGCCGAGAATCGCGGCTACGCCTTCGGTAGGCTGGCTCAAATCCGCTTGAACACTCTCGCATTCAATGTTATGGTCTGAGGCCAATGATTTGCATAGTGCTTCGGTTGGCCCGCGGGATGACTCTGAGGTGAAATTGAGGAGCAAAGAGCAGCCCTTTGCGGCCAGATTGCGCGCGATGGCTTCGCCAATTCCTACGTCATGTCAGCTATGTTTTTTGTATATACCATTGCGAGGAGAGATTTACCCCGCGATCCACCGGTCACGATGCCGAATTTTCCTTCGAGTACTCTTGCCATTTTGTAGTTGTGATATTAATGTTGGAGATTATGAAGAAACAAAATAAATACCCACCGGAAGTTGAGGACATGCTGCCTTTCTTGAACCTTCAAGCTTTATTTAGCCGAGGGGTAACCCCACGTTTCACGCCCCGCCGACGGAGAAAAATTGCCCGTTGAAGCGCCGCACAGGAAATGCGGGTAATTTCATCTTCGGGCCGAATTGTCGTTCAACTTCAGCCGGGGGGTAATTGCCATCTACAATGTGGGTCCCACATTATCATATCGGGTAATCACTCTGCGTTACAATATTTTTGATCCAAGATAGGAAAATCATCCCGATCCACGGAGTTTAGTATGCACATGTGTGCAACAGAATTCGAATGCCATCAAGCGAATATTTCCGGGGTACCTTTTGTTGCAGACACCTTGGACCAGTCAACGCCATCTTTCCACAACACCTAATGGGGGTATGGGCTCCAAATTCTGACTGGTGACTAGTCTGGCAGATCGTGGTCAAGCTTTGTTGTGAAGACCCTTGGCCCCTTACAAAACTCCGAACGAAGCAGACTCGCTGTCGTTCCTCTCTACTTGTGCTACAAGGGTGCAACATTGTGTCAACTTGTGCCTCGCCAGTGGGCAAATGGAACAACCCGCTACATGAGACGAAAAGCCACCTAGGGTTTCGGGATCGAGCAACAAAACCAACGGCGAAAATGGATCTCCACACTGAGATATCAAAGCCATGTATAGAGGGACGATTGCTATTCACACAAAAACGCTTCAATTATGTCAAATTCGAACAGAATCTTGATCACAGCCGGCCCGTCCCAATTAAAAGCAATGCTAGAATCCACCGCTCCTAGGAATGTGAGGCTTTTTTTCCCGTTCTCTCCTCCCGTATCATCAAAAGCTCATTCATGTCCGACGGAGGGGGAAAAGGTTATAGATTCCACTAAGTAATACCAACTTCATCATTCAATTCGAGAACCACACGGCGTATCCGAATCCTGGTCATTTCATGTTATACCCTGGTGGTATCTCAAAAACAGAGATCCTCTTGTGCTATGGCGGGGTGGCTTCCACGAGTAAGGATGGTCCCCTTGCTGGCAATCATTCTTGGACGATCACGGAAGGGGCCTAAAATTGGCATGCACTTGGAGAGAGGACATTATGGGAAGGGGCTCAGAATATAATTTGCGAGGTAGCAGATGAGAAGTAAGGTTGAGGTCGAGCCTTTCGTACGCGTGTACGTTCGGCTGATGGAACTAGAATTTGCCAATTCGCCACTTCAACGTGTCGCAAGATGCGAAGGACTGAAGTAAATGTACTCTGGGCTTCGTGCTCCGCTCTCGGAATTTTCCGAATTTACCCCTTGAATCTGTTCACCCTGCGGACTCTGCCCTTCCACTCTAGTCGAGGGTAAATCATCAGCTTTCCCATGGGCAACATTCAAGATCTCCAGCAATCGGTCAGCCGTAAGATGATCATGCGATCCCTCCATACGGTGTGCATATCGTAGTCTTCCACGCTGAAAGATCCACTCGCCGCCTTGTTGGTTCCAATTTCCACCTCGCAGACCCGCCCATCCCCGTTTCCATATTTGTTTCATTGTTTGCGCCAACCCAGTGGAAAATGTGAAGTCCGAGTACGGAGGTGGTTCAGTGAATCCACCGGTTCTCTTCATCTGGAGTTTTTCGTATATTCCCCCAGTTGGATCGGTGTAGATTGGGAACTCGCTTGACGTTTCTTCCATATAGGGCACGATAAGGGTGTGATCTCCACAGCCGAGGATGATGACTTGCGCTGGTCTGGCGCACTCGGGCACAGTGTCCAGTAATTTGTTGGTCATTTGTTTCGACAGGGTTCGGACGTAGTCTTGGTCGTAGACGCAAAAGAAGTGACGTACTGGGAATGTGTCAGCTGGCCAGTTGATATAATCGTGCGATGAGGAGGGATGCCGCTCACTAAAGATGACAATAGTAGTTATTGAATCGCCTTTTCCTGCCACCAGTTCCCCAAATCGAACTTTTTTACCCTTCTCCGATTGAATCTCCAACTCGTAAGCTTCATGGAGGGTATCATCGGTCAGAAACTCCGGCCCTTCATCTGGAAAGTTCATATCCGCGATATCTTGCTCCAATAATTCTCATATATGTCAGTATCCAGGGATTTGAAGAGATAAATTTGAGTGAGAGCGAAAACGCCCCGAAATATATATGACGTCAAGACCCTGCTCGTGGCAAATCCGGGGTAATTAGGACCACATGAAACGAACTTAATTACTTTAATTAAGCTTGATTTTAGTCCACGTAAAATTCGGAAATTTAACCGTATTATATAGCGCCTAGGTTTATGGGGATACATGACTACATACTGTAGGTAAGAATGGTCGATCCATTCACTGCTTCTATGTGTACTGTTCCGGCATCAGACAGTCCCTAAACGTTGCAGAATAATCAATTTCCCCGGAGAAGCAAAAAAACGAGAAGTCTTGAGTCAATGTACTTAATGATGAGGTAAAACTTGATATAATTATATGGGAGTCGCCCGCAGAATATGTAGAAAACGAACATCTCTGTTTACGGGGTCCACGGGTAGAGGGGCCAGAGCCCCACGCCCTACCCGCGCCCACCTCGCCCTTCCACGCTATTTTAGGACTTGTTTTTTCTCACTCCCAATGTACACCACATCACTCATTGCAATTACAACGCGTTCTTTTGTATTATTTCAAACTTCAAGTTTGACTTAAGGTCAAATTCCGACGTTTTTCAACATGTCCGGTGCCGCACAAAAGATCCACATCCTAGGTCTTGGCAGCATTGGTACCTTCGTCGCACATTCGCTGCGCTGTCTCCCCAAACCACCTCCAGTGACTCTACTTCTTCATCGCAAATCTCTATATCAAGAGTATGCCTCCAAGGACGGGAAAATCCGGTTACAGGTTGGAGAGCAGGGAATCCCACAAGAACAACACGGATTCGAATTTGAATCGATGAACGGGTCTGCAGCCTCGTCGGATCCAATTGACCACTTAATGGTCTGTGTCAAAGCATCAGCAACAGTCTCTTCCCTTGAACCATTAAAGCATCGACTTGGTCGGAATTCAACAATCTGCTTTTTCCAAAATGGTATGGGGCAAATCGAGGAGCTGAACGAGCGAATTTTCAAAAATCACTCAACAAGACCTGATTATTTATCTGGCATTGTGCGTCATGGAGTATATATGAAATCGCCAACTGAAGCTGTACTTTCTGGCGTCAATGGCTGCATCGAGATTGGCAGAGTACCTTCTAAGGATTCAACTTCTACGCCACCGAGTTCTCAATTTTTGCTCGATCATCTATTGCGGTCACCGGCCCTTCGTTGCACGAAGCTAGATTGGACGGATCTATTACATGTACAACTTTTGAAGCTAGCAACGAACTGCGTTCTCAACCCCTTGACGGCATTGCTTGACGTCCGCAACGGCGAAATAAAAAGCAACCCTGCAATCGCGCCCCTTGGCCGCAGTCTCATCAAAGAGATTTCTCTTGTTCTCGAAAGCTTGTCGGAATTCAAAAATCTAGCTGGCGATTCAGACCGCTTTTCACCCACCACACTGGAGAAGGTGATGTTGGACACGGTTGAGAAAACTGCTAGTAATTCTAGCAGTATGCGCGAGGACATCTTAAAAGGCCGAGCTACGGAGATTGAGTATATGAATGGTTGGATCGTCGATCAAGGTGCCAAATTGGGCATCCACTGTCCTACAAATGAATTTGTGACGAATATGGTGTTGGCAAAAAGCCGTCACAAGCCATCTGGAGGACTTTGACCCTTTGTGTTAAGATATAACGAAATCTGGGCATCGAATAAATAAACCATTTCGACGTGATAACCCTGAGACTAAGTAGCCAACGCTCCCCCCCGTGCGATTTGTGTTTTCATTTTCGCTGTTCTAATCCAGTATGATTTCCGAGAGGATCCACGGAAACTCTAGAAGTGGAGGTGCTCCCGTACTCGTATCGATAAATCGGCACTGATCTCCCCATAGATGCAAATTGAAACTTTCTATACGCGTATCCGTCGGAACGCCAACCTGTTTTAGTCATGCATGAATGGAGTTTCGTATGGGAACCAAATGTTCTGGATTCGTTTCACGCGTCGATGTGACAGTTCTACACACAGACTAAATCACCACACATCGGCGGAGCATTAGATTTCTGTTAGGCATGTTGAGCCAGAAAAGGACTGATCCATTTTGTGCTGGATTTGCTGCTCATGAAATGCGTAGGGATTGATCCAGCCATTGCAAAGCAACAATAGATGCCATACTACATTTCTGCGTTGTTGTGAAGTGCATCTTTGGGGGTGTTTTGCAGTCAGATAATTCCTTATCGGCACGTGAAGCGATAAACAGCCGACGTCATCGCCGATGGCCGGTCTCTCATGACAGCTCAGCTGTTACCCGCAACGTTACAACCATCCACAAATTGTCCATCTGAATCTTGAACGCCACGCCCAATTCCTCAATTCAAAATGTCTGGTCTAGCAATCATCCGCCCTGCACGGGCAACCTCAATCCTGCGCCGGGTCGTGCCGTCCACAAAGCTCACCCCTCGCACACTGCACAGTCTATCCGACTCCAAGCTCCGCACCAACCCAGGCAAAACCCAATTGACCTCGCTGCAATTGCGACCCCTTTCTTTTCCCACGCCAACTACTAGAAGCTTCTCTTCTCTCAAAACCTCAAGCGGCAAAGCGGAAGCAGACCTCCTAGTCGAGGAATTGCAAGAGCTGTACGAAGTCGCGAAAGACGAATTTGAAATCGCCACCGAAAGCACCGATACCTCCACCATCTACGCAGCTTCGGATCGGGAGTCTGCGCGTGATGCCCTGAACCAACTCTCTTCTGTTTATGGGCTCTACACAGCGAAGCCTGGGGAAATTGCGAATGACAATGCGAGTGAGGAGGCGGAGGGTGACGGGACGATTATTGAGACGAATTATAATCCCGCTGAGATTCCACAGGGTGTTAAGGATGAAGTCCGCAGACGGGTTGGGCAACGCATTCGGGAGTTGAGGTCTGCTGTTGAAGCCTTGGAGGAGAGGGCTATGGAGCATTGAGTTTATTTTGTGTGTAAAACTACTGGGTCAAATTTGATCCTAGGTTGTATATTTTACGATTCGAGTAGTGTCTGGCTTGTTTGGGATCTACTTTAGACAGGGCTGATAGAACTCCAATTCCGACTTCCCAAATATGACTTTTTCATATGCGGATAAAAACAGTCATCCGAAAGTGGAGAAAGTATTACTCGTTGTCAGCTATATTGTAGTTGATAGGGCTGTACAAGGTCTTTCATCAAATGGCAAAGGTTACCTTTCCTCGAGGAATTTATTCTCAAGTCACGCTGGTAACCACATGAAGGATCAAAAAAATAATGCGTAGAAATGTACGGAGTAAGTTTTCGCAATTTCAAATGTGGGATGTGGGCTTACTTTAGGTGGTGCTCTCACCAGAGTAAACATTCCTATTACAGATTAAAAAGCAAATTCAAGTGAAATTTTCTAACCACTCTACTATACTAGTTCTTGATGGCCCTGGTCGAACGTTTTAAACTATAGACTAACTGCCTATCATGACAAGGAATATGGCCAATAAAATACTGTATAGAAACCATTGTGGAGCGACCGGATGTGTACGGAATAAAAGGTCTTCTGTGCACTCCTAATTTCCTGTAGCCTTGCAATTAATTCAAAGGAGGTCAGCGGGCTATATACAGTCGGAAAGAGGAATTTATTTTCACCTATTGAACGCATCTGCGGAAGACTACATGTCGGCTCACAAAGGAGGCGGAAAATTGCATTGTGCACGAGTTGCGTTCTAAGTCTCAACTCTTCTATACGTAACTCTATAGCTTAGCCCCTCTACATAGCACTCGGGGGAGTTGGAGGCACTTAGGTAGATAGAGTCCCACAGCTGACGTTAAACAACAACACACGTTTATACAGTGCACAATGATGATAGGTCTTAAAGAAGGCCTTCGAGCTTAATTCTAGCAGAAATGGTTGAATGAAATACTTGATAGATACAGAGATTTTCAAACTTAAGGGCTCTGCCCAGCAGTGTTGAAATTCTGCCAGGTTCAGCTGTTTATATGGATGTCTAGAGATGAGGCCGATAGCTAGTCTTATGCTTCGAATAGCAAGTGAAATAGCCACCTCTTTAGACATCGGAGATAAAAGCCCATTGCACAAAGATTTATATGATATTTCTGAGTGCCATTAAAACATATATCAGATTAAAATGATGCTTGGCTTTGTTGGATAAAATATATGCCAATTTGCCTTCGACATATTGTGTGCCACAATGGAATCGAACTTGATAATCATGGGATTGTATTAAAAGTAGACTTTACAGCAGCATATTAAAACAAAGTATGTGCATCAAATCAAGGTAGTCATAAGAACCTGCACTTCAAGAACGGGTTCTCGCGTTGAACGAATTTGATCGACCTCCCAGGTAATGGGGAGCTTATTGCATCCACACTCCCCACCTTACGACTCATTGCAAAAGGAACAATAGGCGGCGAATCCGAATAGTCCACAGGCAGTTCACGTGGCAGAGTTCGTTCAAAATGACAGTTCAGGGAGTCTTCCGCGTCGCGTTGTCCTTGTGTAAGTTCCTTTTTACATCGTTCGTGGCTTCATCACACGCGGGATCGTTCTACATCCAGAAACATCTAAAAATCATCCAATCAAACCTACAAAGGTATGACAGATTCTGATTTATCTTTTGATTTAATACCAACCCTAACAGACTGCGTTAGGCTTTTTCCCCGGTACTGATCGTCAATCTCGACAAAATGTTCGGCATACGACTGACCCGTTCCACTCCCAAAATGTCTTGCCCGGATGAGCTAGAGGAAGAAGATGATGCGATCGACGGTGTTGCTGAATACAAGGAAGCACGTGCAAAGTTCGTGCTGTTTCTCACTACTCAGGCCAGTTTGATCACACACCAGCCCAAGCCTGACACTCTGGACGACGTTAAGATCAACCTGGAGAAGCAGAGCATTGTGCTTCTTAACGAGATCATCAGGGCTGCTCTGTACATGGCCACCGACGCGCCCGAGCACCCCTTTGTCCTGGCAAAGCAATTTGGGTGGTATGATGAGGAGGTTGTGAAAATATGCCGTAGCTTGAAGCAGAGGCTTCCCCTTCTGGCCAAGCGGCTGAAGCGCAATGCAAAGTGTGACATGTGTGTCAGCTTTTCCTTGCTCAACATTGTTGAGGACCTGGAGTTCTAATGTATTCATATGGATTGGTACCCATCCATGGGCCACCTTTGCTCATTTGTAGCAATCCCGTCGTTGAGATAAATACATAAGAGCGAATATGACTTCAAAGGACGTTTTATTTCATTTTTCAAGTAAAGAAATCTCAGTTACTCCCAGCTACTTTTTTTTGTTTCTAAGCCATGGCAATTCACTCAAATATTAGTCTGCTCCCAATTTCAGCTCACTATTCATGTCCAGAGAATTCTTCTTCCGGTCTCTAAATCCTCAATCTCCTTCTGCAACTGTTTCCGTCTTCGTTTGGAACCCACATCCTCTCCGGCTATCTCTTCCAATGCATCGTTAGATAAGTCATTCACCCAAGTCGGTGATATGAGTTTCATAGGTGCTTCAGGCCCAGTCACGAGGTGACAATCAACTGCTTGCATGCAAACATTGTCAACAAACCTTTTGCGAGCCACTTTGTAGTAGGATTCCAGGATATCGTGAATGTCCTGGACAGTATGATCCAAGTTGCTCATGTTGTGCTGGGCAGTAAGGTCGCTGAGCCGCACGACCTCTCCCTGTGAAAAGTTATCGAAGACCTTGTCGGCGATGGCAGCATTGAATCTCTCTTGTCGACTACAAAATTCGAGGTGTTAGCTGCCGTGACTTTGATGCAATTTCAAAAAATTCAAACATTGACTCACGATCTTTCGAGATTATCATTCAAATAGTGGTTCAATGTCATCGGGGTTCCTCCCCGCTCGACTTCCAACAAGAATTTATTCATTGACATGCCTCGACGATAAGCGGAGAAGAGGTCATCCCTGAGGGCTGACATGATGCCAGTAAATAGTTGGTGATTGTTGCAAATATCATCAAGAACTTCACTTATGAAGGCGTGAACATAATTGATGATATCGCTGACATATCCCCAAGCCAAAACAGGCCATTTCACTGTCTGCTTTCTCATGAGAGTTGATAGCAACGTGTGGTTGAAGGTACCAATCTCAAAGCCCCGAGAAGCTTGATAAATGTCCTTGATCCATGGGAGAATGGCCGACTTAAAGGAGGCCTCGATCTCTTCAGTTTCAACAAGAATTTCTTGGAGATCATGAACCCCGGTCGACTTTCGGCTTTCTATCATAATTTGATCCTGCTGCGAACTGGCCTTAGGATTGACTGAGTTTAAAGACTGATCTTCAACCATTGAAGCGAATTCAAACAAGTGGCCAGATGACTCGAGATCATCGGAAAACACAGAGTTTCTGGAGGAGATATGGGTGGCCAGCCGAGAACAGTTTATCTCGTCGAAAATTTTATGAGCTCCATAGTTGGTAGCAGTTGCATGTCGGGTAATGTCTTGGAATGCGGACACAATCTCCAAAATAATACGTCTCTGCTGTTCCGGTGTATCTCGCTGCGCTCCAAGGGATTCCAATGATTCCTTGGACTCCCTAAGTCTTTTGATGACTTCAGTGCGAACCTGAATATCAGAAAGACAACAAGTTAGTATTTCTGCATTATCTGAGAACAGTTTTTACTCACAGAGGGAAACTCCCGGCGCACGGTGGCTGTGAGCAACTCTTGGAGGCGGGCCTTGAGCGCGCCGATACCGTAGTTTTCAGGAACCACTTGATTCCAGGGAGACGTGTGATGAAACAGTGCTTCTTCCGTATCACGGTCAACATTCCCATTAGACATTTGCTTCTGGCTTAAGTTCCGAACAAGAATCCAGCCAAGCTGCCCTTTAGCATTGCCATCGTTGATGAGTTGAACTATTTTACCTTCAGCTCCCTCGTCGACAAGGTCAGGCTTGGTGAGGATTCGCAACGTTCTCAATTCCTGGGGGTCTTCGTCGCGGGCCATCTCAACGATTTCCTGTGTGGCAATATCCACATTTGCCGGGACAACAGCAAGCATGATGGAGCGAGGGTTCTGCATGTATCCGAGGACCATGCTTCTGACCATGGCAATGTCATTTTTTGTGGTACGCCCGGAGGTAGTGTTCTTGAAGATTCCCGGCACATCGATGATACTGAGGTGACTTTCATCGGGGCCTTTGATCTCAAGCTCTAACACGTTGTCTGAGAAAGTCGGCTTTCCATCGTCATCTTCAGAGGACAGGCCCATTATCTCGTGTACCTGTGGCGTCTGATTAGCGAAAAGGCTCACCATAGCGCCCGTGGGCGTTTAGTTAGTTACCTCGTGCATCATTCGGGAGAACTCCTGCGGACTGAGAGACTGGAGCCCGGAGGCCTTCCAGGTTCTGACTTTTTGGTCCTGTTTTGCATCGAGATTCGAGGTGGGGATTATGCAAGCAGAAATTTCTCGATCCCTCAGACTTGGCTCACGACGGAAAATGATCTGAGTTGCGAAGCGAGTACATAGCCCGCTGTCTCGTGGAAAGTTCAACTTGGTCAAGCCCTCCAAGACAGAACTTTTGCCACTCGATTGGTCACCAACCACAACAAGTTGGGGGAGGTTCACATATTTTCCCACGCCACACGCGAATAGTTTGTCAATTTTTTCGTTCAGCGCGCGCTTTGTCAAGTCTTGGCCAGCAAGGCTCCCACCTTCGACGATCATCGCACCGGATAAAGCCGATGGCGGGGGAACTCAAAGAGAGAGATAGGCAAGCAATTCAAAAAGATAGAGCACTTGTATACAAAAGAAAGGTGCTAGTAACATGTACGTGTGAAGGAATGAAGGATGAAGAGTGAGCAATGAGGATAGAAAAGTGGATGAGGGAAAAGGGAAATGGTGTTGAAGATATAGGAGGTTGCACAAAAGGTGGTGAGACGTGATGCGTGGATAGCTCGCATTCAATCTCTTTGTTTACATAAACTTTCTCTCCATATGACTTAATATAGAAAGATGCCAGCAATAATCATTGATCAATGCTATTACTACAAATATCAACCTTTCGGGTTAGACCGCAACGCAAATCAATGAGTTCATTTGAAGATTCTCTGGCAATAAATCATCCTGGCAATGGATGAGTGAAGAGTAGCTTTCAGAAATCTGAGCTTGAAAGGAAAATATTACATCCACAGAGAGATACCTAGGTATACGTTTGCTTGTTCTTTCACTTATACCTTGTCTTTTCAGCTTTCCCATATGTTAAAGCTCAGTGAGGTCGTACTAAATCTCAGACAAAGCAAAAATGTTCTACCACTGTATCTCGACGAACTTACATGTTCATTGATGCCATATAAGCTTTTCAAAATCAAGACCAAAGACCAAAATTGCTCTAAATTACCTCATTTCTAGTTAAAGCCCAACTCATTATACACATTGTTTACACCCATGCGTCGCCACTGGTTCGAAATACTGTTAGGATTCTCAGTAGTGACCCGAGGAGCCACAGGAGGATGGAAAACCTCGTTGCTCATCAGTTCGGGAGAACTGGCCGGGGTAGGGGATTCAATAGAGGGAGGAGTTGTCTGACCGTCATCAGAGACAGTACTTAGGCACCTTGATTTCTTTTCCTTGAAGACATACTTCTGTGGTTTTACAGAGCTTTCCGGGTTAGGGACCTTCTCAATGGCGGCGAGAAGTTCGGCAACTTCAAAGAAATTCTGGGCCTGATATTCCTCCTCTTTGGGGGTGGATGTATCCTTCGGGGTTGAGATAATGCCTGTAAGATGACACTTGGTGTTAGCCTCACGACTAGATATACGACCATCGTTATAGCGACGGATAGACCGCCGCTCGCCATCCACTTTACGATCGGTTGTAAATCCATTGGGGTTCATACCTGGAGCGCAAACGTTTGCAGTCTTGGGTGATTTGTTAGTTGCGCCCATTCTGTCTGTTAACTTGCTTAGAGATCTAAATTGGCGGTAAATTTCAGCTTTCCCTGGTCAGATAAGTAAATACGGTTGGTTGGAAATGGTATGATTAACCGCTGGATCAATCAACTGAATTCGCAATTCTGCAGGAGATGGGAGGTTTATATAGTGTAAGGCCAAGTAAACTTTCGCTGATAGTAGCCACAAAGTCATTATTGCCTTTGTATAGTTTATTGCCCTTTGTTAACTCTTTCATAGATTGAAAAACGAGGATCAAATCATTCATTGAAGCTAAAAAAAAGTCCACTGCACAAACAAAATTAAAGAGCCTCCAGCTTCTGACACTCCATTGAGCCTATAACTTTGCTCAGATGATCCTTCGGGCGTACTTCTCTCCGTTCGCTCAAAACTATCATTGGACTTATGGCATTCGGAATTGTGACTGTTGCTATGTTGCTAGTATCTTGCTAGTATCTGAATAAATCTCTCTCTGATCTATGAGTCTTACGAAGATGAATAGGAACTAAGGTTAAATGACTTAATTTAACATGGGCCAATCATCTGGTATAAAACATCCCGTTATTGAGACCATAGTTGCTTCAAGTGATGGACATGTTTCTATGAAGCTATATAGCCACGGAACAGGGGGCGAGTAATCAGTTCTCAAAGTTAGATTTAACGAATGCTGACCTTGCAAGCCAAAACCAAGCCTAGGCAATTTCAAGCTCAGCAGGATACTGCGAAAGCTTCCGAAGACTGGAAGAACAGTATAAACCCAGACAAGTGGAGTTTTGGAGATAGTAAAGAGGAAAAAGGCCTTGCAGCCGTGACGGACTATTCGTTTGGATCACGTATTGGATCTGATGGAGAAAGTGATGAGTGAATCTGCGTTGACGCAGAACATGCAAATATTCTCGCAACTTATGACTACCTTTTTGTTATTCTGGAAATATTTCGTAATAGCTAACATTTCTAAATTGTTTATTAAAAGTTCTTTTTTCTCAAATGGGATCAAATGGAGTATTTCCTCGATTGGCACCGGTTCTTGTTCCGTATATGATACATATATAGGTCGTAGAAGCTGCAAAACGCGTGAGAGCCGAAGTTCTGTTACTCGAACTTTTAAACAGTATCCATAAGCAAAACTTCAATAAACCCCGGATTTCCAACAGGTAACTCAACAACAAACCTCCAAAGCGCCCAAACATCCAACTGATCCTCCCCACCAGATCCATCCTGGTCAATCTCAAAGCTTCTCTCACCATCAAACCTAATCAAAGCGAGGCCCACTGGAGCAGGAGGAATCTCCGATGAAAAATGGGTATATCCATACGCCTTAACGTGCTCCTGGATTCCATTCCACCTAGGTCGCCATTTTTGGAATTTCCGGGTCCATTCTAGATCAGTTCCGGCGTCTGCCAGGGTTGCACTCATTTGCCATAGAAGGTAGGATGTGTTATTCCACCCCTCAGACTTACCTGTTGCACCTAGGAATGGCTGGGAGTCGCGGCAGATGTGAAAGTTAAAAATGGCTTGTGGTTCTGGGAGGGAGGATAGAGATGTGGATAGGTGGACGAGGTCAAAGGAATTAATTTCTCCAGCGTCTGAGGCTTCGTCGTCTGCTTCCCAGTTGTCGTTTGGGTCGATCGTCGGGGTTGGTAGAGGACTTGAGTAGGACGGCATTTTGACCTTGATGGTGGTAATCTAGTAAATGTGACTTGATACTGATAGACAGTATGTGTTGAGGACTTGGATCTTGTATTCCCATATTTAATCTGAGCTCAGGTATTTAAGTACTTTGGATCTGAAATTATATGGAAGTTGAATCATAAAGAAAGCTTTGTTCTCTTTGTTTTTTCGCGCCTTTGAGCGACCTCGAACTGCCAAAACACAATGTCTATTACGGAAATGTATCTGCATGGTTCTTTGTACAAAAAAAGCCATTCGTGGTATAACAACCGAATCAAAGACATGTTCAACAAAAGTAAACATCGGTTGACAGAATGTAACCGGCAGAGGGAATAGGGATATCCGCAAAAGTTCTCTCAACTAAAAGTCTAAAAGTCTTCATCAACGTCACCAGCACGTCCAGATCCCCTCATACCATCTTTCTCTCTTCGCCTATTCTCCAGGTACAATCGACCTCCTTCATACAAACTAAGATACAACCCCAATGCAACAGCCGTCCACCCAGCCCGAATAAGACCGCCGCAAAACAACCCTTTAACTCCCTCGTTCTTCAAGATATCCCTCCCAACAGCGAACGCACCACTGCTGGACCTCTTATCCTTCCCACCGGCGGTAAGCATAACCCTGGTCTTTATAACATCAACAGGCGTAGTAACAATGGCGGCAAGACTCCCCGACATGGCCGCCGAGATCCCCGTCAACCCAGCACACTCAATCAGTTGACCAGAGCGCGATTGCGCCTGCACAGCTGTACCCTTCTCATTTTTCCACTTCTCTGTAAGTCTCGTGCGGATGTATTCGAAAAGCGGAAACTGTAAAGCTGTCGTCGGCAGGTTTCGGCCTACTAGTGCGGTATACCCAGTCCAAAGACGCCAAGGTTGGTGTCTGAAGTGGCAAAATACTTGAAGCATTGCACTTTTATTTTGATGATAGTTTGAATTTGCTGTCACCATTTGCGCATTTTGTTTGAGCACTTCTGCCGGTGTGAGGATGAGACACGAGACCATTTCGGCGGTTGAAGATGCTAAGCCATTGATTATTGGTGTTGGGAGGTTGTGTGAGAATGGCAGAGTTATTGAATGGAGAGTTGACGGTTTGTTGGTGTTGGTGGATGAGTTGTACAGCACGCTTTTTACTGTTTCGTATGTTGTGAAGAATGCCCCGGCTAAAGTTGTTAGGATTGGTTTGGGTGTTTTTGAGTTACGAATGCGTACATGATGGGATTGTAGAAAAAACCACGCTCCACACGCCTTGATAAAGACCTTTGAAAAGTACATTGCGCTTTATCGTGCCCGTATGAGCATCTTTGAACACTTTGTTGTAGTTTGGTGATTGAATGCGTGTTTTGAGCGTGTCAACCGGGTAGACTATGAAATCTACCACGACTGCAGCGAATGCACCCGCCTATATGGTTAACAACGAATTGATGTTAACTCTTCATCTTGTCTGAATGAAATGTACACGTGGTTATCGTGTTGATCAACATACGACCCAAATATCGGTATGGCTGTTGTACATGTGGGGAAGGTTGTAAGGATATAAGCCGGCAGAAAATGTTTGAACTTTGAGAGTTTGAAAAAACACAAAGCCAACGAAAAAGATAAGTAGTAAAGAATCGATAGATTCCAGGATTACTATTTTGCACCTCTCATTTTCGATATGATGGGGGATGAGGGGCGATGATGTCATTGACATTGACATGTGCTCGGAGACTACTACTTCGATCTTTATTTCAACTACACTCATTTTCGCTTGGCGTATTATGGAAATCTCTTGATATTTTGGCTAACCCTTTATCAAAAATTGGAGGGCGCTAATTGATTCGCAATATATTGTACATCGCTTTCGAGCGTTACCCACTAGAGCCAGCCCTTGGGTCCACCCCAGTTACCCTTGATCATGTAGTTGGCGTACACCCAAGGGAAGAAGTCCTTCTTGAGGTGCCAGAACGAGCGACGGGGCTCACCTTGGTCAATGCCGAACCAATTACCGAAGGTCTCCTTGGGCTCACCACCATACTTGAACTCAGCAAGGAGGACCTTGCCGTACTCGGTCAAAAGTGGGCACGAGGTGTATCCATCGTAGGAGGCATCAAGGTCCTTGCCCTCCATGGTCTGAAGAAGATTGCGGACGAGGACGGGCGCCTCGGAGGTAACAGCAGCGGCAGTCTTGGAGGTAGGCAAACTTGAAGCATCACCGGCAGACCAGACGTTGGGGAACTTTTTGTGTTGAGTGGTGTTGTCGTGGACATCGACCATTCCAGCCTCGTTGGCCAGAGGGCTGTTCTTGACGAACGCATGGGCGCCCATCTTGGGGGAAACGTGGAGCAGGTCAAATTCCCTAGTAACTTCTCCATTGGGAGAGGAGAAGACGGCGGCCTTGCCGTCAATAGCCAGGAGATCGTGTTGGAACAGGCCCTCGACACCGCGGTCCTTACGCATCTGCTCGAGAATGGCGTTGTACTTGGGTACACCAAACATCACGGGGAGACCGGTAGCGTAGCTGATCTTTACGGGTGAGGAGGCGGGGTTGGTTGGGTTGTAAAGCCCGGCTTTTTTCCAGAGGTCCAACGCAAGCCACATGACCTTTTGGGGAGCGCCGGCGCACTTGATGACACCTGCGGGCTGGGTGAAAATGGCATTTCCTTCGCGGAAGTTCTCAAAAGTGCGGAAAGCCTTATCACAGGTGTTGTAACCGTAGATAGAGGAGACAGTAGAGTGACGGTCTGCAAGAGCTTCAGGCAGACCCTTGATTTGACCGTAGTTGATGCTGATACCGGGGACCACAACGAGGTGCTCGTAGTTGAGCTTGTCGCCATTCTCAAGGGTCAGAGAATTTTCAGTAGGAGTGAATGCGCCAACACCCTGGTTGTAGAATTTGAACTTGGGATCAATCAAGCTAGCCATTGGCTTGCGCAGGTCCTCTTTATTCTTGAGACCACCACCAACTAGTGTCCAACCGGGTTGGTAGTGGTGCCATTCGGCAGGGTCAATTACAGCAATGTCATCTTGCGCGAACTTGCCAGAGTGCAGAAGCTGGTGGCTGATGGAGAGACCAGCAGTACCACCACCGACAACCACAACCTTGTGGCTTCGGGCAGTACCCACAGGGGACGCGGTCGCTAGACCCCTGTACTGCGAAGCTACCGAGCGGGCAGCGCGAGCTGCAACTGTGGCGCGACTTTGAAACATCTTGAATACGAACTTATTCAAGAAATAAAATATTTAACGCTCCAAAAGAGAGACCTTCAAAAATACCTAAAGCAGTAAGCCTGTTAGCTGATGTCGTGATCGCGGAATCGGATTAACTTGTTCCGATATCGGGGGCATTTTGAGTCGCCGATCACCTTTCACCGCAACAACATGCCACTCTCTTCCAGGTCCAGTATTGTACCGCCTTCAATGCTATCATTGATTTGCCCAGATTCATTTTTTGTAATTTCTTTTGATCGCACCCCTTGAGCATGTTAAAACGAACACATTCGCCAATCATTATTCAATTTATGCTTTTACATCTTCCATTGTTCCCAACACAATGAATGACCTTATATGGGAATATTCACACCCGTAGCCTCTTCCACGTCCTTTCACACATAGAATAGCGAATACACTCATGGATCCAATATGAGAAATGACCGATTCTGATGCCAGAAATGGCCGACTTTCTCTTCCCAACATCGCAGTGGTGATCCACCGCTTGTTTAACCGCCCCACAATCTCGACTTACAACCCGAATCACGACCAAAATAGCTTCTAGGTATGAAGCACTCTATGGTGAGCGAGAATTACCCATGGGAGAAATTTTCCGCGTAGAAGTGTGATCCGAATGGAAAAATATTCCGTGTACCCTCTATCCGCAAAGCAGAGGAATATATATCCAACACGCCACTCTATTCATCACGGCCGCGTTCCTTGTTTTTTTTCCGATCTGCACAAGAGATTAGAACTCAGATTTCCAGTAACACGCATAGTTAGAGTCTCAGAGCAATTTTCACCTTTAATTCACATTTCATACCCCCTGCCGCCTCGCAAGTCTTATGTCCAGGGCATGGACTGGAAGTATCCACGTCCGAAGCCAAGCGCCGCTTCAAGCCCAAAACAACATCTACAGAGCATAATCAGCTGATCAAAAGGCATTAATAAAAAGGATCGCAAGATCTACAATATTCGTTCGCACCATAGTGTGGCTGAGCAGGTCATCAAAAGCTCAACAACACTAGATATTGCAGATGAAGACCCTATTTTGCTGAAACCAGTTCACTCAAGGAGAGACAGACACGTAGGCAACGCGGAATAAATGTCAAAAATCATTAGACTCATACAGCAATAGATCCTCAAAGGCAGAATACTTCTCTGGCTGGCATATCAGTTGATTGGCGCTATATACGGCGACATTGGTATCAGTCCCCTCTATGTCTTCTCTTCCACGGTCAAAACGCCAGCGTCGTGAAAAGATATCATCGGAGTCTTGTCAATAATTCCTTGGAGCATCTTTATAATGGTGACGGTGAAGTACGTTTTCACCATCCTTCACGCAGATAATGATGGTGAAGGCGACACCTTCAGCACCTATAATTTGTGGAGCCGCTACGCAAGTCTCACATACGTCGCTCTGTCACTCATCAGGAGGCTGATCGTGTTGCAGATGAACATCGCTAAATGTGATCCTAGAGAGGCCTCTTTTTCCACATCAGACGATACCCGACATAAGATCTTCAACGATCGAGCCGGCATTTCCGCCATCAGGTTGAGTCTAACAGATTTGTCAGAGCCCTGGAGGACTATTGAAAGTGATGGGTGTGTTGGCTGTGACCATAGTTATTTCAGATGGGCTCCTTATCCCGGCCTAATCGGTGCTGTGGGCCGTGCAAGGCATCGAAGTTGTCGACCCCAGAGTCTCAAAAGGCACCGTGATTGGTGTTACAGATGCTATCATGATTGGGCTTTTTTGCATCCAGCCGCTTGGAGTAGCCAAAACCAAAATCAGCCTTGCATTCTCACTCATATTTTATGACCTGGCTCGGCTTTAATGAAAGTATAACTTGGTCCGATACAATGCGGGTGTTTCCCAAGCACACAACCTAGCACTAGCCTTCAAGTTCTTGATCCGTCATGGTGAAAAAGGATGGAGAATGCTTGGAGGAATTCTCCTAGCGTGGAAGCCCTCTTTGCCGATCTCTCGAAAACTCTCATCGTGATCAGATGAAACAATTCTTTGTGTCACTTAGTGCTTCACTGTACATATTGGCCACCGAGGGTCATTGGAGAATCCCAGGAACTACCACCTCGTGCTCAACCATGCAGTTAATTCGAATTCTATTATTAGCTATGTTAGCTTCTGATTTTATTATCTCTAATCATCAATTCATGATATCCTTTTCCAAACATGCACGGGCCTAGCAAACCCCTCCTCATCCCGCTCAACCGCCAGTATCCTCTCAAATCCCAATGCTTTCAACTCATCTTCAAACGGCGGCCTGATCTGAATCGTCTTATATGCCTCTCTCAATTCTTTATTCTTCTTCGCAGCTCTTGCATAATTACTCATAGGTTGCGGCTCCATAACGAGATACCCCCTTCATTCAGAATGTTTTGTATGTGCGCAAAGAGAGTCAACATCCCAGCGTCCCCATTGTTGAGATGAATCCACTTCGTCACTGAGAGCAGCAGGACAACGTCGAACTTGCCCAGCGCGGTACCCGTGTACGCGGACGCATCCACGAAGTCAAAGTGCTCGAATGTGCACGGCCCGTCCGGGTACGCCGCCTTCGCCTGTTCGACCAGCCACGGGTCAATGTCGACGCCCACTGAGGCGGCTGCGCCGCAGTGCGCTATCGCCTCGTGCGTCAGTTTGCCTGCGTTGCAGCCTAGGTCTATGACTCGCGCGTTGCGGAGGATATCTGATGGGAGAATGGAGAGGCGCTCATCGGGAACGGTCGGCGCCCGGAACTTGGCGTAGTATTGGTGGTAGTTGCCATGGCGCGCGGCAAGGTGTGTAGCTTTGAAGCGCTCTGCTTTAGAGAGTTCTGTTGGAGGCAGGGCCTGATGGCATGCTTCTGCCATACTTGAAGACTGCGAGCAGAGAGGCAGGTGCGAGTATTTATCTTGGTTATATCAAGAGAAAATGGTGTAATGATGTGACTAACGTTAAGTTTTAGTACACTAGATAGGCCATATATTAGAAATTAAAGGTCTTGAAATTTTGTGATGAACTCCAAAATTTTGATTCTACATCATTGGTCAGGTGATAGATATAAGTGGGTCTATAATTCATATGAGAGACATCCTCCCTGTACCAGGACGGTAGCTGAGAGTGTTCACTCGTATCATTAATACGCGAGATACTTAAGGCCCTCCTTGCAAAACTGAAAAAGCATAATAGAGAGAGAAGTAAAGTTAGCGAAGCGAACTATTAACTACTCGACGGTATGATCAGTGTTTCAGAGTATAGCCGTGAACTAGAATTTCACCACAGAGAGAGTGGAGAACATTCTCCCTACATAATGACATAGCGTTTATGGCCTAGGAATTTCAAGCACAGTTTGCTTTGAAGCAAAGCTGTTTCATAATTTACTCCAATAGGCCGTCAACTGGGTACTTGACAGGATAAACTATGAATTGTTCACTGTTGTCTCGAAATCTTCTGGTTCGCGCCCCAGCAGCTCTCCAAGGAGGGGCGATACGTATGCTGCCTCGCCTCGACGGAAGGCTTCAAAGGTTGTAGCCCACACCTTGGAGTGATCGACTCCATGATAGATGAAATTTGGCTTGACCTGAGGCTGTGCAGCGAATTCATCTTCAGAAACCTGGTGGATCTTGACAGGCAGGTTGGCCACTTTGCCTAAGATATCAACTGACTCCTTCAGAGACACCACCCTTCTTCCGGAGAGCAAAACAGTCCTCTGAAGATACGGGAAGCCCTTCGGGTCGTTGACAAATCTCTTCAGTAGCTCAGCTGTGCCCTCGCCCAGCTCTTCACGTTTGACCCAGGCAATACCAGGGCCTGATCCGTCGTGTGGGATCTTAATCTCACTCACAGGGTTCTTCGGGTCAAAGAAAGCCGTATAGAGTGGGTAAGACTCGGTGTACAGGCCCTCTCGGACCACCGTGTATCCGAAGCCCGGATTTTTGTCAGACAGCTGCTCTAGATACCTCTCCGTATCTAGATGAGCTTGCATAACATGAGCCACAGATTCCTTGTTCTCTGGTTTACCACCATAACCCAGAGAGCCGTAGAAGATATGCTTCACTCCGCTACGAATTGCCGCGTCAATGGCAAATCGATGACGCTAGATATATCAAGCCTTAGTACGGTTTCAAAAGGTGTAATATGGGATTGCTCCTAGAACTTACTTCAGATCTGTGTTCATGCTCAACTGAAGCATATGAGATCAGGAAAAGAGTATCAACACCATCAAAAGCATTTGAGAGGCTGTTGTCATCGTCATAGTCTGCCTGACGAACGGTCGCACCGGATGATAAAGCGTCACTCAATCTTTCAGGACTACGAGCGATAAAGGTGAGATCTTTCGATGGAAGCCGAGGTAGAAGATGCTTGACAGTGCTGCCTCCGATACCGCCAGAGGCAGGAAAAACGGCCACTTTCCTAAAAGACATTTTCAATGAGCTCCTTCGATAATGACGTGAATTTGCTGCTTATTCCTTCCAAGCAATGCGGTTTTATAAACTCACTCGGCGTGATTTGTAATTGATCGGAACGTTTTTGTGACGGACTGGGTCTATCTCTCATTATTCTTACTCAGCATTCCGAGTCATGGTCACCCGTTCTGAGGTAGTTAAATCATCATCTTTACGTATCTATACGATTCTATCGTAACAAATGGTAGCATATTCCTAAAGACCAAGGACTGCCAGGGTTCCCGATTATTGTTCCCCGCTAAACTCTTTTTTTACGAGTCTCTTTTCGAGTCCTCGTCTATAGTCACCATCCTCGGTATCCCGGCCTCGGAGACGTGCCGTTTCGCTCGTCTGTCGGGACCAGCCGGCGTTTCGCCACCTATCCGCGTCACCCGTTCGATACGCCGCGTTTCGCAGCCTTTTATAACGAATAACTCCGATCCTCTAAGCCATCGTATCGAGGACGCAGGCAGTTGTCCTCGACGGGCAAGTAAGAGGGGTGGCTTTCGGTAAACCGTTCGGGAAGGAACCGATGCCCCGGACTCGGTAAGCTTACCTTAAAAGAGCAATCGAGCACGCCTACCAATTATAATTATGCTTCATAAACGAACAAAATCCCTATCACGATATAAATGGGCATGTCGAGGATCGAAGCCCCGGAAGAAGGTCCGCCAGGAGGAGCGAGAGCCACGCATTGCATAGGAGCCCATATTGTCTAGAGTAGATAAAGGAAGATGGATGAGAGACGTAATTGAGATGACTGATGTTTTTGACTGAATTGTTGAGCAGAAACCTGGTGGTCACCTGGGCATGTTTAGCAGCGCATCGGGGAGAATACCAAACACCGAAGTTCCCCACACCGAGGCCGTGTTCTTTTCATGTTCGATGGCTGCCTGCAGCTCATGCTCATGGTGCTGATGAGAGGGATCATTTAGTTCAGTAGGTTCGTGAGCCGCGTTGGAAACCATTGATGGCCCAAGTAGCGCGTATCAATGCCTCTCGTCAGTGGGGTTTGGAGGGTTTACAGCCACCTAGACCGGGCGAGCGGGTGGAATATGCAGGATGCCAGGGCATAGAACAGAGAGATGCCCAGATAGAGCAACCTGTCAGGTAATCTTCCAGAGGGTATCTACGATTTCATTAGTCATGCCTAGATCCCTATAAATTGCCAGAACCAGGGACAATAAAATACAGAATCTTTCGCACATTCTTATTGGCCAGGTCAAAATAGCTACCCGACAAAACCAACTAGTTGGATTCATTGAATAACGTAGCAATTGAGAAAAATAAAATGTAATAGGTCAGCATTGGTGGCCAGCTCCGTGGTGAATTACGTTCACGGCTCAGTTGTAGCATTCCAAGGTTGTTTGTTTACGTCTATGCCTGACCACTCGATACTCGACGTACCCATGACGCCCGGGAAGAACAATAAGCTGGGAATTTCCAATCCCAAGGCAGGGTCCTAAACTGTAAGTCCGACGGCAAGAACGTAAAATGAGGGAGGTGGAGAAGGAAGAAGAAATGTAAGGGAAAATAAGGGAAAAGGAAAAATAATACTTACTAGAGCATCCAGATCAAAACCTGGAAGACTGTCTGGCCCCGTAGTCAGCGACTCAACCGAATCCTGCGGCGAACTGGCTGTGTGAGAGGCCTCCAGCAAGACATAGCAGTTTTTAAGGCTTTCTTTAATGGTCTCGTAAATGGCGGGTTGGATCGGCTGGCCCGACTCCATTGCACGGATCTGGCTCAAAATGGCCGATAAAAAGTTGTATCGCTTCAGACTGGGGTTTCCAAGCGCGATAATCTGCAGCAGCTGCTCTTGAATGTGCTCTAGGCTCCGGATCAAGGGCGCTCGATGGGCCTTGGCTAATTCATCCATGGAATCGGCGACAAATGGGGGAGAAGATCCTAAGGGCCGCGTCGAAGCCTCCTCCTCGAGTTGTGTAATAATTTCTAGCCCCAGAGAGGTAATCACATCGAAACTTAAGGCTCCTTTAAAAGAGCCTCTACCTACAATGGTCAGGTGAGAGAGGTCATCTAAGGCGTCTGAGGGTAGATTGAGATGATCGGCATACGATGCAACCACGATGCAGGATTCCAGACACAACTTCCGGGACAGATAGAACCGTGGGTCTTTGCGAGCCTGGATCATGAAAGGGCGATACAGGAACAAAATATATCGACGTAGGTACGTGTCAAGAAACCGAAGATGGAAGTTGGTCATGCCTGGAGTGCGGCCCGCATGCCTCGACTGATTCCGACTGGTGCCGAAAAAGGAGGCAAGATCGCGGCACGCCGAGCGCAATTCATTTCCCAGCCTTAATGCGGTTTCGTATGACAGTTCCTGATGGTGCTGGTTGTTCAGAAGCCAGACCACTTCCACTCGCACGGGGAGAGACTTGAACAGTAGAACCTGAATGGACGAGTCGGTAAGGCGCTTACTCGACTGCGGGGTGGGAAGCATCTCGGTCTCAGGGCCGAACTGCTCGTCGTCCAGATTCGACGGCGCCGTGCAGTCAATGTCCTGTAGGGAAAACGGTAAGGGCATGGCAGCATCTAGCATCGAAAGTAACGTCAGTTCCAGCACCGTCGCCCAGAGTCGAGCTCGCATTTCGGACTGGTACACGGACAGCACGGGAAAGAGTTCAGGAGAGCGGAGCAGTCCCATCGCCATGGCCATGCGTAGCACGGACCCTGCGGAGAGCCAGCTCGTGCCTGGAAGGCTGTTTGTCTGGCGGGCCAGCAATAAGAGACAACCAACTTGCAGGCCATCCAGATTGACGGTCGACTTTTCCGATGGCCCGACTAGCCACCATTGTACGGCATAGATCCACGTGTGTGCGAGACGGCGGAGATGCATCCTATTGCTTCGGTCTGGGTAAAATGTGGTGCCCAGGGCGAGTATCAAAACCAGCTTCATCAAGAAATGGGTCGAGGTCGACTGCGGCTGGGCCCAGAACCGACGATACTCTTCCCAGAAGAATTGGATATCAATAAGCCCCACAATTGCATCGTTGTTAACAATACAATTGGACACGGTGAAATCGTTGTGCATAAAGCTTATATCTGGATCGTGATTGGCGACTGAAAAAATGATGGCTCCTTCTAACGGATTGATCCGACCGTTACTGAGTATGTTGGGGTCCATTACAACGTGAGAGCGAGCTTTGAGTCTCTGGGCTGGCTTGACAGTGTGAAGTTGATGTAGTGTTTTTCTGGCCTGTTCTTTATATGATTTCTTTTGTTCTCTGGATAAATATGGCCATGCAACAGACAATCCAACACCTGGAAGCCTTTCTTGAACGAGTACTTGACGACCATGGATCTAAAGAAACAGACATAAGTGATTGGGCTCGATAGATGGAGAAAAAAGGAGATTACTTTTCCAGCAAAGTAGATTTCTGGGACTTTGATATCACTCAAGACCGTCTTTGCCAGAGTAATTGCCTTAATCTCATTTGCATCGGCGTATGAGAAGTCAATCTCCGGAGATTGAGTATCCCCGGTCGCGTGGAGATGGCTGGATTTCACAATTGTGCTACCTAGAGCGAAAACATCGCGATCACCAGCATCAGCAGGATAAATCCGATTCTCTTCAGTGCAGATATCAATGACTGAGGCCCAGTATGTCAATGATTCTGGACCCTGAGAGTTGACATGCTGATGATCGACGTGAAAGTCATCAGGTTTCGGGCAGTATCGACCATAGCAAGGCACGTCAGCGTATAAGTCCGCTGCAGGGATTTTATCTGGATCCGCTTCATACGGGCTAGTCATTTTAGAAGACAGGTACAGCAGAGAGTGTGAGGGAATTATTTGGATACCAAAGAAGGGTATCCTAATCTAAATTTCCGTGTAGCAGATGTGAGCCGACGAGGACTGTGTATGGGCAGAGAAACATCTCCATGGACTTGTGAGTAATGCAGGGATAATGGAAACTACATTCACAAATACAGTGGATGGATATGAATCGCAGTTTCGAGTGAGCTTTGTTAAACATGAAACTCCCACGGCATCTTTTATATTACTAACGTGTGTTGAATTTATAGACCGCCTACCTTTCACATTGGCTCTTGACTTATTATCTACTGCCAACGGCTGAAACTGCCAACAACTCTGTCCGGGGGATCGTCCGATTTGTTAATGTCACATCTAATGCGCATGAAAACGTGCCTCTCTCTGGTATTGATTTATAGGACGTCGACCAAATTAGTGGCGGTCCTATCTCTCGATATGGCTCTTCTAAGCTGGCTAGTATACTTCATACCAAGGAACTTGTTAGAAATTTCAGTGAGCCTGAGGCTCGAGCAGTCTACTGGGGAATTCGTTCGAAGACAGCCCAGGAGGTGAGATATGGGTGTCAAGTGTGCATCCCGGAATGATGAAGACGTATGGTCTACTTCCTATCAATTAATTACTTGATTATCTGTTTGCTAACAATTACCAAAGACATCTTCTTTCTCAAGCCAATGGCTCAATGGCTGTGATAATCATGGGCAAAGTTCTTTCCGGGATCTCTAAGACCGGCTTGATAGGCTTGACCCCAGAAAATGGAGCTTTTACGCAATTATTTGCTGTGGCAAGCGAAGAACTCACTCAAAAGATGAGTGTAAGCCGATCCCGAAAGTGGAAAAACGGAGTAAGAAGGCAGAAGACAAACAGATGGCTGCGGATTTATGGGACTGGCCAGAGAAGGAGATGAAAGGCAAAGGGTTAGTCTAAGCCAAGAAACCCTTAAAAGAGAGCCCACAAGATCAGGACTTGCGGATACATTGCAGCTGAGGTCGATCAAACATTATGTATTTACTTAGATGATTGTTGTAGCCTGCAATGCATGTAAGGGGATCTTAAGGGCTTGAGGTCAAAGTCTCGATCCTTTCGGGACCTTGGGATATCCACAATATGACGTCAGTTTTGTTTATCGCCGCGTCTTTGCTATCCGCGCAACCGCAACACCTATCCATACTTGAGGCCGTACTCAAACCCAACATGCCATTCAGACAAGCGCTTCAGGGCATTTTTGACAAGGCAGACAAGGCTTGGGAGGAATTAACCCACCAAGCCCCTCCGCCGGTACCGTCGGATAACAGGCCTCCCCCACCGCCTATTCCAACCTCTAGCAGACCACAGCCAGCTTATCAGGATCAGCACTCGCAACCCCAGATCTACTGGCAGCCCAATCTACACCCCCAAGCACCGGTATCCTCCAATTTTTACCACGAACAGGGTCAACACGGATGGGGCAACAATGAGGCACAGAATTATATCGACAGGCCGGAAAATTCATTCCATTCACCGCAGGGCGATGCGGTGATCGTGCGCGCTCTAATCAATCACGGACATCCCGACCCAGCCCAGAAGTTCACCAGTGCCAGACTATCCAGCCACCAGACCCTCAGCCGACCACGGGGCTGTCTGTCCGCCAGGATCACGGCGCCCGTGGCCCGTGGTATCTGGCCCGCCTTTTGGCTGCTGCCTAAAGACCCCTTCAAGTGGCCCGAGGATGGCGAAATTGACATTATGGAGGCGTGGAACGGCGATGCTGTCAACCACACGTGTCTGCATTGGGGCCACTTCAACGGTGAGGACTGGAACAAGCATCGTGTCCTCGAAACCCCCATCCCTATGATTAGCTCGCCGGCGGGAGTGATGTACCATTTCATCTGGGACGAGGATGAAACAACGGGCAGAGGGCGCTTGGTCTGGTTGATTGATGGCAGGCCCATCATGAGGGCCGAGAAGCCGCCTGGCACGAGAAAGATGAGCGAGTTCAGAATCCTCATCAACATTGCTGTGGGAGGAAATGTTTGTCAGGGAAATATGCCCAGCGATGGATGCTATGAGACCGTGGTTCGGGAGTTGGCCATGTGGGATGCGCCGCCTGGGGGTTGGAGTGAATTTGATAGGGCTTGGATTTATTCCAAAGATGGCAATACCATGTAATGAAACGAAGGCAACTTAGCGTATTCGAAACATCGAAAGTGCCTTGATTTCGGAAGAGCTAGGAAGGGTGTCGCCAATACGAAATCCAAGCATTATATCTTCTGGAAACCTATACTATGCTAGTGTATCCGTATAGCCTTTCGAATGTGATCTTGGAGAGCTTGGACATAATAGGTGGACGACGAGGATGAATTTGCCTATCTTTATCAACAATGGTCTCGTTGAACTTTGAATTGGAGGTCGTCGGGTGCCAGATCTGGGTAGATCCAACCCTTTGAGAACTTGGTCGCAGAGTCAACAAAAACATGAATGCATGTTGTGAATAGCCATACAATTTAAGTTCTGGAACGGCAGCTCTATGATGACATGTTCCCGATGAAAGTTGAGCATAATATTTCTCCCATTCAAGATCGGCTTCTTTCAAGACGTAATTTTAGTAAAAATTACTTTGATCATCACTTCCTCGGTTTCTGTGTAATCTTCTGGCTATCTTGTAGATAGACCGACTGAATCCAGGTCTGGGTATTGAAAATAAAGGCCCAAAAGCGGCGTGGTAGCAATCCAGTCTATCCACGTGAACGCTGACAGGCTTTCATCAAAGATAAGGCGCTTTTGCACATATCTCATGAACATGCTTGCATCCAACACTTAACTATCAAAGAACTCTGGAAGAATGTGATGGGCGTTTTCTGCTAGGGTCTCGGTGGTTAAATTTGTGAACTGCATACTGGTGACCATCGAGATACTCTTCTCAAGATAATTGTAAGGAATCCTAGATGGCCAGAATGCGAGAGTTCTCCCACAAAACAAGTGGGCTTCTATATGTTAAGAGCTCCAAGTTTTTTTTTTAATGATTAGTCGGAAAAATCGAGGCATAAATATCTCCGAAATTGTATTGAATCACTGGTTTGGTATTCTTCTACAATGAGATATACGGAGTTCGTACCTATATATCTAATTTTGGCTCAACCCCATATCTTGTTATTGCCTGCTATATTGTCGGTAATCTGGAACAATCACCAAATACCATGGCCTCACTGTACCATTATTGCTAAAGCCTTCTATTTTACAAAACGTTCATACAGTATGTATGAATCTAGAAAGATTTTTTATCTGTGAAGTAAACCGAAGTGACAATCAAGGCACTCAGAGTCAAAGATTTGTGGAAACTTTAATACTCATTCATAATCATCTTCATACAAATATTATCTCAAGATGATCCAAGCGACGCGAGATTTTCCATCAGAGAAGCCAGGCCATCATAGTCTCCACTATCTACATAATATCTTATCATTCGGTATTCTTGAATGAAGATTGCAGCATCTTTTTCTGAATTGAATCTTTTGTGACAAGACCGGGGTGCCCTGTGGACTTGGGGCTCTGCCCCATTGCTATGATGACAGAATAGCGTTAACAGTCGAAAGATCTTTTGCAAATAGAATAAAAACGTACAAGTATTCGCGATGGAGAGTGTCGCCTTCTCTACCATTTGCCACACCGTATACCGGTCCGGACTGACGTTGACATAGCGTTTTCTTATGAGGAATATGAAGGATTCTCGATGGTTCATGTCCATTTTTGACAAGGTACTCCAGCCCTTCTTGTAAAGTTAGGGAGCCTTTAATAACTTTGCCCTTGAAGTCATTCGTCAACGCGTCAGCGATAGCCCTGAAAACAAATTAACACATTTCAGCGGGTCAAGCAAGTCATGTTTGAACTACCATGATTGTGTTATGACGCCTGAAAAATGGCCGCGAGCCACGGCGTAGTAGTTTTTCGCTTTGCCTTTTGCCATCCTTCGGAAGAAGACAGTCTAGAAGCAAGGAAGCCTATACAAGTAGTTGAAGTGAAAAGATTTCGAGTTTATGAACAGAACCAAAGTCATGGACTATACAGGTTAATATATAGGTTAAGGTTGGGTTTCTGGGCCACGTCAACTGGCTGGGTGCTAAGGCAGAAAGAGGTGAACTACTCGATTATTTCCCACCCTGTCAACAGCTGTCGCAATGTAGCCCCTGCTCTTTCGTGCATCAGCCAGCACTGCCCCTCAATGGCACGGTGGGCACGGTGGGCAGTGCATGTTCTTCTCAATCCAACTCTTGATTTCAGACTTTTGGGAACGTAGAATTACTGCTTTCAGCCTCATTCTCCTTGTAATAAAGGTGGGTGAGCTAACTTTTTCATGCAATCTACAGAGTACCTTAGAAACGTGTCCTGGGCTGTATGGCTGCGCGCGCCGCAGAAAAGTCAAATATCAGTCATGCAAACCATCGCGCATATGCTATGTGCATACAGCCAGTGAAAGTGTTTTCTGTGACATATGCGCCTTGTCAGGGCGGCTTATGCCTTGCTCGACCAAGCCCTTTCAACTCCAAGCACACTTTGAACAAAACTGCCAACGCAACAATATCCCTGTTCACAAGCAACATAACTAACAGAGGCTGCAGTTACAGTGACACAGCGGGTCGCTAGAGTCACTATACCAAACTTCCAAGATCTCCGTTAAATTTAGGACGTGGATAACCTGGAAGATCAATATATAATCATCAAGAAGGGATTTACGCTGAACTAAACGTTTCCGCTTTCTCTTGTTTCCCCCGCTGGTGTTTATCACTTACTGGATTTACTCTAAGCTGGCTTTAGCTTCATTATTGCTAGCCGAGCGACTAAGTAAGCATACTTAATTCCCGTACTGAATGCCTGCTAGTTATACGTCTATGTTCTTACTTTCGAATACCCACACTATACATGTAGGTACATGCTCACAAGGTACGAAGTACTTTCAGCGGTAAATTAAGGAAATTGTTAGTTTGCATTGAAGCTAGCGTTAGTGCATAGACAAAAAGAATTATTTCACAGATCATCTAGGAACGGTCATTAACTTTGAGGGCTTGTGAGAGGTTGGTCAATAATTCTAGCATTCAAAGGTCCAGTCAGTGACAGGATATCCCCGCCGATTGACATGTTCTTAAAACTACATTTGTCTCTAATAAGTCAGGATGCACGCTGAAATATCGCTTGATTACCACCTAAGTGCCTTGCTATATGCCTTATATACCCGGTTCTAAAAGGCTCTTCTATATCTAATTTTTATTGTCTTTGAAGCATATTCTGACTTTCGTCGATATTTGTTGAACAAATAGTGGCTGAGTAAAATCTCGCTAGTGAATGTAGGCTGCACCGCCTCGAGTGTGGCTGGGAATTTTGGTCATGTCTTTTCAAGCATAGCCTTCTTGAGCCTCTTCACAGCTTTCATAAGTTTAGCTGTATGTCACAGGAGTGGCAGCCTCCCGTCCAACTGTGTGTTACTATTATTTGCCCGAAGCGCCGCTCATTGGCAGCCTGCCTAATCCTTGCAGCTCATGCATACTACCGCATTAGCGGCTGACCTACGTGGCCACTGGTCTATCTTATATGCCCGGATAGCCCAAATGATATAAGTGTGTACATAGTCTTGCTGCCATTTGGGTGCTGCAGGCACAGTGGAAAGTGTTGGCGATGAAGCCGGACGAGTAGACAGAAGAACAGGTGCAAGTGTCGCATAAATTCAACTCTTCCTTCTAAACTGATGACTGAGCATAAAAACAACCAAAAAAACCATAATATGGAGAAATCCGGGCGGTTTCAACAGAGTCCCTCAATTGAGCCGCATCCGCATCCCGACCTAGCGCAAGAGGCCCTCGTCAACACTAACGCGATGGATGAAAAATACCAAAAGAAATCACTGTGCATCTTCAATTTGGGCATTTTTCTTAAAAGTGCTTTTCTGGGAAACTCTCACCATAAATAAACCATCCCTGGGGTCCTGAATTGGGCATGGAACGCAAAAAAGCATTCCTCATATCCGGAGTGGCGATGCGGACGATTGAAAATTTCTATCGTACCTTATTCGCCAGTCGCACGGAGCGTAATGGGTTTGGTCTTAAATTCAAGCCCATTCTGGAGTATGTGTACGCCAGCGGGAATGCAATTCAGGCGCTATCATCTGAAGCATCGAAATTACCGGCTGCACGGTCAACCTTGCCGAGAAGCTACGCTGCGCCGTGGAGAATGTCGCCTCAAAGATGTCCAAGTCAATAGCATGGCTTTGCTGGAGTCAGGGTCCATTGTTACCTGTGTATTCCAATTTATTTTATATTTATTATTATTGTTTTTCTGGGGGATTTGCATTTGGGAAAGGATGCGAAAAAAAGGGAGGCGAGGGAGATACATACGATTGTGCCCATTCCAACTGCGAGCAGAGCCCAGGAGAGCCCATCCGAGCACAATGATATGTTCAAAGTGCTGGATGCGTTTGACAATTATGCTGGCTATGAGCCCTGCCGGGGCGGAGTAGGTAATGCAGTTCATTGTCTCAAATGAAAGGAGGCGTGGAGGACAAAGTGTTGAGGGGGGCGCCGAGAAACTGTTATATCAGTCAAGTGGTGTCACTCAATATTGCGGGTGATAAGGAGGAACAAGCCAATCGCGATTGTGAATCTAGTTGGTATCGATTCAAGTGGAGACATCAATTGACGGGAAGCCCGTTTTGACAAATGGGTCTGATCCCAGGTAAATAGACCAAAGATATCCGCGATTGGCTAAGCATAGGAGAGCTACTGGCGAATTTGGCGCCAAAAAATCGAGTCAAGACAGAGCAGCCACACTACAGCCCGCTTTGCCATAAATAACACGACGTGGCTTGGAGGCATCCATGGATGATGTTGGACAGACCACGAGTAGAGTGGATCCATCATCGTGCTAGCGACAGATGCGGATTAGCGTATTGCTTCTCGGCCCGGACCCGTTCGGGCGCTATTTGGGAACTACATATACGCGACAAGTTTAGCTGGTTCTCGGCCGCCGTGGACCTGATTGACTAATAATGCATGTCAAATTTGGGGCCAATTGGGGGCCAAATCCACTCTCAGCACATTTTGGCGAGGCTGAATAGAGAGACCGGGAGTTAAAGGTTTGGTGGGGCTGGACTAGAGTTCATAAAACAACGTACTTCACCAGCCCAACAGAGCAATTGGACTGCCAATGCCATGACAAACACTTACTAGTCACATTCGCAGGATCCCAACAGATTCACACATTCATGACAGCGCTCGCCAGACTGACCTTGCTCCGCCAAAACCTTGATACTTCCTCTCACCACCCCCACCCCTCCTCCAGTGCCTAGCACGATGGTCGAGAAGGTAGATAAGAACGAAATAGCGATGGAAAAACCGCTACCTCCTCTCCCAAAAGAGCGCCTACCCCTCCCCCACCGCCTAAACTGTTTCTTCCAACTCTGGCTACTCAAATCCCTCGCTAGTCTCTACTTCCTCTATCTCCGCCTGTTCAAACCGCCTCAGCCGGGCACCCAACCAACCCTCACCAAGCGCTATGCCTGCCGCCCAAATTTGGAAACTCGCATTTTCTACCCGCGTTCCTACAACCCCGCCCAGCGCAAACTCCTCCCACTCTACCTGAACATCCATGGCGGCGGCTTCGCATTTTGCGAGGCCACTGTCGACGACCCCTTCTGCAGTGCCTGGGCCAGCCGCACAAGTATGCTAGTCGTCAGCCTCAACTATCGCAAAGCGCCGCTCCACCCCTTCCCAGCCGCCACCTTTGACGTAAGCGAGGTAGCCAAGAGCGTGCTAGCAGATGACTCCCTCCCAATTGACCATTCGCGCATTGCGATCGGCGGCTTCAGTGCAGGCGGCAACCTCGCGCTGTCCGTGTCGCAATTGCCCGGTCTGAAAGGCCTGATCAAAGCAGCGGTGGTATACTACCCCATTGTGGACTTCGGCCACCCACCCAATGAAAAGCTTGATGCGAGACCTTACAAAGCCAGTCTGGTGAAGGATACGCTGGAAAAGACCTCCTGGTGGCTGGATTGGGCGTATGTGAGTGTAGGTCAGAATCGGAGGGATCCACTGCTCAGTCCGCTGTATGCGCGGAAAGATGAGTTGCCGCCGTGGATTTACATGATCGGGGCGCAGTGGGATATGCTTCGGTTGGAGACGCAGGAGATGATTCATGGCTTAGCTGGGTTGGGTGATAGAGTCGGGCTTGAGCAGGAGGAGGACTTTGAGGTGGGCAAGTATAAGTGGACGTTAGCTAAGGGATGTCCGCATGCTTTTACCCACTCATCACCAAGGAAGAAGGGCGGTAATAGTAGGAAGAAGAGAGAGGAAATTGCGCAGGGGATTTATGCGGAGGCGCACGAGTGGTTGAAAAAGTCTCAGGTTCTTCCCTAGGTACAGTATATATCCAGGTAGCCACTTAGATGGTGCTTTGAATGAAAGTAGCATGGGCAACCAACATATGCATGGGAGCTTTCCTTGTTTGAATTGAGATTGAGGGCCCCGAGACGGCCTTTTCACTTCCTGTTGCATGTTCGCAATCCGTGCTTTGATCATTGCTACTTTGAGTTGGAGTGGTACTAATGTCCCAATGATCAAGATGCGTAGAAAAGATATATCTGGATCATTCATTTGGGGAGGATAGCGGCTGAGCTTTCAAAACATCTTAAGACAGCGTTTGTGATTAAAAGTCTCTATTCAAAAAGAAACACATATCTACGTATTAATTTACTGTTAGATTTTGAAATGAGAGTAACACCAATATGATCACAGAAAAATGTGAAGCGAGACCTATTCCCTGGTATTATCAGTATGTTACTAAGATACTTTGTCTAGTTTGTGAATGGGGAAAATAAGACCTGTATGGGATATAACTTCACAGTCACAGTCACAGTCACAGTCACAGTCACAGTCAAGGATAGAACCGTCACACAATCACAAGAATGGAAAACGCCTAAACATTGATGTATAGCTAACGTTCAAAAGATGTACAGTCAACGCGTTTCCTCGGATGGCTACTTTGCGGTAGTCAGAAAGCCATCCACCCGATTTGATCGCCTGTTGTATGTTTGACCAAAAGTCTCATCTTCGCCGACGCAGATTATGTAGGAGACTCTGGCATATCCCTCGGCTTGAGACGCGAGAGAAGGTGCGAGATCCCGATATGCAAAGCACAGAATCATCCAACATCCCACAACGCCTTCAGTCATCAGGCCCCATCTTTCAACAATCAATGGAGCATCTGAGACACGAGGGCTTTCTCCACCTTTGATGACGAAGCCAAGCGACTTTAGGCTCTTCAATCCAAATTCCACAGCCTTTTCGAGTTCGCGACGTGAAGCGTAGACCACAGCAAGAGAAAGATATGGTGAGTACAGTGCAAGACGAGGGACTTCAGAATCTGGTCGGCTATATGTGCCTGCGAGCATGGAAGTTTTGTCTTCAATCTTTCGCAAGTTCATCTCCGATGTCTTAAATAATCTTTCAATGTCGGCCGAAATTCTGTGTCGGTTTGATAAAACACTATTGCCTGCAATTTGTGCCTCGTGGCATATTGGGCAATCGCATTTGAAGCCCCAGTGCTGTAGATCGACTGGAAACTCTTCTGGATCCCGGGTCATGGGTGATTGATACCAAAAGGTAAGTTCTGTGTCAGGGGGCAGGTCCCTTGAAGCACGAACGATCATCATGTCTCCAATGAAAGAGCGGCGAGCATTGCTCAAGCAAGAATGATTAATAAATGATGCCATCAACCAGACCCCAGAAGAATGGAACTTTCCATCGGCCTTTGCGGCCGTTTTACCAGCCCCTTTCATGGTGCGTATGTGACTCTCGCGGGATGAAAGAGGGGTCCCGAAACAGTTTAACTGAATGATTCTCTCAACGAGGAAGCTGAAAGGTATGATTAGATTTGGTAACAAGGCAGGGACGTTGTAACATACGTATCTACGACTGGGAGTCCATCGACTTCAAGGACATCCACTGATTTGTATGTCCCACGATGAAGATCGACAAAGCCTGGCAGCAGGGAAGGATTTTTATAAAGTTTCTGAGCAACCAATCCAATCAGCTCCGCTTGAGTGCCAATCGTAGCTTTGTCCGTGTTGACATTGATCAACAGGCGGAGATCTTGTGAGCCATTTTCATCGTGGAAAGCGTGAGAAAATGCTTTTTCACAGAACAAAAGGTCGCCTGCCTTAACCGCCTCTGTTGTGAAGAGTCCTCTCCCATGATATTGAGTCTGTTTGACAATCACCGGGCCAATGTAGGTGCCGCGGTCAAGGCTCGGGGGGCGATTCTTCTTGGCCTCCAGTATCATTTCCCTGAACTCGTATTTCCCGCTGTCCTGCTCCATAAGTCGGGTAGTTGCTCGTGCATACTCATGTATAGCCATGGCGCTATCTGGGTACTTCTTTGCGAGAATGGCGTGAGTTTCAGACGATTCCTTGAACCTTCGAAGTTGATACAGGGCTTGGGCCTTCCTGAAAAGAGCCTTTTCTGATAGCTCAGAAACTTGCAATACATCTTCAACGTCTCTCAGCGCTGCGTCAAAGTGGTAACTTCTCAAACAGGAAAAGGCACGGTTGAGCTGCGCTATCACCAGCAATTCTTGTGAGGGGTGGGCCTTCAAAGCCTTTGAATAGCTGCAATTACTCTTAGTATCTCATCTCAGTCACAGCAATGTTTCCCAGCTTACTATTGGATTGCCGAACGATAATCACCTTTCCCAAAATGCTCGTTTCCTTTCGCCTTCCAAGAAGAGGCGCTCCCATCAGCCTGTATGACACCTCTTTTCCAGAATGAGGGAACGAGGTCGTCAAACTCGGGGACAAACAAGACATCTGAGAGATGATCCACTCGAATCCCGTAGTCTCCGTCTGCCATTACTTTCACATAGGGTTCTTTCACAACAAGCACTGTGCCCTCTCTGAGACTCTGTGCACTCGATAGCTCCTGCTCTTGGTTGAAGAGCTGTAGCATGAGAACACTGCCGTCTTCATCTTCTACGATGGCCATCACGGCGGTGATCGTATCTGGCCGAGTGACCGTTCTCAGGAGGAGATACTGTCCCCGATGATGAGTCTCGAGACGCAGGCTCTTGATCATGATCTTCTTCAGCTTGCTGAGGGAATTAACGCATGGAGGGTAGGCGGGCGGTAGAAAGGAGGATCGGATATTCATCGGATTACCAGCAGGGGTTTTCGTATTCATCATTTGTCGAAAATTGAACTGCATTAAGATTTCATTTTTAGACTTTTGTGGGTTTGCTGGACGGCCCTCGAAGGCTTGTGCACTTTTCAGGTTTTCCTTGTGTGTTTGAAGATATCCAAGGTACTCCGGAACATCGGAGACGTCGTGGGTATCCATGCTGATGATGGAATGGCCAGGTGGTTGCAAGCTGTAGTGGGTACTAATGAAATGGAAGGATGAGAAAACAAGAACGGGGTTTGACTGCACAGTGAAAAATAGATTAAGAGAACGAAAGTAAAGGAAGAGAATCAGTTTTCAAACCCCAGGCGGGGTAAGAGGTGGCAGGGGGGCTTGCTGGCAAACAAATCGTCAGCCAAACAGGCTGAGTATTGTACGACAGCTTAGTACTAAAAGTAGCTTGAGCAGAAAGATCGCTCAATGCCTGGCCCGGAGCGCAACCTTTCTCTCTTCGAGGCCTTTGAATCCGTATATCTTCCTATGTACGCTTATTTTGAGGCTCCGGTAATCTAGAGTTATGTATGTAATCCTCACTTTTAGTTTCTAGCGAATATCTTTTTGGAAAGTTGCACGCTGGGTATATCCCTAAAGCCAACTTGTATCACCTAGTGGTAATCAAGTAAGGATGAGATCATCGACCTGAATGCGAGAATTCCCATATTCTCCATACCGTGTGCTTACCTCCATCACGCTATATCACTCACACTTACTCTCAATAGAATTCTAGCGCTATTAGGAAGCTATGGGCTTTCAATTTTTAACTTCATACCTGGGGTATATCACTTGAGGAAGGCTGAGCGGACAAGAAAGCCCTATTCTTCCTGTATGTGACAGATATTGCGTAGAAATGGCCCCTATAGCTAGGCTGATGAATTTCCATGCTGAAGTTATGTATTTATAAGAGACCTAAGGTGATGAGTTTGATAGTGGGTGTATGATAATTAGAGAAGAGAGATGATGCGCAAAAATTTAGACCAAATATTGTCAGGTACCAGCAAGGGAGAAAATAATACGAATATATTGGTAAATTACATATGTAGCAGTCACGGGAAGACAAAAGAGAAAAGAAATAGAGAAAAAGCAAAGTTGAAGAAGTCCTCCACCTGTCATTAGCGCGTAAATTCTGCAAGACAGATCGAGCTAGGGCTTAGATCAGATCAATCCCGGCCGTTTTAGTATGGCTTGAATGGCTCATCGGCCGAGCGATATATACGGGCTGCAATGGACCATACACAGATGAGCATGTCAGACGAGCCGAAACAAACCAACATGCTTTGGCTTAATGGGTGGAGATTTTCTAGTTGGCACTGTGCTGTCAAGGGTACTATAAGTTTCTCTCTTGGCAGCGTCATTGTTCACTGAATATCTCAAGATTACAAGCCCGTCTACACGCTCGCGAATCTTGGTTAGCCTGGTGCCCTTGTATTTGGGGAGCCTGCGCAGCCATTGGGACGTAAAATGTCTCTATTGGGTTGGGTCAAATACTCTTTGGAATTTAGGCGAGTGTGACTGCTAGCCGTTGTACACTTTGTACTTGGAAGTAAGCCAGCATCTCAATATTGCTTGGTATTGAGATGACAGCTAAAAAACTCAGTGATATTCTAGATCAAAAATTCAACAAAGATGTAGAGCGATGCAAAGCCCGTCCTTTAGCTGCAGGCCTCATTTCCACCCCCAAGCAGTGCTGGCCTTTCTATGTTGGATTCCTGTCACCCTAGCCATCACGCATACCACACTCGGAGAGACAGTCCTACTATGATTCATCCCCGTATGGGCCCTCGGCCTCATCTACCCCCTGATGGAACGCGTCTTTTCATTTCCCCAAGTCATACTAGGAGCCAACGTCGGTGGAGCTGTCTTCCCAAGTTGGGTCTGCGTGACACACACTCTTGAGAACCTTTAATTTTTGCAACAGCTGCATGGGTCATCTACTTTGACATCTTCTACGCTGCCCAAGACCGACCCTACGACGTCAAAATCGGAATTAAGTCGCTAGCGGTCCTGATGGGGCGGCACGTATGCACGATCCAAGGGTGCCGCTTCCATATTTTCCAGGCGTTCTCGAATCCCGAGCCCATTTTGAGGGCGACTCAATCTCGACGTACTTGAGGCAATGGTGGTATCATATACAGATTGGGGCGTTTGATTCTCGATTGCCATTTTGTAAGCAATGAGTTATTCACTGTCAAACGGGAACAATTGATCTTGCTCCTAGTATAGGGCTAATGCATACCATGTAAGATCAAACTCTGTATAATGAAACTGAGAATAGCCGAAATTTAAGGGTCTAAGCATCTATCTACTATGATTGCGTTCCATGTTACTCTAAGGAAGGTGGGCTGAGGCTGTACCTTCTTATCCTCAAAGGTCCTATATTGATACGGATGAGTAAAGGGAAGAAGGAATGTGAGTTTATAACCTAGCAACTGGAACTAAAAAGGAAGAAAGAGAGAACAAAGGAAAGCCACAGAAGCCCTGGAGGATGACTCCTTAAGAGATACTTGTGGAATATTCAAAGACCTACGGAATGCAAATACATATTCTTATCAAACAGACACAAACGAGGGCCACCACATCAAAACACTCATGACCTTACTACATTAAGACTTAACTATGATCTAAAATTTCAACATTAACTTTAGTTCCACGGAGTAGTGGTGATAAATGGTCACTAATTAAATCTCATATCAATCACCGAACGAACGCCGATCCGGTCCCCGAGTCGCCGATCTACGACTCACTTTCAGTGACAATGCAACTATACCTCCAGTATTTCCCATTCCTTGAACATATCTGTACACACATTTCATCATGTCAAAATCTTTACTTCGGTCATTGAATACTTGCCGGCAAATTCGTCCAGGTGTTCGCAATAACCCGCGAACTTCAGCATTAGCTGTCTGCGAGCAATTGCGCCGTGTTCACCAACCAGCACAAGGAATCACATCGATCAACTGCAAATCCTCAATAAAAGCCACTTCAATATTAGGAGCTGCAAATAAATATAGACGAGGATCACTACTCACAAGTAGCACCTCGTCCTCGCCACATCCATCCATCCCTTCCAACTCAACCACATCTCAAATGTCGTACAGCACAACTGCCAATGAACCAACCAGCCCAACAATTCACGATATTTTCGAACCAACATCTGGTACATGGCAATATATAATTGTTGATCCGACAACCCTAAAGTCCGTCATCATCGACCCGGTTTTGAATTTCGATCCCGCCACCCAAGCTATAACGACCCATTCAGCGGATTCTTTACTTTCCTTCATCAAAGAAAAGAATTACAAAATAGACAAAATCCTGGAAACGCACGCCCACGCAGATCATCTGAGTGCAGCGGCATATCTGCAAACCCATCTCCAGGATCAAAATCACAAACCACCCATTTGCATCGGAAAGCGTATCGAACAAGTTCAAACGCTATTTGCGAGGAGATACGGCGTTCCCAAAAATGAATACCGACAGGTTTTTGACAGATTATTTGAGGATGATGAAGTCTTCACTATTGGAAACATCACGGCAAAAGCGATCCATCTACCCGGCCACACACCAGATCATCTCGGATACATGATCGGAGGTACCTTATCATCTATCTAAACGTGTATTCGAACACTTATACTAATTCAGGAACCAGACAACCTCTTCTGCGGCGACTCCCTTTTCCACGCTGATATTGGCACAGCGCGGTGCGACTTCCCAGGTGGCGACGCGAAAGATCTTTTCCAGTCCGGTCGCAAACTTCTGAGTCTCCCGGGCCATGTCAAAATATGGACAGGTCATGATTATCCGCCCGAGGGCCGGGATCAGCCTGTGCCTTGGATGAGTGTCCAAGAGCACAGGAAGCTAAATAAACATCTCAAAGATGGAATCAGTGAGGAGCAGTTTGTGGCTTTGCGACGGGAGCGTGACGCCGGGCTCGCGGCCCCGAAATTGCTGCATCAATCTTTGCAGATTAACATTCGTGCTGGGAGGCTTCCGCAGCCTACGGATGCTGGGTTGAGGCTTTTGCATGTTCCTTTGAAGATTGGGACTGATGGGTGGTAGATGTAAATGTCCAAGCTTGTGTATTATATGATGCGTTGTGATTTGCCTCTCGTCGTGGGAATATAAATGTTGATTTTAAGAATGACATCCACACCCTCTGTCGAATGGGATGTATCGATCAAATTGAAAGAAAAAACCCTTAGTCTGCGACGAAGCCTGCAGTCTAGGCATTAGATACTTAGAGTGTGTTGATACAAGAGAAATGAGGCACAATGCCTATGTCGATATTAATGAACCGACGACAACAGAATCGACCATTGTCCTTTGTCTCGCCCATCTTTGGCCTTCCCAGCAATGGCCTTGGTATCTTAGACCGCCTACCTAGGTACTCGGCCTGCGCACCAAGACGATCAAAGACCCTTGAGACCTCATTTCACACCAAATTAAGCCCGAGGATCGACTGAGTCAAAGGCTTGAAAAACATAAATATGCATAAGGCCACCACCATTCTACTCATCACCACAAGCATCAATCTTACAGTCTCAACCTCACAGCCCTACAATCCAAAGAACCCACTAACGAACCAACTATCAGGTAAGTACATATATAACCAAACAGCAAGAATGGCTAACACCCCTTACGACAGCATCTACGGCCGAGAACGCACCTACTTCCTCAACAATCTCGAATGCCAAGTCTACGACATGAAAATTCACTCCAACACGCTCCCACGAGTCCTCGATTCCCTCGGCGAACTCCACACCATGACGAACGGGTGCATTGAAATGGCCGCTCTCCTCGAAGACCACTGCTTCGAGAAGATTTGCCGCGATCTCCAGCCCATCTTGGCACAAGGCATTGCAGTCCTTAGAGAAGACGGTGGCGCTGTCACTCGAGCCATTGTCGCTGATCATATTGAGGGTGTGGTTCCGCTTTCTGTTCGTGATCCTATTGCTTGGGGCCGTATGCGGGCTGCTAAAGCATGCTGCGACGCAGGGTCAGGTAGCCGCTTGTAGAGCATAGAGCAGATATCATAGATCAATCGAAATTTGGATTCGTCCTAGCTTGCGTTTTCCTTTGTAAGTAGTAGAGTATTTCCCGGATGTGGCGGAGGAGAGTAGATGAAGTTTGACCTGTTCATTGTTGTAATCTAAACAAAATAAAAAATTCCCTTCTATGACAGTACAAGTCGATGCACACAAAGGTCAAGAGACCCGCCTCGCTGATCATAGAAAAGACAAACAGGAAGTTCATATTAACATCCCAAATAGAGAACATTTTCCCTCCCTACGCCGTAAAAAGGTCATGCAATCCCAGAAGCATCGTGTCACCTCACAAAATCATCATTTAGTTCGAGGTCTCGTTGGGCAGCAAGTTACCCTTGATAGCAAACATCTTGCCCGTGCTAGACGAGACAAAGCTGTCGACCTGGCGGGCGTACTGGTCCACCTGGCGGGTGTTGAGCATGCTCTCCAGACGGCTGGGCTCGGCGGGAAGCTTGAACAGACGCTGCCACTCGTCCTCGGGGAGGAGGGGCTGGTTGAGAGTGGCGCGGGTGGCGTTCTCCTGTGCGCGCTTCTGCTTCCAGGCGTTGATCTTCTGCTGCTCGCGGCCGAGCACACGCTGGTAGTACTGGTAGTTGTTGACCTCGGTGTTGTGGGTCTCGATGCTGTCCAGGAGGAGATCGCAGTTCTTCTCCAGGAAGGGGTCGATGTTGAGGGACAGGTTTTCGAGGTTGGGGGTGAGTGTGGAGGTTTTGTTGAAGGGGCTAGCCTCGAGAGCAGCGAGGGAGGTGGGGAGCTCAGTGGAGGCGGTTGAGGGCGGGCACTGCAGCTGGTGGATGAAAGAGGTGATCAGGTGCGAGTTGTGGAGCTTGACGGGCAATTCCTCGAAGATATCGGGGTGGCGCATGTTGGACTTTTGCAGACTGCGATTCTTGTTAGCTTCTGTTTCTGTTCGTTTTCTCGCTTTTTTTGCTTTTGTTGTAGCATAATCCATCAATCCATAGGGTCTTTCACGTACTCCTCAGAAGTGAACTTGTTCTCCTTGAACGCAGCCATGAACTTTTCAGACAAACGGAAAGCGCGGAGGCTGAGACTGCCCTGGGCGCTGCGGCTGACATCGTGAACGAGGGCGACTGTGCGCTCGTTCAGCTGGCTCTGGTAATAAAATTGGTTCTCGATCACATTCATGTTGACGAAGTTGCCCATGTTGGCGCTGGTGTACCATCCGACATTGTTGGCGTCAGTGTTGACCTCGCGCAGCATGCGGATATACTCTGCGGAGTAGGCGGCGTTGGCCTTAGCACGAGGAGCGGCGGCGGCGGGGTTGGGAGCGGCGTTGTCAAAGTGCGACTCGGCGGGGACTTCAACGACGGGGAATGGGAAAGTGTTGGTGATTTCGAGGGTGCCCTCGACATCCATGCCGACCAGGGCGCCGGTGGCAGTGGAAGGGAAGGCCTGAGAGCAGTGCTTGATGATTTTCATCACCACCTGGTAGATCCGACGTCAGTATTTCTTGCTGGCGAGGCCTGGGGAGATTTTCGTCGGAGAGACTAACCAAAGCCTCGACCTGAACGGCCGCGAGGGGAGCTGAGGTTCTGCATAATTTGTTAGTTTATGAGTTCGAAGTGAAAAGGGAGCATCACATACTCGGCCATTATGAGGGATTGCAACACTTGGACGATTGTTGAGTTCGTGACGGTCGACTTGGAGGGTTTGTGTGAAAGGAGCCCGTCGTCCCTGATTGGGTTTAGTGCGATACGAAATACGGAGGAAATGCAATACGATGGGTTACCCCTGTCATTGACCAAGATAGAGGGGCAATACGGTATTATTACACTCACCTAAAATCATCGGATGGGAATTCCCAGTCAGAAAAAGATGAAAGAAGGTCTTCCATCGTGAGATATTGGGTTGTTGTTGGATGAACAAATCACAACTGAACACTACGTTTGAAAAGAGGAAAAGAAATGGGAAAGTTTCCATAGTCAACGTACCTAAAATCATTGCAATGTTCCTCTATATTGTACAACAGTGACCCCCCATTGATTGTAATCTATATACATTACTACTGTCCCACTTCCCCAAATCAACTTACGATATGCATTCCTTTAACGATGCCAAACCAATCTCGGACAGTGGCCTATGGGCGAGTCCATAATCTCCAAATTGTCTCAGTGACAAATCTCAGCAAAGATGGCTACTGGGTGATGTACACAACCCCTTGAGATAAAGTCTCAACCATCGCAAGAACTAACATTTACAGCTTCATCCACGGCGGAGCCTGGCGAGATCCAACAGTAACGACATCTTCCTTCGATGCCACTGAATCAATCCTCCGCGAAACACCCGGTCTGCCGATCGCCGGGTTCGCATCAATCTCCTACCGTCTCAGCGAACACCCAAACCAGCCCCAAGACCGATCCACTCCACCGAACGATTACCGCAATGCGAAGCACCCCGATCACATCCGCGATGTAGAAGCGGCCCTTGCATTCCTGCAAAACACCTACAGCTTCGGGGGAAATTACGTCCTCGTAGGCCACAGTTGCGGCGCAACACTAGCCTTCCAAGCGGTGATGGGCGCCGTCGCGAATCATCGCGAGCAGGCTTTCTCCGGGGCGACAGAAAATCCAGATATCAGCGTCGGAGTTGTATCAGCGTCTCCGGGTCCCCTGCCGCCCCCATTGACGGCGCAGCCCACTGCCATTATTGGCGTGGCCGGTATCTATGATCTGAGACTGTTGCGCGATACACATTCTGATATTTCGGCTTATCGGGAGTTTATCGAGGGCGCATTTGGGCCGGATGAGTTGGTCTGGGATGGAGTTTCGCCTGCGCAGATGGCCGGGTCGCGCGGCGTCGAGGGGGGTTGGAAGTCCGGGAGATTAGCCGTTTTGGCGCACTCCAAGGAGGATGAGTTGGTTGACGAGACCCAGATCAATGGTATGGAACAGACGCTGAGAGCTTGGGAGAAGATCGAGGCGCAGATCCCTGTGCAGGAATTATCGCATCGGGATCGGCGTGTTCGTGTTTTGCCTATTGGCGGTGCTCATGATGAGGCATGGGAGAAAGGTGATCAGTTGGCGTATACTATCATTTATGCTCTTGAGCAATTGAGGGAGATGGGGCTGGCTCCTCAGCGCTGATTTGTTTGCGAGCAGATGAATACATAAACAGATACATATAGATTTACTCATTATTGTCGAGTTCGTGAACCTGATTTCTGTATGGAAGCTAGCTGTCTATACTGCGAAGATCAGATAGAACGTTATTTCGTATCATTGAGTCCTGCTTTCGCATGAACTAGACGGATAATTTAAGTACAAATGAAGTCAAAAAAAGAAAACCTTTGCAAATGGGCCATGCTAGCCTGATAACGCCGTCATTCGTTAAAAAGAACATTTCAAGAAAAGAACAAGCACACCGCGTATTCCTCATTGCGCCAAATTATCTTGCTCATGTAGGCTGGGTGAAGGGACACTGCTTAGTTTCCGATCTCCATGCGAGCGGAGGCTGCGTCGCCGATGAGCTTCTCGTTCTTCGCAGGGTGGTGGCCCTCGGGATAATCTTCATCGTACTCGAACGCATCGCCATCGCTCTCGCTATCTTCGATAAACCGGTGCTGAATGTCGACTTCTGCCAGGCGCCACTTGAGTTCCTCGCGTTGGCCGTCTTGGTAGCGGGCGAGCGCGGCAGCAGCGTGAACCTTGAAACCGTAAATGCGGGGCTCGTAGCGGCGGCTGCTCTTCTCGGGGTTGAGAGCAGGGTAGACCTGGAACAGGATGGAGTGGAATGAGGTACCGAAGTAGGCGCCGTCAATTGAGGAGTGGCGGGATGACTTGGGGTTGTAGATATCTTCGCACTTGGGGCAGTACAGTTTGACGGTGCTCATGTTTGGCAGGTCCGACTGACCAAGAGGCAACAGCGCGTGGCCATCGCACATCACACGGGGACACTTTCCAAAATCACTCTTCTTGTACTTCTCAAGCTGTAAAATATTCAGTATCCACCACGCTTCAACCATCGTGGAAAGTACGGAGACAGACATACCATCTTAGCAAGACCGCGAGTGGTGACAATGTATCGAGCGTGAACAAGGCCGTACAGATGGCGGGCGGATTTCTCGATTTGCTCACGGAGATCATCGTCGGCGTCGAGATCAAAAACGTCGGTCACAAGATCGAGCGCGTACTGATAGTATGAAACCTCGGTGTTGAGACCAGTAAGGTTGAAGCGATCGGTCAAATAGTCCTCATCGATCTCACAAAAGTATTCGTTACCACGGGATGACACAAACTGCGTAAAGCAAAGAAACATGATTAGCACTAGTGAAATCGAGATACCACAACCATATCCAGCTTGAGCATAGTAGGGGTGAGCATAGTAACGGCCAGGTCCACGCGTAGGTCGGGAGCCTCTACCCCGAAGGGCAGGACAGCGAGGAGAAGGAGCACCGGCGCCAGCATATGGGTCTGGCCCGGGGAAGGGGCCGCGAGGAGGGCCAGGAGGGCCACCAGGAGGGCCGCGGGGACCCCGGAAGAACGCATTCCAATCGATTGGTTGAATCATCCGGTTTCGGAGAGCGTAGACAAGGCCAACGTGGAGAAACAGAGACAGGAGCATGACGGCGAAGTCGTGGAGAGCAGCATGAATGTCGCCTCCCCGCAACCCAACCACGCCGCGGAAAAGAAAACGGACGGCCTGCGCTATCAAGTAGACAGGCAGGTACAAGATTGCCACAAATGGCATGTAAAAGGCACGAACAGGCGCAGGCATCGTGTCGAGTAAGCGGGAAGTGACGGCTAATTGAGAGGTGCAAGTTGGGTTGCGACGAGGGAGAGTCGAGAACCGAATTAACTTGTCTCTTGTCTTTTGAGATCGTCACGGCAACAACAGTCACGACAACGACACGCTTCCTCTCCTTTCAGGCCATCAACCCGACATGTGAAGGCAAGTCCCCCAAACGTGTAGTGGCCATTGACACGATACACCCCAACTTTTATCAAAAAAAGAAACCAGAAATTCACTCACCCAGTCTCGCCAGTAGCTTGTGTAATCACTGTCCGTCTCGCTATTGAAGTCCTCCATTGTTTCCCTTGCTATTCAGTGTTCAAATATGGGGATTTGGTGTGCGCGCCTCTACCAGAGGATATTGGAAAGACAGGTGGGGTTATTTGAGCCCTAGGCGCTGGGGCACCCAAACCTGTGGTAGGGTTTTCAGAAAGCAGTGGCTTTGATGATGATGAATCTCATACAACACAGAACAGATGTCTTTCACAGAGAGCAGAGCAAATGTTGTGGACGGATTGGCGCAGTTGGTGGAAGTTTGATGAAATCGGAATTGTCTCAATCCCGCAATTCGTTATCGAAGCTATTCGTGGGCGGTCGGGACTATGCTGAGTTTACAGACCGCCTTCCCGGCAGATTCAGATGATCTACAAGTCAACCAACCTCATCTCTCCATGAGAATCCAAATAGGTATGTATCTATGGGGTTTGCTCCGAGATATGATTCGAAATATACTGTTCTCATTCAACTACTAGGCCTGACTAGCCAGACATCATCCAAGTCCATCTCAGCGATGATTTTCATTCGACATGTCCCGCTCAAAACGAGGGATTGGCATTCTGAACAAGTTGCTCGAAGTATGCCTTTCGAGTCATTAGCTTGAACCATTCGGTAATCTCAAGAAGTTTATCTTCGGCTTACCTGGAACCATGTCCCAGCTTCAGGCGCAGGTTGAAGCGCATCCGAATATCCGCAGTGAGCATCATACCGAGCCGAGCTACTATCCGAAGTACCATCACTCTCGCCACCAGGCTTAACCCAGACGAAGGCATCAGCCAAGGCATCACCGGTGCTTGTTGTCGGCCGAACACCAAACCCGGTTCCTTTAACATTACACCAATCGCCCCAAGCATTTTGCTGGGTGGGCTGGACTCCATTGCGACCTGGGCAATATCCATCAGTCTGTGGTGTTTCTTTCAAGAGGACCTATATGGGGGTGCTCTTTGTTCTCATTCATTGAACACATACCGGTGTCAGTTATGAAGCGCGCATCCCAACCTGCGCTCTGCAAGAGTGGATAAAGCGCGTTGATATATCTCTTCTCATCGCAGTTCGCGTCGCCCGAAGTGTATGATGGGCATGTAGACAGAGACCATCCATTATAGTTGGCAACGTTTGTTGCAAGGCCTCGAAGAGCTGCGGGTTTTGCAGCATTGTTGTAGACGCTGGCGAATAGTTGAGCCGCTGGGCTTAGATTGGCCGGCCAGCCGAGCCATCCCGCATGTCCTATACCAGTCATTAGTAAGTTGAAGTCTCCCTTGAATTCGCTTATCGTTTTAAAGCGGGAGTGGACGGAAAAAAGTTTTATTCAACCCCATCAGAGATTACTTACCAGCGTCAAGATACATGGCCACATTAGCCAGATTCAGTTGAGTCACTGCATAATTAGTGCACTCCAAATATGCGTCATGTGCATTGGCACACTTGGAAACGCCCATGTTGGTCACCAAGTTAGCCAAGCTGTCAGGCTCTTTAAGGGATGTCAGTAGAGAGCTTGGATGCCATCCATAGGAGAAACACGGCGCACTCACCGATCACCAAGATAGTATGGACATCAGAGTACTGAACCAACACCTTGCGAATAGCGTCAATATACGCCTTGTAGTTAGCAACGCCACCGTTGGCAATAGAATATTCTCCATTGCTAGCCAATGCAGCGCAGTCACGATCAGGAAGATCGTACACAACAAAGGCACCAGCAATAGGCGGGTTGGCACCCGCCGCATTCTTGGCCTTGATATCAGCCAGGAAGGTGCCCATAGTCGGCACTTTGGCTGCAGTGTCCCTATTCATTTTATCAGCATTATCTCACATCACTGGCACCGTCTGGGGGAAAGTCAACCCACAGCCAATAAAAGGATGGAACACTAGCAACCGAGCTTGCAGCAGCTTTGGCGGTACCTGTCATCGAGGGCAAAGCGGCTGCGACCTCGGATGCATAGAATGAATTGGCGTACAGCTGATATCCAGAAAATGGGTTTACTGAAGCTGCGGTGGCGGCAGTTGCCCGAACTGCGGGCGAAATTGCAGCCCCTGCTACACTGGAGACCAGCAAGGGGGCGAGTTGGATAAACGATCTCATTTCGGGCTTTCTCTTGGCGAGTCGGCTTCAATAAAGTTTTGGTTTTGAAGTGCTGGTTCGTTTGAATGTCGTGCGGATACTCTCCTTATATACCTCAGTCAGAGGCGAGTGTCTTTTCCTCTTCACGGAGCCCTAAGCCGGATCCCGAAAACAATGTCACACGACTATGAGCTTTTCAATATGAAACCGGGACAGTCTACCTCAAAGCTCATCGTATGTACTCTGCCAAGATACTATGTCCATGGCAGGAGAAAGTGACATGGTCCAAGCACGTTTTCATGCTGCAACTATGATCAATTTAGCCAAATATTTCCAAGGTCCGTCCAGAGCTTTTCTCTTCACCCAGAGGTTTCCTGGCCTAGATTTGATGCGTCTTCGCTGGGTTTCTTTGGTTGCCTGGAACAATATACCAGAGTCCATATGCTTCGTGCTCATGGTTCTGACAATTGCAACACCGAATAATTGACGCATATTAGAGGTAACAATAAACATCATATGTACAGTGCCACGCGATTTCCAATTTGGCTAATTACCTTTAGTCCGGGGTAACTCGAGCACAAACCCAGCAAAACTTGACTGGCCTGCAGAGTCAATAGATGCACATATTGCCTATAGTATCAAGGGCACTCCTCCAAGTGCTAATATCAAAGACCCTGCATTAACGCGGGGATATCCCTCCGTCCCTAAAGAGGATATCACGGTCGATCTTCCCCAAACTTGGCGCGGGAGATCCATATTTATTCAGGATGTTGATGAGAAATGAAGTGAAGCATCATGAAATGCTAAGAATATAGACTTCTTGTCTGACAGAAATCTTTCGTTTCTGAGCACTATACATGGCACATTAAGGACACGATTTCATCCGTCAAAAACTTGACCCAACGCTTTAGCCGTGCTTGCGCCAAATCATAGTGAGAAACACTAGCGTTATTCATTCGGCAGCCCCTTCTTCACGTTCCCCAGACCCCGCACCATTTCAGAATATCAAGGCTGTTCTTTAGCCTGAGTATAAATTTAGAGTACGACCGACAGCATTATGCGCCATCATTGGGAACTGGGTGAGATGTTACTTCTTTTATATTTCGCTTACTTTAGTGATGCAATAATTCGAGAAGCGAATATCAATAGTTCGGTATTATATCCGAGAATCAATACATACATTGTGTTCTATCAAAATGGTGTCCTACAGCCTGCTAGATCCGAGATTTCACCCTGATAGGGAGGCCTTTGAAGTGCTTTCTACCTTACTCTACTGTAATCCAGCCGTCATATGTCTTATTAACACAGGACGTTGAAAACAAAGAAACCCACTTTGTTTCTTTGAAAAACGAGATGTGAATGATAGCGATAGTACGAAATGAGCTTTGATATTGTCACAGGTGTCCATGGCCGATTCATGGATGGTCCAATGTAAGATTCGAACCTATATCTCCAAGAAAAACCTCTCTACACTTTAACTGTTATATGAGATATGATTTCTTAGAGAGTGCGGTGATTCCTAAAATTGAGGAGATGACAAGAAGGATTGAAGGGGTTATGTAGTTCCACCGTTTTGGAGCCGGTAAACTCAGCGCATTCGATCGAATTATACAAAGATGCGACTTTAGATGATGGGTTATGTAGTATTAAGAACAAGCACTGGCAAATGTGGGGTCCGCGACAAGTGAAACTAAGTGTCTATTGTTGTTGGACGTTGGCGCTTTCCAGGGTTAACAGAGACAACTCCGGGATGCCAGTCCAATTTATATAATTGATTCTGTCACGCTTATGCTTTTTTATTTATATACTACCATCTGAGCACAACAGAGAATCTACAATTTCTTCAGACTTATCATCTCCAACGCTTTCCAAGGATCTTGATAAATTACTCTTTATCTGGTGCAACGGCCCCTTGGTACTCCGGCATGGGCCAAACTATAAGAAAGAGCGTTGTCCAAACCGCACTAGGATATATATACATTTATCTCTCATCCCTCAGACCTTTATCCACATCCATGTTGTCGACAATTCCAAGGTTGTCATGCCTTCATGCGACCTAGAAATTATGCACAGTAAATCCTGCGGCACCAATTATAAGCCACAATTCTCGGTTGTTACCAATTGCCGAGGGCATCTGGCTTTTACCCAATTCGGATCTCACGAGAGCGCTCGTCGCGTCAAACTGCAGACTTGCAAGTTTGCAACTCTCTCTCGACATCAAATATTATCAGACATCACTGGATATTTCTATCCAGTTTTAAAGGATTTTCTCGTGACTGAATTGTTGTGAAGAAGTTCGAAATTCTAAGTGATTGTCCGTAGAATCACGCACTGAAAAGAAGGGCATAGATATGCCCCTAGTTCCAAATCTAGGTAGCAGGCAATTTGATTGATTTTTCTCATACATACTTAAGTAGCTAGGTACATTTCATTCCTGGACAGGACTATTTTCATGCTTCATTTCCATTGACTGCCTTTATAAACTCAATCCCAAAATTCAATACAACATTTTCAGGCCACAGGGGTTCAGTATAGCTTATTGAAGAGGTCCAGAAGAGGTAGCCAACCTCAGCGTCTCGAAAGATAACCGTTTAACTTGCTGCGTCGCGAAACCTTGTTGGGCGCTTCGTGGAAGTACATTACGATATTTTTGTTGATTGTTGAGCAAGTTACGAAATCAGCACTATCACATTTGGGCCCGAAATCTTAAAAATCTTGATTTTTTCGGTCATGAGACAGCCAACATGTATATCCGTTATATATATCCAATAGAAAGATATCTCTTTAGTATCAACATTGACATCATTTTCATATCGCAGCCACTGAGGCGACGCTTTGTTACGGCGCTAGTCCTAATCAAGAAACGACGTCATCGATGAGCCAGTATATCACTGCAACATTAGACCTCATCTAATCAATCATCTCTTCTCTCTAAATATTTCGAACAATACAACATTATGCCTCTTGTAATTCCTGGAATCAACTCCTCCATGGGCGACAAGCCCGATTGGGTTAACAAGCTGATGGGGAAGACGATCGGTGATAACAGCAATGAGACAGTATGTTCTTCTTACCAAGAATACATTTCGAGTTCTAACCATCCTCTAGGTCTTCGCAAAGAAAGATCTTCCTGAATCTCACCGTGTTTTGAAGCCTGGGGATATGAAGTCGATGGATCACGACCCCAACAGGTGAGTCGCCACCTAGGCAGAAGGTGTTGCGAGAGTGAAGAAGTTTATCTAACATATACCTTAGACTCAATATCCATGTCAATGAAGAGGGTGCGGTTCACGATGTTAACTACGGTTAAATCTAGCCGTAAACTTCTCTTGACAAATTATTTATACGACCGAATGAAACAACTCAATATCTATTCTGGAAAGTCTATGGCCCTCTCTTATACTCGTAATCTAAGCCTTCCATCTAAGCAGCGTAAGCGAGTGCTTAGGGAAAACATACTTCCCCTCCCCACCCCAAGTCGACTCAACAATAGCAACCTCCTCCTTACCCTTCATGTTCGTCACAGTAACATCACCCCCAGTAACAGTGAACACCTGCACCTCCCCACTAGCACCATCAACTCTCGCCTCCAAATCTTTTTCTTCATGAATATTAACCACAGCAACGTTCACAAACCCATCCTCCCCAAGCGTGGCGCTAACATCCAACCAAGGTGTCTCCATCGCACTGCGCAACCAAACCGGACTCGTCTCTCCCTCATAAGTCCCAGAAGAAACATGACTCCCAATCGTCCAGCCGCGCATATAGCGCGAGAAAAGCCAAAGCGGCCACCAAGTCGTCTGCTTTGTGATTCCCTCGGGCGTAGTCATCAGCGGCGAGATAACGTTCACCGTCTGAGCAATACAGGCCATGCCGACGTCTTTGCTCTTCCGGACGAAAACGTTCAGCCACACTGCGACAGCCAGTGCATCCGAGAGCGTGTAGCTTTCCTCTGCGCCTTTGCTGCCTTCAGCGCGGATAGGGTCCCAGACGTTCCATTCGTCGAAGCAGATTGTGGGGCGGAGTTGGCTTGGTGGGACGTTGTTTTCGATGCGTGCGAGGTCGATCAGAGATGAGGTTATCTCGATCGCGCGCTCGGCGGCTAGTGGCGCTGTTGCGTTGGGGAGGTGCTTGGAGGAGGATGTGTAGAGGTGGATGCTGTGCATGTCGATCAAGGGGACGCTGCTGGTTGATAGGGCTGAGTGGGCGGGGACCAGGCAGTGCTTCAGTGTGTAGTAATCCCACGAGGCGGTGCCGTCTTGGCCGCAGAGAATGAGAATCAGGGTTGGGTCGAGGAGTTTCAGGGCTTTGAAGTTGTTAATATGTTGCCTTTGTAATGGGAATGGTAGTGTTACCTTTGGCCCATTGGATGGCCTTGTGAGCATATGCTTCCTTGGTCATCTGTTCGACTTGCCAGGGACCCCAGCATTCGTTTCCGAGGGCCCAGTACTTGACCTGTTGGTTGCGTTAGTATTTGTCTCCGTTCAGTAGGCGGCGGCGGAAATTCCTCGACACATACATTATAGGGCTCCTCGCGACCATTCTTTCGGCGCAGATTGGCATAGTATGTATTTCCGGTTCCATTGCAGTACTCAACCCAACCCAAAGCTAAGACATAACATCAGCTTGTATATTGACAATTCAATTAACGGAATCATACCTTCATCCAGGGTACCAGTGCCAAAGTTGAAGCAAAGATATGGCTCAGTTCCCACAGCCTCACACCACTTCATGAACTCGTCGGTGCCGAACTGATTGGTCTCGGTCCCTAGCCAGGCCAGCTCAGGTCTATCATATGATTAGCATATCACTCTTCCAAACACGGTTAAACAAGTGGTAATACCTCGCTGGTCTCTGATCTTGAGGACCAACACCATCGAGCCAGTGATAGGTCGCACAGAAGTTCCCACCGGGATACCGAACGACAGGGATATTGAGCCCCTTCAACGCCTCCAAAACATCTGTGCGGAAGCCATTCTCGTCGGCAAGTGGGCTTCCAGGCTCATAGATTCCTCCGTAAATGCATCGGCCCATGTGCCTAAGAATGTCAGTCTAGCTCTAGATCCAACCCAACAAGGCAGTCGAACATACTCAGTGAAACCGGAATAGATATTGGGATTGATCTTTGAGATCCGCCTGTCAGCATGAACGGAAATAACGGGCGTCTCATGATCTTCCAATTTGGTAAAGGTCGCCATTGCGGATAGTCGTATAGTAGTCTACAATTTACGAATTGTGTCTTTGCTTTCAAACCCGGTCGCAGTTATAAGTTGCTCATAAAAGGACAAGCGAAGTCAACTCGTGAAATTAACCTCCAAAGGCAAACGAGCAAAGAAATCAAATAACCGACAGTTCACCTGTAAGCGGAAAAACTCCTGCGGGGAAAAGCCACGACCCGATGACAACCCCGGTCGACAATTCCAGGCCCCTACGAACACGATCTCGAATTCAGTTAGACCATTCCCAAGACAAGACCTTCCAAGACGCGCTAATCATGGAAAAACCTCGGCCTCGCCCAATAACCAAGGTCGATCGATTGATTCGGCAAACCCAGACCTTGCCCTAGGAGCATGCGCCGAGAGCAGTGAAATCTTCCGTCAATCACAGGCCGACGGAGACGCCACTTCTTCCTTCCTCTCAAAGCTACCAACACCCCGCATAGCCGAAGCTCATGATCCCGACGCCTTTGGCGAAATTGGATAGTTGGCGAGCGGTTGTGAGCTCGGTTGAATTCACTATGAGCCGGTTAGCTTTCGCTTTCTCCTACTCTGCGCTATATGTAGACTGGGGTCGTCCCGAGAAGATGTGGAGTTTCCCCAGATTCTCTTTCCCCATATTTATTTGCATCGAGAATTTTGCGCAGTAAACATGCGTCTCTCGCCTGCTTGGTACCAGGTATGTGTCATAGATTGTGGTGATTGCGAAGGAGTGAGCTGATGGTTCTTTAGTTCCTGGTTGGCGTGTTTGCCTCTCTTGGATCATTCCTTTACGGATGTATGTTTAATTTTCTATGTTTCTAACGGAATTCCGCTAACTGCAGCAGATGATTTGGGTGTTATCGCCGAAGTCATTATTTGTCAATCGTTTACATCAAAATTCGGACCAGATGATACCCAGAAGTTAGTCTTTCCCATAATCGAATGATTGCAAGCCGACTGACAATCGCACAGGGGATTAGTAGTGTCTCTCTTCACAGCCGGAGCATGCATCGGTGCCGGATTCGCTGGTCCCACGGGTGATTATGTCGGTCGACGCAGGACCATCTCCTTGGGATGTCTGGTTTTCTGTCTGGGTGGTGGTCTGCAGACTGGCGCTCAATCCATCGCCTACTTGTACAGTGGCAGATTCCTCGCTGGATTCGGGTACGTGAATCGTCTTCGCTCCAAGCCGGGACAAAAAGAAACAAAAAAGGACAAACGCTAATCCCATCCCTCAGTGTTGGATTCCTCACAATGATGATCCCCCTGTACCAAGCCGAAATTTGCCACCCCAGTATCCGTGGCCGAGTCACAGCCCTGCAACAGTTCATGTTGGGAGTTGGTGCGCTGTGTGCTACTTGGATCGGATACGGCACTTATACCGGTATTTCTCCCGATAATCACGCGCAGTGGCAGGTGCCTCTTGGTATTCAGATGGCCCCTGCGGTGTTCTTGGGTCTTTTGATCTCTTTCTTCCCTGAGGTGAGTTCAGACGAGAAAGCGTCCAAGAGCGACACTAATCTTTTCAGTCGCCCCGTTGGTTGATCGATAACAACCGCGCCGAGGAGGGTCTGCGTACATTGGCGAAGCTGCATGCTCACGGCAATGAGAACGACGCCTGGGTGCAGGCAGAATTCGCCCAAATCCAAGAAACCATCACATTCGAACATGAGCACGAGGCCAAGTCGTATATCGAGCTATTCACCAATCGCTCCTCTTTCCGTCGGCTCTTCCTCTGCTGTGCTCTGCAGGCTTCTGTGCAGATGACTGGTGTATCGGCAATTCAGTAAGTGTATTTACCCCTCCAATCGTGCAAAATCAAACGACTGACAAATTCCCAATAGATACTACTCAGTCGATATCTACGGCCAAATCGGCATCTCCAGCGAAGACACCCTCAAGTACCAAGCGATCAACTCAATCATTGCGCTCGTAGCGCAGTTCCTCTGCATGATGTTCATCGACCGCTTCGGTCGTCGCTGGACCCTGATCTCCGGAAACCTGGGCAACATGGTAACCTTCATCGTGGCAACGATCCTGCTCGCCAAGTTCCCCCCAGGCAACAATAACACCGGCGCCCACTGGGGGTTCATCATCATGACCTGGCTATACAATTTCTCTTTCTCGGCAACGTGCGGACCTCTCTCGTGGATTATTCCGGCGGAGGTGTTCGACACCCGCACGCGTTCCAAGGGTGTTTCCATCGCAACTATGCTTTCGTTCGCTTTTAACACGATGATTGGCCAGGTCACGCCTATTGCCATGACAAACATTGGGTATCGGTACTATTATGTCTTCGTTATTTGCAACTTTACCAATGCAGTCTTCTTTTGGCTGTTGTTGCCGGAGACTAAGCAGGTGCCGCTTGAGGAGATGAACCAGATGTTCACTAATGCTCCTTGGATCGTGCCGGGCACCCGCAGGGAAGAGTATATGAGTCATGATCTGGAGAGGAAGGTTGAGGCGCAGGAGGTTAAGCATGATGCTATGCATGTTGAGTAGGCGGGGAGGTGTCTGTGGGAGGTGTCTGTACGCGTTGAATTGCAATGCAAGATAGTGGAAGTAAGGCGACTCAAATATAATCACCTGCTGTTGCTAAGGGAGCTTGTTATTTGCAAAAGATAATTGATTCAGCTGGCCTTGTGCGCAGCCAAGCCTATTCAGGTAGCTAGTCGCTCGAGAATGATGCGATTAAAGAGTGGTCTAACATGCTTGTTGGGATTCCAACATGGGTATTTTCGATAAAATGATCATTCCGAGTCAGAGGCGTAGTCTCCCAGACCAAGCGAAACAAGAGGCTTTGGCGCGGGTTTGGCCGCTGGGTTCGGTTGGGCCTGTGTTGCCGACTCTAACTGTCTAGCATCAGTGGGCTTGGGAGGAACAGTTGTGGCTTGGTTTGGTTTGGACGTCTTCTGATCAAGCGGCTTTGTGCCGGGGCTGTCTTCTGCCTGTGTTTGCGAGTCCGGACCCTTCTGTGTATCCTCCCCACCGGGATTGGTCGCGACGGAAGATTTGCGCCTCTTCGAAATCAATGACTCCTTCTTCTTATCACGTCGTCGTTTGCGCACAGGCGCGGACCAATCATCCTCAGCCTTTCCCGGATCTACCTTCTCCGTCGAGGTTCCCAACAATCCTTTGTCCGCCTGCTCGCGCTGTCGTCGGAAGGCCTCGAGCTGATCAGCGGTTTCTTTCTTTATGGCAGCCTCCTTGGCGCGTGTAGATTCCAGCACTGAATCCAGGAAGTCGACTTCATCGTCGTCGAGGGAACGGAATTGGTTTTTGAGGCGCGATTTCTCTTCAAAGGCTTCTTGTTTGGCCACTACAGGGGGAGGAAATCACCCTAACATGTCAGCCAGATTTCCTAGTTAGGTAGAATGTGGATTCTCCGGTCCTGGTAACTAGTAACCAAATTAGGCTCACTTTTATTCCGCTCCAGCACCTCAAAGAGACTTTTTCCCTCATCCTGCTTTCCTATCTCAGCTTTCCGCCTCCGCTCCTCCTCTAATTCCTTTTGCACTTTGAGCCATTCATCATCGCGCTCAATCGGCTGCTCATTAGTTCCGGCTGAAACGAAACCCGATGACATCGTGCCGATCGGGGTAGAATGGTGCAAGAGTTACGGGATCCCAGACTCGGGTATAATGATGCCGATATTATCCGTTCTGCGCGTAGGTGAATGTGGGGGAATGGAATGGACCGAAGAACGAATTAAGAAAAAGATTGGGAAGATTCTGGAATGGGGGAGTTTCTATTTGGTGATGGATGAATTGGTTGTGGCATTGGAACATTTGATTGGGGAGCGGTAAGGTGGACCTCGTCACATTTAGCCAAAATGCCCGTGTCACTATGTTAATGCATGACGCTGTGAAACACCCCGGTGGACTATTATCCAGGAATTTTTATTAATCAATTGGTAGTCAGGGAATCAATGTGGGTAGAGTCGGTTAATTGTTATCATTTCATTCATAATCACAAAGAATTACTACTACTCCGAATGTAAACCAGAACTGTACTATACGTGGTCAAAGCCACCCACCCCCCACTCCAATACATCATTGCTCTTGGACCTGCCCACTTTATTGTTGTCCTGTTACAACCCCCGCCACTATATAATAGGTAACATACTCCCCTTCCACCCCTCTTACTTTTTCTATTCATTTATTCATTTATTCATTTATTCATCCTTCAAAATGTCCAACCAACACACCCAGTAAGTTCCATCCTCCAATGCCACTCAGGTCCACCATTAACTGTATCTCTATAGGAAGACTTACACCCTCAACACCGGCGACAAGATCCCCGCCATCGGTCTGGGCACATGGCAGTCAAAGCCCAATGAGGTCCGTGTGGCCGTGAGGGATGCCCTCCTCGCCGGATACCGTCACATTGACACCGCCCTCGCCTACGGCAACGAGGCCGAGGTTGGCGCTGGTATCAAGGACTCCGGTGTTCCCCGCGAGGAGATCTGGCTCACCACCAAGCTGGACAACCCCTGGCACGCCCGCGTGCCCGAGGGAATTGAATCCTCCCTCAAGGACCTTGGCACCGACTACGTAGACCTCTACCTGGTCCACTGGCCCAGCTCCACCGACCCCAACGACTTGAGCAAGCACCTGCCCGACTGGGACTTCATCAAGACCTGGCAGGAGATGCAGAAGTTGCCTGCCACCGGCAAGGTACGCAACATTGGTGTCTCCAACTTCGGCATCAAGAACTTGGAGAAGCTCCTCAACCACCCTACCACCAAGATCGTTCCCGCCGTCAACCAGATCGAACTCCACCCCAACAACCCCTCCCCCAAGCTGGTTGCCTACAACACCTCCAAGGGCATCCACTCCACTGGTTACTCTTGCCTGGGCTCCACCGACTCTCCCCTCTACAAGGACCCCACTCTCCTGAAGATTGCCGAGAACAAGGGCAAGACCCCTCAGCAGGTTCTCCTCGTCTGGGGTATCAGCAAGGGTTGGAGTGTCATCCCTAAGTCTGTCAACAAGGCTCGCATTGAGGGCAACTTCGATATCAACGGCTGGTCCTTGACTGATGATGAGATCAACCAGCTCGACAACCTGAAGGATCGCTTCAAGGTCTGTGGTGACGCCTGGTTGCCCGTCAAGGTTTTCTTCGGTGATGACGAGTAAATACGTCCATGATGTTTTATGAACTAGATAGGCTTAAGATACCAAAAGAATGATTTTCCACGACAAGAAGACGCGTTGCATGAAGCCTGCAGGCAAATGTAAGCAAACGTAGCAAACAGTCAATAAATTGGTCAGGAACAAACATGCCAAATGCAACAAACAGAACCAAAAGTGCAAACAATACAAACAATGCAAACATGCGACGTCAGAAACAGATCACGCGAGTGGCGCTGCACAGCCACATCGAGGCCTGATTCGGAGTCGGAGAGATAAGGGTGTATACCCCGACATCATCAGGCATCTCCCTTCCCCTCAACATCCGTCCCAAACTCGAAACCCGAGATATCCATCACAAACGTTCAGCATGGCGCCTCCTACTGGGCACCTGCTGCTCCCCAAGATATGGAGAGCAGCAAGGTACGTTATATCCTTGTTATCCCCTCATTGAGCCTCCAATGCCATGACTAACACAGTATCAGGTTCGCCTACGAGAAGGCTTCCAAAGCAATTCGTACCAAATTTCCAGAAACCACGCAGTACACCGCTGTCCGCTACCAACCAGCCTATGCTCGCATCAATCGCCAGCCAATCAGTCGTGTCGCGGCCATCCGTCAAGCCCGTAGTCGCCACTTCTCGACCCGTGCTGCAGGTGCGTTCACGTCCGCTGTTCGAAACGGGCTAGGCCTTGACGGCCCCGTTCGCAACACATCTCGAATTGTCTCCAGCATCAGTCGTCTCAGCAGCCGTGCTCCCTTTGCTTCGACCCTTCGCCCCAATCTGACAGGTGGTACTCTGGGTCGAACTGCTGGTGGATACGCTGTTGGCGCCGGTCGCTTTGGCGGAGCTAGATACTATTCACACGGTCCTGCCGCCCCTGCTCAGGTCATTCAGAATGTTTCGCAGGGCGTGCGTGCTTTCTTCTTATCGGGTCAGAAAGTCCGATTTGATGGCATCGATCCCCACACCGGAGAGAAGCGCTACAAGGCTGTTAGCTCGCTGCAGGATCAGGCGGAGCGGAAGATGAACGCTATCCCGCGCACTGCGCCCGGCTCGTTCGTCGACTTCCAGGTTTCGCCTACCATCACTGCTCTCGGCGCTGTCAGTGGTCTGGAGAAGGGTTCTGCTCCCACTCTTAACTCCGAGGGTCTCATGGATCTGCTCTCCGCAGATTTCGCGCGTGCTCTGAAGGACTTCGCTGCCGTGATGAACGATCTCAAGCGCCTGTCAACACTCGGCGATTTGCCTATCAAACTCCATGATCGATCCACTATCCGTGTTCATTTCCCAGGCTGTGACGCTGAGACTGTTGAGCAGCTCTGTGGCGAAGCTGGAGTTCAACGTGGTCGAATCGTTCAAGATGAAGACTTTGATATTCGCACTGGTGCCGATTTGGCTCTTTTGTTCCCTTTTGCACCTAGTGTTTCTCCTTCGTCTGACACCGACTACTACTTCGAGAAAGCTCCCAAGAAACATTCCTATGCTTCTGATATTGACTGGCATGGAATGATGACTCCTGAAAGTCTTGAGCCGTCTTCACCAGGCCTCAGCCGCGATTCGGGCAATGCTATCAGCTTTCAGGACAGTGAGCTGTTCGGCGATAACCCCTGGAAATCATCGCCTCGGAGTTATTCGAGCATCAACATTAGCGAGCTTGGTGATAACCCTTTCTTTCCCGAAGTCTCCAGCGCTGGTCAGCCGGAGACCGCGTCGGCCTATGATGGTTCCGACGGAATTTACAATTTCTTGGCTGAGTGTGATCGCGCTCAGCGCTGAGGCATTGCTTGATTTCTTTTCTTTTTGTTGGATTTTTCTTGCAACCTGCTTGATTTTACATTTTTCATAATTGATTTTTGTTCCCATCGCTTTGGACATATCCTAGGCTAGGGCGGGGCTCTACATGATGACGACACTATACCTCTCCACTCTTTAACATCTTTCTTTGTTTGCTAGTCAATTGAATTTATTTTGAATAATTTTTTTCCTTTCCCTACTAGCACGTAAGCTCGAGTAGCTCCCCGGAGCCGCCTACAAAGCTAGGAATAACTCCAATACCACCCTTGGCCTGAAGTCCATTCACTCAATTTCGCCATCATAATGATCATTCAGCAGATACCAGGCAACACATGTGATAATCGCTTGACCGTTCAATGAATCTTTATCCCATCGCTGAGAACTGGTTTTGGTCTAAGGTAGTTTTTGTCTCCAAGCCTTGCATGATATACTATTGCTCCGCGAACATCAAAAGAAGTCCAAAATTTCATTATCATCATAAAAGCCTTTCATATGCCACCTCAAGTACATCCATTGCCCCACAGCCTAGCAACATATAAAACTGTGTATCCCAAGTCCTCTCACGATCACTTCAATCCCATCTCCCACCCAACAAAGAACCTACCCATTAAACCAACCCCATCCAAAATGCCAGCAATAAGAAGCATTTTCTCCAACTCCGACGGCCCAATCCTCGACCCCGGCGACCTAGTCGCAGTCTGGGTAACTGTTAAGATCCACAAAGACCTCATTTTCGGAACTCACGCCGACATAATGGAGTGGGTCGTTGAACAGATCCAGAAACGCAAGGTGACGATCGAAGATAGCGCGCAGCATATGCGTATGCATTCTCGAATCTCAATCCCTGTTCTGCTCGCCGATGTGCCCTTGAATGATACGGAGGGACAGTATCGTGGTGCGGAGATGATCGCCAGGCGACTTCTGGAGGAAACGAGGGAGGGTATTATTACTTTGAATCTTGAGAGGATTTTTCCGGTTCTTAAGGAGTAGCTGTGGATTGGTGAGTGGTGAGTGTGAGTTGTGAGGGGGTTATAGATCTAGGGAAACGAAAGTTCGAATACAACTGAAACTTAAGTTGGTGTTTAAACAGTATCGAATTTGATTATTTTAGTTGGTAGATCAAAGCTAGGTCCAATAGAGTGCCTAAGAAGTATGAAACCGGCTGTCATTAAAAGTGTTCCGGTATATATTTACAAGCCAATTGCAGTTGGCTGAAAAAGAATACTCCTGGGAACGGAGACAAGACCTTGAAAACAACCATGGAGAAAGATAGGCAAAGTAGAAAAGACTTAATAGGTGCCGCTAGACTTCCATGCTTTCGTGTCGTTCCTGATCTTCCCTAAGGCTAGGAACTACCGACATAGTTCACTTTAGAACGCCCACCAAGCTTTCCGTCACTGTCTACTTCTGTATCTACCGTCTCAGAATCAATACTCGCTCCATCCATAGGACCCACAGCCTGAGATTCCGGGTCTGTTCTCGCCTTCCTCTTGTCACGCCATAAGAGGAGTTGAATGAGAGCAGTGGTAGTAACTAAAAATGGTTGTTAGTGGACGCGCGAATGGAAATTGACGTAACTTCCTTACTCAGTAGGATTTGAAGCACAATTGACCAAGTGTATCCCTTGGCGGCCCGAGGAAATTCTGTCGTCTTCCAAACGAAGTTCGGCGCCTGTGATAACAACTTAGCTTTCGTTGATGCTTTCAAAGTAGAAGGGAGGACTTACCACTGCCTGCACCACGTATGCAAGGTCATTGGCCATTGCCACTAGCATTGCTCGCTTTTCGGTATCGGCGGAGCAGATCTCATTGATCCAGCTGAGAATTAAAGGACCAGCGCCTTCCTGGAATGGTATTAGCAATCGGATTTCAATAGAGACGATATAGGTTTACTAACGCCGATTTTGCTGAGCCAGTAGACAGCAATTCGGCCTTTCATGCCCGTATACAGGGGAATCTTGAGCAGGAGGACACTAATGGTCAGCTATATGAGTAGTTGAATTAGTATTTTCACTGAAATATTCCCGGAAACGAGAACATGACTTACGGTAGTGACAGCGCCAATGTAGATGAATGGCCAGCGGGCACCACGGCAGGGACCATCTGATAACCAGGCCCAGACTAAACCCATACCAATTAGAATGGCAGTAGTTGGGAGAGGCACTTGAAATTTTGTTAGCCAATGATCTTGTGTATAGGAAAAACAAGGAAAGGGTCAGATCATACAGTTGTTGATCTGCGCGACCGTATAGGACGTTCCTGGGACCGGAGCAGGGTGCTTGTTGAAGCTTTTCAACCAATATCCCATACCGGGTTGAGGAATTCCGTTGTTCCACACAACGTAAAGCAAAGCTTCAAACTCATATTAGTACTATATCTACAGGCTCATAATTGAGTAGCAAGATAACTCACGAAGCAGGTAGGTGTGCCAGCTGAGAAGAATTCTCTTTGCCTTTGCTTTTGTCCATCCTTCCTTTCCAGCGCGTCCAATATTTTGCATTCTTTTGACTGAGAGTAAATGCTCTTCCTCGGTGGTCCACCACGTCTTCTTGCCTCCTTGGGGTAGATTAGGGAAGAAAACGTACCCTGCGACTGCGAGCGGCAGTGTTATAATACCATCAATAATAAAGAGCCAGCGCCCTGTTGTGATTGTCAGAATTATCCATGTCACCTTTCCGTTCCGGTAAGAGGATGGCTAATGTGGTACTTACAGCCCGCGAAACCATGGGTGCCATCAAGGCCTGTATATGCGGCGGCTTGAAGGAAACCGCTGAATAGAGAACCAACTGAGCCAGCTAGCCAGAAAACCATGGCTCGCTTGCCAATTTCTCGTGGCGTGTACCATGATCCAAGCATGTAATGAATCCCGGGATAAAAGCCTGATCTATAGGGTGGGTAAGCACTTGAGTGACTGACTACTTTGTGTTAAATGAGAACGTACTCAAAGAAGCCGACAAGAAAACGCAAGGCATAGAGCGAGTGGTAATTTTTCACGGTCGATGTACAGATTGTCGCAAGACCCCATCCGACCTCGAGGGTTGGAATAACCCATCGTGGAGAGACCCGAGTCAATAGCAGATTGCAAGGAATCTGTCCGATCACGTATCCCACTGTCCAAATAGATGTACCTGGGACTTGTTGTTAGCTGATAGTCCATCGTCAAAATTCGAGTTACTTACTTGTCACGAGTTGGTTGCCATACATTTCTAGATCTTCCTCCATCCCACTTAGGAAAGCATTATTAACATTTGTTTGGTCAATATTCTTCAAAAAGTAGCCAATAGATGCAAACGTTAGAACGAAAGCATCCACCTTAAAGAGCAGCCAGCGCTCCTTTGGTGGAAGTTCGAACGTATCCCAGACATAGCTTTTCCATGATCTTGACGGTTTGGCGAGAGAACTTTCGTCCGAACTAGACCCATTTTCGGCATCTCTGCTGTGCGCTCTGGAGACAGCCACATGGGTATCGTCCCTTGTGTTCCCCATTTTCAGGTTTGGAGTCACCCAGGGTCAGTGTCGCCAAGAAATAGAGCCGGAAATGTATGTATCGACGCTATCTTCATTGCTATGGATGCTCTGGCTATTTTATGCAACAGTACGGTATGTCCTCAACATGACCAGTGATCGCGTCAGTTCACGATCTATCAGTATATTCCGTTATTACACTTTTCCAAGACTTAAGGATATGTAAACTAATGCTCGAAATGGATTGGAACGTCGGAAGATCCCCGGTACACTTTATCTTGGTGGCCCATTCATTGCGATGCATCAGGTCTATCTTGCGCAATAAATGCGGTAACTGGTCTGGATTTATAATCTTCTAATAATCTAAATTGGAGCAGGAATAGCGCTTACACTAATCAGTTGATAATGGTCCGAGACCAACGAAATCATCCGATGATCTGACAATGGCTATCGACTTGCGTGCTAAGGCGCAATCCACCACTAGTTGGCGTCATGGAAGTTGTACTTTCGCCATACAATTGAAGTATATAACGCAGTATATCACACAGTATACATCAATACACGTTTGCCTGCTAATTAACTTGGCTAAAGAGAAAGAAAACAATAAAAATGCCGGAATTCATTAGCGTCACCTTCCCAAACGCATCCACTGAGCTCACGCCAATCCCTAACGCGGCGATTGATCCCGAGTATCTCGTGCGCTATGCCCGCTCTCTAGATGACTTTGGATACAACTACACACTGGTTCCATATGATTCATCCTCATTTGACCCGTTCACCATCGGAGCGACAATTCTATCAGTGACCAAGAACATCAAAGTCATCATCGCTCTTCGCCCAAACACTCTATATCCCACAGTAGCTGCCAAGGCCCTCTCAACGCTCGACCAGCTAAGCCGCGGTCGTGTTGTCGTCCACTTTATCGCCGGCGGCAGCGACGCAGAGCAAGCCAAGGAAGGAGACTTCCTAACAAAGGACCAGCGCTACGGGCGTCTCGAAGAATACATCAAGATTCTACGCCGTGCCTGGGACTCCAGTGAGCCCTTCGACTGGGAGGGCGAGTACTACCAATTCAAGCAATTCAGCAACCGCGTCCGGCCGACCAACGGCACCATCCCGGTTTCCGTCGGAGGCTCCTCCGATGAGGCCTACCGCATTGGAGGATCGCTCGCGGATATTTTCGGTCTCTGGGGCGAACCCCTCAAGGAGACGAAAGAGCAGATCGATCGCATCTACGCGGAAGCCGCGAAGGCCGGTCGCGCGGAATCCGATAGACCGCGTATCTGGGTTACTTTCCGCCCTATTCTTGCGGAGACCGATGAGCTGGCTTGGGCGAAAGCTCATCAGACGCTCGATGCATTGACTGCTAATCGGGCAAACGGCCAAGGGAAGGTCCCGGCTAATGCGCCGCCGCCTCAGAATATTGGATCACAGCGTCTGCTGGATATTGCGGCTCGTGGGGAGATTCAGGATCGTGCACTCTGGTATCCTACTGTCACTGCGACGAATGCGCGGGGCGCGTCGACTGCTTTGGTTGGATCACCTAAGACAATCACTGACTCTCTGATTGATTATGTTGATCTTGGTGCGGATTTGATCTCTGTTCGTGGTTATGATAACCTTCACGATGCTATTGATTATGGACGCTTTGTGCTTCCTCGGGTTCGTCAGGTCCTGGAGGAGCGTGAAAATGGAGCTTCCGCTTGATTGACATTACCCTATATGTATATACTTTTTTCCATATATTCCCAACGACTTGGACTGGACGATATAAATTTACTTGCATTGACATATAAATCTTTATTCTATGCCCTCAAAGCTACTATAGCTAAAGTAAGTTCGATTATACTTAGTTAATGCGAGGATAATAATGGATAGATAGCTTCTTTATATGCTGGAATCAGAGCTCCAGGGACTTTGAGAAAGCCCCCAAAAAGGATGTGTAGAAAAATGACAATGAAATACATTGAAGAGTAATTGAAGAGAAATGAAGAACCGTCTAGGTACAATAAATATTTATAATGATGAAGAGAACAATCAGAATGACAAAAGAAGAAAATAAAAAAAAGAAATGAAAGGGTAATGAAGGTCAGAATGGACTTCAAATAAGGTGGTTTGGGATTTCGGCAAAAAAATCGTGATCAAGAGCACTTGGCCGTCTTTGTCGCAGTCACAGTGCTAGTCGAAGTAGTCTTTGCAACTTTAGTAGACGTAGAGGTAGCACGATTGGTGATAGTAACTGAGGGACTGTTCGTGACAGTTGAGGTCTTGATCACGGTAGAAGTCGAAGCGGGAAGAGTAATTGTGCTCTTGAGTGTAGAAGTGACAGTAGCGGTCGTCGTGACGGCAGGAACGCTGACAGTGCTCTTAATGGTTGTGGACTTGAGGCTGACGGTGGTGATGGTTGTGCCAGCCAGGGTGATAGTCACATCTTTGCCAACAATGGAGGTAACAGTGTTGGTGACAGTAGAAGCCTTCAGGGTCGTGGTCTTGCCAACAGAAGTGGTGCCTGTCACAGTGGTAATCGACGTGACTGCTGGGATGGTGCTTGTCGAGACCTTGGTGGCAATTGAGGTGATCGTGTCAGTGACAGTGGACCCCTTAAGCGAGGTGGTCTTGGTGGTTACATCGGTAATATAATCAGTCACAACGGGAATTTTTGTGGTTGAGGTCTTGGATACCCAGTCGACCTCAGTGACGTAGACAGTAACTGTAGTAGGATTGGCACGACCAACAATATCGCGTTTCATCTTCTTTGCAGCCGTGTCGCAGCTGACAGTTGTAGTGACTGTCTTCATGGCCGTCTTTGTGGATGTTGAAGTGATGACTTGGGTTGTAGCCTTGGCGTTAACAGTTGTCGTTCCTCCGGTTCCCACGGTTACTGTTGCGACAGATGTCGTTTTTCCGGCCTTTCCACTGACAGTCTTGATACTTGTAGATGTTTCAGTCTCCTTCTCGGTGACGGTCGAGGCAGCTGCTGTGATGGCAGATGTGATAGTCGTGGTGCTCTTCACCACCATTGTTGTATCCTTGCCAGTCACAGTGACAGTGCCAGTGGTCGTAGCTTTGCGTGTCGTGGTAACGGTCTTTGCATCGGGCGTGACTGTACTTCCAACATCCATAGTCACAATTGAGGTCTTGGTGGAAGTTGTCGTGGGCTCAGTCAGAATCTCAGTGGTGGTGATGGTTGCCATTTCAGTTGTTGTCTTCAAAACAGGATCAGGTGTAACCGTCACAATGGTAGTGGACTTGACAGTTGAAGTCTTATCAACAGGGGTGATCGTCACAATGGCAGCCGTGGTAGAAGTGGTCACCACACTAACTGTTGTCGTGATAGTCACGACAGGAACAGTCACAGCGACCGAAGATGAGGTAGTCGTGGCGGCAATAGTTGAAACAGTTGTCAAAGTGACAGCTGTGCCAGGAACAAAGACCGTGCCATCAACATGAGTGAAGTCAATCCAAGATGTCGAAGCAAAGAAATTGGCCAGTTCAAACTGAGCAACGCCAGTATTGTTGAGCTGCGAGGCGAAGGTTGCACGTTTCAAAGTGCTGGATCCAGGGCCGTAGTTTCCATACTCACCGAAAGTAACACCAGAAGTTTGCGGACTGGAAGTAGACCACTGCTCCCATCCAGCAGCTTCCACAGAAGAGTCGAGATAGGAGTTGATGTACGCAACTCGGGCATATGCGTTCCATGGTCTGCCGAGCGAGATCTTGGACATGGATCCGGCGCCAGTCGATGGTGTAATGGTACACTGGTCAAACACAAAGCCACCAACAGTCGTGCTTGAAGCCCTCTTATCAGCAGTCAGGCTGATACCGTCTTTGTTGGGTGCAATGGTTGTGTTCAAGAAGTATGCGGCGCCACTTCCCCAGATCATGTCAATATTTCCTTCGACGTAACCGTTGCTCATCCATAGGTTACCATTAATCAACAGAGCATCCTGGTTTCCTTTGACTTGGCATCCTGTATTCCTCGGTATCAGTAATCTGCTTGGCATCGACTAAACATCTAGTAAAAAACTTACCATACAAACTGGCATATTTGCTCGACTTGACAGCAAAGCCTAGCGTTGCGACGTCTTTTTGTGTGCCGTTGTTGTTCACGAAATTGATGTTCATAGCCTGTTTATGCTGTTAATATCCTGCTATATCTGTGCGAATGTCCCCATATATGAATTACCTCAAAGTAGTTGCCAGTGGCATAGACTGTGGCGCTGTCAGAGTTAGACTGATCGGCGCCCGTGTCAACTCCAGTGTTGTATTGGATGGTGACTTGGTTGCTGGAGTAATCGTAGGTAGACTCAGAGTAACCCATTAGAATGATAGAACCGGACTTGCTGACAATAAGCTGCTCCTCGTATGTGCCAGGATAAATGAAAATAGTAGGAGTGGTCTTCGATAAGGTGGGAACGGCATCAAGGGCGCTCTGAATGGTATCGTACACGGTCGTATTTGTGCCAAGACTTGTCTTCGACACGATGTAGGCCCCAGAGGGAGGGGTTGTTCCATCGTATACCGATGTCGTAGTTGCCGAGGGAGTAGCGGTTGCTGTAGGTGTACTGGTCGTAGTACCGGACACAGCGGTAGGGGTATCAATCGAATCCCAGTAAGTCATATCGATCCAGTCAGTAGAATCCATGACATTGGCCAACGAGTAAGTATCCGCCGTCAACAAAGTGGCGAATCCGAATGCCTCGCGGGCAGCCTTGTTGTTTTCCCAGTTGCCCGGTCCAGTGTTGTTAAATTCAGCAAATGTGACACCACCCGTGCGAGGGTCTGTGGTCGACCACACTTTCCAACCAGCGGGATTGATGACATCAGTCAGATAGGAGTTCTTGACAACCACCAGAGCATATTGGGAATAAGGTCGGCCGAGATACACAGTGTTTGTGAGATCGACCGTTGCGTCAGCAGCAGCAGTGAACAATGTCTGGTCAAAGATGTATCCTCCAACGGCACTCGCAGAAGCGCGGCTCTGGGCTGTGATCGCAGATTTTGCTCTCTTGGCTCCAATGGTGCATCCCTTGAAGTAGGCCTTCGAGTATCCCCAGATGAAATCGATCGCACCCTCAATGTATGAAGATTCGTAGTATTGGTATCCGGCCGTGGCTCCAGTCAAGAGAGTGTCTTGCCATCCTTGAAAGTATACACCTATGCAGAAATTGAAGGTTAGTGAAGCTCTTCTTATTGGCCACTTCGACACGACGTACCGTAGAAAGCAACATGGTTTCCGTAAATGGAGGCAGCGAGCGTAACATATGAAGACTGCAAGCCATCAAGGTTATCCGAGTTAATGATGTTGACATTGTAAAAGGCGATTTTGGTTGACGCAGTAGATACTGTAGCTGTCTCGGCATCGGAGTGGCCACTTGGGAGAGGGGAGACAGAAAGACCATGAGCGAAGGTGATCGTGACTTCGTTGTCGGCGTAGCTTTGACCAGGATTTCCAGTGGTATAACCAACTATCATGACAGGACCATTCCGATTGATCGCGGGCACCTGCTCCTCGTAGGTGCCGGCATACATGAAGATAATCTGGGTGGTAGTATCGTCTGGGAGGGAGGCCAAAGCATCGGTGAGATTGCCATAGGAACCGTTCACTGATGCACCAACACTGACGAGCACAGCGCCAGTAGGGGGTGTAGTGCCGCTTGAAGGGTGTGCCCAAGTTGCAGAAGCGGTTGAGACTGCCGCAGTGGAGGAGACAGTAGTTGATGTAGTGGTGGTGGTCGCAGTCGCTGTAGTGCTAGCTCCGCCAGTCAAGTCGTATGATGGAACGTACTCGTAGGCAGTCATATCAAGCCAAGTTGTATCGCCAATCCAGCTAGATAAGGTATATGCCTCGGCCTGGGTCTCTGTGAGATTGGTAGAAAAGGTTGCACGGCTGCTAGACCAACTTCCCGGTCCAGTGTTGTTGAACTCCCCAAAGGTGACATAATCGGTTTGAGGACTGCTCTTTGACCAAATCTGCCAGCCAGCCGGGTTGATGTGCTTGTCCAAGTAGGAGTTCATGTAAACGACCCGACTGTATGAGGAATATGGTCTGCCGAGCCAGGTGGTTTGGTAGGTACTCCCGTATGTTGAGGTGTACGTCACGAGACAATTGTCAAAGACGTAACCTCCAGTTGCCGTAGCCGAGGAACGACTCATCGCAGCAATGCAAGACCCGGCAGTGTTTGTTGCAATGACAGACTTGGAGAAGTAGGCCGTCGAGAAACCCCAAATGAAGTCAACAGAGCCCTCAATATAACAGTTGGAGAAAACCTGAGTACCCTTGTTGGCGAGGAGGGTATCCTGGTAGCCAATGAAGGAACAGCCATAGGATTGCACAGTTCCGTAAAAGTCGGCAGCAAGAGCAGCGGTATTCGCGGTCTGGGGATAGGTATTCTTGAAATCTATGTTGTAGAGGGCGAGTCCCTTTCCATCGCTGTTCTTGGCGTTGACAATGGGGGTCTCTTCATCCTTGTTGGCGCTGGTCAACACACCATTTGAGTATTGGATGGTCACAGTGTTTTGAGTGTAATCATTCTCGAAGGTTGTTTGGCCCCGGATGATTGTCTTACCCGTACGAGTGATGGAAATCTGCTCGTTGTACGTGCCACTCATAACATAAATGGTGTAATCCTTGCCGTCATTGGGAAGAGCAGAGATAGCAGCGGTAACATTTTTGTAAGGACCGTCAGTGGGGTTGACAACATAAGTAGATGTGGCGGTTGCGGCAGCAACAGTGGTTGTGGCAGAAGACTGAGTTGTCGTGATTGCTGTGGATGCCATGGAGGCTGAGGAGGCTGAGGTTGAGGTTGCGGTGGAGGTAGTCGAGGTTGAAGTCTGTATGACATCTGCGCTCTTGATAGCGGCCAAGACCAACGAATCAATCCAGGTGGTGTCAGAGGATGCATAGCTGGGGTAAGCAGCAGCAAATACGGCGCTGACACTGTACTTGGACAAGCTTGATCCGTCCAAGAGAGATACATACTTGGCACGGGTAACGCCGTTGTTGGCATAGGCTCCTGAGCCGGTGTTGGCATACTCTGCAAACAAATTGAAGCCATCTTGGCTAGTTGCGCTGACGTAGGCACCACTAGCAGCAATCAAACTACCGAGCGCAGAGTTCCGGTAAACGACAACAGTACCGGGACCGTTGGCAGCGGCAAGATATACATTTGTATTGGATGCTCCCGACTTCTGAGCCACTGTCACGCTGTCAAACACGATAGTTGAATTGTATAGAGTCGAAGTGGTGGTCAAAGTGGTACCCTTCGCGTATGTCATCAAAGCATTGTTGTTCACAGGCACGATCTTAGTGTTGAAGACGTAGATATTGGCTTGGCCATATAGGACCTTATCGAGGGACTCGATATACGAGTTTGCAATCATGCCAATTCCGACACTGGCAGTGATACCGAGGGATCCCGTGGAGACAATTTGACAATCATAGAAGGCAAATTTGTTTCCTTTCAAAATCATTGCACCAGAGCTAGAATCAGTGTTGAGGAAGTTGACGTTGTTGAAGTTCACTTGTTGGACATTATTGTACACGTTCAAAACAGTGCCTGCGTTGCTGATCGTGACTTTGTTTTGAGAGTAGTCATTTGTAGTGTCACTTTGACCAACAACGGTGACAGTGGGGGTTGCTGAAACAGTCACTGCCTGGGTGTATGTACCCGCAAGGACAGTCACGGTTGGAATTGCATGGCTCTGCGCATAGGCAATAGCATCTCCAATCGCAGTGAACTGGCCACTGCCGTCTGTTGCAACAGTAACGGCATTGCTTGAAGCTGGAACGTTATTAGCATACCTGAGCTGTAAGCTGTGCCCTCTTGTGATAAACTTACTAGAAGCAGTTGAGATTGAGGTCGGAGTTGAGATCGAAGTTGAAATTGAAGTTGAAGTTGAAGTCGTGGTCAAGGTGGAGGTTGTATCCGTCGCCGGCGTGGTTGCTGGAGTCGAGATGGCAGAAGCTACTGAAAGACCAGCAAGGCCTAGCAGCGATAAGAGACGCATCCTGAAACCCCCGCTAAGGTGACAGGGAGAGGCTTTGGGAGAAACAAAACAAACAGTCCAGAAACGTTCAAGCCTATACGGGATGATATCCCAAGGTAGGGCCGGATATATACTGTCACCAAAACAGGCAGAGAAAACCACAAACGAGAGGTTTACTCAGGCGATCACGTTATTTATACTCTGTAAAGATCAATGTGCCCTATAAGAAAAAGTAAAAAAGGAAGCCGCAAAGCTATACTAAGCCCTTTAGAGAACGACAATCTCCACCACTATCTGCCGCCTCCAGGGGAAAAATAAGCGAACAGGTATAGCAATCCGAGGTCAATAAAATCGACAGAACGAGCAATCATTGGGTCATGAAGATCCAGACCCACGGCATCGGCATTAGGAACAGCAATCGACATGATCCTCCGGATCCATTCCGACCCTCGCACGTGGAAAGCGGCCCTTGTCCGAACTAAGACCTTTCGAACGATATCGGTGAGCCGGACGTAGCAAACCACCATAATATTAAACTGATTAAAACAATTCATAGTTCAGGTTGAATCTACTAGTGGTATTGCGCCACCCATCTCGGTCGTCTGAACTCGCACACGTGGCTGGCCCAGATAGTGCAGATATCTCAGCCTTGATATAATCTGGGTCCCCGTTTGATGCCGGAAAAGCTTAAAGACTATATCTGCACATGTAATTATAGCGCTTACAAACTGCCCCGGGCCGTAGGCTTGTTCCTCTATAATGTGATTGATCCCTTCTACTGATACATTAGGTGTACATAAACATAGTAGAACAACGTTTTACCAAAGTTTACCCTTATGCCTAGATTATATCTATGTACATTGGTGAATTTGATATAGAAAGTCTAGAGCGGCAAACTTCTCCGGCAATTTGACCCTGAATGTAGTAGTTTCGACCATGAATTATATGTGATGTGGCGCAGCCGGTAAAAAGTCGGCGCAATGCCTGAAGATAAGAGGAAAAAAGCGTGGAGAAAAAATTGCTTAGCTCGATGCTAGCGATCAAGTGGATGGAACTTGTCGATTAATTTTCCGGCCCTCCCGGTGTGAGGATCACTCTCCACAATTTTTTTTACAATGGGCTAATTGTGCCGGTAGTAAATAACGGTACCACTGTTCATATGGTAGCTGTTAGATATGTCTTGGAAACAAAGATAAAAATTTTCCGTGGTCCTGAACGCTTGCGCCGTAGACCAATCAATAATATCGGGGAATCCGAGGAGAAATAGAGCAAATTTTTTTCCGTGTCCCGTGATCACTGATCAAATGATTAAAAAAGGCTGAAAAATACTGTGATCCGATCACGACCCAAGCTTTCGTTTGACAGCATTGTCAGGAACAGCGAATTAAAGGGGAAAAAGCGCGGATTGTACTATGGGGCAGGGGTTCGGTAAAAATAGCCTGCCCTAAGTTCCACGAGTTTAATCGCGCGGCTGGAACAAGATCTTAGAACTTCTAGAAGAAAAGACCGATTGTATTCCATCCATCCTTTCATCCGGCTACTACTCTCCTCCGAAGATAAAACAATTCAATGGGCCGGCTAGAATATGTACGGAGAAAAACTCTTAAAACTCTACAGGGATAGCTTTTAAGTCGACTTATTTGACGGAATCATACCTAGGTAACCGAGAATAGTACTCCGTGGTTATCGGAAATTTGCTTCTGTTCTTTAACTATTGCTCATTCTGTCAGTATTGTTGCGCGACCAGGGGAAACAAGGGTATATATGTTAGTTAACGTCCGTGTGTTGTAGTGTTTCGGCACATCCGATGCTTCTTTGTGTGACCTGTCCGTACCGAAGGCAGGCTATTTACGCAGTTGTTTCGCCCTCGGTGGTTTTGTACTAGGATTTTATTGGCCTGATTTATGCCTTGGTTCAGATCGCTTTTAGTGGGTATTTACAGTGTGCAGTGAGTGTATAGTGATCGGTTCAGCACGGAGTAACTAGCCAGATAGACCCATAAAAACAGAGCTTTTCATATTATACAAATTTGTGCATCACCACCTATTAGAGGGGGTTTCCGCAACTTGCAACCTGTTACATTCTTTAAGTTGGCTACTAGAAATATAGGTGGGTAGGGTACTTTGTTTACGAGGCGATATGTAATAGTGTTTCAGGTATCATCAGTTTGAGGATCCTTACCCTATGCTGTAGTGTACATATTCATCATGGTGTTTGTTCAATGGAAAACTCTTATTAATAATAGTATCATATGATAATTTTTAAGGATACTTGCCCTGAGTCATGGTGAGTGATTGTAGGAAGATGATTAGCTAGTCGGCAATCTACAGAGCCTTAAAAGAGATCCTCTGGTTATTTCGCCTTCTTTTTCAACATAGTTATATATCGTGTTGCATATTCATTAGGCATTTCTCGGCCGATAATAGTGTGATTTGATCGTTTTCAGAATCCTTCCATTGCGTTTTGGTGTATTATCATTGGAGGATCATTAGCCACCCAACAGCCTGAGAAGGATTCGGCGAGGTTCTAAATAGAATCTGCTGATAGTCACTCACCTCCATATTGAAAAGTTCAAAGCTGTAGTGCAAAGGGCATATTGCCCAAACCTTTCAACCACTACAATTCTGAAAGTAGACGACACACATAGCGTGAGTCATTACCAAATATCGCAGCTACTATTACTATCGTCTTTTTCATTTCTGTCTCTGCGGATGTCCTTTTATACAGGGTCATCATGGCGCAATCGACGAGCGCCAGAGCCACAAGAAGTGATACAATTAACTCAGAGCTCATCTCCTCCCTGAAAGCGTTTATGATCGAACATCGGAATCCCATCCTGCCTTGCAAATACATCACATTGCCCAGAGATCCCGCTTTTTCTGGGCGCGAAGGTACAATAGCAAGTATTCGACAGGCTCTTCTCCCCTCTCTATGAGACCCACAAAATGGATTCAATAGCTCTCAATGAGATGATCCCATCTTTGAATGTCTATTCTCTTTGTGGTCTAGCTGGAATTGGCTAGACTTCTACTGCCAATGGAATTGTTCACAGGTATGCTGATAAGTACGATGCCGTTTTCTAGATTTCAGTGGAAGAGGAAACAAAGCTCTGCGACAGCTTTCGTGAGATCGCTGTCAAACTTGGAATCGTTGCAAATACCAGTGGAAAGAATTTGCCAGTAATCCGAGATACATTCTTAGCATGGCTTGCCAACTCTCTTACATCGTACGAACATATGGACCATGGCAAACCCGAAGAAGCATCTTGGTTCATAGTATTCGATAACGTCGATCGTGCTGATATACTCGGGGACTCTTAGCCAAAAGAGGTTGCTGGCTCAATTTCGGTCACATTTCGAGATCCATTGATCAAAAGCTTCATCTGTTTGGGGAACACCGGAACCATAGTTCCGGAGCTATCGGAAGAAGAAGGCACGTCTCTACTTCTTCGGCTCACTAATCGCGAGAGTGATGTGCATAATGCAAAGCAAGCACCTGAGGTCGTTCGAGCCTTGAGAAGATATCCACTTATCATCGCACAAATGGCCGGGGTCATTGCAGCACGACACCTTGGATTTGATGAGTTCCTTGAATTGTGCTCTGAGGACGGAAAGAAGAAAAATGCTTGGAATTTTAGAAGGGCAATTAGCTTCCCTTCACACGCAAAATCAGGCACTTGGTACTGTTTCGGCCCTAGATGAGTTGAAAGAGGGCAGGGTCTTACAACAAGCGATGTCATTTCTAGATCCGGACAATATCCCGGAATCACTTCTAGAAGAGAACCCGGCTTACATGGATTGGAATCTTTATTCCCAGCAAGAGTGACCCACATAGCCGCGTAGCTCTAAGTTTAGCTAACTCAATCATCATCATGTACTCCGTACAGTCATGTTCGAAATCAGTTTTAACTCCACACTCTCTCACTTTGTCTGCCAGAGCTCCACCTAGGCTGCACTAGTCCAGATTAGACATCTTTCCGCCGCCTTACATCTATCGAAACAAAAGCACTTTGCTCATTAAGGTCTATGTAAAAGTGTTTTAATTTTCCGCCGGTTCTAAAATAAGGCCCCCAGGGACAAATTGCGTATGTAAATAATTAAGTTTTGAACCCTGGCCTCTATAAAGCTCCGTACAGCGGTTCGTCCAATCTTGTTAAGTTGTAGCTCAGCTAGGAAAGTCAGTGCGGCAATGGTGCGACGAAGGTAAATTATCACCCGGCTTCCCACCCTAGCTATAGTGCAATCACCCTTGTCAACCCCGGTCGCGTGACGCTAGAGCAGTGCTCACCCATTTCTCGCCCGGGCGACACCTACCCGACTACTGGCCGCACATAAGCCGAGTATTCTGCACGGTCAATAGCCAATGCGCTCTCAGCACGTAAGCGCCACTCTAGGGTGAGTACGGATGATATAGGTGAGAAATCTCATGACAAGGTTGGGAGAGATGAGAGCGTAGTTCTGGTACTGGGCTAGAACAGACGGGGTCCATTGAGCACTTTCGGGTCCTTGTTTGCAGAACCTCGAGTGATTCGATCGGAGGATGGCGTTTTTGTGGAGATTTGGCGATATACGCTGGCATCCAAGGTGCGCAATAATGTATAACGGAATCTGGATACGCGCATTATGTACTGAGTCAGCTACATAAGAGCAAATTGGTGTTGTCATCCTTCTGTTTGTGGCGACCGCCTATGCAACGCCTCCCATCCTATACGGCTGACAGGCGAGTCATTCTCCGTACCAACCCCCAATTCGACTTCTTCCTGCTCCTTTGCGTACACAATATCCATGAAGTTATCACCAAGGCCGTCAGCGGGATTGCCGTCGCAAAGTATATCCATATGCCTCTGGTGCTTGTTCCTCCAGAGCTTTCATTCCAGTCGAAGAAGGACATGCTGAAAAACGACTACAAATCAGAAAGGCATTAGTTGAATAGCTTGATAACAACGACACAACTACGAATGGAGAAAACTTACACACGCAAAAGTGGCTGGGAGAAAAATCAATGTCATGGCGGCAATAGTCTTCATCGAAGAGCTGTCGCGTAGGGTAGCCTCGGCGATCTTGGTCGAACCCAAGGCAAGTTCACGAGTGGCTTTGGCGTCTCGTTGGGCTACAAGATTGTATACCTTGCTTTGCTATCAGCCAGCAACCTCGGATCATACTACAGAATGAATGATGTCGAGGCAGTCATACTTACTGCAGTGAATTGATTGCTTATACGTCGGGGCAACACACCAAGGTCGTACTCGGAAGCACGACATCGCTGCTCTTGCAAAGTCACAAAGCTGTCTAGTACCTTGAAGGGCTTTGTGCTATAGACTCCTGGTGTGTCCGTGCGATCGGGTGACGAATTCGAGAGCAAGAAGTTAATTGCTGCGCGGTCGGCAGGGCAGATGGTGCAGTTGTAAAAACCAATCTCCTGGTAGTTGCTCTGAGGCTGTCTGTATTTATAGATAATCTTGAGGACTTCTGTGACCAGCTTTTTCTCAAAGTTCCATCGCCGCTCGAGCTTAATCAGGTCGGCATCGCAAGTATGAAGCACTCGAATGAGAGAATCAAAGTCGGTATCGGCGGAAGAGTCTCGAACATCACGTTCCACGCCCTCCACCCGCACGATTAGCCCGGTGAGCGCTGCAGAAGTTTGGTCGACGTGAAGGCGGAGGAGAGTCACGGGAACGATTATGAGAGGTAGATCTGTCGACTCCCACTCATCGGGTATTTGCAAAGAGAACGGCAAAGGATGGATTGAGCCAGGGTCGGAATTAACCAAGACGCCTTTGAAAGCTTTTTTTTTGCCGGTTCTTGTGATGACGCTGGCCCCAAATGACCATTCGAGCTTTCCTCCATCCCCCGGAATCTGCAGGAAGAACCCTTTTTTATGCGAATTAGCAGCAGAAATCAGCCAAGCAGCAGAACAGTATTTACTTGATGGCTCCTGCAGATAGGCCACGCCGCCAGCGCTGCTCTCCCACACAGTCTGATACTCGGTTGTTGGGTCCCCCAGCGCCCGCTGAATCTCGTAACCCGCAGTTGACAAGGGTCTAGCGGGTTGTACTTGAGGTGAGAGTCATTTGTTCTGCCAACTAAGCTAAGCAATGTCAGACCCGTCTTTGTTCCCCGGATAAAATCGTTCATACTCACTTTATTTTCAAGGCTAGTTCGTCCGTAAGACCTTCGGAGTCCCGCCCCGGCCCATAATGGCGGGTGTTATCCGGCGGTTCGACCCCATAGAGAATTTCAAAGAAAGCGGAGTTTGCGATGTCAAGCTGTGTCAACATGCCAAATATACTGGAACTTCGGTATGAATGAATGGCGTGGATTATATCTCCTGTGCCTATAACTTGTTGTCAGCTTAATAAGATCCTCTGCTCAGAGGGTGATATCTCTGTTCTAGTTCTCATACATTAATTGCCTTCCTCGAACTCCGGCAATTTTTGAGAGGTACCGAGAGTCGCCGTCAGGGAAAGGTTGGGGCGGGCCAAATAATGGGAAATAGCCGAGAAATCCAGCGTGAGGATGGCTTTCTAGGTAGACAGCCAGCCATATGCGGGCTAGGTACTTACTTGTGTGTAGACCTCGACATTGTGGGTTTTGTGTTATCCGCAAGCAAGCCTGAACATGGGCGCCAAATGCCCAGAAATAAGTGGTCACTAAAAGCCTGCGGATTATAACGCGGTTCCACTGCCAATGTAAATGTATTTCAGCGTAATATCACTCCACTTTCTATTATCTTGGCGGGTCTTGGGGCTGAGAAATCTGATTGGCGAACTTAGTGTAGCCTCACAATGACCACCAGCCGAGCGTGGGTCTGAGCGCCCTCACTCAAGCGGCAGATCAAATGGGGGCATACAGCTCATGGCCCAAGATAAGCTGACCATGATCAGCTTATCTCGGGCCACCCAGCTGGAACCCGATCAAGTGGCATTATTAGGAATAGTAATTGATGATCTCTACGGAATTTCATAGAATCTGATGGAACGATATGACCCGTTAATACTAGTGGGACTCAAAGAAGCCTATCGTTGGTGCATTAGGATGCTAGCAGATACTAAGCTCCATGTAAGTTATGTCTTGTGAGGATTACCACGCTTCAGAGCCGCTTCAAGCGTAAGCTGTAGCTAAAACATCATGACCTATGTTTGGCGCTATATGCACACTATCGCTGGCTGGCAGAGAATGTAATATACAATAATCGTGTCAACCCCTGCGATGCTGGCCAGAAGATCAACTCCACGACAGTTCTATCTCCATAGCAGTGAGCTTTGAAGCTCATTACTTCTTGCCAGTCATGGCGACGACAATCCCTAAGCGTAAGCGTGCGAGGAAGGCATGCATTCCTTGCCATGAGCGCAAGCGAAAATGCGACACCGCGTATCCTTGTGGCATGTGCACCACTTACGGATACAACTGCAGGTACGCCGACGATAGCACCATTAGTGCTGTTATGAGCGGCGGCGTATCTATTCTCAACGGTGAAAGCCGTCTAACGAGTCGGCCTGCCACAGACCACAATTCGGGAAGCAGGTCATATATGGAGCGAGACCGCCGCGCAGGCGACGGCTCGCCAACTAAGAGTCCCACTGTCGCGGCCAGCGCGTCCTCGGGGATCTTCGACGAGCAGAGGTTCAGATACTCTGGGGCATCCGCAGCTATGGCATTTCCGCACATCTTGGGTGTGGCTCTCGGTTCTGACCCCCCTCCAAAGATGCGGTCGTTCGCTTACAACTTTGGCATTCGCCCTGAGGAGTCATCCGATGCTCACTGCTTTTTGGGAAATATGATCTCGGAGGAAGACCTTGGATTTTTCTCCGGTGCATTTTTCTCGGTGTTGGGCCCTGTCGCCGACATTATAGACACAAATATCTACGCTCAGCGATGTCGGGATTATTACCATAGTTCAGGCAGCAGCCCAGTCGCGTTTGCCGCCGTGGCCGCCGGGACCGCTGCTCTTGGATCGTTCCTATCTCCCAACAAACACCCGCGGGAGTATGACCTAGTGCATTACGCAAAAGCCATTCTCGATGATCCGGCCTCTATGCGTTGGCATAGCATCGACCACATCGTCGCGTGGGGCCTTAGGGTGCTTTACTTGCGGTCAACGACCCGCCCCAGTAACGCTTGGATCGCTTCATGCACGCAAATGCATCTTTGTGAAGCGATAGGGCTACACGAGGAAGGGAACATCAAGAAGATAGCTTCTGTCTCTGGCGCCGCTGTCGTGGGGTATGATGCAGACCGGCTGAGGAGAATTTTCTGGATCTCGTGGGCTGGGCATAACATGCTTTCCTACGAGTACGATCGTGCACCTGTAGGATTTCGGGCCGTGACTTGCCAGCCTATCATCTCGATTCCGGGTTCCTTTGCTGATCAATTTGTACGACTGATCCAGATCATTCCGTCGCCCAATTCTCCATTTCAGCTCGAGTTGCAGCCTCCAACTCCAAGCAAGGAGCTATTTGGGCGTCTCAAGGCCCTGGATGAGCTCCAATTTACCCATCCGTTCCTGATGGTGACTAAGGCGGACATTGCATTTTGCTTCTATCGACGCCTTTACCAACTCAAGATCCGCATACCGGATGATATCATTAAGCTCATCATTTATAGCGGCAATGCTGCGGTGGAGGCGGCTCAGTGGCAAGCTAGCCAGGGCCTTCTCTTCTGGAACGTCATTGGCAGCGTCTTCCAGTATACCTACATCCTTTTGGCCATTGACACGCCGGCAGCCTCTGCTCACATTGGGGCCGCATTCAAGGGCTTGGAAACCCTTGTCAAGGCTGCGGATACAGGACTGACTCGTGAGGCATTGTCGATGGCGCGGCACCTACTCAAACTTAAAATGGCCAAAAAGCGAAAAGAACTTGCTCAGCTGGAAGTTGTCGAGGCGGGTTATGAATTCTTGAAGGCACCGCCGGTACCCGAGACCAACACCGAAGTGCCAGGTAATGATTGGCAGGTGGACTGGGATCAATTCTTCATCGAGCCATATTTATCCATGTTCGGCTCTGACGTTCGGTTACAATGACGCCGGTGTCCTATACTAATCCACTCCAGTCAACAGTGATTCAATATGAAAGCTATCAAACTATGGTATGATATTCTGTGGTTCAACGAAGTTCAGCCTTGTACCTATGACAACGTGATACATACATAACCTCGGAAAAGCAACCTCACACTACCTCCCACAACTGTTACTAACACCTACACTCTTCAATTGAAATCTTTATCACAACATCGGGATAGATTCGGGGTATCAGTACTTCTGTTGAATTCCTTGTACCTTTTAAAAGAAAACAACGAGATCTGAGTTCGTTTGTCAACAGCCACTGAACAAAGCGAAAGCTTCCAGTGTTAAACTCGAGATTGATAGCTCAGAATAAAACTCAGAAGACATGGACATAAACAGTAGCCAATGATAGGAGTTGTGACAAAACTGGCGAACAAGGAGCGTCGGCTTGGCTATCAACAATATAGATAAGGTCTTCGGAACAACAACGATGTTTACTCCCTACACCTCAGAGTAAACCCGGTAGGTATGAGATATCTATGGATTGGGATATATATTGAGAGAAAGCCTGCAGAAATTGACTTATCGTGTATGATCGTTTATTCCCACAAGGCAATTTTTATTTTGTTACAGAACCCAGACGTAAGGGGATTATCGCACCGATAGTACGTGATATCTGCGCAGGGTGTCATGTTCCATTGAGTTAGCTGTAGTAATGGGGTAGACATCGGCACGTTCTGCTCATATGTAGATAGACTTTTCTCAAGAGTGTATGGTCGAAGAATAATACGTTTTCCATCTACTCCATCTCCCGCGCTCGAGATACGCCCTGAACAGCTGTGTGATTTCGACCTCCAATAGGCGCTCCGCACTCAGGACATCTACCTTGCTCCATCGGCATACCGCACTCTCCAATAGCAAACTAGAAAATGTTTAGCTTGCTTGTACATATCGTTAAGGTAATCGGGAAGTGTTCAAGATGAGGCAAACTACTCACCGGATGTCCATTGACGCAATTGTACCAGTGCCCAGAGTGAGTCGCGATTCCTCTCCGCCCGCTGACCATGGCCGTCTTGATTGATTCCAGTTCTTCCAAAGTCACTGTCTCATAACGAGGTCCCTCGTAGAGGCGGACCATCTCCTGAACCTGGTCTTGGAGCTCGAAGCAGTTCCCTAGTCTGTCGCATAGGTTTAACGCAGTGTTGAGGAGATTCCGAGTGGTTTCAGTGCGGTCTTCGAGCTTCCCCAGACATGAGTAACTTTCTTTGAGATGAAGATCTGAGTGCTTTTCTCCTGGATGAGTACGGCGATACCACGCGTCCAGCTGGGCTATCTTGGCGAATGAGATGGTTGCCGTGATGACGATGCGGTAGAGACTTTCTTCATCCGCCTGAGTTATTAAGTCTCGGCAATCCTTCAACAATTCAGTCAACATTGATGATAGGTTGGTGAAACTGAGCTGTGGTTTTGCAGAATGAAAGATATGGCTAAACGCGACTTCTCGGGCTTTGATGTTGATTAGCTGTGCACTGAGAGTGATTTGGTTGTCGGGTCCTCGTGTTGTCAGATTTATCGCCTGCAGGCGGGCTGCAACAGAGGCTATTTCATCCTTTAGTGGCTTGTGGAAGATTTTAATTGCATCCATGAGCCGTTTCGTCGGCTGATTCTCGGCCTTCATGGTTTCGCTGAGAGTCAAAGCCTCTGTCCCAATGCGCTGACAGGCTTTGTATCCTGCTTTAAGTTGTGTTTTGGGGTTTCCAGTGAGCAGCAATTCTTCCTTAGTGTTGAGATTGCGTTCGATGTTGTTCAAACGCGATTCAAGGCCTTCAAGTTCGGTGCGACCCTTGGTAAGGAACCGCTTGCAAGTCTCATCCATAACAGCTCGATTGACCACACGATTGTAACGTTTCGTCACAAACTGGCGAATGGGCTGTTTACAGTCCGGGCACGTGGGTATGCCACTGGCAAGAGAAGAAGAGACATCCCGGAGGCCTTCAAAATTTCCGTCTTTATCTCTCGTGTATACTTCATTCAGGCCAACCAGTGCATCAACCGATTCACTTGTAAAGAAGTGGCCACATCCAAGCGCGATGATTGGAGTTTCGTCGAGATTGATTTCGGAATAGTTTTTCAATTCGAGGAAGTCAACACGAGCATCTCTCTTGTCGCCGCACTTCTGACATAAATTCTCTGGGCAATCTTCCCCGCAGAGGCTCGGACACTGATGGCCGCATTCGAGAATCTTGGGGCATCGCTCATCGCAAGGCAGTCGGTTACATGGTGCCGCGCAAGGCATTGAGCAGGAACCTTGGTGGATGCAAGACCAGGTGCATCTCTCGATGCATGGCGCACACGCCTTTCCACAGGTTAAGTCGCATGCTGAGTGTGAGCATTGGACCTATGATATTGTTAGTATTTCCAAAAGATGACGAAATAATGGATTATAGTGGCTCTTGCCTCGCAATTTGCCTCGCAGCAGCCGCAGCTTTCTCCATTATGACATTTCTTGGCACACCGATGGTTGCAAACACCGTGTGGACGGTCACACCTTTTCGTGCACTTCGCGTGTGTATATACTCTTCTTCCGTCGTGGACTTCCTCGAGACAGTTTCCGCAGCAATCACTGCAGTCATGGCCACAGCTGAGAACTTCGGTGCATGGCTCAGGGCAACGGAAGGTTGGGGAAGTGACGTCCTGGAAACAGCCAACCTGGATTTTATGGCCACACTTGGAAACGATTTTTTCGACCTTGAAGTGGCACTGAATTACTTTCAAGTCGGACATCTGATGGCAATAGACAACCTCCTTGATATGACCACAAGGAAGCTCCACATCGTGAATCTTCGTCATGCAAAGGCCACAGTCTTCTCCACATAGCTTAGGACATTCATGATCGCAGGTTGATCGAACACGTGGGCAAGGCTTTCCGCATGCAAAGCCGTCGTGCATGACCGCCGAGTGGCACTTGGCCTGACATTGATGGCCACATGGTTCCAGTCGACGGGTACATGGAAGACTACACCCACCCTCGGGACTCTTTCTTTCAAAGTCATGAGGATCAGAACAAAGAATAGGTGTGTTTGAGTGGCGAGGACAACAAAGGGCCAACTCCGTGCCGACTGCATCCGCACGGGAGAGCTGAGAGTGGACATCGGCCCACATTGGCACGTTCAGATATGTTTCGGCATTTCCAATTAGATACATGCCGTGCTGGGCTCGACTGAGGAGCACGTTGATGCGATTTTCGGTGCGCAGGAAGCCAACCTTGCGCTTTGAGTTGCTGCGAACTAAGGAGATCACGATCACCTTTGCCTCCTCGCCTTGAAAGTTGTCGACGGTGGCAAGGCGGAGCGTCTGGAGCAACGTCTTTTTCTCGATTGCCTTGCGACTATTTGACTCAGAATTCTCATCTTCAATCTTCTCGAACCCATCCGCAGCTAAGGTTTCTAGGTCTCGCTCGCTAAGACAAACCTCGAAATCACTGCTGAGCGATGTCCTGAGCTTCCGCAACTGCCCGGTGTAGGGAGTCAAAAGGGCAATATCCGTGCTCTTATACTCTCCCTGCCGAACAAGATGCCGAACAAGAGCAGTAGCCATGTCGACCTCCCACTGGTTGCTATGGGATTTCACCCGGCTGCCGTCATCTCTCGAATCTTCATCATATCGATGATTCAACCAAAAGAGGTTGTTCCGCATTCCAACAACATTTGGTAGAGTTGTCACACTTTCATGATCATTGAGTTTGGGATATACACTTCTGATGAGTTGGGAGATTTCAGGTCTCATTCTTCGTTGTACATTCAGCTGGGCAATAGGGGCAGGCTTAAGACCTGGCTCACCGACAGCGCGTCTCTCAAACTGACTTCTGTCTAGTTGCCACGCCTTTCCTGTGGATGTTTCAAGACTGAGTGAATGATTTTGGATCTGTGGTCGCAGCTGTCGATGATCTCCAATCTGAATGAAGTGCTCAACACCTGGCATAAGAGCTGAGATGACGTGGGCTTCCATCACCTCAGCTGCTTCCTCGCATATGATAACTTTTGTTCCTATACGGCGAAGGGTCTTGATATGGCGCGCAAGGGATGTTGTCGTGATTCCGATCACATCTGCTTGAATCAGGGCTCGGCGATTGACCTCTTCATGGACTGAATTAATGTCCTCGCGAAGGCTTGCAGCGTGATCAAGAGCCTCGAAAAGCGAGGCAGTTTCGCTTTTCTGCCACTGTTTGAACCAGCTTATTGCAAGAATCCGGCGTTCCGGTATTGAGAGACTGTGGATGTTTTCCTGAGCAGCGCGTGTGAGGCCTTCCAAGCGCACACTGTCAACTTCACTCTCTTTCTGATCTTTCGGGATTCTCATCGACTTGGCTCCAAGCCAGTTGAGCAATTTATCATCAGTGACAGTTATGAATCCTTCCAGGTCTGGTTGCTCCAACTGTCCATGTATGATAGGCCATTTACGGCGCACAAAGTGCTCCATAGCGGCCCAAGACAGGCCTTTCTGAGACTGGTGAAGGGGCTTCATTGCATATCCAGCATGCTCCATACAGTCTTCAAGTCTCCTGTATGACATGCCGAGGGTTTGTGACTCTACCCTCGTCTTCCCAATATCTTTGCTGACAACGCGAAGGTTCTTGCCTTCAAGTTCGGTGGCCTGACTGCGGCCGCCAATGCGTATGATTCTCTGGATACCTACATCAAGAAGATGCTTTAAAAACTGGTCCAAGGCATGGTTGGTATAACACCTGTAGATACTGTAAGTACGTATGCCAGAAGGCATGAAATCAGTACTCACATCACAATGATCGGGTTTAGCTTTGCCGTTCGTTTGATTTCAAGCAGAGCCTGAACAACTTTAACACCCAAATAGGACTTTCCGGTGCCCGGTGGGCCTTGGATGAGGGCATACTCTCGTGTGAGAGCTGCGATAAGTCCCTGACATTGGCCATAATCGAGACCGGTTTGAGTTTGCAGCTTCAAGGTGTCAATAGAGCCAGGGTTTCTTGGGTCCAATGCAACATTATCAGGCGTAAGGGTCGTGATCGAGGTCAAGGGAAATATAAATCCCGGTTTCCGCGCATATGCCGGTGGGGGTATGTCGTAATCAGCTTCGTCGCCCTTACGGGCTGGCAAGATCCATTTTCGGAATGCCAAATCCCCTTCGCCTTGGATTCGCTGAAGGTTTTCCAGGATAGGAACGAATGTGGCAGGGATCAATCCATGGAATTCGACTAGGATACCGGTGAGCTTCTCGCTGTAAAGCTGGCCCAGGAAGATCAATTCCTCTTGTCGGCATGCCGCAAGCTTGACCGTAACACTAGGTGGAAATTTATCTGAAACAAGATTACTTTTTTTCTGGTGCGCTCGATCCTTGGAAGCATTTTTTACAGTGACCTCGAGGAAGATAAGCCTTCTGTGAGTTCCTTGAGGCGCTAAGAAGCAGACTAGACTTCCTTCCTCAAGTCGACTGGATTCTTGCCACCATCTGCATTGCTCTTTGTGGGACTTTTTGCGGAGTTGTGGAGGAGTAGAAAAGGATACTGTCGCTTCGAGCTCTCTTCTGTCATTGATAAACATGTGCTGGACCTGTGCTGCCAGATAGAGATGTGCCCCGCTATCCTTGCCTGAGAGGTAAGGACTCCGTGTTGAGTCGCTCTGCTGCAGCAGATCTCTAAGGACATCTTTGGCTGAGCCGAATATGTCATGGCGCAGGAGTCGGAACGTTGAGTCTATGTATCTTTGCAAATGGTCGGCGAGAAAGTGAGGCTGGTGGAAGTTGGTAGAGGGCAGATATTCTGAATCGCCGCTGACAATCTCTCCATGGATAGGAAGGATTTGAATTTGAGATATGTCTGCGAGGTCGTTGTCGTGTCTCCCGCCAGGTATTTGCATCTCCACTGGAAAAGACGACAGGACTGAGCTAGTCTTCTGGGGATTCTCCTCATGCGCCCTAGGTGTAGTAAGACTGCGGTTTGCGCTAGTTATCAGGCTCTGCATGACTTCTATTTTGCTTTCAAGTCCGTCACGGTCAGCTTTCGAGCATTTATCAGTCATTTTGGCGCCCAGTTTGCGGGCTTGGTCGAGCAGTGCGGGAAGTTCATCATGGAATCGAGCGTTTCGAACCCTTGACAAGAGCTGGTAAAGTGTATTCAACAGCAACTTTATCATATCTAGGGAGAAAACCGGTGCAATCTCGTTGTTTTCTTCACCTTGACTCATCAGGTTCAGACAGACACCTCTCAGATATCTTATTGCTCGATCTCCGTTCGTGCCGCCGAAGTATGTGTACAGAGTGCCAACAAATGAATCAATAGAAAGACAATCCAGGAGAGAGATATGGGTAATGACTTTGAGGAATGGCTCATCATATGATGGCATAGGTCTCAGTTCCTCGGAATTGTCTGCATCGGCAGTTGCTAGGATGAAGTCAAATCCATGAAGTTTGTCATCCACAAGATCTTTGGCGAGGAATTGATGATTTTCTCTGCTGTCGCTTTCAAGGATTTCAAGAGCACCGTTCCAGAATTGAACGAGCTCCTCATGCTCCCTTCGATAATATCCAGAATGTGATATCCCGCTTCTCAGGAGTGTCTTCCAGTCAAAGTATTGATTCTGAGCGTCTGGATCACTGGATGTAGGACGGTATGCGGCTGGATTTAATTTGGATTTGGCAGCCTCGTTCACATCGTGCGAGAATTTGCACTTCTCACCGTAGTAGCATCTGCCACGCTGAAAATGAGTACAGGGTTTTTCCGGCTCATTGTGCTTTCTGGAGCTGTTGGATCCTCTTCGGTTGCTCATATTACCCCGAGATCGCCGATATCCGTGGTGGGTCATCGTGAAAGGAGATAGAAGTAAATCGAACTGTAGAAGATCTAGGTCTGGTGATATTTGAAGCTCTATGTGCCTTTCTAGCTCAAAAAGTTGTATGGATGTAGGACTATCGTTGAAAAAATAAGTGAGTTCCCGATGGATGTGACTTTGTACAGAATGGAAAGTAATATAGGATACAGCAAACGGGCATTCTGTTTATTAAGAGAGGCGTAACACTGCATCGTACTTTGCAAACGTTTGATAACCGGACAATAACCAACAGTAGAACAGGGTTGCTGTTGTTGGTTAGGCGTTTTCCATAGTATCACTTCCGTCCGCAGCAAACAAATTTGCCTCGCAGCTGTTTGTCACAAGGATTACTGGAAAACCAGATAGTTTGTATGATTTTGAGATTCTATCGATGCAGATTTGACTTAGCGTAATCTACATCGAAAGCGCTATTGTGCGAAAAGAAAGTGCCCATATTGCATGCCTCAACATACGTGTCGGCACAGATCACACACATTGATATTGGTTAGCTGCGCATAGGAAGATGATATTGAGGCATTCATGCACGTTCTTGTGATGCCCTGGCTTTTCCTTACTCGACTTGCGCATATGAGTGGCCTATAGCTGTCAACCCCAAGTCCCTTTACATTCGCAAAGCCACATACCGCAGCTCCAGGCAGGCGAGGAGAACGGTCAGCTACGCGCCATGCACGGGGCGTTTCAATCGTGGCTTCATCCACGGCGAATCAATTTGACAAGGGTACCAAGTTATTTTCGCCGTTGGATGCAAACGGCGAGGCGGAGCCGCTTCAGTTACATAGGTCATAATATTTAGACAACTGAGTCTGGTAATTCCATCAGTCTAGAGGGACGGAGAGAAGGATCTTCCCAGATAGGCTAGGTGCGGTTGGTAGCGCATCGCTTTCTATCCATTTTGAGAAAATAGAATTAACCGCTTTGAAGAGTGATGGAAGAAGGGTAGAAGAAAATTGATTCAATGAGGGGTTTTCGCCATTACAGATTCACCCTTGTTAACTGCAGGCAGATGCATGGATTGGACCAAGAAGATTCCCCTAAAATCCTCTTGGCACGACGAAATGCGACCTTGTTATCTCGTCTTGAGTCTGTGGCGGCCTCGTTTCTTCTATTTGGATATCTCATGGGTCTGGGGTTCTTGCCAGGGAAATGCATAATTGGTCGACGTGGCGCCCAAAATTCACACTAATCAACCCACAGCCTCACTTCTGGAGCCTAACCTACCCCTCTCCTTCATTCGCCAGAAAGACCCCACCCACAAACATCAGCCTCATGACCATACTGCAGTCATTATATTGTTTACCAACATCATTGTTGGCGCATAATCTGATGGACATAGCAGCGTTTGCATGTTTGCTTATCCGTTGTTTGTCACTCCTCCATAGCTATAGATAACGAGCCTTTTTCCTCAGAGATCTCAAAATATCATACCATTCTGCATCACTCACATAATGAGTTCACATCATGATTGTGGTCTCAAACAATCGATAAGCCCCGCATAAACTGCTTTCCAAACATCAACAGCATATATAAGGATTCGACTAAAGACAATTCATGATTGACTAGACAACTACCTTCTACAATTTCTTTAGCCACTTTAGCATACCATGCATTTTCTCAATGCTCCTATAACTCCGGCATACTGATGTCGACTCGAAAGATGTAGTGAGCTGGACATGGCTTTTATAGGCTGTAGGGTTTGTAAAGAGGGTATCATTAAAGCTCTTACTCTTAGATTGCTCTGATCTCGAGCTAAAGGAGCAGGATTACATAATACTAAGCTATACTTTTTAGACATAAGGCTACTACTTAGGAAGGGCATAAACATTTATTATAATATAGATAGTAGTGAGACGACCTTCTAACGAGTGCCCTGAGTTTAGAAAGAAAGATCGTAACTTCTGTACGATGAGCAGTAATGTAAACTACTATTTACTTTCATTTAGATGATATTGATATAATTACTCATAAACCTACTGAGATATTTGTATTATTTTATAACAGCCGACCCAACCCCTTTAAGGGGGTTGGGTCGCACTGACTGGGTCAATAAGTAATTAACGGGCAGTGAGATTCTTTCCCTCAAAAGTGAAAATTTGGACGTTGGAAACTTCGTTATCTGTAAATTTCTTCAGTACTTCATCGATGCATCTGAATATATGGAGTGAGTGAACATATGTTGGCGGTTGCTTTACTTGCTGCCCAACAATTTCCATGTTTTTCGGATCAATCTCAGGGGGCTCTGAAAGCGGTTCTGGAAGCCCATCCTCTGGTCTCGTCCATTACCAACATTAGTGCTGCACCCGCAGCCGAGATTGAAACGTCCACTCACCCCACTGTCACAGTCACCACCGCTGCCGGTCAGTTACTGGAAGCTGGCAAGGCTGATTGAGCTTTTCTCATCGGCGGTACTGGGCTTAGCGTTACTACCTCTACCAAAAAAAAAGGTCCCTAGCGTTCGAGCTGTGACTGCCCACGACTTCCTCTCGGCTGAGCGTGCTATTCTCTCTCCCACGATGCCGTGGCTCTCTGCTTTGAACATTGTATCATCAGTCTTGATCTTGCAAAGAACCTCGCTCTCGAATGGCTGAGCTACAGGTTTGACCCAAACTGCGCATCCAGCTCCAAAATCCTGGCCATTAATGACGTTGAGGCGAAATATATCCAAAGATTTACCATTCCCAGCTGCTGCTTGCGGCTGTGCCAGTCAAAATTTGGCGAGCGTTGTCTTGGCTCTGTGAATAGCGAAGTACTATCATGAGCGAAAATCAATCTGGTGCCATCAAAGATTTGCTCTTCTCTATCAGCTTTCGCCTTTACTAATACAATTTAAACCATGATAGGTAAATAAGTTGAGTGCCCAATAGTGCTGGATACTGTAGTATTGAAATTGTTGATTAAGGTTCGTAAGTTTCCATAATCCGTAAACAGTGCAGGGCGTGTAGGCGTATGGAGCCTCGCACGAGGTGTAAGAGAGTATATGTGAGCACAAGCTGTGCTCGTTGGTGGAACTTTTTATTCTGTCATTCCGGAGGGCTAAGATATGTTTTTGAAATCCATCAGTCAGTCGGTTCGTAGATGAATAATCAGTAATCCACGTTGTGCGGCTTTATTGTGTGGTCACTGCGGACTTAATCCCCTACCGCCGTGCCAAGCTATCAGGCAGTGTTAGCAGGCCTCCACGTGCGGGTGCGGGGGAGAGCGGCGGGCTCATCAGCCCCCACTATCGACGTGTTGTATTAGCTAGTACTTCTATTGTTTTATCTGCAGCTTATACTACATTTAGGTATAATAGAATAGCTTTTGGTCTATTTTGGCTGGCTACGCCCCATGTAACTCCTTCGCTCTTGATGCTACTATCTCCGAGCAAATCAAGCCTGAGATTCCGACGGAATTAAGTCGGACATAAGTCTAGAATGTGCATGTTCTTTGTCAGAGCTTTTCAAACACAATCAGCTATGACAACGTTGAGGTGGAGAGAACCCCAGAAAACTACGGCTCTCGAGACGGGATCTGAATTGCATAATGACCGGCCGCTCCCTGTTCCAGATGAGAATAGCTAGACATTTACCACTATCTCACGAGCCTGAATACCTCGAACGCCTCAGTCAACCATAATAACAGCGATTAACACATTTCCAACAATAGGCCCAACCATCATGCCCAAGTACGCCAAAGATCAGTCTGTCGACTTCAAAAATACCATTGAGAGAGTCGCTATTGTCGGCGTAAGTAAATTCCTCAACAACAACAACACCACCACGCATACAACAAAGCTAAGATTCATACTTAGGCTGGAGGCACCATTGGATTGCATATTACCAACGCCCTTCTAGAGACTGGAAGACACACAATTACGGCTCTCTCGCGCAAAAGTAGCGGTAAAAAACTCCCCGAGGGCGTCTTGGTCGCCTCAGTCGACTACGATGATGAAGCTACAGTTGTTGCCGCCCTGAAGGGCCAGCAAATTTTGATCATAACCATGGCCACCACCGCGCCCAGAGATACCCACAGCAAGCTTGTCCAGGCGGCCGCTAAGGCTGGTATTCCCTACGTCATGCCCAATGGATATGGCGCCGACATTGAAAACATCAAACTTGGGGAAGACACAATGCTGGGACCCAAGGCCAAAGCCAATAGGGACGAAATTGAGAGCCTCGGCATGCAGTGGATCACCGTGTGCTGTGGGTTCTGGTACGACTACAGCTTGGCGGGCGGGGAGACGCGTTTTGGGTTCGACTTTGACAAGCGTTCTCTGACAATCTATGACGACGGAAACATCAAGAACTCGGTGTCGACGTTGGCGCAGGTCGGGCGCGCCGTGGCCAAGGTCTTAAGCCTCAATGAGCTTCCCGTGGATGAAAAAGATACCAATTTCACCCTGTCGATGTTCCTCAACAAGAGCGTGTATCTTAAGAGCTTTGTGCTCAGCCAAAACGACATGTTTGAAAGCGTCAAGCGTGTCACCGGTACCACCGATGCCGACTGGACGATTACCCACGAGGATACTAAGAAGCGATACGAGGAGGGTCTGGCGGAAATGAAAGCGGGCAACATGGCTGCGTTTGGAAAGCTGCTGTACGCAAGGGCGTTTTACCCGGACGATAACAATGACCTCTCGGCCAAGGCGCATAATGAGCTGCTCGAATTGCCGGAGGAGAGTCTGGATGAGTCTACCAAGGCCGGGATAGATTTGGTCGAGGTGCTGCAGCGTCGTGTTGAACGTATAGCGGCCTAGAAAACAGCATATATCTCCACCTTACATGTAACATTGTTTGATTGCAACTAGTCTTGCCTTGTGTCCTCGAGAATGGGAAAATACACAGTTGATTCCGAGAAGGCTCTCGAGTGTTACATGCTTCGTTTACCCAATCAGGAATAATAGTGAGCATCTCCATCGAACGCCATAAATTACAAAGGAGGCAAACATAATGATTATCTACCTAGTATCTGTTAAACCCGGATTCGTTGGAGCAAAATACATCCTCATTTTGCAAGTGAATAATTCAAAAGTGACCATCTTGTAACTCTATCTTAATAGCTGTGATGATCAAAGTGATGTAACAAATAGTATAAAGCAAAGTGCTTCGTGAATTATATAATACCGGCTATCAAGATGAGCGGACTCCTTGTTTACTTATAGAACTAGGTTCCATTTAGACTGAACATCTTGTGAACTCTCGGCTGGAATCCACAAAGTTGAGGACGTACTGGACCGCGATACCGTAGAAGGCCGTGAGAGTACCTTTAACTCTGCTGACTCGGATGACTCGGGTGACGAGAATTACTTCCCTGATAACTGGAAGATCAGTGGCTGTATTGGGCGCAGCGGGTGATGAGTTCCCGTGAGGCAAAGCCAGGAATACCTGATAACGACCCGGCACTTTTCTCTCTAGGCTTCTCTAAATGGGACCAAAGAGAGAGCCTAGGTTTCTCGGAAGGACAAAACCAACAAGCGCAGGCTCGCCCAAGGCTGGGGGTTTGAGAAACAGATTTCCGGCTACCTCTCCAATAACCATGGTTTGTGGCCCATAAGGCCAATTAAAGTCTCGAAGGTGATCATCGTTGCAAGAGTTGTATACAGCAGGATGGCATGTTTGTCCCGTGCGTTCTTGTCCCAGAGCAGAATTACTGCGCCTTTGTCTCTGGGCCGATTAGCTATCTGGCAAAGGTATCAATATATGCGAGAGTACTCGAGGCCGGAACCCGTCAGACAACAAGACGGCAGAATATGCGGGACCGCGGAGTACTCCTGCGGACCATTCGTTGACAATGACGGTATTACTGGGTTTCCTATCTCAAACGAATTATTCTCAGACTGAAGAAACTTACTAGGTCGCTGTCTTCGCGAAGAATCGATCCCCAATCATAAATTAGATGACACAGTCTTGTTCCTAGAGGAAGGGGAGAGGAACTGATACTGGGTCTCGTTGAGGGAATGGTTGACTGGCATCCATATGTGAGAAAAACGGCAGGTAAATTGTTGGAGCATCCTTTTCTTCAAGTAAAGCAAACAAGCACCTGGTTTCTGTTAGCGACTGCTCGCGGACTGACTCTAAATTGCGATTGATTCTAGTCCGATCAGAGTGTCGGTTGAAGCGTTACCATAGTTATACTTGGAAATCACACCTAACTAATAGCTTCGGTTGATCTGGTTTCGATCGGAAAGTCATATTTCTATACATTAAATAGGACTGCCTCAAGCCATCTGTTCATTTACATATTGCATCAGGGTCATCATTTTACAAAATCCTGTCGATGCGGGTGGTGTGTTTATTCGGCAAATGCTTATATTCACCGGCAGAAGGTACTTTTCTAAATTCTCTAGAGCTGTATGCAAGGTTGCGACCCGTCGGATCCCGTGAAAATGCACTATTGGCTCTATGGTTCTTCCTATGGTATCGCCATGCCAGTCAGCTGAGCGGCAGCTGCAAAGTCTTCGTACTTGTTCTAAATTTACTATCGAAAGATTACCATTCTCGGCTTCTCCGTTCAAGAAAAGGCAATGACCAATGAAAGTGACCCTAGTAAAACAGATGCTAAGGGTCGCTAAGGCGAGGGGCGTCTTGAACCTCCATCTTTGAGATGCGCTTCTCAACATAAGCCGGTTTCTTTCTCAATCTCCAGAAATTCAGCACTGCGCGCTCCAATGTCTATTTTTATCGGCTTATTAGCACGGTCCTTGCCAACTTGTAGCAAGAATATATTGTTCGACGTGGTTCTCGCTAATTCCTTTCACGTATCACTTTATTTTTGCGTAAAACAACGGATCACTCTTTCATATTCAACAAGATGTATACTTTGAGAAGCTTACCATTTTATATGCGATAGATTGGGAGATGTGCGAATTTGTGACCGAGCTCCCATCTGTTATTCATTCGATTATTCAGAGAAAAGTGGCAGTGACAAAATTCTGTCAACCCATTTCCCTATTGAAGCTAGATCGCGCGAGCCAAGATAGCCAAGATATGCTTGTAAGCTTTTCATCATCCCACGATGTCACTCTGTGGAGGCTTGCTGGACCTTTCAACTCGTTACAGTCTGGCTACATCTGCATGAACTGCATGATTGCGGGGGCTAGCGGGGCAGACTTCATTTGCCGTGAATCCAATGGCAAAATCAACTTGAGTATTCCAAAATCCAACTATTGCCGAATAGAGACATTATGGCCGCGGGAAGGCGCCATGGTGAGATCAATGCTCGAGATTTTGTCATTATTCCGCCGACTTATGTCCTTCGCTTCATCGAACATGGAGTAAGCCGGAAAAGTGACTAGCTTGGTACCCCTCAACATGACTTGACAGGAGATGGCGGTCTCACTACTAATGTTGCAAGGCAAATAGACCAATTGTCTTATAAAAGCAGCCAACCCAAGCATCCAAAGTTCTCGGAACCATAAAATCCTTCTTTATTGCCCAGGCTTCAGTGAAATTTTCTTGTCGCAAGTCAAAATGCTTTGCAAATTCGCATCAATTGCCGTGGTCCTGGCTCTTGGAATCTCAACCCAGGCCACCCAGACTTTCAGTAACACGGGAACAACCTCAGGCTGGGACGCCACCAATGCCGAGCACTCTGGTACCGTCCAGCAAGTGACGAATGTAGTGTACAAAGGTACAACCGCGTTGAAAATGACCCAAGTCTACGACTCCAGCTACACCGGTCGCTACCATTCCGAGGTTGTCAAAAACTCAGTCTACAAGCGTGGCGATACCGGTTTCTACGGCTTCGCCTTCCGCCTCCAAGAAGACTGGCAGTTCTCGCCAGCCCAAAGCTACAACATTGCTCAATTCATCGCCGACTTTAGCGACACCGGCTGTGACGATTGGATGCCATCCAGCATGGTGTGGCTTGTGGGAAACCAGCTATACTCACGCGTCAAGCAAGGAACTATCTGCGCCCAGAAAATTCAAACTTTCTCTAACCTGGCTACCGTCTCTGCGGGCGTGTGGCACCGTGTCGAAATTCAGGCTAGCTGGAAGACGGATGGTACTGGATATTATAAGATTTGGTTTGATGGGGTTAAGGTGCTTGAGGAGTATAACATCAATACAACAATTGAAGATGACCGAGCGTTCCAATTCCGTGCTGGTCTTTATGCGAATGGCTGGCACGATGATGGAACTTTGAAGGGGACACAGGGCACGCGCCAGGTGTGGTATGATCAGATCTCGTCAGGATCTGTTTTTGCCGATGCCGACCCTGCTCAGTGGTAGATTGGCTCTTTCGTGGCCATTTAAAGGGAGATCATCGTGCAGGGCTGAGCAATGGGAAGAAGTTCATGTTGCCGGAGCAGTTGTGAATGTAGATGTGTGACCAATTCGATTTCACGATCAAGCTACTACAGATAATTACAATATACAGACGCGGAGAGAGGAATAAAAATGACAGTTGATAGCTCATTTTGAAGGCTTGAATGTCTATAGTCTTGGGGGAGACCTGGACTAGTGTTAAATAAGCCCCGATATAAAAGGGCAAAAGTTACATTGCGTCTAGATAGTCAGCCGACATTGTAAAGTATGTCCTTGCTGCACATATTCAGTAAGTTTTCCTATTGGTCTTTTTTCAAGTCTTCCTTTGCATTGTTTGGACCCTCCTTCTACCCCTCGTGCTGATGGCGAAAACATATCGATTACCATATATGAAATGGTTTTAGCAGAAGCCTTCTGATGTATATCACCATGCGGGGCTTTTATTGGCGTCGTAGTGTGCCAAGGCACTACAAAAGAGCTGGAACATGGTAGCGATGTAGAAACATTCGAGATTTCCCTTTGCGATGGGACATTTCTCATCTATCATAACTTTGAAAATTTCACAGACACCTGTGATTGGTGGAATATCTTGTATAATAGAGTTCCTGAACCTTCGCCAAATGCGACCCGGTGTATGCAGCCAAGGATCAGAGATAGTATGGTCAAATAATTAAGATACTCCATGAGAAGAGTTCAATGCAATTGATATCGAAATAGTAAGATGGTTTGGTTATCAGTAGTTTCAGTGCATTCGAAGCGTTATGTATGTACATAATTCAATTGAGATGTTATGTTACAATTTCTAGCTATTGCAGCTTGGGACACTCTAAATTAATTTATACGAAAAGAACAAGGAAAAACCACCAACAAACTTCAACCACTTCGAGCGCAAAACAGACGCGGAACCAGTGTATACAACAGTTGATGTGGAGGCAACGGTGTTGTATGTCCGAGTGGATGTAGATAAAACCGTAGCGGAGTTCTTCTGGGAAGTCAAAGTTGAACTACCAGCGACTGAAGGGAGAAGGTGGATGAAAGTAGGCGTAGAGCCGGCAGGTCCATCATGAATCAGTGCACTGGTGGTTGGGAGGACAAAATCGGATATATCAGCTGCTTTGAGGTACGGGGACTCTGTGGCTTGGGCTAAAGCGTCGGCATCGAGATCGACATTAACATCTACAGATGACAATGGCGTTGAAGCTTTCATCGCGGTGGAAGCCAGAGCTGGAGTTTCACTTGCAGTAGAGCTAACATGGACAGATGATGGGTTTGACGGGGCAAAAGCTGTCGGCTCACTCGGACCAGCCACTGCGCTCTCTGTGACGACGTTTCTCACGTTGCTTATGGGGATGAGCGTAATAGTCTTGGTTGAAACAGCTGAACTGCCCGTACTCGAAGAACCTTCAGCTAAGGGTACTGAATAGGCAGTAGTTCCTGCAACAAGAGTCTCAGTAGTCGTATATGTGTGTTTCTGAGAAGCAGGGCAATCCGTCACAGTAGATGGGCAACCAGTGATGGTCTTGGTGACGGTAGTCAGAAGACTTTCCGTGGTCATCGCTCCAGTGGTGGGGCTTTGTTCTGTCATAACGGAAGCAGTGGCAGTAATAGGACAGATGGTAGTAGAAAGAAGAATGGTCTCTGTTGTCATGGAAGGGGTTTTGGAAGAAGCGGGGCAATCGAGCACGTTTGAAGGACAAGCTACGATTGTAGCAGTGCGGGTACTGAAGACGGTCGAGGTTGTGTACATCACAATATCAGTGCCGACGCTATCAGTGATATTTGATGCAGAAGGGAGGCTTGATGCTATAGTAATTCCATATTGCGAAACAGTCAAAGATTCACTGACAAAGAGATTCCCTGCTGCTTCGGTGGAAGGGACTGAAGTAGCAGTCGTCGCGACTTCTGTGGCAGTGACCGGGCAGATGGTCGTTGATACAATGATGGTTTCGGTAGTGATGGAGGTGGTCTTAGAGGAGGCAGGACAGTCTAGCACACTTGAGGGGCAAGCTGTGATTGTGGTGGTGCGCGTGCTGAAGATGGTTGATGTTGTAAATGACGGGGTCGAAGCGTCGGAGTCGTTTGCAGGTTGTGTCCCGGGCGTCGAAGGAGTAGTCGTAGGTAAGGTCTGTATCTCCGCAGTAGAGCCAGATGAGCTTTCTATGATTCCAACTGTGCCAGTGGTAGACCCTAAAGTATTTGCGGTACTGGATTTAGGAAATTCTGCGGCAGCGGGTAGTGAGGAAGGGCCTGAGATATTATTGACGTCGGCTTTGCTTGAGACAGTAGTGGTGGCGATGATTGTACTTAGGGCCGATGGTGTACCGTAGACTGAAGAAGTGTCATGGCTCGAGGTTGACGGTAGTGGGTCCTTGATAGATAGTGATGTGGACTTGGGAGAGGTAGGAGCCGATGATGAAGAATCAAGTGACTGCGATCTTGAAATCCCCGACGTAGAAGGCAGTGGCGTTCTTGTAGAGACGGGGCTTCCACTCTGAGCAGTAAAGACAAAAGAAGGCACAGATGTTTGACCCGACAGGCTGGGAGCTGACAAGGAAGACGAAGTCAATGAGTTCATTGACGACAGAGGCGTGGACGATGGGCGCTGCATCGCAATTCTCGAAATTGAAGACAATGGCTTTCTCGTAGGAACTGTCGTGGTCTTGGTGGGTGAGCTAGCCGATACATGGGACTGAGATAGCACTGTCGATGACAAATGTAATGGCGATGCCAGCGAAGACACTGCATGTGCTGAAGATAACTGTCGTGTCAAAGATGAAACACTTGAAGACGGCACAGCCCGCGATGGACTCGCAGCAGGTGTACTGGAAGGGATTTGGGAAGAGGCCACGGCCGATGGTATGGCTACTGAGCTGCTAGCTGAAGCTATCGGTGTATTGACAGGAGTTGAACTAGAAGCCATAGTAACGGTTGAGGTATAAGTAGACTTTGTGCAAGTCTCAATTTCAACATTATCGTTGCTGAATTGCACATTGTCAAGCGAGAGTTGGGGCGCAGCCTGAGGAATGCGAGAATTTCCATCACACACCACCAAGATATATAGGTCAAGACTTGTGCTGGTAGGTGCGTAGGTAGTAGACAGCGTATTCCATGCTGTGGAATAGGGGGTAGACGATGATCCCGAGTATCTAACGTATGCCATGGCGGTTGTCGTGATGCGATTGTCTGCAGTAATACCGTCTATGGAAAAATATAAAGCGCAATATCCGGCGTTCACAGCTACCAGTTTGTAATCAAATGACAAGGTGTATGTCTCTCCTACAACGAGGTCCGTCAAGCTTTGATAAAGTACGCGAAATCCTGATGTATTCGGGGCCATTGATCTGTTTGCTCCAAATTTGGGTCAGCAAAAAGTCCTAATAGGCTCGATCCATTGAAAATATGAGGAGGGCTGCTCACGCAACATATTGGCCGGCGTCAGAACTGTCAGCCGCGATGCTGACAGTGCCGTAATTATTGTAGACAGCCCAGGGAGACAGGGATCCGAGTTCGAAAGACGGGTTTTGTACAACATTATGACTCCATGAACATTTCACATCAGTTCCTGTAATGACAGTAGTCTCCGCAGCCGCATTGAATGGCAGTAGGAGGAGCAAGAAAGAGATAGGGAGAGGATGCCGCATCATGTTCGAAGCGGCATAGACCCAAGGAGGTCACTAAAGCAAATTAAAGAGTGTAGTAGGGATTAATCGACGAAAGGAAAAGCATGAATCATTTGATTGTTATAAATTTTCGGATATGGTAATTTTCTATCATATCATCACCACGTTACGAGATCTTGTGTTTGTGGGCTAACTTCAGGTTCTCCTCAGTCAAACCCAGGAAATATTGGCGATACCTCCACTCAACGCGTCACTAGTACTATAAGACAAGCGAATAATACTGTTTCGGTTCAAGGACGGCGGCATCGCCGACAAAGAGATGTGCTTGCATAGCGGTTAGTTTAGCCGAGTGTGGAAGCTTAACTGTTTTCGGGGTTTTTTCGGAGGAGATCAGGGGTAAAGCCGATCCAACACACACCGTTGACTTTGTCAACATACACCTTTCGAGTCAACACCTCATTCCATACATGAAGTCTATCGGGCTAAATCAATATCATTCATAGCCTCAATGGTAATAGATGCGATTATCTGGACTAGTATTTCCCAGTTGGTTGTGTATCGTACGTTAAAAGGCCCATATTCTTACATCTGCAGAAAACTCTCATCCGGTTCGGGGACCGGCATTCGGATGCGGCTACGGAGGTGTATAGATCGTAGAGTCAAATGCATAAATTAATGTTGGCTAGTGCCTTAATCTTAATCTAGCCTTAAAGATTTCCCAGATTTTCTTCAATTATCTCTCACTTCTGATTTAGAATTGCTTTAATTGAGAGAATTATGTATCCCTAATTACACAGTCATGGATTCCAAGCCATTTTAATCTTGTTGTATAAGCCAAAGTATAGCGACGAAGAGCGAGTAATCCTTGCACTTTAAGGGTCAGTGACTCGACTGATTCCATGGTTGGTCTAAGGCACCAACTCTAGATAGGTAGTCAGTACTTGCATTTTAGGTAACTTTGTATAAGATTAACAAGTACCTATACGTTTCTAGACATTACCAAAAATTGAGCCCTTTGATACGCGGCAAAAGATTCCCTTTCTCGGTGGTGATTGCCCTCATGGACCTGACATTGTCCGTTCTGCTCAATCCACCTGTAATTTCAATCCTTGTCATTCTCGACATGGATTTCTCTCTCAAAGTCGCGGTAGCACTCATGCAACAGTTCCTTTTTCATTTTGCTCGTGTGGGAAATCTCGAGGACTTGGTCAAAGCTGAGAAAGACGCCCACCGACCGAAATCTATATTAGTCCAAGTATCCTCACTCTGCCTTACTGAAGTTAAGACTATATTTTGAGCTCAGATTCATTGCTAAATTGCTAATGATGAGCAACTCCGGAGTTTTCCTTCTATGGATTTGCCAAAAAATCTCAGTAAGTTAACTCAATACGCATGCAAAATATTGAAACGAGTTAACTCTAGCTAGTGGATATGCTTCGCAAAATCCAGAACGCCGTGGCTAGGCCAAGTAAGTGAGGCGGACACCCGCATGACCGTCGGTACCCTTCTTGTCTTCGCACATGGGATCGCTAACTCTACCCTCCGCGACTAGGAGGTCAACAAAATCAGAATTCAAGAAGAAAAGACGTGGAAGCACAGCTCCGTGAAGCGTTTTGGCGAGAAATATATACTCTTGGTACGCCCGGGCTATGGTACTTGGTGTAGCGATCCGGACGACGTTACCCTGAGCCTCCAGGTAGTCGAGGCTAAGCGTGCGGACTCGTTTTCCGATGTTCTGCCCTGAGCTCTCGCATACACGGGTAAGTACGGGGCGACACGTTACTATGATGGAACAGGATGCTGGATTGTTGAAAGCTTGATGGACGAGTAGATGCTAGATCAAAATAAACTCACCCCACTCACTATGGTTCGTTCCGCTGATATGATCCTTTCGGAGGCAAAGCTGTTCTCAGGATTGGCCAAATACAACAATGCCCCACTCCTCCTTTTTATATTTTGCCATGGACTACCGAATCATCACAAGAAGCAGACTTCCGCCTCTGTAACAGATACGTCTCACGGGACTCGATTACGGAAATAAAATTCTCGTCGATATGATAGCAAGCCCATCGCCTTAATGAGCCCTGCATGCCTTTGCGTGTGCGATTGAACTTTATCTGTGCAGCGGACGGTGGGAAAGAAAAGAAGCCTGATTTGATAACATCGACCTCAGTAAAAGCTACACAGCAATGAATAAACATAGGTTCAAGACACTCAATTATAATACAGGATATGGTTGGTCACAAAATTTCTGAACACATGTACAAATATCGTCAGAACTAATGTTCAAAATTTTCTTCTTCCTCAATAGGAAATAGTCGCAACTTGTTCAGCTTCTCTTGCTGTTTCAGTTGTTGCAGTTGCTGTTCAAGAGCATCGTTGCCCTGAAGCAATTTTTCAATCCATAATGCAGCTTCTTGAAGAACATATTTCCTTGTGTAAGAATGTTTCTCAAGACCCGGCACGATGTGGCACAGTTCTTTATATCGCTCTCCAATTATCTCTCTCCTCTTCTTTTCTGATCGGCAATGGCATAATTTCTGCCCGGGCTTCTGAATACATTTTCTCTTCTTTTGTCCGGGCTTATTGGCGGCCTTTGTGCAGCTCGCGCGCCGTGTGCAGACAGTGGTGTCTGGTGACGACCGCTGGACCTGACTTGATGGAGGTGATGATGATGATGACAATGAAGGTGTTTCAGATAATCTTTCGTTTTGAGGAACCATCGATGACTGAAACATCGGGAGTGAAAATCCATTCAACTGCATAGGATCTATGTGCGCTTTTTGAGGTTGTTCCTGGATATGTTCCGGGACGTCGATGCCGATGTCAACGCTGGTGCAGAAACTGGCCATATTTCGCATCAAATTTTGTACAAGTCGCTCTTCTGTCCATGTGCCGATGGGGCAGGAGAATCCGTGGTAACAGAAGCTGGGATCTGATCCCCACTGGAGGCCTTCTTCGACGGGCCATCGGTCTCGGGGTATAGGTTGATTGTCAGCTTGCCAAGGGCAGCAATGTGAAAGAGTGGCAGGATCCATGATGCGCATTTGGTTTCCGTACTCCATTTGGACTTGCAGTGAATGATCTTTCGCTGTGTTGAAATTCAGGTAGATACGCGCATGCGCGGAAATATGCAGGTTGGATGTTGATATGTAAGGCTCGTGCGTCACAAGGCTTTGTGCTTCGTCGAGATAATGCAGTATGTAAGGATGAGATTAGATTTCCCCGATTCCAGTGGATTGAAAGAAGAAAGGTCCTACGGCTGTTTAATCAAGATCCCCCATGATTAAAGAGAAGGGCTAACTACGTCAATTCCGGAATGCACCCGGGATAGAAACACTCCGGGTGCATCCCGGACCCCACAAACCATGTCTCTTCAACAAATCGGACTCGAATAAATTCCGATCACAGTTCCCAACAATCGTAACGTTGTCTGCCTAGACCTCAAAGACAGTCAAACTCAATATTAAGTTATCTCGGCTTATTGATTTTCTGACTTTTGAGGAAATTTAGGTTTCGCGGGGTATAGATTCACACGTGATTCCCCCCCGTGTGCATTCCGGGTGCATCCCGGGCCTCCGGGTCTTTTCCACTCCTTCCCCAACCATCAGACAGCAAGCCCCTTTTCGGTCACCACCCGGATTGCCAATCATACTGTGCAAGGACACTGGAGTGTGGGTCATTATTATCATATACAACGTATCATCGTGTCCTTGTGGCTGATAGGACAAAGCGCGGTTCAGCAGATGCCTCCGAAAGGCGGGATCTCTAAGCGAGAGACACCTCGTCGGCGCAAAATCGCTTTGGCTTGTGAATCTTGTCGAGACAAAAAGGTCCGGTGCGATGGCGAAAAGCCGATTTGTGGACCATGTGCTCGTCGCTCGTATACCGTTCAGCAGTGTGTATACAAGCTTGATAATGCGAGGTCTGCCAGCAATGATGAGTACTTGAAGATTCTCCATGCGCGCATTCGAGAATTAGAGGAAACATGTGTAAAGGGGGGTGTTGCTGTACCGCCTGAGTCATCGCAACATGGAGATTACAGGGCATCAGAGAGTCAAATGGACGAAGATGTGCATCTGGATCCTCTGGATACAGAATCACGGACCTCTGCTGCAGCAGAAGGATTACTTGGCTTGGGTTCGACCCCTGCTTTATCAGGCCCAAGTCCTATGTCAACGAACTCTACTTTCCAACCACCCAAGCTCCCAGCACAAAGGAACATATCCGAAGCGGAAGAGACCTACCGCACTCCGCGCGCCTCTCATTCATCTCCCGACGCTGCGCGGCCCAGAGCAGGAAGTATCTACCCTTCACCATCTCTTAACTCGCATGGAAATGTCACTGCTATGGGTGCCATCTCTGTTGCAGAAGACGACCAAGGCACAGACTCTCCGCGAGAGCAACAATACTACGGCAATTCTTCAGTGGCTTCCTTTATGCGTCTGGCAGGGGAGTCGATGCCTTTGCAGTCATATATGGCCGCCCTACGCGAGAGTAAGAATGAACCTTCCAGAGCCCAAGGCCCTGAAACCGGTCTCTGGCGAGATCTAGGCCATCCCTCCGTGGATCTTCGATTCGACGACTTTTCTCTACCACCTCGATCGCTGGCAGACCACCTGCTCGAATGCTACTGGGACAGAGTCCACTGTCTATTTCCATTTTTCCACCGTCCAAGTTTCGAGCAGGCATACGAAAACCTCTGGGGGTCGAATAAATCACCCAAACCTGAACTGCCTCAGCTCAACATTGGACTTGGTGGAGCTTACGATTGTGGTCCAAATTCTATGGTCTTTCATTGCGCACTTAACTGCATTTTTGCGCTCGGGTGCCATTTCTCTGATATCCCACCTGCTGAGCGAGAAGCAGCAGTTTACTCCTTCTTCTTGCGCGCAAAGCGCTTCGTCAACCTTGACCTTCTGGACATAGGTACTATTGGGGTGGTTCAGACACTTCTCATTGTTTCACTTCTTCTACAAAGCACCCCTTACCCCAATCGTTGCTGGAATGCAATCGGTCTGGCGTGTCGAGCAGGCCAGGGGCTAGGATTGCACGAGACAACCACTCACGCTTCGAATAAACCACTTGAGACGGAAATTCGTCGGCGGACTTGGCATAGTTGCGTCATTATGGACATGTTCGTGCTCTTTATTGATAAAATAACCTAGTCAAATTGCTAATCAGAGTAACCAGGATTGTGAGCATGACCCACGGAAGACCGAGCATGACTTCTCATATTTCACCCGTGCCATTACCCGAGATGGGGGTTGATTCCCATGCAGCAGATCCTTGTGAGCTTAGCGGACAGCCTTGCGATCATAAAATGGGTTATATGACTTTTTACGTCTCAACTATCGAGCTGTACAAAATTCTCGAGTCTATTTTATCTGAAGTTTACAACGCCTGGCAAAGTCGATCGAATAACACTCGCACCACTTCCCCACGCGGCTCGAAGCTGTGTAGTCTTGACGTGCTGATGGAACTTGACGATAGGCTCTCTGCGTATGAATCTAATGTGCCTAAACCCCTGAACTGGACAAAAGAGCCGTTACAACGCTCGGGAAGCGGTAATATATCCATCTTCAAGCGCCAGCAAAACGTCTTGCGAGCTAGGTATTCACTCCCAATGGATCTCTCGATCACAACTTCACCTTTGCTAATGAAAACAGAGCCATACATCTTCGCCTCCTTTTATATCGCCCTATGTTCACGCAATTGTGCTCCGATGAACGGGCAAGTTCTTCGCGACGCCCTGATGTTGACCCCGCAGATAGAATCAGTGCAGCATCCACGGAGAAGAATTTGATCTACTCTTCAGTTTTCTCCAAATGTGCTGCATCTTGCGTCATGGCAGCCATAGACCTAGTCTCACTGGTCCACCAGACATATCGAACAAGTGTAACCGATGCATGGTGGTATAATGGGTTTTGTTCGTCAACTCTATCCCTAGTTGAATAATTGACTAATGCTCCATAGATACCTCGACTGCAGGGTTTATATTGATAATGTCATACTCCTGCCACTCGATACGCGAACAGGTTGATTCGCAGATCGTAGATGAGAGCTGGCGCAAGTGTGAAGAGATATTGGCTTTCATGGCCATGTTCAGTCTTTCTGCTCGCAACTCGCTGCAATTTTTACAAGTGACACACCAACATATCGCTCAAAATTACTCAAGTTTGTCTTTCTGTCTTCGGAAGTTGAATCCTCTGCTAACTTTCCTCTAGCGACTTCTCGAGCCGGTGATACTACGTCTCTTGCTGCTACGCAGATGCAACAACGGAGCAGTCAGTTCCCGACTCGAGTTGATGCTTCGTCTCAGCCTACAGAGTCAGTGTCTGAAGAACACGCTTTTCGCCAGGAGCCTAACAATATGGACATGAATCCTTTTACAACCTGGGATGAGATGGGCTTGGGCCAAGAAGAGTTCGGATTTCTTGGTAGATTCGATTTGCCGGATCTTGCAAGCTGGTTCAACGATATACCGCCTTGAATTCGCATGGCCGAGGTTATCTATGATTTTTGGTGGAGACTGCTAGTCGGTTTGACACAAATAACATGGTCTGGTGTCTAAACGAGGTCTATGATTTACCATTCGGTTTTGTCTATTTCATGCTACTCATTCTTCGTTCTGCTTCCGCGCCCGCCCCTTGAACCCCCAGGCGATCTGGTTTGCCATCTTCACATCGACCTCAAGCTCGTCCGCAAACGCATACACCAAACCAGGATTCTTCTGGAACCACCGTCCACACATCACAACATCCAGTCCATCGTCAAGAAGCTGCTGAGCAAGCTGAGCAGTCTTGATCCCACCAACAGCCGAGACAATCATTTGATCACCAACTGCCTTCTTGATCTCAAGCGCAAAAGGCGCCTGATATCCTGGCCCAGACTTGATACTCGTTGACTGCATGGGATGCACACCGCCAGAACTAACATCCAAAAAGTCCACACCTCTCCTCGCAAGAATAGGCGCAAGCCTCACACTATCAGCAACCGTCCAACTCTCAAACTCGTCAACCAAATGATCAAACCAATCCGTCGCACTAATCCGCAGGAATAGCGGCATAGTCTCCGGAATTGCCTGACGAACAAGATCAACAATCTCCAACACCAACCTCGTCCTATTCTCCCAGCATCCACCATAAGCATCGGTGCGCTTGTTGCTAATTGGGCTCAAGAATTGATGAATCAAATACCCATGCGCAGCATGAATCTCCACAACATCAAACCCAGCCCGCACAGACCTCTTAGCAGCAGCAACAAACGCCCTCTTGAACTCCTCAATCTGCTCAATCCCCATCTCCCTCGTCTCAGGATACTCTTCATTGAAACGAATCGCAGACGGGCCCCAAACATCCCCAGGCCACCCGCCCACATCCTTACCAGCCGTCGCATTCATCGAAACAAACGGCGCAACGGTACTAGCTTTCCGGCCCGCATGGCTAAGTTGGATCCCAATCTTCTGGCCTTGGCTGTGCGCAAACTGCACAATGCGTGCCAGCGGCTCGATTTGGCTATCTTGCCACAGTCCGATATCTTGGGGCGTGATGCGGCCTTCTTTTTGGACGGCCGTGGATTCCATTATCGAGAGGCCGGGCCCGCGCTGCATTATCCCGCCCAGGTGTGTCAGGTGCCAGTCTGTGGCGTGCCCGTTGGACGCGGAGTATTGGCATAGTGGGGCGAGGAAGAGTCGGTTTTGGAAGGTTGTGCCTCGAATTTTGAGGGGTTGGAAGAGGGTTGGTGGGTTTTTGGTTGTTGATGTACCTGAGGGTGGTGTTTGGGCGGGCGTGTAGTATGGGGCGCCCTGTGCGGCTGGGTTGTCCAGTGCTGAGGCTTGAGGCATTTTGGACAATGGGATTGCGGTTGAAATGTAAAATTTTGGGTTCTTTTTGGATTTTGTTCCTCGATGGTGGGCAAGCTAGGCATTAAGTAGCCTTGATGCCGGGTTTGGTCTACTTAGGCCGAATTACTGGGCAAATAAAGCAGATGAGGTTCTCTCAGAGGCTGCTTTGCCCTCGTCTCTCTTCTTCGGTGAAATTTGAGTATGCCGAATTCTCTGTCAAAATCATCATCAATGCTAAAATATGACGGTTGGTTTCCCTTGTCGGGAAGATGGTATTTTGCCGATATTCGAAAAATCGACCTCGCATTACTCTTCCTCTTCCTAAAATTTAATAAGGGAGATATCAAAGTTGAACTGAGTTAATTGGGTATCACTACTCTCATCTCTAAAACAATATCAATAATACAAATAATACCAAAAGATTACAGGTAGACATCATCATCATCATTACAGAGCATCAAAAAGCCTAGTATCCGCATGACTCCAAAACGTCCCCGAAGAATTCTCCAACGTCTCAAAATCCGGCATCCAAAGCGGATCATTCTCATCCTGATCAATCCAAGGCGCCAATTGCAACGCCATTCTAACCGCATGCTCCGATTCATCCACAGGCGCCGCCTGCGCCAGCGGCACCCCAGAATCCGGCGCCAAGCCAGTGGGATTAACAGGCGGGAACTTTTCGCTCCCTGACATTCCCGGCGCAGTGGGATTCGTACTCCAATTAACGCCATACTGGGCAGTCATCAGCTCCGCCATTCCGGCGTTCCGGGCAGTCTCGTTGCCTTGTAATTTCTCCATTGCTGCGTTGACGAGGAGTTCGAATGCATCGCGGTATTTCTTGACCCATGCTGCGCGCTCGCCCATTACGAAGAGGACTGTTGAGCAGGCGCGGATGTCGTTGCTCATTCGGACGGACCAGACTTGGTCAGTGTGCGTCCATAGCGCGTAGAGTAGGGTTATACCCGCCATGAAAACGGTTTGGACGGCTAGGAAGGAGTGGCCGTATTCAAGGGTTTGGTGGAGGCGTTTATGCGATTGGCAGATATTTCCTGCTGCCAGGAGGCAGATTTGGTAGTATGGGTCTGTTATTGGGAGGAGTGGGAGGAAGGGTTGGATGAGGAGGCGGACGGCGCGGTTGTAATGGAGCATTGGGTAGTCCAGGTCTGGGCCGGTGAATCTTAGGAGAGCAGATTCTTTCCATTGTTCGAGTTCGAGGTAGAGGGGGTCCATTTTTGGTCGGAGGGATGAGAGGGGCCTGTCGGCGCGGTAGATCTTGTGTTGGATGCGGGAGTCGATCCGACGGAGTTTGAATAGATAGATTGCAAATGTGAGAGACGTTGTTTTGTTAGGGTCTTGGGGTGCTGTGAGAAGCGCCGGGTCTTGAATGTCGTCGTCCACGTCCAGTGGCAGATCAAGGTCAATGTGACGGTCGGATATGCTAAATGGGCGACCGAGGGACATGGATACAACTCGCTCCAAATAGTACACCGTCCAAAAGAGCCTTCGTCGCATTTGGGTGGTGAACGGATCCATGTTGCTTTCATTTGCCTTGCGATGGAGGCCAAGGTCAATAGCAGTACGCATGGCAAGTCCGATCATGTACCACATGCCATGACTAGATGCTGTTCGCAGATGATATACAACGAGGAGAACCATGGCTTCGATGTTTTCAATGGACCGCGCTTCACACATCGTGGGGACATGCTGTAAAGCAGCGGTATAGAATCGCTGGAAAGTTGTCAGCATGAAATGATTTCGTGGACAAAAAATCAAGCTACCTCCGGTGAAGTGTATGCATATTTCTCACTCAGCTGAAGCATAGTTGCACCGATTGCGTAAACTATGTTGAGTTTGAATATCGCGAATCGATCAGCCATTGTAAGATCCTCTCGCTTGGTCTTGGATAATCGCCATCGATCCTCATGAATCTGCCACACTTGTTTTTGATTAAGGAAAGGATATCGAGAATGAAGCCGTGTGAAATAGGTATCGAGGATTCTGGCGCCCATCTCATCAGTTGGCGGTTCAACATTGGCTGGCAAAAGGTCATCCACCCTCGTATTCCGATCTTGAATTCGAGGAGCACTGGGCTGCTCTGATGGTCCGTGTACTCGACCTTTCGTATTTCGAGAATTGTTGACAAGGCTGTTGTTCTGCTGTTGTCGCATTTTCGAGATAAATTGGTTCCATACACTGGTTTGGACCATCTCTCCCAGGTTGGCAGCCAGAGAAAGACCAGAGCTGGCTCCTACGTATGCAGGGGCTTCTGAGGAACTCAATGCTAACAATCCCACAATATCCCCGACAGGGTTGTTTTCAAGGCCTGAAGTGGCTGTCTGTGGCGTTGCATGGCCTTGGGGAGTGAACAGCGATCGTGTGGCATTTCGAGCATTCTGATCTGTGTCTGACTGAGTGAGTCGACGCTCAAGAAAGGCCACGCGCTCTTCTAACACTCGTGTGTAACTATCATCATATTAGTCTCGATGTTCTGTTACTCCGCTTCCACTACTCACTCATTTAGACGGTCCTTGTCTTCCCGCACGCTAGACTTGTCGCACTGGACTCCCGCTTTCTGACAGTTTGAGCAGGTTGGATATTCATTGTCGCACTGGTAAATAATGAGTTAAAATCCTTAAATTGATGCTTATTGGAGCTAGCCTTTTGCTTCCGAGTCTTGCAGCGCGTGCATGCTGTCCGACCGCGTTTCCGCGGATTGTGATCTCGCGATGGACTGGTATGTCTCGAAGACTCAGGGCTGTGACCCAGAGCATACATTTGGATCCGGGTTGCTTAATCAAGGCAGACAGTCTTGGTTGGTTCCATGACAAGTTTCAATGTTCGTGATGACGAACGTCGGAGGTGCGGAATGCCAAGACAACACCGTTGGCTGAACATCACCGGGGCTTTCCAGGCGTTCAGTCTACGATTTTGTATGCATCCAACAATGGGAGTCTTCCATATATTTCACTCACATGGACTCAGGTTGCTGGAAACACTTAACTACGTAATCGAAGTTCCCCTATTGCTTCACATTCGTAACGAAAGCCATAATTTTGTGCTCGTGTTTTGATTAAATTAATGTATCGATGCAAGTCTATAATGCCTTTTGGTATCACCCGCCCCCATGCAAGAAAAATAAACACAAATGCAAGTTGCTAATAGTCGAGTGAGTGGCTGGCGTTTTCCAACGTCTATTTGTTGGAATGCTTCTCTTTCTCCAAATTGTCGTTATTAGGCTCCGTACGAGAAGGTGGCATCGAGGATTCAGCGAGTGTCGACACTGAGGAACGCTTCTCAACCTGTTCATGCGGCGGATGAATAACAGACTCCTCGGGCTCTTCCATAGTAGCCGCCTCGGCATCTCTCTCCTCTTCAGCCTTTCTCTTTTCTTCTTCAATCTCCTCGGGTTCCTTTGGTCTCTCTAGGCCTCTATCGCGCACAAATCCACATGCAAGGAAGCACACTCCGATAAGCGGAACTTGGAGGATAAATACTGCGTGGGAAGCATTACTATAGGCAAGAAGTATTGATGCCCACTCCGAGGCGCTGAGATTTGATCTTGAAGGAAGGGAGTAGGAAGATTCTGCCAAGTACGCAAACTTTGTTGGCAGGTTGGATCGAAGCGTCGCTTGCAAAATTGCAGCTGATATCGCCAGACCACATGCACCCCCCATGCAGCGGAAGAAGTTGCGGTTCGCGATTACAACTGCTCTTTGCGATTTCGTGCAATGGGCTTGGAGAGCGACGAGCGTTGGTTGAAAGGTGAAGCCGATTCCAGCGCCCATGATTGCCACAATGACTGCAATCACGGCTGGATGAGTGTGATTGCCGAACAATAGCATCAAGCCCGAGCCCCTGCAACAATTCAAAATTAGCACGAGCTGGTAGAGGGATTCTAATTCGACTTACAAGGTCCAAAGGCCGAAACCGATCCAGATTATTTCGCCGTAGCGTTTCATTCTGGAAATGTACTGTCCGGATGTGATTGAGAAGATTGACTGGGCTGCAACCATCGGACATGTCATCGCTGCTGAAACAATGGGTGACCAACCACGGGCGTTCTGGTAGTACAGTGGCAGGTAGTATAGATTTGCCTGGTAGACCGCGCCAAACAAAAAGCTTTGGAGGAAGATCGCAGAGACAACTTTGTTTTTGAAAAAGGCCACTGGTGGATGTTAGCTAGATGACCTCATCTGAACTAGGGAGTCAATCATACCTGGAAGCATTGGTAATGTAGCAACTTTCCATTCAATTAGAAGAAATGCAACAAATGCGCAACTTCCGATCACAAGCATACTGATGACCATAGGTGAGTCCCATGGGAAGTATGAACCACCACCTGAGATAGGGATCAAAAGGAAGATAATACCAATGGATGATGCAAGCACACCGAACCAGTCAATGCGAGCGACATTTTGCCGGAAACTTCCCTTTCCTGCATTGTTCGGGATAAGGAAGTATCCGACAACCGCGGAGCAAGCAGCCAATGGAGAAATCAACCAGAAGAAGCCGCGCCACGTTGAACGCATAATGAATGCAGCAGCCAGGAATGGCCCGATGATATTACCAACACCTAGAGATGCACCCAGGATACCTTGGTACTTACCTCGCTTCTCGAGGGTCACGATATCAGAGACAATGATCATCGTCAAAGAAGTCACACCACCGCCAGCAACACCAGCCAAGCCTCGGAAGACATAAAACATTGCTGGGTTCTGTGACAAGCCGCACAGCAAGTCTGCAATACAGAGTAGTACTAAGGCGGAGAGATATACGATCTTTCGACCAAATATATCCGACAGTCGACCGTATAGAACTGTGAACATTGTATTTGCAATAAGCGAAGAGGTTCCAGCCCATGATATGGTATTTTGGGCGCCGAGGTCGCGTGAAATGGTTGGCAAAGTGACACTGATTCCATTTTGATCTACCATGCAAATTAACAAGGAGATTGCCAGACCAGTGAAGACAACCATGAGCTGCCCGAAAGGCAGAATATTGGTTTGGTCATGGAGCGCCTTTTCGGCCTCTCTTTGTCGATTCATGATTGGAGATGTGAGTGCGCCAAGCCGGATTGATAGATTGTACCCCTATATATTTGATGGGTTTCATCCGATGCCATGTATGCCGCGTGCTGTGACGTAGAAGAATCCTTATACACAAACAAGGTTGGACTGGGAGTCTTGGCGTGATACTATCCAGATAATGGAAATGTGGAGGGTCTAATGTTATTTAAAGGAAAATCTAACACCCCATCAAAGACAGACAAGAGTCATTGGATTGATAAGAAAAGTTTTTCATACAGGTTTAGTCTCAATCGGCTACTGAGTGCTGGCAGTCCATTGGAGGTTGAGGCCGCTCACGTCGGATCCACGTCCGACACAGTAAAAATTCGTAGCCCGGTCTGCGTTTTGGCCCTATGCCGTATCGGAGGTCCATGAGGTCCACGATCCAGACACTGTGGGTACAATTCCGCGTCATTCTTTCATTGCCGTTGGTGAAAAGCAGAGTCTGCAGTGGATCCGCATTTTCGGATGACCGATCGGACCTCCGACATGCTTAGTCATTTCCACCACGCTCAAGCCCTTAGGAATAGGTTTGGATCCCGGATCCCCGGGGTCATTGTCAAGCTACATAAACTTGTAGTTGACCTTGATGAAGATAATACCGAGCGACGTCAAAGATAGTTATGTCAAGAATGAGATGGACAGAGTCGTTTGTGGCTAGCTCCTCCGCAATCTTTGGCGGTGTTGATATATACCCGAGCCATACTTCGTAAACGGGCCTTACATTTATACTAAAAAATCAGGATAGCGGCGGTCATCTATAAAAGTCTTGGGGGTCTAGGTCGACGCCTTCCTGTTTTAGAACGTACTTGACCGTTGCTTCGCGGCCTTTGTTTGCTACGAATGAAAGTAGAGTCACCCATTTAGAATCTTCGGAATTAGGGTTGACACCCTCCGTCGCAAGTAATAGCTTGACAGCTTCCTATGCCCCCGCTCGCGCTACATCATATAGCGGTGTTCAATCATAGCGGTCCTTAGAGTCTAGGTGGACACTCTCCGTTTCGAGCAGCAGCTTGAAGACAGCCGTGTTCATATTTTTAGCAGCGTATGATAACGGCGTTGGTCCTTCTAATTGCTTAGAGTCTAAATCAACGCCCTGGGCTGCGAGTAGTAGCCTGGATATAGCTACATTACTATATTCCGCTGCATGCGATAGCGGCGTTCGTCCCGGGTCCTTAGAATCGGGGAAATTACTTCTGCTCTTGCAGATGCCGCTGTCTAGCTACGCGCAACCCGCAATTCGCAGATCGTGTCAGAGACATCATCGCCCAAATCAGCGGCCATCGATGAGAATTATTCAAGGTTTTGTAAACTTCGTCATTCTTCAAAGCAAATTGATTTCGAGAGTGACGAGACAAGCCGAAATGTCTATAAATACCTCCTCTACCCCTAGGCTGTTGCCCAACGAGACAACTGCATGGCTGCTCCACACCCGAGCAGCTCTTAGGTTCAAGGTGTCAGAACAAGTTCTTCCCAAATTATTCAACCGCAGGCATTCTCACTACACTGAAAAAGATAGAATACATCTTGGATATACGAGACACATGTTGTGCCACAACCGACAAAAGATGGAGTCGAGACACTTATTTGCCTTATGTTCTGCACATGTACTTAATAAGTTATCTTTCCCATTGAAAAACCATCAACCACCAAAATATTTAACTACTCAACTTCCAGTCAAAAAGTAGGACAATGATGTCGCAGGTATGTAAAGTGCCAGTTCGAGCCGGTCTAATGGTTGTACCGATATCGGATATGCTGCCAGTTATGCACCTAGATCCGCATGCAATCGGCCGCTATTAACAAATACAACCTACATTGAGCCTATGTTCTTGCACTTAAACAATATCGGTTGTTGGGCCGAGCTCATTTCTTGACCACTCGGATATGTTAGTTAGGCAAACCCTCTCCGCTCCGGTAGCTAATGGCTAGCAGAAAACTATAAGTCCGCGCCATAATGGGACCTCGATGGCCCAAAGACCGTCCTCGCTGTCCCGGGTCAAGGCTATGCCCTACACGCCACCTTCTGACCTTTATCGCCTCGAGTCATGTCGCATATCGACGGTGTCTTACGCGGCTTGTGGCGACTTGTGAACTAGGGCAGCGTGCCAATAACAGGGGCGGAGATGCAGCTTGCTACGACCTGTCCACCTCTGCCTGTATTTGTGAAACATGCCACCGCCGCGGCAACACGCTTTAAGGTCGACCATCTAAGACTACAAGTACATCTGCCGAATAAAATTGTCTAGGGCCGCTCGTTCCCACCGTCTGTCACGATATTACCGGTACAGATTAAAACAAAACACAACAATAATGTATATCGTCTGAATAATAAGCACTTTGTGAGCCTAGCAGCAGTCGGACATTGGCTAGTTCCAAATATATTCGGTGAACCAGCCCCCTAGGCTAAATCAACCACCCACGCATTCCGGTCCGCATAACAGGCGTCTTATTACTGAGACGAAGGAGGATGTGTGGTTCATTCAAATGCAAAACACGCTGTGTTTCAAAAGTTTTAGGCCACAGAACCAACACTCTGCAAGTCATGCCACCAAGCTTGTAAAAGGTAATGTCGGAACGTGGTCGTTACAGTACGGACTAGTACGGGCATAGCCAATTCAGTACTTGAGTGTTTTTTTATGTACTATAGAAAGTGCAGAATAAATAGGGGTTGGGCTTAGTAAGGTGGTTGAGAAGCCTTAGGATCATCAGGCAGACGGAGGTGCTGAATATTCCTCGGGCGCACTACTCATCCCTGCTTTTATCTTCTGCTCTCCCAGCGCACGGATTAATTTCGGACTATAATGTAGGGGGCTCTGGGGTATTAGAGAATACACGTGGCTCCGCCGTTGCAACGCCCCCCATTATGTTGGGGATGTCTGTCTGGACTCTGGCCTGTCTTCTTGTTGTATAGGGTGGACAAATCAGTACAACCATTTCTAAATGCATGATCTGAAAAACGGCTAAATAAACGCTTTAGCTTGGTAGGTTGGGCAACCACATACAATTATTAAAGGGCTACAAGAGAGGGATGGCAAAAGGAATGATAAACTGAGATGCATGAAGAAGGAAACCTACCTAAGCTACGAGGTCAAAACATGTTGTTGGGAAACATGAATGAAAACGGTCACGCGACCTCTGAACAATGATCTACTTCAAAAATGCGATATGTCCATCTGATTGTTTCCGCCCTGCAAGGAAGAATCGTCCTATGTGGCATCTCCTGCCTCGGACCTTGACGGACTGCAGGTATCCTCAGACTCGAAGGACGCCAAAGATAATACATGTTGCAATCTGCTCCACAAGTTTTGTCGTCCACCAGTGTAAGAGATTTTTCGGACGCCACCCATGCCTGCGCCTGAGTCACGCTAAAATGACGAGTCTTCCTAATTCGGGTAGAATCTAATAGGAGAAATTGCACTGGCTCAAACAAAAATTCAGACCGAGGAACCAGAATCGAAGTGCTTTGCTTACTTGGAATGGGGGAGAGGGGGGTCCCGGGTGCAAGGTCCAGCAACTCCACCGGCTCGGGGGGTCGATCCCGCAGTGGGTCGCGTTTTGGTCACATCCATGTATTTAACTTATCGTGTTGGGGGCCATTTGCGCGTCTCTTTCAGATTCTCTCCTCCACCCAGGATGCCACTCCGTTTGACCAGCCCGCAGTTCCGTGCCTTTTCGACAAAGTTCGACAAATTCGAGCTCTATGGGGGCCGGTCCATCCCCGCCAAGAAGCAGCGGTTGATCCCGACCTCAGGGAGTTATCCAAAGGGATTCAACGTTGGCAGCATCCGCGCTGGCATTAAGCCTGCCGGTAACATTCAGCCAGACTTGCTCATCGTTGCCTCGGATACGCCGGCATCAGGTGCCGCAGTCTTGACTAAGAATGAATTCTGTGCTGCTTCTGTGACGGTCACCCGCGAGCTTATGCGCCGTACCAAAGGTGCTGGACTGCGAGGCGTCATTGCAAACTCGGGGTGCGCTAATACTCTTACCGGCCAGGCGGGACTTGACGATGCGACCGCTATGGGCCGCGGAGCTGCGAAAAGCATATCCACTGGAAATGCCGATGAGGGATCATCTCTGATGGTTATGCATACAGGCACAGGTGCCCAGCGGTAAGCTCGCTTCTACATTCCAAATATCAATCCCCAAGAGACATGCTGACCGACTGAACAGACTGCCGATCGACAAAATCCTGCATCATATACCTGAATTGACTCAAAAGATGGGAAATGCACATGACCACTGGCTCGAGGCCGCGGTCGCCTTGAGCACAACCGACACGTATCCGAAATTAATCTCAAGGACCTTTAGCCTGCCTTCCGCACCGAAAACTAAATTTTCCCTCGCGGGTCTGACTAAAGGCGCCGGTATGGTCCACCCGAACATGGCCACCACGCTAGGAATCATTTGCACGGACGCTCCAGTTACACCAACCGCCCTGCAGATCCTCCTTCGAGGTGCTGCATCTAAGTCATACAACTGTATTTCTATCGATGGTGATACATCCACTAATGACATGGTCACCATGTTTGCCAATGGAGCAGCTGCATCTTCTAGCCAGCTCGCGGTGGACGTCTCTCCAGAGCCGTCGGCTGACTTTGTCGCGCTGCAGCACGTTCTCAGCGGGTTCATGTCTGACATGGCTAAGCTGGTTGTACGAGACGCCGAGGGTGCCTCGAAATTTATCACGATTCGGGTGCGTGGATCACCATCTTATGATGCAGCTCATCACATTGCGTCGGTGGTCGCACGCTCTGTGCTCTGGAAAACGGGAATATATGGACTGGATCCGAATTGGCATGGAATTCTAGCCGCACTCGGATATTCGCTTCTCGACACCTCGTTCGCCGGACAGGGTATTATCATCCCCGAGCAGACATCTGTGAGTTTCATGGATGGCCCCGAGGCCGTCAAATTCTTGGATCGCGGGGTACCGGTGCCGGTTGACGAAGCCAGGATAAAACAGATCATGGAGAAAGAAGACCTAGAAACTATTGTGGACTTGAGGCATGGCACGTCTCAAGAAATTACCCCCGAGGAGGCAATTTATTGGACGTGCGATATGACGCATGATTTTATTTCAATGAACTCGGGAGTTGAAATTAATTAGGCAGAATCTGACCTGAAATTAATCTTGAGAAACTAAACTAAATACGAAACGGCGTTGAATCACCTGTAATTCACCTGGCCACGGAACAAGCCGCGCACACCACTCTCGCTGATTGCAGTGCGACCATGTAACGTGCCATAGTTGTCAATGATAAGGAGATCACCCACCTGCCACGGGTGCTGGTACAGATAGCGCTCCTGATACAGCCAGGAATACAATTCATCCAAGAGCGCCACAGACTCTTCCTCGGTGACGCCCTTCACTCTGATTTTCCAGCTGCGCTCCTTATTATCAGGGAACGGCAACGACACGGCAAGACAATTCCGACCATGCTCCAGCGTGACAGCCTGCTTCTCGAACCACTTATCCTCCAAACTCTTCATGTGGTGACCTGTCTCGACAATCTGGTACTCAAACATGGCATTCTCCACAGCCAAGCCCAGCGGCTCGGGCATCTCCGCCATGGCCGCAACCTGATCCACAACTGTGGTCTCGCTGCTGCCGGGCAGGTCATTGAACTCACTCGCATACAGCATCAAAAGATCGGGGCGGTGGCTAACAAATAGCCTGTATGTATGCGCCGGCAGCATGCCGCGGGCTAGCACGACATTACCCTATTCCGTGTTGCGGAAAGCTTCATCAGATCCGAGCCGCCGGTCTGGACTTTATGCTGCCCAGGCTCCCCGAGCGCGCGCAGATCGCACGGCTCGACCAGCAGGCACGCGATACCATGACGAGTCCCCCTTGCAATTCGCTGAGAGGTCACAAAGTCCTTTGAAACAGGCTATGCTTGATATCCTTCGTTCTTAGTAGACTTACGGGCGGCTATCTACAAAGGGGCCACATGGAGGGTGCAAACTATTGATAACAATATGATGATGCTTTGTGTGCTTTGACTTTCATTTTCACAAGCAGCTAGGGTCCTGTATCTGTCCTGAACCTAGACCGCTTCCTGCTGGACAATTGGTTTTACAAAATGGAAGCCACATACACCTCGGATTCATCCAATTCCAGTATGATATCTCTGGTCCTGGGCTACATGAACCAACTACCCCTCAATATCCGCGCAGTATAACAGCTTTTTATACGAGGTGTACGGCACCATCTAACACGAGTACTCCGCCTTCTTTCGTTGCCTCAATCTCATGATATAGCTTCTCACACTTTATATACTTTGTAGCCCTTCAGGGGATTTGTGTATTTCATATATGAGTTCATAGGGAAATGTAATAGTCAGATAAATGCTAGATGATATTATACGCTTTGTTTGTCATTTACGGAATCATATTATAGGCTAATGCGGCTGAGTGAGATATTGCCCGCGAAAATACCGCTTTTGGCGCGATAATATATAGGGTTCTCCCAATTTTTTCAGACATCACGTATAGCGTAAATGCCCCATTATCACAACGATCCACTCCAAGAATACAGAGTTTATCGGAAGGTTGTAGTTCCATACGATGTTTTATATGATAATTGATTACAAGAAATATCAACGACTTAGTCTCGCTCCCAAAGTTACCTAGGTAGAGAGCGCCCAGTGCCGGACTATGCCGACGCCTGATAATACTCAGCCTTCGGTGGCATACATAAAAGCGCTAGTACTAGTCACTCATTTCCCTAGCTATCATTATCCGCCATACTGAGCCCTAAACAGAGACAAGTCGAAGGAAGTCCCTGTTCATTGCAGAAATATATCCGGCCGGTGTAGTTTACAATCACTATAGGTTGAACCATTTTAGCAACCGAATTTTGAAAACTACCTTTGTCACCATCCTAGCGAAACGTATCGTCTTACGTGCCGATCCAAGATCTTCTGCCAGTGACCTGAATACATTTTGTCATTTATGATGAGGCTGCTATCTCTCCTAGCATGGCTATCCTTTGCAATATCTGCAACTGCACTCATAGCCGGTATGCCAACTGCCTGACAAACACAAGAATACTGTATTTTGTGACAATGCTGACATTATGACAGACAGGTCAGATGGACAGGTATATCACTAGGCGCAAAGCTCGCCTTGTGGCCAGAGGTTTCTAATAGGAAGAAAGCATCAACTATAAAGAGACGTTTGCGCCCGTAGTCAAGTCAGCTTCAACCCGCATCTTATTCGCTTTAGTGGCGGTTTGCCATCGGTATATCTACCAATGATATATCAAGACGGCGTTCCTAAACCGCAGTTAAGAGAATCCCATCTACATAAAAGCCCGGAGTGACGTACAGTTATCTGACGGGCACTAATTATTACTCCTCAAAGCCCTTTAGAAGCAGTCTCCTCGCGCGTGGTATCAAAAGTTCCGGGACACTCTTATTCAGTAGGGTTAGCGTATGTCAGCCTAACTCATGTGTTTTTATTGATGATAAGGCCGAACTCATACTTGAAGTACACGTGGATGGCATAAACATGATGCCGGGAGATCTTAAGGCAATACTTTACTTCAAGGCTCAACACTCAAAGGAATTTCCGAATTCTGACGCCGGCGAGTGCTCTTAGGAATGCATATGAAACAGAAACATAAAGAGTTTCACGTCAATCAGAGGCAATACAGTGTTGAATAGTTACGATGAAGATCTTCAGAGAAAGTGATTCAATTCATAAAAAGAGAGAGAAGAAACTATCTCAGACTAATAAGCGGCTGCGCTCTGATGGCTGATAAGCTTGGCGGCCAACGGCCACTACAACAATAGATATGGCTTTAAAGATGCTGTTCCCATCAAGACGCCTCTTTATACGAAATTCAAGCTGACGACGCCAGAAAACTACATTGCCAATACCAAGTTTCGCAGAGAACATCAGTCGAAAGTCGGATCGCTCAATTTCAGCAACCACTAGACAACACTGGATATTGCCTTTGCTACGGGTTATGTCGCTCGATATGCATCCGATCCAAACCAGGCTTACATGGATGCCGTCGATCGAATCTGTTTATACCTGAAGAGCGACTCAAGGAAGGGAATGGACTTTTCAGATTAACTTGCCTTTGGGTTGAGAAGTTTTGTGGACAGCGACTTTGCCGGATGTGAGGAATCGCGCAATTCAACCACTGGTTGGGATGTGTGTAACAGTCAAAGCTTGACTGCCTGGTTTTGTAGGGCTATTGCCTGAAGATTCCTAGGGGTGCCTTGAGCCACTTTTTATACTACTAGGATTATGCATCATGGAGCTATTGGCCACGCCGCTTCTGGGGTTCTAGTGGTCATCCTTTCTGTCAAGCATTTAGTCGTAGGCGATGAATGCGGTCACTATCAGCGTACGCACTCCAAGCCAACAAAGTCTAAGCAGTGATTTAAAGTGCTCCTAGAGTGGGCTGTGAAGGAACGGGACAAGGAGAATTTCGAATAAGAGCAATCGCAGAATGCCGCGACGATTTTTTCGAAGAGTGAGGGAGGGAGGTGGAATCCAAAACAATTAGAGAGATGCGAAATATAGATTCATGCAAAGGTGTAGACTTTACTACATAGATGCGAAGATAATTTTTCAATTGAATTTCATGATTGGAATCATAGCATGTTCATCGTTTGGTCTGACTATCCAACCGATCATGGCCGATCTGAAGTAGTGTTCCCATGTTAACGCTCATCTTTGTGTCGCTCAATACAAAAGATCAGTATTGGTTGACGATCTGTCCTATGCGAGTGTTCGTGAACCTTGGTGTTTGTAAAGACTTCAAAAATCCAACGCCAGGGATCACATCATCTCAGGAAAGAAGCATTAATGAAAGAAAAAGGGAGTTTTCTTGACGTCAAGTACAGATCCACAAAGGTGATTCAAGAACACTACACGTTGAGAGAGCCTCACGACAGAATAGGGTCTTTCTTGGAAATTGTACACACTTAGGTAGACTTGCGGTCTAACTTCCTCGCCCTAAGATATTCATAATCACACATCGCGTCTTTGACAGATTGCTCCAGAGCCTCACTCATTTCCTGGCCAAAGTCCCGCTTCCACTTAATAGACTCAGTTGCAATGTCAATGCCATCGCTACTCTTTCCTTTCAATACCCCCGAAGAATCCAGCAATGTCTTTTCCATGACCGCGCCCAGAGACTTCTTAGTCTCGCTCTCAGATGAGGATTTTGCTTCCCCACCCTTGGGCGCAGAGTTCCAAGCAAACTTCAACTGAGACGAATCTAGGCCAGTAGTCTCGCAAAATTCGGCGATGGCTGCCGGATTCGAGATGACATCATCTGCATCTAGCATCAGTGGCTCAGAAAACAACTCGCAGGACCAATCGTAGAGCGTCCGGGTCCATTGAAGTGTCATATTTGCCTGTAAATGGGGCTGGAACTCCGATTCATGCAAATATCCCTCTTCGTGAAGCTCCAGCATAGCTCGATAATAAGATGGAAACGCCAGGGCTGGGTGTCTGATCAAAAATACCAGTCGCCACTTCCGCAAAGCTTCATCGGGAAGGACAGTCTGATTCTTCGAAGACCAAGTCGAGGTAGACGATGAGGAGTTTTGTTGAACTCGGAATAACGACTGCGGGTGGGTATTCTGCTCGCCGAGCACGTCACTGATTTTAGCAGGATTGAAAAGCCAGAGCGCGTGCTCTTTGACCAGGAAGTGCTTCCCCTGCTCAATAGCGGCATTTGAATCATGCTCTAGCTTCTCAAAACATTCCTGAAAGATATGTTGCAAATCCTGGGCCTCCTCTCTTCTCAGGTCTCCGATCGGCCTATAGGTGTTTCCTGTCATTCTGGACTTCAAGAAGGCCGGTCGAAAATAATAACCTCCAATATCATTAGATAAAGTATTGGGCTGGTCATCGATTGCGAGTATCTTCAAAAGCAAATTGGATGCGGTGCGGGGATAGGTGACCAAAAAGAGACGCTGAGACGGACGCTCTACATGCGCGTGAGGAGACTGGATGCTGCCCATTGTTCTCAAATTGGGGGATATACAATATAATGAGAGAGAGTACTAATTAGACGAAAGATCGTATACGCACTTGATGAGGTCAGGCGTAGGGATTCGCATTAAAGAAAAGATTTCTCCGCGAAGGCGGCCATTAATTTTACACAATTTCCTGATCCACAGGTGTAAAGTTGTAATTTGTCTCTGCTCCATCCGCATGCATTCATCATCCAGCCTCAGGGCTCTTGGCTCATCTATGTATTGTAATGTTCTCGGTGCAGGTTTCACGCCAGTCGGGTGGAACCAATCATTAGGTCGTGCAAAACTGGGAGATCTACCAATAATACCCCGAGTTGAGAGATTACAAAAAATAACCTTATCGCCTATTTAGGATATGTATAATCTGTGCATGGGTGGAACAATCGTTCAGCTGCGTGCGGTCCAAGCCGATATTTGGGGCTATCGGATCCTTGGAATGAACGTAATGCGCCCGTATATCAAAGTTCATCCTTTCCCGCCCTGCTCCACAGCCCCGGATTACCCTAGTGGGAACTCAAATATGTACATATGAATGTAGTATCGATGCTGCACGCTGTCGCATATACCAGTGTGTGTACGTATGCGTAAAGTGGGGACTAGTATACCAGTTGCAACACAGATCGGGAGGTATTGAGCTGTTAATAAGATGGTATGTATCTCGAGAATCTTCTGCTCTTATCGCTAGTTTCATGCAGGGTGCTGATCTTCCCTCCCCTCAATTTTATACATAGGAAAGCTCGTCATTTCGTGGAACCTGTGTCAAGGCTCGACTGATCAAACTAGACAGAAAAGCAGATGTTGATTGATTTGAAGAAAGGAAAGAAGACTGGCTGTCTATGCAACCGAAGGCTGGGGTTGATAGGCCTGAACCCTACGGCATTGACCGCTTTTATGATGTATTCGGTAGGCGGGTGGCCACTGCAAGCGAGAAAGTTGGGCTAGCACTCTTTGGCGCATTGGCTTCGAAGTAATGACCCATTATTATTGTGACCACGCACAATCGTGTCCTTTTCATCGTCACCCTGACTTACTCGGTACGGATGTTGAGAAAGCAAAATCTCGACCACCTTCATCTTTCTCCAGAAAAATATTGGCTTACTTTGAGTCCGGTCGCCAAGCCAGGGACTGCTGGCTAGGCGGTGGCGATGCCGTACCTCTGGTTTGCGAAGAGGGAAATATAAGCGCTTTGGTACTGAGTTGACTGCCCGTTGGTCTTAATGTCGCAGAGGTTGCAGGCTGAGCGAGGCGGAATTTACGGTGTCCAGTAAGCACTGGCATGGATATGTCAATGCTACACTGGACCGCACATGTGCTCATTGGCTCGGTCTTAAACGCAAGGCTATGGCGACGTGACTTGCTATTCCCGTTTTGCCCTCATATAAAATCCCTGATTAACGTGCTTCACAAACTTTGGAGACTCTTGACTGTCTTCCCTTGAACGAATATTGAGGCTCTAGTAACCAAATCTCACCCCGCCAATGAGCTCGCCGCCATGAATTTCATGGATTTATACTGGCTGGTCCAAACGATATTTCGTAAATTCTTAGGCACGCTGAAAGCAGAGGGCTGCACAGTGATCTCTCTTAATGAGATGTTAGATGAGTACAGTAGATTTACCATCTGGGGTGATCAGCAAGCAGCATACCGACCAACACGCCATCCTCGTTCTTTGGACCTCATCCTCCAGCGTGCGGACCGCGATGATTTGACATGGCGTATCTTCGCACGGCTGCGCGTATACCTCATTGAAGATAAGTCGTATAGGTCGGGCATCTGATTGTTCGTCTAACCTTGCTTTTAGAGGAAGCTATCGCTAGAAATGCTCCCTTCGACAAGGATGAATTTGATACTACCGAAAGCGAAACTGACACGGACCTAAGTTTTGATCCAAGAGAAAAGGCTGAGGGGCCAAGAATTCTTCAGCTCGACTGGAGGATCCAAAAGCAGGTACAAGTGCTTCAAAGTCAGGTAGTTTTGTCATAGCTTCCGCAATATCTCTTACCTGGTTGGCCACCGTATCAGTACAATTATTTCAGGAGTTCCTGCGAGCCCTCAAAGACAAGGACTGCCGCGTGATTTATCTCAATCTGGTTGATCGTCCTGCGATAATGGAGAAATCCAGGAACACTAAGCTCTGGGGTGATGTGACTGAAGAAGGGGACGGGGATCTGACTGACAAAAATCTTTCCTATAATTGAGGCCAACTTTCGCTAAATCTGCCAGCGGATGGAATTGAATAAACCGGCAGTGGATCTTTACCGGCGGCAAGAAAATCTGCTCGGTGACGGTAAGTGGTATATAGGTCGGGCACTTGAGTTATCGTCTAACCTTCCTACTAGCTACAATGATCGCTAAAAAGAAGAAGCATTCCATTTACCCTGGTTATGTTTCTGAGGATGATTATATTCAACGTCGCAATCGCAGGATGCCAAAGACTTGTTACCTTGTTAAGGTGATCCTAGGGAATATTTGATCGCTTTCCCATTTGAGTAATCTTGCGGCACGTCGCAAACAGGAAAGGCACCCACTGTTTCGGAAAACCCCATAGTGCGCAAGGCAGGCTAGAGAGATATAGCCAAGCTGACATCTAAGTGGGCAAGTTTAAACTTGGATATAGAATAGCGCTGTTGATATACTACAATCACAGTTCTCTTCTTATTCCAGGTCATGAAACTAAAGACTGCCACAACCGTTCATATACTGCATATTTCACACTACTTTAAATAGCCTCCAGATAATGGAATTTCGTATTGAGCCCAATTTCTTTTGTTGGACAGTTCTGGCTACTGGACCTTGCTCTCAGTGACACGCGCAGTGATTTTCTCTGAGCTGCCAGAGATCATATCATCCGAATCCTCAATCGGGGTTGTCGGCTCTTGTCGATCTTCGTGTACAACACGACCAACACATTTGTAAGAGGAGAACTTTCTTGCAGGAAGTCGGTTCTCAAACTGAATCACAGTCCATTAGCTTTGTGCAACAACGTAATTCAAAGACTCACCATCTCGTCAATTTCTTCTAAGGTCCGTCCTTTCACTTCCGGAAGGAAGAAAAAGATGAAGCCTGCCGCTATGATGCAGGAAGGGAACCATATGTAGCCATATTTCGGACTGGATTTCATATCAATTAGCCACATTGATCTCTGAAGATGAGTTCGGGACAGAATGTATTACCCCCAGTTCAAAGAGTCGGGGTTGATAAAGTAAGGTGCAGTGAACGTGGTCAACCACTAGTTTAATATTGTTAGGTCCAACCCATGCAGATTTAGTGTTCACTCACAGCACCCAAAAACCCAATGGCAGATGCGAAGCCAAACGTGTATGAACGAAGTCTTTGTGACGGCAACTCCCCACCAGATACCCATGCATAAGTCGAAATCATTCCCTAAGAAACAATCGATGTAAGACTCAACTTTCACACAATCTCAATTTTGTAAATCAAATCATCTCTTACGTTGAATCCGACGATAAAAACCACAGATAACCCAACTATAGCTCTTCCTGTGGACTCAGTACCAGGATGAACAGTATAAACTGCGGCAACGATAAGCTGACTGAAGCCACAAATCAACAGTCCACTTGTGAGGAATACTCGGCGACGACCAACATGTGTCACGAGTGCAATGTTGATCAAGATAGCTACAACCCCAACTGCACTCAGTATGCAGCTGTTCTCGAATGCGTTGCCGACATTGGCCATCTCAAAGAAGTAAGTTCCATACGCTATTTCCAAATCAGCACTAAAATGAAACATAACTGAAGGCTCTCGGTCTGTTCATTTAGACTCACCTATTATATACATAGCCCCGGAAGCAGCCTGCGTTGCCACAGCAGCAGCGGCCAGAATCGTCCGTCGCCGATCAACAGGATTCGTGAACATATCCCATACTGATATGCCTCTAGCCAGGTCGCGTTCCGTATCAATAGCATGCTGTATATCATTCATTTCCTTCTCTGCCGCCTCTTGGTCTGGTCTCAACCAAATCAATGCCTTGCGAGCTTCTTCGGCTTTGTCCTGTTGTAGTAGCCATCGTGGGGACTCCGGGATCAATAGCATACCACCACACAGAAAAGCAGGAATAACGAATATCAAGCCTAGTGGAATTAGATAACTGTTCTTCCCGTTTATCTTTGCAGTGAAGTTGTCGATGATCGTGCCGAGGAGTGAACCGAGAGAAGTCCAGAATTGGAAACCGCCTAGGAGAAGACCGCGGTATCGAGCTGGTGAACATTCCTTCAGAGTCATAAGCTGCCGCAATAGCCTCCAACTTCGAGAGTGTGGGTGTCATACTTGAATGTATAATTGAGAAAATGTCATGAGAAGCCCATTTCCCAGGCCGATCACTAGGCGCCCTCCATACAAACCACTCAAGTTGTCTGTAGTCATCATGGCCACGTTGGCGATATAGACCAAAGCGACAGCAATATATAGGCACGACTTTCGTCCAATGTATGATGCGAGAGGTCCTAGGGTGTGGTGAGCTGGTGGGCGCTCATGTATCGCGAACTGACCTACCCGCCGCACACGATCCTATGAACGCACCCAATGTCATCAGAGAGGATATCAGCTGTTGGCGCTCGTGGGGGATGTTCCATCCTAGGGAGGTGTTAGGTGCGCTTTCTCCGAAAATCTAGGCGAACGGTAAGCTATTTCTCTGTGTTTCATGGGCATATGAATTGCGGTCTAGACTTTCAAAAACCCAACCATCGCTTGGAATCCTCCGATTAAAGTGAAGTCGATCCCATATTGGAATGGAGACATAGAAATCAAAGAGCAGGCCGCAAGTGACTTCCAATGCACCCGAAGTCCATTCTTCTGGGAATGGTCACCGTTGCCCATATCGATATCACAAAAAGGTCGGTAATAGCGTGCGGGCTTTTGAAAAAGCGTACTTGGTCAAGCTTGAAGAACTGATTAGCTGTTGTTTCAATCTGCCAGATAGTCTTGCTTCTGCGAGAATCTCAAATCTAGCTCAATAACCGACCTACCCTCAAGACCTTATACTTCCTTAAATACTCCATGGTCCGATACAGTCTCCTATATTACAATTATAGCATATACTAACACGTCCCATATCCCTAGCGTAGTTTCCCGTGACAATAGCCCATTGGCTCGGGGGGTGCTCCACAGCTGGGTGTTTTAAATCGGGCGGGACATCAGGTGGAGGCAACACGAGCGACAATGGCTGTATGAGATATTCAGGATATGCTGTATGTTGTCTCGGAAAGATCTTGCAGCTCTTATCTGCGTTTGGTGGTGTTTTGTGGCTACGGAAAGTGCAGAAACTTGTGGGAGGGCCTCCTGATTATGGGAAGTGCTTGCTCAGTTGATATGGAGTCCCAATTAATGTAACAGTATCTCTTCCGTGGCTAATCTACTCTCCTTTCCTAGCTACTTCTGCTGCTGCTTCATTTGTCAGTTATGGCGAAGATCAACCCCATGGACTTATTAGGCCTAGCGCATTGTATCTCGTTTCAATCCACAAGATTCTTTAAATTGAACGGATTAAGAGAGAAATAATGATATTCTCTTGCAAGATACCTGCCATGAATCTTGGCCAAGGGCGGGCATGCGAGATCGTCCCGCCTGAAACTTGATTTTGGACTTTTCTGTGGAAGATTATAGCAACTTGCAGGTGACCAAAGAATTAGGATTCATGTCCAATCCTAGCACTGGTATCGAAACAGCATGAACGTGGCACATCGACTTCATAACAATACTAGTCGTGATATTATCCAGTCCCAAGGCATTCCGGATATTACTTCCCCTCCATAAAATGTGCATAGTGATGTCACAGTCGAAATCAAAACATCTCAGATACTTGTTGTTCACTTCGGGCTTCGCTTTAGTTAGGCATCCAAATCCCCATCTTTGCCATATTGTAGATCCAGTGATTAGGCAATCAAGAAAGCGAGCGAGTGCCATGCAACAGAGTGCATGGTCAGGTGTCCACCGGCTGGCGATCTAGACACGCAATGCGTGTCTCGAGAACCACATCTTTTGATCTCTTCGTCAACGTTCTCTTAATTGGCGAGCTAAGTATGTGACGACCCAATCGGAACACCGAGGCCACCGACAGCCCAAGCATTCTGAATAGCAGGTGTGTTTGAGGCATTAATATCGTAAGCAGGGTTTTCACCGACTGCATTGTTGCTGTCCACTCCATTCTGTGGCCCGGTGTTGCGCGGGACATTACTAGGATTCGGTATTGCGTGGCCTATATAACTGGCGCCGGTAACGTTGCCCTGATTTGGGAAGTAACTCTGGTTCAGCGACCCACAGGTAGTGCAGGTAAATTCGATCTTGAAATTGGTGAGAACCATTTGAGGAACTGCAGTGTGATCACTGCGGGGGTAGTTCGGGGGTTTGGGAGGTGCTGCCACTGCTACTGGAAGAGGGCCGGTATTTTGGTACTCGGCTCCAGGTGGCATTGTCATTGGGTGCGAATTGTGAGTGAGCGGGGTTTGGTTTTGTGGAGGCATCGGTGGGTGTTGCACCTGGGCAGGCAGAGCTTGAGGATTAGATGGCGGAGGAGGGATATGGCTACTTGTGGTCTCGTCCTGAGGCATGTTATCATCATCAATCAACGATGATTGGATATGGCCCGGGAGCCAGCGACTCTCGGATAACTCCTCATAGGCAGGTCCGGCGTCTCCTTGCGACTCGGGGGATTGCTCTGGCGATTGTTGCTCCCCTGCACTCATTTCGAGATCAAGCCCTTCTTCGCCCTGTCCTTCAGCATGTCGTGGTTGGAGCTTGGTAAGTGCGCGCTGCGCCTGGCGCATAGAGATATCATAACCGTGGTAGCGTTTCACAGCATCCACGACATCCTGGGCTTTAATTTTAGACTTCATGTCGAAGAGCTTGGGAATTTCGCTCAACAAGAACCGCACATGGGAGGCTTCCGAGCGAGCAGGTGTAGCCGCAGGGGAATCTGGATTCCTGCGGCAACTATGGCTGTCTTGGAGACTGCTAATGTAAGTTGCGTTCTTGTTCGAGCGACAGACGACACGAAAGAAGCAGTTTGTCGACGAACGACAACCGATTACTACACTTTTTTTGTTGCTTCGAGCCACTCGGAGCTCCCAGTGCTGTCTGACCGATATGCTCCGGATTACTGATTTGAATTCTTCGAGAGAGGAGAACCGCTGGCTCACATGGAGCCCGGAGTACATCTCCGTCATAGTGAAGGGACTGGGACTGGGACAGGTATTGGAGCGAAGAAGTGAGCAAGTGGGACAGCAGCCACGGACGCTCGAGTGACCAAGTCCATCTGGTCACAGATATTCGGTTGTAGCTTGACGAGGCCGTGCTTGCAAAGAGCTTGGATTGCGGAGCACGGCGTGACCCCAAGCAAGCACCCGGTCGATGTGCGATTTGCGAATTGATTTTCAACCAACAGACCTGGAGGAAACTTTTGAAGAGAATGAATCGTTTAAATAAGTGTTTATCAATAGTGAAAGACCATACAGTTGAATGTTGGAGAATGGTCAAGGTCAATCAGGTTGGGCGGAGTTTAATTGCCAGACCGCTCGGCTTCACTGTGCTTCGCTTTTCAACTTCATCTCTTCTAAGTGGTGCAAGCCTGCAGAACCAAGGGCCTTGTCTCTGCTTTTTCTCCTCTTATTTTCTTTCTCCTTAAACTGCCTTTCTCTCTCACATACACACACAGTCTGCGCCTGTTCAATCGCGCAAGATTACAGAGTTTCCAGCTCTTCGCGATCGCAGAAACAAAATGGCTTCATACGTGCTCCTAAACCAGCCAGAAGAAGGTCGAGTTAGCTCCAATCCATTTCCCGCAACTCAAAAACTAATGCCCTCGCAGATGCACTGCACAAATCGCGTCTCCTCAATGTCGAAGAAAAGCCCTTCAAGCGCATCTCCAAGCGTCTCCTAAATCCTGAATCATTCGTCATCTCTCAATCCTCACTCCCAACCCCACCACCCGACGAACCACAGGACGAGGCGATCGAAGCCCAAAAACAAAAAAAGCTCGAAGAATGGCGCCACTTCCGCGAAGACGTCTCACTAGACTTCGCCGCCTTCGAAGGCAGCATTGCGCGCGTGCAATTCCTCCTCACGAGCAATGAACAAGAGCGCGCGCGGTACGCCGCCGAGCGAGTCCAGATCCTATCAACAATGCAATCTGTCCGGGAAAACACTTCGGGTCTACGCAGTCAACTTGAAGAAGCGCAGCGACTACTCTCTTTGCGCAAGACGTACGATGAACTCGCGGACAAAATTACCAGTAATCGGCTGCTCAAGACTCGCGAGGATCAATCTGCCAATCTGCAGAAATTGCGCACGGAAATTTCGGACCTGGAGAATGAGAGCAAGGTATATGCTACGACGTGGGCTGAGCGGAGAGACCAGTTTGATCGTATTGTCGGTGAGGGCATGCAGATGAGGAGACTTATTCGCGATGAGAAGGAGGAGGTTGAGCGGAGGGAGGGCATGCAGGAGGATCAGGATGGCGATGAGGGCGATGCTACTTCTAAGGGGAAGGCGAGTAGTGCCAATACTCCTGGTCCTGAAAGCGAGGGCATGACTCCGCCTCGGTATGAGGAGGCGAGATCGGCAGCTTTGGCAGTTGAGAAGACTGGGGCTACGGGTGCTGCGTCGCCTTTAAGGCAGGTCACTGCTGCTCAAGGCCATGGTGCAGGTTCTGCTGCGGAGGATACCAATATGATTGATGAGGGGGAAATTTCTGGCATTAGTGACGGGGAACTGTCCGAGCTGGAGGAGGGAGAGGAGCTACCGGACGAACATTATAAAGAGAGGATGGATATCACCTGATGTATTCTCGGTGTGTACATTACTAGCACTAGCAAGGAGTTTGGTTTGGTCAGGCGTTGGACATTTACTTCACATTCAATGACATTATGGATTCGTTCTCATCTGGGTATTTTCGATTTGTAATTGGTTGTCCTTAAGAGATCGGAATCAGAGCCTTTTTGCCCTTAGCAATGGCCTCTTTGGCAGCGGTGATTTGCTCAACACTGCTGTTGGGTGCCTTCTTGCCCTCCTCGACCTATCGGATTGGTTAATTGAATGCATGTAAACTAAACAGGAGGATCAACCTACAACCAAAGCACCCAGTTCTTCCAAGGTTTGTTCGAGCTTCTGTCTCAGACTAGGAAAGACCTTTCTGGTCTCTTCGATGGCCATGTGCTGTGGATTACGTCAATACTGGAGTCACATACACCAACCCCGGCAGGACATACCTCCTGCTTGAGCATGTACTCGCGGTTTTCATCATCACCAGCAGTTTCAGCTTCAAGTCTCTTCACGCGCTCGATCTGGTCCGCAAGCTCCTTGTGGTAGGAAGCCTCCTCCTTGACCAAGCGGATCACAGAGGAAGTGGTAATCTCAAGCTGCGAGCGGGGAGCCATTTTGTTTTTCTGTGCAATAGTCAGCACTGTGCTCAATGGTTTCAATTGTGATCATTTCAAGTGTTTGGCAGGAAGCAAAAAGCCAGTCCCCAGCTCCAGTATCAAGATATTTTGCTCGGAATGCTTCAACGATAGCACTGCCAGCATTCTCGCGCCTTGGTACATTGGCCATCTACTGAGATCCTGCAAGGTTGAATCTAACAACATACCTGTGGAATACGGAATTGACAATTGAAAACAGTATGCCGAGCAATTTCGACTTCTCCAAATTGATATGCCCCTCGGTGATCTATGGTGTTTGCACTGTTTGTATTTATGACATCACGTGTCAGTCATAAGGCTTCGATTACAACGCTATAGCTCTTTACATAAGTGTTTATTTGTTAATGTATGTGAAGATAGAATAAAAGTGACTTTGGGGTAGGTCCCTTTGAAATGCGCAGACATGTGTCTATGCACAAAAAACCTGTATTCAGATTCTAAATTGTCTATTTTAAGAATCTCCTTATGTAATTTCATACATATGTGACTATGTATATAACAACAAAGAACAAGCAAAAAAAGGGTATAACTACGTTTAGGTAGAACATACATGAAACCCTTGTCGACTTATCATTGATCAATACGTTCTCTCTTTATATTGAAATGAGCGATATGAAATGAACAATACTAAATATGAAAAAAAGCGGATCACTTCAGCCAATTAGAATCCAAGGAAGTGATCATGCATTCAAAGTCCAGACTCCCTTCCGAACGAATAGCTTCATAACCTCCACACATTTTGTCTATTGTTGTTCTATTGGCGCATGGCATCTATTGTTGCATTCCCATATTGCATTCATTTCCTCTGATGTTCTCTATTTACTGCACTGTTTGGCTTAAATCCCAATAGTCATAATGCCTGTCCGATCACTTCGTTCAATGGCCACTGCCACAGCAATCCGCTATGTCAAAGGTATTGTATATCAGACAGAAGCAAACACATCCGACCTAGACGATCTAACTAATTATTGTTCTCCACTCTACAGTCCTGGAAGACCTTGGTGCCATGCCTTATGCACTTGTCCGTCCTATCTTACTGAGAATCGATAATCCTCAAAAACTAGTATGTCATACATTCATGTGTATAGATCCTCGCCTACCTCGGACTTTGCTCGCACATTCTATGAATACTTGCTGATATCCATGCTTTATACTAGCATTCCCTCGAACTTGCATCTCCCCATCTCGCCGAGGAAGACCAGGAGATCTGGATGGATTTCATTAAACGCGATATTCCCCGCTGGGATACCTACTCCCTCCCAGAACAGTCCAACAACTGGTACAACATCTACTGTGATCTCCGCGAACAAACCGACCGATCCCTAGATGCAGATGCCGAAATTATGAAAAAAGCCATTGACGGCATAAATGATAAGCGCGCCCTCCTCCCCCCCCAAATCATCCCCCAAAACAAAAGCCACCGCATGGCCCACGCAAGACCAACCTCCAAACAGCGCTCCGCAGCCCGCGACCGCAGTCTAGGCGGCAGAAACATAGGCGGCCCACTGCCGCGCGAGTCATCAGGCTGGGGCAAGAAAAAGCCCAACATCTTCCAACCCGCAAGGCGCAACACAGCCCTAACCATCCCAACAAAAGCGCTGAACACCCGCGCCTCCCAGGTTCCACGCGCGCCCCGTGCCCTGGTCGAAGAACACCAGGAATCCCGCCGTCCAAAGCCAACCATCGCCGCACCAAAGCACCTCCCGCCCGCCCTGCAGCACCCGCTGCTCGCGCAAAACGAGGCAAAGCTCCGCGCCTTGACGGGCAATCCCGCCCGCGCTGATGCAAAGCCCGATTTAAAGCGCCGCGCTACCTCTCCTCCCCCTGCTTCTTCTTCCTCTTCTGCTCCCTCCGCTCCCTTTCCTCCTCAATCCTCGGGTCTGCCGTCCTCCGGGCCTGTGATGCGTCGTCGGCCTCCGCCAAGTATCTTCATGCCGCCGAAACGGCGGCGTATGTGATTGACCATGTTTCCCCGGATGGGGAGTTGTTTTTATGTTTAAGGATCGGAGTTCCGGGCCGTCGCCTGATACCCGAGGTTGTTTCACCTCAGTTGCGATTCATATGGGCGTTGAATGTGATTTACTTGTTACTTGGATATTGGAAGTTCTTATTTTCATTTGTTTTGATTTGAGTTGTAGATTTGTAGGTTTTCTACTTGCGAATGTGGTAATCGCGTTTTGCAGTAGGGTCGAAACGCACTGCGCTGAGGATAAGTTGCCGTGTATTTCGTTGAATGTCTCTACTGCCCTATTCCAATCTTATACTCTACCCTCGTCGCAGTCCTGCAACTTACCTTCTACGCAAGAAAAACAACAGCAAAAGCACACAAGTCCAGGAATCTCAAGCGTAATATTAATTCATCCAGGACGCCCCGTATGCAAAGCCCATTGGCAGTGACTTTCCAAAGAAAAAGATTCCTCAATTCTTCAAACAAATCACATTGCCATGGTATGGTATATCCGTATCAAAGCCTAGAGCTAGAAGCCTCCACGCAGAGCAAGAACGAGATGGAGCGTCGAGCCACCTTCGAGATTGTATTCCGCGGCGGTTTTATCGTCGGCCCTGTGCGTGTTAGCTGTCTGAGACTCATGTCGCGGAGAGGAATAAATCCTCAGAATCAGGCATACATTTGCTTTCCGCCGAAGATTAGTCGTTGCTGGACGGGTGGGATGCCTTCTTTCTCTTCGACACGCTCTTTTATCCGGGAGACCTGGGCTTTTTAGTTGCTGTGAGTGGGGTGCTGGGCGGCGGTTCGGGCGCACCTTGTAGTCTGGCTCAATGTCGAGCTCGATCTCCTTGCCAGTGAGTGTGCGGACCCTGGTTTGTTAGTTTTGGGCTTTGGTGACTCTGTCGAATCATGGGGTATGGGTCAGACGTACTTGATCAACATTTTGGGTGGTTTGGGGTTCGATGCGTGGGCAGCTGCGAAGAGGTGAGGGGGGTTTTTGGTGGGGCTGTGCGCCTTGGTGCCTGATTCTGTTGGAGCCTCAGGGTGAATGAGGCTTGTCTCTTTGATGGGCTTGGATAGGTTTGAAAGGGTCTCAAGTAGAGATGTAGTGTCTGCTGGCTTGTTTTTATGTCATGATTTATTTTTTACTTGTTTACTTCTAATTCGATTGGACTGCCGAATTTTGAAAATATCGTGATTCTCGATTGAATATATATATAATGAACTATACGACATGGTAGACATCTTTTTGAAAAGATTCTTGTAAAAAAATTTGAAAGGCATCAATGCTGTCTCGTTTCTTCATTAAGCTACTGTTATCGTTTTATCTCTACGAAGGTCCAATAATAAATCTCTATATGTGTATAGAGCTCCCCTCGTTTCGCATAGCGTTAAAATGTTCCCTACCCCGCTGAAGCCGAGGACCACAGTCAATTTCACAGCAAGTCAATTCGAATTTGATCAACATGGCCGACTTGCACAAGGCAGAGAACCAGTTCCAGCAAATGATCACTGAATGTAGGAACGATCCAGTAAGACCAGTTCCAACCATCAACGATAAAATACTGAGCACCCCACAGAAAATACTGCAAGCCGCCTACGAAACACACAGAACAAATAGAAACGCCTCATTCCGTGACCAGATTCACCAGCCGGGATTTCACCAATGGAAGAAAGACGAGATTCTACATCAAGTTCTCGAAGCAGAGAGTGGCCTGACGGACTACGTCGACCCAAGGAATAACCTCGCTTATTGGGCACGCCCGCCACGGCATGTTCGGGACCTGGTCTACAAGATCCAGCAAGAGATCGGGGCATTAATTGGATCTTGTATGAACCATTGTTTTTATATCCTGATTCAAAAAGAAAAATGTACTGACCGCTACTCCAGCTCTCTGGCTAGTCCCATCAGACAATCTGCACATGACGACATTGGAGATCAGTTCTGAGCAGCCAGCAGACCAGATCCGTAAACTGACGGAAGCTATGGATTCAAAGCTGACACAGGAGCTGGCAAACTACACCCTTAACCACCGTGTGCGACTGGTCAAACCGATCATCAGCTACGACACTTCTGCCATTGCTCTTAGCTTTGTGCCTGCGGCTGGTGAAGATGACTTTAGCGAGTATAGCGGAAACGATGATCGGTATACGTATCACCACCTGCGGAGAGATCTCTACGACAAGGTGACCATGTCTGGCATTTCAATTGCTGCTAGATATACTGTTCCCTCGGCGCATATTACTATTGCTCGCTTTGTCCAACCAGTTGGAGCCACAGAGGTCGAGTTGGAATCTCCAGAGGTAATTGAACAAAAGGCGAATCAACTTGTTGCGAAGATTGAGGTTCTCAATGGTGAACTCCGCTCAAATGTGTGGAGAAGATTGGGAGATCCGTCTCAGGGAGAGTGGGTTGTTGGTCATGAGAAAGGGTTGGAATTTATGTGGGGTACAACATGGTATGGAAAAGGAGAGAGTATCGTGCTTGGAAACGGATTTGTTTAAACCATCAACATTTAGAGATAGTCATAGCCTTAGTGAGCTTCACAAAAATTAGATGATGAAAGTGATGTCAGTTTGGCCTCAGGCAGAAACATAGATGACTGAGCATGATATCTTGGCGACAACCCCAAAAGGGTTAGCGCATACCCGAATAGGGCCTAAGCGAGTGAAATCCCACAACCCAACAATCGCTCTTGCTCTCCTCCGACAAGCGACAAACCAACGACCACCACCCAGCTATCCGGCCAAGTCAGTCAAAATGGTAAGGATACTATTCCTACGAGATGTGTCAATCTGTTCTGCACCGAAGCCCGATCATTCGAATTTCTGAGAGCTACGAATTGTGTTCACTGTGCGGCCGACCTCGAAATCGTCAAATCCCCCGACTGTCGCCAACTACCATATTACACCCCCGCCCAACCGTTTCTTTCTACCAGATTCTCGCAAGCAACACGAAGATGGATAATGAGGAGAGCTCGAGCGGCGAGAGCCGCAGTAAAAACCACTGTGGGACTGGGTTCAAGAAGCACACCAAATGGGGTTATCGCACTGAGATCTCAAAAAATCCAGTGTGCGTTGGCACCCCTGCTGATTCCACGACAAAACAACACTCGACCGACAAACACACTTGAACCTCTTCGCGACCGCCAGAAATTCGAACCGGACTTCAGAGCACGAACATTGACATTTCATCTCACCCGCAAGACAATTCAAGACAAAAAAAGCTCATGACATATCCTCCAGGTCAACATTCCCAAAACCCGCCGGACGTACTGCAAGTCCAAGGAGTGCCACAAGCACACCCAGCACAAGGTCACCCAGTACAAGGCTGGCAAGGTACGCTTCCTCGACGGAACCTACGACATGAACAACAGCTGATCCCTATCTTCAGGCCTCCCTCTTCGCCCAGGGTAAGCGTCGTTACGACCGGAAGCAGAGCGGTTACGGTGGTCAGACCAAGCCCGTCTTCCACAAGAAGGCCAAGACCACCAAGAAGGTCGTCCTGCGTCTCGAGTGCACTGCTTGCAAGGCCAAGAAGCAGCTCGCCCTGAAGCGCTGCAAGCACTTCGAGCTGGGGTATGTTTGGTTCGATTTCTTGGATTGGAGTCTTGTACTAACGATCTCTATAGTGGTGACAAGAAGACCAAGGGTGCTGCTCTTGTTTTCTAGATTATTGGTTTCCTTGTTCGGCTTCTGGGTTTCCTGCATTGCACAACGTGTTTCGCTGCTGCGGAGCATATATGACATTGGCAATGGAAAAATGAAATAGGAATTCATCTATTCAAAAACACTATGACTACCGGATTATGAGTCGTTGAATGAACATCTTGCCTCCCTGTAGAATCGCCAGTACTGTAATGTCTTCGTAGTGTGATGTCTTGTGCTTGTCGCAAGCCCTGCACAGTCTGTACATGGGTATATTATCTCCGGGGCTGTTCCATTCTGGCCAAGTCTGCGTTCCACTGGAACCCATAAGCCAAGTGATGCCTCATTGCGGAGCCCAACAGCACCTCTGACTCCACTTACACTGTGATCACATTTCAGATGAACAGACTAATTGTCGTTCAAATAATATCAGTTACAAGTCGACTACAAGAGTCTCCTAACTTAGTGGCTCGGTGTCTTCCCGAGTCCGTACTCTCGTTTCAGGCGCCACAAAGTATTTATCCCCCACGCCCAGCCACGTCCAGCTTCTTGATTGCTCTGATATCAATACGAATCCATTGCCCAGACTCTCGGTCGCCAAATGACCGATAAGCGCGAGTGAAGGTTTCAAGCAATGCCAAGGCATCCGAAAAGGGTATCCCGCTCAACAAGTCATGTACCCCGGTCGATATGCCCCTACCACTGCGTCAAACTGCACTGAACTACATCATGTCATTGGTCCGGGAATGCATTCAAGCGAGTCGTCAATTATTATCCATAGCTTCGATGCAGAATCGTCAGTTCGGCACAAAAAGTCCAAACATTCCGCAAATCCAACCCCCCGCATTTCAGGACGTGGGGGCACAGACACTGAACAGTCTATAGCTAACCGGGCTGAAAGGCAACATGTCATAATTAAAAAAGCCCGATGACTCTCTGTTGCTTTGTATAGTGGATACTCGATATTCGTATTCCCCAGTTCATCAACTTTCCCCGCAACCCCAGAAACGCCCTCGGCCTTCCTCCGAGCACTGGGCATCGACGTCCTATCCCTTGTGCAGTGTCCTCCTCGGCTCATCGGACGTTACCCGGCGCTACATATAGATATCAGACTTGATCGCTATCCAAGTGACCGCTTTCTTGTTTCCTTTTGATATCATTGTCATTTTGATTCCTTGAGAATCAGTTACTCCAAAATGGCAATGTGGTACTCACTGGGCATTGCTTTCTTCGCCGCTATCGGCACATTCCTATTTGTAGGCTACTGTTGAATTATATTGGAGAGCCAGTTCTAATCATGAATAGGGCTTCGACACCGGTATCGCGACAACAAGTGAGTTCCACCGAATAATCTCCACACAAGCCTAAGACTAACATCTATCTCCCAGCAATCGCCCACCAGAGTTGGATCGATTATATGCAAAAGCCCTCAAATGGCGTCACAGGAGCCGTACGTCCCATTGAGCCCAGAATCCAATCCAAATCAAACTGACATCCCACAGGTCGTGGCCGTCTACATCGCAGGCGAAGCCCTCGGCGCCCTAACGCAAACCTTCATCGGCGACAAGCTCGGCCGCATCCGCTTCATGCAACTGATGTGCATGATCGTCACAATCGGCACAGTCATCCAAACCGCTTCCGTAAATATCGGCATGTTCCTCGCCGGCCGCGCCATAGCCGGCTACGCAGTAGGGTAAGCCGTCCGCCTCAATCCCTAATTCCCAATCCAATCCGGACTACCTCACTAACACCGTTGCAGCGGCCTCGTCGCCACAGTACCCATCTACCTGAGTGAAATCTCGGACCCGCGGTACCGCGGCCTGATCGGCGGAATATCCGGCTGCGGCATCTCCTTCGGAACGATGATGTCGAACTGGGTCGGCTATGCGTGCAGCTATGCGCCGTACGGACCTGTGCAGTGGCGGCTTCCGTTGGGGATTCAGATCCCCTGGGGGATTATCATGTTTATTGGACTTTCGACTTTTATGCCGCATTCGCCGAGACAGCTTATTCGGTCTGGGAAGGTTGAGTTGGCGAGGAGTGAGTTTGCGAGGATTCGGAGGGGTGTCGCGCTGCTGGAGATGGAGGAGGAGTTTGGGCTTATGAAGGCTCAGATTGAGTATGAGATGGAGAGGGAGATTAGTTCTTACCGGGAGATCTTTAGGGTGTTTAGGCACCGGGTGCTTGTGTGAGTTTTCCTTTTTGGTTTTGGCTTTGTGGGTTGGAGTTTGCTGACGGTATGATTGTAGGTCCATTGCTGTGCAGACTATGACTAGTCTGACGGGTGTCAATGTCATTCAGTATTATCAGAGTGAGTTTTGATTGGATTGGGTTGAGTTTGGTTTGGTTGCTAATATCTTTCTAGCTACTCTTTACAAGAGTCTTGGAATTGGTTCCCATACGATCCTTGCGTTGGCTGCGGTTTACGGTACTGTTGCTTTCGTGTCTAACTCGCTCACGACCAAATATATGACCGATCAATGGGGTCGTCGGAAGTAAGTAGTCTTGGAGTCTTATTGTAAACGCGCACTAACCGTTACAGGATGTTAATCACCGGATTGGCGGGCATCATCTTGATTGAAATCTACGCTGCCGTCATGCAGAGGTGCTTCCAGAACACGGATAACCGTATCGGAAAGGGGTTTGCAATTCTTGGAATCTACCTCTTCGTTGTTTGCTACTGTACGTCGCTTGACTGGACTCATTGGACTATCGCTAACTTGAAATTCCAGACGGCATGCTCAACAGTACTACATGGCTGTACGGCGCCGAGGTACTTCCTATTGCTCTCCGCAGCAAAGTGATGGGTCTTGCGGCTTCATCGCACTTCATCGTTAATGTTGCAAGTATGTTGCATCTTGAAATGGATTGTTCATTGGGCTGTAGTGCTAATATCTTCATAGTCACCGAGGCTGGACCCAGTGCTTTCGCCAACATCCATGAAAACTATTATTACGTCTTTGTAGTATGCTCTGCATTCTTCTTGGTGATTGCTTACTTCTACTTCCCCGAGACCAAGCAGAAGACACTTGAGGAGGTGGCTGCTGCGTTCGGCGACCGTGTTGTTGATCAGGACGAGGGTGCTAAGCGTGCGACTAGTGTGGTTGGTGATGTTCAGCATGTTGAGTCCACCGATGTGACATCAAAGGCTGTCTGATATTGTCTACTATTATATCGGACCTAGCATCGGCCTTGCACCTCTGAACAGCCTGGAGATAATTCTAAATTAAACATGACATAATGAGCAGTATTCAGTGGGTGCTCAGTAATTGAGTCTAAATAGAATGATGCAGAGCCTTAGACAGTCAATAAGAAAGATAAGAAAGGAAACTGGAAATCATGCTACTACCTAGAACACATGTTTAATTATTGTCGGTGTGTTTGATGTCCGAACAAGGCTAGGACTTGAGGTAAAGCAAAATCATAGATAGTTCTGTGCTTTAAATCCATGAGATCTCCTTCATCATTTACAATTTGCATATGTAATATTCGTGATGAGACTTATCATTTCTCCCGGGAATCAATGAAACACATTCCGCCAAAAGAAAAGCCTGATGTTCTCCCATTCTCGTCACAAGGTGGGGTCTGATGAATTATTCACCTCGATATTGACTTAGCCCCAAGCTGTAATTCGGTGCTTGTAAAGTTTGGTGGAAAAGTGGGTATATTTGTGGCTTTGCGCCAGGGTTCACGTCTTGTGGGGTCAGCCTGACCACGCTTGGGATCTTGGTATGGCTATATTAGGGTCATGATGCTCATGCTACACAGCATGCTTGACCTTTGCTGAATATCCTACAGTATTTGATATTTGTGAAATCGGACATGCGATCTCTGAAACGCACCCATTTCAAACTTAGCCGAGATCCACTCAGGTTCTCCTCAGACTAGGGTTCGTCCGTCTATCTCCTTTCCCTTCGTTCCTTCGATGATGAAGAGTCTGTTTATATGTTTACTATATTGTTTGTGCGTTGGAAAGTATAGGTTGAGCCAGAAGTTGGATATATAGCAAACAGACTACCAAGAAATCCACGATTGGTCTAGGTAAGTGACACAGCCTCCTAAAATTCAGAGCATATTAGAGCCCATCTTATTTTGGCCCACGTCTCAATATTTGTTAGCATGACGCTAAATACGGATCTACATGTTGAGCAGTGTCCGGACCTCCCTGGTAAAAGTAACACAAACCCCAGGCCAGGAGAAGGTTGAGCCTCCGTTGACTCTGCCATCTTTTTTCTGGCAGTGTCAGTCTAATTCAACGTCGACGGACAGTCTTTCTGTCGCAATCGGACATCGGGCCATATAACTTTGTCTCCCTCAATTCTTATCATCCGCGATGGTTCACGTCGCTTGGGTTTCGCTCCCACTGACCTATGTTTTCCAGTTAGTCATCGCGGAGAATATCCAAACCCATTGGCAAGTACCGGATGGAACACGAGCCGACTTTACAGAGACCTTATACAACGGAGACACGGTGGAACTCCAATGGACTGGCTGGGACAGCATTTGGACGGATGGCAGCATCGACACAGCGATTGCCAATCTGTACGTCGCCTCGTGGAATTTCAATGTTAGCGAGTATAGCAGAATTCTGTCATGTATGTGATTTTTTTCCACCAATCTTGATAAATATTGAGTGATGATCTAACGTTTTCGCGTAGCTTCCATCGATGTCTCAATCAGCGGAGGCTACAAGTGGAAGATTGACATAAGCGCCGACGCCCTAAAGAATAATTCCGAGTACGGCCTCTTCTTCGTGAACACAAATGAATTCTACTATGATGGCGTGACCACGATCCCGTCAATGGGATTCTCCATCAAGGAAAAGCCGAAATCTTCTGCCGCCGCGACACCCACACGCTCAACAACCACTCCCACGCCCCTGACAACGAGAACATCCACCAATGGCGCGTCATCGGGGTCAACCTCTGACTCAAATGGACTCAACAGGAAAGAGTCTGCGGGCATTGGTGCTGGTGTAGGGGTTGTCGGCACCGCTATAGTTGTTGGTCTGGGATACCTGTTGATCCGACGTCGCAAGGCCTCATCGTCGGAAACTGCTCAAAATCCAACGGCTTACCAGCCTACTCCGACTCGATTTGAACTGGAATCGGGACAAGAACTGGTTCAAGCTTCAGTGGAAAAGTTGAGCGAGCCTGATCCTCCAAATAATGGTAATTACCGCAAGTCGGAGCCACAAGAGATGTTTACGCCTCCGGTTGAGTTACCTTCGCAGCCTTTCGGGCGATAATGTAATCTTGTACGCTTTGCGATTGTTCCATGTGCATTTAGGATATCGTGCTTTTGCTGATATTGATATGCTGGGAATTTGCTAGCTCTCCCCTGCATTTTTTGGTCCGTCACGAGCAAATCATGTATCTAATTTTCAATTCCTTTAGCGACTTTAGCCTCATGAAATCAATACCCATTATCAGTGCGCATCATGTGGCTGGTTCTTTCTCAACTCAATTTATATGTCTCGTCGCTATATCGGTGTCATATAGAGCAAGAAAGGCAAAAGAAGAATGTTGAACATCCGAGATGAAGCATTATAGGCACCAAAGACTTGCTCGCGGCCGTTGGAAAAGAGGCGAATGGAGGAAGCTGAGAAACGGATCTGATGGCCTATGACAGCTATTGTGACGCTCTCACAAACACCAGAGAGACCAGGAAACCGACGGTCGCGAGCCAAGACAGTGGACACTCAGATCATGTTGGGGCTGATCATGTACCAAAAAACATTCGTAATTTTATCAACTTCTATTTGATAGAGACTTACAATATGTTGAAGGAACTATTTTGCGTTTCCTTTTTCGCAAAGATAGTAGATAAAAGATGATCAAGGCTAATGACATCTCATCCATTTTCAACATACCTTGACTTTTTGCTATTATTCGCATTTTGTATGAAAGTGGATAAAAGAATGTCGGTCTTCTATTTATAATGTTCCTTTTATTCACTCAAATGGCCGAAGAGTCTCAGAGCGTATGGGTCATATTTGGATTTAGACTCAATTCTATCCTTGAACACACTTGGTGGGAGGTGCTCAACATATATTGCTTAATGTAGTGAGAGCGAGCATAGCTACATACGTATATAGAAAGTGCAGCATAGATACTGTGCTTCGCGCTCGATATGTGAGTTATATGATCGACAGGAGCAGCTTGAAGGCAAAATTCACCGCAGCGTGCGCGCAAAATTCCAAGAGATGAATCTAACTATTATGCGGTCTCTAGCTAATCGAAGAAAGAATTCAGGGACAGCTGGGTCGCATCGAGCTAACACATTAAGGCATTTTCAACATCTCATTTTTGTCGTTGCCGCTCAAATTAACACGCAAGGGGTTTAGATATCGACGAATAGAGGTACTGAGATGAGAGAACGCAATGAATTCATGACACCAAAACAGCGAGGGTATAGGAATAGATGTATAGATTTTTAAACGTCGAGGAACCCCAATATTTCCCTATGTAAAAGCCTAAAAGTGCAACTAAAATGGCGAGGTCAAACCACAGTGAATCTAAAATTTTAGACTAACATGATATCATGTCTGGGCACTAGTCAGGGACGGAGTCGACACAAATTTACGTTCAAACTTTACGCACAGGTCCACCGGCAAATCGTTTTTCACGTGGTACGCTTAAGTAGTATTAACACGAGATATAAGGCTAGGGTTGGAAAGCCACATGAGTGTACCTTGCATAAAACATCCCAGCCCCCTTCCCGCTTAAGAAGGTCGGGAAGTCTTGGCTTACCGGTCTACCACCTTCCTGAACTACCGAAGCCCTGCATTTATTGGAATTAAAGGCGCATGTCAGAATGAGGCAGCTACTCGTGTCTCACGATTTTCTCCCCACAATAGAACAATTCTAGAATCTTTCTAGAATATTGTGACCTTCCAAAGTTGGCCTAACCTGTCATTGTACTGACTCGCTTGGAACTACGATGACATCGTGCATATCCATATGGCTTTCCCATAGTCGAACTTGGCAAGCTTACCTGTCTAGGTAGTAGTAGAAGTAGACTGGTCATTTTGACACTGGAATTCGAAGTCCTTGAGATCTAGGCGATCTCAGATAATTGCCGATCTCATATTCCTAGAACAAAACCGCTTCGAACCCTAGCATATTAGCAATTTGCACTGTCCAATCATCCCAATATCCGATGCATATTCTCTCGTCGGAAACTCTATCGCCACGCGACACGTTGATCAATCAATGATCAACATGCACGTAAAAGTCAAACCGCACATTGCGCGAGAAAAAAAGAGCCCCTGGAACTATTCTACCCCGGGGAGTAGCGGGAGAATTATTCTGTCACTGCCTTAGTCGGGGAGGAGACTATTTGCCACTTCGTACTTTGTTATACCGTCTGATGGTCACTTTGCAGCTCTTATTTTTTCTTGCAATTTTTTGCTCGAGCCTAATAACTCGGCTTTAGCTCGATCGAACTGCAAATTAAAGCCTGGAGCGTCTAATTTTCCTTCTCCGGTTACTGGAGTCCCGATAACTAGGAACACGAGGTCCGAGCGCGCTAATTAGACGATAGTTCACACAATGGGCTTGCACGCTGATCGTGCCATGTGGAACTGGAGAGCCTCAGGTTTTAAGAATATGAATGTTCGAGACGATCTACATTTGACAAACATGAATGTTATAATGTTAGGTAACAATTAATCGGTTCCCTGTAAACTTTGCCAGCGGATCCGCCTCCCGAGATATACAACCACGAATTCCAAGACTTCGCCATATAAACAAAGCTGACCTGACACAATCACGACTGCAACTGACATTTCCGGGGTTCCGGAAAGCTGAAACTCAATCAGAATTTTCGCGACACATCGGCTGTTCTAAGAATGGCGCGTTGCCGCCAGTGCCATTGTTGTCATTGCGCATATTGTGGCTCAGTCAAGGGAATCCACTTCCGGGGGTCTAACCAATGAAAATGTGTGTTAGGACCTCTAGTCCTCATTATTGACTCAGCCATTCAGCGCTTGGCTATTTCTTTTTTTCTTTTACAAATATGTCATGCCCAGTCAAAGTCAAGTAAGGGGGAATGATCGGCATCGTGGGTGAGGCCACTCCCCCAGTTATTGTACAACGTAGTGGCAACGGCAAATCGGCACTTTTAATGAAAACTATGATCGCCCCTTTGCATTTCCTCTTGACTTCCGACATGTACGGTAGTAGTAGCACACATAAAACACAGGCATTGCATATCGGCTTTTATTGACACTGCGCTCGGCATCGGATAATCCGACGAAACCCGTATTCACCAGCCGAAAAATGCGATTGACAGGGCCCAAGCGAGGGATAATCCATGGATTGCAGATGTATCAAGATCCACCAGCAGAATGAAACTAAACATTCCCAGCGATCTGTACCGGCCTAAACCGCTTCCCGCTAGATCGCCCAGTTTGATCTGCGACTCCATCCAAGTAGCCCTTCTAGAAGGATGTTCCATGCATTATCGGACTCTCCTAGCGCTATTATTGATGCTGTCATTTAGTCACTATTCCAGCAATAGTTTATGTAGATATTTATTATAATTATTACTCTATTAATTTGTATTTGTCTCTAGACAGGGGGCAAAAAATCTAAATCAAATAAAAATCATCATGCAGCCATGCAGCCATTCCTTTCGGATAAACACAACCCTACGTGGCAGACTAGTCATATAGAATTAAAAGGGTTGCCTTCCTAGCATCGGATAGGGAAGTATAGAAGACAGCAATCCGCTCTCATCTCCATCAAACTCAAAAACGTCACTATCCCCGCTGGTCCACGGTATCTGTGTGTGGGCTTTACTATTCTTACTCTAGCTTAATGGGCCCAACACGAACTGAAGCCATATACCCACAACGTACATCGCGGAGTACCCGGCTCAACATCGGCTGTTAAAATTTGTTGAGAGGTGGCTCCTTTCTTCGACAATCGTCTCGCTCCACAGTCGGAGAGACTGGATATTGCATCAGATCATCAGTTTCCACCCACCTCATCACTTCAATATGGCATCCAGATCAACAGGAAAGCGCCTCCCAATAAGCTGCCAGGCCTGTCGAACACGAAAGATCCGCTGCTCACGGGATGGCCGGCCATGCCAGACCTGTGTACGACGCGGTCTCGGCGCAGAAGACTGTATCTACCTCGGCCAGCCGCGTCTTTCAGCTGAACAGTCTTCGCCCGACAGCGCTATGCAGACGGAATTATTAGCCCGCATTCGAAACTTGGAAGCCTTGCTCCAGAAACAGATGACCTCCCAGGCTGGAACACCTACCGGTGGCACGGTGTCGCCACTCGGTGGGACCAGTGCAGCTGGTAGTCTCTCCGAGTCTGATGTTGGACCTGGTTTTGAGTGGGATCCTTCAAACTCTATGATGAATAATGTTGGCTCACTGCATACTTCATCCTCCGGTCATGTCCGTTATGTGCCACTTGCGTCGCAATGGGAGAGTTTAGTGGCAAAGAGCCCCGCTGCGGAGTGTTTGAGGAGCATTGATTCGGATATCGCGGAGGATGATGATGATCTGCAGATCCCACTGGCGAAAAATGGAAGTATCTCGCGCGCGGAGTTGTTGGCTATGCTCCCCCCTGGAAGGTATTGTGATACCTTGAAAGATGTCTACTTTCAGGTTTTCTCCACAGTACGTGTTCGTCAATATAGATTTTGTGTGCTCTAGCTGACAAAATGTTAGGTTTTTCACATCCTTCACGACTTGACTTTCGAAGCTGAGTACCAGCAATTTTGTCATGATCCCGTCAGTGTGTCGACATCATGGCTAGCCTTGTTGTTTGCTATTCTTGCAATTGCCGTGAGCGCACTTGATGATGATCATCCTCTTCTTTCAGATCTAGGGCGGGAGCGGACGGTCAGTCGTAATATCAAGGCTCTTTCCGCGCGATATCGCTCCGCCGCGTTGCGGTGTCTTGCCGCTGATGGGGTGATGTCCCGACATTCAATCAATTCGCTACAAGCCTTGGTACTCATCAGCTATGCCCGCGTCCATCGTGGTCTACCGATCTGGACACTGCTAGGATTCACCCATCATGTCGCGATATCAATGGGTTGTCATCTCGACCCAGAGAGATTCGCCCTGGGACCGATTGAACGTGAAGAACGACGACGAGTCTGGGCTGGGTTGATGATGCTTTACACCATCCAAAACACGGCATTTGGAAGCCTGGATCAGCAAACCATGACACAAGACGTGAAAATGCCCGCAGACATTGACGACGTCGATCTCCTCACCAGTCCAACTATGACCAGATCTGTACCATCACCAGAAACCTCCCGCCCAACTCAGATGACATATCTTCTCTTCAACTTCCGCCTCTCCAAGATTTCGGCTAAAATCTGCGAAACAATCTTTAGCTACCCAAGAACATCTCGCTACAGCATTTCTACGATCGAAGCGGAAATCATTTCCGTCCGCGAAATGATCGATGCTCGTTATACACTCGAAACAAAGGATGCACTACCTGTTCACCACCAAGCAAATCACCACATCCTCTACAGCCAGATCCACCAATTACTCCTTCTTCTCCTCCGCCCAAGTCTCTGTCGCTACCTACAAGGCGAGATCACACCCGAAACATGCGCCTCGAGAGCCAAGTGCATTGCATCTGCCAAAGCATCACTCTCAATATTCCAGACTCTGCTCGAGTCACCCCCCTTCAAACCATATAAATGGTATACCAGCGGACTAGGCAGTTTCCATGCATTCCACGCCTCCGTTACGTTGGCAACCATCCTTCTTGTCCCAGAAAGCCAATCTGAGTACGAAGAGACCAAAGAGATCCTCGACCGAGCATTGGACATGTTCGCCTCACTTTCCGTGAGGAGCGTCTTCTGTAGCAAAGCCGTCCCGGTGCTTCGGCAAATGATGTATGTTCCCTCCATTTCATTATACCCCGAATTTATCAGTTTGTTCAGCAACTAACATTTCCCAGCGACGTCGCCTCAACCAAATACAACCCCCAAAACCTCACACACTCCCAATCCCACCTCCAAGCACAAGCACAAGCCCAAGCTCAAGCACAGGCCCAGCTCCAGCAAACGCATACCAATCTCCAAAACCAACTCCTGAACACAATCCACACACCCCTCTCCACAATGTCCACTCTCTCTCCCGTGATGGGAATGCAGGATAATTTCGTCCTCTCCCACCCACACTCGCAGTCCGGCTCACCGGTCCCAACAATCGGATCGACATCCAGTGAGCCAATCATGCACTCCAGCTTTGGCCAGATGCACCCACAGAACTGGATCGGGCCTACCTCCGTGCCGTGGGATACAATGGGTGCTATTGGGGGCTACCGGTATGACGCGGGCTCTTAGGCGTATTGATACAGATTTCAAAGTTGGAGTTTGGGGCTTCGGGACGAATGGTCATGAGCCATATGAGATATGAATTCGAGATAAAATTTTTCTGAATTGAAATAATTACTAATCTAACGAACCAACGCATGTATTACAATCGTCTCACTTTGTATTAATATCACAATCCCCATTGCAATTCCACACACCAAGCCTATATGCCCCTCAAACACCGGGCGCCCCCTTCCCCTTCCTGATCATAACAGCCAACCCCGTACCGTGTCCGTCGGCACCCATCTGGCCCCCCGAGACTTCCATACCCAAGAGCTTCTCATAAAACGGCACAGACCGCTTCCATCCACTCGTAATAAGCATTGATCTCCGCAAATACGGCATACTCTCAATAACCTCCTGCACGCAGGCTATAAGCCAAGTGCCTAGGCCTTTGCCTTGGTGTTCGGGGAGAATGAAGACGTCTGTGAGGTAGACGAATGTCGTTGTATCTGTTATGCAGCGGGCGAAGCCGATGAGGATGGAATTCTGCGTTGGGGTTCCTTTCGGATTCGGGGTTTGGTCGTAGAGTCCGAAACAGAGGGAGTTTTGGAGAGTCGCGCGCATGGCGGCTTCCGGCATTGGTTTCGCCCAGTATACTTCTTCGCTGGCGAACCATGTGTTTAGGGTTATTGGTGAGATTTGGGAGGCGTCAGTTGAGATTATGTAGGGGGCTTTTGTCCAGATTTTTGGATTGGAGGTTGTTGAGATGGTCATTTTGAATATTGATGCTTATTAGGATTTGGTGAGGTAGGGGGGTTTGAATGTGTGTACATAGATGGTCTAGTGATTGAATGGAGTAGCTTGGCTTTTTCGTACGTTGTGAAAAGGCACGCAATGCAAACGTTAAAAATTGAATTATCAACTTGGGAGATTTGATCTTTATATATATTGAAAAAGGTCTTCAATCAATGACTCAGAGGATATCCGGGGCCCTGGGGGAGGGGAGGGGGGTTGATTATGGCCCGTCTAGGTGGGTCCAAGTGTAGATACGAAGATGCATTTCGGCGCAATCAACGAACAATCTTGCTTGAAGTTTGGAATATTACATCTGCCAAGTGTGGCCTCGGCAGAATGATATGAATTGGCAACGGCAATGGTGAGAATATGAGAATATATTAAGTTTGAATAAACTGCATCGCTGAAATAACACTTCAATATGCCCAATTACTCATAAAAGACCAAGCATCTAACTTCGATACTTTGCCTCCCAGGCGTTCCCTCAGGAGTCTGCGGATCAAAGAAAGCAGTATGACCAGTCCCATGAGCAATATCAGTCCGGCCATCCGTCAGAGTATGGCTCCTAGAATCAAAGCACTTGAGAAGCATGACCTCATCAGGAGTCATATCCTTCTGGTAGAAGAAACGATGGTTCTCATTGGGAGCAATCGCATAAGTCTCCCCCTTAACCTCATACCCGTCGGTGGAAAGCATAGACTCAGGATCCGGTGCAACCTCCTGACCCTGCTGCCATTCCTTGGGGTAAAGAAGGTCAACCTTCACGAAATCATCCGGCGAAGTACTCCTCCAATCAACAACCGCTAACGGGAAATCCGTCGCCGGGTTCTCAATCGGTCGCCAGACATTGATAATCTGGTACCGACCCTTCAACAACTCCTCAACTTCATCTTGGGGCGCATGGCGCCGGACTCTTGTTTCCGCGGCAGCGGGCGTCTGATCGACGTGCACGAGTTGCACGGGACTGCGCGCTGAGCCAGGAAGTCTGCGTCTGATAGTGTGGTCAAAAATGACGACTTTTTTCACGCCCGAGAGATTTTTGCGGAGGAGATCTTCCACTTCGGCATAGTACCCCGCTTTCACGGCATCGTCGTCAGTGAAAAGGCGCTCTTTGGCGGGCGAGTTGTACACTGCGAAACCGGAATTGTCGGTTGTGAAGTCAGACTCTTGGCCACGGAGATTTTCAACTTTGCGCTCCCGGTCTGTAAGTTGATAGGAGCGACCCGGCCCATCGACTTTTCCCCAGGCCTTTTTGAAAGGCTCGGTGGCGTGGGGGTCGTAGGAAGCCGGGTCGATGTATTTGAATGTGGCAGTGGTCATTTTGAGAGAGAAAAGTGGAATGGAACTATTTGATGTCAATGGTTTCAAGTTCTGAATCAAACAGAGGGAAAGAAAAGACAATCTTATACTCCTTATATATATGATGTAATATTTGAAGTAATAACTAAGATTGGAAATCGGCTGATTAATAATATTCAAGTGGCGCGGAGACATTTATCATCACTTTCACTAATTCCTCCGAACATACTTCTGTAAGTAGGTATAGGCATTACTTCGATCTCATAGAAGGTTGCATGAATAAATGGGAGGTAGCTGATGGTAAAATAAGAAACTAGACTCATTTCGAATGCCACTGGATTCACTGACCTTGTCGCCTGAGATTTTAGGCCAAAACGATAAATAAACTTAAAGATCAATATCAGCTGCTTGTGATGTTTATCAAACGCTATCGGCATCATGAAATAACAAATGAGGACGTGGTTGTGATAAATCGAATTGTAATTTATCCAATTTACTGTATGTTTTGAGGTGCTCGCATGAAAGTTACATTAACTTGTTAAGCGAATGGCCATCTCCAAAACACATAGTTAGTAAATGCAGCAAATTTACAACTTGAGATCTCAACAGCAGTGGTATATAGGGACTATTCCTTGTAACCTTTTACGCACTACTACCGAAATTCAACCCAGTTCTTTGGATTGGCGCGACCAACGAGGAGCTATTTCGATCCATCGTCCGAAAGCCTCCAAAAAATGCAAAGCTTCACGACGACCCAACGATTCGGTTAGAATTTTGATGGCTCCACGACCAAACAAAGAAGAACCTGATTACCTGGTCATCTTCGACAATGTTGATGACTTCACATGGGATATCAAAGACGTGATCCCTGAATGTATCGGAGGTAGACTTATCATTACTAGTCAAGATATAAGGAGTTCGAAACTGCTCAGACGAGGTTGTGAGAAGGTTTATGCCGATGCTATATCGCCACCGGAGGCAAGAATGGTTCTTCTCCAACACCTATCGCAGGGTCCGGACCCTCCCCGGGAAAAGGTGCAACAAGGCTGCGATGAAGTGACGGAGAAGCTTGGATATTTGGCACTTGCAGTCGATCTTGCTGGTGTGTATATGGGCGACCGCGCCGCCACGCCGGAGTAAGCGCTCATGCAGTACCCGAGAAATTTCGAAAGACATCGCGACGAGCTCTTGCAAAAAGATGAGTTTCGAGGAATTCAAAGGAAGGAAATACGATATGGACTGTCTGGGAAACCACTCCGGAGAAAATTCAAAAAGAGAACACGGAGCTGCCTGGTGTACTATTGTCATTTTTAGCACGTTTCTGAGGCTCGATTGTTCAGGACGAAGTGTTTCGTCTCGTCAGTCTTGGTGTATTTGCTGTCGATGACGAGCTCGGCGAAGAAAATTCCACCAAACTGTGAATTTCATCCCTTAAGCCGAAGAAGGTTGGGAGAATTTCAAGTATGATGGAAGCATAAATGTCGTGGCTCGTTACATTCTAGTACAGCGAGTGTAAGGGGATTAGCCTGGTACAATATTGCACAGCCTGGTTCAGTGGAGAGCAGCTCGTGGCGACAAAAATCAACAATGGCGGGGGGGGGGGGGTACATCAAGTTCATGCTTGCTGCATGCTTCCAAAGTCTCGATAAAGATCACCGGCCAGAGCACCGTCGGCATCTCATATTGCATCTTTCGGACGTAGGGAGAATAATTTAAACCGTATCGCAATTGAGGAGCCGGGAAAGGCTTTTATCTGGGAGATACTAGGGAATATCCATTATTATGAAGGCCGGTGTGAAGAGGCCGAGTGGCTTCAGGTGCAGGTCATGGAGACACGCAGGAGGAAGCTCAGCGAGGACCGCCCGGACATGCTAGGCAGTACGGCCAACCTAGCGTTAACATATAAAACTCAGGGCAGGTGGAAAGAGGCCCAGCAGCTCCAGCTCCCAGGGATGGAGACACGCAGTAGGAAGCTTGTCGAGGACCACCCGGACATGCTGGCTAATTCATGAAGACCAAGAAAGACAAGATTCATTCCGTGAAAGATCCGGTAAAGTCCATTGGTTTTGCTGATTTCCATGCACTCTGCGATGTGATCGTCGCAGTGGCCCCCGGCATCCGCGAGGAAGACACCGATCGTGTTACATGGTCAACGAGCTCCCTAAAACAGTGCGGATAGATTGATTTATCACTCGTAATCTGTTACTTCAAGTATAGTTTTTCCTTCTTAGGTAGTCCACTAGTTATTTCGAGGGAATGTCGAAATTAATTTTTGTCTAAATTGGATGTTTCGTTTCCAACGATAGATTTACCCTGTGTGGTTCATCCGATGGAAGGAAAAAAGCCCCAATTTTGATATCTTGGGAGTTTCGTAAGTCGATTTCTAAATTTTCCGTACTCATGAAGCCCTATAGTATATCAACAGCCAATAAATCGAGAATATAACTCCAGCCCCAAACGAGAATCTCCAACTGCCATACAGAACCCCTGGAAGACATCAAGCGTCCTCTTCGGAGTCGATCGTCACAAGTAATTCTTTTTTGCGATCATTCCTCCAAACAAGCCACCAAGAGAGCAAAATGCCCGAAATAGCCGCACAGAGGAAGCAAAGGCAAATGATGTATGAGACACGGTATGTCGGACCAAACACTGTACTGTAAACATGAGGTCCGGCAATTCCGCTAAACTGAGCCATTGCGTTTGTTATTCCAATACCCATACCAACGGCCACTGTGCCTTCGAGCGCGCGGATACGCTCTGGCCAGATGACCGGGTATGCTGAGCCGGCACAAGCAGTAGCTACCACCAGGGCGAGGTATTTGACGACCGAATTTGATACTGTGATAAGGATGATGTAGCAGATAATCGTTGTGATTTCAACTGTTTCTATGGTTAAATGTGCACGCTCAAATAGGACAGGAATAATGCTTACTCGCGACTGCAGTGGTCCAAGGCCTAATCCATCCTTTGTGCAGTAGCCATCCAATGATGTTCAAAAAGAAAAAGCACGCAACGTAGGGAGGCTGAAAATGTTATATGGTTAGCAATCGCTTTCGGGGATATGTTCCAATCAATCACAAACTCACAATATTCATCAACTGCGACAACGCCGTCGTCGTGAAGCCCAATTCATAAATAACCGTGGGCAAGGCATAATTCACCCCAAACCCACCAATCCCATGCCCAATCCAATAAAGCGAAAATGTATAGAGCGTCGGACTTGAAAGCAAAGCTTTAAAGCTCTGCCAATCCCAACTCTTATCCTTACCCGTAGGCGCAGCCCCAGAAAGCCTGCCCTTCAAAAACTCCCTCTCCTCCTCGGTCAACATCTTCGCCGTCTCAGGATAATCCGGCAGCCCGAACAACGCCACAATAGACAACAAAATAGCCGGCAACCCTTCCAGAATAAACAGCCATCTCCAGCCCGACAGCCCGCCTGCCCCGTCCATATAACTAATCGCGTACGCCAGCAGTCCACTCAATGCCCCAGAGACCTGGCCCAGAGAATAGAATAGCGCAACGCGCCACGGCATCTCAGAGGGCTTGTACCAGAACGCCATGTGGTAGAGAACGGATGGGTAGAAGCCTGCCTCGGCCAGCCCGATGGCGAACCGCACGCACATCATCCCTGCGAAGTTTTGCGCTGCTCCGGCCGCGCAGGCACAAATTCCCCATGACAGGATTAGGATGAACATCCATCTTGACGGAGTGAAGCCTTTCAGTAGGATTGTGTTTGTTGGCTCGAAGAACAGGTAGCTGTATGAGAAGATTGATTGCGTCCAGGACCATTGGGAGGCGCTGAAGCCGAGCTCTTGTTTGATTCCTGTCCCGGCTTCGAGGTTGATGATTGCTGCATTGGAGTAGTTGCTTGAGTCGATTACTCGGAATATGTAGACTAAGGAGTAAAAACCCACGAGCCAGAAATCGATTTTTCTTATTACTCTTTTTTCGAGTTGGGCGTCGTATTCGTCGTTTGGGCTTTGCGCTGAGGGTATGCTGGTACTAGTTACTACCTTCTCGTCATTTTTTTCGGCCATACTGATTTTGTAGAGAAACTCCACGCATCTCGAAATTTTGAAATCAACATATTGATATCTTTAAGTCTTTCTTAATTTAGTGATAGTAGGGGTTGCCAAGGTGGATTTGATCACGACATGCGCCATTGGATGGCAAAACCCCCGCAGATCTTGCCGGGAAGTCGATTTCTTGCTCATTTGGCTTTGATATGGCGGCATTATATAAGGACGGAGTATTTGTGGAAGAGCGGAGGGTTTTTCTTTTTTTTGATATAATCGCCTATGCTGTTCTGTAGGATCGAGTGCATCCAATCAAATATCTAGGCTTTAATCTTTAAAGGCACTGGATCAGCCGCTGATAGAACCGTTTTACATTGTATTTTAGTGCTTACTCTCAGGCTTAGCCTTGAAAGTCATTACACAGACCATTGCGCTTCCGTCCATCTAGAAATCGTCCGAGGTCTAGACAAAAGGGTGGCTGCATCGAGATTGTTCAATGTAGCTGAAAATCGCCACACAACAGGCTCAAAATCTTGATTGAGATGCTCAAAAGACCTCGAGCTCTGCTGCGGCAATATAACACGACACTCTATACTTTTTGACATTATCAAACAGCCAAAACCTTCCGTCTCTGTTTCAGCATGTACGAGTACATCATCACCGAGCCTATCATCGATCAGTCTCCAAATGCGGAATAACGAAACAAGATACTACTCACCAGGAACATAAAGACCTAGGAAAAAGTAGAAGATTCCAGCGACCGCCCAATTGTTGGTGACAGTGGTCGCCTTATACATCAGCCACCATTCGCTGCTGATACCAACAGGGTACAAAACGATAAACAGAGAATATCTGCAACAAGCCAAACAAATTAACACAGTTCATATCAAAAAATAATCCCGATCTTACCTTGCGAATTTCAAAACAGGAGGAATGGGATAATCCGCCAACATGATAGCGAAATAAAGATACCGGACAGTATCAGCAGAGGCCCAGGCAAGGAGCATAGCCGGGTACGCCAAAGAAGGCGCTGTCACACCGGGAAAGGCATAGTCAATAGCCCAGACCTGGACGGAGCGGGCAAAGACCTGGGTAAAGGTGGTGAATACGGGAGAGCGGACAATTCCTGTGACCCGGGCCGACCGGTTAGATTATCTGATTTTTGGGTTAAATATATGATGGAAGGTTGATTTTACCTGTTGCAGCGTGCAGGATTTCAGCCACGGCTATGGTCTGGGCGTATCTTGTCCATGGCTCGAGGTTTGTGTAGACTGTTGAGATGTCGGATGTGATTAAGGTTGAGATGGTTGTCAGGAGGATGCGGGCCCAAAGAATAGCACATGCGGTGTTGTAGATTAGGAGATACAATCTACTGATTTGGGTTGATTGTGCCATACTTGATTGTGATACATCTATTTCTGTTATGTGAATGTTGGTCTGCTCAGGTGGGGAGTTTTTTTCTCTTTCAAATTGGCCTCAGGCCCACAATCACATGCAAACATCAAAATAGAATAACTACAGCCCTATTTCCAGTAGTATATCTATTGAACGCTTTCTCGGTTGTTATTATTGAGTATAAAAAAAACAGAGAATGGTAGCTTGTGAACAAAGCCCGAGGGTCTGACTCACAATATAAAAAGAGGTTACGATGATATACGGTCGCAACTCAATGGCAGCTCAGAAAGCAGATTATAGGTAACATCAACCTTGGAACAATACCTACCTTGGTAAACGACACAAGTTCCGTTATATCCGAACTTGCCTTGCATACTACAAACCTTGATGATTTTCTCCCCAGTCAAAAACCATCCGACCTTTATCGGCATGATATCCGCAACTTATAACGCAATCTGGGGTGCGATGATACCATACAAGACCCCGCATTATTAAAATGCAATGGGCTCAGCGAATGATGGTCCAAGATTATAGAAACCAATTACATCGAATTGATTGAAGCTCTAGATATATAATCGAGAGTGCTCGTCGAAAATATCTTTCAGGTTCATCATAGCAAAGCAAAAATGGCACCATCCGCCATAGAACCAGAAATCTCGACCGAGAGGATTCCAATCAAACCATGGAGTCGTCCAGCACCCACCAAAGAGGAGCTTGACTGGGCACCGCTTGTCGAAATCGATCTATCTCGTTTCGATGAACCCGGCGGCAAAGAAGCGCTCGCCAAACAACTATACGATGCTGTGACACGAGTCGGGTTTTGGGTTGTTACTGGCCACGGACTCAGTGAGGAACGTGTTCTTCGCCAATTTAGCATCGGTAATGCATTTTTCAAAGAACCGCTTGAGGAAAAACGGAGTTTTGCTTGCAATTTTGCCGAGGGCGAATACTTCGGGTACCGTGAGAATGAGAGGTGGATTGGAGACACGGGGGTGAAGGATAATGTAGAGATGGTAGGTCTAGTGTTGATCTTGCAGTTTATGACTCTGACTGATTTGGATAGCTCAATATCCCCAAAGCAATCCCTGTATGGGATGATCTTCCCAGACACAGGCTTGTCCGACAAAACTACGATGAGATCGCGACCTTCCATCGTGATCTTTTCGACAATGTTATTCGAAAATTGTTCGTTTTATTGGCTATTATTCTGGAATTGCCGGAAGACTACTTAGTAAACGCCCATGCCTACGATAAGCGTTCTGACGACCACTTGCGATACATGATCTACAACACTCGCACCCAAGAGGAGTGGGACAAAGCTCAAGCCGTGACTACGGGCGGTCATACGGACTTTGGCAGCTTGACACTGCTATTTTCGCAGCATATTGCTGGTTTGCAGATTCGGACACCGGAAGGTGAATGGAAATGGGTCAAGCCTGTAGATGGTGGTATTACTTGCAATGCTGCTGATACATTGTCTTTCCTAACTAATGGTAAGCCCTTTAATCGCTTTTTATGGAATGACTTGCTAATTTGAGGTTATAGGATTTGTAAAATCTACAATCCATCGCGTTGTTACGCCTCCCAAAGATCAAATTCACACTCCACGCCTTGGGCTATTGTACTTTGCTAGACCTGGAGATGAAACAGTTATGCGCACCGTTCCATCTCCTTTGCTTGAGCGTCTTGGTCTACTCACCGAAGAAGACAAAAACCCAAGTCAGCCTGCACCTACAGGTACTGAATATGTTCGGGCTCGAGTTCGTGATGTGCACCATAGGAAGGTAATTGATCGCCGAGAGAATACTTCCTTTGAGTTCAAGGGACTGAAGGTACCCAACTATTACAAGTAGGAATTTAGAGTCTTGAATGTTAAATGAATTAATTGTATAGCAACTTTCAGGTCAATAAATCCTTTTATTTATGTACTTTGTGGTTATATGACCGAATTGTGTTAGTTCAACATACATTTTCACAAATTCGACTCTTTTGTACAAAGAATAGTTAAAGAGAAACTAGTAGAGATATCTCCCGAGTACCCACTCCGTCCATGTGTAGACAACTCAGATTCCTGCAATATTTCCTCTTTACAGCCAATCACCGTTCGCCTGGAACCCACGATTTCAAAACCTCCAAGCGAGATGGACTTCATTTGCAAACATAATATGCTACAACTTACATGCAATGATCGACACAATATACTGAAGTATCTGGAAATTGCGCTTCATCCCGACAACTTAGAATCGGACTTTGTTATGGTCGCATTCCGGGGAATTCCACACGGCTCAAAGTGGGGATGGAATAATGGCCGGCTGCAAGCCAACATTGCTCGTGCAAGAACTTGACCATCTGATTTGTGACTGACTATCCTTTCTCAGCCCTAGCCCCATTCTTCACATTTTGCTTCACAGTCCGAGTCTCTAAACGAATGCTTGGCGCGGTGCTCGGAGTAAACCGCCCGACAAAACGTTGTACATGTGTGATCGTGTCGTACCTGTCAATCAACCCAAGCGGCCAACCAAATGCGAGAAATCGGGTGATCTTCTCGGTTGTCTGCCCTGGCAAAGATCCAATTGCCAATCGGGTGCATTTCATATCAGTATAGTTTATCCCGTGGGCGGCCTCGAGTGCATTAATTGAATACCCCGCAGCTTAATCACCGTCCCTGTCTGTACCTATGCTTTCTAGATGGCACTCGATCGAGCGGATAAGCCCCAGAGCAGCACGTGGGAGGGGATGTTAGAAAATACATTGAAATGTTCTGAGGAATGTCGGGGAGGTTCGATCGCCATATGCCGGTACAACGGCATATAAGAAGGGCACCCATGTCTACATTTGAGAAACCCATCAAGCAGCTTGCCCAGACCTTGGACCAGTTTCTCCCTTGATTCAAGATGAATCTCAGCGCTCTTCTTGGTCTGCTGACCTTTGCGGCAGCAGTCTCCGCTGCTCCCTCCAAGGGCCAATCGGGAGCTCATTCCTCGGCTTCTATCACCAATCTTAGGAACAAGATCAAGAATGTTGTAATTCTTGAGATGGAAAATCGCTCCTTAGACAACTTGCTCGGTGGACAGACGATCAAGGGACTGGAGAACCCCATCAACAACGGGCCTTTCTGCAACCCGTACAACTTGACCGATGCTTCTGCTGGCAAGGTGTGCAGCTCTGCTAAGGACTTTGATTCTATCTTGGATGACCCAGATCACTCGGTCACCGGCAACAATATCGAATTTTATGGCACCTTTGTCCCAAGCAACGCAGCCATTGCTAGTGGCAAGCTCACTCCCAAACAGCAAGGCTTTGTGCACGAGCAGCTGCGCCGTTATGGGGACGATGTCAACAAGACAGAATTGGCCAAGCAGGTCTTGAACTACTACACCGAGGATGAGGTTCCTGTATTCACCTCGCTGGTTCAGAACTACCTGACCTTTAACCACTGGCATTCCGACCACCCAGGTGTAAGTAACTACCGACCCCCAGTTTGTGCACCACACAATCTAACACACTCCCAGCCCACCAACCCCAACCGTGCCTTCGTTCTATCAGGTACTTCCGCCGGCCACGGTACCAACGACGATGCCTTCGACTCAGACACACACGGCCTAACCCAACGTTCCATCTTCCAACAACTGTCAGAGACCAACCACACCTGGAAGAACTACTACACAAGCACCGACATGATCGACGCCTACTTCTTCGACTGGACCTTCACAAGCAACAACACCGACAAAGCCCAGCCCCTAAAGAACTTCTACGCCGACGCAGCAGCCGGCACCCTCCCAGAGTTCTCCTTCATTGACCCATCCTGCTGCGGCGTAGGCACAAACTCCATGCACCCGACTGGCCTAATCTCCGAAGGCGAAACGCTGATCAAAAATGTCTACGATTCCCTCCGCGCCAGCCCGCAATGGAAAGAAACCCTCTTCATTCTGACCTTCGATGAAACAGGCGGTTTCCACGACCACGTCCCGCCCCCGCTGGCTGCCCGCCCCGATGACCTGACCTATACCGAGACCGCGCCGAATGGCGAGAAATACACTTTCTCGTTCGATCGTCTTGGTGGTCGTATTCCGACTTTGCTTATTTCTCCTTGGATTGCGAAGGGCAAGGTTGAGCAGAAGGGAACGAATTCTGATGGAAAGGTGGTTTCTTATTCTGCGTCGTCGATTCTGCGCACCCTGGGCTATCTTTGGGATTTCAAGCCTTTTACCCCTCGTGTGGAATCTTCCGCTTCGTTTGAGCATCTTATTCAGAAGAAGGCTCGTACGGATACTCCTGTTACTTTGCCCGAGCCTGTGCCGTTTAAGGCGAAGGCTTAAATCTTGTATGTCGGGATATTTACATTGTGAGTGATGTATTTAAAATAAGTAGAGATGCTGGCACTTCTCTCTCCAGAGGGTATATGAGCACCTCTGGCCAGAGAAACTTGGAAGCAAAATATCATTTGACGGATTTCATTAACACGGCATGGACGCCAATATTAAGATGATTGAGGGCAACTCGCGCTAAATTCTGAATATATGGGTAGCCCATTGATATCGACTGGCTGAAAATAGATGGCTCCAATCTCATTTGGCGCCCACTGAGCGCTGAAGTATGCCCAAGCGGGCGTAGAGTTCTATTATAGATTTTCATCCCGAGCGCCAAGTGAAACTATCTCAAACAAAGGCAACATCCTTTCTAGGAGTTCAGTTGACCTCAGCTGCTATTCCTCTCGTCATAGGTCTCACTTTCCGCAATCCAAGAAAGCAATGAATCGAGTTCTATCTAGAACTAATCTATCTTGCGCTACAGAATGAAAGGACCAGTCTCCATCCTTAAGCTACCCACTGAGAGATCCTCGAGGCTATCTTGTCATTCGGAGTCCGCTCTTCATTGGACACTCTTGAGGCCCTATCTCAGTCCTGTCGTCGTCTGCACGCCATCGCAGCAACTCCTCTTTACAGTTTGATTGTCATTAAGAGTCCGAAATCCCATATCGTTTCCTTGAGATAGCTGCAAATACCTGTCACTCAACTTGTCTTATACGAGAACTACAGATCCAATATCATAATCTCGATAAGGATGCTAACGATTCCCCCGGAAGATCTTAAGCTATACTTCTAAAATCGTAAATCCGGAGTCGTTAGTCAACAGATTGAGCCATTTCGACTAAGCTAAGCCTAGTCGATCTTGCTGGACAAACAAGCATCCTAGCTGAGAGCCTATGTACTGTAGCTGAGGGAACACGTCAAGCACTTCAGGGGTATGCAGGGGAAGTAGTACTTTAGGACGTTCCGGGTGAAGGGACTGAAGGGGCTGAAGGGACTAAGAAAGGCGGCATGGGCAGTTTCCCCCGACGAATCAAAAGGTCTGTGAACTCGGACATACAAATTCGCTGGTACCTACCACCTAGCGACTAATTGACCTAGCGACTAATTGACCTAGTGACTAATTGACCAATGCGTGATTGTGCGGCCCGGAGTCTAGTGGCTACAACCTGAGATTTATAATTATGTCGCTAAAGGTGATAAGGATGAGCGTGTAATAGACAGGGTGAGACTCACCCCAAGTCGCGAGATAAGTAGACCAAAGAGGTGCCTGGGCGGTATGCCCGGGTGCCTTGCGCCACCAACCCTAGTAGACTAAAACCAAGCGGGCTGTGTCGTTCAGCCTTGCCGCCTATATATCCCATATATAGCAACGGTTGCCAGCATGGCTATGCTGCTGTGCCGCGAAATATTCCTCTGTTGACCTAGGTGAACAGGTGAGACTTTTCACAATTATCACCATGTTTCTGAGTATTTTACGATCTTTCCAATTTTTCCAATAGCGATTCCGGTCGACCTTGTCATTGTGGCCAAGACGCCCTGGGACTCTGGGATGTGTCTTATTTATCTTCGGTACAATGTTCCTAAGTATCTCACCTGTGGAGCCCTTTGACTATTCGAACGTCTCTAGACATATGTCACTATTCCCCTCCTCTGGTTTCATTCATAGTGGATTTCTTATTTCTGCAATACACCTTTGGCTACCCCTCGAAATGGCGATTCATGTGCTATTGCTAGCCTTCAAAATGATGATTCATGCGCTATTGCTAGCCTTCGAAACGGTGACTCATGTGCAGTTACGGCTTTTCCGCACACCACGCTCAGTCTCATTATGGTACTGCCCAGAATGTTTTTACCCAAATTGTCCTAAGGGATACCAAGAAAGACTTTGGGCACTTACTGTAATTTTCAAATCTTTCACAGGCTATCCGCTATTATCGGTTATCAGCATGGCTTCGGTCTGTCCTGTCTGTCTTGGAGAGATCGGGGATGCGGATATCTATAACCGTATAATCAGGATACAATGGAGTACTCAGGCCAACCTACTGAGCCCCGGCTCATCTGCCAGTATCAGCGACTTGGACCAGGCTGCGGCATTAGCAACAGCGTTAGCTCTTGCATTGGTGGCACCCTTGAAAACTCTGGCATCTCTTGCACGTGCACAATTTGTCAGGCAGTGAACATACTATTCTTGACGAATTGCCTGTCCAATGGTCATCGCATTTGCAGGGTTTCATCGAACCGTATAGTCTGGACTTCTATTCTTGGCTCTTGTGTATCTTAGCGGATCATGTGATTAGGGCTTGAGAGAGTATCGCTATGTTTCCGATCTAGAAGGCAATAACGGTCGCCACTGTATTGTGGAATACGGAGTTGAACTGAGTGCTTATCATTGGTTTCCATGGCGTGGCGTTGAAGCCAAGATCGAAGAAATCTTCAGATGTGAGATTGCGTGGCGGCGGGGCAGGTGCAGGAGCAAAAGCACAAGCGTACTCGGATGGCTCTGGTATAAGATTGATTCACCCAAAAAAGACTACGGACAACATTTGAGTATATAGGACATGGCATTGGCGGAATAGGTATACGACAAGCAAACATCGCTAGGATGTTAAGCCAGAATTGTAATAACAATATGTAAGCAACGAAACGCTCCAGGGCTCTCAGGTGAGTCGTAGTCCTATGGTGAAAAGTTTCAAATGAATCCAAACTTTTAAGATGCATTATCTAGCTTGGCGGTGCGCAATACCAATAAGGAAAGAGAAAGCTTTGGCGCCCTGGTTACATGAAACAGGGTATGCAGCAAAAGTGCAAGGTTTGAGAAAAGAGTCATATCCAGCAGCCAATGCCCCACATGTATTGGATTGGAATGATGGATTCGTCATAACCTGTGTTACGTGAAACAGAGATATGACAAATGCAGCGTTGCGGAATACTTTGATCCTTGATAAATTCAAACCTACCAGGAAAATGGGTGAAAAACGGCTTATTTCCGAGATGTTTCTAGTTTCAAGGAGAAAAAGGAAAATGGATACTCTTGTGGGAATATGTGCTGTCTAAAGTACTAGCTCTGTTTTCAGATCCACATTCCCTCTGTTTTCTTCTTTCTAGAAGTTCTGTACTTCCGTTCCCCGGGGGGCGAAGCACTCAGCCCTCTTTGAATGCCGAGAACGCCCCGCGATTTATGACGTCACGGACAGGCATAAAGGAAGATTGCGCCTTCTTGTCTTTAGGGTAGATTTGATTCACGCATTTATAGTACCGTGTAATATTGCCTAGGTTGTCGCTATCGGATTTGGTATGATGCCGTCAAAGAGTCCTAAGCGCATAAGGGGCATATAACGGGCGCCCAGAGGTAGAAGTACTCCGTATAGAGTCTAGCCCTACGTACGAGATTTAATAATTCGGTAACCTAAAATGCCAACCCGGGATCACCTGGGCAAGATTGATTCTAGATAATCTATTTGTTCCCATGACCGTTTGACGTCGATCTACTCCGTATTCTAGATTGCCGTGTTGCATAGACAGTGCCGAATGACATTTGGAATGCGCATATGTAGAATCTCGGTATGCAGGTAAATGCAAGTGCAATGCAAGTCAGAAAGATATACCAATCCGTACCTTGAATATCAGTGTAGTTTACCCGTACGAGGTGTATGAGTTTCGTATAGAAACCCGGGTATCAAGATTAGAACCATGGATTCACTCTCAACCAGTGATTGGAACCCATGGGACTGACACGGGAAGGGACCAAACACTTACGAAGTACGGAGTATCAACAAACACACTGCATGCACTCAACTTCATAGTCAACTCTAAGCCTCGAAATCCCTACCTACATATGTAGGTAGGGTCTCTACATAATCAAAATACGGAGAAGCGTTTCGCCACAGCCCCCATGAGCAACTTGCGCAACCGAGCCCGAAGTACAAAAGCCTTCACGTGGTGACTAGCTTATCTTCTTTGCCTTTCCCTCCCTCGCTCTCTCACTTCTTCCTTTGCTTTCATTCAACTGTTATCTTCATTAATTTTGGGCATTTTGCCAACCTTTTTCGACGTTGACCTCTCCACTCTTCCGAGTCTCCCGAGTCTACTCCGGACATTGCAGATCATTAGAGGCTGAGTCGGGTTGGGAGAGTGCCGATTCCCCGATCTCTGCCCTACAAAGACTCAGGCCTTTCATCATTCTGAATCATTCTTCAGCCCCAAGAATTGAGATTTTCCTTGGCTTTTATTGATTCGCTTGATTGGTTTGAAACATTTTGTTACCAATCAGGCAGCCAGAAACCTTGGAACATCCCGCCATTATTAGTCGATCACATCCTCTCTGCACCCCCCACTTTCTTGCCGCCCCCTCTATTTCCTGCATCGTGCAGCTTACACTTTTTTTCTTTCGCATCTGCACAAAACTTTCATTCTTTGCCACATTTCTCTCAACTATCACCTCCCCATGTCGTACAGTTACAGAGACTACGAAAGGGAATCGGACGTCTGGGACGAACGCCGTCCTGTCTCAATCAAGCGTTACGTCATTCCCCCCGAAGACGACCGTCGAGACTTCATGTCCAGGCACGAGGATTCATACGGCGGCGAGCGCGAGCTGGTAATTCGTCGCAAGACGGAACGCCATGAACCCCTGACTATCTCGCGCTACGAAAGAGAGGTCGATTACGAACCCTACGAAAGTGAGTACCTACGTCCCCACAACAATCGTCAATACTCCCGATCCATGGAAACCCTGGAACGAGTGGAGCAATCCTCTGCTGCCACAGATCAGTCGATACTTATTCGCGAAGCCCGCAAAGCATACCACAGTCCCCGTGAATCCGAATACGATGTCGTGCGCCGTTCAGAGGGAGACGAGGACCCCTACTACTACCACCGCCACCGCCGAGTCCGCGAGCACGATGATCAACGCTCGCGACGAGAGCTGAGCCCCAGTGATTCTATTTCTCAGGCTGCTCGCCGCCACGGCCGTGACGACTACAGCAGCGATGACAGCATGGTTTACATCCGTAAGGAAACCCGCGACTACGATGACCGTTCCCATTCCCACCACCGCCGCCACTTGGCAGAGGGCGCTTTGGTAGGAGCTGGCGCGGCGGAATTATTGCGCAGTCGCAGTAAGAAAGACGGTGAAGTCAGCCATGGCGCCAGCCGTCTCGGTAAGACCGTTGGTGCCGGTGCTCTCGGTGCTGTGGCTGTCAGTGCTGCCTCTCGTGCCCGCGACTACTACCGAAGCAAGAGCCGCCACCGTTCTCATTCCTACGATGATGATCATGCTTCCCACCGCCACAGCCGCCATAGTTACCACAGTTCCCACGGCCGCGGTCGTCACAGCCGGAGCCGCAGTCGCTCGCACTCGCACTCCCGCGCAAAGACTCTGCTCGAACTAGGCGTTGGTGCTGCTGCCGTGGCAGCCGGTGTCGCCGCACTGCGCAGCAAGTCCAAGTCCAGGGCCAATGCCGGAGACCGAAAGGGCCGCTCTCGCACTCGCTCACGTTCCCGAGCTGCCAGCCGCGGCCGCTCAGCGAAAGGCGACAAGGACGATTCAGAGAGCATCTCCAAGCGCCGCGAGCACATGGCCGGCGCCGGTCTAGCAGGTGCAGCAGCAGCTGCCATCGTCGAAAAAGTCCGAAGCCACTCTCGCTCCCGCAAAGGCGAACGCTCCCGCTCCCGCAGCCGCTTCAGACAAGCCCTGCCAATCGTCAGCGCGGGCCTAGCCACCGCCGCAGCAACAGGTCTGTACGAGAAAAAGAAGAGCGAGAAAGACGAGAAAGAAGGCGAGCGCGGCAGGCTCCGCTCCCGATCTCGCTCTCGCGCCCCCTCCCAGTCCTACCCCGACCCAACACGCGACTCAGCAGGCCTCATCGAATATGGTAACGCGCCCATGGAAGGCAGCATCCCCAGTGATCACTACTACGGCCAACCAGGCCAGCCATACCAGGAACCACCGGAAATGTACGGCGCACGCCGCGCAACACGCAGCCGCAGCCGCAGCCGCGGCGCCCGCTACAGCAGCTCGTCAGCCTCAGAGCACGAAGGCCGTCGCCGCAAGCACCGCAGCCGCTCGCGCGACATCGCAGGTGCAGCACTGGGCGCCACGGGGCTCGGCTACGCAGCGCACAAATACAACGAACGCCGGAAGTCGAAGTCCAGGGAGAGAGAACGAGAAGATAAATATGCCCATTCCCGTACGCGCCCACCCCCCCTTTTTCCACGAGATATTCACCCTGACTAGTAGCTTTCGCGTAGACCATGACCACCGCGACCCATACGAGGAGGCGTACGATCCTGAGCCGTATGCTGCTGCGCCTGCTACGCATCTGGACCCCCACTTCTACCAAAACGCAAATCAGTTCCCGCCTCCTCCTGGTGAATCGACGCAGAATTTGAACATGCCCATGCCCCAGCCGTATCCGCCGCCGCCTGGCGCGGGCCCGACGACCGCTCAGAATTATCCGGCGTACGGGGTACCTGGACCGGAGCAATATGCGCGCCGGGCAGATGACAATGTGAGAAACCCGTTCCGGGGTGGGTTTGGGTTCTTTGAACCAGGTTGAGCATGGCTAATTTTCTCGTTTAGGTTTGAACGAGAGGCAGAAGTCGAGTAGTCAGCCGCCGCATGAGAAGAAATCTGTTGCGTTCGATTTGCACGAGAGTGATGGAGATAGAGATGGGTATGAGACTGATGATAGTTCTTCGACTGTTGGGGCGCGTGGTGCGCGGGAAGGACGTCATCATCGTCGTCGTCGCTCTGAATCTGTTCCTCGCAATTTTTCCCATGCAGGTGCAGGTTCTGGGCGGGGAGATGGGAAGGTCTCGGAGGACTCAGATTCCACTGTTGATTTGCCGAACCGGTTCGATGGTCAGGGGAGGCTTCTTCCCGAGAGAGACCCTGCCGTTGTTACGATTGAGGATTTGGTGAATCGGTTTACGAAGGTTTTGTTTTAGGCTTGATTTGCTTGGCTTCTTTTTATTCCCCTTTGCTCGCACGGGCTGGCTTTCTTCCTGATACCTCCCGATACTCGCTTTTGATTTATTTACCCCCATGGATTCTTTGCTTTTTTCCTTTTTTCGTTGCGCTGTCTCTGTACTTATTGGTTTTGATTCCTTTGGTACTATTATTCTTTGTTTTGTACTCATATCTTGGCTACGGTTATGAATGATGCGAGACCTTGCGCCGACGATTATGATTTATGATATTTATGTGTCCAGATAGCGCAATGCTTTTTATTTCTATTTTGTATCCTGCGTAGAATGGCTGGTGGATAGTACTGATACTACCCAACACCCAAGTGTGTTCTGATATGGATCTTGCTATAAGTAATTGAACGCTTGTTGTCTTCCATTACAGAGGATAATTGCGAGCTACTCCGGTAAAAGGCATAGTGATACATGTCATAGAATAACAAATATATGTTCAATATAATACATTACATCGCCCCAGAGAATCACCTCTTCAGCAACGCATCGGTCAACAATCTCATCTGAGCTTCCAGGCTCTGAACTTGAACAGTCAATCGATCGACAGAATTTTGCAATCGCGAGACATCTGTCTGCGCTGGGTGAGACACTGTGCTCGAATCCTGAACTTGAGCTTTAACCGCTGCGATCACTGCAGCGCCGATCCTGTTCAGACTCTCGGTCATTTGCTCTACCACCACGTTAGATGGGTTCGTCGGGTGCTGCGGGACTGGATCGGGGGGATTAAGCGCAGCTGGGGGGGCTGTGTTTGGTTGTATCGATTAGACGGATCCATGCTTGCTGTTCGAAACGAAAACTTACCAGAAGGTGTGCTTTGGGCTGAGGTGTTTAAAAGGCTACCTGGCTGTTGGGGATTGTGTGGCGCATGGTAAATAGCAGGGTAGGTAGGCGTAGCTTGGGTTGATATGTCAGTTTCTGCGAATAGTTAATATTGCTATGATCAAGGGTATAACGTCTATAACACATAGACTTACCGCGTAACATTGACCGGTCTGGCATCTGAGGTGTTGTGATCTGTTTCCATACAATATTCCGTGAATCATCCTGAGGCGCCTGTGGCACCTGCGGCGTCGCAAACTCCGCATACTTCGTACCTGCATTTTGAGGCTGTGAGTCTTTTCTTGGTGGGATGTGAGGCGGCAAAGTACGCTGCGTAACTGAATGCGACGTAACTGAATGCGACGGCGTTCGAGGTGATTCAATTCCTCTATATCTGTCCCGAGCCAACGCCCCAAGTCTCGTCGGACCAGAAGGCCTTGGCTTCGATGGTTGTCTCCATTGAGGAACCCCGCCAGCTGAATCAAGAAGGGCATACATTAGCCCAAATATAGCGTGATTATCAGAAACACAGACTTACGGGGTAAGTATTTCGCTCGGTTTTTCAAAACCTTCATTCTCCAAGCTTCAGCATCCACAGAAATCAATTTAGGGTCAGATCGAAATAGAGGCCCCGGGAACCGAGTCCCTCTCAATGCAAGAACCGCGCTTTCTTCTATTATTTTGATCAGTCAATCAGATCGAACCAATTAAGTAACACGAAACATAGCCATACCAGATTGCTCATAGCCATCCGAAGAACTCTCGAATTTGTCCATCCACGCTGCAATAGCGGTGGCTTCACGAGATTTCGCATCAGACCAAGTCATATTAGGGTTTGCCTCCCACCCAGCCATCCAGTGGGACATTTCTTGAAGAATGAGCTCTTGTTCAAGTTCATGCATCCCTAGTAGATGCATTCGCTCTCTAGGGGTTGGCTCTGTTTTCCGATAATCCAGGACAACAATTTTGAAGTGCCTATGGACGGTGGTAGGGTGAACATGGCATTTGAATTGGACTTCGTAGTCCGCAGCAATGCGTTCGAATATTTCCTTTTTGTAACTGAGGTTTTCGATGAAATACTTGTATGGCAATGCCGAGCGCAGTAATGAGAGCACGTCCTTAGGTGTTATACGGCTGGACCGGGGCTTGGTCTCTTGCCTTCTTCTTGGAGTTGAGTTCGGGGTGCTAACCGCCGGTTGAGTACCGGGCATACTAGTTGATTGTCCAGTTTCGACGCTGGTTCGAGTTGGTTGGTTACCTGATGGACTTGGATTGACAGTAGGTTGACTTGAGTTCTTGCTGCGTTGGCCTAATGTGCTGATTTGCCCTAGTCGGATACTTTGTGCGTTTAGAGGAAGTTGCAACATTGGAACCTCATCACTTGGATTGATAATAGGTTGGACCGGTGAAGCTGGAGCAGGCGGTTGACTGGCCATCCCTACTGTCCCTACTGGGGATCCGGATTCCGGTGTTGGTGAAGAAGGCTCTGATTTGATCTCCATCTCATTAGCAGAATCTGAGTCGTCATCCTCCGGCATGTCAACTGTGATTTTAACAAGATCCAGAATTGAGGAGTTTGCTGCGAATTATTGAATGTATGGCCCATGATCAACCGACGTTTTTTTCTTAATATATTGCACTAGACCTATCTAGGTATAGTATTTACTAGATTTGGAAGACTTCCCAAATAGGAAGGCGGGAGGAGAGATTACCAATAATTGCTCAAAACAGTCGACTACTACGAACTATAAATCGCAGAGGATTTCCATAGTTATATCTTTGAAAACATATATGAAGACATAATATTCGGCCCAACTCTTACATTAAGTCTAAGCTAACAACCCCCGAAATTCGCATTCCTCAAAACCTCCAACCAGGAGACGAAGTAGTATAGATACATGGAAGAAACAGAACCGGGAAGCTGGGAAGTTGTAAAGACGGGAACGTATGAACAATATTTCAAGACAAACATGAAAGGGAAAAAAGGTATTTTCAAAAGACAAAGGCGAAGCCGAGAATTGCAAATGGGTATACAGCAATAAGCAGAAAGGGTGTCCGTGCAAATAGAGCATAGAAATAAGATAGGCTCCTTGCTTTTCGTCTTGTTACATAATATAAAAAAGTACAAAAGTGAAAGTGAAAGTAAAAAGAAAAAGGAGATCGGCTGTCGTGAGTCAATGATATCAATCTATCGCTAAATGTTATGCCGTAAAGGGTCGTCTCGAGCCCGCGGAGCGAGTATCGAGTGGAAGGCGAAGTGTTGGAATTTGCTTGGCGCCAGAAATTCGCGCTGTGTCGTTGCCCGGTGTGTCTGAGTCATCGGCATCTGGTACCACCTTGATGGTGGAGCTGATGGTTGCCGATAGGTAGCGGGAACTTAGTGGGAGTTGGTATTTGACCACGCCGCGGACTGTCAGTTCGAAGGGATGTTGGAGGACATGCTCCCAGCGCTCTGTGCCTCCTGTCTCGGTCTTATTGCCTGGTCGGCTTAGACGGATTTGTCCTTTCGAGCTCGAGGTGAAGTGATTCCATGGCGAGGATTCAAAAGAGAGTGGAGAGTCAAAGCGGAATACGCGGCCGAGTAGCATAGATTTCGGATCGCCTTCTGGGTCTTCTGGAGGATCGGTGCCCTTGTCGACACCGCCACTGACGTGCGGTGCTGAGTGTCCACCCATGGCTTTCTTGAGACATTCCACGCTGCCCATGCATCGCACGGTTTGTGAGAGTTGCCAGCGACGTCGGCTTTGCTCCACCCGCGGGAAGTAATCCGGGTCGTTTGCACCATGCTCGCGCCAGAATTTATCAGACCCAACATATCCGCTCTTGGCGAAGATGTCGACGTCCGTGTCATCAATGGTCACTGGAAACAGGTTTGGATTGACGGCCTGCACATTTAAATCAAGCATAAGCTCCTGTTCTGAAGCAAGCACATTTTGAATGGCAATGACTTGGACATCAAGAAGGGGTTGAGTTGCTGCGACAATGAACGAGGTTACACCGCCTGTTACAATCAACAGGAGCAGGAGGATGATAGCACATGAACCAAATCGGGAGAAAAATCCGCGATGTCGCTGCGCCATATACTCCATCTGGCGTAAACTGGCGCTGTTGGGTCGACGACCACCATTCCGACTGCGAACTGAGCGCATTCCCACCAGGGGTGTGCGCTCATCATCTGCGCCTTCGGCTGCGAACTCATCCATGCAAGTTTCATCGTTTTTCTTAGCACCACTCATAGTACGGTAGTTTGGAGACATTCGGGTATTGCTGTGTCGGGAATGTCGGTAGCCCGTGCCAGTGAAATGGCGTGGTGATTTCGGAGCTTGAGATTGTGGTTGCGATTGAGAAAGTGTGTCCGAATCAAAAAGATTATGCATGCCATTGCGAGGGTGGTGACGACTGCCAATATTGTGGTGTCGTGGGGTGATGGTTCCGTTTCCGTCAACTCTGGAGGATCGTGAAGTCCCATCAGCATCCGGCCCGTCACCATCAATGCTGTAAGAAGCAGTGGCAAATTTCATGCTGCGCTTGCCCGTCACGCCGTGGGAAGCATCCCGCAACCCTCGTGTGCGACTAGCCAGGTCCTGACTCGCATTAGAGGTTGCACTAGGCGTCCGGGAGTGATAACGAGGAGGTCGACTGGGGTATGGATCTGGCGGGTTTGATTCGTAAACGAAAGTCTCATCGGAGTCTGAAACATCGGCCTCATCCACCGCGTTGGCCACTTTGGCCTCGAAGATATCCGCCTTGCTTGATGCAGCGCCTGCCGTGAGGTTGTTGGCTCGGCGGTGCTTCTTCTTTTCTTTGCGGGGACGAATGGTTTCGGTGGAAGCTTTCACACGGAGCGTGCCCGTTTCCGAGCGAGAAACAGCGCCTCGCTCACCATTTCCAACTCCCATGGAGACCTGCGGGATCGAGCTGACTGTCTCTGTTTCCACGATCATGTTCCGAACCGAGCCATCGGCAGGCTTCCCACGAGCGCCAGCACTAAGGGAAGTTGTCGATCGTTGCGGCATGAGGGTTCGGGGAGTCTTCGCGGCGGTGGTGGTCTGGGGACGAGGCTCTTCCTTAGGATCGGCGGCTCGATGCTCGCCGCTGTCACTGCCACTCCCTCGATGCGGTTGTGAGGCACGCGGGGTTGGGTCTTCATCGATGCGATCCAACCGAGACTCCTCCGGTGTCATCGGCTTGGCAGCTGTCTCGCCCGAAGGTGTGGTTGGGTTGCTTGCCATCTCTTCGACTGTCTCCAACGACGAGCCTTGTCCACTATTGGTTCGAGTGGTAGCCCGGGCCACCACATTTCGGTCCACCTTTGTTGGATCCTCTGACGGCTGTGGCGTTCTTTTGTGTGAAGTATTTGGAAGGGTCGGCGACTCCACCTCGGTACGACGGTTTGCGGCCCATGATGGCATATTGGACTTTTCCGGGCTGGCAACATTGGCCAATAAGTCGACGGGAGCGGAGAGGACGAGAGATTTGACGGGTGAAGAGGAGGAACGCGAAAAGCTCGCGGATGGGGAATGTGTAGGTTGACCAGACGTCAAGCCGTTGGAGTGTCGGTTCGGGCTGGCTTGATCTTGACTTGGCTTTCGAGTCTGCGAAGAAACCCGGCTGCTGGGGGAAGAATTGAGGGCCCGCGAGGAGAGTCGGACCGGAGAAGATTCCCGAGAGGAAACGGCGGAGGTTGTGGTAGAGACGGCGGCGGAAGGGGTAGGAAAATTGGGAGTAAGCTTAGGCACCTGTGAGGTGGGTTGTGGCTGTGATTTATCGGATTGATTATCGATGGCGCGTTCATCGGCCGACCGATACGCCAGATGCGATCCTGCCGGCGCTGCATCCTTGACCACTCTGGGTTGGCCAGAGGTACCGTTAAGATGAGCCGGCCACTCGGACTCTGCAGCCATTTTGTCGAATTAGGATGAGCTAACGCGACGTCGACAAGTCAGGAGACCCAAGAGGGAGCCTCGGAGTTGGGCAGACACAGGACCGAAAAGGGTAAGAAAAAGCAAGGAACAGCGTCCCAGGCAGGGAAAGCTCGACGGTGAAGAAACGAGTTGTTCTTGGTAAGAGCGAATGAGATATCACGAGGATTGAGATGTTGTGCAGAATACGGGTTTGTTACACATGTGAGGGTGCAGGACGAATAGCCGAAGACCACATGCTGTATGCCGGGGGAATGAGGTTCTGTACAGAGACGCACGGAAAAGCGAAAGCGTGCAGGGGGGAAAACTGGAGAGATGGAGGTGTACCAAGTGGGCCGTCAGGGTGCAAAGAGCACACACATCACTGCCTTTTGCTTTGTTTCGAGAAAGGTCCAAAAAACAAGAGCGTCTAGAACGACGAAATGGAAGGAAAGACAAGATTTGGTTGGCGGAATTAAGAGCGGAATGGAGACTGCCGATCCGGCTCAACGTTTTGGCTTGACTTGACTGGGTTTTACGCAACAGTGGCGTCTATAGGCTGTTCGGTGCTGTTAGGTGCCAAATACGCCTGCAGAGATGTCGGTCAGGACCTCGGTGAAAAGTGGCTAAGAGGGTCAGGTCCGTGTGTAAAGACCAATGAACATAGACCACGTCAAGGGGGACTGCAGAGAACACGGTCTAGAATTCTTGCAAATCCTTAGAAAAGAATGTGGCATTGAAGGATAAAATAGGGAGATGTTTAGCAGAAGAATTAAAAACAGACAAGGAACAGGAACCACAAAGAAGAAAGATGAAGTCACTTGGGAAGTTTGAACCAGTTCCGGGGGATGGTGACAGGTATTTAACAAGGAAATGTGATATTATTGGCAATAATACCTGCAAGTCAGTACAATAATTAATTACTAGAAGTAAGGAAAATACAATGACCTCACCGCGCCACGGCGTCACTAACAAAACACAACGTACATACATTATGTCAGGTGTATAGGTACTAGATATACAACCTACTAATGTCCTTCTACAAAATTTTATTTTGAAACTAGAGTATACAAATATCGAGGATTCATTTTAAGGAAAACACCCCCTTTCATTCACAATTAAGCACCCCTCTCTGGCTATGTCCTTGTTTCCCTCAAAGAACAAAGAGTGTGCAGACGCCACCAAAAATCCTGTTATCAAGTAAATTTGAAAAGACATAAGCAAGAAATAAGCAGGAAACAAGTATACAGCCCATGTTTCAGAGGGCAAATATTCATTAACTAGTGTACATTGTACAGTTCTATCCAAGCTGTAAACCAATATGTAAATACCAAAAGGCAAACCTCCCAAATGCAGCAAAGAACGAACCGATACATGTACCATATATCGTCAATCTCATCTTGCTCCGACAAGCAGCGTGTTCATAGTCGGAGACAATTTTCAGTCGAAGAAAATGAAAAAAAAAATCAAAAATCCAGGGTATCGATCCAGTCGACGGAAGCTTCAAAACAAATGGACAAATTAGGTAGTCCGTCTATACGATTTTGTAGACTCGTTTAGCAATCACAACGGAAACAAGAGCAAATACGAATAACCCGGCAGTAACTAGGAAAAGGTTAGCATTTGGATATGGAAAACAGGGAAATCTTTCAACTTCAAGGAAGACATACTGCACCAGAACCAGGTCAAACTGTCAATTTCTTGACCGGGCACCTTGACGTTCATTCCCCACATGCCGCAGATGATGTTCATCGGTAGCACAATAGTACCGAGGACAGTCAGCTTACCCAGCACGTCGGCAGTATGTTCCTGCCGTTCGTTCATGAGGATGTTGATCTGAGCCAGATAATTGGAATGCGCGCGGGACAGGATACTGGAGGGGGTCAGAGATGCGCGGAACGCCTTGAAAAGGGAGAAGGCTTACGTTTCGTAGTGTGTCAAATTGCCCGTCATCGTCATAATGTGATCCTGGATATCACCCAGATACAGACCGATTTCGGACTTTGGTGCTACCTCCCACTGTTCGTTGCAGCGCTTGGCAAAGCCCTTGACTACATCGGCCTTGTTGCTGAGTAGTCGATACAGTCCCATGACCTTTTTGCGGCATTCGCCTACCCGTCGGAGCATCTCTCCGGGGGCGAATGAGGGAGGCACGCTATCACTTGGCGAGTCTTCCTTACTAGATGAGTGCATTTGCATGATCATTTCGTCGATCTCATCAACCTCGTCTTCAATGGCTTGGATCAGCGGTCCGAAAACATCGGTAATATCGTCGATCAGGGCGTAGGAGATCCAGTCTGAGCTTAGGATCAGGTAATCCATCAGCTGGCGGATGCGGCGTCGCACATTGGCTGGATGGGGTGTTTGCGAGAAATGGAAAGAAATTACACCTTCGCGGAACACTACCACGTACATGTTCACAGGCTCGAGATAATCCTCGCTGTTTTTGTCCTGTTCAAACGTGCGGTAGTTGACGAAATAGTAGCTTCGGAATAGCTCGACTTTCTCCCGAGCTTCTTGCATCATGATGTCCTCTGCTGTCAGCGCGTGAATACCGAACGCCTTTGCGATCGTACGCATCTCTGCGTCTGTTGGGGAGAGAACGTCGAGCCAGAAAGTCGGCCGAGGACCGTACCGTTTTGGTTTGGGCTGGCCGGGGCCGAGATGAGTGTTCGATTGTGCAGGCGACAGTTCGCGGGCGGAGTCAGCGTGCCCTTCGCTGATCACAGACAAACGCGAGGGCCCTCTGACAGGGGGAGCATTGCCAGTAAGAAGGTCGCTTGTAGTCTTTCCAGTAGCGACCGAGACATTCTGAACTGTCATATTAGGGTTGGCGTTTGTTTGATGGCCCTGGCCTTGGCCTTGACTTTGGAGATCCGGATGAGAGGCCGGCTTATTACCAAGGTTTTGGTGGTTTGCCGGATTATCAATGAATGAGTCCTCTTCATTATCTGAATCATCTGACGAATCCTCCAACTCTGGGGGGTCCGGAATGAACAAATCTCGGAAGCTACCGCCTGGCTGTACCAGCTCAGAGATAGTCTGGGCGTGAATGGTGCTCGGGAATTCTTCGTTGAAGTAAGTGAATCGATAAGGTGCTTCTTCCTCTTCGCGTTTCCAGGATTTATACTGTGGACGCAATCGGCCTTCGATGAGCATCGGCTCACTGATCTTCTTGACTCGGAAATCCCCGTTGCGTCCCTCTTTCTCCTCGCGACTCCATTCTTCCAGTGCGGAGAGATCGGGCCACCGCCGGTGTCGACGTCTTCGACGTTCGCCAGCTTCTATGCCCATCTGCCTCGGCCCCTCGTCTCCGATTTCTGATATTGTCTCGGTGGGGAAACACACATCTCCTTCTGCCGGCAATGCCACAGTCCGGCGTCGCCGCAATTCCTGGTTTGGAGAAAGCAGCGGCGATCCAGGTGAAGAAGATGGTGCAGAATGGGGGTGTACCCCATTGCCGTCAATATCAATCAATGTGTCGTTGAGAATGTTCAAAGAGTCCCTGCGGTTCTCCATTGATCGCGCCAGCGTGAAATCCCAATCAGCCCCGGTGACCACTGCATCGTCGTAGTTCATCTCCGGTCCCAGCTTTGGAGACCCGGGGATGGATGGCGGATTATTGACATCGTAGTCTCGGTCGACAGCTGGAGAATAGAGGGGGCTGCGGTTGTCCTTTGGCGAGCACCCGGAAGAGACGGTCTGGACGGAGGGTTGTCGAGCACGAGTTGAAAACATACTCGGGCGACTATCTGTTCCATAGCGATTGTGGCTTGAGTTCGATCGCACCAAGGGTGTCCGATCATTGTCCTCTTCGTCGCTATCGTCATCCTGGTACTGCTGGCTTCGTCCTGCTCTTGGGGTATTGCGAGATTGTCCATCGTTCGACCGGTAGACGCTCGAGAGTAAGGAGCCGGGGCGCAATGACGATCCAAGGCGACTGTCACGCCGAGGTCGCATCATAGGTTGGTCGCTACGCAAGACAATCATTAGAATTCAATGTAAATCTCCAACATCCACAATCCAGGTTCACATACCGGTGATCCAACAGGGCATCGCTCTCTAAGCTTGTATTGCTCAAATTCCGCCCCAAATTGAAGAACGACGTAGCGTCCCTCGAGGTTGGCCGATCGGCCTCCATTGAATTACCTCCCGCACCTGTATTACGTCCAGGGCTTTCATGGGGTTCCTCGCGATCGGGTGGAATAAAAGACTGGTGGCGGTTGCGGCGTTTGCGATCGCGCTTCTTCTTGCGTTTGGAAGACTTGGAGGGTTTGCCAGCATTATCAGCGGGGGGTTCGAAGCGGGTCTCGGTCTCGTTGGTAGTCTCGGAGACGGATACCGGAGCAGTGCCTGGGGCCCGACCGCCCATTGGATTACATCTAGCGCTGTTATCAGCAGATGGTGGGTAATCGCTGGGCTGCCGGCGTTTTCTCGAGCTAGAGGAAAGCGAGGGGCGAGGCGGTCGGGCGGCTACATTGCCTGGTGTCGGGGTCATGGGCGGATCCATGACAGCTTCGATAATTGGGCAACGATCGGAGTTGGGTTGTCCCCAGTATGGAGCAGTTGTGTGCTCAAACAAGGAGAATTTTCAGGAGCTCATCAGCCAATGGGGTCTGGCCAAATCATACAGGATTCTGGATCACAGGAATGCTCGCAGCACGCAGTAATTCCGGCTTTCCGTTCGATCTTACTAGCGCTGTTGATCACGAACCGACATCGGGCATGGCTGACAGCGCACCCAGGAAATTCTTGTGCGTTGTAGGTACCCAGGCACACGATTCAAGCTCCAGCTCAGACCGATGACGCGGGTGGCGAAGCAAAGTGGAACGTGACAAAACAAGAATCGTGAGGTCCTCTGAGCGCAATATAAGAAAAATTAGAGCAATCGTACATATATCGATACAAAGAAGATGAAGTTCTCCAAGGTCATAAGAAAAAAAAAGCCAACAAAGTTGGGAAACCCTTGGAAGGCTGTTCCTAAGACAGCAGATGAGGTCAGCAGGGTCCAACGTGGATCTATAAAATTTGTAACACACAACGCACTCGATGTGTATTATATTGTAGCCTGATATAATTGAAGTGAAAAATGCATTGTTTGGCCTCGAATAAGCAGGGGCATCGCTTTCATATAGATTATTCGGGGGGAAGAAAAAGTCCATTGGCGCGTTAAGTATTTATCTCCTAACTCAATTAAACAACTTCCCCTTCACCGGAGATTTTACTACCACATCGGAGATGTAATCACACGTTAAAGGTTTCATGTCCTATCACCTATACTTTCTTCAGGCCTTTCAACAACACCCCATGCAAGCCTCTGCAGCGGTAGATGATGGTCAAATGCCCGCATCAGGGCTTCGTCATGCGTCCGACACGGCTGACATGCAGCAGCAATATCAGTGCTAGAGCCCCCGGATAGAGGAGCCTGCCCTGGACATCGCCCAAGCAAATCCGTTAACACCAGTGCAATGATTCATGCATTTGCAAGACGTAGAGACCTAAACGCCACGATTGGTGAGCTATATGTGTAATTCTCGGTTGCAACATCGAGATTCTCATCCAGGTCAATTTGATACAACTAATGGTATAGAAAGCCACAAGCCTCTGAACATAAGTACCTAGGTTAAAAAAAGCCAGATCTTTATGAAAAAGAAAATGGACCACTGCTAGCGTTTGATAGCTCTCTCCCAAAGGTATCTCTCACATGCCCAGAGACCCTCGATCATTAGTGGGCTCCTCGCCCACTCTTCCAATGGCGAGAGCCACTTCTCATAGTTTTCTTTCCCAGATTAAGACTGACCTAGATGAGGGTCAAGGTACTTCAGAAAAGCGTAAATCGTGTCACCTGTCGTGCACAGGGGCTAGTCTGTCTTTGTGATTTACATTGCGCCAACAAAAGACGCAATGTTCACCTTGTTACAAGCCATCATTATGACCCAAAAAAAGGTCTAAGCTAGATCTTGCTTCCTCTTAGGGCTTCATGTGAAAGGAAGGAGCGAACAGGATAGGAAGTATTCCATCCGGCGAAATATTTGTGAGTTGCGTACCAGGTACCTAGGTAAGTATCTATTGTAATTGAATTGATTCGAAGAACAGAACACTTCGGTATGAGAAGGGTATGTGTCAAATATCTAGTTGGACAAGGGATTTATAGTAGAAGTTCCGACGGTTGGATTCCTGTTTCTGTATATTGCTTCCCACTGCAGTAGTCGAGCTTTCTGAAACCGCGGTCGAAGAATTCTCTCAGACAAAGCTTTATCACTATGTTGTCGACTCACTCCACTTACCATGCCCCACTTACAGGCCATGTCGAAGCATTTTCCAGAGAAGCAGCGAAAAGAATATATAAAATGTACAACCACGTTCCCCTGCCTCTTACTCTCCTTGTGCTACTCAGTAATTTCCAAAAACTGCCGCCTTTTTATCTATATCAATGCTTGCTAAGCATAAACAAGTGCACTATAGTTAGTAAAGGTGAAGTTACTAGAAGGTGATTATCCTAAGATCACAGAGATGAAAGTAGAATTGTACATTCTGCACGAGAACTGAGCTGATTTCTATGTTACTGGAACTCTGATGCTCTTGGATATTTGGGATACTTTGTGGGTATAAACCATGGGCTCTTGGTTTCATCAGGAGTCTTTTACCCCCGGCATCGGGACTAAGTGTATCCGCGAGCTCGTGGAATATGCGGATATTGGTAGGACGAAGATGAAGGTGATTGAGAGTGGTAGATGCTATTACGTTTTACCGACCAGATATAGATATCGAATCTTTATACAGTACTTCAAGCTGGTACCACGGTATTTCATAAAGCAGGCTTGATTGATGCCAAAATAAGGCTCACTATAGATATATGATTGCGTGACGCCTTAACATCTTTTCTCCTCGCATGAAACGACTTCGAATGCTCTGGCAAGTGACTTTCTAGTAATAGAATATCTCAATATAATGCCCGAAACACAACGTACTAACCACGTCGCCGGCAAAACTCCGGGGCCCCGCGTTGCCTAAACCTTGTTCAGACTTGGCATTCGTACAATATAAATAATGAGAGACTCGGGAACTGATTTCGGCTTATAGCTCGATGTAAGACCAATTAGCTTTCCAGCTGTTGTGCCGAAGATGCCAAACCACAGTGATAACCGAACCCGAGGTCCGGTGGGATAATTATCTGTATGCGGGGAACCTTGCAGACTATTATCGGACTAAATATTTAAGTCGCAAAACTTGAATAAAACACAGCTAGTGATGCCAATCGTAATATTTCAAGCCACATACCCCTTATCCGATGTGGCTGCAAGTTAATTTAAGCTTATTAACTTGACTTTCCGTATTGTAATTACAATATGCAAATATCGAATAAATTCTCTCAGGAGTAAATTTCCACCGTTGCTGACATCTCTAAAGCGACAACTTGTGGTATATTAAGGCACTCGTCTTCTCTGAAAGTGCCGAGCTACGATCCTGGCTGCTCCACCTTCTGTAACCAAATCTCGCTTCCGCCCGTGTGAGATGAACACCCCCACCCAGTGGATTCATTAGTCCGATCTGCTGTTTGTTATTGTTTGCATGGACCCAGTATAAAGCTCTGCTTGCTCGCACACCTTAAGTTTGAAGCTGTCGATCAGTGATATCATCTTCCTCAATCTTCTCCCTGAGCCTCGGCTCCAACTCCGTTTTCAAAATGGTCTCCTCGACCTCAGTATATCTCTTTGGGCTCTCTCAGCTCCTGACTACGGCCTCGTCAGCGAACACCGGTGCGACAAAATCTTGCACGCGTGATGCGTTCGCCTCTCTCGGTCTTCCGAACATCAATGTTCTCTCCGTCGATGCAAAGCTGGACCAAGCACACTGGGATGTAGACGATACCTTGAACGCCTATCCTGTTCAAACGGATAAGACTGTGGAAGTTTGCCAGCTGACGGTGAACTACACTCACCCCGGGTGGAATGATAAGGTCACTACCTGGATTTCGCTCCCGGTTGATAACTGGAATGGCCGCTTTGTCGGCATGGGCGGTGGTGGCTGGACCATGGGTTCTCTGGGTGCGCTCAGCCAGGCCGTCTTCGGAGGTTATGCGGCTGCTTCCACAAATGGTGGACATGATGAGTTGGCAACCGTCAAGTCTTGGGGACTGGCTAGTGAAGGGAATGTAAACTGGGCAAACATGCAAGACTTTAGCTCCGTTACTCTGGACGAGACTGCCTCATTGGGAAAGGCTGCTACCAAGATGTTCTACGGAAAGCCACACAAGTATGCTTATTGGAATGGATGCTCTACTGGAGGTCGACAGGGCCTGATGATGGCTCAGCGATATCCCACTCAGTATGATGGGATTTTGGCTGGCGCGCCTGCCATCAACTGGGATAAGTTTATTCCTGCCGAATTCTGGCCTCAGATGTTGATGGATGTTCTGGGTAAAGTTTTCCGCGATACCAATGAATGACCAATTGCTAACATATTCATGCAGACTACTACCCCTCAACTTGTGAATTAGAAGCTATCACTGAATACGCAATCAACGCCTGCGATGAGCTCGATGGGGTCAAAGATGGCATCATTTCCCTGCCAGGACTCTGCAAGTTTGACCCAACCACCGTGATTGGCAAGACAGCACAGTGTGTATCCAATAATAGCACTATCAAACTCACCGCCAAGGCCGCCAAATACGTTTCTCTCGTATGGGCCGGGCCGTCAGACGCATACGGATCCTCCCTTTGGTATGGACTCTCCCACGACGCACCTCTCACCAGCCTAGCAGGCACAAACTGCACAACACCATCAAAGCACTGCAAGGGCGTGCCGTTCCAAATCTCCGCAGACTGGCAGCAGATTTTCCTTTCTCGGAATTCTTCAGTAGACTTATCAACAATCAACTACGCTGAATATGTTCGTCATTTCCGCCAGTCCGTCAACGAATACAGTTCCGTCATCGGCACCCGCGATCCCAATCTGACAGGATTCAAGCAGGCGGGCGGTAAAATGATTTCTTGGCACGGCATGAAGGACCAGCTCATCTTCTTCAATGGTACTGAGAACTACTACCAGAAGGCCATGGACATCGATGCCAATCTTCAGGATTACTATCGCTTTTTCGCGGCCCCTGGTGCTGAGCACTGCAAGGCTGGCATCGGATTCTATCCTGGCAGTAGCTTTGAGGCTCTTGTGGATTGGGTTGAAAATGAGACTGCTCCGGATACACTGCAGGCTATTGCTACACCGACTGCTACTGGGACTGCTCAGCTTCCTTTGCGCACGGCGAACCTGTGTGCGTACCCTAAGATTTTGACTTATGTTGGGGGTGATGCTAGCAAGGCGGCTTCATTTACTTGTAAATAATTCGGATTGTGTTTGGGGGTTTCCTGATTCCACTTTGTATAATGTTCATTTAGCTGTCAGTTATATCCTGAATATAGTATAAGATCTTAGTTTAGCTCCTAGCTTAAGGGCATACCTAACCCCACAGCCGTTTCTATTTATTTACGACTTTTCAAATAGCAAAAGGCCGGTAGTTGCACAGGTGATACATCCGAGGCACGTAAGAACTGACAGCCAGATCTCAATCCCTATGTGTTCAGAATGCAGCTGAAAGCTGCTACACAACGTCGAATTTAATGGTCTATATGAACCATTCCAGATGACTCCAGGAGCCCCCGAGTCCGGCCCGCTAGAGCCACGTGTGAGACAAATTGTTGAGTAGTTGGCCATCTCGCAGGGTTAATAGCCTAGCATAATCAAGGATGAGGATTGGAATGGCTGAATGTCTCAGCGCAGCTTTGGAGGTTCGGTGTAATTATATAAACGGAGTACATTCCCGAGGTCTCGTGGTTTCCATTTCGATATTCTATCTAAGCTTTCCAATGTCTATCACCTACGTAATTATCTCTTGCCATGACAGTCCTCGGTATTCTCTTTCCTCTCATTGCTGTTGCTCGTGCTACCCCAAGTATCGAAGCATCGGTATGTTTCATGAAGTTGGAGCAAAGACATGAACAATGCTAACAGTATATAGCAAGCTGCTATCGGTGTCCGCTGTGCTGTATGTACAACACTCATCAGTCTTGTCTAATTAATGAAGTTTAGTTATGAGATTACAGTAACTAAACTTTTTGATATAGTCAGTGATTGTGAGCGTTTGCCCGTAAGAGTAAGTATTTCGTTCAATAAATGATTTGAACCAGACTTCTGACCTTGTCCTAGCGCTCTTACACTGTGCACTATCATCGGAAATACAGGATTACGTCGTGTGTGTAAGCCGAGTAAGTGTCCACGGGTTTTATCCAAGGAATTTACTGTGCTAACTAGATGTCTTTTTCCTTTCAGCAAACCCGTAGCCCTCCATCTATTCAACAAGGCTGTAATCCCAAAGCGCCTACGTCAGGTTCGGATCTAGGGTCTCCTTCTGGTAAACCCTCCTCTGACTGCATATGTAGTTTACCGAGAACAGTCACCCGGAAATAAAAGAATGTCTGGAAAGATGTCGGTACTATATAGCCGAGGAAATATACTGTCAATCATATAGCTAATAGTCAAGACAGCGAAGTGAACTGGTGATTTTTTTTTTCTTTCTTTCTTTTTTCCTTCTTTCTTTCTTTCGGGTCAAAGTAGGCATACCAGTGATTTAATGATTCAAGAATAGCAATTCCATTTCCAGATTTGATCGGGCCATTTGCCATCTCCTAAATCTCTAGTCATAGATACCTCGAAGATTTCTGGCCCTTCCCCAGTGTTCAATATTCTCCAGCCACCCCCCTATGCCAGTCGGCTGACAAGATTGAAAGCCTTTGGCCCTATCTGAGAAAGTCGAGCCAGTCTCAGAAAAGAATTTCCAAATCCATTCCCGGGGTTGGCATGTGAGTAGAAGTGTGGGGGTTTCTTGCCCCGGGGTTCCTAGGGGTGATTGTCTGTATGGTTTCAAAGCTAAATAAGCTCTTCATCTATGCGGAAAGAGTAAGGTTCTTTGTGACCCGAGGATCTAGATCTAGAATGATTGCTTACCTGGAGGCTGTTGGCTCGATTGATCCAGAACATCGTTGTGATACAAAGCCCAACGTCAAAAATATTCATAAACGTACATCGACGTGTGATGACACAGCGTGAAAATCTATCGTCCCCGAAGCGTAAGATTGGCATGTTCTTGTTTGTGGCTCTCGGGTCAGAGTTTTGACTAGACTCGGTTGCCTCAAGCGCTTTGACTAGCCATAGGGTCACTCAGACAGGGACAGATGGCCACGTTTCCAACATATGGAAGCAGCATTGACCTGGAATCCGGAGAAAGTCGAGGATTATTATAATTACGTGGGAAGGGACCGTCTCGAAGATATTTGGTGTGCAGGTAGGAAGTTTCCGAGGAAAGACTATTTGCCTTAAAGCGCGTAGTCAGGTCATAGTATTATGCACCATCGCGAAGGTGAATAGCGACCAGGGTCGGATTGAATTATTACTGGAATTGTGCTCGAGGATGAAAGAGGTATAAGAAGAGGTGGGAAAAAGATTGGGAAAGATATTGGGAAAGAGTGCGCCGAACCTGACTTCGTTGGCGGCTATAGCCCTAACCAAGATGAGGCTCGGAATGGACATAGTTCATCCTATATAAATTGCTGGAATAGGAGGACTAAGAGTAAGGAAGCGAGATAAAAATGAAATGAAGAAAAGTAAATTATTACAATGCCATGCCAGAAGTACAGGTCATAACTCATAAGACATCAAAGGCCAAAGTAAATACACATCGACAACATAGTCTTAGAAAAAGTGAAAAAAAAAAGAAAATCATAAAAAAACTCCAATCATCGTCTTGCAATGATCCAATCCTCATAACACCAAATAGCAAAAGAAGCAGAGCAGCCGGAAACGATGGAAATACTCAACATGACAAGAGTGTGACGCCTCAAATCAAAGTACTCATATTATCCATCATTGACGAAGGCGCAACGCTATGCACGGATTTCGAGGCATCAATAGACATCCGATCACCGCTCATCATGCGGGAGACCTTGTCTTTGCTCTGGCGAGCGATGAGGACTTGGGCGGGACAAACGACGACTTCGTCATCGCCCTCACCGACATCGCTGCCTTTTTTCACAACGAGGGGGAAGAGGACAATCCGCACAACGGACTGCTCAGCCTCGAGCTGATCGTTGTCGTTTGTTTGCCCGCTGCGCTCGTTCATCAGCGCGGCATTGAAATAGACCTGGCGGGCGAGATCGCCGTTCGTGTCGTATTCCGGTTGAAGGGGCGGTAGCATGATATATTCTGCTAATTGGGTGCGCATCTCCAGCGAGAGGTTGACTGCCACGCGCATGATCTTGCGAAGGTTATCGAGCAGTTGTGATTCGACGTGCGAGGGGGGAGGGAGGACGCGGGACAGAGTCTGGAAAATTTCCAGGGTGACTGCCTCAGTATCGCTTTCGCGCTGGGCGGCGAAGGCAGGGCGTCGAGAGAGGAGGGTTAGGGTCGTTGCTCGCCAGCGATGCACGGCTCGGCTTGGGCCGACTTCGCCTAGTTGTTTTTCGAGGGATTTGAGCTTTTGGCGCTGCTCGCGGTCCATGCCGAATAGGTAGCGCGTGAAGATGTATTCCCAGACCATTGTCATGACTACAGACATGAAGACGTCGCGGCGGCGCACTCGATCTGATAGGTAGGCATCTGGGTCGGAGCCGTCGAGGAGGGCATTGTCGAAGCGGTCTGCAATTTTCTCATCTTGTAACTCGATCAGTGGGCGGCAGCGACGCTTGTCGCTGTGTTTGGAGAAGCGCACAACCCATGATTGAACGTGGCCGCAGAGTTTTTGACAGGCTGCATCGAAGTATTCCTCGTCGCGGAAGACGAGAGCATTGTCATGTACCGAGGCTGAGATTTGTTGTTGTAGCTCCTTCACTTTGTCGCGGGCCTCTTCGAGTTCAGTGCGCAGACGGCGCAGCTCAATGTCCTTCTGCGCCAGTGCGGACTCAATCTCTTGGCGGACTCGATCCTCCATTTGCGACGAGAGCTGGGTGTGCTGTGAGCGCAAGTCATTAAGTTCGCGGGTAGATGACTCGCGGACGTTAGTGACTTCAGCAGCATGGGCGGCGGCAAGAGCAGCATTAGATGCTGTAATCGCCTCATTCTCCTGTGTGAGACGAGATGTCTCTTTTTGTAACCATTCCACCGAGTTTTTCAGTTGTTCCACCTCTGCGTCTCGGTCGCGCAGATCACCGTCACGGGTATTAAGGGCGCGGTCGCTCTTCCGGCGAGCGACACTGGCATTTCGTAATTTGTCTTCGGCCTCATCACGAGCAGCAATTAATAAACGATTCTCGGAAATAAGCTGGTCGATTCGAGTTTCGATATCTTGTAAGTGTTGCATGCTGCGACGACGACGGACACTAGGTGGTCGGCTGGGCGACCGTGGGGAATTGGGCGTCTCACCCCAACCCTCCTATTAATTGTTAGTAAACAATAACAAAAACAACAACACAATTGTTGTAATAAATTTTAACAATTGTGAATTAATCACTTACATAGACGTCCGACATATTTCGTACAGGACGTTTGCCCTTGTCGGTGACGGGGTCGTAAGAGGAAGAAGAAGGGAGCAGATCGAGATCGGTCGTCGAAGTCGAAGGCTGGGAATCCCGGCTGGCCGCCCGCAAATCTCCACTAACGCTGCGCTTTGCACGACGTAATTTTCCACTGCTGGTGCTGGGCTTAAGGATTTGGAATCCTTGCTCAGGCGTTTTGGTCATTTCTGTAATTTCTCGGAAATTGTCTCGGGAGGGTTCTCGTGTGAGCTTTTTGCTTTCATCCGTAGGCCATGATTCTCGATCAAAGGCATTGTCAGTGAATTTACGCACGGGAGTGTGAGGTCGAGGTAAGACATGTTCGGGTTTGATCTCCAGACGGGGAGTTCCGCGTTGAGCCGTGGTAGATTGGTGACCTTCCCGTGGTTCTTGTTCCACTATAGTATCAAGTGGAGTCCGGGGGCGAGTAAAGGAATCTTCACTTGGTCCTCCGAACAGAGACCGAGGAGGTGATGGAGCACGAGCTGCCAGGGATGGTTCTTCTAGACTCCATGTTCGAGGAGTGATTTGGTGTCGTCCGTGAATTGACGGGGATCGACGAAGTTCACATTGTTCTTTCCCAGCCTGCTCTGGGGGGAATTGTGAAGCTGGCTCCTCGGGAGTGACCTCTGTTGGGAACGACACTGACGCATCCAAAGATCGTTCGCCTTGTGTAGGTAACTCTTGCTCTAGTCCCTTGGTAAATTCATTCTCTGTAGCAGGGACTTCCTCGTAGGACTTGACATGGGCAATTGCAGACTCGATTTGCTGTTCAAGAGTGCTAGGCAGCTCGGGCTCTTGGATTCCTCTGGTTTCAATGGCCACCGCGGGTGCTTCCGAGACAGGAAATGTGGATTCGAAATTTGTTTTCAAGTCCGCTTCCTCGGCACTATCTTTTGGCGAGTCCTGCTTTTCTAAAGTTCGTTTGAATCCCCCACGCTCAAGGCCAGGAAATAAATTAGCGATCTTAGAGCCACCAGGAGTAGTAGCCCTAGCAGGCGGCTCGATCTCTTTGTCGACGATTTCCGGCTCTTCGGCCTCAAAAGCTTGTTGAGACTGCTTCTTATTCTTCTTGGCCTTCTTCTTGTCTTTTTTGCTCATCGGCAGGACCGAAGAATCCTCAGCAGCCTCTTTTGACTCGGTGTCTTGCAAGGACTTAGGTGGCGGAGAACGTTCGAAATCTCCAACTATCTCTTGTGCTGGTAATGCCACTGGCTCGGGCTCAAGGTCTGCTTCCTTCAATTGCTGGGACTGTTCAGCCTTTTGTTCCCAGTCAATTGCAGGCCAGTCCTCTTCGTCAGGCTTGTGGACAGGCGCTTTAGTTGCTTGCGCCTTGGGTGAATCTTCCTCGAAGGGCGCGATGTTCATACGCTCTGCAGTACCGATCTCTTTCTCAAGTAGTTCGGGTTTAAATTGTTGGGATTCAACCTGAGGTTCTGATTGGTCTGTATGTTGTTCCTCGATCGGAAGCGGAGCATCAATGGGCAGCTCTCGTTCCAATGGAAGCCCAGGCTCTGGGATAGGACCGGTTTCTTGGGATTCTGGCTCCATGACAGGGTTTGCTGACTGAGTCTGAGCCTCCATGGTCTGCTCGGCAGCAATAACCGGAACGACTTCCTCTTGAGTTGGAGCCTCGTCAGTAATACCAGTGGTTTTCTTCGCTTTGCGCTTGTCTTTCTTCGACATCTTCTTGGACAGAGCTGGCACCACTTCTGGTTCTCGGGTTTGGTCCCCGAGTGGCTCGGCGACAGCGTCAGGCTCGGCTGCCTGCTCCACATGGTGTTCGACCGCGCTGTCTTCGACAGGAGCAAGCGGTTTATCGGTGACAACCTGTTCTGGGATGTCTGCGGATGTGTCTTGAACATCAGCCTCAGCAGGCGATGGTGCGTCGATTGGGTCCCGGCAGACGAGTGTTTCATCGTTCTCACTCGCCGGGATTTGCTTGTCTTTCGATGTAATAGTTTCCTCTTCAACTGCGGCTGTCTCGATGGTCTCAGGTTCTAGCTCAAAGGCCTCATTTGGTGTTTCCCGAGAAATGGACTCAGGTGCGGGAACAGGCTCGACTGGAGTTTCGTTGAGAGCAAGCGGTTCAGGGGCTGCCTCAACAATGTCGGGTTCGGCGGCGAAAGTAGACTCCTTGGGCGCAGGAGAAGACGGCTCGATTGGTATTTGTTTACCTTGTTTCTTGGCCTTCTTCTTCTCCTTCTTTGACATCTTCCTAGTAAGGGAGTCATCTATTGGCTCGTCTGCGAGCTCCTTGGCAGATTCCTTCGGCTGAGCTTCTGGCTCGAGCGGCTCGGTGGGTTCAAGAGTCTCGGCAGGTTCTGGGTCATCTTCCTTAAGCTCCGAGATTGTCGCCTCTGTTGATTCATCAAAAGTTTGGGCTGCCTTGGTAATAGCCTCGTCCTTGGTTTCGGAACGCAGTGGCTCATCCAAAATGGGTTGCTCTGCGACTTGCTCTGGGACTTCAGGCGTGGCAGTCGATGGATCAATGGATGCAGCCTCAGGCTCGGCAGATTTCTCTTCCTCAAGAGCGACAGCCGCGGCTGCTGCTGCTGCTGCAGCGGCCTTCTTTTCTTTCTTGGTCAGCTTCTTGGGAGCGGTCGGCTTTTCCTCTGCCACCTCAGCGGGAGCTTCGAATGGGGCTTGCTCAGCAGCTTGTTCGCTATCTGGGGCCTGAGTAAGTGTTTCAACAGCATCTTCGTGCGACTTGTCTGCGTCTTCGAATCCAGGATTCGTCTCGATCGATGGAACCCCGAGCGATCTCTCTCCTAGTTCCACCTCTTGGCTTGGGGCGGGTTGTTCAGCCTCCCCAGCAGGACGCTCAACATCCGGTGCAGTCTCCTCGGGGATTTCATTAGGCTGGAGCGAGGCTTCCTCGGCCGGGGCATCAGGCTCATCCTGCGTCTTCTCAGCGGCGGGGGCACTTTCGGTTGCGATTTCAGTCTCTAGAGCCGTCGCTTCAGTGACTTCTGGTGTTGGCTGTTTCTCGGTCTGGGCAGCAGGCTCATCCTGCGTCTTCTCATCGGCAGGGGCAGTTTCGGTTGCGATTTCAGTCTCTAGAGCCGTCGCTCCAGTTACTTCTGGTGTTGGCTGTTCCTCGGCCTGGGGCTCAGCCTCGGGTTCCTGTGCACTAAGTTGGCGTTCCTTCTTCTTGTCCTTTTTACTCTTTTTCTTTGAGACAGGGGCCTTTTCAGGTTCTTCGGTGATAGGAGCCTCGGCATTGACAGCAGTCTCTTCGGAGGCAGGGTTAACACCTTCGGCCTCTGGGATAGTAGGCTCCTTGGTATCTTCAGCAACCTCAATTGGCTGATCTTCAGAAGGCTTTTCGACAACAAGTTTCTCGATGGATTCTTCCATGGTTGAAGGCTCTTCAATATCCTTGGACTGCTCTGTAGGTTGCTCCTCGAGAACAGTCACTCGTTCAGCCTCAGAAACTAGCTCGGGCTCAGTGATTGCCGTTTCCTCGGCCTGAGGCGCGGCCTCGATCAAAGGCACAGCTTCAAGCTGCTCCTTCTCCTCTGCAGCAAACGATTCAGGCTCAAGGACTTGGACTTCTTCCTCTTGTTTTTTGTTTTTGTTTTTCTTGTTTTTCTTCTTCTGCTTCTTCGAAACAGTCATCTCAGAAGCCTCATCCTCCAGGGGGACTTCTTCCGTCTGTGCCTCGACAACTTCAACCGGCACATCCACAGGCTTCTCCTCAGCCTGTTCCATTGAGAGATCGCCCGCTTCCGGCACAGACGATTTCTCCTCACCAACTTCAATGTTATCAACAGCCTTCTCCTCCGCAAGAGGAGTTGGCTCAGCAACATCAAGCTCCTGTGCAGAAGGGGCAACATCACCCTCCTGCGGAGCAGCTACCTCCTCCAACTCGCCGGAATTGACTGAACGCTCAAGCACGGGCTGGGGAGGATAATCTAAAAAAGAACTGTCTATCGGCGTCTCAACCTGCGAAGACATGAATATATCAGTCGAGGGCGTTTCTTGCGCCGTGGCGTCGTGTGTTTCGTCGTGGGACTGATCTTTACCGTCATGTTCCGCAGGCGAGGACGCCGTTACGGCTGAAAGTCCAGGGGCGTCTGTGTCCGTCGAGATGAGGCCTTTCTCAACGCTGTTGGGCTCTCCAACTGGTGTGCCTGGCTCGGTTGCCGGGGCGGAGTCATTATCGGCGTTGGCGTTCTTTGACTGGCGTTTCTTTGCCTTTTTGGCTTTTTTTCTTTGGGCAGCTGTCATGCCTGCGTATTCGGCAGCTTCGGTGGCTTCGGCGGCTTCGGCGGCGGTGGTATCGGCAGGCGAAGAAGCAGTCTCGTTGGCGTCCTTGGGAGTTGGCTCTGGCTCGGCAACTGCCTCGATGGCTGGGGTTTCATTGTCGATCTCCTTGGCTGTAGGGGCTTCGTCCTTCGGCAAATCTCCAGAAACAGCTAATTCGACATCCTCGGGGTTTGGAGTTTCGGATTCGATGGCACTATGCCCAACAGTCTCCGTGGGCTGCGCTTGTCCAGGGATCTCAGCTGGCGTATCCGTAGGAGTCTCAGTAGCAGCTTCAGGCACCTCAGATGCCTCCGCAGGTACAGAGGTTTCCTCAGCCAAGTCCACTGACTTTCCCTTCTTCTTGTTTTTCTTAGCCTTCTTCTTCTGCGCAGCAGTCAAAGGAACTTCAGGCTCTTGTGAGACCGGAGACTGAGGCTCCGAAGGAAGTTGAGTATCCTGTTCCGACTGCCCAGTAGATTCTGCAGCGGAAATCGGCTCTTTCGCCTCAGTAGGGTCAGATGCCTCAGCCTCAATAATTTCCTTAGCTTCTTCGGTAGGAGCAATATTCTCGCTCTTCTCCAAGTCTTTCTGTTCGGCCGCAGGTTGGGTCACTTCCTCGGTAACTGCCAACTCCTTGGGCAATTCGTCAGAGACAGCCAATTCAGCTGGAGTATCCTGTAACTTGCTCTTTTCGTCGGGTTGCTCTTCCTTTGGCTCTTCAGCCGGAGTGGCTTCTTCAAAAGCAACCGACTTGCGCTGTTGCTTTTTCTTGTCTTTCTTAGCCTTCTTTTTCTGAGCAGCCGTCATACCCTCGTATTCAGCTTCTTCTGTGGCCTCTGAAACGGCAGCATCAGCTGTTGGATCCGGTTGGGAAGACTCTTCGGCGGTAGGGACTGCTTCGGTTCTCGGTTCCTGCGTCGTGGTGGGAACATCCACACTGTTCTCAGAAGGCTGTTCAACATCTTGGGCAGAAATTGGCTCAGTCACCTCAAGAGGCACTTCCGCAGCTGCAGGTTGTTCTTCCTCCACAGGAGATGGAGTTGGCTTCTGTTCTTCGGCAGCGAGAGATTGGCGTTTCTTCTTCTCTTTTTTGGCCTTTTTCTTTTGAGCAGCAGTCATGCCCTCATACTCAGCTGCTTCTGCGGCCTCTGCGGCGGCAGCATCAGTCCCTGCGTCTGGTTGGGCAGCTGCATCGGTAGGAGGGAGTTCTTCGGCCTTTGGTTCCTCTGTGGTGGTAGCGGGAGCATCCACAATGTGCTCAGGAGAAGGCTGTTCAACATCCTGCGCAGAGATTGGCTCAGTCACCTCAAGAGGCACTTCCGCAGCTGCAGGTTGTTCTTCCTCCACAGAAGTTGGAGTCGGCTCATTCTCTTCCGCAGCAAGAGCTTCGCGCTTCTTCTTCTCCTTCTTGGCCTTCTTCTTCTGAGCAGCGGTCATGCCTTCGAACTCATCAACTTCTACCGCTTCTGCAGCGGCACGATCAGCTTCTACATCCAGTTGGGCAGTCTCATCGGTGGGAGGCAGTTCCTCGGCCTTTGGTTCCTCGGTGTTAGCAGGAACTTCCAAAATTGGCTCGGCGACCTCAACAGGTACTTCCGCAGCTACAGGCTGTTCTTCCTCCACAGGAGTTGGATTCGGCTTATTGTCTTCCACAGCAAGAGCTTCGCGCTTCTTCTTCTCCTTCTTGGCCTTTTTCTTCTGAGCGGCGGTCATGCCGTGGAACTCATCAACTTCTGCCGCTTCTGCAGCGGCACCATCAGTTTCTGCGTCTGGTTGGGTAGTCTCATCGGCGGGACCGATCTCTTCGACCTTTGGTTCCTCGGCGGTAGTGGGAACTTCAACAGTTGGCTCAAGAGAAGGCTGTTCGGCGTCCTGGACAGGACTTGGCTCGGTGACCTCAAGAGGCACTTCCGCGGCTGCAGTATGTTCTTCCTCGACGGGAGTCGGCTTATTCTCTTCCGCAGCAAGAGCTTCGCGCTTCTTCTTCTCCTTTTTTGCCTTCTTCCTTTGAGCAGCAGTCATGCCTTCGAATTCATCAACTTCAGCAGCGCTGGATTCCACAGGGGCCTGCGGCTGGGTGATCTCTTCGGTAGTAGAAGCCTCCTCTGTGTTTGTTTTCTCCTTTCCCACAACAGGAAGGTCTGCATCTTGGTCGAAAGAGGACTGTTCGATTTCCTGAGTGGAAGTCGGCTCGGTGTGTTCCTCCGTGGAAAGATCCTTCCCCTCTTCCGCGACTATAGCCTGCTTTTCCGTAGGCTGGTCATCAGAAAGCTTGATTTCTTCCTCCAGTGGCGCAGGCTGCTCGTCTAGATGTGGCTCGGAAGGAGCGGGCTCTGTTTCTTCATTGGCTGGTGCAGGCTGTTCCTTGGCAGCGAGGGCCTCGCGCTTCTTTTTCTCCCTTTTAGCCTTCTTTCTTTGAGCTGCATTCATCCCTTCGTATTCGGCCGCTTCGGCAGCAGCGGCGGCGGCTTCATCGACAGGACTAGCCTCCTGGATGCTCTCTTCAGGGATAATCTCCTCGGTCCTAGGCGCATCCTGTGCGGCCACAGGGGGCTCCGCATGTGGCTCGGAAACGGGCTGCTCAGTCTCTTGCGTGGCTAAAGCCTCAGTAGGTTGCTCGATAGAAGCAGGCTTTGGTTCATCTTCGGCAGGCTTAATCTCTTCCTCGGCAGGCTTGATCTCTTTCTCAACAGGCGTAGCCGGGGAAGCCTCTTCGGTAGGCGCGGATTGCTCTCCCTCAGCGACAGCGGATTGGCGATTCTTCTTCTTATCTTTCTTGGCCTTGCGCTTCTGAGCGGGCGTCATTGTCTCCTCTGCAACCCCTTCAGGTGTAGAATCGGCAGGCTTATCGTCGAGGGATTTATCTAGAGGTGCCTCTCCGGCAGTGATATCACCCTTTTGTTCTTCCCGGGCGCTCTCCGCGAGGGCAGTGGTCTCCCCCGTTGCAGGCGCGGCCTCCTTGGTGTTAATTGGAACGTCGAGAACTTGTTCAGACACTTCGGGGACAACGACAGTCTCTTCAGTGATTGGCTCTGTGGGGGCTTCATTTTCGAGAGTAGGAAGATCACGGGTCTGTTCCTCTGCGGGTTTGGTCTGGATATCAGCTTCCTGTGCCGGCTCGGGCTGAGCAGACACTTCTACAACCTCAGCGGTAGGTGCGGACTCGGCCTCGGGCACAACATCGCTAGGCTGCTCAACGCTCTTGTCCTCGGTAGAAGTAGGCTCAGCCTCAGGAATAGGTTGTTCGTCAAGCTGCACAGAGTCGGATTTCTGCTGCTTCTTCTTGTTTTTCTTGGCTTTCTTCTTCTCTGCGGCGGTCATTGGAACCTCCTGCTCAGTTGGAGCTTCTTTGGTGGGAGCTTCTCCCTCGACAGGCGCGGGAGTTTCATCAACCTCCCTTGGCTCATCCGGTTTGGAGGTTTCGTCAATATCTTGGGGAAGATCAACAGGAGCGGAAGAATCAGTGCCAACCTTGACGTCGACAGGTGCGGAGGTTTCTTCGGCTACAGGAATCTCAGCCTCAGAAACAGGCGCAATATCCTTGCTTGATTCAGCAAGTTCAGCATCGGCAGACGGGGCGGCTTCAGCTGCGGGAAGTATCTCCGGTTCCTCTGTAGACACAGGTGGAACATCCTGTTCACCAGATGGCTCGATATCCACTGGCGCCAAGGCATCGGCGGGGGCATCAATCTGGGCATCTTCAGCGGGCGCGATTTCCTTGCTAGCTTCGATGGGCTCGGCATCTAGTGGAGAAGGCTCGACAGTCTGGGCGTCATCTGGAACAGAGCTGGTACTCTCTTCCTGCTTCTGCTGCTTTTTCTTGTTTTTCTTTGCCTTCTTTTTCTCTGCGGCGGTCATGGGAAACTCGGGTTCGGCAGGAGTCTCTTCGGCTTTGGGCTGTTCCTCGGATACTGAGGGCTCAGCTGGTGTCTCTGCCTCAATTGACTCTGCTGCTGCTTCTGCCGGGAGTGTGGTTTCTTCCTTGGGTATTTCGAGCTCCGCGGGCTGGTCGGTTTGAGAAGGTTGCTCAGGGTCAAAAGACTGTTCACCCTCTGCGGGCACGAGCGCCTGATCTCCTCCTTGAGGGACATCCACTGGTGCATCCTCAAGGACGGTAACCTCTTTGGCTATATCCTCAACCGCGCCCTCTGTTCCAGGTGCTGCCTCGGTAGCTTCAGCTGGTTTCTCATCGTCAGGGATAGAAGATTCGGTCTGCTTGCCCTTCTTCTTCTTATCCTTCTTGGCCTTCTTTTTCTGCGCAGCAGTCATGGCTACCTCAGGCTCGGCTTCGGCTTCGGCTTCGGCTTCGGCTTCGGCTTCAGGTTGAGCTTCAGCCCCAGCCTCGGGTTGAGTATCCATAGTAGGCTCTGTGACTTCACGAGAAGATTCATCAGTAGGAGCCATCAGGTCGGTTTCAGGCTGAGTCTCAGCGGCAGGCGCTGGAAGATCACGAGAAGAGTCCTCAACAAACTCCACTTCAGCAGGAAAAATTGCGTCCACAGCCTCAGTTGAAGGAACATCCTGCTCTTGGGGAGCTGCAAGCTCTTCAATGGCAGTATCGGAAAGTTCGTTAATATTCTCGACAGCTTCAGGGTCAGAAGGTAAGGCTTCACCGCCAATCTGCGGGGATTGGGTATCTGCAGGATCGGCAGTCACTGGTTCCTCAAGCTTGGGCTCCTCCATCTTTGGCTGGGGCTCACCCTCAGAAGCAGGTGTCTCGGCAGCGTTATCTTCAACGGCAGACTTGCGGTTCTTCTTTTTCTTGTTCTTGCGTTTCTCTGCCTTGGATTCTGTGGCTTCTGTCGGGGTATCTGGGGCTGGAGTATTTTCCGCTGCAGGCTCGGCTGCAAGCTTTTCTTCGGCCGGCTGTGCAAGTTGCTCTTCGGCAGGCTGAGGACTCTGCTCTTCAACGGCCTCTTGGAATTCGTCTTCACCTTCACTGCCTTCCTTGGGTGTTTCTGGAACGGCAGCCGGCTCGTCGAAAGCCACGGCGGTATCTTCAGTTGGCTTCTCGATATCTTCCAAGCCACGGGAGGCCTCCTCGGCTTCGGATTGAGGTGTAGCTTCGGGGGTTTGGGACTCATTGGCGTCGATGAATACGGGCTCAGAGGCCTCTTCAGTTGGTTTTTCGTGGTCCATAGATACAACGTCTTCGCCTACAATAGCGAGTTCCTCCTTGGGGATTTGCTCGGCAGGATCCTGTTCCACGGCAACATCCGAGATAAGCAATTCTTCAGAAGTTTTCTCGATGTCGGTCGAGATAGGAACCTCGTCAATCTCCTTTGAAGTCGGGGTTTCTTCTGCGGGCTGAGCAGAGACCACATCTTCGGTAGGCTCTTCAGTAGAAGCATTTTTACCCTTCTTCTTCTTTTTCTTGTCCTTCTTAGACTTCTTAGATGAAGATGTAGTATCCTCGGCCTGCTCGATTTCTGCAGGCGCAGTCTCTGCCTCTGCATTGGGGGCAATCATTGCTTCAGGAGACTCAGCTACAACTTCAGGCTCGAGTGCAATGTTTCGGGATGCTTCAACAGGCTCCGCTTCCGGTTCCGGCTGAACAGGAGCATCTCGCTCGACAAGCATAGCCTCAGGCTCGACTTGAATTTCTCGCGATGCTTCAACTGACTGAGTCGCAGGCTCAGGGGCAGGCTCCTCAATCTCAGCAAGCGTGTCAGCAACAATATCCTGTGCTGGTTCCAGTTCCTTGGCGCCATTTTCCGAGGTAGCCTCAGACTCAGTCTGAGCCTGGTTCTTCTTCCCCTTCTTCTTCTTTTTCTTCTTAGAAGACTGCGAAGCTTCGACGTCATCAGCAGCAAGTTCAGAAGGCTGAGGCTCTTCAACTGGCTGTTCGGTCGACTCGGGAGTCAATTCCTTTGGTACTTCTGGAATAGACTCAGCCTCAGGAACCTTGTCTTCGGCAGCAGTAACAGGCTCACTGATGTCTTCAGGCCTGTGCTCCCGAGTCTCAGTAGCAACAGCTTGATCGACGACATCGCCGAATCCAGCCTTGCTCTCATCCGAAGCATGCTCATGTTCATCACGCTCCCTCACGGCAGCAATAGCAGCGGCATCAACGACATCCGCGAAACCACCCTTCGCAGAATCGAACCCATCCTGCGCGGGAGTCCTAGGTCGATCCCTCCCCTCAAGGGCATCAAGAGCACGATTCGTCTCTTCACTCTTTTCCTCGGCACTCAATTCGCGCGGCGAGCCAGACCCAACAACCGAGCCCTCAACAGAAGGGAGACGGTCCATTGTCAGCGAAGCAGGGAGATCATCCAGCGAAGCCGGATCCCGCAAGAGCTCCGAAGGAGAGTGGAACTCATATCGCGGTCTGTCCTTTTCTTTGTCAAAATGTTCCGCGGTAGGCGTTGCCTGCTGGGAGTCAAGGACATCGATATTGCGGTCTCCGTGCCCGTGCTCATGCGCCTGGTCTGTGGAAATGGTCAGGTTTGGACGGGCGTCCATGATGGACTGGCTCAGGTCGACATGTTCCCAGCTCTTCATGTCTTCGTCATTGAGGGCTTTGAGGTCCTCGATTGAGGGCGCTCGGGAAGAGGTCTTGCTTGATGGGAGGGATGGGAGGTCGCCTTCGCCTTCTGTCTCGCCTTTTACTAGGCTGTGGCGCTCAACGAGCCATAGTGGTCTTATCTCGCGCGAGTTGCGGAATTCCACTGAGCCTGGACGGCGGTGGCGTTGTTGGCTCGGTGAGCCGGGTGAGGCGAGTGGTTGCTCGACTGGGAGTGCGCGCGAGAGGCCTGGGGAGGTTGGGGGTCGGCGGAAGTGGAGAGGCACAGCCGTGGGTGATTCTGTTGCTTTGGCGACGGAGTGTCGGCGCTGGGGTGGTGAGTGGCGGCTTGTTTCCGGTGAGCCGGGTCTACTGCTCGACTTGGGGGTTAGGTCGAGGGTTTTCTCGGCGTTTGGAGGAGAGATTGAGCGGCTTCGGGGCCTCCCCTGCAGGATCTCATTTAGACCTAGACCTGCAGCGACAGTTGTTGCTGCTAGAAGCCCCGAAGCACCGGTGTCGTGGTTAGCGGGCATTTCGGGGCGCTCGCTTAAAAAAGAATTGGCGTCGTCATTATAGTCCTGCACATGGAATAATACCAGTAAAAGCTTAGTACATTTCTTTTTTTTGCGGGTTTTGTGTGTTTTGTGCAAACTGGTCCGGTCAACCGTCCAGCGAAAGGGAAACTATATGGCACATAAAAGTGTACAATGAAGCGAATCCAACATAAAGAAAAGATCAGTGCTATACCTTCGCGGAATCCCGTTTCCTTCCTGAGTCCACAATGTCCTCATACTTCTGACGACGTTCCTCTTCCTTGCGTTGCCTACTAGACCTGTACTCCTCCAGATTAGGGTCATCCTTCTCCTTGTCTGACAAGTCAGCATTCAACTCATCCCCATTGCTAGAGCTGCGGTGTCTGGAAGAACGCTTCTTGCGACGGCGGCGTTCTTCGTCACCGCCAACCTCAGAGATGGCTTCGCGAGATGAGCGTTTGTCCAGTGAGGAAGACCGCGAATGGTCTCGGGAATGGTCAGACCGGACACGCTCAGCAGGGGCTGAAACTTGCGACCCAAAGAGACTTCTCAGGAAGCCCCCGCTCTTATCTTTCTTTTCCTCGCCCTTGCGCCTTTCGCGGGATTCTGAAATCCGGGCTGGCGAAGACGTCACAGAGGCATTGTCATCAAAGTCCCTCGATGAGCGGTGGCGGTGCTTGCGGCGCTCAGACTTGTCATCTGCGACATCGGTTATAGCAGATGTAATGGAAGCAGCGTCATCGAAGTCCCTTGACGAGCGATGACGATGCTTGCGGCGCTCAGACTTATCATCCGCCACATCGGTGACAACAGAGCGAGCATCATCATCAACAGAGAAAGCATCACTCCCACTTTTCGAGCGATGCTTCCTTCGTCTTCTCTTCTCCTCTCCACCTTCATCGTCAGGAGGCGGTGTGCCGGCGTCACGACGAGGGTCGAAATCATCTCCGCTGCGGCGAGATTTCCTTGACTTGGCGGATTCAGAAAGAACAGAACGGGTGTCATCCCGGGATTCAGATACATCGCGCGATCGAGAGATGTCGAAGTCGTCACCGCTGCGGCGAGACCGTCTCGATTTGGAGGTCTCGTCTTTTGAGACGGGTGCGGAGAAGACGGAGCGATCGTCGCGGGAAAGAGAGACTTCCCGTGAGCGGGATTCGTAGTCGTCGCCGCTGCGTCGTGACTTTCTAGACTTGGAGGACTCCTCTCTGGGGCCAGGAGTGGAGGTGGCAGAGCGGGAGACTTCTCGTGATGGAGAGGGTTCGCGTGATTCGTAAATCTCGAAGTCATCACCGCTGCGGCGTGATTTGCGAGATTTGGACTTAGAAGTCTCTTCCTTGGAGATAGGAGCAGAAATAACAGAGAAAGAATCATCACGCTCAACCTCAGGCTCTTGGTATGCAACCTCGAAATCATCTCCACTGCGACGAGACTTGCGGGACTTAGACTTGGAAGTCTCGTCCTTGGACACGGGAGCAGAGATAACAGAGAAAGAATCATCGCGAGACTCTGGAAGTAAAGGTTCTTGGTATGCAGCCGCAGTCTCGAAGTCATCACCACTGCGGCGAGACTTACGGGCCTTGGACTTGGACGTCTCGTCCTTGGAGATGGGGGCGGAAACAACAGAGAATGATTCATCACGCTCCGGCTCCACTTCAGCTTCTTGGTACGGAATCTCGAAGTCATCGCCACCACGACGAGACTTGCGAGACTGAGTCTTGGAAGTCTCATCCTTCGAGACAGGGGCAGAGACCATGGAGAAAGAATCCACGGTCTCAGGCAGCTGGCGATGTTCCTCGATCGGTAATTCTTCACGTCTGGATTCAGGAATCTTCTCCTCCGGCAGTTGAGAAAGAACCAATTGCGCCTCGTGAGCAATATCGCGCTCCGCGAGCTCAGGGACATCAAAGACATCGCTGCTGCGCCTCGACTTCTTGGACTTGGGCTTTGATTCAGACTTGGGCTTGGACGTTGCATCGACCGGCGGCGCCGAGAAAACAGATCTGTCATCGACATAATCTCTCGGGTCCGCAGTATCAAAGCCACCAGGCATAGAGTAAGTATCGATGTTTCTCTCATCGGCTCGCTCTGGAGAAACACGGTCCCCGTGCTCGTCCTTATCCCGCATAGCGCGTTCCGGCGCAGGTGAAATCTCCTTAGACTTGGGATCTAGCTCTTCGAGCTCACCCTCCACGAAGCCGTGGTCTCTGCGTTTAGACCAAGGCGAGGTAAAGGGTCCATGCACATGTTTTTCATCTTCCGAGCCGGGTGGCGAGGTGCGCATGTGGTATGAGGGGTCATTTGTAATGATCTTGGGATCGAATCCAGCGGCAGCGGTCGCAGCAGCAATCGTAGCGGCGAATTCGATGTCAGCGCCATATCCCGACCCGCCGACATTCTTGTTCTGCGAGACTTCAGAAGCAGGAAGTGGGACGTCCTTGGCTGAGACGGAGACTTCAGATGGAGGGAGGGGGACATGTGTCGGGCTATCTGGCGCGTCATAATCGAGAGGGTCCTGCTCGGACGAAGAAGGAATTTCATATTCGTGAGTCTTGTGCTCGCCCCATGAAACGCGGGAGGTTGTTGAGCGCGGCTTGGTGTCGTATTGAGTAGCTGCCGGAACGGTCGCGCTCACGACGGGGGAGGCAGCATCTCTCACAGAACCACCATTCACACTGTGAGGAGGTGTCGGATCAATGAAGTTAAGTCTTGGGACTGGCCATGGAAGACGGTCGACGCTCTGATAAGGCTCGTAAGAATAGTCGATATGTACGGGCTCGGGCTCTTCTTGCGTTCGCCGTTCGCTAGCAGGCTCCACTTCCACGATTGTGGGAACGGAGCCGTGGCGAGCATGCACGTCTGGGCTGTGGCGGATCTCTTCAGGGGCGTAAAACTCAGCATAATCGTCGTGCACATAGGCTGGACGGACATGTGGAGACCGGGGTTGCGGGTCTTCGTGGTGCTCCGCTGTGAATTCTTCGATGGGCTCAGTTGGCGTGAACTCGGAGATGATGGATGGCTCGGGCTTGAATTCCGATATGAGGGATGGATCAGCCTCGTTGTCATATCGGTAGCGCTCGGCGAGGCGCTTTTCGCGGCGCTCGCTGTGTCGTGAGCTGGCTTCGGAGACATTATCGTCTCCCTTGCGAGAAAGGATCGCGCTGGCGGCAGCTGCGCCAATCACTCCGGCAGCTGCGGGGCCAACCCATGATGAAGAGCTCTTTTCTCTGTCACTGTCTTCTCGTCGCTTTTCAGCCTCTTTCTCTTTCCGGCGACGATCCCGGCGTTCCGCTTCCTGGCGGGCCAGATCTTCCTCTCGGTCAATCAGTTGAACAGGCTCATCGGGAATTCTGTTGGAAGAGTTCTTTTCACGGCGATTGTTACGATGTTCCCTTTCGACCTGTTCCTCTGTCAAGTTGAATGAAACAGAGGCCTGATCCCGGTCCCTGCCGGTGGACCGACGCTTGATGCTTGATGCAGTCTCCTGCGTCGGATAAACAGGTGAGGAGTCACTGCGTCGAAGAGGTCTCCGGCGATCAGAGAAAGTTGAATCTTCTGGAGCCCACCCGGGATCGCGAGCATCTTGGAACTGTCTATCGTATTGCTCGAATCCATTTCCATACGCGGCCGGGACCACGGGTGCACTGTATGCAGGAATTGCTGCAGGCAGTCCTCCCTGGGTGGTGAACACAGATTGAGAGACAGGGGTGAAAGGTTGCGGCTGTTGGAGAGGAATAGGACCGGGACGAACGAGTGTCGGCTCGTCAACGGATTGAACACGCGGGTTCATCTTGGCAACGTCAAAGCGAGATGGGTCGGAAGTAGGTATCGGGTAGACTTGTTGAAGACTACCGGCGCTGCTTGGAGGCTTACTATCATCGTGGTGGCGAGCAGAAATGGCAGCTGCTCCGAGAGCGCCAGCGCCAGCTGCCAGAGCGACTTTTGTGGCATTAGACCTCTTGTCCTTCTTCTTGCTGCTCTTCTTGCTGCCCCATCTCCAGCCCCATTTGCTGCTACTGGAGTCGGAGGTGGACTCGGAACTGCTTGCTCCGAATGCTAAGGCCGAGCTGGCGCTAGAGCCGTCCTCCGACTCATCGACCCACTCTTCATCATTCGTAGCAGAGGATGCGTAGTTCGAGTGACGGGATTTGGCAGTGTACATCTGACCCGTGGTACGACCAGGACCATGAGGCGATGAACCAGCCAAACGGTTCGCCGTAGCGCCAAGACCTATCAAAGCGGCGTCGACATCCTTGCCCTTCTTATCCTTCTTTTTGAGCTTGGACTTCTTCTGGAATCCATCTCCAAAGGCAAGATCATTGTCTAAGGACGAGGACGAAGAGCCACCATTGAAAGAGAAGAAACCCCTGCGCTTCTTGGTCTGGCGTTTCTTCCGGTTCTCAGACGAAGACATGAAGAAAGATCCAATGCCACCCGCAACGGATTTCTTAGCAGGCCGAGCAACATTAACGAACGATGACGATGAAGTAGAATCCTTTCGGCGGTGGCTTCTTTCAGGGGAACGGCTGCGGGAGCGGTTTCGAGACTTGGATACAGCATAGGCAGCTCCACCCACCGCGGCGCCGAGCGCAGCCTCCTTCATGAATGAGTGGCGACCGGATCGTGACGAAGAACGGGATCGCGACCGGTGAGTGCGAGCATATCCAGAGTGAGGACGCTTAAAGTCAGATTGATGATCTCTGTGCGGGCTACGGCCCGAACGACGGGTCACGCCGCGAGACGTATAGCTCTTGCGGTCATCATCCTCGCCATGGGACGAGTCAACACGGCCGGAGCGGATACTGTAAGAATCATCGAACTCCTTGCTTGAGAAGAGAGACTTGGTCGCATAGCCAGCCAGCATACCAGGTAGCCATGACGAAGATTTGTTGGACTTATTGCGTCGGCGGCTCTCGTCTTCAGAGGAATTATATCGGCTGACCTTGCTGACTCGCGAGCTACCACTGCTGTACCGATCGGCGGAGTGTCGGCGGCGACGGCTGTGGTAATGATGCTTGCGAGGGGCATCGACGGAGGTTGTGCCAGGTTGGAAACAGTACTTACACACGCCGATGGTCTCGGTGTAGTCCTCGAACCTTCCCACGCCTTCGGGGTCACGCCAGAAATCAACGAATCGCCCAACCGCGCCACGCTGGCGCTCGCGCATAGCAAGTGCACTGGGTCCGTGGGGATAGAAACCTGGGTTGTGGATGGCGTGGGTAGCGTGGCCACCTGGGCCTGCAACATGCAAGCTATTTGAATGGCCAGCGGCATATGGTGGCACGCCAGCCTGCGAAGACTGCTCGTAGTTCTGGAAAGAATACGACCCATGCTCGGGGCTTGAAGAGTGATGTTGGTGGCCGAGTATGTACCCTCCAGCAGCACCGGCAGCAGCCAATCCGGCACCTTCACTGAAGCTGTGAGAGTGGGATGGCTTGGGAGGCTTCTGGCTGCTGCTCGGCATTGGTTGATTGGTTGCCACTGGCGGATTGTATGCCATGGGTTGATGCTGCTGGTAGGAAGTAGCGTCGTACTCAGATGAATACGTCTCCGAGTGAGACGAAACATTGCCAATTCCATAGGTAGCAGCAGCACCAAGCGCAGCCGCAGGCAGAATGTTTGCCGCCGATGGCTTGGAGGGTTTCGAAGGGTTCGACGGCTTCGGCGGTCTGGATGAAGATGCCGGGGGATTGACTTCCGGAACATGGTAATTATCATCGAAATAAGCTGCCGCCGCACCCGTCTGGCCCATACTACTAGGCTCTGGGGGTGGATTAGCCGATGGCGAAGCGGCCATCAAATGTGCTTGAGTATTTGGCAGAACAGTCGGAGGAGCAGGCCGAACACCAGGCTGGTGCTCGATCGACTGGCCTTGGTCACCATAATAGTCAGCAGCCGCACCAGCAGGATTAGGCGGGCGATACGGTCCCGCGACCGTCTCCGGGAACTGGCCGGGGAATTGGTGCTGGACATGGGGGTCATAAGGGAGTGCATGCTCGGGCGAATGGCCAGCAGACGGCATAGCATTGTCATATTGCATGGGAAACTGGGAGAATCCCGCACCCTCGGTGGGAAACTGGGCGCCGGGGGCACTGGATGGCATATTTGTAGAAATTGGGGGCATATATGGATCCCCGGAGTGGGTGCGCGAGCGCTCACGACGGTCGCGCTCCCGATTCAAGTCATCTAGACTATCTTCTGTTGCGCGACGGCGGCGTCTCTCACGGTCTGGACTCTCGCTTCGATCACGTGTGCGCCGGCGGGTACTCTTACTTTCTCGGTCACTGTCTCTGCGTTTCGGTGTTCGTTCAATGGGGAGGCGATCGTAATTGTCCATGGGTTCTGGTTCGGCGGTCACAAAGGATGCGATTGAGTCGCCGGTGGTGCTGTGTGGTCCACGATGGCTGCGGGAGCTCGAGTACGAAGAGATATCACCCAAGCCGCGGTCACGGTCGTCACCCCGTGATGATTTGCGACTTGAGATTGATCTTGTATCGGACTTGTCTGACTCGGTCTTTTCAGACTTGCGCCGGCTGCTTTTGGAGCGCAGGTCGGATGACGAGCGGCCCCCCATGAGGGCCTTAAACATGGTGGGCAATTAATTAGAGATTAAAAGAAAACCATGTGGGGATCGGAATGTGACACTGGAATGTTGGTGAGAGAGAGTAGTTGAAGGTGGGAATGGAATCGAATGAGATCAAATGTTATGTTTTGGTTTGTTTGGGTAAACAACGGGAGCTGAACCGTGGATCTCACACCCGATCCCCCCAGAAGTGGATCTTGGGTATTCGCTCGGATATCTGCTGTTTCCACTGTTGTTAGTATGTGAGTACGTTCGAATATGTCAGATATGGCGAGGATGTCGGATATAGATCACTGTCACAGTGAGATGCAGATGGTCTGCCTTGAAAGTGAAAAATGTGCATCATTGCTGAATCATTGAATTGTCGCCAAACATAAGTGGAGCGAATCAAAGTCGCGGTGAAGCATGCACGGGCCACTATCTGAACGGGGCTGGGGGTTCATCATCCCAGCCTCTGTCTTCCAGAGTGACATAGCGGGATATCTCTCTCTCTATATGTACATGTATCTATGTGTATATATTAGTACAGAGTCGGATTGCAAGGGTATTCTGTGGTAATGTTCGTTGCTGGAAGTATCCAATTCTATACCTGGTAGACAGGTAAACATTAGATGATATCCCACTATAAATCTACCAATGTCAGCTAGTATTCACTGTAAGATGCCAATGACCAGTCAATGAGCCGAGGCAGCATAAAGAATAGAATGCCATTACTTCAAAGAAAACCATATATTCCTCAGTCAATCCTTCTTCGTGTCAAACATCCTCCCGAGGCCTGCAAGTACCTAGGCAGGATCTAGATCTAGATCCTCGTACATAACACAAACCATCGCATCCCTAAGCTATATGAGCTTTCCAAAACTGAACTCAATTTCCAGAAAGCTAACGATCCCAAATACACCTAAATCCTCAATACACTACTCAGTCCTCATCAACCTCTCCAACCGACACCTCACCAAATGCTGCACCCAACCCGGCAACCCCCTAAACCTCGTAGCGACCCAACCCGCCGACCCCGGCAAAACCACAACCCCACTCTCCCCCTTCAAAACACCCCCAACAACCCCCTCCGCCACACTCTCCGCCTCCAACAACGGATTAAACCACGTATCTTCAGGCGTAAGATTCCGAATGAACGCCGTCTTCGTAAACCCCTGCGTAACAAGCAAAGTCCGCACCCGAGGCGCCGAGTACCGCGTCACCAGCTCCGCCGCCAGTCCCTCGTGGAATGCAATCGCCGCGGCCTTCGACGCACTGTAATCTACCATACTCGGTGTCACCGTGTAGCCCGCCTGCGAGGCGATAGTGACCACCATGCCGTGGTTGGCGGTGATCATGTCTGGTAGAAATTCCTGGGCGAGGGCGTAGTGCGAGAAGGTGTTTACCTCGAACATGCGGCGGGTTTGCGCGGGCGTGGAATTGAGGATGGTTTTGCCCGTGCAGATGCCTGCGTTGTTGATTAGGATTGTGGGGCGGCCAAAGGAGGCGCGGATCTTGCTCGCCGCATCTTTTATGGCTGCTGCTGAGGTGATGTCACATTCGTAGAAACGGATGCTGTTGGGCAGCGGGGGTTGCGGAGGAGTGATGTCTAGGATAGCGACTTTAATGTCGCGCGAGCCGAGGAGGTGCGCGATTTGGAGACCTATGCCATTGCTGCCTCCGGTTAGGACGACGATCTCTTTGTTCCAGTCGTAATGGTCGGTCAGTGCGTTGTTGAGGATGCGTCTATTTAGCCAGGTGCTTAGGCGGGTGAGAAGCGCGAGGGCTGCTAAATGGCGTAGGGCTCTGTGGAGCTGTGGATGTAATTTGAGGAAGGCTTGGCCTTTGCTTGTGTATTTCGTCAAGGCAAAGAGAGGGATTATCTTCCATGGGTCTAGCAGGGTGCGGGAGATGAGGGTGCCCAGCACGTCTGCTGTGAAACCTGTCGTGCGTTAACTTTTATAGCTAGAGAGTAATTTACAGGGACTAGACAGATACCTTCTCTCGATAGCCAAGTCTTTGTGCCATTTGCCATGCTGTCAATATCTGATTCGAGATCTGATGAAATGACATTGAGTCTAAGCTGGGGTTCCTGGGTTTCGTGTATATAAAGCTGATCTTACTCCTGATCAGCATGCGGGGAAGCCGAGGTCCGCTCGTGCATCTGATAGATTCCAAGATTCGATATTGTATCAATAAGCCTATGTACATATGCACCTATGGAGTACATATGCAGTTATCTAGTGGAATATTTATGCATTGGATCAATCTCATCCATTTGAGTAATGTGATTTGGCATTCTCAAATCCCACTCGATTTGACGCTATCCCAGGACTAGAACATAAAACATCCAAACTTCATCTCAACTGCGCTCTTTGTCCAAACCTATAAACCACGTAGAATCAATCTACAGTGAAACCACACTGAGGTCAAGGTATGATTCAAAACACCCAGTCGACAGATATAAGAAATGCAACGCGCTACCCCGTAGAACGTAACATCGAAAAGAGAGTAGACAAGCTAAGCGATAGCGTAAAGCCTCTAGGATATAAGCCTTAAAAGCGGTGGAACTCCACGCCCCCAGCGTATAAATGTCTCGACGAGATGCAAAAACTCAAAAGAACAAAAGGAAATCCAGTCTGATTAGAATCAGACAAAAAGAGGTAACACCAATGAACACAAGCCACAATCAGATGTGCAGGAAAGCATGTGAGTCAAAAGGGTGGGGAATCATCAAGAAAAGGGATATAGTGCACATGGTATAGATGACAGGGGCACAGGGCTCCGCTGATAAAAAAAACAAGAGATACATGATGCGTTGTGGGTATTGCAGAAAAGAACTCGCTAATGCTAGTAGTTCATGTTGTCGGTGCTCAAGTCAGGAGCTTTTTTGAAGATTTTGGTGTAGATTTCTGTGAGGATGCGGGCGTCGGCGCGGAGGGTGGGGGAGATATTTTCGTGTAGGGCGAGGAAACGGATCGTTCGTTTGAGGAGACGGTCGAGGGTTTCTTCCTCAACGAACTCTCTGAGACTTGACATGTATGTTGCTGAGAGGACAAGCATGTTACCAAATTGTCTGTGGGCATATTAGTATTGAGCATAAATGGTTGTGTGGGATTTGACTTACGCATGGGCTGTGCCGAAGATGTTGGTCACAATCAGTCTGTGTCCGCCCACGCCATCAAAGGCCTCGGTGCTTAGGACTGCAGAGTCGATGCAGATTTTGCAGGCTTTTTTCAATTTCTGGGGAAGGTCCCGCATGCTGACTTTAGGAGCATTCCAGCCATTTTCCAGTGAAGCGGCCGGCGTGGGACCCATGTCACTCGACATGCGGGCCATGTTCGTCGACCTGCTGTTGTGCGCTATGGAGGGAGACATTTGTTGCGATGTGGGTGAGTCCACCGAGCCCTGGCCAATTGAGCCGACGCGTGCACCTGTTTGACCATAGTGCAGGGCATAGTAAAGAAGTGGCCGGTGGATGATGTAGCGAGCACCATAATACTTAGCACGCATGCGAGCCGCGTTGATCTCTTTGGCTGGCTCGTCGGAGTCTCTCCACTTCATGCTATCTGGGAGGCTTGTTCGCCAGAGGTCAAGGTTCATGCTGAGAGCTTCCTGGACACTTGAAGACCACCGTGTTTGGCCTGCTTTTTCGACTTTGTAGAGATCCGTGTGGACTCGATTGAGGACTTTGCGCAGGTGAATCTGAGCCGAGTAGAACAACATCATCATGGTTGGGGGCGCACTCAGGTCGTTTGGGAGACTGATTGTGAATTTTCCTGCGGGGAGCCCCATTTTACTTTCAGATCGCGAGATACCACTTGCGGGAATATCGAGCTCTGCAAGCAAATCACTTTCCAACTGTAGACACGTCCAGTATGCGAAGTTGTAGAGGTCCATCGTGGGTCCGTCGACCAGTTGCGTATATCGTGTTGGTCTCGCCAACACCTGGCAAGCTCTCGAGGCCTGGGAGATCCAGCTGTGACTTTGGAAAGGATGTGCCAGCTGACCAGCATATAGACCAGCAAGCAAAGCAGCTTGAACATGTTCCAGTTCGTTGCCGCCCTGCAGATACCCCAAGATCATGGTTGCATACCCGTACATTGTCAAGCCAGCAATAACCTGATAGTTCTTGGTATTCCCCCGCTCATCCTGCACAGCCGTCACAGATCGTGTTGATAGGTTCTTCCGGCTATCGTAGCCTGGTACTGGTCCTGGGGACTGGAAAGACTGATTGGGAGATTGGAAAGACTGGTTGGAAGATTGGAAAGACTGGTTGGGAGATTGGAGCGGCAGCCCATGCAGACTTTGTGAATATTGCATCGGGATAGCCGAGTCAGAGTTTGCAGGCGAAAGCACACCATTGGGGGCATACGGTACGTTCGGGTTTGTCCGGGGTGGTGGCAGAGGAGCAGGTATGTGTTGGTGGCGGTAATCGGGTCTGGTTTCCATGATCGGTCCAGGAAGAGGAGAAGGCACTTCACAGATGGCACCAAGAGCAAGACACAGGAGAACCATAGCGTTGTCGATATTTCTCCCTACACGTGGCCGTTCCGGGTTAGCGACGGACTCCTTGAACTCGCCTCGCACGCCCAAGTTCTCGTTTGATCGTCTCCGTTTGGCTGGCGGTGGGCCATCCCGAGCCGGTCGCATGTGTGAGGCCGAGGATGGTGATTTGTTGATGCGGCAATAGCATCGAATGAATCTGTCAACCTTCTGGTCTAGTTCGGCCTGTTCCAAGAATGGGTGAAGCAGATACATGTTGTTAAGATAGCTGTCATAGTAGCGTTGAGCGGTTGAAAGATCGAGCTTCATATGACCGAACTTGTCAATATCGACGTCTGCGTCGAGTCCTGCACCATCTCCATCAGACATGGCACCAAATCCAATATCCGCCGGCAATTGACTGTCGTCAGCGGTGTATGAGATCTCGCCTTGTCCGTAGATACTGATCAAACCGCGCTCTTCCTCCAACCTCATCACATAATTCTCGTCATACTCCTTTGGAAACAGCAGCTTCTTGATTGAGGGCCACATCAATAGCTTGTGAGCTGCGGTGGTATGTTCCACGGGAATAGAGAGCTCTCCCTCGGCCTCATTCGTCGAGTCATCGCACAATAAATCCGCGGGTCCCAACTTCTGGCCATACTTCGAAGTGCCAACATCCTGACTGCCGGGTTCAAGAATCGCACTACGGGTCTGCGTGGACCCCGCCTCTTGTTTGAGCGGCGGCTCACGTTCAATACTTACCGAAGCAGGCTCTTGACTGGACTTTACGGGCCGTGGCATTGTCTGTCGTCCAGAGTTTGCCAACAACTGCTCCAAAAGATCCTCGACCTTCCCCATCCGATCCGTGATATGATCAAAACGACGATCCACACGATCCTCAGTCGCCGACAATTTGTCGAGAACTATCTGAGTCGTCTTTTCCTGCTTGTGCGGCGGTACCTCTTTGTAGACACACTGTAAGCTGTTCTCTCTGCAATGACTGCAATTCGGTCGTCCCTCATCACACTTCGCCTTCCTCGTTCGGCATTGATCACAAGCCTATAGGCGTAAGTGTCAGCGGAGGAAAAAAATAAGCAATAAGCACCCGTTCTACAAGCTCAACTGACCTGTGTAGCTCTAGCCTTGCCCCGGCGCGCAGCTTGATTCTGATAAGCTGCGGAATCATACCCCCCGGCGGCGTCGCACCCGCCAATTGAGGAACAGGTGTCATAAATTGTGGAGCGGGAGGCAAATGGCCAGACGGAGGCATGTTTTCGGCATTATTGATTGAATCCGGCGGTGGGTATCCCATGCGAGCGCGATAATCGGGCGAAGGGTCATGCGCGCCGTTCATGGGCGTTCGGAAGTTGTGAGGAGGATTTAGATCTTGCGGAGAAGGCATGGGCGCCTGCGGGGGCATGCCGTTAGGTCGGGGATACGGACTCTCCGTTAACTGTGGCAGCTCCCTGTTGGCTATGACGGGGTATCCTGGTGGATTGGACGTTTGTGGGGGGTCGAAGGTGGAAGGGTATTGAGGGCGCCATGAGGTATCGTAAGGTGAATGCGCATGCGGCCCTTGGGGGGGTGGCATGCGGTTCATCGTGAACAAAGGACCCGAGGGTTGAGATGGAGAAGTTGAATTTGCGAGGCGCATCGATCTGGTGCTTCTCGACGGTACATGTACCGTTTAAAAATGAGTTTCGAAATCGGGATTCAAATCGGCATGGTTCCTGATCGCGACGGGAATCCAAGGGGAAAACAATTATGTTCGAGGTGTGAAGTCGCGGGGATTAGTCGATAAAATGAATGTTTGAATCCAATAGCGCGGTAAAAATTCCGGAAAATCCCAGGTCGCAAGGATGCGTGTAGCTATTGGAGACTTGGATGTGGAGCTAAACAAAAGAAACAGTTAGATTATAATGATCTAACCAGTCCCCGGTTTGGGCCGAATATATTTCGAGAATCGAAAAATCGAGAGAAAAAAAAAACATGAACAAAATCAATTTAAAGGAGTATCCACCGTGTGAGATAGATCGCAAAGCAGAAGTACAAAGTTGGGCAGAGGAGGGGAAAGCGAGAGAGAGAAGAAGGTCATTGTACTTGGGGACATTGTATGGTATGGTATTGTTCACGTACCTGGGAACTGTGTTATGTTCGGTATTCAAGGTATTCGTGGTATTCGAGGTATTTGATGTAACAATATTGTATTTGGTCCAGGTTGTTGGGTGTTTGAGATAGTGCAACTGGGATTTTTCTTCGAGTTTAAGATCCAAAATCCCAATAGTATGGTTCCAGGTGAGACTAGAAGATTAGAAGATTGAAAAGGAAGAAGTAGAAGAAAAAAAAGAAATGACCAAGGGAAGGGAGAACTAATATGAGGGGGTGGAGGGTAATTAAATGTTATTATTTTACAGTAGGGGATCGACAGGTTGTGTTTGCCCCTCCCTGGATTTAAGTCTTAAATAAATATTAATACCTTTTTATACATACATTCTAATATTTTATATAGTATATACATGTGAGAAAATTAAGGATTTAAGGATTTAGAATTATTGTCTATATCTGATCCAATCTAGGAACCCCCTGAGACTGAAAACGTTCATTTGACAGGTCTGCTTTGCTTTTCATTTCTGTTTTACCGAGCTTCAATAGGTGGGTCCGGCGGCTGGAGAAAATGTGTCTGTCTGTTGACTTACTTGTATAGGGTTTGGGTATATCGTTCTATAGTTACTCAATATGGTAGTATATGGATATCTCTCTTCATAGCACACTCTAAGCATGTCATTATTGTATAGCATATTACCTACATACGCAGAGATAGAATTAAGATATACTATAGCAAATCGCAACTATGATCGAAGCTAGGATCCGCGTGGAACGGGGATCGAACTTGCCGGAGGTCAACCATTTCACCGGAAATGCGCCATGCAATTGGCCACCCGAGATAGACCTACATAAGTTCATATGTACTAACCATATGCATATGAAAGCCATTATTCAAGAGACTCAGACCGTCCAATCTACACGATACACAGTCAAATCAAAAGTGTAATAATAGAAATAGACCGAACTATTCTGCCTACGTTCCATCTTACATCATACCCAAAAACTCGGCTACATCCAACTCTACACCGTATTGTACCGAGACTAGCCAAAGCACTTATATCTAGATCCACCAATCAAACCCGTGATCCCGACCGCCGATTTGAAAAGTGAAAGAAAACTCCAAAAGTATAATAGAAACTGTGGATATATACATCAATCCCTTCATGTCCCCAAGCACCCAATAACCGCTTCGGGCCTCACCAATAAGCTCGAATACAGCTCGCAAGGGGCGCTTGAAAAGCTCACAAACTCTATTGCACTCCGATGCTCAAATCAGTGGGGACGACGCTGCCGATCGATCAGCTTCGAGAGAGTTCCAACCGGCGAACTCGTCATTAGAAGGGATACCTTATCCCGCCGTGGCTCCCCTCCCAATGTATTGGTTGTCGGGGCTTATTAGCATCCCAGCATTTTGGGTTCCCTTTTTTCCCCGTGTGTTAGATGATGCCTTAATCAAGTTAAACTTTCAGTTCTTGATATCGTATATAACGTATACTAAATTTCTACAAATAGTTTAGTTATAGAATTGTTTGGAATGTTCCTATGAAGGTAAATATAGAAGTATGGTATGGTACGGTAATTTATACAACATGGGGCTACCCGTCGTCATCCATGGATAGCGACGGGAATCATCCGTGGCTTCAATCTGCAATACAGATCCATGGATAGATGTTCCTGAGAATCATAATATGACCTCAACGGCTTCTTTAGTCTTACACTTTGATTGGACTCTTCCCTACAAGACCTAGCTGTGTACAATATCAAACTACAACCAGATTGACATTCAAGATCATTTGATATACCAAATCACATTCCCATACTCACTTAGGCAGTAGCACAATCTACCCCTGGCTTGATCAGGATGCAGCTCAAAACCATTGTGCCACAGAAGAACTTTGCCCCCGTCTTCAAGCGAGTCAAACGCCTTCAATCGTCTCACAAGAACACAGAGTCACCCCCGACATTTCTTGGTTTTATGTTTTTGCTTCTTCACACCGTTTCCTGTCCGTGCAGCTACCCGCGTCTCTCCGTATGGAGTACCTAATCCTCTGTACGAAATGTGCGTACCAGTCTAAGACAGAAGGATTGTGGTGGAGTTGGTTTATAGTGGGGGTGTATCGATACGAAGATTACTGTACAATAGTGGCTAATACGCGTCGGGCTAGGACGTGATCTTCGTTGAAGTTCGAATCCGAATTCCAATCATCTAATCTAACCCCCACTGCCTACATAGTACAACATACAACATATGTATTCTGTAGTGCATCCCTGGAGATTAAATCTAGAGAGATTTCCAATACGGAGCACGGGATTTGACGTGCATGAACGTCTTGAAACTACATAAGAAACATCCCGAATTTAACCTTCGGAGGAGAGCTATTTTCCTACGGGACGTGCGTGGTTTATTGGCCCAACATAAATTCCAAGATTGATATGTATGTAGTTACGTTGTAGGGACGTTGACAGCTGAATCACAGGTCTTGCCACCGAATAAAGGGGTCTTGACATTACAAGGTTACATTTCGCCTGTTTTTCAGCTTTGAGAGTCTCAAGCTGCCCAATTTTAATTTGCGATGTCGATCCACCGGTTCCACTATTCTTTATTCCTTAACCTTTTCCTTGGATACAGTGCGGCGCAGCGACGAGACCTTCACCTGTTATCTGCGGCTACGCGTATTCGGATTTTCGCAAATGGGTGGGGACGATGGCGAGTTCACGCAAATGAAGTACGGTTACAGTCTTTGGACTAATTAGACAAAGGATCATGGACCAGCGGTCCAGGCCATATTCCGTTCTCCTTGGGCTCTCGAGCTTGCTCGAAGGCTGCAAAACAACGCGGTCCTACAGAAAACTGCACGCCATGCATACTGCAGTATGTACCAGATATCTGGAATAGAGTTTGTAGAATTCATACTCCGTACATAGATATTTTATGTCGACTGCAAGGGGCTCAAAACATGACATTATCCACCACTAGAAACTCAACCCCCAGTTAGCCTCTCATGTACAGTCAAGAACTGCGACACCTATGTCATAGCTTCTCATTTCCGAGAATCTTGGAGCCTCAATGCCTGGAATCTCACCGTAACCTTACTGCAACCCAACCAGGAGCCTGGAATTTCCCTTTAGCTGCCCAATAAGTCAGAATGCGCAAAATCAAGCTCGCGGTACAACTTTTTCCAGCCTTGACGTAATAATTCAATACTATTGGCACTCGCGTCCGAGAAAACTCCAGGATCCAAATAACGAATATGCAAAGGTAGCTCACATCCAATCAACGCCGAGCATGACCTTCACGAGACTATTGGAATGGCTCCATATGGGGAAGAGGATGCAGGCGATCTTCTCCCTTGACAGTAAACTCCACATCAGTCGAAGGTGAGGCAACACGGGAGACTGCATCTTCGATTGCTGAATAGGTCAGGCTCTCACATTGCCTACAGCATATGCGTTGCGGCAGTGGCGGGAGATGCATATACCTCCAGGGGAGAGGAGTTGGGAAGAATATGTATCGTATGGAATTACATTATTGCCTATTATATTGACATAGTGGTCTATAACTCAAGTCATAAACCATAGGGCTGGTATACATGTAGAAGTGTACAGGGTGGTATACATATTGTAGCTAGTCTGTAGAGGGGAAGATTCGACGTTAGTGCAAAGCGAGTACAAGTCGAATACAATTTCAAAATTTGTCAGTGTTTATTTCATATACACTCTCATCACTCATCTGTTAACAAACACGCGCCAAATAAAAACCAAATTGCAACCACTTCCTAACATGTCTCACATCGATAAACAGATCACACGGGCTCAGCGCAGACCCTATCAGTCTGCAGTCAACAGTCCTCATACTTACCACTCCAACCAAATTCCAACCAGCGCATAATCAGAGCACCAAAAAAAATAAAATAAAAGCAATTGCACTAGCAATGCAATAATAACACGACGGCTTAGTACTTCAATTTAATCGCTCGGCCCATCACCGATGCAAGCGCGTGATTCGTGCAGCCATACCCCGATCGGCCAACCAGTCCTAGCTGAAATGTGATCGCCTCATTCTGCCCAAGCAACTCATGCTGTATCTTCCTCCACTGAACACCTACAAGACACTCTTCACAAGCCTCCGGCTCAACTCAAAGTTCAGTACGGAGTAGTACGGAGTACATACATACGTTGTACCAACCCATCTCATCCCCGCAGCGGGACGGGAAAGCAGGACTCGACAGTTCTTCACGATCGGGCTGCAAACGCCCACCGAGGTCTGCGGTCTGGTGCTGTGCTCCCAATAGATTTGGAATATTTTTCTCCGCTCGTCCCCCGCGCATGCACAACATGGTTTGGTTTCAGATCTCCACTGCGAAATGTGAGCTATGTGTTGTACAGCACAGATTGGGGCCGTTTGGGCTAAGATCTGTTGCCACTGTGGTCTGGGAAATTGATATATCGAGATCTTTCCAAGTTGCTCCACGTGGAGGCCCATGTAGTCCATGCTCAATGCTTGAGACGGTGTTTCGGTCTTGAATGTCTACAGCTACAGTAGTCTCGCATTTGGTTGGTCTCTCTAAGATCAGTGTATGAGTTTGGTATTGTTTCATCTATGGATCCCAGACAAGATCCTATTTCTTGACGGTCTTGCCAGTCTTGCCAGTCTTGCCAGCTCACATTCGCAACTGTAGCACTCGGCAAGGTCTTCAACAAAGCTTGACCAGACCAGACCAGACACCGACAAACCTCCTTACGCTGCAGCATCCCTTGAAACAACAAACAAAGTCAACATGAACCACTGGTCCGTTCGCCAAATGCAAGGGAATCAGAAATGGAGAACAAGACAATCTCCAAACACCGAACAGGGTCTCCAAACACCGAACGGGGTTCTTGCATGGCTGGGTTCCAATCTTCACTCCCATCCCAGCCAGCTCTACCAGTCTCGATGCTTTCGGCAAGAGACAACTGCCCAGGCTTATTCCTAACTCGCCCAGATCCCAAAGCTATCAGCCGCCAATTATCCTGAAATAACTTCTCTGTAGAGCAGAGGAAAGAGAACAATCTGCCGAGCGGAGCATCGACAGGCACCTTACCGAAAATTTTAATCTCGACTACACCGACGCGGTACTTCGATCCGACATTCTGGAGTCACAAATACACACGCTTCACGCAGGTCGATTCTTGGCGGGTATTACTTACTTGAACAGGAGAATGGATACCCACTTAACAAGGTACATGCATACAATATTGTGCAATCAGTATACTAATGATGATAATCTGAGATCAAACAATCAAGTGAAATCATATTCTAGGATTATAGTTTAATCCCTTTCTTTACACTACGTATGCTGGAATAATTCTATTCGCTCTATTTTATCAACCCCATACAATTTAATACTACCTACACCACACTCACTATACAAAAGTACTCGCCAAACTCAATCTACCCATCCTAGACCCCGAGGACCCCGAATCCTTTGAATCCACATGGCTGTCCAGTCTAGCGGGTACACACCGTACTTTTGTTTGTCCCCATTGGATGGTTATTTGTCCCGACTCGGTATTTGCGGTTTAGGGATCTGGATTTCCTGAATTTGTTCGAGAGCATGAGTTAGTGTGTGATGAGATTGCAGGATTTGATCGTTTGACCGACGCTAACATGAAAAACAGGGTTGCGATTCAGGACTCCAGTGTGTTCGGTTGGTGACTGATTGGTCGCGATTAATCCTTCCGTAGTTTGATATACTATCCAAGTTATGTTCCTTGTACAGACATTATGCTTATTGTCAACGACATATCATGATCTACAGTACAGAATATGTTGCAAGGTAAGTGTATCCCGAAAACCAACCTACAAATCACCATCGACACCACAACCAACCAACAACCAACAACCAATTTCAATACCTGCAATATCATAATACAATTACCCATACGCGGACATGTAATCCGAATACGCCTAGCAAAACCCCATAACCTGGAAAGTTCGGGGGGAAGTCGGATCCCCACAGATCGGGAGAGTTTCCAAAGCACAATTGACACCAATGAGCTATACAAAGCCCTAAAACAAAAGACAGGAACAAGAAACTATCGTTTGCGTTGAACTTAGTATATTCAACTAACACGCAAATGTACATTCTACGCTCAGACACCGAGACGATCCAACCCAATTCTTTTAAAGTTCATACACATGTCTACAGCTACTAAAGTACATATAAACAGCCCGCTACACACCTCCAAGCTATCAACTACAGAGTAGAGTACACGTAGAATCCTTCGATTGAGTTGCCTCAGAATCCATCGCCTTACACAGAAAAATAATGCACGTTGATGTAAGAGCTAGCCTTTAAATGTGTGTGGCAGCGGAAAATAACGAGGCCTCAGCGCGACGGTCCCACTTCGCTTGGGCTGGCGTGCCGAGGTGAAGGATTATCATCTCGATGCCTCACATTTTGAGAGTCTGGAGCGGGCGATGCCGGTTTCGCTTTCGCTTGTCGCCGGCTTCAAGTTTGGGATTGTGTCATGGGCGCGTGGTGGCGATGTGGAAATTTGAGGCTTGGGGTTTTGTCTGGTGGTGGGATAGGCATATTGGGGTTGGGCGTTCTGGACAAAAGTACCTTTTGGAATTTGGTTCAGGCGGAAGAGTAGCTAGCGGTGGACTGGTGAATTCATTTCATATATATACTCTGCATGCGAAGTCTTGAATTGAACAAAATCGTTCTAGTGACTCTTTAAAGTTTGTTCATCCAAAAACCACAGCAGCCCTCAATTCCCCGAACCAGCCTCTAGCACATATCAAATCGAAAAAAAGATCGAAATGCCATTGGAGATGGGTATGAAAAGATCGAAAACCCCAGCTTTATGTACAGGATGCATCGCTTGAAAGCCCAAAAAAAGCGCCACATCAATATGTCGTCCCCAATGGAAGATGCTCTGAAGGGAGGTGCCCTATGGGAAGGTGGTCTATGAGATGTTCCATGGGGACAGGAACATCGCCTTCACGGCGGGTCTGTCTAAGCTGGTGATGGAACAGCCGCCACACGCCCTGCAGGGCTTCAACGCGGTCGTTCGCATCAAAAAGGTCTAACCACCTCGTCCGCTGCAGCTTGAGGACATGCCAGGGCTGGTCGTCTGCAGCGGGCGGATAGTCACTGTGACCGTCTGTTAGGATGTCGAGGTAGCGTCTGTGAACGCGGAGGTGGAGGATTGAAATATGGTGGTTGATCGAGGAGATCATGTAAATCTGATAGTTGTCAGTTTGTAATCACATGGTAGATGAGTTGAGGTAACATACATCATCAAAGGGACTATCTTGGATCTTGCCTATATGCATATAATTCATGCGTTTATCCCACAAACTAGGTCCGGGCTGTAAGATCTTCCACTTTTCAGTACTGGTCAGTCTGCGCATGGCGCTCGGCCTCCGCGAGAGCGAGGTAACAAACGGATGCTCGTACTGGCGACGCTTGGGCTCCGGAGCGGGCTTGCCTTCTTCCATCATCGAGTCCGGAAGAGACATGCCGTGTCCATTATTGATGAGGTCTTCCAGAATACCATCATTAGGCGCACCTCCAAAGCGAGGCGCTGTGGTCCACCATTTCCCCTCGCCAGGCTGTCTCTCGATGGCGCCTTCGCGGGCTCGCTCTTGCGCGGCCAGAAGCATACCGCCGACCTCGCGGAACAAATCGCACACCTCACCGAGGCCGGTGCCTGGTGTGTCCTCACTGTTCCGGAAAGACGTCTCTGGTCGACACTGCGAGATAAGAACGGGGCCTTCGAGCATGCCGCTCCGAGCGAGCTGGCGGTCTCGCGGGGATCGTGATGATTGGAATGTTTGCCGTACGGGGAAGAGGAGGTTATTGGTGGTCAATCGGGGTGGCAGCGTGGGTACTGTCACTTGACATCCGAATGGCCATGCGGCCATCTCCACAAACGCCCGAATGGTCTCATCGCGAGTTTCATCGGGCATCTCGCTGCCGCTGCCGATTCGACGTCCCGTGTACATTGCCACCGCGGGTTGCGGCTCTTCACTCGGGCCGTTGCTCGGTGCGGCTATTTGTGCCTCGTCCAGATCCATTGCGTCTTCTGCTGGACCGTCTTCTGTCTTGGACTCGTCCCCTTGAATGCTATTATCTGCCACTTCCTCAGATGATGGGGTTGGTTCGGGGGTCGCCGGGCGCTCGAAGTAGTGGTCTAAGCTCGTGTCCCAGTATTGAGCCATGTGCTCCAATCCGGTCCAGAACTTCCTCGACTGGGTCACACGAACGCGACTGCGGCCCTCACGCGGCGGCAAGCGAGCCACCTCGCGGAAGGTATCGTCGTTATCCAGGGACAACTCGTTTCGTAGGGTCTCATATCGTTCCTTCGGGGGATACGGGGCTCCGTTGCCCATCACGGGCCGGGGGTTGTCTTCTGTTGGCTCGGTGGTATCTTCCCATGGCAAGGGGGCAAGAGGGTGTGTATTGTCCTCGGGGATCATCTGGTCGACTGACACGTCTGTCTCCATTTGTAGGTTCAAGGGTCTGAAGCGTTCCATGGAAATGTCCTGCGGGCGTTTGATGTCGGCGAGGAGATCGGACATCTCCTCGAGCCTCGAGTCAGATTCATTGGGGACGACATTGGGAAGGTTGTATACGGGGAAATCGAGTGGTGTCGGGTCGGCGGGGGGTCTTCGCTCCTTCTCCGGCTCTGAGGTGGCAGAGGGCAAAGCTATAACGATGTGTCAGCTATGGTCAACTGATGCCAATGACTCGTTTTTCTCCTGGACAAGTAATTGTGAATCGCAGGGCTTGTGATATCACCATGCGCCACATTCCACGCGACCTGGAAGGTAGTGGCGCTAGGTTCCTGAACCCAACTGCCAAGGGTAGCCAGGACAGCAGGGGGAATAGCGAGGGAATGGGCAGAACAAAAAAAATATATAAAATTGTTCCAGATAGTTTCAAGGGAGTGTGCTTACCCAGCCCAGCGCCCCAGCCAAACATCGCCTCGGTCTAATGCAGCACGATCGCAAACTTATGAAGGGGGAGGGGGGCTCCCCTGCGGGGAACACAACGGGACAAGAACTCAAGGGTTGAAACGGGGTAGATATGTAAGGAGAGTATAGAAGTGAAGAGAGAAACAGAATTCTCGATAAAAATTAATTCTTGATGAAAATTGTAGATGGTTGTAGGAAAGTTGAATTGAAAGGAACAGGGACTTTTGCAGGTGGGGAATCCGGGACATGTGCGTATCAACAATCGATTTGAGGATATATTCGATGTATTTGATACTCAATTATATGTATTGTGTATATATATACATATATAAGGCACGTCTATTTGGAATATATCTTCTAAGTAGAATACTCTAACTATATAGAATGGTCATCTGGTTAGGTGTTCTATAGATCATTTACCGTGGCTACCCTGTCATGTTCTGCTATATGCTATATGTATTATAGGATTGATATTTGCATACTTCGATGATATTATACTAGTACTCCAGTAAGTCTTATTATTCTATTTATATTTATATTTTTTACTTCACTAAAAATTTACAAGTGTAGCAGAATTGAGGCTATTCACATACAAGACCAGTCACATGACAGCACCAAAATAGGCATTGCTATCGATAATGCACATCGTAACTCCTTCAATAACTATACTTCACTACGTACCTACTACATGACCCCCTTTCCTACCTGCAGTATGACTCTATTCTCCGGTCTAACCTAAACAGCCTAAACATGAAACCCTAGAGGGTTGGCCCAGTCCAAATACAAACTTTGAGACCATCCATAAACCCGAAACCGCCTTGTTTCGTTTACCTTTGAAGGGCTGAGAAATTAATCATGACGAGAATCAACTCCATCGAACTAACTAGGGATGGTAATCACACTCTTCACCACAGAAACCACGTTCTCGCCTAATCAAGTACATCCTGAAGATGTTATTGGATCATGATGGAATTAAGCGCTCATCTGTCACAACAGAGGGGGGAAGTTGCTTCCACCCACAGCCAACGGAAGAAGCGCCGGGCTTCAGACAAATGGAAGACAACCCCTGGAAAAAAAGTCAAAATGATCCTGAATTTCCTGTTATATGTCTTGCACTTTGACACTCTTTTTTTCTCTCTTTCTCTGTTTTTCTGTATAACCCTCCGGCCTCGTATCTGACGTGATACACTTTTGAGTCTTCGTCAATCGGAACTATATGAACTGAAGAAAAAATTTTCAGATTCGAATTTCAGTCCGATTAACCTTCAGAATCCCTTGAATGCTCTCTCTCTCACACTTTAAAATACCTTTGTGTCGTTGCTTGGTCGGTCTACAAAGGGATCCATACTTCTGATACTTCTGCACCCGTCTCCATGTTATCACTCTCCAACTCGCCAATTTCCGTCATAAAGGCCGGGTCCTCGACATGTCGAGCGCATTCCCTATTCCAGATCTCTGGACGTGGTCTCAACCTTCCATGGTGACCATCACCTCAATAGAAACCGAGACCGTACATCCTACCTGGATATACACGTTAATGCAGGTTATTTCCTCTACCGAGATCCTGTCAACACAAAGCCTAATGCCTGCGATGGTTATTGTGACCGCGTCAATTCATTTTTCAACCGGCACAGCTCCAATGACGTCTACAATATTGTCGGAAACTACAACGTTGGCATTGGAGTCAACAACGGCACCAACCACCATGGAGAATCTTCCGAGTCCAACTACTGTTGGATCACAGTACCTCACCACCTCAAGCCCTAGTACATCGCGCTATCGTCCGGAAATAACCAGCTCCGCAATTTCCAGTCCATCGGGCTCAACCATCAACCCCACATCAAGCCCATCAACATCAACATCAACATCAACATCAACACCGGCGACCCCATTCATTGGCATAGCCACAAGCGCAAGCATCTCCAGCGCATCAACCCACCCCACAAAAACGGGTCTAATAGTCGGTACCATCCTCGGCGGCACCGCCCTAATCTTCATGCTCCTAGGGGTATTCCTCTGCATCCGACGCAACCGCAAAGACCAAAGCAAAGACATAAAGCAGCGCCTCCTCCGCGGCGACTCAATAAGTCCGACCCACCACTCCTCGACCCCAATGTCCTCCCCAAACTTGCCATCACCACCCCCACCTCCACGACCAAACTACACCAACAACCTCCCACCCGCCTACTCAAATCCAGACCTTTCACTGGATAGCATGTACCTGCGGCGCGACGGTGCCAATCCGGACCCAGACATCCATCCACCGTCTCCAGTCGAGATCTCCTCTCGGATGACTTCCTTCCGTTCTACTTCCTCGACGGAAGGGGGATTGGGAATACAAGACTCTTGGGATCTCGAGCGCGGCGAACATTCGAAACATGATAGTATGCGCAGCAACCCTTTTGATTTGGAGCCTCCGCCTAGCGTGTATCGATCGAATGATACTCTTCCCGCGACGAGGGGTGTAAAGTTCTAGACTGGTTTCGCATTATTGCGTTTTCTACGTCATTGCGTTTACGTTTCGCTAGACTTTTTTAATGACTCAAAAGACTTTACGACTGCCATGTTGCCTCTTTTCCATTCTTACTGAGATTCCCCAGGCGCTTTTCTCCTTTGTTTGATGTTCCATTTGCACGGAAATGGCGGGCTTCTGTTTGTGTTTTTAGCTTTCGGTCACATTAGCGAATTGCTGCATCTTGTTCTGCATACTGCTGGGATCCCCATTTAGAGCTGAAGAACTGCATCCAATACATAATATAGTTCCAACCATACATAATTCAGCCAATGATGTTCATCTTCATGTTCGCCTCTCGTATTGACCGCTCTTCTAAAATCTCAGTCTGCCCAAAAAAGCAAAGAAGAAGAACAAAGTCTGACATTAGTCCGAACGTTGTCGCCCAACTCGTATTCTCCCTTCCAAGGAAGTACAACGCAAGTTTCGGATCCCAGCCGGGGTCCGAAAACCCACTAGTTTGTCCGAGGTATCAAACAGCAAACCTCACGATGTATCAGAATGTCCCGGGTATTTCGCCACCTGGGCACTGGTAGTCATGCGCTGTGCTCCTGCGTTCCCAGCAAATCCAGGCTCTAACATATTAGGACTTGCGGTGAATACGTCGATGGCCGGGGAAGTTTGAAGTCGAAGTTTAAGCAGATGAAGTATATGTATGACTCCTTGGTTGACTTTAATCGGGCACCAAACTCCATCCAAGGGGCTTCTTCCTTCTCCCATCTTTCTGGGGTACTAATTTCTGAAATCTTCGAACGTTCACCGCTGCTTGAAGCATATGAAATTGAAAAGTTTCGCTTGACTTTCTCGTAGATGGTTGTGTAGTGTGGGTTTCACCTGGGCTTTTTGGATACGGTGACACTTGGGCATATATGTTCCAAATTGGAGACTATATGTTGCAGTGAAGAGTCTGCTAAGTAGGGTTTCTTTGTTTGAAGGGTGCTGCGACTTGTAGTCTCTGCGCTTTGCCGGATGGAGGTTTATGGATATCTGCTCGATTGGTGATTCCATATTTAATCTATGGTACTGTACAAAGCCAATATACAGTGTTATTAATGATATCAGGGTTTGGATTTTGGTCATACTTTGATATCATGTGGTTTACAAGAATTTGTATACTCGTTACCCATCAGAATAGTGAACTATATATATATCCAGAAAATACACTATTTCAACACGAGACTCGCATTATTCTTATTTTTTTTTGACGATTATATCGACTCAAGGAAATGCAAGCATGACAAGATGATAAACATTTAATTAATAGGGAACAAGAACTATGCCTTAGCCGATCGACCAGTACAAAATAGGATTTTTGAGGTCAAACCCCAGACAGGAGCCACAAGACCCATATATTTCAATGCCCCACGGTGTAGTTGCCAAGGGGATTGTGTTTCTAGATTGAATTGAATATGAACAGTGCTAAGCAGGAGGCAGTAGGATAATGATGTCCCCCCTACATGCACCATATGTACAATATCGTAGACAACTACAAAGGTTCATCCGAAAGTACAGTTCTAGAATCAAGATCAGATATCACAGTGGTCCGCATATCATCATCTAGAGCAAGGAAAGACGGAAGGCTGCTGTTTTTTTTGTGGTGTTTGGGTGAAGTAAAAAAAGATTTCCTTTTGCTTTCTCGTTACATTTTAAACAAGAATAGCTTGAGTATCACATCATCATCGTCTTCCTATTTCCTATACCCTTAATTTCTGAAAGATCCAAGAACGAACCCCATGCAGTCAGAAAAGACGGGAAGGAGAAGTCGTCACAACAGAATCTAGACTACAGGAAGACGCCGAAGGCCGACCTGGATTCGATATCGGGAACAGCCTCGAATCCCGGATCCAACCCAGAAGTTAACCGTTTCCAACCTCCGCACCGCCGAATTGAGAGAAAAACGTCAAACAACGGAAGGGTAATTGAATTTTTGTATCAGATTTACTCCTGGTCGTTGATCAGAGCATTGTGCTTGGCCTCCTTGCGCTCCAACCGACGCTCACGGAGAGCCTTGTTCTTGGCACGCTTAGCGTCCATCTCCTCCTTCAGGACACGGTCGCGTTGACGCTCAGCCTTGGCCTTCTGGATGTGCTCAACGAGGGCACGCTTGTGCTTGAAGGTGTTACCCTTGCTGAGGTGGTAGAGCTCGTGGTAGAGGTGCTTGTCGATCTTGCCGGCGGCACGGTAGCGGACGAGCAGACGACGGAGAACACGCATGCGGCGCATCCAGAGGACTTGGCTAAAAAGAAAAAAAAGAGATCGTATCAGTAACTAGGTTCCCTTTGTAATTCCCTCAGGCAAATCTGGGAAATAAGCCTAAGGGCTGAGAGCGTAGGGTGTGCATACCTGGGCATACGGGCGTCCTTGGTACCCTTACGCTTACCCAGACCACGGTGACGACCCTCCCGGCGGGCCAAGTTGAGCTCGCGGGCGCTGGCACGAGAGTGCATGGTGACGGGCTTGCGGATGATCAAGCCATCGCTGACGAGCTTGCGGATGGTCTGGCGAGAGTTGGCGTTGGAGATCTCGTTCATCTCATTGGGGTCGAGCCAAATCTTGCGCTTGCCGCAGCCGACCACGGAGGCGGCGAGGCGCTTCTGGGTGGTAAGGTTGACCCTGTGGTGAAAGACCCAGTCAGCATCACACAGATCACGAAGTTGTCTCCCTCCATAGTCAAAGAAATATCCGGGTGTCCACGGGAGGTTGGGTGTAATTCGAAAGTGTGTAGCACACGGGTGCTGTTGAAATTTCCAATAACAGGAGCTGGAGATGGCACTCACATCTTGATGTCGGCGTTGACGGTCGTTGGCGGATGATGTTCGTGGCACTGAGAAATCCCGACAATGAGTTTGAGAGGGCACACTGCGGGCCAGATTAGGTCAGCCGAGAGAGCTAAGCGAGTGTGCTCTTGCCGTCAATGGGCGGAGAGAGGAAGGTGTATGCCCTAACGCTAATCCAAATTGGGAACAATAAAAGAAATTTGAAGATCTTACCAGTCCGGGGAAGCCAAGCTGATTGTTTAGATTGATTGATATGAGAATCGTTAAATGTATAGTAATTTATTTCCATTTATTCTTGACTTTTCTTTATCTTAAAGTTGTTAGTTGACTTGGACGACTTTGTCGCAGAAAAGAGAAATGCATCAAACCCTAGACACGTGACATTGAAACCAAGCAGTGTCACGTGTCGACTCCTTCCCATTTGAGCCAGAGATCGACATTATAGAGCTACTTCCATGCTGGCCCGTAATCGAAGCATCCCGAGGTCATTAACGTACATACATGTAGTTTACCATATTAACTACAGACTACGTCCAACACAAAGAACATACAACATACATATGCATAACTTTTATACGAACATAACAAGAACCAAGGGTATATCTATAGACATCTAGATGCTCCTTGGATACGCAAAAAGATCATCACTCTTCTCCAATGCCTTCTCCAAGATCAACCTTGCCAATGCTCCACAATTCCTTCTCATCATCCACCTCATCATTTGACAATCCTAATCCACCTTCACCACCTTCAGCCTCCCGACGCTCACGCGCCTGGTTAGCCAAACGAATAGCAATACGCTTGAAGTAATCAGACATGCTGCGCTTGGGACCCGGTGGTAGAGATGCACCCGGACCGGCCATGTACTTGTCAAACACCTCGCTTTCACTCTCAACCACAGAGAAGATAGCTAAGAATGCTGCTTCGGCCGCCAGCTTGACGGGGATCACCAGGTCACGGACACTGGCGAAGATGGGCGGCGCAAGAAGGGCCAGATGAGGACGGATCAGCTCCGGGTGGAGACGGCTGACGGTTCGGATAGTCACCAAGCTCAAACGACGAGTGTCAGATGGGCTGCCAACCTGGATAGCAGGCACAAATGCTTCGAAAATGGCTTTGCTTGACTCGAAGGCGTGGTCGCCATCGTTCGACAAAAGGTACTTGCCTGCGGCAAGGGCGCTGTTGTCGGAGATGAAGGGCTATGCATGAATTAGCTTGGAGTAACTAGGACCGATTGGGCGTTCACTTACATCCTTGTTGGCAATCGCTTGGCAAATGAAAGTGGGCAGTTCGGCAGAGAAGTGTTCTAGCAGAACCTCGGGACACTCAGCCAAGAGAGCATTGAGACCGAGAATCGAGGCATGAGAGAGCGAAGCGCCGAGGATACGGTTCCTGAGAGATATATTAGCTCTTGACACACTTAGCCTCGAGAAATGGTAGAGCGTACTTAATAAGAGGGACAGAGCTTGTGGCAGGAAGAACCTTCACGAGCGCAGCAAGGAGACGTGCGTTGGTGATGGCAACAGAATCTATGGATGCGTTAGTAAATCTCAACGTACGAAAATCAAAGATAATAATCTTACCAGTCTGGTCGCTAGAGTCATCATCAATCAGAGCAAGGATTGCTTGTCGGGATGCCTCGCTCATGTTTCCACCAGCCTTTCCAACAACCTCCTGGAGAGCCTTCATCATGGCGTTCTTCACACCGACATCGGGAGTCTTGGATCCGGCAATAAGTTCTGGCAATAGAAGTTAGTAAATCCACACTTTGGACCTAATCTGTCTGACTTACCAGCAATAAGGGGATCGACTCTGGGCGTCAGGGTAATCAAGATACCAAGACCCTTGGCAGCACGGTTGCGCAGAGTCTCGCTGGTAGTATCGGCCAAACCACGAGCGAAAGTACGCTGGAGTTGGGGCAAGAATGGCTTCACAGCTAATGGGATCTTCTCCAGCAACTTGTTAAGCGTGTAGAAGATAGCGCCTAGTAGAACCAATTAGTAAATCGAACCTTATGCATGGAAATATTGTACTTACACTTGATGTCCACAGAACGTTCAGACACAACACGAATGAGAGGACCGGTGATCTGAGTAACGAAAGGCTTCAATGACTCGGCACGAGTGCGGTCGATGATGTCCGACATCGCAAGAGCGGACTGAGTACGCTGATCGGTAGTACCGTTGAGAAGACCCTGCAAGAAGATCGGCAGGATAGCCATGATACCCTTGGGCAGACTGAATCCGGGCAGATCCGCACCAGCCACACCAACCTGGCGCAGAATCTGGCGGGTGGGAATGGCCAATGCCTCCATCTCTTCCTTGCGCATGTGAGCCATGAGGCCGGTAAGAGCAGTCCATGCCGACTTGACAACATCCTGGTCTGAGTCGTCGAATGATATCAGCAAGGCGCGGATCAAGTCCTGGTAGTAGCGCGAGAAGTCTACTTCGGCTTCCGCGAAGAACTTGGTCAGATGGACAGCCGCAGCAGCGCGACGGCGGTGGTCGTCATGCTTGACAAGAGCAATCATCACGTTCATGCCAACGCTCAGGCCATCGTACTCATCCACAGACACCAGGACTGTGTCGAAGGCAGTGCTGAGCTCTGTCCGGTGATCCTCGTCGGTAGCCTCGATGATGCCATCCATGAGAGAGTTGAGAATGGTAGGAAGTCTCCTTGTCATGGCAGAGCTAGCCACCTCGGCCAGAGATGCCAAGGCTCTGGCGTTGAAAGCAGAAATTGGTGGCGTGAGCAAGGTGGGGATGAGGTTAGGCAGGATGATGTTCGCGCGAGTCTGTTCCGTGAGAAGTGTCAACAATGCGGACAAGGCCTGTTCAGCATCCCCGTCGTTTCTCAGCAAATGAAGAAGGTAAGGCAGGACCTGGTCCACAGCCCGCTTGCCCAGGATTTGTTGCAAGGAGTCGAAGGCCTCGGCGGCAGCTTCACGCACACCCTCGTCGTTGTCGACGAGAGCCACGCGAACAGTGGCGATGAGGATTTCTTCAAAGTCCTCCAGGGCATCGGGGGAGGCGGCAGTGATGAGCTCACGAAGAGCAATACAGATACCCTGCTTGACGTCCACGTCGGGCGAAGTCTGAAGACCATCTTGAAGCAGCGGCAGCAATGTGTTGAGCACAGACTCTCCAGCCTTCTTGATGAGGTCTCCAAGAGCGTTGCTGGCAATAACCTTCTGCTCCATATTGGTAGATCCAAGACGGCGAATGATGAGCTGAGATAGCGTAGGCACCATGTCCTTGAGGGTCTTGGGAGAGGCAACGAGCGCCTTCCAGACACCGAGAGCGGCACTCTTGACTTGGCCAGAGGTATCGCAGCGACAGATGTATAAGGCAGAAAGGACCTTGTTGCGGCGCTCTTCTCCGAGAACCTCCAGCAAGGATTGACCGGCCTGGTTGACTTCCTCCTCTTCTTCCTCGTCTTCGCTCTTACCAGAGATTCCAGTAAGACTGAAGAGGAGATCACCGACCAGCTCGACGGAGCTGAGACGAATGCGGTAGCTATCGTCCGCCAAACCACGCTCCAGCTCGGGAAGCAACAGGTCAATGGCTTTGTGGGCGAAGTTCTTGACAAGCAAGCGACCGGCGCGGAGAGCAGTCTCACGAATAGCGTCAATGTCATCAGCCAAACCAGCAAGAATAGGGGGAATAATCTTGCTGAGGTAGTTGGCGAAGCTGTTACCGAAGCAAGCAGGCAAGAAGATGAACAGAGTCATGAAGCCTTCACGAACAGCAGCCTTGGGACTGGACACGTTCTGGAGGATGGTAGGCAGAGTCTCCTCAAGCCTGGTAGTACCCAGACCCGCGAGAACCTCCGAAAGAGCTTGAGCAGATCCAAGTCTGTCACCAGCGCCAGTATCAGACTTGAGAGTAGCCATGAGGTTGGGAATAAGATCGGGCAGAGCGTCCTCTCCAAGCTTCTCAATAAGCGAACCAAGAGCCTTGGATGCAGTGGCACGAGTGGTGGGAACAGGATCAACAATAGCCAGGTTAAGACCAGCCACAAGGATGGGCAAGTGCGAGATAAGATCCTTGCGCTCTGTAAGGTGGGCCAAACTGCCGATGATCTGTGCTGACTTCCGCTTGGTGTTAGACCGGTCGCTGAGACCACGCTCGAGAATGCGGGCGACAAGGGCCAGCGAAGGGGCATCGAGGTAGTGCACGAAGGAAACTTTGATAAGGGAATCCAATGCCTCGTCGGTGTGCTTGGTAGGGTCACTAAGAGCCTTCAGGAGAACGCCAACCAGACTCTTAACCTCGGGGTTGCTGATGACCTCACCGAAGCGTTGAAGACTGCGGTTGGCGGCGCTGCGAACTTCCTTGTGAGTGTCGTTGAGCACAATAGTCAGAGGAGGGATGATGTCGGGCAAACTGGCCGCAAGCTGCTGCGGGTCCAAGTAAGCCATGGCTCCGAGCAAGTCACAGGCACCCTTCTGACTACGCCATTGTGTGTCATCCAGACCATCAAGAAGGGTAGGAAGAATCTGCTTGACACCGTAAGAGCTGAGGTTCTGGAAGCAGGCCCTTGAAGCCTCCAGACAGGCATCACGAACGCCAATGCTGGTATCACCGAAGCCTCCGAGAAGCTGGGGAACAATCTGGATCACGAAAGGCTCAAAGGTGCGGCCCAGAACAAGAGCAAGAAGCTCATACGCCAACAAAGCACCACGGCGATGCTCCTTCTGCGCTTTGTTCTCGGTGGCTTCCTTGAGCAAGCTCATAATTCGGAATTCACGCAAGGTTGATACACCCCTACCACAGACGACTGCAGCAAGACCGTAGGCGGCACCACGCTGTTGAGGGTAGTCGGTGGAATTAAAGAGTCGGTGGATGAGGTTGTCCACATACTCCTTTGTCTTAGAACCAGATGATCTGATCAACGGAGGCAAACACTCGGAGACAGCGTGTTGCACGGACTCTGAGGGGGTGTCAAGGGCCACCAGCAATTCCTTGATGACGGTCTGCAGACGAGGGTCATCCGCCTTGAGGTGAGTCGCCACAGATCCGTAGAGCACAATAACAGCCTCGTTCAGCAAATCAGAGGTCGTTGTATCTTTATCGGATGTTTCCAAAGTGGTTTGGAGAAGGTTCATCATCTCCTCGACCTTGGACTGGCCACGCATAATGATAACGGATTTACCACTCTCTGTCATCTGGCTACGAACACGAGAGTTTCCATCAAGCAATGGACCCTTCTCAATGAGGAATCGCAAAAAGGAAACCCCGTCGTCGCCATCAAACTCTTTGGTCATAGCGCTGAAGGCGAGCGCAATACCACTGCGGGCTTCCCAGTGGTCTGAAACATCCACCTTCTTGGGCATTCCGTATGCATCCTTTTCAGGAGCCTTAGGCTTGATCTCCTCCACGTACTTGGATTGGAGTTCAGCCAAGATACCCGCGAACTTGCTCTTGTCGAATTCAATGGCATGGGCCAACGCGCGGGCAGCAGCACCTCGGAGTTGATGGTCCTTGGAGTCCAAGTATTTCATGATCTTGCTGAATGAGGTGTCATCCACTTCAAGTGCATTGTCTTCCCAGATTGTGTCTGCAATTTCAGCATTTTCCTCCACTGCGTCGTGGCATCCAAGCCAGATGTGCTCAGAGAAGTCAAGATCGGTCAAATCGATCTCAGCCTCAATGACTTGGAGCACAGTGGTTCGGACGGAAGCCTCGGCAACGATAGTTCCCCGCAAAAGCGTTTCCAATTCCTCGCTGCTGACGCTAGGGGAGATGCACCGGCAGAAGTCATTCAAAGTATCCTTGACAATCTTGTAGTGCTGGGTGTATCTCTGCATAGCGGAAAGTAGCTGGTTCAGGATCTCAACGCGAGGAAGACGGGTATCAGCGAAAGAGCCAGAATGGAAGGAGAGGAATTCAAGAGCCAGGAGAACCTGAGTACCCTCCTCTTCTCCCTTGGCTTCCTCGATGCCGTTCTGGGTAAGAACCTGGAAGATGAGAGGAAGAACGTAGGCGAGAGATGTGGTGTCGAAAGGACGCTGCTCAGAAGCAAAGCGCAATCGGTAGAGGATTCTTGTCACAAGCTCACCGAGAGGCTCCAACTCCATATCAGAGGGGAGGTTTGTGTTGCCAATGGCTCGCAGGGTGGCGATACCAATGAAAGATCGCAGGTTTCCAAGGCGAGAGGAAACCTCATCGGCACAGGTAATGAATGCTCGAGAGACCACATCACCGACAAACAACCCCGCGCCAGCCTGAGCAAGCGACAGCAAAGATGTGACGGCAGCATTTATCCACCCTGTGACATCGTTGGCGGGGCCGGTTGCGAGACCTCGAATAATGCCTGCACCTCGCTCGATCCGCTTGACTTCTTCTAGAACTTCTTCTCGGATCTTAGACTCCTTGGCAAGTTGGGCCTTGACCTTTGATGACTCCTCGGGGGTGAGCTTCTTCTGTGCCTGTCCTTTCTTTGCGGCTAGTTGGGCTCGGAGCTCCTCTTCCCACTTCAAGGTGTCGTAGTCTTTGGTGCTCTTATCAAAGGTAGGCTGCTTCGACTTGCTGCTGAGCACATCGACGAAAGCAGTGCCTTCGGGAGTACGCGAGATGGCGGCATCCGTAGCAGTGAACTTGGAGAGACGAGTTCCGTCCAAGTCATGCCTGATCTGGTCGACTAGACGCGGGATCATCGCATCGGGTGCAACAAATGCCAACTCAGCAGCGGCGCCCCAAATAGCGAGATTGACATCGGGAGTGGCTGATTGAACGGGGTCGGCGTTGACACGGACCAGTTGCTCAATGCACTTGGCAGGGTGGGCACGAACAAGGTCACCGGGATCAGTGCCTGTCCTCAAGCACAAAGCAATCCAGGAAGTATTGGGGATCAACTCGGGTCGGCCCAAGATCAGGATGTCAATGAGCTGAGCCTGGAGATCAGAAGAAGAGATACCGGATTTTGCTACGACATCAGCAGATGGACAAAGAGCCCTCAGAACCACGTGAAGAAGGCGTTCGCTTCCTGGGCCAGCAGAAATGGCTGCTGACTCCTTGTCTGCAGTTCGGAAAGAACGGATCCATACCCAAAGCGCATTGACGAAAATGTGGCCAAAAGCAGCCACATCTGTCAAATAAACTTGGGATAGTATTTCCGCAGAAGTCTCTCGGGAGTTTGAGGGGACGGAAGGAGCCACAATTGCATAGATGAAGGCCTGAGCCCAAGCAATCTTGGATGCATCATCGGCGCTAGTGAACTTAGATCCGGACGTGACAGCAGCCAAGGCCCTGACAAGCCACTCAACCTCTTCCTTGGAGCTCAGCTTCGAGTACGCTCTGGGATTAAGCAGGAAGGATGGCTTCGGGCTCCATGCCATCGACTGCGTTACGTGTTCCTCCCAAGCAGACTTAGAGGATCCTTGAACATCGGACACTCTGTGGAACAGGGCCAGGAAAAGGTAGGCCGATGACAAAGCACCGCTTGAAGCAGAGGGAAGCGGATTGGAAGCAACCTCGCTAAATAGATCTTTCATCTTAGCAACGAACTTGGTGACGAGGGGTTCAATTTCTGCACTCTTCAAAGAATCGAGGTCAGACTTCCAGAGCACCTCTCCCAGGCTGATTTGCCAGATCTTGCGGAAAGGAACTCGCTTGTCGGATATACCCTTGACAATAGAGTTAGCCACATCGTCGCTGACCTTGACCTTAGATTGAATGAGGTAAGACAGGTGCTTGCTGAAAGACTTGATTTCCTCTTCCAGAGCAAGCTCGTTAGATTCTCGTGTAAAGACGGGGCCGAATCCTTGAACAATCTCTTTTGAGACATCCACCGAAGGCGGAATAGCCGCAATAGCCTGGGCATATGCAAAACGATGCTCAGCAGCGGTAATCTTCTGGGTCTTCAAAGGACCAATGATTTCATTGGTGATCTTCAAAATCATAGGCCCAGATTTGCACCGAGAGAGCAGGGATCCGAAGGACTCAGATGCGCCTTGGCGGATAGATGGGTTATTGGACTTCATGCTGTTAAGTAAGTGCTTCGAGAGACGTGTTTGCACCAATTCCGAAAGGTCAATGTCTTCTGGCAAAGAGGCACAGAGAGGTGGGATCACGCCGCTAAGAATCACCTCTGGTGCTCTCAGCATGGACTTCTCCATGGGAGGCACCAATTCAGTAGCAACATCCTCATATGTGACAAAGGAGGCGAAGAAGTCAGACATGCCATTAGCGACATGTGTAGGCACAACAGTTTTTGAGCTCACGATTTCCTTGATATAAAATGCCAATATCGCTTTTTTGCACTCCTCGAGAATCGGTTTCTTGTCCTCTAGTCGTACACAAACTCCGCTTATGACCCCAAGAAGAGGCGCATTCTTGTATGCTGTGGTAGAATCCGTTGTTAATTGGCTGACAGACTGGCGCACTGCATCCGCACCCAGCGCTTCGGACGAGAACACGGCGCGCAAAGCACGTCTTGTGACTCGAAGAGCAGATTGTTTTACTGCAGGTTTCGGGTTGTGAGCGAGACAGTTTTCCAAAGCCTTGGCATCCACTGTGATCAGATCTAGCACAATGGCCAGCGGTGTGTTCTGGTCCTCACTGGCCTGCTGAAGGAGAATACAGCACCATTCTAACAACACAAATGCGAATGAGGATGCCAGACCAGGCCGGGCTGCCTCAACCTTCAGTTTCTGGGTAAGGAATTTCAACGATTCGGTCGCATTGTGAGTGCGGAGGAGAGAGCGGAGGCATTGCTGGACTGCCTGGCGGGAGGGTCGATCGACATAGACAGGGTAGGTTCGGAAAAGCAACTCTAGGATATCGTGATGGGTTTCGGGGGTATATTCAGACCCTGTAGAATACATTGTCAGCAGATGTTCTTAGCATAAGGCCACATATAGTCACGATACCATTCTTGTCGCGGAGTTCTTGCAGGGCCCGGAGCCGGCGCGAGGTCGAACTCGAGAGGAGAACGACCTGCAAGGCATCCAGATCCCCGGCCTTGACCTGGTCCCATGGAATTCCCTCCATGATCGGCGGTCAATACGGGGGAATGGAGGGAGAGGGGGTTGGTTGAGAGAGTGAGAAGTTGGTGAAGTGGGCTAGGAATGCTGTCATAAGAGTTTTGTGTGGGGAGCTGGATTCCATCCCGCCATTCAACAGTCATGGCCAACTCTTTGTTCTCAACACCACTCAACACCCTTTTCGTGAGTATTGCGCATCTTATGTTCATAATTAAAATCCACCGATCTTCCATTGCTGACTTTCAGCGTTCTTTCAAGTCTCCTCCGCCGGCCCCGCCGTGAAAAAAAGGCATAATGCCGCCGAACAACAAGAAAAAGAAGAAGCCCGCCTCCAATCCGGCCCGGGGCTTTGCGACAGTCTCTATGCCATCCAAGGCTAAACTGGAGCCAACACCAATCCCATCTCCAGCGACTGGAGAGGCAAAAGCTACTTCGGAAACCGAGCCGCAAGTTGAACGCACAGAAGAGCGCACCGCAGACGCCGGCGCACCACAACCGACGTCCTCTTTGCAAAACTATACACCAGAGGAACTGGAGAAGCATCTTGAAGAAGCAGAACTCCAGATCTTGGTCGACAAATATGCCGCCAAGTGCAAGAACGACGCAGCAAGACAAGCTACCAAGTTGGACAACGAACGCCGTTTATTCCGACAGCAATCGGTCACATTGAGCCTTTTGGAGTGGCTTCCGACGGAGATCCAAGACAGAATCTTTGAACTTTCTGGTACTGAAGAGCATGAATATCTCGCAACAGCTGGACGGCCTAGTTCAAAACAGGTTGGCTCTGAGGAGGAGTTATACAACAAACTCTGGACATTGAAAGAGACATTACTCAAACTTGAGTTTCCTGAATATCGCGTCGAGGATGCATTGAGGCATGTTCTACAATACTTTGCAGGCAACTCGACCAGCGCCGGTCGGGACGCTGTATGGAACCTTGACGAAGCGTTAGAGTGGTTGGCTACACATAGTAATAAGCAAGAGCTACCTCCATATGCGCAGACAAATGGTCGCCAACAAAAAGACGCAGATCTTGTCACTTCATGGATGACAGGTAAACCTCTCAGTGGCTTCAGATACTTCTATCAATGGGACATAATGCTTACTTCTATCAGAATCGAAATCTTCTGAGTCATCGACACCTACGAAATCTCAAGGCAAAAAGGGAAACAAAAAAGCTGACTGGAAAGCGGAAAAGGTTGCCCCGCCTGTTTCATACGACTCGGACAGCTCAGTTGACCCAGATGACATGGTTCACGAATGGCTGGAGCTGCAGACCCGACTCTACACCCTTGATCCAGATCTTTTTGATCGACCTGCAAAGGGAAAGAAAGGCCGGGGTGCTGCCAGTACATCGAACGATCCAGAAGCTGCCAAGGCTCAACGGAAAATCGCCAAGATTGAACGAGATGTTCTTTTCGAGCGCCGAGAAGCGGAGTATATTTGGGAACAAAAGCTTGACGAGCTAAGAAAAGACGCAACATTCGTGCGGCGCCCGGTGGATAGGAAGAAAAAGAATGCCCCGACCGAGGAAGAAGCCCAGCCGAAACCTGAGATTACAGAAGAGATTGACCCATCGCTTCTTGAGATCGATGGAATGGCAGATGCTCTTGGTGATATGTTTCAGGCCGATACCGAGGAACCGGGGTCTATTTTGGGGCTTCCAGCTCCAGAGGTTCAAACCTCTTCATTCACGTTACGTGACTTTGGAAAATCGACAGGCCTTAGTCCACGTCGGGTGTTAGAAGAAACTTGTAAATCAAGAGACTCCTCTTGTGTGGTTGTCTATCAAGACTTCTCATCGTCCAGCCATTCAAACAGAAAAGCTCTTGAGGTGCGATGGTCGAAGCCTCAAGAGGCCCCGTTCTCGCTAACGGTGGACTCAATTACGCACAAGTCTAACGCATTGGCTACCTTTGTATCCATGGATTCTCTTGTGACACCAGATGCACAGCAGGCCGAGAACTATGTATCGACTCTAGCTCTGTTCATTCTGTTCCCCCAGAACTCCAAGGAAGGAAAAGCATACCTGCGTCTACCAGCGGTTTGGAGAGATCTTTGGACCGAGTTTGCCACACTTCAAAAGACTCAACAAGATGAAATCGACAAGGCTACCATCAAAGATCTAAAGCGTCTGATCCAAGAAAACCCAGGCACATTCGAAGATGATGTTGTGCTGTCCGACAACTTCCGTAAGCGAAACGGCAACGGGAGCAAGCCGGGGACACCGGTCAAGGGCTTCGGACGCGATAACTACAACATCAACGACCGCTTAAAGGAAGCCTGGATTGCAAAGTCCTCGACGCCCTCGTATCACCGCATGGCGCAAGGTAGAATGAATCTTCCAATCTGGGGTTTCAAGGATGAAATTTTGCACACACTCGATGATCACCGTGTTCTCATCATTTGCAGTGAGACGGGTAGTGGAAAGAGTACTCAGATTCCGGCTTTCATCCTTGAGCATGAAATGATTCAAGGCCGACCCTGCAAGATCTATGTGACCGAGCCTCGTCGTATCTCTGCGATTTCACTTGCTAGACGTGTCAGTGAAGAGCTCGGAGAAAGCAAAAATGACGTGGGCACCAACAGGTCATTGATCGGTTTTGCAGTGCGGTTGGAGAGCAAGTTCACCCAATCCACGCCATTGATATATGCGCAAGTTTCAACTCACTTTCTCCGTCTGCGATCTTTCCACTAATCTCATTTACAGAACTACGGGAGTAGTGGTTCGGATGCTCGAGCGTCCTGAAGACTTCCAAGATATCACTCATGTCGTTCTTGACGAGGTCCACGAACGCACTATTGACAGCGATTTCCTTCTAATCGTGCTCCGAAGACTCATGCAGAAGCGGCCTGATCTGAAGCTCATACTCATGTCTGCCACCGTGGACGCACAGCGATTCTCGACATATCTCGGTGGTGTGCCGGTTCTCAACATCCCGGGGCGAACCTTCCCCGTGGAAATGAAGTATCTAGAAGATGCAGTCGAAATGACGAATTACCGACTGTCGGAGGATGATCAGCACACAGTCCTCGACGATGATATGGATGATCCGCCCACGGATGCCGACACAACAGGCGGTCTCCAAGCCAGTCTCGAGGGGTATTCTCGACAAACCAAGGAGACTATCATCAACATCGACGAGTACAGATTGGACTACGAGTTGATCAAGAGGCTGCTTATCAAGATCGCTACGGCCCCGGAAATGACTGACTATAGCAAGGCGATTCTGGTCTTCATGCCAGGACTGGCGGAGATACGTCGCTTGAATGATGAGATTCTCTCAGAGCCAATGTTCCAAAGAAATTGGATTGTGCATGCCCTTCACTCGTCCATTGCCAGCGAGGACCAAGAGAAGGCTTTCAACGTACCTCCAGAAGGTACAAGAAAGATCGTGATTGCAACCAACATTGCAGAAACAGGTATCACCATCCCAGATATAACGGCCGTGATTGACACAGGCAAAGAGAAGATGATGCGTTTCGATGAGAGACGTCAGTTATCCCGCCTCGTCGAGTCGTTTATCTCGCGCGCAAACGCCAAGCAGCGTCGTGGTCGTGCCGGTCGTGTGCAGAATGGTATCTGCTTCCATCTGTTCACCAAGCACCGGCATGAAAAACTACTCGCAGAACAGCAAACACCGGAGCTACTCCGACTCTCCTTGCAGGATCTCGTGCTCCGAGTAAAGATTTGCAAACTGGGAGAAGTAGAGCAAACACTTTTGGAGGCTCTTGACCCGCCGTCGTCCAAAAATATTCGTCGCGCCATTGATTCCCTCAAGGAAGTCAAAGCTCTCACAAGCAATGAAAGCTTAACATCTCTTGGAACGCAACTGGCCAAGTTACCTCTCGATGTGTTTCTAGGCAAAATGATCATTCATGGAGCCTTCTTCCGCTGCTTGGACGCGACCGTCAGTATTGCAGCTATTCTATCGTCCAAGTCTCCATTCGTGAACGCAATTGGATCGAACTCTCAGCGTGACGGAGCACGGTTGACTTTCCAAAGAGGTATGACTCAACTCTGTAAGGCCTTTTGATCGAAGTTAACAATTCTAGGCGACTCGGATCTCTTGACTGTTTACAACGCCTACTGTAGTTGGAGGCGCATTCGCAGCACCCCAGGGTCCAACGAGTTTGCCTTCTGTCGAAAAAACTTCCTCAGCCCGCAGACACTGCTCGGCATCGAGGATGTCAAGATGCAATTGGTGGTGTCAATTGCCGACGCAGGGCTTCTCACCCTCGATGCCGCGCAAAAGGCAGCTCTCAACAGGTAATCGAATATCCCTGATCACGGTCCATCCCGATCTAGCAATTCTAACAATGATTTATTTCAGGGCACGCTCCAACAGTCGAAATCGCCAGTTCTTCATCATCCCCGAAGAATTCGATATCAACAGCAACAACGACGTTGTGATCAACTCCGTCATCGCCTGGAGTTTCTACCCGAAGCTCCTAACACGCGAAGGCAAGGGCTGGCGCAACGTCAGCAATAACCAAACTGTAACATTGCACCCGACATCGGTAAACAAGCGAGCAGACCATTCAGTCAAGTGGCTGTCATACTACCACATCATGCAAGCACGAAACCGCAACCTCAACGCCCACGACACCAGTGCAGTCGATGACTTCGCCATCGCACTACTCTGTGGTGATGCCGAGTTCAAGGTAGGAGACCCGTTCTGATTCCGATGTCCCAGTAACGCTCTAACGCTATCAACAGCTGTACTCCGGTGTCATTTCTATTGATGCGAACCGTATCCGATTTGCCGTGCGTGACTGGAAGTCTATGCTGGCATTGAAAATCCTTCATAACCGCTTGCGAGAGATTCTCTCGAATACCTTCCGCAATCCCCACCGTCCTCTGTCTTACAAGCAGCAGCAGTGGGTTGATATCTGGCAACAAATCTTTACTCAGGCTGGTAAGCGATGAATATTGCAGGTCTGATTGTTTATGCTCTGAGCTTTTGATGAGATATGCATGTACAAATTCATGATAAACGTGGTTCGGATCGGATATAGACTTGTCAGGATATTTTTCGGCGCAAAGTTAACATTCATGAACAAACACTCTTTTCGTTTTGGATATACGTATCTTGATCTGTATCCATGTTAGGATTAAATCGGTTTCCTTGGTGCCTTGGATGCACACAGATATATAAATATATAAGTAGACTCAACGCATCACATAGGGTATTCTCATGTACCAATCTCTTTTGCTAATTCGTTTCAGACATATGGTTTCTGATGACTTCTGATGGCCATTTCAAATTGGATTGTTGCAGAAAGACAGATCTTATAGATATATGACACCGACGATCTATCGCAGGAACTATAGTATCCCTACATAAACGGGAAACAGCATACTGCATTAACCATGCTTTCTAGAAGTACGTTGATCCATCTACATAGCACAGAGCACTGCAGATATGCCCCGTCCCTCGATTCAATGCACCGACGCCGTCAGCACTGATCCGCCGTGCGTACATTGTTGCATTATCATAATCCTCACGACCATGATCCAAATATAATGCACAAGCATAAAAATAAGGATAATAAGCATAATAGAACATCCCTAATCTCTCTCAACACAGACAAAGTCGAGACCATTCTTTTCCTCAACTGTGCCCCATTTTCCCACGGGAAACAATCGGTCTACGAACTGCATCCATCGTAATCAAGGGATATATTAATCTCCCCACCGCCTGTATCTCGCACAATGATCAATGATTATCCCTTGACAGAAGAACACGAATCTTGCAGTCCATGCAGGTCCTCAATCAGCGGTGAATCAAATCTTAAATGTCTACATAAGCATGAACCTTGTGAATTTCATGCAAGAAACTGACATCCCCACCCTGGAGCTTCCCTTCCCCCCACAACCAACCATTGCCACTCAGATTACACAACAACGCAGCCCTGAAAAGTATGCCGGACCCGCTAACAAGAAACGGTTTCAAAGTTTCAAACCTGAGACAATATACGCGCCATGATATACATCCCGCTGGCCATTCTTGAATGAAACATGATGCGCAGGACTGGTTCATGTGTACGGAGTAATGTCTACCAAAGGCTAAGGCATAAGCACTAGCACCAGGCAGGCGGCAGCTGCGCCTGGACTGGCACTTTTTCTGGGCTTGTCCATCGTGCATGGTACATACCTACCTAAGTGCAGCGGTGCAGCGCCTAGAACTACATCTGCACCTACTACTCCGTACATTCCTCGATCGACTATTGACGCCTCCCGAGGATATGTCTGGTGTCTGATGTCTACTTGGGATGTGAGCTAGGAATATACGGTGAGAAGACTATATTCGGGCTATGTTTTCCTTTGCTAAATTGCCAAGTTTGTATTGGTTTCTCGTGATTTGAACTAGACCAGCTGGGATGGTCCCTGTTAGGCTTGGCTTTGCTCATTTGCTTATCTTTTCCCTCTTGCAATTATCTTGGGGGATGACACAAGGGGAACCTTACGGGTGGCACTGGTAAATGTGATTTTGCAGAACGCTTATGTTTATGTTTATGTTTAATGTTTAGTTTAATGTTTATTGTATTCTCGTGTGCTCTCGTGCTCGATGTGTATATAGAAACGTATGTAGTGTAACCTTACTATACTTACATCGAACTCATTGACAATGCATTCGATTCCATTTTAGGATTAATACAAATCGTACAACGTCAAGCTCGCACAAGAATAGCATGTTTCGACTATGTCGTACATATTGAACTCTCTCTGCGCTCTGACGTCGCGATCGGCTAGAGTTATCGGCTATATTGTAGAGCGATATCGGGCAGTTCTAGATCTTCATAGTCTTCATCGTCCTCCATGATATTATTCCAGATATTTAACCTACAATTTAAGCACAGTATAGATTAACGACAGTATGATACTAACACTGATTAAGTACTCCGTACTCTGTATCATAAGAAAATTTGGGATACTTGGAAAACCCCATAACGGTCGGGTCACTGCATCGATGCCACGTCTGCACGCAAGGGGGGTAATTGGCGGTGAATCCACACGATCTAGCCCTTCGTACGTGGTTATCACCACAGCCAGTCATTGCTGCGTCGGATCATCGATCGGCGGACTACTGTTCCCCAAGACCAATCATTGATCCTCTTGGCCAGGATAGGTTTTAGTCTCGTTACACATTTGGCCCGAGCCATCCTGGTTATTTCGGAGTTATGAGGAATTTATTAGGTCTAAATTTTTGGGGGGGCTTCTTTTCTTGTCGCTCGATATTTTAACCTGACTCGAAGGTGTGGCGATTGCTGACGGCTACTGCGGGTAACTTATTCAAACCTCTGGGCATTCTTTGCTTGTTAATTAATTAAAAAGCGTATGTTTGATGGTGACTCCACCTGGGAAAATCGAGCAAACCGTCTCTTGAATTACTGTTGGGATCCTATCCCCTCTTCATTTGCTACACAAGCGCTAGTGTGTACGGAGTAAAGGCAAGATGAACGTGCAGTCGATCTCTTGGCTCCACGGGACAATGCAATGCGAGGTTAAATCCAAGTTGCACGGCCCCAAGTTCCATCACGCCAGATCCTGGCTTCGTGGTGCGTTGTTATTCGTGAAAGTGGTGGCGTCTCATTGGAAATTATAGTCACATGGAACAGGACCCCTAAGTACAAATGTACGGCGTATAGGTACCGACTTCATGGTTAGTGTATACCTGCGATACGGGGTTTTCTCGGTCGGTTTGCATTCAATTTGCCATGTACAACACATCAGTAGCTTGCAGGGTACATCCCTGTCAAATGTCGGCTGTCGGTCAAATTTTCCTCGTGTTCCGACCGAGTCTGTAATTATACTGTACACCCCCCTCAAAGACCTTGTACTCATTGTGTGCGATTCCAGTCTGACGACCTTATCTGGCGTCAAAACGTCTGCCCAGACGGCTTCGGGCATATTGGACTAAAGTGAGAGGTACAGCATGGGAAAAGCATGGCAATTGCCCCTGGTGAAACATATTGTATAAGGAGCAACCAAAACAAAGCCCGTGTTGTTACATTGTACATGATACTCGGAAGAGGAAGGGAAAAGGCGTTTTTTTTTCTTTTTCTGTTTTTTTTTTCTTCTAAAAAAAACAAAGGAAAAGTATTAAAAAAAAGCCTGCATTGGTCTGTTCTCATGGGCAAAGTCTGAATGAAGTCTGCACGGACATTGTCCGCTGCAGGGTAACTCGCTGCAAGGTACGGACGAACCCGTCGATCGACATAAGATTGACAATATGAGCGGTTTGAAGTTGGAAGCTATGATAGCAATGTTCTGAATACATTACGGCGTAGATTGTATTTCGTATAGACACTAAAGTGTCTCTAGAGTCTCTAGCTTCTGTAACCTGCGATCCACCCGAGCTGATAGTCATACGGAAAGCGTCGGGATAGTTAATTCCAATATTTATGGGTAGGGAGAGATATTGGAATCAACCGATATGTACGGAGGTACAAATTACAAGAAAGAGATTATTTCTCACTCCTAGCTATACCTATCATAAGGACTATCAGAATTATAACGATCATCTCCTTGCAGTTCCGGCTCAACGGCGGTTCCCTTCGATGCATCACACCCGAATTGCGGAGTTCCCGTCCCAGGACGATAACTGTGTGGTGGAGCGTCGCTAGGGACGAAGTGGAGAAGACTCGCCTCGAGGACGGTCTGATTATATTGTACATTTCTCCCTTTACGGAGTAGTTCTGTCTACGTTACACTTAGAGTACCGGATTAGTCTATATTAGTCTTTCTGCAAGCTGAACGGGAAGAACAAGAAACAACACTAAGACACTAAGAAAAAAGAAAACAGTCACCAAGTAAAGGGAATAATAAGAAAAGCCACAACCGTGGTCCACTTTCTCAATAATAGATTGTATGGAAAAATCCTTCAGCTTGCAAATAATCACCTCGGCGCGAAGATTTATTGCCCCTTTCAGTCTGTGGTGTATCGATTTAGGCGGATCCCTCCCTAAACTACTGTACGCTGTATGTGCAGCGGGTATCGGGCCGTCGATAGCGAGCTGCGGTGCAGGGATCGGTCAGTAGTGTCTCCCCCCTCTTTTCTGTCGGAGCTCTCTGGGCCTAGTCGATGTACCTGCTTACCTGCTCTACTCTGCACGACACCAGTTCGCAGCTTGTATGCGAGATAGGCTTAAGCATTAGATAGAGTAGATAGGTATAAAATGTAATGATATGGCAAGGGTACACTACAATCTACAACATTGTTTATAAGAAGAAGAAGAACAATAATAGTAATCAAATACCAAGGCCCGCGTCTTCCCGACCCCATGTTCACCGACCTCTCAAGGGTCTGTGTGGCAGGCTCGACCCGAGAAACGCCACTGGAATCCACTCCAGCGCGAAATAATCCCAATAACTTACCGGAGTATATTGATGAGGAAATCGTATTCCGATCATGATCTTCTTGAACGTAATTGGGATTTAGGCCCGTGGTCAATGCGTTTCAGGAAATTTCAGCTAGTCAATTATCATTTAGTTCTGTCAGTGAAGATGTCATCTGTCACTGAAACTTTGGAGGTACATATAGAATAATATGAGTTTATTTATTAATTTATTTCAGTGGTTCTCGAGTGGAGAATAGGAAGAATAGAAACAAATAATAGAAATCAAGAAAGTATAATAGAAAACTGCAAGGGGAGCTCTGGAAGATTTTCCCCAAATAAGCGGTGAACTGGGGTCGAGCTGTCTTGACATCTAGTGGTCTTCTTTCCCCCCCCCCTTGCTGGGATCTGGCTCTGGGCTTTTTTTGTTGGGCTGAATTTCGCCCAGGAATGAATTTCACCCAAGAAAAAAAAAAACAGGCCCAAATTAATTCATCGTTTTATTTCAAAAAGAGGATTGATTTTCATACTATTTGCTATTATCACAGCCGACTTAGTGACGTGGAATTATTACGGCTATCCCGACTAATCTAACAATTCCTATGATTTGGAACCAAGTCATGGATATGCCTTCCGATTAGCAAGTAAAAACGACCCTACTCCGTATGATTATTCCATCTGATCCAGGTAACGGCAAGTCATTTCTAGATGCATCGTCACGGGGTCTTCTAGTCCCAATTACGATGCTACGTGTGAATTTCATTTCAATTCTGACTAGGAATTTGGGTTGGACAGACCCCAAATCAAATCGTCTCTTTCCTTTCACGATTCCTGAACGTTTATTGTAATATTTGCTCTGTTCTTGAGAAAAAAACCCCTCCCCCTTTCTGATTCTCTTCAACACACTGTATAGGTAAACACTGACCCTCTGACTGGTCTATCTAATTAAATGACAGGGATCGCAAGAGAAAGAAAAACACACAGAGAGAAAGAAAAGAGAGAGAGAGAGAGAGAGAGAGAGAGAGAGAACAGACCCTTGATCGACTTCAAGCCACCCGTGTTTCGTGGTGCAATCTGAGCCACTGGTTTTTTTTCCCACCTCTGCATCCCTAGGTGTGACGTGCTTCTTTCCTCTTTCTCTCTCCACTGTTACTCACGGCCCGTCTTAACGCCTAGATCGTCCCGAACCATAAAACCAGAATCGAGACAAAGGCCGCGGTAATTAATGTAACTGCTGGGATACAAGGCGCTCTCCAAATCAAACCACTGGGAGGGCTGGTCCACTTAGCGGCTACAGCCGTACTGGCTCTAGAATTCTGAAGCGACGGACTTGATTGAGACTGGGGATTAATGGGGTTAACGAGCTGGCGATCGACCGGCCACCGCTTTTACTAGTAAGAGATCCGAGAAGAGAGAGGCTCGGCCGATGTCCGATTGTGTTTTTGGGCCTCTGATTGATGGACCTTGCATCAAATGGTAAGCTGTGCCCCAAGCCCCAAGCCCTGGAGGCCCTGAAGCAATCTAAGCAAGCGCTGGACTCCCCAAAAGGCGGGAGAGTGTAATCCGCAATCGACAGTGCAGCCGCCGCGCATTGCCGGGTCTTTGTTTCTTTTTTTGTTTTTTGTTTTTTTTCCTTGAATATTATTTTACCCCTCTCTGCAGCTGATGACAGATGTCTTGCACGATGAAATGTCGATCGGGGCGAGACCAGAATAAAAGAGAAGCTAAGGTATATTAGAGGTAATTGTGTACAATATAATACGATACCATGGATGTAGTGTCGTTTCTCCCGTTCCTCTCCCCGGTGCTATCCATGGTTCACTTGAGTGGGACCCGTTACTCGTGGAGAACAGACCATGGCTCACACTTCCAGTTTCTGCATATTTTGTTTACTTTACTTGATTATGGTACTGTTTTTGATACGATCTACTAGAAGTTCTGTATGATCTTTCCATGGTTGAGCGAAACCCTATGTTACTACAGTACTCTTTATGTACATAATATGTATATTCACCATAATAATGTCGTTCCACAATACATCGATTGTACGTCGACTGTATATATTAATTAAATCATCGTATCGATCAACTCCACTAATTCACCTCCCAGATCCAGCGGGCCTATCCCGGCCGATCAGCGGTTTGTTTTATTGTCACACAGACCAGGATCCTTAGTTGGGAGAGGTAGTATGAGGTATTGTATTTTATACTTACATATGTACCTAAGTACCTGGGTACTAGGTACGAGAGTATATAGTGATTACTTTAGTGACTCTGCTGATCATAGTCCTTGCTTGGTGGCGTAAAGATGAAAATAATAGAATAAATGAGTAAATAATCGCAGTCAATAAAAAAGAAAAGAAATAATAGAAAATAGAAAAAACAAAAAAAAAAAATTGAACGAGAGAAATATATCGAGTCTAGAGGATGATCTAAACGCACGGTTCTACTATCTCCTCCACCGGGTCCACTGTGATTGATTCGACTCTCTCTCTTCTTCCTTTTTCTCTTCTTCCTCTCTCCCCTCAAAAGACGGGGCAGGCCGGGATTTCTGCAGACACATTCTTGTCTCTTTCTTCTTTCACTTAGTCAGCCCCTCCACTGATCGACTTTCCCGCTGCGGCTCAGCGTCATCTTTTTATTTTTTTGACTCTTTGTGCCTTGACTTTAGGCTTCTTAAGTTTCAACTGTATGATTCCCTTTCCCTTCTTTCTATCTTACTAGCTTCCCATTTTTTTGTTGAGATTTTGATATTCAAGAGCCTAATTGTTTATGTTGTATAAACACTTTGTATGAACTCTGTTTTGTTTTTTTGTTTTTGTGTTGATTTTCACAAACGCCTCCTGCAGCGCATAGGGATGCGTTTGCTGCACCACCCCAGCCTCCACCTTTCCCCTCGACTTGTCTAAGATTTTGAATCTTTCTCTTCTCTCACCCCCTTCCATCCGGCTTGGGCCCTATTTTTACCTTCATATGCGCTCCTATTTGTTCTTGTTCTCTCTCTCTCTCTCTTATGAACTGCATGACCTGAAACGACTAAAATACTTACTTACATGATCGTTCCTAGTTGAAGCTGCCAGCTACTCTTTCGATGTTGGCTTAACGATTTGTTCATGACTTTGATGATTGTTTGAGTATTCATCTTTTCAAAAAAGTCTTTATTGCGCTTCTACCTCGGACTGTTCTAGTCTTGGTAAAAGGTTTACGACTTACTACGAAGCTTCATCACGATATTGCACGCCCCTGCATTGCATATTGCATCGCTTTCTTTTTTTGATTGAAAGCCTGAATATCTTTATTTTTTCTTTCTTCTTCTATTCTGCTTCTATCCATTCGTGCAACATTCTGAAAACATCCAGTGGTTTCTCAACAATTCCGCAGTTTCTCTTTCACTGACAACGCCGGACACTTTTACAACGTCCGACGTTCGCATCTCCCTTATATTCTAAACCCGTTTCTTTTCCAACCGAAAAGCTGGAGCTGCCGTCGATCTCGCAGGTCCACACCCGCGGTCCTGCTGACGTCCCCTGGTACAACCCTCACGCGGCGGAACGACCGTTGTTGCCCGGCGACAAACTCCCCGCTCTCAGCCTGCCGACAGCCACCCAAGGCCTCTCCCGAACCGCCTATCACGATCCATCCGTGACAAATTCCAGTGCTCGCACAAGTCTGTCAGGTGCCTCCATCCCAAACGAGCCCAGGAGCCCGCCCACGGACCTATCTGGGACCCAGGGCCGGCTTTCTCTAGATTCCTCCACGTCAGAGTACAGTCTTCCGCCGTCGGTCAACGAAGGGTACTATCCTAGCCCGACTTCCCTTGGCAGCATGAGCCACGCTCAGCCGTACATGGACGTCCACTCTTCGCACATGTCTTCTGCTCAATCATACCCCCCTCAAGGCACAACCGCTGGCGCAATGTCCCACTATCAGTACCACCAACAACCCCCAGTGATGCAACCCGCCTCATCTTATCAACCAGCCCCTTATTCTCAGTATGGATACCCGAATGGCGTGACTTCCCCACCGACGGGACACCCACCCAGCACTATGGGTGGTCAAATGCCCACTCAACTGCTGCCCTTGCCTGGTAAGATGCAAAGTCAGAATGCGGTTGATAATTATTCTGATCGTTATCAAGTGAACAATCACGGCGTGGCTCCTGCTGGTGGCTATGGAAATACCACTGGTTCCCCGCTTCAAGGATATGTTTTCGATCCCACGGGTCAAGTGGCACCCCCGGGTGCTAAACCACGGGTCACCGCCACTTTGTGGGAGGATGAGGGTAGTCTGTGCTACCAGGTGGAAGCAAAGGGAGTTTGCGTTGCTAGACGAGAGGGTGAGTTTCAATTTTGGCGAACAAGCTGCCCATGATTATCATAATTTACTAATAACTTCCACAGATAACCACATGATCAATGGCACAAAGTTGTTGAACGTGGCAGGCATGACCCGTGGACGACGTGATGGAATCCTAAAAAGCGAGAAGCTCCGCCACGTTGTGAAGATTGGACCAATGCATCTCAAGGGTGTCTGGATCCCATTCGAGCGCGCCATGGAATTTGCCAACAAGGAAAAGATCACTGATCTTCTTTATCCGCTCTTTGTGCACAACATCGGTGGTCTGCTCTACCACCCAGCCAACCAGACGAGAACGAACATGGTAGTGCAGGAGTCCCAGCAGCGACGCATGGAAGGCCCTCCCCATGGTCCTCAGCGCACGCCTACAGGTCCCCAGCAACATCCAACTCACCACCACCACTCGATTCAAACGCCCATGTCCTCGCATATGTCTCAGGCCCCAATGAGTGGCCAGCCCGGCGCTCGCCCAGGCCTTGAGCGCGCGAACACGTTCCCCACTCCACCAGCCAGCGCATCCAGCCTAATGGGTGTGCCCAACCAAGGCAGTTCATACGAATGGGGAGGCCAAGTGCCCCACACCCAGCCCATGTCCATTGACACAACGCCGAGCCACCAGCGCTCAATGCCAACGACCCCAGCCACGACCCCACCAGGTAACAACATGCAGGGCCTACCATCCTACCAAGGACAAGGGTACGAGAGCAGCAAGCCCTACTATTCTGCGGCCCCCCAATCCCACGCCCAATACGCCCCCCACACCCCCCTGACCCAGTCAGGAATGTCCAGCTATGGCCAATCCCTACCAAGCACCTATATGAAGAGCGAGATGGCACCTCCAAACCCCCGAACGGGCGCCTCAGAGCCAGAATCTGAAGAGCGCCAAGGAGACCGCTACCAGCCCGGCGAACAAGAACATAGCCAGGACTACATCCAGGACCACAACCCCGGCTACAATTCCAACCGCGGCTCCTACACCTACACCACCAACCCCTCCGTCTCCTCCCTGACCGAGCACGCCCAACTCACGCCGGAGATGACCAGTTCGCCCTCGCAGCAAAACGGATCCGGTCGCATGACCCCCGCACAGGTGCCGGACCCCCTCCCCACTGGGCCTCGGGATACAACACTCCCCCGCGCCCCGCGGCCGCAACAACCTTGTACAACGCCGTGAGCGACACACGCGGCACGCCTGCGAATGGGACCACTGACCCGTATTTGGCGTCGTCCTCGGCGCCCGTGTACGCAACCAACTCGCTCAGCGCGGGCAGCAAGCGCATGCGCGACGACGACGAGGCAGTCCGCCCCGAGAGCACGAATGAGTATGAGACGTCCAAGCGGCGCAAGACCATCACCGACTCCACGCTCGGTGGACCGGTCGGTGGGCCTCCCATTCTGCAGCCCATGAAGCCTAGCAGTGTCATGGCACGCCATCGGTGAATTGCATGCAGCGCTTAGCTGTTGGTAATGGTTTTTTTATATGTCTGAGTTCCCATTTTCTCGGTCGGAGTTTTTCATAGACTGCGCATGCAACCCAACCCGCATGGACGTTCTGAGTCTGACGTCTGACGGTGTCGAACCAAACGAAGCTCATTTGTTTTTGCGTTGTTTTTTTCTTTCTTCTTGTTCGGCTTGTTTGATGTGGAGGTTTATGCTGTTCATAGTACATCAACATCAACATTGCATTGCATTATGTTTTGATTGTTTGTGCTGAGAACAGGTTGCCTGATGACTATGATGTGACGAATCTCTTATGAACGAATTTTCTATGTGACTGGCGACCCTGAAGGGTTCTATGAGTTGCTGTTCTTATTTATTTCCTTTGACATTTTGGTTTTCTCTTTTCTCTATGTTTTATTCCGTTGGGATCGAAAAGGAATGTTGACTGCGATCGTTTCGCTGCCTCTGCTCTACTAGAGAGATGATTATCATGGTAATGAACGGTTATGACTGGGTTTTGCATACCTTGAGCGATATACAACGTTGGTTTTAGTTCGGTCTAAATGGATTGTTCTTCCGCCTTCGTTATTTTCTTGTAGATTGTAGGTTGTAGATTTTATGCAGACTGGATTAAAAGTTTGTCCCGGGGTCATCTCTAGTTTCCATGGCTGCATATTTCATGCAGAGATTGTTTACCTCTGTGGTGTTAGATATGCCTCTCGTTCCACAGACTCTGATTGAAAAACTCCAGTAAGATCTTTAATGCTTTTACCGGAATTCTTATCATACCATTCGGCCCAGCGGAGGAGGCCCAAGTCATATAGCCGAACAACGCTCGATACGGGGGGTTCAGCAAAAACTCCGACGACTCATTTGAGCCGAGATGCTTTTCTCTTTGACAGGGATTTGAAAAGTTTATTCTGTGATTTACAATTCCACGCCAAGTGGCCCGGTCCTCGATTCATTGTTCAATTCTAGTGCTGAGAATGGCCGGGTCTGGCGATGGATGTTCAGTTTCGATTAGGACTGTGGTCATAGATTAATGTACGTATTATTCTTCCTGAGGACAAGGTAAGTAGCTATAATACGTCTGATATGAGAGATGGAAAACCTCTGGCTAATCCTCGGTATCAGGATGTAATTGCTCGTGATAGCTTTGGCATAGCAGACAAGTCTAGGGAAGTCTTTGTACTCGACCTTGTTTTTATTTAGCTCATGTCTTCCCGGGATCTCTTCCAATTGGTCAGAGACTGCAGACGACAAGATCAAACCGTCCCTTCGGCTGTAGATTTCCCTTTTGTGATATAGGGCTTCAGAAGATCACATTCTCAATTTGGTCCATTATTTGCCGTTGATGGCTATTTTGTTCTTTTCAGTTTGACGAATTCATGATTGTAATTATTTTGTTTCAATGTAACCGTGGATTGGCATCTGGTTCAATCATTGAGCTTGATTGCATGTGGCCAACAGTGAACTCCAACAGTGAACTTCGGGTTGGTCATTTTTTGAAATATTTGTACAAAACTGCTCATGTTGAACTCAAGTAGATGATCTTGACATTGTAATTGGCTGTTTTCATGTAACTTGAAAAACTGAGTTTGATTTTGGGGGGGGAATAGTTACTGTACTGAAAGTCGGTCTCTAAGTATTCTTTGTTAAGCCGGAGGTCAAACTTGAGTCGAACCCAAGGTCCATGTACTTGAATGCAGGCCCAATGGGACCGTAAGATCAGAGTGTTGCATTCAACTATTTTGCATATATTATTGGAAACTTCCTTAGCGACAGGGTGTCCGCAGGGACTGGATGTGGTGAGAGCAACTATGAAAGAAACCAGTTAGAGTAGAAACTCAATCAAGACCCGAAGGATCAAAAGTGCAAAACAAAGAATCACTTCCAGAGTTCTCATGAGCCAATCGTTCACCTCTGTAGGTCGTACGTTCTTTGTCTGTCAATTTCAATCTTGGAACCCATGATGAAACATCCCTACAGTGTTTGAGCTCACTGTAGACTAAAAGAAACACATTACCATGCTTGAATCTATGTGAAAGAATTTCAAACTTTGTAGTTCAAAGAAACCTGGAATTTATGGCATCTAGAAACTAGTATCGAGGCCATTTTGCGTTTTTTCCCTTGTACTATAGGAGTGTAAGCAAACGCAAGGTCATCGGAAATCCATTGTTTCTTTCATTTGTCTGGTTGATCTACGACCTGAATTTCTGGACCTGAATTGATTGATACTTGACCCAGATGATTCAAAAGCAACCACGTATTCCTTTCTTCTTTCCTTTTCTTCACTTTGCTTTTCCGATTCTCATCTATCAGACCACAATTCCATTTTTCATTAGTAGCTTTGGATATTGAGCAAGATGCCGAGATCTAAGGCCAAAGCAAAGGGTCGCACTAACAAGAAGCAACCTGCAAAAAAGCCAAACTCAGATGTGATAATGGTGGACGGCCCGGTGCCTGACACAGATTCCATCCCAGTTGCCGAAATTGTGCTCCCAACAAAACGAGCCATACCGGAAAACGAAGATACAGAAACTGTACAGAAAAAACCCAAGCCCAATCAAGACTCGGATTCAGAAGATGGTGAAGTTGCTCCAGATGTTTTTGTGGTCGTCGATTGGAAACTACTGGAGCCCGATCTCAAAAAGTCTTATGTGGACGAGTTTGCCAAATGGAAAAAAGACGAAACTAAGAAAAATCCTCCCCCATTAAAGCCCAAACGAGCAAAGTGGCAATTCGATGTGAAGAAGCCTTTCAATGATGCCGCAAAACTTCCTGAGGGATGGGAATGGCATGAGCCCGATCTCGACAAGCTGTAGGTGTTGACACTATGCTCTAGGCTGGCTCGCAGATACTGATATGTACGAAATAGTGACATCGATGCTCAAATTCAAAGATGCAAAGAGAGGATTGCGGAACAAATCATGCCGTTTTATTTCGAGCAAAGATTGAAAGGATACAAGGAAGCAAAGGCTATACGCACGTAAGCCTAACCGCTCTCAGGTTCTGAGAACCCAGGTGTTCTTTACAAAAACTGACCAAAATTAGCGCGATGGAATCCTCAGAGAAAGGCACTTATAGCCTGGATGTTCTCCAACGCATTGATACACTCAAAATCATAGAAAAGTCGTTTGAGACCGGAGAAGACAGATACAAGCAGCTCCCCAACATCAAAGCTCTGCTCAAAGCTTATCGGTCCGGTAAATTGGACTGGTATGACGGTTTAGTCACTTACTGGTCTCATGGTCACCAACTCTGTGAGCCAAGGCCACACAATTGGTACGAGTTCGAGGCAATCAATGTAAAACACAAGGGCTGGGAAAGCTTTTGGATGGAAGGAGTAAGCTTTCATTCAATGGACGAGGCAAGCGGAACCTAGAATTGACTGAAATTTCTTGTCTAGTACGATGGACCCGGACCCAAACCTCAAATGGCAGCGAAACAAAGAATCAATCCTGATGGACAGGGCTTACATGAAGTATGAACTTCTTCGCCCCAAGCAAAATGGCCACTGGATCTAACGTTTTCTCTTCTATTAGTATACGGCTGGTGTTCGTCTCACCAATCTCACAGGCTCAAGTGTCCTTCAGCCCTTGACCTTTATGAAACAGGTTGGAGCCGTGACCAATGAGAATACTCCAACTGAAGGGGAACCATGGGATGCTGTGCTACCAACTGCCTCTCATCCTTGGTGGGCTGACTTGGAGTTCGTGCATGACACCGGTGCCAGCGTTCTATTTCTCTACTATGATGATCTCGATACTTTGATGGGCAATTTTCGACCCCCACAGGTCAATTATCCCCGATTGACCGGTGCAAGCGTTATCTTAGATTTTACAGCAACGACTCATGTGAGAAATTCTATCATGGTGGAAGTTTGTTTACTTGTTGGTGCCAATAGCAACACGAGAATGACGCAATGGACGAGAACTGTTGCATCGCTCCAGCCTGGGACCTATACTCCAGGGGTCAATTTCAGGTCAGACGATCACTGGATGCGGGGTATGGTATATCAAGCTACCCAACCGGACCGCGATCAAGCACTGAGACTCGCGGTGACGAAGGGCGGCTTGGATTTGGAAGCTAAACCACAACATGCTCCTGACCCTCGGTGGTTTTATCCTGGTCCGGATCCCCCTTGGCCAGTTCCATGGCTCCAACTGCTCACGCAGCTTCCTCTAGGAACGGTGGCGGCTGCTAAGGTCCCACCTCGACCTGCGCGGGTTCGTTGACATTGGAGAATATTCTCCTTGCTATTTGATGTTCCCACAAGAGCTTTCTATGTATTTACACATATATCATCTGCAATTGAATCAATACAGTATTGTAAGCCCTGAAGTGTGATATGTATGCCTGACCACGTGGTTGAGCCTACCCTATCCCATAACGGCAAACCAAAACATACCTAAACCACCGTTCTATTCGCTTCACGTCATTTGTTCTAATTCTCGAGACTTGAACGCAACTTCAGGTTTTTTTGCAGCTAGGGTAACAGACCTAAAGCACACAAGTCTTTGGTTCACAACATCGACTGGTGCGAAGGTGCAGAGTGGCCAAGGATCGGATTGAATTAACACTGGGGTTGGTGTCTGAAGATAACTTATATCAAATTGACAGAAATCTCAGACATCAAATGGGGCGATAGTTCAGTTGGGAGAGCGTACGACTGAAGCTACAGTCATTTATTCGTAAAGTCGCCGGTTCGATCCCGGCTCACCCCATTTTTTTATTTTCATATGTTAATACCTATTTTCGGATTCAGGATTCCCTTTCGTGCCTAATACATCATCACATGGGGCGATAGTTCAGTTGGGAGAGCGTACGACTGAAGCACACAGTCATTTATTCGTAAAGTCGCCGGTTCGATCCCGGCTCACCCCATTTTTTGATTTTTTTTAGTATATTTTTTTATATCATACATGGCGGGATCAATATAAGGATTAGGTGCAACTATCTTAGCATTCTTATGCAGTTCAGCATTATATCTTTAGTGCCTCCGGCATCTAATGAGAGCCTGTGATATTGAGAGAAGTATGTATATCTGACCACGTGATTGAGCCTACCCTATCCCAAAACGGCAAAACCAAAACATGCCAGAACCACGGTTCTATTCGCTTCACGTCATTTTTTCTAACTTCCGAGAAGCTAACGCAACTTTAGGCCCTTTGTAGCGAGAGCAACAAATCTAAAGTACACAACTCTTTCAATTTTCAACATCGACCAGGTTACTAGGACAAACACGAGAGTCCCATAATGTCCAATGACCGACAGAAATCCCAAAAGCCACAGCCTCCACAACCGCGGAACCACCTCCACTTCGACCCCTGGCAATCAGGTTCAACAGGCCACCAGCGCGCAGCCCAAGGTGGCACATTCATAGGCTCGACATCATGGAGAACTGCACGCTCAGACAAACTGACCAATCAGTACAAAAGTGGAGATTGTCTGCCAGGACGAGAGCAGGGAACAAGGGAGGAACAGACGCTGGTACCCGGCGCGTTTGACGGGAAATGCGGACCGGATTCCCCGCCCAAAGCATCCGGTGAATGGGTCATGTTGTCTGAAGACGAGGCGATGCGCAATAAACTCGGTGTACGGGATATTCGGTCATTCATGGGTGTTGGCAAAAGAAAGGCCAGTGATGGATTTGACAATGTTAAGACGGAGAAAAGAATCAAGTCTGCGGGTGTAGATGGCCGGATTCAAAACCCGGCCTTGGATGTCCCAAAGACGGACAAAAGAGAGGAAACTCAGGCATCAGCTCGACCGCTATCAGAAAGAGGATCCTCCCAAGACAAACCCCATACAGAATCCAATACCTCCCTCGACCTAAGATCAAAATCAAATATTTTCGCCGGCATCACAATCTTCATTAATGGCTCTACTCTCCCCCAAATCTCGGAGTACAAACTCAAGCATCTCCTCGCCTCAAACGGCGCCAAAACATCCATTTACATGGCCCGGAAGACCGTAACGCATGTTCTGGTAGGTCAGCCGAATACCGGAACCTCGGGTGCAGGTGGGGGTCTCTCTGCAAGTAAACTCCAGCAGGAGATTGCGCGTGGGGGATGGAAGGGTGTTAAGATTGTTAGTGTGGATTGGTATGTGTTTCTTATTCGAGATTGGGTTCGCTGGGGTTATCTGACGATTTGCAGGGCTGTGGAAAGTATCAAGGCTGGGAAGAGGCTTGCGGAGTCTCTGTTTCCTGGTTTGCATGTTGCTGCCAAGGGGCAAAGGAGTGTTGCTGGGATGTTTGGTGCGCAGGTGAAGAAGTAAGTATTTTACGGTTGTGGTGTTTTGCTTTTGTTGCATTGCATATGGCTGGACGCCATCGGTATTTTAGAAGGAGACCTGGCATGGTCTTCGGTGGAGTTTTGTACACTTCGATACCCGTTTTTTGCTCTTTGATATCACAGACAACTTGATTTACTCTGGCCCATGCGTGGCCTAACCTTTCAAACTCGAGCTGCTTGTATTTCACTCCAGGGATTGACCGTTCACTTTGTCAATTTCTCATTCATTATCAATCATGTAGCACCATTATCATGACATACATATATATACAAAACCACATGCAGATTGTACACACCCAGGTGGGTTGGTGACATAACATGAAACAAGAACAAAAACGCAAAAAATCATTTACCAAATCAGCGCCATGCCATGCAATTGCAATGAAGAGAATATATGCATCATAAATGAGACCAAATGATCATAAAACCACTCAAGATTCAGCGGAACGAGCCTCTCCGCTCAGCACCATACCCCTCACCGTCATGGCTGTCATGAGACAGATGTCTACGCCAGCCACTCTGTCTCCGGACCGGAGCAGGCGGGTTCTCGGGAGCTTCTGTCTCTTCCGAAGAGAGAGACGTAATGCCCGTCCCCGAGTCCTCGGAGACGTTTCTCATACCAGAGGTGGTGAAAGGCGCAAGGTCTAGTGAAGCAGTAGGCGTGATATCGGGGAGAGGTGGAAGCGGATTTGGATAACGGTGTGTAGAGAAAGAAGAGTGAGCAGGCGGGGGAGCACGATTAGAGTTCGTGCGTGTGCGAGTTCGTCCGCTATCTTTGTGCTGCCAGTCTTGGTCCGCGGATGTGGTTTGGTTCGAGACGTAGTAGGGGTTTGATTCAAAGGTGTGGTGGTTATCTTCGTAGGCGGGGAATGCAGCAGTCGACATGCTCGAGACGGATGTTTTGTGTGGGCGGCCAAACATGGGTTGAGGCTCGCCGAGCTCGGACTCGCTGCTGGACCAGCGCTCAATCTTTTCGTTGAGAGGTTCTTCTTCCGCTTGGGAGGCGCGAGAGTCTCCGTGCACGAGACCCAGGGACTCTTCTTCTGTTGCAGATTTGCGGAAGTCACCGTGGTGCGTGCGGCGCAGGATGCCGCGGGGTGAGCCTGGTGTCGGTTTGACGGAAGATTCACCGCCCGATTTCATGCGGTTGACCATGTTGTTGAAGGAAAATTGGCGGCGCGCTGTATTTGGTCGCGGCGAGGGGGCTAGGCTGTCGGACTTTTCATCAATCCAGGAGACGGATCGGGGGGTGTCGCTTCGTGGGCGGTTCGGGTTAAAGGGAGGTTCTAAACCTCCAGCGCCGTGGTATTCGGTATCTGGCATGCCTTGGTGAGGCACGTCTGCCATATCAGCTGGTTGTGTGTTTGCCTCATAATGCTTCTCGTCTTGTGTATTGACAGCCTTCCATTGAGACGGATGAAGCACGCTGGCAGTCCGAGACCGGATATCATCCATGAATGAATGACCGCTTTGCTTCGTCGTGGGCCTAAGTTCCTCTTCATTCTCGGAAGCAGGGAAGTGGGACATGCCCCAGGGAGGATGTTGTTGCTTGAAAGATGGTGTTCGCGGAGTGATGGGTCGTGACATGGTTGGCCCTTCACCAATGACAGTCTTGCGCCGGCGCAGGCCATCCCATTCGATGATCTCATTCTCGCTGGGTGGCTTCAGAGTATCCGCATGCTTGTCATGGAAGAAACGGCGAGCTTCATCTGACTCCATAGTGCGACGAGCAGTCGAGATGCGACGAATAATAGATGCTGCTCCACGAATGGAGTCCGCCTTGGGCTCAAATTCGGGCTCTTCAACTGTAGCAACTTCTCGAATCTGATCCAAATCACCCTTGAACACTGCAGCGTCGGGAATGTCCTTGGCAGACTTGGATAGCTGTAGCAGAACCACACCGGCACAAATTTGAAGGAATCCGATGATCACAGTTGTGATCTGGACTGCCGTGCCCTTGAAGCCCTGGAATAAAATGGCCGAGGTAATAATGGTGGCGGTGGTGAACATCACGTAGTAAGTCGGAGTGACCAGAGCGGCATTGAAAAGATTCAGCGCTTTCTGTATAGCGAGTTAGCATATATAGCCTTGGTAAATGAAAATCGAAAAGTGAACACATACATTGAGATAGATAATCTCAGTCAGCAGTGTTCCAATAACGAAGACAAACAAGACGTAAAGGAACCAATGCTTGAACTGCTCCTCGCCATTGATCTGGGCGAGAATCGCAGAGCCCAAGCCCTGGGTAGCAACAACACTTAATCCACCGACCATGCTGCAGATACTAATATAGACAAACATGCTCGTCTTGCCATACCGTGGTCCAGCCCAGAGCGCCGTAAAAACAGCGCCTACGATGATCAGTCCGGCATAGACCAGGAATCCAGGCTGAATCACAAAATGCTGCATGCTCTGTATGTCTTCCACGGAGGACTGCTCAGGAGCATTCATAGCAATAGTGACCGATCCGATAATACAACAGAAACAACCTACCTTCCCAACGAAACTGAGTCGTTCTTTGAGGAAGATAGCCGATAAAATCGTCGTAATCACAACCGATAGCGCACCAAGCGGTGTCACCAAGATGGCATCGACGAATGCATAGGCGACAAAATTGCAGATTTCTCCAACAATCATCAGCGTCATGCCCATCCACCACCAGAAATTCTTCAAGTATCCATATCCCTCTCCAGCTTCCTCATTGTATTTGACGTTCGCTTTCAATAGACCGATTTTTTTAATCACAAAAGAAATACCGATAAAGACGCCCGATGCGACAGCCAGCGAAATACCGACCGCTTTGTAAATTGGCGGGCGGCCAGTACTATCTGCTCTCGCGATGAGCGTCGATGCGTGCGATATGGCAGTATTGGGATCCATATTTGTAGAAGAGAACCACACTGGCCAGCAGTGGGAGGTATGTCGCGAGGACAGTGAGTCGTCCGAAGACGAGACTCAGCGAAGGGCTGAAGCACCTGATCCTGCCACTGTTATCAGTGAGCGGGTCGCGGGGGCGATTATCAACAGAGCTGATACAACGGTGAACGGTGAAAGCGCGGGAGGGGTTTGCGACTTGAAACCAATATTCGATCTGTACTTGTCGATCTAAGGAATGCTTCTGGAATTGCTAGAAATGCCACGAGGAAGAATGATTATTACGGATTTCAGCAAGGGGGTGTCAGCTGCGCTTGGACACTCGGTGGCGGTTTAAAGGCGAATAAGGGGTCCAGGGCACTCGGTAATATGTTCAGGGATAATTGCAAGAAAAGTGAAGAAAAGAAGAATAAGAAAGAAGAAATGATCAGAGGAACTGAAACAACATAAGAAAAAGGACAATGGGAAAAAATAAAGGGGAAAAGGGATCGAAGATACGAAACAAAGAGGCTGGGCTTGTGGGGAAAGGAGGTACTGGGTACTTGGTTGTGGGGCGAGTTAAGCTACGATCGGCAGGTACTGGTTGGTACCGTGTACAAATTAAGACTCCCTTTGGAAGCTTTTACTATTGACTGCACGTAGACAGGGATGTATACATATGTAGTTATGTGGGATCATGTCGTATATAACATACATTATGCACTATTGCTCGAATGCTATAATTGGATCAACTCACTGCCCCCTGTGCATCCTTGGTCCTATTCCTGGATGTCTCAGGTTAATAAAAGTAGTGCAGCCTAACAAGTTGAAATACGCGCTGTTGGCTGAAACGGAGAAACGAAGCCTATTCAGGAGAAATAGTTGAATCCATAGGTGATTAACATTTGCTTCCAGTTCTCATTGGTTCTCGACATGTTTTCAAACGCTCTACGAATTAGGAATACCACAGACGTCATCCATCGGTCTATACGCTTGACATCATGCGTGAAATATCCAAGTCATGGATAGATCTGCGCTTCACTTCACGGTACGCTGTTGGAACATGGGTATTGATCGTCGAGTCAACCTCCCGAAGTAGCGGGAAACGACATACCCAAATAGGTAATTATACGTCGTGTCCCAAGGACAGGGAGGGATTATGTATGTAAAGGTAGAGAGGATGTGTTATGATAGCCATCCTATACCATCTTCTGATAGCCTCATATCAACGACAGGGATGAGCTTTGTAAATACATACCTATAATATTACAATGGCTTATTAGTCCATCTTAAAGAACCAGTCAAATAGAAGAAGAAGCAAGAAAGATATATCAAAGAAGTGAGAGACCCACGGCCATGAGCGTCTGGCTCTACATCTACTACATCTACATGCAGTTTTTAAAGTACCATAATGCATATTTTATTCTCACATTATTACTATACAGACTTAGAAAATCAGAGTTTCAATCATAAATGTCATAAATCATTATACCTGCCACAACTAAAAGAAAGACCCAAAGAACCAATCAGACGCCACGAACCGTCTCAACAGAGGGGTATTCAGTAGAATCCACAAACAAAGACTATAAGAAAGTACTATCCACGAATATGGAAACTCGGCTTGCGCTGACGGTTTACCGTTGGCGGTTCGTCGTCCGGGTATGGAGGACGGACTTTGCCAGCCGCGGACTGGGAGAAGAGCGGGGCGGGCATGGACACACGCTCTTCGTCCTGGGCCGGGTAGGGGATTGGAGTCTTTGGTGGGATGGGCGGCGGGAAGCCGTTGAATGTGGCAAAGGAGTCTTCGTGGCGGTGTGGGGAGGTTGGCTGTTGGGAGGAGCCTGGGCGGACATGGTCGTAGCTGCGACGGTAGTCGCTTCCCGAATATCTGGTGGGAGAGGTTGGATGGCCATCATGATGGGCTGGGAGGGAGTCATCCGGTGGGGAGATGGTTACACCTGCTGGGATGGGTGGTGGGGGTTGTGCTGGGTGATGAGCGAAGTCAACTGGGTCTGCTGGTAGCTCTGCGGGGAGCTCGACGGCGAAGTTGGCGGGTGGTGGGATATATGAATGAACCGGGGAGGAGATTGTGAGTTCTTCGGTTTCGAGGTCGAAGGATAGATCGTCGCGATCACCGCCCGCCGCAGCGTGGGTTGCCAGACGGCGGTTCATGCGTTCGATCTTGGCAAAGCGGACACCGGCTTCTAGGATCATTTTCTTGATTTCAGGCTTGGCGAGGTACTGCCTTGTGTTGGTGCTGATGTCGGCTAGTCGGTTCCACTCGTTCATGCCGAACTCGCCAACCCCAACTTCCACATTTAGACGGAAGTAATTGTCCTTACTGACGTTACGTTTGGCCAGACGGTCACGAAGCATCTCGTTGTGGATATCCTCGCATCCTTCGATCTTGGAGATGAGTCGACGCCGCGCCTCGGCGAATGTCCCCAGTGCGTCGCCGAAGAAATCCTCCCACCATTCATGCTGTCGGTTATTGGTACCAGCCGGCCGCTTTCCAGTTCCCACACTGATGAAGACACCAACTTCTCGCCCGGGCCATTCATTCACGATAGCCTCATCAAGGATCTGCGGTGCAGGATTGTAGGTACCAGAGCCTTCATCGATGAAGACGTGCTGACCAATCTGAATCGGCTTGAAAGCGAGCCCCGTTGCCGAGGTTGCACGTCCGGCTTGCCAAATGGTACAATCAAACTCAGGTGGGGGTTCTCGGCGGGAATCATAAGATCGGAGAAGCACAGCCGATCCCTTACGTGGGGTACCTTTGTACAGAGCGGTGACAGCACTAGATTGTATATTGTTAACATAAACGATCAAGTCAATTCATATTGGAAAACTCACGTTTTCGTGCGATATTCTCGATTATCGTAGAGTAGTGCATCAGGATTTCCCCATCGCAACCCATTAATGAAAGCCGAACCTCGCTGGCTAGAAGGCGCCATCGGATGCGAAGCAGCAGCAGTACTAAAGCTGCCGCGACTGATAGATCGTTGCGGAACGGAATTCGGACTGTACGGAAGACTGGCAATAGAATCGCGAGGATTGGCATTTGGGGTATCATTGCCCTCCGCCTCGAAAACCGTGTGTTCCCGCACGCATTCCCGAATTGCCTCTTCGAGTTTCGAAGCCTTGAATAAAGTCGAGCGGTACGGGATACCAGCGATCGTTTTATCTGTTTCGAAGACGCGCCGAGTCATGCGCACATAAACCTCCTTGCAAGTTTCCAGATCGAGGCGAAGTCGACCGAGCATGATGGCGATTAACCCGCCCGTGCCGGTACCCGCAATCAAGTCGAAATGGTCACAGGGTTTGGGAATCTGGTCGCGACGCGGGGGTTTTCCTTCGCATTCGACATAGGTACGATACATGAGTTCCTGGAGGAGAATGAGCATGGAGTAGCCACGAACACCACCGCCATCTGGTTCAGTCAGCTGAGTTCCGATAGAGGGGAAGAGAGATAGCACTTACCTAGCGACAAGATCCGTAGGGGCGGACCCTTGGTGGTGTCCTTACGACGCAAATGGGCTGAGTCCATGGTGATTGTAGCAGTTGTTTGAGGGAACGATTTGCGATCGCCCTTTTTTTGCTGTGGCAGCTTACCCGCAGCGGGGCTCAGCGATGCCTTATGCACCGGAGTCGCGGGATGCGTATGGCGCCTGACCGATCAGGTCTTAAAAAACGAAGGGTGACACTGGTGAAACGACAACCAAATGCAAAATGCGTGACCGGGCAAGGTAAGTGTTGCGGAATCTGATTAGGCAGCGGCGTATGGTTTGGAGGAGGGGGCTTGAGCCACGGGGTCCCTGAATAGATTTGATAAGGGCTGTATCAAACTCCAGACTGATATGCTACCACTTCAATGTATTTGAGCCGGTGAAAATTTGACCGAGAGCAGAAAAGTTGAAATTGCAGTGAATGACTTCGCAGTTATTCTTAGAACTCGAGTCCACATTCAGTTCACTTTTCCATGGTTCGCAGGGCAAGTCATGTGACTCGGGGCATAGAAAGTGTGGCGGTGCACTGATGTCATTAAGTGGATCACCAATCAGAGGGCTACACTTGCTCTTCGCCTGTTTACTACCACATATGTATAGTATGTTGGACATTTACACTTCTGATACGAGACTAGTCTGATGGAGAATTAATTTCAATTCAGGCACAAACTCATATTACTCAGATCATATCCAAAGGTGTATATTTTTGACATGCCCTCATTGCCCACTCTAATTTGAAAATAGTTAGAAAGATATGGTTATACTTTGTCATTGTCCATGACGTCAAGGTTATCTATAGACGAAGTGTTTTTCATTCTAAGGTTGTATAGAGAAAGATAATTACATGCATATGCAGGTGTTAAGGATCATACTTGTTCATTACCTCTATAGTACTCCGTACCTACATATGTATGTAAACAATAAGGTGTAACCTGCCCAGGTGACCAATCACGTTTTCTGTATCTTCACATTTTGTTTCCTCTGCGGTTAGAGGATGTCACTTCAATTATCTTCGGATAGTCTGTGAAGTTGCTTCAGTTGATGATCCTCTCGATAGCGTTCTAAGGCGTCCACTTTCCAGGTTTCCCAGTTTGAATCCCCTTCGATGCCCAACATCTTGAGCAGCCCGAAAAAGAGCCCAATAAATCCGTCCCAATCGTCAAGGTCGTATCCACAACAAAATTGGATTCGATGAAGAAGCCGCCCATTTCTGACTATCTCCCCAAGATCTGGATGTCCTTTCTCTTCCAAGCACTCGGCAAAATAAACTTCATCTTTCCCGATATGATCAGCCCCCTCGTAAAAATCGGCAACAGGAAGAAGCACAATCGGGGAATTGAAAGCTGCTGACTTTGAATCTGTCTGCGCCCATTCCCAGTCAATAATGCCGGTTATGTTGAACTCATTGTCAACGAGTATCTGGTCGCCCTTTTCGTCCGCATGTTTCAAGTAGAACATCCCATCGTCGAGGGGATTTTTTGAGAAGATTTTGGGGACAATTTCAAGGAGGAAACGGTGTATCAGGAAAGCATCGACGGGGCGGTTGACGTAGGATTCTTGTCGTATTATCAAATCCAATACCAATCGAATATGTGCGTCGAAATTTTCTTTTGAGGACGTATGAGGCCCAAGTATTCTCATATGCAGGTCTTTAAAGTCGGCCAAAGTCTCTCGGGCAATGGGTCCAATTTGAGAAGAGTTCTGCTGATTGAAATAACCCATCATCAAGAAGGGGAAACGTTTCGATTCAATATAGATATCCGCAAGTTGACTAGTAACTTTTTGCCTCTGCTTTGGGGTAGTAAGAGACCACCGTAAGGACTTCCCAGGCAACTTCTCCATAAGAATATAACCAACACCAACAGGATTTGATTCGTCCAGATTGAAGTCAAAAACCGTAGGAACAGGAACTTTTGTCTTGCTCAAAAACTGCAAGGTTGAGACTTCGCTGCCCAGGATGTAATCGCGCAACTCCGGGGGTGGGGAAGTAGCGTTGAATCTTCGGATGCGCGCGAGCCAGCTGATTCCATCTTCAAATAAAACCTCGACATGATAGTTCATGCCTCCCATGATTGAGCTGCGCAAAGCTCTATCGTATTGGAGACCCTGAACCACGGAGCACGCAAGACCATTGCGAAGACTGCTAGCGCGCTGAGTGAGCGCTAACATGTCAATTTTTTCAATAAGAGTGGTGATTTCTTTCTTTTCGGCCTCTTGAGCAGCAGGGCCGTAAAGATACTCATTCTATTGACAAACCTCCCATCTTGGGAATGTATGATACTCTGGCCCCAGATGTTTCACGCAAAAATGGTGGTCACAAAGGAGACAGTCCCCATACGTGCGAACAGAAGGGTTGTCGCAACCTTCGCAATCACAATCCCAAATTGCCATTGCTGGTAATTGAACGTGGGTATCGTGAAGCAGCAAAACAAAGCAGTGAGCCGTGCCCCTCCCACCCCTAGCTCCAGCCCCGGCCGAAGAGGAAGAAAAAGCAAAACAGAAGGTAAGTCAGTTTGCATTCTGCGTGTACTAAAATAGATATGGATATCATACCATTAACTGAAATATACTTACCTATATATCATTACAACGAGATTACTTGTGTTTGTGGATTCTTTTTCTGTTTTATCAACTCATCAGATTGTCTGGAAGTGCTAACAACTCATGCTACAGATCTGACCAAGTCCTTTTTTTATATTTACTTTCTTATATACTCGGCTCTTGTTATATGATTAGGAACAGCAGACTGCGAAGACTAGTGAAGCAAACCATTTTTACTTCATGCTAGTTCTGGCTTATTCGTAGCATACGACATATATCTCTTGCTTAAGACTAAGCGGCTTCTTGCATGCTAGGATTACAAGGTAGCTTCAATGGTTCAATCATTTTTTCTAGTCTTTTGTAGAAAAGTCTTCAATCATATTCGTTTCGAAATCATGCAAGGAGATATACAGAGAAAGGGAATCAGGAAAGGTAAAAAAACGACTATTGGTCCTCAGCCCAGGGCAGGCTGAAAGTACCAACCCAGTCCTCGACCTCTTGTCGGAGGAGGACAATCTCCGAGATCTCCTCACCCTCACCGAGGTACTCCAAGAAAGCCTTAACAGTACCGGGGTTCTTGACACCACGAGACTGAGCGGACTCACGGGCGAGCTTGTCCAGCTTCTGGGTGATAATGACAGCGCGGTCGACAATATCGGCGACGCGGCTGAAGTCCTCGGGCTGGAAGCCACGAGAGGTCATGGCAGGAGTTCCGAGACGCAGACCACCGGGCTTGAGAGCAGACTTGTCACCGGGAACGGTGTTCTTGTTGCTGGCAACGCCACACAGCTCGAGGACGCGCTCGACGCGAGCACCATCCACGCCGCGGTTCTTCAGGTCCACAAGAACAAGGTGGTTGTCTGTGCCGCCAGACACGATGTTATAGCCAAGTCCACCGTTGCTGGTGGAGGCACCGAGGCGCTCAGCCAGAGCGGAGGCGTTGGTCAGGACGGTCTTCTGGTAGGCCACGAAGTCGGGCGATTGGGCCTGCTTGAGGGCCACGGCCAGCGCGGTGATGGTGTGGTTGTGAGGGCCACCCTGGTGGCCGGGGAAGACGGAGGCGTTGATAGGGTTCTCCAGATCGTAGTAGATGTGGTTGCCCTTCTTGTCGGTGCTGCGCACACCCTTGCGGTAGAAGATCATGGCGCCACGGGGGCCACGGAGGGACTTGTGAGTGGTGGTGGTGACGATATCGGAGTAGGGGAAGGGAGATGGAAGCACGTCGGCAGCAACCAGACCCGAGATGTGCGCCATGTCGGCCAGCAAGTAGGCACCCACAGAGTCGGCGATCGCACGCATGCGCGGGTAGTCAATCAGACGGCTGTAAGCCGAGGTACCAGCCACAATCAGCTTAGGTCGGTATAGTTGGGCCTGCTTCTCCAATCCATCGTAGTCAATCAGGCCGGTCGACTCGTCGAGGCGGTAGGGGAGAGTCTCGAAGTACTTGGAAATGGCGGAAATCTTCTTGGTAGGGGTTTGGTAACCATGGGACAGGTGGCCGCCGTGGGGAAGGTCCAAGCCCATGAGGCGATCGTGTGTGTTGAGAACGGCGGAGTAGGCCATGAGGTTGGCGGGAGAACCGGACAAGGCTGGAATAAGTTAGCTTTCATAACATTGCGCCGATTCGATAGTATCCTACGTTGAACGTTCACTCCCCACTCCTCCGGGTTCAGACGGAAGGTCTCCAAGGCACGCTGCTGACACAAGCGCTCCGAAGCATCAATGTGTTCATTTCCGCCATAGTAACGAGCACCGGGGTATCCCTCGGAGTATTTGTCTATATTGCGGTTAGAGTGGCCTGTCGGGGAAGCAGAAGCCGGAATCCGGGGTACACACTTTGCATAACACTGCCGAGAGCATCGAGGACAGCCTGCGAAGTGAAGTTCTCCGAAGGGATCAAGTTAATGAAGTGCTTTTGGCGCTTTTTCTCCTAGAATGGGGTCAGTAGCTGAAGGGTCGATTTGGAAGCTCCCCGTGAGCGATGACGCACCTTTTGCAGGATGCTATAGACTGCGGGGTCGGAGTCCTCCAGAGAGGCCGCGAGCAGCTACAAATTGTCAGCGGACCTGTTCCGTGTGCCATTGAGTCCATTCCAAATACTAACCTTGTGCTGGGTATCACGGGTGGACGAGACTCCCCGCGATAGAGGGGCGAGTCTAGGAGCGATCGAAGCACGAGCGGAGACAATAGCCCGAGAGCTTCCCAAAGGGAGCAAACGAGCAGCAGATCTGCCACAACGAGACAAATACATGATGAAGCTTGGGAATTGAAACAATTTTCCAAGAGCCAGAGTATATACAGCCCGATAGGAAAGCCCCGGCTTTTAAAACGGCTGATAACTTACTTAACTTACTCAGGTTGTCGGACGAACAGCTGCGCTTTCCGTTGCCCGCGGAAAGGGAAAAAAGGGAACTAGTCCGGATTGGTCTCTCCGCCTGGTCTGTGCGTCATCGGGTCCTTTTTCTTCGCGGCAGAATTATTTTTCCCCTTTCTCTTCTTTTCTTCTTCACACAACTAAATCCAAGATGAAGAAACGGCGTACTTTATCTGTTTCAGCACTCGTCGGTGTTGGTCGGACTTCGGTCTGGCTGATATTGGACGGGCGCTGCTGAAAGGTCCCACGCCTCCAACCATCCTAAAGGGATCAGTACAATCGGATTGGAATTGTTGTGTATTTGGTTTGCCGAGGGATTCGGTCGGCATTCGAGATTCAATCTTCGGACTTGCACGTCCGATTGTGTTTCTCTATGCTAGCCTTGTCCTTCCCCACTCCCAACAGTTCCACTGTCACATTTACACTCGAACACAACGAGGACATACAGTGCCAGTATGCTCCAAGTGCTTCTCGAGTACATATCCTAGCCTATTAGATAGAATTAGCTGTCAATTTTCTCATAACACAAACCATTCAACTTCCATCGTGCTATCCTGTATTCCTGTAAAGCACAATCACCCTTGCCACACAGCGTATGATGAACCCAGTCGCAGTAGGGGATCAAGGTGTACACACATGGTCCGCACTCCGTTAACGTATGACGTACAATCGTGCAGAAGAATCCATAACAACAACAAATCTCTTGCCGAGTCTTGATTCAAGGGGATTCAACACACAATGGTACTGGGACTTGTTCATCCCTGGTCTCTGCACAACCTTGCTTTGTTATGCCATTGCTTTCAATTGTGGTTACATGCGGATGGCCAATGGCAAGATCAATCTCAACTTCAACCCAACACCCATAGCAAGCTGCGATCATTAAAAGACCTCTTGGCTTGGGCCTGGATTTGATCATCTCTTCCAAGTAAATCTCTAGCTTCTAACAAAATCTGAGCCAGTTCGTAATTGGCCGCCCGTAGCGAACACGGGAGGAAGCACTTTGACACCCCCAAAGGTGTCCGGGCAGGGATTCACCGTAGTCTAATAGTAGTTTGTATAAATCTACAGCACTTATACACACAGCACCGACGAGAGAGAAACTGGTTGCCAAATATCTTTGGGAACATCTGCACTTTCATGAAAGAATGGAACGGTAGCCATTAGTATGTCCTTGCTATATCGCACATTGTATATTGTCTGCTGGTTGAGTCAGCAGTCATTGTCCATGGGAGTTTCTTGTCGTCACTCAACCACGTCACCTGGGCATATGATCGGATGCAATAACGAACCATCCTAATGATCTAGTTGTCGATTAAGAACCCTCGAGGTTGATTACACTTGTGCCTCGGTTTGACGACCCAGAAGCCCTACAGACTCAGGGAAAAGGTAGCCCCGGAGTGTTGGAGGTAAATTGTAATTAGTCAGATCTAGAACTTCCCGGGGTCAACTACGAACTATATATGAACTATATGTGTATCAAATGGTTCCTGGGAATGCTCCATCAAACAATTTGTAGTAGGCGACAGACGACCAGGATCTTCACTATCGAGTATTCACAAATAACTGCGCTATGTACCATAGTAGCATCACCTTGATTTTCATTGATTTCGAGAGATAACTACATAGGAACCCCTGAACTCAGGAGACCTTTAGCTATCTAAGTGTACAGCCTTTCTAACCCTAAAGGATTGAGATCCTTTAGTGGAGTCACAGAGAGTGGAGACGGTGGAAATGAGTAGTCGAAAAAGTGAATAGGAAAAATAACATTGATTCGAACAATAAGAATTGTAGTAAAGATAAATATAACCATAGACATAGAATGAATAAAATGTAAAAATAGTAGAGTATATAAATGATCAACATGATACGGGTTTACCCACCTCACATCACATCGGAACAATAACAGACGATCCAAGAAAATCGAAGAACCTAGACTCGTCAATGGCCCATGCCTAGTAATCTTAGTCCAACCCTAGCAGCCACCAGCGCCCAAATAGGAAACGATCCCCGGGCCACGCACTACCACACCGTTTCTTAGTTTCTTTCAGACCGTGGACCAAAGAAGTGAGGAGGAAGCTAGGGAGAAGTGACATGGGGATCCATATTATTTTGGCTGGCCAGCTAAGTACTGTGAGATTCTGCGTCATAACATAAAAAAAACATCAAGGTTGTGTCTACCATATTGTATTGTTTCTATTGTTTCTATTATTGTGTCTTATTGTTGTTTTCCTATTGCCACGCTGAATCTCTATTTCTCGATTTACATCAGCACGGAGTACTCTAATTTGTGTTACTTACGTGCCGTTGGTTCAATTGTCTTAGTGCACGGGTACCTGAATCTAATTAAATTAAACTCGTTCGACTCGTTATAAGTCCCCCCCAATTCCCGACAGATGTACTTTTTCCTTCTTCACCCACTCTGACATTCTCTACAATCCCCCGGTCTTACCGATTACATTCTTTTGAACCACATTCTTTTAACAACCTTAATCTTCAATCTATTTTCGATATTCCCCATATCAAAATGCGTTTCTCTATCGCTGCTCTCGCTGCCGGTGCCGTTGGCGCCGTCGCCTCTGGTGTCACCACCGAGGTCATTACAGCCTACACCACCTATTGCCCTGAGGCTACCTCCATTGTCCACGGCAGCCAGACCTACAGCATCTCCACTGTATGTTTACCAATGCGCAACTGAAGCGAACACATCCTGACACACTCCCAGCCCGGACACATCACCATGACCAACGGTCCCTTCACCGTTACCCGCCCTCTGGTGACCTCTACCGTGACCAAGTGCCAGAGCTGGTAAGCAACTCTCGATTCATATACAGATGCCCACATCTAACGCGAATCCAAGCTCCACCCCCGTTCCCCAGGTTAGCAGCAGCAGCGTGCCCGTCATCCCCGTCGTTCCCGGCGTTACTTCCACTCCTCTGGTCCCCAACGCTGAGGCCACCGGCACTGCTGGCGCCGCTTCTGGCTCCCCCACGCCCTCCGTGCCTGTCTTCAACGCCGGTGCCGTCAACGCCGCTGCTGGCGCTGGCGCCGGTCTGGCTGCCGTCTTCGGTGCCGTCGCTCTCCTGCTGTAAAGCAGTTGAGTAAATCAACGGTGTTATGAGGTGATAGCATCGTGCGATTTTAGCGCTTTGATTATCTCTGCGCGGTGCTATCGGGTGTTTTTGGCTGCGGGTTCTTCTGGTACATCTTTTGTCTACATCTAGTGGGACAACAACTGAATGAGCCTTCGCTGGTTTATTTGTTTTTGTTTCTCTCTGAGGCTTTCTTTTTGGTTTGGGCCATATCTTCTTGGACATAACGCTTTTATTATCACATCAGACTTTGATCATGAATGATCATTACTTTTTTTTTTAATTAACCTTCCAACGTATCTCGTATCTCGTATCTCGGAAACTCATCACTCCATGTTCTCGGTACAAAACACCTTGTAGGTTGCATACTGTTGCCCAGGTATTTGATGCCGGGACCTTGAGGCAAGCCAGAGCAGGATAGCTCAAATTCATCACTGGTTGAACACAGCGAACATAATAAAGCAATTCTTCCGTTCGCTTTCATCTCTTGGTGTATATATCAATGGAAGCTTATAATAATTATTCTTCCTCGCAATGTCAAGTAAGTGTTTGGAAGTCCTGATATCTCAGTAATCTCATATTCGCGCTCAATTGCTATCCTAGAGGAGCCTCGCGCATATAGGCACGCCTTTGTGACGACGTTTGCCATTCTGAATCTTACCTGTAGATAAATAGACCCAGAAGTATGTCCTCGTAGCCGTTCCACATTGATATAACTTCCATCAACGTAATGACCATCAAGTTCATTTCACCGCCACCACAGATATTACTACTCACTAGGATCATAGAAAGCATCAACCATGAGACTTCGGTTGATTCACCGTCTGTCAGACCTATCAGTGAACTCAAGCCGCTATTGGCTATTTAACCTGTGCTATATTGTACAGAATTGGCAGCCGGGATTTATACCGGTTCACCCCAAAGAGTCCGCTTCCCCGAAGGGCTAACTACAATATCTGCCTCCACGGGATCAATAGGTGCCCAAAAGCTGTGATAGCCCACCTCAGAGGATTGAACTTTTCTAGCGCGATGTCGCTCCACTTCCGAGTCTTGCTTCCATTTCTGTGCCTCGGCCGAACCGATCGGCCAATCTCCCGTCTGGTCCATTATCGTGTCTGCAATCTCTTGAGGCAACTTAGTAAAGGAGGTCATTCCACCGAGAACTGCATCTTGCCACTCTTCACGCTGCTAAGCGGGTACATTCTGGGCGGAGAAGACGCGGTAGTGAGAGTCAACCAGGAGAAGGGAAATGAATCGTTGGTGACCAGGTCGACTTTGGTCTTCCAGTGTAAATGGTCTGACTTTGTAACGAAGGCTATTAGACCAGGCGAGAAATCGACCCTAGTTTGTGCCCACCGACCCAAGTGTTTGAAGCTTTTGTGGATAGCACTCCTCTCCTTCGAAGAGCGGGAGCCCAAATATCTTGTGCATGGCATCAACACCCAGTCTGAACTCGAATGGGTCAAGGTCGTCTTCTTGTTGGAAGGGAATACGTGTATCGGTGATATTCTCAACGTCGTAGTAGTACCTCGTCACACCGGCAATATGCTCATTTAGTAGGCCTTTTACGTGGAAATCATCATCCCCCTGAAATGTCGGGTTTTCTGGAGTGAGATCGATGCTGGAAACACGAACAATAATTTGAAGTCCCTGCTCACGGAAATTATCTTGTAGCGAGATGGACTGGTATATATGATCGGTGTGCGGAGAGTCACCCGGATCTTCCCTCCTGTCGATGAACGGTTTAGCTGTTCTTCCTCTTTTCTAATCCTCGTAAGAGTAAGAAGCCCCAGCCTCTAGGTACTTAAATGTATGTAGTCTTTCCCACTTCTTTTCTATTAGTTTTCTCCAAAGGTCCGCTGATTTCCCATGATTCGTACATACTAGGAGTAACTAAGCTAAGTACATCCTCTGGCTCATCCTATGGCTCCCACGGATCCTGGTGCTGGACACGGTATTTCTGGTCAAGTTCAGGCAATGCGAGATACTCTTTTGCCGTAACACAATAATCATCCCATGTCTCTTATGTCCAGACTCTATCAGGCAGTTTGTTAATCCAGAGCTAGGGTTCAAATTTGTCCTATATCTCATCGGGCTCAATAGCTTCGAATCCGAATGTTTTGATGCGTAGCGGGTTTCGACTCGTTGTTCCCTTCTTCAAAACATCATTCTAGGGCTCTAGGCTTAAGCCAATAAGCTTTTCAATTGACGCGTAGGCCTGGGTATGTTTTGGGTGTAGGTTGTTGATGTAGGACGTAATCCGCACTTCTTTGCCCTCGTCCTCGGAGGACTTCACCTCGCATGGCAACCACTGTAACTTATTCGACTAAAGCGATGAGTCTGTGATTATATGATAGAGTTCTGTGTTGTTTGGAATGTGGATGCTAAGATCAGTCGTTGGGAATGAGATGCATTTTTCGCTTATGCGGACCTGGCCTCCTTGAGTCAGAACAGCAGTCCGGCCGTAGGCGAGCATGAAAAGTGACGAGTCGACTAGTTTAAGTGTGGTGCCTGGATCTTATTTTTCCATGGATAGCTTTGAATGATGGTTCAATAAATGACTAAGTGAGTCTTGCAAAGATTGCTGTAAGTCGCTTGCAACTAGCAGATCGGATTTACAGACATCAGAATCAGCATTTAATGTAAGGACATAGCCTTTCTTAATGAAATAGAGGGCCTTATCACGAAGCTCCTGAATGCACCAGTTCCAGGTGTTTGCCGAAACCAAGTCCATATCAAAATCGATGTCCCATTCATACCTCAAATCGCTTCCTAGCGTCGAGTCTAACTTGGCTTCGGTATACCACTCGGTGACCGCATTTTCATCAAAGATGTCCTGTTCCCAGTTTTTCTTGTCGGTCACATGTTCTATGAGACGACGGAGCAATACTTCAGGCCTTGTAAGACGCGGGACGTGACCCTTGTTGGCGAACCGCTCATTGACGTCTAGCTCATAGTTCACGGGAATGGCATTGATTCCAGGGACCCGAAGTGCACATTCACCACTGTTGTCCATCTAAATAGTCATTTTATTTCCAGGTAACAAAAGCCTGTACAGACAAGAGACTGAAGTGAAAGAACTTTGAATTTCTCGCCCAATGAGGGTATGCGGAAATGACACCTTCTCGGCGAAGGATGGAAAGGCCCGACAAGCCGAGAAAAGAAAGTCACAGGGTATCACAGTTACCAATTGCCTGAATTAGTGAAATCAGTATGTAGAGTTCGCACTCACATCTCATTGGCGGTACGAATTGCACTTGATATTCGAGAACATTGATCATGCAAACAAGTCAAACAGATGGTGCCTGCTTGTTGGGAGACGTGGCCGGGTGTCAGCCATTAAACACCATCATCTGAATCATCCTCGGTGTAAGTAGACCATAAAGACCCAGACCCACCACTCAACCAAAACTCAAGCTTCTTCAAAGTCTCGCTTCTTCTATCATCTCGATAACTGTTCCAATCTGCTCCATGGATGAGAAGTGCATTGATTATTTCAAATGATGAACCCATGGTCATGAGGGAAAAGTCTAGAGGTGTCATGCTGTCATTGTCTTTCGCATTGACATCTGCTCCACGCATAAGAAACTCATTGACTATCGGAAAATCAGATCCTTCTGATGCAAAATGCAGAGGCGTTTTGCCGCTCTTGGTCTTTGCATTTACATCCGCACCATGCGTAAGAAGTATATTGATAATATTGATAACCATCACCGTCGGGGAACGACGGTGAGTAACGAGATGCAGAGGTCTTTTGCCATCCTTGGTTTTTGCATTCACATCCGCTCCACGCGTAAGAAGTAAATTGATGACTGTCGATGTTTCATTGCAGTCAACTGCGAGATGCAGAGGTGTTTGGCCTATCTGGTTCTTCTCGTTGATATCTGCACCAGAGTTTAGCAACAGCTCGATGAATTCGATCTCTTTTTCTTTATATTGCACTGCACAATGAAGTGCTGTAAAGCCTTCAACATTCTGGGCGTTTACATTAGCCCCAGCTGCAATGAAAAGCTTGGCCAGATCCTTGCTTGTTAGGAAATGTAACGGTGTCGACCCGCAATTAGTCGCAGCGTTGATTTCCGCGCCACGATCGATAAGGAGCTTTGCAATATCGACAGTTTGAGCCCAATATAATGGGAGGCATTTGGGATCCTCGAGGTTCTTTATTTGAGCCCCGTGGTCAATGAGTAGGCTCACGATGTCCTCGTGTGCCCAGGGATTGCTGGTCAGGGCTAATTCTAAAGGGCCAAGTCTGTATTCATTTTTCAAGTTCACATCAGCACCCGATTTCAGCAGTAATTTGACTGTGAGAAACTGGTCGGAGGGTGTTTCGAGGTTTATCGCCAGGCTCAGGGCAACTTTTTTCCAATGATTATCTTTGTGAATCAAGCAAGTGTGCGTGCCACGAACAACGGCCATCGAGAGAGCTGGTTGCGTATAAGGGTCAAAATGATTGACATTGGCGCCATGATCAAGCAAGAGTTTGACGATGGTATAGTATCCTTTCCCGGCAGCAGCTTGGAGTGGGAGGTATCCCCCATCCTCATGCTCAATTTAGGCACCATTTTCGAGAAGCAATTTCACAATATATTCATGGCCATGCGCAACGGCTTTTGTAAGACAGGCTTTGTTTTTCTTTTCGTTGGGGTTCGCGCCTCCTTGTAATAGCAATCGAACCCGGGATATATTTCCAGATTCGCAAGAGCGACAGAGTTTCAGATTTTTGCAGTGCTTGCGGAGGCATTGGATACAGATCTCGTAGAGATGGGGATAGGCCTCCGACAAGGACATGATATCATCACTATTCAGACGTATTGATATAGCATATATCAATTCGGTCGGTAGTGGAAACAAGTCCATCATGGTTTGTTGAAAGCTTCAAAGATTCTAGATTAGAAAGGCTTGAGAAATAATGAAAGAGAACAACGTACACGTATAGAGAGAGAGAGAGTCGAGAAACTAGGAGAGCAATCGTTGTTGCCGTTGACAAATGCGGCTGCGGAGGATAAACTCACTTCTACAGCCAGAATATCTTTTCGTCATCCCACATCCATGAATATTTCTTAAGATGACCAACAACACGGCAGAAAAGAATGCGACGTGATGTAGAAATGATGATTATCCTTCTATTATCTTAACCTTGGAAGCTGGAGTGAGTCACAGGCCGCCTATTATCATGGTGTTCAAATTAAACCTAAAGGGCATCGGCCCTATACCTTAATGACGTTAAGCAAGGCCCATTCACTATGTTTCATTCTTTTAATATCAATTTAATCCACGACTTGCCTTTCTTGGTTACTAGTACAAAATTGAAAGGAAGTAGAAAGCATGAAACAGCGCAGCTTCCCTTGGATACGGTACAGATGACAATGCTGTCGATGATGAAGAACGGACCCCTTGGCACAAAGCTGATTACAAACAACCTGTGCGAATCATTCTTGCACATGGTGCAGAGGTGAGCCCGGTGGATGTCTATGGTCAAACGCCATTGCATGTCTTAACATACAACGCATCCTGAGATATGGTCGAAGCGATCGAGGCGCTATTGGTGCACGAAGCAGACGTGAATGCAAGGAACTTTGATAAACACACCCCTCTTCATATAACAGGGCTGACATCTCCTCGAGAAGTGGTCAATCTGTTAGTACATTATGAAGCAGATACCAATACTCGTAATCTGGATGGGGAGACTCCAATCAAACTTGAGTCTTGCCGGCAGGGTTATAGACACCCGAAGGATTCGGTTCCAGATACAACCCGGCAAATCGATCTTTTTGCGAGAGATGTTTTGCTGCCATTTTTTTATTTTTTGGTTCTAATTCAATTCATTCTGATTCCAAATAGCCATATTGCATAATTTTCTCATTCCCCCGCATCAGGAGAATTGCCTAATGTGACGTAAATTAATTTCCCATTCATCCACCAATCCGAATTGTGTACGGGGTAAAACTATCGCGAAAGACCGAGGGGTGATCTCGTTTATATAGATCGTCGCGAGAATGGGGTTACGACCCAGCGCTCCATAATGCGTTTACTTGGGCTTCTCTCTGTTCTCCTGGGACTGTTGTCCTTGGCCTCGGCAACGGACAATGGCAAGACTACCGATGTGACCTGGGATCATTACAGCCTCACTGTCAAAGGAGAGAGAGTTTTCATCTTTTCAGGCGAATTCCACTACCAGCGACTTCCTGTCCCGGAGCTATGGCTGGACGTGTTTCAAAAGCTAAGATCAAATGGGTTTAACGCGATTTCCAGTTAGTGATTCAAATGGAATCATACCGATTGAAACTAATTCAAATGGCAGTCTACTTCTTCTGGAGCTACCACTCTGCCTCGGAAGATACCTTTGACTTCGAAAACGGTGCCCATGACATCCAGCGCGTGTTCGACTACGCCAAACAGGCAGGTCTGTATGTAATTGCGCGCGCTGGGCCTTACTGCAACGCCGAAACTTCCGCCGGCGGCTTTGCTTTATGGGCGTCGAATGGTCAAATGGGCAGTACGCGCACAAGCGCAAGTTCCTACTATGATCGATGGTATCCCTGGATCCAAGAGGTCGGCAAGATCATTGCCGCAAACCAAATCACGAACGGTGGCCCGGTCATTCTCAATCAACATGAAAATGAACTGCAAGAAACAACCCACAGTGCTGATAACACGGTCGTCAAGTATATGGAGCAGATTAAAGCTGCGTTTGCTGAAGCGGGTATCGTCGTCCCAAGCACCCACAATGAGAAGGGAATGCGCTCTATGAGCTGGTCCACAGATTACGAGGACGTAGGCGGTGCCGTCAACGTCTATGGCCTGGATTCTTACCCAGGTGGTTTGTCGTGTACGAACCCGAACACGGGATTCAATCTTGTTCGCACATATTATCAGTGGTTCCAGAACTACTCCAGCTCTCAGCCGGAATACCTGCCCGAATTCGAGGGTGGTTGGTTCTCTGCTTGGGGAGGTACATTCTACGATCAGTGCTCTACTGAGCTTTCGCCGGAATTCGCCGACGTCTACTATAAGAACAATATTGGTTCCAGGGTCACCTTGCAGAATCTGTATATGGTTATGGGTGCTACGTCTTGGGGACAGAGTGCTGCACCTGTTGTTTATACTTCCTATGATTACTCTGCTCCTATGCGTGAGACTCGTGAGATTCGGGACAAGCTCAAGCAGACTAAGCTGATTGGATTGTTTACTCGGGTCTCTTCTGGTCTGCTAAAGACCCAGATGGAGGGCAATGGAACGGGTTATACCAGTGATGCTAGTATCTACACCTGGGCCTTGCGCAACCCAGACACTCAGGCGGGCTTCTATGTTCTCGCGCATTCTACAAGCTCGTCTCGTGCTGTGACTAGCTTTTCGCTGAGTGCTAACACCTCCGCTGGTAAGTACTCTCTTCCTCTAAGTAATTTAATGTGCTATAACTAGTTACTGACTTTCACTTTTCCAAGGTGCAATCACTATCCCAGATATAGAGCTAGACGGCCGCCAGAGCAAGATCATAGTGACAGACTATCAGATCGGCAATGGCTCGAGCCTTCTCTACTCGTCCGCAGAAGTTCTGACCTACGCCACCCTCGACGTGGACGTCATCGTTTTCTACCTGAACATCGGCCAAAAGGGTGTGTTTGTGCTCAAGGATGCGCCAACTCTCAAGTTCCAGACCTACGGTAACTCGAAAGTAAGCTCTGCTTCATCGGATCATGGTACTCAGTATACCTACACTCAAGGTGAAGGCACAACAGTGGTCAAATTCTCGAACGGTGTACTGGTCTATCTCCTCGACAAAGAGACGGCATGGAACTTCTTTGCAGTGCCCACTACTTCCGATCCGCTCGTGGACCCCAGCAAGCAGATCCTTGCCTTGGGGCCATATCTAGTCCGGACAGCAGCTGTCAGTGGACACACTGTCAGTCTTGTTGGCGATAACTCCAACAAAACTTCTCTCGAGTAAGTGCGACCCCCGCCGTATTCTGACACTCGCTAATATGATCAGGGTTTACCCGGGTAACTCAAAAGTCACCAAGATCAAGTGGAACGGCAAGGAACTCTCAACCAAGAAGACAGCTTACGGCAGTCTCATCGGATCAGCCCCAGGAGCCGAAGATGCCAAGATATCACTTCCAACGCTGAAATCCTGGAAGGCCCAAGACACACTCCCAGAAATTCAGCCAGGATACGATGATTCTCGCTGGACAATCTGTAACAAGACAACCTCCGTCAACTCCGTGGCCCCTCTCACACTCCCGGTCCTTTACTCCGGAGACTACGGATATCACGCCGGCACAAAAGTCTACCGCGGTCGCTTCAACGGCAGCGCGACCGGCGCAAACCTCACTGTCCAGAACGGCGTCGCTGCCGGCTGGGCCGCCTGGTTGAATGGGATCTACGTCGGCGGAGCCGTTGGCAGTCCGTCTCTAGCCACTACCTCGGCCCAGCTCCTCTTCAACAGCTCCATCTTGAAGACCGAGAACGTGCTCACCGTCGTCATGGACTACACCGGCCACGACGAGGCAAATGTATCTCCCAACGGCGCCCAAAACCCGCGCGGAATCCTAGGCGCCACACTCCTCGGTGGCAATTTCACGTCGTGGCGCATTCAAGGCAACGCGGGCGGCGAAAAGAACATCGATCCTGTCCGTGGACCCATGAACGAAGGAGGCTTATACGGTGAACGGCTCGGATGGCACCTCCCCGGCTACAAGGCTTCTAAGACGGCTACATCGAGTAGTCCGTTGGATGGTGTGTCTGGGGCCGCTGGGCGGTTCTACACGACGACTTTCAAGCTCAACCTTGATTCTGACCTCGACGTTCCGATTGGTCTGCAGCTTGCTGCGTCTGATTCCCCGGCTGTGGTACAGATCTTCATGAATGGGTATCAATTTGGACATTATTTACCTCATATTGGTCCTCAGACGAGGTTCCCATTCCCGCCGGGGGTTATTAATAACCGTGGAGAGAATACGCTGGCAATCAGTTTGTGGGCCTTAACCGATGCCGGGGCTAAACTGAGTCAGGTGGATTTGGTTGCTTACGGCGCTTATCGGACTGGATTTGATTTCAATCACGATTGGTCCTATTTGCAGCCCAAGTGGAAAGACCGGAGTCAATATGTTTAGTTGTTTGGCGGATGTGACCAGTGCTGAGGCTAAAACTGGGTCTGTTGTTATAGGTCACATAACTAGTACGTCACGACTTAGGAAGTTAATTATATGACTCGTCAGTGCTTTGACGTGGTGTCTAGTTAGATCTAACACTATCCAGATAGTTCTTTGGAGTTTTGTGTCTGCCTCAGTACAATATGCAAAGCATTTCATACGTACATATGTATCTATGTATCTCTACAATAATATACAACACATCCAACAGATGCAAGAGTTAGGCATTAAGTCTCTCCACAGATGGTCGGAGCTCATGGTCATAGTGTCCCGTCTACCCCGGAGTTACGCCAGAGTACTACTACCGACTCACTATTTGTATTGATTACACGTCGGATACTAGAACCATGAAATCAATTACTATAGAACCCTACATGAAAATACACGAAACTACAAGAAACAAAGAATAAGTCAATAATTATCACCAATAATAACAATAATAATAATTTAAAAACAAACAAAATAAGAGGTCATTGTCCAGGCGACTATCGCATGTCTGCCCAACCTCGTTCTTTAACAAGTCCACCGCCATTTGTATTCTTCTCCACCTTTTATCAACTTCCAACTTCCGATCATTCTTTCATATTCTCATTCTTCTGTATTCTTGCTATATTCTTTATATTCATAATAATATTCAATCATGTCGCGTCACAACAGTGTTGATCTAGACTCCCCCGACAGACCCTTCGACAATATCATCAATTTCCGCGATGTCGGCCGGGCGGTTAATCAATTTTGTCGCAAAGAGTGAGCCGACGCGTCTTCCCAGCCCCAAAAAGGCAAAAAAAAACGTTCTAATTCGTCCAGAATCCTAAAAGAAGGCGTTTTCTTCCGCAGCGCAAGGGTAAAGATCACTCCCTACTGCTATGATATCCGTTCGCACCAACTGACCACCTTGTAGCTCGACGATGCCTCAGAACGAGATAAAAGGCGTCTCGCGGATGAATTACATATTCACACCGTTATCGATTTGCGCTCAACGTATGTGTCAGAAGTCTCAAAAAAAACATCATCATAGACTCCATCAGAATTCTAACCCCCAACAGGGCAGAACACCAAACGGGCACGCGCAAACGGCGCGCAGAACTCGCAAAGGCGGAATCGGACATCTCAGAATATGATCTCACAGCTGCACCCGTGCCTGCGAATCCAACAGAGCATCTTCTTCAAATCCCTGGCTCGGAGCGTGCGCTGATCAATCTGAGCGGCAAGGGGTTCGAGCGCTCCCTAATATCGAAATTGGACTGGTTAACGTATGGGTATGTTACATCTCGACCTGTTTCTTGTTTTATTTTTGTTTTGTTTTTATTTCTATTATTTCTTTCTCCCTCCTGATATGTACGGTCAATTCTGACAAATACTAGCAAAGTAATCGGCCTCATGACAATAGGCTGCCGCAACGACGCAGTCCGGCTACTTTGCCAAACAGTCATGCAACCGCGCGGCCTGATTGGAATAGCAAAAGATACGCTTGATTTCTCCACAGCAGAGTTGCGGAAGGTGTTCGAAATTCTCGCTAGCGAGGACTCGTACCCGACGCTTGTGCACTGCACGCAGGGCAAGGATCGGACGGGCTTGGTCGTTTTGTTTATATTACTTCTTGCCGGTGAGGCGGTGCCCACCGAGGCGATTGTGGATGATTATTCGCGCTCCGAGCTAGAGCTTGTGCCTGAGTTTGAGGAGCGTATGAAGGAGATTAGGGCTGTTGGGCTTGATGAGGAATTCATCCGCTGTCCGCCGGGCTTTGTTCCTGATATGACGGCGTATTTAGAGACGAAGTACGGGGGTGTGAGGGCGTATTTGGAGAGGATTGGGGTTGGAATTGAGATGCAGGAGAGGATTAAGGAGAAGATTTTGGCTTAGGGTTTGTTTTCTTCTGGGTGCTTGTATTATGGATGTAAATACATTTTTTAATGATGGCATGGGATGCTATGCATAGACTTTGATGCATTGAGATCATGGCGAAGGGGTTTGACATTTTGGAATATCAAATTGGAAATAAATTGAACATAGGATCAATGTTAATTATAATAAAATGCGCAAGGCCAATTGGCTCTATATGACCAGAACACCATCACCGGTATATAAATGGGAAAAACAAAAACCAGACGCAAGGTATCGAGTGACATCATCAACATCATACAAGTAAATACAAGAACATGCAATAAAATGCACGAACATGAAAGCAAAATCATTAGACCCGCTGGCCACGATAGAAGCCAGTGTTGGGTCCAGCAGAGTCATGGGTCAGCGGCTCCTCAATGGACACATTCTCCTCCGGACTTCCAGCGAATCCACCATGTCCCATGTATTTCTCGCCCTGAGGCACGTGGCGGCGAGTGCGAACGGAGGGCAAGAGATCAACAACGAAGGAAAGGACATAACCAGTGAACACGAACGCGATCACCCATTCCAGAATGGCACCGGTGTTCTGCGAGCCTCCTTTACCGCTCATGCAGATACCAAAGCCAATAGCGAGTCCAACCTCGATAATGATAAACGCAAGCTTGATGAAGAAGCTAGCTAGCAAAACGCGGTGTTCCCGGCGATAGAAAATTCCAATGCGCAGGTACTCGGCGCAAATCAATACGGCACTGACGACATAGCCAGCACTGGGGTGGGTTAGTCGCGGACAACAGCAAAATGCAGGATGGGAGGAACTCACAGGAAGAGCACGAGGAACCCATCGTGCATCTTTGGGTGGCGGAGCGTATCAAAGATAGAAAGTAGAATCAGACCCGCTGCACCGGCAATCGCAAAGAAGATCGATAACACCGCACACGCTTTGTCGAATTTGCCCTTGTTCCCTGCCAGCTGGTTCGAGTGTCGGAGCCATCTCTCCGCGAGGAATGCCAGGTCGAGGAATACCACGGTGACCACGCTGCCTCCGACAAAGAGTGGCTTGAGACGCTCGGCGCCGACGTCTGAAATGTATCTGGGACTGTGTTAGTATTTCGTCTTTGGGAACGGTTCAAATATAGGGAGGTTGACATACGCAATGGTCTGTCCCTGTTCCATACTCGGGTAATGCGGTCTTCCGTCCCTGACCCAGCTGACCAGCATGGCAATCAACATTGCTGAGAAGTGTTAGCTGTGGTTCAGATTTCAATGTACACTATACTATGTATATGTACACTATAGGGTGTCTTACCAAGCCACATGCATGCTGAGAGCAGTGGGAATATCCAAAATGAGACAATCCACATCTTTATTGACCGATTAGGTTGATATTGAGCCGGGAGTATGAACGAGTGGCCTGATAATGAACGAGTAGCGAATGTCTGCGTTTTATTAGTCGTGGTCCATGCGCTCAGATCGGATCCAGAATCACTCACGGTCTCCCTGAAATGTGTGTAGTCGAGAGGAAATCCAGCATTCCAGAGTTATGAAGGCGACAGTGGCGGTATGGCAAATTCCCAGAATGCCGGAGGAATGATGATGCGCTAAAGAGTATCACTGTACAGTATAGGAGAAGACAAAGGAAAAGATGCCAATCTCAATATTATTACAATACCATAGGATAACTCAGGTCTTTATTAATTCAAAAAGGATCTTCAACCCGACGTCATATCATCTGCCAAGGCAGCAAAACGACCCACTGCCTACGTCCACACCCGCAGCGGTACAAGAGATGAGCGTTGCATTTTACTGTTATAGGATTGGTGACCATTACATTTCATATGATTCTTACTCAGTACAATACTGTTAACTACTACTCGAGCATTGCTATTAATATATCTATCTGTGAATCAAATTAAAAAAAAGGTTCCGCCTAACCGTTCCACGAGTATCCGGGTGGCTGAATACTTGGCGTATAATTGCGCAGCCTCACTGTTAGGACTGACGATCAGAGGGCAAATTATGAATGTGGTAGTATAAGTATAAAACTGTACTGATTAGGATTCATTGATATTCACTACCCACATATTGTATGCAGGTATAGAAATCAGGTCTATTATAACGCCTGGCGAAACTGTGGAATCAAAAACAAGATGCACTATGCAATCAAAGAATAAAAATAAAAAAATAAAGAGAGGACCAGTCCGAAAGCCATTTTTGGTATAGAAACCACACACTTTAACGACTCGTTCGTTTCCGAGTACCACCACGCCCCCCAGACACCTTTGACCTCTGAACCGGCGTCGGACGCTCTGCCACCTTGCTCGCCTTCACAATCTGTACTTCGTCTTCACTGCTCTCCGACTCTTCTTCGCTGGATTCCTCAGACTCGGACGCAGCCGCAGCTGGAGCCCGAGTTTGTGGTTGCGCTGGAGGCTGTGTTGAGCTTTGTGATGTACGTCTGCGGGTGGGGGACTGGTAGGCTGCATAGGGAGAGCTAGGGAAACTCATTCGATTCTGAGGGCCGACACGAAGGTCGGAAGGAAGTTGCGGTTGATGGGGTGTGGTTTCTCCGTATGGACTCATTTGCATGGGGTTGTAGTAAGGTGGCGCCCATTGGGGGTCGTCCGGCAGTGGCCGTGGATATATAGGCGATTGTTGCATGGACTGTGGTCGGCCATTTGGCGCAAAGCGCTCAGGGGTGTATGGTGGATAGGGAGGGCGAAGCGGAGAGTTGGATTGCTGGGGCCGAAGCGATTGTGTTGTAGGGGTCCGCGGACGCGCAGAGGACGAGCTGGTAGGCCGACTGGAAACACTCGAACGAGCCCAGCTATGTGCGTCTGGTGCGAAAGAAGGATAGGCGGCTGGTTGTTCTCCGCCTCCATTGCGCCGAGAGGACGGTCGCGAGGTATTTTGTTTGGACCGCCGGGATCCTGCATCCCCCTGTTGGCGCTTCCGCTCCAAGGCATCCAGCTCGCGTTTCGATAGTCGGACGTTCTTCTGCCCTAGCATCTGCGCGCGACGAATTCGCTCCAGCGCCGTATCCACCAACTGATCCTCCTTATCTCGCATGGCCAGTTGCACCGCGTACGCCACGGTACTATCTTCGTGATCGTATAGATCGAAATCACCCCCATCGACCGAGTCATTTTCATCTGTCAGCTCTTCATATTCTGCACGCCTGCGTGCCACTCGTCCCCCATACTCCAGTTGTCGTGTGTATCGCCCACTGCGCACCATCTCCCGTCCGTAGACATCCTCCTCACTGTCCACCTCCTCTACCCGGCTCCCGTCCCACGGGCCTCCCCTGTTATTTCTCCCCAGTCGTGCCCCCGGTGGTCTTCCCCATGAGGGCATATCAAAAGGAGCTCGCGGTCGACCACCTAGACCGCCTCCTCGGAAAAAGCATTCTCGATCGGCTTATCCAGAAAGGCGGCGTGACCGAAGACAGTCACACCAGTGGCACCGATGAGCCACAGGGCAGTGCCGAAGGGCGAAGCCCAGATACCGACGGGGACACCGATAATGAGTAGTCCCGTGTAGAGCTGCGACGTGGTGAACCGGGAGAATCCCAGGTCCAAATCGCGACCTTGGAGCATGTTGATTCCGTACAGACCGACGCTCACAAAGATAATGTCAAACAACAACCACTTGTTAGTCAGCAAGCTGTAGATGCTGAGCATAACAAAGATAACGGCATAATTGCTGGAGAAGTAAGATAGGTTGTAGTTGACACGACTCTGGGCTTCTCCGAAGTTGGCAGGTTTAGATATGCGCTTGATGTCGAGGAACTCGGAGATCGGGCGGAGATTGGCGAATCGCGAGCTTAGAGAGGTGCTGCGAAAGTTGTTGAAGCGGTCACCAAAGCGCGAAGTGATCGCGTCAATGGGGATAGAGATGGCCATTGTGGGAGAAGAGGAAGGGAAGAAGAAGAAAAGAGGGGAAGTTGGATAATATAATGAAAATGAAAGTTGGTGAGATGAACCGAGAGTGAGAATAGAGAACAGAGAACAGATCAGAAGTGAGAGATCAGGACTTTTTTCTGTTCTTTTCCTTTTTCGGGTGCTTGGCCCCTTTGAGAATTTGAGGAAAGTACAGATCGACAACAAATGTCAATCGAGTGCAGAGTGTAGAGTGTAGAGTCACGAGTAATTAGGTAGACACGATTCGTATCTCCAGTTGAACACTAATAATAGTAATTCCCCTGATCCAGTCACTTCCTGAGTGCGGAATCTCACCCCAATTCCGGCCATACACCCATGATATACTGTATAAGCATATAGGCAGAAGTAATAAACTATGATTCTCCAGGGACTGAGTCACTCTATATATATTTATATTTACAGATATAGTTGAGCAATGTTGGATGCAAATGCAGACTCTTCAGGAATCAATTGGGCCACGTTGAACTTGTGGATCGAAACATCCCAATGCCCGACCGCTTTTTCCCTCACGAAGTGTCCTGCGTAACCGACTGCTTATTCGTGCATATTCAATTACACTCTGGATCTAGCCACTCTCTGTCCCTGATTTCTGGCTTCGCGCCATTGACCGCTTCATCATCATGAGGCCTTACGCTCTTTTCGTATCTCTCTTCGTCTTCTTTGGCTTCGTCGCCGCTTGGTCTAAAGAAGGTACATATATTGTTGACCCTGACCCTGACCCTGACCCTGACCCCGACCCCGACCCCGACCCTGATCAGCAACTAATACCTGCATATGTACAATACTGACCCTTTCTACCATTACAGACTATGAGATCTTTGGTCTTCAAAACGATGTGGCTACAAACGAAGGTGCCAATGTGACCTTCTACGGTATGTCAAAATCATGAATTGGAATTTCATACGTATACACCTATCTAACTAACACCCAACACAAGATTTCCTCGAAATTCGTCCCAATGCCAACCAAGACCAAATCACCAAAGCCTACCGCAAAAAGTCCCGCACCATCCACCCGGACAAGGTCAAGCGCGCGTTCATCGCCAACTACGCCAAGGACAAGTCCAAGGCCAAATCCCACAACGGCGTCAATGTGAACAAGGGCCCAACCCAGCGTGAGATCGACGCCGCTACCAAGGATGCCCATGCCCGCTCGACCCGGCTGAACCTCGTTGCCAATGTCCTGCGTGGCCCGGGCCGCGAACGCTACGATCACTTCCTCAAGAATGGCTTCCCCTTGTGGAAGGGCACTGGGTACTACTACTCGCGTTTCCGACCTGGTCTGGGCTCCGTGCTGGCCGGTCTGTTCTTGGTTTTCGGTGGTGGTGCGCACTACGCGGCTTTGGTCCTGAGCTGGAAGCGTCAGCGCGAGTTCGTCGATCGCTATATTCGTCAGGCGCGCAGGGCTGCTTGGGGTGATGAGACGGGTGTTCGCGGCATTCCCGGCATTGATTCTGCCGCTGAGGCCCCTGCCCCTGAGTCTGAGCCTGCTGGTGCGGTGGCGGTCAACCGTCGCCAGAAGCGCATGATGGATAAGGAGAACAAGAAGGATAAGAAGGGTCCCAAGGCTGCTCGTACTTCTGGTACTTCTACTCCTACTGAACAGCCTGTGAGCACCGAGCGTGCTAGCATTGGTGAGCGCAAGCGCGTTGTTGCTGAGAACGGCAAGACGCTCATCGTTGACTCCGTTGGCAATGTCTTCTTGGAGGAGCAGAACGAAGATGGCGAGCGCCAGGAGTTCTTGCTTGACCTTGATCAGATCCCTCGCCCTACTTTCCGTGAGACGATGGTTTTCCAGCTTCCCATCTGGGCCTTCAACCGGACTCTGGGCCGCGTGTTGGGGAATTCCCCTGTCGAGGTTGAAGTGGACTCCGATGAGGCCGAGGAGCCTGTCGAGGCAGCTGAGACTACTGCCACTTCTTCTTCTAACCCCCGCTCTCGCAAGCGTGGAAAGCGCTCCCAGCGATCATAAGCGAGAGTAGATCAGCTATGAACGCTGACTGGAGTGCTTGTTTTGCCCTTTCAAAAGTTGCCTTCGCTATAAAATTGCTCATGCATTGGCAGGTAGACCACAATGTACACATACGTTTCTCAGTATCAAGAATCCAACGTCCTAAATTGACTTAGGCAATGGCCATAATTACCAAGTGCTATCAAGTTGGAATACTAATTTGTGTACTCCGTACTTGAGACTCGTTGTATACGTGGCACACAGGGGGGGGGGGGGGGGGGGGGGTTTGCCTGAAATCTGTAGTTCGGCGGGGTCTACCGCAAGGGGCCACTTGGAGCTGCAGAGATCCTATAGTGCGGTGTTGGGCACCAACGCTTAGCCTTTTCAATAAATAGAGACATATCCACTGAGTTCGCGTTGGGCCAGATATTCCATATTTCCATTGGGTCGTCAATACTAAACGGCTTTTCTGAACTACCAAATTCTAATCGAATCCAGATAACCTCCTGGTATACAACACAACACCAGAGATCACAAAGGAAAGGAGAGCAAAAGAAAAGAATAAAAAACAGGAGTATCAAAAGCAAACAAAGGAGACAGTTGTCATGATGATCGTTAAATGCCAAAGCGTCGCATCGTCCACAAGGCCCACACCTATGCAAACATCTTGGCAATATTCATGAGACTGGTAATGTTCTCTCCAATCCCACGACCACCCTCAGGAACATAACCCTGAGGCTTCGGCACACTCCCACCGAGAGCAGACATCACAGCATGCGGCAAGCGAATCCCAATCATACCCAGCAACTTGGGCAACACGCCACTCGTCAATAGAGGCACGATGACCATCATGAAGACCTTCATCGGGTTGCGGCGCGCGTACTTATAAATGTCCCGGAACAACCGCTTGATGTCCCGGATCATTCGCTGCACGAAGCCCTCGCGCGGTCGAGCCCGTCGCGACGAGGACGAGAATGACGAGAAAACAGATGGGCTGGATCGTCCGCCTGTCCGACTTCCGCCCAGGCCACCGCCTAGCCCGCCGAAGAAGGATGGCGCCGAGTGTCGCGAGTGGTGGGTTGAGAAGCCCGATCTCTGCGTCGAGTATCCTGACTTCGAGTGTGTGGGCGACCGGCGAGTGGGTGACCGCCGCCGGACGTAGCCATTGGCGGACACGGATGATTTGCCATCGAACCAACCCATTGTGCTAGTTTGTGTGTGATTATGGCCTGTGTTCGTCTTTCTGGGTTGAGAGATGAGGGGTGGGAATTGGAATTGTCTGTTGATGGGGGGTTTTCAATTGCTTTTATTTGGCCTGTGCGAAGTTTGTCTTAAGACTTTTTTTTCGCCCTTGTGTGTGGCGATTCAAAGATGGAAAGAGTCAAGATGCAGGTCAGGCACTAGCTGCTGCGGTAATGCGCAGTGTGTGTTCTAGGCCGTGGGGAGTGCAAGTACTCTTACTCCACCGAGATTCTCTATGCAGGAAATGTTTTATGACAGGTACAGATTGAAGAAGCAAGAAGATATGGTCAGTTGAAACGGATCGTTCGAATTGACGCCGGGAATTGTTTCTGAATGAAAACCCCCTGGCGGGAAAAGTGGCTGGGCTCGAACCTAATCCTAAACAGTCTTGCCTCAGACATTCGTATGCAGTCCACTTTGACATTAGAGCAAATAAAGAAAAGCAGCAGAGTCAATAAAATCAACAGAATCAACAGAATCAGCAGCAACAACAGAAGATATTCCATATCAACTCTGTATCACGCATAACATGAAGTCGAACAAAGTAACTAAATTAAACATTCGAACCGTGGTAGTAAATCTGCCTCAGGTTGGTACCTACGTCACTTGTCACTTGCAAGTGCTACATTTATTACTTTTTCTTGAATCTTGACTCTTTTACTCTGGACTTCACTCTATTGCTACAAAACTCACTGGCAAGATGTCAAGTAAGTTGATAATATGTTGTATTTACAATCAAATACTAATTTCAAATAGGCCCTGATTACTGTAAGACATTCGCAAGACCCAACTCCAAACCTACCTAACACAGGACCAGACAAGATTCTAGGTATCGCCCAAGATGCCACCCAGCAACAGATCCGCAGCGCATACAAAAGGTACGCGCATTACACCTACATCTAGAACAATCTAACTTGCTAACTTGGGCCATCAACAGGGAATCCCTAAAGTCCCATCCCGACCGAGTCCCCGCCGACTCGCCCGAACGACCATCCCGCACTAAGAAATTCCAAGCCATAAACGACGCTTACTACACTCTCTCCGACCCCGCACGTCGCCGTGAATACGACTCCACTCGCGTTTTTGAAAGCGAAGAACCAGAAGAAGTACCCCCCAGTGGCTCTGGCTCTGGCAGCGGCTTCTCTTGGTCTAACTTTGGGTTTGGTGGTAATCGCGATGATCGCGATAGCGCTCAGTTCGGCTCTGTCTTCGAGGAGATGTTGAGAGAGGAAGGTCTCGCGGAGGAAAGTGATGGCCAGGGCGGCAGAAGAACTCGTCCCACAGGGAGGTTCTGGGCTCTGGTCGGTGGTGTTAGTGGGGGCGCCATGGGTTTCATTGTTGGCAATTTCCCCGGTGCGCTGGCTGGTGCTGTCGCAGGTAATCGTCTCGGTGCGGTTCGTGATGCCAAGGGTAAAAGTGTCTATGAGGTTTTCTTGGACCTTCCTACCCCTGATCGGACAAGGCTCTTGAGTGAGCTTGCTGCGAAGGTTTTCCAGTCTACCATGGGCCACTGAGCTTGGTTTATACTGGTTAGGCGTTAGGGGTGAGAGCGGGCTCTTGCTACTTCTAGATATTCTAGTTGTATGGTCCCATTTGAGTGTGGTGCAGCTATATAAATGGGTACATATTTAATAGGTACATGTGTACTTGTAGTTCTTTTAGTTGCATATGTAGATAATATTTGAATCCATTCCAATGTTGATATGTGTAACCCCCTCTATCTCTTATCGATAACAGACACATTCCAGGCATGCCAAGGCTCATTCAGTTACGGAGTATATTGTATCTATATACATGAGAAAAATATATGAAAAGAGGCCAATCTGAATTTTGAGACATGGTTAAATATCCCTTAATTCAGTCACCTCTTGGTAACTAAAGTCAACTCAATAATAAGATCGACGTGGCCTTCTGCATCTAGACAAGGTCCCGCTCCCTCACCGCTTGCGGTCAAAAAAAGGCCCCTCTCGCTTTATTTACCTGTCTGGAATATTTTACCTTGACCAATTCATTAATCCCCAAGACTATATTCAACATGACCGAAGCTGCCAGTGTTTATCCTTCGTTGGTGGACCGTCCCATCAAGAACACGGTTGTCCTGTTCGATGTTGACGAGACCCTCACCCCCGCAAGAAGAGTACGTTTCTATCAAATCAAATACACCGCGCAGGAAATTGCTAACAGATGCCCGTTTAGCATGCCTCAACAGAGATGCTTGAGCTTCTCTCCCGTCTGCGTCACCAGTGTGCCATTGGTTTTGTGCGTCTCCCAAATCAATTTACTGTCCCCGTTCCTAACGTGCGTGATTCAGGTTGGCGGCTCGAACCTCGTGAAACAACAAGAGCAACTTGGATCCCCTAATATCGATGTTACCACCATGTTCGACTTCTGCTTCTCTGAGAACGGCTTGACTGCTTTCCGTCTCGGCGAGTCGCTGGCGAGCAACAACTTCATTCAGTGGCTGGGAGAGGACAAGTACCAAGCGCTGGTCGACTTTGTTCTCAAGTTCATTGCCAACACCAAGTTGCCCCGGAAGCGTGGTACTTTCGTTGAGTTCCGCAATGGAATGGTTAACATTAGTCCCGTGGGACGTGCTGCTAGCATTGAGGAGCGTGATGAGTTTGAAGCGTATGTACTGATGCTTGAATTGGATTGTAGTTTTCCAAGGAAGAGCAGAGTTTGCTAACTGGTTGGAAATTATAGTTATGACAAGATCCACAACATCAGAAAGACCTTGGTAGAGTCCTTGAAGAAGGAGTTCCCCGACTACGGTCTCACGTAAGTTTTGTTGTCCAATTCCATTATACGGATGGATTTGGTACTGACTAGACATCTCCCAGTTACTCCATTGGTGGTCAAATCTCCTTTGATGTCTTCCCCACTGGCTGGGACAAGACCTACTGCCTGCAGCACATCGAAGCTGAGAAGAGTATCTCAGGTATCGACTACAAGACCATCCACTTCTTCGGTGACAAGACCTTTGTTGGAGGAAATGATTATGAGATCTACGAAGACCCCCGGACTATTGGACACTCCGTGGATGGCCCCGAGGATACCATTAAACAGCTGAAGGAGTTGTTTAAGCTTTGAATCCGAATGTCATGGGTTTGTGATAGCGTTTATATGCGATTGATATTCAAATTTTGAAAGAGATCAGTTTAAAATAGAACGAATTTTTGAAGTTGTACAATATACTACATGTGTAATACTTAGGCAGGCCGTCGGGAAACGCCGTCGATCTTTCCGATCATTTTAGTCATCTTCTGCTCCGCCTCTGAATCTTTCGTTTCTGGATGCATCTGCATCATATTTATTGATAAACCTCACCTTCCAACTTCTCCAGCCTGTCATCAATATGGCCTCACAAAAACACGTCGCGGAATTCCCGCGCCATGTTATCCCCCGCCTAACTTGGAACAGCTCATCACGCCCTTCCGTCACCATTCACTATCCCGCATTCACAACCCAAAAACGACCACTCTCCCAAGGCTGGAGTCCTTTGAAACAAGCCAATAATACCGCAAACCCTCCCTCCCAATATTCCCGCCTCATCTTCACACCTTCTCGGGGCTTCATCTCTAGCGCTCTCGTTTCCCGACGTCCCTCACCCAAGCCGACAACCTTCACACAAACGAACCCTATCCGACATAATGGTGTCTACGTCGCAACCTTCAACGTTGCTCGTCGCGCTTTCCATGCGACCCCAGCTCGTCCCCGCGACCATCACTTTGATACTCTTAAATTCGTGAAGCGCCTCCAGAACGAGGGCTTCAGCGAGGAACAGTCCGTAGCCATGATGCGGGTCCTCAATGATATCATTCAAGAGTCCATCCAGAACTTGACCAGAACAATGGTTCTTCGGGAAGGTATGTTAATTGCCCCTGTGCTGGAGCTATGCCGGTGCACCACAAACAATGCTTGTCGGATAATTAACGCCAATTGCTCATAGACTCGGAACGATCAACATACACACAAAAGGTCGACTTTGCCAAACTTCGCTCGGAACTGCTCAATGCGGACTCTACCGAGGCACAGTTGACCCGGTCTTCGCATGAGAAGATTGCTGCAGACCTCGCTAAGCTCAATTCACGACTTCGTGACGAGATCGGTCGCACGCAGGCCTCTGTCCGCTTAGATTTGAACCTGGAGAAAGGTCGGATTCGCGAAGAGGCGAATGGCCAAGAGATGCGCATTAAGGAAACCGAAACGAGAATTGAGCAGGAGGTAGCGGGTCTGAGAGAACGAGTCGAGGCTGTCAAGTTCTCAACCTTGCAGTGGCTTATGTATGGCTCCCGATCTCGCTTTTCGTTTTATGGATTTATGCTGACTTTTGATTCAGGGGTGTTTGCACCGGTACTGCGGCCCTTATTCTTGGTGCCTGGCGCTTGTTTATGTGATTTTTGGGATAAGTCTTGTATGCATTTGAACGGAGTGACTCTTTTCTTGCCCTTTTCATCGGTCCCTTGGTATCTATTGATTCCTTTTTTTGTACCATTACTCTCTACTCGTCTAGCTTTGCTATATGTCTAGATACCAAGAATTACTTGGCTGTATTGATAGAACACTTCAAGTTTATAAATTTTGACATTTGCCCACATACATACATAGGTACTTGTACTACAAAAGTTTTGATTCTATATAGCTTACCTAGGATATAAGAGACCGAGAAGAGAAGCTAGAATATAATTAGCCGTCTAGCCATGACTGATTCCCGGACCACGAATTAGTCTGTTCCACCATATGATCATATTTTTCTCTTCTGTCAGTGCTTTGTGTAGGCGAAGAGTGAGTGGTCTGCGAAACTGCGCCGTTGACACGACCGCTTAATATTGAAAATGCGAACAATGGCTTATGAAGAAGACATAGTCTTGGATCTGAATTTTCACAGATCCTATCCTACTGACGGATGGAATCCGTCTTTGTTTACCACCAAGGAATGGAAATTCGTAGAATCGATGGCATAGTCAGTGCTCCGCTTGCGAATTTGATCATACAGTATAGGTAGGTCTCGTCATTATTGTGAATTACTTTGGCCAAGTATATTGAAACGCTCCTGATTTCCCCTGGCCCTCTCTCCCCCCCTCTCCCAATCTCTCCCCATCTCTCCTCATGCATTGGCTAGCTTTAATTATATCTGCTTCATTGATCTTTTGCGGATGGAAATGGTGTCATCAATTTACAAAGATGCGTTTGTATGGCCAGAATATTGCCGATTAAGTCGTAATTTTTGTACCAGGGGCTATTTAGTTTCCAATACACGGCCTCGCTGCTTCTCCGTTCCGATGAAGAGCTTCAGATAGCTGGGAGAGACAATTGTCTATTTCCAGTCAATCTTCGCTACCACCTGTGACAATTTCTCTATCGAGTCTTCCAGCGCTGATCGTGAAACAGGGCTTGGTCCCAAAATCGAGAGATCTTCAAATTTTGACGGAACGAAGAGCAAGACAGTCGTCTACTGAAGACAAGAAGCATGCGGTATTGATACGTGTGTGAAACCATGACACAAAAAAAAAAAAAACCGGCAGGGAAAAGCAGGAAGAGAGAGATGGGTCTATGTAAGAACCAAACCAATCATCTGCCCGAACCTCGATAACATTGCACCATGTAGGACCATCCTAGGAGAGATAAACTCTACCTAAGCTTTTGCTTTTGCGTATTTCAGTTGGTTCTTTTTCTGGGACACAAGTACTCCGTGATGCCACAACAATCTCATACTTGGAGTTCAGGCATCACGGCACCTGGGCATGAACCTTGGCAAACCTCGGCAAAACCCACCGTGGGTCACTAACCCCGTTTGGGATCTAATGCGGCTCAACTAATACCCATAGAGGGGTTTCAGCGCCTAGCAAATACATAAGTGCGCCCCCGGGGCCACTTCCCCTCTTCAACTTCCGTTGATGTGAGCTCACATCGAGCTCGACGGAAAACATCACTTACTGTCCACCTGGGCAGAATACATTTGGCCCACCATGGCACTTTCAGATTCCGAGGGGTCTGATGTCGTGATGGTCAGCTCGGGCGATGTCCAGGATTTCAACGAAGGAAATATTCTGCCTCTCCCGGCAAGTGATCTGAAGAAGATCAGAGAGTGGCTGCAGCCAACACCCTATGATCTGGATGGCTCTGAATTTTCACGGCACCTCGAGTCGTACCTGGCGGGTACAGGCCAATGGCTTATCTCTACAAGCACATATCAGCAGTGGCATCAAAGCGACACGAACGGTCTGCTGTGGATCAAAGGCATACCGGGGTCTGGAAAGTCTGTCATGGCTGCCTCGATCATCCACCAAATACGCAAAGAGAAAGTTCCAGTCCTCTTTTTCTTCTTTCGACAGATTATCGATGCAAACCATCAGCCAGTCGCAGTCCTGCGGGACTGGCTTTGCCAAATCCTCCCCTTTAGTCCAAGCTTGCAGGCCAAATTGAAGAAGGATTACATCGATGAGAGACGCTCTATCGATAGTTTATCTGCCAACGATCTGTGGAAAAATATTCGATTTGCTCTCACTGCTTTCCCCAAGGCATACTGCGTCGTCGATGCCTTGGACGAAATGGACCAAGGTAATGATGACTTCCTCCAGGCCTTAGTGGAGCTGGGCCAGTGGCGCCCCGCCAACCTCAAGGTTTTGATGCTGTCACGCCCAGTCGTTGCAGTGGAATCGCCTTTGAGACCATTCTCTGTGCCCGTTCTACTCTTGGATGAAAAGCTTGTCGATATTGATATCGCTTCCTACGTGCAGCACCGACTGCGAAACTCACCCGTGCCCGAGGAGTATTGGACTCGCATAACTGAAACCGTTCCTGGTCGAGCGAATGGTCTGTTCTTGTATGCTAGGCTTTCTATGGATGCATTTTCGAAACCTGGGGCCGATGCTGGAGATGTGCTCAACAAGTTGCCTGTCAACCTGAACGTGATGTATGATGGGCTACTACGCGAGCATGCAGAGCACTCCAATGTTCCTAAAGACCTCCAAATGCTTATTCTGCAGTCTACTACACATGCCACCCGCCCCCTTCGACTTCTTGAGGTCGCTGAGATGATCAAAGCGACTCATACTCCACTTGGAACATCTAGCTTGAAAGAGATCAAAAATATTGTCCGAGCGGCTTGTGGCCCCTTGCTCCAGATCCTTCATGACGAAACCGTATCGGTCGTTCACCATTCTTTGACTGAGTTTCTCAAGGGGCTCACTCGTTCCACTGTCATTGATGAAGCAACTTTCCCAATTTTGGAGGCCGGCCCAACTAATCATCGACTTGCTGTCGCATGCTTGGATTATCTCATGTCTGGCTGCTTAGAAAGCATCGATGTCAAGAAGCGCAAGAAGGATGACGAATATTTCAATCCTAAAAAAGACCAGCAGAGTAAGATCCGCCTGAAATTCCCATTCCTTGAATATGCAGCGAACAATTGGTACATCCATACTCGCCGTGCCGCCTTGACTGGGATGGATATGTCATCACTTTACTCGGTTATTGACGAGTTTTTTGGAAACAAGAAACTATTCATCGCTTGGTTGGACATCGACTGGCCACAAAATTCTATTCAAAGTGTTACTCCGCTTCATGCTGCCGCCAAAGCCGGGCTAGCTCAGTACGCCGCCCACTTGTTCCAAAAAGGCAACGTCGACCCAAATGTTCAGAACCATGACGGAGATACACCTCTTTACTGGGCTGCCTTTAGTGGCCATGGAGATGTTGCACAACTTTTCATTCAGAACGGGGCAGATCCTGACGGCGAAGCGAACCAAGGATACAAGCCTCTTCATGAGGCCGCCAGAAAAAACCACGCTGATGTCGTCAAAGTCTTGCTTGCGGCTGGTGTTGATCCAATGACACCGAAGACAAAAGAAACTCCAGGCAGGCGCTGTGGCAATGCACCGACATCAGTTGGTCATACTCCATTGATGTACGCATGTCACAATGGTCACCTCGAGGCAGTAACTGAATTTCTACCCTATCTATCAGAGGACAACATCAAGCAGGCCCTTGATTGGCTTTCAGGCTCAGGGCACGCGGTATGTGTATCTCTCGTTCTTCAAAACAGTGGCGTGGATATGAAGTCACATTTCGGAGGAAGAATTTTGTTCGGAGCCTGCTTGAACGGCGACCTGGATACAATCAAGGTTCTTGTTGGAGCAGGTGCGGATCCCAACACTCGCTGTTTCTATCCTGTGGACGAGTTTGGGGGCATTGGTTCCCGCGTGCGTTATCCAATAAGAATGAAAACCCCTGGAAAACGAGAGGAGCCCAGGGGCTTCACTTCTCTACATGCTCTGAGTGGGATCAAGAACCGTAACGGAACTCGCCAGATCCCGCTGGAATGTGTTTCAATCGTCCTCCAAGCTGGCGCTGATGTTCATGCGAAGTCTGAGGATGATGGAAAGACAGCTCTGCATTTCGCCTGCGCAAACAATATAGATATTGTTCAGCTTCTTTTGGAGGCAGGGGCAGACCCTTACGCCAAAACCGACACTGGAGCCACGATACTACACACCGATGGAAAGACTGACACCAAGCTGCTTCCTATCCTGCTTGATTCGGCAGCTGTTGATATTAATAAGCTGATGGCGGAGAGCAACGGCGGACCCTTGTTCAGTCGTCTTCGTGGTTACCATTCCGAAAGCGGAATTGAGATTCTGAAGTACACCACGGACCCAAATCTGACCGAACCAGACGGTAATGGTTTTCTCCATCTATTACTTGATCGGTATAGATTCTCTGAGCAAGATACTGTTCTTGAGGCCTTGCTTTCCGCTGGCGCCGATCCGAATCTTCAAAATAACAAGGGCGAAACGCCACTGCATACAATGGGTGATGACACCAAAGTTGAATTAATCTCCAAGTTGGTCAAAGCAGGTGCAGATCTTGAGATCCGGGATTTGAAGGGTCAAACAACCCTCTTCAAGAGTCTTCTCGGGCATTCGAAGGGCATATCCAATTTTTCCAAATCCCTCATCAATTTAGGCGCCCGACTGGACACACGGGACAAAAAGGGCCGTACTCTTTTACACCAAGTGGTCTGTAAAGTTGAAGCTCTGGATGATTTGACAAAGATGATGGATTTTGACCCTTCAGTCGCCGACAATGAAGGCAATACGCTTTTCCTTGAGGCCGTTTCCGCAACTATTAGATCGGACAGCACGTCAATTTTCAAACATCTCAAAAGTCTGGGGGTTGATATTGACCATCCTAATTCCCACGGGTGGACAGTCTTGCATCAAATGTCCTTCCAAAATCAGACTCACTGTCACAGGAGTCCTTCTGCCGAGACAACGTTCGATTATGTCCTCGGAGAGTGCAAGAACAAAAGTCCTCAGGATACAGACGGGATTCAGCCTTTGCATATTGCTGCCGCTGTATCAGAAGATAATGTTTTTGGGCTTCTCTGCTCTGGGGCTGATATGTTCGCCGTTACGAAAGAAGGCATGACGGTTCTCCATGTCGCAGCTCGAGCCCGACAACCTGGCACAGTTGGTCTTGTTCTTTCCAGAATGATTGACCTTGATGATGAAACACGGAAAACCTTCATCAATCAGAAAAATGTGGAAGGAGACACGGCACTTCACTTCGCCTGCTGTTCTGGTCGACCCGAGACCGTGGATCTTTTGTTAAATGCCGGCGCAGATCCCAATCTGCCGGGCAAGGATGAATATACTCCATTGAGAGCATGTGTCAATTTTGAAATGGAACAAGTACGATGGAAGAAAATGGGCAAAATCGAGGACGCCAAAGCCCTCAAGACCGCCAGCATCTGGCTTGGTATCCGAAGTCTGCCACCGGCAAAAGATGAGTCCGAGGAGGGAGCCAAGGAGTCTCAATGGAGATCAAATAGTGAAAAGGGTGCTTCAAGCTCGACGCGTCTAGATGAGATTCTCGCCTCATTGGTACTGCACAGCAAAAACCCTTCTTCGGACAAGGAGTCGCTTTGGGAAGCATTTCAAGAAGCAGTATCTAATCAACGCGACTATACCGCGGAATGTTTGCTGCGGCTCCAGAATTGTGTGTTCCCTAAATTGAACCTGATAGAGGGACCGGGAGCCAACGGCTTTACGCTGTGCAAAACTCGCCTTGAAGGCGAAATATCGTCCCTCAGAGAGGAGGAAAAGTGGCGAAACGAATGGATGAACACAAAAGGTGGAAGCATAGATCTCCGCTTCCAACAAATGGTTAAGTATCTTCGTCTTGGGCAATACGGTCTATTCGAGGAAATGGCTTCACAAACAGATCTCCTTGTGTTAGATTACACCCATATCTCAGTCGTCCACTGTCTTGTGGATGATGGTCTTTCAGAACTCTTAGATCGTCTCTGTACTCCAGAGCAGGCTCTGAAGTTTGATGACCACGAATGGTGCGAACATACCGAGAATACCGATTCTCGTTCCCGTTCCAGTGCTAGGACACTGCCGCTGCTGATGCACGCATGCCACCGTAACTTTCCAAATATGAAAGTGGTCCGAACACTTGTGGAAAATATGGATGTGAACATCGATTCAAAGCGCAGGGAAAAAATATATGTTGATGGCAATTATAAGACCGTGTTGGATCATGCCGTTCTACATGACCTCGCTGAGGGCAAAACTTGGTGGAACGTGCATCAGGCTTTGCCGTACCTCATCTGCAAGGGCGCGAATCTGGAGATCCGCGATGACAAGGGGGAAACACCTTTGCATATCGCCCTCGACTATGACAAGTACAAGGGCGTCTTTTACAGACATGCTGTGGAAATTCTTCTGGATCATGGCGCAGATGTCAACGCAGTCAACGCCTACGGGGAGACCTGCCTGTCAAAGGCTGGCGCTGATATTGACTTGATCAAGTTGCTTTTGTCTCGTGGCGCCGCGATTTCCGCCACTGCTATATTCGCCGCCATTGAGTTTTGCAATGTTGAGTTGTTGGAGCTCTACCTCTCCCATGGTGATGTCGCCAACATACGGCGGCCCGCGCTAAAGCGTCGAGTAAGGCCTCATGCAACTCAAAAATGCATAATCCCAACTGCTGAGGAGTATCCTTTGTTCTATGCGGCAACTTTCAAACCCGCTAAATACTCATCTCGCAAGGAGTTTGATATTGCTTCAGTTCGAACGGGCACAATGACAGCGCTTCTTCGGAGTGGTGCAAACCCATACGCCACCTTCGTTGAGCTCCATCGAGTAAAGGATGACTCTCTCGTTGATGGCCACGATTCGGACTCGGACGATGTGCATGCTGGTTCCAAAGATCGATGGGAACCCAAAACCCGCACTGTCATCCATGAGATCTTGGCTAAGACGGAAGTGTTCGAGCCACTGCTTCAGCTGTCGTCTCTACAATTGGAATGCCGAGATGACAAAGGCAGAACTTTGATCCTTTGTACTAGTAATCCCGAGGCAATTCGACGCCTTGTTGACCGTGGGGCTGACATTACCGCTCAAGACAAATCTGGCAAGACCGTTGTTCATGCACTCATAGCCCGCAAAGCGCAAGAGGAAAATATCAGCATCATGCGGGCTCTCTTTGACAAGGATCCTAGCATTGTGCAGATAGGGGATGAAGCCGGTGATACTCCGCTCCACTATGCGCTTCGCGAAATAGCGATACAGTTCGAACATGTCGATCTACTACTTGAATACGGAGCAGATCTGCACCAACCCGATTCAAAAGGCGATACAGCTCTCCATATCCTTTGTAGAAGAGCATCTAATCACAAGACACGCATCGAGCAGTTCTTGGCCCTCGGGCTGGACATCAACGCACGCAACAAGAAAGGCGAAACTCCCCTCATGCACTGTCTTGCGGAGGGCAGATTACGATCTAGTATGTGGTCGTACAGTGGCGAAAGTTCCAGCGACAATGACAGCCTGATCTTGCTCCAGGATCTTGGTGCCGATTTTCACGCGCGAAACGACGCGGGGATGTCGATGCTTCATGTAGTTGCTGGCAGGAAGGTGCGCGATACCGTTGGTTTTTGTGAGTGGGAGATTAAAGACAATGAGGAAAACCTAGTCAGTTGGTTCGGCTTCATCATGAGCTTGGGCGTGGATCCTATGCTTGAGGATGCTCAGCAGCGAACTTCTTTGGATCACGCAGCTGCTTGTGGCAATGAGCATATTTTGAAGTTGTTCAAGCAGAAGGACGCCCAGGAGTGAAAGGGGTCGGATGAGCTGTGCGATGCTATCAACGAACTAAACATCACAGTATAAACGACCCTGTGGGGCTGTTCCATTAAAGGTATAGTCTGCGATGGTCTGAGTGATCAGAGTTGCTCACTGATTGGACACAGAGTGTCACTGAGTAATCAGTGAGCATCCAATGAGCATTTACATAGTATCAGTCATCATTCACGTGAGTGTTCTGAGCTCACCACTGACTCTGAGCTCGTGCTGATATCTGCTCTGAGAGCCTGAGTCTGAGCGCCCTCATTAAAGCGGCGGCGGCCTAAACAGGAAATCCCCACCCGCCAGGGAAAATCCGGTACATATGGCTACATATATTTATAGAAAACAGAATAACTATTGATAATTCAAAGTAGATTAGAAGACAATTAGAATACTACTTAACAGTATAGATAATCTAATTGCTCCCATCTAGCTTAAATTAATGGTTATAGAAGAAAAGAGAAGAAAGTACAATAGGTATCTTTGTATATAAATCCTGAATAGAAGATACCTAAAAGACAAAGAAATATTCATTCGGTGGGAAAATATATTAACCTGGCCTTACAATTTTTCGGTAAAAATTACCAGACCCTCCTTCTAAGGCCCGGTTACGTAATTTGCGGTTGGAAGCCTGGAGACCCTGGAAAATTGGTAAATCATCTCTTGTCGCCTCCTGATCTTCGGACTTCCGGATTTACATTTACTCCTTCTATCTATCTTATCGCGATCACGAGGCGATAAGAACGCCCCGGGTCTATGAGTCGCGGCCATGGATTCCTGCCTCATTATTCTCGACTGTGCGTGGCGACGCTGCCATATACAGAATGAGTGTCATCTTAGAAGAGACGACTCTTCCAGGTACAATCTACATTGCACCAACTGCCCAGACAAAACAGGATACTGACACTTCTCAATAGACAATGTTCTAGAGTCTATGCTTCCTATCTTTCAGCAATGTGACCCTTTGAACAATAATGATCATCCTGCGAAACGGCGCAAGGTTGTTAAGAATGAAACTAAGAGTCTAAGCCGAGAATATGGGGTCTCCTCAACTGGAATTCCTGTTGGGTTCATACCATTGGCGCGACTGAAATTACGCATGGTAAGTTGTACATTATGTCCCCTCTAGTGTACAGAGACTAATTACTTGCCACCTATCACATAGAATTTACCAGAAGACTTTACGCGCCAACATTTGCCTGGATCAAGCCTCCCTAGTAAGATCCCTGTGGTCATCCAGGCTCAAATCATCAATGTGCCTCAAGAAGACCTGGAAGATGGCTCGGGTGGCGAGACCTCCTCCGTCGTCCTTAAGATCATCAATCTCGAGGCAGAGGAACTGCTGTCATATTCATGCGATGATCCCGCGCTGTTCGACCTGTTTGATCAAATTCAACTCGCTAGTCGCCTCGCCTCCGCAGATCGGTTCTCGAACCGTGTTCCGACAGCCTGCTACCAGGCGAGTTTATCTGGCTCTCCAGACGAAGGATGTCTCCATCTGGAGATAGTTGTTTTATGGGTAGATTCTCTGGAGGCTCCAGATATCAAACACTTGTCACTTCCAGTCTTGGAAGTTTTCACAAAGTACGTCCTCCAGGAGGAGTACTCCCGCCCGTCAAACTCCACCGAAGAGCGTGAACTTCGCGAAGCAGTGCTTGGTATTTCTCGAGAATGGACTCCCCGAAAATTTTATGAGAGCGTTCACGTCCCAGAGACCAAAGACAGCGCAGCGGAAAATATTAAATGCCCTGACATTGAATGTCAGCTGTTCCCCTTCCAAAGGCGAGCAGTTCGGTGGCTGTTGCAGCGAGAATGGAAGGACGTTCAGCAAGATGGCAAAATTGTCTGCCTGCAAAAGCCCCCAAAAAGCGCCCCGCCGGCGTCTTTCGACAGTCAGAAAGATGCCGATGGCAACATCTATTATTTCAGTCATCTATTCATGACTTTGACAACCGACACATCGCAGTGGCATGATGCCGCTGATCACTTGCGAGGTGGTATTCTTGCAGAGGAAATGGGCCTGGGGAAAACAGTCGAGATGATCGCGTTGATCTGCTTGAATCGCCGGGACATGCGCATCAAGGCTGATCCCGATGGACTGAGGCCTTCCGGTGCCACATTGATAATAACACCACCAGCCATCCTGGAACAATGGAAACAAGAGCTTGAAAAGCATGCCCCTTCTTTGAATGTTCATCATTACACCGGTGGCTTGAAGCGCGGAAAGACACAAGTCCAATCCGACGATTCAATGGTCGATGAGCTTGTCGGTTATGATGTTGTTTTGACCACCTACAATGTCATTTCCAAGGAGATCTACTACGCCGGTGCGGTTCCAAAGCGAAATCTGCGCCACGAAAAGAAATTTGAACATAGAAAGACACCTCTGGTTCGCATCTCGTGGTGGCGTGTATGTCTAGACGAGGCCCAGATGGTCGAGAGCGGAGTCAGTCATGCAGCGCAAGTAGCTCGCGTGATTCCCCGAGAGATTGCTTGGGCTGTAACTGGTACGCCATTGCGAAAGAACATAGATGACCTTTTTGGCCTCCTTGTGTTCTTGCATTACGGTCCGTTTTGCTATTCAAACCCGTTATGGAAGAGATTGTATTCGAGATTCGGACCTATTTTGGTCGACATCATCGGGACACTCGCTATTCGGCACAGCAAAGATAGTGTGCGTGATGAGTTGCGCCTGCCGCCGCAAAAGCGTATTGTAATCACCACTCCTTTCACACCGATAGAAGAACAACACTATGGGCAATTGTTCGAAAGTATGTCCATTGACTGCGGGTTGGATGCCTCGGGGGCTCCGCTTCGAGGGGACTGGAACCCTGATGATCCCAAGACCATCGAAAAAATGCGCATGTGGTTGAGCAAGCTTCGCCAAACGTGTCTCCATCCTGAGATTGGTGGAAATAGTCGCCGAGCTTTAGGTGGAAGTGGTCCATTGCGGACCGTGGATGAGGTTCTAGAAGTCATGATTGAGACAAATGATGCGTCCATACGTTCCGAAGAGCGCATCCTTCTTCTATCCCAACTTCGACGAGGTCAGCTCCTTGAAAATGCAAAGAGGCGTCAAGAAGCCCTCGATATTTGGCTGAGAGCATTAGACCGTTGTACGGAAATGGTCAAAGAAAGCAGGGAGCAATTGCGTCTGCTTCAAAAAACTGACAGCGACAAAAGCGGCGTAAATTCAACAGAGGACGTCGAAGAGACAGACAAAAACAGCCGCCTCGGTCAATGTCGACTGAAGCTCCGGGGTGCACTTGAGGTCCAGCACATTGCAGTGTTCTTCACTGCAAACGCATATTATCAGATCAAGAGCGATCCTAACTTGACTCAGTCTGGTTCAGATGAGTTCAAAGCGCTTGAAACGCGCGAAGAAGACGGCTATGAGGCTGCCAAGGTCATTCGCAAGGAGATGCTGACTGACATATCCCGAAAGGTTGAGCGTCACATGGAGACAATCAAGGAAAAGGCTCGAAACAAACAGTTTGTGATCATCCCGAAAATGAAGCCTGAGATCTACAGCAGGGGAATTGAGGCCTACAATCTGCTCTGCAACTTTGAAGACCTGTGTGAAGCTCTCAATAAGAATGCTGAAAAATACAAAGAATGGCGTGACATTATGGTCAAACTAGTCTCGCAGTCACTTATTGACCAGGAAGATGAAGCAGAGCTGGAGGGTAATGAGTATGAGCGGTCGACAAAACATCAAGACGAGATGTATGTCTATATGGAAGGTTTGCGAACGATGTATGCCGACCGACATGATTGTCTCACTGGCCAAAAGAATGTCCTCATATCCTATGAAGTCAAAGCGGGTATCGCCCAGGCTCAAAAGGGTGATGGTCCCTCCCCAAAGCTCTTCCTCGAGATCATGAACACCCGCAGTGAGCTCAAGCCTGATCCCGAATTCGGATCACTCCGCAAGATTGTGAGTGATCTTCGCAGTCTTCTGGGTACGCTGTATTGGTCGTCCAACTCTGGAAGTTCCCGTGCTCGCGCTGAACATGAAGTGGTTGAGTTGGTCTTGCAGAACGCAGGCCAAATGCTGGCCGAGCAAATGAAGGTATCGGCCAATTTGGACAGGGAAGTCGAAATGTTTCGCGACGCTATGAACAACAGGCTGGAGTATTATCGTCATCTGCAGCAAATTTCTGACACAGTTGCGCCGTACGATGAAGAGAGTGCAGGTCAACCACTAGATGAGGATCTGTTTGCTGCGAAGCTAGCGCAAGAAGAGCTCATTGAAGGAAGAATCTCTACTTTGAAGTCCAAAGCAAGGTATCTCGACCACTTAAGAGGCGATTCTAGCTCCGATCCCAACGCCAGGACCTGTATCATCTGCCAATCCTCTATCGAAATTGGTGAGCATGATCTTCTTATTGATCGATCGTTGTCTCCGCTAACATACATGCAGGTGTGTTGACCGTGTGTGGCCATAAATATTGTACTGACTGCCTGCGATTATGGTGGCGTGCACACCGAAGTTGTCCAATGTGCAAAAAGAGCTTAAAGTACAACGATTTTCATCAAATCACATACAAGCCACAAGATCTAATTGCCCAAGAGGAAGACTCATCTGGCAAACTCGACGCTGGAAGGCATTCTCACAATGCGATCTACAGTGACATCAGCTCTGGACTTCTTAAAGAAATTCAAAATGTTCATCTAGATGGCTCTTTCGGAACGAAGATTGACACTTTGGCCCGACACATCATATGGCTGCGGACACACGACCCCGGCGCCAAGTCAATCGTTTTTTCTCAATACAAGAGCTTTTTGGCAGTATTGCAGAGTGCTTTCGCTCTCTGTGGAATTCAAAGCACTAGTGTTGACACCAAGGATGGCATCGAGGACTTCAAAAAGAAACCAGCTGTAGGTGACCTTGACACTACCCAATGAAAACTCGCTAACTGTTCATGTAGGTTGAATGTTTCTTGATGCACGGCAAAGCGCAGTCATCCGGTCTGACTTTGATCAATGCAACCCACGTCTTCCTGTGCGAGCCACTTATCAATACAGCAATCGAACTACAGACAATTGCTCGAGTTCATCGTATTGGTCAGCATCGTCCCACGACAGTCTGGATGTACCTAGCCTCCGGCACCGTAGAAGAATCTATCTATGAAATCTCAGTTACTCGACGATTGGCTCACATTGTTGAGAAAGAGAAACGGACAGCCCCTGCTGGCGGCAGTGGTGCCATCATTAACGACCTGACTGAAACAGCTATTGACTCCGCCAACTCTATGGAAATCCAAGATTCCTCACTTGGGAAATTGATGGCAACTGGCTCCGCGGAAGGAGAAATTGTGAAGAAGGACGACCTCTGGCAATGCCTCTTTGGAAACACCCTCCAAAAAGATGGCAATGATCGTTCAACGGAGGCCGAGAGAGAGGTTGGCCGGTTCTTGAGAGGAGAGGCCGCTGAGCAGAGAGCGGAGGAGTAACCCTGGTATCAAGTGTGTCTCCAGAAAAATTTATGTCACTATATAGGCTACTTTACAAGATCAATGTATAGTCAATGCTGAAGTGATAATTCTGGTCCTATACTAGACATCCTGGCGGTCCCCAATAGATCCATTAATCCATATATGACTAAGCAGATGACTAATATCGCCAACTGCCCGGGCCCCAGTATGTTTCGACCGACTTGACGATGACGTGAGTCCTGTTGCCTATAAGTTTTGTTTATCTGTTCATTTTTTTTGTTTGTTTCTCCGAATCGCTCTATTTGATGCTCTGCTAGAATTACACCGGTTCCACGAAGCACTCTCTTTCATCATGGCGGACTCACAGAGCCCCGAAGCTCGCGAGTTGAGCCTGATAGGCAAGGTTGAATTCAGAATTGCCATGGCAGACACAGATGAGAAGCTGCAGTCATTACTGGGAACATATCTCACTCCATTGTTGCTGAAGCTGAGCTCTGACAGCGTGGAAGTGCGCAACAAAATCATCTCCGTCTGCCAGCATGTCAACACCCGAGTCAAAAACCCCTCTATTCAACTTCCCGTGGCTGCATTGCTCAAGCAATTCAAAGACCAAAAATCTCAACTTGTCAGACATTTTGATCTTATCTATGCTCAGCAGGGTATTGATCGCCTTGGTTCTGAGGCTAGAGTTGAAATTCTGCTTCCCTTGCTTCAGGGTATCTCGAAGATTGGAACTTCGCCCACTCAGGGTGCTATCGTATTTAACTTGGTTTTGCGCTTGTTGCCACTTCTGAAATTGCCATCGAAAGGCAGCGAAGAAGATCGGCAGCTGAAAGATCGTCTTGGTCTGTCAGATGAAGACTCACAGTTCTTATCCTATTGGTTGGCCAAATTGTTGCTCCTTACCCCTGGCCCCAAGGAGATTACCACATGTCCTGGTCTCTCGCCTGAGGAGTATACATTCTTGAACAAAGGCATTCCTGCAAATGAGACATGGAATCCTTCCGCAGATGGCGGCTTGAATCTGACCGAGACAAAAGTCACGGCCCTTCGTTTCATCGGAAGTGGTGCTTTCAACGATCCCCAGCGCTTTTTGCCTTCTTTGATCGCCTCTGCCGATGCCAACTCCCGCCTTGCAGATCTAGGCGATGAAACCCTCAAGCGATTTACTGCAGACATCGAGAATCCTGATGTCGTGCAGCAGTTGTATGATTTGTACTTCGGTAGCCCTACACCCGGCGGAACTCCTCCCGCTCGGCCTTCTCTCCAAGTGAGGCTTCTAGTTTTCCTTGGGAAATCCATCAAAGCCACTGCGGATCCACAGAGAATCATGAGACTGGTTGAAGATGGTCTTCTATCGGACTCAGCGAGATCCGCTCAAGGCTTGCAAGCATCGAAATTACGAACTCAAATTTTCACATTCACTACGTGGGTAGTCCGCATGGGTGCCCCTTCTGACCTCAAGCAAATCGCCCCTAAGCTCATCGCGGGATTGAAGGATTTCATTCAGTCTCAACAATGGCCCAGCCCGGCCGCCAGTGGGCAGAAATTACCTGCAACAGATCTGAGCTTGCGAGGTCTTGCGTACGAAAGCATCGGTATCATGGTTCCCAAGGTCGACTTTACAGTACAAGCCGACGAGGAAAATTTCGAATTTAACCTTGTTCGGTGGCTCTTTGCATCTTTGAGCGCCGATGACTCAAGCTCTGAAATATTCGTCAGCATCGACCAGGCGCTAGGAAGTATACTCAATTCCTCATTGGACAGCCATGACAAGACCTTTCAGGACCAGTTGCGACCCTTCCTTGTTCGTCAAATGGGCATGCAGCCCGGAGATGTTGACCCGGATACAGGTTATCGTGCCGTGAGGGGTGTTCAATATGCTGCAGTCCGGTTCGCTAACCGATTCCTCCCATTCAACGACGTGGTAGCCCGCTGGATTGACTTGATGGCTATTGCAAGAGGCCCAGAAAGACAGCAGGAAATTGTCGAGGAAGGAAAGAAAGGTCTCCACCCATATTGGTACCGACTTCTCAACCCAGCCAAGGATGGGAAATGGTCTGCTTCAGCTACACCAAAACACGATGAATCTTGGTTCGACTTCCCCAAGTTTGACGAGGCGACTCGGTTCCTGCTTGGTTCGGGTGGGCAAGAGGAATACATGAATATTCAGGCGATGTCAGCATCACAACTCTTGTCTGGTCCTTACAAAGGCTCTTTTGTACCTGCTATATCGTTCCTTCGCAATACATTGCTTTGGGAGGCATTCTCAGCCGCGAGGATTGCTGCGGATCTGGAACAGGATTGGGACTACAAGCTAGAAGTGCTTCTTTCTACCAGCCCAGAAGCCCGCTCAGCGGTGAGACAATACATCCGAAACTCTGCAAAGGATTCTGTCCTGGCACTTTTGTCTGGTACTCTTGAAGGTCTTGTGACTGGCGGGCGTGAGGGTCTACGCCAATGCGGTGTTTATTTCGTGGAAATTTGCTCGTTAGCACCTAATGACGTTGTCGAACAATTGATTTCTCGTGCAGCGACCTTAATGGAACCTATTTGCAGCAACAACCAAGATAACCAGGGTATCACCGCTCGCGCCTTTGGTATTTTGGTCTCGCATCCTGCTTTCCCAGAGGAACAGCTGAAGAGTTTCATCACTCAGCTGGCTGACGCCATTCAATCATGGAACACTTCTGTCGGCGGACAGGTTATGAGAGTCCGTGGGGCTATTCTAGCGTTATCGTATCTGCTGAGTCGACTTGCCTTCCGCAGTCTATTGAACAGAGTTCCGGAAGCACAAGTCAAGCAGTTTGCTGAGAATGTCTTTGAAATCCTAGATGTATCCCGGGATAAACTCCTTCTTGAAACTGCACAGGAGGCAATTGGGCAGCTGAGTCTCTCCGGGGTCCTATCTCTGGATATTCTCTCCGAAGAAGGCTGGAAAAAAACACAAGAAAAGCTCTCGCGCGATGCCAAGACCGAGAATCAGATCCCCATCAGCTCTTTAGGTCTGCTGACCTTGACATTTTCCCGATCTGGTTCGGAAAGTACTTTATTCGGCCATTTCTTGGACTCCCTCTACAGTCTTCATGAGATCCGCAGTCCCGAGGTTCAATTTACCATAGGCGAGGCCTTAAGCAACGTCGCCGTTGGGTGGGATTCTCGTGCTTTGATTCAAGATCTCGATGTTGATGCCGAGTTCCCCCACTCAGACGTTCCACGCGCAGTGTTTGCACAGATCTGCGACAGAGTTATTACGGACTGCATTGCGCCCAAGCCCTCTCTCCGCAAGGCGTCTGCAATCTGGCTGTTGTCATTAGTCAAGAACTGCGGTCATATGCAGGAGATGCAGGAGCGTCTGCGTAAATGCCAAGCTACTTTCAGCAGCCTCCTCGGAAATCGGGACGAGGTGGTGCAGGAGACCGGTGCGCACGGACTCAGCCTTGTATATGAGATCGGCGACCAATCCCTGAAGGACGATCTGGTCCGAGATTTGGTCGATTCATTTACTGCGACGGGTCCTAACCTCGGTGGTGGCAAAGTTACTGCTGACACACAGCTATTTGAGCCCGGTGCCCTCCCCACTGGCGAAGGATCCTCTGTCAATACTTACAAGGATATTATGAACTTGGCCGCTGAGGCTGGTGACCCAACACTTGTCTACAGATTTATGTCACTGGCCTCAAACAATGCTATCTGGACAAATCGTGCGGCCTTTGGTCGCTTTGGAATCAGTAGCATCTTCTCTGATTCTAGCGTGGATGGCTATCTGGCAAAGAATCCTAAGATTTACCCCAAACTCTTCCGTTACCGATTCGATCCCAACCCCAATGTGCAACGGTCTATGAACACCATCTGGCAAGCCCTGGTCAAGGACCCTACAGTCGTCATCGATACACATTTCGATGAGATTATGGAAGACCTCCTGAAGAGTATTCTGGCTGGCCGAGAATGGCGTGTCCGACAAGCAAGTTGTGCTGCAGTGGCCGACCTGATTCAAGGCCGCCGCCCCGAGAAATTCGCTCAATATCTTGATGAGATCTACGGCAAGGCCTTCAAACTACTAGACGATATTAAGGAATCCGTGCGCACCGCCGCTCTGAAGCTCTGTCAAACGATCACCAACTCCGTCATTCGCACACTTGAAACAAGTGGCACAGAAAAGCGAGCAGCCACTTTACTCAAAAGTGCGATTCCTTTCCTTCTGAGCGACAAAGGACTTGATGCCAGTGCGGAAGAAGTGCAAGGTTATGCCATTGGTGCTATTATCTCAATAATCAAGAAAAGCCCCGGCAGTCTACTGCGCCCGTATGTTCCCAATATGCTGGAGAAATTCCTGAGTGCTCTGAGCTCTCTAGAGCCCCAAGCTGTCAACTACGTCCATCTCAATGCGGATAAATATGGTCTCACGGGTCAGGAAATCGACAAAATGCGCTTATCTAGCATCCGTACATCCCCTATGATGGAAGTGATTGAGCGATACTTAATCGATAATCTGGACGAGAGTAACCTGGATGAGCTGGCACAAAGACTCGAAGATGTTCTCCGGTCGGCCGTGGGCCTACCCTCGAAGGTAGGTTGCAGCCGAGTCTTAGTACTACTTAGCATGAAGACCTTGATGTTCCGGCCCTACGCAGATCGATTCATTCAAATCCTCACCAAGTATGTGGTCGACCGAAACGAGACAGTCAGCGCCTCCTACTGCTCATCAATGGGCTATCTCCTGCGGCTCGCCTCAGACGACCGCGTTCTCAAGACAATTGAATTCGCTAAAACCCTTTACCTTTCAGCTGAGGATGCGACGCCCCGAGTGATCTCCGGAGAAATTCTTTACTCCGCCTCCAAGCTGTCCAATGATCGCTTCATGGCGTTTGCCGCGAGCGCATTGCCGTTCGTCTTTGTGTGCAAACACGATGGCGACGAGCATGTGAAAGACCAGTTTGAGAAAACGTGGCAGGATAACGTCGGTGGCTCCCGTGCGGTCACCCTCTACATCCGTGAGATTGTCGGCCTTGTTTCGGACAATTTGGACTCTCCCCGTTGGGCTATCAAACATACGGCCGCACGGGCGATAGCGCAGGCTGTGGTGTCACTTGATACGGAGATCGATCTTTCTACGATGCAATTGGTTTGGCCGGTTCTGGAGCGCGCGCTGGCCGGGAAAACATGGGACGGTAAAGAGGTCGTGCTGAAGGCACTAGTGAAATTCAGTAGCCAGACGAAGCAGTGGCAAGCTAGGGAAGAGTTGAATAGTCTGAAGGTGAGATTTATTTTTGCCACTTTCCCCGCGACTTTTTTTTTATTGCATGATTTTTATGTTTTATTACACGGGAAAAGGGGGTCAAAAGGAAGCTAACGCGTGTCAGACGATTACGGTTCGCGAAGCGAAGCGAGCTAACGTTCTTTACCGGCCGCATGGACTACGAGCAATGGGCGAGATCGCACAAGCACGCAAGGACCTTGATTTCATGCCAGATGCGATTAAGATAATTCCTTCCGTGGTGGAAGAAATGTGTGAGGACGACCAAATGGAGATAGACTCCAAGAATGGTGCGAATGGCTCGACCCAAGACGATACCCTTGCAGCGTGTATTCAATGCCTCCTGCAATGTTTTAACGAGGCCCATTCAGGAAAAGGTCAGTCCAATAAGATCCGGGGGAAAATCCCAAAAAGAAAAATGGAAAAAGAAAAAATAAGACAATCAGACAAAAAGACAAAAACCCTGGAAACCCCTAGCGCCATGCCCTTGCTAACACTAACCATAGCGCTGGGAGACTACGTGGAACAGATGACCGGTCTGCTGGACCAGGTCCTCCAACACGGTGGACGACAGGTCATCAGCACGGGCTACGAAGAGCTCCGGGCGTTTTTTACTCGAGTGGATCAGTGGAGCTCGGATGCCTCCGGTGAGAATCAGAGTCATATAATGACTTCCCTATCTAAACTTCTCACAAATGAACTGGATGGATCTGTCGAGGCCATCCGCAAGGGTCGTGCAGAAGCCATTCTGGCGTACCTGAAACTTCCTGCCCAAGTGCCCGATGCACTTGTCACCAGCCTGGAAGAGTGGAGAGCCAGTGAGCGATCCGGAACGGTGCAGCGACTCCTCGACGAAGCCCTCAAGCTAAGCAAACCACGTGGTTAAAGGGAATTCTAGGAGGTTATTGGTTGAACCGTTCCATCAAGTTTGGTTCAATTCTAGGAACCATGAGATTGCAGCGATCGAGAGGGAATCGAACCAATCATAGTCATGCTACTAGCTCTAATTCAGTAACCACCTGCGATATCGGGTTCCATTTTTAATTGTTTATTTGAGTTAAATCTCGAACAATTGGCTCTCATTCACACGGATTTTGGAATTTCCTCCAAATCCCGAAAGATAATGAATGCTTGAATCATTTTACATATCCCAAATTATTTTTTTAGTGCTGCGCCACTCGCTAATTCCTCGGCCAAGTCCGTTGGGAATGCGGAGGAGTCGAAAGTTCCCCCCTTCCCAGGACGTAGATCCAGACCGGGGGCCCGGGCCGATCGAGACTGCGGTTAGTTTTTTCCCACTGCATTGACTTTGTCTGGTTGTGGTGGTTAGTTGACTTCTGCTAGCTTCAACTTGATTTTTCCCTACTTTCTTCGACATTTCCCTTCATTTCCCCTTGGCCATAATTGTCCATTCTTCGGCTCCGATAAATGTTTTTTTCCCCAAAAAATAAAAAAAAGGCGTATCGACACCTTTTACGTGGCTTCAGCCAGCCCCTTCCCTCCCCCCCCTAGGTTTATACGTTTTCTGTCTCTATCCTAGTGTCTCCCCTAGTTCCCTCTAGTGCCCGGGGATAGCCCAATTCGGGCAGGAGAATAATAATAGTATCTTTCCACATGGTTGGCATCTGCATGCCATCACGGGCCCTTAAGTTTTTTTTCGCTTTCGTTCCTCTTTCCCTCTCTCTTTCGAATTAGCTCTATTTCTGTTCAATTCCTTTCCTTTCCCTTCCCAATCCCCCGGACGAACCGGATATCTACTTCGGGATCTGACCTGTTTCTCTCTTCGCATCCGAGATTCAAGATCACCCGCCACCCGTCAAGCCTGAAAACAGGGCTGCGCCATTCTACGAACCATGCATTTTTTCCTGAATATCCCCACCCTACATATATGATCACATCATTCCTCTATATTCGCCTCCCCCATATCTTATTCTTTCGCTCTTTTTCCTTCTGATCCTTGTGATTACCTTCCTTTGAGCCATTGTACTGTCTGGTTTTTTATTGGGTAAGTCACACACTATTTTTCCCTTTCTCTCTTTTTCTCCACAGCTAATTCCTTCAGTGACAGCCTTATGACGGTCACCAGTTTAGTGATGCAGAACCGCCGGAGCAAAGTCTCTGGGAAACCACCATTGCGATTGCCTATTATCGCTCCTAAAGAGGATCTTTTTGCAGGCCTTGCCAAATCTGATAAATTGATCGCGCCACCACGCATCCGCCTCCCTCCACGGTCTCGTACTGGTTGCTGGTAAGTACGCAAGTATATATTGACCCTGTTCGTTTGGTGAACACAAGCTTATTCTTTTTTCTTTTGTTCAGGACCTGTCGAGTGAGTTCTTAATTTTTTGTCTTCTTCTCTGGGGGCTTTTATTAATTTGGGTTTTTTTTCTTTTTTGAACAGAGTCGAAAGGGTGAGTTTCAATATTCTTTTGGCCCCCAACTTCGTGGCTGACATTCTCTCTAGTCAAATGTGATGAAGGACACCCGCAATGCAATGTAGGCATTCTTCACCTCCTATTTTTTGGGGAGAAACTTTGTCTTTTTTTTTTTCTTTCTTCATTTTACTCATGGGTTTTCTAGCAATGTACTCGTCTAGGCCATACTTGCGATTATCGCCCTCGATTGGCGTTTCGTGATGATACCCCTCGCATTATGGGACGTATGGCCGATGTGAAGACGAATGGTCATGTCGTGTGGGATCGTAAGCACCTTTGATTGGGCTCTCGTCTATTAGAATAATTCATACTAACCAGAGTAGTTACCTCGCCCAATTCCAATGATGAGAGAAACGACTATTTCGCTCTCGGGGATTCTCTTCCACCCTTTTCCTTACTCACTTCAGATGAAGACAGGGAAAGGAAAGCAGAGGCGTTTAGTCCCGGCACATACCATGTCGTTATGACTCCAGACAGTTTCTCCTCACTGCCTGAATATGCAGACGATGCAGTCGAGAAATCTAGATCCAAGTCTGCCAGCGAATGTAGGAGCTCGGCGGCAAATAGCCCCACATCTGCAGTCAGAAGCGAATGCAGTGTGAGAGGCGAAGATCCCAATGTGGTCATTTTGAAGACTTTTGAAGATGTCACTCGGCGCTCGCCGTCAAATGGGAAGCTTTCAAAGTTCTCGCCAACCTCTGAGATCTCAGATCCATTCTGCAATCTGTCTCTGTCTCCTATCTTCACTTCTCTTCCCTCACCAGATGTCAAAGCCGAGGAAATCTCATTTTTGGACCCGCGCCTCGATCAGCAAGCTCAAGACTCTACCCTCTTTTCACACTTCCGCCATGTGGTATGGAGGCAACTCTTCCCTCACGACCATAGGCTGGCTGATTCTTCTGGGTCTGATAGCCACTTCATGACCCTCAGTGTGGACTTCCTAGAGCAGGAAGCCATCCATTTTCCTCCAGTGAGTGACACTGTATCCATACTTTATTATGTTCATACTAACTGTTTGCAGCTCTCCCATGCTATGATGGCCGTATCAGCCCTTAGTCTGTCGCACAGCGGCACAGGTCACAATGTCGATGCGCTACAATATTACCAGCAAGCGTTTCCATCTCTTCAAGTCAGCCTACGGAACAATGATGATCTTGTTTCGGATGGTTTGTTCCTCACTCACTTCCTGCTTCTCATTTACGAGGTAAGAACTTCCGACTCGCTACTACGACCACATGTACTCATATTGGTTTAGATCGCAGCCGCTGAGCCGCACGGCTCAAATCTCTGGTCCCACCACATCTCTCGTCTCCTCCACATCGCTTTCCTGCGACGAGAAAAGTACGGCCAGGAACCCCACCCCTTCATCCTCTGGTGGGTATCACACATTGATCTGTACGCCCTTTTCAGTGGAGCAGGGACAGGAGAGTTCGTCCGTGCCGTCATCGATCACCAGATGCTCCCCGGATCAGAATCTCTCCTCTATCCCAATGCCCCTGAGGGCTACAGTGTAATCTACTCGGATGAGCATGAGAGCTTGCCCATCATCATGCGTCTATATCACGACACATTCCGACTGGCTGCTCAACTTGGCTTCTTGGCTAGTCAGCTTCGTCACGACAAGCAAAATTTACCTTTTGCCGAGTTCAACGAGCGATCACAAGAAATCAGTGACCTTCGTCTAGCATTCAGCAGACTTTGGGAATCTCCTGATGTTGCGTTCTTACATCAACATCAGGATAGTCTCCCGCGGCGGTCTAGGGAAATTATGCAACAGGTTAGTTCCTCCCTTGTTATTATCTTTAGTTTTGTTCCGAACTAATTTCCCCGTCTCTAGTCGGCAACACTATATCATGCTTGTCAGCTATTTTCCTACAGCAGCATGTGGCCTCGCCAGCGTGTTGATGGCGAATACTCCTCTGACGGAGAAATCGACCACCATGCAACTGAGATCTTGCGTTTAGCCGAGCGAACTACACACACTCGCCGAGCTGATCGACACTTTTTAGTATTTCCCTTGTTCTTGGCTGGTGCTACAGCCTCGGCTAGTGGTCTCAAGATGATGGCGATGGAATTGATGACGAGTATGGAAGATGAGGAAGATGGTATGGGCCGCAATGCTGCTACCACTCGTGCTATTCTTCAAGTCGTTTATGAGCGACAATTGGAGCGACTTATGCGTGTAGGTCATACATTTGATGTTGATTGGTCTGATCTGATGGCCCAGGAGGGTCTTCAAATGGTCAATTTCGGATTTTAATTGCAATTTGTGGAGTTTTGTGTTCTTTTTTCGGGGGTGGGAATTGGCGCATACTTGCGGGGAGGCATTTGGTTTTTTTTTTTTTGTTTTACTTATATTTTGTATTATGTTTTGACTATGTTTAGCATGATTGACGATGGATATGGGTTGTATGTATATAGACACGAATTAAGGAATCCTTGGAATTTACTCGGGCCGAGCCATTACAGATTAGATGTAGATATAGTTAGATATAGATATAAACAAACAATAAACAGCTCTTTAATATAATATAATCTACTATACTACATAACATATAACATATAATTATACATAGTTATATACTATTTCTCGTTATAACTAACTACTTATGAACTTACTAAGTCAAGGCCTCAAGGCAGCAATTTGTGATATTCTCGTCACCTGCGGGGTTCGGCGTCTCGCCCTTTTGGCGCCTGCACCAATTCCATAGATCTTCTCGGTTTCATCGTTTTCTCGTTTCTTTTACTTTGAATTTGGCTTTTGCTTCTTTTGAGACTATTCCTCTGTGCTGATTCTATGAATAGTCTCTACACATAAGCAGTACCCCTCACATTTTCAAAAGGATCTTCGGCTGATCTCCGTATTCGGTACGACTTTCTGTGGCTGGATTCTGTCTTCTGCAGCTTTCTAGCCTCATTAATCGGCGCCATGAGTGGCAGCAACCGTTCTCTTCATCCCGAGGAGCTTTTCCTCAATGATACTGATCTAGAATCGCCTGTCGTTGGTCCTAGTCCTCTACGCATCAGCAAACAGGACTCGTCATCTCCAGCATCGGCCTCGGGTTCCAGCCCCAAGCCAAATAATGCCCCGCTGCCCTATCCCGACGAACGTCAGCGTTCTCAAATGCGCACTTCCAGTCCAAATGATCGACGCCCCGATATGAGATATGGCTCTCCCCCAGCTGGTTCTGGTTCTGTGAGTCCCAACGAATACCCTTCAACTTTGCGCCCGCGGGACGGTCGTGAGCCCCGTGTCGCAACATTGGCCGAGCGTAGAGGTGCTGCCCCTAGACCGCTACCCGAATCGCCGAGTCAAGATACACCAATCCGTGAGGCTCTAGCTGCTAGGCCCTTCCCTCGTCCCCCAGCTGGGCCTATCCCTGTGGATGCAGCAAACATAAATCAATATGGCCATCAACAATACTACCCGCCCCCGCAGCGCCAAAGTTCTGTATTTATGGCACGTCCTCCATCCAGTCTACAGCCCTCTCATGGCGTGCTCAACCGCTTCAGCTCAACCGCTTCCACATCCACGACTCGCGCCGAACGTGGTTCTCCCCCACCGCCCGAGACGCCTGTCGTCCCACCCGGCCAACAGTCTGGCTCTGATATCGAGGCCCGGTATGCTGCAGCTGGCATTGCGGGAACCGGAACCCTGCAGAGCATCACGTCGCCAAATGTTGCAGCGCAACGACGCGCAGAACAATATTCGGGTCAACACCCGACTTTCCAGCCACCTCAACCGCGTCCTTGGACTCCGACTGAACAACCTGGGTCTCAGCCTCACGGTCCTCCTACCGTTTACCAGGGTGGCGAGGTCGTGAGTGAAAATGATCGCCCTACTCCTCAACCTGGCCCTACTCCTCAACCTGGCCAGTATAGTAGCCCACCGCCTCGGGCCCATCCAGGCCAATATGGTTCACCACAGCCTCAGGCTCATCCAGGTCAATACAGCAGCCCACCGCCCCAATCTCACCCAGGTCAATACAGCAGCCCACCACCCCAATCTCACCCAAGCCAATACAGTGGATCTCCATCTCAACAGCTTCCTGCTTCCTTGCCACAACAGCAACCAGAGCAGTTAGGAAGAGTCCCACCCAACCCCTTGGAACAAGACATGGACCGGATGCGCCTCAGCTCCTCTCCTCCTCCTGCTTATTCAAGTGTCCCCGGTACCTCTGCTTCAAGTCGATATCCCAATGAAAAGCAAAATGCTGCTGCTGCTGCTGCTGCTGCCACTGGGGCTGCTATGATGCATCCAGCTCTGGCAAATCACCCTGCTGTTGCAAACTCACCTTCGCCTGCACCGGTTGCCTCGGCTCAGGATCATCCTGCCTTTGCAAATGATCCAAGACAGCAGCAGCAGGAACAGTCTCCACACCCCCCTGTTGCCAGTGATTTGTCCGGGTTCCACCATCAGACAATTCAGGCCACTTCTCCCGGTCCTTCCGGGGCAAGCCCAGCATCCCCGCCACCTCTTCCTGAAGGGTGGATTGCTCATATGGATCCGAGCTCTGGGCAGTACTATTACATCCATTTGCCCACGCAGTCGACTCAATGGGAGTTCCCTAAGGGACCTACGCCGCTCAACCTCAACGATACACCCATGTCACCAGTGGGAAGTGTATATAGTGCCCATCCCCTGGCCTCGCCGGGCCTTTCAGCTTTCGGAAAGCATCCTCTTGCATCCCCTGGCGTGCCTTTGACCCCTGGCTTTGAGAGCCTGCAGTCTCCCACAATGACTGGGTTTTCCGGCCCTCCTCCCAGCAGTGGTATGGACTTGTACAAGACTGCTCCCACTAACGGTGTCTACTTTGGTCCTTATCTGCGATACACCAACATGGACCTCGAACGTGGTCTTTGGTTGGGATCTATTCTGCTCGTGACGGATGCCGCACAACCGCCTACAATTCACATGCATCAAAGTGTGGACTTATCTCCAAACCCACAACAGCTGAAAGCAGTTAACATTGCGGCTCACCAGCGCTGGACATTTTACAAATATGAAATTAGCCTGCAGATGGACGATGGAGGTCCGGCGAAATGGACATATGCAATTACTTCACACCTTGGCTGCACCCGTTACGAGTTTCTCGTCGCTGGTCGACATGAGACTAATTGGAGGTTCATTGCGACCTCTGGAAATGACTTTTCGCTCAATGTCAATGCCAATGAGCGCGCTCGTCTCGGTGGTGCGGGCTACATGTGGAAGGATATCATGCAGAAGCATAACGAGATTGGAGGATTTCACACCCAACTGTGTCTTGGTGGCCAGATCTATGCAGATCGCATGTGGAAAGAGATCCCGTCTCTCAAGCAATGGCTGACTATCAGTGGAAAGGAGGCTCGGAAGAACGCTCCTTGGACCGCTGCTAACCAGCAGGATGTCTCCCATGCATACTTCCATTACTATACCAGCCACTTCGACCAACCCTATCTCAGGGAGTCTTTTGCGCAGATTCCTTACATCTGCCAGATCGATGATCACGATATGTAAGGAACCCATGTTTGCAGGTTCAATGTGAAATACTAACATACCGCAGCTTCGATGGCTTTGGCTCGTATCCTGAACATATGCAGTTCTCTAACATGTTCAAGAACATCGGCCGCATCGGTATCGAGATGTATCTTCTCTTCCAGCACCACACAACTCTCGATATCCTCCGCAATGTCAACAACGACATGGACCTGTTCACTATCACCGGAACAGGCTGGCACTTTGTTAAGTATCTCGGTCCTGGTGTTGTTGTCGTCGGTCCCGATTGCCGCTCCGAACGAAATCCCCATCAGGTCATGGCTGGCCCCACGTACCAGGGTCTCTTCCCGAAGATCGCAATGCTTCCGCCTAGTGTGCAGCACTGTCTTTGGATGGTCGCTGTGCCGCTTATCTATCCACGACTGGAAACCGCAGAACATATTGCCCAGACTGTCGCTACGGGAAAGCGCGCCGTAACTGGTGCTTACAATGTTCTGGGTAAGGTGACCAGTTCTGTGGCCGGTGTCGTGGGTGCCAAGGACTTTGTTGGATCCGGCTTTGACTCGGTAAAGCGAGCTGTGGGCAAATCGGGACTTATGGGTGGTATCCTGAGTCCTTTCGGAGAGTTCAACTCTATGGATGAGCTACGAGATCAGTGGACGCATGAGTCGAAGGTTTGTTCCCCGTCAATTCTCATAAATGGCTGGAAACTAATTACAGTCAGGATCTCGAGCGCACATACCTGATCCGCACCCTCCAAGGGATAGCTCACCAAAAGTCTCTCCGTATGACGTTCCTCTCGGGCGCAGTCAACGTCTGCGGTGCTGGTCTCGTCCACGATCCTTCCAACCCCTCGGATCACAAGACAATGTATCAGCTCATCGCCTCCCCCGTTGTCAACACCCCTCCTCCATCCTACATAATCAAGCTCCTGCACAGTCACAGCAAGCCCCTGTACGTCCCTGCCAACGGACATCGGTCATCCGCCCAACCTAGCGATACCAAGGAAGATATGATGGAGATCTTCCAGACAGACGTCAACGGTCAAGCCCGCGAGCACCGCAAGCTCATGGGCCGCCGGAACTATGTTGCTATTGTTGCATATGATCCCGAGACAGTCAGCTCGCCTTATGGTGGATCACCTCAGGGCTCGAACAGTAAGCTAAGTCTAGCGGCGGACTTCATGGTCCAGGGTGAGGGGGCACTCGGGAACGTGGTTAAGTTTGGACCTGTTATTGTGCCAAGTTTGGAACATGGCAGGTGAAGTCCCGTTGAGTTTTCATTGACCATGTAATGTTTTTTTTTCTTTTTCGTGCACATCATTTACTAGCTGAATTGTCTTTTGGTGTTTGGATATCCGTCTTCTGTTGTTTTCTAGCCTTCTTATGATAACGAGACTGCGCCTCTGTTCTAACATTAGAATTTTCCCCATCCCTCCAGTACATCAATACCTCGGTGTGGCGGTATAATATATCTTGGACAAATATCGAATATCGAGGTTGTATAAAAGCTCAACTAGTTCTTTATAATGTCCTGGTGACTTGTAGCTATAACTATATCATGTAATACCATAAGACTTGCGTTGACATACATGAAGTATACACATGACTCAATAAAATATAGGCAAGAGACAACCCGAAGCCAGAGAGAGAACATATTCCCACGATCCGGAATCGAACCAGGATCTGTGAGCTCCGAGGAGCCTAGGTATGTGCGCCTATACACAAGCCTACCGGTCAGGGCACCATGCTGCCATTGCACCATCCTGGGTGGATTTTGAAAGGAGGGAAAGGAAAGGGAGGGACAGGGTATGGGAGGAGAGGTGAAAAAGGGAAGAGGAAAGGAGAGGCATGAGACTACTTATGAGTATTGCCCGCCACTGAAGAGGGGCGAGGAGAGAAAACGTATTTGATGCTCCGATGCTCTAAGGCCTAATCGAGTCATGTTATAACTCCGCGATTAAAGCAGAATCGGGAGACACAAATGATTTGACTAAGAAGCTGAAAAGCATTTAATGTCGATAGATATGGCTAAATAGGTATCATAGATAGGTTTAGACGATATAAACGAAAAACAATCTCAGCTTCAAAAGCACATCTAATCTACCCAGTCGGATCTCCCCCCGGTACACAAAGTCCAATGCGCCAAAAATAGTCCCGATGGGCATAGAACAGCTCCCAAAGTCGATACCTTCCCGGTATAATAGACCAGTCCCAACTAAGAGCAGACAATTCGTCCTTGCTCCTGCCACAGCTAGTATGATCCTGACTTCCACGTTCTCCCATAACAACTTGATCTTCCCTAGAGACAGACTCATCGTGAGAACGACACTCCGAAGTAGAAGCCGACGACCCACGGGAGTGCATATCTCGATATAATCCAAGGAGAAGAGCAGGCGCATCAGATCCGGCAATGCACCTTGGATCACAATCACCCGCGCACACATGCACATCCTCCAACGCGGGAGGAAGGTCCGATCTCGAGATAAACATCTCACCCGCATGGGCCCGATATCCCCATTCCCGAAGCGGAAGCAAAGGAACCGGATCATCGATGTGGGTCACGCGTCGGAACCGCTGGCCCTTCATGGGAGGAATGGTAACGGCATCCCTGAACCCGAATTTCTCGTCGAAGAACTTCACAAAATCCCCATTTCCTATCATCGGTTCACCAAAGGTTGTTACCAACGGGTCCCAGCCTTTAAGTCGCATTTCTAAACCCGCTAGTGCGGCTACCGCACCGCCGAGGGAGTGGCCTACGAGTGTTACTTCGTAATCGGGGTATTTCTGCAATGCCGCTGCGACGTGTGGGAGGATGGTGGTGCGCGTGTGGACCCAGGAGCTCATGAAACCGGCATGGACGGTACAGTTGTCACATTTTGGTCCTGGAGTTGAGGGTTCGCCTGTGTATGGGATGTAAGACTGGGGGTAGGCGGATAGGTCGATTATCGTGTTGGTTATTGAATAGGTGCCGCGGAATGCGATAATGATCCTTTTTGGGGTCGTGTGTGAGAGTGCAATGTACCCACATGAATCGGATAGGAGAACTCCCGTGTTCCACGTCTAGTATATGGTTAGTTGGGGTTTGGGGTTTTGATAGGGTGGGCACTTACGGTTATCAGCTCGAAATCAGGGAATTCAATGCATCGGCTAAGACATTGGAATGGCTGCTGTACTCCTGTTGTACCTACACAGTATGAGATATCCACCAGGCGGGATAATTCTTCGAGGGAGTCGAAAACATCGCGCGAGACATTTTCGTTTTGGGCGGTGACACCCAGAAGATATAGATATAATAGTAAAGGAATGAATAGAACATTAATCATGGTGAAGCATATTGGATATCCAGGAGTATTATATTAGGACTCCCTTCATAAAGAAGAAAAAGAATAAAACTTGGAAGAAGAAGAAGAAGAAAGAGTCAAGTGACGTGAAAGAGTGACTGGAATCCGGGGTAAACTTGTTATGTCATCGATAATTCTGATTGGCCGAACTATGTAGATCACGGGATATGTGCAATGAAGACGATTGGATATTCTTTTTTAGTTATTCAATACTTCAATGCTGCACTCCTACAGGGAACAAGTATGTACTATATGCAGCTCAGTGCTACCTCAGTGTTTTCTCACGTGGACCAGATTACCACACGACCATCGATACCGCTTGCTATGATATCGTTAGTTTTGCAAATCAAACCAAGACAAAAAAAATATGAGAATGCTTACTGCTGAAAGAGCTGACACCTCCGTTGGTTTCTTCATGAACCCGAATGGTGTTCACTGTATTCTGGTGGGTGGACTTGAGCTTTGTATCAGCTGAGGACTGGCCCTTGAGATCCATCTGTCGAAACATGTTCAGAGCAGATTCCTCGCGAGCACCACTAGCATCACCGGCCTTCTTCTCTAGAGACCCAGCAAGTTGCCATCCATTCTCATCGCCGCGGAAGCGGAAAGGCTCGCAGTCCTAGGGGTTGGTTAATGATAGACTCATACCATGAATAGAGATAACACTTACATGTCCAGCTGCAATAATCTCCGTCTCACCGTTCCAGATGAGGCTGTTGAGAGGCAGCAGACGCGTAGAGATGTTCAACATCGCCCGTGGGGGCTGCTCTGGGGCGCTGGGGTAGACGATAGTCACGCTGCTATCGTGTCCAGTGAAGGCAAGGGCATTGCCGCTGGGTGAGAAAGCGACACCCTGAATCCAACCAGCAGTATCATTCAAGTATTCACCGCAAATAGTGTTGAAAGGCAGACGCTCACCCCAAGCACTAGGCTCCGGGCGGGTGTCAATGCCCTTGATGAAACTAGAAAAGACGCGGGCATGGGAATCGGTGGATCCAGCTGCCAGCAGGACTGAGTTCGGGTGCCATGCCAAGGTTGTAATGGTGCTACGAATAGGCTTCTTGAGGTGCTTCGAGATCCACCAGTCGTTCTCCTCCTCGAAGTAACAGACAGCGATCACTCTAGCACCGGAGCCAACAGCGAACTTTTGCTCAGAGGGAGACCAGCGCACGAATGTTGCAGCACGGTTGATTCGGAGAAGGACGAGGGTGGGCTTCCAGCCGGAGGGGGTCTTTTCCCAGACGTAGGCATTACGGTCTATCCAACATCTGTTAGTATGATTTGTATATTTAGAGTGAACAAGTGGATTGAGACTGACCCTGCGAGCAAGTCACGATTCGGCCACTGTTAGGAGCAATGTCAACACTGGTGACGGTCTTCTCGTGGCCCTTGAGTTCATCGCTCAGCGCGAACTTGCTGCCTGATTGTTGATATAGCTCTACATTGTTCTCCCGAGCGACAGCAAGTGTCTGCCTGTCGGTGGAGAATGAGTGGTCTGCGATTGGAGCATGGAACAGATGGTGAACTTGAGGAGTGGACATATTGGCGATTGAATGCGACAGGAGGATCTCTCTACCGTCGGTGGCTTGTGTACTTGCGGGAACTGGGGGAGGGGAGCTGATGACGCCCCGAGTGGGGATTAGGTAAGTATTTAGTCACATGACCAGAAGCTCATTTTCAATCGAGAGTTTTGACATTCTATCGACACAGAACGCGATTGAGCTTCACTTTTCCCTCACTTAATCTCATCTAGTGGCCTTACTGAGCCGGAAATTACTTGGAGTCCTTTAGTCAATCCAAAAAATGACCTCTAACGCACTGCCCTCTCGTGGCGGCCCAGACAGCAAGGCCGTTACTACTGGCCCCCCCAACCAGACGTGAGCTGACTCCAAGAAAACAAGCTGTCGTGTGTCAATGCTAATAATTGCTTAGACTGTATTGTACCAACTTGCCCGATAAGCGCATCAGCAAGAATGATCTACGAACCTCACTCTACACACTCTTCTCTACTTACGGCACTGTACTCGACGTTGTGGCCATGAAGACCAGCAAAATGCGAGGCCAAGCACACATTGTGTTCAAGGATGTCCAAGCTAGCACACAGGCCCTGCGGGCGTTGCAAGGATTCGAATTCCTTGGGAAACAAATGGTGTGAATTGCGTGCCTTTTGATCTGTTACAAACCCTCTAATATATTATCCAGAAAATCGTTTACGGCAAAGGCCAATCACATGTCATTGCCAAGCTTCGCGGCACTTACATTGCGCCCAAGGACGATGTACCAGCGCCCGTATCGAGTGATCTTCAAAAGTCTATCTTCAGTGGTCCTCCGGGCGCGCTTCCTACACGACCACCCACCGACGCCAACGGAGAAGGTCAAGGAGTGAAGCGAGCGCGCGAGGAGGAAAGTGATGAGGAAGGAGCCCCTATGGACGAGGACAGTGATGTGCCTATGGAAGCTTCTTCAGATGAAGATTAAGTTTATCGTCCAATTCTTCGGGACGGAGAAAGTTTTTCGAGTCCTCGCTTCGCATTTTTATTTCATTTTTCCAGCATACATGCATGAAGTACGGTCTGGTACCGGACTAAGCAACAAGCTCGCGTGGCACGTGCAGGTTCACGCAATGGCCAACAAGGCCGAGCCAGATGAGGAGATATGACCCAGGACTGACGCTCTGTGCATCTGCCAGATGCGCTATAGCATCTGCGGTATTGCACGGGTGGACGAAAAAGGCCGGGGCACCAGAATCTGGATGGTACTACGAGAAAAAGAAAAAAAGACATGAGTTCTTGCTTGTCACGAGGTTTCGAGCATGCACCTACACCCATACTAATCCCACCCATGACACCCACATTCTTCAACTGTTGCCTGTACTGTTCCGGCACCACATATTGGTAGACCTCGTCTAGTCCGAGTGGGCCGTGGCTGTGCGACCTCAACCCGAAGTACAAGACGGGGACCTGATATGTGGGGGACCACACGATGTCATAGTCTACCTGTAAGCTGGGCTGGGTGCGAACGAGAGCTTCCTGCGGTGAAGGGTCACATAAGTGGACACGTTCCCTTGGGGCTGGAAATCTGCATACCGGATCGTCTTCTTGAGAATCTAGATCTGTGGCTTCTGAGCTGGCAATGTATTTTGTTATTCTGAAGCCAGTACCTGGCTAATTTAATTCAAACCATATTTCCTGTCAGTGAGATTCATTCAACAAGATTATTCCAGAAGGAATTCTAATATGAAAATTGTACTTAAAAAAAGCAATAAGGGAAAGGAAAAGAAAAGAAAAAGAGTCCATGTCAATCGAGGAACCAAATAAGATTTAATGGTTCATGCATGGAGAAGACAAGGGATACCTTTGTGAGCAGTCGAATAGACCAGCCATCTTGGGCCGAAGTGCATCGATCAGCGAGAGCTTGACATGCCTCTTCAAATTCCGACAGCGTCAGGAAGGGAAACGCAGAACATGCCCTGTGGCTGGGGGAAGTGTCATGTGTACGCATGCAGAGATACCTCAATGAATGCGGTTCAAGATTGATAGCTCTTTGACCTGTACACGCGTCGAAAATTGAAAGTGGAAAAAAGCGTGGCGATATGATGATTGCGGATGTCCGGATATAGAAGAGGAAGAAGGAAGAAGATGAAGACAATGGAGTTGTGTTATGCAAGATGGTAACCCTTAGTTATCAGGTTTCGAAGTAACTAGTACATCGAGCAGCAATAGTGATGTGAGAAAAGCCAGGTAGTGGATACATGTAGTTCCCCAGTTCTGTTTACCCGCTTCCGGGAAGAACACGGTCGGTACTTCACCGTGTTCTTGTATGGACTCAACAGCATTGAGTACTAGCCAGGTACCCTTCCCTTCCTTGTTTTCCGCATGCAGATTTTGTTTTTGTGATTTTTTGTGATTTTTCTGTCCTTTTTTTTCTTTTGGTGTCCAAATGCTTGCATCGCTTTCATCTATTCGTTTTTATTTTTCGCTTTGTGTCTAGTGTTTAGTTGCATGGAATTTTTGTGTTAGCTCTCTTCATATGTATCGTATGTTCCCCTCTCCATTCCTTCTTCCACTATTCTTTTTTCTTGCTTTTTTTTTAATTGTTATTGTTTTGTCTATAATCATTAATGCCGATCCGATTGTCTATGCCTTGTCTACTGTGTGGACATTGAAATCCTGCTTGGAGGGCTACTATCTTGACGTAACCTTCAAATTCCTTTCTGCTGTCCAGTCCAACCAATTCCTGCATCGCACCCAATCTGAAACACGAGTTCCCGCCCCATCATCTCCGGACTCCTGTTGAGGAACCCTGTATCACCAATCGCACCCTCCATTCCAAACAGAGCGGATACACGAGCTTGGAGCTCGGATTGTGTCCTCTGTGGACCAAGAGCGTGGCTTGACGTCAACAAGTCTGGGGTGCGATTTAACCTGCAGATTCATATAACTTAAGCAGATCAGGACTAGGTCATCCCCTCGTTGTGCGAGGGACAGTGCTCTCCAGGCTGTCACCAAGCTCTTTTTCCAATTAGTATATCATTCTGGTCATTTTCCATGCTGCGCATGCCTTGAAAACTGACCAGAGCAAATCTGAATCTACCCGCCTTGCATCTGGCGTTCTTAAAATCATGGGCAATTCTCAATCGCGCCTTGCCAAAGAAGATGCCCGCCGCGCCAACCGCCTCTCAAAGCCTCTGACCAAGAGAGTGAGTGAACCCACTCAACTCGAACTAGATCATTCGGGGTTCAATTCGGGCTTGATAGGCTGGCAGAATCCCTGGGTGGGACATAACATCAGTACCTCTGTTGAGAAACGAGGTAGTTATCCCAAGAAAGCAGAGATCCCACCTACACTGTTCGAGACAGAGTCGCCCGATGAGAGTTCAACTGAGCAGCGTTTCTCTGAACATGACCCGACTTTCGAAAGACGCCATTCAGCCCATCCAAGTCTTGTGACTGCAGGGTCTACAAGAACGTCGTACCAGTCGGAAACTTGCTCTCAGCCCTCGCCCGTTTCCGAACAGCCGCCTAGTCGGGCCAATTCCACTCGAACTGCCCTGCAGAGACACAACAGTGCCGTCTATGAAAATAAAGCAACGTCTTCCAACACCCACTTCTTAGTTGGCAACCAAAGGTTCTCATTGACACGTCGTCGATCACTTTTGACGCGCCCTGGGGTTGCTACAAGGAGAACGACAGGTGCAATTCGCCGTGTTCCTTCGCCAATCGGGGAACCAGAGTACCAGATTGAGGATCCAACCGAGTCAACCGTACTACAATGGCCATTGCCTTTGACCCAGCGCCCTTTATCGCCAGTGCGGCCAACGAGTCCGACCGATGCTCGCTATACCCAGCTCGGAGCCCTCAAGCTTGGGTCTTTGCGAGTGGTCAATGGTTCGGCTTCTCCATGCCCGAGCGATCGAATTTCTTTGAAGGGGTGTGCTCCAGTTCCGGGGCTCGGGCTTGAAAACATGGAAGTCGCAAGGCCCAGCAGAGGATCCACACTGGAGATTCCAGCTTTGCCCGACTTGAAGAAGTCAGACGATGTTCCGGGTAGTCCCTTTTCATTCGAGAAGTCTCCCACCATCACCGTTGCGCCTAGGGCGAAGTCATTATTTCCAGATCCAGAGGATGAAGGTATCGCCCTCTTCGACGACACTAGACTCCAGCTGGAGAAGAGTGCTTTAGACGTCGGTCTTGCCCGAAGCACATCGCGATCACTCAACAAGTCCGACAGCGGTTACAGCTCCGCCGCGTCGGTCCACTCCATCCAACGAAGCCGCACTCAGAGCTCTGCTGACTCTCACACGTCGGTCTCATGCGGTGCAGACAGCGCAAAGAACGTTTGGATCTTCAATGCCCCGGCTTCTGGTCGACAAGGTGCTACGGTGCAACGTCATCTGAGCCTCCAGTCTCAGCCAGAGAACTACTCTCGATTACATCTTTCTGCTACTCGCTGGTATGACTCGAGTGACCCAGTTCCCCTCGCTCCTTCACGGTCGCGACGGTCGACACTATGTGCGCCTCGATACACAGAATATTCGCCGTGCGAGTTCACTCGCGAAGTCAGATCCAGCGTGGTTGAGACTTCATACCTCTCTCAATTATCTCAGAGTCAGCAAGGCTTTACTCGGGGCCCTTTCTATGGAGATCGGTTCTCCGTGAACTCATTTGATGTTGTCTCTTCTGCGGGCTCTTCTGCTACGTTGAATTCACATAGTTCCCAGCAAACCATGACCAGTTCGAAGGATCGACTTCGCAGGTCGGCCTCTGAGTATCATATCCATGAAGAATACAACTCACAACGCTCTCGGTCCCGCAGCAGAGTGGGTCGCATCTGGACGAAGAAGCCCGGGGTTGAAGCTCCCCCACTACCTACTATTTTATCACCAGGCTACTTGCAAGATGATCTCGACCATGAGCTAAATCTTGAACTCGTTCACTCTGAGCCAATGCGAGGCCGGCCTCGAAGCCGGAGCCACGACTACCGTCGGAAGCTGACGAAAACCCGCCCTCCGACGGATCTGTTCATATGATGACATGTTTTCTTTTTTCTTTTTACTTCTTGGGTTTTTGATGAGCTTTTAGTAACTTATGTTCTTGGGGGGGTTTTTTTTACCTTGCCTACAAAAGTTGATACGTTTGGCGGGGGTTCGAATTGGATATGGAGTCTTATTAGGTATACCCTTTTGGAATTGGATGTGAATCATATCTGGCGTTGTACTACGGACCTATCATGAATCATGTCGGGAGTGATTTTTTATCATATAATTGCGTTATGTCGCAATTTCAAGGGTTTTTATTTTCTATTTTTTTTATGAATAGTTCCAGCTATACATTAAATACATTAACTACTGATGCCGGAGCTGCATATATAGTCCCCGAATACGATCTCGAATTTCGTTTGTATTTACTTTTTTGGGGAAATTCCTTCACCGCGTGGTTGATCTAGAGTCCTCCTAGCGATCCCCTTATAAACTTTATCAATTGAAGCAAGGGATTGCTAGTTTAACATTGCATGAACAGGCTGATGTGGCTGGTGGATTTTGCTTCCATTTATGCCAAAATGGCATGATGCATGTGCATATTACCTATCCCTACAGCGTACAAAGTAGCAGATTCAATCAAAAATAATAGTCAAATATCAATTTAAATTAATTGGCATAACTAGCTGTCACATCTCATAAAATCCATCAATGAATCTAGCAGGAAAAGAAAACGCCGACCCGAGATCCCAATGCAATCAACAACACCAAGTTCCATGGATTGACCATGATGCAGAGTAGATATGATTTCCAATCACAGGATGCGAATCTTCTTTGGAACAGGAATCGCCTCCTTTGGAACAAACACAGACAAGACACCGTTCTTCAGGCTGGCGCGGACGGAGTCCTGATCAACACGCGCGGTAAAGTTAAAGGTGCGTTGGAAGTCACCAATGGACCGTTCCTTGATCCAGAAGTGAGGCTGGGCCTTTACTTCCTTGGAAGCAGCGGTGTCGACAGTGCTGGCGGAGCTAGCGGAGCTGGCAGAGCTAAGCGACTCTGCATCTTCCTGTTCATCTTCGACTGTGGCCTGGTGCCAACCTGCAGGGGACGAACTGCGGCTCGGGGTGGCATTATTAGCGTCATTGTTGTAATCGCGGTCGGTGTGGCCCTTGATGACGAGAGTGTGGGGGTCGGTGAACTCAATCTCGATGTTGCTTTGGTCTACACCGGGGAGTTCACCGTCCAGATAGTAGCCCTCATCTAGCTCGCGCACGTCAAATGCCGGTGCGAAGGAGCGGCGTGATTGAGACTTGGGGCATTGTACTGGGTTGCAGTTGTTGTAGAGCTTGAGTTCTGGCTGCTTGTACTCGGATTGAGTATCGTAGTCGTTGAGGAGTTGGAAGAGTGGCGAGAAGCCGGGTTGGGTGAAGAAAGCCATTTTTGTTTGGTTGGAGATGAGGATTTTTGGTGGATGGATGGCAGATAGATAGATATTGATCTGAGATAGTCTGAAGATTTGAATGTTCTGTCTAATTTTGCGAGAATTCTCTAGGATATTTATATTGTTGGTTCATTTCCAACGTTGGGTATAGTTAGTCACTACAGGTTGTATATGTCAGAAATACCGAATCATCCAGAATCTGGTGGCGCCGTCTCCAAGTTTCCAGGAACAACTACTTACTGACAAACTCCAACTTGGTTCTTTCTAGCTAATTCTTAAAAGATGATTCATTTATTTGATTGGTAATTAATCATATGATAAATATTCTATGATAATTAAAACACTACAAGTAAATTATAGGTAGTTCTTGGTTCTGCCTATATCAATTCTCTATTATCTTTGTATATCTAAATGTGTCTTGGAAATCTGAACGTCTTGAATCAACAAGGTATACTAGTATACATATGTGTATGTACAGAATAGATTGCCTTTTACAATAGGCTTCCCGGGGCCATCACATCACGCATGGCCATGCCTTTTTTTGCGTAGTAAGTTCACGGATAGGAAACCATTTAAACCCATTTTCGGGTGAACTCGGGGAAGGAGAGCTCCGACTCTACGACAATGAGTAAGTACAATATACAGCGTACAATGGAATGAGTGGAATGATACAGGGACAACGTACGTGATTGTTAGCTGGGTAGATAGATGTGCACAGAGTGTGGGTTACCCCGGTCTCATCGGATATTGCGGATCCCCGGGGAAGCATACATCTCCAGCTGTCGATGGCCTTTGCGCAAGAGATATTCAACGGCGCTAAAGTCTTTCTTGTTCACCGAACGATGCTTTTGGAATTCTGTTCTGTAGCCCGTCTCAGCCGGAGTGAACCGCTAAGTTCATCGGGAAAGGATAAGAGATAGGGCAATTGAAGGTAATTGAAAGTGATTTACCGAGCATAGTTCTTGAAATTGGTCCTTGATTCCTGATAAAGGGGACTTATGAGCTGGACGCGTTGAACCCAGGGGGGAATGATAGAACTCACCACTGGTTTATTTCGGACTTCCCGCAGACACTTTCGGTATAAAGACAAAACGTCCCTTTGCAGACCAGAGAGCCGAGCCATAATCTTGCACAGAGAAGAAAAGAAAAAGAAAAAAGAAACTGGCAAATGATTGGGTGGAGCTGAAAGGTGTTTCCCGTCGGGACTGGGGAAAAGAAGAGGGTCGATCGCTTGTTCCCGAATACCTTTTTATCGGTCATCTCGCCCTCTCTCCAAGTTTCTATTCAACCATATATCATATCATGTCAACCTTCACAGTAAGTATCAATGTTCAATGGAGATTTCATCGTCTATCTCTCTATTTAGATATAGATGCAAGGAAGAAGAGGCTACTTTTTCAAAACTTTCAAGCTTTCAAACTTTCAAACCCAATATCTCTCTCTATATATCGTGATGTCAACGGTCGATTGCATCAACATATGCTGATTTCCTCTATAGCATCTCGTCCGCTTTTTGGCCAAGGATGGCAAAATATATTACGGTGATGCTATTCTCCCGTCTGGAGTGAACGACATCGCCAAAGCTACCAAGGCGAGAGTCATCCAAGGTGACATCTTCGGCCAGTACCGGGTTACCGAACAGGTCGCAGATGTGAAATTGCTCCTCGCACCCTTAGCCCGGGAGGATATTGGAACGGTCCGTTGCTTGGGGCTCAACTATGAACAGCATGCAAAGGAGTCAAACCTTCCAATCCCCAAGTACCCGGTGTTGTTTTACAAGCCTATCACCTCCATTTCTGGTCCTACAGATGATATTCCGGTGGCCCAGATTGCCCAAGAAGGCGAGGGCTTGGATTACGAATGTGAACTAGTCATTGTCATCGGAAAAGAGGCCAATGATGTCCCCGAGAGCCAGGCCTTGGATTACATTCTGGGCTATGCTGTCGGTAACGATGTTTCGCACCGCGACTGGCAGATCAAGCGGGGTGGAGGTCAGTGGGGATTGGGCAAAGGCTTCGATGGATGGGCGCCATTCGGCCCCGGCATCGTTTCTTCCACTGTGATTAAGGACCCCAATTCTTTGCAAATTTCGACCAAGTTGAACGGCCAGACCGTCCAGTCTTCCTCCACGAAGGATATGATCTTCCATGTGGCTAAGACGGTATCCTTCCTGTCTCAAGGAACTACACTTCTGCCTGGAGATTTAATTTTCACTGGAACGTGAGTACAATATACACAAAAGCACTGTTGATGCATTTAACAGATTTGCTAAATACGAATTTAATAGACCTCAAGGTGTGGGAATGGGCCGCAAGCCGCCCGTGTGGCTGAAGGATGGCGATCAAGTAGAAGTATCGCTGGAGGGCGTGGGATCGTGTGTCAACCGGGTGGTCTTTGACAAGCCTAGCTCTAAGCTTTAAACGTTGTTTTCTTTTTTGAATCATCTCTTGGCGCAAGGCTAAGGGGCAATACAAGATGTATAGAACTGGACGTTTTGGTTTTGCAAATGATTAGATCTTATAACTGGTTACCACATCCATAATTCCGTGTGCATTTCATGTAAAACGATTTAAACAGTCTGGGCGCCGTACCCCTTGATTTTCTCGGCGAAGGCCCAGCTCTGGCCTTGAATCTGCTCATCTTCCTTCAAATCAATGCCGTCCTTGGTGATTACTGCTATCGAATACTTGTCGATACTGCGGGCATCACGGTAGAACAGGACCTTCAAGCATTCCTTCAACGCATCCACAGCGGCTTCCTGGGTCACTTCCGCGAGGGGCATGTCATCGGGGAACTTGCGACGCAGAATGGGAACCGCAAGATGAGCACCGAATCCTGTGGCCAGGTGAGGAGCAGAGAATGTGGTGCCCAACAGATCTGCTGAGCTCAGGAACGGCTCCCCCTCCGCGTCAAAGCCTGCAACAAGAACATGGTTCCACAACGGGTTGAATTCAGAGCGTCGCTTGTAGAACACCTTGGCGAGGTAAGTGTGTAGGTTTTTAGCATTGAGCATGTTGCCGTGGGTTGAGTAGTTCTCTTTGATATCCATGGATTCGAGGAGGCGGTCGAGATATTGCATATCGGAAACGTCGCCGCCGAAGCCAACCATTGCCTTATCGCCAAAAGAACGCAGACGCTTCACGTCGGTGAAACGCGCTAGGGACCCATAGGAGGCTACATGGAGCATCGCAAGTTAGATAACCATGCCGCAATACGAAGGAAACAAGGAATAGTAGCATACCCAGGTTGTCGGTAGCAATAGCGACACCGCCATTGAACTTTACACCCACCACTGATGTTCCGGTCACAGCAGGGGATGAAGTATGGGCCTTAGGACCCGAGGTCTGCAAATATGAAGCATCGTACGCGCCGTAGACATCGTTCCTGGGCTGGGAGGATAGTTAGTAATAGAGCGAAATTGGGAGATTTGTGCCACGTACGCGGCCCCAAGTTCCGGGGAAGTGGTCCATGATGAAAGAAGATTGTTGATAAACTGGATCGAAGGATTAAGAAGAAATGCGGACAAGGAGAAAAATAGAAAGATGGATAGCACGGTAAAACGATGACGATAGACGGGAAGCTTAGGCAGTCGAGCTGACGCCGGGGGGCGGAGAGCTTCGCTGACATAAGATTTTCAGAAGCCCCCAAGGGCTGGAGCTTTGGGATCTGAACCCTTGACTATAACTCGCGACACCTCAATTATTACTGGAACTTCGATTGCAACTATTTTGGCTTTAGAGACAATTCCTTTGTTCTCGCCCTCTTGATCTGATCTAAATTTCAACTTTTAGACACGAAAAACACGCAATGGTGCTTGGTTTGGTTTCCTACGATAGTAGCAGCGATGATGAGGTAGAGCATCCACATCCTTCGCCAAATCCCCAGGTACTTCAACTTCATGCCTAAATCTATAAAGAGGGTCATTAATGTGAATTTAGAAAAGGAAAAAGGAGCTTCCGGATCCAAACCTACAAGCTGGTCAGAATGAAGGTAACATAAATCTTGAGATCCATTATGTCTACATAGTTGGCGCTTGGAGCTAACAATTTATCAGGTCAACATCCAATTGAACACTCATCATATGGTATATCGCATGTTGAAACCGATCCAGTAGCAGCCGGACCTGTTCTTGGCCCCTCATCTATGGATATGGCGCCCCTCCCAGAGGATAAACAGCCGACAAGTGGACGTTCATCTCCTTTCTCGGCTTCACGGGCACTTGCCCAAGACCTCACTCTTCCTCCAGTACCATGTTTTGAGATCCCACCGTCCCCTCCCGGATCTCCCAATCCAGCTGCCAATGCGAAATTTGAGCACTTTCTCTCGCTCAAGAAACAAGGCGTACACTTCAACTCCAAACTTGCCAGCTCCTCCTCGCTCAAGAATCCGAGCTTACTGACAAAGATGATGGAGCACGCCGGGATCAATGAGCAATCGCAATACGACACGTCGCTGCCAGTCGATGTATGGAGTACTGCCCATCTACCCCAATGGGGATTCAAGGAAGAGCTTTTGAGAATCCAACAAGAATTGCGGAAGAAAATGGAGCAGAAGAATGCATTGGGCCAGCGAACTTCAGTCGATTTTGTTTCTGGGTCTGCCTGAAGCACTTATCCAGGAATCGAAACCACCCAACGTCTGGAGTGTGTCAGTGTCACACCCTAAACTACTGGAACCGCGAGTCTCCAAACCAGCCTTGAAAGACGACATACACATCATAAACTGAAGATTTCTGTATCAATCAGTGACACCATACTGATGTTCCGACAAGGGATCTTCTATCCTGATCTCTTATCATTCCACAAAGAAGAAGAAAACACTGTCCATGCTCTGTTCAGCGCGTATGGGGCCATGTCAAGTAAGAATGCTCGGCAACACTAAGTACATTCTCATGCTTGTGGCTCCAAACTTCGAAGCAATGATGCTCGATTCACCCGCCGCCGCCTCCACCACCAGCCGCTCCTCTGTGACTGCGTCGCCTGGCCTTCTCATACAAACTCAAACAAGAAATGAACACCATATGATCGAAATTTTGCCCGTATTCTACCCTGATCTCGATCTTTCCCCCCTACCCGGTCTTCTCCCGCCCGAAAATACAGCCATGACCTGCCCCGTTTGTTCGTCCACAAGCTTATAGTTCCGAACAGTCCATTTCGATGGCGTGGCGTCCTCAACGCCAACGCTGCGTGTTCGCTTCCATAAGAACGTTCGCCTTTCACTTGCGTTTCGACCTGCGCCATGTTGCAAAGTCATTTCCAATCGGTATTTTGGTTTATGAAGAACCTCTTTAGTCATATCTTCCCACTGGACAGTGTTCATGTTGTCTGGGTTCCCGATACCAAGCTTGTAGTTTCCGGAGAACTTTAAAAAGTTGGAGACGGCCACAACAGGACCTTGGCTGCCCGCGCCAACATGAAGTGTGAGGTCGGGCTTGTTGGGGGTAAACAATGAGATATCTCCGTAATACAGAGGCTTGCCATCCGATGAGCTGATTTCATAGTGGCGTTGCATAAGCCGCTTGGTTATTTGAAACACCCGTGAAGGGCCATCATCAGCTGGAGGCGCTGATACTGTTGATCCAGTTCGAGTAGAAGTGGGTGAAGACATGAGAAGAGTATAAAAAGCAGAATTTTGTTTTACAGGGAGCTCTTTCATATATAAATCCTTTATGATTTGCAAATCTAGACGCTGAGTTGTTCTAATGAAAGTGGGATCGACGGCTTTCAAGAACTTTGGGTAGCGAATACGACCTACTCAATCCGGTGAAAGTTGAGGGATATAATAGTGGATGTATTTCAAGCCTATAGATTATACATGTTTATGTATTTTGGCATGGATCAAGTGTTTGAAGGAAAAGTTACATCGAAATGTCTAGAAGCAAGTCTTTATGTAGTCGTAGCCCTGCAGCTGGAGTAACAAATTATCTTACCTAATCAAGGCAGCTACCGCATCGCGTCAGACAGCTTCTCTGCTCTCCATCGTTACGAACTCACAATCCTGCAAATCTATTACATTCAACCCTTTTTTTATTATCATTTCTTCAATACTACCTGTGATCCTTGCACTTAATCAAGCTATATCTTCGCCCAAAATGACGTCGCTCATCGGCCAGTCTGAGACCATCGGATACTCCTTCTCCGAACCAACATCCGCTAATGTCAAACAACATTCATTCTACCCGTGAGAACTTACTTGATATAGTTTGAAAGGGTAATATGCTAATACTTATGCTAGTTACACCGACAATGGTGGTTCCACACTCGGCATCACTGGATCTGATTTCGCCATTCTCGCCGGTGACACTCGTTCTACATCAGGCTACAATATCAACTCTCGAATGGTCCCCAAGGTCTTCAAGATCGGTGGGGATGATGAAACCGGTGCCGGAGCCAACATCCTCCTTTCCGTTGTTGGTTTCGCGGCCGACGGCAACGCTCTCAAGGAAAAGCTGGATACTGTGGTGAAGATGTACAAGTACCAGCACGGGAAAGCCATGTCAGTTAGCGCATGTGCGCAGCGACTGTCAACCATCCTCTACGAGAAGCGATTCTTCCCTTACTACGTACATGCCATTCTGGCTGGTCTGGATGAGGAGGGTGTGGGAGCTCTGTACAGCTACGATCCCGTGGGTTCATACGAGCGGGAACAGTGCCGCGCTGCCGGTGCCGCGTCGAGCTTGATCATGCCTTTCCTGGATAACCAAGTCAACTTCAAGAACCAATATGTTCCTGGGAGCGGAGAGGGACATGCTCTCGAGCCCAAAAAGGCCGAGCCTTTGCCCAAGGAGACTGTCAAGCAGCTTGTGCGGGATGCCTTTACAAGTGCTGTGGAAAGACACATTGAGGTTGGTGATGGCTTGCAGATGATGATTATCACCCGAGAGGGTGTTGAGGAAATTTACCACGCTTTGAAGAAGGATTAGAGTGCAGGCAATCGAAGATCATGACCTTGTCCCCAAATGGAATCTCTTAGACGGTTTTGATCACCAATATAATTGAAATAACTGAAATTTCCATGAATTGATATCTTTACGTTGTACGTCATCATGTCTCTAGTATCATAAAAAAAAGACAGTGTAAAGCCTAATAATCCTGAACGCCCACCCCATGCCGAATGAGTTTTAATTAACGGGGATTTGAACTCAGAACCGCTCCTTCATTCTCGAGGCAACGGTTCGAAGATTGCCATATACCTTACCCTGCTTCATTGTTAGAAAAATTTCTTGGATTGCAATGGAATATAGATCAAAACTTACCGGAGGGCTACCCAGAATCAAGCTAACGATTGCCTCACGGGCAATGTGAATGTTCTTGAACCCACCCAAAATGTGGATCTTCTGATCGGCCAGAACCACTCGTGTCCGGCTAGCATTTTCAATCGCAAATTTGGTCTTTCCGTCCTTTCCAGCAATACGTCCGATAGCACGGCCGAGATGCTCACCAGTCAAGGTCTTCACATCCTTGATCTCGAAAGTCTGGATGTAAAGATCGTCAAGTCGGAGGAGAGCAATCGCATCGTCGAGATCAAAACCAAGAGTGAAGGCCTTGATGAAATCAGCACCCTTCTGCAGGGCACCCACGTCGTCGGTAAATTTAGAGGTTCGCAATTCCACGGCTCGGCTTTTGATGTTCATTCGGACTTGCAACTTGAGATGTTCAACGATAGGAGGGCAGATCTTGGGCCAGTTCGCCTTGAGCGGCGTCATGCGGTGCGGCGGGACGGGGACCTTTCGCGTTTCGATACGGTATGCGGTGGCGACGTCTTTGGCCGGTGTGAAGACAGGACGACCTTCCTCGTCAATGCGCATTTCTTCCTCTGTAGACTCGGCGACGGGGTTGACGGGAACACCCTCATTCGAGGCTTGGGCATCAATCAAAATTTCATCATCTTGATCTAGCTGATCGTCAGCTGTTGAAGGATTTTGCTAGATATCGAGGAAACTAACCATAAGAAACAGCCTGAGGCTGAGCCTCTGGTTTTTCTTGACGAAGAGCTGTAGGCGCAGACATATTGTGGTTGTTGTAAGAGCAATAATAAAAAATTCTCTTCCAATCTGTTATCGCAAAATTTATCAAATGTTTCCTCCCCCACTCAACGAGGAAAAATGAGAAGTTGTGGGCGGAAGGGAATTTTTGATGCAAACATGACAAACAATGATCAAAATGATTTCATGCTCTTTACTCTCCCGCAACTTCCCTGATCAACATCTTGTTTGTACCTTGTCCATATATTCAATATTTCTCCCTCAATTCCAGGATGTAATGATAAATATGTCTGCCAATTTGGGACGACGGTTATATGCCCATATCTGGGATACAGCAAATCCATTTCTTGGTCGCATACGAATAAATCGCATATCGCCTGATGCCAGCTCAAGAACATTACGGGACGGACTTTTGTCTAATCATTCCCGACGCATCTCAACTCTACCCAGGAAACAAAGCCACCTAACCAGGAAATTTGCTTCGGGGAGTTTCTTCGTTCTTGGTGTTTCGCCAACTTTAACTACAGCAGAAACCACTGCAGCATGCATCCTCCCCTCTCGAAAAATCGCCGCTCAATACCTTTGGAAGCGATCCATACATACCCCTAATGATGACCGACGCGGAAAGGAAGCCCAGGGTGCTCAAGTACGCAACGAAAATGACCATTCCCCAAAACTCAGCCAACCCGGCAAAGACACCTCCACTCATTCGCAGACCGATCCGTCCCCATCTCAACACTCGAAACATCAAACGCCACCGAACCGTCCTCTGATGGATCGTTTACCGCATATGCCTCACCTACATCGACCGACTAAGGAGGAGCTTTTGGCTGCTGCGACTGGGTTCTGGTCACGATTAAAAGTACGATTCAAGTGGTTTTCTATAAGAAGTGTTCGCCCTTTCAGCTTAGATGAGATTGCTGCACTTTTCTCCTGGGTTCTACTGGGTCATATTGTCTGGGTTGTCGTTGGAACTACGACATTCTTCTCGCTTCTGATCCTTGCCATCAACACAGTGTTTGCTCAAGGTAAGTTATATAAATATGTCTAGGCTATGTCTGTATATTAATAACGTTTGGCAGAGACGCTAGCAGGGTGGGTGGGCAACTATCTCACCAAGTCATCCGGGGTTAAAGTTGTTTTTGAATCTGCAATCGTGCCCAAATGGAGAAATGGCGTCATCACCTTTAAGAATGTCTTTGTGTCAAAGCGCCCAGGACAAGGTACAGGCCATGTCAGCAAAGGTTCATCCAAGAGCGCGGCTGCTGCGGCTGCGGCTCGAGGTGACACCGCATTCGATGAATCCCAAGTCGCATCTGATGAAGAAGAGGATACTAACTACACACAATTTGACTTGTCAATCGAGACAGTCAATGTCACACTTTCATTTACCAAGTGGCTCAATGGAAAGGGCCCTCTTCATGATGTCGAAGTAAAGGGAATTCGGGGTGTTGTTGACCGCCGACATGTCTACTGGCCGGAGGAGGACTTGGATCCAAAGTCCTATCGGCATGAGCACAATCCCGGTGACTTTGAAATTGACTCTTTCAAAATGCATGACCTGCTTGTCACTGTTTATCAACCGGATAACTTCCGCCCCTTCTCTGTGAGCATCTTCTCGTGTGATCTTCCACAGTTGCGGAAACAATGGCTCTTCTATGATTTTCTGTCTGCCAACATGATGTCTGGGTCATATGATAACTCTTTATTCACCATTCATGCTCGCCAAACGCATGGCTTCACGGGCTCGCGGTTGGAAAGCGGAACAGAAGAAGATGGCAAGCCCAACCCGTGGAAGAAACATAATAGGATACGTGTGGATGGACTCAACGTCGACCATCTCAATCGCGGTGTTCAGGGGCCTTTCTCTTGGATCCATGAGGGGACCGTGGACATTGTGGCGGACATTATGTTACCTTCGGAAAACGATGAAAGCTTGGCTAAGGTGATGACCGACTTTTATGATCGATTGGAAGCCACAGTTACTTCAAACCGGTACCCAGAGCCTTTGTCTCCGAACTCCGATCAGGAATCCGAATCCGAAGATCGGCGTTTCCTTGTCATGGATTTGCGCGTGCATCTCAACAATGTCCGGGCGGTTGTGCCTATCTTCACTCGAGATCTCTCTTACATTAACAACGCGCTTATCCGGCCTATTGTGGCCTACATCAACTCGAAGCGCACTTTTATTCCGATCAACTGCCGTTTGGTCAAACGCGTCGGTGATTTCGATGGAAGCTGGACCATCTTTGATAGTAGTTTGATGGATGACCTATCAGCTGCGGTAAGTTACCCTCTTTCCTTATTGTGTGACGATTAATACTAATGACATTCATATTTATACATAGACCTACGATGCTTTTGCCCGAGATGTCGTGGATGACGAAGCCCGGAAAAGGCGGTTCAAGAAAGTCGGGTTCTGGTCCCTTCAGCTGGCCGCCCAGGCTATTTTCATGGGCATGGCAGGCAACATCGCCTAATGCTTGTTTTGTTTTGTTTTTCTTCCTTTTCTGTACCTTATATGGGGAGAAGGGAAGGTGTTTTTTTCCTGTTCTGTTTCTTCTTCTTTCTCTCTGCTCTGTAGCATATCATCTAGTCACTGCATCTACAGGGAGTCAAGGTCCAACAATTTTGATAGAGTCTATTAGGAAGTTCAAGCATTATCCTGACAAGTTCAAAGATTCCGACCAAGAGTTTTAGTCTAGATTAGTTTCATAATCATGTTTCACGACAGTAGTTGCGCCGAATGCTAGGACGGCTTTGTGGCACGAAGGGAATATACACATGTAGAGAATGATAGTATAGTTCATCTGTAACTGTATACCTCGGGTGGAAATATAGTATAATATCAATTTCCTATACTGACCATATATATTTATCTTCTATTTCACACATTGACTATTTTATTAAGTATAAGTCCTTTTCCCACGTATAAAATAGCTATATCTAAAGCTCATCTTACTCTTTAATTAGCTCCCCCCTTTTTCCTCCCCACTTCAATCTTGCTCCAACCTTTTCTCTCTTTCTGCTTTTTTTTTAAATTTTTAAAGTATTTTTTTTTTAAAAAAAAATACTTAAAAGATAATTAAAAAATCCTTGTCAAATCGGTTGTTATAGCACCCCTTGTTCTTTTCTCCAACACAAGCCAGTGCTTAAGCTTCAAGTTCCCCGGGGTTCCGCGTTTTCAAGCCTGGGCCCTCTCGCCTCGTGTCGCCCGCCCCGAAACGTGACCCCCTCGAATGAGTCTTGATCCCTGTATCAGCCATGTCGCAACTACCGCGGCGAGGCAGTGATGAGAGCTCTTCTGGTTTTGCGAAGAATTCACCCTACTCTTCTTCTCCAATGAACGGTCTCATTCCCCGGGACTATCTAGGTCGAACTGACCAACGCCCTGCGCCTACTCCTGGTCGCCATATTACACCCTCGCCATTGCATACAAGCTCCCTACCCCAGTCGTACATTGGCGGTTCGACATCATCGAGTCCTCTGTCCCCGAGAACCAACAACATCCCTTCTCCTTCCAAGAACTCGTCGCCGATCGCCCGCGTGGCAAATGATACATTTCCCATGCCTCCCTCCACCAGTCATAGCTTGTCGGAATCACCAGAAATCGCAGACGCAGAATCATCCGATAACAACAGGGTACCCGAAGACACAATATCAAGACCACCCCGGGCGATAGAGCCCGATCGATCTGCCTCCTCCTCTGTCAGCTCCATACACTCCATGCATGGAGATCGCCCACCCCATCGTGCCATGCCTCGTACCTCATCTATCGACTCTGCTATCTCATCCCTGTCCTCCACCTCACAAAGATCAGCTTTCGATATCAACTCCCTGAGTTCAACCGACATCAATAATCTTATCAACGCTGCTGGATCTGCCGAGGCTGTGATCGTTCACCTTCTGAAGGAGAAACATCAGGCGGCCTCTCAAAACTCGCAATTATGGAAACTAGTTGATAAACAAAGGACCCTGATTCTCGGGCTTAACAAGGATCTTGAGCGCGCCATGCAAGAGAAGGATGCATGTAAGAAGAAGCTGAAAAGTATGCAAGAGGCTACTCCGTTGGCGACTCCTGGGACTGCCACCGTATCCAGCAGTGACATAGAAGAGAAGTCGCACAAATCCGGTCAAGCCTCTATTCTACCTCACTCGGATGCCTCAAAGAGAGGCGTCGACAGCGCCGCAAGCCCGACTTCTGTCACTGACATCCCATCCCCCACTGGAAGCGGCAAGAGCAGATTTCCACACCCAAGCCGCAAGCCCCCGCCTGCGCCTCTAAATTTAGGCCAAGCCGATACAAAACAACAAGTGCCTGCAGCCTCTGACTCCGATTCTGATTACGGGGATGGCCAGGAATTGAGCGGAAAGCCTAGCGTGGACCGCGGCAGGAGAAAGACGAGAGAGGAAGACGATGAGGACCGCAAAGCTGCCTTGCAGAAGGATTTGTTTGGTTCTGCGGAAGCAAGTAATACAGCTAACCTCCAAGGCCCTCGAGATGCAGCGGTGTCTTCTAGTCCTAAACCGACTTCCCGGAAACTTTCTTCAAGATCACCACCGAACGTCGGTGGCTCTGCTTCATTGGGATCAATGTTGAGCTCCCGGCCTCCCCCCACCTCGTCCTTCAATGGGCGTTCTATTGCTGCCATGCCTATGAGTCCTGGTCTGCCCATGAGCCCACGACCAGAAGATCGACCCATCGGTTCTCCTTTGCCTCGCATGCCACGAGATATAGCCCCTACGATGGCAGCCGGAAATCAGGCCTCTGGGTTGCCCTTATCTCCGAGAATGGGGAGCCACCCTATGAACTTCGCTCTTCCCCCTTCAAATGGAAGGCCGCCTGGTCTTATTCCATCAATTGATCCCACTGTCGTGATTGACAGCCCGAAATTTGCACAGTTTCCCAACAATAGAATTTACCAAGGACTGGTATCAGATGAATACCCAGGCCTGCTTCTACCTCCAAATGCTCTTCCTCTGGTTGAAGTCAGAGTATCTTCTTCGCGGCTCCGACCTTCTCGAAACAGCTATATGGTGTCCAAGCCCTTGGACGAGGAGCCGGTCTTTACTCTCAGCGTGATCTCTCGATCCGAGATGTCAGAGCTATGGAGAATCGAAAAAGTGATTGGGTCTCTGCCTCAGTTGGACCAGAAGATAAGACAAACTTCTTCCTTCGCTGGAAGACTGCCTGATAGGAACATCTTCAATGGACACTCGCCTGCTAAGGTTGATTTGAGGCGGTCCGCATTGAATGCATACTTTGACAGTCTTCTGGATTCACCTATGGACGAGCATGCCGCCTTGGCTATCTGTCAGTTCTTGACTAATGATGCTATTGAGCCGCGCGATGACGAGACCAATCTATTGAAGGGCCTCGCCCAGGCAAAATCTGAATTTCCTCGCGGATCGGACGGCAAGCCCCAGAAGGAAGGTTACTTGACCAAGCGAGGCAAGAATTTTGGTGGTTGGAAAGCAAGATACTTTGTCCTCGATGGACCCGAATTGAGATACTTTGAATCTCCCGGTGGTCAGCACATGGGTACCATCAAGCTTCATCATGCCCAGATTGGCAAACAATCCCCAAAATCAGCCGAACAATCTGCTTCGCCCACCGGGGGCGAGGAAGACGCCGACAATCAGTATCGCCATGCATTTTTGATTCTGGAACCAAAGAAGAAGGATTCGTCGGCACTCGTTCGTCATGTTCTCTGTGCCGAGAGTGACGATGAGCGTGATACTTGGGTCGATGCTTTGATGGAATACGTCGAGAGTGCTTCTTCCGAGACCGAAGGGCAAGAAAGCGTATCCTCCAAGGGCCAATCTCAGCCTCAAGAATCTCAGTCAAAGCAGAACCCAACCGAGACCAAGTCTAAATCGGTCAATGGAAGCAAGAAGTCTGGCAGGGGAGTCGATAGCCCCGACCAAGGCATGGGAAGCCCTGTGCAAGGATTTAGCTTTGATGACGCAGTGCAAGCAGATCCCCCGACGATTGGATCCACTCTTGAACAGGCACCTCGATCCCCAAGGATGCCAGGGGCTCTGTCTACGGACTTCAGAGAACTGAGCATGTCTTCTCCCGGTCAACCAATGCAGTCTCCAAGGCTGATTTCCCGACCAACCAACGGCTCGGTGATTCAGGATGTGGAAGCATGGGGTAACAAGGCCAAGACGTCGACAAAAGAGAAAAAACGCAGTATCTGGGGATTCCGCACCAGATCCTCTCTCGAACTTGACTCCCAGGCTCAGGCTAGTAGCGACACGCTAGTAGCAACAAACAATGTCGAAAGAACAGGTCCTGTCAGACCTGTTTTCGGCATACCCCTGGCGGAGGCTGTGCGAGACTGCGCGCCGCCAGGCCTTGATGTGGAGCTACCGGCAGTGGTCTACCGCTGTATTGAATACCTCCATGCCAAGGAAGCAGCATTGGAGGAGGGAATTTTCCGCTTGAGCGGCTCGAACGTTGTGATCAAAGCTTTGAAGGAGCGTTTCAACACTGAAGGTGATGTTGATTTTGTCTCCGGAGACCAGTATTATGACATTCATGCTGTGGCCTCTCTCTTCAAGCAATATCTTCGAGAGCTTCCCACGACTGTGTTGACCCGGGAATTGCATTTGGATTTCCTTCGCGTTCTTGAGGTCGACGATCGAGAGAAGAAGGTTGTTGCTTTCAATTCTCTTGTGCATAGATTGCCGCGGCCCAACCTGGCATTACTCAGGGCTCTCTCGCAATTTTTGATCGAGATTGTTAACAACTCCGACGTGAACAAGATGACAGTCAGGAACGTGGGCATTGTCTTTGCTCCAACTCTCAATATTCCTGCCCCGGTCTTCTCTATGTTCCTCACGGACTATGACAGCATTTTCGGCGATACCGATAAGAACTTTGCCGATTCAACGAAAGAGCTGATAGTCGACAACTCTTTGTCGCCCGATGACATTCGTTCCCCGCGCCATCAAATGTTCTCTGATATTCCTACGCCTTCATACCAACAGACTTCGTTCCGGACCCCTGGTGATGTGAATGCTCCTTCTGATGGCCCAAGGACACCTTACAACACCGGGTTCATCCCGATGCATCCTAGCTATGACCAACAGACGTCTAGACAGGAGCAGTACAATCAACCTCCAGGTGCCTCTGCTCCATATTCTTCTTTGAATGGCATGCTGTTGCCTAACAATTCAGAAGATACTCGCTCCGCTAAAACGAAGCGACGAGAAAGCTCAATGCTCTTTATGGATGGTAAGTTTTAAGCAATAGACAATTCTCACGATATTTGCTAACCTGGTGCCCCAAGATCCTTCTTTCTACCAGGGCAAATAAACTATAATTTTGCTTCCCACTGGTTCCTTTTCTCTTCTTCTAATTCTGGACCTTTGGAAATGTCCCTCTCATCCAGACAAATTATGACTTGCACGACTGCAGAATGATGACTTTACCCACTTGGCAATCTCAGCCACCAGAGTCGCGAGGGAATGTTTAATGATAATGGTAATCAAGATGCGGTCGTATATGAACTGTTCATCTTGGAGTTGAGTTCTCTTGCCATGGATTCGAGGCCCGTCGTTATACCCCTTTTCTTATTTTTTTTTCTTTTTTTCTTCTCTTTCCTCTTGGTTCAGCGTTTCTCCCAAGGCTCCACGTCCATACATTATCATGTGGTCTTTTTTTTTCTGGCAATTTACTGGGGGAAAGGTTATGGCAATATGGAGGATGGTTTTCACATTTGGCACATTAGTTTATATTTCACACGACTTGGTGACGGCGGTATTCAAATTTCATTATATCAATTACATCAATTTCCATCGTTTCGTTCTAGAAACGTCTCGTTTGCTCTCCCCTCCAGAAACCCATGAGTTCACCGTTTTCCCTTGTCCAGTCTCGAACACCATCGACCAAAGCTTTGGCCATTCCCTTGTTCTTGGATTTGCCATCGGATGTGCCACGACTATGACCTAAACCTGCGGGACGGTCTCCGGCGACAGAGCCCATGGTAGGTAACACATTATCTCCTGCGCTCAGACTAACGAATAGAGCAAATGGAACCAGCCATACGCAGAGTCCAAAGTATGATGCCACTTCCGAGAAAGAGGGCATCTCTTCATAGTTGACTCCATACGGCTGACGCCAGTTGTTCGACGGGGGTAGGGGCTTCGAGAAATGACGAAACCATAGCCAATGGTTGAGGCCGACAAGGAAGCAGGAAAGTATGAAAAGAGGGTCGGACAATTTCACAATAGGGAACCGGCGCAAGTTGCTGGCGTAGACCAGGTGCGAAACAATGCTCAGTACAGATAATGACACGGGGAAACGGTCGATTATCATGAGAAGAACCTGAACCGCAATGATGGCGTAGATAAGACGGGTCAAAAGCCGGCGAGCAAAAACGGTATGTTCTTCAACGAGTTCGGATAGGTAGTAGAGTCCCGAAGCTATTTGAAATTAGTATTTGTTATTCCACAGGAGCTCTTCTTTTCCATACCAATGGCCAGAGTAAGAAATGCAAACCCGACAACCACGCCAAAGTATCCCACTAACGGTAAGATCCACATGATTGCATAGAGAAAAAAAGGAAACAGAAGACACAGAAGAAGAAGAAGAAGAACAAGAAGAAGTAAGAAGTCACCCAGGGCTGATTGCATAAACGTGGACGTTTTGGGATAACGGCCTCAGGCAGAAAAGCCCCACATAAAATTATTGATTTCCTTTTTTGATCTTCAATTCTTCGATTCTTCAATTCTTCAATTCTTCAAAATATACATCATGTCGCGCCCTGAGGATACTTTGTATGCTATACTACTTACATCTTCCTTTTCTCTCTTTTCTGAATAGACTGACCCTTCATCCTAGGCCTCCGGACCTTTTTTACAATGACAATGAATCGCGAAAGTATACCAAGTCCTCACGAATTCGCAACATTCAGGCAAACATGACCAACCGAGCTCTGGAACTTCTTGATCTGAAGTCCCCATCCTTTATTCTCGATGTTGGATGTGGCTCTGGTCTTTCCGGCGAAATTCTATCCGAAGTACCTCCCGATGAAGGTGGCCCGCACACATGGATCGGCATGGATATTTCACCCAGCATGTTGGATGTGGCCCTACAACGCGAAGTGGATGGTGATTTGTTCCTCGCCGATATTGGACAGGGTGTGCCTTTCCGTCCTGGTGCGTTCGATGCGGCAATCAGTATTAGTGCCATCCAGTGGCTCTGTAATGCGGAATCCAGCGATGTTACCGCCGAAGGTCGTCTGCGTCGCTTTTTTGAGGGTCTTTACGCTAGTCTACGTCGAGGTGGTCGCGCAGTCTGTCAATTTTACCCGAAGAACGATACCCAGCGGAGTATGATCAGTGGAGCTGCCATCAAGGCTGGCTTTGGTGCGGGTATCCTTGAGGATGACCCCGGTACCAAGAGCAGTAAATTGTACTTGGTTCTGACCGTTGGTGGTGGTGGGCTTCCTGGTGATATCACTGGTGTGGTGAACGGCATGGACGACGTCAACGTCCTGGATGCTCGACGAAAGGCCACCGAGATCAACAATGCGCGAGGACCCCCTCGCAAGGGCGACAAGGCTTGGATTTTGAACAAAAAAGAACAGATGGCGAGAAAGGGCAAGGTTGTCAAGCCTAGTTCCAAATTCACCGGCCGCAAACGACGCATCGTTTTCTAGTGAACGCTTTCAGGGCGTGCCAACAAAAGCCTGAGTTTGGATTGTACGAATGTCCGAGTCGGTCAGTTGCAAAACATAAACCTACCATCACCGACTATGTGTATGCGCAAAGGGAGCATAATGTTCCAACGCACAACCCCACTTCTTGAGATCATCAAGTCTATATCTTATATATGGTCAGGGTATGATCGCGCAGAGGTGTGGCAACTTCGACTCTGGCCTTGCAAGAACACTTGGGCCCAATTATACCAAAATTTGACACATTAGAGATGTCATCCATGATTATGTCAATACCCAACTAGTTTTTGTTTATTATGCAATGAATGTCCATATTATGATCACAAAAGAAAAAGTGTCTATTGCTATAATTTGCCAGGACATTTCGAGCTAAATTGAAAAGATAATACATCAATTGAGGATCCGGTCGATTCATGACATGCAGATTCCACTGCATATCAGGTAATCAGCAGGCAGCATCCGCAATTGTAGCAGGGATGTTGGAGTGTAAGGGGTTCCAAGAGGATAAGAATTTACAGAGACGCCTCCATCTTGTCCAAGACAGCGCGGGTAAACTCGTGGGTGGTAGCCTGACCACCCATGTCACGGGTACGAGTTTGGCTGTACAGATATATTAGCACTTCAATCAATTTGTTAGGGTTTTGTGGTACTCACCCCTCGCCGATCACATCGTAGACAGCCTTGGAGATGCGGTTGGCGTGGTCATCGAGACCAAGGTGACGGAGGAGCATAGAACCAGACAGGATCATGGCACTGGGGTTGGCCTGGTCTCTGCCCTTGATATCGAGACCGACGTGACGGCAACCGGGCTCGAAGACAGCAACGTCACGACCCATGTTGCAACCGGGGACCAGACCAGGTCCACCAACGAGAGCAGCGCCGACGTTGGACAAGATACCTCCGTAAAGGTTAGGCATGACCATGACGTCGAACTGCTGAGGACGGGAAACAGCCTGCATGGAGGCGTTGTCCACAATCATGTCGTTCACCTCCAGGGTGGGGTAGTTCTCAGCGACCTTGTGGAATGTGCTGCGGAAGAGACCGTCGGCAAGCTTCATGATGTTGGCCTTGTGGATACAGGTGACCTTCTTGCGGTTGTTGGCCAGGGCGAAGCTGAATGCGAATTTGGCGATACGCTCGGACTTGGCGCGGGTAATGATCTTCAGGGACTCGACGACACCGGGGACGGACTGGTGCTCGAGACCAGAGTACTCACCCTCGGTGTTCTCACGGATGATGCAGAGGTCGACATTCTTGTGGCGAGTTTCGTAACCGGGGATGTTCTTGATCAGGGAGATCGAGGCATAGATGTCCAACTCCTGACGCAAAGCGACGTTGAAGGACTGGTGGCCGGAACGCTCGACGGGAGTGTGAAGGATACCCTTAAGACCGAGCTTGTTGCGCTTCAGGGAAGCGAGGGACTCCCTGAAAAGCTCCTCAGAGTGCTTGTTACCGGTGTCAACACCGCTAACATCGACCTGCTCCCACTCAATGGGCACGTTGTCGGCCTTGAAGATGGTCTTGACTGACTCGGCAACCTCGGCACCAATTCCGTCACCTAGTCAAAAAGTGTTAGCTAAGAACAAGCGCAATGCTAACATAACAAGCGCCGAATATGTGGAGGTCATACCAGGAATCAGAGTCACGGTGTACTTGCCACCATACTTGGTAGGCTTGAAGATGTCCGATTGAACACTGGCGAAGGCTGCGCAAAAGGTTAGCGAATCAATTCGAAGACACAAAGGATGACCAAATCGTACATCTCGCGGGAACGGAGCGACCGAGAGAAGAAGCTGCGGAAGCGCTGCGGAGCAGGGTCTAAAGGAGTGCATGTTAGCAGGGTACAAAGAAATGAAAAAGCAAAAAAAAGATATAGGACCAACCTACCCGAGCGGGTTGTGCCGTTCTAGAGAACATGATTGACTTTATAAGATCAAGAAGTCAAAAGAATTGGAGGAGAGAAACACCGTACACCTTGAAGGGGGGTTGGAAAGGAATCAAAAAGAGAAAACGGAAAAAAAAGACTCCGGATGGGCTCGGCATCGCGCGACTTTCTGGTTAGCGTCGGGCCGAGTAGTTATATTTGCACATACGTTATACATACGTTGTATATAATTTTTCAAATATCTCATTTATTCATAGTTGCTATTCAACTTATAGACTTGAACCGCGTGCATACAGAATTGTGTAGTTGTATGAGAGGTAATTAGATGTACCTGCTAGTCTACTTAAGTCGCTCAAGAACAAAGTCCTACCAACTGCCTCCTTGAATGTATGTAGATAAACCTTGGAAGCTCCGGACCATGTTCAAAGCCATGAGATATGTATGGACATGGTAGAAATAAATGTAGAGAATAGACAGTTCGCTTTGCCCATTCATGTCAAACCTAACAACGATATACACCACAACTAGGATAGTATCGTCTCATTTCTTCAAATGCCCCATAGCTTGATTCCATCGGTCCAGATTTGGTTAGTTCCCACCATTCTTGACTCTGATACACAGGGTCCTTTGAGCCAGCATATGGCTCCCCAGTGGTAGGTTCTTTTGGAAGTGAGACTTGGTTGGTATTGTTCTCGTAGCCAGATACCATGTAGGGTTCAGCATAGGTATTCCCATCACTGTCATCCATAGCAGAGTCTGCCATACCGAAGCCTTGAACAGGGGCATTGTTTTCACACCCAATTCGGGAGTATAGTTGCCATGTTTGAATCAATCTTTCTTTTTGCTCTGAGTCGGCGTTTTCAAATAGCCCTAGCTGGTTCGGAGTAAGAGTATTTGGATCCAAGCCGTGATATCTCAAAACGTCAATGCTCGAGGGTTGTTCCGGGCTCACGCTGTGGGCAGGGCTTGGGGAGGGTTGAGGGATGCCGTATGAGCTGTTTGGGGCTTTTGATGAGCCGGTGGATCCTTGAGTTGGGGTTGAATGAAACTGGGTCATGCTCATTTGTCTATCAAACAAGTCTGCGAGTTCATCTTGCAGTTTCTGGTTGCCCTCGGAAGCCGACAAGCCACACTATATAGATCACAAGTCAGCTTCCTACCCTGTTGGAAGGAAGGGCAGGATCTACCTGCGTGCAGTGGGGGTTCTCGATAAATGCTGCGAGCGCATTGGAAATATCGGAGACGTGGCCGCACTGCGGGCACTGATGCAATATGGATGAAGACATAATAGTAAGTACAAATTCACCAGGTGTGTAAATGTAGACAAAAATCGGGTTCAAATGTACAAAAGTCCCAGTACTTGAGCGGTTCTGTTCTCAAAATATCAAGAAATAAATGAAGAACTTGTTTATAAACAGAGGGGCAAAAGAGATGCCCAGATGCCCAAATGCCCTGTTGGGCTGCTAACGAGTTGCAGTTCTAAAGGGTTATACCTAGTAGCCAATAGTAGGTACTTCCATAGTACCCACAATTTACAGGGAGCAGACATACAAATCAAAGGTACTGATCAGGTATGAGTCATGTGACTGGGAGCTGCAAGGCAACCCCGTGACGCGACAGCGTCACTGCTTAGCCCATTATCATCAACTCAGAGCTTCCAACCTCACCTTCATATTGTGCTTTTCGGCTTTCTTGTTCTATAACTGTCCTTTTTTTGGACTACCCCGGTCCTTTGTTTGTTCTTGAACACCGAATCGCATTCTCAACAAAAATCATGGTTAGTTGACATCGGATCTACGCATCCTGCTATCTGGTATCACATGGAGCTGATCAACTCATTCTACAGACGTCAATTGGTACAGGTTACGATCTCTCTAACTCGGTGTTCTCGCCCGACGGCCGGAATTTCCAGGTAAACAAACCCAACCTAGCTCATCCGCTCCGAAGCTCGACTTCTCGATACTAACCATGTTATCTAGGTCGAGTATGCTGTCAAGGCAGTAGAGAACGGCGGTACTGCCGTCGGCATCAGATGCAAGGATGGTGTGGTGTTGGCAGTGGAAAAGATCATCACTAGCAAGCTTCTAAAGCCAGGGGCCAACAAGAGAATTGCTACAGTGGATCGCCATGTTGGCATTGTGCGGCACCCCGGTTTTTCCTTTGGACCACTTGCTAATTGTTTTGATTCGTAGGTTTCCTCCGGACTCGTCCCTGATGGCCGCCACTTTGTTTCCAGAGCGAGAGACGAAGCTTCCTCATGGAGGGGTACTTACAAGGGACCTATTCCAACCAACGCACTGGCCAATCGCCTAGGTGGCTACGTGCAGGCGTACACACTCTACTCCAGTGTACGGCCGTTTGGCGTAACTGCTATTGTTGGTGGCTGGGATACCGAAGCAGAGCTTCCGGTTGATGGACAAGTCGGCAGCGGACCCCAGTCGGGCTCCGGTGGAAAGGTTGAGGGCGCCAAGGCTGGCGGTCCTGGTCTATACATGATCGAGCCTAGTGGACTTTATTGGGTATGTCATGAGTGGCATTTGTTGTGTATGCTTGGGTGTACTGACGATGTTGATAGGGATATTACGGTGCTGCTACTGGCAAGGGTCGACAGGCTGCCAAGGCCGAACTGGAGAAGCTAGACCTGACTTCGGGCAACCTATCTTTGGCAGATGGTGTGAAGGAAGCGGCCCGCATCATCTATGTTTCTCACGAGGACAGTAAAGACAAGGAGTTCGAGCTTGAGATGACATGGATTAGCTCAGTCGATGGGCCCACCAAAGGCCGCCATGAAGAGGTGCCTAAGGAGCTTCTTGAAGAAGCCGAGAAATTCGCGAAACGGTCTTTGGAAGGCGATGAGGAGGAAGATGAAGAGAAGACCCAGGGCGAACAGATGGAAGAGTGAACATGTAATAGATTATGCTCCCAAAGAATTATGGTTCTGTGAAGCTGCTCCTTCCTACTCCAAAAAGGCCCAATCAACAATCTAGGACGAGGTGATTTGAGTTCCAAAAAAGCCCTAGCCTACATATTGAAGGGCTTGGTTCATAGCCCCTCGAAAGTCACAACATATACTATTGCATTCTTACAGGATCTTGCCCTCAGCCCACTCCCTTCGTCTGACACCCAATTCCACAGCGGCGCTTCCCCAATCTTCGCCATGGTTGTGTACACCAGAACCCTCAACCATCCCTGCGCGTTCTTTGCCTTGTTCCTCGGTCAGAACGGTCAGCAATCCGAAGATCACGGGAACACCGGAGTCAAGCTGAACCCGCATCAATCCGTGGCTGACAGCGTCGGCGATGTATTCGAAATGCATTGTAGCACCCTTGATGAGAACACCAATGGCAATTATGGCATCAAAGGGCTTCTTGGGGGTTCCAGGTGCGGCAGATCCGGAGGTTTCGGTAGTGGGGGAAGACAGCAAGTCAGTAGCGCTGATGCCCTCACCGGCTGAGTTGGCCTGGAGTTGGGAGGCGGCGTAGATACTAGATTCTTGTTAGATTTGAGACTTAGGCTTAGTCGAAGTTTGCATAGCTCACCGCTGCACTGCAAGGGGTAGTTCGTAGCTGCCGGGAACTGTCTGGACAGTGATGTTGTCCTCGGTCACGCCAGCGGCGAGCAAGTTCTTCTTGGCACCAGACACGAGCTCCTTGATGATGGCATCATTCCATCTGGCATGGACAATAGCCACGCGGAGTCCAGAACCTAGAAAGGCACATTGTTAGCAAGATGGTCTTTCCGGATGCTATTTGAACTCACCGTCGTGGGTCTGGGCAGCTCCGGGACCTTTGATAGGTGTCATGATTGTTTAAATGTAGAGTTTTTGGGGTGAAATACAATCTGATGAATTGAATTGACGGTGTTTATGAAGTCAAGGGACTTGGGTTGAAAACATCGGTCCCGCATTTGGCGGGGAAGGCGGAATGTTATCACCGAATACGGATTCTACTCGACATGTGGACAAATTAATTAGTACTTACATATGTATGTATTTATGTATGTATGCATCTACTCAGTCTGCAACTACGGATGAACAATATTCTCCTGTTTTTCGGTGATCATGGATATATATCGATTTCTTTTTTTTTCATGGTCAATCTAAATTATGACTGGAAAAGATATAGAAAAACAAAACGAGATTCCATTCTCCCGAAGCTAAAACACCTAAAAGATAAACAGATGACCGGATCATAAGAGTCGTCTAAACTTGTCCCAAACCGAAAAATTAAAAGATTTACTCGACTGTGACCGACTTGGCCAAGTTACGAGGGAAGTCAACATTCAGTCCCTCGCCAACCGCAAGCCAATAGGAGATGAGCTGCAAGGGAATGACATTGAGCAAACCCTGAAGACAGTCAACAGTCTTGGGAACGTCAATCTTTTCGGTTAACGCGGATGAGAACTCGGGATCGTCGTGGTTGCAGATCACAATAGGACGGCCACCGCGGGCAATGACTAGATAAGTTAGTTGGAAAATCATTATGAAGTAAAGATGATTATAACTCACCCTGCTGGTAGGCATTCAGTGACTTGGTGAAGAGGCTGTCACGGGTGAGGATCATGATGATGGGAAGGTTCTCGTCAACAAGAGCCAAAACACCGTGCTTCAGTTCACCGGACATAACAGCCTCGCAATGAAGGTAAGAGATCTCCTTGATCTTCAAGGCACCTATTCAAATTGTCAATACGATTTCCGAACGTGTGGAGGGACAGTTGGGACTTACCCTCGAGAGCAGTGGGGAACTGAGCACCACGACCAAGCAGGAGCAAGCTCTTCTGGTTCTTGAAGAACTTGGCGCACAGGTCCTTGATGGGATCGTTGAGCTTCAAGATCTGCTTGAACTGCTCAGAGATCTGGCCAAGACCCTCCATTATCTCTTCGCGTCTCTTCTGCTTGGAAGCGCGGTCTTCACTGAGGGACAGAGCAAACATAACCATGGCTACAAACTGAGAGGTGTAAGCCTTGGTTGAGGCGACACCGATCTCAGGGCCAGCGTTGATGTGCACACCACAGTGAGTGAGGAGAGAAATGGAAGATCCAACAACGTTGACAACACCGACAGTCAGGGCGCCACGCTCGAGGCAGTAGCGAAGGGCCATCAGGGAATCAGCGGTCTCTCCTGACTGAGAGACAAAGACACAGGTGTCATCACGGAATACGGGGGCCTGTCGGTCAAGGAAATCGGAGGCAAGTTCGACTGCAATGGGGATCTCAGTCAACTCCTCGAAGATACCACGCACAGCCATGCATGAGTGATAACTGGTACCACAGGCAATGAAGATGATACGACGGCAGCGACGGATGGTTGAGATATATTGACGCAGACCACCCAGGGTGACCCGCTTGTTAGCCACATCCAGACGGCCTCTCATGGTGTTGACGACAGATTCCGGCTGCTCGAAGATCTCCTTCTGCATGAAGTGGTCGAACTTGCCCTTCATGATCTCCTGCAGCTCGAGCTCAATGGTCTGGATGGCACGGACATTGGACGTGCCATCGTCCTTGGTCAGACGGTGGATGTTGAGCTGACCCTCGTGGATGTGGGCGATATCATCATCCTCCAGGTAGAGAACCTTCTTGGTGTGCTCCACAATGGCGGATGGATCAGAAGACAAGAAGAACTCGGCAGGCTGGGGAATACCATCGTCGGACAGGAATGCCCGGGACTGGGAGCGGTGCAACAGCGACTTGTCAGGGGGAGCAAGGAGGCTTGTGGCGGACTTCTTGGCAGCCACATTCTGGGAGGCCTGCTCCGCAGAAAGGACACCGTCTTCAGAATATTCAACATCGACAAAATCGACCTTCATCTTCTTCGAGGTCTTGACGCCGATGACCAAGGGGGAACCCTTGCGGGCAGCAATGACTTCGTGGGGGTAGTGGACAGACTTCATCAGCAGACCAAACGCACCCTCGAGCTCCTTGATGACGGCCTTGGCCAGAACTGTGAACTCAATATCGGGGTGTTGATCGTAGAGGTACTTGGCAAGCTTGGCAATGCACTCGGTGTCGGTCTCGGTCTCGAATCGGAAACCCTTGGTCTCCAACAAAGCCTTCAATTCTTTATAATTGGTGATGATACCATTGTGAACCACGGAGAACTCCCAGAGGGGATCGGAGCTATGAATCAGAATTGAGTCAGTGGAATTCTGGAGATGGAGTGATTGTTTTGGAGGGGAGGACTCACCGGTGAGGGTGGCAATTCTGACGGGGGAGGGGTTCCGTGGGTGGCCCAACGAGTGTGAGAGATACCGGCGTGGGACTCGAAGGTCTTGGTCATGTCGGTAGCGCTCTGCTCAATGAGTTCCTTGAGTTTGGCAACCTTGCCAACTTCCTTGAATGCAAATACTTCATTCTTCTTGTTGCCATCCACGGCCATACCAGCCGAGTCGTATCCACGGTACTCCAATCTGGAGAGTCCTGAAATGACGGTGAGTGAAAGGATCTAGAGACAAAAATAGGATTGAACAACATACCATTGAGCAAGGTGTCAACGATGAATTTGCGGTCCTTCTCCACCAGGTAGTTAATGTAACCGAAGATTCCACTAGTATGATGTGAGCATGTTGAAGAAAGAAAGAAAGAAGGAAAGAGGGGAGAAGAAGCTCACCACATGATGGGCAAAAACAAATGCAACTAAAGACACGATATTCAGAGTAGTAGGAATTAGGGTATCAGAAGATAAAGAGGAGAGTCGAGAGAAGAGAGATGGTAGAAAGTAGAGAGTAGAGAGCAGACAGTAAAGGAGAAATATGAAAAAAACAAGAAGCAGAAAGATGTTTCGTATTTATAGAGGGGGAAGAAGGAGAGGGGCGGATATTATTATTAGCTCTTTCTTGTGCAAGCTCAGGTCCAATGAGGCAGCCTGAATGCTCGGGCCAACTTGGTTCCTAGGGGAATGTCTCACTTGGCACACATACTCCATTCGATCTCCATAGTTATCGGGATAATAATAACATTAGACTATTGACTATTAGTTAGACTACTTGATGATTATAGGAGGTATACCTATACAACGTAGGGTATATAACTATGTATATAAACTGAGTCATACTTCGATAGGTCTACATTTACATAGTATAGGTCATAATTAATATAACATAGTCCCAAAGGCAATAATCGTCAATAGTACTACATACGCAACAGGATTTTTATTTTTATTTTTATTGCTTGTATCATATATCGGCATAACTAAACTAGCAGATGATACTAATCGATACTAATCGGGGCCACCCGCCACAGGGCGAAACAAAAATGAGGCGGAGCTTAAGAGGGAGAAAAAAAAAAGTTGGAACATCCACTTAAGATCTAAAATTATATCGGCACATTCTTCCCCTGAAAAAAAAAGAAGAGGAAGAAGGAGAAAAACGGGGAAAAGGTTCGACTGACGTTCCACGTTCCACGCTTCTGCAGTTTATATGCAGTTACTATTTTTGCCTATATCCCCTGGGCCGGCATCGCCGTATAACTACTAACTAACTAGTTCTTAGTACAACGTACGTGGTGAACACATTGTATATTATTATAATCCTATTGGTCCCTTTAGTTATTTTGGTTATTTTTGCCTCTTAGATATCTACAGGTAGACTTATGATACGCTTAAATGTTCCTAAAATGCACCTGTGTGGGACTGTTCAATGTAACTGAAGTGTACATAGTTATATCTACAATATAACGTATGTAAGCCCTGGGGTAGGCAGGCCATTTATAATCTACATATATACATACATGTACTATGTAGTTATGTAACATAGTTATTCTCTTTGTTCATATGTCTTCTTCCATTGCTTTACACCTACATACTTGGATATGGACTACTGTGAAATTTACCCTTCAATAGTGTATATTTATCAACCACATATGTACATGTATATAAGTATCAAACCGATTTTTATAGATCAAAGATATCATTCAATCTTCGATAGATACTTGATTGGTACCGCAGACATAGGTGTTCATACAGGCATAGGCTAGGTTGCGGTGAGGTCACTTGAGGAAAAAAAAAAAAGAGAGAGATAAAACTTCACATCCGTTGCAAAAAATCTACTGAATGAATTGAATGAATTGAATCTATTAATTCTATCTTATTCTTCTTTCACTGCTTCTGTTCTCTTCATATGCTCTATAATCTCATTCATAAAAAGTTGAATACCCTTACCGTTGAATATCCCTTGGTCCCCACCATTCCACTTCCTTCCGCTCGATCGCGTCTTAGCCTCCTGCAAAACTCTTGAAACCGCGTCCGACAGCTCTTGGGCTACTATAATTCGTTTCTTATTCCTTTCTTGTTCTTTTTGATTGCAATCCTTTCTGAATTAGAAACTGGAACTTGTTAACAGCGATCTCAATTCCCGACCTTCTCGGTCGCATGTGCTCGCAATAGCCGATACGCTGTCAAGGATGCTGCCTTCTGATCGCGCGGTCTCTGGCGTGTAGCCAACCTCTCACCATGTCACGCGCCTCGGCCGGATTTGCAGACTTCTTTCCAACCGCCCCTTCTGTCCTGCAGCAAAAGCGCTTCAAAACAGCCCAGGAACGGCGGAAGGCACATGTGGATGAACTCTCCGAAGGGTCCCCGGATTTCTCAGTGCCCGTTTCTAACGCACCCGTGACCATCGAAAAACCTCAACTTCGTGCAGATCACAGGGAACCTCACACTCCCTCTGCACTTAATGATCCTGAATTGCCTGCCAATGCGCAAACCGCGGAGGATGCAGCTGCGCTACCTCCACCCGCAAATTCCCTTCTATCACAAATCGATACACTGACACCGCTTACCAATGCGGAGTCGTCGCCGCCCTGTAAAGCGATGAGCCCATCTCAGGCAAAAGCAGAAGGCGAAGTATTCTCGAACCTTTCCTCCAAATCAGACCCTTCACTCCTCAAATCTTCCATCACTCCAATTCACACCCCGCCGACACCTCAGTCGCAAACTCGACATCTCGAACCTCGTGTGATAGGTTGCAAGGTTGTTTATGATCCGGATCTGGACAAGAGAACATCGTCCAAGGAAAAACGGAAGAAACTCGAATATGTGGATATTTTGAACACCGGCCAAGACCATCCTCCTCCCGACCCTCGCCTCGCGATACCCAACTATAACCGGGGATCCGGTTGCAAGCAAAAAACAAAATACCGTCCTGCGCCGTATACTTTGAAATCATGGGCATACGACGTCGCGACAAGTATTGGCCCCGGGCCTCCGGTTCAAGTGGTTATCACAGGCTTCGATCCCTTGACCCCAATTGCCCCGATCAGCGCGCTATTCTCGAGCTTTGGAGAAGTGGCCGAAATAAAGAACCGCACAGACCCAATCACCGGCCGCTTTCTAGGAATTTGCTCCGTCAAATATAAAGATAGCGCCGCAGCCCGGGGAAGTGGACCAGTCTCGGCGTCCAGCGCGGCCAGACGTGCATACTTTGAATGCAAAAAAGAACAACGCATCGGGACACGTAGGATTCGGGTTGAGTTAGACCGCGACGGTATTGTCTCGGATCGATTGACTGCAAAGGCAGTCGAGTCTCAGCGACTGGCTTCCAAAATTAACCCTCCATCTGCCAGCAACATACCGACCGGCGAGCCCCTCAAGAAAAGTGAACCACCACCGACCGCTCCCAAAGGTCCCTCCGGTAGGTCATCCATCCGCCCGGGGGTCGTCATCCCAGAAGGGCCTAGAGCCGCTGCCCGGCCTCCCGTCGTGCAATCACTGGTCGAGGAAACTCCTATCCTCAGTCAAATCAAGCGTGATCCATACATCTTCATTGCCCATTGCTATGTCCCAGTTCTCAGCACAACGGTTCCCCATTTGAGAAAAAGACTCCGACTTTTTGCTTACAAACATATCCGTTGCGACAAAACCGGCTACTACATCATGTTTGAGAATTCGCGCCGAGGCGAGGAAGAAACCGAACGCTGCCACCGACTGTGCCACATGCAGCCTTTGTTTACCTATATCATGAACATGGAAAGCCAACCTTACGGCAACCCCAACTATGAGCGAAGCCCGAGTCCCGAGCGCCTACGCGCCGAACGAAGAGACAAGGCTGCGAAAGACCGGACCAAGAAGGAGGCCGAATTGGACATCGAGGAAGAGAAGAAGCAGCGCGCGGCAGACCTGGACCCATGCCGAGAGGTGTTGTCCATCATCATTCGCGATCTGAGGGACAAGCTTCTCGAGGATGTGAAGTCGCGCATAGCCGCTCCGGCCCTGTACGACTATTTGGAACCGAGCAAACATGCGACCAAGAGGGAAAAGCTGGGTCTTCCAGACCCCGAGGGTACCAAGCGGCCTGTATTCCGGATTGACAGTGCTCTTGGTACCCCCAACGCGCGGGTCGACTTGTCTACTGGGCGAGATCCTCTCCAATCTTCGGGACTCAACGTCCTTGCTCTTCCTCGTATTCGGAAAGCCCACGGTCTTGATCGTACGGGTGCTGCCTTTTTGGATGAACGGCGCAGACAACCGCTGCGCAAGAAAGAAGTCAGGCCTTTGTATCATCGATTGCAGCAATTGCACGATGATGAAGATTCGGATGACGAGCAGCACACTCCTGCTGCCCGAGATGTCGATGTGCGAGAGAGCAGGCCCCCTAGTCGCGCAAGTTCAACATCATCTGAGTTTGGACGGGACCGAGGCTACCAATCAGACGACCAAGGTTCCTCGCAAGGAAGCGAAGTGAATACACCAGCTGCAGACGAAAGCACCACCAACATTCCCAATGTTCCACCAGAAGAACTATCTCCCAGATCACACAAGCGAAAGAGGCTGATTAGCGATACGGACTCACGGAAGAAACAGCGACAGGACGATGAATTATTCGGCGTTGACTCGGAGACTATCGGAGTTGATGACGCAGCCAAAGTCCTCGAACCATCTGAAGCTGTTGGCGACAGTCTTGAAGGAGATCACGGCAAGTTACCGATACTCGAACAACCAGAACAGTTAGATGTCTCAGTATCAGATTCGGATGATGATGTACCTGTCGATGAATCCATTGATAAACCAAGAACAGAGATCGAATGGGGTGTGTCCAGGGATGAGCCCCGTGCAACTGTGGAGGATGATGACAACATTGTGCTTGACTTGGATGGTTGGCAAAACTTGGTCAAGGACGATGAAGATCTAAGATTTTTGCGAGAGATTCTACTGGAGCAATCGGAATCCAATATTGGAAATCTCGGCGCATGGGCTTGGAAACAAAAAGAAATCAAAGCCCTCAATGGCCTGCAAACTGGGACAGCTGCGAACCCCATCAGTATTCTTGGTTATTATGTTCCCAACATCACAGGAGCTGCCCGGACAGAAGGTCGGAAGAGGATTCTCGAGGCAGAAAAATCCAAATATCTACCTCATCGAATCAAGGTCCAAAAAGCTCGCGAGGAGCGCGAGGCAAATGCCACCGCAGATCCTCAAGCAGCAGCAGCTGAAGCCGCCAGAATTGCAGCTGCCAAGACCATTTCCAAGTCAACGTCACGGTCGACAAGAGTCAACAATCGCCGACTCATTGCAGACATCAACGCCCAAAAGCAAGCTCTGCCCACTGCGAGCGGTGAAGGAGATGTTTTGCGATTCAATCAACTCAAAAAGCGTAAGAAGCCTGTGCGCTTTGCTCGATCCGCCATTCACAATTGGGGATTGTATGCCGAAGAAAACATTACGGCCAACGACATGATCATCGAGTATGTGGGAGAGAAAGTACGTCAGCAGGTCGCCGACATGAGAGAAAGACGGTACTTGAAAAGTGGAATTGGCAGCAGTTATCTATTCCGAATCGATGAGAACACTGTGATCGATGCCACCAAGAGAGGAGGCATTGCGCGTTTCATCAATCACAGTTGTACTCCCAATTGCACTGCCAAGATTATCAAGGTGGATGGCAGCAAACGTATCGTCATTTATGCGCTCCGGGACATTGAACGAGGTAAGTCAAAATGCCAATCGTGCTTTTTGGAGCGAAAGAGCCGAAGTATTAACATCGTTTTACCAGATGAGGAGTTGACTTACGACTATAAATTCGAAAGAGAGTGGGACAGCGATGATCGGATTCCTTGCCTCTGTGGTTCAACAGGCTGCAAGGGATTCCTCAATTAAGAAAAAGAAACAATGTCGTCAATATCTATCAAAGTCTTCGCGGCATCTTGACTCATACTCATCATCTACTGGCGTTGGATCGGGGTGGCGTTCATGGGGAGCATTGAGGTCTTGTATCAATGGCGATCCTGATTCCATAAACTACTACTACTACTATTTTCTTGTACAATATACCAATCCCAAAAGGATTTCACTGGCTTTCTTTTGTGCATTGAGAGCGGGAAATAAAATCATCTTGGGAAAGCTGGAAGTCTTAAACTCAAATGCGCCAGATTTCGGGTCCCTTGTCTCAATTCAGGCATCTCATGTTGATGCATCTGTAGTGTCCTCGTGGATAATTTTCCAAGCGGCCGGTGACTAGCTCTGGGGTATCGGTTTGCGAAGTAATTTTGGTAAAATGTGCGGGTTCGATCAAACTGAGTAGAAACATATTAATTGAGTAAACCTGGAAAATAAGTGAAATAAGTGATGAGGATTCCGAACCTAGATGACTTGGAAGAAGGAAATTTGCGATTCCCTCTTTGATCATATATTCGTGGCTGCAGTTCCCACAGACCAGTTTCCCTTCTGAGACGTGTGTTTCAAGTAGCAACCGGTGCAAATCTTTCAAGGTTTGTTCATTCTCGAGAGCCTCGCCCTCTGGTTTCGAATCTGGGAGACTTGGGAAACCCAACTATTTTTTCATCCGACAGATGTTAGCCTATGTATATATCTTCTTTGAAATCGGATTTGTCCTGCTACCTCATTAGAAGTTACCCGCAGAGCTTCCCAGTCAATCCGAGGGATGATATTGCGGATAAAATCTGGCTGGAATTCCAATTCTTGTTGCTCTAGTTCCGCATCATGGAAGTGTAGGGGGAACGATGCCGGCGATGTCTTGCAATCCTTCACGGCGCATGTCACGAAATTGGCGGTGATGACCTTCATTGCGAATCGGTTTTAAGGAATTTGGTGAAGTGTTCTTGACACTGATATCGATCAAATATGGAAAGATCAATTGAGTCTAGACCGGGAGCAGGACATGGAATTGAAGTACAAGGACAATGTCGTTGCCCAAAAAAAAAAAGACAACCCCACGGCTTATCGGATATCATGTGATCGACAATATTTCATAGCAGCCCTGGAGTCTTGAACAGCATATAATGATTCAATCTATACATATGGATGCAATTGACTACATATACACATATGTACGCATGTACGTACGTAATAGATGCTCTATGATAATATATTACTCAATAATCTTATATGTTGAAATATCTTCATGGGTTGATTTCATTGGATTCCAGACAAACTATCTGATCTGGACATCCACCAGATCTAAATCGTCAATGTCATGGTCTCCAAGGCAAGAATCAGGATCAAGTCTGTCACCGTCAAATAGAAGATTGATGGATTTATCATTGGGGATATTCTGCTTGTCTCGAAAAGCAGATATGAGTCGGGAGATCAAAGTGTTTTGTCTTGCTTTGATCTTGAAATTTTCAAATCCAGGACTTCTCAAAATAAGTTTCATTGGCTCACCCTGGTCGTCTCCGGAGGGGGTTGTTACTGTGTTAGGCAGTTTGTTGTTATCCGGAACGCTTTGTCGATTGGTCAAATGAAGCTGATCAGTGACTGCTTCCATATGGATCTGTAGCTCTTGCTCGTCGGAAAAAGGGTCATCGATGCCGAGAGTTGCCATCGAGCCACTCTCAGCACGAATCCCCAGACTCCTACAAGTGGTCACGTCGAATAGGCGGCGGCCCTTCCAGGTCAGATAAATTGATGATTGTATCTCTGGTGCAAAGTTTTGGCGGTTGCACCATGCCAGACGCACCTCTCTTAGTCCCTGAGACATTTTCCGCTGAACAAGTAGTGGTTTTGTGTTCGCAATTTCCGATGATATCATGATCTGGACCACCGGATCATCGACCGGAGGGGTTGTTGGGGTTGTTGGGGTTGTTGGGGTTGTTGGGGTTGTTGGTGGTTTTGATTGAGCAGGTCGAGGGCTTAGAATTTCCAGGTCAATCGTTGGTTGGTTTGACGGTTGAAGGGGTGGAGGGACTTGTGCCTCGAGTGATTTCAACTTCTCCCGTGGCACGGACAATGTACTCTCTGGGCTGCGGCTTTGTATAGTCTCATATTGATTGATTGGCTCGGGGGATGATGAGGAATGTGAAGAGTTCGAGAGCTCCTGTGGCTTTGCTGGAGACTTCTCATCAGACTCATCTCGCCCACTGTTGCTGACCTCTTCTTCTCCCTCGGAAATGCGTCGCTTCTTTTGTCCATCATTAATGCTTTCTGGGTTTTTGGGCTTTTTGTGTGCTTCTCGGTTCGCTGCAACAATGTCCGAGTAGGTTTGCTTTGAGCGTCGATAAAATTCAGTTCCAGTATCATCAGGTTGCTTGATTGCCCATGAGGGTCTTTTGAAAAATGAACTCATTTTGAATTCAGATATATGAAGAATGATTAGGTATTATCAGGTATGTTCTTTGCCAATTAGTGTAAAAAGGGCAACAGAGTCAACATTCGTGAAGCTGTAAAACGGAAATTTTATTATTATTTGGAGTTTGCGCAACCCCGTGGACATATCCCCCACGCGCTGATACAAGCTCTCACACTCACCGCCTTCGTATCTCTTTCTCTCTTTTGACTCCAGCTGCTTTCTTTTGTCACTTCCACTTTGATAATACCAAAGAAGACTCCGTATGTTCATATTTTCCAAATATCTAGTGGATGTTCTGATCTTTCTGACATGTGGTATTAGACAAATCCGTGGTTAAGTGTCAATATGGAGAACGGTCCATCCTCTGAAGGGAAGGACCCCTCGGCCTTTCTGAGTGAGATCATCGGTGCACCTGTGATTGTGAAATTGAACTCTGGGGTCGTTTACAAGGGTAATTTATTGTTGTTTCAATTTCGAGTGTATCGGTTGCTAATGACCACATAGGTGAGCTACAGTCGGTTGATGGCTACATGAACATTGCCCTTGAAAAGACTGAGGAATATGTCAATGGAAAGTTACGACGCAATTATGGAGATGCCTTTGTGCGCGGAAACAATGGTTTGTCACTCTAATTGATCCTTTGTGATGTGATGATTTTCTAACTGCAAGAGTAGTACTCTACATCTCCGCAAATTAATCCACTACCACACTTATCTTCTCCGGTGCCCTTAATGAGGTGCAAACGCCAATGACAGTTGATGATTCACTTGCAAAGAAAGACCTTTTTGGCAGACAGGGCTATGATATCGGGCTTACTGGACTTGAGATCTAAGAAGACAGGCTCTGGTGCCAATTGACCTATGATTCAGTGGATTATGATGATGATTTGCTCGGATATCAGACAGGCTTCCTACGATTTTCTTTTTTCTTTTTTTTTTAATCTTGCTGCCTTCTATGCTTTTCAATCTTGATTCTCATAAACAAGATATCTTGCCACTTGGTTCAATATTATCAATGTGGTTACTATTGACATGATCACAATCTGTGCAAACCATCCTCGCATAATAATTCTATCATCATCTACATGGCTTTCCTATCAGTCATTAGTAGCCATAAAATGATATTGCAGCTAGCCCTATCGTGCCTAAGGGTTTAAAGAATTTGACATCATGTTCGACTACTCTTGCGTAGAAATATCCATAGCTTACAACCAATCTAGTTTTATTGGCTATGTGAATATATGCTTGACTAAATACGTATCATTACATATCAACATTTGTGCACCATACATGTACTAGTTACATGACTATAACTATAACTAAGTGTATACCGTGGTCCTTCTGCTGTCCGAATCTGAGGTTATGTAAGCTATTTTGAGCCCGCATTTCTTTTTCGCAACACCTTCCATGGTTGTACCCCTCATCACAAACTTGACCATCGCAAATATGCTACAAGCTATTAAGTACAGCGAGGGAAACCTTGAGATTCTTGATCAGTTACAACTTCCCTTTGTTGAAACATATATCCCCATTCGAACTACTGAAGATGGATGGCACGCCATTAAAGACATGAAAGTCCGAGGGGCACCAGCCATTGCTATTGTTGCAATGCTATCGCTCGCATCAGAACTTCTGGCACCTGATAACGAGGTTCTTCAACAAACTCCAGAGGAAGTGCACCAATACATTTCAGCCAAGCTCGACTACCTGGTAACGAGCAGGCCCACCGCTGTCAATCTGAGCGATGCCGCTCGCAAGTTGGAAAAACGTGTTTCGAACCGCGCAAAGGAGGTACCGGGACCTCTTGGCCGTGAGGTTGCAGATACGTTCATTCAATCTGCGGTGGCTATGCTGGGCAACGATTTGGAGGATAATCAGAGAATCGGACACAATGGCGCCGAATGGATCGCCAGCTACGCGGCCAAACCAGGACAAGCTCAAGTTGCCGTGTTGACTCACTGTAACACTGGGTATGGACATCTGAACACTTCCTTCGCAAATCCTCGACTAACCTTTTATTGGCAGCTCTCTCGCCACGTCAGGATACGGTACAGCATTGGGGGTGGTTCGTTCGCTGGCCTCGAAGAACAAGCTACGTCACGCCTATTGCACAGAGACTAGACCCTATAACCAAGGCTCTCGCCTGACAGCATTCGAATTGGTTCACGATAAAATTCCAGCTACCCTCATCACGGATTCTATGGCAGCCGCATTGCTCGCAGATACTGACAAAGGCGTGAATGCAATTGTTGTAGGAGCTGATAGAGTGGCAGCTAATGGGGATACGGCCAATAAAATCGGCACGTATGCTTTGGCTGTTTTGGCCAAACACCACGGTGTCAAATTCCTTGTTGCAGCACCGCGAACCACGATCGATTTAGACACAAAGTCAGGAAATGATATTATCATCGAGCAAAGACCAGCATCCGAGGTGACAAGCATCAAAGGACCTCGTGATGGTCCAGAGGGCACTGGCAACGTGTCGATCGAAACCGTGAAGATTGCGGCACCGGGTATCAATGTCTGGAACCCAGCGTTTGACATAACCCCCTCGGCTTTGATCGATGGTATTGTCACCGAGGTCGGGGTGATGGAGAAGGGCGTCGATGGGCAGTATCACTTGGATGGACTGTTCGACGAACCTACCCTGTCCTGACTTGCTGCTAGAGCATCGGGGCACTCTGTTGCAGCAGTATCATCCGCAGAGTTGCGTTCATTTTTTTCAAATGCGGCCAAAAGATCATCAACTTTGCGTTCAATCTCAGTGAGACTAGTTTCTAATGCCAATGCTGTTTTTTCACCCCTAGGGAATGTTAAGCGATGTATATTTGCAGATTATAAGCAGTGTACATACTTTGCGAGGTCGGCAAGTGCCTATACGTTTAATGGGATCAGTATTAGCTGGCTTGCTCGGTCTAAATGAATATTCCTGGGCGGAGCGTAGGTGGGGGTGAACAAGGAAAGAATTAAGGAAGTTAGCACCCAATAATCTTGAGTGCTTCTTGTTCCTGTCATCTAAAAAAGACTTACTCGCGAAAGATCAAAATCATCCTGTCCTTGTCTAGACATCACGGGTTATCAGTTGTGCAGTTTAATAGAGGGAGGGTTATTACGTTTAGTTCGATATCTCAACCGATACCTGGGGTCCCGGCCCCGGCTAATTATGGTTGACTAATCAAAACAAATCAGCCGAGCACTACGAGTCCATGCGGAGTCCAGGTAGCCGTTTTACGATAACTAATGCCGCTACCGCGCATTAGTCTTTCTGAACCAATAACATATTTCACAAGCGAGCGGGACACCCCACCAAAATGCGTCCATACATAAATATTGGGTGTTGATAATTACAACGCCCTGCCTGAAAATCTAGGAGTTCTGCCTGATCTTGCCTGATATCTTAGGCTTATTATGACCTCTTTGTGCTGAGTCCGACCGCTTTCCTAACCGCTTTTTGTCAATCTCTATGCAAATGCATCACACTCAATGGTACCCGGTCCGTGCGACCTATGTAATCAAATCCATAGTCTAACATAATTTTTATCCAACGTACCTTCTTTAACATCCACCATCACCTACCACTATGCCGGATAAACCTAAAGAGTTACAATAGAAATCAAAATTAGCTATTTAGGCCTACCATAACCGCGGAAAACCTAAAATTAAACCGCTTGCCTAAGAATTGAATGTTTTATATAATATACTATATAGACGACTCTACGGTCGCATATCTCGTAAAACCTATATCTTAATAGTTAGAGCACTTGATAAGGATTAGGAAGAAGTATTACTTATCTAAATTGCTTTATTAGATAATACCGGGTATCTGGTAACCGCGAGAACTATTGAATATATTATAAATTTAATATAGTCTCGCGCGATGTATCACGAACTACGCTATTAAATAAAAATTAGGTTTACTATTTTCTATACCGGATTCCTTTACCTATAACGTAGTCTTAGTTAGATTATTCTAAAGCTTAAATAATAAAGAATTATCGCTAAAGATATTAGCTTAATTATAGCTTTTTACAATCGCTTCAATATATTTATTACATAAATAAACTTATATTTAAATAAGTCTATAATATAAATAAAATTAAATATTAAATATAGAAAGTTATAAAAGTTTTAATTAAAAGTCTAACTATACATACTAAATAAAGGTATTTCTAAATCTATTATTAATATTAAATATATTATTTTAATTTTTAGTTAAGGGGAAATTCTTTATAGAAATAAGTATAGAGTAATTCATCTTTTATTAGATTATATAATTGTTATAATATTAATAGCTATATTTCTAATAATATTAAAGTTTAATAACTTTAAGAAGAATTTACAGAATTTTATAGTCTTAAGATTAAAAGAGACAAAAATGGCTATTTATTATGAATAGTTATTATTTATATTTATATACTAGAGTTTATTAAGGCTATAACTAATTATAATATTATTCTATATGATTTTATAGATTTAATCACCTCATAACATTTTTAAAAGATATAATAATAAAATTATTTAATAAAGTAAAGATATTGATTATAAAGTAAATATTTCTGTGAGATCTAGTATATTTATAACGTTTTATTTTATGAATCATCTAATCTAAATTTCAAAATATAAGGTTATGTCTTTTAATCTATTTGTTATATTATTTCTATAAAACAAATTTTAAATAAAAGGATAATTTAATAATATTTAATAGGTAAATAATAATCTTCTATCTATAATTACTAAATTCCTACCTAAAGGAGCTCTTTGGATCTAAAAAAGTATACAACAACTTAAAGTCGACATTAAATTACTAAACAATAAACTTTGTTTATAAATGAAAAGGCGTGTAAAGCTATTATATTAAACTACGTAATAAGTGACCTAGCTTGTAGATTATTTGTAATTAGATAATTTTACATTCTTATACTATTATAAAGAATTAAACACTCGAATAACAAATAACAAAGCGATAGATTAAAAGAAGGAGTCCTATAGACGCTAGTAATACTATTAGAATAATTCGAGTGCGCGAAACTAGAAAGAAAGTCACTAAAACTAAATGACGTAAGAAGTAGGGTGCTCTTACGATTTATAAGGATAGATCTCCTACCTTAGCGACCCGTCCGAATAAGGTGATATTCGATCTAAAGATATAATGGTCTTTTAGACCGTATATTAGAAGATAAATCACTAAGACTAAGACTACTGAGTACTCTTTCTAACCTTTAGCTTTTTCCTATTAGGGTTTTACCTAGTTGGTTTTAATAAGACTATATAAGACGAGGAGTCACTAGTCTAGCTATATAATAAGGAAGTTCCGTTCACGAAAATGATTTAGACTTTATTATTAATAAAGATATATGTTGGTATTAGTGACACTAATAAAGATAATAGGCCTTAATAACTTTATTTAGAGGTATAAAAGGGAGCCTGAACCTAGGCCTCTTTGTTTATAAGAGATAAGAATCAGTCTCTAAATAAGGAAATTATGTTAATAACGCTCTTCTATCTATTTATAATATATCTATCATTATATCTTATTAGATTAATAGGTTAATTACCCTTAACTCAATAATCCTCTTATAATTCTAATTCTTCCTTTTTGTCCCTTTAATATAACAATTAGAACTGACGGACTAAACTGACTAAAACTGTTATTGAATAATCGTTAGATCTATTTTAATATGCCTAATAATTAAAAACCACTTAACGAATTACTAAAATTAATAGAGATAATAAATACTAAGAAGAATCTATTATATAATAAGAGTAGAATATTATAAAGATAGAAAAAATTCTTATATTCTAATAAAGGATTATAAAGATCTAGAATGAATCTACTAGCCTTAATAAGAAAGCGAAACGAATACAAATTTATAATGACATCTTTAGATAGAAATAAACGTATATAAAAAAAGAGATCGAGATTTATATCTCTTGTTTAGAAAGAAATTTTACTATCTAGAATTCTAATATTTGGCGGACTAAGTAATAAAATAATCCTAGAGAGGCTAAAAGATAGGACTATTCTAAAGATTATCTTATTTTTAAAGCGAAATATTGAAGTTATTCAATACTATATAATAACAAGCAATTTTTATAATTAACGCTATTAACCTATATTATTTGAAATTAGAGAACTTATCATATTGTTATTCATTAAGAATTCAAAATTTAAATTCAAGAAATTACTACTAAATTTCAATAAACTATATTAGAAAATAAATATATTATCTTATATTACTTAGTATCTATACTCTTTTATGTAATATATTCCTTATTTAGCTTTTATAGAAATAAAATGACACTGTTGATAAATAATAATATTATATTTATACTAAAGTATAAGAGTTATTTAGAGGAATAATACATAATAAGTGAATAAAAATAATCAATGAAGTTAGAATGTGGTTTAGAATTCTTTTAAAAAAGGATTCTCACTAATGGTAATTTATTAATGGTGAACAATATTTTTAAATTAATTATTATAAGTTTTTTTACTCTTCTTTTACATTAAAACTTATGGCGAATAGATATTTTATTATTAAGATTAGTTATATATTATTCAGGTCTATTTTTTAAAACTCACTAGTTCTATAAAGTTAGTGTATTTTATATTAGGTAGATTATCTAATAATATTTTAGGGATATTTGGGGTATATATAATTTGATTTTTCTTTATTATTTAAATAATTAAAAAGGCATCCTAGGTATAAAGCTTCTTTATTTACTTCTCTTGGCGCCGTATATTTAGCTTCCATACTGCTCAATGCTACTATTTTTTTCATAGCTGTCTATTCTAGCAAATCATATTTATTAATCCCTATATCAGAGGATAGGCTAAAGATATATCTAAATGTAGATTTTCTACTATCTAAATCATTTACCTAATTGGAATTTTTATAGTATACCTTTAGAAATAAATTATCTTATAAGATAAGCCTAGTTTTTCTATATTGAATCAGTATTTGTGTATTTTATGAAGAGCATTGAAATGCTTAATATCTAGATACTTATATATCTAGAGTAGTAGATTACTACAAAAGTCATATCTAGTCCACTTTTGAATATAAGGTATAACAAGGAGCCACTTTCCTTTTAAAATTTATTTATATTAGTATAAGAAGCTTTAATTTCATACTTTCATAAATGAATTCTAGGTTCTTTTGGGTTTTTTAAGACTTCAATTTATAATTATCATGGACATAAAACTTATTTAGAAGTTTTTTATTTTATTTTAATCAACTTATAAATAAATATTTATTTTTAATAAGAAGTTTATTTCCTAGAAATATTAAGACCGGCCTATCTCTTCTATTTTAATATCAACCTTTAATTTATTGATTAAATCCTTTACATAAATAGTATCCGAATAAATAGCTAAATTTCTCCGTTTATATAAACTTCTTCGTTATATAATACTACCCTAAGGCCGATTTTATATAGGGCTTTAGATAAGAATCTATATTATAATCTAGGGCTTTATTTATTTCAACTATAGATTACCTTTTTTAGATAGTAGTATTTATTAATATAATTATATATTCTTATATCTAATATAGTATATATTTCTATATTTATATTGGTATAAATAAATACATTTTTAATATTAAATTATTAAGTTATTAAATTATTAAGTTATTAAATTATTCACGCTTTATT